CTTAGCGTAAGGTACCTACAGCCCGGCCAGGTATATATAAAACCCCGGTAGATAGGGAGATACTTAATAGGCTCGGCTAGGTTAAATAAGCCATGCCAGGCCAGTTAATCCTCCTTTAGTCCTTTTTTTAATAACGTTAATAGCAGGCCTTTATAATAGCAGATAAAATCGTTACGGACTTAATAGCTAAGATCTAGGTAATAATCTTTTAAATAGCCTTTTAGGTTACGGAAGCGGACTGTATAGCCATAGAAGGCATAGATTAATAATTAATATTCTTTATTATAAAGAAGCTACCTTCCTTTACCCTCTCCTCTCCTTAACCTTTCTATTTTTCTCCTTATTACCTAGGTATTACTATTAATATTACTAGGTAGTAAGTCTAGTAGGTTTTATTAGGCTATTATAGCTATAATTAACTAGTTAGGTTATATATATAGTTAGATAAGTTAAGCTAATTAGTTATGGCCTTTCTAAATTAAGATAGATAGAGAGAGAGAGAGAGGTAATATAGATAAATAGATAAATAGATAGATAGGCAGACCATCCCAGCCTCTTCCTTTTTTTTCTTATCTCTCTTCTCTTACTTTACTTTTTCTATTTTTTTATTTCCTATCCTGGTTTACCTTAAGGACGAAAGTAAAGACTTAGGGTTAATTAAAAGTCTATAATTAACTGCTTATATAGTTAGTAATTTAGGGTTAGTAATTTAGCCCCCCTGTTATCAGCTCCGATCCACCCGACAGGGTTTCCTTACACCCCTATTAGCCCATACCGTTTTCCAAGGTTAGTAGTTTAGCCCAAACTACTACCGGCCTATCGGTTAGGAGCTAAAGTATTATACCTAGCCTAGTCTTTTAACCTACAGCAAGTTACGGTTAAGCTCTTCCTTTATATTACCCTTCTATAGTTACGTAATATCTTCCTTTTCTAATTAAGCCTAACTTAAAGTAATAAGCTTATTTATAGCATTCTGACTTATAGTATTAGCTATATTAGCTATATTAAACAGGCCGTTATTATTACTATTATCTTAAACGATCTAGTAGTATATATACTTTCCTCTTATTTACGTTTATAGTAATACCTTAGTTTATTACTTCTCTTCTACCTTATGCCCTGCCTCTCTTTAGTAGTGGATAATATTATCTTTTATAGTAATAAGATAGTAGTATATATTATAGCTATATCTATATAAGATAGTAAGCTAATTAATTACCTAATTACTATTTTTTAGTGTTATAATAAGCTTTAGGTTAGCTAGTTTAAGTATACTATAATAGTCTTTAATGTCCTTAAGTACTTAGCCCTTAAGTTAATATTGCCGTCGGAAATATAACTTAATATTACTGCCGGGTTAAATAGCTACTTAATAGAGCCGGCAGATTAGTATTTAATAGTCCTGATTAAGCTATATAATATCCTTTATTACTGCTTAATATTGCCTTTTTAATTTCTGTAATAGATAGTAAAAAGAAAAGTAGTTTTATTAAATTTCTCTGTTAATTAAAATCCCCTTTTATCTATAATATAATAACCTTAAGTCGATACTAGCTAACCTTAAGTGTAGGGTTAGGGTTATTTTAGGCTAATAAGTAACTCGATTTAATGTTATTCGATATAAGTTTAAGTTTTAAGCGAAATTATCTATTTTGGTGAATAATATCTGGCTAATTGCCTCTTAATAGTTCCTAGGCTTCCTTAATTAATAAAGAGCTATTTATTAAAGAAAGGTAATTCTTTAGAAATCTTAAGGTTAATTAACCGGCCTTATTTTTAAAGATATTTTATTATCCTTAATATATTAAGTTAATTATTAAAGATTAAAAAATAATTTCTTTTTATTTTTTAATTTAATTTACTTTATATAAAAATACTATAAAGGGTTTATATATACTTTATATTTAAATACCTATTCTTTTTTAGGCTTAATATAGAAATTAAAGTATTAATAGGTATATAAGTGGTTAAAATCTAATATTTTTATATTTACTTTTAAATAAAGTCTTTATCTTTAAGGTATATTTTCTTTTTTTCTTTTTTTTCTTTTTATTTATTTTATTATTTACTCTTTCCTTTTTATTTAACTATTTAAACTTATTAATAGTTAATAAAGATAGTATTATTTTATTTTATTATAGTTACTTATCCTTTATATATAGGATAATAAATAATAAATAATAATAATAAAGTTATTTTAGTCTTAGTAAAAATTTCTATTTTATAGATAATATAGTCTAGAAATATATAGGGACTAAAGTTCTAATAATCTTAATACTTTTAAATAATATATATAGATTTTAAGTATAGAAAAAACTACTTAAATTTTATATAGAAATTAAGGGGGAGGGACTATAATATAAATTAAATACTTTATAGGGATTATTATTTATTATAGAGACTGTAATTAAAATAAGGGGGTATAGTTATTTAGGATCTTTATTAAATAGGGCTAAAATATAAATATACTACTTTATATAAATTAAGTATTATTAATAAGCCGATTATATATTAATATAATAAAAAGATTTTATTATTTTCTTTTTTTTTATTCTCTTTTCTTTCCTAAAGGAATTTTTAACCCTAGGTTTTAACTAAATTAACTTTAAATATCTTATACTAACCTTATAGTATTATTTATAATTTATTTATAATAAATAGGCTATTTAATAATAGTAAAGTAAAGTACTTTAAGGGGTATTTTATTAAGGTTTAAGAAATACTTTATAACCTCTTTATAAAGGAATTCTTATAGCTACCTTTTATAAAATATAAATCTATATTTTAGAAATATCTTATTTAATAATAGTAGGTTATAATTAATAAATATAATAATAGTAATAAATTAAACCCTATAATTATTAATAAAGTTCTATTACTTTAAATATTATTTATAGGTAAGGATAAGAAAGGAAAGTAAATAATAAAAAAAGCCTATAAGGTATATTACGGTAAGAATAAGTTCTAAGTAAGCTTATATTAACTATATAAATTTTAATTTAATTTATATAAATTTAATTTAAAATAATTCCTTATTATACCTTTAGTTTAATACCTTTTTATCTAAATAACTCTATATAATAATAATTAGGAAGATAATACTAAGGAAAATTAATACTATTTTCCTAACGGTATTAATAATAATAATAAATAAAATAAAACTAAAGATTTAAATAGTATTTAATTTAATAGTAAGATTAAAGTAAAATAATCTTATAAGTATCTATAAAACCTCTTTTTATTTATTAATATAAATAAGATTATACTTATTATCTATAGGAATAGGCCGTTTAATAGTAATAATATTATAATATATTAAACTATTATTAATATTTTATTTATAGTTAAATATCTAATTAATTACTTTTATAATTACTTTATTATTAAAAAGTAAATAAATAATAAATTATACTTAATTTAGAGTTTACTTACCTATTAGAACTAATTAATAGATCTTATAAAATAAGATATAAAGGAAGGTAAAGCCTTATTTTAGTAATATATATAGATAGATATAGAAAGGTAGATATATAAGCCGGCTATAATTAAATATCTAATTTAAATTCGGTAGTATTATAAAGTCTTTTAGCTATATAATAATAAACTTTAAACTTTTAGTCTTAATTTAAAATAGCTAAAAATAAATATATAATCCCGGTTAAGATACCTTTATTATCTATTATTTATAATATATATTAAGATCTATGTTGTTATATCTATTTTTTACTTAGTTTAGTAGTAAGATTTACTATTTTAAAAAGATATAGTTAAATATTCTATATTACTTTATTCCTTAAACCCTATTATTATTTTATAAACTTAAGTAAATAATTACCTTTTACTATAAAAATTAGCTATATATATAATTATTTATATCTCTTTATTTTATATATATAATAAAGGTATAATATATAATATTATTAATAATAATATATAGGGTAGGCTAAGTATAGACTAGTTTTTATAGGGATGCCTTTTTATTATTTAAAAATTTATAAATAAGTCTACTTCCCCTACCTACTTAATAAGAGTATATATAAATAGTATTAACTTTTACTATTCTAATTATCTCTTTATAAAAGACGCCGACCTTAATAATAATTATATAGATAGATAATTACCGATATTAATACTACTATATATAATATATCTTTATTATATTTATAATCCTTTATGGTTATATAGAAAAGTAAAGCCTACTAGTTTCCTTTCTAAGGAAGCGTTTTATTACTATCTTATAATTATATTATATAATATATACTAAGATATTATAATATAAAATAGGAAAGGAAAGATAATAATTATATAACTTACCTTTATTATAAATTAATAACTTTAGTTTTTATACCCTAAGGTATAAAAATATAATATAATAATACTTCTCTAAAAAGACTTAACTTACTAAACGTTAATTTATACCTTAAGGTTTAAAATTAAGGGCCCCCTTTTCTATATAATACCCTTTTAGTTTATACCCTAGGGTTAAAAACTTCTAGTTTTACTTACTTTACGTAATTATCTAAAGCTATTTACTTTTTACCTTAGGGTATAAATATAGAGTTACCTAGAATATTATCTCCCTCTTCTTTTCTCCTTTTAATATTATATATATATATAATAATATATATATATAGACTTTATTTACTTTTCCTTCCTTTATAGGTATAGGCCTTATTTAACCCTACCTATATAGTATTAAATTCTCTAAGCTATTTCTAGCCCACTTCTAGCCCATTTCTAGCCCATTTCTAACCTACCTTTTACTCTACTTTTTAACCTATTCCTAACCCCTACCTATACCTAACCCTAACCTCAGGCTACTAGCCTCTTCAAGTCATACTAAAGTTATCTCTCGTAGTAGTCGTTATAGATTAAATACGGAGAAGCTTGCATCATCCCAAGCCGTTTAACGTAGCATGTCGAGCACATCTCTTCTCGCGGCATTTTCGTGTAGTCAGAGACGCTTATAAACTTGCTGATAACATCTGTAACATACCTTGTTAGTGAGAGGCAAAACGTAGATATATCAGGGATGCCATACCATTGCAGTACTGTCCAGAACTATCCTTCAGGCATGTCTCGTTGTAACCTGCCCACATATAACCAGCCCAGAGCATGGGAACAGCGCCACCAAGTGTGTATCCCCGACAGGCCAGCTCCACGGTATTGAACCAGCTACGCAAACTCTCCCCACAGCCTGCATCACATATCAAGTCGGTCTTACTTTTGCTTTCGAGCGACCCTCGATACTTTGGTTGGGTGAAGTCCGACACGTCCCAGTCACACAAGACACGTTGTGTGAGGGCTGTCTGGCAGTTTTCCGGAACATCAAACTCAATAACATCATCGGGCTGGTGGATGAGGAAACGTGGAAACGCTCTTTTCCCTGCTACCTCCTTCGAACCTTGTAGCCATGCAAGAATAGACGACAGAAAGCCATTGACGTTATCGCGAGCATATGTAGGGGTGCTATTTCGAGGAGACACCATTTCAATAATGGCTTTGGTGCATAGGTTATAGACCCAGAGATCATAGCTCTCCTCAACCTCAAATCCTTTCGTCTGGCAGTTTTGTGTTTTGACACACCCTTGTTTGTAGTTATAGAACCAGCTATATAGACCAGTTCCTAGGATGTAGACGGCAGTAGAATCCAGAATGCGGACCGCCAACGACATGCGGCAGCGGTCGTCCTTGCATTCCTTGAAAGTAGGATCGTTGGCGAAGAGACCAACGCTTGCTTCAAAGGGCTTAGGTGCTTGGGGAGTTGGCTGATAATAAGGCGTCTCAGTCTGTATCATGCCCATGAGAATTTTACTGGCTTTGGAAAGCTGATACTGATAAAAGACACAGTGCTCTGAAGCTGTACCACTAAGGTAGGCTAGATCGCTTTCGATCAACATGCCTCGGGCGACATAGACATCGACCTGATCTCTGTTTTTTCTATCAAGGTCATGATCAGCAACCCAGTTCCACGCATTCTCTAGATTAGCGCTTGAGCCAGGTGTAAGGTGAAAAAGTGTCGATGCCGCTTTGCACTTGGGATTGACGGAGCCAGATAACTTGGGGCAGTTGGTGTACTGCAAGTCAGAGCCTGCAGCATCGCCAACGCGGATGTGAGAGTCTAGAGAAGAAGGATAGGGTTAGCAAAAGCTTTGAGCACTGATAGTGTGAACGTACCCCATAGACCCACTGAGCCTTGCGTGGCTTCCCTGGCATTCCATTCGACTATAACCGCTCCAGCTGTAGCTCCATTGACTGTGAATATTAATAGTAACTATTTAATATATAAGATTAATAGGAAATAATATAGAAAAGACTATAAAATTATTATAAATAGTATAATTATAAAGAAAATATCTATTTAAAAGATTAATTATAAAATAAGACTATTACTAATCGATTCTAGGGACTAGAATTATAAAAAGGGAGGTAATTATAAGAATATTAAAGACCTACCTAAGGTATTATCTTAGCTAAGGACCGGAGACTAGTTAGCCCAATCCGGTCTGCTGAAAGGATTATTATATACAGAGCCTTCGGCGAGGATATTATAAACTAAAGTCTATTAATATAATCAGACCTATTTACTCTCTAGAGTCACCCTGACTTATTAACCTCTTATATTAAAATAGGTTATAGCTAAAAAGTTTTTAGTAAATAGGGTAAAATCTAGCTTTAGGGTAGTTAATATAAAATAATAACTTCTAGAAATTCATAGTGAAATTTAGCTACCCTATAGATATTACTAGTAATCTATACTTCTTATTATAGAGGTCTGGTTTTCTCCAACTAATAGATATCTAGAGACTATGTCTTAATACTTACCAATCAGTATAATTAACCTATGATACCGCTCACGACTAGTGTTTTACACTGTCTATCTATATGAATAGTGAAGTTTAACATTTTATACATTTCCTTAATGTGCACAATCTGAACTCTCTCTTTCTAAATTTTAATATTTATCTAATATTTATACAGACCTGATATTACAATGAGCTGAACATCTTTATATACCATGGATTATAGTTACCGGCCTTATTCAATGTCAGATAAGGGTAAACCATTTAGCAAGATATCTCTAAAAGACTTCTTAAAAACATAAAATTACCTTATCGCCGGTAAATATCTCATTTAGAAATGTATCTTAACCCGCGCTACTCTGTTTCTACTAAGACCTATTTTAATACGAAGGAGGATAGTCTATTGCGTGCTCTTAAAAGAAGGCACACTTTGTTTATCGGCGGAGTAGTTATGCTCAGCCCTGCGGCGTTGATTCAGCTACCCTGCGGGCGGGATATTAAGGATGTGGCGCCCATAAAATGCCCGATGGTGACCCGGCTTCCATACTTTAGTGGTGTAATCACCGCTAGACGAGAGTGGCTTAGCCTGAGTCTAACTAGCTGGTAGGCGTTTTTACGGGCGGGTGTTTCATCGGCAGGCGCGGGCTAGTAAATCGCCATGGTTAATTAAGCGTATAGATAAGATTAAATTAAACTAATTAATGCAAATACTACACTAACATCTGCAATGACGATGTGCCATACACGATTGAGGCTGAGTAGAATCCTCCGGATCTCCACGATAATCTTAAAACGGCCGATCATTGTCGGGAATGGTTACCCAGTCGTTAAATGCTTATCTAAACGATCCGTCCATGCCAAGACATTCATTGCAATAAAGACCATGATTTTACAGTTACAGGATTCATTAAGGGATAATTAGCAGGTTACAGTGACCGTCATTGCGTCCTGTAAGCCGTGCCATAGGTCTCAAAAATAATATAAAGCATTCATCTGATCTCGAAGAATTACCATCATTCATCCACCCACTCATTCCTTCATTCAGTCGTTCATTAAACACACTTTTTTGCTTTCCACCATGAAGTCGACCACCACTCTTTTGGCCCTCGCGGCTGCCGCTCATGCTTCTCCTCTTGTAATGAGACAAGATGAGAACCAGAACACCCATGTATGGGACAACGTCGATGCCATGTGCAAAGACAAAGCATGGCTTCTTGACACACCTGAAGGAGCTGCTCAGGTCTGGAAGGATACTGCCGCTGACAATGAGCTCGACGTTCAGATACTTACGCAATGGGGTACGCCTCAGCCCCTGTGATGCACTATTGGTGTACAAACTGACATTTAACAGAGCACGAGGTCAACTGGGCCAGGAGTCTCGAAAACAAGGTCACTGGTGGTGTCAGTGGAGATTTTACACTTACTGACTGCGGTGTTACCGGAACTCCCTGAAATCCTTCGGGCGGTATGAACTGTGAAGATATGTACAACAAGTACGGCACAGACAAGGACGGCAACGAGAACATTACTGGAAAGACCGCCTACTGGATCTTCAAGGCTGTCAGGGGCCTTCAGGTCAAGTTTACAATGCTCCAGGATAAACTCCGTGACGCGACCATAGTGACTGGGTTCTCTATCGACAGCATGGTCTCTGACTTTGGGGGTGACCAAAAAGGCACGGAGGATGTCCTTAAGTGGATGTCTGCTGCCCTCGGACTGGGCCAGACTATCGCTGGTCTTGCCCCTGGTGCTGTATGTATCCTCTCAGCGCCTCGCAAAATGAATGCTAACTGGGATAGGGAACCGCTTTCGAGACTGCTTCTGGTATTTTAGGTGGTGTCTTCGACATCGTCGCTGAGGAGGTAAAGCCCGAAGAAATCGACACGGCTGATATCTCCGCTGCTCTGGTTAGCATCTTTAAGAAGACCAGCGACAGGATCGACGACATCCTCAGACTTGCTATCGGCAATACCGAGAACATCGAGGACTTTAACCGTCTCCCCGACCCCACGGGCGGCGACCCTTGGTACAAATCACGAGTTACCAAGTTCTTCAGTACCGGCTGGTTCCTCCTCGCAAACGACGGCGAAGTCGTCCAATCTGCAATTGGCTCTATAAACCAAAGAGTCATGCCCAAGATCGCCAGTAACGTCATGAAATCCGCCAACATCCGCCTCGTAGCCGATAAGCGCGCTAAGGACCGTGAGGCTTGTGGTTATACCACCGGTCGCCAGTGGATGCCTCTTAGGGACGGCGAGGAGTACTGCTTTTACGTTATGCGTTTCTACCCCCAGAGCGGCCGTGGCGGAAATTGGGCCGAGGCTACTGAGGATGTGTACGAGAATATGGCCAAGTATAACCTTGGAAACCGGGAGCCTTTCTACCGTGGCATCCTCGACTGTGCTCTTAGTGAGAATAAGGATCTTCAGTTGGACAACTTGGGTTTCGACCGAATTTCTGTTTGCTTCTTTGACTTGGAGGCTCATTTCATTGACGGAAATGACGACCCTAAGTGCAATAACCCCGCTGTCAACGCGGTTTGCGACCGTCTCAAGACTGAGCCCATCCAGGCTTGATTTTCTTACACAGTATTATCTTACTTCTTATGTATACTTAGTTCCGTTATTTAAAGGCCGCTTTTTCTATCAATAGAACCTGATCTCTTTAAATATAGGAATTCTATACTTTATATTCTACGCTATGTATTAAAAGATTCTAAAAGTAATTATACTCTTGCAAGAAGCCAGTAGAGAACCCGATGGGTGAATGGAAAAACGTCAAAGCTTTCGAATTGGGACTCCCTGTCCGAGAAGGCTGGGTACTAAAGGTCCTGACCCAATGTCGAGAGAGAGTAAGATTTCCGGGTTGAAAATAGAACTGAGGGGGAACACTCAACAGCCCATATCGGCGACCATGTCCTGAATCTGCGGCTGAAGTAAATGGTGCGGTAAACATCATTTTCTCTCGTTGCTTTATGGTCAATTAATCTCGATTAGGCTCGGAAAAAGGAAGCAATAGTCAAATTCAAGTCGCGCGCGCTGGTCAGAATTTGCCCCCAATCTTAGCAATGCAATTGATACTGACAGTACAGTCACGGGGGACCATATCGCTGACCACAGAAATAATATCGGCAAATCAGCTAACATGCCACCTTGAGTATATGAACTCTGCCTGATGTTTTAGGATGCTTTGACGAGGCTCTAGGACAGTGCACACGCGGTCCCGTAGCAGTGCACTTTGGATGAGTTACTACTCGCCAGAGGACATGGTCACTACGCTTCTCAGGCTCGAACCAAGACGCGCGGTCAGTCCTGCAAAGGCATGCAGAGTAATAAATACTACCACACTCAATATGAATAGAATAAATATAAGAAGCGAAGCAGTCTCTACACATTTATATTACTATAAGCACTTTCCTTTTCCTAGAGTTTCTATCTACCTATACAGTAGTAATCATTTAAAATCAGACGTACTATACTACCATTCGAGGAAATACCTATCTAGTCTATTGCCGAACATATTGGTAGGCTTCCACTTTCTCCCACGATCTAGGCCAGTACTTAACCTCCAAAACCTCGTCCGAGTTCGCCCGCCGTATAGTCAGCTGATTCATGGCCCCATACTTGGCGCTAAGCGTCCATAAGGAAATGCTCTTCAAGATCTCGTCTCCATTTCTAACGCCCGCTTTCTCAGCTCGGCTTCCTGGTTTCAACCCGGCGACAACTCTACTGGATAGTGATATGGGCTCAAACCCAAGCTCAACCATCTCCAGATCATCTCTCACCAGCCTCATTGGTGGGTCCATGGTTGTCGCGTTTGGAATCTGGAGCGCTCCCTGAGTCATCTGCTCGTAGTCCTGTATTGCCTCGCAGCCAAGCTCTGATAGAACAAGTTTGCGCCATTCATCGATGCCATATGCGAGTCCTTTCCTTTTGTTCATGATGAGATGTGTAACGAGGTCGTCGACCGAGCGTCGACCTCCTGCGGCCTCACGAATTTGGCCATCGAGCTTTTGCAGGTAGGCAAAGCCCCTGGCATAAATCATCATCTGATAGCTCGGCAGCTCCCATGCCTTTCGCCGCGCCTCACTATTCGGCACACGAACCGCTGGATTTGTATAGTATCCCGCGAGGAACACATTCAAGGCTTCTCTGTACCATTCGGCATCTTTAAGGCCAAACTTGTACGGAAGGTATGCAGCGTATAGATCTGCGACCCCTATGAGGCCTTGTTAGCAGATGACTGGGGGCCTCATGAAATTATGAGCGTACCTTCTGTGAACCACGAACCCTCTTCATTCTCTTCATCTGCACCTTCTTCATCCGCTGCCTTTCCCATCGATGGCCAATTGTGAACCATCTCATGAGTAAGCAGAAGTGTCAGATCTGTCTCGGTGCGCTCGTCAATTTGATCATCATATTCCATCATGTAGCTTCGGGTGAATTCCGTCCCTCCAAAGCCCTTTGCCGGCAGCGTATTGCGAACGAAAATACGATATGGGTTCTTGGCTGACATCGGGTCTTTCCAAAACTTGGACATGGCCAAGAATGTTAATTGAGAGTAGTTCAACGTCGCAACGATATTAGAGGGAAGTTCGCCAAGCCAATAGACGTTGAAGAAGTCATTAGGCTGATGGTTACAACTGTTCAATGGCCCCACACTGAGAAGGGTGGACCATAAACGAGCTACAGAGCCAGTATTTGTAACAGGTCGTGGGCCTTCACCAAATGTCCAAACAGCCCTTGTATCTGGAGGTGTTTCACTCAAATTCCATTGTACGGTCATTTCCCACGTCTGTTTGGAGGCATCGGGAAATGCTGGCATAGGCAAGATCGTGATTCCACTGCCATGTAATCCACCTCTTTCATATCTCAGATCCGTTCGAGCTGCGACCTTGGTGTACTCGTCAACTTTGCGAGGCACGGCCGTAAAGGCCATTGAGACTTTGCCTTCGGTCGGCCTGGTAATATACCAGGTACGTCGTGGAAATAAGTAGGTGTTGTCGTCATCTTTCGTGAATGTCGGTAGTGGTCCTTTCTCGTCTACAAAGCTGATGGACTCATTGGTATAGGGTTGAGCAGGTACAGTCTCGCGCTTGGTGTCAATAACAAGAATCGCTTCATTGGTCTGCAAAAGAGGTACGTCCATCGCCATTTGAATCTTGAGGCGTGCATGTTCTTGGCCGTTAGGGACATTACCTATGAGACTAGGGGTGAAACACACGTCGATACGTGGAAGACTCTGAGGCTGCTGGGCCACAGGCATTGCGTTGTATACTTGGGCTGGAAGAAGCTGCAGTTGAAGGGCGAATTTGCGGAGTTTTGAAAGCATTGCAATGATAAGTCGCAGAAGCGCTAACGACTACGCAGACTATAAGTAATTTCGCAGGACAAATACAGTGGTCGCAGGGACTGCTTTTTATAAAGGGCTTTTTCTGCTGAAGAGCGAGAGACGGCTGGCTTATGGGCCCTGGTAGATACCCCGGTGGAATAGATGCATGTGTCGCTTGAATTGCCCCTTTCGGCAATCCTGGCGAAGACGATAAGGTGTGTCGCTTGAGTTTCCGAAAGAAGCAATCTTAGCGAACGCGATAAATTAGCACTAGAGCACGCTAGAGCACCCCACTCGGTACAATTCTCAGCTCAGAAAAGAGAAATTTAAAGACCCTGGAACTCAAACTGTGGCTCGTTATTATATTTCAGCCGTATCCAAGTTGCCTTCGTCATTTCAGGTGCTGCTCAATATCGCGAAGGCGTTACTTGCACAGCTCATTGACCGGAATGTGTCAAGATATGCGCTGATCAAATAGTCGCATACAAATTCCTCACATTATATTCTCTAGTCACAGTAAAGCAATTCTAATTCACATGATGGAAAAGATCGCTATCTAGACGACCAATTCTCACGCACCTCGTATATCCAATACAGCGCTTTGAAGTCGCGCTGTTTGGCGGTCGCGGAAGTAGACAACACTGCGCTCGACTGTAGTCTGAGAATCGGGTGAATCATAGGATCCGTCACCATATGTCAAGCAACAAAATACATCACGACCAGCAAGTCTTTCTGCTCTCAAGCCAAAGATCATGGACAAGCTTACTCCTGTCGATAGGCCGCTGTTACCTTCCGTCTGTACTCGTCCGATATTCTTGAGCCATTGTAGAATCCAATCATCAATCCGGAGGTCCGTGTTTCTGCATACAGCTTCAAAAAGCAGATCGATCACGTCGATCATGAAAGGGCTTTTCCAATGGTTTGTGGAATTCATGCCACAGATGACGCGAAGAAAAAGAAGCAGCCACGGGCTTGAGGAACTATCTTGCTCATGATCGATAACTGTTGCAGATGTGGCTTCCTCTAAAACCTTCGGATCACAGAGTAGATTTGCCAGCGCATAGTAGGCATAAGCCAGAGCTGCATCATGAGAAGAAAAGTGCAAAGGATAGACGGTAAAGGATATGCTTGGCTTGTGGCTAGGCCTGAGCATTGCCGGGATAAATTTATCGATCGGTGCTCTCGCCAATGGGAGCTCATCGTGCCAAGCTGCAAGCTTAAGAGCAACCGCTTCTAGCTCCTGTCTATAGTCTTGATCGGGAACTCTGTCTTTCGATTGCCAATCTTCAGTGGGTTCAGAAACGCCCAAGCGCCTGTAGTAGTGCTCCAGACATCTCGACGCCAGAGGATCGTCTCCGCCTCGGCCAAAAAACCGCTCCATTAAGACCATCAAACTGAGCCGGCGAGCTTCTATGAGTAGCATCAGAGCTTGCTGAGTACCATCATTTGCTAGTGCCGTCTCAACGAGGCCAAGCATGGTTGACGATAGCCTTGCATGGGAGAAGCTGCCCACTCCGAAAGGGTTTCGTTTCCACTAGGTAAAGAGCCGTAAAGAAGTCCATGCATCTATCAGATCCATCCCTAGCATGGATTTGAACAGGGACTCATTGGCCCCAAGGATGGATTTCTCAATGCCCGACATGTGGAAACATAATCCCTGGAAAGTGCCAGACTGAATCTCAAGATAGGCGAATGATATGAACGTGACTATAAGCTGGAGCTCGTGTCCGTTCATACCCCCACGGCTTTCTTGCATGACCCACTCGATGGCTTTCGAATAGTAATGACGATGAGCAGACCGTCTGAGCCCTTTTAATCCCGATCGTGAGTCCGTGGGTGACGGAGCAGATGGAGTGCCATAGCCTTCATCGAACCAATGCCGTACGGATAGAGCTAAAATTGCAGATCTTAATCCTTCGCATGTTTCCGATAGGCTCTGCAGGCGTTGAAAGACTGACGGCAGATGTTGGAGCACATTAGCCTCCCAGTGACGCCAGAAAAAGTCGTCCTCATTGTCTCCCAATGGGAATCGGCTATCTTCATCTTCAGCAGAACAAGATGTGCCTTTTTCCGGGGCTTGTGACCATAGCGCTTCATAGAGGTAGCCTGGTTCAGGGATTGGTAGTGACTCCTCCCTACGGTCATGATTTGTGGACACGATGCATCCATCGGAGGCTTGTCTCGGAGTCTGCGTCTGCAAAATCGTATCGGTACGTGGGTCACGGCCGAGGAGGTCGTGCAAACCTGCGTAATTTATCTGAGAGGCAAACGTTCCAATGTCGAGTTCTACCACGGACTGAGCGAAGAATGGGGAGCTCTGGGCGTTCGAACTCTGCTGAGAGCTAGAATTTCGATCTTGGATTCCATTGTGCGTGTTTGGCAGAAAGCTTGTACATGAATCGGGCGGAGATGTAGAAAAGGACTCGTTCGTAACCTGATTCTCGTCTGCGTCTGATCCGACAATATGCCTAGGAGATAAAGCGTCACGAGGACTTGTCTGCAACCTTCCTCGTCTGTGCTTAGTTAAGGTATACGACGGATTTGTTGTGCTATGATGGAAGCGGAAAAGTGACATATACCCCTCGCAATCGATCTTCCGACGTTGACATTCATTACATTTTGGTTTACCCTCATCGCACTCAAGTCACGAGTCAGTATTTTGCATCCTATGACACCAGGGTCTAAGTACCTTGACCTTACGCCTTCTACAAGTGAGACACCCAGTATGAGCGCGTCGAGGCATTAATAATCGTCTCGAGAAGTTTGTAAGAGGAGCGAAGAACAGTGGCACCAATATTTTAAGTTATAGGTAACCTGCAATTAGGTAACAAATAAATAGCCGCAGACCCCAACCTGATTTTTTTAACTAGCCTAGGTCGAGTGCTGACTAAGGCGTATTAGGCCAGTGTGATATACTACGATCAGCAATCGAGCGTTTTGAACATTGGAGTAGAGGGCTTTATAGCGGACACGGGGTATGTTGCATGCGCTTGGATATCCGGCCACAGTCTCACGATGGTCTGTATCTAATGCATGTTAATGGGCTTGGGTGGGTTTACGGTGCCACAAGGTGTTAGTGCAACTGTTACTTCTGTAGGGATGTATATAAGATGGAAGCTCAAGGGAGAAGAGAAGGAGCCTAGATTTGCGGTTTCTACCGCCACAAAACTGCCTGCGATGAATTCTTTGCTTGTTTCCAGCTAACTGCTCACCTATATATCCTATGCTGAGCCACCGAGCCCGACCAGTAAAAGTCATCATCGAGTAACGGGATGCTCACACCATACATGTCCTTAACCCTGTAACGCCTGGAAACTTTGAACGGTGCATTATTCCACATCTCAGTATTATCTTGCTTCCAGGGCAAATGAACATCAAACCGCTCCAAATGTCCCATTGCAACCAGCGGGGCAAGCAAGTCTCTCTCCCTTCCTACAAACTGTGCTCTCCCATCACCGGAAAGCCAGACTACAATCCGTAACGTCCATAGATGCGATGATTCGACAAGCTCAGAGCAGACTTTGTTCCATAGTGTTTCGGTTTCGGGCGGTGGGACGTCCAGTGTAATATCCCAGGCTTGAGGGTGGCTGTCGTAGTACTGACTCACACCGGCATATAGATGCCATCCGACTTCGATATGTTGCATGGAAGCAATGTGCTGTTCGGGAAGCATAGTGTCCAGCAATGTAAGTGCTGACTTAGAGCTGGCTTGACCGAAGCCGAAGCAGAAGGTGTTGCAGGAATAGAGGTATGAGATGGACTCTATGTAGCTAAGATATAAAGTCAATTCTTCTCCTTCCTTGAGCTAGGGGGTGTGCGTACGCTGCACGACAAACCAGCGGGATTTTGAGCAGTCCTCTCTGCGGCAACCACTGATAATTTTCTGATTCGAACATAGACTGTCTAAGTCTGCCACGATGCACAGTGAGGTGAACCTTGTGATGTCCCATGGTAAGGCGCCAGATCTGCATGCGCACCTCCACCGGTAATCTGCTAAACAGAAATGATTCCGATTGTGCCTGGTAACGTAAGCCGATGACAGGGAGCTTTTCTTCTAGGGATTGCGTATAAGGCACACTCCAGTCGCGGGGGTCGAATACGGGCTTTGGCAATGCCGCGTTATATATGTGCGTCTCGGGATGCAGCTTTCTGTGCATCTCCTCAATCTCGCGTGGCGTAAGAGGTTCCTTCGGGAGCTTGTCGCCGCGATACTTGTACTTGGTATCGGTGCTCCTTCCAAATAATCGATTTAGAAAGTCCATGGCAGTGTAGTGGTATAGAATAGTCCTTAATATGAACTGGGTTAGGAAGAGGCTTTGTCACCCCGGCGTGGTTTGTAATTAAGGTATGAGGATATTGGGTCGTCTGTTCTTATATTGTCACTACACGTTGGCGACATTCAGGTAATCGAGGAAGAAAAAGATGATGGCGCCACCATGCTTTACGACAATGTGTTAGAAACCGTGACGGGCGGCCTTAGACCTTGGAAGGTGTAATTATACCTAATGATGCAGGAGACAAAAGCATACCTCTAATCTCAACAGCTGAAAGCCTTGGGCTGATTGGAGGCCCGCGCTAATCTCGGCTTCGGCACGGTAGCGTCAGATTATAGTTCCGCGCCTCGGATCCTCATTCCGCCCTGGGTCGGTACAGAGCACTACCCAGTAGTCCTTACCAAGTTGTAGTCCCATGACATCTCAAGCTTGACCTGCACGTAATAAACGTGCCTTGCATGGTGCAACGAGTAGAGAAAAAGCCTTGAGAGCTAAGTTCTGTCTACGAGGCTTAGTTTGGGCGGCGTCATACGTGGCATTTAGTCTGGGAGATAAGATAAGATATCGCAATTATATAGCGCCCTACGAGATGTTCTTGTTTCTGAAAGGATTTATAGAGCTCGTTCCCTATAGGTACTTGTTAAGTATCCCTTCCTCTTCGGCATTCTATATATCGCGGAACTATCCACCTTAAAACTTAGCGCCAAAAGGGCCAATAACAGTAATCGAGACTCCTGACAGACCCCTCAGTTCATCAACTTCGTCTGCCCATTTACCATCAAGCAATTCCGGAGATTCCAACACAACATCACATAAACCTTTGACATGCGCCAGATACTGCCCAAGTTCGCCCTTTCTCAAAGCAGCACCCTTGAAGCGCAGCTATCTCAAACACTTGTTTCGTGCTCCGGCAAGAACTTTAATTAGACTTTGTGAACCTAGTGCGAATTATGAAAATGCGATGGTAAGGTGTTCGATATTAGGAGCCTGTAGGAGCCTGGAGGAAGGTTAACAGAAAGTCAAATGCAATATTCTCCACATCCTCTTGACAAGTGAAATACCAACCTGTTCCTCTCTTCTTCCCGGCTGTGTCGGAGGTGAGCGTTTGTAAGTTCTGGAGCAATTCGATAAATAAACCTCGCTCCAAGGAGGATATTGATAGTTGCGCGTATGTCCAAGGCCTAGAGCACTGGACTTTCACTTCCCGCAAGGCTATGGCTGCTCGGTATATTTCGACTGATAGCTTGTGTAAGAACTCGGTTGGTCGTTCAAAATCAAGATTTGTGTACGGAAGTGAAGCATCGGACCAGGTATGAGGTTCCAGCATCAAAGCTCGCAGGAAAGTGCGGTAGTCTCGGTCGACGAGGTAGGCATCAGTCTTATAATAGGGATCCTGGCCATCGGTAATTTTCAAATTATCCGCATATGGCATTTATGCCATGGCGGATACGATGCTGGAGAGGAGAACACCATTCTCTCGCATTTGTTACTGCGCTTTGAATAAACATCGATATTCACGATGGGATTCTCTGAGGATATTTCGATACTTGATACATTTGTATGAGTCCAATTTTAGGTCATCTGGATCTTCGGTGTAAATGGACTCCCGGGCGGATATTATCTTCTCGCCCAGTTCAGGCACCTCAACATTGATCCAAGCAGGCACCTCGTATGATGGCCTCAGCGGGAAGTCTGGAGACTTGATTGAAGCCTTTAAATGACTGAGATGGCGACCCATATCGTAGATGTGGGAATACGCGAAGTGAATGAGCTTGTCCGCCATGTAACGATCGTAGTGCATTAGCTTGACGTGGAGCCTGCGCACTCCAAATCCGATCAATTGGTGACTAAAGACATTCTTTAAGCGCTCCAGGAACGCCTCGTCATCACGACTCTTATTTCGGGGATGAGCAGCGGCGAGGACAATTGACAGAAACATCGACACGTCTAGTGCCAACATCCGGTTCTTCAGTCAGTTAGACAACTATGGTATTATTACAACAAAACCCGGATTTCAATACTCAAGATCACAAAATAAAGCTTATTTATTCAATAACCTACTATAGAACCCAAGTCTGTAACATTACTACCACCTAGAAGTAGAGAAAGGAATCTCTAAACAGCGAAATCTCTTAATGTTATAAAAGAAACAACAAGCAATCCTGTCGGGTTCAGACAGCCATGTTCGGCTCGAAGAATCGGAAGTAACCTAATCTGTTACTTGGAACTGTAATTAATTGCGTATTCCCTGACTTGTGATCGAAAGTGTTAATTTCGGCAAGTGTTTCATGTAGAGCAATTGTACGACAGAGAGCCCGAGATAAATTATTTAGCTCGTACTTTAAAATGTCTATCTATTGAGCTTACTCTCTAGTCGAGTCTTGTACTAAGCTTTCGTATCAATTTTAAAGTTTGTCTTGCCCACTAATGGCCGCTTCTGAGCTCACGGTCTTTCTACTGATGGAATTGCGGTGGCGCTTAAGCCTCGGCTAGATTCCATGTCGCAAACTAGACCTAATTCTGAAAAGCGAGCGAAGAGAGTCTCTTTGTAAAAAAGTACAAATACTTGTTTTATATAAAAGATCTTACTATTTTAATAAAATCTAGAAAAGTAACCTCCACTAAACAAGCTAACCTTTACATTTCATATGATTATAAAGTAACACTACTTCTCCTTTGCCTCTTTTACATTACCATCACTATAATGTAGCGGCCTGAAACTTCCAAACTTAAAGCACATATTATCCAGGTCGTTTTCCTTCCTCATCTTAGACATATACCACTGGATCCAGTACATCTGCTCATGCTCTCTTAGATAGCGACTTCCATGAAAGCTCTGCAAGACCACTTCACGCGAAAGCAGTCCTAGCTTCCGCCTATCGCTTGCCTTCTCATAGAAACGACTGGTTAACCACTTGACGTGTTCTGGCAAAATCTCATCTGGTAACACTGGGGGTTTCTCCTGGTCATCCCCAGTAAACTTTGACCATGGTCCGACCATACTTAGCATACTTAACTGAGCACGTGCAAGTGCCATGGGATTATTCGGGGGCACGACCTCTCCGTATTGCTGCTCTGGGTTCTTGGGATCTGTAAGAACCAACGCAGTCGCTCCTACCTCTGTCGCAACGATCGGTACGCCTGCCAGAGCTGCCTCGCCGATGGCCAGCGGAAGACCTTCGGACATGGAAGAGTTCATGAACAGCCATGCATCTTGGAGGACAACTTTTGGATCGCCGAATCCGGCCAACACGACCTTGCCAAACAAGCCAGACTCTATTATAAGCTTTTCCATCTCGATGCAGTAGCTAGGCTGTCGGTCCTTAGCGCCATAGACAATGAGCTGGTAATCCTCGAAGCCGAGTTGGTTGATGATTATGTTGGCAGCTTGAATGGCGATCTTGACGCCTTTGATAAACTGTACATTAGAAAGCATCACCACTGTAGGTCTTTCGGTGCGGACCTTTTCCGCTGGTGTGAAGCGATCCATGTCGCTGATGCCGTTGACAATAGGGTCGACCTTTCGCTTGAATAACTTCCTGCTGCCAACCGAGCCGCCATCTGTGCCCATCTCGATCTCCCACATGCTGGTGAATTATTAGTAAATGCTTTTTAAATGGAACTTGAACACTTACGGGTTGAAGACAGATGCGCAAGGCATGATGACGTCGGCGTGGAAGTAGGCAAGACGAGATGCCATGTTGATGCCAGCAAGCAACATAGACTGCACAGACAGTGGGAGCTCGCATTGTGCCGGGCTAATGTTCAAACATGTCTCGCGCCAATAGATGGCATGATCCCAAATACCAAAGGTGACATCTTGTTTGCATTGCAAAACCATGCCGTACAAACTACTTATACCATGATGAGTGCTCTGGAAAACACGAGGGCAATCGTTTGGTACTTGAACGGCGTAGATGAACAAATATGCCATAAAAATACCCATTGCATCTTGAAAGTCAGACATGCTAGGCTGTTCCATCTTGAAACACTCTGAGGCGCTGGTGATATTGGGGTCGTTGTAGGGAATCAACCATGCTTTCATCCAAGCTTGTTGGAATTGGCTGGACCTCCACGTAGTGCCATAATCCTTGCTTTCGAAGAACTTGCCCATTGATAACATGACGTTACTATACTTAACGAGATCCGCTCGGGAGTACCGTTTTGTCCTGGCACCTTTCACAAATTCTGTGAGAAGAGGGACGAAGGTGCCTACAACATCGGCCTGGAGATCAGTCCCTGCGATCTTTTCATCGACGGTTGACTCGAGCAAGTTGTTGATAACACCATGGTTAGCCGTGTTGCCATCAAGACCCCAGAGAGGAAGAAGTTTCATAGACTGCACGTTCTTCTCGACTTGGAAACGGGGTATGCCGAAGTCATTTGCGCATTCGGCAAGCACGTGGTTCCGAATTGTGCTGTGCCCGTTGACAAGATCGCGTCGACAATTAGATACACCACCGGGAGAGATGGGCCAACAGCCGATGTCGTTGAAAATCACCGAGATGCGGCTTTCCGTATCATTGTAGCAGTTCTGCGGCTGTGTAGTGATAGGATTCGCGTCGTTTCCAAGACCCATGGCATAAAGATCAGCGGTCTTGATGGCAAGCAGACTGATCTCAGCTACATCCGTCTCCATGCCAATCGCTGAAACAATCTGGTCAATATCTTCATCGAGTGCCTGACAGGCCTTGTCCAACTGTCCGCTGTCTCTAGCTCGCCAGTACTTTCGGAGTGATGGTTCCTCGCGGAGGATAACCTCGTCAACCCAGCAAGCCGTAGAAGCGTTGAGATTGTTGTTTCTCTTCCAGTGATTCCATAGTTCTGTTCGCACGCGCCAAGTTGGCACACTTTTGTATACACGCCTGTTCCATTGCGCGATCCAGAAGACGGGATTAAAGTAGGTCGACCATGTAGGTGCATTGCTCGCTCTGCGTCGCAGCTGCTTGATTTGGGTAACGCTGTAGTGATATAGAATATCTTCAGAGTCGAAGGACAAGTTGTCAGGTCGCTTTAGAAGCTCTTCTTCGACCTCAAATATTTGTGGCCGCTTGGCAATCGCGGTTTTGGTGCCGTCATCGCTCTGCATATATGTAACGATCGTAGGGTCACGACGATGTTGGTAGTCATACTCAGTAACATACACCTTTCCATCTATATGTTGGACGATACGATGGATGAATTTGGATGGCACCCAGTCGTAGCGTTCTGGATCAACCGGCTTGCCCCAGAAGACGGATAGCGAGTTTCCGCTTGGAGAGCGCATCGAGGTGTAATCGGCACGGAGTAAGTCGGCGTTACCCTTGGGCCTGTTGCGATAATGGTATTGGAAACCAATGTTCTCAGTGGTGGTCGAAATGGTTCCCCTGGCAACTCTTCCGTACTGATCATAGTATCCAAAGGTAAGGATATTATCCCTCGTGGCCTCAATGATGACGGGTTGACGAGACATTGTGTTCTCGGCATAAGTGTAGGTAGCAGTACGTGAGTGGCCCTGCTCAACTCTAGTTTGGAGACGACTATGCTGATCATAGGTTGTAAAGAATGCGGGAGATTGTCCTTGTGGGCCTTCCTTCAGTAACCCCTTGTGGAAAGTGAGAGTCATATAGCTATCGTCTCCTTGCGATACAAATCCAGTCAGAGTTTCTCGTGGTTGTTCAACGACAACGGCTCCTCTGTTGAGTTTGATCTTGCGTCGCTCTCCCTTCTTGGCGAGACGAGCAATGTTGACAAGAGCAGGCTTGTTGTATATGATAAGCCAGTAGATCCAAAAGTTTGCCATCAAACGGCAAGCCTTCCATGTAAGGAGAGCAAGCCAAAGTAGCAAGCCCCTGAGAGGGACATCACTCAAGAGGTACGATAGTTCCCTCTCAATACTGGAACCACCACCAGAGATAATCGCAGTCCATTTGACCACTGATGAAGAAGTTACTTTCAGCCACCTGAGAGCAGTGCGTAACGAAGGTTTCTTTTGAGTAGACAAGGGAGTGGCAACACGAAGCTCCGAGAAAAGGGCTGGCTTCTCGAGCCATCTTGGAGGTTGGGAAATTCTTCTAAGGTTCTCCTCACACTGGCAATGTATGTGTAGTGTGAGACCAAGTTGAAAGTCGACGTTTTGAATATCAATGCCCTGCTCGGCTACCCATTCGCCGACTTGGATCGACATAGATTGCTGGTTTCCAGAAACACGATTGAGTATCATCTCCCGGACAGTTTGTGGAATACTCTCCCACTTGGAATTTACCTCAATGTTGAGACAGAGAAGCTCCATCACTTTCACTTCTGTCTGCAAAGCAAGACAACTCAAGCTCGCATGGTCCTGTGACGCCAGCTCCATCTGATAGCGCTTGCTGAGAGACTCTGTATCGTGGACGAAATGCTCGGCCTGTACTGCTTGTGCGGAGGACAAACTCAGTTCTGACCGCGCCACGTGGTGTAGCAAGGCTTCACATGCCACAACAGAGACTGTGGGCTCCCAGGCAGGCAATGTGCAATCAGTCTCGCCCAAAAGACCAATAACAACATGCAGAACTCCAGACTTGGAGTAGCTGAATGAAGATACCTTGTCGAGGCCGTTTTGATAGAAAGATTCGCTAGTAGATGTCGTCAGGGTGACCTTTTGGGTCTGCCACATATCCTCTGCTCTGTGAAGAAGTCTAACCGACCACTGGGTAGCGTGAGTATGATAGTTTGGATCTCGTACGCTGTTCTGCAAAAGCTCTCCGAGTTTGTCGGCCCCTCTGGACCCGTCACCGTATTGTATCGTGCGAGTTGCAACAACATTGTGAGCAATAGTTGCGGAGACTTTGATGTCCTCAGTACAGTCAACAGTGATCTTCTTTTGAACAATGATGCGTTTGTTATCATCGTGATCTTGAGTAGACGCCACAACGTTAGTCCTGGTCTCGACTTCCCATGCAAACCAGGATGTCCCAATAGCAGCTAGAAGAGCAGCCAGATTCTGCGCGAGGACGTCCGTATACAGAAACCCCGCAGTTGCTGGGATAGCATGAAGAAGGCAGCCAACTATAAAGCCCACTGCAGCTGAAGCCATCATCACGGTGATGTGAGAGCTAATGTTGGTGGTAAAGCAGCGGTTGAACTGGAAGACAATTGCGCTCGAGTAGCCGAACACATACATGAAGTAGATAATGATAGTCTCCGAACTCTCCACGAAAAGCCAAAGGAGGATAGTGGTGCAACCAAAAAAGACTGTCAATTTCGAAAAGACATCTGCGGCGGCCTTGACGATTAGTCCTCGACGTCGGCTTTCGTCCTGTCTTTCAATGCGCTCAGCATCTTCAAGTCCTGACATCTTCTCGTGGGAGACATCGTAACGATGACTCCAGTACTTTTGGAGCGTTGCGTCGAGAATCATAGCAGACAAACAAAAGTAGACGATGGCCAGCCAGATACCGTACCTACTGCGGCTGTCCGTGTATATGCTGGGATATGGCTGTCGAGCACTCATGGCCATCATTATCCAGCGGTCCATCAGGGCAATGAGGAATAGACCGAGGTTCTGACCGATGTCATGTCGCGCGAGGCGGAATAAAATAAAAGAATTGTGCTGTTTGAGTCCACGTCTTAATTGTTGTTGTTGGTTGATAGCTTCGTCAAGCTGGGTGAACCATGCAGTTGTGAACTTTGGAGGAGGTGCTTTGCCGGCAGACGTCTTTTTGAGGAGCCACTCAATAAAAGACATTCCCTCGGACACGCGACGAACCAAAGGGTCAGACATAAAACCCGATACCTTTGCTTCCTGGGTATGACGGATGTAAGCAGTAACTGCAGCTGCGAATGCCTTCTGGGACATCTCACTATCCGGTGTCTTTTCCGAATCCCCGTTCGAGACTTTTTTCTCGTCAACAGCCCTCATTGAGTACCATTCCGAGACGTCTTTGCTGGTAAACTTGGGGATGTTATCCATCCAGCCCGACCACTCTTGACATAATCGTCGGTAACGCCACAACACGATCAACAAGAAGGTGTACATGATAAGGAGATATATCTCCAAGTCATGGCCGTTGACAAAGGTTGATATGAGTGGGGAGAGCAGGAGGATAGGTAGGGTCTGCAGAATGACCTTTCGGCCAGACGACAAAGGTGATTCATGCAGATGCATCGTGCTCATAACACCCAGGATGTTACAGTATGTAGCGATACATACGATATAAGCGACAAAGACAAAACCTGCGCTGACGGATCTTTGCAGAGAGAAGGCAACAAGGCCACAGAGTGCGATGACAAGCGTCAGCACGAAACCACCCGACAGTCTCTGAACATGAAAGTAAATCATGTTGTCGTATGCATAATGTGCCATGTAATAATGCCCCACGCTACCGACCCATCCCGTGACACCAGCTGTCAGCAGCATCGATGCTAAGAGAGCATACCCAGCGACCTCGAGATGGTCGGGGTCCATAAATGCTGTCATGAAGCAGCCACGACCAATGAAGGTGAGCATGGTTACGTCGACAATTGCAGGGAGGCAAAAGATTGACATGGCGCCTGCATCAGCGAATTTCTTCTTCCAGAGCTTCAGTTTCTCATGGCTTGTCAGCGTAACATTACCAGCAGAGACCTTGCTGGCTGGTGGAGTCTCGTCAGAGGTTGGGTACATGGTCATGATCTCGTTGCCTCTTCTGTAGTCTGCAGGTGGAGGATCAACTTGGAGAAAAAGATTGTAACGGGAATAGATGACGCTTCCAATATCGCGGGGGTAGAGGTCGAAGTAGATCTCACACTGGGATCCCAAAACCCAGAGTTCAGAGAAGACGGCGGCTTGATCTGGCTGAGAGAGGAAGAGAGGACATCTGTCTGTGGTTTCCATGTACACGTCTTCGAATGCCGCCCTGCGTAACACAGTGAATACTATAAGAGCAAAGAGATCGGCGTTGATGTCCACGGAAAGACGTCCATGCTGAGACTTGGAAGTGCCGAAAGATGACTGTAAAGTCTGCATGAGCTGTCTCAGTACACGATTGTCCCCAAGCAGAAATGCTTCGTCAACAAGGTGCCTAGTTAACTCGTGCAAACGACAGAGGTTCTCCAGGCTGGGCAATCTCTTGTAACCCAGGGTTACAAGGTACTGGAGTCGCTGCTCCAACAGTTGCCGCATACTCAACGAGTCATCAAGAGCAGCTAGAGCACAGCTCCGCCTCCATGCTCCACGTGTCGTTTCATCGATGAGCATTGTGCGGCAAAGATCCTTGATGGCATCAAGGATGGTGTTGCTAGCTTGCGTGTTTCCGAGTCTCTGTGTGAGGCTGAGAAGTTCCGCATAAGTTGCCTCATGGATGGATTCTCGGATAGTGGCAGGGACTCGGTTGCTGTCTTGACCACCGTTGGCTTGCTCGAGTTGACTTTCTTCCTCGAACCGCTCTGCGCGAGAAACACCTTTGCAAGCCAGCCAGGTATGTAAGACCACGGCCGCGTCGGAAGGAGAAGAGAGAGAAATGTATATCTCGGTGAGTTGTGCGCCTTGGATATCCTTTGAAACACCCCAGAAGCTTACGTCCGCACGAGGTACTCGAAAGCCAGTTTTGAGACCCTTATAGACTTGAATGCGTCTGGTCAGCAGCCCGCAGACAAGCTCTTTAACGATACTCGTTATAGGGGAATTTCCCTCTCTGTGACTGATCAAGCATCTCAGTGACTCTAACAGGCGCTGCTCATCGGGGCCCTCGAGTACTTGCAGCATACCGAGCTCCTTTAGATGGGTCTGGGTCCGTACGACGGCATCAAAATGCTCTCTAGTCGGCTCAGAGGTAAGTGGGAAGCAGCCAAGTGACGAAAGCGGTGTGTTTCTATTGCCATAGTCCCAAACGTTACTTCTTGTTGGGATTCTTTGTGAAAGGTTTGGCAGACCATCAACAGCTAAGCATCCATCCCAGATAGAACCAGGACCCGAAATAGTATCAGAATGTGAGAGAAGCTCTGTAGCTTCGGGGATGATGGAACCGAGGACAGCCAACGAGAGCGGCAGAATGTTGGAGTCATTGGGACCATTCGAGAAACATATCTTGCGTTCTCCAGATGTCCAACATTTCTGCAACTATTAAATGTTAGTAAAAGTTCTGTGAGCTGAGATAATCGACTTCTTACTTCAACCATCTCGGCGCGTCGTAGATACTCAAAGGCACTCATGGTCTTGCTCGCGCTCTCCAAAGAGGATGCCTTGCCACTCGCAGTCGGAGCAATAGGGCCATGCTCTATGACTGCATCAAAATGTTGGGCTATCTTGGCAGCACGTCGAACAACAGATGGCATGGGCTGCGTCTCCCAACGGTCTAGAAACCCAACAAAGAAGTCCGGTCGCTTGTCTCGTTGCAGGGTGCATCTAGCCATTGTATCTCTAAGTCTTCGCGCCTTGAAGTAGTCGCGTCGCTGACCGTTGGAAAGTATGCACGCATTTTCCACGATAAGACCTGAGGCGATCGACAGGTCGACATCGTCAATAGCCTCGCAGTCGTGTTGACAGACAAGGATCACAGGCACTTCGATACTCGCAAGGTAAGCCAGCAGGTAATTGGTTCGGTCTGCTTGCTGAGTAGAAGTGCACTCGAGAGCAAATCCTGCCCAGTCGTTCAAAGTCTGGGCCAGAGCTAACGAATGTGATGCTTCAGTCAGTTGAAGATCTTGGAGCTCATAGTCCTCCATGCGGATGTGGGCGAGTGTCAGTTTTGCCGGGATCTCGTTCAAGACTGTCCGATATGAGCTTATGGAGTGGGAGTCCCCAGGTATATTGGAAACGCCTTCGCCCATACTTGCAGGGATGATAACAAGATCATATCCTCTAGACGGCGCTTGAGTTTCAGAGCCTTCCGAGTCAGAAACAACACAAAATGACTTTGTGGATCGGAATGAAGAGGTCCTAGGTCTTTTTACCAAGGTCCTGCTCAAAGTGGAGGCATCGCCATCGTGATACCGGGAAAGGCGCGCGCCTTTCTTGATGGGCTGTATAAGAGCCTTCTCGTCATCATTTGATCTGGCAGTTGGGCTGAAGTGAGATGGATGTAAGTAAAGAGGCTTGTGCCCGGACGATAAAATGACATACCTGGTGGATCGTAATTGTTTTCTTAGTAGATATGAAAATCGTTTTTGAAATACAACGTGTATTAAGTATAGAGTAGAAGGAACTACGATGCAAGTAGCACCAAGAACCAGGATGACTAGTTGATACAAGTTCCCGAACCTGGATGCCGAGGGAAGAATGCTATTGCAGTACACCTGAAAGCCCGAAGAGCCCTCACAGTCTTCTAGGACGGGGTCCTGTAGTCCAGGCTGAAAGAATGAAGCCATGGCGTAACGCTGAGGATTAGGATGTGTGCACTGTTTCCCCTTTTTTGAAAATTTGTATAAATCTTTTCGACTGGAAGGAAATAAAGTTTGGTTTGTGTACAATGTTACTAATTTCGAGTAGGAGATTCAAGATAGTAAAAGAAAAAGGCAAGAGTATTGAAGATGAAGACAAAGTGAAAGAGTGTGTAGGATCAAACAAGCAACTGTGAGTGAATACCGCTGATAGGAACGAGCGGATAAGAAAGTAAACGACGAGAAAGGAATCAAAAAGGAGGCCGCCAAGTAAAGCTCGTACAACACGGTAGAGTGAGGAAGCGAGATCTGAGAAAAGATCAAACTTTGATACATACACCAAACAAAGATTCAGCTGATTGCGTGTGTGAAAACAAGGCAATCGATTAGACTAGACTAATTTAGCAACGTCACTAAAACGGAAGCAATTTCGGAATATTTCTGATTTTACGGATACAGTGGGTGTTTGAAAATTAAAGCAAAAGTGCCGGTGATAGTTTGCGTCAGTGAGCGATCAGTAACTTTAACGTGATCGTATTGGGTGGAACTGCATTCGCCGAGGGCTCCACCGACTGAGTAGCAGACGCCACCAAATGTTCTAGAGCACAGAGAGGTAAGCACCGTTTTTTGGGATACCGTCGGATCTCCGGTGAAACGCCAAGATGCTCTATAATGTTTAACGCCACTTTGTTTGACCCCACGACCGATCACCCACAGTTGCTTTTACTCCTGGAACTTTTCAGCTGTCCCTGACAAGAACTCAGTTGTGGGTTGGTAGACGGTGCCGGGTTGACAGTTACCTGAACACGAAAGGCTTCAGGTACGGCATTGCGTCTCAGGGGTAGGTACATACTCTACGGAGTACTAGGTAGTTAGTTTCTTTTGGCGGGTCTATCGACCACTGTTGGATCCATTCTCTGCTACGGTAGCTGTTAAAATGAAATCGAAGAGTCTACCTGAGCACGGATGACAAGTCTCCAGGCCTCCGGCTGGTACCTTGGTTAGTGATTGTACGATCCGTCTATGTTAACTGAACAAACTAAGAGGCAGGAAGAATTTGATTGTCCGATGCAGGAAGTGTAGGAGTTTTGAATAAGTAGACACTTCTAGTAAAGGTCATACAGTCCGCGGATTGATATAAATGCCCCATCACCTCGTGTGATTCTTTGTTAGTCGGCACATCAGCTTACATTTTCTCTGCATCACACATAATGTCCCGTCTCTCAAGTTCGCGGTCTTCGTCGACATTGTCGCTCAACTCATCCTTTTCCTCCTCTATTACTACCCCAGATTCAGATTCTGGAATAATAGCGTCGTCAGTCCGAAACCATGTTTCTCCCTTGAATTCCAGTGACAGTTTCATCCTCGTTACTGGCGGTCTTGGTTTCATAGGATCACATACCTCTGTTGAGCTTCTCAAAGCTGGATACAACGTCATCATTGTCGATGATCTCAGCAATAGCTATCACAATGTCCTTGGCAAGATCAACACCCTTGCAGCAAAGTACTGCGCCCAACAGGGACTCAAACTCCCAACACTGCACTTCCACAAGCTCGACTATCAGAGCAAAGCCATGAGATTTCTCTTGGAGTCCTACTCAACGCTTGTACCGACCTTCTCTGAAAGCTCAGGAGAGCTTATCAAGATTCAGTCCAAGATCTCTGGCGTCATTCACTTTGCTGCCTTCAAGTCTGTGAGCGAGTCTATCGAGAAACCGTTCCAGTACTATCGCAACAATGTTTGTGGGCTCGTCGACTTTGTCGAACTCCTTGGCAAGCATAACATTCACAAGTTTGTCTTTTCCTCTTCAGCTACTGTCTACGGATCCAAGGCCGCAAAGGGCGAGCGTCTGAGAGAAGAAGAGGTTGTACATCACGACACCCTCTATGTCGATGAGTTCAATAATGAAACTCTAGCGGAGCCATCGGTCTCTGGACTGACATCGCCGTATGGACGCTCCAAGTACTTTTGCGAAGCTATCTTGGCGGACATTGCACACGCAGACCCTTCCTGGCGTATTGTTGCTCTAAGATACTTTAACCCGATTGGGTGCGACCCGTCGGGACTACTTGGAGAAGATCCGAAGGGTATCCCAACAAACCTCTTCCCTGTCATTGCACAGGTGCTGACGGGTTCCCGATCGGAGCTTGATATCTTTGGCACAGACTGGAATACTAGAGACGGTACGGCGATTCGAGACTTCATCCACGTCGCGGACCTGGCCCGTGGGCATGTTGCAGCTCTTAGCTCAGATATCGAGTCACCGTTTCGCACCTTTAATCTTGGCACGGGCAATGGGACCACAGTTGCCGAGGCTGTCAAGAGCTTGGAGGGGGCATCTTTGCAAAATATTGCCGCCAAGCTAGCACCGCGGAGAATAGGGGACGTCGGCTTCTGCGTGGCGGCCAACGACCGTGCGAAGAAGGAGCTTGGCTGGACAGCGAAGGAGACTATTCAGCAGTGTGCAAAGGATTTGTGGAACTACGTTAACCGACCACAAACTGGACTGTCTTTTTCATAGAGAAAAGGTCCATTACACGGCCTGTGTTGATAGTGCAAGGCGTAGTGGGCAACATGAAAAACGGACAAGTAAGGACTTGATTTGCTTTGATTGTCAATAGTCGTAACGAATTTCCTTTCCTTTTCTTTCCAATTTTGTAATTCGGCTGTAAATAATGATGAGCTCGATACACTAAAAAAAAGAACTAATAATAAATGTAAGAGTATTGCTCTGACGATTTAACGAACTATTTTATTTACCTCTTGGCATTTGTCGGTGACGTAAGCGTGGACTTGTCAATTTCTACTTACACAAGTTACTTCAATTCGATCAATACGAGGCCAAATAAAATTATGTTTCAGAATGAAATACGCGTAAGACATTGAAGAAAATTTAACTCGATGTGGTTCAGGTGGACGTTGAATGGTCGAGCATGTTGCGGCTTAACCGTGAGTCAGTGCGGTGGAGTGTGACGTACTGCGTCTGATCTCTGGACTTTTTATAGTGGACCCCTGTCTAGATCGATTAGCCCCTGTTCCGATCAATTGCGGCGTCTGCCATACGTACATACGTACGTAGCGTCCGTCAGGTGGCATTAGTTTCAGCTCTGAGACTACTGCACGGCACTTGGCGACACCACACACTAACCATCATTGTTCTAGGCTCATGGATCTCATAATTACAAATACAGCAGCAGGTTTTTCCGAATCAGTTGAGCACCTTGGACTAGTCCAATATAGTACGTTATAAAGTGCATTAGGTGGGAGAAAAAGGAAACGGCTCGACACGTCCAAAGCTGTTTTATTTCTCCATCCACCGTTCCTTTCTTGACCTCTTCCGAGAGTTATCCCTGAATCATATCTCAATTGTATCTATGCCACTCACATCATTCGTCCGGTTAAACCGGGCTTTTCGTCATTGGACAACTCCAAGTCCAAGTCCTTCCACAACACATCACACCATAACCCCCAATGACCCTGCTCTGACCTTGCAGAAGCCCCATTTGGTTGTCCCTCTCTACATCTATCCTTCCCCTGGTGCTTGGGAGCCACTTTTTCAGGCGGCCCGCGATAGCCCCAGCGTCTCTTTCATCGTCGTTGTCAACCCCTGCAACGGTCCTGGCGTCGAGGCACTGCCTGACTCTAATTACCGGAACGTTCTGGCCCAACTCAGCACTTTCCCCAATATCCAAGTCCTTGGTTACGTGTACTGCAGTTACGGCACTCGTCCCATATCAGATGTCCAAAAGGATGTCTCTGTCTACTCAGGCTGGAATTCACAATTCAAAATGAACGGCATCTTTTTTGATGAGGTCCCTTCCACTGAGGGGGACCTTGGTCTGATGACAAGCCTGTCCCATTTTTCAAGGTCGATCTGGAACCAAAGCACCGGGCAGTCCGGGATCTTGGTTTACAACCCCGGTGTTGCCGTAGGCGAAGGGTTCTACCGAGGTGTCGATCTGGTGGTTGCGTTTGAGCAATCAGAGCACCAGTGGCAAAGTTGGTACCTGCATCAGAATAACCCCATTCATCTGCGAAACAAAAATGTTGCTATCGTTCATTCGTGTTCAGGAGATGCCAAGGTCTTGGCACACGAGATGGTCAAGATGGGCTTTGGTGGCTTGTACTTGACCGAGCAATCCGGTGGAGGGTACACACAGTGGCCTAAAAGCTGGTTGGATGTTGTTAAAGTTCTGGATCAGGTCTTGATTACTAGTCAGGAACAAAAGAACTAGATGGCCAACATCTTTCTCGAATTTGTTAATAACAGGGACCTAAAAGAAGCAGAAGTAACTACATTAAGAAATAGATTTTGTCTTTACAGTAATTTACTATGCTGGTGAATAATCAATTTGAGTGATTGTTCACTTATTAATACGCTACCCTACATGGAAGAATTAACTTCGTTTAGAAACTGCTGTAGAATGACCCATTTAAATTCTCCTTAAGTCCAGCGTGTAAAATTAGTCTACACCCATTAATCCACTATTCAAAGCCACTACCGTTGACACCGGTACCAACAGAAGGCAGCCCGCCAAGATTTCGAAAACAATGTTCCTTGCACTAAGAAGACCCATACGTCTTCCCATCACAATACTCCACCCATGGATCCAAATTCATCTTCTTAATGACAGTGCTGAAGCCTTTACTGCCATCGGCCTTCCCTTTGCCCGAGCATATCCCGCCCACTGTCTTGGTGGATATTCTACCAGGAGCCCCTTTAGGATATTCAATATGGAACACAGGTTTACCGTGATCGATGAATGGTGCAAATGTGTCGCACTCAGAGTATTCAACGCATTGCTCGTTAACACTGAAGTGCACGTCTGAGATGACTTCAGATATCACGCTTCCGGCGTTCTTGAGTCCTGTGGACATGTTAAACGATGCTGCTGTTTCTGAGAGGAACTTGACAAAGTTCACAGTGTCGTTCTGCGTGAGCTTGAGGCCGTTGTTGTTTTGCTGTAAGGCTATGTTAGTAACATAAAAAACGGACTGATCGACGATCTCTATGAGGAATTGAAACTTACAAACCCATCAACATTGTCCGGATCGATAGCATCGCAACCCTTCTTTGCTGCCATTTCGATGCGCTTTTTCATAATAGAACGCACATTCGGGCTGGATACATTCAGCCATCGCTCGCCTGGCCAGCCATCGAGCGGTTTGCCGAGGTCGGCCTCATGGAAATCTTTCTTGTCATCACGCCAATTCTCATAAGAACCAGCACTGAAGTAGCAAATAACCTTCTTGCCAAGCTTCTTAAGCGCAGCAAAGGTAGAAGCATCGTTATCGTAGAGATCCAGGTCAAAGATTTCAACGTCAGGCTCAATCTTGGTGTCGGTGTGGACCTCAATCGGCTTGAGAAGAATGATCTGCCATGATGCACCTACTTCAGGTTGCCAGAGAGAGGTGTGGTTGGGGGTATTTCCGGGGGTATCACCGCTGGAATCGTCGTTGTTTCCATCATCATCAGTGTCGTCATTGGATCCGCCTTTTGATCTGGAAAGGCCAACACCAAGCCCAACGCTGAGCGGGATGACGATGATGAGGATAATGCCAGCCAAAACCAGCTTCTTCCAGAGCGGCCAAGTCCCAAGTTTCTTGCCCATAGCACTGGATTTCATTTTTTTCGGGAATGATAAATCGCCACCACGTGAAGACAACAGTACAGGAGGAGACATGATACGTAGACGAGGGTGCTGACGATATAATAAAGCAAAAAGACCAACCATACGCTCCGTAAAGGCAAATCAGTCAAAGTCTCAGCTGCTCTGAAGTGAAACAAAATTAATCCTAGATCCACATTTGTCGGTATGGCTACCGATGGGGCAGTGAGACGCTTACTTTGCAATTGAAAATCAATACCCTCTGTGCGCTCGTACCTGATATCTGGGCCCGAGCAAACTTAGCAAATCATTTCAGGGGTTAAAATGGTCAGTAAGTCTCCTCCATAGGGGCAGTTGGGAAAGTGAAGACTCGGTGTAGTGGATAGAAAATGCCAAGGAAAAAAACATGAACATTTTGATTCCTAATCATGGCTATTTCCGTGTCACTCCATAGCTTGAGCAGTCTCGAACACCGAGTACCTGAGGGCGAGTCTAGATGAGTCATGGTCTTGAATTAGCTCGACGCGGCGCCGATCTTTGAGACACAACTACGCTAACGGCTAGTGACAGTCCATATGCAGGGGCTCCCAGTCTAAGCTGAAGATCGTGGCTGGGATGATCCATTTTTTATGGTTCTGACAATTTGCACCCGTTGACCGAGGCTTCGGGAGTAACTAAGTAAACCTGAGACTTTAATCCAGCGGATAACCCAGTAAAGGAGCTGATTAGTCCAGCTCGATGTTGGCCGAATTAACCACGACATTCTAGTACGGTAAACCAATCTACCAACCTATTTGTGGTATTCAGGTACAGGTAAGCCGAGGAAGCCACAACTAACGGTCTAGCCTTATGAGTGACTGGAGTTCAGCTGGGGTGGTTCGGAGGTCCGATGAACACAAGTAACGGCAAAGACTGCTAGAAGTAATTGTCTCTTCTCGATATATTAGTTGTATCCAGATCGTCTCCTCCCCTGGTTGTCTCGCCATCACCGTCTTTCTTTGTCCCTCTTTCTTGAGCTTTCCTTCGTTATCCAGTCCTTCCTTTGACCCCTTGGGCAACTTTCTTTGTATACACTCGTTTAAGCAGTCATTCCTTTGACTTTGACCATAATGCGTCTCAGAAGTATCCTCACCAGCGCCCTTGCCGTGACTGGCACTGAGGCTCTTTTCTTCTTTCCTGGTTTTCGTCTACCATTCCCGATTCCCTTCGTTACTACCAAGCCTTCGACCCTCAAGCCAGCCCCTGTACCGGCTAGCACAAAGGCTCTCCCACCAGTTGTTGCTCCATCGTCTACTACAACCGCTACATCAGTTGTAGTCATCAAACCTACCACCACATCTACCACCTCCACGACTTCGACTACATCAACCACCTCTCTCTCTTCTGTCATTTCTATCTACACTACTACAACCTCTACTTCTGTCTCGTCCACTTCCACTACCACCTCCAGCGTCCCTGCTGTATCTGACTTGTCAACCGCCATCACTGTTGATAGCACCATTCTTATTCTGGGAAAGGATGACTACGCGTGCGACTCAGCGGCGTCGGGCCTCCAAGGCTACGGCATCCCTTACGAGAAGGTCTTGGTTCCACAGGAAGGCTTTGTGATGCCAACACTCAACAGCACATCCAGCAAGGGCAAATACGGTGCCATTATTCTCGTTGATGCTGCCTCATACCTGTATGCTTCTGGCTGGGCTAGTGCCATTACCCAACAGATGTGGGATCAGATCTTTGAGTACCAGCTGCATTTCAACGCACGGCTTGTACGTATTAACGAGTACCCCAGCACCCAGTTTGGTAAGTATTTTTGAGTGTTTCTGTCATATCATGGCGACTTACACGCTATTAGGTGTTGCTCCTGCGGGTGACGGCTGCTGTTCGGATCAAGACGGTGTTGATCCCCAATTTGTCAGTCTCACCGACACTTCGCAGTTCCCTTCAGCCAACTTGAAGACGTAAGTGACATCAGCTTGACTTGATGAACTATACTGATATAAAGTGCAGAGATGCCGGTCTCTCTACCAAGGGCATCTATCATTACCCTGCCACCATCACCGACCCTACCATCGCCAAACAAATTGCCAAATTTGGTCCTGGTGGTGGCTACACCTCTGATACCGTTGCTGGTGTCATCAACACTTTCACCGATGGCCGCGAGCAGCTCGTTTGGTTCCTTGGTTGGGCTCCTGACTGGTCCCAGACCACTGCTTTCCTTCAACATGCTCATATTCACTGGATGACCCGCGGTGTCTTCCTTGGCAAGCGCAAGGTCCACCTCAATGCTCAGATTGATGACGTTCAGCTGTCTACTGGTCTCTACTACTCCGTGTCGGGCGAGAAGGAGTTCAAGATCCGAACTTCTGATCTCGAAGCTCACGTTGACTGGCAGTACAGTATCAACGCCCGTCTCCCTCAAGGTTCCGACTTTTGGCTGGAATTTGCCCACAACGGTAACGGCGATATAATCCAAGCCGTTTCCGGATCTGACTCTGGTAGTGTTTGCAACCCAAACGCAGCGGTTGATTATGAGTCTCCTCCCGACACGCCACTGGAATTTGTCAAGCCTCTTGGTACAGGCACCAACAAGTGGTCTGACCAGTTCGTTTACGGAAACTACCCTTGGTCTCAACCTTGTGCCAAGCTAGACGACTTTGCTTCTTGGTTCTTGAACAAAGACAACCTCAACCACTTCGCCCACCTTTCCCACACTTTCACACATCTAGAGCTGAACAACGCCACCTACAAGGATGCCAGTCGCGAGATTGACTTTAATCGCGCGTGGATGAAGCAGATGGGTATTGATCAGGCTGCCCGTTATTCACCCAACGGTCTGGTACCCCCTGCTATCACAGGTCTTCACAACGGCGATGTTATTCAAGCATGGTTGGATAACAAGATCACTTTTGTTGTTGGTGACAACACTCGACCTGTCCTGATAAACCAGCAAAACACTTTCTGGCCTTTGATCAGCACAGTTGAAAAGAACGGTTACAATGGCCTAGTCATTATTCCCCGATATGCCACTACTATCTACTACAATTGTGATACTGCAGAATGCACTACCAAGGAGTGGATTGATACCTCTGGCGGAAAGGGCGATTTCAATGACCTGATTGCCCAAGCCAGGATCGAGAATTCTCGCCACTTGCTCGGTCTTCATGCCGATCCATACATGTTTCACCAGGCCAACATGCGAGTTGTTGATATGCCCGAAAGAACTGTCGGTAACTACACAGGCAAGATGTCTCTGGTCACCACTTGGGTTGAGACTGTGACCCAGGAGCTGATGCGTCTGACCAACTGGCCCATCACATCTATCAAGCATGATGAAATTGCTCAGTATTTCCTCGACCGCAAGACATTGGACGCATGTAACCCCCGGCTTTCGTATGGATTTTCAGCCGACAGAAAGAGCATTACCTACGTCACCCTGTCGGCTGACAGCAACTCTTGTTCTGTGCCTGTCCCTGTAACTATTCCAGGTGGGGCCTCTGTATCTGGTGCTGTATCTCGAATCGACAATCTGGGTTCTGAACCGACTATTCACTGGGTGAAGTTGACTGGCTCTCCTGTTAAGCTAATGCTAAAAACTGGAATTACATTGAGTTTGTAATTGATGTGCAAATGGCTTGTATATAGAACGAGTAGTAAAGTGGTAACATAGTCAGCTGTTTAGACTTCTTATTTCTACCTGATTTAATTAATTGATTATGTAACTAAAGCGTCTTTAAATTACATGGATTACATGTATTATTTATTACATTTAGTAGTATTACCGCATTTTAGGATTATAGTAACCGAACAAGAGTTATCCAGTATAAAAGCCGGTAAACTTAAGAAACTGCACAGCCCTGACCTGGTATTAATGAGCTGTGAATTACAGGCGTTATTAGAAGCTAAGACGAGAGATAAATGCATTTTTTTACTCTAGCCTGCACATTTATTAAGCCTAGGCTTTCTAAACCCCCTAAAGATATTAATAATAAGAGGAATATATATTACTGCCGCGTGTAGGGTTAGGAAATACAAAATTACATTTTAACAAGTAATTAAGTAATAGATCTGTAACACGGTAGATACCTTAATATATTTAACATGAAAATAAATCTTACTTAACTATAGGTCTAGTACATTATAGTTTGTACTAGTCTTATTATTAAAGCAGGTAGTAATATAGCCTAATCTTCGGTGTTATATATTATTAATATTATTTACAATTATAAATATTACTAATAGAGAACTAGTACTTTATAGGTTTCTTTAAGCAGTAAACATTCCCTATTCGAATAGATATATAGAATTCTACTATAATATCCTTCCACTCATGCACTGTATTAGCCTTGGGTAGTAGTATTCCAAGTTTTACTCATTCCTGGCTGTACATTTACAACACTCTTTATATTTTTCTCCAAGAATTACAATAAGCATTCTAGAACAAGCCATTAGAATGAAGTAGGGCAATACAAATAACACCCTCAGCATCTTCTCTCAATTTGGGTGCAACATTGCAAAAGGCCACAACCCAGTTCATAGTCCACTAGCCTTGTCTACACAGCAGTAGAGCGAATATATTCCCTGTACCTGTAAATTTTTTATCTGAACGGGCCACGCATGACTTCCAAAATCTGACCGTAGCAGTGGTAACATAATACCAATGCCCTCTGCCGATTGTCTGTCGATCTTTGCCAGTTCCTCCAACGGAAATTCCTCCTGGGTACTAAGTCATACACTTCGTGGCCTTGGAACACACAACAGGCCGGTCTGGAAGTCGTGCTGAGCTTATCAGACCCGAGATGTTCAAATGGAGTCTGTTCAAGGTCCGTCTTGGGATATGGCTTGGCGGATTGGGGGATTACCCTTCATAATCAATTTTGCACTATAACTTTACAGAACCTATTTATATAGACTGGCTATCTTGCTAGGACTTCCAAGCGAGCCAATATCATCCTATTTGTACAACTACCTATGCAATGTTTTAATCATGCCTGAGGTAGCTATAGTAGGTATGTAACAGTTTTAATAATTTCCTCTAATCTATATTTAATATAAGTTATATAAATTAGTAAAAACTCTTTTTAATTTATACAATTTTATATAATATACTTCCAATATTATATAAAGATTTTCTAAATTTCATAGATTTATTCTAATTTATTCTAATCTAACTATCTCTTATTAGCTTGTTATCGGAACTTTTGCACGGAACTGTACCTTGTATATTAGCTGGACCTTCCCGCCTGAAGCACCTTAGTCCGTGATTACACACATGCAATACGCGCACATCCCTCTTAACATAATGCCACAGTGAAACGTGAACCTGCTGAGCTGCGCACACCTGTGCTCAAAAATAAGCAGCTTACCAAATCTGGTAATTCTGATTATCCTCTAGACCAAACTGGAGCAGCCTATCACAGTATGCTCAGCTAATAGTCCATCAGCACTAAGCCCCTCAGCTCTGGTCGGCACGTTACCTAATTCAGTAATTTGGATGATCCAGAAGTCTAGCCTCGAAACAAACTATTGGAGATTTCGAATTTCTGAGGTTATATGCCTGGTGCAAAGCCTCAATTGAAACATGAATGAATGCGCCTTTATTGCAGATGTGAATCTTAATTGGCTCTTGTATGCAGTGTTACTGCGCCTCGCGACAGGGCCGTAATCTTTTTGCTTACCTCAATTTTAATTTGTGGTATTGTTGATTAGACTATCAAACAGCGAGTGAATTGAAGCTGAATTTCATCAAGTATATAATACTAGACCTGGCGTCATGTCTTGTTTTCCATCACACAATCATCACTTACTTTTCCAGCAACTGTCATCCCTTCCTCGGAGATCCCCAAGCCTTTTTGCCTTTTAGTGCAATCTTTCTTGCAAATGAATCAGACCATGAATGCTATGGATGTGGTAGATGGTCGGCATTCTTCTGATAACGAACACCTACCATGCCTCAGGTCTAATGCTGTATCCTCTGGGGGACATAACCTGTCACCCACCGATCCCGATAGCCCAATGAGCTGGCCGTTTCTCAAAAAGGCTTACGTTTCCGCAACTTCTTTTTTATTTGTATTCGTCATGTAAGGACCACTCAAATCAATTATCTGCTTGTTCCAGACTAACTTGACAGCATGTACGGAACTACCACATACACAGCAGCAATTAGTGCCATTCCCGCCGCCTTTGGCGTTTCACAGCGTGTCGCTGTTCTAGGCTTCACTTTGCCCTTCTTTGGAGTCTTTTTCGCACCAATCTATACTCCGCACCTTTCTGAACGATACGGCCGCCGACCCATCTACTTTACCAGTTTTCCCCTCTTCTGTCTCTGTGTCGTGGTTATTGGCCTTGCAACCAACATCTCAACGTTGCTTGCTTTTCGTTTTCTTGCTGGTCTATTTGGTGGTCCTTGTGTAGTCCTGATTGAGGGTACTTTCGCAGATGTCTGGCCTGCCCACAAGACGGTGACATACTATTCCTTCCTTACTCTTGCTTCCTACCTTGGAGCCGCTTCGGGTATGTGTGACTCCCACCTGTTTCGAACTGTACTCATATCTATTACCACAGGCCCTATCATTGGCGGCTTCGTCTTTGTGGCCAAAGGACCCGCTTGGCTGTCATGGACGACTCTGATGTTTGCTACCGCAGCTCTTGCATTTGGGTCTTTCATGCCTGAAACCTACGGTCGTGAGATCCTTAGGACTCGCATACGCTACAACAGGAGTGGTATCATACTGCCGTGTGCTCAAAGCGGTGTCACGCTTGGTGAAATGACACACATTACTCTTCTTACGCCACTCAAGATGCTTTTCACTGAGCCCTTGGTCATCCTCATCTCACTCTATCTCGGTCTGAACTTCGCAGTTGTGTTTCAATGGTTCATCTCTGTACCCGCCGCATTAGGTATAACCTACGGGTTCGACGTAAAGCAGGCAGGTCTGGCATTCCTCTCCGCCATTGCTGGGGTAGTTCTGGCACTTATCTCGTCAAGCCTGTTAGAATCTTTACTTTCCAATCAGGCGAAGCATGGTATGAACTACCTAGAGCGACGTCTTTTTCCAGCTATGTTTGGGTCAATTTTAGTGGCTGGCTCTCTATTTTGGGTCGCGTTCACAGCAACGCCCAGCATTCATTATCTGGCTCCTGTTTGCGGTACAGCTGTTTACGTGTGGGGCAATGCAATGGTGCTAATCTCATTTATCTCTTACCTTTTCGATGCGTATCCTCCAGCTGGAACACTATCCGCACTTACCACTGCGGCGTGTTTCCGACTGACATGCGCAGGGGTGGTACCGATATTCATTCTTGACATATTGGACAACTTGGGCGGAGCTTGGACCTTTAGTCTGTTTGGGATCATTTCTGGCATCATGGCCACCTTTCCTTTCACTCTCTATTGGTTCGGCCCTCATTGGCGCTCATCGAGCAAGTATGGTGCGCGTTGGAAATCGAGTGCAGTAGAGGCACACACGATGGAATAGTACACTTCTTTCCGAAGAGCAGAACTCACGAATAGATGTCGGCGTATGATTTAGTTTTGCATTACTTGTAGTTCATGAGATTAGGCTGGATATGGGGTTTCTTTGCTTTCATGCTGTTTGCGAGTTTTATAATTTGATATAGACAACTTTTCTTTCATCCTATTTAGTACTGAATACTATAAAATAACAAGTTCATTATCCATGGTTCTATAGCGACTTGTGGTCTTAAGATCTTGTGTAGTAGAGGACTTCTCATAGTAGACTCTGAACGATGCCTTATGTTTATGTCTTTGAGGATTTAGAAATATAACTTAAAATGAAGATCCTTTTAGTCGCAGTTGCAGTAGTATGAGTCTCCTGTTATCTCGTTAGCTGCTGGTTTCAATATGAGACACTACCAAACTTTCGACAAGCTTACCTTCCTGAGAGCAAGCCTCACGAGCCGAGTCTTCATTTCCGCCCGCAACCATTAGACGTTTAATACAATCATCGCAATTGTTTATTGCCATGCAATCCATCTGGCACTCTTGTTGAGCCCTAGTTGTGCAGCCTGTGCTGCATGGTCCTGGTGGTTGGTTGAAACACTCAAGAGTGCATAGTGACTGCTTCTGGGCGGCACAGTCGGTGAACGCGCCTCCTAGACAATTGGGGTTTGATCCAGCTTCTTGAGGCGCGTTGCATGCGTACGCAAGAGGGACTAGAGTGACGAAAATGGTTGAGAACTACAGATATTAGCAGTGAACAACATGTAACCATCTGGCCACATACCTTCATAGTGATACGTGTTTACTTCAAGGTCTAAGAGCTGATAGTCGTAAGGTGATTGCTGTTGTCTTCAAGAGATTAAGATATCAAGAAGAGTGACTGTTTTTCTTGGTCCAGTAAATAGAAGAGGTCTTTTTTATACCTAAGTAAAGGTTTAGAAAACGTCCGCCTCAGCATGACGTGACGTCATGAGCTGAATCCTTCAGGTGAGCTGGAACGGGGCTGTGGATTAAGTTATGGGGCAATCACCCCAGATCGACAAGCTGAGGGTGAATCCGCCTCTTGGCCTGCACCTGTGAATGGCCAGCCTGGAGGATCCGCAAATCCTTCGATATTTATCAAGAGAAAACAGGATCTGATAAAGCAGCCTGTGGAGAAGAAGTTGACACATGAGACTGAATGATAGGTTTGCCGAGACTCGGATGCAAGGAAAGCCGGCTGATGGACGAGTACCTTTGCCTAGGCAATCGGCTCGCTTCGGACCATCGGCTCGCAAGGTTCCATGTATTTGTTGAATGGTGTAGTTGCTTGGACGTTCAGTGAGGGGAGAGCACTGCTGATACGTGACCACTGCAAGTTTGGTGGCATACCATTGTGACGTGATGTAGCATGCGATGAGGTTGAGCGCCCTAAAGCGCCAAATATCTATGTATTCCCTGATTTTGAACCGGAATTCTGATATCATAATGCTAAGTCTATACCCAAGCCCCTGTATTCTGACAGTAAAATAATTGTGGGTGAGGGAGAACAATTACCGAAGGGTCAAGTCCATGTTTAAAGTCATATTAATAGATGTCGTTATGCCGTCAGACACTACAATAATTGTCATTATCTCTCCCATATTTATTTCAAGGGCTTCTAGATTATAAATCCGAGGTCCATACCATATAAGGTCGGAATACTACCTCCCTTGTTGCGAAAATAGCTCCTGTACTAGTATCGTAACATCTTACTGTATAGGTCTATTGTATTATATAATGCAAAGAGTGTTTCAATCTTTCAAGCTGTAACAGTTACATTGACGCCCTTTAAATCTGCGATCCTCGAACTTGAACCTGTCCAGAAGTTATACAAGCCCTCGTGAACTTTCAGCTTTGCGTTGACATAATAGCCAAGTTCCTTTTTGGGGATCGAGAACTTGACTTCCTGGCTCTCTCCTGCAACTAAGCTCACTTTCTCAAACCTGATGAGTTTCCTAATCGGTCTCTCAATTCCCACAGAAGTATTCGGCCGTTGATAAACTTGAACAACTTCCTTACCCGTAACTTTGCCGGTGTTCTTGACGTTTACACGAATGACCACACTACCCCTCTCGTACGTTGCAATTGGGGATGAGAAGTGAAAGGTTGTGTAGCTCAGGCCGAAACCAAAAGGCATTGGCGAATCCTTTCCAAGCACAGGCCACTGGTAAGCTGAGTGAAACCCCAACCTAGCGTCGCTGCCGCCCGTGTCATCAGAGGGCAGGTAATCATAAAATGCAGGGACAGCGCCTGAGTGTTGAGGCATGCTAATAGTGAGCTTTCCACTGGGGTTGACCTTGCCAGTGATTATCTCCACAAGTGCAGAACTTGTGAACTCTCCTCCTAGAAGTGAGTGTAGAATGGCGTTGGAGCGAAGGGTCGAGTTATTGAGTACCCACGGCTGGCCGCCAGTTAGAATCAACACAGTGGGTACCCCTGTGTCGAGGACGGCGTCGAGAAGCTGCTGTTGAAGGCCTGGAAATCCAAGATCCGCGTGAGCGAAGAACTCGCCGTCTGTTCGCTTGTTGAAGAGGGGGTCCTCCATCGGAGCTGAGAGAGATCCGAGCATAAGTATGGCAAACCCGGCCTCCTTCGCTGCGGAAACCGCATCAGCAATTCCTGTGGAGTTTTTGGTATCGATGAGATCTACACCGGGAACGAAGTTGACATTACGTTCACCCAGTGTGGACTTCAGACTCGTAAGAAGAGAGTCGCCCCATTTCGGATTGGAGACGTTGATGGCCGCATAGGACCCAGCATTGAGAAGGTCTCCGAAAGGACCGAGTAAAGCAACCTTTTGGGGGGTGTTGGGCAAGATCCCGTCATTCTTTAGAAGCACAATTCCCTCTCTGGCTGCTTCTTGGGCCAGTTTTAGATGCTTCGGCTGCCGAAGGGTGGTATTGGCAACCTGCACGTCCGGGACAGGATTGTCGAATAAGCCAGTGGCGTACTTGATAGTGAGAAGATTGAGCGCAGCCTCATCAATGAGCTTAGAGACTTCTTTGTTCTTGATACTGTCAATAAGATTTGGGAATACCGCAGGGCTTCCAGGACTGAGCTCCATTTGCAGGCCAGCATGCAAAGCCTGAAGCCCTGCGTCGGCATATGAAGTTGCCACTCGCGACTGTGTATACATATTCGCGATTGAGCCAGCATCGGACATGATAACACCGTCGAAGCCAAGCTTACCGCGAAGAATATCTTGAATCATGTACTCATTCATAGACATGGGGATTTGATCAACTGTAGCATATGAGACCATTACCGCAGCAGGTTCGGCCTCCAGCGCTCGGATATAGGGTCGTAGCTGATCGTTGAAGAGATGGTTGATACCTCCGTATTGACTGGCGGCATTGACACCGCCGCGCGATTCACCGTAGACGAAATGCTTGATTGTACAAGCGACTTTGATATTGCCGGCGCTGTCCTTGTCCTGCATGGTTTGCACGTAGGTGTGGCCGAATTCTCCAACTAAGTATGAGTCTTCGCCGTAGCTACAATCATCAGTCACATTTCATCATAGAGATGGAACGGTACTTACAGTTCACCAATGCGGCCGTAACGAGGCTCCCAGCTAACATCTAGAGGAGGTGAAAGAACCCATGACACACCGGTGGATAATTGCTCTTCTCGAATGGCTTCGGTGACATTCTTAAAAAGCGGGAGATTGAAGGTTGAAGACATGGCCAGATTGCTAGGGAAGACGGTGCCGCCTGAGATGAACAGGCCATTGACTGAGTCGCAAACAGTGACGAATGGGATATGGAAGCGACTGTGTTTTATCTCTTTCTCCCGGACCTCGTTGACAATTGGCAAGGCATCGAGAATCCAGTTGAACATGGGACCAAAGCCTGTGGGAATAGTCAGTGATAGCCCGAAATGTCGCCTCGGTCCGTAACTAACCAATTGTCCCGTGCTGCAGTTCGTATCTACTATCGTAATTCTCCTCGTCGACTTCCGGGCCGAGTTTCAACAATCGCCGGATACTACCCATCTGCGCGATCTTTTCTTCCCATGTCATCTTCTTCAACAGCGCCTTTGCCCGCTGACGGGGTGAATCTTTCGATTCGGCCATGCCTAGCAGGCCGACGCAAGTTGTCACCACATGTTGCAATTTGACCATGGTGTGTAGGCCCAACAAACAAATTATTCCAGTTTTTCGAGGTATGATTCGAACCACAAGGAGTTTTAGGACTCACTCAGGAAGGGCCTCCAGTTATAACTTCATGCCGGAAGCATGGACTCTGTCCATGTAAAGCCATTGCCCAGCATTATGGCGTGCTAGAGACTAATTTCGGAGCGACTGCTGTTTGTCGACCGAGACTCGGGTATCGCCATAGTCGAAATTCTGGAGGCCGGGGTTTTCTTCACCGCGGAATCTTCGAACTCGGTGTCTCGGTCGGGATGGCGCACGATTGGCTACGCAGAGGTCCAGTACTCCTAACTCCTCATTCTTCAGGCATAGCCCAGCACGTAATACTTAGCAATTGCCAAGGCTTTACGGAGTATGGATGGGCAGATTAATCTCATCATCCTGATTATGTCAACCATTGCACTTGGAGTGTTTTAAGGCCGAGGATCATACGATAATCATTGCAGGGCATGCAACAAAATAAAATACCTTGGAGACTTTTTTTATGGATCTAACGGTAAAGGCTATTGTCAAGCCCGCCATTAACACTGAGAGCGGGGGAAAATAGCGTACAAGGTGTGCCTTGCCATTGACTTATCTATGAAAAGATAAGGCTAATTATTCCCAGTACGTGTGGGTCATAAATGACCAATTAAGATCGGAGGGGGCTTAACAAGCCGTTATAGACCCGATATCCCCTGCTGGCCGCGCCTTTAACGCGATCGACGCGATGATTTGCCAATCTCGCGTTATACGCGTTAACATAATCAGTAAATAATACGGCTACCCTAAACAGAGTGGATAAATTTAATTATCTTCTTAGTATGTACTCGTCCCTCTCTGTACTAATTAAGTAGTACTTACCTTAGACTGAAGAGGCTTTTTAAACATTTTTTTAATGTTGCTATCAATATATTCATATAAGAAGCTTGCATTGTTATAAGAAGACAGTTTTTACCACAACTTTCAGCCCAAAACATAACAAGTTGAAACCTTAGTTCGTCACAAAATGTGTGGGAAAACTCCAACCAGGACTCAAGCAATCTAACTTAAAGGGATGCCTAGTAGCTAAAGTATATACTTACATTAACCTCTCTCACTTCTTTCTGGAGCGCTTACTCAAACGTAGGTGTCCAGATAACCGACGACAGCATCACTATTTGGCGTCACGTGACATGTCACGCCAGCATCCACGTGAGATGGCCTCGAGAATGGGACTTAGAGAGTCAATTGGCAATCTCCGATAAGCCAAGTTTAGCTTAGCTTGGTGGAAGAATGCGTGATAAACCGCGTCAGTTGCTTTACCCCGCTTTGATTACCAAGAATAAAACGGACGGGCTGGTATTCGGTATTCCCTAGATGACGCGTCGCGGATGTTACCGTCTCGTCTTATCTCGTCACGAATCCAGAGCCCGAATAAGGGACTTTCTAGAAGCCTAACCTAAGCCCATATGAGCTGCGAATGCTACTGCCAATTGCTTGGCGGGATCACTGCTCTGATTGGATCTTACATCTGATTTGCCTCTCGCGCGTATAATTTCCACTTGGGGCCGGGTACTCTCCTCCGCCTGCAGTTTTGCAACCCTTATCTCAACACCCACTTCTGCAGGTCAAACGTGGGGTCGTTATGATTCCCCCGCACTTGGTAGAAGAGTAACATTCCCAAAGTTGGGGTGGATTGTTCCCGACGAGCCGGCTATCTCCGCTGGTTCGTGTCAGAAACTAGCCTAGAGCTATAGGAGGCCTTAGTCCTAGAGTGGGCTTTCTTAACCCCAACATCACGACCATCAGACATATTTAGTTTTGAGTGAGTTTGTAGAACACCAAGTTGTTCTTCCAGAATACCATCATCTCACAAGCACTTGACAAGCAAGCATCATAACATAACTGTAAAACAATCACCACAAAGTCATTCACAATGCCCAACAAGCTTGAGATCCCCATTATTGACTTCTCTGGTGAGTCGCATCCATAACCACCTCTCTCATCTAAACCTGACTGACAACTCTCAGGATTCTACTCTGAGGACCCAGCTGAGAAGAAGAAGGTCGTGGACCAAGTTCGCGAAAGCTGCCTGTACAATGGTTTCTTCCAGATTTTGGGACATTCCGTTCCCGTAGAGAAGCAAGCCAAGGCTCTCCAGTGCACCAAGAAGTTCTTCAACCTTTCATTGGAGGATAAGGAGCAGGTCTCCAAAAACAACAACACCTGGAACCGCGGCTACGAGATGTTGAGATCTCAGATGCTCGAGGAGGGTACCCAGCCTGAGCTCAAGGAGGGCTTCTACATTGGACAGGAGATCCCCGAGACCCACCCTTACTTTGTCAACAAGAGGCTTAACAGTGGTCCCAACCAGTGGCCTGAAGCTCTCGGTGGTGATCTTGAGGATTTCAAGTACCAGACTATGGATTACTACAACTCCACACTTAGCCTTGCCTCTGACTTGATGCGAGTTCTGGCTTTGTCTTTGGACCTCAAGGAGGATTACTTTAACCAGTTCCTTGATGGAGCTGTTGCTACCATGCGACTTCTACACTACCCTTCTCAGCCCAAGGATGCCGACGACAAGCTCACTCGAGGTATTGGCGCTCACACTGACTTCGGCGCCATCACGATGCTTCTCCAGGATGATGTCGATGGTCTGCAGGTCTGGGACCAGCAGAACAACACCTGGATTGACGTAAGTTTCACCCCCCCTTTTTACAAAGTCCAAGATCCCTAACAACCCAACAGGTTCAACCCACCAAGGGAGCTTTCGTTGTCAACCTAGGTAACCTGATGGCTCGATGGACCAACGAGAAGTACAAGAGCAACGTCCACCGTGTCATCAACAAGACCGGAAAGGAGCGTTACTCTATCCCCGTGTTCGTGTCTGGCAACCCCGACTACGTCGTCGAATGCATTCCCACATGCAAGGCTCCTGGCGAGGATGCCAAGTTCAAGCCTGCTACCGTCGAGGAGGTTGTCTCAGCATCGTATGCCGAGTCTTACGGACGTGCCCAATTGCACAAGCAGGGTCTGGAGAAGAAGACTGAAAACACTGTGGGGAGCACACCAGTTCAACAGGTTGCTGCTTAATGTATTATGATGTGTCCATGTTCCATAGTTCTTTCGTTATAAATTGACTAGCCCTGTTCTGATCGTAACACCATTAGTCATTCACCATTGTTCGCCTGTCAGCTCACATTCTTCTGCACCTCTTCATGAGTCACAAATTGATCGCTGTATGTATCTAGAGACAGTTGAGAGTTACCATATCTCTTTGCGATGTCGAAATAAGGCACACCCACAGCTTAGTAAATGTGCTCTGTACCCTTGAGGGCTACAGTCCCGTGCAAAAATTCCAACAATAACGCAACTAAAGTAGAAATATGTGTTAAAATACATAAAATAAATAATAACTAGAGTATTTCTAAGTAATCTTAGGATAGAATTATATAAGTTTATATAAAGAATAAGAGACTTTATCATAATTTGTATTATCTCATATAAAGTTTAGAAGAGAGGAAGTTATCGGAACTTTTACCTACCCGCTGTAGCTTCAAACACACAGCAACAACATATACACTTAATGAGAGCTACACCTTAACTGCTCCTGTAAGTGGCTTACATCGAGTGCAAAGCGCAATCACCACACTTTGATGTGAACAACTTGATTTGTAAAACCTAAAAACAAAACGGATCCCTTACTTAGCTACGCTTTCGACAGACCGTTACAAGTACAAACTGTAGAAACTAAGTTATCTTTTGTGGGGTCCAACGTGCGACCACAAGTTGAATAGGTTGACTGGGGGAATAGAACGGGGGTGAAAGTAGCCTGTGACAGCGTTTTAGTTATCTCCTACCCCGCTGAGATAAAGCTTGGAGTTGTGGTGTTTGTGGAGGTGGCACCCCCATTCCCGGCGACAATGTACTACAGTACCTTTGTAAACACAGCGATAGCCACAGGAAGCCTCTATCCGATGATACAGAGTATGACGCCGCCTCTGATCACAGCTCTTTAACCCACTCTTAGAGTCAGGAATATGATTGGATAGTCCAACCGTCAAGATACATCCTACAGCATACACCACGATTGGTGTGTTGGCTGCTGCTTCGACGCGCCGTTCGAAGCATATTCAGCTCAGTTAGAGATGCTACATTGGTAGTGCCCACGACCATATGGGCGATTAGATAGAGGATGGAATATATATAAATAGACATGCTGTCAGCACCCATCAGAGACACAAGACATAGTTAGCCTCAGTTCAAAATACGAACCGGCAGTTCTATCTACTTTCACAGAATCACTATCAATATGACTTCAATCGACGACAAGTCCAAATACACTGGGACTGAGGTCTTTGACCAAGAGCCTGGCACTCAGATTGTCATAAACGCAGCCGTTGAGAAGTCATACCGTGAAGAGCCCCTCAAATAATGTGCAATATTTAGACTAATTACTTACACTTTGCAGTACGCAAAATGGATGCATGGCTCCTATCGTATCTGAGCATTATGTACTTTTTCAATGCCGTTGATCGCGTGAGTAAGGCCCCTCATGGCAAGACTTGCGTGGGTTTACTGACATCAACTTCAGAGCAATTTAGGCAATGCAGAGACTGATGGATTGAGCAAAGATCTCAAGTTTCGCGGAGAGGAATTTTCGCTCCTGATCCTCTTATTTTATGTTCCCAATGGCCTTTGCGACCTCCCGCTTAACTTGCTTTTGAAGAAGTTCTCTGGTAGAATCATGCTCCCCACACTTATGGTGGGATGGGGCTCTATGGCGCTATTTCAGGCTGCGTGTAAGAACTTTGCAGGCTTGTTAGTGATCCGTCTTCTGCTCGGGTGAGTAAAATGTCACATTGAGAATCTGATGGGGAGTGTTCTGACCTTATTTCAGTGCATTTGAGGCCGGGTTTTTCGCTGGCGCAGTCTTTTATCTGACTCTCTTTTACACTCGTGGTGAATTAGGGTTCCGAATCGCCATCTTCTTTGGTAGTGCGCTTCTGGCTAGTGCCTTTTCTGGACTGATCTCCTTTGGTGTCTTTCACATCAATGTTCCTCACATTCATGGCTGGATGTGGCTATTTCTAATTGAGGGTAAGCTTTCAATCTTCATCGAATATGGTGTTGATGATCTGGCTAACTAGAATTTGTTGCCAGGTGCAATGACTGTGATCCTGGGCGTCGTGGCATTTTGGTGGCTGCCGGCCAACCCGCAAACTGCCTGGTTTCTCACTGAAGAAGAGAGGGAGATAGCCACGCAAAGGTCTTTACGCGATGGCTCTGGCAAAGTCGGCGAGGAATTCAACCTCAAAGAATGTTTTAATAGCTGGAAGAACTGGAGATTCCTTGTCTGGTGTGTTATTAGTTTGACTTACCCGGTCGCATTTGCCACCACCTCTAACTTTCTCCCACTTATTATCCGTCGCTTGGGATACAACACGGTTATTACGAACCTCCTGACAGTCCCACCCAACGTGGCTGGCTTCTTTGTCTTACTAGCAGTTACCTGGAGCTCCGACCGCCACAGAGAGAGAACGTTACATATTGTTGGTAGCTTGATGATCAGTTTTATCGGCCTCCTTATCCTAGCCATCATTGACGCTGAGGCTCACGTTGGAGTCGCTTACTTTGCCTGCTTCATGTTGGCTGCTGGCGCGTACATCCCAAGCTGTCTGGTGCACAGCTGGCACAATAACAACAATCTTAGCGAGAACTCACGAGCTGCTACTACAGGTCTACTGGTCGGTCTTGGCAATCTTGGCGGCATCATCTCGGCCGGAACGTTCAGAACTACTTATGCACCTAGCTATGCGCCAACCTTGATCGGCACTGCCGCTTGCAACATCACTTGCATTGTGTTCACCTTGGGGCTGGGATTCTGGATGAGGAAGCAGAACCGTCAGAAGAATCAGGAGCAGGGGGTTAACCTGAGGGCTGAGGATGTGGCCACTAATGAGATTACGGAGGGGGAGAATGACCCACGTTGGAGATACTTTGTTTAAGCATGAGCCATGGCCAGCAACAAGATTGATAAAGTCTAGGTTGGTACGCAGGTAGTTCCTGGGGAAGCGGATGCAGAGCGCAGAGCATTCGTCGACCCCAACGTTAGAGGTGTATGTAAGGGTAGGACGAGACAATTGAAGGCCGGGAGCTATAAGATGCTCCAAGCCACAGTCCACATACAGACAGAGAAAAATGCAAACCATCTTTCTAAGCTCCACAAGGCTCGTATTCACCACTGACTAAGGGAGGTTACACAATCAATGCTGGACAAACCACAGCAAGTAAGGTAGAATAAAGAACATCTTGATTAAGATTCTTCGGTTTCTCAGTGGTGGTAGACATAAAGATAAGCTGATAGTCAAATCAGACAAGAACAGTGTTAATACTTTGAGACTTGCTATTGTTTCAACGTAAAAGAATGCGTCCCCTTTGTTACGTGAGGATCCGACGCACGGATTATACTCCCGAGGGACGAGGGTATTTGCTTTTATTTACAGAGTAATTAGCCGCCTCAAGGGTGCCACTTATGCTGTACAACCTCGGTGAAGCCTAGAGCCTGATGATTAAGGCTCGAATACCCTTCCCTGCTCGCAGGCAGCGGCATAGTGCATCGAAAGTGCAAATATTACAATAGCTCATTGATCAGCATGTCCTTTTGTTTCAGTCTCCTATGGCCGATGTAAGACTTGATATTTCTAAAATATGCAAGGGTGAATTGCCAAGCTATAGTCTTGAAGCAAACAACCCCTCATGTTCATGTTGCCAATGATTCAATGAATACCCCCAGGAGAAGCCACTTTCTCCACTCATCTTTATGTATCAGGCTGATTCAGTGTCCCGCAAGTTTCCAATCCGTTCTGTTAAGACACAAGTGATTAGTGTGGAGGGGGTGTGCTAAGTTTCCAAGCCACTCGCTGATTCCGATGTCGTAAATAGCGAGGTACGTTCTAATTAAGGAATCCATCTTGAGAAAAGAGATGACTTACCTAACCCGTTAAATTTGGGTTAGTTCTTACCCCCCGCTACGCTTGGTATATGTTCTGACTTTGCTGTGATGGTTTTAAAAGAGACATCGTCGCGTGCAATCTTACTGAGATGAAACATTCCAGAGCATATAGCTAAAGCCTTCAAACCATCAACAGCATGTTTCCTTCACAGAACCTGATCAACCGCGCCACTATGAGCCAAAGTGTCCCGGTCCGGCTGATCATCTGTGTTGATGGAACATGGTGTGAGCCAGATGGTGCACACGGAAATCGAAACCATAACATCACCAACGTTTACCGCCTCTACACTAGTATCTACAAAGGGGAATGTGAAGAACGCTCTGGAAAGAGGTAAGATACTGCCTATGGTTTAAGCTGAGTGCTTACCAAAACCCCTAGATTCAATCAAGTCAAGAAGTACTACCGCGGCATCGCCGCTGAAGACGGGATCAGCTATAGCGGGAGATTGCTGGCTGGCATGCTAGGCGGCCCATGCATTGACCAGATCCGTGACGTCTATGAGTATATTTGTCACACAGCTAGTGAGAACGATGAGGTTTGGCTCTATGGGCTTAGTCGTGGAGCCTATGTCGTCCGCGCCGTGGCAGGCTTACTCCACTATATTCGCGCTATATCATCTGCTGGGACGCCTTCTTTCAGTGAAGACTTTAAGCTTGCCTTGAAGGTCTACAAGAAATTGCAACAGCAGAAACGACTTGGAGAAGGCCAGGTGTGTATCCTTCGTGGTGAAACCAACGATATGTAACTTGGTACTGACTGAGTAATCCAGATCCACGACATGTTCGAGGCAAAAACCAGACCAGCTCCGATCATACAATTTATGGGTGTGTTCGATACTGTCAAAGCAGTTCAAGACGAACGACTGTACGATATCTCTCTGAACCTTTCCATCCAGCACCTGAGGCATACTCTTGCATTGAATGAAGATCGTCAGCGGTTTGCGCCGGAGTACATGTACCCAAACTTCAACAACCGCACCCAAATGTTAGAAAAGAGAACTTTTGTCCAAGCTTGGTTCGTTGGCGCCCATATAGACATTGGGGGTTCAGCCAAGATGGACGGACTGTCCCTCTATCCTTTACAATGGATGCTTATTGAAAGTCAGAACCAAGGCCTTAAACTCAAGTTCGATGGCGATTTTGGGGGTCGCAGCAGCCTTGAAAGTCCGCTTAGGCTTACCGGCCTGGAAGCAGACAATGAAGCATGGGAATGTGTGACAGATAACGGACTTGTCGTTCAGATGAAAGACATTAGGCATATCCACAAAGACGAAACGAGCCAAGGAAGATATGATGTTCATTTACACAGACCTCGGGGAAAACTGTGGATCAGGCGGCACAGAGAACCTTTTAGCGAGAATGGTGAACTCAATGGCTATTACAAATTCGGCAAGTCTGTCCTGTTCATCTCTGAAGTCCCTAAGTATTGACGGTTCATGATACATTAAAGGCGCTCAAGGCACGATCATTCATCCCTCGGTATACTTGATACTCGATCGATTCATGCATGTGAGCATGGACTCAAAACAATTTCCATTCTATCAGGTTTTGCACCAATGGCGATCCAATACCTTAGGTAAGAAGGATGACCTTCGGAATGGCTGTTTTTGGAACGAACCTGGTGAAGTCATTGCACTTGAGGACCCTGGTGCGATCAGAGTTCTTGTATGCGGAAACTGTGGAGTTGGGAAGTCTTCTTTGATCAACAAAGTATTCGGTGTTACAGTGGCGACAGTTTCACATCGGACTCGTGGTATACATCAAATCAACGATGAGCTGTCATGGAAAGATAGACCGGATCTTATTGTCCATGATTCGGGCGGTTTCGAAGCGGGTGGCGACGACGAACTACGCTGTGTTCAAGACTTCCTCAGAAAGAAGTCATCCGAGACCGACCTGGAGAAAAGGTTACACGTAATTTGGTATGTATAATGGTTATCAGAGCAACCAAATTTTCACTTTGGTCTATTCAAGTAGGCACAAGCTTATGGACTGGCGATTTAGGTACTGTTTTGCACTCAACGAGCCCAGGCCTGAGCAGGCTGCTCAAGATAAGCTATTCAAAGCCCTCTCATCCTATGCACAGGATGTACCCATTGTTGCTATCGCAACCAAAAAGGATCAATTTCTCGGTGCCAAGTGGGCAGAAGAGCGTCTTAATCTAGACAATCGCAATGAAACGGTAACCTTGGAGAAGCTCGATCTTTATGCCGCAAAAAAGATGCATGACGAGTTGTATCAGATTGATAAAGACCTGAAACGAATAGGCCATTTTGATGATCTTGTTACTATATCAAAAGGTGAGTTTGAAGGTCATTATGAACTCAAATTGGTATTGATTTTCTATTGCATTAGACGATGATAAATCAATCGGCCAGCTCAGTCTCGCAACAACGCAACTTTTCACCCACGAGAGGGTCAGGCTACTGTATATACGGGCCCAAGCTACACGCCTCGATCTGAAGGTCGACCTGGCTCTGGCTGAGACTATGAAAATTTACAAGAGAATTTTGATCAGTTCATCATCCATAGGCGCTGTGCCAAGCGCGATGACAATGAACCGTACCGCTGCTGCCATTGATATATGTCGAACAATTGTCACCAGCTTTGGTATCTCGACTATCACAGCCCAAACAATCTTCGAAATCTGCAAGGCGAATCTATGGGATGACATGGGCAACAACATCCGTACTACGATTGCTGAACTATGCGCTGTCGTCGGAGTGGGCGCCACTGTAGTTACTGGCGGCATGCCGTTTTTCCTGCTTCCCATGGCTACGAACATCCCGTTAGTGGTCAAGGCGACGGCACGATTGGTCCTCATGCTAGCTTGTGATGTCGTTCTGATACTCACTCGAGCTTTCAGAGAAGCGGCAGTCAAGTCGATCACGAAGCCAGAGAGGCGAGATGTGGAAAACGCGGCCGTGGCGTACCGCCAACACTGTCACCAAGTGCATCTTCGTGTAAAGAACGCACTCAGCAACGTGCTCAAATGTTACCAAACTGGTCCAGTTGAAACGTTGATGACACAGACTATCGAAGAATTCAAGTGCACGGTCTTGGAAGGAGTAGGGGCACCGCTCCCACATAACTTCAAGCGTGATTATTCAGAGAAGGAGGGGGCGTACTCTGATAGCTCAAGTATTCTTTCAGATAGCTCTAGTGCCCTTGCTGGCGTTCTAGAAGAAAGTAAATTCTAAAGCTAGGATAACAAATAGCAATTCACTGGCAATAAACTAAAATAACTTATGTAACATTGGAAGCGAAATTAAATAATAGCAAGGACACTTTAAATTATTGATGTATACTATACAAGCCTACTACCACTTTGTCACTCCTCCATCTACTAAGATATCCGACCCTGTGCAGTACCTGTACGTTGATTAGCACCCTCAGCGAACTCTGTTAGCAAGGATTGTGACTTACTTGCTGGCATCACTAGCAAGGAAGACGCAAGCTCCCATGATATCATCGGGCTCAGCAACACGGTGGTTCATGATCTCATCCTTCCATCCCTCGAGCAGGTCAGGGAATGGCGCAGTCATTGCTGTCCTTACATAGCCGGGGCTGATGGAATTCACTCGGATGCCGTGTTCATGAAGCTCAGCTGCAATGGGCGCGACCATGGCTCGTACAGCGCCCTTGGTACCGCAGTAGGCGGTTGACCTCTGGGACCTGATGGCCATATGGGAAGCAATACTAGCCACAAGAACGATGCTGCCGCATTGAGTTTTGTTGGCAATCATAGCCTGGGCTGCCAGCTTAGCCGAGAAGTAGACACCCTTAGCATTGACCGCAAAGAGGCGCTCAAAGTCCTCCTCCTCAGTGTCGAGGAAGTGAACATTCTTGTTAACACCCGCGCATGCAACAAGGATGTCTAGTCTGTTATTGAAGTCCGAAGCCACAGAAGCAAATCCCTCTTTTAGACTAGACAATGTGGTAACATCCACAATGTATGACTTGATCTGAACTTCATGTTTCGAGATTAGTTGCTTTACTTCGGTAGCATCAGGTTGGATGACATCGAAAATGGCAACATCAGCACCGGCTTCAGCCAATCCTTGCGCGAATGCAAAGCCGCAGCCTCGACCACCTCCAGTAACAACAGCCAAGCGGCCACGAAGCGAAAACTAAACTCATTTTGTCAATTCAGGATTCCGGGGGAGGGATCAACCCTTGGAATACTGACCTTGGACATTTTGGGCAAGGTTGGTGTATGCAAGTTTGTGATTCGTACCAAGGTGAGCGTTCTTGGCGTCAGAGGATGGATTATGCGCGAGGATAAAAGACAGAGAACTAATCCCAATTGTGGTCATGGAAAATGGAAGTAATCTCACATAGAACTGAATTCAACCTTTGTACGGAAGCACAAAGCTAGTCTACTCCTCGCGATATCTCTCTTTGGTATGGTGGGGCAACACAATTCGTGGCACCGAGCAATGTGATACAGCCTCCTCATCCCCGCAAAATCCCCCGTATCTTGTTCCCACAAGACAAGAGGAAGCCAAGAGTGGGAGGTGGGGACGCAGGAAACCACCCACCTCTCACGACCTCCACTTGCGATAACGCGAGATAAACCCGACGGCAATTAATCTGATGCTGATACTCATCATCAATGGGGAAAGTGGAGTGACCTCTATCTAAAATCAAGCCTCAAGAAGACCCCGCGTTTGATGGTATCGCTGTGATCAAGTTATATGGCATCATACCTGTCTGATTATTCGGCCTTGATCACAGAAACAGATCATTTTTGAGATATTGCATACAATTCCTTACGAATCATCACTTGGACAAAATGGGTAAGAAGAAGGTCCTAGTTTGGTAAGTTATCACGTCAAACCAATTACTTTCAGTGGATCGTTAATAATGCTGGTAGCTATGGTGTGGATATTGACGCCGTTGCTGGTTGGCTGGGATCATATGGAGGCGAAGATAGCACAAGTGATATTAGCAGAGGCGAGTCAAAGTAATCCTGGTAACGGCACTACACTCTCAATGCTGACTGTTTGTTGTCAGGTATCTGGGCTGGTACACATGGTACCAGGCGCCTATTGAAGCTCTTCGAAAAGTACAACATCAAAGCCTCATGGTTCATCCCTGGCCACACCCTGGAAACCTTCCCCGAGGAGTGTGCCATGGTCCGAGATGCGGGTCATGAGATCGGCGTAAGTTCAAAAATCTCCGATACTAGGCAGCTTCTAGCTAAACTTTGATAAGCTGCATGGGTACAGCCACGAGAACCCCGTAGACATGACTTTCGAGCAGCAGAAAGATGTTCTACATAAAACTTGGAAGTTGCTCACTGACTTCTGTGGAAAGCCGCCTCGTGGAAGTGTGGCACCCTGGTGGGAGACAAGTGAGGAAGGAACTGAGCTGATGCTTAGTTATGGCATTGAGTATGACCACTCCATGTCTCACCATGACTGTCAAGCATACTGGCTACGCACTGGTGATTCTTGGACCAAGATTGACTACACTAAGAAGGCCGAGGAGTGGATGAAGCCATTGAAGCAAGGGAAGGAGACTGGCATGGTTGAGATTCCTGGGTCATGGTATATTGACGATCTACCCCCGATGATGTTCATTAAAAACTCGGCAAACTCACATGGATGGGTAAACCCTCGGTAAGTTGACAAGAGTTTCACTTCTCAGCTGTGGCTAATCTTGGTTCCAGAGATGTTGAGGATATCTGGAGGGACCACTTCGACTACTTCTACCGAGAATATGGTGTGTTTACTTGCACTTCCTTCGCCTACACCTAGAATGAGTTGTTATTCTCAATGTGCTAATCATGTACTAGATGAGTTTATATTCCCAATGACTATTCACCCTGATGTGTCTGGTCGACCCCACGTCCTCTTGATGCATGAGCGTATTATTGAGCATATCAACAAGCATGAAGGCGTGGAATGGGTAACAATGGCAGAGGTATGTCTTTCACAGTAATGGATATTCAAGTGCGGCAATGCTAACCCCAATTAGATGAGCGACTATTTCAAGAGCAAAAACCCGGCACCAGAGGGCGCTTTGATGCCGGCTAGCAGAGAAGAGGTTATGAAGCGATTCCAAGATTCATGAGTTTCTATAATACCACGAATGTTGTGAAATAAGATACTTCTGTAGATATAGACAGACCATTCAAAAATAGATGTTTTATGATATATCACAACTGAAGATTTGGCTTCGCGATAACGAGATCAAATGACGAAACCGACTGATTGCATCGTGCGCTGAAGCCCATTAATCTTCCTTGATGAAACCAATAAGATTAGCGAAAATTACCTACGTAAGTCAATGAGCGGTGACATATCCAGTAATATCTGATATGAGACCTAGATTGTTGAACCTGAACATCTCTGGAGACGTTGACATATATAATTGTTATTTGTGCGACTTGCGTCACTTGCCTGATCTTCGTCGTATCGTGTACCTCAATTTGTACACCAGTAAACCACCACCCGCCTGCGAGAACTTGAAACACTAAGCGGGAATTCTCCAGACGATTGTTTCAACTTGTTCTCGAAAAAGTCGATATTATTGTATCTATCATATAGTGTATTATAAACTATAGTTGCCCTGCCTCTAGCATCGTCTTGACAACACGATCAATAACTTCAGCAGCTCCTATAACCTTCTCCTCCTCAAGTTTCCGCCCCACGATCTGTAGTCCAACAGGAAGCTTCAACGAAGCCATCTCGGCCTTGTCCTTACTCCACAGGCCTTGGTTCCACTCGTCTTCAGGACCTCGGACTGGGTCTGAAAACGAGATATCTAGGTCTTTTCCCTTTACTGCACCTCCAGGAATTACCATTGCGGTATAGTCAAGCACGTTCCACACCTTTGTATAGCCAACCCAACCGCAACCACCATGGCGGACAGCGGTGTGAGGCATAGGTGGCATCAAAAGAATGTCGGCTTTGCTTCCAGTGGTCGGTGATCGGATTGAGTTCCACTTCTCCAGGTAAGCCTGTTGGAGTTGCCATTTTCTCTTGTTGAGTCCCCAGTACTCATAAACAGAAATGGCCTTTCCGCGGTTTACAAGCCGTTTTACGTGAGGAATAAACGGTTCACCGCCCTTCGACACATCTTGACGAATATCTTCACCTCCGTCGGCAGTGTAAAATTGATCCTGTAGATGGAGGTTAGTTAAAGGACTTGTAAGTACAACTAAACTCAACTTGCCATGGTCCTGATACACTGTTGGTGGAGATCAGTATTCCACTCTATAATCTCATGACCATCGCGCTTAAGGGCTTCAACTGCATCCCTCAGGACTCGTGTAATCGGAGGATGTGGACGGACAACACCATCATCCATCAACACACCAATGACTAGCGGGCGATTTTGCATTTCCTGGAACATCTCGTTTCGCCAAGGAAGTGGAGCGCATCGTGCATCGTGCTCCCAAGGCTTCGACTCGATAACACTACGCATGGCAAGCTTAATAACATCCAGGTGTCGAGCCATAGGACCAATGGATGACGGTACATGCTCCTGGCCTTCTGTAGAGACAGGAACACCCCCGTAAGGGAGTCGTGCGCTCTAGAATGCAATAAGTCAGCGCGAACCGCGAGGTTGCGTAACGTGAGATGACTTACGCTTGGCTTAAGCCCATATATGCCCATCATATGACTTGGGATACGGATGCTTCCTCCCACATCTGTACCCCAACCCAGCATAGACGCGCCACTAGCAAGTAGAACAGCCTCTCCTCCAGTTGAACCACCTGGTGTGTAGTCTTTGTGCGTCGGGTTTGTCGTCAAGCCCCATAAAGGGTTCTCCGTCTCGCACCACTGGTCATCGCCAGTCAGTTGACTCAATGCGCAAACACTTGTTCTTATGAATCACATGCGATTTTAACTTACCATAATACTTTGAGGTAGGTTCGACTTTGCCAACACAATGGCCCCTAAAGACTTGAGCATCTTGACGAGCACAGCATCGTCTTGTGCAGGGTGAAACGATCGACCGACATATCCTAAAGTCGAATCGTAGCCCTTGATGTTGAACTGATCTTTGAGGGTAATTACCACGCCATGCAGGGGTCCTATTGGCTTTTTGTTGTCCACGAAGTAATGATCAAGCTCCTTTGCTTGCTGTAAAGCATCTTCAAAGGTGACTTCTGTCAAGCTGGATAAATCATGTCAGCGTTTTATGTTTCATATTAAATTAAGGTTATTTTTACCAGTTGGTCTATTTTACCGAATATATGCGGTCAGACAAGCTATTGTTGAAAGTCGGAGTTACTGTATATGAAGTCATACCTGATCGTGTATTTGTACGGCCCTGTAGTGAAATTGTCAACCCTTATTCGTCGATGTTAAGTTCACACGTTGGCACCTTTTAATCAATGATTGGACGACAGATATACAAGTCAATTGTCCCTGTGCAATAAGCTCAGTAGCTTCAATTGCATCGAAGAGACCATCTGCGTCCAAGGCCTTATCCTTCACTTCAAGCAAAACCTTGGATAAAATATCTCTTTGCTGCTGCTTCTTGCGCTGAACGGTCGATTGCCAAGGAAGAGGCTCAGGGTCAATTGTTGCAGGGGCCATATTGTTAGCGTTGCACTGAAGCAGTAAGATTAGACAATGCTCAAACACCAGTGTCTTAAGCCTTGTCTTTTTCTCTCATTTTGAGTGAAGGGATCGAGCGATTTCGGAGAAGAGGGATCGACAAGACAACCCCATCCTTGGCTGCACCCTTTTATCGTCTAGCTCAAGCCTGATCAAATCCTGCTTCCGTGATTGGGGCGCTGATTACAAACTTTAGACGGCGTCAGACCCGAAACCCGAGATAGGCAAAGATGGTCGAGAGTGGGGGTGGGTTCACGGTTATGCTAGCCATACCAGTCAGAGGAGGAACATGGCACGACGTCGAACGGAGGGCGCCGTCTGAATGGTAACGATTTTCTTTACTTAGAGAACCTCAATATGATTGAAGTTTCCGAGCTGTGAAGATGCAAAGGAGATCAATCGAGAGTTGAACAACTTATCAGGATACCCTACTGTAAAGTCTTTTTAGCTGCAGTACCCAGCATCAACGCCAGAAACTCTTCATAATTATTACGATATCTACAACAGGACCACATGGCTATTGTCTCAACTACTAATGGTCATGTTGGCCATGCCAATGTAAGCGGTGAAGAGGCATACGACGTTTGTGTTGTAGGTGCTGGACCTTCTGGTCTTATGTTGAGGTGAGTTCTTAGGTCTCAACAAAAAATGATCTTATGCTGACAGCTTCGTCAGCGTCATTCTAGCAAAGCTAGGACTTTCAATCAAAGTCGTAGATGCAAGACACGACCAAACAACCGTGGGTCGAGCTGATGGCATCCAGCCAAAGACCATTGAAACGTTGCAAATGCTTCGCATTTGTGATGATCTCGTGCATCAAGGAGTCAAAGTTCACGACATCTGCATGTGGAGAGGTTCTGCCTCTGAAGGTCTTCGCCGCACAGGACGTACAGAACACTATCCTTCTTCCGTGGTAGATGTGGCACACCCCTACATTCTACTTTGCCATCAGGGCATGATGGAAGCAACATTCATTAACGACTTACGGAAGAGCGGCGTTGAAGTGACACGTAGTCATGAGTTCAGAGGTGCCATGGCAAAGTCAGACTCTCCTGTTCTCCAAATCGAATGCGATCAGCACGGCGACTTTGATAAAACAGCAACTATTCCTGCCAGATATCTTGTTGGTTGTGATGGTGCCCGTTCGTCAGTACGAGATGCTATTCCTGGAGCAGCATCTCAAGGAACGCCTCACAACTCAGTCTGGGGAGTTCTAGATGGAGAGCTGGATACAGACTTCCCTGATATCTGGAGCAAGACTGTCATCTTTTCGGAAGAGCACGGTTCAGTTCTCATCATACCACGAGAACGCAACATGACCAGACTTTACATCGAAATGAAGTCTTCTATCACATCTAAGGGATTGGGCCAAGAATTCGTTATGGAACAAGCCCGTCTGATCTTAGCCCCATATCGTGTTGACTGGACATCGATTGAGTGGTTTGGAAACTATCAAGTGTCTCAGCGATTTGCCACACGCTTTTTAGATTCTAGTCAGCGCATCTTTATCGCTGGAGACGCTAGCCATACCCACAGTCCCAAGGCTGCACAGGGAATGAACACCAGTGTACACGACTCGTGGAACCTCGGCTGGAAGTTGAATCTTGCTGCGCGAGGTTTCGCAAAGGGCAAAACCCTTCTTCAAAGTTATGAACAAGAGCGCAAGAAGATTGCCCAGGACCTTATAAATTTCGACTTTGAGCACGCCAACGAGATTGCTGCTGGTGATTCAAGCAGACTTGCTGAGAACTTCCGCAAGAACACAGCTTTCATCTCAGGGGTGGGGGTCGTATATGGCATCAACGAGCTGAACCAGCATGTTGATACCCCCAAAGGTGATGCCAAGCCAGGCTGCAACTTGCCCCAAGCAAAGGTTATTCGCTACATTGACGCCTGTCCCGTTGATGTTCAGACTGATGTCCCCATTCTTGGCCAATTCAGACTATACGTTGTGGCTCCTAACGTTCTTGGACCTCAGGAGAGCGCCTTCATCAAAGGGTTTGACGAGGCAGTCTCTTCGCCGAACTCGTTTGTATCGAAGCTCGGCAAGTCCGCAGAAGCTTCATACCAGCAGAAACCTCGGGCAAAACGTGCTGACGATGAGTACGTGCGACCAGAGCGTTACACAACGGTCAACCAACTAGTAACGTTCGCCCTTCTCAGTAAGTTTACCCCTATCGCCACTTGACTACTACAGACAACTAATGTTTGGCTCTGCTGTAGCTTCTACGGATAAGAACGAGTTTGAACTCTCACAACTACCCCCCACTTTCTCCAAGAGCAGGTGGACAGTCTACTTGGACCATGCATCCCACCTGGACACGCGACGCATTTCGGCTACGGAGAAGTGGCTAGGCTCTGTGGACCAGGGAGAGGTTGCGGTTGTCGTGGTTAGACCTGATGGGTACGTTGGTACTATCAAGCGGAGCAAGAATGCCGGCAGTGCGGAGGGCAAAGCCGCAGCCGACTGGCTCGATTCGTATCTTGGAGGGTTCTTGCAGGCACCTGAAGTCTGAAGAAAAGCTGATAGAGTGAAATACCAATAGTTCATAGTTAAAATCAGATAAAAATAAATCACTAGCAAACAGGATCCTACGGTCAACATGTGGGCTTGAAACACGTTACGAAGGCCACCAGATACAAACCGCTATAGTATCGAGCCTGCGAGAATGATAAACTGATTGCAACCCATTCATGATTATCAAATCTCTGATTACAGCCGAACAATAAATTGGATACGCTGACATCACGGACCGTTTGCCGCACAATCCCCTTGCCTGCCGAGCCATCTTGCCTGCCGAGCCATCTTGCCTGCCGAGCCACCTTGCCTGCCGAGCCACCTTGCCCGTGCCTCGCTTCCCGGCATCGCCATCTTGTAACGTAATAATTACCCCAGAGTAGAAGGGCCCTCTTTCGCCTCCACGATTATTATCAAGAATCACTATCAAGTATCATGGGTCTGGACTTGTTGGATGGGTATCAGAGTGTACGCTATTGACTTCCCGTACCTCTTCTTGGAGTAATATTGCGGCGAAAGTCATGTTAGCTTCCCCCACAATCTACCAGCATTCATTCCAGGATAACCGGCTTTCATAACAAGGCCTTGGGCTGATAGCGGGCACTAATAATCTCATCAGTTCTACCCCATTTATACCAGCCTCGCGCCCTAATCAGTGAAGAATAATCCGGGGAAAGTGGGGGTTGGGATCTGACCTGGTAGCTTTGGAGTAGATAAGATAGGTGATAGGTAGATAGATAGCAGTGGCGTTTGGGACGTGTAGTCTCGGCGGCGTATTACAGCTGGTCTAAGGTTAAGGGTATGATTACGCCCGGGGTGAATGTGACGAGTTTAGCAAGGCTCAGGGTGTGCACTGACTCGTATTGGGTTAAGCAAGGTGATTACTGAGTTATCATGGTATGTTGCTGGTCTCACCAACAAGACAAGGGGAAACGGGGACATTTCAATGGCCAATGTTTAATATATACCTTGAGTGCAGTCCAATTGAGACAACCAAGTCCAGTTCCAAACCACTCTCATCCTTTCTTTTGACGTTCTCACTCCTCGTCACACACTTTCATCATGTCCTTGAATAACGACAATGGCACGGCCGAAAAGGCCATGGGCCCTAAGCTGCAGCAAAGCGCCAGCGCAAGCTCTGTTCGCGATGGCGAACACGAGATCGTTGAGGACGGCGCTATCCGCGACTTTTATGGTAGCGCTGTGAACGAGTCCTACCGCTTGAAGTCGGAGCTGGTAGCGGAACACCTTACAAGAATCGGCACTGGAAAGTCAGTCACAGCATGTCGAAACGTGATGCTCAGTGGTGATACTTACACTCTCTTCTCACAGGTTTCAATGGATTCTGTTTGTCGTCAACGGTTGCGGCTGGATGGTCGACAACTTCTGGTCGCAAGGCATTACCGCTGTCCGTCCTCCCATCGTGAACGAGTTCGATGATATATCCAGAATCAGTTTCAGTTCGGTCGCTTACTACGTCGGACTGATTGTTGGTGCCTTCTTCTGGGGTACCATGTCTGATGTCATTGGCCGCAAGCCTGCCTTCAACTCCACCATCCTCATCGGTGCTGTCTTCGCCTTAGCCGTCGCTGGTGCCCAAGACTTCGTCACCTTCTGCTCCCTCTGGGCTGTTATTGGAACAGCCGCCGGTGGCAACGTTCCCGTCGACAGTATTGTCTTTCTCGAGTTCGTCCCTCAGAGCCATCAATGGTTGCTTGTCACACTATCTGCCTGGTGGAACCTTGGACAGCTCATCGTGTCTCTACTCGCATGGGTCTTCCTCGCCAATTTCGCTTGTACTAGTCCCGAAGGCTGCACTCGACAAGACAACATGGGCTGGTAAGTCACTCAGATCTCGATAAAGCTGGCTGGTTAGGCTCACAAACTGCACTACCTAGGCGTTATCTCATGATCACGCTCGGAGCTATTGCTCTCTGCTTGGCCATGATAAGAATTCTCCTCTTCAAGATTCCCGAGTCTCCCAAGTATCTTCTCTCCAAGGGTCGCGATGCCGAGGCTGTGGAGTCCGTCAACTACATTGCCCGATACAACGGAAAACCCGAGACTCTTACACTGGAGATGATGCAGGATATTGATCGCCAGATCTACTCATCTGCCGTCGTCTCATCCACCGGCGAGGGCGAGCCTGTTCATGCAATCCCCGATCAGTCTGAGAGGAAGGTTCCATTGAAGGACATAATCAAGGAAAACTTCAAGGACTTCAACCTGAACAGCTACCGCACACTCTTCGCTGGTCGCAAGATGGCTCAGCACAGCGCTGTCACATTCCTGATCTGGCTGACCATAGGCATTGCTTACCCGCTTTACTTTGCGTTCATCACTTCCTACCTCGAGTCCAAGTCCGATTACTCTGGCAACACATCATTCAGCCACACCTATATGGTCTACTGCATCGTATCGGCTACTGGTGTCGTGGGTCCTATTGCTGCAGGCTTCCTCGTCGAAACACGATTCGGCCGTAGGTGGATGATGGCCATTTCGGCTGCTCTCACAGGTGCATTCCTTTTTGCCTACACTGCTGTTGGAACCGAAGCCGGAGATATCGGATTCCAGTGCGCCACTGCTATTCTTGGAAACTTTGGTGAGTCTTGGTGCTTCTCGTTCAATCTAACTGATCATTACTAATCTCTCGATGCAGAATACGCCGTCATGTTTGCCTTCACTCCTGAGTCTTTCCCTGGTCCTGTCCGAGGTACTGGAACCGGTATCGCCGCCACTCTGCTCAGACTTGGAGGTCTTGTTGCCTCTTTCATCTCAACCTATTCTGGTTTCTCAGTCGTACCCATCTACGCCAGTGCTGCGCTTTGGATTCTTGTTGGCTTCTTTTGTATTGGCCTGCCATATGAGACCCATGGACACGCCTCTCTTTGAGGGACGAGGGCGAAGCGTTGTGTGTGAAATATTTGCCATTGTATATTGGGAGGATAAGCTAGTGTCACTCAGACTGTAGTATGAATCAATCGAAATGAGATTCGTCTTGCGTATTATTCTCCCGTGCTCTTCTATGGAAGTGACTTGAACTCAATCATGGTTTGTGTGTCCCGTCTGAAGGTCAAATGCGACTACTGAGGCTCGAGGATCTCTACTCCAACAATAATAACTAATTTAATTGTTTGTATATCCTGGTCGTATAGTAGCTCTCTACCAGTTTCATCTCATAATAAGACGTATAGTGATACACGATTTACGCTCAAGGTATTGATTAGATGTGCCAATTTTGGGATAGTAACAAACCAACCTTTTCAACAGCTTGAGCATCATATGACAGGTTTCGCATAAATATTTAAATCCGTATACAATCATCTTAGATGTGTACCGCAAATATTCATATCAATTTATTGCTGTCAATTAAATATTGCTACAAGATAATCTTTTGTCCTGCTGCGCTATGCACTGCCTCGTAGATCATCGTGGAACCCGAGGCGCGGACTTGCTCACCCACGACCTTTCCCATATACAAGCTTAAAAATATTGAAACTCAAATACCAAGCAAGCATTTTACACGTTATGCCCACTCATACCGGTGAAGTCTAGATTGCAAATAGGCTTCTGACCACCGATACGACAGGATACGCCGTGCAAGGACTAATCGGATAATTTGTCCCTTTCCGTATCAAGGAGTGAAAAGCCTCACGCCCGAGCTTGGTTCTCGTCCCTATCTCAGGTAAAAACAATCCCTCTGATTGGTAACTATCTTACTCCATTTCACCCCAACCCAGTGAAACTTGATGTTGTCCCAGATAGCAGGGGTCTTTGCAGGCCCCATTGTTGGGATCCACCCCCATTCTTGCCGTTTCCTGCTGACGTTCCCTGCTCTCTTAGTCCATTATCAGCGGCCACTAGCGAGGATGGCTGTTTCTCAACTATTCCATTTTCACTTTCACTCAGCCCAAAGGTGGGGGGTGCGGGTTGTTGTTGAGCCACAGTGAAGATCGACGACAAAGGGGTCAATAACTCAATTGAAAGTAGAGCAAATTGATCGGCTACTAAAACTTCAACATCCAGAGCTCATTTGTTTGTCATTCCTCAACTCAATCAGACAGCTTTCAAGACTTGAAGTGTATAGAACCTCTATCTTCCCTTGAAAGCAAATCGGTTCATCTTTCGCACCCGTTAAACTCAGACACAATGCCTGCGGCCGTCACACCACCCCTTTCCTTTGCTCCCCTCAAGGACACTGTCGTCTTCTCGCCCTTGAAGCTCGGCAAGCTGAACTTGAAGCACCGCATTGTGCAGGTACGTAAAATTATGTCCAAGGCTATCTTGATTAGAATGAGCTAACCAGATCCATTAGGCCCCCAATACCCGCATGAGGAGCGACATTGAGTCCCGTGGAGTCTATGTCCCTGGTCCTCGGGTAGCCAAATACTACAGCGACCGCTCCAGTGATGGTGGACTCCAGATCACTGAAGCAACCGACATTTGCCTCAATGCTAGCGCTTATCCTGGTGTCCCTGGTGTCTTCACCGACTCTCAATTACAAGGATGGAAGAAGGTAACTGACGCCGTCCATGCCAAGGGTGGCCATATCTTCACTCAGTTGTGGCACACTGGCCGAGCATCTTGCAGTGCTCAACGCGGTGGTGAGAGGGCTGTCTCTTCTGGTGAACAGCCCATGCCTGGCACATACCTCGATGGTACTGAGACCAAGGACGACCCTCCCCGTGCTTTAACAGTGGATGAGATCCACAGCATCACTGCCGAGTGGGCCGAGGCCGCAAAGCGAGCCGTAAATGTCGCTGGATTTGACGGTATCGAGATTCATGGTACGTAATCCAGTCTCCTCACATCGCCTTTCGTATAGACTAACGTTTATTAGGCGCAAACGGTTACCTTCTTGAGCAGTTCCTACACGACAACATCAACACCCGGACCGACGAGTATGGTGGCTCCATCGAGAACCGCTGCAGATTCCTCCTTGAGGTTCTCAAGGCTTGCACTGATGCCATCGGCGCGGACAAGGTCGGCCTTCGACTGTCACCATACAACTATTTCCAGGGCACCAGGGACAGCAATCCTAATGCTCACTGGTCTTATCTTTGCGGCGAAATTGCTAGCCTTCGTGACCAACAAAAGCCTGTTTACGTACACATGTAGGTTCTTGCAACGTCCTACTAGAGCATGTGTAGTTAGACTAATGATCACCAGGATCGAGCCCCGCTTCGATGAGGTTCTCGACGAGCAGCAGAAGCTCGCTGCCCTTGCTAATGGCAAGTCGAGAGATCTCCAGGCCGTTGATGGTATAGCTCTTGAAGCTGGCAAGCAGGCCAACTCACTTAACATCTTCCGCAACATCCTCCAGCCTTCCGGAATTCTCTTCCTGGCTTGTGGTAACTTTAACCGTGATAACGCTCCCAATAAGATCAAGAGCCAAGAGGCCGATCTTGTCGCCATGGGCAGACATTTCATCGCTAACCCCGATTTGGCTGATCGTCTACAAAACGGATGGCCTCTTAACCCTTACGACCGTACCACATTCTACGGTGCTGACCCACCGGAGAAGGGTTACAACGACTACCCCTTCTATAAGGCTGGCCAAGAAGTGGAGAGCAAGGCATGAATCACGGAATGGAGGTCATCACTATAAGAATGGACTGCATATTAGAGGTACAGCATTTTACTGGATTTAAATAGACGTGTTCATGATGATTACCTCGGCTATTCTTCGTCTGCCAAACATCCTGATGAATTGACTGTGAAACCATTAGATGTACCTCTCTGACACATGAGGGATTTGCTTCGATAATGATATGAGTGACTAAGACTTTTGTAAGGCATTTCAAGTATAGCAGTCTAGTACATGTACGACTGGTCAACTTTGGGCTTCATGCTAGCGTGAAGGAGAGTCTGCACTTTGCATACTATAATCGCTCAGTTATCGTCTAACAACTTTGAAGGTCAGCTCGTTACTACTAGTTTGAGATGGGTTTCCAGTTGTGTGGGTATAGGTTTGTTATGATAAAGCCGTGGGGCAGCTCTTGTTTTTTTTAAATGCTGTAGCTCATCTTCGACAGACGCATATCACCTGTCCATGGAGATGGCTATCATCAATGATATCAGCTACAACATGAAACAAACCTCAACCAATTAAGTTGCCGGTATATAGCAATGCCTCAAAGCGTTTAAAAGAAATCAAGAACAAGAAATTGTAATAAAAGTAATGTTGAGATCTACCGGTACGTTGGATTGAGAGCTTCATTGGAGCTCATATATAGCGTGGCTAAAAAGCAAACAGAGTGTATGCTCGCTGTTATTGAATATGACTTCATTTAAGATATTAAGAAAACCATGATCAGGGAACTTGTGAAAGATTGAATTCACTCGAAGTCTCAATACTTGTGGTGTAAGTTTGAACTCAAAATAGATTCTATGTATTTATGAACAGCTAAGCAATGCTAATGTAAGTATAGGGCTTACAGACTCGCCCTCAACTCGGTCGCATGTCCCTTTCCTTGTTCAGCCTGCGCGAACTTTTCATCAACATCCTTCCACATATCGTATGTCAACAACCATCGGCCAACTCCATGGTACCTCCAAGGGAAGGGATCCTCTCCTGTCTCTGAAGACTTGGGCAGGACGGGGTTCTCTCCACTAAGCCACTCCTCATCATGCTTTCCGTACTGACGGAACCTCTCGTCACGCTCCTCCTGCTCCGTACCATCATGGAGATGGTAGATCCATTGGTTGTATGTTCCTCTTTGCACGACCATCTCTGTGCGTTCTCGTCGGCAGGTTTCATAGACGGCAAGAGCCTTGAGCTTAGACTCTGGTGACTTGTCTGTGAGTTTAGAAAGGCAGAGACCTAGCACGCCGCCGTCCTCAAGAGTCATGCCAGCTCCACTGGCCAAGTAAGGGAGAGTAGCATGAACAGAGTCGCCAAGCATAGTCATGGCACCTGAAGGATGAGACCAGGTTGGGTCAAGGCCTGGGCGAATGCACAGCCTCCACTTCAGGACAGAATCACAAAGTGCCAGCATCTTTCCGATTCGAGGATCCCAATCAGCAAAGTGAGCCCTCATCTCGTCAATGTTTCCCTTTAGTGTGTTTCTTCCATCGATAGGGATATCATCCGGCACTAAAAGAACCATGTTGAAAAGCTGACCACCCTTCAAAACATAGTTGACAGCGTGCTTATCGGGACCAACCCAATAATTCACCTGGGGGTCCTCCACGAAAGGTCTCAAGTCTGGATCCTTGCGCATGGCGTCTGTGTCTAGCAACAGTCGGTATGCAAGATCTCCTGTCAACTGCGGGGGATCAGGTCTGCCGAGGAACTGTTCTCTCATTGGAGAAGAGATACCATCAGCACCAACCACTAGATCAGCAGTCATAGTTCGGCCACCTTCAAGGAATACAGTTGCGCTGGAGTTGTCGGAGGCAATCTCATATTTGTCGACCTTGGATGCGCACTGAACCTTGACACCCAACTCCTCAGCTCGGTCTAGTAGAGCCTTGTGAAGAGTTGCTCTGTGGAAGTCAAGGAAGGGATATCCACCAGAAGCAGCGGCGTAGCCATGGTAGTCCATCTCTGAGAGAAAGTTTCCCTTCCAGCCGATGAAGTTGCATTTTCTAGGCTTGGTGGCGTTCTTAACAAGGACATCCTCTAGACCCCAGGCAAAGAGAACTCGGGCAGCATTGGGAAGAACTTGGATTCCTGCACCGACTTCACCAATCGCTCTTGCAGCCTCCAATACTGTGACATTATGACCAGCAAGACGAGTAGCGATAGCAGCTCCGAGACCGCCAAGTCCAGCTCCAACTATGATAACCTAGTATTATGTTAATAAGCGATCATTTACATGGACAAGGTTGATTAAGATAACTTACGTGGAGCTTGCTTGACTCATCCCTCTGCATGACCTCTTGTACCTTGTATGAAGGCATCTTGTGTTCCGATTTATTGAGTAAAGGTGATTGAGAAGATAGTGTTGAGAGTGTCTGGGCCACCTATCAATGGCTTTTATCTTGTGAGGAAACCCGAATGTCCATTTCTAGTGGAAGAACCTCACAAGTGTCGGAAGGGTCACACTTAGGCTCTCGATCTACTGAGACTCAATGTCCAATCATCATCGTGCTTATCACTTTACGTTCTGGATATAGATAGCTAGAGTTAGCTCAAGCCTTGTTCCTCTCCATCCCCGACGCTCATACCCACCCACCCCTGCTCGTTAGTCCGTCGACTCCATCCCACTTATCAAGATTGCGTGCGGGGAAGTTGATAAGGATGGAGGGTGACACCAAGGCGGAGTCAGTTCATGACTTATCACTTATCAGGACAACCGAGTGGCGTTACTAAAAAATGCAATGGTGCTTAGACGTGGGCGGTTTTCGGCGAGTCCTCCCACTCTAGAAGTTCAAGTGATCGCCCTCCATCTCTTGTTCATCTTTAACATTTCCACTTCATCCCACTTTACAACCATGTACGGAGCCGAAGACGAGCTGTCCTTAGCGGTCGATGCGTTCCTTACAGATGCCATGGGTCGTAAACAGACACAAGCACAAGCACAAGCACAAGCACCCCGAGAGGGCTCTACAGCTACTGCAGCCTCGCAAGCCTCACAGGGTGACAAGTCGTTTGAGTGCACTCACCCAGGTTGCACCAAACGGTTCACTCGCGCAGAGCACTTGCAACGGCATGCGCTCAATCATCAACCTAGAGGCTCTGCGTGTGACATATGTCGCGCCCACTTCAAACGGCCCGATCTATTGAGTGAGTGCACTGATAGTCTGGACAACGCAGTTTCTGACATTTCGCAAGGACGACATATGGAAAGACATCGTCAGAAGGATATTGAGGCTGGAGGAACCGGCTTTGGCATTCTTGATACACGGAAGAGGGCTTGGGAGGCACCCGACGGATCGGTCGTTGAAAAACGGCCGTGTCGAAGCGCACAGGCCCGAAATAACCAAGCTGTGGAAAAGAACACCCTTGAAGCGCAACAGGAACCATCACCAGAATCTGAACAAGCAGATAATCACAACAACCAATCTCCTGGGTTAACGGCTTGGAGTCACGAAGACAGTCAGCGATTAAATACAGCTGATTTGCACAACGCGACTGATTTCAATCTTGGGGGTTCTCTCTTTGTTAACCCAACCACCAAGTTGGGACCAGAACACCAATCCGGGTTTCCCTCAACGGACCAATTCGATCACACCGCCGGGATCGAAGACTTCTGTCTTGATCAACTGGACCCTCTGCTGCTCAACGATTCCTTTGTCGATCCAGCTACGTTCGACTACACCCAGAGCTTCCAGCCAGACACAGCCAGCTCGTTTAATATGCCATATACGACTGCGTTGGACTACAGCTGGCTTTTTAACGTGAACTTGAAACCAACATCTCTTGCAAAGGACCAACAACAGAATATCCAGACCCAACAGATGTCCGAGTCTCTCCAAATACTATCCCCAGAGTCCATCAACAGTTCCCGTCGCTGGTCAGAGTCAGGGCACTCTCACACCAGTGAATCAAGACCCGATATCCCCGATCCTCGCACCGCAGTATTGAACCAAACCAAGGCTATTTCTGATACACCCACCAGTGTCAAGTCAAAGCCTAGAATGCTGACGCAACAGAGAAATGTAAGGGCTCCTCGGCCCAATACTGTACGCGAGAATTTACATGTCGAGCAACCCGAGTTCAACAGGCCCTTCTCTATGTTGGATAAAGGCCCACCAGTGCCTAGGATTGAGGAACACGTTCGCAAACGAATCTTGCAAGTCATCGAAACCGCCAACCCATCTTTACCTGAACCTCGCCAATCACCTTTCGATGAACCACTCCTGTCGAGGGACGCTTTGCAGAGCTACCTCGAGTTATTCTTCTTCCGGTTCAACACCGCCTATCCCTTGATGCACCTTGCAACATTCGACATCAATAAAGTCGAGCCGCTGCTACTTATTTCCGTCCTCTTACTCGGAGCCACCTACTCAACTAAGGATGCACACCAGCTGGCTGTCTGCATCCACGATGTCATCCGCCCCAGTATCTTTGCTCATGCAAGCTTCTCGGCGCGCGCAGAGCTATGGACACTGCAGACTATTCTCCTGGTGGAGTGTTTCGGCAAATCTCGAGCCGGACAGAAGCAACACGATATGAGTCATCTGTTCCATGGACTTCTCATCAATCTCATCCGACGGTCTGACTGTCAATCGGTTCGCCCCCAGGGACCTCCTGTCGATCGAACAGGTAGTACAGAAGGTGCCATGCGAGACCTCTGGCGACGATGGGCTATTGCAGAACAGAAGAAACGGTCAGTATCTATGGTCTAACTCACTCACCGCATCCAGCTAATATCCAATCTTAGCCTTGCTCTTCTGTGCTTCATGTGGGATACACAGCATGCAGTCCTCTTTTGCCAAAGTCTTTGCATGTCTGCGTTCGAACTTCGTCTAGAACTTCCCTGTAACCAAAGGATCTGGGAAGCTCCTGATCCGACTTCCTGGGCTATGGCATGGCGGTTGTCGCCCTGTAATCCCCAACACAACTTCTTCCTACCTAGTCTAAAGTCATACCTTGGCCCATCAACACCTCGCCCACAAGCACTGACTGGACTATCACATGTACTTATGCTCCATGGTCTTATGTCGATAGCATGGGACATGCAACGTCGCGACCAGACAGCACTCGGTGTAACCGAGGGTGATGCGCCGACTGCGAAATGGCGACAAATTATCGGCAACGCGTATGAAGCCTGGAAGGGAGACTTTGATGCCTACATAGCTTCCGTAATCTCCCAGCTACAGAACACGCCCGCTGATCAAGCCCGACGCAGCGAATACGTGGCATTTGCGACTGCCTACAACGCCTTGTTCCACTCTGCACAAGCACTCCTTCATATGGAATTCTTGGATGTTCAGATCTACGCTGGAGCTCGTCACATATTAGGGCGACCAGTACAGCAGAAGGATTACCGCCGATCTGCAAAGGCTATAAAGCAGTGGGCTTCTGCGGCTACGGAGCGTCAAAGTAAAGAACTAGGTTCAAAACCCGAGCAATCTCCAGCCCCCATTGCTGCATGGCACGCCGCTCGTTTACTACACGAAAACACCAAGGTTCTCACTCGCTCAGATGCCATGCAACTGTTCCATGTGCCATGGTGTCTCTACCTAGCAACCCTAGCCTGTTGGGCATTCCGACATGCTCAGCCGAGCAAAGGCGGGACGACCGATAATGACGATAATGACGATGAAAGTGGAGACGAAGGAGACGAGATCATCTGGGATCCACAAGGAGAGATGGAAAGTCTTGTATCAAGAATGGCACAGAACGTACCGCAGGATATTACTGTGAAGACAGGCCAGCTTCGTCAAACGGTTGGTCTGGTCTGGACTATGGCAGAGACTTTGAGCAAGGTTAGATGGGGAATCTTACATGCTGGAGTTGTTGTGCTACGAGGATTAATTCCACAACGGCTCATCAACCAGTATGATGAGCCTCATGATGACAACTTTTAATGAAATGAATTTAAGATAGGTTATGATTATGTTATTAAGTTAATCTTTCTATGTTACTGCCATCGTATCAACACCATGAACTTATACGATTAGATATACGAACCGTGTCATTTGTAACTATTTATTCTAAGCGTACTTGATTATCTTCAATGGTAAAGGAATCTCAAGACATATGTCACATTTCGACATTAAAGTCTTCTCGACAACAGAATATATAGCAAGCTGTATGCCCTTGTACTACTAGGCCGATATTGAAGAAAACAGTCCTGTGCGTAAAGGATCAGTGGCCAAGTTGTATCCGGCATGTATTCTATAAGACTACACATCCATACAAATTAGTCAGTACTGCTTGTTCCACAGACTACTGGTGCAATAAGTCGATAAACTATAAGGGTCTAAGTATTATTATTGTATCTTTTGTAAAATAGCACCTTAAAGTTCTTGAAACAAAGAATAGCGTGTCTTTCTACCAAGCCAGCTCTGCCTGAGCACCACAACTTTCCCTCTCCAACTGGGAGCACAACATCGCATCCTGATCATACGTTCCTGTTTTCATTGGCCCGACCACCTTGGGCATCGCAGGCAATATTGGCTCGCCCAGCTCAACTTCTTTTCTTCTATGCTCCATCACATGCTTCCTGACAGTGTTCTGGAAGTGGATTGGTCCCTATAAACAAAGTTCGTTAGCGGTTGGCAATTGAATTCAGTGGGTGCACTGACTCGTTCCTTATCTGGGTGCAGTTCTCCACTAACAAACACACCAGCTTCTAGATTGGCCTGTGCGGACTCGCACAGTTCCTTATCTTCATCTAGAACTTGTGCGTAGAACTCCATGGTGGCTTTGAATATCTCGTCTCCGGCTGAATCGTGACGGAAGACCTCATTCTCAATCCTTGTGTGTTTTTCGTCGACGGGAATCATACGCTGGATGTAAAAGAAATTCTTCCTGATAGGAATGTCAGCAGCTGTATCTAAAGCAATAAAGGATGTCTGTTGACTTGCGTGACTGTTACTGAAGTTGATGGAAAGAAGAATCTAATGGATCGTTTGAAGTCGTCTGTACCATCGTCTTCCTTCTTGTTAACGATCGTGTGCTCTAGGCAATTGCCCTTGGGTTCAACATTGTACTTGGGCAAGTCTGAAACTCTAGCGATGAGAGGGTGGCTCGTTGGACAGTGGTAGCATTCTGAAAACGTTAGATAAGTTGTCAAAGATAGAACATCAAACAAACCGTTGTAGTTCTCCATCACTCCCTTCCAATTAGATTTGAGGTCCATTTCCCACGTGTGATCATATTTGTATCCAGTCGTAAAGTCAAACATAGTCTTCTCATCAACGCCGCCGAACTGCTTCTCCCATGTCTCCTCCAACTCAGCTTGCAAGTTGACCCAGACAAAGCCAGTCTTGTCAACATGGACATGAATAGGCAATAGTCCATGTTGGTTTTTGTCGAAGTCTGGAACCGTCTCGAAGCGAGGCGCCTTGGCCAAATTTCCCTTCAGTCCGTACGACCAGCCGTGGTACTTGCAACTGATAATGCCAGTCTTACCAGCCTTGTCTTTGATCACCGGGTAGGCACGGTGACGGCAAGCATTATGGAAACCATTTATACTACCATCACGGTCTCGGATCAGGAAAATGGGAAACTCGGCGTATGTGAACGAGAAGTAATCGCCAACTTGTTGGAAGCGCAGCTTGTGAGTCAAGAGAATCCATTTCTTGGAAAAGATTGCTCTGCGTTCAAGCTTATAAATTTCTGCGGAGCGATACCAAGACGATGGAAGACCACGGGTTGGTCCGGTCTTGGTGTTAGCATCACTGCCCGAAGAGAGGCCAAGGAATTTCCACATGATGAAGGTGATGCCCTGGGAGAATTCGGATGATCTTAGAAAGTGCTGTAGGCAAATTGGGCTCAAATCTGATACGAAGGCGTCAATAATGGATTCGAGAGATGTGCTCTTATGCCTAAATAACTATCGCGGGGTTATGTGTCTATTCAATGATCCCCCATCATCACGTACATGCCAATCTGGCGTAAGGCGAAGAATATCGCCGATCTGATAGGCTCTGCGCTATCTCGACTCGACTGAAATTGCCTAAAATAAACATAAATCTCATTGGCTCCAAGCCGTTTCATGTTGGTTATCCGCAAGAGTGGGGGTGGAGATCAAGGTTCGGGGAAGAGACGTAGGCCGTTTTCGGAGCTATGGCGGTTCCTAATACATATGTAGGTACAGGGATAATTGCCTCGCGATGGAGCTGCTGGAGTGATAACAGGCATGTCACTGAATGGCTGCCTGCTGGGCACCTGTTCTGGTGGTATTAAAACCTCATTATCAATGATTTATTCAGGATTTGGGGTGCAATGAATGTCACACGGGCCATTAACCGAGAGGCTTGGCATTTCGAGAAGGGTAAGTGGGCTTCTAGGTGGCATTCGCTTCGACATGATTATCAATCTCTGAACTACAATCGGATCAAGACATCTCGTCATCGACCGAGCCAACTAGTTCAATGTATGAACTAGTCATCAGTCGTCAGGAGTTAGTCGTCCGGAAATAAGACTGGTTGTGCTTCCTCATTCCCGCGATGACGATTAAGTCTCGCCTCGTCGGGTGATTTGGCTAACGGTAATTCCCCCCCCCCCGATCAAGCAGCATACCTGAATACAACTCATAATTATAATTACCAAATGAGAGACAAAATGATGATCATTTAAGAACATTCACTAATAACGGTGTGGAGTAGGCGGCGTTTATTTCTGTGAGCGTAAACTTGACAGCAACATGTGAAGAATCCGAAGAACTAAGAGTAAGATGGAGCGAAAGGTGCTTTGATTACACCAAGAGTAATAATGTATGGTTCTCATCCTTCTATGACCAGGGTAAAATAAAGAAAGAAAGAGGATATTAATACCGTACTGATCTTGGGAGTAGCCTCAACCTCCAGGGTAGCTTCAGCCGTTATGCTGATGAGTATGGAATGAGCAGGGTAGGCGGTGGGTTCAAACTGGATCATATGTGATTTTATTTATAACTTCAGCTCACAAACTCTTTCAAGGCTCAAATCAAAAGTCCCCATTAAAGTGCACCATGTCTGCCGGAATCAGATAATCCACCCAGCATCATCAACAGTAGGCACGTAGCTGTCAGCTTGCTTTCTCACTCACTCTCATCTAATCTCGCACTTGACAGACTATACTGAGGATGCCGTTAGATACCTCGCCTTCTGTAGGGTTTCACCACTTGTCTACTGAATTAATCGATATAATTTGCTGCCTTATCACGAATTGTGTTGTTAAGAATCCACGCTTAACTTGCCGCTTTCTCGGTAACAACTCGCTTCTACATGTACAATACGTCTTCATTTCCAACCTTTAAAATATCTAGATTATTCAAGCCGTTTCCAACTATAAAACTTTCCGTTACGGTGTAATGAAAGCAATTCAGGATTATACCACCTACCCTATATATCTTACCCTTTATAGTACCTCTATAATCTAATATGGGTTTCCTTTCTCACGGAAAAAATAGTGATATTTCTTAAAGTCAAGTGACTTTTACACCAGCCCAACTAAGCTTGCTTAGTTAGCCCGCTCGAGCCAGCGGGTAAGGTCTTCAGCTATACCTAATATCCTTACAGGGATAAGACAGGGGTATGTGTTTAGCGAGAGGACAAATCTTTTGGAGTATAATTAGAACCCCGTATTGCTTTATCCAGATTACTTATCTCTATTGTTTCATTGGCTACTTGCCGCTAGGGCGTTCTAGAATCCTGACTCTATTCCACTTTGATAGGGTAGCTTTTCACAATCCCCACCAAGCAAATAAAAAATTAATGAGCGCACGTATTATTGTTTGTTAAGTGGAACCTAAGACCTCGTATCATGGCCGATCGCCTCCATTGATCTCGTATTCTCGTGTTGGGACTATGCACCTCCTTAATTCAGAAATATTTAGCCATCATTTCGCTTTATAAGCTAGACCTTCTGCCAGCTGCCAATGTCTTGATACTACGCATTGTCCTCCTCATCAGTTTCTTCGCTACAGTTACTGTATCTGAATCTTCAACATGAGAGTTCTGGAATTTACCAGCCTGTGGTGCCTTTTAGCAACCCATGTACAGGCTAAGTATGTCTGGCCCGCTAAAAGTGACTTTCTGGAAGATTTATACGCCATGCAAGATGGCACGATCCGATTTGGCTTCACAGATTGTAAGAAGCAATTATCAATTCGTTGAATTCTTTTCCTTATTACTAACACTTCAAAGTGGTTGTGCCTTGCGGCTTCAATTCCAACGAGCTTGGAAGACAGCTTGCTGCCGAGTGGATCAGGACTGTATTCCACGATACAATCACGCACGACAAGGCTAGAGGCACAGGCGGCCTTGATGCCTCAATCATGTTCGAGACACACCGTGATGAGAACAACGGAGCCGCTTTCAACCATACACTATCGGAACTCCACGAATTTGTCTCTCCTCGCTCAAGTGGAGCTGATATGCTGGCTCTGAGTCTAGTATCATCTGTCGCCAGTTGTGGTGGCCAGAAGGTGCCGCTCCGCATGGGTCGCATCGATGCTACTCAAGCGGGAAAGGCTGGTGTACCCAAGCCCGAGCACAACCTCAAGAGTGCCATGTCAGCCTTCACCAAGGCTGGTTTTACCCAACCGGAGATGATTGCTCTGGTGGCTTGTGGTCACACCATTGGGGGCGTTCACAGCACTGAGAATCCGAAAATTGCGGGAGGAAAGCCGTCTCCCTCTAACAAGCCCAAGTTTGACAGCACTTCTGATGAATTTGATAATGTGGTCGTGAAGGAGTACCTTGGAAGTAACGGCGCGAACCCTCTGGTGTTTGGTCGCAACGAGACTACAAACTCGGACAAGCGCATCTTTGGATCCGACAAAAATGTCACTATGACCAAGATGAAGGATCCTCAAACCTTCCAGAAGACTTGCGCGACTGTTTTTGAACGCCTCATCGATACTGTTCCATCAGCTGTCAAGCTGAGTGAACCTATCGAGCTCGTCGATGTCAAGCCATATATCGACAAGCTGGAGCCTGCCACAAATCAATCTCGTGTTGTCTTGGAGGGCAAAATTCGTGTTCGTACAAGCCAGGGAACCAACCGCGATGCTGATACGCTCCAGGTCTCATTGACACTTCTTTCCAGGAAGGGGAAAAGAACAACAGTTAGAGCTTCTCGCCTGCTTGGCGGCGGCCAATCTTTCGGCTTCTTCAACGAAGTCTTCACATGGTATCAGTTTGCTACAGAGTATGACGCTACAATGGATCTCCAAGCATTCGATATTCACCTCAAGTCGGGCGATGCCAAAGAGGTTGTTCTCAACAACCAAGGTACTGGTGGATATCCTATCCAAGATGAACTCCTCTTCGTGCAATCTAAGTCCTGCCTAGACAGCAATGTCCGGGATGGGAACTTGACTGTTACCGTTGAGGCTGCCATACGAAATGATGTTGTCGTTAAAAATAAGGCTCCCGTCATTCAGATGGCCCACAAGATCTCACAACCTGGAGCAATGCTACCGCGAATCTCTGTCCAGCCTTCGCAGATGAAAGTGGTGAGAGGCAAGGCAAGCCCACATCATACCCACTATGTGGCCAAAATCAACATTAACGCTAGAGAGGCATCAACTACTTTTGATATTCAGTACGGCTCTATAACATCCGACTTTCATTGGACTAATCGGGATCTGGGTTCTTGCTAAGCCTGAAAACCGGATTATATATTCCCAAGCAAATTTAATATATTAAAACTATCCAATTTACGCCTTGAATTGATGGATTTATTAATATAATTTATCTTCTAGATCTTAAACTTTACAATATGAACTAAGATTATCACCAATCAATACGAACTCTAAAGGGTACACACCCAGTACCATACAAACAAGGACGATGGATTCAAAACCTAAATCAATCACAAAATTCGAATCCTATTTTTTAATATACCCACTCCGTTGTATTGACGCGTATCTAACAGACGATCTGGGTGCTGCCCTGGACGTAGAATATACACTCCATTCGCTGGCATACGAAGCGCGCTACACTTATGTTACGACCTAATAGATAGCCTGTCAGCCCATTGTATGTACTCTACCGATCTCGCCTAATTAACATTAACCAACCCCATAGAAGTTAGATAGTATCTATTTAACTTCTATAATTAATATTAGTAAATTAACTCTATTTAACTTATACATATAACTATATATATATATTAGTACTTTTATAGACCTTAGCTTACTTATGATTAATATAACTTCTTTATCCTAATATACTTGATAAAGAATATCTAAAAAAAGACTTTATTTTAGTACCTATAGAAAATCCTAGAACTAAACTTTTATCTAGATAAGATGTCTACTAAGGTATATAAGTTATACTGGCATACTAGCCTATAACCCTAGAGTAATTATATTTATTAACTATACTTACCTATATTTACTTTATATAGAAGACTAATATTATACTATTAGCTAGGTAACTAGCCTATATTTGAATTATTAACCTATATATTTTTTAAAGAAGCTAGTTTCTCATTAATTAGAACCTTAATTAACTTTTAGTAACTTTATATAAATATTAAATCAAAGAGTAATATTGAAAGTTAAAGTTTTATCTTACTTATTATATCGATAATTAAATCTTTTATTTAAATTAACATGATTTTAATATTTCCAAAACTAATTAAATATTAACCTAGAGTAGTTTAATACACTTTTAATATAGCCCTAGCAGGGGTTTTCATACTATTAAGAAATAGAGCTGTGGCTAATATAGTTAGTAACCTTATTAGATTTGAGATACTGTTACTTTTCGGTCTGTGTAGAGGCCTTTATTGTTAATATTTTTATGGGTTTAATTGGAATAGCTGGATCTCGTTTTTAAAGGTGATACTATACTTAATATAAATAATACCTTATTACATACTTAATAAATTACTTATTTTATAATTTTAGGCTATACCTATTTATATTTAATTTATATAAGGAATCAAAATAGTAGTAATAGACTTCACTCTGGATCACTCTCTAGAATCTACAAGGCTGATGGCGTGGTTGAATGCAAAGCAGTACGGCAAGGAGTTCGTCGAGACACTCATGTGTCGGGACGTTCAGCCAGAAAACATCAAAGAGAGACACAAGGAGCTTTTCTTTGAACTATACGCGGTTCCGGAGCCGCCACAACCTCCAGTAGATCAATGTGTTTGTGAAGGGGACTTTTGGGAAAGGGTTCTTTGCAATGTGGGAAGAAATCATTGACATGGAAGTTAATCATCATTTAATATTTAACGTAGCATAGACATGTCATAATCGATCACTTTTGGAAATTGTACTCACTCACCCTTGACAACACCACCATGTGCGAGATCGCGCCTCCTGTTGTAAGGCCCTCTTTTCAGCCCTGCCTCCTCTGCATTGGTCTGTCAGCCCCCTGAAAAGTGATACTGAATTCTGGGTCAGCAGCCAGAAACCACAGTTGACATGCTTTCTCTGCTAGGTTGACGCTTCGCCATGATCAGTATGACCTTGAGACTCCTGAGACACTTTTGACTCAGAGTTGGCCCCTTTCATATTCACGTGGTATTGCATGATTAGCCCACGGTCGGCTATGGGATGCCTTACAAGACCAAAGGCGAAAGGGTGGCGTGGATTTAGAATGTATACAACATGGAAATTGCCTTTAAAAACAATAATGTCATCAAGTGGTTCTGGTAGTTCTGTAAGAAGGTAAAAATTCCAGTAATTGGTCTGGCGCTCTTACAGTTACACAAGTCAGCAATAAAAATGGCCTCAGCCATGTGTCATAAAACTCGAACAACGAAAATGGCTCCCTGCATAACGGACGGCCTTGAACAAGAATTGCCGAGGCCCAAGGGATGGCTGGTGCGGCTGAACTCGCCAGACCTCAAAACGCCAATGACCTTTCCGCGGGGCGGTTTTGTCGAGTAGTCCTATCTCTAGCAAATAGGACGCAAGGCTGGAGTTACACGAGTGACGAGTCTGCCTCACTCGGTCACATGGTGGTCACCAGCCTGACTCAGGACTCGGAATTGCGAGACCTGAATGCATCCATCAGCCGGTAAAATGCCACTGCCCGAAATGTAAAAACTTGGTTTGTCCTTGATTGTCAAATTGAAGGGGTATGTCAGTTGTTTTGGCAATCACACACGGCTACCTACTGAACAACGCCACTATTTTGCTCCGATTGACGCCAAGTCTCAAAGACCAAAACTCCTATTTGTATAGCTTTCCCCCCGCTTTTCATAAGGAAGGCTCTAGAAGGCATCACCAGTCACGACAAAATAAAATCCTTTCCATCAGGGTTTGAAGCGCCAAAGCAACGAAAAGACCAATGTCTACTCGATCCAGCATCTCCAAACCTTTATCCTCACTTCGTCCCAGAGCTGCTGGTATGGGGTATCATGGTAATCCAGTCGCAGTGCTCGACATGAAGTCAGACCAAGTCCGACCGCTTGACAAAGCTGACGTTAAAGGTACGTTGACCAGCCTGCCACAGCTCTCTGCTAACAAATCGACAGGCAAAGATTACTTCACGGTTGAGATACCTCGATTGAAGAACAACGTCCCAATCTACATCGCTCGATCGGACAATACGAAGGAGTTTAAAGATTTTATAGACTGAAAAGTAATAATATTTTAAATTCAATATAAGAAGTTAAGAAATTTCTATAACTACCTTAGCTTTATAAAACTAACTAGAATGAATAAACAATAATTGTTTAAATAAAGCTACTTACTACTATTAAGTAATAGCTTTAAGCACTTCTATACTAATAACCCCTTAATAGCTAATCTAGATAATCTCTTAAAATATAAATAGTCCTTTAACAATTAGTATATATTAGCTTCTGTAGTTATAATATAAGTTTAAGTATTTAATTATCAATACTAAGTTACACTAGGAGTTTTACTAAAGTGTTGTAAGCTTATAGCTTTACTATATTAATCACTTTAACTCGTTCACGACTTCATGCCACTCAGTAGCCTTCCTGTCATCTCCAAAGACAGCGTAGAGCGCCTGCCTTGCAGTCACAGTCTTCTCCGCGCCTTTGCGCAGACCTACTTCCGTGCCAGTCATGTATGCATTGCCACCCCGTCCCTCCTCAGCAGGCAGAGCCACAGCATCGTCCATGGTGAGGACCAAGTATTCATAGTCACTCTCGATAATTGGAGGGATAGTGCTCCAGTATTTCTTGAGACCCTCTAAGTCGAGCTCCTTAGCGTTAAAGGTAATCTTGGTGTCGGATGTCATGAGCTCGTTGACGGCTACTTCCCATCCAGTGACATTGGGAAAGACAGCTACATAGCGTTTAGCAAATCCTCGAGTAACGAGACCAGAAACAAGTAGAGGCTCACCAACAGCTTCCGCAGTTCTGTGCCACCACTGCTGGAAAGACTCTTCTGCCACAGCAGTTGAGGTGAAGGCAGTAAATGCCGAAGTAAAGAGGGCCGTGGAAAACCTCATAGTTCTGGTCTTAATGTAGTTTATATTGAAGTTGCTTTGTGAAGGAGAATGGAGAAGTAAGGTATAAGTTCTAGCAAGGTTGCTACCTTATAGTTATATTTTAATTGGGATTAAACTTACGCCATCCTTCATTCCTTATGTGGGTATATAGGACTTGAATTAGCAGGGTATTAGATCCAAGCTGGCAGGGAATAATTCCTACCAACAGGGACTAGGTATAGCTTCCAAATTATGAACTATGTATAGAAGGATAGGGGTAAGACATACAGTACGATACAGTATAACTACTGCTTGAGATTAAGTAATAGGTGCGCTCTATAGTGTCAATACACAACTAGCGATTAGCATAAATAGCACATTACTAGATACTAGTAAATAGTTAGTATAAAGAATAAGTAATTTAGTGTTATAAAAGTCTTCGTTTAGATAAAGGAATCCCTAACCTGAAGGGGGTAATTAATATTGAGATTATATGCGCAAGTAAAATACGGCAAGTAGGAAGAATATAGACAAGGTAAAGTAGTATTAATGACGTTGCAAGAGGGACGAAGGATGAGTGCAGAGGGCCATAGCTTCGGTATACAGCCTAGAAGGGACCGGACCTATACTTAATAGGGCAATACCGCCACGTTGACGGATTAAATGCTGGTTAGGCTACAGCATTCAATAGATCACCACATCCTTCAGCGGCTTTAGTGGTTAAGCCCACTAACCCCAATGGGGTTTTCCGAAATGCGACGGCGATTAATTGCACACCGCAGCCGAGCATCATCATGATAAGACATTCGACGACAAGTGCGATTAAGACGCTGAAAGTTTGCATGATAGTATATGAGATCTTCAATAGTTATTTGTAGAAGAGCTCGAATTCTTTGGAGCAGAAACGATGGCGCGTAACAAATCTGAATGATGGGAGAAATGCAGAAGCAGTGGTTGAGTGCGCTGAGGCCACTGGAGCGCGCGTCGCAAGTCCATCAACCACGATTTATTCCATCTAAGTTGGAGAGATATTTAGGCGAAAAGACAAAGGACCATTTATCTTTACAGTAGTTAGAAAGGTTCATGTTTTAGTGTTCAGTTGGTTATCCCATAATTTATTTTATCTATATGCTGGTTGTCATCCCAAGGATGAAACGTTGAGGAACTGTTGAGCGACAAACCTGATATTAACCCTCCCTTTGACCAAGTGGGAAATAATACACAATAGATCGAAAAGTTATATCGCGCAGTCACTCCTGGGTAAGAAAAGGCTTGTCTTCAAGTGTATGTAGATTTGAATGACATAGGATTATCTTCGAGCTCACGGCCCGCCTCCCAATTGAGCGTGGTGGCCGGCGGCTATCTTACCAAAGCTAACTCAACACCAAGTCACCGTCACGATATAGAGATGAAAAACAGTTCAAGGTGCACTTAATTAATGTTATTACTATGCTTCAACAATTGTTAGCATTATCACGAGTCATTACCAATTATTCCGAATATTATTAGCCATTACTTCAGGGCGCTCTCCTCAGTAAGGCCATTTATCCTCCGACAGTGACAAGACCATTTGATCTCATCCTGTCTAGCAACATCCTTTCATCCTCATAATCTCAAGGGTAAATAAAAGCCCCTTAAAATAAATAATTACTGTGCGTTTATGCTTGGGCGGCGAAAAGAAATGAGTATCTTTCTGGTCTTAACAAGCTTGTCCTTAGGAATAAGCCGTAGTCCTGTAAAGCCTATATGTTTAATTGTCTGCTGCAGTGACTGCACTTTGTAGTTGTGTTTATAGGCCTCGATATTTGCCTTCTTAATGTGGATAAACTTATGTAGGGAATTGACTATTTTCTGTGTATTCCTGACGGCCTGCTCTCGGCCCTACGAGGGTGTACAAAACTGAGGAGGCGCTTGCCCTAGTTCACGTTAGTAACTGCGTCATGCTGGTAAGTGACTATATCACTTCTATCGCCAGTAAAGCCGTTGAGATAAGACGTCAACGCGCCGCGACAGAACAGTGGGAGCGCTTCGCAGTGGATGTGATTTACCGCTGTCCTGATTGCGATAACAAGAAGTATGACACTCGGGCAAAGTTGCGAGAGCACTTACAAAAGGGAACTGAGCATAAACGGGACAGGATGGCTGATGGGAGGGAGCTTGAGGAGAAGCTTAACGCTTCGAGGTCCGCTAGGCCTGATAGACCAGTTGAAACAGGGAGGTGAGGTTGTTATCTAGAGTAATTGGGCTCTATAGAAACACAGCTCTAAACCAGATAGAGAGCTATATATGAATGTCAAAGGAGATATCTTATATATACTACTTTATGAGTTCCTACAATAATCTAGCTCAGTAATGCAACCGAGTACCACTGTTGTCTAATTCTGTCCCTGGAGAAGTTTACACCTACTAACCACATCTAGACGTCAAACTCGAGATAACATGCTCACGCCAGTATGAAATCCCTGCTACCGTAGCACCAGGTCCCACAAGACTTAAAGTAGCCAGTGATACCAAGCCTCCAAAAACAGCTTGCTGTGTCCCCAGAAACCCAAGCGAGCGTAACTCCCAGGCATTGTAGAGGGAGTAGATAAGACCTGATGCTGCGTTTATGACACAAGTACTCTGAGTAAACGATACTACTTGGGACAAACTTGAACGTGCCCAGTTTTCAAAAGTGTGCAAACCAGCAGCTGGTGCGAGTTTCGTAGCGGCTAGGACAACGATGCAGGCGGCGAAGGCAGCACCATGAGTTAGCTTGAGGGGTGCGACATCCTTGTTCTCGTATGTCTCAAGTTCAGACTCGGATGCAAAATTGATCGGCCCAGCCTTCTCTTCACCTTCTTGGTGTGTGCTTCTCTTCTTTTGCCTTGGGCGGATTGCGGCAAGTCCTCGGGTGAAGGTGAGGCAAAGCAACGGATATGCCTGCCAGATGTAGCCAATGCGACGCTTGAGCTCTGGATCTCCAATAGGCAGCAGCGCTACTGCTGTTGGCGTGATGTAACCTAGAACGACGGCTGGGAAGATTGATCGAGAGATTCTAGGGCCGACAGGTCTCTGTGTGGTGGACGGGCTAGAACAAAGGACAGAAGAGAGGGACAGGAGGGGGAGCGCGGAGCTTGGCCCTACGAGGGTGTACAAAACTGAGGAGGCGCTTGTCCTGGTTCACGTTAGTAACTGCGTAATGCTGGTGAACAATGGGCTCCAAACCAAGACAGAGGATCAAGGACGGATCTATTCCGAAAGCCTTCAACTAGCCACGTAGAGAGAGTTGGAATCATACTGGCGACAATGCTTCCGATGGAATTCCGGCCAGTTTGAGTGGCCAAAAGCCCTCCATTACCCAATCGGTGAAAGATATCAAAGATGGCTGTTCCAGCTCTAATGTCATACTTTCCGATGGAAGCGTACAACAACGCTCCAAGGCTGGCTGATGCAAGCACCCATGGAACTCGTCTAACAAGATCACCTTTGATTGGCTTGGCGGGTAGCTCATCTTCAAATGGGACAGAATGTGGTCGTCGCGGTACAGGAATGCCTTCAATTTTAGGAGCCGCGGTGCAGATTGGAACCACAACGTCGCAAAAAGCGGTTGGACCAAGGCACGGGAGTAGGCGCTTGATGAGACCAGCGAACGGGACTCTTTGGCTTACCACCATCTGCAGAGTATGCGCCTGCGCTACCAATTGCTTGGAGCGTTCGTAGCGGAGGTCGTGGACTTCTGCTAATGCAGTTTCTATTTGAGCGCCGGATAAGCCTTGAGGACTTAACTTGAGTTGGCGTACAAGAGCATTAACTAATAGCGCTGCGGACTCCATGGCACCGTTGCCACCTTGGCCGGATGCTGGATCAATCTGCAAGTTCAACGCGTTAGCTACCTGAGCAAAGGAGAGATCTCGTGAACCCAGTAATACTTGCCTTGTGTGCTGAATCTCCTATCGTAATGACTTGTTTGTAATGCCATCTCTCAAATACGTATTCCTCAAGAGGAACAAGTGTCGAGATGATTTTCCTGTCGTATAAGTCGCCGAAGGTCAAATCCTCAGTCATAGGATCGTTGCGACGAGCCTTTACTAATTTTTCTTCGTCGACCTTTGAGTATTTCGAAATTTCCTTCCCGTACTTTGTTTCGGGGAGGCCGTCGAAGAGAAACCAGTAGGTTCGGTTTTTTGGTGCTGCAATGACAAGGTATGAGTGGCCACTTCCAAGCACCATCTGTTGACTTCGGCTACCATAACCAGAGGGTCGATCCGAGATTCCAAAGATGCACCTAGTGGAGGCTGGGACACCTGAATTATAATGTTAGTACTAAAGATAAGAAGATTTGCAGTTGTGCATACGTGAGGCTTCATCTTCCGGAAAGTACCCAGGACTTTGCTCTTTGCCAAGACGCCACATTTCGTCTCTTACTGCGCTATGGATTCCATCGGCGCCCACAACGAGTTCTCCTTCATATACTGAACCGTCTTCGGTATAAGCCTGCATCGCATCCATTTTAATTTCTAGGCGAGTGACCCTTTTTCTGGTTAAGACTCGATCTTTGTGTTTAAGATTGTTGTACAGAATCTGCAGTAGCATCTGCCGATCAATAAAGATGGAGGGATAGCCAACTCTGCTCTGCGACTTAGTCAAGAACCTATCACGTAAAGATCTTTTTAATACCTTTTCTCGAAATGAACAGAAAGACTGGTGTTTGAGGCAGGAACCAGTGGAATACCGTCTGGTCCTCGCATGCTGCCGAGAGTATAGCGGCATTCCCCAGCTATGTCGAGAATAGGCTGAAAACATCCTAGTTGGTCCAGAATACGGAAGCCATTGGGCAGGATACCGATGCTAGCACCAACTTGAGGCGCAATTTGCGGGTAGGCTTCTAGCAGGACGTAGTCTATGTCAAATTGTTCGAGCATGTTGGCCGTGGACAGGCCGGCGACGCTGCCGCCTACGATGATGACTTTGAACCCCATGGTTGTAATGTGTTAAATTCTCAATATCTGCTTATGTTTACTTGCAGTACTGTGACTGTCTTATGTTAATTTTTCAACCTTGCTTTACAAAGCGGCCTGGATTCCCGGCTTGCCGGGGTTTGCTACGGCCCCGACGAAAGTATCCAAGACGGGAGATAAACCACGATTACGTGTTGCTGAATGCCATACCACGTGGAAGTGCTGGCATTACTGCGCTAGAGTTTAGGATACCCCTGCTTTACTCACAACAGCAGTTACACGCATAGTGGACATTGGCAAGGGAAAGAGAGCTGGTTGGTGCAGGACTACAGCGCTGACTCAGCGGAAGTAGTCGGCTCCTTGTGTCCGGGAATTAGGCTGAATCGAGCGTATATCATTGTGTCAGTGCTCGTTTTTGACGATCTTGCCATCCTTGCCGTTGTTAATGGAGTTCCCCCCTTTCTTTTTCAATAGCGACTATAACGTTCCAAACGAGCCTACTTGTTTGAGTTTGACTAAAAGCACTATTTTCTTTCTTTCAGAAAATACCTTTCAGAGTGAAAGTCGCATTTCTTGTTGAGTAACTTTCATGTCATGGAGCTGAAACCGAACCTCTGCAAGAGACGTGCTTGCTCCTAAATCATTGTGTCCTCCATGCTCGAAGGACCAAAGCTGGGCGGTACACGTCTTCTCCGCTGATTTGGATCCCGTCAACAATTCTTGCTCCGCCATGGTTTCGGCAAGAGTATCGAATGTTATCCACACAGCCGGCTGTGTATGTATACGCGGCCAACTAACAGTAATTCAACAGTCATGCAACTAAGTCTCAATAAGACATAAGTGCGACTTATAACCTAGAACCCTAAAACCCTAAACTTAATATTAGTTTTTGATTGGTAGGAGTATTAATTTGCCTAGAGAGCATGCTGTAAAATAACTCCGCAATACTTAGTGTGGGGTATTCCGGAGTAATTAACGTACCTAAATAGTGTATAGATAGTAATACATTTATCTTTATAAATAGTACAGTTCCCATTACAGACTTATAGATTAGGTATTGTGCCTAAATCTCACTTATCTTAAAAATGTCTATTCACCTTATCCTTAGTCTTTTGAACTTTTGGTTGGTACTTATCACCGCCATACCGAGCGCACATCCATATAAACAGGTTGCTTACGACGCACCACTTCCCCCAAGCAAAGACCCATGGTATACAGCGCCACCTGGCTTTGAAGACGCCCTGCCCGGGACGGTTTTGCGAGTCCGACATACCCCTGGTAACCTAACTAGGGTCATTGGAAATAGCTCTGCTGCATATAACATACTATATCGCACAACCAATAGCTACTACAGCCCTACCTGGGCTGTTACTACCCTACTTGTACCTCAACTAGGCCGCAATAGCAATGCAAGGCAGAACTTCAATCAGAGTGCCGTGTTATCTTACCAGGTTCCCTATAATTCGGCCGACATTGACGCCAGTCCGAGCTACAATCTATATACCACTGATCCCACCACACCCTACAACGCTGCTTTAGGTCTAGGCCTCTTTGTTTTGATACCAGATTTTGAAGGGCCCTTGGCTTCGTTTACTGCTGGAATTATCTCAGGGCATGCGACTCTCGATTCGGTTCGGGCTGTACTGTCGCTTGACCTGGGCCTTAATACCACTGCTCCACGTGTGGCGCTATGGGGCTACTCTGGGGGAGCTCTAGCTAGCGAGTGGGCGTCAGAACTTGCTGAGCAGTATGCGCCAGAACTTTCAGGAACTATTGTTGGCGCGGCGCTCGGAGGATTAACACCAAATATCACCAGAGCTTTGGCCGCTGTTAATGGCCAGAGCTTTGCAGGTTTGATACCAAGCTCTCTTCTGGGCCTTACAAGCCAATATCCCAGAGGGCGTGAGCACCTTGTTTCCCAGCTCAGGACAACTGGTCTATATAACCAGACTGGCTTCTTGGCTGCTCTAGAGTTTACAGTACTTGAGGCTCGCATGGCCTACGCAGGACTTGATGTCTTTAGCTACTTTAAGGATGGCTCTGCTATCTTGCGAGACCCCAGACTTATGAGCATCCTTAACCACGAAGGCATTATGGGGTACCATGGTGTCCCTATATGGCCGGTCTTTGCTTATAAGGCTATTGGCGATGAAATCAGTGCGGTAGCCGATACCGACGCTTTGATTGAGAGGTATTGTGCTAATGGAGCCAACATTCTTTACCAAAGAAATACTGTTGGTACACATCTTCAAGAGTCAACCTATAGTCGCCGCGCAGCTTTCGATTGGCTGGAGACAATTCTTAAAGGTCGACATGTAGAGGTCAACGAAACTAATAGTTGTACTATACAAAATGTGACAAGGGACGGTACAGAAAGCTGATTAGAGTAGGGAGATACTGTCAATGGTGTGCATGCTGTGTGGTAGTCCTATTCTAGCAGGATAGTGAGAGGCTTGGTAACTCACCACTATTACCTAGTGGTAGTGATAAAGTATTAATATAGACCTTCATAAGCTGTCATCCAGAAACCCAAGGACTGACATTTTTATTCTGTTTGTAGGCAATACTCTATATAAACGCTCACAGATAAGCCTACGAAATGCAAACACAATACATATGCCATTGGATACAGGCTTTACCATAGTTGCAACTACAAGCATCGTTGCTCCTAGTATACATTGCCATAAAGAAGTCTTCTATTATCACTACAAATCAAACGCTTAACGCCGGAAAAGGTCGATTTGAGAGGCAATTGCCCTGGACCATGCACCGTGGTCAACTACTACACCCTTCGGCTGGCCCGTAGTTCCAGATGTGAAGAGAATATAGGCTGCTCGAGCCTCGTCCATTGTGTGATTCGAGTTACAGGGTTGGGTTAGTTGGCGTTGAGCTACATCGTGTAGATCCACAGACACGATGCGACGGTGAGAGGGGAGGGTCGACAGTAACTCAGCGTGAGCTGGACTAGTCAGGACAATCTGAACTTCAGCTCCAATAAGCAAGCTCTCGAGTCGCGCCGGAGGCTGTGAACGACCCAAAGGCATGGAGGCGGATCCTGATTTGAGCACTGCAAGCATCGAGACAATTGCCGCCGCCGATTTATCAAAGCAAATACAGAAAAACTCCCCATCGGGATACGAGCCTTGTTCAGAAATGTCTTGAGAAACTATGTTGGCCAATCGGTCAATTTCAGCATATGAAAGGGCCCTATCGTCAGCCCTCACAGCTATTTCAAGCGGGTTCGCGCGGACCTTGGCGTCTGTCAAGTCGAGTATGGACTGGAATTTCTGGGCTTTACCATAGCGATGCCCATTCTCATTCCAACCCAGCATGTTGTGTAAATGCCAACAAGCCAAGAGCTCGAATCCCCTACATGCCGAGATGCTGATGTGGTATGGAAGCGGCCGTTACTTGTTGTATATATTGAAGAAACTCCAGAACAATCTGGTTTGGATTAACATGGAACTGTCTTGGCACGGTGACTATCGTCGGTCCTACAACCTAGTCTAGACCGGGCATATGGAAGTCTCGTCCAGACAGGGTAACGCTACAGTTCACTGTCGAACTAATCGTATACTGCGAAAGCAGTCTTGCCCAAGCGGCGTTAATCAAGACTGACGGCGTGACACCAGCAGACATGGCGATACTTGACTGGAAGGAGAAGCGAAAGGTTGCACTCGCCGTAGCTATGGGCTTGTGGGCGGATGGGGCAGGAGGAAACTGAAGCCATTCTCTGTCTTGCTCGACTAAATGAATCTTCCAATACTCCTTGGAGGATGATAGTGGTTCGCTTTTCAGCTGCTGGACGAAGGATTGGAAAGATGAACCAGGTTGTGGTAATTGCGTGCCTTGATATAACTTGACGGCCATGTCTCACATCAAGCTAAAGGAGAAGCCGTCGAAGAGGGTTGACATTTTGACGGTTCTCAAAAGACTTGATATGAAAATAGTTGGACTCGAAAGCCTGTCAAGACACTGTTGTAGTAAAAATTGGCCCTCATATGCGGATGTATATATAGTCATCTATGTCCACGTTGCACAAGTCTCTATGCCGGAGCCCGTCGGGCCCGGTCCAGCCAAGTCAATCAAGAATTCATTACCAAATCAAAATGTTGACATAAGCCTTGTCCAGTCTCTGTTATCTGGACGAATACTCCTTTTCAACTGCTCCACACCACCAATGTTATACATTCGTCCGCTAACTTTCGGCCAAGACTTGGTGGAAGATTAGCCACATCTGTTGCGGTAGAATTTCCTGTTTCAGTTAGCTTTGCATCCACGTGATGTGGGACATGCCGACTAAGTTAGCGGCTTGCCTTTTCCACCTTCAACCACGACCAGACACTCTTGGTCATCATCATCATCCCTAATGTAGGAAGTTTCTCATTCTTAGTACCCCCTTACCAACGAGCGCAGTAGGTTCTTGACCAATCACCAGAGGCACGTTTTTAGTTACGACCAATCATGGTCGAGCGCGCACAAGGCGGATGCGTACGATGTGCGCGTAAGAAACGCAGGGTAAGCCTGGGTGCCTCTGCCATTTTTGTCTTGTTAGCTACCAGTCTGACTGTTTTCCTTTCTTCAAGTGTGATCGAAAGACTCCTCGCTGCTCGCTATGCGTCAAACATGGCGACGAATGCGAGCTTCAGAATTTCAAGAACTGGACTGTATTCCAGCCACCGAGAAAGATTTCCAGCTCCACCACAAGACACCCTACTTCCAGAACCAGTCCGAACACTGCTGCTGCTAGCCTGCCTTCTCCTTCAACAGGTCCCATCCAGTCATTGTATTTGCCTTATACTCCCGAATGCAATGTATCTTTTGGTGATACTGGACAGGATAAGTCGGTGGGAGCATTGGGGACTGCTATCAACGACATCCAGATGCCTCCTAACCCAGCTCTTGATCCGAAGTGGCTTCCGGGCTTCCCGATTGTCACAAATAATGACGTGATTGAGGAAGACACCCCGCGCTGCCCTCTCCTGAATGATCTGTTTGTTGATGAATGGAGTTTTGCGGCTTCGGCACTTCAGTATCCGATGACGACGAGAGCCCCTCAATTATTGAGTTGACAACAATATCAGGTGTAGACGCCGAAGTGGATCAAGTTCTCCTGTCTTCCCCCTCCTCAGTTGTCGACACAATGTCGCTGACTTACTGCCCCATGCCATGGCCTTCTGACATGCTGCAGTCTCCTCAGCGACGTTTTCTTTGGCACTACTTTATACAAACGGCATCAACTCGCCTGTTGTGTCTAGAACAAGATGACATGCGCCGAGTACCAGATTTATGTGATCCGTTTACCACTGTCTTGCCGACAATGGCACTGGCTCATGAGCCATTACGAGCTACCGTGTACTGCCTGGCCGCTGCCCATCATCACCCCTCGATTGGACGAGATATGTACCGGAATCTGACCAAGAGTGCCTCACTTATGGTGACAAAGGCCTTTGAACAGTTGATTCCAGCAGTTCATCATCAAGATAATTTCACGGTAGCTGTAACGATCGTGGCTGGTATATTTCTCAAACTCGCTGGAGAAGAGAGTGGTCGCGGCCATCTCAGATCGGCTGCTAAGCTTGCAGCTCTGTTTCTTCAGAAATCACAATCATGGACCCGCCTTTCGGCTCCTTACATACAAATGACCTTGGCCCTCCTCCGATGGTGTATAATCTCTACGGCCTGTTCTCTAAAGCCAGACCAGGATCTCGCGAGTGAGAACTTGTACTCCGCCGTCAAGATCTGCCCTGACGAGCTGCGTTATAATTACGCGTTTCCATTTCAATCTTGGACTGCTCACCCCCTGTATGCCTTTTCACAGAACTTAATTAACCCACTGCTTCAAATGGCAGGTATACTTAATGCCCGGAAGCATGAGATAAACGAGCCCATGGATGCTTGCTCGGCTCATGAACATCAAGATAACGGTCTTGAGGAGGCACTAACAGGTGCTTGCCAAAAGGACATTATCTCTTTATCTGTAGCGGAAGATTCAATGGGGCTTCGTTTCTTGAACGAGTCGATGCACGCAGCTGCGTCCATCTTGTTATATACTCGGGTCAACAAGCTTCCATTCACCGCCCCGTTAGTTAGGCAGCAGGTTCGTATCGTGTTGCACAGGGTATCTAAAATTGATGCTGCGCAACGTGTCAAGGGTGCCGCGCTCTTCCCTCTGTTTGTCAGTGGATGCGAAGCAGTTGATGGACAGGTCCGAGTCCGGATATTGGACGAACTCCGATCTCTGGAAAGCACATTCGCCCACCCAGAAGATAGAACATCGGCACTGCAGCACGTTTGGCACATTAGGGACTTACAACCAGGGCTTATATGGCCGCAGTGGATATGGCAAAGTAAGTTACATTGTATTATAGCCGTATTTGAGGTTGTGCTAATAATGTAATCATAGTGGACTTGAAACATCGAACTAGTATATTATTTTATGGTAATTAATAAGCATAAATCCTTTTTAAGAACTCTTTGGCTTTATAGCCTTTAGTTTATTGTTCAACCCAACACCAGGCTGAAGCCATTATTCTCTCTCATCTTGACACTTACGATACATCTGGCGCCTTGCACTCCCTCTCAGGCCCAGGTAAGTACTTGGAACTGGCGTGGATGCAATTTCACGCGTCCGAAAAACACATGTACTATAATCAACATGCCCGGTTCTTGTATAAACACCCAGAGCTTGTTTAGTCTGCCCTTGACCGCTACGAGTGGACGATAAAGCGTACCATTGGGATGCTCGATGAGTACGTGAAGAAGACCGGTAGGAACTATCTCGCTGGTGAGAGGGTCAGTTTTGCAGACCTTGTCTAAAGCACCTATAGAGACAGTCGAGAACTCAGTTCAGGGCATCTTGGAAGTAATTGATGGAGATACGCGGAATACCACGTCAGGCAAATATATTCTCCCCTGGGGAAAACACATGAGACTCAGACATTGTATTGGTTCTGTCACCGATAGAAGTTCTTAGCGAATAAACACGATACTGCCTTAAATTTGCTTCTCGACCTGATGAGGATTAGTTGAGATGTTTGTTACCACATCCCAGTTTTAGCGAGATGATCAGCCAAGAGAGTGGGCACTCAGCATATTTTGAGGTGTTGCGATAACAGCGAGAAGTGAAGAAAGGTGCCTGACTGTTGTGCTACATTGGCTGAAGGACCACTCTGTAGCCCCGATAAGGTCTGGTAGTCTTGGGCTATCCTGCTCCAACCCTCCCGGGCCTGGAAGGTTTCTTAGTCAGGTTTGTATTCGTATACCTCCTGTAATATTCACTCGAGACAGGTGACGTGTTTTAGAGTTGTAAAAATTAATTTCCTACGACCTTTTGACTATGTAGTAATCAAACCATATTCTCTTTAAATGAAATTATGACTCACAGGATGAAAGCCACAAAGGTCTAAATTCCCTCAGGAAGGCCCGAAGTTGGGCGAGGACACTAGTTCTTTAGACACAGGTTGCTTGCCCACCAAGCATAAACTGAAAATAAGCTTTTGTAAGAGATATAAAATCCCTGCCCGCTCTCGTCTTGCATCCCGTTCTTTCTTTTCTCTTAACCAAGTACATCTTAGCTCACTAACGTACTATTGCCGAACTCTCTTTTCGCAAACCAACGATCCCCTCGCTTATACCAACCTTAGACTTATATGTCTGGCAAGCCACCTGTCACAGCCAGAATGTTTATCCCAAAACCTCGCGTCTTCGCATCCCGCGATGAGATCCTGGACCATCTTCGTGGTGAGCTGGAAGCAAGTCACCGACAACACTGTTTTCACTACTCGGCATGGAGGACTTTATCGCCCTGCCCATTCGTCAAGGGCTCCTGCTCCGCATTCCTCCACACCCTCGTTACGGACTTTAGTCCCACGCACTATGAGGATTGTTGCAACAAGACTCTCCCCATATACGTCATGGGGACCAAAGATCCGAGGCTTTTTAGCTGGACTTTGCACCGCTGGCTATATCTCAAGTGGTACAAGCCCTATCGAAATGATATCGAGCACAATCAATTCATTGCCAAAATGTTCTTTCCTTGTCTGCCTCCGAAGGATACACCGCTGGATTCGATAGTCGCCCTTGTGAATGGGCTACACGGCAGGATCTGTGACCAAGTTGTGTCTTACCAAAAGGAGGCGGCGCACCTCCCGGTTGGTCCCTATGAATATCCTGATCAACCATTATCCTATTTTCGGGATCAGAGATTCCTCATCCTCCAGCCTCTTTTCAAAGCATTTACGATTATCGTAATGAAAGAAGACTGGAATATTACTATGATGGATATGGGAAAAATGCAGGTTATCATCAGCTTGACAGGTCAGGAGGAGGGATTAAGTGCAGGATTGACATTTGACTCCATCAAGAACCACGTCACCAACTTCGTATCCGAGACAGCAGTCAAGGTACCTTTGGGCATCGTGATTGACTTCGTCTTGGCACTGAGCGAGCGAGAAATGGCTGTTTTTGGTATCCTACCAGACCCTGTAGAGTCAACAAGGGGTCCCCGGCGTTTGTATGAATCGATGTCCATGACCGTCGATGAGTATGTGCAAAGCCTGGGCGGAGGGAACGAACCTGTCGACGGACGTAGTTCGACCTGGATTGATACAGAGACTCATACTGGGTGGCCGGCAGAGTCCGCATTCCGTGAGAAATACTATGGTTGCTTGGAAGATAATCTGCGATGGGGTTTAATTCTAGAGCGTTCTGGTCTTAATTCTATCCCTCGCTCGAAGCCCACACGCCGCTGCAGTATATGATCTGTCCGGTGGGGTAAAGGGATATCCTTAAATGCGGAAAGTTACCGTATCGATTGGGCAAGTTGGGCACCCCTGTGGATACTAATGCGGATATACTAACTAGTTAATTAAAGCTCCTATTTATTCATTTGGAAAGATTGCGGTTATAAGAGGATGATGTTACTGACCTAGCCACCCTCTTCACTACCAGAACCACTTAGAGGTGTAGATAGCTAGTCTGATATTAATATTGGTATCCACAAGGTGAGCCTCATTTGCTCAGTCAATACAGCAGTAAGGTAGCTAGTACTGACCTAGCTTGAGAAATAATAAACCTGTTGGCATTTTAAGCTACTGCTTTGTGGACTTTAATTGGTAACCTGAGTCTTCTTGGTCAAATATCACCCTATTTACACCATCAGACACAAAGGGCACACAGATAATGGCTCAGCTTGCAGGCAAAAGAGATGTCTCCATCTTTCATTCAGCCCAACTCAAAACAATTCACCCATCATGCCAGCCGCTGGGCTATATAGATTTCGGGGGGCTGGGGCCACCCAGTACTGATGGTGGTCATCCCATAAGAGCGTTAGAGCATCCGACACAGGGCTCGAACACCACGCCATACCACGCCACACAATCCCAAGGCCGGAGCCAGAGATGGCGATAACTTCAGAAACAGCCGTCTGAAGATTTGACACGGCCACAACACTACCACCAGACGTCATAGAGGGCCAAGTTGTAGAAAATAAGGGTTCCTGTATCCAAAAGAAGGTACTGTGGCCTTTATTCACTGAATATTCCAGAAAGGTAAAGTCAACACCAAAGGCACTTAACTTCCCTCTCAGTATGAGGTTGGTCATAACCTCAGACCGAAGCTGATATGGTGTAAGCTGACAGACGCGCTTGATTCCGCTCTGGTTTAGTGTTGCTTGACGCGACCCTGAGTCCCACTACGGACTGAACTTCTGGACGTTTGATAGCTCCCTGGTGTCGTATTTCTGAGTTTCGCTTGGCTTCTGTCATAGTCCTGTGGGAATATGTTTCTGGGGGGCATGCGACGACAAGCGAGAGACGACGTCTCCGATGGATGGTTTCGGGCTCGAGGTTCGAGGTTCGATAGAAAGAGAGTCGGCGTCGGCGTAGCGTCCTACCCTGAAGAGTTCAAACTGAATTAGCGACCTCGCGATCCAAAGGTATACAACGCACTGGGCGTAAGGACAGTTCCGTACAAAAGTTCCAACACCAAGCTAGTAAGGATAATGCATATAATGGAGAGATTTTGTCTTTCATTCTATCCTCAGATTATATAAGATCATATAAACTTAGGATAACTTATAAAATCATATAAATAATAATTAAATTTATAAATAAATTTATAAATAATTTTATACAAAATTTTATAAATAATTTTATAAATTTTAATTTCTTTTTTTATATTAAGTCTGGTAGTACCTTTAAAAAAGAGATCTAACTATCCTAATTAAACCTATAAAAATATTAATAATAGAGGTCCCTATACAGACCGAAAAGTAATAATATCTTAAATTTAATAAGGTTACCTACTATATTAGCCATAACTCTATTTCTTAATAGTATAAAAACCCCTACTAGGGCTACTTTTCCCTCTTTACACTTTATTTTAATTAACCTACCTAAGACAAAATAAAAATTATAATAAATAACTACTAAGTATTTATAACTTACCTATAAGTTAACCCGACCGAACTAGATTAATAAAGCTAACCTTAATCGTAGCTAAGATATTAATTAATACCCTAACCTTTATGCCTGCCTTCTATAAGGACCTTTAGCCAGTTAATAATAGTAATATAATTAGGGCCTATAGAAAGGAATTTCGGTATAGCTAAAAGATATTTATTAAAGTAATAAATAATAATCCTAAGGCCTATAATAAACTATAAGACCTACTTAATAAGATTAAATAGCGATATGCTATTAAGGTAGGTATAAGGCCTATAAATTAGGAGGCTAAGGTTATACTTACTATCTTCGGTTATAAGGTCCTTTAGTTATATAACCTATTTATTATTAATAATAATTATTTACGTAGAAAGGTATAGTTTATAATAAAGATATTATTTTTTAATTATTTTAAAAGGAAGCTTAAATTATATAATATAACTAGGCCCTTAATAACGAAAAAGACTGCCTTTCTTAATATATTAAATAAAGATAATACAAATCTAATAAGAGGCAGGTATAAAAAATAGTTAATAGACTTAATTATAATAGTAAATTCGGTTAGGGACTTTAATTAATATAAAGAGACTATTAAAGTTAGAGTTATAGAAGGAAAATTCGTATACGTGAGATAGAGTTTTTTACCGAAGGTTAAAAAGTCCTAAAAGGACTTCGGTCCGAGGGAAGAAACTGCCGTAATTAATTAACTGAGATTACGTAACCTAACAGACCCTCCCTACAGTAAGCAGATAAGATATGAAAGGCAACTAACAGTAATTTAACAGTAATGCAACCGAGATAAATTTTAATATAACACTAAAGATATAGAGAATTACTAGTTCTTCTATAGAAATAGAAGCTGCATTACTGCTATAAGTAGAAGTCACGATATTTTGGCCAAGAGACGATACCACAGATTAACACTAGAGTCAGAACAGTAATAGACACAGATGCTTAAAATGGAAATGGACTCTTTTAGAAAATAACAATGTTATATAGAGTTCCCATAATTTATTTTAGCTACGTATAATGCCTAAAAGTCTGTTACTCTGGACTCCTTTTCCGAAGCGTACTCCTAGCATTACAAGCACGTGGCTTCCCATAACTGAGGTTCGTCACCATAACAACCAGCGCATGATGCCCTCACAATAGGGGACAAATGAGACTTGCCCGATAGAGACAGGCTCAAAAGATAACAAATCACCTTCAATTTCCGTGGCCGCAACACAATGCGACATTATGGCCGTCAGACAAAACCACGACTAGCTTCCGATATCACGGAATGAATGTAAGACTTCAATGTTATCTCCGCAAAGTGTGCGCAGGCCGTCAAACTGCCAAACGGTAGCTGACCAAAACACCGAGGTTTACAAAATCTATCATTTGTTGAGCTGTGGCCGTTTGAAGTTTTCAGAGTCGGCGTTGAGATTTTGGTGATGGGTCTGTGGTGTTTTTGGTACTGACCAGGAATTGATCCAATAAGAATCGAGCTGCCCCTGCTCCCTTAATTCGGGGTTGGTCTGTTCAGCCTCTCACTCACGTTGTGATTGGTCCACGATGCTTACAAAGGGAGTGTCATTCCACAAGCAATGTATAAAGAAACCAGAGATAACATGCTAACAAGCTGAGGGGGGGGGGTTCAATCGAGCATTGTTCATGATTTTTTTGGGATATAAATGAGACACAGCGCTGTCGGCGACCATAGTGCAGCAACTCACTAGAGCTGGTTACCCAGTCTCAGTCCAAGTCTACTACTTAGCAACTTGACAGATTCGGGATTATATAATACTAAAGGCTTTCTCTCTCTTTTCTCTACTTCAAGTTAAGACCACATGGGAATCTCCATTCGCATATCATAAGGCCATGTCGATCCCGGACATCCAGTCGTTATCCGGACGAGCCAGAGTACAACTCTCTATGTTGCCTGTTGATTTCCTTTGCCAATTGTGGTGGAATTCCTATTAGAGTACGGTACTAATACAAAAATCTCCAACTCTCATGAGAAGACACCCGTCCATTGAAGTTGTGTGTTGAAACTGCCCTGAACTAGAAAACTGTATTATACAACCTTTATAGCGGCAGTAAGATGACGGAGCATTAGCTAATACCGGATTAGACCGATTCGAGATAGCTCGCGATATTGATAGAATGTACCCCACCCCACGGTCAGTGAGATATTTATGATCCTTTGTCTCCAGAGTGCTCCAGTTCCTCGCAATCATCTCGCAGCTTCCATCGCATCCTCGTTGGGAAACAACTCCAAGAGTACATCCACCCCCTATATATATTTTATCCAGATTGCATTCACAGCAGCGGCCCGTTAAACATAGACTGGCAGGAAGTTACCTTGAGACAGAGTGGCATGTTTGCCTACTCGTACTACTCATAGATGATTATAGTAAAGTGGCGTAGATATTGCAGACTTGCTACTGAAGTTGATCGTTGATCCTACGGGTTATAAAAGTCCACCTATAGCTCGAGGCTTTGGATCCACGGGTGCTTGAAAAGACAAAGGCGGTAAAAGAATGCACTTATTACCTCGGCATGCAGGCGTGCTACTTAAAGAAAAGTGTGGTAAAGTAGCGTGATTATTGCCCCTGTATGCAGGCCCGCTGCTCTGAAGTTCGTAAATGATCCCATAGAGACAAGTGGAGCAAGGCTTGAAATTAACATGGGATGCGAAAAACAACCACGGCAAAGTGTTATATAAGGGCGCCACTACGTGTCTTGCGATTTTCAAGATAAGTAGTCTAAGATTTAGTAGACCTGCCTTAAATAGCTTAGCATGCCTTTTATACTTGGACAAAAGAGTTATCTATGGTACAAACTTTACTACATTATAGCTTAAAATACATTTATAGCATTGTGTTACATTCCCGCTGAAATAGAAAGGATATTATGTAAAAGGAGCTGTAGTATCAATCTGATAACACTTAAGTTTCTCCTTTGTCCAGCCCTTAGGGAGACCCTCTTAGTTTGTTCCTTATGCGTGCTGACTTCTGCTTGACCCAATTGCCCAGAGGCTCGGCCATAGTACTCCGAGCCCACGACGCAGGTTGCCCTTTCCAACAGATATCATATTCTATAGGATTGTAACAGCCGACCCTCTTTGGTTGATGTAGAGTATATCGTACCATAGCCAAGCCTACCTTCCTTTTAAGCCAATATACAGGGGTAACAATCCTACCATTTTACCGAAATCGCTTTTTGGAAGCTCACATGATTCCAACAGTAGGTTCTAGGCCCTGTCCATAGTCAAAATTAACATGGGTAGCAGAATTACAGGGGAGAATTGAATTTCTATATAATTAGCCCGGACAGTCTCGAGTATCTCACTTTTCTCCAAAATATCTCAACAAGAAAGATACCCTCAAACGACCATGAAGTTCTTTGCCATCGGTGTTCTGCTCGCCGGAGTCTCGAACCTAGCTGAAGCATGGCAACGTAAGTTCACTTCTTCTAAACACTACAATCAACCTCTGGGTGCTTTAGTATGAATGCTAAATTATTCTTAACCTAGTGATCGCCTATGAGAAGGACTATAATTGCGATGGTGGTGGACGCAACCGTGTGTGAGTTTTTCCTGCACTCTATTGACATTATCGGACGCGCAACGCGATCTGTGCCTAAAAGATCACGCAGCACACTTCGCCTTGCTGAAGTCGACTCGCTGTAAAGATTGATGGGCTTACCCAGCCGTCTTGCAATAAGCTTGGAATATCCATTCGGTCATAAATTGTCTCTTTGCTGACCAGGATCATAACTAGCCTAACTGGAGACACCAATGCCTGCATGACCTTTGGTAGAGATATGCCAGGAACCGGTTGTAGAGAGTGTGGTAAGCTTCTTGGCAATTCGCGATCAATACAACCACCTAAACTAACAACCTACAGAGTTCTTCATACCCTAACCTCGGACTATAACTACTCCATATTTCACCAATAGCCCTAAATGCTAGCCACAAATCATGCTTCTTCGATCCTAACTTGTCTCTAGGGAACGGCAACAACGGGTGTGTTGGAGCCTTTACCCCGAGGTCTGTTGGCTTAGGTGGAAACGACGATTGCATATTGTATAACCAAAACGATTGTCAGGGCAACTCGGTCTGGAACGCGAGGGGCCAGTCGCCCGGATGCAAAAGTGTTGGTGACGTTGTTCGATCCTACAAATGTGTATGTATCCCAAGCCTCCGCCTATCGTTTACTGTATTTACTGACTGTCTTTCACTTAACAGGCAAATGCTAATGGATGCCGTAACCGTGACGAATATTCGCGATGCCTCGCAGTTTGCCAGACTGGATGCTCCTTTCCTGGTGCGGTCCTAGGCTGTGCAAGTGGATGCAGTAAGTCAACGCTTCTGTCTGTTAGGTCTAACTAACTCATACCGTCTAGTCAATTCATGCCACGGCGCATGGGGAAACGCAGGATGTTAGATGGAGAAAACAACAGGCTAATCCTGATATAACAATACACTATAACTTGGACTCTTGTTATTAGTCGCTGAACTAAAGTGTGCGCTTTGGCAAACACGGAGAGGTCAATAGGTTATTTTCTGTTGACAGGTGCCTCCTGATCCTGCCTTTTACTGGCATTTTCTCCGCTCTTCAGTCACTAAGCTTACTACAGTAAAGGAAGTACAAAGATTCTATTCATAGAAGGCGATATTAAGAAGAGGTTAGCAGCCAAGAGCGTTCTGAAGATCGGACGGAATATAGCCCTATCTTTTAAATATCAAGTGCTTTATATATACTTTAAATCCTTTACTATTATTAAACTCCGTCTATTATATTCATTTATTATCCGATTTCGTAAATACTTTGTAAAAGCTAATATTTTCACTACTAAATGTTCTTAGTCTAATTTCTTATTTCAGTCCTAGTCCCGAACCCTTTTATAAATTGTAAGAAGCAGTTAGTACCGCATGATTCGGACATATTCCCAAGTACTGGAGAGCTTCTCGCAACCGTCGCGCAGAGTTGAGATAGACATCCTTGACATTGCCCGGTTGTGCGCGTTCGCTTTTTGGTGGTAGAGATATTTCCGTTTCAAGGTCAAGAAAAGTTTCTCGTAACGGTTGCACACAATTGAAACAGATATGATTGGTGCCACTCGATCGAACTGTTTCACTTTGTGGTGGTCTCGAAATCGTCAACTTAGACGAGTCAGAATTGATCAATTCCTCGCAGCCTCATCTGCAGTGCCTGCATTGAATGCCGGTGACCACAGCGCAGCGACCCACTAGAGCCGGCCGGCAGTCGGAAACATTTACATTAAGAGCTTTAGCTACAGCAGTTAAACGGGAAAATAGAGAGTGGGACATACATAACCTAGTTAAGAGCTCTGCTTAAGAACCACCCTCGAGCTAATTGGCTCAATATTGATAAGCTCCCTGGCCGTTAGAGTTAAGTGTCTAAAGCACGCAATTACAGGAGGCTCGCTTACTAGACGAGATCCTGAGAATATATATACCCTCTTGCCGCTAAGATGATTTCCGGGATTCTTTCTTTATACTCTTCAAGGATGCGGTTCAATAACTATTCAATCCATACGGGCGTAGTGTCAAGCTGACGTTATATGCACGGAAGCTCCCTGAAGTACGTTCTGAAGAAATCGATCAGATCAGCTAGGTCTTACTTTTGGCCAGTCCGATTCCTTGATTGAGACCTATTCGCGAACATGTGTGCGGATGACCAACTCACTTATCGTCTGGACATGACATCCCACTACAATTCAGTTCTGAGGGTTCACCACACGCATTTTGCACAAGAGGGGAGGGAGGTGGGGCCGGGTTGCTTTACGATGTAGACCATAACAAAGCGCCGGACCTGCCAGTTGTGGTAATATCTGGTGTACTCTTGGAATTATAATATCACTCAGCCAGGCACAGGAAGATCACATCACATCAGTTTTATAGAAGGTGGCCGCACGAGTTCCTTTGTAAAGAAGTGGCCCATATCCTGGTCGAAGCTTATGCTTGACAAGCTTTCGCCCTTGGTCATCTCCGCTGTTTCTGACTATAATTTCAAGCACTTAGTAAATCTTTTCCATTGATACGTCGTTACTATGCCCACTAAAGCTGATATGGACTTTACCAGAGTATAGAATAGTGATAAGCGCGACGGAAGACAAAACAATTGTTGAAAGCCCACCTACTTTGGGCCCAGAGGCCAACCAGCCAGACACGAATTTCCGGACGCCGTAGTGACGTACTCTCAGAGAAAATAAATCTTCGAAGTTTGGTGCTGATGTTTTGAGATAGATAATGCGCTTTATGAGGCGTTCATCGCGGAAATGACGAAATAGAACCGAAGTGTGAGAAAAACTAACTCCAACGGAGAGCGACGGCGGTTGTGTGGGAGTTCTATCTGGGCATTCTCTTTATGACGTACAGGATATCGTAGATACAATAGAAAGAAACCCCTGACAGCATGGTGTGACGCGCTGGGGCCAGTGACGTCCGGGTAAATGCCGAGTGTCAAGACAAAGCGTCAACCAGCCAAGGTGATCAGTTGAGCTACTGGCTGGGTTTATGAAGCTCACACTTACCCTCGTTTACAGTAATGGAGAAATACCTGACGGTCTACATATGTCGGTGACTAGCGTCGGTCTTAATTAGACCTAGTCTCTGCGACAACTACAAATGAATCAATTCAAGCCTATTCCCAGTTATATGAGAATGATCTCGAACAGGTCGTGGGACTACCTCCACTAATGCTCTATGAACGCAAGACCTATATCATCGAGCTTTGTAACTTGAGCCTCGAATCTTGATGCACATAGTGGTATCACAAACCCCGATACTGATGTCACATTCTTCGATGATGTTGTGCATTGAGTCTCGGGCTTCGCGGCGGCGCGGATCGTGTTGATTTTGCCACCCACTCTTTTTCGACGGATCCACAGCTAAAGGAAAAAGGGTCGGCTTTTTAAAAATCTCCGTCTTATCGCTACAAACCGCAAAAGTGTCTTCTGATTGTCGGCATCGCTTCTTTCCTATGGCCGATTCCCCTCGTAGTATGTAGTTTTAGCTCTCATCTCGCTTTCGGTGTTAGACTTTTCCGACAAATAACTTACTCAGCTTGGGTCTCCCTTCGTTTCCTCTGCGATGTCCCGTCCTATAACCTTACAGACTCGATCGGCCTCGGCTCTTCGCTGGTATTAACTCCCGTGCATCATCGCTATCCCACCTCGTAAATTTCATCCCTGGCTGAAAGAGAGGGGTACTAATGGTGATCTGGTATCCACCCATCGTAACTGACTCGGTCGACCTTCCGATCACGGCGGGTTTACATTACTCAATCGCAAATCCTGCCTCCGGGGATCCTTGATCCCGTCGAGATAATCCTGTAGTGGTTTGCGGCCGAATGAGCAGCTTGGAGACCCCGTCGAAATGCCCTTGACAGGAAATGTCTCAAATTGTGGATTTACAAGGATGAAACCCATTTCTTTGGTCATTATCCCACACGACCTGCTCATCGCAAGATTGGATAATGTCTATAAGTGCCAGCGGCTCTCGAGCTCTTAAACACTGGTACTGAGTTCCGTATACAATTTTCAATCTATTGGACTCTTTTCCGTTATTATCTCTCTTACTATGGGTTCAATCGATACTGTTAACGATTTTCAGCAAGATCTTGCAGGAAAAAATGCCCTAATCACGTAACTATTCAACTCTCTCTCTATTTGCCAATTACATCCGTGTAATTAGCGAAGCACGACAACTACTAATCAGTCTCTCTATAGTGGAGCGACACGAGGCATTGGTCGAGCTATCGCTCTCAATCTCGCCCGGCGGGGAGCTAACATCATTGGGACAAGCTCCTCTGAGGCTACCTTGCACCTTTTCAAGTCTCTCGAGGCCGACATTGCTGACAGTTATCGTCACCATCAAGCTTCCGTACCACGACTCATAGGGGTACCAGCTAACATCTTATCTCTTGAAACTCCCGAACTCCTGGCAGACTCGGTTAAGGACCACTTCAACGGAGAACTCAACATCTTGGTAAACAATGCCTGTTACGATGAGATGCGACCGATGGGAAGCCTTGATGATGACTTTGTGCAAAAGGTCTTGCTTGGAAACTGTCATCATCCGGTAATGTTAATGGATGTGCTTTATCGCAGGGGATATATCAAGCCCTACTCTAGAATCATTAACCTCTCGAGCATTTCCGGCCGTCAAATCCCTTTCCCGTAAGCTACGTGTCTCTTACTACCTGTATCATGTCATTTCAGCTTGACCAAACTACAAACCAGTAGGCCACAGTATTAACTATGTTCCTAGCCCCATGTATCTCGTGGGAGCTTCCAAGGCGATTTTGGAAGCGCTGACACGCACATGGGCAACCCTCCTTGCAGAAGACACTGCAACGAAAGGAACCACTGTTAATGCGCTTTTGGTTGGCGCGACTGCCACATCAGCGCTTATCCGTGGAGCCCCTGATGTGCTGAAGGAGAGGGCGAGGGAGGTTCTTCGCTCTGGTATTCCGATCTTGGGTGACGCTGGAATGGGACGACCTGAAGACGTGGCCGATGTTGCTGGGTTACTCGTTGGCGAGAATGCTCGTTGGATTACTGGTGGTATCGTGAGCGCAAATGGTGGGGCATTCCCAAGAGTCATGTAGAGGTGATAGGACGTTTTTATTATATAGGCAGTGATCTAATATAACTCGATTACGGAGTAAACTATCTCATCTTAGTCCTCAGCCTGACATTCTTATACCTAGTCAACACTAGATTGTGTAGGGTAAGGCAGTCGCGCCCGGTTTGTCTTGGGCAGAGCTGTTAATGTTTAGCTTTTAAAAATATTCAGTATATATTAAATTTGATCAAATCTGAAGCCTTTCAAGTGTAAACCTCTCATGCGTTTTATAAAATAAAATGTAAAAGTTAAACAGGGTTTTATTCTTATTTTTAGATAAGCTTTTATAATATATCCGTATGGACTAGTGGCGCTATCCGTAGCGTAGAGCAGACCCTTCAGATACACCACGTGTCGTAGGCATTGTGCATTACCCCGCTTTAACATACCTGGCTTCAATATCTCCACCAATTCTCAAAGACCCATTGACATAATAATGAGCTCACAGGTAACAGCGTCTGGGAAGCCAAGGCAGCGTTCAGCCCTGGCATGCAACTTATGTCGTACCAAGCGCATTAAGGTAAGCATTTCTTACATCGTTGATCAAAATACCCATCACAGGACTGATATGCAATGAGGGGAGCTTTAGTGCGATGGCCAACGTCCTTCTTGCACATCGTGTCATGGAAGCGGCGAATTTTGCGAGTACACAAGCCAGGAAAGCAACCGAAAGTATGTGATTTATAACTCATCGTCCAATAAGTGATGTCTTGTTTCACCGAATCCTGTAGGTTAGCTGACAGATATAATCATTCCAGACCACCGAGCAAGCGCTACGTTGAGGCGCTTCAGGAGCGCATCAAGGCTCTCGAGTTACAATTAGAACGATTCGAGCAAGGCATTGGATGCCACGACCTAGGAGATACAAATAATTTTGAAGAAGGTCAAAGCCACTCGGAGGTTGAGTCGCTTTCTGATGAGGCGGCTTCTACCCATCGGTCACCTATAAAAGATATCAGTGACCGACTTGGCAATCTTAACATTGGCGAGGATGGACAAATCCACTATTTTGGGTCACGAAGTAACTTCTCGTTACTTAAAAATAGTCCTGCGGCCAGCTCAACTGTATCTTCACACGAGCTAGAAAGGCAGGCCGCTTATACGCTCGAAAGATTAGACCTTAGGGTCGAGATATCCGACGAGTTGCGAGACCACTTGCTAGACATTTTCTGGAGCTGGCAGAACACCTGGCAGTACGTTGTCGTCAAAGACTTATTCCTCGAGGATCTTTGTATTAGTCACTCCGGCCAGTATGCCACTCCTCTTCTCCTATCATCAGTGTTAGCTCTGGCAGCCCGATATTCGGATCGCATAGAGTTGCGGACTGATCCTCTGAATCCTAACACAGCAGGAGATGAGCTTGCTGAACAAGCCAAAATGATTCTGTTCTATGAGAGCCAAGCGCCCAAGATCACAACGATCCAGGCAGCTGCGCTTCTTTCTCTTCGTGAGACAGCTACTGACAAAGAGGCACTTGGTTGGATGTATTGCGGTAGGTCCTGAACTTCGGATTCAAATGGCGTTTTCCCTCTTTCTCTTTCATCGTGTGATCCATTGTCCCCATCTGATGTATCACTTATCCTCCTTTTGCCTTCTCTGAGATATACGATGAAAGCGGGATGCTCTTAAATACAGATGATCAAGAGAAGAACTTCGGGTTAATATGCTAATTGTGGATTCTTAGGAATGGCAACCAGGATGGCTTTCAATCTTGGGCTCCACTTGGATTGTACCGACTGGTGCAAGAATAGCCATATCACTAAACAAGCCGCTGAATTTCGAAGCGTTGTTTGGTGGGCTTGTTATGTGCTGGACAAGTATATCAACTCTTAATTCTTCTTATAAGTTTCACACCGCTAATGGATCTCATTTGGTCAGATTGTTCAACGTTGGACTTGGTCGCCCCTCGACGATTCAAGAGATGGAGATCTCAGCCGCCCTCCCTTCTCCTCAACATGATGCTGAATTTGGGCCTTGGAGCGCGACATCTCCGGTGGACCAGCATCTATTTTTCTCTAGCAGTTATGTAATCTCCAATGTCAGAGCAACGGTGAAGCTTTTCAAAATCACGTCATCTGCTCTCGATGAAATGTATGACCTTCCCTCACCTTCTGGGTCTGGTATGTTAAGTTGACATTGGAATGGAAAAGTTACCGACCGAGTAGTCTACGCTCGAGCTTCCGTGCGGCAGATCTCGTTACCAAAACACATGTCGACCTAATGGAGTTCCAAACCCATCTTCCAACTTGCCTCCGTCTCTCAGCATCTCCGTTAACACCTACCTTACCTCATGTTTATCTACTCCAGTAAGTTCCATGACCATAGAGACTACCATCCTCGCACTTTCTAACAACCGAAAAGTTTGCAGTATCACGTTGCCGTAATTCTTCTGCATCGACCTTTTATTCGAGTGCGGAGGAACAGGTCAAATTCAGGGGCATTTCAACCTGCGACAGGCTCAACCCATCTTCACCAATGTAACCTATCGGCGCAGTCCATCACCAGCATCTTCAAGCTTTATCGCAAACATTACAGCCTGGCAAGTACTCACCACCATCGGTTCTGCATTGCCTTAGCTAACTCAAAACTTAGCGAAGGATTCCGATTTCAGCTGTACACTGTGCTTTCACTGCAGCTATAATCCTTCTGCTCGAGACAACGATCTCTCATGTGAGCGAACGGTGTCGAGCTCTTGCCTCTCTAAAGATTCTAGCCGAAGTATTGACTGATATGAGCATCGCGTGGGCGTGGAGTCGGCGCGCACTTCTCGCGATACGCCAACTGGCCAAAGAATGGTCTGCTTGCGAAGACACGATAGATGCACTTGGTATCAGCGAGGCGGCGAGTGACAGTAGAACTGAAGATGTGGTGTCTGACGTTTCACAAGTGTTCAACATCTGGGATCCTAGTGTTTCCCTCTGGAGCTCACAGGACCCACAGAGCCTTGATGGGGACATCCCTTTCTTAATCACCGATGAGCTGGATTATCAGAACTGGGTCGGTACATTCATGGATGAATCGCACTTCTCAGGCAATGGTTTATGAGGAGTCCGGATGCACAAAGGGTTGAACGAGTTTGTGATGTGAGTGCACAAGTCAAATCTACTAGAGAATTGAGAAAAGACTATGATTAAAAGTGTGCTGATTGAGCTGTAAGACGAAAGAGCCCGTTTCTAATCGTGATAGTTAAGGCCTAGATTGCCATTCGGTCCTTGAAACATCTAATAATACAGTGTGAACAATATTCTGGAAAAAAAGCCAGTGACTTAATATCCATAGTCATCTAATCTTGGAAAACGAGATACATAAAGCTTGAATGCACAGTTTATGAGAAGGGATTAGTTAAGCCAGCCAATAAGCCGGCCAAGGCAAACCTTTCGCTAAATATATGAGGTATCACCTCGGAACTGAACATTACCCTCGATATCAGCATCTATCGCTGCTGGTAGTGGATGTCGAAAACGGCACAGGCCCTTGTCCCCGGATACTGCTTAGCCGGCTCTAAGATAGCGGGAAATGCCTATCCAGGATTGAGTTTTGCATTAAAAAATGGGAGCGCTTGATTTGGAACGCGAAGTAATCTAGATGGTTCAGTTTGGATCGACATGGTAAATGCCTACCCGAGATAAGCAGGAACCATGACATCAAAGTCAAGGCCCCATGACCTTTGGGGCGTGGCTTTACGAGGTGGTCATCATGACAGATAAGTAGTAGTCTTCCATGTATAGTCTATATAGAGGAGTTGAAGTTCTTGTGGCCCTCCCATATTCAACAAACCTCATAATTTACAATCGACTTTACCCCGTGCTCTCAATACAACTTACACCATGTCAATCCGCCAATGGAAAGCTGCCATTTGCCAGGCTGAGCCTTGTTGGTTCGACAAAGTTGCAGGCATCGCAAAATCTATAAGGCTCATCCGTGAAGCCAGCCAGAATGGCGCTTCTCTCATCGCCTTCTCAGAAGTATGGATTCCAGGATACCCCAACTTCTTGTGGTCCGGTACCTACAGGGAGAATTTGCCTTTGGTGCAGAAGTACATGCAAAATAGTATGTCAGCCTATGGGGATGAAATGCTTCAGATTCGCCAGGCTGCGGCAGCCGCAAAGATATATGTGTCCTTCGGCTTCAGCGAGCGTGTTGGCGCATCGCTGTATCTTGCTCAGATTTTCATCGGCCCTGATGGAAATATCCTCCTTCACCGCCGCAAAACAAAGCCCACGCATGTCGAAAGGACAATATTCGGCGACTCCACTGGAGATTCCCTTACTACCGTGGCGGACACACCCCTGGGAAAGATTGGGATGCTGAACTGTTGGGGTAGGTTAACACTGCCACTTCTGATCTAATTTCATACGGTACTAACATTCATTCTAGAGCACTTCCAACCACTCCTCAAGTATCACACTTATTGTCAGGGTGAACAAGTTCACATCGCTGCCTGGCCATTTAATGCATCATACACAGAGAATGCATTAGAGCCCTTCTCCGTCTTCTCCGAGGCCAATGAGGTCACAGCTAGTCGAATGTACGCCATGGAAGGAGCTGTATATGTCCTTGTCACCAATCAGCCATTGTCAGCTGAAGGAGCTAGATTAAACAGCGAGGGTCAGGGTAATGCAGACAAAGATGGGTTCATGCTTGCTGGCGGTGGAGGTCGTGCCGCAGTTTTCGGTCCCGATGGGAAACAGCTCACTGAGCCTACGGACCCCAATTTTGATGGTCTGATCTACTGCGACATCGATCTGGATAAGATTGACTACGCAAAGACCTTGACTGACTGTGTTGGGCATTATTCGCGACCTGATCTCCTACGCCTCGTAGTTGATGATCAGCCCAAGAACTACGTTGTTCGTGTATCCGACGGACCTACCAATACTCCCTATCACACAGGAACAAGTGGTGAGACTTTACTATCGGCTCATAAGACGCTGGACGTGTTGATCAGTGAGAAAGCAAAGCGAGAAGAAACTGATTAATTTTGGCTACAGCCAATTCGGACTTGGTGGAATGAATGGGTTGGGCCGTTACTGTTCATGACTTCACCTTTCTCAAACTTAATCTATTTATCCCGAATATGTCTCGCTTTATTCTTTGTGTCCGTTTTCATGTCTCTCACCCGGGTTTACAAGGTTGATAGTCCGAAATGCTCCATGTACCACAAGATAGCACATCGTAAATTACCCACACTGCGATGCATTATGTTCCCGCGATAGCACTAATATAACGACATCTCATCAGTGTCCATGGTCTTCTGATTTCCTCAGGTAGATCCTTGTATGGCTTTGTAATTATACGGGCAAGGCCAGACAGGGCAATGCAGAAGAAAAATACTACGATGTTTTGAAAGGCGATGATGCATCCGGATACAGAGTCTGTGACAGGAGTATCTTAGTTTCGGAGTAAATGAGCCGTAGACTGGGATGCGAGAATTAGTGCGGTTACGGCTAAGCGTTACAGTTTTTACATCGTCACCGTATTCCTGTTTCCTCTTGTCACAAGTGGTCACGACGACATTTTTCTCCTCCAGTTGGAACAAGGTTGGAGTGAGTGACAGGATACGAAATGTTCATCTACCTATGAACAAGATATCGCGAATTTTGGTGGGAAAGAAATGTAGGATCTGCTAACTTGACCTATCAAAACTATAGAACTACTTATGGATTAGACAGATTCCGGAGAATCATCTCCTACCTCTTTGAAATGATCCACTAGGCTTTAACCTTCTCACTCTCACTGACAACAGAGGAGTGGTTTTCCGCATGAGAAGCTTCAATTGCAACTTCATCACCAAAGAGGGATGAAATCTCTTCAAGTGTCAAACCCTTAGTCTCAGGAAAATAGAGAGCGAAAATGACAGCACAAATGATGGTAAATGCCATCATAATCAGATAGAACCTCCAACCAATGGTTTCGAACGCGGTAGGCGCGGCCTCCAACAATGTAAGTGACCCTACAAAGAGGCCTGCGCAAGAGATGGCAAATCCTTTACCTCGAAGATGGGTAGGCCAGATCTCAGAGCCGTAAACATAGGTAGAGGCATCCATGCAGGTAGCGTAGAAGGTAAGATGAAGGTAGAGAAAGAAGACGCCAGCTCCGTTGCCACCTTTATTGGTGGTACCGCCATAAATTGCAACCATGACGCTGACGCCGAGCAGAGAAACTGCACAACCAATGAGGCCTGTGGTCATGAGCCACTTGCGTCCCACATAATCAAGCAGCAAGGCGTTGATGGCGTTGCAGACAAGTCCCTCGGTCAACCAGCCGGCGGAGAGAGCGAGACTGTCTGAGGCGCCGTGTCCAAGAGCCGAGTACAGTGATGGTCCGTAGTTGTTGATGACAGTGGTTCCTGTCAGCTGACCGGCAAGTAGTGTCGTGAACCCGATCAATGCCCTCTTACGATAATGTGGGACAGTGAAAATGGCACTCCAGGATGATGGCAGATGACGTTCGAGTTCCACCTGAGCGTGGATCTGACCGAACTCGACACGCGCCTCTCGATTAGTCGGATCGCTGGAATCCTTGTAAATCCGTTGGAGTATGGTCTCCGCCCTATCATGCTGGCCATTCTCAACGAGCCAGCGAGGAGATTCAGGAATGAAGTACACACCACAAGCCAAAACAAGTGGGGGAAAGCATTGGATTGCCAGCGGAGGGCGCCACTGAGCTCCTTGGGCATTGACAAAGAAGAAGCCAAACCCGACCCACGCCGATGTTGAGTAGCCCAGCAAGATGGAAACACCGTGGAGACCAACGAGAAGACCACGAGCGTGAGGAGGGGCGACCTCGCTTTGCCAAAGGGGTACAATCATGACCAGGCCGCCGACAGCGAAACCCGTCAAGAACCTAGCGACAAGGTACATAGCCAGATGAACGGATCCCGCCTGAAGGCCACCTCCAATGACGGCGAGTATACTTGCACAAAACATGGCTTTGCAACGACCAATCTTGTCAGCCAAGGCTCCAAACGTCAAGGTGCCCAGAAGACCTCCGCCTTGGAACAGGCCATTGATGGCACCAATCAGTGCAGGCGCGTTACTCGCGGTATCTAGGCCGAAGTAGCTGAGGAACGAAGGTTGTCCAAGGGTTGATCCGATAATGGCAGAACAGTACCCATATGTGATACTTCCGAAAGTGGCAAAAGCGATGATCTGTCGTTATTGTCAGAGTCAGCAACAGCATAATATTAAAAGGCATAGTCTGAGTGAGGAAATTGGGAGCTTACGAGGATATTGTATCCGGTGACTGGCTTGCCGCGCAATCGTAGGACAGCCATGGTGATGGTCAAGGCTGAGCTCGGTTTATACGTCTTTGATGTGATTTGCTGTAAGTTTCACCCGTTCGCCCCAAACTTACTGGTGGCCTGTAAAATATGGGGTGATTAAAAAAAAAGATGGGAAAAAGCTGGATTGGAAGACGTAACATTGGGTTAAAATATGTCTTGTATTACGGTCCTCACCAACTCAAGACTAAACTATTCCAGCTCATCCCCAAGCCAAAGACGATGGTTGTGTTGATCAAGTGATAAGCTCAATAGAGGCTATTCCAATCTACAGCACTTAGAAAATGGATACTGCTTACCCGGATGTGCGGGGTACGCGGCTCAGCAATCAAAGCATAGATATACCGGTACAGGCTAACTCCCCTTCGACTAGCCGCCTATTCTCCCCAAGACAAAGACGGCATCCACTTGGTTGGTCTAGACCGTAACTACTACAGTGAAGGCTAACTTGTGGGGAACAGGCACTATCGCTATCACTAGACTCACTTCACTACCTTAGTCTGGATGATACGCCAGCTGATAAGCGTGGATCTGCTGGATAATGCTTTGCCGGATTTGTGGGGTAAACTAAATGGGAAGGGCAGCAGATACTGCTGATAACAAAAGGGGGAGATTAATGATGATAGTATAGTTTTGCAATTGAACTAGGTAGATGGGTAATGGGCAAATGGAGGCTTCGGCTGCTTTACTCCCGTGTTTGTGGACGGCACTCGGTTTGACAAGCCGGGTTGTGTAGATTGTACAGTAAGTAAGCCTGAAAGATGAACCAAGAGAGGATACAACTAACGAAAGAACACTAAGGATCAGTAAGCAGATGCGGTATCATAGTAATCTCCGTGCAAGATATCAAGATATCACGGATGATACAATCTGGCAAAAGGCTATAGTATGGAGGACGGGGTTTGCCTCTACGCAACCTATCATGTTGTTGTTATTCGGGAAAACCTCCACAGTAACAGGTATATGTGAGATTGAAACTCATTGTTTTGTTCGAACACCTTTTCTAGCTGAGTGAATCATTGAACAAAGGCAACAGTGTCATCACAGATTGCTCCTCTTCCAACGTGGCTCTCTTTTCTCGATAAAAGCATCTAGTCCCTCCTGCTTATTGGCTCCTTCATAAATGCGGCTGCTTCGTCCGTCTCAAAAGACACGAGCTGCAGCTGTACAAGAGCCTCCTATCCTAGCTCCAGTCCCTCTCTCGTGACTATTTATTTACATTAAGTCTGGTAGTACCTTTAAAAAAGAGATCTAGCTGCCCCAATTAAACCTATAAAAGTATTAATAATAGAGGTCCCTATATAGACCGAAAAGTAATAATATCTTAAATTTAATAAGGTTGCCTACCATATCAGCCATAACTCTATTTCTTAATGGCATAAAAACCCCTGTAAGGACTGCTGGGGCCACTTTTCCCTCTCCATACTCCACTTTAATCAACCCACCCGAGCTTACGAGACGATGAAGAGACTGTCAAAGTCAGAGTTATGGGAGGAAAATTCGTGTGCGCGAGATAGAGTTTTTTACCGAAGGTCAAAAAGTCCTGAAAGGACAAAATGAGTCACTTCGGTCCGAGAGAAGCTGCCGTAATCAATTGACCGAGATCACGTGACCCAACAGCCCCTCCCTACAGTGACTAGATAAGATAAGAGGCAACCAACAGTAATTCAACAGTAATGCAACAGAGTCTCTCGTGACTATAACAGCGTCAGGACTCGCTTCAGAGATCATATTTGCATGTTCAAGTGCCTTGTCTACAACATGCTGGTTTGAGTCTACAACAAAGTTGCAAATTCCCCACTGCATGAACTCATGAGCCGTTACTGCCCACCCTCTTAATGCCAGCTGTGACTACTCTTTGTCGCCCTGTAGTCTTGACGATCCGTGGAAGAGCTCCGGCGAAGGCCGTCACTCCACGCTTGACTTCAGATAGAACAGCGAAGTTACCTCGTTCAAACGATATGACCAATGCTATGTTGTATTAAGATTTATCCAATTCTTCTTACGTACGTTTTGTTTGGTCGAAATCTGGCGCCGACAATCGGGATCAGCATGCAATACTTCCACAAGTTCACGTCTAGGAAGCCTGAAACCACGATTTCCTTTTAGGGAGTACCACCCGGTATTTATGAAGATTGTAAAAAAATAGCGGAGATCGTTTCAAGAGATATTTTTGCCAAGATCTTTATTCATCCTGTCTCAATAATTAGCTACCTAAATTGCCTTAATCAATTGGGTTCTTATTACAGTAAGGACACTCAAACAACCACAGCGAATCCTGTTCACACCCCGACGAATCCATATAAACTCGATTCCATCCCGCCGAGTCTGGAGGAAGGACAGAACCCAGTGACTGTTAAGGCGAACAGGGAGAAAGAGGATGGTTACGAGGGCGATTGAGACGTGTGACAATGCGCTAAGGGAGTGTTGAAGCGACAGCGTTTACCGTTAAAGCGGCCGATGGCTGTAGTGAGCAGAGACGAGCAAGTAGGAGCTCGATTGAAATGTCATTCACCATTCGTGGTGTCTTCGTCGTTACCCCTGTTGTCGTCGCCTTGGCTGTCGCTCATCTTCTCATCTTCTCATCGTCGCCTTCGCCATTGTCGCATGAAATATTGATATGACGGGCAGGAGATAAGGAGAGGTATGGCCTGCTCGGTCTTCTCCCACGAAGGGCAAAGGCATGGGAAGGGCCAGGTAGCGAGACGACCTAATGCTTGCATCAGCTAAGCTGGCAGACAAAATAGTACACGGCGGCATCCACCCGACCGAGCATGGATTGAATCACTTACCAAAGGCTTATGACAGATTCAGTTGATTTCCCGAGATTTCCAGGGCTATTTTGGTACTTTGGTTACAAGAGGCGTTGGTGAGACAGTTCTATTACAGGGCGCGTGTTGAAACCAGGGCGAAAGGGATGAAACTGTATCACGATGCGCGCTTAACCGACCGCCATACGCGGAACCGACGAGATGTATTATTTGGTAACAACCAAAATATTATAAGTAATGGAAAATATCAGCTGTTTCTCAACTAAAATATCTATACGCAAGTCGTCTTCCATTCTCTTCATTCGCTTATTTTCTTGTGGCAGGACCACACATTCGTTTCTATACTACTCAACCCACCCCTGTCCGACCTTTCAAACAAACACGATGAAGCTACTCTCTCTTTTTTACCTCTCAACTGCGGCTTATGCCCTTTCTATTCACTCTCGGCAAAATGGCCGGTTTTTCCGTGGACCACCCAATTTCAGAAACGGCGATATCACTAATGGCGACATTCCTCAAAATGATGCCAATAACGGTGCCAACCAAGGTGCCGGAAATGGGGCAAACAACGGCAACATTCCGCAGGATAATCCTCAGGATAATCTACAGGATGGTGCTGACCAAGACAATGGCAACGGAGCGGGTGATGGTGCCAATAACGGAAACAACGGGGGGCAGGGAAATGATGCTGGTCAGGGAGCTGGCGACGCAACTGGCGGCGGTGATGCGGCTGTGGCGGACGGCCAGACAGTAGTATTCACCGAAATCAACGGCATTCCTGGCAACGAGTGCCTTACATTCCGAAACAATGGCGAGATCGTTGATGCAGCTTGTGTCAATACCGCTGCAGACCGTCAAGTTACCCCTTCAACAGTCAATGGGCAGAACGCACTACAAGTCCAACGAACCTTCACCGCAGGCTTCAGACCTGATCTTGTGGACGTTCAAGCATGTATCGGATTCAATGGAACTCATTTCCGTGCTGAGGACTGCAACGCCCAGGGAGTCGAGCCAGTGACCTTCCAGAACGGCCAGTTAGTGGCCTCTGGCGGTGCTTGCGCGAGCGGTCACGATGATTTGGCACAAATGACAGTCGACACAGCCGGGGCCCAGTGTGCGACTTACACAACCACCAATGTGCAACCTGCAGCGGCTTGAGCAAACAGTAAAGCTCGGCAAGCGACTAAGAATGCAAAGCAAGGAATCCCAACACTGTTGTGATGGCCTGGTACTATCTATTAGAGGAAGGCCTTACGATGAGGAAGAGTATGTAGTAGGTATTTAATTGCTTGTCAAAAAGATACTTTAAAGAAAGGAAAATGAAAATTGTAACAGTTAGATTTCCTAAGGGATAAACTGAGCTATACTATAGTTTATACGATGGGATCTTGTGATAATATTTCTTCGGCTGGTAATGTGATGGTATTTGTAACTAGTCCTACAGTGGATAACCGAGAGGAATGCCTAGCACCGTCTTGTGATTCCGGATTAGACTGGTAATATTCCCCACGTTTCTACGTGACAAACCTAGTTTACCCCGCAAGTCACTACTGTTTGTTAACAAGGCTAACCGAGTTAGACAGATTTACTCCGTAGATACAGAACTCTTAATAACAGATCCTCTGCCCTCAGTAACAGAAATTTCAAGACACAGTTCTAAAAGCTTATTCTCAATACTATACTATATTCACTCGTCATGGCTGATCTAAAGTTTGAGAAAGTCCCGGCCACTATGTGGGCATGGAGAAAACACAGAGGGAATCCAAAGCCAGTATGTGATTACTACTTCTAACTGAAAACGATGGTTACTAATGCAACCAAGTCATACGAACAGGTTCCCGTTCCTACTTTACCCTCCAATGGCATTCTCTGTAAAATCCTAGCATCGGGCGGTACGAGCAGAGCAGTTAACTGCCTCTTCGACTTGTGGCAAGTGCTGATTGACGTTTAGTCTGCAGAAGTGATCATTCGCTGCTGACCATAGACAAACAAGCGTCTTGGTTCCAAGAGAAGTACATCTTGGTACGGCAGTTGTTGAAGAATGGTATGCAGCTTTGACTGATCACAAACGTTCAGGGACACGAAGGCTGCGGGCAAATCATCGACATAGGCAGCGCAGTGCAGGATAATGGGTTTCAAGTGGTAAGAGCTCGGCTAGACATCACGTATGTCGCCACTAATCGCAAGTCCAGGGCGATATTGTGGCTCTCCATGCTGTCCCTGGTTGTGGACAAGACGATTGCCCTGAATGTTCCCGGGATTTGTCACAGTTGTGTGAGAGGGGACATCACTCTGGCATCGGCCAAGACGGCTTTTATGCACCTTATGCAGCGGTTGACATACGAGCCGCAGTCAAGGTTCCTGCAGGTAAGATAAGCATTAAACGCAGTCGAACAGTCAACTAAGCTTCTGGTAGGCGTCACACCAGCGGAAGCAGCTGTTGCGACGGATGCAGTCAACACTGCATACCATGCCATCACTAGAAGAGGCGAAGTCAAGAAAGATGAGATGGTCTTCCTTTTTGGACTTGGCGGCCTCGGACTCAACGCTCTCCAGATCCTCATCCATATTGGAGCCAGGGTGATTGTTTCGGATATTCGACAGGAACTGCTTGATGAAGCACAGAAGCTTGGCATCCCGTCTCGCGATTTGGTTCCCATTGGGACGCCTCCACAACAGTTCATCGCAGAAAATGACCTTTCAGGAAAGATTGATACGGTCCTGGACTTTGTCGGAACTCATCAAACTTTTGAGGATGCTCAGCATATTGGTTAGCTTCCCGTGTCCTTCAGACGTGCTCTTCATTAACATTGATCGATATAGTACGGCGGGGAGGTAAACTCCTTTGCATTGGGAGTCTCGACACAGAAAACACAATCCACATGAAGATCGGAACAAGAAAGCGACTTTCGTTTATTTTCAGTTATGGTGGTCAAGTGAAAGACCTTGAGCAGGTTCTTGACCTTATTGCGGCTGGATCTATCAAACCTCAGGTCGAGACGCGAAAGCTGAAAGAGTTCGATCAAGTCCTGCAAGAACTTTGTGATGGAAAGATACGGTCGCGGGTTGCTTTGCTGGGCGAGTGAATAGTAGTACTAGTAGATACATAGTGACCAAGATCTTTCAGTACAGATTTACCCATTTACACTTGCACTTGCTGGTAGACTAGTTCCAACTGCCGCAGTAGTACCGGCATCTACTGGCAAGATAGCACCCGTGATCCATCTTGCGTGGTTGCTTGCTAGGAACACAACAGCGCAAGCCGCATCCCATGCTGTCCCCTCGGTACCAAGAAGACTTCGCGCTTTTCTGGCTTCCCTTGCCTCATCCGTCATTCCTTTCGCATACATCATCGGTGTATAAAGCATCTGGGAGCATTTTTAGTATACCGACACGTCTAGGTCATGAGCCACTTACTCCGGGACAAACACAGTTAACTCTGATGCCATCTTTGGCGTGGTGTGCGGCCATCGCTCGGGTCATATTGACAACAGCACCTTTGGCCGTCGGATAGAGAAGATGCGGTGTCCCACCTTTCAACCCGGCCACACTGCCCATATTCACTATCGACCCTTTGATTTCACCCTGATTCCTTGTCATGCTGGGTATAGCATACTTTGCCATCAGAACCATGCTTGATACATTGACCTCGAGGCCTGTAGCCCAGGCAGCCATGTCCACGTCGACAGCCGTACCTGATGCCCCTCCTATGCCGACGTTGTTGACGAGTATATCTAAGCGACCAAAACTCTCCATTGCTAATGCGACTGCTTTCTCGCAATCAGCTGAGACGGTGACATCGCCTTGCGCGGGAATGGCGTTTTTCAGTCCTGTCCTTTGGTTTGCCATGTCTGCTGTTTTGGTCGCCCATTCCAAGTTCATGTCAAGACATACCACGTTGCATCCTTCATCTGCCAGCATAATAGAAATTGCTCGGCCGTTTCCAATCCCATCTTCAATGCAGCCGGCACCGGTAACAATGGCGCATTTGCCTTTTAAAGAACGAGAAGGAGGATGAAGGGGGATTTGGTCAGACATGATGCAGTTGAAATTGTAAAAGAATCGAAATAGAGCACGTATAAAGACGTATTACAATTGATAAACCTCGGTTCTCTATTTAATCTTCACATCTTAGCAATAGACCAACTCATCTGCGAATACAGATCGAATCTTGAGATATCATGTGCTTGAACGGTTATCCAAATTAGGCAGTACCGGGTCCGAATCCGACCTCGCCACGAGGAGTCGAGCCGAGGTTCAGCTGTGGATACAGCAATGATGGCGCGAGTTGGACAGTTACGGCCTCTAATACCAGTACAGAACTTCGATGTTCGATAGGATAGAATCATCGCTTTCATTTTTAATCATTCACACAACATTGTTAATATGTGCGACTTTTCCGAATACGGTGGCAAGTCTGAAGAATGGCTAGCAGTAGAAGCAAGCCTACCACCGCCTCCAACATTCGCCGATATTTATGAGAGACAACGGGCAATCAACCGAGGCAGAGAGGAAACTTCGGCTAGAGCCATGCAACAGCTGGCCCCATCTATTCATACCAAGGACCACAACATTATTGCCAGAGACGGAGCTACACTAGAAGCGCGAAGCTATAGGCCAGTGTCTGTCGAGAAAGATACTCGTCTTCCCATTTACATTCATCTTCACGGAGGAGGCTACTTGTTCGGTACTCTCGCTTCGGAAGATGCTATATCCACACGCATTGCACTAGGTGCGGGAGTAACGGTTGTCAACGTCAACTACCGCCACACACCTGACGCTACCTTTCCTACAGCGTGGAACGACGTTGAAGATGCCTTCTACTGGGTACACGATCATATTGATGAGCTTCAAGGCAACTCTGATCAAGTCCTGGTCGGCGGTATCTCGGCCGGTGCTCAACTTGCGGCTGCTTTGGTTTTGAGACAGAACATTGCCTCGCCTGATATCCTCTCGAAGCCGAAGATTGCCGGGCAGATCTTGATGATCCCCGCTTTGGTTCGCTCAGAGTCATACCAGCCACAGTTAGATCAGCTGTTGGATCCGAAGTTATCCTCTCATATTGAGAATGAACATGCGCCTATCCTTCCGCAGAAGGTCATTCACTTCTTTACTAAGTTACTGGACCTTCCGCTCCATGATCCTCAAAACGAAGATCTCCGGCTGAACACTGGCAATGCATCAACAACGCAAGTAAAAGGCTTGCCACCAACAGTGCTTGGTATAGCCGGACAAGATCCTTTGAGAGATGAAGGACTACTCTATGGGAAGAAACTGGCAGAAGCAGGGTAAGATAACCACGATAGACTCCATTTCCCATGCTTACCATCTATTGTTATAGCGTTCCCACAGATATTCATGTTTTCAAAGGCTTACCTCATGGGTTTCGCCGCTATGGTGAACAATTGACCGAGTCGAAGCGGTGGGACAAAGTCATGGAAGACGGAATTAGATGGGCTCTCTCGAATCCCAAGCCTTCTGGGAAGTTTGAAGTTAAAACTACTTAGTGTTGATTTGATCAGTGTTTGTAACAAGCATCGCTTGAATTCCTCTATTTCTTAGTTATGACCTAGTACAAAATCCGAGTATTCCCGAACCTTCACCTCGTCACATCTCTTTCGATAGCCTGGCGCTGGCCCGTTGTATCGTGTCAAGGACCGCTTCTGCTTGTGAGCCAAATTCTTGTTGACGCCAGTCATCCATGAATCAACTTCATTGGCCAGGAGTCCTTGACCACATTCTTGCACATGCTGTGTCCAGTCCTCCATACCCTTTTCGGTCGCTTCTACAGAGGTGATCTTGTTGTCTCGAGCGTAACGAATACAATCAGCTACCCAATTCGCTGCATACTCAATGGATCTGAAGAAGATGGGTGTGAGCAATAGAGACCTAAAGGGGGGAGTAAATAAATACCTTGGGATATTGCCAAACATCTGGTGCGGTCCCATAATCATGAACATGTTGGGGAAATCCTTGACTGTGAGGCCCAGGAACGTCCGAATGCCGTTGGCCCATACATCCTTCAGCTTGGCCTCGTTACGGCCCTGGATGTCTACAGCATTAAAGGACCCGGTGACAGCATCAAACCCGGTCGCATAAATGAGGATATCCAGTTCATGAAATTCATCCTCTGTTTGGACACCGGTTTCTGTGATTTGGGTTATCGGGGCTTCCCTGATATCGACCAGCTTAACATTGGGTTGGTTAAAGACCTCAAAGTATCCGCTCTCTAGTGGTACTCGTCTTGTGCCAAAGCCGTGATTTTTCGGGATCAACTTTTCAGCAGTCTCTGGGTCGTTGACTCTTGCGCGTATCTTATCCGCGTGAAACTTGCTGTACAAAGCATTTGCCTCACGGTTTGTGTAAATATCTCCAGATATGCTGAGCACTTTGGCAAACCCAGGGAGAGCATATAGCTTCTCCCAGCGCTCTTGGCGTTCTTCTTCTGTCATGGCGAAGACACTCTTGGGGTCGCCAACATGAATAAAGCCAACAGATGATTCGAGGCACTGGCGAAAGATTTCTGGATATCTCTGCCGGATCTCATCCATCTCTTCAGGACTGATTTTGCTATTTCGCAGAGGAGCGGTCCAGTTAGGCGTTCGTTGGAAGATTGTGAGGTGGCCAACCTTGTCAGAAATGGCCTGGATGGTCTGGATCGCTGTCGCACCGGTACCGACGATACCCACGCGTTTGCCAACAAGGCTGGAAGCATCACTAGGCCATCTTGCGGTGTGCCAAGACTCGCCCTTGAAGTTCTGTACACCCGGAATATTGGGCAGAGTGGGCTTATTCAAGATACCCATAGCCGTGATGAGATATCGGCAGGTATAATGAACGCCTTCATCGTCTTCAAGAAGCCATGAGGAACTGTCTTCTTGAAAACGTGCCGAGTTCATGCGTGTGTTGAACTGCATGTCACGCTTCAAGTCGAACTTTGACGTGAGATACTGAATATATCGGAGCGTTTCTGGTTGCGGAGCGAAATGCTCCGTCCAGTTCCATTCATCAAGCACCTCTTGCGAGAATGAAAAGATGTAGGAGTAGCTTTCTGAGTCAAATCGGGCACCAGGGTATCTATTCCTGCTCAGTGTCAGTGGTGAGTCAAAGGTATAGTTAGGTGTTAAACTGCGTACCAGAACCAAGTTCCACCCTCAGCAGGCCCGGCTTCAATGACTCGAGCCTTCAAACCGAGCTCACGCATACGATAAAGGCTGAGAATGCCACTAAGACCAGCTCCGACTATGAGAACGTCATAATCAAGGTCTGTGTCTGAAGGGCCGAAAGGGTCATCTCGGACTGGTTGTGCAGAAGGCATTCTGATGAAATCTGGATAAAGGAGTATAGACTCAAGGAAGACAAGCAAGGATGTGGTATTCTCTCTCGAGGCGGTCGACAGAGTTCTTCTGAATGATTTATGCAAGAATCTCTGTCGTCGCAATTCTTGTCAATTAAACTAGACCCCCTGAGGCCCGTGTTAGCCCCGCCTCCCCACTTGGGTAGGATCTGAGCACAAGGTAGGTTGTTGTCGGTGATGGCGGCGCCTTTCCAAAATAGGATAACCATTCAATAGAGTTTGGTCATACCGGTGACAGAGAGGGGTATTCGGCCTTCAGTGACTCCGACTTCGGTAACTATGACCAGCAACATGCACAAGGAATTTATCAGTTAAGGCTAAGAGATATGGTGCGGCTCTAGAGTGTTGATTTGTTCTAATTTACGGAGTACCTGCATGGCTATTCTACAGTAATCCCTCGGCTTTCCAATAATTCTCAAGATCGCGAAGAAATGCCCACTTCAACCCTTTACCGAACCCTCGAGCCTTCCAATCATTTAGACTTTGCGGAAAGTGTGGTACACCGTCGCGTACCGTAGAGTCATGAGCCACAACAACAAAGATGTCTTCGTTGCAATCCAACTCTTGCAGTTGACGAGTAGTCTTTGTGGCTAGTTCTAGGTCTAGGCCAAACGTCAAATCGAATAGGCTGTCGGTTGGTTCCCTTCCTCGCGATTTCTGCAGCCGTGCAAATGCTTCCCCCGGACATAGAACACTGTCGTGCTCGGGGTGACAGGGATGGGGAGATATGGTGCTTGGAATTGGAAGATACTGAGAGGGCCGGAAAATGCCAGCATAATGGCAGACATCTCCGCCCATCAGAACGAACGTGTCTGGTTCAGTAGTCGTTCTAGCCAGGCCGCACAGATGGCCTACAGCATGTCCAGGACTGTCCAATAGATAGAATGATCCATCCCCAAAATAGTCAAACGCGGGGAACTGGCCAATCCTCAGTGAGTTCGGACCTTCGAAGCTGATCTCCCGTAGATTGCGGTCACTAGCTCACGGTTACCGATGAGTAATACAGACATCTGTTAGGGAACTTACGCATAATCTTTCTCTTGAATAGGTGACTCTGGATTTGCTGGAGCGCCTGGCAGCATCGCTTTTTTAAACCCTGGGCCGACAACAAGATCTGTCTTGGAGGGGAAGGTGGAAGGATCGCCAATGTGGTCCCAATGCCAGTGACTGTTACATTTTGAGCGACCGTAATTAACTTAAAACGCTGTCGGTGGATCAACAAGGGCTACTGACCTCCATATCACCGCTTCAATCTCCTCCAAAGGAACACCATTCTCCTTTAAAATATCTGCCACATTGCCCACCACCTCGATGTTATAGTTAGTGGTCGGGAGGTATTTCACAATTGAGGGCGCATAGTTTTCGTAGTCCTTTCGGATCCCCAAGTCGAACACCAATTTTCTTCCCGACTTGTGCTCAATCAAGAATGACAACGATGGCGAACTCTTGAAAGTCTCGAGACCTGGGACAGGAGGTGCCATGAACCTCTGGAGAATTGCAGGCCCAAAGTTCACAGGGTTGATTAGTGCAACGGACTGGAGTGCTTCTCCTCGAGGGAGCTGAAGATGCTGTGGATTTGGCGTCATGCTGGGTTGCTAACGTACGGCTGAAAAATAGTTGAATAGCAGTAAAGTGTCGTCGGCTGAAACTAAACAAATACAAATATGAAATTGGATCAAGTGATAGTAAAATGGCGTCTGCGATAATCAAGTTTAGTGTTCGGTCCAGGTCTGGGTCCAGGTCTGGGGGGTCTGGGTTGTCGGCAACGCTCTCGGTAGTCTTGGTTGGGTAAGGTCGCCCAACCTCGTCCAACACTAGACCCCGGACCCCAGCTTTGCCCGAAGTGCCGTGTGCATCGTTACCCCGGATCAACCTTATTTAGCGACCCCTAGGAAAACGAGCATAAGTAGCGAGTTCCGGCACCCGTAATGTTGTATTCGACACCTCAGCAACAAATACAGCTGGATCAACAATGTCGAACTCTGACAAGGAAACCGCTATTCAGCACGATGAAGCTATGGCTGACATACAACCGCAGAAGACGGTCGATACCGTGCACAAAGATGAGGCCATGAAGGTTTTGGCAGCTTACCAGGGCGATGAGTTGTGGACTGATGAGGAAGAAAAGAGGCTGCGTCGTAAGATTGATTGGAGGCTCATGCCTGTTCTCTGCGCGACATACATGCTGCAGTACTATGACAAGGCCATGCTTTCTCAAGCGGTATGTACTCCTGCCCGAGAGCCGTGGGTAATTACTGACTTTATTTGCACAGGCCATATTCGGGCTGAGACAGGACCTTGGCCTCCTCACTGGAGATCGATACGCCATGTCCGCATCCATCTTCTATCTCGGCTTTATCGTCGGGGCCTACCCATGCATGATACTCGCACAGCGATATCCGATCGAACGAGTTGCTTCTGGGATTGTTACCATCTGGGGTGTCTGCTTGATCTTGACGGTGATCTGCAAAGACTACAGGGCGCTCTATGCACAGCGATTCTTCCTCGGATTCTTGGAGAGTGGCATCAGCCCTATGTTCATGATGATTGTCGTAAGTGCCTTTGTGTCTCGTTGGTTGTACACTTACTCATTCTCTTAGGGGAGCTTCTATAAGAAGAATGAACAAGCCATGCGTATGGGGTAAGTACCTACCTTGACCAGTGCCTATGCATACTTAGATACTGACCTGGTGAATAGCATTTGGTACAGCTGTACCGGTTACGTCTCCATCATTTCTCCTCTTATCAACTATGGCTTTGGCCTCATCAACGGCGGTGTTTCCTCTTGGAAATACATGTACTACTTTGCCGGTGCCCTCACTGTTGTATGGGGCATCATACTCGTCTTTGTGTTGCCTCCTGATCCAGTTCGAGCGAAAGGATTTAACGAACGAGAACGATATATCCTCGTCGCTCGACTCAAGACGAATAATTCTGGTGTTCGCAATACTCACCTCAAGGTTGCTCAGATCTGGGAGCTCCTGCTAGATACCAAATTCTGGGTCGTCTTCTCCATCGCCTTCTTGTCCATGATTGCCAATGCTCCAATCTCGACCTTTGTCCCTATTATCATCAATGGATTCGGGTTCAGCACTCTAAACTCGCTACTGCTCATGATGCCATGTGGTCTGTATGCTGGCACACTTCAGCTGCTCATGCCCTACCTGGCCTTCAGATACAAGAATATCAGGACGTATTTGGTATTCATCGCTCAATTGGGCACCGTCCTAGCTTCTCTTCTGCTCTGGCAACTGCCTCAATCGGCAACGGGTGCCCTTCTGTTTGCTGTTTATATTCTGCCCTCTCTTGGTGGCGGTTATGCTGTGCTGATGGGCCTGCAAATTGCCAACACCGCGGGATATACTAAACGCTCTGTCGCATCTTCCGGCCTCTACATCGGTTACTGCTTGGGTAGGTCAATGCCAACCGTGCTATGAATAAATCATCTGACCTTGCAATAGGTAATTTCGTCGGGCCCTTGTGCTTCAAAAAGGAAGACGCGCCTCGATATGTGCCAGGATTTATTGTCGTGGTTGTCACAGCTATTATCGCTGCCTTGCTAGCCCTCGTGTACCGCGTCATGTGCATGTGGACCAACAAGCGACGCGACAAGGCTGGCATCATGGAGGGATTCGATCACGCGTATGAGGATGACCTCACTGATAAGAAGGTATGTGTTATCGCCCTTGAGTTAGAACGACTACTAATAATGTGTCAGAATGAGCAATTCCGTTACATTCTCTAAGCGCTTGGTAAGGATCAGCACTTCCTTGTTGTGTAGGGGATATATTGTTACTGGATTTTGATTCGTTCTTTCGTAATTTAAGATGGCCTATCGACGTAGCTGGACAGGAATTAAGTTCGTTTTCGGTTGTAGCGAAACGTATGAGAAATTGAGGCTTTATATTTAACTTCTTTCAAATGCTCAATTCAGTAAATGTGGCTATTCAACATTTGTCAAGTTAGCCTTTTTCTAACTTTATTATTACTACATAGAAGATATTACCTTGTCGCTGGGGAGAACTGTGTATTCAGTCGCGTAATTACACTTTTTTATCGGTCCGTTTGATTCATCGTGTTTTTGGACCCATACCGAATGGCATGCAAACGGAAGCTAATTATGAAACCTGCGATATGGTGGGTAACCTTATTAAATTTGAGTTACCGTTGCTTTTCGGTTCGTATAGGGACCTCTATCATTGCCGTTCTTGTGGGTTTAATTGGGACACCTGGATCTCTTTTTTGAAGGTCCTCCCAGGCTTAGTTTGAATGAAACCTGCGATTTCGGCTGTAAAATTCTTCAATTTCTTAAAGATAACCCATCATCTAAAAAAGAAAACCCCTGTCATATCTTCATCATAAACAATGCAGGAATCATATTTTTAATAACCGGTAAATGTTATACTCACGTAAACTAATAAATATCGGTATGCTTACCCTAAAGTCTAAGCTTAGAATAGCACCCGGCTATAATCTTATCGTTTAGGTTATCGATTGTCCATCTATCTTATCAGCTAGCGCTTGCTTGATAAGTAATTCCCCGCTTTCTCCACACGGAATGTACCCTCGGCGTCCCTGCTGTAACCGGGGTTATCAGAAGCGGTAACCTGACTTAAGACAGGGGGTTGGTTTCGGCAACCATCTGCCAAAACGTCCCTGCAACCTATTCTCTGTACTCTACAATTCGGCAATGACAGAACTCGTCGGTAACTGGCTCCGCTTTACGACTCAACAACCGAAACGAAAGCGCGCTGAGGCCGTCTGTTTCTTTTGTCATTCTAAAAAAATCAAATGTGATCTGCAGGTAAACATACATCATTCTATCTACTTCCGATACCGGACATGCCGGGTTCTGACGCGTGACAGAGCCGAAGCTCACAGGGCCATACGCGATGCTCCAACTGTGACAACCAGGACCAGGACTGCCATCAAAGGCCGTCTAAGAGAGGCAGGCAGCGCCGCAGAGCGCCCACTCAAGCAGAACGTGGTACTGAGTCTGAAATCATTGTCCAGGGTGGTAAGCTATACCTTCCGTCGCTCTCACCAGGATCACGTTAACAACGTCGAGGGGACGATGTGGGAGAAGACAGATCAGAACCGCCCAATGCTACAATCATCGAGTTTGGAAACGATGTAATAGATCAAGGAATGGTCGAGTCACCAGCCTCTGCAGTTGCCTCAACACCAAGGGTAGTATTTGCTCTGCCCCCAACTGAGCCTCCTCCCGAAGTCGCCATCACTCAGCCGACCCAAGCGGACACTTCACCAACAGAAGGTGCCGGCCGCAGTCATGCAGGCGATGTCGATACCGGATTCCTCCAAATCTACGGGCCTGAGAACCAACTCGAGGCCGAGCAGCAAGAGCTAGTCGCCAATCTCGAGCTTCGAAATCCAGCATCGGATCCCCGACAGCAAGAGCTTCAACAAAGCTTTTCCGAGACGTATTTCGAATACTGTTACCCGTGGTGTCCCGTTCTTGATCGCCAGACACTCGAGTCCGAACTTGAGAGGTCTCCCATGCTTGCGAATGCCCTTGCACTTGCTGCAAGCCATATACAACCCCCTCTGATCCCTCACGAAGGGCCGGCTTCATACTATAAGAAAGCGAGAATGATGTTCTATGAGGATGAAGAGCCGGATATACTTACGGCACTCAAAGCCATTTCTCTGTTCTACTGGTGGGCGCCTCGTTCACCTGCTACAGCTCATCGCCATGCGTCTTGGTGGTGGACTTCTGTCATCATAAGGCATGCACAACAGATGAACATTCATCGTGAACCTCAAGGAGACTCGACAGTATCTAGTGAGCTTCATCTCAGCCTAAGGAGGCGGTTATGGTGGACTGTGTTTGTGAGGCTCCTGCTTGATACTATTTGGGAATGTACTAACAGTCGATTGTACGACAGGCACGCGAGCGACTCACATCTCTTTGTCAGAGCAAACCATGCATCATCTGCCCAGAAGACATGACGATCAAGGAAGTTCAGCCGGCCGACTTCCCAAGCGATCCCGCATCACAGAAGAAAGGCCGTATCTTCAAGTATTGGGTTCGTCTCAGTGGTATTATGGGAAAAGTCTCTAAGGCGTTGTCGATGTCGGTGGACTCGACCTCTGCTCCTTTTCCCACAGAACTGAGACAAGAGCTCGTCGAATGGGTTCAGTCATTACCTCCAGACCTTCAGCTTCCAATTGGATCAAGCCGTACTGAATCGTTTGATCGCGACGTCCATCAACTGCACCTTCCCTACCTCACGACCATTATTGTTATGCATCTCCAAAGGACGACCCCGGATCTACCACAAGCTCTTCCGCCAGCCATTTTGGCTGCTTCGTGTATTGCCAGGATTCTTCGGGATATCTTATCTCGCGGAAATGCACGTTTTCTCATGGCCATTACATGCTGGTACTGTGGCACAGCTTTTATTGCCCTTCTCCAAGCGACTCGAATCAAGCAGTTCTCAAAGGAAGCTGAAGATGGTCTGGATATATTGGACCAGGCAGTCGGTCAGCTTCAGCTTATGTGGGCATCTGCCAACACCATACGACAAGGCTTTGAAAGACTCCGTGCGTTACCTCGCACCATGATGCACCCTGGCAGAAGCAGAGCCAGTGAGCCGGGTGATCCGTATAGCGGTACTCGAGGAGCGTCAAGCACGTCAAACGACTTTGACTGGCCACGCCTGTTTCCATTTGTGACGAGATCGACTAGTCGGATCGCAGATTGTCTTCTCGCCGATAATGAGTTTGGCACCACGAATACCGCCCTACCTTCACCAGAGAATGCGATATTCCACGAAGATTTACTCAACCGGTATCAGGATTTATTGGAACCTTTTATTGATTATAACTTCGATTTCTCGAATATCAACTTAGACATTTTGTAGCTGTGTCACGGCGTGGTATCAGAATAGCAGATAAAAATAGTGCCCTTGAACGCACTTGAACAGAAATAATCGAAATGTTTCTTCTATTTATGTGAAGTCTGATAGCACCTTTAAAAAAGAGATCCAGCTGTCCCGATAAAATCCACTCGAAATACTTCTATCTAATCTCGCCTAACTGAACTACAGGTATCTAATCGATCGGTTGCAAAATTAACACCGAAGCGTTTCTGCTTTCTCAACATACCAAGACAGATCACTCTCGGGATCCATCTCAAAAGCCGTGAACCCATTACCCATGAACCTGAATGGGTTCGACGTGTTGTAAGTGATGTCGAAATCCTCAGCACGGATATCACCGAGCATGCGGTTGAAGAGATGGGCGCTACCACCAAACAGGGCTGTGACTCGCCCGTCCACCTTGCCTCTCTTATACCAACTAGTGCATCCACCACTCCAGACGAGGGTCTTGTGGACCTGGTCGCAATATTTGATGAAGGCGTCCACTTTGTCTTTCTTGGGAATAACGTACTTGATATCTTCGGCTGCCATCTTCTTGATCCACTTGACAAAGTAGTCGCCTGTCCAGTTCAGAGACTCCACGAGAGAGCCGTGTCCACCGAGACAGTTTGGACCCATCATCATAAAGTAGTTGGGCATGGATGGGACAGCAACTGAGATGTATGCTTCAGGGTCTTCCTTCCACTGTTCGCGGAGATCAATCTTGTTCAAACCCACGATCGGATACCGTGGTCGGAAAGAGACGTCAAAGCCCGTGGCGTAGATGACTATGATTCGGGTTAGTTTTGTACCAAGTCGGTTGTTGAGACGGAGTTTACTCACTGACGTCGACCTCATGCTCCTTACCATCAGCAGTCCGAAGGCCCTTCTCTGTCACTTGCGTGATCGCACTATCTGTCAAGTGACAGTTTGGTTTCAGGAATGATTCCAAATATCCAGGTCCCGGTGTTATACGACGACAACCCAACTCCCACTTGGGGATCAACTTTGAACATAGGACGGGATCATGACCAAGTTTCTCGGCCATCTGTTCTGCCGCCATCTTCATGCCTGCCTCGTTGTTTTCTCCTTTTCTGAAGACGTAAAAAGACTTGTTGGTTCGGGAGATGATTCCTTTCCGATGCTGAAGATGGAGCTCTGGGTCTTGGAAACGAGCCTTGTCTTGTTCTGTATATCGAGGGTTTGGGTCATCATCCTCTCTGCCTAGATGCTTCGCGGGAGGAGCTCGGTAAAAGACCCAAGCAGGACCTCGGACAAAGTTTGTGACCTCTGTACCAGGCAGCTTCGTCATCTGAGGAACTATTTGGATACCTGATGAGCCATTTCCAATCACAGCTATGCGCTTGTTGGAATAGTCAAAGTCATGGTCCCAACTTGCTGAATGAGTCGTATGGCCTTTAAAATCTTTTAACCCGGGAATCTTTGGCCACGCCTCATGTCTTGTCACAGTTAGCACCACAGAACATAAAGATAGGGAATTATATTGAACTTACACAAGCACTCCTTGAGCTGAGATCAATACTTCGCAGTACTCTTCTCTCTGGACGTTTTCGTGTTCCACTGTAACCTTCCAATGGCCTAGGTCGTCTTGCCATTCGGCCCCTAAGACCCGAGTGCTAAGCTGCAAGTCACGATCAAGGTTCCATTTCTTGACCGTTGCCTTCATGTAAGACAGGATATCGCCTCCACTGGCGTAGAATCTCTCCCAGTTGGGGTTAGGATCGAAAGGAAATGCCTGTGCGTGATTAGGTTGAGAAACAATGATAGATTTAAAAGAAGCATACATAGATATGAGCTGGAACATCGCATTGAACACCGGGGTAGTTGTTGGCCAACCATGTACCACCAATATCGCTTCGAGCTTCGAAGATGGTATGATCCACGATGTCTTCCATCTCAGGAAATCGATGTTGGAACTTGTGTGCCATGAGAAGACCAGAAAAACCAGCACCAATGGTGATGACTCTGATTCTGCGTGGCGTGTACGCAAACTCTTGGCTGAGCTTGAAAGGATCTGTGCTCTGGCCATTGGTATGGCCATTGGCTCCGTTACGGATGTCTTCAGTTTTCATGTCAAGCTCAGGAAGCTCCGTCGCTGGCATCCCTGACAGATCACCGGCCTCTTGGGCTTTGGCCTCCGGTGATTCAACAAAAGCAGGCATCGTAACAAACCTGGAATAAGCTCTGTCAAAGACTATTGCTTGCAATTGTTCTCAAGCGTGGCAAGTATAAGAAATTATTCGTGCAAAAGGATGTGTGTGACGCTTTGTCTCGTCTGTGTTATTATAGTAGGTTAAGAGCTTTTCAAAGCACTCATTATATCTTGCAAACGACAGGATGTTGCTCTAGCTTTTCGTTCTGTAGTCTCATACGATAAGCGTCTGCTGACCATCGCCCTAAGCCAGCTCGGCAAAGCTTGTATTGGACCATCGTCCTCCCCAGTCCTCCCCTCGGGGTAACTGATAGCCGAGCATACTTACCGATGTTCTGTTTGCTACTGTACAAACATTCGGCAGTCGAAAAGAGAATATCTAGCTAGTCTGTTACCGAACTCGGCGATCCTAATTCGGATTGCCGAGTCTTGATCGACATCGGAGGGTAAGTGCGGGGTTGCTAACAATACCCGCATGAGAAGCAGGCCTTTGGAACCGAATCCACAGTACTGAGGGGCCACAGACGTGTCATCTGATATCTTATCTTATGTAGCTTAAAGCTCGCTATTAATTACCTGGAAATATCATATAATTTCATTTTAATTCCCAGTCATCTAAGAGCACCGAACGTCCCGTAACACCCGAATATTCAACCATGACTCTAGATCGTTATTCCTACAATGGCCCTATAGACCACACCATCACCCCAAAACTGGAAAATGTAAAGGGAAAGTCAGTCATCGTTACTGGAGGCGCTAATGGTATGGGCGAAGCTTTTGTGCGAGACTTCGTCGCTGCTGGCGCCTACGTGACCTTTGCCGACGTTAACGAGAAGCGTGGCCAAGCAATTGAGTCTGAACTCAATGTCAATGCGACGGCGTGCACTTTCGTGAAATGCGATATCACAGATTGGGATCAGCAAAAGGCGGTCTTTGACAAAGCCAAGAGCCAGAGCCCAAGCAACAGTGTCGATATTGTTATTGCAAATGCTGGTATCAGCCGTAGCTCTGGCGACAGTCTGTGGAACTTGGATGGTGAGTATTGGTGGCATAAAGTAGGGAAATGTTTAACTGACAGAATTCAGATCCTAATGGTGAGCCAACAAAACCGGATTTGAACATTGTCCGCGTCAATATAGATGGGACATTCTATACGTGGAAACTAGCAGTTCACTATTTTCGCAAGCAGCCAGTGGATGAAGAACGAGATCGCTGTTTCATCATTACAGGCAGTATGGTTGCATGGATAGATTCTCCAGTAAGTAAATAGTTTCTTGGTGACTGTTTCGTATCTAACCAAGGTGTGGTAGGGAAATTGGGAGTATACAGCTACGAAATATGGTTTGCGAGGATTCATGAGAACGGCTCGACGATCAAGCCACGAGCAAAACATACGTATTAACTACGTTGCTCCATGCTGGATAAAGAGTGCTATCCGGACGGCAGAGTACGAGAAATGGCTCATTGACAATGGAGTCGAGTTTGGCGAGCAGAAAGATGTCTCGACCTGCATGTTACGAATTGCTACTGATAAGTCTATCAATGGTGAGTGATGGCAAGTCAGTGGGTCTTTATACGCTAACATTACTTCCAGGTCGATCCTTAATGATAACACCTCGAACTGTTGCGAAAGAGGGATTTGTAGATATCGACAGGGAAGATTACAAAGACACTCCGGAGGACGAGTACCTAAAGAAAGTACAAGCCTCTCAACTAGTCATCATTCAAGACAAGTGGTTGGACGACTACAAGGTCAGGATATATAAAGATTAGGCTGAGGATTGAATGGAAATAAGAAACCAGGAATAAAACGCTGTACTGGTATATGATAGTGAATCTAATTTAAATGTGGTTAGCGAAAGACTTTAATTTAGGCGTGGTATGGAGTATCGGGATAAACATAATGCGAGGTGGCTGGGAAGGCGGAGATGGCGGTAGTCGAGTGTGGAGATGCCGGGGTAACATGCGCACCCGAATTTGCCATGCCCGCCTTTCCCTGGTTTCTTCCCCTAATCAGTCCATCTTGACCAGAATGCCAGCTCCAGCTCTAGTTCCAAATAACCGTCGTATGCCTCTCAGTTGCGAGCCATGTCGCCAACGGAAGATCAAGTGCCCACGCAATATCAGCCGTGGGAGGGCGCCTTGCGACACCTGTGTACGCAGGGGTATTCCTGGTGATGAGTGTATCTATCTCCGAGATCAATGGTCAGGGCGCAATGTTCCGATGCCTCGACATGGTGATAACTCTGCTCTTATCGCTCGAATTGACCGACTAGAGGAATTACTGCGACGGAGCGTATCGAGTACAAATTTAGAGGCTAGAAAACCAGAGCCAGAACCAGCTTCAGATTTGCTATCACCAGAATCGACCCGACATCAATCTACCGCCTCATTTTCCACTCAAAGTGATACATCGCTGACTGGAGCGTGTTCGAGTATGCCGCCGGCTGGAGTCATTATCCGATATGAATCCGGCCACGACCGATTTGAACCAGCCTCTTTACGATGGTCACCAGTTATCCAGGACAATCCCGTGGTGAGTGGCATAAAGACAGACATGGAAGAGAGCAGACCGGGTTCGATGCCATTTTCTACAACCAGCGCAACAGTCAATGATCTTCTCGAATTGCTGCCGCCTGCTTCGCACTGCGAGGAACTCAAGAAGATCTATTTGGATACTTTTGCACCGGTAAGTATCTATACTGCACTACGCACCTCTAATATTTTTATGGCTAACAGTTCAGCTATTTCACATCCTACACGACCCTACATTTGAAGCGGACTACTGTCGCTTTCAATCCGACACCGAGAAAGTAAGCTTACCATGGCTGGCACTCTTGTTCGCCATACTCGGTATAGCCGTTATTGCACTGCCCACAGATAGCCCATTGTTCCGAGAGCTGGGGAAGCGCAATTCAACGCCCGACAATATGTCGCTACTCGGTAGTCGATACCGAGGAGCAGCAATGAAGTGCCTCGAAGCAGACCACTATCTGTGGAGACACAACCTGAATACCCTACAAGCGCTGGTGATTCTCATCTACGGGATAAACCATACACATGGACAATCTTGGGCTTTACTAGGAGCGGCGCGTAATATTGCCCTATCTCTAGGCTGCCACGTCGACCCAGAAGTCTTCCAAATGGATCGTATCAGGGTGGAAGAGAGGCGTCGATGCTGGGCTGGACTCAACATGCTTTACACGATACAGAACACAACCTTGGGCATGTTGGATGTAGCCCATACGCGTATGACGGTGCGCCTGCCATTGGATGTCAATGATGATGAGCTTGTGGCTGGTTATCAAATTCCTCAATCCCGAGAAGGTCCAACCCAGATGTCCTATCTATTGCTAAAGTTCGATCTCTATGATCTATGTGCGCGCATTTGCAGCCACGTGTTCGAGGCATCGCAGACAACATTATACGATAAGGTCCAGGCTCTCGACGCAGAAATATCAGCCATGCAAGAGACATTCAACTACAAATACATTTTCGACGTTCCACTTGTAGCCCACCACGCTGTCCAGCTGAATATCCTTTTCGGTTACACCCACCAGCTCACACTACTTCTCCACCGACCAATCCTACGCCAAGGTGCTTCTGGCTTTACCCCGGACAACCGGTTGTATTCTCAGAATAAATGCATGGAGAGCTCTAAAGCGTTGCTTCATATCCACCGCACACTTTATGAAGATCCAGCCTTCCGTCCGTACCATTGGTATAGCCGCGGACTGGGAAGCTTCCACGCGTTCCACGCCGCAGTTTGTCTTGCTCACATCTGCATGAGCAGTACGAACCTCGATGCCTCTACCAAGGCTTCCTTCCAAGAACTTATTCGCGACTCTATCCAAGTGTTTCGGTATTTCATGAACACAGGGGTTAGTGCAATCTGTACTAAAGCCATGCCGGTTCTAGAGAAGCTATTGTGCGTGTGTACCTCTTTTACGTGAACATACGTTGCTAATCAGTGCAGGGATATTATCAATACCCAGGAGAGCCGTGACTCGAGTAGAGCCAGCGAATCGATGTACAAACAGTCAGATTTGTCTCATCAAAATGAACTTGGGCTACTAGATGAGTATATCGAAAACCTTGCACCACAACAATGGCTTTCTCCTTCTAACATGGGCTGGGAGGGATGGGCGATGATTTTGGATGATGAGTCCATGGTAAATGTGTTTTAGTAGCCCATGTACAGTAGTAAGCCTTGCGTTGGCCAGACTTTGTTTAGATTAAGTATGTACAGGTGGATCAGGGTTGATTTATGAAGCAAATCGTTAATACTGCGTGGAAATACCCCTATGTAGATCTTTCCAATAATGCCCCGAAGCATAACTCTGTTCATGCTTAGACGTTACTCATTCATTAATCAGAGGACATAATTCAATGCGAGCAAATCGATATTGGAAAATTGCTGTGATGAGATAAATCACGGTTGGTGATGTTTTGAAGCAAGAATACATGCACAAGAAATAAAGTTAAACGGAGGCCTTTCTCACCACTAGGATAATATAATTACACCACCGCAAGACGTTTCGGCACATCCTGCTTATGCTTCTTTATACATGGGGAATGTGGGAACCTCGAATGGAGTCACCCCTCCAGCAAAGAGACCTGCGCAGCCAGCCCAATCTAAGGGGGTTAATCAGTAAGGGTGTCATTGAAAAGCACAAATAACTTACAACTCATAATAGCAACCAAATATCCAAAGGCATAACCTGCATTAAGGACTGAAGTGCTGTTTACCATGTTGCCAACGGCAAGTAAGACAAGGCAGACATCCAATGCCAGAAGGTCGAGAAAAAGAACCCAAGAGCTTCGGACTGCGGCAATAGTGTAGATGACAGTCAGAATGAGCCAAGCCCATAGATACATGGCAATTGCCTGCTGGAAGTCTGGACTCAAGGCACCTGAGTCATCTACATATGCAGCAATAATACCTGAGCCCGGAAGGTAAATCATGCTGTAAGAGATGTTGAAGGCGCCGTATGACATGATGACAGCTGTGCCAAAGGTATTTCCAGTGATGAATTCCATGATTCCGACAATGTACTGACATATTCCTCCGAAGAAGATCAGCACAGCAATCATGACATTGGGGGTCTGAATTCCGCGAGCGTGGACGCCAAAGCTAGAAATGAGAAAGATGCCTTATTGATCAGCTCACGGGTACATGAAAAAGTCCGTTGGGTTGGGGCGGTACGGTACGGTACCTGTTGCGAATGAGAGCAGACCCAGTGGCGAAGGGTTGGCAAAGCGCCGATGAACCACTGGGAGAGCAGGCTGTCGGCGATCCTCTACATGGCCGCCTGCAGTTGTGGTTGGTCGTAATTTGTTTTCCTCGGAGGACATGATGATTGCTGTAATGTGTCTTCTGTTCTGTTCTGTTCTGTTCTAATCAATCGGATGAGAATGATTCTTCAAACGAATTGTCTCTGACGGCAAGGCAATGGGTTAATAATACGAGATCCATGACCCCATCGTCGGTTAATCTGATCCTACTTACATAGTACTCAATCTAAGCTCCAGGCCCCCCAGAAATTCGGCCTCAGAAAGGGGCCTGTCCCGAACATCTCCGCTCTCATCCCATGCCCTCGCCTCCCCCACATAACACATAAGACATAACAGGACATGCCATCCCCGCGACCCACCACCTCCGTCATCTCCGTCATCTCCGCCTTCTCCGCCTGCCCCATTACCAGAACCGCCAAAAGTTTTAGTCATAATGCTCGATGCCTATTTGAGCATTTATTCACCCAGCTGATGCGAGCTGATCAGAATTCAACCTAGACATTGTACAACCAGCACGCCACAATGGGATCTCAATCTACTTCCGTGTCCATGCAATACGCTGCCTACGTCCATCCCGACACGGGCCTTCCCCGTATTGGGCACTATGACCTGGCCAAGGGCACCATCCAGCCTTTGAGCTTCATCTCTGGAACTCCTGTGACTGATCTCTACGAAGTTATCGCTGCAGGGGTCTCCAACATAATTGCGGACGGAGAGACCCTGTCCGCCAACAGCGTCAAGTTATTGCCTACTATTTCCGGCCGAGATATTCTGGCTGTGGGAAAGAATTACATGGAGCATGCCAAAGAGTTTAACAGCTCAGGTTACGACAGTTCTGACAAAACGGACCGACCTAGCCATCCAGTCATCTTCACAAAGAGGGCTACCTCTATCATTGCTCATGGGTATGTCATCCTCCCCCATGTAGACTTCTCACAAACTCTGGATTACGAGGGAGAAATCGGCGTCATTATTGGCAAGACGGGTTATCGCGTTAGCGAAGCCGATGCATGGGACTACGTGTGGGGTTATTCCATCATTAATGATATGACTGCACGTGAGCGTCAACGTGACCACAAGCAGTTCTTCATTGGAAAGTCTCCCGATACCTTCTGCCCTCTTGTCAGTCAACTGTCTATTTGCACATGACTCACAGAATCTGACTATTATTTTCAGGGCCCTATCGCTGTCTCAAAAGACAACCTGCCGGCTACTCTCAAGGTCCAGACCCACGTCAATGGCGAGCTTAGGCAAAGCTCTACTACCCAAGATCTCATCTTTTCCATTCCTACCTTGATCAAGACTATTTCCGAAGGCCAAACACTGCAGCCTGGAGATGTGATTGCTACCGGAACGGTAAGTCGAGCTTATGCATTAATCCGATCCAGGATCGTCCTATCTTGGCTAATTGATTGATATAGCCTGCTGGTGTCGGCATCGGCAAAAGTCCACCCATTTTCCTGCAGCCGGGTGATGAGGTTTCTGTCTCAGTCACAGGGCTGGGAACCTTGACTAACAGAATTGGAACCTCCGAAACAGTCAACCCAACAGTCCAAAGGGTTTCTTCGAATTCACCATTCCTCGTCACCAACTCGGCCAAGACCCTTGGCGCTGATATTGGACTCACCTCCTTCAATGGCAAGCCACTCAACTACCAGAAGCAAGGTTCTGGGAGTAACCACATTGTCTTTGTGCACGGCCTAGGTGGCACCCTGGATTACTGGACCCCCTTGATCTCCAAGCTTGCCTTGTCTGAGAACAATACTCTTCACTCATTTGACCTTGAGGGGCATGGATTGAGCCCAACCCATCCTCTCAGCAAGCTGAGCATCGAGTCATTTGCCTCTGACATTCAATCCATCTTCGATGCAGCCAACATTACTTCATCTGCCCCGGCCACACTGTTTGCCCACTCACTTGGATGCTTGGCAGCCCTCAGGTTTACCATTGACAATCCTGGCCTTGTTGGCAAGCTGGTCCTTGTTGGGCCCCCTCCATCGCCTCTACCGGAAGCAGCGACCAAGGGCGCATATACCCGTGCTGCAATAGTCAGGAAGATGGGCATGCGAGCCGTTGTAGATGCTGTGGTGGATGCAGGAACATCAGAGCACTCCAAGCAATCGAACCTCACCGCAATCACTGCCGTTAGATTGAGCCTTCTCGGCCAAGATCCTGAATCTTATGCCAAGGCGACTTGGGCACTTGCCGGAGCCACGGAGGAGCTCAAGGTCGAGGGGATCAAAGCCAAAACCCTTATTATCACCGGTAATGAAGATAAGGTTTCGCCTCCTTCCCTCTGTGAGAAGTATGCGTCTAGCATTCAGGATGCCCAGGTTGTGGTGTTGAAGAATGTGGGGCATTGGCATGTCTTTGAGAATGTTGACGGTGTTGCTGAAGCAGTTAAAGAATTCCTGTAGATTACGGATATAAAATGTATTATTTACATTGAGTCTGGTAGCACCTTTAAAAAAAAGAGGTCCAGCTGTCCCAATTAAACCCACAGAAATATTAACAATAGAGGTCTCTACACAGACCGAAAAGCAACAGTGTCTCAAATTCAATAAGGTTACCTACATAAAGTATGGTATTTATATATATCTATAGCATTCTATTACTCAGTACGTTATTTAAAGTCCATCTTGGCTCTAGATAATATCGTGATTATGATATCCTATTTAGAAGCATTACTATATTCAGCAATAAATTAGTACCGTCTTGAATCACAGTTTTAACAACTTTTACACGCTTTATTACCTTCGCAGTTGATTTAAATTTATGCCTCGTGTTTTTCATATAATAATACGTATTTATTTTTCATACATGTTTAAGAATCGGCGCCCCAAAACTTTCGCAATCCCACAAATCTCGGGGGCTCTTTGAACTTGTTTTGGATTCCTTTCGTCCGACCTATGCGGAGAGACGCACCAAATTCGGCAAGATCCTTTTCACTGTGAAACCTCCAGAACTGCCATGTGCAATTGCTTCCTCGAAAAGCTTCCATAACTCTGGCTCCTCCAGGATGATTGTGAATAAATTCTGTGCAGTCGTAAACAATGTTGTCTATAATGATCCATAAGAAATCGTTCCGGCTCGCCTCCGCGATAGTCTCTGCTTCAATGAAAGGCAAAAGGTCGTTGGGAGTATTGATTGATGCTGGATTGTATGAATTTGGGCTGTTAAGATTTTCAATAAATGCCACAGACGGCGAAGAATTGTATTTAGTGTCCCGAGCAACTTCGACCGTGGAAACCGATGGCTTTGTTGAGTGAGACTTGCGGTTGTTCCAGAACATGGTGAGGGAGACAGAGTGTATAGTATTGGAGCGTAGGATTGTGGTCTGTACGTTTGAGGGGGGTCACTGAAAAGCTGTGGGTAAGAAAAAGGTATAGAACTTTAACCTCAATGGACTAACGTTACACTCGGACGCCCCGAGCCCAAGCCTTCTGGTGAAGTTTGGTGGCAATCCCCCGCACCCCGCAGCGACGACCCGCACGGAGATGGCGGCGATGCGCGGAGGAGGCTTTTCCGAGTCGGAGATTTGGATTGCCGTGAGTTAGTTGATGCATATCTCCGACCGGAGATGTTCCAACACCCAAGGACCTTCTTTACATAACTATGCTTCCCCATGGGGAACATGTAAGTTAGCTTCGATAGCACCAAGCCAGATTCGACAGAGCGATTCACTTCACAATGACTAAGGGCGAAACCATCAAGACCTCGTGGCCCCAAGGGTCGCATGACTCCTGGTCAGAACAGACCATCTACGGGCAAGAGTTCCCTAAGAATGTTGACTTCATCAATAATTTAAAGCTTGATAAGAAGCTCCAACCCAAAAAGTACAAGATTGAAGGAACGCACCAAGAGTCAAGGATCTTGTTCAGAAACGTCAAGATCCTTGACTCTACAGGCCGTGAGCCATACCTGGGGGATGTGTTGATCCAAGGTTTGTTTTTGAACGCTGATTTATGTACGCAACCTTAACAAAAGTAGGTGAAATGATCACTGCAGTGGGTCAGGTCCCCAATAAAGAAGAACTCGAGCGAAACCCCTCCGTCCGTATCATTGAGGGAAGGGGCAGGACGCTCATGTCTGGCCTTGGAGATGGACATACTCACTTCACATGGAATGGAGGTGACCTCAACAGACTTGGAGAATTAGACATCGAGGAGCATGTTCTCCTAACAATCAAGAGTGCCCAATGTTTCCTCGACTCAGGATATACCATGTAAGTAACTACAGCTTTCAACTCCGTTTATAATACTGACACTCAGGGACAGGTGTTTTGGGGCGGCTTCAGCTAAAGACCGGCTGGATGTGGTGGTTCGAGACGCCATCAACGCTGGTGATATTCCGGGGCCTCGCTATCTTGCTAACGCCAGAGAGATCGCCAAGACAGATGGCGAGTTGGTCGCGGGTATTACACGATTCGCAGACGGTCCAGATGGTGAGTCGGTGATCTATGACATCACTAACGAGTTTGGAAAACCGTACCTGACTCATTGAGTTGTTAGAAATGCGCGAGGTCATCAAACACAACATCGAAAACATTGGCGTCGACAACATCAAACTCAGCATCTCAGGCGAGGAAATCACCGAGATCCGGTCAGCGCAGGATTGCTACTTTCATGACGATGAGATGGCCGCCTGCGTAGATGAGGCTCACAAACGCGGAAAGAGGTTGTGTGCACATGCTCGAGCCAGAGATTCGGTTAAGATGTGTGTGAAGCATGGTGTGGACGTGATATACCACGGCAATTACATTGATGACGAAGGTGTGTATGCTTTGACGAACTTCAGGCTCAGACTAACTTTGTAGGCATGGACATGTTGGAACGTGAGCGCGAGAAGTACATCGTCGTGCCAGCTATCAACTGGCTGGTAGCCACTACCTATGAAGCCGAGGCATTTGGATATACGCACCAAGTCGCTGAAAAAGCAGGATACAAGCGGGAGCTTGATGTTGCAGTTGCGGGACTACGCGAGATGCACAGGCGAGGTATTGTTGTTCTACCAGGAGGGTAAGCCACTTCACGGCCAACTACACCAGTGAAATACTGACATATACAGCGACTACGGTTTTGCCTGGACGCCCCACGGAACATATGCTCGCGATCTTGAACATTTCGTCAAGCTTCTCGGTTTTACCGCCCACGAGAGCATCATCGCTGCAACCGCTGGCGTTGCTACCCTCTTGATGAGGGGTCACGAGCTTGGGAAAATTCAGCCGGGATACTACGCCGATTGCATCCTTGTCGACGGGGATCCTCTGCAAGACATTTCCATCCTTCAGAACCATGATAGACTGAACGTCATCATCATCAATGGGCGGGTTCACAAAGCAGGAAGAAAGGAGTATATCATGGATACGTCAGGGTCGCTGTCAAGTGGGATCCCTCATCATCTGATAGGAGACTTCCCAGAAAAGCGCCCAGCCATGCAGAGGCCATTCTAGGTTTTAGGTAAAATTGAGACGGTAGCTAGTGATCTATAGTGACATTAGAGATTTAAAGATCCTGAAGATTCTCTACCTAAAAATAAGAATGACAAGATTATTGTAAATCTTGAGTAAGTTAAAAGGATATGTATGTTATTTAGAGGCTATCTAGTTTAAGTCTATGTAAATGCGACGTAAATACAAAACATGAAATAGATAGATACGAAAGAAAAGTGGTTAGCTCGATTGGGACTGTTGTAACCCCGAGCATGAGAGACGATGCCTGGATCATCAAAAAAGGAGATAAGTGAGAACTTCGAGGTGAAAGCTCCGGGTGGGCTGAAGAAGACATGGCTGTCTCCACGGAAAGATATCCATAGGTCAGCCATTGATCTTGCAGACTAGATGGTTTCTAGTAAGCCTGGGTAGCCTTGGGCTGGGCGTTGGAAACCTTGGTAGTCTTGCAGTCGGACTTGTTGCCGCCAGCCTTGGCAGCCTGGGTAGCCTGCTGCTCGTTGACTCGAACCTTGGTAACCAGAGTCTTGGGGCTCTCGACCTTGGCATTCTTGTTGTTGGTACCTTCGGCCTTGTCCTTGGTGTCCTTGTTGCTGTTACCCTCGGCGGCCTTGGTATCCTTAGCCTTATTATCCTTAGACTCAGTGCTCTTGGACTCAGTATCCTTGGTCTCGTTGTTGTAGTCAACCTCGGCGACCTTGGTAACCTGGTGCTCCTGGTTCTGAACCTTGGTAGCCTTGGCCTGCTTGTTGTTCTCAACCTTGGCCTTAGTATCCTTAGACTCGGTGTCCTTAGCCTTGGTATCCTTGGACTCGGTGTTGTAGTCAACCTCAGCAACCTTGGTGACCTTGGTCTTGGGGTTGGAAACCTTGGAGGGCTGAGCGTACTGAACCTTCTCGTTATCAACCTTGGCAGCCTTGGTAGCCTTAGGCTTGGGGTTCACGTTCTTGGTGGACTTGGGCTTGGGGTTCTCGGCATGTTCAGTGGCCTCGGGCTCAGCATACTGGACCTTGTTTCCCTCACCCTTAGCGACCTTAGTAACCTTTGGCTGAGACTTCTGGACCTTGGTGCTCTTGGGCTTTCCAGTGTCTTTGTGCCCGACCTTCTGCTCAGCCTTGGCCTTGGTGTCCTGATACTCGTTGTTGCTATCAGCCTTTGTGATCTTGGTGACCTTAGGCTTGGGGCTCTGGATCTTGGTGGTCTTGGGCTTCGCGTCAGAGACCTCATAATCTTCCTCGTGCTCGGTCTTCTTTCCGTCTACCTTGGTAGCCTTGGTGACCTTAGAGGCCTCAGAGACAAGACCGCGAGGAGCATCCTCAGTAGGAGCGGTAGTGGGAACCTGCTTCGAGGAGCAGCCCTTGTCGAAAACGAAGAGGCTGTCGCTGCGAGCAGGAATCCTGGAGGCCGCAACCTTGTAGAGCTTGCAGACAGGAGACTTAGAGTCATCTGAGAGACCAAAGAGGAAGCTCAAGCATGAAGTGTCAGCCTCTGCAAGAGCTTGACAGTCTTTAGCAGTAGCCGCAGTAGAAGTCTTGAAAGGCTGAATATCGTTATTCACAGAGCCAGAAGCGGCACAGTTGCACTTCGTAGCTCGGCGGACAAGCACTTTCTTGGGAACAGTTCCCCAAGGCTGACCAGTAGTAGGAGCCGAAGTGGGCACGCGATCAGCACTGCACTCCTTGTCGAAGACGTGCAGACCGTCCTTGCGGGCAGGGACCTTGGCAGCAGGTACCTCGAAAAGAAGGCAGCTGGGGTGATGGGCACCCTTGACGAGGCCAAAAGCAAAGCTCTTGCAGGAGTCGTCAGAAGCGCAGAAGGTCTGGCAATCGACTGCAGTATCAACCTTGCCGTTGTGGTAAGGATGAACGTTGCCGTTGGCAGCAGCGCTGGGGGCGACGTTGCATTGATGAGCACCGGTGGAAAAGGGGCTGGCCATGGCAGAAGCCACGGAAGCAGAAAGGATAGCAATGGAGGTCTTCATGGTGATTGAGTTTGGTGTTGATAAAACGAAAAGATTTGAGTGAATGTAGATGAACGAAAGTGGAAGAAAGAGTGCGAGTGAATGTAGTGAATGTGAATGAAAGTGTTTGTTGTGATGATGAGAAAGTCTTGAGTGAGTGGAAGAGCAGGCAGTATTTATCTTTGAGGCTTTCTAGTATCGGTCTAAGCTAGTGAGGTCTCCGTGAGGAAGTGTTCAGTGGGTAACGCGTCGCAGGCACTACTCAACACATGAAGAACCACCAAGCTGTAGCCATGCATGAACATGAAATCGATAGTTTGAAAATTACGCTCGAACGATGGTCTTCGAATCTAAGCAGCTAGGATTACTCCTCGTGATGTGGGAAATGGGTAAATATTCTCAATCGACTCGCAGCATCATAGACTTCAAAGGTTCCTGCAGATGAATTGGATGCAATTGCCGAAATTGAGAAAATCTCTTAGCAACTCCAGGGGGCATCTAGATCTTCGCATTGAAGGCTTTGCGGGCTAGTGGAATAAGATGGCCTCGTCACCCAGAGAAGTGAGGCACCATTGTGATGAGTATGTAACATGAAACTGCTCCCCCAAGCAGAAGTGAGTCCCCATCATCCATCATGAAATAACCTGTTACTGCGCTCGTAAGATGATTCCAAAATCAAGACACGCCTTTCCCTTCAATCTGAATGCTGTATAATCTCTAAAGTCCCCGCTGGAATGACGTTGGCTCAAGGCTCATGAGAGCTTCTCTGTAATCCAAGGGACAAGCAAACTGTAGTGTCACTGTTCGGATCATTCTGGTTCATTTAGCATTCATATTCTTAGAAATAATGTCCGGTGTTGTCAATTAGACACAGCGCGGATGTACCCACAAGCCGCTGCACTTGACTCCAGAGCATTTTAGGGAGATTTGTTCGAGTAGACTACTGAAGTTGTGCTATGGTGAAACATCATTTCAGAGACTCCAATTGACACAGTGAGATGTCCATTGCCTAGTCACAGAGGAATTTTGCTTTCCACGTAAGCAATCCTCTCACCTCCCCTTCCCGCAGTACATGGCCCCATAAAGTGAGGCCTATTGTAAGCTTTCGGACAGCCACACGACTTTCGAATCATCGTATTTTGGGAACGGTAAGTTCCGGCTGCACCATCAAATCCTTTCACTTCGTGTTTTTGGAATCCCCTGGACATTTTTGCGGCTGTGAGTGTACTTTTCCTAGTACATCTTCCCATCGTAAGCTTCTGCAGAGCTTGTCCAACTCTATTCTAGTAACACTCGAAGCCCTTGGCCGCTTCTAGCGTATGGAAGATAGCGTTCAGCCGCGGAGCTCTGTGTCCTTGCCGCTTGAACGTTTCTCTGTCCTGCCCAATTCTAGACTAGACCAATTGAGCAAAGTTGTTTGGTGATGTGAGTATCTGATTGGACTAACTAAAGTTTAGAGGTTGAGATGTGGGGACGATTTGAAGAAACATATGTACAAACCCCGACGCGCCTAATGCAGGATCGGAAAGTGGGAAACTAGATCTTCCGCGCGGAACAAATGAAACAATTCCATCCAATGGGATCACGCTCTTGTCTTCCGTATTTGTGGGAAATCCTCAAGCTGTAGCTGTGGAATTACGTAGTAGTAAAGATCAGACGATGTGGGATGAAACTCTAGGAAACAATGTTTTTTCACTTGGATGAGCATGTGTGATTTTCTTTTTGCTAGCGATTTGAAAGTACTTCATATCAAGATAGTTTACGTTTTAAAATAATAGCTTACTTTTACTGTTTTACATTATTCATATAGCTACGAATTGAAAGTTTCTGAAATCTTTAAAAGCCACTAAATGAGAAAAGCTATAGGTCAACGTCAAATAAATCCAAGCTACCCTACACACTCAAACATCTCCATGTGGGCAGCCCCACTTCAGCTTGAACAGCTAACAAACAATCCATGAGTTTCTACAGCTAAAAGGCCTCGACCGTTATTCTGGGACTAGAACGTTTGGTTTATTCCGCAACAGTAGTTGTTTTAAGTTATGTGGGTCAAGAAATGCCGATACATCCATACAGCTGGCACTCACGTTGATCCTGGGAAGCGGAACTCGGAAAGGCTGATGTTACCACCGGGGAGCAGATCAGGATCATCGGCATGCATTAACAAGTAGTATACTCCGGGTCGACACAGCTTGGAAGACTGATTAAATGTACATTATCAGACAACAGTAAATTAGCTACACATCTACAAAACGGTAGCCAGCTAGTGATAGATAATGCACAGAGAAATTGAGGTGCAACCTTCGACACATCTAGAGGTATCGATATGTCAAATTTTATCTGGCTATATACATTGCTATTCCGCCACAAGTCACCGCAATGTATCACTGTACCTAGCCGTTGTGAAGCTACTGCATCCCGTCCCACGGCAAAGTCATTAGTGCGAAGCTACCAAAGCTTAGCACTACCTATTTATGGTCCGATGGCAACGGAGAATTATGTCTTCTAACGGTATGTGGGGGATCTCCGTTGCTTTTCGATTGGTTCCAAGTACCTATGGACCTGAGGCATAACAGCCTACAGGGGTATCCGCCGTAAGTTGTCTCGGTGTTTGAGAAAACCAATAGCGTGTGGCTAATGCAGCAATGACGAATTGCTGGGAAAGCACAAAATGTGATGTTTTTGACCGAAGCTAGAGGTAGTGGTCATGATGTACAAAGTATAGCACTTCGGATTGGACGGAATCGGGAAACACAATTGTAACCAGAGCTTGTTCCCTCTACCATAACTAATTCAATGGGTAGAATATTGTGGCTTGAGGCTTTAACTATAGAGCTTTCGTAAACAATTTTAAAAAGACGTAGGAAAGTCAAGTTTCATTATAGTCAATTGGGCTGTACCTCACGGGACAAGCAGTATGATGCACCTCCCTGGTCGTTACACGTGGAGCACATCCGAGTCTCCTTTCCAAATTATCCATCCTCTTTGACAACTTTGACAAGCAGACAGATCTTCACTGCCGAGCGTGACGACAATTGCTGACGTGGTCATCCGAAATATCACGGTCAGGGACACGATTACTACCTGCATAGTAGTACCCCTGGGATGGTAAAATATAACAAGCTCGAAAGGTATAAAGGAATCATCAATCCTCATTCAAGCCAATCTATTCCTCACCATCACACAACAGTCTCAACAACTACAACAATCACTCTCTCAAACACCTTTACACTCTTTCAACTTACTTCCCAAGTCAACTTTCAACTTACAACATCTTTCAACATGAAGACCACCTTCGCTATGCTCACTGCCTCCATGGCCTCCGCCATCCTGGCCCATCCTTTCGATGCCCGCAGCCAGCAGTGCAACATCGCTCCTTCAGCTGCTACCAACGCCAAGATCCAGCCCATCTCGCAGCCTTCAGCTGCTACCGCTGAAGCCTGCCTCAAGGCCTGCTCCTCCAATGCGTCTTGCAAGAGCTTCCTCTTCGGTCTCCCCGCCGATGCCAAGACTCCTACTTGCAAGCTTTATGGTGTCGCTGCTGCTCAGGTCCCCAACCAGGGCAGCGAGCTGTTTGTCTTCGACAAGGCTTGCTCTTCAAAGGCTGTTCCCAACACCAAGCCCAGTCACGCCGAGCCCCGCGGCCAAGTCAAGGGCAAGCTAGCAGCTCGTGATCAGGTCTGCAACACTGCTCCTACCGGTGCTACCAACAGCAACATCAAGCCTTTCGCCACACCCAGCGTCAAGACTGCCGACAAGTGCCAGGACGCCTGCGATGCTCAGACTGGCTGCCAGAGCTTTGTCTTTGGCCTTCCCGCCGACGCATCTGCGCCTGTCTGCAAGCTGTACAAGGTTGCTCCCGCTAGCGTTCCCAGCGGTGATGACAACCTTTTTGTCTTTGCCAAGAGCTGCCCTGCGGCCAAGATTCCTACCAGTGCTCCTACTCATGATGAGCCTCGGGGAAAGCTTCCTTCTGAGCAGAAGTCTAACGACAAGTCTGGCAATCAGTCCAAGGCTAACACTGGTACCAAGACCAAGACTAACACTGGTACCAAGACTGAGAAGAATGACTCTCAGAAGAACCAGGGTAACTCCGTCGAGAAGCCTAAGACCACCGCCAAGGCCAACAACAATGCCAACAACGCCAACGGCGACCAGAAGCACAACTAATTAACAACTGTGCTATTTTGTGGATATTTGACCGACTCAATCTGGACAGTGACAATTAGATTTGGCGAAACTTCAGTGATACGCTTGGCATCTGAGGTTGTGGAACATAGTGGTTCCGAAGGAAAAGCGAACTTGTACTACACACTCTTTCTGATATAGACATGCGATTTGTTTTATTTCCTATTTCATTTATATAGCATCAATAGATCGGCCGATCACTCAAATCTCTCTGGCTACGGTGCACTCTTGACTGCTTCGCGATTTACCACAAATTCTCTAGTTAGCACGACTATTGTTTCTTTCGCATCGATCCTTAGCATTCTTTATCGCTAAGCAAGCCCGATTCGAATTGAAGGGTTAAACTCAGCACTGCCATGGCTATTCTATCTGTTTGTTTGGCTCTATGCTGAATCAGAAGACCGCTTACATAACATAAACCCCAATCATACTCATTGTTCACCCACCTGTGATACATGTGTTCCCTTTTAACAACTAGCTTTACTAGACTTGATTGGAACCAAGAGTTAAGCCATCCATTCAGACTTTATTCAAACTAAAATTTCCAGTTTTCGCTCGGTTAATACAGTCATATATAATACGAATAGAACCATTGTTCTTGAGTCTAGCAGGTTTATGCTAACACACTAGTATATGTACTCCTTTTAGCCTCCGCAAATCGTCTCTATCTTATCTCTCTTCACCAGTAACAAAACACACCATCTTGAGTAGCTTGTATGCCACCACACTCCCAAGCCTTGCCTGCATTTCCATTGGGCACACACTTAATAGCCGTGGATCCATCGCAAGACAGAGTGCCCACCTCACTCGACGACTTGGCCGTGTATTTGCAGTTCTTGAGATCAAACTTGTTAACATTGAACTTACCAACGTCGTCTTCAGGGAATGGCTTATTCCCATCAAATCTTTGCTCGGTCTTTTGCGTATAGATTGACTTTTCATCCTGGCAGTAGTTCACAGACTCGTTGTAGTCAGTCGCGTATACCAGCCAGTCGTAGTCGATACGGTTGGAACAACCCGGTTCACCACTGCACTTGTACATGAACTTGACGAGTGCGATGTGAAGAGCATGACTCGCCATGGGAATTGGCGGTTCGAAGGGAACGGTAGATTTCTTGGACGTAGGCTCCACGATGACTGTTTTTGTTGGACGGACAGTGACTTCTACTTCCTCGGTGGCTGTGACGATCTCGGTCACGCTGGGAACGACGGAGCCAGCAGATTTGCGAGCTGAGTAGGCAGCTTCCTCGACGGAATACCAGCTCCAGTAATCACTAGAAACAGACGTGGCCCAGAAAGCGCCAACATTGTCGGTCGTGAAGTAGTCGTAGGCAACCTGGGTCAAGATAATGTCTCCTTCATAAGATGTCGTCGTTGATGTCTTGGTAGTGTCGGTTCCGCAGCTCGTGGTGACACAGGTGGTTGTTGAACATTCGCCTGTTCGAGTGGTAGTAGCATCAACATTTTCAGTGCAGAGAACACCGCAAGATGTTACTTCCTTGTCATCATCGCAGCCGCAGTCATCTCCCTCGCACTCATCAGGGTCATTGGGGTCACCACCACCACCACCGCCTCCGCCTCCACCCCCTATGTCAATACCTGGAGTGCACCCATCGATGCCGCAACCTTCAAGACATCCAAACAGACCGCAGCCTTCTGAGCCACCACCACCAATACATCCGAAGAGAGAACACTCGTATTCTCCACAATCAGCTGTACATGTGGTAGTTGGGTGTGAGCGTGTGTAAGAGACTGTATGGTATCCAGATGTGGCAGTCGTGGTTGGATTAGTCGTCGGTCCAGGTGGGAGTATAACCGATGCAGTAGGCAAGGGTTGGAATGTGCCTGTATGTCTAGCAGGGGGCCAAGAAGGAGGTAGTATAGTGGTGGTTGATCCTGAAGTTGTTGTCTTGAGAGTTGCTTGGTCACTGTTCAGCGGTATTGTGATACGGGGTGGGAGAATGCTCTGCTTAGGCGTGAGGACAGCCTTGGTCGGGTCGCTGGAGCTGATAACGATGGGCCAGAATGGCACTTTGCTGACGACGAATGGGTTGACAGTGATGACAGTGGTGACAGTGGTTGCAACACCTTGTACTATCGACCATATCGAAGTTGTAACTGCGGGCCATGTCATGGTAGTGGGTGAAATGCCCAGTGGTGGCCAAACCAGAGTACATGGAGGAACACAACCAACAGTTGGATGAGGGTCCTGCCAGACGATGGGAGGTACCAAGACGAGACCATCACCCTCTCCATCCCCACCACCACTTCCGTTACCGCCACCGCCACCGCCACCGCCACCGCCGCTGTTACCAGCTCCGGGGACTGACGGTAAGTTGTTCGACGTCTCTCCATCGTCTCCAGTCTTGTCACGCAGACCACAGTTCGGAGACAAGGCAGTTCTAGCCTTGTTGTTGAACGTGCCCAAGATGAAGTGTTGATCGGCCCTGCCATTACCATCAATATCAGTCCAGTACTCACATCCTCCCTGGGCATTACCAGCAAAGGCAACTTCTTTCTGCTCTGACCAAGAGAAGGATGAGCCGAGCGTGGTGTCAGGGTTGGCAGGGCCGTGGTTGTAGAAAACAAAAGCATCCCCCGATTGCTTCTCCACCCAGAGTAAGTCCTCACGACCATCGCCGTTGACATCAGCCCAGCGAAGGTTGGCACGGTCCTTATCGATAGAGACTTTGATTTGGCCTGCGTTCTTCCAGCTTCCATCGTCTTGGTGGGTGAAGCCTGTGGTTCTGCTGTTCGGCTCGATACAGAGGTAGTCGGCGCGGCCATTACCAGTGATGTCGGCGAATCGCACAGCCATATCGAAAAGCCCAAGACCTCGAGTCTGGGAGCAGCTCAGGGCGGGTGCGGGGTTAGCATTGTGTGTCCATTGCCATTTCTTGGTCTTGGGGTAGTTGTTGATCCAAACTTGAACTGATCCACCCTTGGGGTTGACGTGAATAATATCACAAGCTCCATCGCCATCCCAGTCAGCAAGATGTAAATCTCTGCGATCCATCTCTTGTGGTGGTGTCCAGATGGTTCCTTGGTAGTTCCAGTAGCCGTCGGGGTCTTTATCCGTAATAGACCCCTTTCCACGGTTTGCCCACATCTCCATCTTACCGCCCTGGTATGCCCAGACGTAGTCAACCATACCATTGCCGTGACCCATCATGTTACAGTATTTGTTGCCGTCTGCCAGGAGCTTGGTGCCACCGGCGCCCGTGTTCTTCCACACACGCATCTCGAAATGATGCTTCTTTCCGACCTTTGTGTGTTGCATAAAGACATAATCCTGCTTGGGCTGGTTCCCAAATACTGTTACTTGACCATAGATGCGGGCAAAGTGAATGCGGTCGCGAAGATACTTCTCGTCTTTGGTGACCGAGCCACCCATACCCTTGAAGGCAGGGCCTGACGATTCGCCCTTTTTGAAGCCTTGACGCCAGGCCACATTCATGCGATCGCCATCTTTGCCTTTGTCGCAGCTTCGGCCATTGGTGTAGATGTCGCCTCTTCCAACATCGTCGAGCCATATCCAGTCATCACGACCCTGCACTTTGTTAATGTAATACTTGGAAAATGATTGACATGACTTACATCACCGTTGACATCCTCGAACCGGACTCCTCGCAGATCTCCCTTATTCTTTCCAGTGAATCTCTTACCGAGGTACTGCCAGTACTTGGGAATATCGTCAATCCATCCGTTTCTCCAGAAGAAAACGTTTCCAGCGTCATCAAGTGTACCGTAATCTGCTCGACCATCGCCGTCGATGTCGGCAAGGACCACATGATCTCGCTTCTTGCCTTCGGTTTTCTTGATCAAAGCTGTGCTACTGACTCGCTTGAAAGTAGGTGGCTTTCCTGCTGCACGGTTGCCATCTCCCTGGTTGATAGACAAGTATGCGTTACCATCTGCGTCGATGTATACAAGATCGTCCAGACCATCAGAGTTCATGTCAATGAAGTTGACCCCTTCTGGGAACTTGCAGTTGAGGTCGGGATTCAAGTCACTTGTTTGTGTGAACTTTGCTTTGCCATCTCCCGAGTTGGCCCTTGTCCATCGAAATTAGCATGACAGTCACGATACTAATAGATGACGACTTGACTCACCATACAGCGTATACCTGTGATTCACTAGTCTTGTTAATCCACGCAACGAGATCGTCGTATCTTCGATCAAATAATCGGGCAAACTTCCACTGTCCCCGATCCCAGTCACTGTCGGCAGTGAATAAGACCTAATTCCATCTGTTAATATCGTATCCAGTATATTGGTGCACATCAACTGATACTCACATCCGACTCTACACTGTCATGATAATAAATGCCGTCGTCATAACCAGAACCGCGCTGTGTTAAACCGCCAGCATCTATCCCCGAGCCAGCAAATTTGGCACAGACACTTGAGCCCTCAGTAAACTTGCCAGGTTGGACGACTTGCTTTCTATCAAGAGCCTTGTTGATGGCATTGTAGAAAACAGCTGCCATCTTGGCATGGCCAACATCCTGCAAAGTAGTCAGGTCAATGTAAGTGGATAAGAATACGTGGTAGAACTGACATTGGGATGGACCTTGGGATGCTCTCCTGCAAGGTAATCTGTATCGAGATTGAACCACTGCTGACCTTGAGGCCACATATCGGCCATGAAGATACATTTGCCCTCTTCGGCGCGGGTCAAGACAAGCGTTCGATACTGATCATTGATAATGGGTGAATACTTGGCCCCATTGGCATTGTCTGTTGGTATGAGTGTCGACAAGAAAATGCACGTTTCAGACATGCCCTCAGCGTCCCATAGAGTATTGAGAATCTTGTTCATACGGGCTCCAGCCCTCTCAGGATCCACGGGGGTGTTGGCATCATTGGTGCCGCCGTTGATAATGACAATGTTAGGCTACGCGACGGTTATTATCAGCAAGGATGAATATGTCGGCTTGTGGTATCATTGCTGACCTTGTATCCGATCGAGTTGGGCACTCTGGCAAGGATTTGAGTAAGCACATCTCCTGGAACAGCCTCATGGTCATTGTCCTTCACTTTCAGGGTAGTACGAGTCAGCAAAACGAGCATCATGAAGATAGTATGTCTCTTACTTGTGCCCTTCTTGAGAGATCCAACCATGTTGACAGGGTATTTGTCAGCTCTTAACGCATCTCGTAAGGGCTTTCGCAAACTGCCCAATCGTAAGTCTCACTGTATCAATACGACTTGTAGGAAACCCGTCTTACCCATTATCAGTGCTGGATCCCATGCCGCTCATAATAGACGCGCCCAAGCTCAAAATCCGCAGCTCGAGCGACTTGTCGTCACGTTTTTCAACACTTTTGCCATCAGCCACAGCGATGTTGCCAAAGGGATTAGGGGCGATGTCCGGTTGATAGGCTTGGTGAAGATCATGATGATGATCATTGGTGGGTTGTGCTGAGGCAACGCTCAACAAACAAGAGATCCCCAAGGCAGCTTGCCAAAATAATTTTGGCCAGCCGTCCATGATGGATATCTGTAGCCTTCGATACATAGCTTGAAGAAGATAACCAGCTTATTGAGAGCAGAAGTAATTCATTATTAAACTAATCAAGAGTGAGCAGACTCGGATGAACGCTTGGGGAATGATGATCCCAGAAATTTGTCTCACGCGACCCAAACTGATCAGCAGAGGCTATGTCCAATTACAGAAGGTGGAAAAGTCTTGATATCAGCTCTAATCCTTCTACAACCCTGCAATAATCGGCACGTTATGGGCCGGAGTCCCTGTGTGTAACCCACAGTAACCTAAATTCGGAGTACAGCAAGAGACCGATATACCGCCAAGATATAACAAATATGGATCTATGTGACAGTCGCTTAAACTATATCATGTAGTGGCATCAAATACCCCTGGTATCATTGCCTCAGAGCAAATCTCCGTGCTTATATCAGACAAAATCATCCTTCCGCCCCCATCATCTGCAGTTACGGTTACTAGTGCTGACATGACAGGTACCGCATGAACCACAAATTAGATCGCTAAAAAGACGGTGAAATTGCCCTGTAAGGCTGTTTGTCTCCAGATCGTGATGCCATCGGAAATGACCCACATACGATCTCGCTTCCAGACCTGGACCATATTTCCTGTAAGCATTTTCCTGTAAGCACAGGTAGGCATTTGGCCCTGATAAGAGTACCATGATTTCTGCCAAAGGTGATTTACTTTTGTCTCGGGCTTCACTATTCTTTTGTTTCTCGACATGCGGCCCGTCACTCTATTCAAAAGCCTTGTAGGCTTTCTCGCCTTTGGACAATGCCACGCTGATGTCACATGGACCACCATAGGCTGCGGGGCAAATGCCCAGGTAGACGGCAAAAACATTACTCATATGTGGAACAATGCGGTAGCCTTGTCCTCTAATGCTCAGTCTAAGCTTGACAATCTTCTCAACGCGATAACCATCATATCAAGAGAAGGGTCAACTGCACGGATTGCAAGTCACGTAAGAAACATGTTTGCCATCCAATACCGGTTTGATCGCTTTGGCGCTATTCCGAGCGGATCTAGAGGAGACGTTCGAACAATCAGGGGTAATAAGTCGACAAGTCAACTACTATGGATCATTACTAATACAGTTGGTGTCTAGATAATTATAAGCTTGTCGATGAGCAGATGAAAGGGAACAATGGTTACATCATCTGTTCGGACGCAGACTTCAAGTATACAGATGATGAACCAGGTAATTAGAGTCTCCTATCAAACATGGCATTATACTAACTATCTTTTAGTATCTTCCGGTGCATGGTATGTTCTTCAACCGGGTACCGAAACTCGCATTTATCTATCAATTACCATAGGTCTAGGTGAGTAAACCAACGCATTGAAAATAGTACCTATTAACCTTGTGGCACAGAGAACGGTGCGAACAACAAGCCATGTTCAGACCCAAGCTTTTTGGGTAGAACCTTTAAGGGACAACAGATTCTACCCGGCGGGACCTTACGGGAACATCAGGCGATCTTGTTTTGTGACAACAATCACAGGGGCCGCAAAAAGGGTACTTTAGAACCTAACTTCGTTGCAGCTGGAGCCAACCCAAACCCCAACGAGTACGGTTCCGCTGCTGGTACTATCTTACATGAAATGTTTCATGTCGTTGGTCATCGATGTGAGTTTATAAGTTGCTTTTTGTTTCTTGGGACTGACTCCTCTTTACTAGTTGGCGACAAGCCTATACCCAACTCGCCCGAGACTGAAAACGTAGCTTACATGTACAACCCCTGCTACTGGCTTGCCATGGAAAATCCTGTTGCCGCAATTGAAAATCCTGATAACTATCGTATATTAGCTGAGATGCTTATGTCACCTTCAACTTCGTGGTCACCTCCTGATAAGCGGTAGATGAGGGTGGCTTTGAACTGAAGAGCACCTGTTTAGATTCTTGAAACCGTATCTCTACAGTTGGAATTTCTAGGCATAGTAGTCAGGGCTGTATTATTCTTTGTGAAATATAGATAACCAATTCGATTCTGAAGTTATAGTCGCAATGAAATACATTCGCCGTTCCGTTCAAGTCTAGTGTTATATTGTCAAGACCTTTAACATTTGTCGTTTTAAGAATTAATCCTGGTATCCTGTGCGCGATAACGTAATCCCAAAGAGCGACTTCACCGGCTTCGGTTTCTCTTTCGACTTTCCAGATGCTAATGGTCTTTTGCACAGTTAGATATAGTTTCAGAACTGTGTAAGGTTTCAGGACTTACGTTCTCTCTTTTCTTAGATCCAACCACTCCATTAATGGAATCGGCCCTTCTAGTGCCACCTTGAAGTCAACCCCAAACTCCGACGCATCTTTCAATTTCTCTTGGCCTCTCATGATAAGCTGCGCCTTCTTGTTCAACTGATCGCTTAGCTTCGTACATGTAACATGAAAGTGTCCACGTGCAGCATCATCGTCCTTCTCAGCACGATGGCAGACAAAGCTTGTTGAGTTCTCCTTTGGCCAGAATGACTCTCCGGTCACCCAACCAGAGATCTGAGGTAGGTCTGGACTGCCAGAATGAACGCGTAGTTCTCTCAGTGTGGATGAACGCTCGACCAAGTAACCGAAAAGCTCTGAAGTGGAGGCCATGGTAACATATGGCTTTAACTGTATATCTCGAGCATTACCAAGTTCGAACCACAATTCGAGCTTTTGTAGATTTGAAAACCTGGCCAGGATATCAAGTGTCTTGTATGGCCATTCATTCTCATTCCGCTTGACATCAAGGCTAAGTTCCTTAAGCTGCGGAAGTTTCTCGCATATGAGGATAAGGTCGTGGTTAGAAGTTATGCCTTCTCTCCACTGGTCTATTTGGCGTGGCTTCTGGTGAAGTTGGAGTTTCCGAAGTGATTCTGCATGCTGAATAAGGCCATCAATGCCAATGCTGTCCAATGTAGCTATGCAGATCGACTCTAGTGCTGACGGCAGCGAGGCAAAGAACTCTCTGTCTGCGGAACCTTGACTCCAAACAAAACGGACGTGTTTCAGCGCAGTGAGGTTCCGCACAAGCTTGTGGGCAAATCTGTTGGAAGCATCTTCCAAGTGTGTCAAGCGTGACCAGTCGAATTCATTGATCCAATAATCCATCTCGCGTCCTTCCCCTGGATATCCTACACAGTTGACGCTGAGGGCATTCGGGTCATTGTTTTTAAAGCCCCAGGGGTAACTGGTAACGTAGAGTTCTTGAAGCGGAGGCGGTTTCTCGCCAGGAGCGAAGCCTATACCGACATACTCAAATGGGGGTTGAGTGACGACGCAGCCGCGGGTCGGTCGAGTTATATTCAGTGATAGCTTCCGCACATTCGGGCACGATAGCAGTACTTGCTTCAGAGGTTGCGTGACCTGCTTACACTCCTCCGCGGTGGTCCAGGTGGTGTCTACGCTGATCGAGACGAGAGCGGTGCTTCCTGGCACGTCAACGAGCAGTTCCTTGGTATCATTGGTAATCAACAGGCTGAGATGCGTGTGCGGAAAAGATTGTAAAGTTTCCAGGATGGGTTTTGTAATGGTAGCAGCACTCCATTCGACCTCGCGAAGCCCCGTCATCTTTCGAATCATATACTCAAGGGAGGGTAGTAAATTGCCAGTTCCGTACACCGCTAGTTTGCGGACAGCAGGCAGTAGATTCTCTCTCTCGGCAAGCTCAAGATGCGCCATGGAGTCATGGTTGTCGATACCGACGGATAACTCGCGATACCGCACATGTCGACCATGGTGATACAAAGACGAGCACACTAACATACAGTTGGGTATGCTTTTTGGGCTTGTGTCATGTACCATCTCAAGAATTTTAAGAATAAGATCATCAGATAGCGCTGCTAAAGATGGTCGTGCTGGGTCTCCGGGTTGCATCGTGCGCATCGCAACGGATACAGGTGGTACCACAGGTACGGGCGATGCCACGGATGCAGGTGATGATTGACTTAGTTCCTGGTCGTCATTTTTGTTTCTGCGGCCTCTAAATGCCGATAGTAAAGATGAAGGGGCCATATTTAGTTGAAGTTGGATCGTGTGATGATAAAGTGGCGAAAGGTAAGCAGAAAATATAAACGAGTGGGATTGTTATTAATTACCCGTAGCGAACGCATAATCATGTTCATCCACAGTTTAACCGTTGCTACATGGATGTGCACAGCACATATTATCTCTCATTAAAGTTAAACAAGGATAGACTAATGAAAAAGGTAATTAAAATCTTAAGAATAATTTATGAAGAGAAGTTACATACAGGGCACTAAGGGGCTAGAATAGGCAGAAAGGTGAAAAGTTAAAATATATTACTAGGAGGAATTTGCATTCTATTAGTTAGAGTTAGTATTGAGGTTAAAGTAGCCCTTGAAGCTAAGGAATTAAGTTAGACTATATAACTTTTATTGAACTCCTATTATGCCTTTAAAATACAATATGTAATAGTATTTACAATATCAGGGGAATTCTATAGTATGGAAAGGTTTATTATAATATTCTTTCTATTTAAGCCTACTAGTGAGATTTTTAAGGTCTTATTAATCTTTAAAAGAAATATATTAATCTAAAGGCAAATCTTTTTACTTTTCATAATAAGGAGTTCCTCTTATACATTAAGATACATTCTAAAATAGTGCATAATAAAAATATATAAATACAAAGCAAGCCTTCTAAAATTAAAAAGTACTTTTTTCGTCTATCAAACCTATATATCTTAACCTGAACTATCTAATACAGCACCTACGCTTTCAACCTTCTAAGTATTTCTACTCTACTTAATAGCTTTGTCTATATACATGTTTTCCATTACTTACTCTAAATACATCATAGCTTAGCTAGAACACCATTAGGTTGTAGAAGGGAAAGGTAGTCCTTAGTAATTTCGTTGACATTTTTGCATCTAAATAATATTAGTAAATAGTTCGAGATAGTATAATTTAATAAACTCTTACCCTGCCAAAGCCATTGCTGTTTTGAACTCATCATACAGCAGCTTCAGGGCCAGTTCAACACCATTTTGGCCATCATACTAGAGGATAGTTAGTGATGAACAAATTTACAAGATCATGGGAGTTACTATAACTCACAGCTAGACCCCAAATGGCCGGGCGCCCGGCAAAGCAGAAGTCAGCGCCGAGACCGAGAGCCTTGAAGATATCGGTACCGCGGCGGATTCCTCCGTCCACAGCGATGGGGATATGACCTTTAGCGATGGGGACGACCTCACGCAAGACATCGAGGGAGGCGGGCACGCTATCGAGTTGCCGACCACCGTGGTTAGAAACAACAATACCGTCAAGGCCACATTTGATGGCCATCTCGGCATCTTCTCCTGTATATACTTGGTGTCCTGTTAGTAGACTTCTAGAGAATTCAGAGTCTTATACTGAAAAAGACAGACTCACTTCCTTTACCCCAAATCTCCATCTTGGTATGCTTGCGGAAGAAGGGCATAAGATCGGGCCATTCAAGCGCGCAGTCTACCATCAAGGTTAACACTTCCGTTATTCCTAAGCCACTCGGGGAGCATCCAGGACACACCATAAGCCATCGAATCGTCACCATCCTCCAAACGAGTAACATCGACACCGGGAAATAGGTTAGGGTACTCCATGCCCTTGGGAACACCAAACTTATTGCGGAACTCGTTAAGCCGGCGTCCTAGGTATGGCACATCGAGAGTGACAAAGAGAGCCTTGAAGCCAGCCTCTACAGATATGAGTTAGAGGCCTATTTTAGAGAAAGTATTGTTGTCGTGTTAGAAGGAGACTACTTACCCTCCGCTCTTTTAATCAGCTTGATCATTGCCTCCTTGTTCTTGAGCAAGCTCATTTGCATGCAGTAAGGGTTTCCTTTACCATGCGAGATAACCTGCTCCAGATCCATTGTTGCATAATTGCTAAGACCCATAGGTACCTGGAAGGCTGCGGTAGCCTTTGAAGTGCCGACCTCGCCATCGGGATGGGCCATTTGCTGCATGGCAGTGGGCGAGAATCCGAAGGGGAACGAAACTTTGGTGCCAAAGATGGAAGTACTCGTATCCAGTTTGGAGATATCTCGCATAACCCTTGGGCGGATTCTGTATCGATCGTAGGCGGTCTCATTCTCGTGCAGGCTAGACATCGGTCAGCAGGTGATTTACAGCAATTGGGTTCTAGAAAAGGCACGTACGTGATCAAGTCCATGGCACCCTCATTGTAGTATTCTAAGTAAATTGTCAGTATTCCTAAATGGTCTTAAAAGCCGCAGACACTTACCTCTTGTGGACTTGACAAGCTTCTCGGAGCCAAGACGCTGCAAGTCTTTAAGAGAATGCACTTGCTCATCGTAAGTTCTCGCACGATTGGCCATTTTGTGAAGGTTATGAGGTTAACTTGAATCTTTGTTATGATAATAATAATCCAAGAAAAGATACAGAGCGCAAAAGAATTAAAGAAGTTATGGCTTTACACTCTCTAAGACCCTGTGGTAGTTCATACCAGTCCAGGAGGCTGAAATAGTCAGCCGGTATCGCCAGCTCGCGACAGCGAATCATCATCATCATATTGAAAAGATAAGAGATAGGCAGGGTTCAGTTGTGCTCCACCATTATCGCCGCTAATATCCACCAGGGATGGACATGCTTCTAAGATCCACTCACTTCGCTGTTGGCTGCCTTTCATGGAACGCCGAACGCCACCACCTAATCTTAACACTCCACACCTCGCCTGGTCCAGGGTAACTTTCCTAACACATCTGATCTGTGCAGCAACAAACTCTGGGGAAGCCTCACCGGTACATGGGTTGACATTCTTCGGCCAAATGGATGAAACACTAATAATTGACAGCTTGACAAATATTGTCGAATATAAGCAATTAGTAAAATGCACAGCCAAGTCTATCTAGAACAAGTAAGAGATCCACGAAGGCGAAGATGTCAGGACCCAGTAAACTTATATGGGTGACTTCTTAAACTGCCATTTGTTGATTGATTATTGAATAAAGTACATAATATGCTTCCTTAAAGTGTCTGTAGGTTCTCCTTTTTTTCTTTCTTTGTTAAAGTGATATGATGTGTGCCTTTAAATTATCAACGTTATATTAATCAATCTAATTCGAATATTGAACACAGCTATTTACAACAGTGTCTAAGAATACTGTTTTACTTATAAATCTCTGGTAATATATGTCTTAAAATAGAGAGATACTAACGCGTACTTGTTATATATATCATATCTTTTCATTATATAACCATTTATCTAAATCCCATTTAACAAATCTTGTAATAAAGCTACAATTATTAAACATCACCTTTCCTGAGCTCACCCTGGGACTTCCAGATCTCAAATTCGAAGTCTGGTTGAAATTCGGTGTAAAGAGTTTCCTGCATTCCGATAGTTAGCTACATCGTTCAGACGATGTTTGTGACAGAATTGTTACATACGGGATCAGAATTGACTCTAGCTGTGAACTCGGCTGCTTCGTCACTAATAATGTTTTTCGGAAGGCCTGTTGATTCCGCCTTGATCTGGACTTCGCAGGTTCGTTCCATGCAAGTGAAAAGATAGGCAGCCTCATCGACGGTTCCGCCTGTGGTTAGAAGGCCGTGGTTCTGCAAAATAATGACGCGGCCCTTGGGCCCGAGTGCATCCACAATCTTCTGCCCCTCATCTTCACCAATTACAACACCTCCAAAGTCGCGATATACGGCCTGGGTGCCGTAGAAGTTGCATGAGTCTTGGTTAATAATGTCTAGAGGTCGGCCGAAGGTAGACCATGCTTTTCCGTTGGGCGAGTGCATATGGCAGGCGGCATGAATGTCGGGACGAGCACGGTGAATGGCGCTGTGAATGATAAAGCCGGCAGCGTTAATAGCCACTCTGTTTCCTCCGATAACCTGCCCCTGGTCATTGATATGAACCATATCACTGGCCTTTAGCATTCCAAAGTGAACACCCATACTGTTGGTAAACAAAATTAGATTAATTTTTGATCAATTTGACGAACACCAAGGGTCTGTTAAACTTACGGGTTGATCCAGAAGGTCTCGGGGTCAACGGGGTCGCGGACGCTGATGTGTCCGCTGGTCCCTTCAGTGAAGCCCTTGCGGGCAAAGACCCTGAAGGCACCAGCCATGTGCTCAAGCTGCCATTGTCGCTTCTTATATGGGTCGTCAATTTGAGGCAAACCAGGGAATGCATAACCTCCAGTCGCGACTGCTAGAGAATTAGGAGTGGCAGCATTGTTGACCTTCGCTTGAGACACATGGGTTGTCTTTGCAGCCACCTCAGCAGGAGTCCTGGCCGCGATGGTGGGCTGTTGGATGGTCTGGGTCGCGCTGATTGACATGTTGATGAAATGGTGTAATAGAAGGATAAAAGAGAAAAAGAATTTGAAAAGCTAATTTGGATTAATTCTCTAGGTGCTGTACTGTGTTGCCTTCTAATCGCTTATGCTTTTATATATCGGTTCGCCACTGGCTTAACAAGACACTCAAAACTGTGTAACACACAAGTAATAATCAAAATTGTTTTGGACTCGGCTCTATCTTGATGATTTTCTAATGAATAACCTAGACTGACCTGACCATAGCCTATGATAGGCCAGCTGAGTGCCTCCCTTGTAGATCACGCTCCACTTGACTCAGTCCTGATGGCTTAGGCTTCGTCTGGTCCTAGAATGGTAGGTCACAGCGAGAAGTGAAAACCTTCAGTCTTTGAGCCCAATCAAGACTTACACTCGGCATTGATTGCTTAAAACTTATTGGGCGTTGCTGGAATCTAATCTAATCGTGACGTAAGCAGTTTGACTCAGTCCTACCTGGACAAATCAAGATTTGGGTTCCGCCTTTGCCCTGTCCTTCTTCAACATCTGCGCTCTCAACTGCCCAACTCATCTCAATCCAATTCAAAGGGTCCTCCGCTACATCTCAAATCCCATTTCGGCTGCCTTGCAAGCTCTAGGCATGTTCAATGTCGCCGCCTTATCTGGCACCAGCTCGCCCTAACCACCAAACACGCAAGCGGACAAAGACTTTCACTGGCTGCTGGACCTGTAGGGCCCGCAAAATAAAATGTGACGAGGGCAAACCTACTTGTCGACAATGCCGCGATAAGCAGGTGACCTGCAACGGCTATGCCAGCCGGCTCCAGTGGCTCACGCCCGAGATCGCTGATCTAGAGGGCCGCATACTCAGTGTTTGTAGCGAGGCCCCTCTCCCGCAGGCTCTGAGACGTGAGATTCCCCCAGGTACGTAGGACCGTTTCCTTGACTTGCACCTTGTACTTGTACGATTATACTTATAAAATGTACTGACTAATGTAAAGAACCATCAAAAAGTGTCCTGTCGTGGGGCCACATAGACAAAATCTTGCGTTACATAGACACCATTGAAACTCCGCCGCATGCCAACTCAGACAACATCGGTACCGCTATAGTTCACAACTTTGGAGTTTTCAACGTTCAAGTCAACTCTCTTCCCCAACCCATCAATGCCCCAAGAGCATCATGTGACGATGATGCGCCTTCAATATCCCACCATGCCCAGGGTAGTGACAATGACATAGACTGCATGCCCATATCAGCTCCATTTATCGATTCCTTTTCTTGCCCTACGTCCCTGGAGGAAGCTTCTGTTGCATGGGATCTATGCAATCTCTACTATACGGAACCTCCCTTGCAACCGGAGAGAGTTGGTCCAAGCCATTCTCCCGATGTAGACACCAATCTATCACCTGTGGCCCTTACCAATCAATCGTATAACCTACCGGATGCGTCGAGAGATACAATAGACTTGGGATTTGATACCCAAGTCTCCGTGACTCATGAAAATGCTGAAGACAGCGCTCCAGATACGTCTTGGTTCATAAATTGTCATGCATCTCTTCGTTGCCCGGAACCGTTCATAGTACCAGTTCAGGAACGATACCTTATGGATCACTACAAGAACCGCGTGGTAAATCTCTTTTGCGTTGTCGACAACCGCAAGAGTCCTTGGAAGACGATTCACCTCCCGCTTGTGCTCCAGTGTGTAGGTGAACTCAGCTTTGGCGGCAGTACCACCAGGATTCGAAATGCTTTGCGGTATGCCCTCTATTCTGTAAGTGCATTTTATCTATTCAACGAAAATAAAAACGCACTACGCGAGGATGAGGCAAGCAAGTGGTTCAATGCAGCCTCTCGATATCGCTGCGATGCCATCGGATTACTCACAAACGCTGTTGAGGGTGATCTATACGGCAGCCATCGACCACATTACAAGGAGTTCCTGGCTACCATGTTATCCATGGTCACAATTAATGTAAGAGTTTATAACCAATCTTTACCACTTGCATACAGATTTGCAAAGTTAATATTTTACGTATCAGGTTATGTCGGGAGAAACAAGCACCTGCGCTATGCATCTCAATGGGGCCGAGCAGCTCATTAAATACATGAGTGTTCGCAAGTCAAGATTCTCCCGCAAAGCTCACGCTCTGCATCGCATCTACCTTTACCTCCGAGTCATATATGAATCAACCGCTCCAAGAACGAAGAGCCGAACTAACCCTCGGCTATCGCCTCTTTTTGGCCCCCTTGGCACAATGGGGCCGCAACCAGCGCCGGCCTCAACAGAAGGCTTCGGCTTTCCCAAGGATGACGATGAGGAAGATCAAAGATCAACAGATGAGACAGCAACATATGAACGCATTTACGGTATTCCTCAAGCGCTCTTGCTGATGCTAAAAGAAGCCATTCAGGTCATTGACATGGTCGACGACGAGCGCGAAAACGGAAACGCTGGCGTTTCCGACTCTTTAACAGATACGTGTGACAGGCTGGAGAGTAAGATCCTCGACTGGCGTATTGTAGATGAAAGTCAATCTGCCAACAGCAGTACCAACTCTAGGATCATCTATCACCAGACGAAAGCTTTCCACAACGCCCTGATCGTGTACTTTTCGCAGCACGTCCGTTTGCTAGGCCACCGCTATCAGCGTCAGTACGTGACAGAGATCCTGGAAAGCATCGAAGAAATTGAGAAGATCAAAGCAGAGATAAACATTCTTGCAGCTCCCCTATTCTGGCCTGCTTTTATTGGTGCCACAGAAGCGTTTGAGCCGGTGATGCAGGACAGATTCAGAAAATGGTATGACGCCGCTTCATTGTATGGATTGGCCGCTGTGAGGACTGGGACTGAGGTGATCCATAAAGTGTGGGAACAGGGCCCTTCGAACAGCAGGCGCTTACAAAGCTCTTGGAGAAAGATTGTGGACGAGGGACAGCATCTACTCATGTTGACATAGTTTAAACTGAAGAAAGGACAACATAGCCTTGTTGGCTATATTCAGAGTCTTTGTTGGGTAGTGCGACTAGTCTCTTTTAATTAGACCATTCTTGTAAGATGGTGTTTTCAGGGAATCTACTTGTGATTGTGACAGCTATCTATACTTCAACACAGTCGTTACGGTCTGTGGATAGCTGAGAGAGCGATCCCCTGTTGTCTTCGTTACCTGCTTTTGGGGTTTATGTTTTCCATTATTTGCTAATACTCTACCGGTCGAAAACTTTGCCTGGATTCCTATATAGTAACAGTTCATTAGCGCCAGCGAACGGAGGAACGTAAGTACCCACATAATCCAGTGAGGGTCAAACGTCGTTTTGATCAATTTCTGCGCGGGTGGGGATTAGTATTCTCGCAGGTATAGACTCTACACAGTTAATCACATACCATAACAGTAATAGTGTCGTGTCCCACCTCCTGTAGCAAGCTGTCTTTCTTTCCGAAGCCAATGCCGTGCTCGCCCGTGCAAGTGCCGTCCATTTCCAAAGCATGACGGACTATGCTCTTGAATCCTACTCTTCTGCTATTACATCATAACCCTCCATAACAGCTGGGCCTAGGGACAAAGGCTTTTACGGCTACTGGCCAACATATATACAGTAGAAACAAATAATATTAGGAATCAAAAGACCTATCAAACAAGGTGGCTCTAAGTAGTATAGGTTGATCTCATCCACCTAAACCTTTCTGTAAGAGGTTTAGCTTTTGGGTAAGAACCTCTGCATCTCCAATTTTGCTCAAGTGGGGCGATCTATGTAACTTAGAAGCTGGACTGGGATAAATTTCCGCAATCGTTGATGGCAGGTTTTACCTCGCCAATAGCTTCTACCCCCCCGCATGAGATAAGCTATTCACACTAACTTAGTCATTCCCCCCACTCTCGCTGTCAGCTGCTGCTTTGGCTCAAAGGCTACTATCCTTGATTGAAACTGCTCAAGGCGTGGACAAAAGATGTCAGATGAGTTCCTTCCTGCGGGTCATTCACTTTACGAAGCCGAGTCAGGCTTCACAATCTCGGAATCGTGCCCCAGCTCTGTGCTTATCATGGCCTCTTGCGTGTCACTCAGAGGGTTGACTCACATCATACTTCTGTTCTCTAAGTAGCGTGCGACATTATCACGGACATCCACGAGACGAAATCATCAATCTTTGCCTCGAAATCTTTGTTCAGCAGCTTCAAAAATGGCAAAGAGCAGAATCCTCATTGTTGGCACTGGTGGCATCGGTACCATGTCCGCCTATGCCTTGGAGCAAGGTGGTCTAGCCGAAGTGACTGCAGTCATGCGATCAAACTACGATGCTGCCATACAGAATGGCATTGAAATTGACTCTGTCCTTTGGGGCCAGATCAAGGGCTGGAGGCCAACAGCGAGTACGTCAACAAACAAAGCAAATCCCACTCTAAATATAGTCAGCGAAATAACAACGTTGTAGTCTCCAAAGTCGTGCCTGATGTATCCAAGCCCGATACTGCGCCTTTCGACTACATCCTGGTTACCACCAAAAATATTCCAGATGTCTCTCCCACAGTAGCCGAGATCATTGCCCCAGCCGTTACCCCCGGGAAAACTGCCATTGTCCTCTCGCAGAATGGCATCAATATCGAGAAACCTCTCATTGCCTATTTCCCTACAAACCCTCTGATTAGCAGTGTTGCTTATACGGGCGCGACAGAGACTGCTTTGGCCAAGGTCTACAACGACGATCCAGATTGCCAAAAGATTGGCGCATTCACTAACCCTCAAGTACCTCAAGATGTTGCCGATGCTGCTGCAAAACACTACGTCTCGATTTACAACCCTACCGGAAAGATGGATGTCGTCTACGACTCCAATGTTTCCAAGGTCCGTTGGCGAAAGATTGCCTACAATGGAACCTTCAACCCTGTCTCTTCTATACTCAAGATGGATACTCCCCGGATGCGCATGAGCAAGGACATCATCGATGACTTGATCGCACCGCTTGTAGAGGAGATTCGTGCAATAGCCGAGGCTGATGGCGTCGTCCTGCCAGACAATGTCCTCGAGGCGATTCTGCACCAGGATCCCAACGATACTGCATTCAAGCCTAGCATGTGTCAAGATTGTGAGAAGGGAAACCTCATGGAAATCGAGAACCTTGTTGGTGAACCACTGCGAGAGGCCGATAGGCTCGGCGTACCTGCACCAGCACTACGCGTTGTCTATGGCATCATGAAGGGCCTGCAGTTGAAGGCCAAGGAAAGCAAGGGTCTCTGGAAAGCAGAGTTTGCAGCCGGAAATCCATATGAGTAATAGATTGGGACGCAGTGGAGTAGATTTAGAAGAAATACAAAACTTATAGGAAAATAACCTTCTCTACGAAAAAAAGGAAAAAGAAGAGTACTTCGCTTCCTTCATTTTACTGGCAAGTTGTAGACTTAATTTTGTCTAACTTTCAATGTATGTCTTCTTCAACTGAGAGGAAAAGGAATAGGGCAAAATCATACATCGTGATCATTTATTGCTTTTTAGAACTATCAACGGCAAGACACATATACTCACGAATGACGCTAGGGCGGGCGGGACCCATCAGATGTTCCGTCAAACTTATCTTTAATCAATTCTTTTAGTATAAAGAAATACATCCATGACTTACAGGCGAGCCACGATCCCAGAGTTCAAGTCCTTCGCAACTTCAGCAGCGGCACGCTCGCCGCTGCGAATAGCACCCTCCATATAACCCTTCCACTCACCAGCCGTTTCTGTACCCGCAAAGTGAAGATCTCCGCAAGGCTCACGTAGACCGTCACCACCAAGACTGTCCAGCACACCGGGTGGCAGCGACGTACAAGGACAGCCCCAACCGGCCCATTCATCGTTCACCCATTCATAAGCGTTCAAGCTCTTGAATTGATCTTCCACATTGATACCACCATATAGCTTGCCAATCTGCTCAAGTAAAGCCTTGATACGCCCCTCGTGGGATAAAGCAGCCCAAGCACGACCGGGATCACCACCCATGAAGCAGGTCAGGACATATTTGCTATCTTTGGGGCTACAGCTGTCACGGATGACGCCAGCAGGACCAACAAACGACTGCACAAGTCCGCAGTAACCGCGCTCAACCCAGAAGGGGGATTTGAATTCCATCATGGCCTTGGTGTAATAGCCGTAGATAAGAGACTCGGACCAAGCTCGTTTCACAGGTGGTAGGCTGGGGTAGAAAGAGATGTTCTTCAGAGCAGGTCCGGGCACGGTTGTGATGACCTTGCGAGCAGAGTATGTCTTGCCAACAGACTGAACCTTGATGGATCTGCTGTTCTGCTGAACAACATTCTGAACGGGGCTGGACAGGCGAACGACTCCTTCAGGTAATTCTGAGGCGAGGCCAAGCGAGAAGTGTTGAGTGCCCTGGCGAACTCGCAGGTACTGGCCGCCGTCCTTACGATCAGAGCGCATCTGCAAGAGGCCACCGCCAGACTTGCAGTAGTTAAGGAAGTATAAAGCCGAAATGTCGCTTGGCTCAAGGCCCAGCATGGCACGAGTCCAGATTGTGGCTGTAGCCAAAGCCTCCTTACAAGCACCCTTGGACTTCAGGAAAGCCTCAAATGTGACAGCATCAAGGGTAGTATTTTGAGGTCTCCAGGTATCAAGGGCCTGACATTCCGCTTCGCAAAGGTCTCGGATCTCAGCGACGTTCTTCTTGGCAGCTTCATCAAACTAGACATGTATTGGTGAGTGATACATCGATGAATGTGCTTGAACTAGTTGACTTACGTTTGGGAGCTCTCCGTAAGGGAATGGCGAGCAGTTTCCGTTAAAGTCCTGTAGAACAACGTTGCCAGTGGTGTTTTGAACAATGCATTCTGCCCCATAGCGCTTTGCAAGCTCATACACACGGCTCTGGTTGGTATCATTGATCCAACCAGCACCAACATCAATCATACCACCACCATCCTCCAACGGCTGGCTCCAGGTCTTACCACCCACGCGGTCGCGCGACTCCAGCACGACGCAGGAGAGTCCAGACTTGCGGACCTCGTAGGCAGCCGTGAGACCCGCTAGACCGGCGCCGATAATAACGACATCATAGGACTCAGACGCTTCGGGGAGGGCAGGAGGCAAAGAAGGTTGCGGAAGAGCGACGGTGGCATCGATTTCGATAAGCCAAGATGGAACGGCCAGCTTGGGCACGGGAACCAAGGTCTGAGCAGGTCTGTGTCGACCAAAGAAGCGTTGGATGGGTTTGGCGTGCTTGCGGTTGCTAACGTCGTAGTTGACAATGTACACGTTGAGCTTGGCGATGTGCTCAATGTTGGCGCCAGCGGCAATAATAAGCTTGCGCAGGTTGAAGAGACACAGGTGAATCTGCGACTCGTAGTCATCCGGGACATAGCCGTCGTTCATGTTTCCAGGCTGGCCTGAAATGTGTAGGACCCTACCACTTGAAACAGTCGCTGGTCCATAGTATAGTCCAGCAGTATTGGACAAATCGACTGTCTCAACTGTCTTGCTCATCTTGGTGGGGTGGAAGGCTTTCGCGGTATTGAGTGACGGCTTTGAAGGTGCAGACAGAAAAACAAAAGGTTAGAGGATATAAGAAGACTGACAAGTATCAAGATCGTGATATCTGTATCTATCAGGCCTGGCTAATGGCCCAAGACCCCAAGTCAACGTCCAAGCCGATACCGGCATTGTGGCTTAACCGGTGATAACGAAAAGATACGTTGGGATCAAAAATTGACTAGGCCCTTTCCCCACGTCAACAATGGAGATGATTTGTTTTGAAGTGGAGCATCTCTCGCTGTGGCCTGCCCCAAAATCCAGAGATCATCGTCACGCAGGAATATCATACGTCAATTGCAGGAAATGCTCCGCAATTACGCGTGTTGACTCAAGATAGCATGGGATGGTTATGCCTGCCTTTATGATGTTAACTTCCCCAGATTGGCAACGGTACATGTATAACTTCGGATCTTATCTGTCTAACCTGACTGCCGCTAACTCTCGGTTCCGAAAGAACTGTCACAAAGGTTGTTCCATTGCTATCTTATTCTTTCTTGAATGACCCAAAACATCATCGGCATTCCTCTGCGAAACAATCTTTGTATCCGATTCGAACTTCTGCCATAAAGATCATGTCGCCCAATGCACCCAAACTCAACGACCCGTCGCTCTTTGTAGGAGCCAACTACATTGACGGGAAATGGGTTGAGTCCAGCTCTGGAGACAGGTTTGAGGTTCATGGTACGAGTTTCTTCGATGTGCTTTAGCAGTGTTTATTTCTCACAAGATCTGTGCTGACAACCTCATTCCCTCAAAACAGACCCGGCTACCGGTGCTTTGATCGGCACCTGCCCCGAATCCGTCCCCCAAGACGTTGACGATGCCGTCAGGTTTGCCTCGGCAGCTTTTCCCGCGTGGAGGTCTCGCACCGGCCGCGATCGTTCTAGGGTCCTTCGACGTTGGTATGAACTAGTGATAGAGAACAAAGAAGATTTAGCTACCCTGATTACATGGGAAAATGGCAAAGCGGCTGTTGACGCTGCTGGCGAGGTTATGTTCGCCGCAAGCTTCTTGGAATGGTTCGCTGAAGAAGCCCCTCGCGTATATGGCGATATCATCCCCCACAGTCAGCCCAACTTCCGAACCGCCGTTTTCAAGGAGCCCGTTGGAGTTGTTGGGCTTATCACTCCGTAAGTGCTCTTTTTACTTTGGGTGTCTTGATAGAGCCAGAGTTGCTGACTGGAATGTTGTCTGTAGATGGAACTTCCCTGCTGCTATGATCACCCGCAAGCTAGCGCCAGCTCTTGCTGCTGGGTGCACAGCAGTTGTTAAGACGGCCGGGGAGACACCTTTCACCGCTAATGCTCTTCTTATCCTAGCTGGAAGGGCCGGTGTGCCAAATGGCGTAATCAATAGCATATCTGCCCTTGACAACACGCCTGCTATTGGCCAAGCAATCTGTGCCAACAATTCTGTCCGCAAGATCTCTTTCACGGGATCTACACAGGTCGGCAAGCTCCTTATGAACCAATCCAGCAACACAATGAAGAAGCTGAGTCTTGAGCTTGGCGGAAATGCGCCATTCATTGTTTTTGATGATGCGGATCTTGACCTTGCCGTTGCTGGCGCCGTCGCTAGCAAATTCAAGTCATCCGGGCAGACATGTGTATGCAGCAACCGATTGTTCGTGCAGGAGGGTATCTACAACGAGTTTATCCGAAGGCTCAAGGCTGTTGTCGCTACCTTCCATGTTGGTTCGGGCTTCGACAAAAAGACCACGCATGGCCCGCTTGTCACAGCCGCTGCAGCAGATCGTGTGGAAAGTCTTGTTGAAGAGGCTGTTAAGTCTGGAGCTAGAATTGAAGCAGGTGGAAAGAGGCTTCACGATATAGGTATGATGGCTACCACCACAAATAAAATCTTGAAGACCTCCCGGCTGACCCATCCATGACCTGGCGCAGGCAGTAACTTCTTTGAGCCTACAATTCTCACCAACGTAACCACAGATATGAGGCTAGCGAAGGAGGAGATTTTCGGCCCCCTCGCGCCTGTCTTCAAGTTCAAAACGGAAGAGGAAGTGGTGGATATTTCCAACGACTGTGAAGTCGGGTTGGCTGCTTATGTCTTTACAAAAGACATCAACCGCGCTGCTAGAGTCACCGAGACATTGCAGTTTGGCATGGTCGGAGTCAATACTGGTGTTATTTCCGATGCAGCAGCCCCGTAAGTTCATCTGCCTCATCATCCAATAAATGGCAGCTTACTGACTGTGTATAGATTCGGAGGTGTCAAACACTCTGGCTTGGGTCGCGAGGGAAGCAAATATGGTATTGAAGACTACCTACAGCTGAAGACTGTGGTGACTGGCAATGTGAATGTCAAGCACCGCGCGTTATTATAGCCAGCTAGTCTTTCATAGTCTATAAGCTTTTGGAAGCCATGGTCATGGTAATTGGTGTCTCCATAATACATCCATATCCGGTGACAGTCCATCTGCTTCTTAAGGTGTCTTGAAGATTGTCAGCACATGATGTAACTAGCTATGTGTCGCAGACTGGTGGCCCATAGAACTAATTAATTACTTCACATTTAACAAGCTAACATTATTAGCTGTATTTTGTGAGAAATCTATGAGCTAGTCGATTATTTCGCTTTTGCATAATAAATTTCCCTCACTACCCTCAACTGTCAGGGAAACCTCGATAGAGCAGTTTGTATGAATAGGCAAGATGCTCATGGCTCAGAAGCCTGCTCCGGCTAAAATAGCTAATAGGCCGAGCAATTATTAGTATTTGTTCCATGATCCGATATACCGGAGTTTTCTTTTCGTTTATGATGAAGCTGTGATAGACTAAGATGAGTCTTGCGGGACAAATCAATAGCTTCTGTCCCAACACTGCACTTAAAGATAAATCTAGAATGTGACAGCGCACTCACGCAGGGCTAGCGTTACATGTCTGGACGCGCCCTGTCATGGTACCGAATCTGGTACCGTGGATCCATCAAATTGCAGCGAATATTTGAGTAAATATTGACAAGCAGGTAGGAAATTATGTATAAAGATGGCGATAGTAGGCTACTGCTGACCCCATACAGTCTGTACAATTTATCGAACATCAACAAGTCAGCATGAGCTCCCGATCTGCCGTTTTTACACCCAACGCACCCAAGGTTGGGCCATTCATGTCCCAGGCTGTTATCAGCAATGGGCTGGTCTTTTCAGCTGGGTCCCTGGGCCTAGATCCTGCCACCGGCCAGTTCGTTGAAGGCACGGTTGCCGATCGAGCCGTGAGTTCTCTAGCACAATATTATCACATGGATTAACTAAATCAGAAATGTAAAGGCACAAGCACTCCGAAACCTTGATGCAGTTTTCGTAGCCGCCGGTACCAGCTTGTCCAAAGCGGTCAAGGTCACCATCTTCCTGTCGAGCATGGACCACCTTCCTCTGGTAAATGAAGCATACGCCAAGTTCTTTACTGAAGACCCCAAGCCGGTAAGGATTGCCAGCTTAGTTTAAACCCATCCAAACTGACTAACCCATTGCAACAGGCACGGACCTGTGTTGCTGGCGCAGTGTTGCCTCTAGATGCGGAACTTGAGATAGAGGCTGTGGCATCGCTAGATTAGATGACTAAATAATACCCCAAGAGTTTACCTGTCTGGCACAACCACTTCATTCAATCATCCGTCATGCAATGCAACCTACGTGCTATAATGTCAGCAACCGAAGTTTATTACGGATTGAAAATGCTCTTCATCGCGACTACGTAACTTGGAAAGCACTACCCAATCGGCAGTTCTTCTTTATCTTTATGGGGCCGCCAATCCACAAGCTGCAGGTCTCGCTGTGAGCTACCCTTTTCACTTAATTACCCTAGATTTAGTTCTCTACTCGGCCAGGGCCACGACACCACGTACCTTGCTCCGATTCTTTTTATCTAAGTAATATCGTTTGAGATACCCTGTATTTTTCCTATCTTTCCTTATCAAGACCAAGTTTAGTTGAAGCCAAATCAGGAGACATTACACACACTGACACTCCAATTGAACAACGAAGGTTCCTTGTGATTTGACTCTTGGAGAGTTTGCCACCTTAGGAGCCTGGAATGTGTTTACCCATGACGCTTGACTTGCACCGGGTAGAAGTTAACTGGGTTAGGGGTTTGAATGCAACATTCTGAATCGCTTATTATTTCAGCTTGGTTCAGCTAACGGCTGTCGCCTGCTCTTTTCGATAATTCTCTAAGCCACAAATGATTTTAGTGCCTGATCTACCCAATAGCAGTAACAATATTAGAACCGATCTCCAATAACTATATTCCAATAGACTGTGCTGCGTATGCCAAGTAGACGATAGGCCTGAGGCCATTACCCCATATTCTCGCTACAGTATCTACGGGGAACGGTCCGTATCGCGGAGTACGTCTGCCCCGAGGAGAGATAAGGAAGTACACAGTCTATGTGCCAGGCCGGTGCGTATACGAAAGGAGTATATAGTCCTTCCCTACACACTCATCTATTGCCTTTTCGTTGATCACAAAGCCAAGCTCGCTTGGATACTTTCCCGGTACAACACCACTTCCAACATTGACCAATCTACCTTCTTTGACTATCGTTTCTACCCCCACACGCTCAGATACAGATATGCTTGAAGATTCCAAGTACAACATGGCTCAGAAGGATGGCCACAGCGCTGAGCTTGGCCATGTTGCCTCTCAGACCGAAGGTGTGATGGAGAACCAACAGTCAGACGCCGTTTTCGGTGAAATCACTGAGAAAGGACCCAATTACCGCAATGTGAGTCTTTGTGCAAGCAAATCTATGCATCGAAAATCGTGTCTCATACTTCTTTTAGGTCAACTGGATGGGAACCGTCGCAATCATGATGAAGATTTGTATTGGTCTTGGTATCCTCTCGATCCCATCTGGCTTTGATATCCTTGGCCTTATTCCCGGCGTTATCTGTCTCTTGACAATCGGAGCTATTACCACCTGGTCCAGTTACATGGTCGGCGTATTCAAAATGAACCATCCCGAGGTATACGGTCTTGATGACACAGGAGCAATCTTGTTTGGCCGCGTCGGCCGCTATGTCTTTGGCGGAGCTTTTTGTATCAGTAAGTCGATGAGACAGACACTCCTCGATTGAGTTCCACAAGTCTAACATGATAGCCTTCATCTTCGTTGCTGGATCTGGCATGCTTGGTATCTCTATTGGATTGAACGCTGTGTCTGAACATGGCACATGCACAGCTGCATTTGTCGCGGTTGCTGCCATCGTTGCCATCGGCCTCTCAAGCATTAGAACTCTAGGCAAAATCCAGTGGCTCGCCTGGATTGGAATCGTCTGTATCATCATTTCTGGTATGGCCTTTTGTACAGTCTTTACAAAATTCACTTAACTGACCTTATCTTCAGTTTTTATCCTCACTGTTGCCGTTGGCATTCAGGACCGTCCTTCAGCTGCACCCAAAGCAGGCCCGTGGAACTCCGACTATAAGCTTTTTGGAAACCCGACATTCATGGAGGCTGCAACTGCGCTTACTACGTTTGTTTTCGCTTATGCTGGTACCCCTGCCTTCTTTGGTGTTGTTGCTGAGATGCGCAATCCTAAGGAATACACAAAGGCTCTGATCGTGTGCCAGAGTATCATGACCGTTCTATACCTTATTATTGGTATTGTTGTCTATTACTATTGTGGCTCTTTTGTTGCCTCGCCCGCGCTTGGCTCAGCAGGTCCCACGGTTAAAAAGATATGTTACGGTATCTCACTGCCTGGCCTCCTCATTACAACTACACTCTGCCTTCATGTAAGATTCTTTTTGAAAGGCACTTAAGCTGGTGCATATTGATTAACTCATACTGACTTATCGAATAGCTGCCTGCCAAGTATATCTTTGTTCGTGCCCTTCGCGACTCTGTCCATCTTAACTCTAACTCAAAGACACACTGGATGGTCTGGATTGGTTGCACCTCTGCCACTGGCCTCGTCGCATATATCATTGCGAGTGCAATCCCCATCTTTGGGAGCCTTGTGTCCCTTATTGGTGCCCTGTGCATTACCTTCCTTGCCTTCCACCCAATGGCCTGTATGTGGCTTTATGATAACTGGTCTAAGGGAAAAGTTGATAAACCTCTCCGATGGAAGCTTATGGTCGGTTGGTGTGTGATCGTCTTATTTGTTGGTACCTTCTTGATGATCACGGGTACATGGGGATCTATTGTCGCTATTGTTGACTCCTATAAGAGGTCGGGCGGTTCTTCTTCTTGGTCATGTGCGGATAACTCTAACTCGACTTGAAGTACACTGCAGCGCTTGTATCATCGGGGGTTTTTGAAGGTGATTCCTTAAAATCATTCAGGTCATAGATCACTTTGTTCCATTAACTAATGCTCTTCACCTCGGTTCCAAAAAGCGGCGCAAGCTGAATCGTTTCAGTGGCGTTCTGTGCAGGCCGGTGTTGTTTGCTCCCACGTACTATTCGTGGCCCAGTTGACCAAAATGAATTTGATCTTAAAATAAAGATAACCCAAATCCTAAGTCATAGATTAACTTATAAGTTAACTTATAAAACTCACGCCGGCATCCATACAATGTTGTAACATGATCTAGTTTAAGTAAACCTACCTTGTTACCGAGTCTGACCGGTTGAGCAGTGGCCAATATAACGTCACAGAGTTCGGAAAATTTATGGGCTATGTTAATACACTAGTCTGGCACGAGAGATACAAGTAGGCGGTTCAATTGACACACACTATTAGGGTGGTTTACGAGATTAGAACACTGCGAAGACAAATTCTATAAGCTTGGGGTTACTTAATTTAGTAAGATAGTGAATTCAAAATACATTGCTATATTGTAAGAAAGGTAATATATATTAGTTATTATGTCTTTCAAAGCTTTGGTAAATACAGTTCAGGCATTATATATATGTTCAATCCCTACGACATCAATACTTATTCACAATATGCACCCTCTGTGAAAGATCTGCCAATCCTTCTAGTGCCGATATTCCCTCCATTGAGGATAATACCAGTATCCCAGCCAGCCTCACCCGCCTTATGCTCAACCAGCGACCTAAATTCCTCACTGTAAAGAACTACCGTGAATCCTACCACAACGGCGGGCTCGACCACAAGCTTGAGACGTTCGTAAATAAGCTTCATGACCGATAGAATTTCCTCCTTACTGACAGCATATAACATCGCTACCAATTTGCGTTCACAAACGATACTGTCGTACCAAATGGGATTAGCCCACACAAGCTTACAGCTACGGGTCCGAAGTTTATTTTTCTAAGTTATATCTAGACGCCCTCTCTATTTTAACGGGAAAAGGCCAGAATGTCTAAGATAAAGATTTGTATTTTCTGCGGGAAGAAAGTTTTATAATTTGGAAACGATCATGCAAATATCATGCAATACAGTGACAAGCGGACTAGTCCGTCTCGTAATTGATGATCGGGAGAAGCCCGTGCAGGCTCCGCACGATTGGTCTTCAGTATTCATCCTTGTGCTGTGAGAAGTAACCTCGGTAACAGGATTAGGCGATCGCTCTGACCGAGGTCTTGGCTTAAGGTTCTTGAGGGCATAGCTGTATGTAACAATACTGTGGCCCGTCTTCAAAACCATAGACAAGTTGAACTTGAGGTACCCTTCTTGACTATGATTTTAAAGTGGTTGATTGTCGCTTGGCCGACTCTCGGCCAAGCTCTCTTCCAGAACTTGCCCAGTTCGTTCAGCTCGGGGCCGGCGAAGTGGGCATTCTACTCTTACCAGGACCAAAATGTCGCTGTTCTCCAAGGATCATTCAACCGATCTGCTATGGACGCTGTGCATGAAGCTAAGGTGTCAAACGCGCAATTAGCTGAAGCGTATGATAATCACACAATGATATTGGATCCTAGATCTAACCTTTATAACAGGAACAACTTTCTTAACTCGACGGATTTCGTTGCTTACGATGAGAAGTTCTTTGACATCATCGGACCTAGGGCACAAATCAAGCATGTTCAGCATCTAGCATACCAGACGCATGAAGCCCCTTGCTACAATCCTGATTCTAAAGAACTCTTTTTTACTGAATGGGGGCCGCCGGGGGGTGATGAAGGTGTACACAGGTCACAATATCTACTTGATACCAGAACCAACAAGCTGCGAAACATAACCACATCCCCCCCAACAGTAAATGTGCATGGCTGTGTGTTCTACAAGGATGCATTGTACGTGGTAACAGATGGTGATCAGAACGAGACTGGGGCGCTTATCAAACTGAACCCCAAGACGTGGAAGAAAACAGTCCTACTCAATAACTACTACCAACAACCCTTCATGGGCTTCAATGACCTTGATATCGATCCCGAAGGGAATTTCTGGCTCACATATTCCAAATCTGGCGCTGTATGTGTTAGAAGCCTGCTAATTCTACTCCAACTGATTTCCAAGGCAGGGTCGAGATATTGTTCCGTTCACTCCACCGACGAACCCAACTGTCTATTTTGTAAATGGGACGACCCTGCGGCCGCGGCCAGTTCACATAACCACGGGTAACTCCAACGGTATCGCAGTTGCGTCTACAGATAGCGGACGTGTTGTTTATCTCCCGGATACTGGCGTTTCCAGATTCAAGCCTGTTTCCGTCAAGGATCCGTACGGTGATAGAGGGTTGCTAGCCTATGAAGCGAGGGCGGGAGGGGTCCTAACAAATAGAAGATTGTTAAATAATCCCATCGGGTATTTTTATGACGGAATTCGCGTTTCCCGTAACGGCTGGATTTTTGTCGGATCCGGAGATGGTGTGGACGTGATTGATCCAGATACAGGCTTGGCACTGGGTAGCATCCGCGTTGGAGGAGGGAATAATGTGGCGGTCAGTCTCGCGTTTGGTAGACATGATCTATGGATCGTCGGGCGAGGTGGCGTATGGCATGTTAGTGAAATTAATGACAGGCTGGATAGGCCATGGTAATTACAACATTCGAAGAAAGCTCTAGCACATTCTCATTTTCACTTTATACAATTCCAGCAGACAGAATCTTCGCGTTCTCTTCCTTAGTAACTTCCCTACAAGTAGCATTAGAAAACGATCTAGGGACATATTCGGTTTATTAACTAAATTGAATTCAGCGTGCGGAAGCATTAAGCCCTTCCACCGTACAAGCCCCTACCAACAACAAATAAAGCGGGGTTAGCTTAGGATCTTAAACGAGTAAGGGGACGGAATACATGGAGATCCGTGTCCTAGCATCAGTGCTATATATACTACCCATAAAGATATAACTCAAATTCATAAGCAGCCATTCAACGGGAGTAAGTCCTAAATCAGACCGACTGTAAAATATGGTAGAAAAAGGAGTGTAGAGAACATAAAGATAATAAACAATATTATTAAAGGTTCGTAGTAAATTGAGTATACCTAGAACTATTAAAGTATACATTTCGATATAGCTCCTTATAGTATTTGCTAATGTATACTTATTATAAATTAGTTTATCCCTCAAGAAACCTAACTATTATTTCATACTGTAAGATTCAATAAGTAATTGTTTATTGTTTTAGTATAAAATTGAACCATGTGTGTTACAGGATGCCTAGAAGGCACTAATTTATATTAAAGTCCGTGATGAACTCTACATTCATAGGGTAAACAAATTGACACTCTCCCCAGACTCTCGAAGCTTCTTGTTCGCCTTTTGCAGACTGAACCGCATCACCACACAAGTTGCCACAGAAAGGGCCGAGAAGGCCATCATAAGGAGATTGGCCTTGATGTAACGTGGGCCATCAGTAGCTGGGAAGAAGTAAGGACTCCAAATGTTACCAAGCTGACTGAGGAGATTAATAATGGCTGTCGCGCACGCTCTCTTCTCGGGAGTTTGGTTCAAAGTCGAGCTCGCCCAGCTGAATACCATGGCATTAGAAGAGAAGCACCCGCAGATGTAAAGGAAAGCCGCAGCGTATCTAGCAGCATTATTAAGGGTGGCTACTGAGATGACGAAGCCGACGCAAGCAACGGCTTGAGGGACAGCAATGTGATAGCCTCGATTCTTGCGACGATCGCTTGACCAGGCTGTAGCGAAGGCAGTGGCGGTAGCAATCAGATACGGAGGTGCGGTTAGGATGAGAGTGAGTGTTGTGTTGCCCAGGTTGAATCCCTTTACAATAGTGGGGAAGAAGCTGTTGAAGCCATATGCGCTATGATTAGCTGTAAGCATTAAGACCTGTCAATAGTTAGCACGTCTGCGAGAAGGCAGGCCGAGGGACAAACTCACAAAGACCCAAGTTCTGAGATCCTTGACAGCCATCTTCAAGCCAGCCATGACTCCGTGATCGGCATCTGGCAGTGAAACACGGTCTCGATTGATACGTTCGACGGCAACCTTCTGCTCGTCATCGGACAGCAGTCACTTCATGACACCGGTCTTTTGACCAGGGAAGTCAGGTAAAATAAAGAAGGCAAAAAGTGCGGCACAAAAGCTACCAGCACCTTCAATAATAAACAACCACTGCCAACCAGCCATGCCTCTAGCACCCTCAAGACCCGAAAGAACACCGGCAGCAATCAAGCCTGAGAAAGCAGTAGCGAGGAGAACGCCCGAGTATAAAATCGCGGTTCGGAGAGCAAGTTCTTTGCGGGGATACCAACAACTCAACAAGAACATAGCACCTGGTCCATCCTATTAGCAAATGTTCCATTACTGGCTGGGATGAGAGCAAGTACCAGGAAAGAACGGTGCCTCAGCAATACCAAGAAAGAACCGGATGACGATGAGATGGGAGTAATTAGAGGCTCCAGCTGTGGCTGCTGAGACGATGGACCAGAGGGCAGTCCAGGCGGGTATGTAAATCGACGGTCGGGTTCGAGTCAGTAGCATATTGCTGTCCTGCTGTTATCATCTTATTCAGTATCAACCTTGTTTTTATCAATACCTTGGAAGTTGCATTATCATGTATCCAACGTTCAAGATAGACACCGCCACATTGAACTGGTTTCCTTTGAGTCCAAGGTCTTCCTCGAAAGAGCTTAGGCGAGCCTGTCTGTCACTTTTTGTCAGCTGTCGTCCGAACTTCTGCTTCCTCTACATACGCAATGTTGTTTCTGTCAAGGTAATTGAAGAAGTAAAGTAGCCAGACCATCGGCAATAAAGTAAAGTCTAATTTTAGAACGACTTTCTTTTCAATTACATCGTACTCTTCGTCTGTCATGGATAGATTGATGCTAGTCTCTTCCTTCTTGATTGATGCTACTTCATCAACGTGCTCCGATGAGACACGGGAGTCATATTGCTTCTGATCAGTCATGATTTTAGTAATCACAAGCGGCTGTAAACAAGTCTGTGGTTGGGGTGAATGTTTCGAGTCTTGAACAGAAGTTCTGGTGTGTGAACGATTAATACCATTTCGAGAGCAAGAGTGCAGACTTATAGCAATTTCATCTTCGTAAACCTTTACCACTAAATCAAGCTAAGAAAGATGGCGAGATAGTGACCTTGGCCCATTCCCCAGGATGAATGAGCCCTGTCTTTACCCCGCATCTTCCCCAGAGTAACCTGCGGATAGTCATAGCGAATGGTCTTGACCATTGTGGAGTCAAGGAGTTGTCCGTTTGACGGTCCGCGAGACGGAAGAGCCCAGTCCTGGGGACCCAGCCAGTAGGAACGCGTCCATTTCAATGCCTCCCCATGGGGATACTTAGACTAACCTTAGTCTAGTCTAGTTTTCGGAGCTGCCCTTGGCCCCAATTTCAATAGCTGAAGAAGGCATCACATTTGCCCGCTACTTATCAAGTTATCTCTGTGGTGCTCAGGAGTACAGTATTCAACTTGTCCAACCAAGCTTTTGGTGATTCCTTGTCATCTTTCACATTGGCCATGTCTACTAAAGCCTGCCAGCTACTGCGAAGGTTTACCACGTGCGATGTAAGGCTGCATTCCCAATTAGTTGCTTACGAGCACGATAACAGAAACCTGATAAAAGGCTACTCTAGATCGGCGATGCATTGGTAAAATTGAAGTACCCATACGGTGGCTTTCTTGATGGCATCCGCATGTACTCTCCAGACTCTCATGCACGTATCTTTGGCCCAGCTGTCACTGTGAAAATGGTTGAGACAAGCGATAAATCGGCACCCAAGCTGGACAAACACTTTGTGGATCACAATGTTGAGGGTGGGGTCGTGTTCATCCAGCAACCCAAGGGCCTGCCCTCTGCCTGTTGGGGTGGTCTCATGTCCACTAGGGCTCAGTACCTCGGTGCCGAAGGAGTTGTGATCGATGGACGAATGAGGGACATTAATGAGCACAAGCAGTTCAAATTTCCTGCAAGTCAAGAGAAATGGTCTATGTGAAAAATAAGTTAACATGATCCAGGTCTTTGCTCAAGGGAGGTCCATTTTGGGATCTAATACATTCACGCGTGCTTCCGAGGTCAATGTTCCGCTACAGTTCAAGGGCGATCTTTGGGTAAATCCAGGTGACGTCTTGGTCGGAGATGCGGATGGCGTTGTTGCAGTTCCGCCCTCGTTGATAGAGAAGGTTGTTACTTTGTGTGAAGGGCGTGCAGAAGTTGATGAAAGGATGTTTGATGAGCTTCGCAAGGGCGTCTCCATGGGCGAACTCATTCGCACCGTTCGCAAACAAACGTAAAGAAGCTCTTGCATATTCAGCAAGATTGTGTCAATTAGACATGATAGCGCAATAAAGATGCCTGGATACCGGTCTACATCACCTGTATTGCCTGCAGGCGCTGAAACCGTCAACATAGCTTTTATAATCAAAGATTTAATTCACCTACCGATACAACCTACATCTTCAAATCCAATGGCTATTCGAGATCACAACTTCAAAATGACAAAGCTCTCACAAGCTAATCATTTTCAAACAACGTTGTCTTTCACTTGAACTATCTCAGCCAAATAATCTCTTTGGATTATGTACCATCACCATGTCCCACTCTTCCACCGACAGCCATTCCCTGAGGCTCCAAAGCCAAGCCTCATCATCCACCTCCAAAAAGGGCGTCTCTTTCATCGCCTCCTCATAACTCCGCACCTTCATCCGCGGAGTGTGCGGCCAGTCGCTACCCCATATAACTTGACGAGGATTTGCATCAATGAAAGCCCGCACAAGAAACTTTACGTCATTATACCGTGGACTCTGCTCACTGACTCGGTATGGAGCGCTTAATTTGATGTAGAGGTGGCCATCTTTGACAAGCCTTATAATAGGCGCAAATCCAGGCTGCTTAGTAGGATCATCTCGATATCTGGATGGGAGCATGCTGGGTGCTTTGAGAAGTCCGAAATGGTCCGTGATGAGAGGCCGAGTAGTAGGAACGACCTCCTCTCGCACAAATGGCTCCAAAACGTCCCAAAACTCTGTGCGAATAGTTGTCATGGTCAAACTCCATTGCAAAGACAGGCGCGTGACCCGGTCGAGATATGCGCGGAGGGTCTTTTTCTGGAGCTCAACATCTTCCATCGCACGGTAGTGGTAGAGATTCACACGAAGACCACAAATGCCTGCAGCATGCATATCTCGAAGTTCATCATCGGAGGTCTTCTCGGGGTCAATTACGCCAACGCCTGAAGTGACGCGCTTGCCCAGCTGTGTCACGAAAGCTTTTAGAGAAGTGCAATCGTCGCCGTAGGATAACCCATGAGTAAGTACCGAGTTGGTGATGTCGAGTCTCTGTCGAAAGTCTTTGAAGGACTGAATAGTCGCCGCGGGTGGAGTTAGATGACGGGTTGGGCTGTATGAGAAGGTGGTGGCTGATACAATGTTAATCCACGGTTCTAGGAGTAGGATTGAGTAGGTTTTACTTACGCTCAAAGATGTGGTGGTGAGTGTCCCAGCCTCCATTGGGGAATAGCGCTGTCTTGATGGACTTTGCAAGAACCTGCGTTGTCATATTTGCGTGTGATTGCGGTTGAGCTATGGAACAAAACTTCATTCTATCATGTATGATCATCTATGTTTCGAATTGCAAGTGACTTCTGTTGTTTATGGTATTTTGCGGATAAATGCGAAATCCTTGGTTGGCTACCTTTCCGGGACTGATGTAGCACGTATGCACTGCTCAGGCGTATCCATCCACATCCTGTACACTAAAGCCTGCGCCGGACTAGTCCGCTACTTGTAGGGTACGTAAATGGAAGACGGCCGCAAACTCGGAGTGCTCCGTAGTAAATGAAAACTACCCGTGACAAAAAACGATTCGGATGTCAAGGCCCCGTTCTTTTTATTTCGACACTTTTTATCAATTCGCTCAAGCGATCCGGAACGTACCTCATGCGGCCGTGAAGTTCATAAGACTGGCTTGCACCACATTCCGTTCCATAGGTAGTTTATCCCGACTGTGGTAATAACAAGTAAGGTTAGACTCTCGTATCTTAATTTTCGATCGTATATTTATCTAGCAATTGAAATAGAAATAAAAGAGAAATTTAGTTTCATTCTCTACAAGAATACTCATACACTTTTAACCAAAGTATTTAAAAGTATAAGCTTCTTACCTTGAGGCAAAGTGTGATATTCTTGGGTACTGCAATGAACATTGTAAAGAGAAAGAAAAGGCTGTTATAGAGTATGCTAGGAGCACCTTACTGCTGGACCACAAGGAAAAGATCGGGCTATAATTACTATACGAGTAATTACAGTAGTGCTTACAGTCATAGACAGAAATCACACAGCGCTGTTGAAGGAAAGTCATTGTAAGCTGAAAGCGTGTTGGTAATTGGCGTAGCTTAGGCACATATACCTGTAGTTATGTTCAAACTTGTTTTACCGAGTGCTCCCGCTAAATGAAATCCTATCAAACTAGCTATCTGGCTATTTAAGTTAAATTAAATCTAGACCTTTATTTACTAAATTTGATTCAATTGTGAGGTATACTCTGTCTTTGTGTAGGGTAGTTATTTTCCTCTTAACTGGGGGGAAAATGTGGTATTTTATCTAATCCAATATCTTATCGATAGGCTTATCCATAAGATAAGATCTATAATTACTTCAATCTAAATCATTCAAATCAAATTGAATATAAACTCTCGAAATCAAATCAGAGGGCCTCCAAATCAAAGACAGAAAAATCGATTTAAGATTTGATTTGTTGGGAGCCCTGGTTGTACCCCACCGTAGGATGACCAAGTTGAAATGAGTAGAAATGGCTGGTAGAAAAACACAAACGCACGTGACGTACCTTCCAGCGGGGCCGTAATTACCGGCGTCTTCACCTGTTTGCATCACCGAGACGGGTAGGCCGTAGCCATATGAGGTTGAGGCCAATAACCCTATCTCCCGTAACCGACCCCTGAACACTTCTCTGACATGTCTGTGCGAGCCAATGCTCCTAAAAAGGTTCGTCTGGCCTGCCGCCGCTGTCGGATGAGGCGTATTAAGGTAAGTACTTTAATGACTGTGGTCCGTATAACTCGAGGCTGAAGTGGTTCTTCTTGAATTTATCAGTGCGATGGCCAGGTACCTGCATGCACAAACTGTGCTAAAGCTGGCCAGGTCTGTCTAGATGTTGACAGTCAAAACTCAGACGTCGTCATTCCTCGCAAGTGAGCAACTCGAGTCCTTTACTGTACGCAGTCTCTGATATAGTTAGCTTCGTTGCCGGTGCCCGTGAAAGAATACGCTGGCTAGAAGATATCATTAGAGAACGCCTACCGGACGTAGATCTTCGTCTAGGTCCTCAAGTCGAGACAGCCCTTGAGCCATCCGCGCCAGCACAAGATGATAGGGCATCTGAAGAAGCCGACATTTCCATATCCGTATCCACTCCCGCAGCACCACCTGCATCACGAAAGAGATCGGCCGAGGTGTCTACACAGGATGAACAGGACGAGCCTTTTAGAGAACGGGCCCACAACGTTGCGATGAATCTAGGGATGCTTTCCCTAAACATCGACTCTCCTCAAAAGCACTATCTTGGTTCCAGCTCAGGTCTTCTCTTCACAAATCTCATAGGAGCATCGCCCCCAAGTATAGGTTCAACTCCACAAGAAGTCAGAGCTCAGACACAAGCTAGTGATCTTGATTGGTACGATGATGCTTTGTCTCAGGAACTTACTAAGAACCACCATCGAGAATTGTACAAGCTATTGAAAGAGGTAAGTCCATCAATTGCTCCGACATAAACAATACTGATGAACAAGTAGGAAATGCCTTCTAAGCACAATGCTCTCATTCTTGTTCACACATACGTTCGTTGGATCCACCCAGACTTCCCCTTTTTAGACCCAGGTTCTTTATTCAGTGCCATTGAGGCAATTTATTCGTGCCTTGATGATATCTTGGAGAGCGAAGTATCACCACAAGGCTGGCCAAGTTTAATGCCATCTTTTGTCTGGAACGGCCGCACTGTCGTTCCAGGAAGTTCCAACGATGAAGGTATCACCCTACCAGTCGTAGCCTTCATCATCTTTATGGTCTTGAACCTGGGCGCCCTAGTAAAGCTTAGATCACGCAACTACGACTTTCCTCCCCAACGCTTCTATCGGGCCGCATTAAACTTCTCCAAAGAAGCATTCTCACATGTCACTCTGTCCTCTATACAGTGTTTGATTACGTTGATCGTGCATAGCCTACTCACGCCTGCGGAGGTCAATCTGTGGACATTGGTGCATCTTGGACTTGCGTATTGTGTCGAGATTGGGATCCATCGGGAACCAGGCGAGACACATCCCGACGACCTTGCAGTACAACAGATTAGACGGTTTACTTTCTTTACGATTTATTCCCTAGACAGGTGCGAGGATGATGACCTTCGTTTCTAATGCTTTCCTGTACTGACTTACTAGATCGATATCCTCTATCCAGGGCCGACCACTTGGCTTCAGAGACGAAACCTTCGATGTCAAAATGCCGCAGGTATTGTTGAATGACCACATCCTCACATATGGACCTCTGCCTTCTTCTTTCACAACAGCTGTAACTCACTACTCAGCCTATCATTTCAGACTGGATCGCATTATATCCGACATCAAACTCCATCTTTACCATCTTCCCGGTGCATCGACCTGGTTTTCATGGCCTCAGAACCCAACGTAGCAACAAACAAGGATACAAGTGTCGTTGCAGAGTTGGTGGGCCGAGGTTTCACCAGATCCACTCGATTTCTCTAGTCTCGATAACCGACAACGAGAAGTTTGGAGGCTAAAATTGAAATTGAAGTATCATACGGCCATGGTCCTTCTCTTTCAGCCCTCCCAAGTAATTCGGCAACCATCGGCCGAGGGACTCCATATTTGCTTTGATAGTGCTGCTAGCATACTTGACAGCTATCAACGATTGCATGATCTACGCAGCCTTCATTTCGGATGGAGAGCGGTGCAGAATATTTTCGCAGCTGGTGCCACGCTCATCTACTCTTTCTGGACCTGCCCAGTCGTTCGCAAAACAGTCTCACAGACTGCAATGTCCAGGAATCTCCGAAACTGCTCTTCCCTTCTTACCATTGGAGGTGAGTGGTGGCCGTCGGCGAGAGATGGCCAAGCGAGCTTTGGGTCGGTAGCAGACTTGACGATGAGGAGGCTTTACATGGAGAGCGCCTCCAATAAAGCCCCACGACTGTCTCAACACCAAGCAGGTCCCCATCGACACGCAGACCTCGAGGACGAAGACGGAACCGAACATCCAATGCCAAATCAACTACAATTATCAGAGAATATCAATGAGGCCCAGATCACTGATTCAAATTCTGTATCTACATGGCAAGGTTTGGATCTGGATGTTGGAGAAACGACTGATCAGTTTAACTGGCCTGAGATTGAGGACGGATTTGACCCAGAGATTGAACTATTCCTAGCGGATTTCACCAGGTCTGACTTTACCTGGAGCTTTCCTTTGAACAATAACCAAGATAATGACGCCTTTGGAACACACTCGCACTAGAATACAGGGTGCTGAGTTCCCTCCTGCCTTCCCCTCCGCCACTGATTATGGGGTGTGGGGATGCGGAGTAGTCCTTGGTGGCGATGTGTGGGGGACGGGCTACTCCGTGCGTCATATTCCATGCTGCCTCGAACAAGTCAACACGTTCATGTCATAGTAAATAAAAACTTACACAGGGGTAGAGAAAGTCTGATCTTGAGAATTGATGTCTTCAAGTTGCAGCTATCGCAAGAATGGCGCCTTCAATAACAAAATTTGCCCTGCGAGGAGCTTGTTTCGCGCAACGACGCCAGCCGTTCTCACCAGGTCATCGTTGTTTGGCAACGCAATCTTCGCACGTCGCATTAAGTCCACTCGAACCAGTAAATGGCCATGCTACTTCGCTTCAGGGCAACCGCTGACAGTATCCCCAGTATAATACCCTCGACTACAACACTCGTCTGAAATCCCTCCGTCGCGTCCAGGGCACGAACAAACGACCATTGACCCTTTCTGAGAAGCTTCTATACAGCCATCTTATCCACGATCATGAAGATTGGATACTCGACGGAATCGAACGAGGAAAGACAATACTGCGTCTACGGCCTGATCGCGTCGCTTGCCATGATGCTACAGCCACAATGGCGTTGTTGCAATTCATCAGTGCTGGTATTCCCAGAGTCCAGGTGCCCACGTCTATACATAGCGATCACCTGATTGTTGCGGAATATGGCGCTGAGAATGATCTGAAGCGCGCTTCCAATGACCATCGCGAAGTCTATGCATTTCTTAGTAGTGCTGCCAAGAAATATGGTATTGGCTACTGGAAGGCTGGCGCTGGGATCATACATACCACCATTTTCGAGAATTATGCTTTCCCGGGTGGACTATTCATCGGCACAGACTCCCATACCCCAAATGCGGGTGGTATGGGCGTGCTCGGTATCGGAGTAGGTGGCTCTGATGCCGTCGACGCGATGGCTGGTATGCCCTGGGAATTAGTGTGTCCTAAAGTCCTTGGAGTCCGTCTCACCGGGGAGCTATCGGGCTGGGCGTCTTCCAAAGACATTATTTGCAAGCTCGCGGGTATTCTAACTGTATCAGGCGGCAAAGGAAAGGTCATTGAGTTCTTCGGTCCAGGTACCGAGACACTGGGAGCTACAGCCATGGCAACCGTTTGCAATATGTCAGCCGAAGTTGGATCAACGTCATGCATCTTTCCATACTCAAAGGCCATGGCACGGTATCTCTCTGCTACAAAACGAGATGATATCGCACGTGCCGCCAACTCGTTCTCCGAGACATTACTCACCGCTGATCGAGGGAGCGAGAAATACTACGACGAGGTTATTGAAATCGACCTCTCAACTCTAGAACCTCACATTAACGGTCCATTCACTCCTGACCTATCCCACCCCCTGTCTCAATTCAAGGAGAATGTGCAAGAGAGTCCCTGGCCAACCAAGATCAGCCATAGTATGGTTGGCAGTTGCACCAACAGCTCATATGAGGATCTTGAAAAGGTTTACGACCTAGTGTTGCAAGCCAAGGAGTCTGGTATGCCTCGGCCCAAAACACCTTTTATGGTGAGTCCCGGCAGTGAACAGATCCGCGCCACAGCCGAAAGGGTTGGTATTCTCCCAGCTCTTAGGGAGGCTGGAGCAGTTATTTTAAGTAATTCTTGCGGCCCATGCGTTGGCCAATGGGACAGAAAGGACGTTGATGTTCCTAAAGCTGAGAGTAACTCAGTTATTTCCAGCTTCAATCGCAACTTTACTGGTCGTCACGATAGCAATCCTGCTACGCATTCCTTCGTCACTTCCCCGGAGATTACTACTGCCTATGCCTACTCCGGCGACCTTTCTTTTAACCCTATTACTGATTCTGTTCACTTTCTTGACCAATCTGGCATGCCATCAGAGTTTCGATTCAAGCCTCCCACAGCCAAGGAGCTTCCACAGAGCTTCTATGCAGGACATGACCTGTATCAGCCACCCGGGCTTGAAGATACATCAAGCTATGAAGTCCTCATCGATGAGGGAAGTGATAGGTTGGAGCTGCTTACACCTTTCGAGCCGTGGCAGCACGGACAGGCAGACAACATGCAGGTCCTTATCAAAGTTGCCGGCAAGTGTACTACAGATCACATTTCTCCTGCTGGTCCATGGTATAACTATCGTGGTCACCTCACCAACATCAGCCATAATATGCTTCTAGGTGCCGCCAATGGGTTTCTCTCTAACGCAACATCTCTTGGTATGGTTGGTAAGGGTCGAGATCCTATAGACGGAAAGATCAAATTTGTCCATGAAGCAGCAAGATCGATGAAAAACGCCGGTGTCAAGTGGTGTATCATCGGTGATAATAACTACGGTGAAGGTAGCTCTCGCGAACATGCGGCGTTGGAGCCAAGGTTCTTAGGTGGAGTTGCTGTTATAGCTAAGAGCTTTGCTAGAATTCACGAGACAAACCTCAAGAAGCAGGGCATGTTTCCCTTGACCTTTGAAAATCCAACAGATTACGACAAGATCAAAGAGGGCGATATGATAAGTTTACAGGATGTAGATGGAAGTGGGCTTAAACCTAACAAGCAGGTTACTATGCAGGTGACTCAAAAGGATGGGAGTCAATGGACAGCCCAATTGAGTCACTCTTTTCACTTGCACCAGCTTAAGTGGCTAAAAGCAGGTAGCGCTTTGAACCATATCAAGAGAGGTCTGCAGGAAGCCAGTTAGTATTATTTTAAAACGCAGCAAAGAGGCAGGGAGAAGAGAATGGGGTATTTATTCTAGTATGTTTAACTTATCATTTGGCCATGAGCAGCAATTTTGTATAAAGAGCAAGATAATATTAAAAGTTACTACGTAAGATCTCATAGCACATGTTTAAATCCCTGAGCGAATGGCGCCAAGGCATGAGAAGTAAAGGTCTACTAGTGATCTCTAGAGTGGTTAGTTTGCTATTCTCTAGTTATGCTTCTTCCAAAATAAAACTCTTGAGTTTTTCTTTGGCACCCGAAGAAGCCAGTAGGCAAAAAGAGCAGCAGCGATATTAAAGATAATAAAGGCCCACATCAGCCCAAAGTTTCTCCACCTCTCGCTGTAGTGAATACTAAGAGTCGCAAGATAGGTATCTGTTGAAGCAACTGGACAGTACAGACATGTCTGATTTGACTCGGGGTTGCTTAGAGTACCTCCCACGGCCTCCACAAACTTTCCGACATAATCCTCGCAAGTGAGGTTCGCAGGGGTCTGGAACTGTAGAAACTCAATCTCGGAGCACTGCACCTGTTGCTTTGCTACACCATCGGAGACCATTCCACCGATGAGGTAGGTCAGAGGGGAGACGCGATACATGAAGGTCCAGAACCCTGGAAGGGCCGAGTATGGAACAAGAACTCTGTGAGTCAACAGTTAGAAACAATCGCGGATGTCAGTGTTTCGTGCAACTTACCCAGCAAAAACAAGTGTCACCATGAACAGAAGCAACGAGAAGGTTGCCCCAACCTCGGCAGTCGGCGCTCCTGCAACGCACATATGGGCAAAAGTGCCCTCATATATCATGAACGCCCAGACGAGCAGAAACATCAGAGCACCTCGCTCATGCTCAGTGCCGGTGACACGTCCATTTTTATGCATGCCAACAAGGAAGTAAAAAGGAAGGTATACAGCCAAGCATGCCACCGAGTTCCACATCATCTCGATGACGGTGTTGGCCAAAATGAGGTTATACCAGGCATATGTCTTTGATGACCTCTCTCGACCTTCGTAGAGTGTTCTCTGCGCGACGAAGCCAGGCATCGTCTGATAAATGAGGAATGCAAAGATGACCAGTAACATAAAGATCGAAAAGAGTTGGTTCTGAAGTCCTTGTAGCGATAGAGGCGAGTTTTGAAACGAAAGGCCGATAAAGAGGCTCTGTGTATGGTCAGTAAACCGGCAAGGTACGAATTGGCGTGCTTATCTTACCGTTATGAAGCAAAGCGACAGCTTGGCATAGATGTACGTTGGTGTTCGCCAGTATTGCTCAGCGACACGCTTGGTGCAGTCAAGGAACTGTCTCGATAAAGGTGCAGCATAGGCCGTCTCTTGTGAGTGTTCATCTGATGTAGTATGCTTCGCCTGGGTGAGACTGTCCAATTCTGTCTTGACAGAGGTGAATTCGGCACTGTCTAGCCAAGTTTGAGGCCAGTCACGGTCTGTATGAGCGCCAGGCGCAGCGCCAATGACATGAAGCATCCACTCAGCTGGATTCTCGGATGTCTGACACGGTTTGGCACCAAACTTCTCAAAGTACCCAGTCATAGTGACAGCGTTGGTGCCGATATCGCCAAAGTATACCGTTTTACCACCCTTGGCAAGTAGTAGAAGGCGGTCAAACTGCTGAAAGATAATAGCTGATGGCTGATGGATGGTGCAAAGAATGGCCTGGCCATGGTTTGCAAGCTTCTTAATCAGCGATACGATAGCCCATGCTGTCTGACTATCAAGCCCAGAGGTTGGCTCATCCAGAAAAATAAGGACGTCTGGCTTGGCTGCAAGTTCTACGCCAATCGACAGACGCTTGCGTTGTTCCACATTCAGACCTAATTCGTCAGTGGAATGGTCTTCACTAAGATCTCTCATGACGTACCTTTGCCCTGAACTCCAATCACAGCATTGGCGTATGTGCTCATCTCGAGTAAGTTGATCACTTCCTCCACATAGCGGTGCTTCTCCTCGCGAGGAACTGATGCCGGCTGTCTGAGAGACGCGCTGAACCGAAGGGCCTCTCGTACAGTTGATGTTTCAAGGTGGATATCTTGCTGCTGCACGTATCCAGTAGTTCTCTGGAAAGACTTGCCGCGAGTGATTCCGTTTACTAGCACATCGCCTGTGATGACACCCATTGTGATGCGGTCGGCCAGCACGTCAAGGAGGGTGGTCTTTCCAGCTCCAGTAGCACCCTGCACATGTTAGAGCACGCCTTGAATATTCACGGGGTTCTTACCATTAATGCGGTGATTTTTCCAGGTTGAACCCAACCATTTACCTCTGTGAGGATGCGGCGTGTCTGACCCTTGACCTTGATATCGTAGCAAAGATTTTTCCAGCAAAAGGTAGAGGTGTTTTGAAGCTTCTCGGTATTCGTGGTGATAGTGCTTTCACTGATTTCTCGATGAGAATCCAACTGGGGCTTTGCAGCTTCCTCGTCTGTTCCCTTTGGGCGACTGGATTTGCGGGCTTTGCGAAAGACGAGGATCTCTCCTTTGGAGGTGTCGGATGAGAAGAATTCTCCAGCAGCAAGATAGGTGCAGGTAAAGAAGACAATAAACCCGAGAAGAATGCCGTAGTTCCTAAACAGTTAGCCAAAGTCATGAATCATGGGCGTCATAACATACCTCCACATGTGAGCATAGTAGTACTGGTAGACTGTTCCCATATAAAAATCGCCATCGATATAATTCTTGCCAAGGGCAGCGCCAGCAACAGAACATGCTTGTTGTACCGATTCAACGTCTTCATATCCAGGACCAGACGGTATCATTGTTTGACACGGGAACGTTCGTCCCGAGAATTCATTGGCGACCAGAGACTCGTAACCGTATGCGATTGGGTTGATGTAGTTCAACCATCTAAGCCACCCTTTCATGTTTCGAATTGGCAAGACGAATCCAGCGTAGATTACCAAACCTATGATAATGACAGCCGCAGGTACCAATGCCTGGTGGACGGTTTTAGAAGTTTGGGCGATGGTCCGCAGAATCATTGACATGGTCAAAGTGGTAGTAAAGCCAAAGAGGAGAAAGATAAAGAAGCATGAAGCCTCTTGTCGGAGATTTGCCATGAAGTACAGCGGAATGTTGAAGACTAGAGTGGAGATAATCTTGGATGGCAGATCGCAGATGGTGGAAGACACTGCTTCGGAGAGAGGCCGATACAAAGCATATCTTGCGTGTTTTTCGACAATCGGCCGCTGACTGTAGAGTGCGAGAATCTACCAATCGTTAGATAGTCCCAGAAACAAGGCGTGATAACATACCTCCAAGGCACTGCTCAAGCCGTTGAACAGAATGGCGAAGAAGAGGACTGAGCATCGACTATTCAGGCTTTCAGCCGTGAGGGGCAAGTCATAGTAGGCGCTTCCAAGTACTAGCGACATGAAAAAGTTTCCAAAGACAGTTGCCAAGAAGAAAGTCTTGTCGCCTAGCAGCCTCTTAACACCTCTGCCAATACACAACTGGATCTGCATGGGAACAGAAATGGTGAATGGACTCTTGTCGGACCTAATGTCACAGTTAGCTCAATCACACATAGGTATATCTGCTGGCGTTTGCTCACATGAAACGGGCTTTCTGAGTTCTTCTGATACCTGTCAAGTTCTCAACTTGCTTCCCATCGAGAGGGTATTCAAGTTGGAAAGCAGCGATGTCACGAAGGAGAGTGGCTCTCTCTTGGCTCATCCTCCATTCATCAGCAAACTCATCAGGGCTACGAGGCACCTTGTTTTCGAAACCAGGCCGCACAATGCGCTCATCTGGGTTTGTCAGTGAGGTCAAGAAGTCGGCAGTCGTTTGGCGCGGGGGACATTCAAATCCCATGTTGATGAAGTATTGGGCTGCTTTTTGCGTTGGGCCAAAGAAGATCTGTCGACCCTCGTACAGCAAAAGGACCTTGTCAAATTCCTAGTATAAACTGTCAGAGACCAGGGTCATGTGTGGATTCAACACCCATTGCTAAGTACTCACATCATAGGCTGCTTGACTTGCTTGGTAGATGGCAACAACTGCACTGGCACCACCGAGCTCGGTACCCAGACGCAGCTTCTTGACGAATTCAAGAGCTGTTGCGCTGTCTAAGCCTCGGGTGCTGTTGTCCCAACACTGCGTGGTGCTCTGGTTGAGGGTGGCTTCCGCGATGCTGACCCGTTTTCTCTCACCACCACTAACACCTCTCACAAAGTCATCGCCAACTTTAGTATCGATGGTGTTTGTGATGCCAAACATGGCCATGACGGCATCTCTGAGATGCATGGCGTAGACTTCGCGTGATATATCGGCGACTCGCTCTTGAGGTGTACGCGCCAGGGCGGCAAACAAGAGTGTATCGCCCACTGTCAGGTGCGGGAAGTGGATGTCTGTCTCGGCCTGGTAGATAACTTCTCCGCGGAAGTTCTTATGCATCAGATCAAAGGGTATTCCTGCTCGGTCAGTCGAGATAATTCGTCAAAGGGCGAGTCATATTACCTTGATAGTTGAATTCTGATGACTTATCCAGGTGTAAGCCATGGGTGTGTCCAGCAATGGTCTTGAGAAGAGTCGAAACACCACTGCATGAAGTGGTTAGGGGATACAAGTGAGCCAAGAGTTGAGATTATGGGCATCATACCTTCCTGGACGTCCAAGCACAAGCAGCAATTCGCCGCTTTCGACAAGTCCGTCAAAGTCATTGATGATATTGATCTTCTGTTTTCGATTGGCAAACCACTTGAAAGCGTCGAGTGGAGCTCGCCAAATGCTATTCAGAACATCCTTCTGGTAGTCTGTCGGATCACCAAATCCATGAACGCTCAGGCTGCGCCATGAAACTCCGGCAGTGTGTCGTGGATATTTGCTTGGGTCTTGGGAAAAGGCGTGGAGAAGGGCCTTGACCCAGTATTCAGGCACAAATTCCGGGGACTTGGGGTCCAATCGTGAGTCCTGAGCAAGAAAAGGGTTGACATTGGTGGAAAGCGTCGAATATGTGCGTGTGTGAGAGAATCTTCGTGCCAGCTGCGTCATTGGCTCAGAAGCATCTTCGATAGAGGTCTCACTCTCAGCATTCTGAGGAGCGAGGACTCCTGGTCTGGTGTGCATGGTGAATTTTATGTAATACTAAGTGAAGAAAGAGAAAGGAATGAAGTAGTATCTGTTTAAAGCAGTCCAACCTTTGAGTAGGAGGCGTAGGGGCACCTCATATATCTATTTTTCAACAGCCAATAGTTGACACAAAAATAGAAGCAAAAACCTGCAAAACCATCTGCAAGCACGAACACCGTCATCATGAACCCATGCATCTGTCTCATTTCCGTGACGTACACTTTCCGACTCTATGGAACCTGTCAACGGAGTTGAAGACGTCTCTATCTCGATCATCTTAGCCACAATTCACATGTGTCTCCGCTTTAAATCTTGATCCAGGTCTAATCCGGGCTATGACGGGTCAGTGCCAGTTCAACCTAAACCTATTAAGGAATGTCGGCGCCGAAGCCTTTTTCTCCCTCCCTTGCTTTTCTCGCAACTCTTAAACATGACCGTCTCTGGGCTCCGAGATTCGTACTAACCTACTCCTACTTCTCTCTTTTGCATCGGCCATTCAAGATGCCGCCCACTCCGCCCCTACATCAGCGCCGACTCCGTGGCACCCAGACGTCCAAGGCTTGCGATTCCTGCAAGGCCCGCAAGATCCGCTGTTCCGGTATGTGTCCACTGTCACATGCAAGAGGCCTCTGTCTGCCGTAGAAATGTTACTGATTGGAAATAGGCTGTCCTGCCCCTTGCCAAAGCTGCAATGTGCGTGCAGGACTCGAGTTGCGATGGAGTAACAACCAGTGCTGACATTTATTAGCTTCGGGGAGACACTTGTCGATTCGGAACGCGCAAGATCCCGCTCAGAAAGAACGGTAATGTCTAAAATACACCCACCTGTGTCAACGTAATCTGATACCTCAGAAGTCAACAAGTCTTTGCTTCTGAGTGCAGCAACGCCTGTTGAGACAGAATCAAAGAAACCGAGCATCCTTTGCGAAACTCCAGCCGTGTGTACATTCGGTGCTGAACGTAGGATCAGAACACTGATGCAGATAGACCGTTCAACCTCCTGAAAACAAAGAAGCCCTACAAACTACACACAATGACCTTCTCATTGATCACATCCTATTTGGATCTCCGCCGACTGATGTGCCCAATGCAGAGCAACGCTTTTCTCTTAAGGCAAGTTTGATATTTCCCAAGCTATATACCAAGACTTGTGTACAGTTGATAAAGCCTGGACTAACTCATCATAGGGCATTGGCCTGCTTAGTATGTCAATCAGATATCTCGCCTTCGCCGATCATGGCCATTTTTAACCTTCTCACAGGTGGAACTTATAGTGTAACCTTCTTCTCTGACAGCAGACTAGAAATGCTATCTGTTAAACTCCAAAACACCAAGGTCGACGATCTTATCCGAAGGATTTCATCAATTATTAACAACAAGGTCAAACCGACGAGTAGTACCTCTACTACACACTTGCTTGAGCAAAGTCCTCCATCTTTGGACCACGAAACAGCAATAAGCTATATAATGAGTAGGTGCATCGTCGCTCAACACCTCGTTCGCTACACACAAGCTCACTGTCAATATCTCAGCATATTATGAACAAGTTCATCCAATATTTCCCCATCTTGACCGTTCATCATTCGACTCGACTGTTTCTTCTGGCAATCTCAGCAATATCTTAGTTGCCGACCCGGCCTTCTCCGCCCTCTACCACTCAGTCGTTGCCCTTGGGTGCTTACATGATGGCGGTGGTAGTTTCGAACCCGGTAAGGGAAAGGCCTGGGAGCTGTTCTCGGTGGCATTAGCCCAGCTCCCCAGTCTACCAAGATCATCAAACTCGCTTGTAACCCTCCAAGCCATGGCCACCGCTGCAGTTTATGCGCTGGGAATCCCGTGCCTTTCGATTGAGGAGAGAATCCTGACCGACACGGCTCGTATGGCCCAGGATCTGGCACCTATCCTTTCTAAGGGCCCCTCCGCCAAAGTATTTCACCGGACATTTTGGGTCATTTATGCCATTGAGAAAACTTCGAGCTTTCACTTTGGACGTAGCTCGGTGAGTCCTCTTGTTCTATTTTTTGATATCTATGCTCATTGTCGTAGGCCATCAATGACGCCAATATCGTGGTACCTATACCTCATGTGCCAGAGTCCAACTTTGGAAGCTTCAACTGGGTTCTTACCATGTCCCGCCACTGTCGTTTGTTATCACGGGCGATGAATACTTTGTTCTGCCCAGGTATCTGTCAGAAAGAAGCGCACTACTTTGTCACTACCATCGCCCAACTTCAACAAGATCTCGAACAGTGGAGGATGTCTATACCACATGATCTTCGGCCAGGGCCTTCGTACCAATACCATACTTTACGTCAACCCCTTAAAGGCTCCTTAGGGATCTGGCTGAACTATCTCTACTACAGCCTTCGGCTTATTTTATTACGAAGTAGGCTACAAATTAACGACCCTGCGGACAATGACTTGACAAGAGCAGAATGTAGAGATCAACTGATTGACGTTTCTCGATCTATTCTCGAGATGGTCACATACGTTGACGTTGCGCCTTCTACGCCTTTATGGTCAGTTCTCCAGGTCTTCAGTACAATGTGAGCTAACATGGAATTTTATAAATAGGATACTAGCAGGCATTCCACTGTGTGCTCTTTTTGTACTGTTTGACCAGGTCATCAGCAACCCCAGATCGCCAGACACAAGAAGTAACCTGGCACTCCTCGATATTGCGGGAGGTCATTTCGGGCGAATCGATTTTACAAGTGGAGGCTCACTACCTGCCTCTCTTATAAGCGAGTTCACATATGTCGCCCGCGAGTATATCAACCAGTTGGCAACTTATGATCTACTAAAGGGGCCACAGAGCTCGTTCCAATTAGCCAATCAAGCCAGCAGGCCACCAGTCACTGAACCAATCAGTGTCCCTTCGGTCCCTAGCCAGGCTGATGGGCAAAAGATAGGATCTATTACTGTAAGTCCTTTTGCCGTATGTTATCTTGTGCTGTGTCTAACTATCTAAGCCTCTTATTTCTCCAGCGATAATTCCAAACTCGAATTCATTGTTAAGTCCTACATACGCACCTATAGAAACCTTATGGGATAGTGGAAACGATCCTCTTTATGGAATAGATGTGATGGATATATTTAATAGTATAATGTAGGATGTACCTATATAATACTATTTCAGTACTTTAAATATTATCCTCAACCCCCTACTCTAAATTTCAAACCACGAGTAACATTTCTTACATTACGTATTATAAACTATAACATATACACTTTTTCTGCAATCTTAATATGTATTCCTGTCTAGAAACACCACAATACGGTACCGAGTCTATATTCTCACAAGGTTGTGTCCGCTTAATCCTTATATAATTTTATAATTATTCTATGAAACTCTCTAAAACGTCCCTTGTAATCCCGTTGCTATATATAAAGGAATGCATAACAATTTCAGTCTCCTGGCCAATGCACTAATAAACCCCTGATTCTTGTATAGTAATCCAAAAGGCAACAGAAACTCATAACTTGGTGTTATTAGCAATCAGCATTCTATTCAAGGTAAACCTCCCATTGCCTTCACACCCATTATTAAGCCCTGCTGGCCAGAGTCTTAATCTTGCTCACGTACCAAGCCTAGGATGTAATGTCAGTACCATCATCCTGAGAAAAAGAGCATCGGGACTTACCGTTTCATAACCTGCTCCAATAACATAATTACCAATCTTATTCAACAGCCAGGGTATCTTGATGGAAGCAACGGCAACTCGAGCATTGCCATTGCCCTCATCTAGCAATGTGTTTGTGGGAGCCGAAGGGCTTAGGACAGCGGGTCTAGCGATGCCGACGAGGTCCAGGGCACCGCTCGCCAAGGCACTATCCATCGTCTTGCGCGTACGAAAACCGCCCGTCACAAGAAGTGGTAAGCCAGGAAACTTGTCCCTGATTACTGTCGCAAAATCTAGAAAGAACGCCTCTCTCGCTATGGTACTCTCTTTCTTCGCTTTGACTTTTTCAGGGTCTACAATCCCCTTCAGATAGCTTATTAGTCTTCGGGCTAGACCTAGTAGAGGTCTGATTGGAAACTCACAATAGGCTCCTCGTAGCTACCGCCACTGATTTCCAGAAAGTCCAACCCCGCCAGGTGGATAAGCTGAAGCTGCTCGACACACTCTTCCAGAGCGAGAGAAGACTGGTGATCGACGGAGTTAAACTTAATCCCTACCGTAAAACCAGGAGGGACCGCAGCACGGATGGCCTTGATGGTATCGACGACGAACTTGGCACGACCTGCGGGTGTCACACCGTACTGGTCGGTTCGCTTGTTAGTCTTACTAGTCAAGAACTGAGACAAGAGGTAGCCATGTGCAGCGTGTAGTTCTATTCCGTCGAAACCAGCCTCTGCTGCAAGCACTGCTGTCTTGACAAACCGATCCTGCACATCGAGGATCTCAGCGATGGTCATGGCCCTCGGCGTTCCAAAGAGAAGCGCTGACACCACGGCAGAGAAGAGACCCTTGCCAAGACGTAGGGGCACGGCACTCGGCGCAAGCGTCTTCTCGAAGAATCCTCGTGTACCAGCGCCAGCTGGAGATTGTCTGCCAGGATGGCTTATCTGGACTACGGTGGGAGTTCCTTCGCTTTTGCTGGCTGACGCCCATTCCTTCCAGCTGTTGAGAAGGCGAACTCTGTCTATGGCATCATTGTTTGCAATGTCTCTCGCTTGACCGAGGTGACGGGGATCGACCTGCACGTTTCCTGATGATGATGTTAGCATAAATGCGTTCGGGCTTAGTTTGCGCAAGCAGCAATACCAGTGATTATCAGTCCCCAACCACCATTAGCCCACGTCTTGTAAGCTGATTTTACTTCCTCGGTAGGTAGTAGGTTTTCGTCCGCTAGGTTCTCGGCCATAGCGGCTTTGGCCAATCGGTTGGGCAGCGTCAAGCCAGACCCTAGGGTGATGGGCTCGCCTATTAGGACAGTCATGATGTAGTACAGAGATGTTTTGGTATTGATATTATGGAATGAACTATATAAACTCGATGATGCTCCTGCTGTCTATTTAAAATACTCTGTATGCGCCAAATAACTGAACATTTGTGGAATGGTGGCCCATCAAGTAATTGTTCCGACTCTGTCGCAAAGCGGCCGGACATGAATCTGTGCTCTAAAGTCTAAACAAAGGGGTCGGGGCAACCCAATTCCGATTCCCAATTTATCACTCCACTTTCACGATTTCAAAGCAACACATGCTAGCCAGGATTTAGCTAGAGGTAAAGCTTCAAGTTCAAAGGCAAACCACAGGATCCTTGCTTGTCTGAGCGCAATGTAATTGTTAAATGACAGAATTTTGTTGTTTATTTCTAATCTTCAACTTTGTCAAGCCCAGGCTTTCCAAATCTCTCTACAATGTCAACAGTAAAAATGACAGCTGTGATATCTTTCTTGGTAAGACTATTAATCCTCCCATCGTTAGTATAACCCAAGGCTCCCAACAAATCAAATCTCAAATCGATTTTTCCGTATTTGATTCGAAGGTCTTCTAATTTGATTTAGAAAGGCTATATTTTATTTGATTTGAATGACTGTGGATCTTAACTCATCCATAAGCTTATCGATAAGATGCCAGATTAGATAAGATCTTCCCTTTTTCGCTACTTATGAGCATTACCCTATATCAACATAGAATACACAATCAAATCAAATTACATAAACAAATGTCTGAATTTAATTGGATTTAAGCAGCGATTTTTCTCCCTTGATTTGACTTGATTTGATTTGATTTAAATGGATTTCATTTACTGGGAGCGCTGGTATAGTCTCTCAACCAACACATATTTACTATTTTAACAGTTGACTGTGAAAAGTTTGAACAACACGTCTCGTACAAAAGAAATATTCAGTAGAGCACTAATTAAATTAACTATTAACACAACGGGTCCTACTATCTAAAAGCAATGCAAGGGTCCAAGTATGAAGTTCCTGTTTAATATCCGTGGCTCTTAAATTCCTCCTCAGTCCAATCCCAAAGTCTCTGAGTAGCCTTCTCATCCTCCAGCACCTTGTCATTATATTCCTTGAATTTCTGGTTATAGAATCCACCGCTCCTCACAACCTTCGAATCAGCCGTGCTGGCCCACAACTGAGCATGCGCTCCTTGCTTAACATCCGTCAGAAAGACGGACCCAAGTGCCTTGATGAATCCTCCCAACCAAGGTCGCCGCTTTGCCAGGTCGTCAAACAGTCCAGTATTCACGACTCCAGGGTGAATCGCGACAAATTTGACAATTGGGTACAATTGGGCCAAAGTACGGGTGTGGTAGTAGTCGGCCAATTTGGATTGACCATATCGTGCCAAGCTAGAGATTTCGTTCATGGGGGTCTTGCAGCGGGACAACTGCACTCCATCTGAAGGCGCCTGTTTGAACAGCTCCGAGCTTAGGTTCACCACGCGTACATCTGCCTGGTGGGCCTCTGCTGTGCGGAGAAGGACTGGGAGTAGAAGTTTGGTGAATAGGGCTGGACCCATGTAGTTCGAGCCGAACTGAACTTCATAGCCTTCAGTTGTTACACCAGCAGGGGAAGCCATGAGACCGGCATTGTTGACAAGGATATCCAGGCGATCCGAAAGACCTGAAAAGGCATCTGCAGCCGTTTTGACAGACTTGAAAGACCCCAAATCGAGCTCCAGAAACTTGATCTTGCCTTTGGATGCAGGTACAGCCTGGTTGATTTCTTGAATGGCGGCGTTGGCACGGCCTTCTGTTCTTGCAGTAAGATAAATAGCTGCTGGGTTGTGTTTGGCCAGTTGGAGAGCACTTTCTTTACCCAGTCCACTGCTACCGCCAGTCACGATTATGACCTTGCCTGTAAGGTCTGGGATGTCGGTATCTGGAGAATAGCCCATACTGCTGGAGGGTTGTGCTAATGGGGTTGTGGGTGGAACTGGAATAGTAGTAAGGTAACAAGATAAATAGTGGAAGACGGCGCTGTTGACTGTTAGAGATATTAAAAGATAGGTAGCTATGGTACTGTATCGCCCATTTATAAAGACATTAGAGCTTAGACTTTTAGATGCGGCAGTAGGCCTTAACTCTGCAATCTGCGATGGTATGTCATTAAAATTAGCTTAGCAATCAGCCGAGGTTTTAAAATCTAGCACAGGTTCTGCCAGAAAGATTAAAGCATAACTTATCACGCCATAGCTCGGTACTCTGCATTCCACAATCCTATATTTTCGGCCATCTCCTTGAGATGGCGGAGTATTAGTTCGACCGAATCGGCATGGTTATTAAACAGAGCTTAATTAAGAGTGGGGCGGTAGCTTATCCAGTTAGCTGCGATGCTTATCTAGACTGTTAAATGATAATGTTCACTAATCAAAAGCAGGTTGTACAATTCGATTTTCACTAGTTATAAAAGCGTTATTATAATTACATTGCGTGTAGTGCAATCGTCCTGTGACTGGAAGGAGCGACTGATTTCATTTCAAAGCGAAAATACAATCAAATCATATATTGCATCGGTTTAATAGTCAGTATTGTTAAGACGTTAGTTATATTGAACGATTCTTACTTACTACTTCTTCTTCCCCCCGCCTAACTCTATTTAAACCATGACTTCACTTAGCTCCGTAGGCTTTATAATGGAGCAGCAACCGAAATCTACCATCCATAGAGGCATCTTCCTTCCGTTTCGACTTGTTCCGGTCAAGTTCTCTCCTAACCTCAGTTATGAATTCTTGCCCCGAGGAGGAGAAAAAGTCGCAAAGGACAAAACTGCCGTGACGGAAATTCTGTTCATCCCCTTGATGAATGTCACACCGTCATTCCTTTTTGCAATGTTGTCTTTAGGGTTCCTTACCTTAAGCATTCCAGTCTTGTCGAATTCGGGCAGTACACTGAGTATCGTAACGATATCGTCTTACGTATCTCGGATTTGTTGCTCCTTTAACGAGTTGCAACTGACGAAACCCTTAAAAGGCCCCTATGTTGCAGTCGAGCCAGATCTAGGGCCGTGACCGTGGCCATGACCTGGGTCAGTATTCCGAGGGCCCAGTATAGTACCAACCGCCTATTAATTTCCAGGTACAGGAGCACACTAAGATGTCTCAATTGCTAAACTTGATATCATTTAAGCTACATACTTGGCTTTGAGATTCAATATAAGACCATTGGCCGAATTAGTACGGCAAAGGTATTAGATTTGTGGTATTTAGCCCCTTAGGACACGGCTGGCTAGTATATAGGTTCTTGTTTAAGTCTCCCAGTGACTGCTCTCCCGACCTTACTATGCTGTGCCTTGAACTCAACAAATCCAGCTCACACTGCACTGTCAGACTTGGCCTCATGGATCACCGACGTCTCGATGACATCAGCGGAAGCCTTTTCATTATCAAAAGCTTCCCCTCTCGCAGTGACCATGGCAGCTCCCCCATCTGCGTGGTCTATGCCACCAAACAGTACGTCCATGTGCTCCAAAGATACACCCTTGGTTTCTGGGATACAGAACCAAACGAAGGCAAAGAGAACCACATTAATAGCACCAAACATATACATGGCATAGCTACCAAAAGGTTAGTACATTGAGATTTCAGGCAGGATTTGAGTAAACCTACAATCCCTTCTCAGTGAGAAAGATAGGGAATATTTGTTCTGCAATATTTGTTAGTTGTCAGGTCGGGTAGAGCGAAAAGGAAATACTTGCGGAGAATGATGCTTGCGATAGACTGGCACTGAGTGGTCATAGCGACGGCCTGCGCACGAACGTTCATAGAGAAAACCTCTGAAGTCCATATCCACACTGTTGCACCCCAAGAAGGCTTGAAGAACAGGGCAAACAGGAACATCAAAAAGACGGTTGTGATACCTACGCTTGAAGACTTGGATCCATCCTCGAGAACCGGCGTCTCGGTGACTACAGCTGCGGCTGCAAACATGCAGACTGCCATACCAGCAACGCCAATGAGGAGGATAGGCCTTCGTCCCAGGAGATCTGTCATCCAAGTGGCATTCAGAGTGAAGAGAATGTTAAAGGTTCCAGCCAAAGCATTGATGAGCTGGATCTGGCTGTTCGAAGTAAAGACTTTCTTGTAAATGATGGTGGAGTAGGTTGCGAGGGAGTTGTTTCCGGTAAGCTGTTGTCCAATATTGATGGCAGCCGCGAGGACTGGCCAAGTCAGATAATAAGCATCGACAGTAGCCAAGAAGACTTACGCATGCGCTTTCTCACAGATTTATCCGTCCACATCAACTTGTATCGGTCCCAAGTGCTGTTTGTCTGTTTCTTCTCAAACGCGATGGCGTGTCGTATCTCTTCCATCTCTTGGGCAATGAGGTCTGGGTCGTTGCGAATTCCCATGAAGACTTCCTGAGCCTCGTGGAACCTTTCATTCTGGATATACCTGTAGGTCGATGAGCACCGCACTCAAGAAAGGATCACATGCAAGAAAGCAGCCTATCTAGCTCAAACAGCGGGGATACCAATAACATACCATCTTGGAGTCTCAGGACAGAAGAAAAGTCCCGAAATGATGACAATAGGGCAAAAGATTTGAAATAGCATCACAGTCTTCCAGTCCCATTCTCCGAGGCTCTGGGCATTCTTGGAGCACCCGTAGTTGATCCAATATGCGACAAAAGATCCCACGGTGAAGGAGATCTGCCAGAAACTCATGATAGTACCCCGGAGGTGGGCCGGTGCTAGTTCGTTAATATAAACTGGTCCAGCCGGCATCATCAATCCCTGGCCAAAACCGGTGATGGCACGACCTGCGATGAAGCCACCAATAACAGGAGGTGTAAATGTCGAAACAAAGGTCGCGATGATGACAAATGTGGCACCAGCCCACATACTCCACTTGCGGCCGAACCGGTCGGAAATGGGAGCTGAGAAGAAAACGCCTGGAAGACGCAGAAGATAAGTAACAAGACGATGGCTCGGAATGGTAGATGAATACCTGAAATAATACCGCATACGCCCATTGCGGTATTGACCGAGCCGATAGTAGATGGAGACTGAGCCATTAATCAGTTCAGGTCAAGGACTAAATGACCCGTGGAGTTGGAAAAGAAACATACGGGATTTCCAAAGTAGTTCATGAAATGAACTGATCCCTGCGCTGCGTTGAAAGTAGACGAATCATAACCGTTTACAGCCATACAAGTACAAGCAACGAGGCAGCAGAACCAGAGGTTCGCCTTCTTCGATTTGAAGAGCATAGTGGGCAATTATTGCTCTAATTATTGTGATAGTTAAGATATTACGAAGAACGGTGAGTTCATGGCAAGAATAGTGTGGAGAAGGGTAAAGTCGAGGCTTTGCGATTTATTTTAAACCTGTCGTGGGGTGGGATCGATGCGGGTCTAGAAGCATTGTGGCTACATGTATTTTTAGCGTTTTAACCTAGCCTAACCATTTGATCGGCTATAGCAGCCAATACAGCCTTTTTGTGAACAAAATTAGGTATGACCATTGCGACATATTAAGAGAACAAGGCAGGACCATGTAACGTGCATAATAAGCTTATGTTCTTGACACGTATGTGTATAGGGCAATCTCTTACTTTTCTGCTTCATGAAAGAACTATCAAGTAATAAATATACCTGAATTTAATAGACAGGTTGATACTTGAACGAAGTGGTGTGATAATCTCTCCAGCCTTGATGGCTGTAATGAGGTTTTTGTTGATCTCGTCTTTAATGGCTCGACGGGCCGCTTTTGCGATACAGCCTCTTATGACTGGCCAAGAGCTGTTTCAAAGTCATCATCGACGTTGTCTTCGAAAATCGTTCTCCCGCCCTCAGCTAAGTAGTCTGAGTGCTTTGGAAGGCCTCAATCGAGGTGTGCAGTTCGAACATTTCTGCCTGTGTTAAGATAACCGTTTAATCTTCACAAAACTGGATACCTCCGAGGTTGATCTTCAGCAGATCACGTTCCTTAGGTTGACCGATCGGGAAAGTCAACAGGTAATGAGCAGCTTTGCCCTAAGACTGGATACGTCCGAGTCAGACCGGGGCTTGAAGCGCATCTCGTTTAGAGATGGAAGAAATCCACTATCTGGAAGCTATATGACGACGATGTGGGGGATGAACAGGTAAACCCTCGCGCCGATCATGCCTGAAATCAGGTATGTGTCGGTCATGTAAGTACGCTTACCCTACCGTTTAGTTTCCAGGCTCTGATCGGCTGTTGCTGCTTGTTTCCTAAGTTTTAATTTGTCATGGGGTGCCTTGACTTACTTAACTTCCTCAATAATGTCGCTTTTGTAACTCATAGCAGCAATTTAGAACAGTATGGACATATGAGGTCAAGCTCATTTACGTACAGTACAGTTAATGTGCTCGACGAGAGCTACGGTCTTCCATAGGTTTATAAATTCCTCAAACGCATTTGGCATCTTAATAACGGCCGGGGTCAGATGGTTTGGATACTTGGTCTGCAGAGCTTCAAACACGCTTTATGTGTCCAAACCGATATATGTAGATACATTTAAGGAAGCAGATAATTAGTAGAAGTATTACTGTCTGGTAATAGGGTCCTGAGGTGTTTCCTACCAGTGCTTTCAGAAGACTCTTGGTGATAGATAGTGAGGTTAGTCGGGCGAAAGCGCTTCTCCATTTCTGTCTCAAGCACTCATTCTGGCTAAGCTCTTAATCTGCGCTCGGATAAGGCGATACGGACGTAACTTTTCTAGCCTTCAGAATATTCTCTGAGTCAAGCATGTTAAATAGGTTGAAGCTTAAATATGTGGAAGACTTGCAATGTGAGAGAATGATGTTTCAAGGAGGCAATACTGCCCCAAAAAGACTGCCAACGGCTGGTTTTAGAGATACAGAGTTAAAGTGTTATACTCTGTATAGTCCAATCTCCAATAACTGCAAGGTACCAGAGAGCGTCAACTGCGCTCAAGTGCCGACACTTGTATGACCTGGGATAAGCGTAAGCTTAGTTAGACAAACGTTTCTAAGATCCACAGCGGCATTAAGCACGTCAGCACTACTGCATGACAGTGGCACTGACTCGACCTGGGTGTGTATCTCTCGCCAGCTTCTACTTAACGATTTTTGGCCTGATTTAACTTGAACATAGCTGATAACTAGTTTTGCAGTGTGTGGAGTAAAAATACGAACTCTGTACCTAATCGCTTGTCCTAATATAAATTTAGTATCAATAAAGAGATGCGTTGATAAGTTTTAGTCAAAGGGCTAATACAGCATTAAGAAGAAACCAATGAGGTGTATAACATCAAAATATTTAGCTAATAATTTTCATTATAAGAAAGAATAACTCAAGACCTCATTCAGTTACCCTGTACTCCCTATATTACATGGATTCTAATCACGCAGCAATAGATTATCACGAAGACTTTGTGTTGAAGACTAAATAACTCCTAATAGGAGCTCTTCACGATTTACTTTTTGAATAGAGCCTGGCTTCTGTACAGTGACCATATGTAACAATTAACCGTATCCCGCCTAAAGCTAACTGTGACAAAACTTATATTCTCTCCTGGCGGGGGTGGTGTCAGATGTCGGAGAAAGAGCCAATCAGCTAAGGTAACTCCCGCCAGCCCCTTGAGCGACCTAAAGAAACGTCGGATAGGCGGCATGCCTTGCCACAGACTAGACCTCTTCTGGTGTCGGAGAATCAGCGAATCAGTGTATCTTCTGCCCGACATCTGCAGAGCTCCACCCTTTATTCCCAGCCCCCAAGTTTAGGTCATTCCATACCACACAAATGGTTGTCCTAAATAACCCCCTGTCCGAAAACATCTTCTCATCTTCAGCCCTGATTACACTCGGACTTGTCACATGTCCTACTAATTGGTGTGCTTTGCCTTACTCGAGACCAAGTCTGGAAGTGGAAGGAGGCTAGCAGTTTCTGATCAGTTTTATGGCCTGGTATTTAAGGATAAAATAAAAAGAATTGACTTCCCGACTTGATTAAAGATTAAATAGCACCCTTTCCTTCTTACTCATCTTAGGAGTCTGCTCCCCCCTTAACAATATCGGTTTTAGGATCTGATAGTTTTATAGTAGCTGATTGGATATAGTAAAATCCATATACAATTCTGCCCAGCTCAAGGTATGTAACACCTCCTGCTCGAACCCTGAATCTCTTCAAGGCCAACCTTTCCATTCCTGAGACTTAGCCTGATACCAGATCATCAAGAGAAATTTCTGAAATTTACGTTGACCAGAACTAACATCCGAGGTCAGACTTATATAAAGCGTACAAGAGGCATTATGGATCCAGCATGCAAATCTATCAAGCCCAGCTCTAAATCATCTTCACCAAACTCCACATTATCAAAAGGGCCGAAGAAGGCTTGTAGAGCTTGTGAAAGATGCACACGTATTAAGAAGAAATGCGACAAAGAATTGCCCAGTTGTTCGCGCTGTAGGAGGTATGTAATATTTTGTCCAGCTGAAAGCTACTTCCAGCTTGTCTACAACTGTGTCTAACTTTACAGGCTGAGGAGCACGTGCTGCTATGAATTTATATACACACCCTCAGTCACTGTTGTGATTAGGCCCGAGGACCTTGCAGAATGTCCACCTGAGAGTACACACATGCAGGGGACGTTCAAACCGTTCCTCGATATTTCAAGCTCTATGATTTTGAACCTGCTTCCTTCCTGGAGTACTACCCGGAGTCACTCTACTAAGCACTACTTGGAGACTATAAATCCCTACCTTACCATAGTTCATCCAGAGCTCTTCGCCCTACGCACTAATACTGGGTTCGACTCTATTATAGATCAAGAGCTTCACGACCCAGCTACTGCCCTTTTGGTCGTATGCATGCACCTCTTTTCTCATAGAGATGATTCAGCAAAATCTATGAGTAGCAAGGGAGAAGAGGGTGTTAATATGCCAATGTATCGGGCTGCCAAGCAAATTCTAAGTATCCTAAGAACCCTTGCTGCTCCAAGTATCGAGCTTATGCAGTGTTCTCTTCTGCTCGCATTCTACGAGTATAGCCATGAGGATCTTGGGCGTGCCTATATCAGCATTGGAGATGCTAGTACTATGGCTCTGATCCTACACGTGGGCCCCGGGAAATACCTCGAAGCTGAGCGGGAGGCCTACGTCCCTTATGAGGACGAAGAACGTCGCTGCGTTTTCTGGAGTCTCTTTGTGCTCGATCGTTTGATCCAAACGGATTATTGTCTTCTACATATGCCGTATCAGATACCACCTCCAGTTGTATCTCCTCCCGCCGCCGATGACCTTTTACCGACAAACCACATAATTTGGTACAACAAGGATCAGTCGCCCTACTACTTCACTCAGCGATATCCCACGGATACTGCGTTCTCGGTCCCTGTTGGGATCTTTCAGAGGAATTGCCAATGCGCCATACTCGATACCCGAACATCTTCCCCTCAATACCATCCTGATCGATCAGCCTATAAGTTGGCCAGTCCTGCTGCCACCCCATTGTCCTCCAGACAATATCATTCGAACCTAAAGGGGTCCACTTCATCCCCCCCGTTACTGTTCGGGACCCATACATCGACATGGGAACCCGAACATGTAGAAGTTCCCAGTCAGTACGGGGATGGTATAGTAACGCCCAAGCGTACAAGCGATATTACTGCATCTCTTTTATCTTTTCAAAAAGACATAAACGACCTGGAGTTGCAGAATGAGAAGATAATGGAGACACATATACTGCATTTGAACGAATAAAAAATGTTGTTCAGTCACCATTCAATGATATTTATTATATGACGTATCTATGGGTCTAGGATGGCTATTGATAAAGTAAAGCATACTGGAAAAGCTCAGAGGAAGTCTTATTATTGTACCACAGGATGTAATCAGCTGAGACGGCTAAGTCTGTTTCACTCAGGTTACCAGCAGTGATAGAAAGCTTTATGGCCTTCCCTCTTACTAGTACTTTCTTACTCACAGCCAGTCTAAGGAAAATCGTCCAAGACAATATATCCGGTAAATTTGGAAAAGACCCTGTTAAGTTCTACCTATGCCAAATAGTCCATCAAATATGGTCAGCACAAGACGCATTACTGCCAAGCCCGATACCTGCCAGCACGAAATGAAAGCCATCAAGGGCATTCCAGCTGTGCCGTATTGTGGCTGGCTGAATCCTCTCATGGCGTTCTGTAATTATAGATACTTCGGTTTTGGAGTCTTTCCCGACGCTATCCTGCTATCGGACTAAACAAAGAGATCCCGACGTTGACGGTCTTGAAGTATTTTCCGACGCTTCTCCCACTGTCGGAGTAAGAAGCAAATCCCGACGCTGACCCCCCCTGAATCAGCTTACATTTGTGGGGACACCAAGACATGACACTACGGTAAGGCTTGTGATTAACGATAATTGGCTTGGTGCTGTGTCCCAAGTAAACATGCCATTCCGTGAGACTGAGACATTTTAGGCTTGACAATTGCTTCATGAAAATGCTATAAATATTCAGTGACAGGTAGTTCCCTTTCTTGGTTTTATTGTCTAATATGACTCGAACTTTGTAAGTTCAACTTGAGAATATAAAGATGCCCTCATTGCCTGTCCATATTATACTCATACCCTTCGGCCATGCCAAATCTCACATCCCTATAAGCTACAGCAGGAACGATTTAACAAAATAGCGCAACGAAAATACTGGTATGAAAAAATCGTGGAAATGATCACTGCATATATAATCATTGGCGCAAACCTTTACCCTCAAATGCGATATTTAGCTTGTTTCTCAATTTCCCATCATGATATCTTTCACCTCACCAGACGACAGATTCCCTTCAGGCTCATCTAGCGGTAGATGGTGTTCTACCAAGAACCTCACCATCCACTTATCGAACCTGTAGGTTTGCATTGCCCCGGGTCCCGTACAAGTCTTTTGGAATAGTTGAAGACGTCTTATCTGCATCTGTGTCAGAAATTGATCACTAATATTGATGGGGTTTTCTCTACTTACTGAGTTTTGAACCGAAGGCCAGTATTTTTGAAGCTCAAAAATGGCTTCAAAATTGGACTCCAACTTGGCTCGGATATCAGCCGTGTCATCTTGTTGACCAAATATGAGCGTATGCAGCAGCACTGCAGAAGAGACACATGTCATGTAGCCTACTCCTCCAAAGACCAATTCACAATTGGGAACTTGGCGAGATCGTTGGACAAGATGACTAACGGCACTTGCGTGATACTTACAAAGCTCAGCATACTCGATCCACTTTGGTGTCTGGGTCCGATTTAGATCTAGGAATCTGAAAAACAGAAGCACGAAATGCTGGTGGTAGCCTGTGTGTATGGCGAGGAATGGTCCTCCAAGGCCCTTAGCACTGTGTGCCAGAAGATTTTCCTCTGACGCTTTCTTCTCCTTAGGGAGGCTCGCTTCCCAAAGTCTTAGGCCGTCTGCTAGATCCGCCACGCGTTGCATAAAGTATTCTTCGGAGAGACCCTCTTGACCCCATTGTTTGTTCAAGTTTTGGATAGGCCCCAACTGTTTTGCAAGCATGACATTATATGCCCAAAGTCCCAGTGTATGAGGGCGCGTTGGAGGTGTCCCGCTACCTTGATCAACATCCATGTGATGAAAGACATCTTCATCCATTGGTAGGGGCGTCTCCAAATCAAAGTCTGGCATGGCGCGACGGAGGTTACGACCTATAGAACTCCAGCGGTCTGCCATGAATAAAGTCCACCACACCCTGCATTTTGTTTCACGTAACACCTCCGAGTCTGATGGATCCGGACGGTCTAGACCAAGGATTTCAGCCATGCGAATGCCAAGAGTGACAAAGAGCGCTTCTGATTCTGGGTTCTTTGATGAAGATGATAAATTTGCGAGTAGGACGCAGGTCTGGATATTCTCAAGGCAGATGTTCTCCATGTCTTGCTTCAGCAGCTGTTTGGACTTTTGCATGAAAGTAGGTCCAAGGGAAGCTATTTCAGCCTTAGAATGAAACCGACAGCCAAATGCTAGTATAGCAAAAAGCAAGGCATCTCCCAAACGACCTTCTCTTACTGCAGCTCGCAAGGTGGGTAGATGAAATAGGGTATGAGGTCTATCAAGGATGTAGTGAATGTAATTCTCCACAAGGTCTTCGATAGCGTCATTTGAGAGAAAGAATTGTGGGTTCAGATCATGGTGTTCGACCCTTGGGGTTGGGGTTGGGGGGTGACGAGGAGAGATACGTCGCTGCTGTGGAGAAGTCTCGACGAGCGAACATTGGGGATGGCGGTTCTTGGCGCAAGCATCACATGGAGCCCCGGATTTTGTTTGGATGCACTTTTTGCGCCTCCTTCTGCACCTCGAGCACGCCGTGGGAAATCTCATTGTGCTGCTTTAATTTGACACAAGCTTTTTCTGAAGATAAGGACACGCGAAAAAGGAGGGGCGTTAGTGTCACATTGCTCCACCGGCTGATAATATTCCCTGTATGCCAAGTGAAGGATAAGCGGAAGATTGTTTCCCCGTTGAACTGTGCCTGTCCAATTCGGTCATACTCCTTGGCGGTTCCGGGCCGTATTGTCTCTATATATGAGCCAGGGCATCTAAGTTCCCAAGAACAACCCATCAGCTCTTTCCTGGTTCATAACAAGGGCTCTAGCCGTATATTCTAGAGAATTAGCTGGCATAGAGTATATATCATCATTATTGAACGAAATATAGCATAAAGTACTTGAAGTATTCCTAGTATTTATAAATATCTACTTGAGAAATAGAGTTATGGCTGATATGGTAGGTAAACTTATTGAATCTAAGATATTACTTTTCGGTCTTTGTAGAGACCTTTATTATTAATATTTCTATAGATTCAATTAGGACAGCTGGATCTCTTTTTTTAAAGGTGCTACCAGACTTAACATAAATAAATAAATATCTACTCTCTCTTCTTGGTTATTCTTCCGATTCTTCTTCCTTGAATACATCATACTTATACTGTGACCCAATATGATCACCGCGCAGCCCGGCCTGACCCTTGCTATAAACCTTCTCACGCAGAGTATAGCTCTCTTCACTTGAAACGTCATGATATAGCCCTCTTCGTCGGAGTTCAGGAATCAACAGCTCGACAAGATCCTCAAAGGAGCCAGGAGTAGTAACGTATCCAACATTGAAACCATCCAGATCGCCTTCCTGGATCCAACGCTCCATCTCATCAGCAACTGTCTGTGGGCTTCCAACCGAAACTGGCCCAAGTCCTCCAATAGCTGCTTTCTCCGCGATCACTCTGGGTGTCCACTTTGGGACATGCTCACTAGTTACGGTGAAGGCATCGAGAAGGCTCTGGACCCTATGCTGCTCAAGTGAGTCTGCAGAGGTGAGTTCCTGATCAAGCGGGATTCTCGACAAGTCAATGCCTGTCCAACCGCTGACCAGTACCAAACCGCCAATAGTAGAGGCGTACTTCTTCAGTTCCTCCAGTTTCTCCTGTGCTTCTTCATCGGTACGGCCGACGATGGGCGTGAAGGTTGCAAAGAATTTGAGAGACTGAGGATCTCTACCTAGTTTAGCAGCCTGCTCTCGAATCGCTTGGATCTTGGGCTTCAGAATCGCTGGTGAATGAGAAGAGACAAAGATACCCTCGGCATGGGTTGCAGCAAAGGTCTGGCCAGCTGTCGAAGTGCCAGCTTGAAAGAGGAATGGCGTTCGTTGAGGTGATGGGTCAACAATATGACGAGTGTCCAGGTCGAAGAACTTTCCATGGTGATGAATAGTTCTGATCTTGTCCGGGTCCGCGTAGCTGTCATTCTCTGGGTCAGGGGAGATAGCATCGTCTGCCCAAGACCCTTCCCAAAGTCTATATCTCGGTCAGTGGGCAGTCCGTGGTTATAGCACTAGTAGGCTCACTTGTAGAGAACGCGCAGATACTCATCAGCCTGCTCGTATCTCTCGTCATGTGCAATCGGGCTGTCCAATCCGATTGCTTTGAAAGCCGCTTTCTTCCAGCTTGTAACAATATTCCAGCCTTGTAGTTACCGTTAGAACAGGCACAAGCCATGCACAAGTTCGGGACTCACCAATTCTTCCCTTGGTGAAATGATCAAGCGACGAAAATCGTTTTGCAAGTAGGAATGGAGGCTCAAACGAAGTTGACGCGGTGATGGCAAAGCCAAGATTCTTTGTCACAGCTGCCATGGCACTAATCGGGATAGTTGGATCAGTCATCGGCCATTGAGCAGCGCGGCGAATGCAGTTATCCAGCTTTCCTTCATAAGTGTCATAGCCACCGTATGTGTCTGCAAGAAAGAGGGCATTAATGCCTCCCTTTTCAAGCAGCTTAGCCAGATCGATCCAATACTGAAGATCACGCTTGGTTGCTGACTTGTCTGCTGGGTTCTGTAAAAGGTTAATCCCGTGTTGTGCGAGATTCTCGTGAAGTACTTACCTTCCATTGGCCTGGAGACAGATGTCCAATGGTTGACATGTCAAATGCATTGATGATAATTTTCTTGGGCTCATTCTTGCCTGTATTGGCAGAAGTACTATCTGTGGTCCCAGTAGAGGCCATGATGGATATCAAGTGATTGGCTGGGCTGAACTAGATGGGGTTGCTCCAGAGATTACAAGGTCTGGCACTAACAGCACCAAAATCTTGGTTTAGGTGAGGCAGATAAATGGATTTTATACATATAGTTATATCTTATGATCTTATATCAATCAGCCTGTGTAACTGCGCTGTGAGGGGAAACCCCACAAAACCAATCACGTCTTTATTGTTAATCTATACCCACTTTTGTATTGATCACGTCTTTGACACTGACTGGGGGCAAGTGTTGTTACTTGCTACGACTCTTGCGTGATCCCGATAACGGATGTCACAATTAAGCTGCTATACTTGTGTCTTTGTCGGATTTCAGATTACGCGCCGCTCAGCCAAGTCATCTCACAACCGCGAGAAAAGAGATAAGAGCTTCTCTGTCTCGAACCAAAGCGAAAGAAAATAAAGTAGAATACAGTGAAGATGATAATAATCAATAGAGTTACGAAGCTCAAGCATTTAAATACAATAGCCTTATACCGTTTATCTTTCCCCGAAGTAGGTCATTGTATCAAAGTGCCGTTAAATTATGCAATACGCCAAGGCAACACTACCGAACTCCATCTAACTAGATTGAAAAAAAGAACGCAACCTTTCTGAGCCTATACTACGGTTCGCATATCTTCTTTAAAAGCATCTGCCTTGCCCGTGCCATGAATCTTTCCAAGTACCTTTTCTATCGACACTTCTGTTAAAATGCCTGACATTGAAACTAAGAAGAAGTGGTATCACATACAATGGTACTCCGACACAGATACCCCAGAGGAACGCAAGTTCATCACCAAGCTTGACCTCCTGATCGTTCCTTACGCGGTGATTGCGTATTGGGTCAAATACATCGATCAATCCAACCTGAGTATGTAATAGCGCTTGCTTCTTCTTCCACCCACTAATAATACCTAGACAATGCCTATGTCGCTGGCCTAAAAGAGGATCTCGGGTTTAAAGGCAATGAACTCGTTCAACTTCAGACATTCTATATTATAGGCGCTGTTACTGGCCAGATCCCCTTCTTTTTTCTTCTCACTTACGTCCCCATCCACTGGCTTCTTCCGTCCCTTGACATTGCCTGGGGAGTCTTTACTCTTTTACAATACCGAGTCACAAGCTTTGCCGAGCTGGCAGCTTATAGATTCCTTGTGGGATGGTTCGAAGCAGCCTTCTTCCCAATTATGCACTACCTCTTCGGCTCTTGGTACAAAGGAAACGAAATCGCCCGACGAGGCGGTATCTTCTATGTTGGCTTATCTCTTGGTACTCTCACAGCCGGCCTCATCCAGGCTGGGGCTTCAGCTCGCCTTGATGGTGTCCATGGATTGGAAGGATGGCGATGGATGTATATCATCTGTTCCATCATCACCATCCCCGTCGGCATCTTAGGATTTCTTATTATCCCCGGCACACCAGATCAGCCAAACCGTCGAGTCTTAAATCAACACGATATCGATGTCGGAGAACAAAGACTCAAACGGGCAGGACACCAATCTCATGGCAAGATGCAATGGGTACACCTGAAGAAGGTACTACTCAGTCCTCAATTTTGGGGGATCATCGCTGTTGATGTGCTCTTTTGGAACGCTGGTACCCATAGCAGCTCTGGTTCATTCCTCCTGTGGATCAAAAGTCTGGGACGTTATTCAAAAGCAAAGGTCAATGAATTGGGAACTATCGCACCGGCCCTTGGTATTTTCTACACGCTGTTCGTTTGTTTTGCGTCAGATCTCGTCCTCGGTCCTGCATGGGCTATCACAGTTTCTACTATCTGGAACGCCCTTGGACTTATCATTCTCACTATATGGAATGTCCCAGAGTCAGCACTTTGGTTTGCCTGTTCGACCATCTACGCATCTGTCGCTTTATCTAGCGTTCTCCATGGCTGGGTTAATACGCAGCTTCGAGCATCTCCAGCTGAGAGATCCTTTACATTGGTTCTTATCAATGCTATTTCGCAATCTACAACGGCTTGGACTCCTTTACTGGTCTTCCCTACAGTCGAAGGCCCTCGCTTTCCAAAAGGTTATGCATTTGCTTTGGGATGTGCCATCGGCCTTCTCATCGCTACCCATGCACTTCATTTGTGGTTGAAACATCGAGAGTGAGTAAAAAAGTATCTTATGTTAGAGCAATATCTAATAGTTTACAGTCCTCCAGCAACGACACCTGGTCAACTTCTTTCTGAAGAGGTTAGTAACTTAGCAGAAGAAAGGGGTGAAGTAGCACCTAAGGCTGCTGATTCGAAAACTACATCCATCAACTAAAGGTTATGCGGTTGAGTATGGTGCGCTGACATAACCTTTCATACAATGCCATGTTTGATAAATATCTCGTATGTACAATTCATACTAGAGGGGAAGTAAATCTTGGTTGCTATGAGAAGAGGTCCAGGTAAACTGTGGAAGTTTCTATCGCGAAATATACACAGTGGTAGCCATATATATAAGCATGGACTTTAGCACACGCAACCTGAATCAGAGAATATTCACCTCAAGGCAACACCAATAAAACACTAGTAATGAAAAGCACAACTATTTCTGCAAGACCATAATGAACCTGAGAACGTCAACTGTTCTTTTTACCAATAATACTTAGTGAAAAACTTTCCCCAGCCTTGCCATTCCCTCCTGCGCCACCCTCTTGTTCCTAACCATAGCCCCATCCAGCAATTCCCTTCCCTGGGCCAACATCATCCAACCTTTCGCTTCTAGATAGAAATAATGCGGACGTAGAGACAATCGCTATCGGTATTGAGAACACCCCACTCTGCACACACTAACACCAGCCCAGCTACAACAATGGAGACAGCCAAATCACCAGTGGTGTCACCTTCAGCAGATTGAGCTCGATCTTGAGAAAGGCGCAGAAAGGCTGGGTGCCTTATGAGTTAGGTATTATATGCCAGAATACAAGTGGCTTTAACTGCCCAAATATCGTCAAAGACGAGCTCGCAACGGCCTTGGGGTCCCTTCCAGCTGTGGTCATGGTGTTCTGACAAATGAAACGCTGTAGTAGAAGTATGTGGGGCTTTCTTGCAGGATGGACTTTGCTGACAAAAAGTGCAAGTTAAGGATGTTTGCGCTAACCACCGGAGCACTCATAAGGTCCGTCTAATTGCCATGTGCATTACAAAGAAGCGGAAGATTTGATAGCCTTACCATTGACAATAAATGGTATATAAGGCCGAATCTGCCGTGCGATATATGAGCATAACCATCAATAACAACTTCTCTCACATTTGCCATATTTACTCTAACTCGTACTCATTCTCATATTTATCAACTTCACAATGTCCGCTCGCGTCCCTGTCGCCCTCATTCTCGGCGCCGGTTCCAATGTCGGAGACCACGTCAGCCGCGCCTTCGCAGCAAAAGGCTACAAAATTGCCCTCGCAGCTCGAAGTGTGAAGGAACAAGACAGCACCCCAGATAAGCTACTTATCCGTGGGGATTTTGCCGACCCTGAGTCCATCACGACCATCTTCACCAAGGTCAAGTCTCAACTTGGCGTTCCTCATGTGGTGGTTTACAATGGTATGCATCATTTCTCTGTTTCGATACATCAGTTAACAGTAAATCAGCCGCTGCTTCTAGCTTCCCTGGAGCAAAGACACCGCTCAACGTGCAAGTGAACGACTTTGTCAAAAACCTTGCTATCAATACCACCAGCGCCTTCGTAGCCGCACAGCAGGCTGTGATTGGCTTCGAGGAGCTCCCAGATTCTGCAGCGCGAACATTTATCTACACTGGTAACTGCACCAATGACACGCCTATGTCAGCCCTGTCAGACGCTAGTCTCGGAAAGGCAGCTTCGGCTTCTTTCATTCAAGCTGCTGCAGGAGTATACGCCGATAAAGGCTTCAAGTTAGTGATTCCACCTTATTACTCTAGATCGATTTACTAATCGCCTGAACAGGTTCTATTACGCCGATGAACGAAAGGTTGACGGTTCGCCTGCGTTCAGTGCCATCGATGGGCCTGCGCACGGCGAGTTCTATACTCAGCTAGCCGAGGGTGCTTCGCAGGGACCGTGGCAGCAGACTTTCGTCAAAGGGCAAGGCTACACGAAGTTTTGAGGTTAGCACTTTAACCTAGTATTATGCAAAAGAGTGCCATTGAATTAGGTCTCCAAAGAATATAGGAATATTGGACTTTTTCTTTTTCTTTTTCAGTAATTGATACGGTATTGCTTGTGTTGAACTTGGAAGATGCTGCTTCGTATGACGCTAGTGAGCCCATAAGATCCAGATAAGATAAAAAATGATTTATAATCACACAGCAGCGTCATCAACATAAGCTTACTTCGACTTTCATACCTCTTCCCCACACTTCACATATCCCAAAATCCTTCTAAATTCCGAATGGTACCTTCGTGAGGGCACTAGCGTCAGTTTGCTTTATAGTAAGATACAAGGAACTGCGACAATGACCGATCAGCCATCTAAGAGGCAAGGGGAAGTCATCGTGAAGGTAAGATTCTCAAAACCTTGTCTAATCAACCCACGACGGATGTCATGCGACTGACAAAGGTTTGACAAGGTTAGTCATGTGATAAATGCCGTGTGAAGAAGATCCGCTGTGAGCCTACCAAGGATGGCTGCGCGCAGTGTACCAAATACAAGACGACATGTCATTTCACACCTATAGCAACTAAGCGAAAGCCCCGTCGACCAGCTGGGTGAGTTTGTATATCTCATAACTGAGCTTTACTGATAGATTGTTAGTCACAAACAAATATCAGACCTGGAAGATAGACTCAAAACCATGGAGAGTCTATTGCAGCAAGCTCTCCAGTCGAAAGGGACAGACGGCACTGGGGAGCAATTCCCAATCAATGTGGTGGGTGATCAGGCGATGCTGGTGGAAATCGAACCAGCCAGCACCTCTTCCAGTCTACAACCTGGCCTTCTATCTCCAACAGCGGCCAGTAGTAACTCAGGGTCACTACGCGACGGTATGGACTTCAGCAAGTTCACCCTCCTTCCAACTACGCCCTGGGCTGAAAGAGTGGGAGAAATGCCACATGTGAAGATCCCGTCGCTGTCTTCGATGGGCCCTACTAATATCCCCACCACTGAGATGATACTGCAACCACTCTCTCTACCGACATTCCACCAGCTCCCGTCAAAAGGATTCGCTCTCGAACTGGTAACAGATGGCCTTAAAAGCTTCAACACTTTCTTCCCCATCTTCGATGAAACAGACTTGTTGCAAAAGTTCCACAATCAGTATTTGGACTCCACCCCAAACGATCCATGCTGGTGGAGTTGTATCAATGTCTTCCTCGCTATAGCGCATCGGTTCCGTTCGATGCGCACATATGATAGAGCGTACGAGACAAAGCAAGCCTGCGGGTATATCCACAACGCTCTAGCGGTTGTTGCGGAGCTGAACGTCATGCACAGCAACTTGGCAGCTGTACAATCACTTGTTGGTTTAGCAATTGTGCTCCAAGGCACCGCTAATCCGCACCCTGCCTCGGTGCTAACAGCTGCTGCTATCAGGCTAGCACAAACTTTAGGACTCCATAGGGAAACGCCGTACGATTGCCTCCCGAAGGATCAGGTCGAGCAAGGCAGACGTGTATTTTGGCTTGCGTATATACTCGACAAAGACATAAGTCTACGCATGCAGCAGCCATTTGCTCAAGATGACGAAGACATGGATGCTATACTTCCTTCAATGAACACCCTCCAAGTTCCTTCTCCGGATGGACTGAGTAACACTGATCTATTAAATTCGCGCATCGGTCTGGCCGTCATCCAAGGCCAGGTGTACAAGAAGCTTTACTCAGTTCAAGCAGCTCGACAACCTGGAGCTCAACGCCAGGAAGTGGCGAGAGAGCTCAATTCCATCTTGAGCTACTGGAAAAGCAGCGTCGACATAGACTTCGAAGATGGTGTTATGGTTCCACTGCAGCCACCTCTTGCCACCGAGATAATGCACTCTTTAATCCATCGATTCACTTACGTCAACTGTCTTGTCATGATCAACGTACATATCCCAGAAACGGACAGCTTCTTGGTCGACGATTTATCCCAGATTCATTCGATCTTTGAGCAGGCTTATGTCACTGAGTCTCGAAAGGCAGCTCAATTGATTAGTCTCATACCGCATGGGGACTATGCTGTTGTCTGGTAAGAACCACCACGAAGTAAACGGTAATTTGAATGCTAATTATTATAGGCTTTTGCTTCAATCATTCTCCAACATCGCGGAAACTCTACTCAAGAACGCAGAAAGATACCCAGCATCACCGCAGGCTATAACAGATCTTGAGTTGGTGAAGCCATTCCTTGGACTCTTTGAGATTCTCGAGATCGAAAAAGCCTGTTACCGCTCTGAGGAGGTCAGAAGGATACGTCAGTCATGCGGTGAGCTTTGGAATAGAGCAATCGAGACTGTTCGTTCAACGAATATTGAGTTCGGCGAATAAAAACTCCAGTCTGTCTGCATCTGAAGTATTCAAAGGAAAGAAAGAACTGCATGAGTTCAATGATTGGCGGAGTTAACACTCAAGTTCTGATATAGGAGACACCCAAATTATCCGTAAAGAGCGTAAACTGTTAATCCAACTGCTAAGAATCACTGATCGTGTAAACCAATTTGACCCCTGACACACTGCCCCTCCGCATCATATCGACACCCTCCAAAACCTTCTCCAGACCTCCTTTCTGATGACTCACAGGGTGTGCTACCAACTTGCCCTGCATCAGTAGCTCACCCGCAATCTTCGCAAACTTGACCGCAAAGTCATGATCAAGGGCATTCGCAGGGACATCTATACCACCGATTTGGAAATTCTCACCAATAGCGGAAAAGACCATGGTGTTCTTGTTCACAACGTCTGAACGTGGCAGCTCCGCTACAGGCTCCAGAGATGTGTATATACCCCCTTCATGACCTATCGCGTCACTGCAGATCTGCGCCGTGGCCATGGTACCTGTAGTATCAAATACGTATGCGAGTTTATTGCCGGTGATACTTTGAATATCTGCTGCGCACGTGGGTGATTTGTAGTTGAATACATGGTCAGCGCCTAATTTGCGAAGCCATTCTCCATGACTAGGCGAACACGTGGTAACGACTTGAAGGCCGGACCTAAGACTGTCAGACCTATTTTCTGTAAGGCGGTGGAAAGAACGTACAGCTTTGCAAACTGGATTGCTAATGAGCCCGTTGCGGTACTTCCACCGTAGATAAGCACATAATTGTCGCTGGCCTCAGATTGGGGAAGTGGCAAAGCGAGAGATTGATATAGATTTTGTCCAACTGTGGTGATGCCTGCACCCAGCGTTGCAGCAGTTTCAAACGACATATCATGTGGGATTTTCATTTGAAGGTCACCTTTTGCGATAACGAACTCGGCAAAAGCTCCATCCGCATGGTTTGATGCATTGCCTAAGCTATTAGTAAAGTAGTGGATAACCGAGTAACTGACAGGTACTCACATCCATGAACTAAGCCCGCAACTCGATCGCCAGGTCGGAAATGGTCTTGCAGAAGCGCACCAACTTGTACCACTACACCACTGTAGTCGCAGCCCACAGTCTCACCAGGAGTGGCGATGTAGTCGATAGACTTCCAATCAGCAGGGTTGATAGCTACGGCTTTAGTCTTGACGAGGATATAATCGTCGCGCAATTGGGGAATCGGGGCGGTTCCTAGCGCTGCTTGTCCGAGGCTTTTGATACGGATTGCTTGCATTGTTGAGGTTGACATTGTGGTGTTATGCGATAGCGCGATTGTATCGAAGGAGAATGGTAGAAACGTGCTAGACATATCAATGCGAAGGTGGTTAGACTTTTAGATCGGCCATGAGATCAGAATAAATAACAAATGCTTTATATCCCTGATCTAGGTCTAGGCTGCTTACGATCCAATTACAGCAAGTCATCAGCGAGCGTTATGCAGGTCCATGATTGCTTATCACATCTTCGGATGTTAGCTAAGGTCCGCTCCGCATGTAGGCCCGTGAGCGCCCACACACAGTAATTCGGAACGGGCTCTGTCGTAGCATCCGCACACCTTAATAATTCGACATGTTCAACGCTTTCAGCCCCAACTCCAAAAACGTGATTGATAATATTCAGCTGCGCTTAACAATCTGGGAGTCGTAAGATGAGTTGCTCCACAGATTTAGAGTATATATATACAGCAATATCTACCCTCTTCATCTTTGTGTTCAGCATCAATCCATCAATCCAACACAAATAACCTACATACTTCAAACACCAAGATGTCTTCTCAATCTACCTTCTCCATCTCCAAGCTCAAAAACCACCGCGTTCTCGTCATTGGTGGATCTTCCGGCATTGGCTTCGGCGTCGCTGAAGCCTTGATCGCCAATGGTGTATTCGTCATAATTTCTTCTTCATCCGAGAGTCGAATCTCAAGCGCTGTGAAGAAATTGGAAGACAAATACCCTACATCTCGCGGCCATATTCAGGCCTTCGTCTGTGATCTGAGCTCGCCAGATACTGCCGAGTCTGAAGTCAAGAGGCTCTTCGAACAGGTGGCTGAAGGTGGCAAGCTCGACCATATTGTCTACACGGCCGGCGATGCTATGCTGATTGGAAATCTCGAGGGGTTTAGTTTATCTCAGATCTATCAAGCCGGCATGGTGCGCTTCTTCGGTCCCATCCTTGTGGCTCAGCACCTCAAGACCGCTCTAAAAGAAGGGCCAGCATCATCATTCACACTCACCACTGGCCTGGCCCCAAAGCGTCCACCAAAGGACTTTGCAATAATCTCCGCCTACCTGGCAGGTCTTGACGGAGTGGTCAGCGGCCTCGCGCGTGACCTGGCCCCTATCCGGGTGAACCAGGTCAGTCTGGGCGCCATCGACACAGAGCTGTGGGACCATATTCGGCAAGCGGGAGGTTTTGAGCAGTTCAGAGCTGATTTTGAAGACCGCACGCTTACTAACTCGATGGGAAATGTGGAGGATGTGGCGGAGAGTTATTTGTATTTGATGAAGGATAAGAATGCTACGGGTAGTACCGTGCGTACTGATGGAGGTCTTCTTCTTATTTGAGCATTGTCTTTTTACAGTATTGTATTTCTTGCATGGGAATGTGAAGGAAGTGGACTTGGAACTTTGAAGGCTAGGGTTGAGATGGCGCTACGCCACGGATCTGGCCTTAACTAGTGGTTGATGGACAGTGTGGTGAACAGTTTAGAGACTTGTATTTTAATCATTTTATAATCACTTATTAAAATGCGACGCCAACTTTGCTCTATTTGTCGACTGTAGCATTAAATCAAGACGCCATTACGTACGCAATTCATTGCCAAAAACTGCATTTTCTTGAGCATTCATCCCGTGACCAGGGGAAAAGACCAGGTCTAGAACTCCAGTGACAGTTGACTGGTATGTTGGGGTCTTAAATGGCGTCAACCCCATCCGTATCGGGAACGTTGAGTGCGGTAGATGACGGTAGATGTGCTAGCACCTCGCTACCTTGACGGCACCAACTGTAATCCTACGGCTGCATGTGGCTAGAAGATGAGAATCTCCGAACTATATCGGTACTGCACTGCAACGGCACTTATATATCAGGTTGTTCGTTGGGTTCCAATAGGTTTAACTGATATGTCCCCCCCTGGTATGCGACTCAGTAGATAAACTCGTTGTTCGTCTGAGACGTGTCTTATCTTTCAGCCCCTCGTTGGTCGTGACATTCCACGTATGCATTGCCACTTGACCTGCCAACGACTGTGGCTTGCAATTGCCGTCAAGTCCCTGATCTGGTTATGCCATTTATGAAACCCCAATCCATGGACAAACGATATTGTCGAGAAATCCAACCTCTTCCTTATTACCGCCCCCTACCCTACGGAGTCTATCCCTGCTGAACAAAGCTGTCAGGCCTACGGTTTGTCGTAGATTCAATAGTATCATGCTCTTCATAGCTGGAATAGTAAGCTCTACGTGCATAGTGCAATCCTTATCGATATTAACAAAATGCGCAGGCCATCCAAGCAACACTTTTATGCCTATCCCTGCTCGTGGTCATCGTTCGATGCTGGGCCAGGCTCCATTATGATAGAAAGCGGCTTACCATTGCCGAGTATTTTGCATGGCTCGGATGGTTCTTTGCTCTAGGCTGGGTTATCTGTTCAGCCATTGCTACACGTCTCTCAGTTGAGCACCCTTCAGTTGAGCCAGACTTGGCAGTCGACAATGTCGAGTATCTAAAGGTAGTCAGATATCTTCATGTTCCAGTGTCGCGTCACACAGCTAATCTGTCTCATTCTTATAGACTGTCTTTGTAGCCGAATACTTGTTTGATACTGGGATCTACTTTTCGAAACTTTCTCTCTTAACATTTTATTGGCTTTTCATTCCAAGTCTTTTCCAATATTTGAGGAAGGCATTGTATCTCATTACACTATATCTAATTTCCTGTATGACAGGATCTATACTGTTAAATACCTTCATCTCGCGGCCTATCTCAAATAACTGGTAAGCTCTTCATTATCTACAGTAAGTATCCTAGCTGAAGTGCTATTCTAGGTCTATCGAGCACCAGTTAAATTCTGCCTGGAACTCTTATCCTAACTTCATTACCCAGTGGGGACTTAATTTCTCCACCGACCTACTACGTAAGCGATAGACATTCCAAGTACGTTAACTCAGCCATAATCTAACTATTGCGCAGTCTTCTGTTTCCCCTTCTTCATTATCAAGTATTTGAAGTTACGCCCAGAACAGAAAGCCGGTCTCCTAGGAGTATTTTCCTTGGGTGCAATCACTCTTGCAGTTAGTCTCGCGCGATTTACTGTGAGTGTGGGGAACCCTGGTTGGCTTGATGATGCAACTGGCAGTATGAGAACCTCAATTCATATATCACGGGTAGTGGAAAAGTCGCTAACTAGCTTACAGATACTCTATGTACAATCGAGATGACCACAGCTGTTATTGTGATATGCCTCCCTAGTTTCAAACGATTCTTTATGCGATCAAAGGTCTCCACCAAAGCCACACATAGTGACGTCTCATACTCATCTGGCTCGGGGGTATCGTCGCTTGATACAAGAGCTAAATCGATCAGCATCATAGGCCTATGCGAAGTGGGGTGTGAGAGATGATGTGATCGAGCTGGTCCCTGGTATGCCTGAAGAGAGCTTAGAACGGGGAAGGATGGGCTAACTAGTTATTGGGAATGGGTATAAAAAAGCACTCATTTTAAATAAATAACAAAGTTCAATTGTAAAAGCATATGCTGTCTCTACTAAATTCCAGGATAGTCCTTTCTCAACAAACCTGTTCTGGTATCACGCTGCAGAAAAGTAGTCTGGATCTGGCAAAAGATCGACAAAGTCTCACTTGTTTTTCAATAGTTCTTATTTCAGCTGAGTTGTCCCGCGAACATGCAATATGTGGCGTCCATCGCGGCATGTCACAGCTCCAGCTATCGAATCACTTTGAGACAAATGGATTCCAGTTCAAAATTTCCCACTTTCTGCATGGTACACTAGCAAATATGGGAACTCAATTGGCAGCCGTTGCCTTAATGGATGACCGATCGCCATTGCAGCATGAGCCATGAAACAATATTTCCCAAATGGGACAGCAGTGGTTCGGATGTAACACTAAGGCTGGACGAGTGAGACCCTCATGCAAGGTCGTACAGGTATGTAGTGAGCTTCTTAAGACTTGACGAACCCCGCCCAATCACTCCCATCTTGTTCCTCTCCACATTACGCTCATCTCTGCAGGGTCAACATGAAGCTCCGATTCCTTGCCATCTCAGTTCTACTCGGCAAATGCTTTGCTGACGCGGTAGCGCCCGAAGCAGTCTACAGTGGAGGCTTTGAATTTAAGAATGAAAGTATTAAACTTCGAATTGCCAATGGAGGAGCCGGTCAGAGTGGACTGATCAAGGGTACAACGACTCCGTTGACTCATCCAGCACAGCATGCTAACTAGGACAGAGCTTGCCAATGCCTACATCAAAACACGCGTTATAGGTGGTGCAGACCCCTTCCAAGTGGCGTGGATCAAAAGCGACACCTTCTACAGCATCAAGTATCTCAAAACAGGCGATGCCGACATCGGTATCACTTACAGTATTGCTTCAGAGAATATCGCTATTAAACAAGGCATTGCCAAGGCGCCCAGCTACTATGCTTTCCGTGACCATTTCCTTCTGGTCGGGCCCAAGAGTAACCCAGCCAATCTTTCAGAATCAGATGATATTCATACCATTTTCTCCAACCTTCATGAAGCTGCCGAGGGTAACGCCACGACCCCGGCTGTTCGGTTCTTAAGCCGGTACGATAAGTCAGCTACAAATATCAAAGAGACAGAGCTCTGGGCCAGCATTGGTCAGGTATGTAGAGGAACTCAATTTCAATCAGTTGACATATCTCTAACGAGGGCAGGTTCCCTGGGCTACTGCGTACTCAACCTGGTATCACCAATACATTGCTTTCCCGATTCAAGCTCTCACCGCCGCCATTCTCCTTCAAGAATACACCATCACCGACCGTGGAACAATCCTTTCTCTTGATCAAAAGCTGCAAAATCAAACTAAGATCTACAAGGCTGGTGGTGACGAAGACCCGAAAGATCCGTTGCTCAATCCCGCACATGCACTGGTAGGCGCAAAAGCACCCAATGGCGAGGAAGCAAGCAAATTTGTGAAGTGGCTTGTCAGTGATGAGGGTCAGGATGTGATTGGTAACTTTAAGAAGGATGGCAAGGTACTGTATTCGAAAGCTCCAAAGGTCAAACAAGTGGAGGAACAGAAAGTCATGGGAGAATTGGTCTAATTGTGTGAAAGATAACGACATGTTGTCTAGGCAGCTGTTCAACGGGATTAGTTGATTAATAAGAAGGAACTCTGAGTCTGCTCACCTTATGATCTTGTCACGGCCTGCGAAAAGTATCACTATCCGCATACATAAGAATATCTCACAAAGTTCTCACAATCTGATTGGATGAAATGCACAGGATTAACGGCCCGAGATAACTTCCCCGGACCATCCAATCTTGGAATAGTGGGACCTCGCCAACTTAAAAAGTAATCGCTCGAATAGCATCATCGGACTCGATTCTAGACCCTGTTCCCCCGCATCAGCCTGTGGGGTATCCTCAAATTACCATTTCTGGGGGGTTACACGGTAGCCGAGGCAGGAAACAGTCATCATAGTCATACCATCTTGGTTGCGCAATTAATCTCAACCACACAGACAATTCTCCAACCGTTTTTGCGTCAAAGCGCTATCAATTGGACACACACCGGCGCACATACCCAGGTGAACAGAACAGACTCTAAAGGCCCTAGCTATGGACGAAACTGAGGCGCCTGGGGCCGAAAAAGGCTTACTACTGCATTACGCCTCCCCCGCATCTTCATGGCCAGAGGCTCTCCCCATTGGCAATGGACGATTGGGAGCCATGATTCACGGGCGAACAACGACTGAATTGCTGCAGCTCAACGAAGATTCTGTCTGGTACGGCGGTCCGCAGGATAGGACGCCCCGGGACGCACTTGGCAGCTTGGCCACGCTGAGGCAGCTGATCCGCGATGAGAAGCACAAAGAGGCAGACTCTCTTGTGCGCGAGGCCTTTTTCGCTACGCCCTCCAGTATGAGGCATTATGAACCGTTGGGCGAGTGCACCATGGAGTTTGGGCATCAAGAGAGCGACGTTAGCGATTACATGCGCTGCCTTGATTTGAGCACGGCGCAAAACACAACAAAGTACACTTGTAAAGGTGTCTCGTATCGCCGCGATGCAATTGCCAGTTTCCCGAGCAATGTCCTGGCCATCAGATTCCAGGCATCTGAAAGAACGCGCTTCATCATAAGATTAAGTCGGCGCAGCGAAGTCGAGTTTGAAACAAATGAGTACCTCGACAGCATGCATACACAGGACAACCGCATCATTCTCAATGCGACACCGGGTGGGAAGAACAGCAATAGTCTAGCACTTGTTCTCGGTGTCACCTGCGCTTCGGAAAATGGAACAGTTAAAGCCATCGGAAATTGCTTGATTGTCAACGCAACTGAATGTGTTATCGCCATTGGCGCACATACAACCTTCAGATCCAAGAACCCAGATGCATCTGCCCTCCATGACGTCAACTCAGCTCTTCGCGAGCCATGGGCCAAACTCATCAATCGCCATCAACATGACTACACCAGCCTCTTTGGCCGCATGTCCCTCCGCCTATGGCCAGACGCAAACCATCTCCCAACAGACCAACGAATACAAAGTTACCGAGATCCAGGGCTGGTAGCACTATACCACAATTACGGACGCTACCTCCTCATCTCGTCGAGTCGCAAGTCGCCCAAGGCCCTCCCTGCCAATTTGCAAGGTATATGGAATCCTTCCTTCGCACCACCATGGGGATCAAAGTTCACAATCAACATCAACCTCCAGATGAACTACTGGCCAGCTGCAACATGCAACCTCATTGACTGCGCCACACCACTTGTCGACCTCCTAGAGCGAATGGCTGTAAACGGAAAGAAGACAGCCAAGATGATGTATAACTGCAGGGGGTGGTGCGCTCATCACAACACAGATATCTGGGCTGATACTGATCCACAAGATCGATGGATGCCTGCCACTATCTGGCCCCTCGGTGGTATCTGGCTGTGCATAGATGTTATCAAGATGCTCATCTATCAGTATGACTACTCACTTCATTGTCGCATCGCCCCTCTGCTGGAAGGCAGTGTCCAATTTCTCCTCGACTTTCTCATTCCCTCAGCCTGCGGCAAATACCTGGTCACCAACCCATCCATATCTCCTGAAAACTCCTTTATATCCGAGTCGGGAGAAACGGGCATCTTTTGCGAGGGCTCTGTTATCGACATGACCATCACACGCATCGCTTTGGAAAGCTTCCTCTGGAGCATAAGCATGCTCAACAAAGACCACCCGCTCCGTAAGGATGTCATTACAACTCTCGACAGATTGCCGCCATTTATGGTAAACAAAGAAGGGTTCATACAAGAATGGGGTTTAAAGAACCGCAAAGAAGCCGAACCCGGGCATCGTCATATGTCTCACCTCTTTGGGCTATATCCCGACGATTTCATCAGCTTGGACTCGTCACCGGTGCTGGTTAGGGCTGCAAAGAAGGCTATTGCACGAAAGATGGAAAATGGAGGCGGCCATACTGGGTGGAGTAGAGCCTGGCTAATGGCACTTTGTGCACGCCTTGGTGATGCTCAAAGCTGTGAAGAGCACATGGATTCATTATTGAAAACCTCCACTTTGCCAAACCTGCTCGACAATCATCCTCCGTTCCAGATTGACGGCAACTTTGGTGGATGTGCTGCAATCACAGAGTGTCTGGTACAATCAACCTTGAGATCGGAGTCAGCTTCGAACCAAATTGTCATCATACAATTACTCCCCAGCTTACCTTCATCTTGGAAGAATGGCAAGTATACAAATATCAGAGCAATGGGAGGTTGGTTGGTTTCGCTAGAGTGGAAGGAAGGTCAGATCATAAAACCACTTCTTGTCGAGGCGACTGTAGCCCAAGCTCCAGATGCTCTTGTGGTCTTTCCTACCGGTGAGAGAGTTCCTGTGTTCAATAAGAGGACAGGGCAACAGAAGGTTTGGTATGGGTGAATTTCAAGGTTGGGCTGATTGATGATCTGCTAAGCTTTTCAGCTTTTGGAGTCTTCCGTTGTAATTTCTGTAATGAGAAAGTAATCCACCAAATAGTAATGGGTGATTCAAGGGGAAGGAGATTACTCTAGTACTTATGGTCACCGAATACGTATTTGTAATGACCGCTCTGGCACGATTTGTGAAGTATTGCCCATAAGTCCTTTCCTTCTGTTCCGGGGTGACATAACATTCCCTGCTCAGCAATAATCGGCCACATGATAAGACGCGCAATTGAACAATGATACAGTTCGACAATCGCTAGCAACACATGAGCCATTCGGTTAAAGATTACCAAGGAAAACCGAACACACAGCTCGGTTATGTCTAGTTGCTGGGTGGTGTTTCCCTCGAGCCGATGGTCCACGGGTATGGGGCAACTCCGGAGACAAGTAATACACGGAGTAAGTTCCCCGCAAACCCGGGCACCTGTTTTAGAAAGTTCGACTACAGGGTAACGAATCCGTCTATTTTACTACTACCTTGACAAGATAAGGAATATTTATAAGACAGCACTCTACGCCATACTCATTTCGCCTATAAATCTCATAGAATCAAGCGCCGGGATACGTAATAGTGTACGAAAACGGCAGAACAAGTCAATAAAAACTCAAAGGATGTGCAACCAGTGCCAGTACCGGCTAAGCAGATGAACGTCGAGGAAGGCTCCTCAAACGAATCAAACTCCAATACCTATAACGCGGCGCTCAAGCTTGCAGCTGCTCACGATGGAAAGGAGGTGGACTCGGGTGTTGAGAAGAGACTGATCAAGAAGATCGATTGGTACTTGATGCCATTGGTATGTTAGCACTCACACAATCAAACCTCGCAGGAAAACCCACTAATCACTTCCCCACTCCAGATGTGCCTCACATACGCCTTGCAATACGACGACAAAGTCATGATCGGCCACAGTGCGATCTTCGGACTGAGAGAGGATCTAGATATTGTGCAAGGCCTGCGGTACTCCAACTGCACCATGATCTTCTGCTGTGGTTTCATCATTGGGTGCTTTCCCGTAAGTGTCCCAAAGTACAGAAACTTCCAAGAATGATGGTGTCGATAAGAGGTCTGTAGATGGCTATCCTGGGCCTTAAGCATCCTACTGTCAAGGTATGCACCGTCATTTGCTTCCTCTGGGGAGCAGTTGTGCTCTCCACCCCAGCATATACCTCATAAGCAGGCTTTTGGCCAACCGGTTCTTCCTTGGTCTTATAGGATCCGTGGTTTCCTGCATACATGCTCGTTACATCCAAGTGGTACACAAATGAGGAACAGGTCCTCAGAATGGGCTTCTGATATTCCAGCAGCGGCGCAGTGAACCTCGTCTCGCTACTCATTAATTATTGCTTAGGTTGTATTATTGAAAGCATTGCCGGATGGTGAATCCTGTAAAATTTCGCTGGTTCCATCACTCTTCTCTGGTCTTTCGTCATTTATGCCCTATTACCAGATTTGCCTGCAACTGCAAGACGTCTGACAGTAATATGATATTATACAAATGTTTCTGAGCGAAATTCATTAATTACTAAATAATATAAGGGATACTATTAGGACCGAACACTTCTACTTGACGGTCCCCTAGACTGATAAATGAACGATACCGGTCCTAAAGGGACCGATCTTAATATGTCATCGGCTTTTTTAACGAGCTTTAGTATGAAGATCATATTTATTATAATTTTATAGACTCTAGCTTTCTCACTATTAATAAAACTTCTTTATAAATATAATAGTCATCAGTTAAGAACTGCACTATTCTGTATCACTCACGTTTGAGCAATTACTCTATATTTAAATACACTTTACTCTGATATATCTTAAACTACAAAGAGGATGAACCTCCTATTACTAGATCAGTTGAAATATGATAAAACGAGACTAATTAATCTATGCATAAAACCACTCAGTGAAATAGGTACTGTAAATACATGAAAAGGGAAAATAGACATGTTAGCTTAGCTTCTTTTTGTATTTTACTCTTGTGTCCACTCTTTTACCCGTTAAGCCCTTGCAACGCTTATCCATATGCCTTTTCAAGTTGCACGGGCGAGAAAACGTCCTTCCACAGGCGTTGCATGCAGGATGAGTCATGTCAATTCCCAACCTGCAAGCTTCCGCCGGATGGTGGACCTTTATATGCTCTTCCAACTCTCGTTTGTATGGATGTCCCTTAGAGCACAAGTGGCACACTTCGGGCCTCAAAATGTGGCGAAGATTGCGACTGAAGTAAAAACAGGTTAGCCTTTGTTGTTACGTTGGCTTCTAGATATACCTCAGAGTTCGAAGCGGTGACTTCTTCTCCCTAATAGCTTTTCCCTTTTGCGCCAGTGATGATTCGTGTGTAGAGATTGATGGAGATGATGTTAAAAGTGTCGCTGAAGATAAAGGTGAATATTGATGGTCAGAACTGGAAGCATATATATTGTTCCGCATGTAATTCAGCTCTGGCGAGTGCCATAGGGCGGGGGATCGTGTGATGCAAGGGGACATGATAGTACTCTCGAAGCCAGGTGATAGCGATGAGCCACTTGAAAATGGTACATGATCCATCCTTTTTTGTGATGAACCAAGCACATCAGATACAAATAGCTCATCAAGGGTAGTCAGACAGTCTGTGTTTGGGAAAGAACTGTTATCTGTTCCGCTCGTGACGTCGGCTAGAAACTCAGGGTATGCTCTATCAGGTAGGTACTCATCGCATGATATAGCGAGGCCCAACAGTGGATCTCCCATAGTTAATGCCGTTTCGTCTGCTGGTTGGTATGAGTCAAAGAGGGAGAGGTCCATCTCAGAAGGTATAGACCCAAAAGGATCGTTCAGGTCCATAATAGCGACATATCCTCGTCGAGTATGCTGTGCTGCCACTCAGCGTCCATTGTGAGTATAGACTTGCTTACCCTTGATCCGAGGGCTGATTGAAATTCGTACTTATAGTAGACTGCCTTCTGCGGCGGAGGTAGAGGTTGTTGGTGAGTTCGATGGTTGCGTTGCGTAGAATTGTGGAAGCTGTTGGGGCTGCGAAATAATTTCAAGTAATCCTCGACAGTCGTATTGGTAACTGGACGAGTGATTGGACACCTTTTAATGACATAATCCGGGTCCTCAATCTATTGAATCCAAAGCTTGAGTCAGTGAGGAAGTTGTCCATCAAACCGCGCTCTGTCTGCGTCACGACACGTACCTGCTGAGTCGATATTTCATTACATTGAAATATAATCCTCTTTCCCCACTCTCCAACGAAGACCGACGCGACGTATTGCCAAATACCTCTCGAATTAAATATCGGATCACAAAGAGAAGGTGTATGAAGGCATCGGAAGAGCCAGTGAGGTTCCGTAGCAAATTGCTACCCTCTCGGACTTTCGATGACATGATGCACAGCCTGTTTGTGATTCTACACTGAAAACTTGAGATATCCGCGATGCTCACAATCTAGTAGTCCTTTATGTAGGGTTCTACATAGCACGGTCACATTAGTGATTAAGTCGTTTGTAGGAACGACAAACAAAAACTTACCGGTGTTTTGGTGAAAAAAGGCTGGTGGATAGCATGATAGATTTCCAATCTTAAAGGCATGGAATATTGTTTGTGCCTGGAAGTAGTGTTAAAATGATTGACAGTTGACTATACTTCCAGGCACGAAGGTTAAAGCTGCACAGAGATAACTTCCAATTGAAGCATGCTGAATAAAATGAATGAAGACGAAAAATGATAGAAAAGAAGTGAAGGGACGAAAAACAAGGCGGTTCTGCGGGGTTTTATCAGCCAAGCTTCCTACACGGTGTTTCAAGCAAATACCTTCACCTAAATGACGTACCCTGGTATGCACCTCTCATTGGCAGAAAGGGGAAGCCTACACATGCGATTGTAGGCCTCAATCAGGCTATCAGGCACCAATGCAGAAACGGGAGCAGAGGAGGCCTCATTCCACAGCCTGATTACAAGATACGCAGGTTTTGATTGTTGCCAACATCTCAGTTTTGATCATCTTGGTCCATCAGTTTTGGACAGACGCTATTGCACTCGAGAAACCTCTAGTCTATCTATTTCTATCCTGTTAAGCTCTTTAGATGGCGACCATCGACCCAGCAGGAGACAACACGTCTCAGTATCATCATTTCGTTCCTCAATTTCTATTGAGAAACTTTGCTCACAACTTCGAGCCAAAAGATTGTACCGAGTCTGAAGCATCAGGAGAAAGCAGAGAGAAGAAGAAGAAGAAACAGAAGAATCGCCATGGTCTCGACAGTGGAAAATTGAAAAGATACCCTGGCGACAAGGTTGTCAATAACGTTAACCTACTTCAAACACCTTATGTCATTGACGAGAGTCCGGTCAAGCGAATTCTCGGATTGACAGACATGTACAGGGACAAGAATGGCGCCACTAAAAGGAGCAACATGAGGTGGAAGAAATGTTCAGCAAGATGGAGAGCCAAGCTCAGAGAGTCTTCCGAAAAATCACTAAGGCCTTGGAAGACGGCGATGAAATCGTATGTCTCCCAAGATAAGAAAGAGATCTCATCCGCAAATTTCTCTTTATTCTGAAATTTCGTGGGTCCACGTTCTATAAAAGATTCTACTACGAAGTAGTTAAGAACTACTGGGCTAACGATAAAGTCATGTTCAGACAGTACATGCAAGATCATGGCTTTATACGTCCTATTCAGGTATGGCTTGAGAGTCTTAAAACAATTATAATACTAGAGATAAATCCGGAAAGAGAGTGAATAGACAAGATCAAACAATAGATATACCTATATAATGCTAATTAGCTTAACTAATATACTTATTAGCTAATATAGTATCTTACTTTAATAAGGTATATAATTTTATATAGAGGCCTATAAAAAGGTAGCTAAATAAGATAATTATATTAAATAGGTAAAAGGCCTAAAGTATTTAATTTTAATTTATATTAATATAATATATTTTTATTTATATAAAGCCTGGTAGTACCTTTAAAAAAGAGATCTAGCTATTCTAATTAAATTTATAAAAATATTAATAATAAAGGTCTCTATATAGGCTAAAACGTAATAGTATTTTAAATTTAATAAGGTTACTTATTATATTAACTATAACTCTATTTCTTAATAGTATAAAAACCCTTACTAGGGCTACTTTTCCCTCTTTATATTCTACTTTAATTAACCTACCTAAGATTATAAGAAGATTATAATTACTAAGTAACCTACTAAGCCAGAAGTAAACCTACTAGTTATAAGTAAATTAACTAAGCTAACCTTAAATACAGTTAAGATATTAATTATAATTACTATAACTACCTGCTAAAGCCTATAGATAGGGCTAGATATTTATAATAAACTATAGCCTAGTAATATAACTATACTTAAAATATTAAATAAATATATTACCTCTGAGGGTATTAAGGACCTATAAAAAAAGGCTAGTAAGTTATCGATTATTAAGTAAGATATTAAGACCGACTAAGAGCTACTAGCCCTTATTATCTTTTGCTATAAGGTTTTAAAAAGTCTAGGCCTTTATTATAGCAGGTGTCGCCGGCTTAATATGGTAATATGTTATTATCCTAGTAGTATATTAATATAATATTATATATTATACTAATATATTTAAAGAATAATATAGTATATTACTTTAATAAGGTATATAATTTAATACATAGGCCTATATAGATATTATTAAATAAGATAGCTAGGGTAAATAAGTAAAAAGCTTAAAATATTTAGTTTTAATTTATATTAATATAATATACTATTACTTTACTAGGATATTAAGATAATATATAATATTATACTAGTAAACTATTATAGTAATATAGTATTTTATTTATAAATAGTAAATAATATAATATAAAGGTCTATTATAAAGTAATTATATAAAGTAAATAAAAAAGTAATTAACAGAACTTATTTAAATCTAACTTAATATAATATATTAATATTTTAGTAGAATGTTAATAATATAGTATATATTAAGTTAATATATTCCTAGATTAATATAATAATTTATAAAAACTTAATAAGTATTATAATATAAAGCCTTATAAATATATACTTAAATAATTCTAAATTAAATAAATAAAGTTAAAAAATAATATTTATTTTTATATTTTTTAAAAGATAAATTATAACTTTTAAATAATATATTTTAAATATTACTTACTATTTATTTGATTTAAAAAGGAAAATACTTTCTTTTTATACTTTATAATATTATATATTTATATATTATTTAATTATAAGCTTAATTTATTTAATTACTAAAGTATTAATATTATTATTTTAAATACATAAATATAATATATTATTATTCTAGTAATATATTAATATAGTACTAAATATTATTTAAATATATTCCTTATAAATTATAATATCTTATTTATATATAGTATATATTACTATATAAATAGTTTTAAGTATCAAATAAAATTAGTAAGATAATATAAATAATAAGTTATTATTAATATATAAAATAATTCTATAATACCTTATTATCTTTATATTATATTAAAGAAATACCTAGTGTTTTATTCATATAATATAAGTAAAATAAAATATTTTACTTCCCTACTTAATAATGTTATTAATAATACTATATATTATACTATAAAAATAGGTATAGTAAGATGTTAATAAGGGTTATTTAATTTAGATTAATTCCTTAGCTTAAAGCTACCTTTAACTTTAGGCTGCCTTAACTTTAATTTTAACTTTAAATATATATTCCTTTAATATATTAACCTTTTACCTTTTTACCCTAGCCCCTTAGCGCCTTATATATAACCTTTATTAGATCTAGCTTTACTTCTTATTCTTAAAGATCTTAATTATATTATTAACTTACTCTTTTAAGCTATTATACTATTTATATATTTTAACTTAAATACCTTAATAAAAGAGTTATCGGTCTTTAAGACTAGCCTTTCTATAAGCCTATTTTCTAGGCTTTTTAGGCTTTTAAACTATATTTCTATATATTATATATTTAGCTTTTTCCTTTATATAGAAAAGAGTATTAAAAGCTTATATATTACAACCTAACCGGATAAAGCGCTTACGTTACATATACCCCAATTTTACTTAACTAACTACACGTCAACTTACACTTTTAGTACAAGGTAATCGTAAGCCCGCTTATACGGCTTACGCTTTTAACTTATAACTTACCGTAAGCTCGACTCATAATACCATAAGCTACCTAAGTATATATATACATTCATTTAGTATTAGATAGAACTTAGCTTACTAGCTATTAATATAACTTCTTTACCTAAATACGCCTAACCCGCCTTATTTAATATTAAAAGACATAACACTTTATAACCGCTTAGTATAACCTCCTATAATATCTATTAATATAAACCTAATACAGACTAGTTTATCCCTTAGGAAATCCAACCATTATATTATAGCTAAAGGTAATTAACAGTTTAGTAACTAAGTAAAGATTATCCTATTTACTATAAGGAGGTACGTTTTACTTAACTCTTTTATACTTTATTTTATAATAGTTTTTTAATCTTTTATTAATCTTTTTATATTTTTAGCTAAGGCCTATATTATAGTAGGCTTTTATTATTTTAATAGTAATACTTATTATAATAGCTATAAAAGAGATTAGTAATATAGACTAAAGGGGAACTAGGGGTTAATTAACTAACTGTATATAACTTAGCTTAAGCTTTACTTTTTAATTTTAACCTTTACTAGGTAGTTATAAGGGTTAATTAACTAGCTTATAGTATTGATTAGGTTAAGAGCTATAGGGAGGAAGCTAGCTTTTATATATATAGCTATATAAATTATATATATATTTATTTAATTAGAGTTTAGTTACTATATATAATATTTAATATCCTAATTATATTAAGTTTTTAACCTTAAAAGAGGTTATTTTTATTATTAATATTATTAAGAGATTTAAAAAGCCTAGGCTTAATAAAGTTAAAGGTTAAAGTAAAAAAGAAGAAAATGTTTTACTTATATATAATATAAAATATTATATAAATACTTATAAATATTAAATTAAATTATTAAAAAGATATAAATAATAAATTATCATTAATATATAAAATAATTCTATAATACCCTATTATATTTATAATATATTAAGGAAATACCTAGTATTTTACTAATATATAATAAGTAAAATATAGTATTTTACTTATATATAATATAGAGTACTATATAAATATTGATAAATATTAAATTAAATTAGTAAATTATTATATAGAGTAAATTGTTATAAATATATAAAATAACTCTATATTACTTTATTATTTATATAATATATCAAAGAAATATTTAATATATTCTTAATATATAGTAAATAAAAGGTATTCTAGATTATTACTATTACTATTAAAATCTTCAAAGTATATTATATACTTTAGGTTATTAAGGTTAGCGGTAATACTTTAATATTTCTTTATTATGCCTTTTAGGCTATAAAAGAAAATATAGGCTAGGAAGGTCTTATCCTTATTAAATAGCTTTAAAATAATTTACTAGATATTAAGTCCCTAGCCTTCTAACTTGGCGTAAATAGTTATTTTATCCTTTAGGAGTTTATTAAGAAATAGGGTATCTTTAAGGCTTTATATAGTATAGTAAAGATAATATAGTAGTCCTTTAGACTCTTACTTATATATAGATAGGAGAAATATAATTATTTAGCTAAGTATACTTAAATCAGTAATTTAAATTTCAGCTAGTATTAGATATAGCAATTTTAAATACCACGAAAAAAGCCTCTTTACGAAAAGTATAGTAATGCCGCCCGTTCTTAACAATTCGTTAATAATTAAGATAGCTGGTAAACTAAACTATTATATACTTACTACGTATCTAATAGAATAAAGTATGTATATTTTAGGTTGAAATCGAACCTGTCGAGATACTATAGGCACTCACCTATAGTTCAAGATACTTGAGTTAATTAACGAGATTTGGCTTACTAAATCTTCTCTTACAGACAATACTAAATAAAGCCAGACCTAGTTACGAGTAGAGCCTAGCAACTTACGAGAGGTTGTATGTAGAGTTAATATCTTGGGTTTTTTCTCCCAAAACTACCTGATGACATATTAAACGAACTTTCATTGTAACAACTATCTCTTTGAGCAGAGGTCTTCCTCGCTTTGACCTCCCTTCTCGACCAGCCCCAGCTGTATCTTGCATGGCGCGCATCCACAACCATGCCAGTTGTATTAGTCGCAGCCGCGGTAGCAGGTGAGTCTTCTCCACAACATATAGTCATGACTTTCTGACAATTGATAGCTGTCGCACTTAAGACTACTTGAGAAGCAAGAGAGTCTCATACTTCTATTCCGGCCACGTTATTTAGCCGCGCTCTATCCCAAGGCCTGGTAACCTTGAGGATAGGGTAATATTAATAAATAAAGTATTGACTCGGGCGCAATACGGAACGGGTAACGTACTGTAGCCCTTTCGTCAGGCAAAAAAAAGAAACACCACTGAAATTCGTTAGCTTCACACTTACACAAAAATCGACCAGAATGAATAGCTACCTAAAAACATACTATTCTGCTGATTGTAGAATTGAGTGGAGACAATAATTTTTACCTATTGAGAAAATGCTGGGTAAACGATATATAAAAGCCATACTGTTGAAACGTCGTGGAATTTACTACTAAGCTGCTCGCCGCTCTTTCCCGTGACATTTTTGATCTTTGCCCTCAACAACAGCATAAAAATGCCCCAGTCACGACTTAGATAGGAGTATACAGAAGCCAACATATCTGAGGCCATATTGGATATTGCCGACTAAGGTCTTTCGCCCTCTTAGGCGGCGACCGAGTCATCAGGAAGTGTCAATGCTGCCCATATCGAATAGAGTATGGCGATAAAAAGTCGAGGTATGAAGTTCAGGCTTCGAAATTCTGTAGAATAAATGAACCTTAGCCCGACTCGGTTGCTCTACCTATGGGTTACATGTTGTTGAGTAAGATCGGCTTCGGAGCTTACACGCCGAGAAATGCCTAGACCTCCGAGAACCGTACCGATTGGCGGGTACCACCTTTTGAGGTGAGTGACGTTACTGTATATTACTCTTCGTACCTAACTGCTATTATGAACCCCAGGATAATCGGTCGACCGTAACTCGGCGACACCTTATATAATGCCTCCACTTTCTGGATTTAGCGATAATGACTTCGAAACACGCGACGATATTATTCACGTAACTGAAGCCCTTCTTCGGCCGCTTATCCCGTATATGTCCCTAAACAAAGGCCGTATCAAACTTCCCCACGCCACGGGCACTCATTTTAATAAGACTGCAGCACAACTTAAAGGCTTCGCTCGCCCTTTATGGGCTGTAGGTGCGTTGCTTATGGGAAGATCTAGTAATCTTGAGCTCCTTTAACCTTGGTTGGATGGCTTGGCTTCAGGCACTGACCCTAAAGTCGCTGACTACTGGGGTCCTATTAAGTCCTTTGATCAGCATATGGTAAAGGCTGAGATGGTATCTTTTACTCTCTTGGCCGCCCCACGAGAGCTTTTCTAGGAAAGACTCGATAGAAAAACGCAACAGAATCTTATCACTTGGCTTCTTAGAATACACGATAAAGACATACCTCAAGCTAACTGGCTCTAGTTTCATGTCTTTACAAACCTTACTTTAATCAAAGTATGCAATATCGATACACCTGCCATACAAAAACATCTAAAGGACGATCTTAAGTGTCTTAATAAATTCTACATCACCGACGGTTGGTCAAGCGACGGCTTCTGGCGCCAACCGGAAGCCGATGAACAGGAATTTAAAGCTTTCTAGAGGACAGGGAGAGTAAATACAGTACCAGGCAGTAGAAATGCTTGTTTCTACTCTGGAAGCTTTGCAATCCAGTTCAGTTAGCTTTTATATATAAAATTTGCAAGGGATTTTGATCCTCAACGAACTGAAATATACAAGCAGCAGGCAAGGGAATTCGGTAGAGGCTTCAGTCGCTTTTTCGACAGTGAAGGTAGATTTATATTCCGTCCCCTGATCTTGAATAAACAATTGACATTACTCTTGAGGTGCTGTTATTCTATTTGGTTGCTCGTTGATTTATCGCTTTGCTTGCGGTGGCTTCTTTGCCGCCCTGGCTGTTGCTGAAGTTTCTGATATGCTTGAGCCACTATTTACGCCTGGTGCAGTCAAGGGGTTTATAATTCGCCATTTAAGATGGTGGGCAAGAAACTCAAATGATATCTTTCACACTGACGGAACTCTGAATCTCGGGTGGATGTACCCGTAAGTGCTCGATGCTTGGTCCTAGTTCATGAGCTGACATATCATCAAGACAAATGTATCTTACAGAGTCTTATAACTCTCCCCAGTCTGTTTACTGGGCTCTCAAGTCTCTCATATGTGTTGGACTTGCACAGAATAGTGCCTTCTGGACAAAACCAGAAGCTCCATATCCAGAGGCACTTCGTGAAGGTGCTCTTCACGTACTTCCAGCGCCCCGTCAAATTCTCTGCAACCACCCCGATGTCAACCATCATTTCATGCTCTCCTTTGCCCAATTTATTACTTTGCCGTTCAAGGCTGTTGTTCCAAAGTATAGCAAGTTTGCTTATTCATCCTCATTTGGATTTTCAGTTTCTGTGGGGGGTCATGGACTTGCTCAAGTGGTGCCGGATAATACACTTGCTTTGAGTCGTGACGGTATGGAAACTTGGGCTGTTAAGTACAAATGTGCTAAGCCAGAGTTTAAGACTGCGATGGTTCATGGTACTGCTACTCAACAAGTCCCTGCAGCAACGGTGCAGTGGTACCCTTGGTTTGACCGCGCAGTATCTGTCTCAACTACAATCATCCCGCCCACAAATCGGTGGCCAGATTGGCACATCAGAGTCCACCATATCACGAGCAATCGTGGATTTGGCAAGGTATTCACGGCAGAAGGTGGATTTGCTATTAAAGGCCGCCAAAAAGAAGATACGCTGGACTTACATCATTGTACTTCTACCACTCCTGATCTCGACCAGGATGTCGGGATTTTGGAAGGAGTCTTCGAAACTGAGGATTCAATTCTAATACTAAGCGAACAAGGAGCGTCTGGTATCGTTACTAGCACCTTGACTTCCGCTCACAGACAGACGACTGTCAGCCTGCTAAAACCTGAACCAAGCACCAATCTGATGGAACAACGTACTCTAATCCCGATTGCTGAGCATGTAATCAACAAAATTAATACCGGCATAGATATTGTATTGGTCTCTAAGGTGTTTGCCATCTCCCGGCATGCCAATGGCGGATGGCAATGGAGGGGTAAAAGTCTTCAGGAGAAGTGGCTAGGCAAGCCTGAGATTCATGTGGGGGACGCAGTAACCGGTCAAGATTATATCAAAGTGTCTTTTTGATTCACTATGCCCCTGGAAACCTTGCTCAGTAATCTGACTACTACTGACCTCCTAATCGTTTCAGACTAAACGTCAATCTAGTCACACTATGCATTTGGCTTAAAATACTGTGCTATTTCCCCAGGAGGCATCATATCCTCAAAGCTGATGATTCTGTCCATTTCCAGAAAGTCATTTCTCATGAGCATCTGTGATATTGTCGATAATTCGTCTCTGGAATTTGTTGGGGATGATTGCGCATCCATTTGCCATCGAGTACTGCCCAGCTCCACTGAATCCTGCGCCGGTAACGTCAGATCATTCGTTTGCGGGAGTATGCCCATTTCAGGAGGGAATTGAAGGTACTGGTGCGTAGTTAAGGCGCCAGATGTAGTGCTGAAGTCAGATACTTGAACATCCAAGCTGGTAGTAGTATTCGGCTCCCCTTGAATCTCGGTTTGGTAGTCTCTGTGAAGATTCTCGAGACGCTCGGAGAGCTGATCAAAAAAGCATGGGTCTCGACTATCCTGGGACCTTCCACTATTGTCAGTCCATCGATGAGACATTGCTTTGAGGGTTTTCACGAGTGTTCCGAACTCCTCGGCCAAGGCTGTTTTATAGTAGCGACAGTGAGCTGTAGTGCAAAAGTCAGAACCGCCGGTTTGGTTGATAGATAATGCGAGAGGATGCCTACCTAATAGAACACGTCCGCTGACGAAAGCGCCCATTGCAAGCTGAGGCGAAACAGAGCCAGCTGATGACGAGCCTTCGAGATATTTGGTCGTGATATTGGCCGTCTCCATAGCAGCATTATAGCATGTATCAGCGCTACAAAGGCTAGGAAGTCGAATACCATTTAGTTCAGCATCTGGATACGCGATACGTTGATGAAGCAGAATAAGAGATGTGTTATGAATTGTATTAGCCACAGTCATGTTGGGATCCATGAGACCTGGCATCATTTCGCGGGAGATGCCCGAATCTTTCCACTCTTGGGTGAGATACATTTTCCAGCTGTTCTTGTCAGAGATTTTGTTTCAACTAGGGCGGCAAAATTCTCACTGTACTAGTCGGAGATCAAGCTCTTTGAACCTTGTCAGCCATAGTGAAACCTCTTGTCGATTTGTAAAATCAATTTTGGTCTATAGAAAATAAGTCGTGATTTGGCTCAGAGACTTAATTGATTTAATGTAGTAAGCAAAGGCGCCCACCTTGGACATATCCACGGTGCTGTTAGAATTGTTCTGTCCAGTATGAGAAGTTGACTTTGGCGCCTCAGGATTTGTGCCCTCGCCGCCAGCTGACTGAGAAGGACTCGGATAGTGGCCCGGCAAAAAGGTGATCGAGTTACCCATCTTGGCCCGTGAACGATCCCAGATGCCAAAGTAAGGAGTGGTAGCAGGCTCATCATGAAACCAGTTGCCTCCGCATATGGGAAGTCTTCGGCAGACATCTGCTGCAGTAAGACTTGTGTTCCACCTGTTTACTGTTAGAGAACAGCCGCAGGGATGTGGTATTAGCTCCTACCCTTTGACCATGGATGAAAATCTAATCAGATCAGCAAAGTTCATGGCTGAGTATCGTGATATCTTACCTATCAAGAACGAATATATTCCAAAACACTCTTCTTCGTTCCTCTTCTTCTGTCCATTCCCGTGGCGGTGAAAGGGAAGACTCATCTGGCAATACTGCTGGTCTGTGGTGGCGATCTTCGGCTTCCACAGACAGCTCCATGTATTCGACTGTTCTAGTGAGAGATGCTATTATCGGCCAGGCTTTTTCCAAGTTTCCGTCGCCAATCTGTCAATCTATCAGCAAAGCTTTAAGCGCGATGTCAGAACAGCTCGTAAATTACATCAGTAAATGCAATAATTATCAGTGCTTGTAAGTTCTCAACTGAGAGACCATCCATAGCATCCAACCTGACACAACGTCTGAGTCTGCATGTCTCGCTCTTGACAAAGCTTGGGTCGAGTGGCTCTCCGTTTCGCTGAACATGCCTCAAAGCCGCGACAGCCATAGCCTGGAGTACTATTGTCATGCGCTTTCCAGTATCTTGTTGAACACGCTCCTTGAATCCCCTCATATTAATCATGGAAATCCATGGCTGAATATGGTCAAAGTATTCCTCGAGGAGCTCGTCAAGAAACACTACCCGGGAGCTTGTCTCTTTGGATGGCGTCTGGAACTTTGCTTTGGCTCAATCTGTTAATATCGACACCGAGAAAGCCTGGGAACGGACTATTCCTCCAACTTTACAAGTTCCAGTACCTGCCAGTTACAACGACATTTTTGTTGACTCGAATATCCGCAATCATGTCGGTTGGGCCTATAATCAAAGACGCTTCAATGTTCCCCCGAGTTGGACTCAGCATCGTTACTTTTGGCGTTTCGATGCTGCAACTCACAAAGGACGTGTCTACATCAACGATCAATTTGTTACTGAGCATATCGGAGGATATACTCCTTTCGACGTCGACTTGACAGGAATTGTTAAGCCCGGACAGCAGGTCCGTTTGACTGTCGCTGTCAACAATGAGCTCGACTGGCACAAATTCCACCAGGAAGAGTTGAAACGCTCAGTAATGGAAAGCGAAAGCAACACTACCAACACGACCTCTTCAACTCAGCTCGTCCATGGCAACCAGGCGCTGCATACCTTTACCAGCTCCATGAAGAGATTATTTTCCGCGATGAGACAGTGCTGGACACATACGAATTGGCCGTTGGCATACGTTCAATTGAGGTTTCTGGAAACCAATTTCTTATCAACGGAAAACCATTCTATTTTACTGGCTTTGGCAAACATGAAGATACACTTATCCGTGGCAAAGGTCATGACCTCGCCTATATGATCCATGACTTTCAAGGTCAAGAGACTACAAAAAGAACCTGTGTTTTGGATGGAAAACGCCGACGAGAGCCCACTGTTGCTTTATGTGCACCAGCTCAGACTTGCCTCGATGGATCGACTTTAGAGAATATAATAAATGTTTTGACGCATGATATGCGATTTTATCATAATTTAGTTCTCAGTGGAAAAGATGATCATGGTGTGTCGCGTCGTATTGTCTCAGCATAGGGTAAGGGGTCAGTCAGGACTAGAGCCTTTGCCTGGATGAAGGTATCAGGATGACAAGCTTAACAATTCAAGTGTCGTCACATACCAAACCTAGCGGGCTTGGTCAGATTAAATTATAGGTAGATGGGGATCATGTGCTGGTGTCAAGGTCTTTACGGCATTTTTTATGCTTGCAAACTGGTCGTTTTGACGTTGATGGTGATGGGTTGAAAGACCAGTATTGATCCGATTGGTGGATGTGATCTCCGAATGTGTAATCTTGCACAGTCCAACAAAGGGGCTGTACCCTGGCCGAGTGGGCTATTTGTGGCGAGGTAATGGCTATGTAAATGTGACAAGTGATCAAACAAATAGGCCTGAGTACCAAACCCTTTTGTAGAAGATACATTATCAATAATACACTTTAACCGATAGGCAAGGCACCCAATGAGGCATATTAGTAACTCGGCCTGCTGACAAATACATATTGCATTTTACTAGTTAAATAGGAGGAGTTGCAACATAGTACACATATCGCAATTCACTATTTCTACAACCTTTAAATCTTAAACTGCGAAAGACCTTGGTACGCAATCACAAGTGCAGAGACTAAACATTATACCAATTCTCGCCTATACCGTCAATCATGTATAACTATGAGACCCTCCAAAACGATGACGATATTCGACTCATTGAGCTCCCTCCTGCTGCCCTCGCTTTGTCTGGTAGCAAGCTGAATATCTCATTACTGACCTTTGCGCATCGAGACACTCCCAATTATGAAGCTTTGTCGTATGTTTGGGGTGATCCAAGTAATCCTGTGACTATTAATGTCAATGGGCAAGACATGCTGATTGGTCGAAATTTGCATGATGCACTGACCCACATTCGACATGAACATCAGTCTCGGAAACTCTGGATAGACGCCATCTGCATCAATCAGAGTGACAACAACGAGAAGTCAAAGCAGGTTTCGAGAATGAGGGATATCTACTCTAATTCTACATCGACAGTCATGTGGATTGGAATGCAAGACGGTCTACAAGCCCCAGTATTGGAGCATATCCGAGATATACACGACTCAGATATATGGATGCCCAAATCGGGACCGACTATGCCTGCTCTTTCGGGCCAATTGATCCCAATTCCTGGCCCGCTTCAGATGATGTTTGGCAATGACATGCTTACAAGTTTGGGGACACTTTGGGATCAAACATACTTTTCTCGGAGCTGGATAACACAGGAAATCGCTGTTTCGGCGCACTTGGTCCTTGTATGCGGTACTTTTCAGTTTGATTTCGATCGACTTATGGAAGTTTCTGAAGCCATCTGTGATCACTCCACGATCAAGTTACGGAATCACGATTTGGCAGACAGCTTTATATCAATAAGGCGAAACGTCCGACAACACATCGATGAGATGGAGGAAACTTCAGGATCGGATGAAGGAAAGAACAACAACACTAGCGTCGATTGCCGATATTCTTCGACCCTTCCTTACCTTCTCCAACTCTTAAGTGTCCGCAGGGATCAGAATGCAACAGACGCACGCGATAAGGTCTACGCTTTCCTAGGCATAGCTCGGGATTCAAAAACCTTGGATATCCAGCCTCATTATTCAATGTCGGCCAATGAACTCTACACAGCCGTCGCGGCCAAACTGATCGACCGATATGGCCCAAGCGTCCTCTCCACCTGCCAGCCAAATTATTCGACCCTAGGACTACCCTCTTGGGTGCCAGATTGGAGTCAACCTTGGCGAGATGGTATAGAGAGAAGAGACATATTCGAGTGCGGAACATCTCTCCAGAAAGAGGTGCGAATGGATACACAAGACGGTACCATTGCTATCTCTGGAATAGTCCTCGATGTTGTACGGGGCACCGATGGTACGCCTTTCGATACCTGGGGTCCCGAGCCATGGAAGTTACTTGACATGCCAGATACTTTGGAGGAACAGATGACAAAGTTAGGATATAATGGAATTTATAAGCATACTGGAGAAGGCTACTCCTCTGTACTTCTGCAGGTACTAACTGCAGGTCGAGCACATGAAGTAATCGCAGCTTCCTATTCCGCAATCCAATGGAGTTCAGTGGGACTGGATTTCCAAATTAACCCATTCGACCCAGAGAAGAAGAGATGGGATGCTTTTTATGACAATCTCGCATGGAAGAAAGATCAGGAAAGGGTTATATTGGCCTTGGTCCAAAGTCAATGGAAAAAGGGGATACTGTTTGCATATTTGGACAGGGCAGAGTTCCACACATCCTTCGCCAAATTAGCGGATCCAGATACCAACTCGTCGGGGAGTGTTATATTCATGGTATTATGTACGGAGAGGCCATTAACGAGGATTCTATGTCTCACATTCAGACCATACATCTTAAATAGTGTATAGTAAGTAGTTAAGTTGGTATTAATCTATCTTGTTTTATCTACATAGAAGAGATATCGATCTTTTGAGTGTTATAATAGGCTAGTAAATATAGCCTCTCTAACTTGCCTGTAGGTTAGGTCGTTGAGTCAGTTTGTGTTGTGGCGCCTTAGGCTCCTTCTTTTGACAGTTGTCATTGTGTTGGGCGACATCTGCAAGGTTAGTTGGCAGAATGGAGTGAAGGCGGTTGATTAACTGACTGTAATGTCGGCTGCTTGAATCGGGGTTCAAGTAGACTTATTCAGGTTTCTGGGTAGCTTTCATCATATTAAATTATTAGGTATTAGCCTGCCTTATAGAGATTTTATTTACTGTCGATACTGTTAGATACTTAGAAGACTTAACATGAAACTAATAAAAAAACACAAAAAGAATAACTTATAGCAAGACCTTAAGAAGAAAGATGTCTTCTTTCTATAAGGAATTAAAAGCTTATAACCTCCCTTAAAAAGGTTTCTACTAAGTATTAAGTCGCTAGATTAATGTATAACTATATTAGCTAAACTTAGTTTGATTTGTGTTGTTAACTATAGCACAATACCAATACGGTAACGTGCCTAGGAGTACAAGCATCCTCATTGCTTGCTATATATATGGTAATTAAAGATATGACATTCGGAAGTATATACAGGTAGATACTACTATGCCTAATACCTTCGAATCTCCGCATTCGATCATACCAGCGACGGCTAGCCTTCTACCGGTATTTATTAACGACACGGCTCAAAGGACTTTCTTTACCCCAGGTTAACTTTGGGAAAAAAGTGGATATTAATTATATAGATACTTTATATTATAATGATATCTCTTGAAGAGTTAGTAAAGAGGTTTTCTCTTAAGATAGCGATTTATATTCTTCTTGCTATATTAGACCTAAGGGTCTATAATACTAATATAGAGGGTGTCTAATTCTCTATTAATATTACCTATATAGCAGTAATAGAGACTAAGAAGGCTGTCTATATAACCTATATTAATAACTAACTAGGTATCCTTTCCCTATAATACAGGGAGATTTTACCTAAGACTAATTAAAAAATAATAGGGTTTTTAAACTAAAACCTATAGAGATAACTAGGAGTACTTAAATACCTCTAGCGGGATATTATAACCTAGTAGTTTAATATATATAACTAGTAATATCCTTATTGTTTTTCCCTAATTAGTAGTAACCTACTTTATAGAAATTAAATAGGGATTTAAGACTTAAAAGAGAAACTTAATAAGGTTATTAATCTTACTAATTTATTTAATTAGAATATAAATAATAGCTAAAACCTATATAAAGAATATATTAAATATATAATAGCCTTTATAATAATTAAAAAGGATATAAAAAAGATTTTCTAATTTTATTAGTTTAATAGCTATTTTTTCTTTTTTAGCTTTAAATTTTAGTATTATAACCTAAATGGGATAGAGCACTTATATTATATATACCCTATATTTACTTAACTAATTATATATTAACTTATACTTTTAATATAAAGTAATTATAATTCCTTTTATATAGATTATACTTTTAACTTATAATTTACTATAAGCCTAGCTTACTACATTATAAGCCGCTTAAATATATATATATATTTATTTAGTATTAAATAGAACTTAGCTTACTAGCTATTAATATAACTTCTTTACCTTAATAAGCCTTACCTATATTATTAACTATCTTAGTTATATTACTATTAAATTACTATTAGTTACCTTTAGTATTTTATTTAGTTACTATAGGGAAGGTTTATTAGGTTATATAATTTCAGTTAATTAAGTGCAGTAGCTTCTTCCCTCGGACTAAAGGACTTTTTAACCTTTAATAAAAAAGATCTATTTTATAGTATATATAAAATTTCCTCCTATAACTTTAACTTTAATAGTCTCTTAATAGTCCTTTAACTACTCTAGCTAGAGTTTAATATAGTCTAATACTTAAAGTACCTAACCGAATTTACTATTATTATTAAGTTTATTAGCTATTTATTATACCTACTGTAAGGGGCGCGGGCCACAGGGTGGCTCAAGCCTACAGTCTGGCTTCTGGCACCTATGCCACTGAGGCAAAAGAACGAGAATGACTTAGCTGACAAGCTAAGTCGTGACTGTAACCTATAGAGGTCTTGGCGACGCAGCCAAGCTGTCACAGCCGGTGACACCTACCTTTTATTAGATTTATATTACCTTTACCTAGTATACTAAAGAAGGTAGTTTTTACTATTATTAATATACTAATTAGGCCTAGTAATTTAAGCTTCTTTTTAAGACCTTTAAGAAATAATATCTCTATCTTAAGCTATATATTTTAACCTTTATAGTTATTATTATAAATAAGAAGGCTAGGTAATTAAAAAACCTTATAATTAAAAATAATAAATATAACCTTAATCTCCTAATTTATAGGCCTAATATTTATTTTAATAATATAATATAAGTTATTTTTCTAAAATAATTATTATAGCTATTAACCTTTATAAGGGTTAGGATTACTAGTAACTACTTTAAGAAATACCTTTTAGCTATATTAAAATTCTCCTTTATATACCTTAGCTAGGTTAATATAATTAACTAGTTAAAGGTCCTTATAGAAAGGTAAGGTACTAATTAATATATTAACTATAATTAAGGTTAGCTTTATTAATTTAATTATAAAGTAATTAGGTTAACTTATAGGTAAGTTAAAGGTCTTAGCAGGTTACTTATTATAATTTTCTTTTTATATAGATATAGGTAGGTTAATTAAAGTAAAGTATAAAAAGGGAAAAGTAACCCTAGTAATCTTTATAAAGGTTTTTATTACGGGCTTAGCAGGTTACTTATTGTAATCTTTATCTTGTCTTAGGTAGGTTAATTAAAGTAAAGTATAAAGAGGTAAAAGTAACCCTAGTAGGGGTTTTTATACTATTAAGAAATAGAGTTATAGCTAATATAGTAAGTAACCTTATTAAATTTAAGTTACTATTACTTTTCGGTCTATATAAAGACCTTTATTATTAATATTTCTATAGGTTTAATTAAAATAGCTAGATCTCTTTTTTAAATGTATTACTATATTTATTATAAATAAAGGTTTTTATTTTATTAAAAAATAAAGTTAAAGCTAATATAGTAAGTAACCTTATTAAATTTAAGTTATTATTACTTATTAATTTATATAAGAACCTTTATTATTAATATTTCTATAGGTTTAATTAGAATAGCTAGATTCCTTTCTTAAAGGTATTACTAAACTTAATATAAATATTATTAACTATTAAGAAATATAATATTTCGCTATTACTTAAATTATATTTTATAATCCTATTAATATAAATTTATAAGAGTTTAGTTTATCCCTTAGGAAATCTAACTATTATATTTAATTTTATTAAGCCTAGGCTTTTCATATAATAATAGTATAAGCTATTAAGCTATAGGGTAAAAGATCAGGCTATAATTACTATATAAGTAATTATATTAGTGCTTATAGCTATTTATAAAAGCCTTATAGTACTATTACAGTACAAATTATAATATAATACTTCTTTTTAAAGGGCTTTTATCCTTAAAGCCTATTAAAGCCAGCTGCTATAAGGGTTATTATACCCTATATCAGTATAGCTACTAATATCCTAAGGTATACCTTGTAGTTACCCTTGTATTTATATTATATAGGTATCCTTATAAGTAGCTATTTTAAAAGTTATTAAATTAAGAATTAAATCCTTAACCTTTAAGCTACCTATTTATAGTAATTATTATATAATAGTAATATAAGCTACTAAGCTATAAAGTAAAAGATCAGGCTATAATTACTATATAAGTAATTATAGTAATACTTATAGCTACTTATAGAAGCCTTATAGTACTATTATAGTATGAATTATAATATTTTAAATCTCCTAATAATATTAATAATAAAAATAACTATTTTAAGGTTAAAACTTAATATAATTAAGGTAATAAAAGTTATATTAAGTAACTAAACTCTATTTAAGTAAATACATAAAATAGCTATATATATAAAAGCTAGCTTTCCTTCCTTATATTCTTAACCTAATTTATATTATAAACTACCTAATTAATTATACTTTATAGCTATAATTAATTAATTAACCTCTAGCCCCCCTTTAGTCTATATTATTAATTTCTTTATAGCTATTATAATAAGTATTTATATTATAACCTAATAGATATATAACGGTTAGGTTTCCTAAGGGATAAACTAGACCGTTCTAGGTTTATATTAATACTAATTACGGGATAAGATCTAAATAGTAATAAAGTATTATATTTTTTAATAGTTAATAATATAGGTAAGGCTTATTAAAGTAAAGAAATTATATTTATAGTTAGTAAGTTAAGTTTTATAAAAGTATTAATAAGTATATTCTATATACTAAGGCTTTATATATAAAGTTAATAATATATAAAAATAATATTATTTCTAGATTAATATAATCCTAGGCCGCCGTCGGTCCTATTTATAGTTAGTCTATTAGTAATTAGTTAGGAAAGGGTAATAAATATAAGGTATATGTAATATAAATATAAAGGTTATAATATAATCTTTTCCCTCTATTAGGTCTTATCCTTAAGACCTATATACCTTTATTAACCTAAAATTCTTTTAGTATATCCTAACTTAACCTTTTTATTATTATATTATATAATATCTAATCGTATTATTAAATAGTTATTCTACAAGGATTATAAAATTCATATTTTTACTTTATTTATTAAATCTTTTAATAAAAAGGCTAATATACCTTATATTTAATATTTTTATTTTAGTAAGAGATACTTAATATTGACGGATTTTACTTATTATAGTAAATATATCTATAGTAAGAAGTTTTATAATAATACTTAAGTATTATCTTTTTATATATATTTATATTTTATTTATAATTTTTATTAATTTCTTATAGTAATAAATTTAATAAAATAAGAAAAGAAATTAGAAATTAATAAAGATAAAGTAAGTAATAATCTTCTTAAGCTTTATAAAGAGATAGTGGCTTTATAGTCTTATTTATTTACTGTAGCTGGTTATTTATTACGGATTTAGAAAATCCGGATTAAGGTAAAGGAGTATTATTTTAAGGTAACTTATTATAGCCTTTAAAAAGTAAAGTAATAGGATAACTTACTTTCTATATTAAATACTTATAAGGATACTATAGTATAGGATCTCTAGACTAATTATATATTTAATAATATTAATTAGTCCTCCTTAGGTCTTAGTAATAAGTTTTTAAATACTTTTTTTTTATTTAATTTTAATAGAAGTTCTTTAAGAGTTACTAGGTATTAGTAAGGTATTTTATTAATTTCTATATATTCTTATTTTCTAGATAGTTTTTCTATTTTATTAGGTATTCTTTTTTACCTTTATATTTATATATATCCCTAATTACTTTTACTTTATAGAGTTCTAGTCTTTTAATTTTTTCTAGTTTATTACCGATTTTAACTTAGATTATATTAATTACTAATTTAAGTAATATACTATAAAAAATTAACTAGAGCTTAATTTTCGGTAATAAGTCTAATTTATAATTATGTTTTAAGACTTTTTATAATATTTTATAAGGTTTAATATATTTATAATTAAGCTTTTTTATAGGTTATTTTATTAAAATATTTTTTATTATAAGGTAGACTATATCTCCTTCCTAAAGGGATAATCCCTTTATCCTTTTAGGATTATAATAGTTATTTATTTAGTTTTTAATAAATTTAAGCTTTATTATTATTTCTTTATATAAGATTTTAAGATCTTTACTTTTAATAATAGCTACTAGATTAATAGATTTAGGTTTTTATACTTTATAGTATAGTTCTAGGGTAAATCTATAGTTTATATATACCGATATAAGCTTTATACTTTTATTATATATAGTATTATAGATAAGCTAGGCTACTAGTAGTTTTTAACCTAATTATCTTATTAATAATTAATATAATACCGTAGATATTATTCTAGTATTTAATTTATTTATTTAATTTATCTATCTATTTATAATCTAAATACTATTAAAAGCTTATAATTTAGTCTAAGATATATTATAAATACTTACTAAAACTTAGCTATAAATATTTATCCTCTATTTAAGATAATTTTATTAAGTAGGCTATAATTAGCTATAATATATCGGTAAAAAATATAAAAAAGTCCTTCTATATTTATTACTTCCCTATAAGGTAGGTAATATAAATACTTTATATATTAGTTAATAATAATTATAATACTATTATAAAAGATTCCGGTTAAGGGTTCTTCTAAGAGTAATAATTTAATTATAAAGTCTATTATAATTAATTCCTAAGGTTATTTTACTATAGGTAAAGCTTATAGGTTACTATATAATTTATACTATTAAGACTTTATTTTTATATATAGGTTATATTATTTAATAGTTTTCTTTACTTTTAATTATAATTATAGGATCTAATATCCTTATTTTAAAAGTCTTTTTATTATTTTTATAACTTCTTAATATTTATATAATAAATATAAATAAAATTCATAAAGGAAGTTATTAACTTATTCTTTTAATATTACTATAGTAATTATCTTTTATATCTATTTTAGTATTTTTATTTATTAGGTAAACTGGTATTCTATTTAACTATTAGTTTTTAAGACTTATCTATTAAACTTAATAGTTTTTATATTATAGTCTTCTCTTTAATTAATAATATTAACTTTACTATTTTCTAATTCTTTATAATAAATAATTATAAAATTAAACTTAATTAGATATTTTATATATTATAATTATTATCTATTAAGTTATTATATTATAGTAAAATAAATAATATTTTAATAATTAGTATAGACTTTAATTTTATATATACTTTTTATAAGGTAATATTTAAATTCCTTAAAGTAATTAAAGAGTATAAAGAACTCTTTATTATAAATAGGGTAATTAAGTTCTATACCGTAAAGTTTATAAGAATAGAAGGTAATTAGATATAGATTTCCTTAGTTATTATATTAACCTATCTATCCTCTTAAAGTAAAATCTAATATATTTATCTTTAATTTAACTTCCTTATTAAGGTTAAATATTATTAAAACTGGCTTACTTAGGATTACTTATTATATTACTTTAAATACTTTTTACCTTTTTAGTATTATTTTAGTAAAATATTTATCCTTTTTTATAAGTTTAATTAATAATATAGTAATTTTATTAAAGTCTTATATAAATTATTAATAATAATTAGTAAAACCTAGGAAACTTTAGATTCTTTTAATTATTATTAATTCTAACTAATTTACTATTACTAAGATTTTTTTTAATTTATTTTAATTTATTTTAGTAATATAGTATATCTAAGGTAATTAACTTCTTTTATATAGAAATAGCTTTTCTTAGGTTTAATTAATAAATTAATATCTTATAGTATTTATAAAACCTTATAAATATATTCTTTATATTCTTTTTTATTATTTAAAAAGATTAAAATATTATCTAGGTAATATACTATAAAAATATTAAGGTATTATTATAAAATATTATTAATTATTTATTAAAAGGTTATAGGTATATTTATAAGACCGAATAGTATTATTAAGTACTTAAAGAGTCTAAATTTAATTCTAAATACCGTTTTTTATTTATCTCTTTCCTTTATATAAATTAAGTTATATACTCCTTTAAGATTAAAAGTAATAAAGATCTATTTTCTTTATAGGCAGTCCTTAAGTTCTATAATAAATAAAAATAAGGTCTAGTCCTTAATAATAATATTATTTAATCTTTTAAAATCTATAACTAATTATAATAATCTATCTTTCTTAGGTATAAATATTACTAAAAATCTTACTAAAGATATAAATATTTTAATATTTCCCTTAGTTAGTTTTAAGTTTAGGTACTCCCTTAGGGTCTTAAGTTCTTTAATATTAAGATTATAAATTAGCTAGAATAGCAAATTATTTATTTTAAGCTAGATTTTATAGTCCTAGTAGTTATATTATAATATCTTTATATTTAATTCCTTTTAAAATAGTTTTTTATAGATTTAATATTCTTTAAGAATATATTTAAGTTAATTATTATCTTTAATAGTTTTAATTTCTTTTTATTATTTTAATTATCTATTTAGGTTATATAATTATTTTTTAATAAGACCTAAGATTTATTTATTTTTATTTTTCTTACCTTTTATATATTTATTTTTTATTCCCTTTAAAGGTAATAGATTTATATTTTTATATTATACTTTACCGTTATTATTAATTAAAGTTTAAGATCTCTTATTATTTTTATAATCTATCTTATTATTACTATTAATATTACTTAAAAAGGTAATTTAGCCTATTAGCTAGTTAATATAAAGGTTATATTATTTTAGCTATAATATTCCTAATAGTATATTAACCTTTTTTAATAATATAATATTAAAGTCTATCCTTTAATTCTTTTTATTAATAAAGACTTTAAGATAATCTATCTCTTAATCTATTTATTTATTATTATAGTTAAACTTTTAACCTTTTATATTAATAAGGTTATAAAGATTTTCTTTCTTTTTCTATAATAACTTTAGGTAATTAACTATCCTTAGGGATATATAGTTATTTAAAGCTTTATAGTCTATTTATATATCTATTTATTATCTCTTAATTTTAACTTTAAGTATTAGGCATTATAGATTATCTCTCTTAAAGATCCTAAGAGCTTTTTATTCTAGTTTTTCTAGTAGTGGCTTTATACTTATCTATGGCTTTATTATAAATAGTAAGTATTATTTCCTATTATATCTTTATATATAAAACTGTATTTACTTTTATTATATCCTTCCTTATTAAAGTAATTATTAGTATATTCTTTATTATAAAGTTATTATTACTATTATAAATATAATTCTTTATTATATTAATTTACGGTTTCTATTTTTTAGTAATTCTTATTAAATTAATTACTTATTTCTAAGTATAGGTTTCCTATTAATATTTTATATTATTTTTTAGAGTTTTTAATAATATTTATAATTTATTAAATCTCTATATATAACTCCTTAGTAATATTAATTTATTAATAGTATATAAGGCTAAATCGTAATTTAGTTACTTTTAAGTTCTTATACTAGTTATATACCTTATAACCCTCTATTTCTATATTAAGGTAGGGGTTATTATTTAGTATTCCTAAAATAGTTATAAGGAATTAGTTATTATTTAACTTACTTTATAGGTATATTCTATATTAATAATATTTATAAAATACCTATATAATATATTTATATAGTATATATATTAGGTACGTTTATATATTATCCTTAGGGTTAAAGGGTGGTTTATTATACTATAGGTTAAAGGTATTTTCTATATAATTGGCCCTTATTATAATAATTATATCTTTAATAGTATTCCCTTTTTTTTATATTATTTAGATATAGCGGTCCTCTATCGATATAAAGTAATATAATCCTTATTTATTATATATAGGCTAATAAGATTACTTTTACTTAAGCTTTATTTTTTTATCCTTATAGTAGAGATATTATGTAGTATATTAAGTAACTCCTCCTCTATATTTTATATTTCTTAAGTAATAATATTATATTTTATAGATATAGTCTTTAGCTCTTTTTTCCTCTTTTATCTTTTCTTTTTTTTACTTAAGGAAAGTTAAATATATTATTTTTTTATTAATAAGCTTATATCCGCTTTCTATCTTATATTTATTATATATAGGGATTACCTTTTTCCCTTTTAGTACTTTAATATATAGGTTAAGGTATTCTAAGTTGGTATTAGTATTTATATTTATAATAGGTTTTTATAAAGTATTAGGTATTTTTATTATTTTCTTAATAGGGGGTTATAAATAGGTTAATTCTATTCCTTTATTAATAAGTTAATAATTAATAATTAACCTTCCTTCTATATTAAGTTTATCTTTATTAGAGTTATATTCTCTATTATAGATAGCTACTAGTTCTTTCCCTTTTAGTACTTAAATAAACTGGTTTAGGTAAAGTTCTTTATATTTTTAAGTTATACTTAACTCTTTTTTTATATTAAAGATAGGGGCCTTTCCTTTATCAAAGATTCCTAAAGTTTTAGTCTTTCTCTATTCCTCTTATTATTTTTATATTTTTTTTTATATACTTATAGTATATATAGGATCCTTTATCTCTTTTTAGTATATCTCTCTTTTCTTCTAGAGATACGGTAAGTTATAGAATTCCAATCTATAGGTTACTTACTTTACTTTTTCTTTACTTAAGAAGGGGTCCTTAAGGATTTATATACTTCCTTTTACGGCTATAGGTTATATTTATAGGTTATTATATCCTAACCTATATATACCTAAAGTCTTTATATAGATAGCTATTTATAGTTTATTCTATTAGTTAGTAAGTCTTAGTGTTTTCTTACTATAATTAGGATTTCTAGGTCGTTTTAGCTTAAAATATATATTAACTATATATCCGAAATTATTATAATTATAGCATTTATATTTAGATATATCTTATAGCGGTTATTAATTATTATCCCTTTATATAACTCTTAGAACTATTATTTCTAGATTTATTTTATATAAGGTATTATTTATCTAGTTATTTCCTTATTAGTATCCTTAATAATAGGAGTTTTATTAGTAATTAAAGTTACCTTAGTTATTATTATATTTTTTATTAAGGTAATAAAGGTTAAAGTTACTTCCTCTAACCTTTATAGCTTTCTCCCTTTTATATTTATACTATTATTTATTAATCTTAATAGCTATAGTAATATATTCTATAAGGATATTAAGGTAATCTACTTTATATAATTTATCTTTAACTTTATCCTTAAGACCTTAATAGTAAATTTCTATAAATATATTATTATCCTACTTGGTTTTAATAGCTAGCTATTTAAATTTAGCTAAGTATATTATATATAAATATATTTAATAAAGTATTATAATTTCGGCTATTACTTATTATAATTTATTTACGGCTTTAAGGTTATCTTTAAGTATAGTTTTAAAGTTTCCTTAATTTATAAAGATATTTTAGGGTTTTTATTTTTATAGATTTATATTATATTTATATTTAAGGTAGTCCTTAAAGATTGGCTTAAATTAATTACTTATAGTTTCTTAAATTAAAGGTATAGTAAATAGTATTTTAGCTTTTAAGCTTTCTAGTCTATTTAAAAATATTTAAAAGTATCTTTTTATTTAGGTTAAGAATAGAATAGTATTATTAAATTAACCTAAGAAAGGTACTAGTTTTAGTAACTTAATGGCTTCTTTAGGGTCCCTTTTAGGTTAGATAGGTAATAAAGGTATTACCTATATATTTAGGTTAGCCTTAAGTTTATAAGTAGTTCTATAAAGTTAATAGACTTTAGCTATTAATTTAGCTATACTAGGTAGTAGCCTAGTATAAAGGGGTATAGGTATATTAATAGATAATATATTAATAGTATAATAATATTATTTAGATTATATAATATAATATTAAATAAAAGCTATTAATATATAACAGTTAGGTTTCCTAAGGGATAAACTAAACCATTTTAGGTTTATATTAATAGTAATTATAAAATAAGATCTAAGTAATAATAAAACATTATATTTTTTAATAGTTAATAATATAGGTAAGGCTTATTAAGGTAAAGAAATTATATTAATAGCTAGTAAGTTAAGTTCTATAAAAGTATTAATAAGTATATTTTATATATTAAGGCTTTATATATAAAGTTAACGATATATAGGAATAATATTATTCCTAGACCGATACGATCCTAGGCTACCGTCGGTCCTATTTATAGTCAGTCTATTAATAATTAATTAGGAAAGGGGAATAAATATAGGGTGTACATAACGTAGGTGTAAGGGTCGTAATATAAATACTGTTTATAGTATGAAAGGAGCTAAAAATATTAATCTAGCTATAATAATTAAAAGTAATAACTTAAAGAATCTATATAAAGAAATAAAAATAGAACTAGAATTTATTAAAAATAGAATAAGAAATTATTATAATTTAAAAGGGATAAAATAACTATCTTTCTTAAAAGGAGATATAGTTTACCTTACTATAGAAAAAATCTTAATAAAATAACTAATAAAAAAGCTTAACTATAAATATATTAAACTTTATAAAATACTATAAAGAATCTTAAAAAATAATTATAAACTAGATCTATTACGAAAGGTTAGACTTTATTTATTTTTTATATTATATTACTTAAATTAATAGCTAATATAATTTAAGTTAAAATCGGTAATAAACTAGAAAAAGTTAAAGGACTAGAAGTCTATAAAGTAAAAGTAATTAGGGAAATATATAAATATAGAGATAAAATAGAATACCTAATTAAATAGAAAAACTATATAAAAGATAAAAATATATAAAAATTACTAAAATACCTTATTAATACCTAATAACTCCTAAGGAGTTTCTATTAATACTAAGGAAAAAGGAATCTAGTATAGAACTCTAGTTAATAACCCTATAATCCTCTAATAGCTAGATATTATTTAAGGTAGAAAATTCTACTATTTAATAAACTAAAGATTTATAACTTTCTAATTTTTCTAATTTATTTAAATCTTTATAATTATAGTAAATTATTTTAATAGCCTTCTCTTAAAGATACTTTTCTTAATAATATAACCTCTAAAAATAAGCTAAGGTATTCTAAAGATCTACTTTAGCCTATTCCTTTTACTTATTAATATAATCCTTTTTATATAATATTTATATAACTATAGAACATTAATAATTATCTAGTATATACTATATAAAAAATATATAAGCCTAACTTATTATACCGTTAAAATTATAATTAATATATTTCTTAGATATATAGAAGTTATAATATTATTTTCCCTTAGAGATAATATATTAAAGACAATTTATATAGAAATAAATAAAATAATAAGGTATCTTAAAACTAAATTTATACATTAACTAGGAAATATTATTTTAATACTTAGTAATAATCTTTAGATAATTAATACGCTTAGAAATACGGCTAAATATATTATTAATATAGAAAAATATTTATAGAAGTAAGTTAAGAATTAATAAGGAAGGAACTAGCGTAAATACTTTACGGGCCTTAAGGATAAGACCTTAAAGAGGGGAGAGATTATATTACGACCTAATAGATAGCCCGTTAAACTATTACATACGCCCTATTAATTTTACCTAATAAGTATCTACCTACCCTATAGTAATTAAACGGGACCTATTTAATTTATATAATAAATACTATTAAACCGACCTTATTTAACCTATATAATATTTAAGTATATATATATATTTATTAACACTTTTATAGACATTAGCTTACTAGCTATTAATGTAACTTCTTTACCTAAATACGCCTAACCTACCTTATTTACTATTAAGAGACGTAATACTTTATAATTACTTAATATAATACCCTATAGTATCTGTTAATATAAACCTAATACGGACTAGTCTATCCCTTAGGAATCTAACCGTTATAATTTAAATATTAAATATTTATTATAATATAAGCCTTAGCCTAGACTATAATAATATCTATAAAGCTATTAATAGCTATTATAATAGGTAAAAACTTAATCTATTTAAAAATAAGGCTAAAGATCTTCTTACTAGCTGCCTTATATTTATACCTTTTAATACTAGATAGGATAACTATAGCTTAATTAAATTAATTACCTTTAGCTTTAAGCTTTTAATACTTTATAGTCTAGGGCTTATTACTAACTATAGTAATCGAAAGTATATATTATTAGCCTAATAGCTATGATAATAACTTAAATAAACTCTAGGGATTCCTCACTAGCTTAAAAAGCTATTAGGTACACACGACTTTCTTAGTTCGGGACTTAGTTACTACTAACAGTTTATATTACTTGCTGTTGTAGTGGAGCAGAATAATTTAATCATTAATGTATACCTGCAAGAATACTGTAGCACAATGATCATGTGCTGATCAAAAAATTGGCCTGTGTCTCCAGGCGTAGTTTACATAGGGATATCACGATGCACGAAAGGGTCATGAGAACAACCTAAGGTCTTTGACCACTACGTTTCTGTCCTCTGGAGTCAATGCTTACACATTACTGTAATAACTGTTGGCCCCAGATGAGGTTCCAGACCTGCAGGCATGCAAAGATGAGCGTCTGGTGAGTGACGCTGGTGATGCCGACAGTCTGGATGACAAGAGCAAGACAATACGAGACAACGCCGTTTCCACTCCACTGACTGAATACACCGAGAGACACCGAGATGAGGAGTCTCCATCTATATCCCTTGGTCTTGAGCATGTCTGCGTAGGTGATACCGGCATGGGCCTCCTACTCCGCCTTGATGGTGTTGGTGATCCCCTCGGTCTCACAGTGGACAAAGGGTGAGTCAACATCTCCATTGGCATTGTGCTTCGCAATGACGGCCACTGTCACTTAGATGCGGTCCACAGATGCCAGCCATCGAGGAGAATCAGGCGCCATGAAGAAGCCGGGGAAAGCCAGAGCAGGAAGCAAGACCTGCATCAGCCTGGGCAGTCGCCAGTCCCACGAGCTGCCGTAGTTTCTGGTTGCGAATGTGACCCAGGCTGAGACAACACTGCAGGGTAGAAGCTACACTGGAATCATACAGACGCGATGGATCGATGTGTGGGATAGGCGATCTCGTTTGTGAGTAGGGGCGCACCGCTAGTATACCACCCTGCAGTAGCACCGAGTAGGGTAAGGTTAGCTGGATTATGGGCGCCGGTTTGGAGAGCGGTGCCAGGAACGAGAAAGACATGGCCAACGTATAGACCTGGCTTGCGGCCATATTTGTTGATTGTGCAGGTGGCGAGAAAGAAGGAACGCCATTGGAGGCGAAATTTTTGGTGGACAAGACCAGTCATTAGACTAGCATCTCACCTTAAGATATTACATTTCATATCTAGATGTCCGTTCAAGAATATTGTTCAAGTCCCAAGTACAATTACACGCGATGTTTTTTGTTAGCGCACGTGACCATTGAGTACGCAGAAGCAGGGGTTATAATCCTGCAGGATCTCAAGGGAAGTTATAAATAGCTGCATTGGAATCGGTACACCTCGGATATCCGACAACGTTATTTCAGATTTCAGATTTCTAATCCTTACCTTCCTAATAAGTTTACGAACTAGAGGGTTTTCATATAATTTATATAAGAAGAACACGGTCTACTATGGCCTGCCTGATTGCTTCTTTTTCGCGTCCTACTTGACATTCTAGCCTTTTTACTTACCAAATCTCATTATGCCTTCTGCCAAACAAATTCTCGTCATCTTTGGGGTAACTGGACAGCAGGGAGGCTCTGTTGCCACAGCCATCTGCAAACACCCCGTTCTTTCACAACGATACACTGTTAGAGGTGTTACCCGAGATCCCACCAGTCTTCCTGCCAGAGAACTGGTTGATCGCTTTGGCTGTGAAGTCGTCAAAGCTGACCTTGACGATAAATCTTCTATCGAATCAGCAGTCGCTGGTGCGACCGGAATCTTCTTGGTTACATCAAGCATTTATGATGACAGACTATACGACCGGGAGGTCAGTCAAGGCAAAGCGGTTGCCGATGCAGCTGTGGATGCAAATGTCCAGTTTATCATCTTTAGCACACTCCCTTCAGTGCGAGAGATCTCCAATGGCAAATATCTCCACGTAACCCATTTCGACGCCAAATACGATATCGAGCAGTATATCAGAAGCTTGCACTCTCTGAACAGTTCTTTTGTCTCTCTCGGCAGTTTTATGCAAAATTTGCAAAATGGATTGAAACCTCAGCCACTTGGCGACGGCACATTTGCTATAAATGCATCTATGTCGGCAGACACTAGGCTACCACTAGTTGATGCGACTGATGTTTACAAATTTGTCCTTGCCATACTTGAAAGTCCGGAGGAATTTAGGGGCAAGGTAGTTCATGTCGCCGAGCGTCTGTACAGGCTGGATGAAATAGCAACTATCATCACTGATATAACAGGCAAGGTGGTGAAGTACAATCAACTTCCACCCGATGTCGTGCGCTCATTCCTGGATCCGGCGATGGCAGATGACGTTGTCGAAATGGCTGCGTTTTTCGAGGAGTTTGGGTATTTTGGGCCAGACATGGAGGCTCTGGTTCAAAACGAACCCAATGTTGGAGTTGATGGCATGACAACCCTGACTCAGTTCTGTCGTCAAATGAACCTAGGGTAGCTAGTTAAATCTAAGGATTATATTTATTCTTCTCCGTAACTCAAATCCTTAGACCGGCATGAAAATATTAAATGTTAAATTAATCTTTAACACAATACCCACACAAAAATAAGGTTCAAGTCCCAAAAAGGATTGCTAACGTTAAATCCATCCAAACATTTACATATTGCCACCTATCTAAAGACTTTCCAAAGTGGAACACATTTACATAGGATACGCTTTTAAGCAAAAAACACAGGCTAGGGGCCGCGTGGAAAAACTTAGGAAGATATAACAAATAGTACGATTATGTCAAGAGTGGAATGGTATATATAAGGCTCTTAACTAAATAATACTGAAAGAGATAATATTGCATCCTCTACCGCGTAGTGCATTAGATGTCATTCTTGGATCATGATTTATCAAATCGCCTGTTTGGAGATCTTCGAAACATTCTGCCACAATTGGATCATTGGTAGTCCGTATGAACTCCCGCTTCTGGAACCGACTAGGAAGAGGCGGTAGTCGTGGGTCAGTCTCGGTAGAAACACCCCTGTGGCCATCATAGTAAGAGTACTTGGCTTGGCCGCTTGAGCCAAAGTGAGCCTGAACACTCCATCCGGAGGGTAACGGGCCGAGAATACCAATGCCATCATGCAAGCCATGAATGCAGCACTCCCCAACCAGGCGGAACTGATCACCAGGAGTTGGTCTGAGGATTAGCGGCACATTTGTTCCTAGGAGAACGCACATGATATCACCTATGGGGGGATCTTAGTATTCGATCGGTAGATATGGCAGGGGCATCGCTCTAAGCTTACCACCTTGTCTTGTGCCAGAAGGGGCAAGGCCGAAGTATCCTTCATCAGAGGACACGAATGTCTTGTGATTGGAAAAGAGGATGGCATCGCGGACGCGCGGCTCCTCTAAGACGCGAATTCGATCGCACTGGTCGTTGAGAATTCCATCTCTTAATGTAATTGCCCATTGCTGAAAAGATGGCAAAGTAACCAGCTTGGGATACTTCTCACGCAGGCGATACCCGCAAAGAACGGTAGCAAAAGCTTCAAGCTTACTTTCCCCAGTGATATATAGGCTAGAGTCAACAAAAGTCCCAGCCCATTCTCTGATTGTCCGTATACTATTAACATCTTGGCTTGTAGAAGCTACTGCGCAGACTTTGTTAATAGTAGCACATTTGACTCCCTCTGCTGTAGAGATGTTCTTGTCAAACTTCACCTCGCACGGTGAGGCGCCAGATGCAAACATAAGTCGATTGGGTTGCGCTGTAGGAATAGCAGAATACCAGTCAGGAAGCCAAGACGGCCAGTCCAGACGTACCACGCTGAATTGGCAATCATTGAATAGCTCTAATCTTCTAGTCATGTGACAGTGAGCTATAAAGACATCTCTGTAGACCTCAGAGACATTCTTGTTGTAGCTGATCTGTATCTTGCTCGTAAATACTGGTGTGAGAAGACTAAGGAGACCATAAATCTTATCGCGAGGGTCTTTGCACTTCCTGCCCCTGTGCCTTCGTACCAAGCGTGATAGGTTGAAATCAAGGGCATAGTCAGAGAGATTACACACTTCCATCAACCTGTGTCGTAGCTTCTCTAGGGGTATCCGAATCTTGGACTGGAGGCAGAGCACGGCTCGTCGGAAGATAGGCCAGGAAATGACGGAAGAGCCACATTGCAGTGATGAGTCGACGTTTGCGAGTTGAATTTCCTGGACAATCCAGACACGCTCGAACCAGGGACGTCCCAATAGTTCATACACAGCTGCGTATATGTCATCGCTGTAGGGGAGCGGGCATTCAATCTTGTACCACTCGGGCTCAGTAGTATCAGGGGATGGCTATAGGTGATTGCTTCTTGAATACTCGATCTGGCGTCCAATATGAGCCAACACTGGCAAAGCGACGGCAGCCGCAGCGTCTGTCGGGCCAAGCCAAACCACAACTCGATTAGCAAGTCGATAAATATCAGCCATTCATTCAACCTGAAGGCCACGTTCAGTTATATCGTCTTGATTAATACAAACCGCATCAATCCAAATGATCCGAGCCCTATCTTGATACCTCAAAGCGAAGAATGCCTCGACCAGGTTCCTTTGAATAGGGAGCACGGACTCTGGTAGGCCGGGTCCATCTTGAATGATGGCAAATCCTGGGTTCTCTGGGGCGCCCCACGTGTATGATAGAGCCTCATACTGAGGTACTAATAGTCCAGGTATAGCAGACGTGGAGACACACGCACTAGGTGCTGTCGGTCCGGTAGGGCACTTCCATGACGTTTCATGTGTTTCGTCGTTAAAGTATAACACATTGCCCTCTAGGTTCTCATAGGCTATCCATGGACTTGGGAGATACTTTCTTCTCTCTGGTGGAGGGGGAGATTTAGGAGAAGGTTTAACTGCGGGGAAGCTAATGGCTTCAAGTCTCAGCCTGATAGGGTTATTGTTGCTCCCAGGAAGAAGATGTACAAGTCGAATAGCTTGTGACGGATTTGGTAAACTCTCATATTTGTAGGAAGCCATTTTAACGCTGAGCTTTAGATTGCTTGTGCAGCTGTTGAAAGACCTGAATGATTGAGGAGTGAGATTGTAAGTTAATGCAGTTACTTATATCGTGGCTTAAAGCCACTTGCACTTTAGGCAGTGATTTTCAAACGTGGCATATTATAAGTGGCTGTTTCTACGGGTAGTTACTAAAAGACAAATTATAACTAATCACTATGATTTACATTCTCTTAGGCATTTCATTCTGTAACATTAATAACTACGTTTGAGATTTAAGGATTTAGTATTTTGGTAAGAGTAAGAGGTTTGAGTGGGTTCCCACCGCTTATGTATGAGCAGCGTTGGGAGGAGCTTCGACAGATGCTATGGGATGAGACAATAAGAGAGCTCGGTTTGCAGGTAGTAAAATATCAATTTTAGCATAGAGCAGTACTCAAAATATCCATCCCCATGGTAGGCATCAATAGGCTATCCGAGACCAGTAAACAATCAGAACATTCAAGAAAGCTATATTTGAGCTGCGAGTGTACGGTTGCATCGGTTGCAATTACAGCGTACGCGAGAGACCTGACACATTGCTTGACAGAGCCGGCTGTTACAAATTCCAGATTTATGGGTTAATTTCACCTCGGAAAATAAGCGGAGCCGTGTCTAGTAGAGTTCTACTACATTTGTGAAAAAGAAATGGTCTTTAACATACAAACTTTTCAGGCTTTTAATACGTAGGAAAGAAACATCAATCAACCAAGAAAGTCCGTAGTCTTCGTATTTAAGAAGCCACTTTGGCTATAGTGAGGGTTTTGCGGATAATCTGCTAACGGCACATTTCGCTCTCGAAAGCTCATGTTACTACCGGAGTCCTGATATGAACTTCCTAGCTCCTTAAGCTCCTACGTCTGGGAATGGCGGGTCAGGGCTGTAATCGTTTCCCTGGCTCTTAGCAGTCTGCCATTGGTGATAATCTTCCATGCACTCCTCACAGCCTAGCCATGATACTTCTCTCTGTTCGTGGGTAATCGGGCTGTCCGGACACACATTGATCTTGTTTGCCTGGGCTGTTTGACATTTGTTGACCACGTAATCGTTTCCTAGGACGTAATAACAGCGGTCGCATACAAATACTACAATTGTGACGACACACATGGTTAAATGTAGCAGCCTTCGGTATCAATAAACTGAGTTTGGGCTTGTGGCGCGAAGTGTAGTAAAATATGTTTTGTGGATTTGATTTCCAAACGTACTTTGAAGTCCAAGGTAGACAAGGGTTATATATCCCTCGAGAGATGCACTTCTTAATCACAGTTTGTAATGCATCTGTTAAAAAACTAAATTAATTAGGATCAGTGAAGATTATTGTTGCGAATTGTGTGACTGGTGTTAGAAACTAAGCAGTGATTATATACCATTCAGTGCATTGCCAGGTTGCTATTACTAAAGGGTTGCTATGAATCAGTAATAGTTGTTAAAGCTCCTTATGATATGAGGTATAATATAATTCATCCACACAATCCCTACACACCGAGGAAGGTCTATGATAAACTGGTTATGCAATGCACTACATACAATTTGATACAGTAAAGTGACTTACAATGTCCAGTACTTGAGAGAACGTTAGACTTTAAACCATGGGCTTTTAATTAAACTGTAACTCATTACATAAATGCGGTAAGATCATCTCAATGATCAACACTGTCAAACAAGTAATTCATTTTCCCTTGCAACTTCGTGTCTTTGTAGACTTGTGCCACTTTCCATTTCGTGAAAGAAGGCCATATGGTCACATAATCACATGGTCTCGGATCCCTTAAAAAGATGTTGACATGGTATTTGCACTTGGTGCTCAACTAACAACTAATGGGCGGCGATTGAAAAACGCTGCCTGGCCTGTATACGTAGATAAAATGTTCAAGTCTTAGCGTATTTTTAAAGACCCTGGCAAGAAGGGTATATAAAACACCAGTCATCATTAAATAGTAGATCAGCTAAGTCCTGAATTAATTACGTAAATAATATGTTTATGTTATAATTTAAAGGTAGTTCTATGGCTGTCCTAATGAGTATTATATTATAATCTGGAAAATGATGAAAATTGCCATACACCGAGAATGATAAGGACCTCTCGATATCTCACTTTCGTGTGATCATACACTATCTAGCTAGTACTGTGCTCCATCGCATATCTCTGCGTCCATTCCTGTACCTTTGTATAGTATCGTGCCCGGTCTGTTTCAAAGAGATGCGTAGCCTCTGGGAACCCTGCGTTCGGATCTTGAAGAAGAGAGTGGATTTCAATAAGACCTAGGAAGCAATGATTAGCCGGAGACCCTTCTTAATACATATGCCAGGAAGGAGCAGTTTCTTTCACATTTTCTAATTGTCAATGCTGCGCTCCATGCAGACCCTCTTGGTTCTAATATATTGAGCGAAATGCTGCCAAATTCGTTGATGTTGGTATGGAATATCCTAGTTTTAAAGCGAATGCGAGGCGGAAGGAAGGGGTAATCATCTGGGAAGTTAATACTAAGGAAGAACAAACCACCGCGGTAGCTTGTGTCACTCTTCATGATTAAATCATTAGCTAGAGCACCTCAGTAAGGTAATGATTAGCTTACCGGACCCATGATTACACCCTCCCAAATCTTCTGTTATTGGGACCTTAAGTTAGTTGGGCTTTTACCAAGAACAATCCGGGTCAACTCACCAGATCTGCTCCGACTGGAAGCGCAAAGGTCTCCGTCCCGGTTTCAAGGGAATTCAGTATGTCTCTAAGCTCCAGTCTGATCCGCCTATAAGCGCCCCCGGTTTCGCCATCGGGGAATGGGGGCTGGAGAAGCTTCTCAATCGAGCCTTCGACCGCCGGCTCAGTTTGATCATCGATATTGACATCGAAATCGACTCCTGGGCTGGTAGGTGACGCGGTCTGGAGTATCGCAGCCACTTCAGTGTGGGAATTTTCTAAGGCTTCGTCTAACGCCGTGACTTGGCCTTTGGTCCTCGATGCTTGTCCTAACATGTACTTCAGCAGTCTGTATCGCGAATAATCGTCCTTGTAGTAGCTCAGTGCCTTCCAGAGAATCCTGGGCCCTGGCCCGTACGTTAGGGTATTATCAGCACCATGTTGGACCAGATATCTCACGACATGGACGAACCCTCCAGCCGCAGCACCGTGCAAGCACGTCCGGCCCCGCTCGTCAGCCGCATTTATATCATGATGGCCAGTATTGAGCAACGCAACAACACCGGGCAGAGACCCGACCCAAGCCGCCTGGTGAAGTGGCAATATCCCCTCTGAGTTTGAGAGCCTGCAATTGGCACCCCTCTCTAGAAGAAATTCAACAACAGCCACGTTGCCAGCCATAGCTGCTTGGTAGATCGGCGTCTCTTTTTTACGATTCTGCGCGTTGATGCCAGACTTAGATCCGCTCTGGATACACAACGAGCAAACTGACATAAACCCCCGGCTGGCGGCAGCATGCAGAGCAGTGTCCGCGTTGACATCAATCAACTCAGGAGTGGCGCCAGCTTCCATAAGTCGCGATATAACACAGTCGAAGCCCCGGCCTGCAGCAATATGTAAGGCCGTTTCCCCCTCCGAAGTTTGGGTATTGACAGTAGCACCGTGATGAAGTAGTTGAACCACGAACTCTTCCTGACGTGCTGCAACAGCGCTGTGTAGCACGGTCCACCTATTTATTGTCATGGCATTTACATCAGCACCCTTATTGAGGAGGGTTAGCGTCGTGTCGTGACCCCCACTGACGGCTTCGTGCAGCGCCGTGCGACCGTTCGAGGACTTGCCGTCGATATCAGCTCCGCGTTCCAGGAGAAGAGACACGGCGTCAGTTTTCCCGTATCTCGCGGCTTCGAGATGGGGGATTGCCGCGCCTTGAGAACCCCCGAGCTCTGCGCCGCGGTCCAGCAGAATCGTCATGACATCCGTATATCCGAATTTAGCTGCCATGGAGAGCGCAGTGCTGCCATCTGAGGCCTTGGCATCAATCAGGCAGCCCCCACCACGGAGGAGAAGATCTGTGGTTGCGGGAAGACCGAAAAAAGCTGCTAACCAGAGAGGCGGTGCATACTTTGGGGTGGTCCAACTGTATCTTTCGTAGCGAGCTGATGGCAGCACCAGGCCCTGGAGACTGCTTTCTCGGTACCCCGTATCTGAGAGAAGCTTCCTGATTAGAGGTTCTAAATCTGCCACTGCTTCTCCGCAAACTTTGGTGTGCTTTCCCCAGTTCTGGGCCGAGTAGAGAAAGAAGAGGTTTTGTGATAACCTATCATCCAGATCGGTGTCATTAAGGCATCTTCCGCCTGAAAGGGTGTCAAAGAGGAGATATGTGATGCAAGTTCGTGCTATGTTAAGATGCGCCGTCGGCATGGGAACTGGGGGAGCTTGCATGAGATATTCCGCAATCGTCTGATGAACAAATCCCACACATTGACTCTCTGTATTAATGGAGATAATACCGCTGCAGGTTGAGAGTAAAGCGTCGAGGTCAGGGAGGCCATCTTGATTCAGCGAGCAGTCTCCAGGTTCAACTGAAAGGGCACAGCGAGTTTCTTCCATGCTCAGGGGGCGGGTGGAAAAGAGAACCCATGCAATCAGTTGACGGCTTCTATGAGATTTATGAGGCTCCTGCGAGTATATCCTCTCCAGAATGCCAGCATAAGCCGAGTTCAAGTCTTGAGGAAGCGAAATTAGGGCTTGGCGAACCCGACGAATGCTATCTTGGCCGAGAACCAGGTCCATATGATACCGCGCCATTAAGAACCTAGTGCCGTCAGCTGAAGATGTTTGATCGGATTCCGTGTGATTAGTTGCTCACATGCCACTAGCTCTACCAATCACTGTTGAAACAACTTCATCACGCAGTGAAGGGTCGTTTTCACAATGTCTCGACATCAGAGACGATTCGCTTAGCCGAGACTCAACATAAAGACGCAAGTCCGACGTGCTAGGTTGAATTGAAAGGGACGCATAGCTTGCCAAAGGCCCCAACCCCGGGAGTCGTGATGTCGCCAAGATATTGACACGGGGGATGTCCAGGATCCGTAGTATGGATGGCACTATATCGGGGGCACATTCGTCAATGGCGTCTATAACGACAAAAACCTTTGATAGTTTATTGATCTCACTGGTTAGGACCGAGGCCATTTCGTTGAGACTGGGCCGCGTCCCCTTTTCTGCATTAGCATCGTACAAGCTCACCACCTCGTCGCTCAGGGGATATCGGTCGTATGCAAGCTGCCTCCAGATGCCGGCAAGAAGGTTGACCGGGGTCTGTAGGTCCTTCTCTTTGTAATTACAAAAGACCCCGGCAATTCTTACACCAACACTGGCAGAGTGCTTTTGTTGGAGGTGTTGGAGAATCAAGGCCCTAATGCACAAGTCCGTCAGCAGAAGCAGGATGTGAACGTCAAGACAAGATGACGGACGAGAAAATTGTTTTGCCAGCACCGGCTTTAACCGGTTAGCACAAAGTATCTAGCTGTTGAATATTTAATACACATGGGTAGCTTACGAATTCCGGAGCACAAGAGCCTGCTTCCCTTTCCCAATATCCACAAGTTGATCTGAGGGGAATCCTGAATAGATTCACAAGTCCCGCTTTGATATCGAGTAAGGATATCCTTCTGAGAAACGAAGAAGTTGATCGAGGACATCCATGAGATGACGTCTTTCCGCAATTTGTCTAGTGCTGTCAGCCATCCTAGTGCCGTTAGACGTGGAGTAGTTAGACACCCACCGTCAACCTCGAGGTTAAGCTTTCCAACACCGCTTTCGATGAGACTTGCTTGGCGCTTCACAGCGGGAAGTAATGCTGTGTTCTGTTCGATGATACTTGTGCTAGACCTGACAATTACGTGTTGAGCTTTCCTTCTTTGAAAGAAGCGTTGAGCAGTGCCAAGCATCTTACCAAGTATCTTGCTGTAAGATGAGAACTATATAAATCTTTGCCCGCACGACACTCTGCAGGAGATCTACAGCGCTCTCCTTCTTGGTCGGCCAGCGCATTCGCCATATCATGTCTCGAATCACCCATCGTGATGATGAAGACGGCCTGGGCGGTGCAAGTAGCAACGTAAGCTCCTGAAGAGAGGCCCTCACCTGATCCAATGGTCCCTTTAGCTGGGGTGGTGGAAGTATGCCAGTCGAAAGATTGAGGCTGATCCTCGAATCAAGCTCTGCGACGAGCGACTGCAAAGTCGACACCTCTTGAAATAAAGTTTGGCGATCCTCGGCGCTACCTTTGACACCGTCAATATATTTGAATGCATCCTTGGCTGTACCAACCAACTGCACGATGGCCGCGACGGCGCCGACAACTTCCATTTCGTCTGCGACACGTTGTCGTGGACATTTCTCTGCCTGGTCTTGCAGAGAGGTGCGGAGGCTTTTCCAAGTCTCAGTCACATGACAGAGCCACCACTAACTGTGAAAAGGCAAGGCACCTACCCCCTCTAGAGAGGGGGCGCAGTAAAGCAGTAATTCGTAACTGTGTAAAAACCGTTACCTTTTGTCAGCTTACTTAAAATGTACTAATTACCCAGAAAAGTCGGTCACTTAATAAGTTATAAATAGCACTGTATTTACTGTTTATTGGCATTTTTGTCTAGTCACTAAATTGTATATATGATTTGCTTTAGGGAAGCTTGGTTACGGTTTTAATGCAGTTACGAATTACTGTCACCTCTTTAGAGGTGGGAGCGTGGATAAACTCAACCCAGCGGGTATACCTAAGCTATAGGAGGAAGTAAGCACTAAAAGAGCTATTAAGTTAGTATCCCTTTAAGCGGCATATAGTAAAGTAATAAAAGTCTGCCAACCCCTCAGCAATTTCCTAACTACCATACTTTTAATACCTAACTTTAGTTATAGATTTATTTATTAATTAAATTCTAATTAATTTAATTTATATATTAATTTAAAGTATTAATTTATATATGTAATATTTTATATACTAACCCAGGGAATAAATATACTATTAAAGTCAGCTTTTTAAAAAATTAATATATTTTAATATCTTCTTTTATAGAATTACTACCTACACCTCCTTAACGTATCTTATAAACTCTACGATATTAGCTTAATTTCTTTTTAAATCTCGTAAATAAAGGAATATTCTCTTTAACTATCTCTTTAAAATTACCTAGACGTTCTTAATAGGACTTAAGTCTAGGGAATTTACTAGCCAGTTAATCTAGGATATTTTATTCTTAAGGAGCTATTTTATTATAGATATTTTAATATAAATTTATATATTATTTTATTAAGAATCTTAGGTATTAATATAAATTAGTAATAATCCTTTCTTTAAAGCTTTTTAATATAACTAAGTAATATAACCGTTATTATTTACTATCTTATCTTTTATTATTATAATAATAAAAGACCTTCTTATCTTTTAGATTATAGCCTAAAATATAACGGAAATAATTAGTTTAATATAATTAATTTAATTAATAAGGTCTTTATTATACTTTTCCTTAGGAAATTAAAAGTAATAGCTATTAAGGTTACTAAATAAATTCTATATAAATATATTATTAAAATTAATTCTCTAAACTGGTTAGTAATAAATATAATACTATAATTATAAATAAATATATATTTTTTAATTCTTTAATATCTTCTAGTTAAGCTTAATACTAAAGTAAATAAATTCTCGCTTTTTCTTTATTTAGCTTCGGTCTATTTATTAACTTCTACCTTTTCTTATAATAATTATAAACTAACTTTTATATTAATTATATTAAAACCTTAAGACTAAGGAAGGTATAAAGCTATTCCTATATTATAAATTAGTCTTAATAAATACTATAAAGAATATTATATTTCTCCCTTTAATTAAGCTTATAGAGATATCTTAATCATTTTTTATTCTTAAATATATATATTATAATATAATTTTTTATAATTTAAATTATAGTTAATATATTAATTAAGAACTTATATATAACGGCCTTTATAGATATTCCTATATATAATAACATAACTATTATAGTTTTAACTTTTAAAGTAAATTCTTATTCTTTCTTACGGTTAGGATATAATATCTCCTAAAAGAAAGGTCATTACGATATTATTATAATTTATTATATAGGAATGAAGAGGTAGGGTAGTTATATTAATAATAGTAGTTACCCGGTGGTTAAGGGTAGGGTCGGCAGACTTTTGTCACACTACTGTACGTAGTGGGGTTATGGCAAGAGCATAAGACTACCAGTACCAGGACTACTCACCCATTCCACTACGTCATTATCGACCCTAGCAGCCGTAACAGCAGTCTGGCCAGGTTAACATCCGTCAGATCTGTCAACACATCGAGTAAATGGGAAAGAGAAACAGTAACGTCAAGATAGTCAACGTGCCATCTCAAGAAGATAGCCTTACTATAAGCCGTGAACTAAAAAGACAAGCTAAGGCAGCTAGTCGATTCAAGTCTATGCGGCTCCTGGACCTTGAGTTCAGGGACATATCACGCAGAGCTTTTTCCGACGAGCATGGTTCACGCCGGCAACGCTCAGACAGATGCCATTCACAGCGGCAGCCTTTAGAATATTGAGTCATGGTCGCGGGAGTGAGCGAGACCTTGAGGGCTGGGACAATTATTCACCGAGGCTATAGTGAGGGACATGAATTGTTGGCACTGAAAGGTTGTTGTCATGAGGCGTGCCGAAGATCAGGCTTGTTTTTTCACATGTTCCACTTCTACTGAGAGGAGTGCGAATCACAACATGAATAGGTTGCGAGATTGTGTATAATTGATTGCCTTTTGATACATTCACCTCTTCAACAATGTAAATCCTTTCATTTGTCTCCATTGAATCGGCTTCCTTCTCACTCTTTCGAATCACCCTTAACATAGCCACTACCCCAACACACTCGTCCAGCTAGGATTTTCCGTACCAGTTCCGTCAAAATACACCAGGTAGTAGAAGATCGTTGTAATCAAGTTGAAGATTGTCAGCGATATATTAACGCTGACTTCTGAATGCAAGGTAAGTCCATGAACAACAAGGCGATCAGGAAAAACACCGATTCTTCCCATCCAGGTAGCCAAGAGTCCTTTAGGGGGGACTTTGCTAGACTCGTCTTCCTCCTTGTCGTTCTCTTGATCCGTGGTACGCTCCAAACTCGTTAAAGACGGCACTTCATCCTCCGAGCTCCTAGGCCCCCAGCATACAGTTATCAACTTTCCCACACCACCCAGGACCTTGGAGATAGTTATGCTGATTAGCATGGCAATAACCATTAAACTAATCGTATAACTGAAACTATCCGATGTAAATGGCGTCAGGCTGTCGGCTGCTCCAGAGTCTTCTGCCACAACAGGTTTTCTAGCTGCCCTGAGAACAACGAGTAGCAGGTAGAACCCTCGAAGGGGGATGACATAAGGAGATGCTGATATGTCCAAGCGCCGTCGTATAATAACATACATTATCCATATAAGAATCTGCACGGCCATGGCAAGAATACAAGAAGAGGTGCTCCATGCGCAAAGGGACTCTACATCAGTGGAGAGCTTCATATCTAGTGAGTATCCGATGTTGTGCCAGATCCAACACTCGAAGGGCACCTGAAGGAAGAGCGCCATGGGCACTATCCTGTTTGTTAAGTCGTCTTTATCTTCCGATGCCGCGCCTGTGGCTTCTGGCCTAAATCCGAAAAGCTCGATCATGAGCGAGGTGATTGTGGCAAGGAAGAAGATAAAGGCGCATATTTGAGTTGCTGGGACGCCTTTTAAACTAAAGACTTTGATGATTTGCGGGAGGACAGCGAAAGTCGTCAGCGCTAATCTAACGACAACCACAGCAGCGTTTGGGAGAGCACGGCGAGGATGTGGCGAGGGTTCCGATGCAGGAAATAGTCGCAAGATAGCCTTGACCAAAATGACGACATCGAAAATGATGTCAACGATACAAACAGCCGGGATGCATCGCATTAAATCAATGTTGCCGCCAAAAAGAGCGGTTTCCTTTTTCCGACCTGTAGATGGTTGCGCGATTGCAGCTAAAGCTACTGAAGCCAGAATCCAGAATGCAGCTGGACCGCCGACCTCATCGGGTGATTCCGAGTCGTTGGCCATGATTTTCTAGCGGCAGAGGAGAAAGCTGCTGCTGTTCGGATAGTAAGATGAGAGTATTATGAAGAGTAAGCGGAGACTATGAGGCTGTGCTAGCTCCGCCCACCAATCTGCCTAGAGGGGCGAGGTATTTTGATCCATGCACATGCACATGCACATCTGCGGTATTGAAGATTAGATAAAAAAAATAAAACTGTCTGATTTTATTGATAAAAAATAGTCATCTCCATGTCCTAGTATACAGCATCTAGCATAAATAAGTCGGCATCTTCATCGTATGGCGAAGGATCTCCAAATAAGAATCCCAATGAGTCATCCCTAATAAAGAACCTCCGATTCCAAGTCTCTCCATCATTCCGGGAGAAGAGAAATTCGCTGCCTGTGACTGAGAACTCACATTTGGGTTCAGTTCTGTTCTCTGATTCATCGTGAGAATTAAATACGACTAGTCGCATATTTGATTCGGAGTTGGGAGAATCCTCTGCCCTAGCTCTCGGTCCGCTAGGCATCCCCTCGACGTCAACAACGAGATAGCCATCACTGATCTGAAACTCTGTTCCTTGTGCTTGAGCGTCGACCAGCACAGCTTTCCAGGCAACCCCATCACTAGGGACAACCTGGACCCATTTTCCATGCTGAGCTAGACCTTCTGCGTTGACGACGAGGTGAAATGTGTCGTCAACAAGAATCTCCTCCCCTTTGAGAGTCAGGTCGAGCTGTAAATCTCCTTGATTGTTGAACTTGGGCTCACGCATGGCGAACTCTCCTGCTCCTGGAAACACAAACTTGCTCTTGTCGTTCAAAACAGCCGAAAGATCCTTTGTGAAATCACGCTTTGCTAGCGCCTCTTTAACCGCCTCCTCTGTCTTCTTTTCGAAGTCTTTCATGTCATCATCTCCAAAATTCCACCATTTCGAAGTGTCGTTAAACTGTTTGCTGCTAACACGTGGCAGACCACCAGAAATTGCAGTTTCCAGTTTTCCATCTTTGATGGTGTTGAGGCGCAGTTTCAGATCCCATTTCAGTTCTACATGGTTCTGAAACATTCCACCGTCGTAATTCACTCGTCTCATTGAACTAATGTCCATGGATATGTCGACTTCATCTGTGCCTGGCTTCCACCGCATGTAGTTGCCTATGAAGGTGGTCCATGAGTCAAATTCTCTCTTGCTAAGTGGCTGGCTCCCATGGCCCTGCCAAGTGAACCCTGCGCCCTTGGAAGTGGGATTCCACCAGGCCGTCGTCGGCATACCTCCCTCTTTCAGTTTCCAGGGACGATTAAACCCTCTGTCGCTGGTTCGGATCCACCACCAAATGTCATTGGCAATTGACAGGGTCCGTAGGTTGAATTCGGAGAACTTGGCAGCCAAGTAACCATCCCAAAAGACCCGTTTCGACATGGTCAGACTACAGTCGACTTTGCCCGTCACCCACTGGGTAGGCAAGGTGTCGTCGTAATCGGCCTCCCTGGGTAAGGCGTTACTGCCAGTCATTTGGAGGAACAAGAGAGCATCTAGTCCGCCTCGAATGGGTCGTTTTGTACTGGGAAAGTGGTCTTTGAAAGCTTGTGTGCTGGGAGTATAAGCTTGGGTGCGAAGGAACACTTTGGTGGGTTGAAACTCCTGAGGAAGCCGACTATCAGTGGTTTTGTTTACTTTGATAGTGTAACCCAACACAGAGTAAGGGCCTCTTCCAAGCCAAATGAGGTACTGATCGAAGTATCTCTTGAAAGCACCTATGACAAGGTCATACATATCGCGTTTTGTTTTAAAGTTTGGCGTATTGGGAAAATTGCTGGCCTCCATATCGATTGATGCTGCACTGGCATTGCTCAGAGTCAACAGGATCTGTGACACCGAGTACGTGCCCGCTGTCATGGTGGAAATCTTTTTATGTATATGATTGGGAATTTTTGCCAGCTGGGTTTCGTTGAAGTTGACGTTGAGCGCAACAGACCATCCATCAACCTTCTGAACAAACTTTTGGAAGTCTGATGGGGAGCTTCCGCGCCACCACTCAAATGTGCCAGACTTGAAATTGACAAAGAACTGAACAGTCTGTCCCCCATTCTTGTTGACAACAAGCTGGAGATGAGGAGCTGCAAGCTCAGCCTTCATCACTCCGTAAGAAGGAATAACATGGTTGAACTGTCGAAGACGAATGTCCTTTTTCTTCTTCAGGAGGTTACTGTACCTGAGCCTCAAGGTGGTGTTCAGAGTCTCTTCAGAAATGGCGATAACCTCATCGTATTTCTGTAACTTGTTGTTTTGCAGACGATTGACGTCTGCCTGGTTATGTTCCTGGTCGGTAATGGTTTTCGTTGCTTCATCATAAATGAACCGTTGGCTCCTTGGATCAATGGCCCACCCGGATGCAATGAATTGTGTACTCATTGTGGCCTTGCAGAATCTTTTGCTAGAGAGACAGAAATCAGCAGTGATAATCATACCACAGGGCCTGAAAACTGAACTTTATAATTTATTTATGTTGTGGTGGTAAGGAATCATGCGATAGGCTGCATCCAGGTTTGATTTGGCCATCAAAGACGCACGGGAGGGTGATAAGGCAATCCTCCCGAATAGGTTGAACGAAAGCTTAGAATCAATAGCGCAATGGAACATGCATGCATGGTCTAGTCTAGACTCTGCTCTTGGCATGTGGTACCACTCTTTAACCCCGGCAATGCAACATCAGAATCACAGTGACTGGCTTATCAGTGAATCTTTTGTGGGCATGACATTGTCAGCTTTCGTAACCACCAAGCACTAAGCCGATTTCAAGTCGCTTAGGTATATCCTGCATACCACTATTGATTCAACATCTAACGTGACAGCTTTCATATAGCTGATGCTCTTATTTAGGAGACCATTTCCTGCCGCGCGTCAGATTCAGGTGTTTTGTTCGGAATTATTCGAAGAACATGATCTAGATCATCCCAGTAATGTCCTCATGCGAATCTTTGGGTAAACGCTTAAGGGTCGTAAGATGCCATGGTTTCTTTCTTTTGAAGCATCCATAGCTCCAGCTAAACCACACAATGTCAAAAATCCAGGTTGACTGTGAGCTGATGCTCCAGCCTTTCCCTGAAAGGTCACTCACTGATGCTGAGAGTTTTCATGTACTACAGGATGCTCAGGCGAGACCTGTTATCCTCTCCATTGCTTCGAATAGGTCGCTGCTCATGGTAGCCCCAGACGAACTTGGACAGAATCAACTTATCAATTTGTCTGAAAGACTGAGTTTACCATCAAATGTCAGGTCGCTGGCAGTCACACAGGATCACGCAGATAACAGCAGGATTTATCTTGTTGTCGCTACCGGAGCAGAGAGTCATCAAGCCAGTCGTCTTCACGTTCTGAAGCCGTTTCGAATTGAGAATGGGCGCTGGTGGGAAGAACGTGACTGGCCGTCATTAATTTTGAAGCCGATCAATGACGGGAAGTTTGAGGTACACAAATTGTTGCTCGTAAGTATTGCCCTATAAACGGCGTAATCGAGTCTGATCATTTAATATAGGCAGGCCGTTGTGACGAAGGAAAAGACTTTCCCTTCCTGGCGGCCGAGACATCTGTTCCCGGAGTACCCAAGCACAATGTTTCACTCCTCGATATCAACACAACAGAGGATCAATGGCAGTGGGAGTCGGGCTCAGTACTGCCGTTCGACGTTTCAGATATTGATTGCCTCTGTGTAGCGTCCAGTGTTTCTACTTCGGGAATTCTATTTTTGGATAAAACACAAGGCCAGCCGACTGTTACCTTTGCTGAACTACGCACAACCGGCCCTGCCTTCTTCTGCAACTTGCCAATCCTGCCAAACCCCACGTCCATAGCAACTATCACGGATCCGGATGGTGCTAGCAATGTTCTCATCACAGGCGATGGAGGTATTTTACACGTACCGGCACAAGACTGGACCACCTCGTTTCCATATGGTACTATATGGGAACCAACGTTGCGCGATGCAGCCTTCCAGGGTGCGCACGAGGTTCACGTGGCCCAAGATGGTCTCTCATCTACAGTCTGGGCCATTAACGGCGACGGAAATGTTGTTGGCCAGAACACGAGACTAGCGCCGAGGGTTTCTGATGAAGGAGTGTTGGATCTCAAGGCGACTGGCAAAGCGGTTCCTTTATTTCCAACGAATGATGCTGTACGTCACTTCGAAGCCATCATCGACGCGAAAACAAAAAGACGGCAGCTTTTCGTGTTGAAAGCTGGAGGCTCGGTGACTTGGTTTGACCAACCTGGTGATTCGGACCTTTGGGCTACTTCAGATTTACGGATCCCAGACATCGAAGAGATAAAAGATGTGACTGCATACACATGCCAGATCCGGTGTTTTGATGAGCATGGCGCTCCTTTGGCAAATACTGAGCTCAGAGTCTCGGCTTCGAGCCAAGTACGGAGTGCCATCCATGGCGAAGTGGTATATCTTAGCCAAGTCTCGAGACCGGTTCAAACTGATGAAACAGGAAGCATGACGATTATTGTCCCTTCAAGTGATCTAGTTGTTCCTACATTGACAATCAAGGGGGACGGGTTGCCTGAGACATCTTTTAGGCCTGCTGACAAGGTCATTAAGAAACTTTCAGCCCTCGCCCAGAGTGGTAAACTCAAAGATGCACGCAACAAAGACGGGTCGGCCCTTTTCCCAAAGCTCAATGACGATGCTGTGAAGTCAATCAGTCAGCTTCATACTTCCGACAGTCAACAACAACCACAAAATCACCAAAACACCTGGTCCAATGCCGAAACATTCGATCTTATCACAGCACAGCATGGGGATAGCTGGGCTTCTGGTGACTGGGTATTTCTACAAGGGCTAATTTCTGGTGTTGAAAAAGTCGTTGACTTTGTCTGCGAAGCTGGCAGGTTCATTGTCAATACTGCCAAGAAAGCCTGGACCTTCGTCGTCAAAACCGCCGAGCAAGCACTCAAGGCTATTTCCAGCGTGTTCGAGTGGATCGGTGCGAAGATCGAGGATGCTCTTGTGTGGCTGGCGGAGCAGCTGGATTGGGAAAGCATCATGGATGTTCAACTGTTCATCAAGTCTCTGGTTCTGACGGGCTTGAACTGCGTCGAAGACACGGTAACCATGGGTCGAGAACACCTGGATCATTTGTTAGAGCGGGCTGAAAAAGAGGTTGGGAGCTGGCACTCTCCTCCACAACTTCCCGCATCATTGGCGAACCAAACATTAAACGCAGATCCGGATAAAGATAAAGACAAGACCGACGTGATGGATAGTCCGTTGTGCAGATGGGCAGACTCCAAGCTACAGGATAAGCAGGTCCGTAAATCGATGGATGTCGAGGGTTCTCAAGCAGGGCAATCGTCACCCTCCAACATATTCGACATGTTCTTCGAAAAAGTCTTGAAAGGGTTATGGGATATACTTGGCGACACTGCGTCGCACATTTGGGAAGACCTCAAGTGTCTTCTGGACAGCGGATCATCTGTAACCATGGCCGACATATTCAAGAGCATTGGCGTCGACTTGCTCCTCGGAATCATCCAGGTCTTGCGCAAAAGCACAAGCTTCATCTTCGACCTCATTACCCAAATACTTTCACTATTCCGCTCCTTCCTCAACGAAAAGATGGATATTTGGGTCCTGACCAAGGTTTACAAGAGAGTGAGCGGCGGTGATGACCTGACTATACTCAACCTGGCAAGTCTTGTTTTTGCCGTTCCAGCAACTTATCTATTCAAGCTGTTCAGCCTTGGAAAGAAACCCCGAGACGCTCCTGCGTCTGCGAAGATTCTTTCCGAGCTGAAGTCCTCGAAGAGTCTTGAGTCCCTAACTCTGAACACACAGTGGGATGCTTTAAGCCCAGTTTCACGAGACCCGCGTGGTCTAGAATCTGCTCAGCTTCTGTCAGGACTGGACCACAAATCTAGTATGACTTGGGGAGGCGAACATGCCGCTACTACAATCAAGCGAAAGTTTGGCGAGAACCCTAGCCTCAATACTTTTATACGAATCTGTCGTGGTGGTATGGTGATAGCCTCTTGTGCAATGCCATTCTGGACAATTTTTGATACCATCACAACTTCAAAGTCCTGGTCAACAGCGGTCGACAAAGAAGGTCTACCCGAAGGAAAACTACGGTCACTTTATGAGAAATTCTCACCGACAGTGGGCCTCGTTGCTTGGGTTGTGACGCTTGGGACTTCGGCCGTGGCTGTAATTCAAAAAACCAATACCAAACGCAATACAGACGCACTTGTCCTACGATGGTGTCTCTGGGTAGGGAAGAACGGGCTGAACTTTGCCAAAGCATGCTCGCCCAAGCCCAAGAAGCCACGTTTGTGTGGAGTTATTGCTGTAGTTGATATAATTTCTTACGCATTTATACTAGCGCTGGAGACGGGCCAAGAAGAGACTGATTCTGCTCTAGAAGCGATTCAAAGGTTCCTGGAAGACGGTTGGGCTTTGGGAAGTTATCTCAACTGCGTCAGTAGGGGATTGAATCCATATCAACGGGTTCCCACCCTTGTGGCGGGAGGGGTAATGGCTGCTGGTAACACTGTTGCCGCTGCGGTTCATGTGGCGTACTATATGGACCACAAAGAGGATGATGAGTACCATGCACCATCATGGTCTAACTCACTATCAGGTTCTTTATGGTAGTTGAATCATTACGTTCTTTGTATCGATCTGTAACCATGGTCAATTTGATAAATTCACTTGTTCACTTTCCTAATAGGGTAGGATCAGATCTAAGTCTAAAGTTTAAGGCGTGGAGGTATTCTCCGATATGGGCTCTTCGCATGGATAGGTATCACGGGTTCTGGAATGGGAAGCTCAATCATGTAAAGGTTTAGCATGGACCAACATTATATTCAAGAGGAAAGCCGATGTGATGGATTCGATTGTTACGAAGCGCTCAACTAACCAAGTCTCATCAACAATTAGGGTATCCTAAGAAACCAAAAACGAATCAGCAAGCCCAGTCAGCTAATATGATACTACGAACCGCCAAGACCACCCGGCTGGAGCGTTGGTTGGCTATTTGTGGATCCTTCTCTATTGGTGTCAGTACCTGCATAAGGCTGGCCTGACAGCGGACGCCTGCGGGTTACGTATGCTATCCTAGCTGACTATTGGCGCGGGTTGGGGGGATAAAGATTGGGAAGACTGTGACATACTGGCTGATCTTGGCTGGCATTGATAGCTGGAAATAGCGGACCGGACGTAATTTAGAGATTGCAGTGGCTTGACGCTAGCCCATGTATGCTTATTATTTATCCATTATTGTTCAATGGCCTGTTAAACCGTTGGCAATAGCTAACTACTAAAATATTATTCAACGCCACCAACAGAACACATTCGTCTTGGCATTTTGACGGCGGAATTTTAAAAAGGAGGCATTTGTGAAACACCTTCAACTCAGATTTGCCCTTTTGCAACCTCACCACATTCATTCGTTACAGTCGCTTCCACTCATTTTCACATTTGCTTTATTGCTTCACATCACGCCAAAATGGTTCATTTTTCTATCTTACCTGTGGCAGCTATCGCTGTGGCCATACTCGGAGCAGAAGCTGGCCCTTGCCGACCTATTACCACGGCCGTGACAAGTCTTCCTGAGACGTCGTCGATGGTGGCATCTTCTACTACGGTTACATCATTGGATGCTACTACGACTATTTCCTCGGGTGCCACTACAGTCACTACCCTGTTAGAAACTACCTCAACCGCCTCAGCCGAATACACGACAACTGCTACCCTGGATGCTACTACAGTCACTACCCTGTCAGAGTCTACCAGTACCGCCCCGGCCGCATCCACGACGACTACTCAAGAGCCCGCCTGCGTTGAAACCCAGCTACTTGCCAACCCAAGTTTTGATGATAGCGCCAGCAGCAAGGCACCCTGGGTGGCCGATGGCTGGCTCATCCAAGACAGTCCCCATAGCGGCCCTAACGCTTTGTATGTTCCATCAGCCCTTGTCCTATCACCAAATGATATACTAACGTATTATGCACCAGGGCCAATGTCTTCTACGGCGGTCGAGGCACCGCGAATGTCAAGCAGACCTTGAGCAATCTCAAAGGCAACTACCAGTTCTATTTCCATTATAGAGTTGCCAGTGCTAGCTTCGGTGCCGACTACACATGTGGCTACTCAGTCAAGGTCGGAGATGTGTCCATTTCTGACCTTGGTCTGTATTATGATGTTGGCAATTGGAGGTCGGGAAGCCAGAACTTGGCGATTGGGGCCGAGAATGTGGCTGAAGCTGATGTGGAATTGAGCATATCCTGCGATGGAGAGTTCGCTCAGGTTGCAGTCAATTTGGATGACATCACACTCACGCAAATCTGTGATCCTGATCTTTGAGGTTCCAGGGTAGTGTGACCAAGCCCTCTCAGCTAGGACGCTATAACTCACGGGGTCGAGATTGATTGTGTAAACTTTCGTATCTAGAGATATATATTTCTTTCTTTTTTTTTTCTGGTATGAGATTGCTGTCTAGAGAGGCTATTTATATTCAGCCTCCTGTGCATTCTCATTAGTTCCACCCTTTCACATACATTAAATTTCTTCATACTACCTGTTTCTATAACTAAGTCTCAACACTCAAGACAAGCCATTCATTCACCTTGTACTCCTAAACTTTATTGCTATCCTCATTGTACTCACTGCTTATTCCTATAAGATGCCCAAGGGATTGCATTACGATGTGCAAGTCATGGCGGCTAGCGCCCCAGAGAACCTCCTCAAATGCTGACAGTGCTTGGGCGTGAGATCTAGACATAGTGGTGTAGTACTAACCAGTGAGTATTTTTCTTTTTCACTTTGACCTTTGACTTTATTAAGCTTAGGCTTCCGAATCTCTTAGTTAAGATCTTTAAGGTTTAAAAGTCTCGCATACGGCAATAGAACTTTGATCAAATGAGCACCTATGACTCACACAGTCGTACGCGTAAAAGCTGGCTTTACCTTCCACACCCATCAACCTGTTCCGCACCACAATAAACAATTAAAGGTTTACTAGTATTACTAAACTTAGTTTCTATAGCAAGGTTACATTGTAATTCTCGCTTTGCCCCAGTAGGGGAACCACCCCCGGAATACCGTGCCGCTCAACCACTATCAGATGGTTGTGGGGTAGAAAAGGAGCATAAGCCTCCGACACCCGCTTCTGGAAGCAACAGGGATTTGTACATGTTGAGTAACACAGCAATCCCAGGTGAAGAATGCGCAACGACACCAGGCTCGCAGAACATGCAGTAAAGGTACATGCGTAGAAACCAACGAGCTTGAAAAGCCAGTCCTTTCGTAAATTTGCTTCTGCTCTAACGGAATGATGGATCTTGAGCTTATCAGGGGTGGGGGGATCTGTTCCATCGTGAATTTGTGGTGAGCATCCTGGGATCACTTACAGGCAACACACAAACAAGGCCCGGTCTCCGTCGTCTAGAAGGGGAACGGACAAGGCTGGCTCCGTCTCGCTCTCTTCCAGAGCGCCTAAAGCAGCACCCGAATACTACATCGGTCCGCGACCATTTTTGGCTCCGTCTTGGGTTGGGCATGGCTCTGTTAGTATATGAATGCTACTCATGCCGTCCTTTTCAAGATCACGGTCGCGTAGATTCTACCCACGGGCCTTTACCAATCGCCAACTGGGATTCTTCATTATGGATCCATTCCGCTTCTCGTGGCTTCTGGCCCTAGTGTCTCGTGAGTCTGAACATGTTCCACTTTAACAACCTTAAAGTGCTGACCTTGAGAAGTTGCTCAGTATGTCTCTGCTCAACAGTCAGCACCCACGGCTTACACCGATTCGTCCACTGGCATCGTATTCGACACATGGGCCGCACGCAGCATGACTTTCGGTTTCAGTTTCCCTTCAAATGGGCAGACCACGAACGCAGATGAGTTTATTGGATATCTCGTAGGTCAATATTCGGAAACAACTGCGTTTTTTTCTGACTATGTGAACAGAATTGCGCCACTCCCAGCGGGAAGGGCACCGGATGGTGCGGTCTCTCCTACGGCGGACCCATGACAAACTCGCTCTTGCTCTTTGCTTACCCTCACGATGGCGATATCCTTACTACCTTCATGTGGGCTAACGCCCAGGTTGAGCCTGTGCCGTACAAGGGCAAGGCTACTCTGACCCAGATCTCTTCCAAGATCACTGACGATGGCTTCACCCTGATCTACCGCTGCCAGGGATGTACTTCCTGGTCACAAGATGGCAATTCTGGTAAATTGGCGACCACCTCCTCAATTGCCGTCCTCGGTTGGGCCCACAGCATCACGAATGTGATCGACCCTGAGTGCCCCCGTGAGGCTCGCATGCTGCAGCATGAAGACCAGAGCATCTTCGGTGGCCAGCTCACTAGCAACGCCTTCAATACTAAGTACGACACCTGGGCTAAGCTCGCCACTAAGGTTGTCGAGGGCACCTGCGACGGTGGTGGGGAGCCGACATCCACTTCCAGTCAGCCTACTACACCACCCACCGGTATCCCCATCCCTGACGAGACATATGATTACGTTGTTGTCGGCGGTGGTGCCGGTGGTCTTCCCATCGCCGACCGTCTCAGCGAGGCTGGTAAGAAGGTCCTTCTCATCGAGAAGGGGCCTCCATCATCTGGCCGCTGGGGCGGTACCCGTAAGCCAGACTGGCTACAAGGAACCAATCTGACTCGCTTCGATGTTCCCGGTCTATGTAACGAGCTCTGGGTTGACTCTGCCGGCATAGCCTGCCCCGATACCGATCAGATGGCCGGTTGTGTTCTTGGCGGAGGTACTGCCGTCAACGCTGGTCTGTGGTGGCGTCCCAACCCAGCAGATTGGGACTTCAACTTCCCCGATGGCTGGAAGGCTAAAGACATGGCCAAGTACGAGGAGCGTGTCTTTGCTCGTATTCCTGGTACACGTTACCCATCTAAGGATGGCAAGCTCTACCTCGACCAGGGCTTCAAGGTCGTTGCCAAAGGACTCGACCAGGCTGGTTGGTCTGAAGTGAACAGTCTTGAAAAGCCGGCCGCAAAGAACCGGACTTATACCCACCCACCCTTTATGTTCTCCGGAGGTGAACGCGGGGGTCCCCTTGCTACCTATCTCGTCTCTGCCAACTCGCGGAAAAACTTCAAGTACTGGACTAACACCCAGGTCAACCGTGTTGTTCGCTCCGCCGGCCACGTGACCGGACTTGAGGTCGAGCCCTTCGCTGGCGCCGGTTATGCCGGTACCGTCAAGCTCACTCCCGAGACTGGTCGCGTAGTTCTTGCGGCTGGCACTTTTGGCAGTGCCAAGATTCTCCTTCGCAGTAAGTCTTGTCGTATCCGCGCGCTATCAGACTCCTCTAGTTCTAATCATGGCTCATAGGTGGTATTGGCCCAGAGGACCAGCTCAACATCGTTGCCAACTCTAGCCGCGATGGTGGCTCCATGATCAAAAAAGAAGAGTGGATCGACCTCCCCGTCGGCTACAATCTCGAGGACCACACCAACGTAAGTGCCAATGTCAGATTCAGAGTGATAAGATGATCAGTCTAACCTTGTGTCAGACTGACGCAGTTATCAAGCATCCCGACGTTGTGTTCTATGACTTCTATGAGGCCTACGATAACCCTTTTCCAGCTGATGAGAAATTGTACCTGGGTCAGTGTGCGCGATCCTTTACAACTCGACGATGAAGACTAACTGGCAGCTAGATAAGCGCTCCGGCATTCTCGCTCAAGCTGCCCCCAATATTGGCCCGATCATCTTTGACGAGATTTCTGGTGCTGATGGCCGCGTCCGCTCCATGCAGTGGACCGCTCGCGTTGAGGCCAGTCTCGGCGAAACTAGCAACAGTAAGTACCACTTGATAGTCAGTACAGTATATCAGACCAGACTTAACACGGTGATTCAGAATCCATGACCCTTAGCCAGTACCTCGGTCGTGGTGCAAAGTCACGTGGGCGCATGACCATCACCAGTGCCCTCAACACCGTCGTCTCTGGTAACCCCTACCTCAATGATCCAGAAGACAAGAAGGCTGTTGTGACCGCCCTTGACAACCTTCGCAAAGCTCTCTCTGGCGTCAAAGGTCTGGAGTGGCTCCAACCCGCTCCTGGTGTCACCTCGCAGAAATACGTCGATGATGTAAGTAGTTTATGAACCTTTGATGATGTTTACGGACTGCTAATGATACATACAGATGGTCGTCTCGTGGAGCAATCGCCGTGCGAATCACTGGATTGGAACCAACAAGCTTGGCAAGGATGACGGTCGCCAAGGTGGTACCGCTGTTGTTGATCTCAACACTAAGGTCTATGGCACTGACAACCTCTTCATCACTGACGCTTCCATCTTCCCAGGCATGGTCACCACTAACCCCAGTGCCTATTTCGTCACCGCTGCAGAGAAGGCCAGTAATGATATCCTTGCCCTTCCCGTATCTAAGCCCCAGGGACAGTACGAGCAGTGCGGTGGCAGCAAGTGGAATGGAAACATGCAGTGTGGCAAGGGCTTCTACTGCAAGACGCTCAACCCCTTCTACGCTCAGTGCTACCCTAATGCCTAAGGTATGAGGGTCTGTAAATCTGTTCACATCATTGATAGTTAACCTAGTATTTAAAGAATTGGCTAGGTATGGCTCAAATGAGATCTCTTATTACAATATTTCCATTATCCATTATGTTTCTACTTATGCTTAGTAATTTCAGGTGTCTTTTGAATTACCCCGAACGCCGAGACTAAATTGCAAGTTTCGCCGTCTCCGTGTCCACTCCGCTCCGCGAAAGTTTATTCTACTCCGCTAAACTAGCACTTTTCTCCCTTGCATCAGCATATCCTACTTCGATAGCTATTTGACTCCGCCTGAATAGTAATCAAACTCAGTCTTAATAATTCACAGACAACTAGACTACATAGATAGCAGTATTAGTAAATTCTTCTATATAAGTAGTCCATAAGTTCTAAAATCTAGGAGGTCTTTATATCTCACTCTTAATTCTCAATCTTATTACACCATCTCAAAAACCAAAGCTCAAACTTCTCAGCCAAAATGTCCTACCAAAGTGTTGTTCTCGTCGGTGTAAGTATCCATAAACAGCTACCATGTCCAAATCATCATGCTAACAGTCTCTAGGCCAGCGGAAATCTGGGCAAATTGACGATCCCGATTTTCCTCCACTCGGGCCTCAAAGTTACTGCCTTGATCCGCAAGACATCTGAAGCCACCTTCCCTGATGGGATTGACGTGGTCAAGACTGACTTCGATCTCGGGTCATTGACCAAGATCTTGCAAGGCAAAGACGCTGTCGTTAGCTTTCTCCCCATTGTCTCTCTTGCCAGCCAAGCTGTCGTTATCGAGGCAGCCATCGCCGCAGGGGTGAAGAGGTTTATCCCTAGCGAGTACGGATCTGATTCTACGGTACGTTACCAAGCTCAATAGCATTTATAGTTGCATAGTCATTATACTAACTTGCACAGAACCCAGCCGTCGTGGCTGCTGTGCCCTTTTTCGAGGCCAAGAAGAAGTACATAGACTATCTGAAGACCAAAGAAGACTTTATAAGCTGGACGTCTCTGGTTTCCGGTCCTTTGTTCGATTGGGTACGTACTTATAGAGTGAAACGCCTTGGGTACTAAGTTAACTTTACTATTATAGGGTCTTCCTATCGGATTCTGGGGATTCGATATCGCTCATAAAAAGGCACAGCTGATTGACGGAGGCAAGACTAAGTTCACTGCCACCAACGGGGCGCAAGTCGGTCGCGCTCTTGTTGCTACCCTTGCCAACCCTGCCAAGACGGCCAACAAGCTTGTCTCGGTAGAATCCTTCACAACTACCCAGCTAGAGGTCCTAGACGTGTTCGAGAAAGCGACGGGATCTAAGTGGGAACGAGCTGATGTACCCGCTGATGTACTGAGGGCGGATGCGGTCAAGCTGCTCAGCGAGGGTGATTTACTCAATGGGGGCTCAAAGCTCATCAGTGCCCTCGTCTTTGGCAAGGAAGGGTTAGAGGACCACACGCATCTCGACACCGCTAAATGGAACAAGGAGCTGGGTCTCCCAGTGGAGACGGTCGAGGAGACTGTTCGACAAACTCTTGCAGACCTTGTATAGATGGCGAGGTTGTGGAATAACAAAGACTATGTTCAATAGTTATATACAAAGCTACTCTATTCCGAAATGATTTATTCTATTGAGCCTTAATAGTAGACTAAAAGGAAGCAGCGAATCTATTCTATCTTTTGTGGATTGCTGTTCATGGGATACTTCCACGGAGCTTTGCCCAAAAACGGCTCAGGTGCTGAGATATAGTCTAGGATAAGCCCTTGGCTAATTTTCGGAGAGGTATAATTAGCAGTGAGATATCGCTGGATATAGGGGATCGAATAGATATACCTTCCTAGAAGGTAATCCATTCTGGTCGCCCAAGTTGACAATCGCGTCGCTTGAGCGGAACGCAAGTAATCCCCCCTCAACGGCTCACATCTCTCGACCTGATACTCGTCGAAGATAGTCTCCAGAGCTGTCGCGTCTGGCTTATCCTCTATGCATATCAATGCTCGTAGTTTGTTACACAATGATACTACGTCCTGGATACCATTGTTGAAACCCAGGCCTGAGTTTGGGGTAAACTTGTGCCATGCGTCCCCTACAAGTACGATGCGACCGTTCCAACTGACTTTGCCAACAACTCCCTCCTCCAGATTAGTCATGCCTCCAATGACATCGGGGTCTTGGAGTACATCTTTGACCGTCAATTTTTCAGTGAGTGGCCAGTCTGCGAAGGTGTCCTTAAAGGACTGGATAGCCCCTTTGTCGTAAAGGCACCTTTCGTTAGACGGCTGATCAAGCTTCTCGTATAAGAATATCCAGCCTTTGTTACGGCCTGTCAGGTACATCAGACTGCGGTCTTGGCCCTGAGTTTCGTAACTATCCCCAGGCTCCGAGGGCCGACGGAAGGAGGCCCACAGGCACTTGTAGGTAGATGTGAAAGGGTTTTCAGGGTCCCAGACGGAAGCAAGTGATGGGTCATTTTGGAGCGCACAGGAGCGCATAATCGAACGGGTCTTGGAATGAGCACCGTCAGCGCCAATGATGATGGACGCCGAGTAGGAATGCCCATCGGCACAAACGACGTCTATTCCCGTTGAGGTCGCGACAGCACTGGTAAGTTTCTTGCCCAAAAGATAGCGTGACTTGACATCTTCGGGCAAGTTGTCATACAGTGCTCTGACCAGCTCGGCTCGATGAAATGCTACCAGAGAACTCCCATGACTATTGTTTATGTAAGTAATTGACGAAAACAGAGAAAGGCGATCTACCAATAGTCACTTACTTTTCCTGTAGGATGCTTAGAGCGTAGGAACGGCTGAACCTGTGCTTCCGTGCATCGAACCCCTGTGAGTGGTGTAGCAGTGGATACCCAATTCCCTTAAGATGGTGCCATAGACCGAGTTGATGAAACACTCTCAGGTTATGTGGGCTGACGATGAGACTGGCACCAGCATCTTCAAATATATCGCTTCGCTGCTCAAGAACGACAAAGTCTATGCCCGCTTGGTGAAGGGCGTGCGCCGTAAGTAAACCGACAGGTCCACCGCCGACAATAATTACTGTAAAAGGACTTGTCAACATAGTGTTGTGACAAAAACATTCGGTGGAGGTATGCTACTCCATTGATTGGATGTATCTAATCAGCCGTGGTATTACACGCTTACGGGAATCATGCCTGTATTTGAACACAGAATAAGGTGCTTGGTGAGGCCTGGCATGAAGAGCGGTATCGCGCCATCCGTCTGGCAAAAGACGAACTTGTGGGGGTGGGGTCAGATTTGCGCGTAAAGTTCCACTCGTCGTAGTTATCGGATAGAATCTAGAAGACAGACAATTACGATACCATGTAAGTTAATTCTTTTTAGCTTGCCCCACTGAATCTCAGCTAAATAATGGTTGGGAGTCAAGAAGCTGTGGCGTTCCTACGGTTGAACATCCCGTGGATCATAAGAGATGAGGTCGCAAGTACACTTCACGCTCAAGGACAAGTCAAAAGTGTGAGAATTGGTCTGCTCTACTTATGTAAAGTCTGGTAGCACGATTGAAAAAGAGACCGAGCTGTCCCAATAAAATCCATAGAAATTTCAACGATAGAGGTCTCTACACAGATTGATCTGCTTTACTGTTATGCGAACTTCGAGTTATTTATAATGCCTTGATATTCAGATTTACAGAATGATGGCTATTTGACTGATCTATTGACCTATTCTTTTCCGATACCTGATACAGCATCCTCAAATGCTTGGTCCACCTATCAATGGCTGATTAGAATTTTCGAACTATTGGGAAGGCGTTAAGCTTACATCATGATAATACATCCACTTGCGCTCCTGATTTGAGACATTCTCGATTCGACCGGCAATCTCTTCTTCCACCGACGAAGCCTCACGCAATGTCTTCCCGTGCGAAGCAGCGATGTCGTCCAGGGTCTGGTAAAGAGCACGATAGTAGGGTGATCTCACGCTGTCAAAAAGATTCAGGGCATCTTTCAAACCTCCAGTTGACGAAGCTGCCCATTTGAGCGCTCGTGCCAGCGTGTGTGCGTCTTCGAGAGCGAATGCGGCGCCAGCACCAAAAGCACCAGACAACGGATGTGACGCGTCTCCAATAAGAGCAATGGATTGGTGATTGACGACTGAGGGCAATCTTGTCCCGCCAAAGTAGTCAAACCGATTGATCTGGGTGATGAGTGAGAGCAGCTTCTGAACTGGCTCGCAATATTCCTTATGTTTTTCGATAAACTTGGCGACACTGACTTCTTTGCCCCAGGTCGATCGGTCTCCGTCGTCGGCCTCTCTGATTCTGCAGGTGACTTCCCAGTCTTCATCGTCCAATGGAGCTGTATAAATCCACTTGTCTTCGGTGCCATACCAGAATGCTGAAGCCCTCGACAGGCAGGTTATCCGCTCGACGTCAGCGACTTTGACTACCGCTCTATAAGCGGTCGCGCCTGTGTAGTGGACGGAATGATCTGGAAAGGCAAATTTTCTAACGACCTTATGATGATAATGAGTTTATTGTTGCTGCTGTCAATGATGAATTATGGCACAAACTCACCGATCGAATACCATCGGCACCAACGAGGAGGTCGACATTGTCGGTGAAGCCGTCGTCGAATGCTAGGCGAAGCTTGCCACAAGGTAGCTGCTCGACACTAACTAATTTCATACCCGGTCGAATACGGCGTTGATCTGTTTCTTTCAACAATGCCCTCTGCAATCTACCTCTGTGAACTCGGCAGGGAGCCTGATGACGAGGAACATGTGGTGGCGGATAGGTCTGCTTCACAAGTATGCCAGATATCCCGTCCCTAGAATAGAATTTTATCAGCGTACATCATCAAAAAGAACCATCTGACCTACCTGTACTGGTAATCGTGGCCATTTGAAGACCTGAAGAAGTCATTCGGTCCAAGGTGTTTGGACGCCCCGAGCTTTTCCAGTAAGCTCCAGGTGCTGCGCTGCAAGGTAATGCCAGTTCCAATTTCACTGATAGCTGGTTTCTGCTCGTAGAGACGCCACTCCACAAAGGGTAATCTGCCAAACTCAATGGCAGCTGCCAGACCGGCAGGGCCACCTCCAATGATGGCGACTTTGATACCCTTCCCTAATTGTTTTGAGGCCGACATCCTTGGTCGGTCTGTGATGTACCTGAGTCAAAAGAGCAATGGGATCGAGTTTGTTAGAGAGAAACAGGGAAATTTTTGTCTTCGAGGCTTCCAGGCTCATGCTCACAAGAATTTCTATATCGTCGTTGGACCGTCGGAATTATTATGATATAACGCCGCTGTCACAGCGATTTAGGCGGCTGCTAGGATCTTCCTCCAGTTCCTGTCATGCCAGAGACTGACATGCCATTCCGATCAAAATCTCGGATCTGTGCGCAAGCTAGATAACGAATTTCGCAGATGGTGTGAGTGATTTTTGGTGATGCTAGGCTTTATGCAGGGTGGCTTATGTAAATTGTGTGGAGCTGGTGTTGATAAAGGTCGATTTCTACATGCACAGGGGGCATTTCGTCATTCACTAGTCGAAATGTTTATTCAGCAATCCTCTTCCCAGACTCAGATTGAAGAAGTCGGGACCTTGACATAAGAGTCCCGAGCTAGTTATATGTTGTTTCTTGAGCTTGGGCCCGTTATCACGCAAGAGCAATATGTTATGAGGTAAACATCACCAACTCGGTCTACTTGAATTGCCGATGCTTGGTGAGTAGGTAACTATAGTAGCAAGCATGGTTTTCGGAACAGAATTACAAGATATATAATGATATCGCTATCCTTCTGTGCATTTGAATGTCAATTGAGTAGACTGTATTCAGCTTCAGCCTCGTTTTCACTACTTGAAGGTCTCACCATGTCTCTACCACTGAAACAAAACGAGTTTGACACCAGTATTCGAAGCAACGATGATATTGCAGATCTTCCGAGGTCGACTGGTCACGATATCCTCGAATCCGACCTTGAGGATGAGGTGCTTGCGATGAAAACTCGCCTCGTAAACGATGTCAGTCTTTCTTCCCTGCAACTAGGCCTTGTACTTACACGAAACAGGCAAATGATAAGCTCGGCTGGACGCCTTTCCACTGGAAGCTCTTCTTCCTTAACGGTTTCGGCTATGCTGTGGACTCGCTGTTGACCATGGTACAGGGTGTGACTGGCCCCCAAGCATTTCTAGAGCTTGCCACTGCGTCCTCCTACGTCAATGCAGGAGTCGTAGCCCAGAATGTGGGTCTCGTCGTGGGCGCGCTGTTCTGGGGATTCAGTGCTGACATGCTTGGAAGACGGCTGGCATTCAATGTGACGCTCTGGATCACTTCTCTCGCCATGATCGTGGGGGGCGCTGCTCCTAATCTTCTGTTCTTGTGCGCTTTCCTGGCAATATCGACATTTGGGTCCGGCGGAAACTTGATTCTTGATCCGACAGTGCTGCTTGAGTTTCTTCCGGGTAACAAACAATGGGTAGTTACAGCGCTGGCTGGGTGGTGGGGACTGGGCCAATCGATTACTGGATTTATTGCCTGGGGCTTCATGAGTATGTTGATACCTTCCCCAACCGCATATTTGCATGATCTAACTTTATGGGATAGCTCAAAGTCGTTGGAATTGTTCCGCCAGCGATGACTGTGGGTGGAATAACAACGCTGGCTGGCGCTACGTCATGTTCACGTGCGGCGCACTCGTTTTTGTCCTCTCTGTACTCCGCGTTACAGTGATAAGACTCGTGGAAACTCCGAAATACCTTCTGACAAATGGGCGAGATGCCGATTTGGTAAGGTATTACCAGGACCAGGCTCGCAAATACAACAGGCCCTGCACCCTGACGTTGGAGCAACTCCAAGCTTGCGGGGAAATACGCTTAAAACAGAGGGGGGAGAAGACGTTTATTGTTAGTGAGGCCAAGAGCCATATTCAAGGTCTTTTCGTCTCTCGTAAGACAATTTTGAGCACGCTTCTGATATGGGCCTCGTGGGCGATCATGGGATTGGCTTATCCACTATTCTACGTATTCCTCCCGTAGGTGGACCATGTTCTCCTCCTTATTGAACAACGCTGACTTGGGAATAGGGCCTACCTCTCAACTAGAATACCCGGGAAGACGGTATCGCAATTCGAGACGTATCGAAATCTGACATTGACAACGATTTCTGGAATTCCTGGCCCACTCATCGCTGGCTACCTCGTTACAACGAGATTGGGACGCAAGTATACCATGTTCATTGGCGCGCTTTCAGGCATGGCTCTCTTTTTTGGCATTACCGGGATCAAGACCGATGAACAGAACGTCGGCATCTCTTGTGCTATCTGTAAGCCACTACCCTCTCCTTAGTAGTTACGAATACTAAGACCGCGATCGCGCTGTAGCTTGCTGCATCAACATCTACTACAGTACATTTTACGCCTATACAGCCGAGGTCCTTCCATCAGCGCATCGCGCTACCGGAAGTGGCATCGCAGTGTCCTTCAATCGGGTCATGGGCATTGTATCAGCTTTTGTGGCTTCGTCTGGCAACACCGCTACAGCTGTGCCGCTTTACGTATGTGCAGCCCTATTTGGTGCCTTGGCTTTGATTGCAGTCTTGTTTCCCTTTGAGCCACATGGCCGCCGCAGCTCTTGATCAATCCCGCTCGGCGAGGGTTGGAGGATGAGTGAGAATGACACATCGCGAAGGATTCAAAATAACAGGCAACAAATATCTCACACACTAAGGTCGATTATCGCTAAGGGAAATCATGTTAGGCAGCTATAGGTCTTCCAGAGAAGGGATCGAGCTGTGTGTTCGTCTATCAAGTAGATATTCGCCACAGCCAATGGTTATAGCAAACACCATTACGGAAGTCCGTGCTTTTGCCGCAATTTTACGCTCGCCAGTATTCCCTATATGATCTCTTTACTCTCGGCTGGTGGGCCACAGTGATCTAAATGTTACTTACTGAGATCTAATGATGGATAGGAAAACGTCGCACGATGGTTTCATAGGCTCGACAATTAAGATAGAAATAAAAGCCCATCCCATAGCAAGTTTAATATAGTCACCTTAGTTATGAATTATTAGTAGAAATGTCCTAGGTCCTAAATTAATCTCCTATAAAAAGGTCTTATCTACCGTTGTGTCGAGGAATTTAGTCCCTTTAGTATGGATGTTAGAATTGAGTTTCGTAAGTTTGTCTTTGGATTCTTATCCTTGCGCTATTTCTATTTAGGACTATCAAGTCAGCTGGCTCCTCTTTTATCCATCTGAGGTTCAATTGGCTAAAACGCGCTTCCTGCCTACATGACGTCTCCGGTTCAACATTTAACAACTAGCAATACAGTAAGCACGGACCCTTGCTTGTAAAGTGAGCGCTAGGAGGGGAAGAAAAGCACTGTGAATGAAAACCATTGACCGCTATCTTACCAGCTTGGAGAGCACGCACACTATCATTACATCACATGATCACTACCGATACAATGAACAATCCAGATCATCTACAGGACATCTTTTTCGAAATCTCCAATTACCTCCCCTTCAGTTCTCTCGTTGCGTGGTCGCTCACATCTCGCACACATTACGATGCGCTTACGGGAGTCATCCTGCACAAACTGGGCGGCTGCGAGTATCGTCCCTTGAAAGAATGGAGGGATGAGGTACGCCCCCAGTACTGCCCCCACCTCCATAACCGTCGTCATATGCTGGACATTCATGGAGGAGACTTGTATTTCACGACCTTTTCGCGGGCCGCAGTCCTGGTGTGGGCAGCCTCACTGGGACATGTCCGGACAGTCAGGAACATTCTATCCGTTGAAGAGATGGGGCCATGGATTGATATACCCGTCCTCAGCTCCGGACACGGAACGTCGCTGGGGTCGCTCGGCATGACTCCTCTCCACGCCGCTGCCGATGGAGGCCATGCCGGTGTCATTGACCTTCTCGTCGAATACGGAGCTGACGTGGAGGCGACCGTAGCTGGAAACCTCCGTCCTATTCACTTTGCCAAAAACGAGAATGTCGTCATGGCGCTTGTGCGACACGGGAGCTCAATCCATCCCCAGGGGAAAAGCTCCGTGCCCCCGTTGACATATATCCTTACCAGGAATCTCGATTTGAGCGCCGTCCGCTGTCTGGTATCACTTGGATGCGATATAAATGCTCCCACATGGCTTGGGGTAACGGCTGTAGATGCAGCTATTCAAGCCGGAAACACAGAGGCACTAAAGCTGCTGTTGGACGCAGGGCCAGACCTTTCTCACTGGACATCGGGGGTTGACTCTTTGATATCCGAGGTAGTCGGCTACCATCAGAGGTTCCGGCCTTATGTGGCTCTGCGGATGATGAGGATCCTCACACAGCACTATGTTACTCACGATCCGAAGACCGCGGAGAGTAGTCTCCGACGACCAGCTGAGGTAGGCTCAGCTAGTGACTTAGAAAATGCCCATGGTCCATTTGGCATGATCTCTGAAGAGGGTATAATGGTCATCAAACGTCTACTGTTGGACACAACAAATGCCGGAGTCAGTCGTGAACTCCCGGACACGGACCAATATTTGCACATGGCCAACACACTTTTGCACTATGGAGAATCCCTTGATACCTACCGTGAAAACTCAAGATCGGCCAAATTTCTCTCAGATCATAGCCAGAATTACCCAGAATTTCTAGATTGGATATTCATGTTCTTACTAGATCAGCTGGCAGGCAACTTGATGCTGCACAGTTACCAACATCCCATCCAGCAGCCACCCATCCACACTCTCTTCACGCGAGGGTACCGTCTGTTCAAATCAGATGCCAACACAGGGAATGATACTAGCGTCTTCGAGCGGCTCCTGGACTTTGGGGCGGATCCAAATGAGCGCGATAGTGAGGGCAATACTCTGCTGGCACTACTCTGCCAGCTCCCCGCCGATACCTTTGAGAATAAAAGCTGTGCCATGCATGGGACAGTATCGTGGGTCTCGGAGTCGCGTAACGAAAGGTTCTACATTTGGTACCTTGACTCGGTATCAAGCCAAGACTGCAACCTCGACGTTCGCGACTCAAACAAGACGGTTTATCTGGGTAGACTCCCGGTGATGCCATTACCATGTTTGTTACGACACAAGAAGAAAAGGAACTTCATGTGGCATCGAGCACACTTTCTCAACTTCCTCCTCAAAAAGGGCGCTGACGTCCATAAAAGGCAGGGACCGAGTCTGGATAAGCCACTCTGCGCGGGAGGGACACCACTACATTTTGCTTGTTACGACGGCGATCCTGCCATGGTGAAGTTGCTGTTTGAACATGGCGCTGAAGGGGACGTCAACCAGCTATCCGACAGTGGCTTAACACCGCTGATGGTCTTGGAGACTGTGGGGCGCAATGGATTGCTTGAAAAAAGCCAATTTGAAGAGATAAAGCAGCTTCTTTCAGATGCCGGAGCTACCTAGAGAGAAGATTGCAGGGGGTTTACTTCTGCAGATCGCAAGACATCTTTATTTACACAGAGCGGGACAAAGGCATCCCTATGATAGATATCAATGTTTTATCCGAGACCAGCAACGGGTCAGATCATGTAAACTCAACTGTAAATACATGTTAGATGAAATTGGAAAGGTTCTGGGTAAGACAGGTTGCACAGCCCAGCTGGGCACGTAAGATGGCGTGAGGATCTGCATCTTTGCCAAGATTAACAACGGAACACGTGCTCCCACTAACATGTGCTATTGGCTAGACTTTCACACAACAAAGCTATTGAGCCGCTAACAGATGCCCTGTTTAAGCTTAAATTTTGGCAGGATGAGCTTCAGAGTCTCGTGGTGATCCATTTCTCATGCTGTACGCATGCACGGTCAAAACCCAAGATGTTAAGAATATAAACATTTACTCATTCAAGTAGATCGTTTCTCGTTATAATACGGCAAGCAATTGAAAACTTCTATAAATCCCGACGAAGCTTAAATGCATCTCCCTATCATCCTCCCGACAACGACAATCCTCATCACCGTCTCGGCACTCTCGCGGGTCAATTGCTCCGCCTCATGAACAGCGTCATCAAGAGTCATAGGTCGTTGGATAATACAAGTAAAAGCGTCGATACCGATATCGTAGTTCACTCTGGCTCCCTGGCCAATTGTTCCCGCAATCGCAATGACCGGTAATCCGTGTTTCTTCGCGAGCCTGGCCACTTCAGCAGGGATCTTCCCTCGTGGCGTCTGATCATCAATGCCACCCTCGGCAGTCAAGACAAGGTCGCAGTCGTTGAACATGCTGTGAAGGTTTATGTACTGCATGACAATCTCATATCTAGGCTTGAGAGTGGCCCCTACCAGACGAAGCCCGGTTCCAAGGCCGCCTGAGGCGCCACCTCCAGGAGCTAGACGCACTGACTTGTCGCACAGAATGTTCGAGGCAACATCTGCAAGTTTCTCCATAGCGAGACTCAGGATTGCGGATTGCTCTGGGGTAGATCCCTTCTGGGGGCCAAATACGTTTGCTACTCCGTCAGGGCCACAAAGGACGTTGTGCCAGTTTACCGCAACCTCGATTCTTGCTTTGAGCACGCGACTGTCAACACCAGAGAGATCAATCGAGTCAAGTGCAAGGAGTGATTCACCGCCTTGGGCAATTGGCAGGAGACGTCCTTCATGGTCAAACAGCTTTGCGCCAAGTGCCTGAAGCATCCCTGCACCGCCATCACAAGTCCCAGAATCGCCGCACCCGACAAGAATGCGGGTCGCCCCAGCGTCAAGAGCTGCAAGAATAAGTTGCCCAACTCCGTATGTCGTAGTTCTTCCGGGGTTGCGATGACTCTGTGGAACAAGGCTGAGACCTGCTGCAGCGGCCATTTCAAGAACGGCAGTAGGCGGCTCGCTGCCCTTAGGCCCAAGGATACCGAAGAATGACATGATGGTCTGTCCCACTGGTCCAATGACAGGCACGTTGTGCATCGAGCCTCCCGTTGCCGAAACAATTGCCGTAGTAAAACCCTCTCCTCCATCAACCAACGGTACTTTGCGTACCGAGGCGTGAGGCTCAACAGCGAGAATACCAGCTTCAATACAGTCTGCTGCCTGACTTGGCTGAAGGCTGCCCTTAAATCCCGAGGGACAGACAAGGATTCTCATGCTTGGTGCGATTTTAACGGAGCCCATTGTGATTTTGTTTGGGTAATTTTAATAATAGGTTGAATAAACGAGGGAAAACAGAATAAGTAAAGCGAGTGATGTTCTATAGCGAACGATTGTTGTGAAGCTGGGAGCTTGATTGAAAGCGAATGTGAAGATGAACTGTTGATCGATTTGATTTAATGGTATTTCGTCTCGGATCACGCATCACTATATACTCCAACGTTCTTCAATTCAGACTACAAAAGATGATTGTGCATCTTTGCAATCCCCGTTGCTCAGTGGTCTCATCCAAATTCCAGAGATACCATTATCGCAACTCAGCCTCTCAGGAAACAGTTAGCTATGTGGTAGCTCGAAGCCTCGACCAGAATAGTAACATGTCGTATGCTCTTCTATTTTCGAACAAACACTGAACATGTTATCCCCGTTTGCATCACGCGATCACCCAAGCCACCACGAGTAATTAGAGCATACTTCAGCCAACATGAGACAATGGAATCAAGTCATGTAAAGTCTTTTAGGGGACGCGTCATTCATGTGCCGCTTCCAAAGTTGGGGACTACCAAGCAAGGGCAGACCAAAAGGCTTGGCGGGCGGGGATGGCATGTTGAAGCTTATCGGAGGAGGTCAATTAAGCTTAATTCAAAGTTTCATCATCCCCCGTGGCTTTGCGTCCTTCCCCCAACATGAGTGGTCGATAAGCAGTCGGGCTGAATCAAAGAAGCAGGCTAGCAATGCTTGGCCCTGGCACTAACGTGATTCTGCTGGAAGGATGGGGAGCTTCTGCCAATGGAGAATCACCACGCAACTTAACAGGTTCATATTTAGAAACAGTGATAAGGAAGCTAAGATTTGACTTCTGAACCTTGTTGCATGAGGATGATGTCGCGTGGCAACAGTGACATACAGGCTACAGCAAAGAACAGACCTACGAATGAGCGTGAGAATATGTAGATGCTCTGTACTCTGCCTTTAAGTTAATCCATGAATTGTTTGCACTTCGCCTTGTGATGTAGCATCTCCCAAGTGTACCTAGCAGTGGCTACATTCTAATTGGCCCTTGATGATTGTTTCATGTGTTAGAGTGCGATGACATCAAACCCAGGTGTCATATCTTGGCATCGCCAACTGAGCAAATAGAATTCTTACAATCGCATAGGGCTTAGCTAAAACCACCAGCCACCACCATGACGACCATCCACCCTCGTCGATCACTTCTATCAAGGCCACTGAGATCGACAAAGACACAATCTGAAAGATGCTTCTCGCCTTGGCAGCAGGCGTTGCCAACATAGCTACATTCTTTTTTCTAAAGGGTTAGCTAACAAGTTGGGCAGTGCAAAAACTCGTTTCCTGCCACAGCTGATGTGGAATGCAGTTGCTGCGGCTTTTACGGGCTCTTACTCGGGCTGTGTTGTGGTCTAACTGTTTCTCAGATGTGATTGTGTGCTGCAATCTGCTCCAACACAATTGCCTATTTCTAGAACACAAGGGTAAGTTGAGAATTATTATTAAATGGCACCATCCAGGATAAACCAGCATTCCAATCTATTCAAACTTGTTTGATCACTACTGTCGCTCGTTGACTCCAGTACATGCTTCTAAAAGCATTCTCTTTCGTTTTTTTATTTATCTTTTTTCTCACTGCATTCATCACAATCATGACTCAGAGTACCACCCCAAGTCTCTCGAGGGTAGGCTCACGCTCCTCTATATGGAGGTCCTGGAGCCCCGCGCTTGAAGGCTTGACAGACTACGAGAAGTCACGCCAAGATTATCCCTGGTTAGCGCATGATGTTATTGATGATAGGCGTTATAACTCCAGCGCATCCAGTCGGCCAAGGCCGTTATCATCGCTTATGGAGGTCCCTGATGCCATGAGCCAGTCGGATCAGTCGGCCGAGTCGGTTGGTGATATAGAGGAGCAGTTGGTTCCTGAGGATGTTGTCGAATCAGATGACGAGGATCCCGATCTTGTGAGTGACCTCTTGATCTGTTCCGCCTTTCTCGTCCTGTCATGGGCAGTTACTAACATATACAAGGTGACCTGGGATGGCCCGGATGATCCTTCAAATCCCCATAACTGGACCAAAAACAAGAAGTGGCTGTCCACGATTCTAGTCTCTTGCTTCACCTTCATTTCCCCAGTCTCCTCTACAATGTTGGCACCAGCTCTGCCAGACTTGGCAACCGAGTTTAACATCTCATCAGATTTTGAGACATATCTGCTCATGTCCATCTTCCTTCTCGCCTACGCCATAGGACCTTTCCTTCTTGCCCCGCTGTCAGAGATGTTCGGAAGAGTTGTTGTTCTTCAGTCAGCCAATATGTTCTACTTGGTATTCAACACCGTGTGTGGCTTCTCACAAACGAAGCAGCAGATGCTTGTCTTTCGGTTTCTAAGCGGTCTTGGAGGAAGTGCTCCACAAGCGGTAAGACATTGTGATCTCTAGTACCCTCGTCATCACCAACTAATTCTTTTGTAGCTTGGAGGAGGTGTCTTGAGTGACTGTTGGCGAAAAGAAGAACGAGGAACTGCTACTGCTATCTACAGTCTTGCGCCTTTCTTAGGGCCTGCTATTGGACCCATCGGTAGGTCATTCAAATCTCTGTACTAGCAGAAAACTGACAATCGTCCAGCCGCTGGTTACCTCACTCAGTACATGAACTGGCGTTGGATCTTTTGGACGGTTTCCATCGCCGACGCTGTTGTTCAAGTACTCGCCTTTCTGTTTTTGCAAGAGACCTACCCACCCAAGATTCTCAAGATCAAGGCTAGAAAGCTCCGCAAGTTGACCGGTAACAAGCTTTTGCATACCGAATTCGAGCAGCGTGACCGTACTTTTGTTTCTTTACTTTTTCAGAACTTGAAGAGGCCTTTCATTATGCTCTTCACACAACCAGCTATACAAATCACCGCATTGTATCGCGCTTACCTATACGGTTTGATGTATCTTGTGTAAGTCGAGTAGATCGAATCCTACAGTATCACGTTATTCTGACCTCAATAGATTCGCTTCATTTCCTATGGTGTGGGAAGAGCAGTACAACCAGGAGCCTGGCCGAGCCAGCTTAAATTACATCTCACTCGGCGTTGGGTTTGTCATCGGACTTCAGATTTCAGGACCCTTGATTGACAAGGTATGTTATTTCTTAAACACCCACCTGTTCATACTGACCAGGGCCCAGGTCTATGCCACACTCAAAGAACGGTATAATCATCCCGGGAGACCTGAGTTTCGCGTTCCACTGATGTTTCCAACCGCACTAATCACGCCGGCTGGTCTTGTTCTTTACGGTGTTTCCGCACAACTTCAGCTTCATTGGATTGTACCTAATATTGGAACGGCGATCTTCTCGGCTGGACTTATTCTTTCGTTTCAGTGTGCCCAGACATACATTATTGACTCTTACGAGCGCTATGCTGCCAGCGCTACTGGGGCTGCCGCTTTTGTGAGGACCATGGCCGGATTTAGTTTTCCTTTGTTCGCGCCGAGTATGTATAAGAAGCTTGGAATCGCGTGGGGAAATGGTTTGTTGGCGGGTACGGCTATGGTTATTTGTCTTGTTGCTCCTATTGTACTTTGGCGTTATGGCGTTTGGATTAGGAAGAAGAGTCCTTACTGCGCAGGCTAGAGGGTTAAGTTGTTGTTCATAGAGTTCATCGACTTCAAAATACAAGATACATGACTTTTATTCAGTGTCAAATCTATGTATAGGTGTCAATCATGCAGCATGGCTAGTAATATTAAGAAGCAAACTCCACATCATTCATAATAAGGCATAAACAGTTTCGTCGTGTATTATTGATTAAATTGACAACATGCGCTTAAAATACCACTTAACCTATACATCATGCATGCGATAGCCCTGTTATGCGCGATCATTCACATCCAGAATGAAGTTTCTTGCATTTGGAACAGAGATAAATGTTAAATGCGCAACATTTTGCGGGTGAGTCTGTATTCGTGATTTCACTACTTGCCAAAGCTGGGCTCGTCTTTCTCAAAGTTGCAAGTCAAAGAGACGGTGAAGGTAAAACATGCTCACTGTCAAATAAAGCATTGAGCTAGTAAAGGTCTTGCCAGCTCAGACATGGCGGTCTACCCTGAATTAAGGTCAATTACCATCACGGATAAATCCTTAGTAAGTACCCTACAGGGCGCTGGTCTCAGGGGAAATTACAAAGGGACCGGATGGCTCCACGCTCGGCCCCTCGCTTTGCCGTATACGAGTTCCGCTTCGGTGTCCGCGATGACGTCCAGCCCCGCTTGGATTGGCGGTCTAACAATGGGGTCTTCCCGTATAGGTTTGGCTCGGCAGTTTGTTGAGCTTCTAGATTGTGTAACAAGCCCTTCTCTTGTTCTGGAAATGAGCTTGCGAGGGTGACATCGCGGGGATGCTGTGGTAACGGTATAAGAAGAGTTGAGTGGGATAGCCTACAGGTACCCTACAGGCTCATGCTGTGACTTTGAGAACACTGGACTGATTCAGTGACATCATGCATTGTACAAAGCCCCGCACCATCGTCATTGGTGTCAATTGTGAGATGCATCTGGAGCTTAATCGGCTGATCCCGCTGATAACCTTTAACTAAATAACAAAAACTCAGGAACAGGTACCGTATCCGCGGCAATGAATCATAGCCTCCGCAGTATGATTGCATTGGAAACGCTCAATTGCGGGTGTCACATACCAAGAACATGCATAGTGGCCCCATTCGGTGCAAGGGGGCCGCTAATCAAGACACCATGACACTGTCTAACCCCCCGGCTCATCTAATTATAACCCACCAGCCCGTGAATACGAGCTAAGCATAATATTAAGAAATTATCTATGCCGCAACAAGACAATGCATGGGCGGTCAGCCAAGAGGTCGGATGATTCGGCATGCACTGCTATGCTAGATTTCCGACAGCACCATGCGTTTTTGCTGATCTTCTAACCCCGCAGAAAATCACGAGGTTGGATTTCTCTGGTGAGCATAATGGATCAACCTCGTATAGGTGATATCAAGGCACAGCTAGTGTTCTGTAGTTCGTATCTTATCCACATCTATCCTAGATCAAGCAATGACATGTTGAGAGTCTTCTCACAATAAAAGGCATCTGCTTTCCAGCCATTATTCGATTTACTTCATCTCACCACTCACTCTCAACTCTCACAACACATCAACTCCTACTCTTCAACTCACCCAAACCCAACCCAACCAAACCGCCATCATGAAGTTCAGCGCCCTCACTGCTCTCACTGCCGTCTTCGGCACTGCTGCTGCCGCCAACAAGGCCATTGTCATCAACGACTGCGCCAGCGCCATCTACGTCCAGTCCTTCCCCTACGGCGGAGGTGCTCCCGGCCCCTTGACCACTGTCAAGCCCGGACAGCGATTCTCCGAGGACATCCGCACTGCCGGATCTACCGTCAAGATCGCCACCACCAAGACTCTTACCAACCCTCTCTTCTTCGGCTACTCCACCGAGGCCAAGCCCAACAACGTCTACTGTTAGTCTATCCCACAATACCTAATCAATGTTACCATACTAACCTCTTTACACAGACGAGCTCAGCACCGAGTTCGGCAACCCCTTCGCCGACAAGCACAACGTCCTGAGCCCCGGTGAGGGTTGTGAGAAGTTCGACTGCAAGGCCGGCGATGCCAAGTGCTACAGCACCCCCAGCATGAAGAGGGTCTACGGCTGCCCCAGCCCCGTCAACCTGTACGCCAAGGTCTGCTCCAAGTAAAGAGCCAACTTTAAAAGCGACGATGCTCCCAGTGGCATTGAATGATGCTGGAAACCAACTGGCACCTCCATAATGGTTAATTCACTGGGCCAATAATGATTAATTATATATTATTAGAGGACCTTAGAGTTCGTTGGTCTTATGACCTGTACATGAGAGACAAATATACATATACGTATTCTCTTCACTTTTGCTCCTTCTCCTCATCTAGCTTGTCCAAGATATCGGTACCGTTATGTGTCTGTTGTCTCAATCCTTCAACTCGTTAACAGTACTCTCCATCCCACGTTTTAAAGTTATTGTGACTCAATAAGCCAAAATAAACAATAATAGGTTTCCGAAGAATCTTGAGAATGTAATAATGTATACCTATATAGCAAATGAATTTTACAATTAAGGCTTAATTAAGAGGTGGTTATGGTATTTTCCTCTTCTATAAGAAATTGGGATTAGTATAAACTGACTTTACCATGTTTATTCAGCGTAATGATGAATTCATTTTGTAAAAAGTCTTGCTTTTACCTACTAAACGAGGAACTGCAAGAGAAATCAATATCATTGCGGACCGAGAGGAAGTTAAATTAAACTTGCAGATAGTATAGTAAGCTAATAAGCTCGATTCCTAATTAAAGAGGTTAGTAATACTACTGACTAACAGACCTTTCCCAGTCGCATTATCAAATGTCCTAACGGTTACATGTAGGGCTGAACAGGCTAAATCCTCAAGCTTTCTTTTATTATAATTTAGCTGTTCTTGCGATAAACACAGGGTTTAACATGTCATATAACGTCCTAAAAAGGTTTTCCTTTGTAATTTATTCAATGAACTTGGTGCTAAAAGCATGGGAAACTTGCGGCTGCTTTTAACCTGGTGCAGGGAGCCTTGAATTGCCCGGGTTGCCTACATGGTCAGTGCTTGAAATTGCATCCCCTCAATACCTAACATCGATCAATGGGCCCCTCCTGGTACCATCGCTATTAGGTCATAAAGTCTCACAAATCCGCCACAATTCCCACAGCCTCAACTTCAAGTAGAAATAAGGCATTTTCGAGCGGGGTAAGCTGTAGGAGGGAGGCCTCAATTTCCCACCCTTCTTTCTCGTACTTAAGTCCTCCCATTACAATTTACCTGACGCAAGACAGCTGCAGTCAGACCTTTACTTGCCTTTGTGAAACACTGTTTACGAATTTAATCATGGCAACTACATTCTGCAATGAATGCAAACTCTTTAAGGAGGAGTTTGAAAGCCTTGATGGTTCAGGCGAAGCTGAACGAGCCCCATTTCCAAACGTTATAGCCCTAAAGGACTCTGCGCTTTCGGGTTGCTCACTTTGTCAGATCGTATTCCAATCATGGTATTACTACCCAGATCCAGTGGTATTCCAGGAATACTCACCCTTTGAGGTTGTGGGATTTGTTCGGTTTGAAGATAATTCCGAAAACGTTGATGGAGACGATTCGCAAAATGATAGTGAAGACAGTTATGAACCCAGTTCACCAAGAGTGTTAGTCCAGCAAAGATCTATAGGGTATTCATTTTACCTAGGTAGCCTCGACAGAGATGGTTTTGGCGAACAAGAATTCGGGGAACACCAGAAAGCATCTCGTCAGGTTATTGACCTTGGCGCACCTGGCAGCATTGACAAGGTCTGTTCTCTGGCTTTAAGATGGACTCGAAACTGCGACGAAGCGCATGAGCGTTGCAGAGCATATCACACCAACTCGGAACCAAAAATAATACCGACAAGACTCATCGACGTTGGTACAGATAGCCATGCCCAACCACCAAGACTATTCATTCCTCGACACCACCTTCGCAGCCTGACGTATGTTGCTCTGAGTTATGCATGGGGATCAGCGGGCAACAACATCAAAACCACATCCTCGAACCTCGCAGCTATGACGCAATGCCTGCCTTGGTCTCAGCTGCCCAAGACAATTCAAGATGCCATCGTGATCACACGAGGACTAGGTGTTAGGTATCTTTGGGTAGATGCGCTGTGTATCTTGCAAAGTGAGGGCCACGATGATACGCAGCATAAAGAAGATTGGTCCTATGAAGCAGCTCGATTCGGACAATATTACGAAAATTCTTTATTAACCATAGCGGCAACTGGAGCCAATTCTTCCGACAATGGATTGTTCTTGCCTAGGCCAGCATTAAGATTTGAGCCAGAGTCTATTACATTTCGGCCAGAAGAAGACTTAAGCTACACTATTCGACCAATAATCCCCAGTTGGCACACCGAAATCTCTTATGCCCCACTACTTGGCCGGGGATGGGCTGTACAGGAACGTTTGATATCAAGAAGAGTCCTCCACTTTGCAAAGAATATGGTCCTGTGGGAGTGTCATGATTGCCGAGCAACCGAACTTGATCCTCAAGGGTTACGCCCAATTGGCCCTGAAGGGGCACATGAGATCATTCCCGGATTTGCGGCTATATTTCGTGATATTCGTACCGGCGGCTTGTTATCCGACGACTTCGTCAAGGAATGGTACCGTTTTGTCGATGAATATTCTCAGCACAACTTCACTTTTGTTTCAGACAGGTTACCGGCTCTATCGGGTATTGCATCTATAATCCAACATCGAACTCAACAGAAATATATTGCGGGGCTGTGGGAATCAGCTATTCCTGAAGGTCTGGCGTGGATGACTGACCGCATGTTTCGTTACAATACATCCAACTTACTCGGCTCTGGACGTGATGAGTCAAAGGAAGCAAGCGCGAGCTCACAGGTTAAGCTACCTTCTTGGTGCTGGGCTGTCAGCAAAAGCAGTGCTAGGTTTATGTCTGCATGGGGATGGAAATCCACGTTAGAAGTGGAGGCTTGGAAATTGGAATCACAAGGGATGGACACTTCAGGACAAATCTTGGGAGGAAGGCTCACAGTTCGCAGCATGTATGGAATACTTAACCTATCCGACTTGGGATTTGTGTTTCATCCGAGCCCTGCTTTAAGCGATCATATACTAGGGCGTGATCCAGTCGAGCACAGGGTCGAATGCAATCAAATCGTATGTATGGATACAGCCGTGGACCCTCAAATCAGGTATCTGTCTCTTCCATGTATTTTTGTCGGGGTATCAAACACTCTTGATAGGTATTATAAAGAACAAGTTACAGGAGGGGCTATTATCCTAGAGGCAACAGGCCGCTGCACAGGCGCTATTCAGGAGTATAGGAGGATTGGATTTATATGTTTGCCCATTGAAGAGGTATCTTTTATTTTCGAAAGGTGGGTAACAATTGACTTGGTATAATGAGTTTAAATAAATATTTTAATTTATTCAGTATCATGCAGTACAAACTTCTGAAATTGAGTGGTGCCTATGGGTCTAAGCCACTACGCACACTCATTTGACCAATGGTGCTGTCTGATAAGATGTTAGATCCCTTTTTTTATTTCAATAAAAAGCCAATACGGATAGGTCAGCTGCGAAACCCAGCCACGCGACTTTATTGGCTAGGCCGGAAGTTCCCTTGCCGAGACATAATTGCCGAGTAAATGCTCAGCCTCACAATCAGCTTTTGCTGACTCGCGAGGCCTCGCAAAGTCTACTTATTTAGCCTGCCCAAAGGCTCTGTCGCTCGCTTACTGCTACCAATTTAATACCTCCCTAAGTCGCGCAACCCATTTTAGGCGTGATGAGTGGCTCGGAAGAAGAGAAGGAGCGCAAGAGGGACAAGTTCGGAGAGTTTATGTATGCGCTATTTATCCCTACCACCAACATCTTCCACTGGACCCCACGTTACATACCCTTGTTGTGAGGCGATAGTTTATCAGCTGACCAGGATGTAGGAAGAAGAACTTGAACAAAGGTGAAATAGCATTGAAGCATGCTGTAGGTCTTGGTGGCCAACCCAATGCGGTCCCCGTAACAAAGCCAGTTGTCGATGGACCGCTTCGGCCGGTCGAGGTTGGTTGGCATCCAGTCGGTGGCTTTGCTGGCAAGTGGTTCGCCGAGGAGACTGGTCTAGGAAAGATGATCACCGAGAAGATCAACAAATATCCGGATCCCACACAGCATTGGGCAGTTTTGGTTGGCGACTATGCGCATCAGCTGTGGATGGTGAGTGGAAGGAGCATTTGATTTATCCAGGATCATGATATCTGATACGATACAAGGACGAGAATTTCGATGTCATTTACACAAACGCCAAGGTTGAGCGTGAAGAGTGGCGGACATTTCCAGTTGGACAAACACGCTTCAATGATGATGCACTGCGACGAACTGGTAAGTATGATCAGATGAAAACTATCCCATCTACTCTTTCTCGCAAGTCCCATGCTAAGTTCTTTCTGAAGGCGAATCGGTGATTCAAAGCATTAGAGACAAGCAGCCAACCTACAACCTCATCACCAACAACTGCCAGACATACGTACTACAGCTGCTGGATGCAATCAAAGTCGGTGTGAATAAAGAGTTCGGCACCACTCTGGCTGTCTACGAGAGGCTGTTCGGTCCAGGTAAAATTCAAGACTTATTTGATGGTGAAGAGAAGCCAGATGAAATCACTGGAACGCAACCTCAACTTCAACCTCAACCTCAGCCCCAGCCGCAACAACAGCAACAGATAGACCCAGCAACAGGAATGCAACAAGGCAGATCAGACACTGTCAACCTCGCTCAGGATGTCATGAATCAGAACACAACTCAGCTGGATACAGAGACAGAGATGGATAGACATGTGGATGAGAAAGAGAAGGATAAGAAGAAGAAAGGGTTCTTCTCGCGCTTTAAAAGAAGTTAGAAGTTAATTTAACGGTGGTCTACAGGAACCGAGGGGGTTTCATTTTGGGCGGGACGTCGGAGGATGGAAATTTCCTTATAAGATAGCTAGTAGAACTCAGTGTGTTGAGATAAAACGCCGAGGCAGTTTTCTTACAAGTGCTGGTTGTTGATCTTGTCGAACGAGCCTGCGGATTTAGGCATATACACATCGATTGGACTGACATGGGCGATTTAATAACAGTTGCTATTCAGCACAAATACACAATACCATGTTCTTAACCGATTAAATAACCTAAAATGCTAGACCACCTGCTTCTATGCAACCAATTCTATTTTTACAAACGCCCCAATTACCAATCAAGTTCCTTCGAAGTCTTATCACACGATTGTCCAGAACAGGATGAGTATAGACTCTCATCCTGCTCAGTCTTGGTAGCAGACTTGTCTAGAATCTGCTGGGCAGGTCTGATTTCCCGCCCGGCCACGCCTTCAAGCTTACGGTGGTGCTCAACGAGTTGATACACTTGGTTCTGGAACTGGAGAGGGGTTTGGTCAACCAAGACACCCGAGCGCAGGTTCTTCTCAGCAGGCGCCTCGTTCTCACTAGCGATTTGCTGGAGAATCTCGTCGACCTTTTGGAAGTCGTCTTGACTGGCGTTCTTGTGTCGGTAGACTTCGTACTGTAGTTGAGACTTGGTGGCAGATGTAGGAACACATCTCAAAAGGAAGAAGAAGTGAGGACTGGATTTGTTAGCTATTGATTTATAGTTGCATACTGTTGGGGACTTACGAGATGGATAGAGTAGCATTGGGAAAGTAAAAGCCGCTGACAACTGAGCTGCTCTTCTCCTGGAAGTCGCTGCTGCTGTTGGCACTTGACTTATCGGCTAGTGTCTTCCAGTTGAAGCTGCTGTTGTCCTGCTTGACGTGATCAAACTGGTAGTCGCTCAGGTTGAAAGAACCATATCGAGCTGCTTGGTTGCGGTTCTCTTCCCATGAGATCTCAGGCTGGGTCTTGGCATCCATGTTGACCCAAACAAAGCCCTTGTCATCGACGTGGACGTGAAGAGGGAACAGACCGTTCTTGGATCGGTCAAAGCCAGGAAGATCTTGATAGAGAGGAGCCTTGGCAAGCTGGCCGTTCAATCCGTAAGACCAACCGTGGTACTTGCATGACAAGACAGCGTTCTGGCCGTTGTCTTTGACAACAACGGGGAAGGCTCGGTGGCGGCAGATGTTGTGGAAACCTCTAATAGCACCCTCAGCATTCTTGATGAGGAAGAAGTCGAAACCAGCTTCAGCGTAGCGGATCCAAGAGCCAGCCTGCTCAAACCGCATCTTGTGGGTGAGCAAGATCCATTTCTTGGAGAAGATAGCCCGTCGCTCAAGTTCATAGATGTCGTCGGACTTGTACCATGTTGAGGGCAGCGGTTGTGTGAGAGGTGCAGCAGCGGGGATGGCTCTTGAGATAAGGCCTTCCTTTTGCGGCCTAGACAGTGTCTTCTTTGCGATCAAAGCGATAGCCGCAGCTATGGCGAAGAAGATGAGTGCTCCAAGAGGCAACATATTGTTGGTGTTTCTGATGGCGGAGAGGAGCGTTTTGGGGGTTTATTGATAAGGTTCTCTGGCTGACTCCAGGGGACACACGGATCTATATACTCTACCCATATTGTTTATCTGGTCCAGGTGACTTTATCCTATGGCAAGCGCCACTCAGACCCAAATCGTGATAGAACGGTTTGGATAGGCGGGCATCCGCTAGTCAACCGGTCATGTGATCGGTGATAAGGAAGTGAAGTCTGCTTCTGGCCTCAAAACGACACTACCAAGATTGGGCGGCCGTCAAGTGGATCGTGGAGTTTCTCCCGCAGTCGGTTCCATGCCGTCAAACCCCGGGTCACATCCCCCTCACGAGATATCAAACGTGCATATCTTGAGACCTGCAGGCCCCCGTTTTGACTCAAGGTGGTAGCGACGCATCAGCTGGCTGAAGCCATCCGCGGTACTTGTATTACAATTTCCTATCATGTTCTAGGTTATCTACCCCGCATTGCATCTGTCCGCATTTTGTTACTCAACTTTATCGTTTGGAGCCGGGCTTTTGTGTCCGTGCCCGTTGTTTCGTGCCCGTATCGTGACGCAACCTTGATCGGCATCGGTAAATTGAAGCCGTTTGCGGGGTTTTGCTATCTGTCACCAACCATGTAATGCATCATATTTGCCAACAACACTGATCGGCCTGATCCATGTCGCGGCATTCTAATGGCTTCTAGATAACAATTTGTGTTCTAGACCTTGGTGTTTCATTCTAGAAGTGTGCTGTTGCTTGCATCTACCCATCAGAAGCAACGTGTTCCTTCATTACTGTGTACTCTGTCAATAGGCGGTACACTATCCAAGGCGCAAATGTTTATGAAGGTTTAGACTAGCAGCGTGTTGTTGTTCTACAGCCCTACCCTGCGAATTGTTGTTGACACCCTGCAGCGAAAATTATGACTCTATTAATAGAACTTTTCGGGCTACTGGCATGGTGCTTCGAAATAGCGGCAGGTATCATGATGTGTGAGATAACACCAATTACATGAATTGTCTTATTTAATATGAATGTCTCTCTATGTATGTAATTGAGTGGAAGAAGAAGCAATTGAGCGTGTTGATATAACAAGTCTTGACTATCAATGAACATCTGAGTCCAGTGTATTGTGGGAATCGGGAAGTGCACGGTTAGATGGATACCTAGAATTTACTTATAGAGAAGACCTGGGTATCACCCTAGCATTTATCTGCTTTACAATTCCCTATCTCTTGCTAAAGAACCATACTGCCGGCAGCGAAACCGGAATGTGGAGGTGGAAACGATGTCGATGTGGATCAGACTAACTGCACCCTTGTTACTTGCAAGTTCACTTTTACCTTTTATCTATAAATGAACCTCTACGTTCTGTATCCTTGTATAACTATTTATATTGTATACAAAATGGTTGTAGTATTTGAACTCAAATAATGCTTTTAGGTACACATCTTCCCCCAAGGGGAACGTACCTGCGCTGGAATGCACATAACCAGAATAGCAGATGAATACGTGCATGTATGCATTGATATATTTACACTCAGATATCGCAAGATGAGAAATAATAATTCAAGAAGTCTTGCGATCTGGGGTACCACAAGCGGCTGTCAATTGCTGACCTAAGCCTGGTCACCAAAGCTTCCCATAGGGCTGACTGGCAGCCTCAATGCCACAGGCTACAGCAGGATGGATGTCTGCCTAAAAGAGGGTGAATGACAGGCAGCACTGTTTTTCAATCCGTCATTCTCCACCAGCAATATTGCAATTATCATCTTGCAAATCCTTCGAAATGGCGGAACAACGTCGAGATTCTATCGCTGACGACTGGCTCGAGATCGAAAGCGCTGCGTCTGTCGTATCCTTTGACAGCATTTCGCCCCCGACGACTCCATCGCCACCATCACCACCATTGCCTGTACTTGCGACTCAACCCATCGAGTCCCACGACGACCTCCCTCGAACCCCAACCCCAACTTCTGAACTTCCAGTGCGCCTGAAGAATGAAGACCTCGAGATACCCACAGCACCCAAAGAGTCCCCGCCTGACTTTACCCCATCCCAAGACCCCGAAACTCAACATGACGTCGATCCTGCCGACCCCACACCTGCCGATTATCACAAAGCATGTCAAAGCGCCACAGAGGCTCTCGCTACCGTCGCCAGGATGGCTTACGACCTGGGAGGACACCGCATTTCAACCATGAGCCTCCTCCGCTCAACATGCGAACAGCTCTCTACACAGACAGAAGACCTGAGCAAGATGCTCGAGGTGTATGCCGCGCACTGGGTTTCCAAGGGCTCCAATATGTCCTTTGTGGACATTCCACTTAATCCTGAAATATGGGATCTGATGTCGGAGCTCAATTCCCAGCTTCTGTGCGGTCAGAGTGATTTATGCAGCCTGATTCCCTCAGATGAGGACGCCCCTGTTCTACTTGCCAAGAACATTCCGCTGCATGTCAACCTGGCGCTCGCTCGTTGCCTGGAGTCATTGGAAGATACCCAAGAGCTGTTTACTGAGTTTTTGCCCATTCTTAGAGCGTAAGTTCAACCAAATCTTTCAACTTGCATTGCTAACAGATCGCAGGGATTTCGACGATTTCAAGACGCGACACATGGGCTTTTCACCTGCGCGAGACATCCAATCCCCAAAGAATCCCCGGCGTCAACCACCGCAACCCTCAATCAGCCGCATCCGTCGAGAGTTATACGAGATGAAGGATCGATTCGTCCTGATAAATGTCTTACTGTCGAGACTGAAAAACGCCGACCCATTGCCGATGTCCATCGACCCTGTACTATTCAAATCACTCAAGGGCATTGTGGAGTCCATTTCTACACTGCTCACCAACAACCCATCAGAGTGGATTGATTCCGACATGGCTCCTTCGTCTCCAGGCATCATCTCATATCCTCAGTATCTGACATTAGATCCTGATGTTCTCCATGACATTACGTCTCACCTCCAGGAATTTCAGGAAGAGCTTGACATTGAACCTGGCCAAGTCGGCAGTGGTTATTCGCCACTAATGATACGAAATCACCAGGAATGTCTACTCTCTGAAGGTGGAAAGATGGAGGAGCTCTGTTCTGTCATTGAGTTCACCGAGTCACTGTTGATGATGAGCGACTAAGGTGGTATTGCGCGTTGAGTTCAGAAAAAGCACCGGTGGGATGGTTATGATGAATACGAAAATTGAGACAAAACGACTGCTGTATGGAAACAAAGTACATGGGGAGGAGGATGCGTTATTTGGATCGATATGATTCCCTAGGCTGTTACTGAGATTGAAATTTTAATTGGATCGCTTAAGCATAAGACGGCTATTCGGCATAGGAGAATTGACATGATCCGTCGATAAAGCTGGAACTTTTGTTATCTAGCACGTCTTCCTTGTCAGGCACCCATATTAAATAGGCAGATACTTTCTTTGTATGAAGCCTGGCGTCGAAGAGTGAATATTTTAATATTTAAAAGAATCCGTGTTAAATTAAACACCCTCCTAACTTCCACTGTATCATCCTTCCACCATTGCTAGCACGCCCAAACTTGTCAAGTTTAATTATCACGCACTCTACAAATATGACTACCCAATTGCCAGCTCACGAGATTGCTGCACGGGGACGAGAGATCACCGGCCTCTCGATTTTCCAAGACACGAACGATGACATAACGAATGAAAGAGTCGAGGAGCTCATGTCGGAGATGCACACCGATGTTCCTCAAGGCGGCTCAGACTTCATCTTTGGAGAAAAAAGCAACCAACGAGTACGCCTTTGGAAGCCCGATGGGCCAAACTCAGCAAAGTCCCCGGTCATTGTCTTCGTTCATGGTGGCAGTTGGATGATTGGCACCTACCTCGACTCCGTTGGGTCAGCAAAAGTCAGCCACCTTGTTGATCGCGGTTATATGTTTGCTTCGGTTGACTACACGCTTATTCCGACGATTACTGTCAAGGAGCAGGTACAGGAGGTGGCTGACTGTGTGGCATATCTGATCAAGAATGCTGCCAGTCACGGCATCGACCCCGAGAGGGTTGTTTTGATGGGGCACAGCTCTGGTGCTCATGTCGTTACGTTGATAGGCACCGACCCAACCTATATGGAAAAAGCTGGTTCTAGTATCGATGTCTTGAAAGGCGTCATTGCGCTCGACGGCTCAAACTACAACGCTATGGCCGAGTTCGCCGACAATTCCGGACCTATAGTGACAAATATGGTTTACGGGTTGAGCGACGACCCAGAACGACTCTGCGCAATGTCGCCGACACATCACGCTTGTGCACCCAACGCCCAGGCTTTTCTGCTTCTCCACGCTCAGAGAAAGGGTGATATTCGCCAGGCGGTTGAGCTATCTGTCGCGTTGAAAGCCGCGGGAACCAAGGTCGACTTGCACGTATTTGAGGGAGAAGGGTTTGAAGGTCATGTCGCGATACTTTTGCGGCTGGGTCATAGTTCTTATCCAGCGACTTTGGTGATGGACCGTTGGTTAGAGAAGCACGTCCCAACAATTTCACAGACTCAGCCAGAATGAGAGATGGAAGTTGCTCGAACACCATGATTTATGGGAGGAGATGAGAAAAATGATAGATCCAAGTCATTTAAATGACGAATAAACATGAATTCATAAATGAATAAATACGTAGAATATGTCAAAATGGAAATTGTATTTCTTGCTCAACTGGTGACCAGGCCAGGTGTGGCGCATGCTGTGGCTGGAGCTCCACGTTCAAGCCTCAACTCAAACGCGTCGCGTCGCAAGTATCTTGACCCGGCATCGGCACACTTTCACATTCGCAACCACAACTCACAGCCCAAAATGCCTCCCCGAAAGCGAAGTGCGCCTGCCGCCGAAGCTTCTGAAGAGTCTGCACCCAAGCGCCGCTCTCTACGACAAGCTGCTTCAAAAGATCAACAAGAACCCGAACCACTACCTAAAACCAAAACAAACCCGCCGAAGAAGCCAGTCAAGGCGGCCGTTGAAAAGGAACAAGACAGCAAGCCGAAATCATCACCAAAACAACCCAAACCGAAAGCACCAGCAACGGCAAAGACAAAACAGGTGTCTAAAAAACAAGGCACTGATACTCAATCCAACAATCGCGCCACTTCCGAGGATCCTACCATAGACTCAATCCCTACAACGAACCCCGATGCCCCAAAGCATGATGGGCAGTGGTTCTGGCTTTTGAAAGCCGAGCCGGAAACTCGGATCGAGAACGGCGTTGATGTCAAGTTTTCCATTGATGACTTGAAGAACAAGACAGAGCCAGAAGGCTGGGATGGTATGTTGCCCCGCTGTCCTCGCCATGTTGCAGCTCACTGACTCTTCACTAGGTATCCGGGCGTACGCAGGTGAATATTCGTGACTGTTCGATGTTACGAAACGAGACTGATGTGTCTAGCACGAAACAATATGAGGAATATGAATGCTGGTGATTTGGCCTTCTTCTACGCAAGCAACTGCAAAGAGCCCGGCATCGTGGGTGTGATGGAAATTGTAAAAGAGTTCTCCGAAGACCGTAAGTACTAATACATCCTGGGCCTTGCAGCTACTCTTCTAACTCCCGCAACAGGATCTGCTCGCCGCCCAGGTGCTCCATACTACGACCCCAAATCAACCAAGGAGAAGCCCATCTGGGATCTTGTCCATGTAGAGTTCAGAAAGAAGTTCGCTGTGCCTATTGGTCTGAAAGAGCTTCGGGAGCTTGGAAAGGCAGGAGGTCCTCTTGAAATGATGCAGCTCCTCAAGCAATCCAGACTCAGTGTCAGCAAGGTCAGCAGTGATGAGTGGGAATTTCTCTGCAATCTTGCAGATGAGAAAGCTTCAGATGCAGGCCTGGAGCACGAAGAGTCTGGGAAGTGATGATCTTTTGGTAAGGAAGCCAAGGGAGTTACGAAGATTCGAGGACGAACTGTCTAGGAAAAGACCTATTTTTCCAAGGGTGAGAAGTCAGCATCAGTGACTGAATATGGCAATCCTAGATTTCGTCAACATTCAACCCCCAAGCCGGTGAAGATTGGGGGTCGAATCGATGCAGCCGAACTGAGTACATATCACGCAACAATGACGCTGGTCTAACAGGCTCCTGTCTCAGAGCCTCATTTCTGGAACAAGACTTCCACTGTCCCCAAGACAAAGTGTGTGAATAGAGCTGTGGGATAGTTATAACTTTAATACCCTATTAATAGAAAGTCGTTAACGTAGATTCGAAAGAATATGCTCTAGTCACAGCGGACATTTTGTATTGTTGATGAAGCGAGTGATGACCCCGCGTATCCTCTAACCAGCGCAGGCAATTTTGCAATAATTGTCAATTGTTGACTGCATCAATTGAACTCAGCCTCAATGCACTGACAGCACCGAGACACCGCTTCCAGCAATATACATTGCTAGCGCAAGGTGGTGAGAAATTAGCAGGCTTGAGCAGTAGGCTGTACGTTAAATGCGGCGTTGTGTGTACCAGGGCTGGCAACTAATTTTCAGCTGGGCGCCACCTGCAGGTCTCAACGTCAGTAATACTTTGCCACAACATTTAGGTCGGTATGCCACGCCCAAGCACCTGGCATTTCCCCTCTGTGGCTTGGTTCTTCCCCGTCCTATTTGTTAATGGGGAAGCAGGCTCTGGTCTGGTCGAGTCTGGGCCACGCCAGTATTGAGCGATGGGCTGTTGAGCCCCGTCTCAAAACGGTGTCTTTAATATAATACGCCTGCTTCAGCCCAGAAAAATGAGGCTCGCTCTACATTTCCTCTCCGTCTCTCTCATCTTGCCCCTCGTTTCCAACATACAATGCGAGTCTCCTCTCTGTACATCAAGGCCTTGAGCCTGGTCTTTCTCTCATTTGCCAATGCTCAAACCCTCCCTGAAGACTTGGCCAATGCAATCGCAAACTACTCGTCACTCTCCCTCTTCCGCTCCCTCATCGGTACTGCTCCTCAAGCGCTGAGCCAATCGCTATCTGACAAAAGCAGTAACATCACCGTCTTGATTCCCACAGATGATGCCATCAAGAGCTACCTCAAAAATTCTGGTGTATCAGACGTGACTGAACTCAATCAGACAGATCTTCAAGTCTTCTTCTCATACCACATCCTCTCTGCTTCGCTTGCCTCTTCTGATTTTGATGACCCTCGGGGCCTGTCCGTACCCACACTGCTGGATGATTCCCAGTTCAACAACAGAAGTGCGGGTCCTCAGATCCAGAGCCAGTTTGGAGAGGATGCCGGTGGCCAGATAGTCTTTGCTTCGAAGGAAGAAAAAATTGGTAAACGAGCGAATGGCGATTTCACTGGTGCGACGGTTAGCCTGCGGGCTGGCTTGGCCCAAAATGTCAAGATGACTGCCGTGGACGGATCCTGGGGATCCAAGAACGTCAATTCATTTCAGATTGTTGACAAGTAAGTACGGGACCAATCCAGACCCAAGAGTTGAATCTGACTATCATTTCTTCGTTCCTTAGGGTCCTGCAACCACCCCGATCTTGCTCCACCACTGTCCAGACCGTCAAAGACAGCAGACTTGACGGCTTGAACGGCGCCTTGATCAAAGCGGAGCTATGGCCTGCCCTGGACGCCTCACGAAACGTCACTTGCTTAGCGCCATCAACTCAAGCGTTCAAAGATGCAGGAAATCCTGACGTTGCGCTATCAAAACAGGATTTGGCCGGGGCTTTGCTGTAAGTTCTTGTTTTGTTTCTGCTTCGTATACTAACTTCCGCATAGCGCTCATACCTTGAAAGAAGTTACATATTCTAACTACCTGCGCGATGGTCAAGTCGTTGGTACCTTGAACAACACCGAAGTCCGTGTTTCAATCAGAGGCGACGATATTTTCTTCAACAACGCAAAAGTGATCGAAGCCAATGTTCTTACCAACAACGGCCTTATACACATGTAAGTCATCACAATATCTCTTATTCTGTGTCCCTTTACACAATAATAACGGATCGCAGTCTTGATTCCGTAATCCAGGATGGAGGCAAGCCCAGCGGGACCAGCATCAGCACAGCCACGAAGGAGACTGCAAGTGCTACCTCGAGCAACGCTGAGACAACCCCAACCTCCAGTACTGTTTCACCAGATCAAGGTAATTCTGGCAGTAGAGTGACAGGTGGTGTTTGGGTTCTGGGTTTATTGGCAGCCGGATTCCTAATGTTATGAACAGTTCCTAAGTAATTATGTAGTTGTCAGCAACCGCGATGGTTGGAGGTTTTTGTCCTAACTGCAAGAGGGAGATTGCCAATACACTTTACTAAATATAATATTTACACTTATCTTTCATGGCTGAAAAGTGTCTCAGGGCCTGGCGTTAGGCGGGCGCTTATAGTACAGCTGTGAGATACAAGCTTAACCAATCAATACCTTCTTGTCTCTTTTCGCCAATTTCCTTGAGCTGATAAGGAGTGAGTTTGTGTACCGCTCCCCGCGTAAGCGTGACAGCAAGCTTTATTTAATAAAGGCGTACACACCCCACTACAGCCGCAGCCTTGACTAGCCGTTCAGTTTATTTCATTTCTTCCAACCATAAAACACTGTCGCTTTTTCTTGTGTAGTAATGGGGTCGCGATATAATGATGATGACTTACTCGATGAGATAAGATCAAAGCTCAAAAATGGCCTTGAAAAGAAAAACACGAAAGAAAAATTCGCCACGCGAGGAATGGTCGAGCATGTCCTTTCGCTGTCAAATCTGGAGCTTATTTATGAAGCCTGGAAAGCCACGAATGCAAAAATGCCAACGGACAACAACCAGTTCAACGCACATAGATTTGTGGAATTGGTCATGGAAAAAAAACTTCAACATTTTTTGGCAGTTTTAATTTACGCCAAATGCTCAATCGACGCCACAAAGGAATTTCTGGTTAAGGTAGTGTTTGGAAATGAAGCGGAGTTTCAAGAAGAAGACCAAGCGACACTAAATCAATCACCAGCGACACCAAACCTATTACCAGCCAGCAAAGAATCTCTTGAACGTCTCTTCTCCCGGGCATCTGATAGAGTAGACTTCTTTGATGAGCAACATACCTTCTGCACCCTGGTGGTTGGGGGCCTAGAACTTTTGATGATTCATAGCGATGACCAAATTTCACTACCATGGCTGGAGCAAGAGCAGATCGGGACTGGGGCATTTGGCATTGTATATAAAGTCAAAATCCCGGAGGGCCACTTGACCACGGATGGGAATCTCAGTCAGCCTACTTCAAGGCTCATGACCGTCGCTCGCAAAGACTTTATCCGCACCAACACCGCGGAGGCAAGTTTCAAGAAGGAGGTCAAAGCAATCAGAGATATCTTCAGTGGCAAGGCGACGCATGACAACATCCTCAAGAGTTTTGGCACCATTGTCATAGAAGGAAAGCCATCAACTTTTAGTCTTCTGATGCCATGTGCAGATCTGGACTTGCAGGAATATATGAAGAGAAATCCGGTAATAGCTCCTGACGATACCAGTACACGAGAAAGCATCATTCGCTCTGCTAGAGACCTTGCAAGCGCCCTTGATTTTCTTCACAGCAAAATGACTACTGCAGAGAGCGAACCCATTGTTTGCTATCATATGGACCTTAAGCCGAGCAATATTCTCATCTTTCACGATACTCGCAGAAGATCAGAAGCTTCCAATCGTGACATGATATGGAAGCTTAGCGACTTTGGCCTCTCGAGAGTGAAGACAAGAACAAGGACAAAAGCAGATCTAAGTAATCTCTTCAGGACACGCTTGAAAGACCAGTCCAGTCAGGCCTCAGGGACTCAAAACTTCCGAGGTACAGACATGTATCTACCAGTCGAAGCAGAACTAGAAGGCAGGACAATGAATGAGAAGAGTGACATTTGGTCATTCGGTTGTATTCTCAGCCTCCTTTTTACTTACATGGGAGAAGGATACAAAGCTTTCGAAGGCTACAGCAACTCACGACTTCTGCATAGTAACAAAAATGTCGACTATTTCTATCAGTACAACAAATCCAAGATCGGGTTCGGGATTAACCGCGGAGTTGTTAAGCAGCACGAAAAATTGATAAAATCGGCTACCGAACGGAGTCCTTCAGAAGGAGGTGCTGTGAGATGTATGCTCAAGTCCCTGGAGACTGAAGTGCTCTTGATCGATCAGGGCAACCGGTGTGATGCAAAAAGAATTGTCAAAATTTTGCAGACGACACTGGAAAAGTACACCACCGAGGAAAGCGAGCTCACCATCACCGAAAACAACTCTAAACACCATTTTCTATTTCAAAAGGGAAAAGATAAAGTTTCAGGGTAGGTTCATGATCAATATGATAGAAAGAGTATGACTAACAAAAGATAGCTTTTTCGGACGCAAAAGCAAGCAACCACTCGCACAGACAAATATTCGTCGATGGAGACTAGAAGGGGATAAGAAGCTAAAGTACAAAGACTGCGTGTGCTCGCCAGACGGTAGCAGGATAGCTTACTGGACCAACGAAACCATCACACTATACGACGATTGCTCTGGGTTAGCCAATACGATACCGTACCGCAGGGTTCAGAGTATGGGTTCGAGAATGAGTTCAACGGACAGTGAACGAGAGTCTACCCTGGCAGTCGCTGGACAGTATTCTATTGCAGATTGGAGTCGGTCGTGGAGATCAGTGAGGTTGACTAACAGATATTTAATCGCAGCAACGACAGATGAATTGTTCAATGTAAGTACTAGATCGTCTCCAAGCTTAACCTACTAATATCTCACAGTGTTACATATTCGACGTCGAATTTGACCGGACGCTGAACATGTACAGCAGAGTAATCCTGTCGCATCCAGGAATTCATATGCTGGAAGTTCATCCCGAGGGGAACTCTTTAGCCTGTATCCTTCGGGATAACATAGGCCGGCCTTCATTTTTTACTGGCAAAATTGCATTCGATCCAGCTCCTCAGCCTATCACAACGGCAAGGTAAGTGACTCTTAGAGACATTGATCAATCCTCACATATGATTTAGCATCTATTCGGACACGGCGAGGAGCGAGCACAGAGATGCTGGTGTGTGTATCGTTAAGCAAAATGCTGCCCTCCCGGAATTGCCTGAAGGCGAAATCACCTGCCTGGCCTTTGAAACGAGCAAGCGGGGTTATATAATTACTCGCAACGGTTCAACCCTATCGGTGAATGTATTCATCATCGAGTCATTGAATATACAACTGCAACACGACTTAAAGCAAACGGTTAGTATTGCCGAAACTAGATAATCATCTGCTAATAAGGCCTCTCCAGTCCATTAACAATAATATCGAAAGATTATTTACCGACATGGCATGCCTGCAGAGTAATGATCAGAGCCAAAGATTCGAACTCATAATCGCCTCACAAGCGGAGCGACTGTTTCATCTCAGATATGAAGGGGTTGGATCGAGTCCAACGGTAGTTATCCATCCGCCCATCGAAGCCTATCGTATTCTCAAGATCGCAACTGTCCAGCATTCGAGAAAGATTCTTGCTTTGGGGTCGCATTCTGGGAGTGATCATCTATTTCTTCTAAACATTGAAACCCGAGGTCCAGAGGTTCGGCCGAAGATCAAAAAGTTAGCAGATATCGGTATATCAGCGACGTATCAAGCAAAGCTAAGTGTATGTTATGAGGGAAATGATATCATTGCACGTATCATGGTGGACATGCTTGAGGGTCGGTATTTGGTGTTCCAGGTAGATGTCAGCAACTCGCTCGGTACATAGATTTAGCTAATAGCCAGCACACTGCTAAATTACACAAGCTCTATATCCTTATTTGGTTCTTTCTTCCTCCTTCTCATCCTGGTAAACATTTTAAGCGAAGGAATCCTCCAGGTTATTCGCTTCAGCAGTGTTTTCTGGATCAACAAATGATAAAACATGTAGGTAAAGACAGTCATAGCCGCAGAGCAGAGAAAGTATATCCAAAGGACAGAGGTTCCCACAATCCGACGTGTCTCGTTGTCGAAATTGAAGAAGTTCATACCAAAGAAAGACTGTGACTAGTCAGCGTTGTATATGACTGGAGAGATGGGCAATTGAAACCTACTGCCACGAAAGATGCAGGCAAGTATAGTACAGTCAGGTTAGTAATAAGCTTGTTCAGCTTTAGCATGCTGTTGTTTTGCATCTTGGCGTTCAATTGTTCACGGAAGGATAGAGTGTTAGCTAAAAGCTGCGTGATCTTCTGAGCTCGTTGTTGTAGACATTCTGCTACTCTGGTGTAGCCTGCGCATTCGCGGATATGTTGCTGAAAGGCCGCCGATGCGGATTTTGATAATTCGGCAATCTTCTCGTCTTCTCTACCGATCACCTCACAACAAAGACCTAATAGCCCTTCAAGGACGTCCCTTGAAGCTGCCAAGATAGTGGGGACCTGTACTAAGCGGGTCTCAAGGTATGCCAGCTCAGTGAGATGATGGTATTCCGTCTCGGTCAGTTCCTCAATAAAGGTGGCCACTGCGTTGTTCGCCTGAGAACAAATTAGTCAGTGAATTGACTTCGTTGGATATATACCTACTATCGGAATCAACAGTGTCTCTAAATGAGCGTTGTAAAGTCTCCACGCAGAGAAATACGTTCTAAAAAGCTCTTTATGAAGCCAAAAGAAGTCCTGCTGGATGCTCTGAGGACCCTTTGATACCAAGGCTTGAGCGCACTGATGCAGTCTTGTGGATGGTGCAGGATTAAACAAAATGAACAAATTTTGCGAAGTTTTAGTGTTAAAGCTCTGAAAAATCCCGGTTTGCCTAATGACCCAGGTGCCCTGAACCGGCTTGAATTCCGGATAGCGGATGGTGTAAGACACTTCTAGGTTTATGTGAGATCATGAACGATAGTAGCCTGATAATTACTCACCTGTTACAGTTCCATCACAATGTATAGCCAAGGGGGCACAGTGAGTAGATTCAACATCAAAGTCTTTGTCATAGAAGCAAGAGGCCACATCCTCTGGAGAAGCCTTCAAGTCGAAATTGTCAATCAAGCAATTAAACATTGGTTGGGTTATCTCGAGAGGCTTATACGAATTGCGCTGACATATCGACCTGTAAGCGATCAGCACAGTGTATGGAAGCATAGACACACTGCTTTGGAAGTACGTACACAAAGTTGTAAGAGTGCGTGGTGCGGCTGAAGTGGGACTCGACCTGTTCCAAAGTCGAGAACTGATGTACCTCTGCACTCGTATTTTCTCCGTCTTTTATTTCGCCCCCCGTACTGATGACTCTGACGGGCACCACGACTTCGTCGACAAAATTGAGCGGCAAGGTATGCATTGATGCGAGCTGAATGTCATTGACTTGGCTGAAACGAATATTTTATAACCCAGAATTAACGAAGGAACTATAGTGCTTTACGTTCGTTTATATAAGGTAACTTGTGCTTTATTTCAACTAACTTAAATCAGGCTGTTAAATCCCCCGTCCCCATTGCTTCTATGATCTCTTAGCGGTCTGCCTCAGAGCCTGATATAGGCCAAATAAGGATCCGTGCAGTCACCAGCCTCGCTCAGCCTGTCGTTTCTCGGTCGCACTTGCGCAGTCTTACGAAGTGGAAATGATCTCGGCGTCCCTAGTACCCGTTAGTTGATACTGTCGATCTAATAGTACCTATACCCATGCCCTTACTTCAAGTCTGCCTGCCATGATGTTAGTTAGGTAATAGTGTGTCTTTCCTGAAGCAACTATACCTTGGTAACCTGCTCAGGGGCGTAGAAAACCCATTTCTCGTTAACATTCTTCAGTGCCAGTCAGCCTACAGCAGCACAACGCGCGCCAGGGCATTGCACCTACTTTCAAGTCAAACTTTCCATCCATATCGGGAAAAAGTTTCTCAAGGACTCTTTGTAGTTTCAACTTGTCATAGTACCGTGATTCGAAAATGTGTTTTATGCCCGCCATTGTTGTTTGATTGTTGATATATCGTATATGCCTTACTACAAACAGAGCCCCCTTTCGCGATGATGGTCTATCAATTGTACTTATAACAATTCAAGCCTCTGGTTGCCTACTGATCCATTCAATACCTCGCAAATGCATCACAATGCATTTTCAAGTGACACGTAATCCCTTCTGTTGATAATTTGGTACCCCTCAACACACATTCCAAGTGGATAAGACATGGCTGTTTAATATTGGCTTGGCAGGTCGCCCGCCTGTAGTGTGTCTATGTCGTTGGATGTATTTCGTTGGTCAGGACGATTGTGATAAGGCTCTGATGCAGCAATAGTCACACGCCACATGCAGCATCCAGCCTTCAAAGCCTAATTTCAAGCTCATGAAGTAGGCAGCAACCGCCCGCGTAAGCCTTACATTCTCAAGTTAGGCACCTTTTGCTTAGACTTCAACGCTTTAGATACGTGAACGGACGGTGGGGGGTGAAAGAGGCTGAGGCTGAAACATTGGCCATGTTGAAATTGTCTCATTCTAAATAAAGCATCCAAGACAATCTCGCCAAGGCAAACAGCAGTGACACATAACGAGGCTGGGATGATCGGAGTAGACAGTACTCCCTAAAGTCTATGATAAAATAGAGAAAGTTTGTCATGTATGCCATAGCCTGCCTAAGCAGAGTTTTTCTCGACTGTTATTCTTAGGCGTAAATAGCAAGTAAAGATATACTAGGTCCAATTTCTTAGATCGCTTTATTCAAGTTTCTTCATAACTTTTTATCGAGCTATCTATCCTTTGTGACAGTCAGGAGAAATCAGGCTGGCCCCAAAAACGGTTTCTGTACCTAAGTTACACAGACCTTAGCGTCATGTAAGGAATACGAACCAGCCTCTCCCACCCCTGTAATGTATCAAGAGGCGAATTTTAAAGTAATACACAATTGAGCCGGAGGTTCTTATTGATTCTAGAGACTTTCTGCGGCGCTCTAGGGCGTTGAAGGGCGCTTAGAGGCCCGGCGCTTAGGCTGTAGTATCAAGAGTAAGGGAGGCGAACATATTTCCTCAATCTTTACTCCCGCCGCGCCAGAATTGTATTTACCATACTTAAACAACCCCTAGAACCCCATACACAAACAGTCCCTTGAGCCCTTATCCATCATCTTGGCAACTCTTCACTACTTAAACTCCATAAACATGTCTGAAATGGGATCCGGTCAAGAAAATGGATCGAACATCGCTCTCCCTGACTTAGCCCCCAATACTTCTTTATCGCGAGACATCTCAACATCCAATCCTGGAATTCTCAGTGATGATCAACCCACACCTTCTGATGGACTCAATGCCACCTCCGATCCTCCAACGGTACTTAGGCCAGGGCGTCATGGTGTCACTGAGGTTCCACAACTTCCCATCCACACCGTACGACGAAAGCTTAGAGGCATTCACATTTTCGTAAGTCTAGGACACCTAGCTTCAACATTAAACTCCCCAGACTTTCATGAGCTAATACTGAAATAGATGATCGCAATCAATGGCACGCTTGGAACAGGTCTATATATTCGAAGTGGCCAGATTCTTGAGCTTGGAGGACCAATTGCAGTCGTCCTGTCATTTATTGCTCTTGGCATCTTGGTCTGGGCGGTCATGCAATGTATCGCTGAGCTTCTATGTCTATGGCCTGTACCAGGTGCAGTGCCTTTATTTGTCAAGAAATTTGTTGACAGGGAGCTTGGCGATGCTGTGGGCATCGCGTATTGGTAGGTCTTTTCGGCGCCATCTACAGTTTCCCTTCGGTAACATTTCGTCGTCAGGTTTACTTACTCTATCGGATTTGCCGCCTTGATCACCACCTCCGCTAGTGTCTTAAACTTCTGGACTGCCGATATGGATGGCTTCACGGAAGGGTTCGTATACGTCGCTCTACCAATAACACTCGTGGCAATCAATTCAGTCAAGGTCGAGGTTCGTTTATGTATCCTATCATGCAGTATCGGAAACCAAGCTAACGGTACAAGATATATGGTTGGCTCGAAGTCATTACTGGTATTATCAAGCTGATTTTCTTGACTATAATCATCGTTTGCCTCATTTACATTATAACTCTGCGTAGGTCATAATCAAAGATGTGGAGACATCTTCATGTGCTGATGACCTGGAATAGCCGACAGATCTGTGAGCAAGGTCTCAAGTAAGTATCTCGAAGTTACTACGAAGAATCCCAAATTTCAAAACGCTAATAAAACGGAAACACAGGTTGGACTGAACCTTTTAAAAACGATGATAATGCTGCCAGTGGTTGGTTCGAGGGCTTTATGTAAGCTAGTCCCGTGGATGGAAAACAGGCCGGGCATTCCAACCTGCTAACACCTTCCAGGATGTGTCTTTCAATCGCTACTTTTGCCTATGCTGGCGTTGAGAATATTGCTGTTTCTGTCATAGAGGCTCGCTGGCCCTCAGTACCAGAGAGACCTCAATCATGCCATGACTCGTCAGAGGGTCTAACTTCAGGAAACTCATCGCCTCCTCAACAAGTAACAGGAATAGCTGCATCTCATAAGGCGGTCAAAAAAACACTCGGGTTTACAGCTGTTTATCTGCCAATATTTGTTGCTTTTGCTTACATTATTAGTGGACTCCTCGTCACTCTAAGTCTCAAGAGAGATAATTGCGGTCTTCAGAGACTTGCCTCATTAAAGGACAAGGACTGCACAGAGCCAGACCCAAAGCAACGAGGATTCACGTACTCGCCTTTTATTATCATTGCCCAGGACTCGAAGATTGACAACCTGGATAATGTTTTCAATGCTTTTATCGTTTTTACAGCGCTGACATGTGCGAACACAAACTTGTATGTCGCGTCAAGGACACTATTCGGTATTACGCGGAATATTCGTTCCAGGGAGTATGTACCAAGACTTCTGTCCTGGTTTGGCGTCACGGACCGGAATAGGGTGCCGTTGAGGGCGATGACCATATCCGCTGTAGCCTTTTGCTGGGTCCCATTTCTCCAACGAAAAGAGAGTTTCAATACAGGGTCGACACTAGGAAAGGTTAGTAACCCCATCAATTTTCCCAACCTTCCATTATCCAGACTCACTTCTTATAGTTTGTTGAGATTTTAGTTCAGATGGGGTCTGTCAGCGTTGTTATTGTCTGGGCTTGTTTATGTTTGGCATATATCCGTTACTATTACTGGTTCGTTATGGGTTCTTTCGCATATCTTACTGGGCTGATACTAACTATAAACCAGTATTCATACGTTTCGTGATGCCTTGGCTACGGAAGGAATACACCTGGCACGAGATCGCCAACAGGAATCCGAGGCCTATCCGTATCAAAGTTACTGGCAACCACTCCTAGCCGGCTTTGCCTTTACAGGCTGTTTAGTCATTCTTCTGATCTGCAATGGAGTCTTCTTGTGGAAAGAGTTTCATATCATCCCATTCTGCTCTGGATATCTAACGGTAGGTAGCCAAGACTTGAACAATTAATCAATGCTAATCACGCAGATAGGTAATTGCATTTCTAGTAATCTGGATCGGGCTGAAAGTCTATAAAGGAGTTTGGTCGCCCTGGAACAGACTGAACGCGAACATAGCCATTGATATCATCAGAGATCTAAATGAGCTACGTGACAATTCACTACAGCAGCCTGCAGATGGTCTCGAATCTCGCTGGACTGCTTTCAAAAGGGGATTAGGGCGGAGGGGGAATGGCGCCAATTGAAGTCTTGGAAGGACAATCACAACTTAGCATAATACCCTGTAGTAGAGTATAAGTCAATACCTTTAAAGAATAGAAAGCAGTGCATATCATGGATGAATGTAGTCAATTAATTACTTGATAAAATCAAATACATTTTTAAATTCCTTCTTGTGATTGACCAATTTATATATTCCCAATAATAAATAATTGACATGTTAAACCACGGTCGTACGGACTGTAAGCTTACTCAGAAAAAGATCCGGTGCTTCCGAAATTCCCAGAGGGCATGAGAGACCTCGTAGATCTTGAGAGTCAGGCTAACAGTGTTTTTCTCTACAATGCCAGAATAGCGCTATGGTAATTTATGAAAAAGGTAATATTGTGGTTAGCGGTATTTCTATCTGGTGCACGCAGAGAATGAGGTTAGTACTGAAATTACACTAAAGAATTCGTTATGTCATTTTAAATGGATCGTGGTGAGATTCGTATTCGTCATACACTGAAGGATCCTGTGTTGTTGCAACCGTGTCATATTCACTGTCGAAGGAACGTGTACAAGTGGTGAATACGTCCCCACAACTCATTCACTTACCATCAGGCCATTCTTCTTTACGCGTAACCAGGAAAAATAAAAATGTCAAATTATAAAATTACCTTCTGTTCCTCCCTCTTTGTACCAAAATTCAAATTCTACAACACTACCCCTATCTATAAGCTTACCGCTTATTCTCTCAGAGTGGGGCAACGGCGAGGTTCGGATCCGCGGGTAAATTAATTAGCCACGGACGCACAAATTTCCTACTCCCAGCCCCTCTTCTTAGATTTATCTGATGTTCTCAATTGCAACAACATTCTTGACAGCCAGCACGAAATGGCCGAAACAATGAGAGCCATTCGGATACAACCGACTCAGGCGTCTCCGTCTCCGCTTCCACAACTACCATTGCCCGTGCGCTCCAATAGCAAGCCGCTGCTACGACATCACGAGGACATCCGCTGCATTGTCACCACTGGTCTATTTTTTACCGCATTTGTTGTCACTTGGCTAAATTTCGCATCGCCTTTCGCTGGTGGCCTGCTTTCTTTTACCCTATGGCTCGCCCTGTTTCAGCTGTCATTCATGGGCGCTGTCACAACCCACAACGCCATTCACTTGCCTGTCTTCTGGGGTAAGAACTGGAACAAGTTCTACCAGGTTTGCTTGTCTCTGCAGTATGGCGGTGCTGTCTCCATTTTTGTGCCAGGACACAACTTGTCTCACCACAAGTATCCCCAACAAGCAAAAGACGTCAGTAAGTAAAATTCTCATCCCCTCACGCCCTTTCCTTTTTCTTGTTGATGCTGGTCTCAGACCCTGCACACAATGCACGAGTTCCACGGCTAATTTTCCCCCCTCAGTGCGCACTACAAAGGTTCGGTATAGCTGGAACCTCTTGAACGGTCTCTTGTTCTTCTGGCATGTTGTTCTATCCGGAAACAAGGATGACAAGTTGTATTTCGCGGCCCAAGCCCGTCTTAACCGACCCATTGTGAAACAGCGCCAGCTTGAAGAGATTGCAGTCTGGGGTACTACCGCCGTGCTCATCTTGATAGATTGGCGCCGATGGATCTGGTTTGCGCTACTCCCACAGTTCTACGCCAAGTACTGTATCTTGTCGTTGAACTTCCTTCAGCACGACGGGTGCGATATGAGCTCCAAGTATAACTTTGCGCGCAACTTCACTGGCAAGACGCTGAATTATCTGTGCTTCAACAACGGATACCACACCGTTCATCATCTGCATTCTGGGCTACATTGGTCCGTCTTGCCGCAGAAGCACGATGAGCTCATTGGACCTCAAATTGCGCCCAGCCTAGAGGATTCTAACATTCTGATCTACATGTGGCGCACTTTCATCTATCCAGGTCTCCGCCTTGACTACAAAGGCAACCGACTCATAATCACAAAGGAGCAGTATGAGATGCCCGATGAGCCGTGGTTCTATAATGAGGCAGAAACCTTCTCAAATACGAAGGAGTATCTAGCCAAGGGCATGGAATAATCAAGGAAGAAAAGAGTTCAGACCTCTTACACTCTAAAATGAGCGTCTTTGACTTGAACGATTTACAGTTAGAGACAAGATATAAAGACTTAAAAGAGTTAGTAGAACTTAGAGTGGTTAAAGAAATAAAAGATAAATCTTCGATGTGATACCAAAATTAATTACTGAAGCAAGATATTTCTTTTTCATTAACTAAATACTTTTGTTTAAGGAATGCATGCTGAACGCTAGTATAAATTGATACAAAACCTGCTGCAAGCCTTTCCCCTACAGTGTCTCTTTCGCTAGTGATCTCGACGCTCAAATTGCAATCGACACAAGGACTAACAAAGGGACAAACAACTTCTAGAACTGAATCGATATCCAAGAATGCTTCCAAAGAAGCTTGGTCAAAGGTTCAATGGCCAGCAGCGCCTGCAGCGGGCACCTTGTTTGGGACAAAGTTGCCGGCGCGTTCGAGAACATCCTCCTCGTCTCCTCCGAACTGGGCTCCGAGGGTGGTCGCATCATCGGTCAGTTGCCCATCAATATTACCCCCGTCAGTCTTGACAAAGTCTGCCTCATTGGTCAGGCCAAGGGCGTTCAAGTCGGCAGCAGCGCCGTTGGCGATCTTATCGCCCTGTCTCTTGACCATTTTTGGTGGGGGAGGAGGTGGTGGATTACCACCGGCACCGCCGGAACCACTGCCCCTGGAAGCGGTCCCACCAAGGAGCTCAGCGAGGTTATCCTCAGCGTTCTCAACACCATAGCCGACGCCGTTGTCGGTGTCGGTAAAGACTGAATCGAAGAAGTTACCCTCGCCGGCGAGCTGGCGGGGCTTCATAACTGGAGCACCAAGGGTTACCCCGGTCGCGGCGAGAATAATGAGAAGCTTGATGAGCTGAGTCATTTTCGAGGAGTAATGATGTTTTGTTATTCTTAGATGTGCGATGGAGTTTGAGAAGTTGATTGTCGAGTTGATAAGAGGAACGGGCAAGGCAGTGGTATCTAGAGTCTAAGATGTATGAATGTTGTAGTTGGTGTCTGTAGTATAATGAGAAAGAAGTTGTGGAACAGGATGGGATGCTCCCTTTTATCTTGCAACGTCTTGTAGTGTTCGGCCAATTGAGAGGTTCTGATTCACACCATAATAAACTGATGCAACTCGCACGTTGTTTGAGCCAAAGACCCTTCGCAGCCACCCTCGTCACTTGTGTTAGCGATTCCACAGTTATTCGCTTAACAGACTAGTCTCAGGGTCTAACAACAACAAGGGATGACGTCTAGAAGCTGAGAGACAATACCGCTAGATATGCAGATATTGAGGTTGAGTTGGCATTCTAGTTGACGTATAGTAGACTGCACTAGACAATGATATCACAGCCTGTTCCGAAATATAAGCATCATGTTGTTTACTGGGGCAATTCGTCAGTGGCTAACATTGGTATATCTCTGAACAACCCAATCACGATTTTTGAAGCATGCGTCTCTACTGCTTGTGTCTCTAGAGGGAACATTACTATCAGCCTGCCATTTAAAATATGACGTTGCGCATCATGGAGATTCAGACTATTGAACTATATGGCCTTTCAGCCCTGATAGTAGGGCTGACCTTTACCCGTTATCATAGATCACAGGGTATGCTAGAGCCGTTGACCGTTACAAACGCCTAACACAATGTGCAAATGGACTTATTTGATAGACGGATCGGCGAACTGTGAAAGCTTTCGCCAGCCATCCAAACAGGAGCCACCTACGACAATATGCAGAGTGGGAGACCCCTAATGATCGTCCACTAGTGGGAAGTTCGGATCCGTGAGTGCCGAAGCCATTTTACCACAGGGTCTAATCTTAGTCTAACAGTTAGCCGTTATCTTGGGTGGTCCCGGCCGATCTCCTAGGGAAAGCTTGTTGGCTGAATCTTCCCGTCACAATGCATGAAAAAGGGTTCTTGAGGCGTACATCTTGATGTGTTGTGTGAAGATGCACTAGTGTGCCGATAAGCCGTGGTTCCGGCAACCTGGTTAACGACGCTGAACTCTATTCCTACTGGCAATAACCCCTTTGGGACGGAAGACGTAATGCTATTCCTCGAATGATGGAGGCTAAAACTAAGTGATGATTTGATATGTCATCATTCGAGATGGTACTTTGGAGTGAAGAGCCATACTAAATGACCTCCACAGAAAGAATTACCTAGAACCGGATGACGTTGTGCCGGCGCAGATTCCGAGCCGGGTAGGGACAGATTCATTACACTAATCACCACAGTGGATGAAGATCACCACTAAAGCTGCTAATGCAGGGATGATGATGTGAGATACTAACATAGAGGTCAACGTAGAGAGACGTAGAGAGACGTAGTCATGAAGCTGGTACTAGAATCTCTTCGCTGTCCAGCGCCCGATAAGTGAAGACTGGACACGAGTGGACAAATTTCAGCGACAGCAGGTCTCGTTCAACTTTTGCCATCGCTCTGTTCCCCGGTGGAATAAAAGACTGTAATTCAGATTCAGAACTTTAATACGATGCACCTCAAGTGTAGGTCGACCAACTCAACGACGCCGCTTAATCCATTACTTCATGCAGGCCTATCAGGTTGAGCAGAAGTGCACAGTCAGACAGGTGTAAGAATATAAACACTTTAACTCGCTGCGAGTAATCGCATCCTCCACGGAGCCTGTACCAGCCCCGTATATATTTGGTGCCCTTGACTCCTAATGATGTTGACCATCTGGATCCAACAACTTCTCAACTCAAATCTCAATCGAGAAGAAACAATTCAAATAACAGGGTATTAAATTAAGGGTAAATTTAGTGTCTCTCAAAGGAAACCAAAGTTCTCTATCTCATCCAGTACCAATAAGAAATGTCTAGTCCACTGTGTTATCTTCCTCGTCTTTGCCATCCTCATTCGTTTCTGTCTCCCCCCTTGTTGCTGCCTCCTCTTTTGCCAATTTCTCCTCCAGTTTCTTCTTTCGCTGTACATTCTTCTCGCGTTTCTTCTTCTCCATGGCTTGTCGTCTCAGCTCGCGCTTTTCACTCATCAGATAGCCCATGCTCTTGAACACAGAGAACAATCCCTTGAATGCCAGCTTGAAGTGTGAGAATGCCTCCTTGAAATGTGTTTTTGTTTCATTGTAGTTGGCTCGGGCGAGAGTTGCTTTCTTCTTGGTACGATAGGCCTTTTCGGCCTTTGCAGCCTTGGCAAACTGCTCTGATGCTTCTTGACGGTTGCTCATCAGGAGGATTTCGGTACATGATGAAGCAGGGCGAGCCTTGGGCGCCTCTGGGTCTGCAGAATCATTTTCAGGTACGGCTTTGGTCGTCTCAGTGACAGACTTGCCAGTTAAGGAGAACATTGAGGAATGGGAAGTTTTGAGGTGCTTGAAATTATAACTGCCGTTGATGTAGGTCACTGATTGACAAATAGAAGAATGGTTGGATGGGTAAAAAAGTTATATGGAAAGAATTGACTCGCGATAACGCACTGGGCTTGTGGTACTTAAATAGAGATGATGAATGTTTCCCGACAAAACATTTCAAGCTAGTATCCAGCTTTTGTTTCAGTTAATATAGCACACCATGCAGATAAAGAGGTTCTTATCTTGAAATGTTTTACTGTCAATCAAGGATATGAATAGCATAAACCCGATATGTCAATGCACATGTCACCAGCGTAGCATTGCATGATCATCCAATTAAACTTCGTAGCATTGCTACTTCGTACTTTGTCTGACTAAGTTGTAGTGCATAAGTTTAATCAGCACGGACGTTTGAGGCTTGAGAGGCTATCATCACCTGAGGTTTAAGAGATATTGGGGTGATAAAGTAAGAAATGCTATTCCGCGAATTTCCATAGCATAATCCCAAGTTTCTTTGCTATGACCCTTTCGTCGTTGATGCTATTTTGGTCGCATACCCATCCGGGCTAGAAAGTCTAGGGATCGATGAGTCAAAGTTCCTATGCGAGCCTTGCTCCCAGTTTGACCACAAGTTCTACAACGAGTTAAAAACGTGTGCGTTTGAATTATTCGAATACTAGTATATAGTGAGAACAAGTGTATTTTTTAGTAATGAAGCACGGTTTTGCATCGAGACCACTAATGACAAGAGCCAGGGGGGGCTTTAAAGAGTAAATAAAAGTGCAGTTCACTTTATCATTAAGGTTTTGCAGTAGATAATCATTGAATTACTATCTAAATATTATTATAACCCAAGATTGTGATCCGGTATCCAACTGTACCATATGGCACCTCAAAGTTACGAACGAACTCATTATGCACAACACTAGTCCCACAATGGAAATGAGTTGTCATCTGTCTCTCGTCAATCACCAACAATGACGCACCATTGTAATAGATAAATTCTTAGAGACATGAAGCACAAGCTTCTTATATCGCCGCTAGGGAGTGGACAGCAGCTAATACCAATAAGCTCGTTTGGTAGGTCCTGCAAAGCTAGGGGGGGGGGTGGTTAAATCGTCGAATGGGATCTTGGCCAAATGTGCAAAATAGCCAAGGGTATGGCGGAAGAATTGCCGAAACTATTTGAGATGGAAGACTGCTGTTATGGCACTTCATTGTCACGGTCACAAGCTTTGCTTAGTGGGTGGGGTTGTTTCAGGGTAGTTGAAGCTGGTCAAGGTTAATCTCCCGGATTTACCACAGCGGATTTGTAGCAGAGAGACTCAAAGAGAAATAATTGGTAGAATTCTGGTTAATGAATTGACAAGTATTTGACCTTCATGTTATTATGAATTGGTATCACTTGGCGAGAAATTCCTGTTGGTGCTGTATTGGTTCTTGTCAAAACCGGACTCGCCTGATAGCTGAACCAACACGAGTTCAAATATAACTCTGGTAAGAGTGCTGTCAAAGTTTAGCAAATCATAACAGCAGCGGAATTTTAGCAAGCTGCCGAAAGCCAGTTATCGTTTCACCTACGTGAGGGTAACTCTGACTAACGTGTTTAACTCAGTCCCAGTTACAAATCCTGCCATGCCACAAAGAATAGGCAATTAAGCATAGACCTCACGCAATTACCAGACCACTCTATTGCTATGTTGCACAATAAATTTGCTATCTTAGTGTTTAACTACAACCATACACATATTATACCTATTTGGCCCGTCCATTTTGAACCAAAAGGTTCTTTGTGCCCTCAGGAACCCCCTTGATAACATTCTTCAGAGCGATACTCTGGAGGTACTCACAGAGACCAGCTGCAGGCTTTCCACGGCCAAGGAAGTATGCTGCAAGTCCAGCGACGTGCGGCGTGGCCATGGAGGTACCCGAAATGGACCTTGTGATGTTTCCAGGCCAGGTGCTCAGAACTGCCACACCTGGAGCGTAAAGATCAACGACACTGCCGAAGTTGGAGAAGGAAGCAACAGTGTCATCCTTGGTGGTTGCGCCAATAGTGCAAATGCTAGGCTCGGAAGCAGGCGAGTGGAGAGAGGCATCGATAGGCCTGCCCTTATCGTCACCGTTACCAGCTGCGGCAGCGGCGAAGAAGCCGGCGTCGACTAGAGCCTTGGCCGCGTCGTTGATACCTTGTGATGGAGTCTCGCCGAACGACATGCTGACAACGACACCGTTGGGGCAGTCTCTGTTGGGCGCATCATGGAGCACTCTATCCATACCGGCAATAATGGAAGATCTTCTGGTTGTTAGTATTGACACGTTACAGCAGAGAAACGAGTGAAGCTTACGCAATGCCGTCGCCAGTCGAGTTGAAAAGCTTGATGCCATACAACTTAGTCTTCTTGGCAACACCATACGTCTTGGACCCAATGGTACCAGCGCAGTGAGTGCCGTGGCCATGATCGTCGAACCAGATATCGTCAACGTATGTAGCAATGAACTCAGCACGGCCCTCGAAATCCTAGACCAGGTTAGTCTCGCCGATCAAAAAGCGTGAACTTCACTTACAGGGTGTGCTGTATCAATGCCAGTGTCAAGAACATAAGCGCAGGTGCCTTCACCAGCCGTGGAGTCGTAAGAATATCTTGTTGCTCCGGTTGTCTTGCTCGATAACCGAGCCAGACCCCACGGGGCCTGCTTCTGGGTAGCAAGGATTTTGGCTGTCGAGTCTTGCTCAATGTACGCAACCTAAAGATGTCCAATTAGTTACGTCTATAGTTAAACATTCCATAAGTACATACGTTGGGGTCGTTGCGCAAGTTATCCACCTCCTTATCAGATAAAGTAGCGGAGAAACCGCCAAGCTTGTCAAAGACCATGTCAGGCTCCACAGCAACGGACTTGGCTGCCGATTTGACACGAGCAGTAGTTTTGGCACTGGATGCTGGCTTCATCATGACAATGTACTTTCCGTCGATGCCAGTTTCGTCTCTCGTAATGAGAGGTGCTCGCTTCTGCATGCCAGCTGCGGCAGCAGAGCCTGCCAGAAGGACAGTGGCGGAAAGGGTTGACAGACGCATGGCAGAGGATTGGGACTTGATCTGATAAAGAAGAGGATGAACAGAACTAGAAATCCTCTGGTCTTTGAGAAGCGGTCTCTTGCCTCTTATACTTTAGATCAGACAGTATTTCCCCATCTACAAAAGGTCTTGAGTCTCCGCTAACATATGTTGCGGCTCCATTGGGAAGGTAAGGACCCTGGTCGACCGGTTTACGGGCTCAAAAGATCCTCCAGGGGTTAAGCATATATTAGTACGGTGCAAAAGTTCCGATGATCCAATAACGAAAAATCTACAACATAAAATAGATACACAAGATAGATATAGATAATAATCGTTTACATCAAGTATTACCCCAAGATTCTATAGAATTACAAAGTTTACTGTAATTTATATCATTTCGCCTTAAATTTGGATAAGACGGGATTATTAGAACATTTGCACACCTACTGCAACAAGAACAAGAGGCAGCAGGGATCGGCGCTACTAACTACATACAGGCGCATCCCTGCTATGCTTAACGTTAAATGATCCGGAGTGAATACCACAAATGCCAACCTCTACCTCCACAGTCAATGCACATACCTCGGGCTCTGGTCCTTTATCCTAAGGGTAATTTTTAAAGTTCTATGTTATTGCTATCTACAATAGACCTTCCCTATGTAGAGGATATCATGTGGCCACAACTTTATGTTAGACATTCCCAAATTTAAATATTTACTAAAAGTTTTATTGGTTGGGTGGCCTAGACATTCTTGTGATCGCCCAAGCAGCTGAAGTCGGACCCACCCATAATAGTAATGGTTCTTTTGAAGAGTTACTGGTGTCTGTGTGTAACTATTCGTTTCCAAGTAGCTTCTATGTTAAAAAGAGGAGAAACTCTTATTATGTTTCGCGAAGGTGGAGTTGTTTCCCACATCTCACCAGCTTCGGATCCCGCAAAATGCCTTCCTGATTATGACCACCTATGAGAGATCATCCATCAAAGTGGCCCAATTATGGTGTTCCGAGGATAATTAATTGTATAAACCGATATATGATATAGCCCTTAGTTATTATCCAGGCCCATTATCCGAATTGTGATACTAGCACAGACAGGCTTAAGCGCAACCAACAACAGCACACAGTATTACCTCAGAGTTAGGTTAGGAGTATAAGGTTAATTACCGGAGCAAGATCTAGAAACCTTCGGAGAAAGATAAAAGGTTTATATCAGGAAAAAAGGAAGACTGATAGGGGGCTATCGTTATATTATTAAAAAACAGTTCATGGCCCTATAGAATTCGCCAAAGATCTGAGTCCTGAGCTTCCAGTGCTTGTTTGGGACTTTAGGCTCAATCCTTGTATTCCTACCCCTTCAGAATCCACTTGTTACCCACCTTGCATAGCTCAACATGTGCTCGTCGATGATCTTCTCGTCCCATAGTATTTAATTCATCCATTCCATGTTTCATCCTGGCCTTTTCCTCTGCATTGATGGCAAATAATACCTGTGCTGTTGACCCTTTTATAACCTCAACTCTTGCTTTGGCGGTCTCGATAATGATGCAAGTGAGGAGGAGAATGGATAGCCCGACTTGTATACTCAAAAGTGCCAGCCATTCCCATCCAACCTTGACATATACTACACTCTGAAGAGACACACCATCAACATTTGGGTCGTCGGGAAGAAGTCTGTTTGAGAGGGTATTAGTACTCCGATATGTTCGTACTGGACTTGGATCTCACGTGTTTGTAAGGCTGCTCGCCACGTTCAAAGCCATTCCATTGACAGCAATCCACCACGCCGTCTCCATTCCCAAATATTCCAAAGTCGAATTGCCCTTCGCATCGCTTTGTGCAATCTCTTTTGTTGCTTGAACTAACATGTCAGATCCCGACGTACCGAAGAATCTTTCAGCCGACCTATACACGCTTTTACCGCTGAGAGATTCATTCAAATTGCTTCTCATCATCCTGAAGCTTGAGGATCCAACAGTATAGACTTCTTTGTCGTTGCCTGGTATACTGAGAGACTGATACTCAAGATTTTGTATTTGCAAACTCGGCACATGGGATACCGTTTTGTTCATCTTGAGTATGTTATCGACCAACTCAGTCTCATACGCATTGATACACCAATGAATGGAGATTTCGACTGCTCGGGGGGTTTTCATGACTGCATCCCAGTAGATTGCGAAGTAATCGAAAACAGAGACGTTTCGCAAATACTTGTGGGATATAGCTGGCCCTTCACTCACGAAAAATGTTGGTGCACCAGAAAATTGCGTATGGCCTCTGCCTGGTAGTGTATAAACTCCATTTGGAAGTGTAATATTCTCACTGCCATGATAAAAGTCGAGATCCGCTTCAACAAGGTGTGTAACATCTTCAAATGATATTAGAGCTGAATTGAGTTGACTTGGCAGCGAAAACCTACTGGTGAGTTTGTGGCATAAAGCAAGTGTGCTGAACAGTGGCCACGCGCAGTTTGCTGCGGCACATTTCGGTTCTCGGAAGGGAGTCTCATCACGAACTAGACTATGAACGCCTTGTTTTATCCCTCTGGCGATAGCTGGCTCATTCACTGTCCATCACTGTTAGCCATATTAAATGTCAAGGTCGAGTAGAGCTAAGATGATAGAGTTTGAAGTATACACAATGCCAGTTCAAAAAAGGGGGATGAAGACTTACTGACGGCGTAATCAGGGTCATTTATACCCCATCTCTCGTCTAGCCTCCATGCCACTGCAACTCCCTTTTCGCCACTCTCCACAATTCTGGAAGGGTAAGTAATGGCAAATTGTGTGATCGTTGACGTTGCAATGGTAGTGGTAAGAAGAACAGCAGCAATGATGCCGACCAACCTGCACCTGTCAGTCAAAACGTAAAATACTTAAATTCAAGGAAACCTACCAGCCCTTGGTACGCGCGAGCAATTCCAGGCTACCTCCTAGTCCTCTTGATGCTTTGTCGAAAGCCTCGAAATCCTTGAGTGGGCGGGGCTTCTTCTTGAACCAAGTCCATTTTGCCTGTGCTAAGCCTTCCGAGACAGGAACAAGAAGCATAGTCCTGCATAAAGTAGCTATGAAAGCCAATACGGTGTTCAGAGTGATACCAGATGGCCACTGGGGTAAGGGCTGATTATCAAACCTTCTCAGAACAATCGTCAGGACTATCAGAGACACTATGCTCAGAGCACAGCAGAGCATCTCCTGCCACCAACCGCTTAGAATACGTCGCATAGACTCCCACCCTTCTACTCTCCGTTCTTTTGTGGTTTCATGTTGACTATTGTTCTTTTCTGTCATCTCTGTATCTGTGTTGAGCATAGATGTGGTTGCATTGTCAAGGGGCGCCATTTCGACGACATCAACAGGCTGCTTATGGTGATCGGACGCTTTTGTCGTGTTGCCACACTCGTTCTCTACATCGAGCAAAAGCGGTTCGCTTGCTAGCTTGATGTGATGAGGCTCATCGCTGGTAGACAGTATGCGAGCCTCACCGGAACCGACAGGCTTTCGTCTTACTGACAGCATGTGAAGCTTGTTGTACTGGGTATTCATGGTTAATAACGGTAAGTTGCACGAAAGATCACACCCGAGTAAAAGTAAGTGTTGTCTTATGTGGAAGGTGCGTGCATGGACTCGCTACTTATATGCAGGATTTCCCCTTTGTGGATACGATATTCATGTGCCTTTCCTTGAATTTCAGAAACTTCGAACCAACTGCATTATCACGAAGCCAATCATAGTATCTGATGCGATGTAGGAACTCCCTTTTGTGGGTCATCTACGGCTGAGTCTTCAGGTCAAGCCATTACTAGCCTATTCTGGGGCGACAACAAGGAATAAACAGATGCATGTTAGTGGCACAGGCAAGTCGAGTTTCATAAATGGGTTTATCGAATAAATATCAAAGATGAGTGCATTATGGTCTGTCTTGCAAGCTAAACCCACTGCCACTAATCCCCATTCAGAAAATAAAGAAGTCCAGTTCCGTGCAAAAGTTGCGACAACCAGCTAACAAGAGATAGTTACATTAGAATGGATTTTATAAAATATGCTATCAATAGAAGATTCTAGATATAACCTTTGAGTAGGACGACGTAAATTATGTAAATTAGAAAGAGGTTTTAATAATTTATGTAATCTTATATAAAGTTTAGAATAGAGTAAAGTATCTGAACTTTTACACGTCTACTATAATAAGACAAGTATGAGTATATAGATAGGCAAATAAATATAACTGGAAGGGGCTATTTTTATTGTAGATATCATTGAGAGATTTGGAAAGCCAGGGCTTGAAAAAGTTGAAGGTTAAATCGAAAAGAAAAAGAATACATATAAAATTAGTACCCTAATCTATTATCACAAAGTAAAGAAACATCAAAGCGATCATTTCCCTTCCATACTTCTGTTCCAGGTTTGGAAGTAGCAACAGCCGATCGTAAGTCACTGATCATACTACCTGGGCCGCTCGCAATTACTGTAGTAGGACCCCTAATAGTCCCGCCAATAAATGAAGGAAGCCTGCTTTTCAAATCAGGTTGACGACCGTATGTCATTATCCTACTACCAGTCCGCGATTGGACCGAGTCGCCAGATGCTGGGGAAGCCGAATAGGATGAACTGCCGACCTCTTCCAGCTTATCGACCGCGTAGCTTTCCTCCCCACCACTCGTGGCCTCTGGAGGTCCTGCCTCGCGAGTGACGAAGATGAGCACGCTGACACAATGTGCACCACTGGCTTTGTAAATAGATTGAAGCTCCTCCTGTCCCCACTTTGTGTCGGACTCATTTCTGACGGCCCAGATGAGCTGAACCTTCCGCCCCTTAAGTGATCGCTTTGAGATAAGATTTAACAGCACGGGTAAACCATAGGTAAAACCAGTATCGCCGGCAACGCAGAGAAGGTTTGTTTCTGGCGTTAAGCTTCTTGTAATGGATTCTCCATAAGGTCCGGACAGAATAACAGGAGTTATCACTGTGGTAGTCTCGCCCAGTTCCTTGCAGGCCAGCTCCGCGAGTTTCTTCGTCTCCCCTTGCTTTGCACGGAGGATGTATGAGTGCGTGACCTTGCCGTCTTTGAGCACTGGGAGACTAAGAGGTACAAAGGAATGGGATTGCCAAATACTGCAGTTGGTGAAACACAGATAAAATTGTTGGCCAATATTCCAGGAATCATGAGAGTGCTCAAAGTCTAGCCTCAAGACATCCCCATTCTCCGCATCAGGAAATTGCTTGATACTGGCATGAATGGCTTGGAAACCCATTGAGGCGTCGGATAGAAATTGGTAGTGAATCAGACCAGTTCGGATAAGCCGCAGCATTCGGTCAATCAACCAAATAAGAAGCGAGCAGTAAAGGAAATAGGAGAGCTTGTCCCAATGCGCGTAGTAGGCACCGATATAGATCATTGCTAGAATGTAATGGGCTTTCCTGAAGAATTCATAGCCAGCCCGTCGAATGACAATAGGCAAGCTCAGGATGAACAGGGCCAAGATCAGTAGTGTGGCGACAATGCCTCGAATCATGTATGTCTCAGTAACCAGTTGCATGGCAGCCGCGGGCTGCGGCGCGTAAAGCTTTGTCTCAATAACGATCCAGCCTACTGTATGGAGCAGTGCCTGCGCTCAAATGATATACCTGAGCCAGCGATGCAGAAAGTTAAAACTTTGATGTGGTATGCCAGTCAAGACGCTCAACATTGCCTCGCGGCTTGCCATCATAACACTAAACAGTGTAAGCGCGTAAGCAGGAACACCGATTCGATTTGACCAGGGGCCAAGAGTTGTTCTGATGGTATACAGACCGGGCATGTCTGGTACAGCAACAGTCCATTCCCGATAGGTAAGACCAGCAAAGCTGACAATACCCAGACAAATAACTAGAATCAATAGTAGGGAGACCTGTAAGCGTGTGGTGCGACCGAAAATGATGCGTATAGAGTCTGGTAAGAGGTATGATCGAAAGAAAGAGGCCACTGTCCTCTTTACCCTTCCTTCTCGACTAGCTGTTGTGCAAACGAGCTTTTCAGTATCAACCATGAACTCGTCTGTTTATGCCGATGGCCAGATGTTGCGGGCGAGATCCCAGGCCAGGAGAATACCGATAGCTATGGCCCAGAAGATGCCCACAAATAGCATGCTATGGTCATGGACTGAATAGACAAGATCCAGGTACTGGTAGGTCTTGACGTCCCTGGCACATGGAAGGGCACGGTCTGTATAGCACCAATAGGGCTCAAGAGTAGTAGCCTCACTCGTATCCAGGGTATGGCACGTCCTCATCAACAATGCCGCTATCATGGCCACACCGCAAGGCACCACCAAGGAAGGCTATGAGATCCAGTTCGGCACCAACTAATGGGTCACGCGCTACTCACAAGGCCCCTACTGCCCACCCTCAAGAAGACTGCCGCAACCACCAGCCCGCCTCAAGACGTCCGCATTATCAGCGTTGCCTCTTCTGAAGAAACCAGATCTCCTGCCACCGACACCTATGATTTTAACAAGCTCAAGACAGACATGGCCTCCACATCCACGCTTATCCGCTATGGTATCTCGAAAGTCGCCAACGTCCACCATGCCCGTGCTCTCTCCCGCCACCACCTAGAGATCCGCTCCATCTCGCTCCACCCAGGCGTTGTCGATACCAACCTCAAGAGTGGAATAGGTGCTAGTTAGCCGTTGATGAAACCACTACTGCCCCTGATCGGTTGGTTGTCTACCAATGTCTCAAATGGCACCAAGAATCAGCTGTGGGCCGCTGTTAGTCCTGATGCCAAGTCGGGCGAGTTTTACTTTCCTGTCGGTGTTACCGGCAAAGGGTCAAAGCAGTCCCGTGATAAGGCTCTTGAGGATGCTCTCTGGAACTGGACGGAGAATGAGATTAAGGGATATGCCTAAATCGCTATTGTGGAGTTTTACATAGGGCTCGACTTCAGGGTGGATAATAGTTAGTTTTTTTTTGTCTCTCTTTTATCTGAGAAATGAAATTCCTTGATGCGTGGATTTGGAGTACTATGATAAGAAGATCTTTTCATTGAGACAGCTGGATCTCTTTTTTAAAGGTGCTACTAGACTTCACACAAATAACAAGATTTTATACTAAGAAGGCCTTTTATTTATCAAGCTATTTATATCATAAGAGTAATATTTTAGCTTTTTAAAGTATTTAAAGAACAAGCTAACGCTACAATCTGTAATAATACGTAAGAGCGATTATGCTAACTGTAGCCAATACGTCCCGGTAGCCCGTACTTATATCCTGACTAATACTAGCTATACGCGTATAGTCCATACATCCATGCACTGGAAATTACATGGGTATAGAACTAAGCATAAGACATATCCAGTTTTAAGTACCCTCCAAGAGGAACTTGTCGTGCTGTGCATTGGCCCCTAGGATTTAGGGGTCAATTCCGCGTATTGCAATACTCCGTGTAGAATTACTCAATTCTTTCTGTAACTAGTTTAAAAATAAGTACAAATAATTTACAGTCCTTTCTTATTATCCATTTCCTAAAGTCCTTTCTTTCTTCAGCCGCCTTTCAATCCTTTCATTACATTTTATTTCCTTATTGTTCCATTTATCAGTCATTAAACCACATTCATTTCTAACAGACTTCCAACCCCACAATCATTTTCACCACCATTTTCTATCAAAACGGTATAATGGCAGGTTTTACTTTCTACAATTATGAACCCTCCTTACCAGCGGCCGCTGCATTTGTTATTATCTTTACCACCACCGCTCTTGTTCACATGTGGCAAATGTTCCGGCATCGAACATGGTACTTTATCCCATTTCTCATCGGCTGTCTTTGTAAGTACCCTTGTCTTCGAAGCTATGACAGAATGCTGATTCCCTACAGTTGAGGCGTTTGGCTATGCCGGCCGTGCGCTCTCCGCACACGAAGCTCCAGACTACACGAAAAACCCATACATCATGCAATCAATATTGCTCCTCCTCGGCCCCGCACTCCTCGCCGCGTCTATTTATATGATACTGGGCCGTTTGATAGTTCTTCTAGACGCCGGCCACTTATCACTGATTCGAACAAAGTGGTGGACCAAGGTTTTCGTCATTGGCGATGTACTATCCTTCCTGGCACAAAGCGGCGGTGGCGGTATGCTCGCCTCAGCAACGTCCAAAGAAAGCGTCGAGAAGGGCGAGAATATGATAGTTGGCGGACTACTCGTTCAGATCGTTTTCTTTGGCTTCTTCATGATTGTCACCGTCGTCTTTCACATGCGAATTCGCTCACGCCCAACATCTCGATCTCTTGTCTTGAACAATCCTTGGGAGAAGCTGATCTGCATCCTCTACGCCTCAAGCCTATTTATTCTAGTTCGCTCCGTTTTCCGTGTCGCGGAATATGTTCTAGGAAAAGAGGGAGCGCTGCAATCTGAAGAGTATTGGATCTATATCTTTGATGCGACGCTCATGTCCTTTGTTGCGATTCTCTTGAACATCTTCCATCCTAGCCAGGTTATTAACAATCCGGAGGCCGGAAAGCCTATGTATACGGTAGATGAGTATCCCTTGCAGAGCGTATAGTTTCCTCAAGGCTTATGGGGGGCTAAGTTGGTATATGACAGGACGTCTCTGGCGTTGGGGAGCAGGGAGTGTAATATGGTACATACAATAATAGATAAAATTACCTCAGGCTCTCTTCTTTTATTTATTGGCTTTACCTTTTTGTTCTATTGTATAGAAATGATGGGCATCCTCCTCCCTATTCTTTGCCTGGTGATAATAACCTTCGTCATGTCGTCCGATATTGTCTATTATCTTTGTATCAAAGTATCTATGCTCTCTAGTTATCCCCGTCATAATCTACATGTTCTCTCTTCGTATTACTACCATATGCTCAAGAGGATATTGTGTTGATATAAAGGTATGGTTAAGGAAGCTTCAATGAGTTCAAGATAGTCTCAGCTTTAAAGGTTCCGTTATAGGGATCTATTGCTGATCGATTGTTATTTTTACTTTTCGATCTAATCTTTGTCTTTATTAAGCCCAAGCCTTCTAAATCTCTTGATAATAGGTATTCATAATAAGAATAACCCATTCTTAGGTTAAAACTCAATATAATTAATACAGTAGAAGCCACACACGGCAACTAAACTCTAATTAAGTGAACACGTAGATCACACAGCCGTACGCATAAAAGATCGACTGTTAATATCGTCAGGTTATATACACATGAATCATATTCCTTCTCTCAGGATCTCAACATCCATTACCTGCCAGTGACTGTTACTCATCAGCCCCAGGAGTAACCGACCATGTTGTCGCAGTGAACAGGAGCTGTCCATCGTCCTTTAACATCTCAGGATCGAGATACACGCAGTAATTGATTCGAGAGCTGTCAAGTAGAAAGTAGACACGGAAGACCATGTAAACCTCCGTACGGTCTGGATTGTAGTGGATGCGTTCCATCTATGTTTGGTTAGTCACTGTCCAAACAATCTTCTTTCGGCATACTTACAAGTCGGTACTGATTACCACTCATGTAGAAGGGTGTCTTGCAGGGTCCACTTGTTGTCTTTACCTCGATGTAATACTTTGGTTGCTTTTCCGTCCATTCGTCGCCAGGGAGGATACCAGCTTCAACCAGAGTGTTGGTTAGCTGGCCCTCAGAATCAGTATAGACCAGGTCTGCAGTCTCTCGACGGCTCCAGTGGGTAATGCTCGAGTATTCTGGATGTATAGCCGCATACATTCTAATCGTGCTCTGCCAATTTCCTCTATTCCAACCTGGTAACTCAAGCTTGGACAGGAGCTCAAACACCTGAAAGCTAGTTAGTCAACTTGCCAAATCAATCTTACTGTTCCACTCACGTATAATTCTCCGGCGGCCCCAATCTTCTTGTCACGCTCTTGCTGACTGGTCGAACGAAACCTGTTCAACACATCCAACCCGTCAAAGCCTTCGTATGCGTCCGAGTACCCACCAGGCAGGGCGTCTCGCAAGTCGTGTAGATCGAAGGCCCCTCCAGATGGGAAGTTCGCCCTTCGAGCTGCCTGGATGACGTTCTCAAGGATCGACAGATATCGTGCGTCTTCAGCCGCCTGTGCTGCAGAAAATGTGTGTCCCGAGGACAGGCTGGCATGGGCTTGCGGCCTCGGGGGACTGTCTCGTTGCGGTGAATGAAGCACGGGGCTTGGCCGACTTTGGTGAGACGTGTTGTTCAGCTGGGCGAATGTCTCAACTGTGGTTTCTACAAGACTTGCTTGAGGATCAAAGGCAAGTGAAGCAGTATGTGGTGATGAACGACCGGTTTGGAGGGAGTGGGTGGGAGTAAGATTCAGCTCCGAGGGCACATCGTCAGTCTCTTGAGTTTGATCCGCTGTGGGTTCCTCTTGTTCGTAGCCGCCATTCTCCTCATCATCATCTTCTTCATCCTCTTCATCCTCGTCATCCTCAAATCCCACCTGTATAATACCTTGGTCGTCCAAAATCTCGTCGACTCCGCATCTATCACTAGCAAATACTGATGTTAGTGCCGTTACTAGATCGGCATCAACGTTCCCACTGATCGGATGTCTCATGAGCCAAGAAGCAAATTTCCGGGGCAAGACGGAACCAAAGCATATTTCCTGTGCCATTGGATCTCGAGGAACAAATATTATAACAGCATTTTCTGCTGAGTCGTCAATATGCTCTCTTGCAGTCGACAACGTGGCTGTATGGGAGTGGCCGCTCTGATTGATCTGCAAGGTGGAAGTAATCTCGTCAACCTCCTTGACGGCCATATTCCTGAGCTGTTTGTACAAATGTAGTCCATCGTTTTGAAACCGGGGGCTTCTGAATGTCGCTGCCACTCTAGCGGTCGAGGCATGGTTAGTGCTGCTACGTAATCCGTTCTCTTTGACTTACCGAGCAATATGGTAGGCTTTCCGTCTCAGATCTCGTTTGCGTGAAGTTATTGGGGATCCTAAGTCTCCCGAGATGGATGTTATTTCTCGCACACACCTGGATGTATAGCGAGTCTCAATCTTCAGCCAGGTAAAAAACGGCTTCAGTTGGTGGACATCTTCCAGATTGAAGTCTAATATCGCGATTTTATCTTCGAATTTGGACCGCAGATTATCCCGGTCAGCAATGGCAAAGTCCACGGCGGCAGAGCTGAGTGTGACACTTCCGTTCGGGTATCTTACAGGGAAAACCTTTGCCTGCTCTATTGGCTTAGGATCCCAGTGGCCCTGCTCGCCATCCTCACTTTGAAGAAAGCCATTCAAGGTGAAGATGGCCACCTTGATGTCCTTGATACTGCTTTGGGGCGACTCTTTGAGCTCGTTGTACACCATCTGCATTGTGGGCGATTTAACACCAAGTCTTCCAACGAAGAAGCGTTTAAGTTCTTCGTAAGATTCATCAAGGGTTACTTTGCCCCGAATTTTGGTTATGCTGGACCACAAGCAGTCGGAGATCCTGTACCAACCTGGTTTGCCTGACTGTCTGGAGAAGATGAGAGGAGACGATTCGAATGTAACCCTGACCAAACATTAATTTCATAAACCAAGACTCAATAGGGGGTTAATTTGCACGTACCTGGTGCCGGACGCAATGACAGAGAATTTGGCATCCATATACTTGTAAAGGTCCAAAATACGATCATCCTCTTCGCAGCCATTTTCACGCAGTCTGCCCAGTTCGACTACCAAATTATCAATTGTGGCGTCTTGTATCCCTAGCGTCCTGTAGAAGAGGTTCTCAATACTGCTCATGTCTTCGTCACTCAGACCTTGTCTCATATATAGACTCTTGAGGGAATGTGCCGTCATCATGCCAGGTGGTGCAGCCCAGACACAACGGGGGGTTGCCGTCCACATTGGATTTCTTTCGTAAGGGACGAGAATACCAGACTCTTTGAAGTATCCCCTGTAGATATGTTAGCGATTGATGTTGTAGATAGTTCACGAAAGCATACCTGATTCTTGTTCTTAGCTTCGTTTGGTCGCTGGATGTTGCAAGCTTTGCATAGATGGCGATATACAATTCGAACACTCTTTGCGCCTGGCGAACGGATGACGGAAAAGGACACGAGCGTTTGATACATGTGAGCAATTCAAGCAAAAACTCCATATCTTCGTCTTGGCCAACGCAAAAGTGTTTCGCTAAGAAGCCCCACTTCATACTAGACCACTGATCCTCATCGCTGCTCTCAAATTTGAGGAAAGGAAATTGCTCGGGATGTTCCATGTACCTCTCGACAGAGATTTTGAGATGAGGGGATGGTAGCCAGGTGTCTTCCAACTTGAGTGAGAAAGCCACTTTGCAAAGCTGCTTGGCAGGGAAACCCCGGATTTTGGACACAAGACCTGGAATTCTGAGAGCGCGGGTTCCTTCAAAAAGCCAAAGATGCTCAAAGAGGCCCAGAAACTTGTCTGGTCGATGGTTCATGACATACAGGAAAGGACCGGACAGGCCATCTCCTGTGGGAGAAATTAGACTAACCCTGTCATGGACACCGATGTAGTCAACCATCCATTTCTTCCAAGATATTTGGATTGGGTTTGAAGCATCTGGGAGGTCTGGAGCCCCTTCCAGGATTACTTCTTGCAAATAGACCGCATTAAATCCCGGAGCAGTGCCATGAGCGGGTAGAAGACTTCCAGGACTGTAGGGATGATCGATGCCTGGTAAATATATCACGTTAGAGTGTGGGTTGAGACCAGTACTTGTAGTGGCAAGCCAAACTTTCTTGTAATCTCCAAATACGTGTACAGTCGTCTTGTGCGTTAGGTAAAGATAACGAAGTAGTTGTAGGATGTTGTTCGTACTGATACTCTGCGCTTTCTCAAAGAATGCGAATATCCACCCTCTAACCTGTGATGGTGTAGCTTCGGTAGCTCCAAGCTTCTCGTACAATGCCTTGCGGTCCGGGTTTCGCATGGCAGAAGGACTCAAAATCCTCAGGTCCAAGCCCTCCGGAACATCGATGTCTCCTGTTGTGGGGAAGTAGACTGGGGCACTCCGTATAGATGCCCATGTGTTATCCATCAGTGGTAAGATGTCAAGCCACATTATTCTTGGGCTGCTAGGGGATTTGGCTTCTAGGATTTTCAAAAGGAGGCGTGCAACACTACTGTGCCATTTCTCGGTCATGTGCTGTCCCTTGAATTTACACTGGCTGCTTTTGAGATCCATTTGTAAAAGATCAACAAACATTTCAGCGTTCAGGTTCTTGAGGCCATATGCTTTCAAAGCATTTACTGCATCGGAACTATACTTTTCCGAGAGAAATGGGTATTTGATATGGTTATCCAACAGTGGCTCTCCATCTTCGCCTCTTGCGTCTGGAGTAAGCATGACAACATCGTGGAGGTGTCGTAAGGCACTCCATTTTCTTGCTTTCGCAACAGGCTGTTCTCTCATCAAGGCTTTGATCTTTGCATCCAAGCCAGACCAGAACGAGTCAGACCTGCTGTGTATGGGCGGAAGAAAAAGCGGCCAGTGGTAGCAGAGCGTCGGATGTTCACAAAACTGAAGGACCGCTTTGTAAAATACGTCCGCTATAAAATCACGGATGTTTAGGTTTCGCCTCGATGTAGTGATGATGTCTTGTCGATTGGCGTTCGTGTCAAAGTCTGAGTGTATGTGGAACTAGACAATTGTTGGTAGCTATCCCTTAATGGCCACAAGTATGTAGGTTCACTACTCACTTTGTACTCAGATGAACGGAGAGGTAGGAATGCGAACAGTTCCTGTCTCTGGTTGGAATAGCGAGGCTTGTAGTCACTAGTCAAGGGAAAGGCCAAGACGACTTCAGCGGTACTTGAGTCCCTTCGGGCCTGTTCGTTTTCTGGCGGGTCCCTGTTGTCGCTCAAGGCAATACCTATGCCTAGTCCCTTTGTTATGTGATACATCTGACGCTGGACAGTTTCTTCACCATCAATGATAGTGGTGGTATCGAGAGAAACCCGATGGCTGTCGATATCGTGTTTGCGGAATTGCTTCGATCGCTGGAGTTTCCCCTCCTCATCATAAAAGGCGACACTGATCTCCCGAAGCTTGCGAAGGAACAGAAGACATGTCTCTTGCAGATCGTCAAACTGCATGGATATGATCGTCCTCAGATGCTCCAGTTCTTCTTCGTCGCCTTGGTCATGAAGGTAGAGTGTAGTGCGAGTTAGAGGGCTGGGTATGGGCTTAGTATCGGGAACCCAGATAGGTCGCACCATCCCGAGACCTGGGTCAGACCTCCTGTGTCTGAAGTCGAAGGAGAAGTTTCCAGACTGAATGTGCACTCTCCATGCGGCGATGAAGACGGATTTGAACCCGATTCCTTTGGCACCGATGTATCCGTGCGTGGCCGTCTTGCTACTTTCACCTACGGAGCAGATAGCTTTCAGATCCGGTCTGGTAAATCCATCCTCGTTACAGTCAACCACGATGTGATTCGGGTGAATCTTGAACGAGATGAAAGGGGGAGCTTTTTGCTTCTGGGCCTTCTCGAATTGGTTATCCTCGGCATTCTGAAGAAGCTCAAAGACAAATTTTGCGCCACTTCCGTAGATGTTTTTTGCTAAGCTGACGAGAGCTGATTAGTCTATTTCAGGCCAAAATCTCATTCAAATTTACACTTTGATAGAATGCGACGCCGCGTTCTCCATTCTGAGCCAGTTTTCGTCAATTCGGCGACGATAATTCTCGTTGTATCGTCCGATATCGTCCATCATCTCTTCGTCCAAGTATCCATACTCTCCAGTTATCTCCTTAATAATCTGTTCGGCTTCTCTCACTGTCGCCATCTTAGGGGTTGGGGAGTAGAATTTCAAGTTTAATGGATAGGCGATGAACTTGCTTGCTGCTGTAGTCGTTGTAGCTAGTGGACTGGAAATAAATAAGAAGGTCAACGGGAAATGTCCTACAAAAGAAGGCAGTAGGAAAATAAAATGAGAGGGTTTGCTGCGGGGAGAGCAAACAACTTTTGCGAACCAACATGCATATGGTGAGACACTACTTCTGCATGTTGGTCACAATATCCCTGTCTTTTATCCACAAAGCTGAACGCATCCCTGGTAGGTTCGCGTCCTAAAGCGATCCCAACTAGGAACACATGCTGGCAGTCTTTAAATCTATTGTTATCATTGGCTGAATGCAACAGTGCTGTGTGGTACAGTCCGCGAGGTTCTAATGGTAGCAATTAATAAACCATCCTAAAATCAATACCTCCTTCTAATGCTCACCCATCCACTCATTTCGTATAACAATGAAAGACCTTTACAATGATAACCCACTTCCCATCCAGCTTTAACAGCGTAAGATTATCCGTGAAATCGTTCCCCGCCACATCGCCCTCTATATCAACTTTGACGGCGGCTGTTGTTGACGTGATGCTAGTGACATCACTTCTTGCTACAATGTTCGGCGACGCCCCGAATGTCTCCATAAAGCTATAGAGGGCGCTGATGGGACCGCTAAGGAGGGAGCCATCGGCGCCGAAGCCGTGAATGGTTGCGTCGGAGTGGAAGGACCTCGCTACTTGTGCGACGTCGCCGGTTTTGAGGCCTACGATGTAGTTTTCGGCGACAGCGACAACGGACAGGTACTCGGAGGTTGGGATTGTCTTGATGTGTTGAGACATTTTGAGGTCGGTGGGTGATAATCTGTGTTGATTGAACTGTTGTTTAGAGTTCACTATCTCGAATAGGAAAAGTTAGGAATTGCTTGAAAAGAAAGTAATTGCTCTTTAGTGTAATGGAGATAGCTTACCTAGACTTCTCTCGCTTTGAGCTATGTTTTGTAAATGGTAATGCGAAGATAGTCTGCAGTGTGATACCATTTTATAATCCTACCTTTGCGTGGGTATGTAGCTTAGAGCACAATTTACTTCAATTGGGGCGTATCATAATTAAGCCCTTTTCTACTCCATAGCTTTATTTCAAAGCAGACATCATAGGAGTCTGACTAATGGAGGGGCCCACCGGAAAAGCATATCTTTCTACCCATATCTATTTCTACCCCGATGCATTTTCTTTCTCAATTTATAACCTCACCTCTAACTTCTTCTCCAGGTCTTACTATCCAAAAAGTGAATAAGAAGAAAAATACCTTCATTATGGCACCAATTAGAGTCGGATTTATAGGTCTTTCGAAATCCGGCTGGGCTCCTTTAGCACATTTCCCATACTTGAACGCCAGTAAGGATTATCAGATCGTGGCTATTTGCAACACTACTGTTGAGAGCGCGAAGGAAGCTGTCAAGTTGTATAATTTGACTACTGAGACGAGAACCTATGGTGATCCTGAGGGTATGTCTTCCGCATTCTATCTCTGCAACTTCATCCTCTTCTTTGCCGCACGTCAGTCGGCTGACTTGTGTTTAACGTATTATTAGATCTTACCAAAGACAACGAAGTCGATCTCGTAGTCTGCTGCGTACGAGTTGATCGCCATTTTCCTACCTTAGCCCCGTCTCTGAAAGCTGGCAAAGATGTCTATGTCGAGTGGCCACTTGCTAAGAGCCTACCTGAGGCGAGGGAGTTCCTGAGATTGAAGAATGAGGGCGGTGTTAAGAAGGCCATGGTGGGGTTGCAGGCTCGAAAAGCACCCGTAGTTGCCACATTGAATAAGGTGATCGAGAGCGGCAAGATTGGAGACGTGCTGAGTAGCAATTGGACTGGGTACGGCCCGGATGGTGGCCCGACTGTCACTGAAGCTTTCGAGTATATGGGCAGCAGAGCAATTGGTGGTAATCTTGTCACAATTCATCTGGGCCATGTCGTGGATTATATCCAGAGGGGCAAGTTTCCATGTGAAAGGTAATAGGAGAAGAAGCATAACTGACGATGTGACAGTCCTGGGCTACGGCTTTCAAACTCCACCAAAATCCCTACTTGCCAATCGTCGCAAGACAGTTCAACTAGTTACGCCTGACGGAAATGTTCTCGAAGAGAATCATCCAAAGGACTCTGACGATACAATATTCCTCGATGGAACACTCAGTACTGGAATCCCTATCTCTCTGACTTTTCGTGGAGGCGACCCATTTCCTGGTACGCCCGGTCTGGATTGGCGTATTTACGGCTCAAAGGGAGAGATCCGCGTCACTGTTACTGGTTCTCTTCTCTCAATTGGCTATCTAGACGTGTTAGTTGAGCTCATCGAGAATGAAAAGACTGAAAAAGAGGTCATTGAGGTGGAAGCAGATGAGTTTGATGAGAGAGACGAGTTTGGTATATGGGCTAGGAATGTGGCCAGGGTTTACAAGGGGTTCTCCAAAGGGGAGGTCGTTTGTAGTTTTGAGGATGCGGTTGAGAGACATGCTTTTCTTGATGGACTGTATAGGGAGAATGGTTATCATGGCTAAGCACCGTTTATCAATTAGTACAGTTTGATCTTTCAAGCTCGTTTTTAGAATTCAAGTGTTCAATTCAATTTCAAGACATGAAACGGGAGGCTAGTTATAAGTACAATAATTCTATCGAAGCAACCCTTTATCTTTTACGAACTTAAAGACTCTCGCTCGCCTTATTGAACCACTCAACCACGCTGAGAATGCAATGGAAGATTATGGGAGCATTCTCCTAACAAAAGAAGATATAAAAGGATTAAACAATAAGTAGGTACCGGGGAGTCTTAAATAGAATTGTTAATAACAAGCTGACTAGGAATATATAATGATAAGTGCAGTTTATACATAATATTCTTTTAAACTTATATAATATTATTTTAAGTAAAATAATTACTTTAATCTCTATTGTCTTCTATAAATTTTAGAAAGCAAGAACTCGGTAAAGACCTAAGCATACTAACTGTAGTAATGACACTCTAGGGGTTTCTATTTATCTTTATTACGACCAACCCTAAATGTACAGCAAGTGTTAGGCGGCCAACAAACTATCGCGGCTGGGTAAGACTGTAGTGCTATAGGCAGTCCGCAGGGGACCAGTAATCATTATAGATCTGCCACTGTGGGGATATGGTTTCTGCAGATACGCCCCAAAACACGGGCATATCTCGCTCGCTCTTCCTGAGCTAAAGACTGGTATTCGTTGATTGCCGGAGCCTTGTGAAAATTGTAGACTAAAGCCCCTTTTTGGATGTACAGGACCCTGAACGATTTTTATAGATTACAGTATACAGGCAAGAAAGAGTAGCCTAAAATGACTTTAAGAATCAGCAAAAGGACTACACTTCAAAGGTCTTCTCTTAGGAAGATCAAAGCTATTTGATATTGAGCTTTATTAACATAAGGTAGCTAATAAGCCCCATCGTAAAAGTTTATAGCTACTGGCTAATTGTAGTCTCAGATAGTATATAAGCTAATTCTTAATCGGTATAGCCCCGCCACCAACACCTGTAGACATAACTCTAGCAGATATAGCGTGCTGCCCCCCACTGCCTCCATCAAACATCATCTGAATATAGGCTTCTATATCCATAAAGCCCTCTAAAAAGCCTTTTGTAAAACCATAATTATGCTCGGCTACCTTATCATCCTTATTGCGCAGCCAGTTAACTAACCCTTGAACAATCAAGGCTATGTTTTCTATCCAGAACAACATATCAGCATACTGACTGAAACCGGGAAGCTGGCCTATTAATTCGTTCATAGCATCGCTGCCAACATCGAAAGCCAAATCGGCCGCCAATCGGGCCCCATGTTCCATGGCTGCATTGAGCTTCCGATACCACTCACTGTCGCTATGGTCTGCTTCCCAGCACACGACAGTCCCCACCATGCACTTTGAAATCCAGCCTTCATTCAGTATAGTCCTGGAGGGAAAGTCACGGATGGTGCCTGTAACGACAGATCCAAACTCTGGGGTTCGGTGATGGTTTTGGCCTCTCGAGTCGTTGCCAATTCCCCATGTGAAGTAGACTTCATCTTTTCCAACTTCGTTCGATCGTCTGTAGCACTTGAAAATAGACGCCTGCAATTCCAATTTATAAATCCCATTGCCATGGGTTTGATCGGCTGTCTCTGACTCGGGTTCCATAAACATTGTCAGACCCCGACCAAGGCTAGATACAGCGGACGCAAACTCTTCAGTCTCTGGAACGTTGCCATCTAGACCAACCGCGTCCGCCCGAACGGCGCGTATGTGCGGCTGCTGAAGCGTTTCAACACCGTGCTCTTTGACCTGTTCGTTGAACTGGTCTCGAGAAACAGGCTCGTCCTCAGACAAGCCCATAATTCCAGCTGGTGCGTTGAAGGCAGCAAAGCTTCGAGAGCGTACAGCAGACTTGGCCTCGCAGCAAATCTGGCCAAGAGCGTTAAGCTCCTCTTCACTCTCTGTGATGGCCGCAAAGGGTTCAGATGCCCATTTTTCGATCACAGTGAGTTCATGGCCCTTGCTACGTCGTGCAAGGCCATGAAGCGCCGTCGCCAGAAGGAGACTACTACCTGGCTTAAGGCCGGCGGCTGTCTGTGGAGTAGACTTTGCCTGTAGCCACTCCTTGAAACGGTCGATACGAGCTTCAGAAGTGATAGCAGCCATGGCTTCAGATATTGTAGAAAAGAAGTGTTTGAGTTGGGTGTCTTAAAGTTATGATCGAATGCTGGTGGTGGGTGGCTCTGTACAGAAACCAGAATGCTGACGAGCGTAGCTGGTATTTATACACGACGATGTTCTACTAGTCAATGAAAGGACTCAACATTTACTTTGCCTGTCGTAGGATACCTAACACAAACCTTTCATGACGTAAAAGACTATCGAGAGAAATAGCGGTCTACTTAAAATGTAAATACCTGCATTGCACATGTCGGTGCCACACCCAATCAGAATAAAGTACCAACCAGCCCACATAATGCTTCTTAGGTTTTATTTTCATTCACTGATATGACTGTCCGGCCAGTATAACACGCCTAAAGACAATATTCATGTAAAGTAAAGTATGGCTTATTTAAATTCACTTTTTGCTGTTGTTTGGAAGGCTTTCCTGCCACTCCTTGATAAGTTCATTTTGCCTTCAATTCGTCGTGACATTACACTGTCGCACTTTGGCCTTGCTTCTCGTTCCTATCTCGGCTGTCTGTCTCACTGACCTCGTTTCCTAATCCAACTCCCGGCAGTTAAAGTCGTAACACAGTAAGACACCCTCATTCGTAAATGCATGAGATTCAAGGTTCAATCAGCTGCTGATGTTGGTCGCTTTGTGTTACTTTCGAGTTTGTAATTGCACAACCCCAACACATTGGGCTATTGCGCTTATCACATCCCCCAGTACGGCGACTGACAGGTCAAGCTATCTCAGAGTGAGACACGGCATGTTGATGATCCTCGGCGGTGAGTGAAGATGAGAATGAGAGTAATAGAATAGATGCCTTGTTGCCTCCGTGGGCCACGGATGAGGTTTTGGTATTGATCGAACCTCCTCCTAGGCCGACAAACCAGGAGGATAGGTTTATACAATATATAATTAATTATATTTCACAGTCAAACCGTCCACTGGAAAGCCATCCATGAAGTCACGACTTATTAGAACCATGAGTTCCTATAACGAACAGTGGCAAGAACATAGATACACCATCCCTTGAACTATTACTTAACTTTCTAAGCTATACTTTCGCTACTTCAGGACAAGGCCACAAGACCTCTCCCATTGTGTATATACCTATATGAAAGCTTGCATTAGCTTATGTACTTGCGTTTCCATGTTGCCTGTGACCTGCACTTGCTTTTTCGCACAGTCGCAAGGTTCTCCTCATTGTAGGTAGTCTTGGACTTGTTAATTATTTAAATCGGACTCAGATCTGTCTATTTAAATCATATCATGATTTCGACAATCTCTTTTACATCTTTCCATGATTAGCACGAGATACTCGAGCGATTCGCTGCATGAATGAAATAAGCACATTGAAATGAGCCATTAAATGAATACGAAACTCGATATTGAAAATCTGCCGTCTTGCTACACAGTTAATTCCCTCAATTCACAGGGAAAAGATTGGAGGAATCAGAGCGCCTGGCTAATTAGGCAGGGGGATAATGCAACTTTAATGTCTCAGAACTTTTGCTGCGATTGCCAGTTGGTTGGCCTCACAAATGCGGCGACGCCACGGGCATCGTAAACCACAAATGCATGACCCTTTTATTTAGATAAGTCAAGATACAACAAGTGAAACTTCTTTAAGAATACTTAAGTAAAACATGTTTTCGTCCGCTTTATCGCGTAAGGTTGCAAGGGTAGCTGCTTCAAGTTCACCCACCAGGCGGATATCAATAACAATACTGCAGCCACTACAGGCTTGAAAGTCTGGTCCTTGGCGACAAGACACTACATGGAGGGGACGTTCAAGATAACACTGATAGCAAAGTTGCCTTTCAAGTCATCACGACTGGTGCACTTTTTGCCTGGTAGTGGAAACTTTCACCTGCGCTCTTCATTATCGTTGCTGCAAGGACGAAGCCCAACCGGCCCTTTCCTGGCTTTTTTACTTGTTAATTAGACGATTCCATTAGGGTTCTTACGTATGTATCCTTGACATATTTTATTCGAAACGTAGCCAAGGCTGACAGGATGAATCGCTGTATGTATAATTAATCTAGGCTATATTCAGTTAGTTGGAGAGAGGGTGAAAACAGACACACTTCGATGAACTCGTCTGACGCCATTACTGTGGCGAGACATGCTTTAGTGCTGACATAGGTAGGCAAAGTCAGCTACCAGAAATACCTAATCCGTTCTTCAGCCGGATACCCACGGGTCATTACTGGCTTATCACTCATTGAGCAGAACATTCATATTAAGACGTTACTTTGCACACACAAGTGGCTTTGACTATCTAAGCACCATTAAACACGAGCTTGGTAGGAGCTGCACGTATTCAAATAGGTGTCTATGGTAGGCGCGATGAGAATCAAGGCCGATGTTATTAGAAGCAGAAGTTCGGATATTTGAGATAGCTTGTCCATGCTCATTAAATATGTTTACAAGTTATAGTTGGCTAGGCTAGCCACGCTGCGCTAGAGGCAACTGACACAGCAGAGGTTTTGGAGTTCCTCATTAACTTCCTATACTCCTCAATCTTGGAAACTCCAACTATAACTAACTCTTCAACTGTCTCTGGATCCAAGTCGTTCCTCCAAAGGCTGATAACGCCATTTGCTTGATGATCATCAATGGTGACTGACACCACAAGATTCCCTTCGTCCCTGAGCTCCCACGAGGCTTTTCCGTATGGTACGATACCAGTTGGCTTCCAATGCAGCTCGCCAATCCCCCCACTAGCTTGAAAAGGTCCGACGTTCCCCTTGATGTCAATGTTGTGTTTGCGTTGAGTGAAGTTGACCTCGGTCTTGGCTGGAAAGCTATGAAAGTCCATCACAGCTATTTCTGCATCGCTCTCAACCGATTTGACATAGCATTTATCTCCCCAGACGGCGAGGATTGCTTTTCTTGTCACTTCGTAGCGGGGTTTTCTGTCGCCCTTTATTCCTAGGATACGGCGATGTCCCGCAAGAGCGGTGTAGTGCATCTCAAGAGTTGGAGTTTCTGTGCTGCGTCTGGCATCAGGCGTTGCGTCTTCGCGGACAATGAATTTCTCAAGCCAGGATGGGGCCATGATAGGCTGAATACGATTGTTGTGATTGTGTCAAGAAGGGTTTAGAAGCGGATGAGGGTTATGGTACCGGAAGGCCCAGACTTATAGTTTGTTACTTGCAGGGCCCTTCAAAGGGTTTGTCTATAAGGGTTTAGTGGTGTTTCAGCTTGTCGGTAGTTATGGAGTAGTAATGTACACTTTGCGTAGAAGCGCGCCACTAAGAACCCGCTATGGTATGACTACTTTTCTAATAAAATTAAGATTAAATCTTAGTTTTTCAGGGTCCAGCCTTGCAGGGTTTGATTTATCTTTATCGTATGACGAATCATACTTGAAACAGCACCATAAGAATTATATTTAACTGTAAGCACTACTGGAATCGCTTACATAGGGACTCATTACTGTGTAAAGCTCGCAGACCGAACTCTAATACCGCCACCAAAATGCTAAAATCCAAAACGTTAGGATTCTCTCAGAGAAAGAAACAAGCTGTAATATCTAAATATTGTCGATATTCTTAGTCTGTAACGCATACCTCAAGTTTCACACATCATAGAATATTATCCGATCAAAGAAATAGCATAAGGAAGCTACTTGAGTAAGAGCAATCGGCGACCCGCGACATTAACTCGGTTGCCCTATCCTTTGCCTAAAAACTTGCCGAATTGAGTAGAAACTGGTGGGAAAACATCACGTGTCAGCTATGTTGGGATCATACTGAAGAAAAGGGGGCTAAAATTAAGACGGAAAGTTTACGCGAACCACGACCAAGCTGCTGCGACGTGTTACTCCATTCCACTATCAATAGCGAGTTTTACCCTCATTCCTATCCCTCACCATTCAACTAGCAGCCTGTTTGACCAGGATCTCAGCATGGCACGAATTGCCGAGATTTTCCCATGGCCCTACCAGTTTCTTTTCATGATTCTTGAGGTAAACATCCAGTGGACAAGCCGGATGGCGCGTCTTGCTTACTATGTCACAGCCGAGCGTGATTTTCGCGTCCCTTACATTGATTCCAACATCGCCGTCTAACCACTTCCACTCCCTTGCCCCGATCGATAGTGCAGGACCTTTCTGGTCGCCCTCTCCTCTATACAAACCATGCGACGCCGAATCGGCATGGAACACCCCGCAACTCCGCGCCCTCTGGTATGCATTCATCGCCGCCCTCAGCTTCAGTGGTGTTATTGAGCCGATGCTTCTGTACCTGGCTCGGTATAAGCTGCGAGACACTCGTGACGCGGAGGACGTGATAAAGACGGTTTTGTTTGCATTTATCGCGTTTGATGTTTTCCATGCAGGCGCTACGTTGGCTGTCACGGGTGCAGCGGCTGTTCTTCCTGGACCACAGGGGCATATCTATGCCATGGTCAACGTTTGGGTCCCCGTGGCGTGGTTGGTTCTACGAATGTTGTGGCTAGTGGGTGTTGGGAGGAAGTCGGCTACCAATGCAACAAAGAGGGAGTGAGTACAATTGGTGGATGTTTTCCGTTCTTTATTAAATTGTGGTGACAGTAGGGTTAGGAGAGTGGCCCATGGAAAGTTGAAACGCTTGTTCACTTGGTTGTAAACTAAGGAGTTTCTTCCCTGTCGATATATTTCACATTAGTGACTGGGGTCATGCATTCAAACAAATCATCTCAATAACCAATTATGTCAATTTCACGTCTACCTAAGATGTGGCCGGCCTCGGTTGCAACCACGATCGAAAGAGCGCGCTCTACATCAATATAAGCTTCCGTATCATATCCATCAGGATCCAATCCCAATTGGTTTACTTCCCAAGCTCCCACTCTTCACCATGGCCATCTACCTTGGTGACCAAGGCACTTCCATTACTGGTCTCTCCCTGAGCCAGGAAGTTCCTCTTGAGGTCGTTGTAGTACATGCGGCAGCTGTGACCACCAAGGACAAGCTCGCCGTTGTCACTAACACTAACATATTTCTTGTTACTCTCACCGACCGCAACAATGGAAATGTAGTCCTTTCCGACAAGGACAGTCCTATTCTTCTCTTCTTCGGCGTCGATACGGAAGATGAAACGGGTGCGTCCCTGGTTAGTGGCCCAGATCTGACCGTTTCCACCGGCGTACCAGTAAAGCTCCGGGTTAGACTTGGAGCGGATATAGTAGCTGGGTATTTGTATCAGCAAAGATCATGCCTCATGGTAGGACGGAAAAGCATACGATTGACCACTGACGACATCAGTCCTCTCAGGCTGGTTGAAGGTGGACATGATTCGGGCGTCACGGTCGTTGAGGAGGGTATACTGATCTTGTTCACAAATGAGGGACCAAGGTCATAGGCCTGAGCACCGCTGCCCCAGGAGTAGTAGTCAGGTGCTAGACGGTGGATCTTCTCTGCATCTTTGGACGATGCCTCGCGCCACCACTCATCGATGGTTTCAGCATTGGGAGCCGCGAGAAGATACCGGTAATGGGGCTCGGAGGTTTCCTATGAGTTCAGGTCAGGATGCCGGTTTTGTTTTGATATGGAGAGGATGTTTGTAAAGTCAACGTACATATTAAAGAAGTGCGTAGTAAATCATGGTTTGTGTTGTGTTTGGAATGCTTTAGTCTTTCAAGAAAGCTTGAATCTCCGTGAAAAGTATTAAACGTAAGTATAACTGGTGCTAAGGTTATATTACTAGTGGACTATTATTATAATATAAACTTCGCTGCTAAGGATGGTTAAGCAGCCGGGTAATTTCATTGTCAGAAGCAAATGCAAATGGACCTCAATTGATCTTGTGACCACGTAGTCTTACAGTGTACATTGGTTTGGCATCATTCTACAGGAATTGTACATAGTCAGACACAAGTTCCTGCGATGTTACAGGTAATCGTTTTGCTTTAGTAGCCCCGGTGACGAACGTGGTGTTCCCAGTTGGTATTCCTTTAAGTGAGTTCTTTGGAGATTACGCAAACTTTGACTGCCAGCCAGTAATTCATATGACAATATTCAGTGATATGCATCCGTGGCGTAGCTAACGACTGCGTTCCAGGAACCCACTACAGAGATGGGCGGTACTGGGTCACTCCTTTGCAGGAACCCAGTTGCCCTACTGGCGGAAAGTTTAACGGCAAAGTCTGCACAGTCCAATCAGTTCCGACATGTCGAGCTGGCCAATACTCCAATGGAAGGTGCATCATCTCAGAGTCTCCTCGATGCCGCCCTGGTGCCGTCTTCAATGGCGAAAAATGTGTCCTTGAGAAACGTGCAAGCTGCCCTCCAGGCTCGATACTCAGCGGCAAGAGATGCATTTCCAGTACTCCTCCGTCCCGTGAGCTCGGCCAGACCCTTTCTGGAGATCACTGCATATCATAGCAGCGCCCAGAGTGTCCTAAAGGCTCAACACTTGTCGGCAAATACTGCAAATTCCCTGATCTCCCTGTCTGCGAGCCCGGAACCAACCGCCACGAGAACGACTGCTCGTCTCCTGTTCCCCCAGAATGCTCCACTGGAAGTTCCTTCAACGGCGTGAACTGTGTTTCCACCGACCGTCCTTCTTGCAAGCCCGGTTTCATCTTCAACGGACCCACTTGTGTCTCTGAGAAGGATGTCCCCAACTGCCTTCAGGGCATGCATTTTGACGGAACCAACTGTGTTTCCAAGACTCCACCTGTATGCGATTATGGCAAGTCTTTCGATGGCAAGGTTTGCGTTGACCATACCGACACCAAATGCGGGCCTGGTCTTGTATTTGATGGAACTAGCTGTGTATCCAAAGAGCCTCCTCGCTGTGAGCCTGGAACAAGCTGGACCGGAAGCAAGTGTGCTTCAGAGAAGAACCCTAGTTGTGATCCTGGAATGACATACAACGCTGAGACTGAGTCTTGTGATTCTAATACCGAGCCAAAGTGTCCTCCAGGCACCGAGCTCAGAGATGACATCTGAGTCTCAATCAAGCCGCCGACCTGTCATGGAGGAACGACACGAAAGGGCGACAAATGTGTCTCTGTTGATCCGCCCAGTTGCCCCAAGGGAACTATTTCCAGCGGTGGTTCTTGCATCTCTCCGAAACCGCCTCAGTGTGGTGAAGGTACTATCTTTGATGGCAGCCGCTGTGTTATTGGCACGACGCAGGAGTGTTACACTTTGCACACATGCCCACCTGTCGGTGCAGCTGGACTTCCAGCTCTGGCTGCCCACTAGATAGATTCAGTATTCTCTTATGTAAGGCTTGATCCTCTCATCGCCGACATTTCTCTCGGCCTTAGTGGACTGGATTGGATATGATCAGGGGTCAGGGAGTCTCGAAGGACTGTGAAATTTGTGCACTGGGGACTGACATTGTATGTTGACAATAAATAATATCTTGATTAATCACAAATTGTTCCTACCTGGTGACTATCGCAAGGGTTAAATGAATGATGAGTTGGCTAACATAAACTGGCGAAGCTTCATTATTGTTACTTGTTGCTTACAGTACTCAATCCTTATCCTTCATGTGAAAGTTCTCCTGCTCCAGAGCCTCCTCATTGTCTGCCGCGAATTTACTCTTATGCCTTAATTTCTCTCCGTATTTTAAGAATAGGAATGGCGTAAATGCAAATAGACTCGCCACCGCTGCCAAGATACTCGTTGCGACATTACTCCCTAGCCCTGTATACATCTGATGTGTGAAAAGTGGAAAGACGCCGGCAGTCAGCGTACGCGTTAAGCTGATGGCACTGACAGCGCTGGCAGCATGTTTGCCGTAACTATCAGTGGCATACCCAAAAAGCACGTAACTGAAATCATTGGCACTGAATCCAATCATCACCAGACCAATCATACTAACAGGCCAGGGAATATAAGTGACCCGCGGTGGAATAGTCCAGGCGAAGAGCCACAAACCGATGGCAAGTAATGGAGCAGCGATCGCAAACGAGGTAATTTTACTTTCGGGCAGGATGCGTCGATGTATTTTGCGGTATTTCTTGTATATATAGGCGTCATAGAACCGAGGCAGAATATTCAGTATCTCGCCGATCGCGATGGCAATAAATGCCAAACTGGAGTTGTTTTGCGAAAAGTTAAAGGGTGGCGCAGTGTAGACTATCGTCAGTGATTCTGTCAAGCCGTAAATGAGACCAAACGCGATGGCGCATAGTATGGCGCAAAAGAGTACCAGAGGGTCCGTAACAAGGAGCTTCAAGGGTAGGAAGAGTGTCTTCTGCGCGAAGGCAGATACGGTGAGCTTTTCTCCTTTATCATGGCCAGACTTGATGTCATCTATTCCAGTCTCTTCCTGTATTTCTTTGATAACCTTGTCGAGTAACTGATTTGCGTTTGACTCTCTCGTGAAGATGCATGCAACAGCGGTGACGCCCATGACGATTGTGGAGACGTAGTATACCCAACGCCTAATTCATTGTCAGCCAAGCAAGCATTTTGTTTGGTCTTAAACTTACCAGCCTATGCTCGAGGTGATGAATGTCGAGTAAATAGGGCCCAGTGCCAGCCCCAGCATACCGAGAATGGTGTACATGTAGACGACCCAGATCCTATGCTCAGCGTTGTACATATCGTCAAAGTTACCAAAAGCAACAGTTGCAGGGATTGCCGCAGCCACCCCTTGCAAGAATCGACCAAAATATACAGCGATTATCGATGGCACCGCGGCCACTATTGCTGACGAAATGCAAAAGAGTGTTGCCGCAAGTATGTATATCGTCCGTCGTCCAAAGACTTCTGAGATGGGAGAGCAGAATATGCTTCCTATGGTTTGACCCAGCAAGTATCTGTTTTGCAGTATCAGCAAAAGTGTAGAAGCCGTAACCTGCTTCGAAACTTACATGGTAACAAAGGCAAAATAGGCCAGCGTTCTGCTAAGATTATACTCCTCTCGTGCCGAGTCTGCAGTAGCCGTCTACAACATTATTAGCAAGGGTAAATTGGTAGGAGTAATCAAACTAACCCCAGAGGAGCTAATTGCTGTCATGTACATCTCCAACCAACATATCAAGGCGGCGGTGTATGTCTTTGTTCCAGCCTTCCAGTTCCGGGGATGTTGTTCGGCATCTTCATCCCACCAGATTCGATTTTCGCTGTCGATATGAACTCCTTTCCCTTTCAGAACGTCTTCAAGGGAGTCTTTCTTCGTCATTTTGTTTCCAAGCTGTCGGCAGGGATCGTAGAGAGCGAGCTATCACAATTGACCAGTCCGGCACAGCGTCAGAGGCAACGAAGCTGCTGTTAATAACCTCTTTCCTCGTGGTAAATAGAAGTCACAAAACCGAATACATGCATTTTGAGAGATATTGCAGGAAAGAAGGTCCAAAGGAAAGCCTATATGGGGAATGTCTTAGAACCCTTGCACTGGATCCAGAGGCGATCGCACCGACGGGCATCGTAGTTATGGCGCAAGCATCGAGGGCCGCAACCAGATAAGATAGATCGGCTATGTGCAGATAGGAGTCTTGAGCCAATATCACCTCAAGGCCCCGTCCCTCCATGCTTACGTCCAATTATATAATTTTAGATGACGTGTGGTACTCTGGAATTTTAGCAAATTATGAAATAAACTAGTATAGCTCACTAACGTGAACGGGTAGGAAGCAGCCGAGACCTCAAGAAGGTTACTCACACATCGAACACAGCATCTACCTTCCCGCCCGTGTATCCGAATTACATAATTTTTGAACCAATGAAAATCTAAGATGGGGAAAGTAGTGACATATCGTTGACTCATTAAGAAGTTAGATGGGATGGGCGGCAAACTAACCGAGGCCTTGAAGAGAACTAGGAGATTAAAAAGGTAGCGTAAACTCTAACAGCATCACCACTGTCATTTACCATAACACTACGTAGCTTGGAGGGTGTGTAACCTTCATCTGTCTCGCCGAGGTTTATAATACTATTCTAAAGCCAGAATGGGTGTAAACTCCCCTCATGAATCACAGCAAGCTTCTGAAAGGATGCATACACAACATTACTTTTAATTCTGCCTCAAACTACTATATATTGAATGGGTTTGAAGCTGCCGCCATTGGACTTTCCGGCTGAACAGGCAGTAATGGCAACAATAAGGTCCATCTCGGCGACAAAATCGATGTGATCACCAGCCTTGCTGATCGGTGGATCGACCGTGAACTTGCCCGTCTTGCCGTCCACGGGCACATTCATGAAGCAGTTGAACGCACAAGGGATGCGGTCTGGCGCGATGTCGTATTTGCTTAGCGCCAGGGAGAGATTGCCGAAACAGCCGTGGTGCGGCTCCAAGTCTCCGTATATGATGCGAAAGGTATCTTTGGAACACGGCGTAAGCAGGAAGTCGTGGCGTCCACACGTGTCCTCGACGATCTTGAGCATGACATTGCTGCGATTTGAGTACAGCAGGTGGTTGGTTGTCAGGTATATGGTGTCTGCATAGTCAAATGTGCGTCCATTGGAGATGACTTCGTCCGTGTCATGGCGATTGAATGCCACAAGGTCAGAGACTTGGCCGCCTTTTGGATCGATGACTGTCAAGCATTGGCCCTTGTTGACGTGGAATGAAGTTCCCGTCCGAGGCGCAAGTTCGATTACGCCGTTGGGTAGTTGTCTAGTATCCTCCATTTCCGGGGACTGGCCTGTGGAGTGTGGTGAATCACGGATTGTATGCATGTGAATAATAAATCAGATGGGCAGATTTTGAAGTCTTCTCACATGTAGAACGGCTATTGTGCGATGAGAGTTTGCAATGTTCAGCATTCTCGATAACTTCAGGACTAATATTGTGGTGACAGCAGCATTCCACTATCGATGATGCGGGGATCCAGCGTCATGACCTCAGCTTCAACGGCCCGGGGGGTGTATCATTCCCCGGGTTTGTCTTCGCGCCCCGCATTGCGGAGGTTTCCTCGCACGTCATGCCATTCCCGCAGCGCTAGGATCGAGCCTTGAACTAGGATCGAGCATTAGACGATCTACCTTGCAGGAAGGGGAGGATGTTAAATCATAGAGGACTATAGCATACAGGCTGTCACCCTAATTTTAGTCTTCTAACTGATTAAGATTAGAATGAGAATCCAACATTCATACTAAGAGCTATGGTTTCTCAAAGAGAAGCTACTAGTAAAGCATTTAATTCTCTACGATAATAAACTAATCTCAAGACATCATCTACTATTCACTGGTCGCACTAGCTGCTGTTTTCGCATCATATATGTTTCCGACACGTCAGCGTCACTATGACTAAAGGAACACAATGAAGTAAGCCGGAGGATAGATCCCGGCAGCCATATGTAACATTTCTAGGCTCGTCATCGATTACCGCGTGCATCGTATTGGTTTCGTCAGGCTAGGAATCGTGAAGAATGCAATGCTGTGGTAACAAAGAGCTATATCACTTTCTCGACCAAAGACTTGCTGCCTATTCTAGCAGGTCAGTCGATCCATGTCAATGACGTTCACCTCACGATATGGTCGGCCGTCACTATGCATGATTCCACGCTGCAACTATGGCACCGTATATAACTCAAGCCTACGTCCACTTCGTGCTGATAAAGTGCTGAACTTGGGCATATCATGAGATACCTCTCTTTATTCACATAAAATTATATTTTCAATTTGTTAGCACCATGCAGATCGCGATTAATGCCGTTATCTTGGTCATCGCTTTTGCGGTGGCCACTAAGCTACTACAGATTCGAAAAGCAATCAACCAGTTCATAAAGAAGTTAGAATTCGTCATAAATGGCATCAAGCTCAATACGCCTGCGTCAGAACGGAAGGGGGCGGCCTTTCTCTCTGATAACTATAGCAGAGCCCAGCCATCTTCGCATCTGGAGTTGCTAACGAGGTTCGTCACATGCTCGTCTGCTATACCTGCAAGACTAATATACAATAGAAAGGAAGTTGAAGGCCGATTCGACGAGAATTCTTGGCAGGGTCTTGCGTACTATGATTTCCGAAGCACAATATCAGCCAAGGGGAGCGGCATGAAGACCTTTCCTTGCGTATATGCAACAATGGGCTATCGAGCAAACGATCATCGCTATGTATTCCTCGAGTCAGATGATCCATCAGAGCCCCATAATGTGCGTAAGGTAGCTCTGGCCTTAACAGAGTATCTACGCATCTCGACCTCGCTAGGTCCGAATACGTCCCTCGTCATCATCGGTGCCCCCTCTGAGAAGCAACGGACCGTCGAAGAGCATAACCGCACTTTCTGGGACATGCTTCGAGGTCTTCGCACTTGCGATCCAAAAGCGTGGCCAGGGGACATCCCGCAAGACACAGAGGATGCTAACTGGACTTTTTGCTTCAACGGAGAGTCGGTCTTCCCGGTCATGTTGACACCGGCGCATCAAGAACGCTGGAGCAGACACATGAGTGTGCCAGTCATTGCCCTGCAACCGAAGTGGGTGCTGGACAACCTGCTCAGAACTCCTGAGAAACGAAAAGCCGCCCAAAACAAAGTTCGGAACCTATTGCAGAAGTATGACACTATAGGTGTCAGCCCAGATCTGACTGACTACGGTGCGGTTGGCACTAGTGAAGTTCGCCAGCTGTGTCTGCAGGACAAGAACGAGTCTGTCCAATGCCCATACCGTAACTTTAATAGCTAGATTATGTACCTATAACAGCTGGGGATGGAGTTTAATTCGCGCAGACTTCTGATTTTCCTTGGCTTTTAGAGCATTCATACATATCAGAGATCTAAGATCTAGACTTGTGGCAAATAACTATACAGTATTAACTATCAATGTAGACTGGCAGCCTGTATATAAATCTCAAGGAGTAATAATATTATAAAATTCATGAGTCTTTATTCCAGCTTTCTATACCCATCTACATTGAACCAAGAATAGTAGTTAGGTTCGCTTTACACAGTTCACTTAGACCAATAAAGGGTTCTGCTTCTAAGTCGGTATACACCCCTCCCAGTCTGTCCTCATCCACCGTAGAAGAACCATCCGCTGGATAACTCTTGGCAGCAATCCACATGCGTCCATCTATAACTCCTTGATGAATGGGCTTCCCTTCTTGTATATGGGTTTTGGCCTGTTCAAGCAGTGTGGTTATATATGGATAGAACCAGAAGTGCTTGTAACGCTCAAGATACCATCGCTTAGCGCATGTATTGTGGTAGAATGCGTAAATATTTTCTGAAGCGATATTGGTCGCCAGATAAGTTCCCTGGATCCACTGCCTCTGTGATGATACTATTTGTAAATCAGGGACGGCAGATAGTCTGTCCCACACTCTACCAAAAGCTCGATAAACACTTGAGGGCATTTGAATGGTGTATGGTCGGAAAGCGGAGCCTTGCTGCAGAAAGTCTCCGTTGATAGATGCGGTGAGGTCGTGGTTCTTATACTTGAGGAGCTGAATCTCAAGTTCGTTCCGACACTGAGTTTGAGTAAATGCTGAATCAAAGTCTACGAAGACGTGAAACTCCGTAGTGTCTTCTGGGCCCTCTCTTGGCCTCGGTAGTGAGGTAAGATTGCTCAAATCAGCGGGGTACTCTCCGTCGTTCATATCAAGAGCACGATGATATTCTTGGCGCACATAGAGTTGAGCTGTGAACCATTGGTCCATGTGGTGAATTCTGACCCTGTCTTCGTCCTGAGGATCAACCTTGGCATCATCTGCCATAACGAGATCGAGCACAGCCCTGACAAACTTTCTTATATCACCCACAGGGCCCATTATAGTACCTGAGTTTAGATATCGTGAGTCTAGAAACCGTGCGTCCTCGTTCTCGGTCTTGACACCGAACTTGTAACGGGGAGAGTTTGACGGTGGCATTAATGGACACATGGGCTCATTTGGTGACCCGATAAAGCACATTTTTCCGGCGCCATAAAGAATAGTCTGCCGAATTCCAAGCTCATGTAATTGATCAACGGTAAGACCACGCTGGTCAGCAAGCCGTTGTTCAGACTGCGTTGAGATCTCAAAGTAACGCTCAATCATGACCTCTGCAGGTAATTGTGCTAGCACATCAAAGCTATCCACAATGATAACCAGATCATCATCTTGCGCCTTGAGATCGTTGAAGTAACGGTTCATGACACGAAGTTTAGCGAGATGGTCCGCCGAGTCGAACTCATTCTCGCCCTTATAACCAATCAACGTGGGAATTGGGTACTGATTGACAAGCGCGGAGACGATGCCGGCACAGACAGCATCGTTCACTATACTCGAGGGTATGAGGTAGTGGAGACGAGACGTTCTTGGCGCTCCATTATGTGATGATAATGGCGAAGAGTTGGTCTGGAATACATTAATTCATTGGCCATTTGATACGTGCTGGAAATAACTAGACTTACAACAAATTGGTGATGTGAATTACTAGCATATAGCCATACGAGGCAAAGTATGAAAGCGGTCACGACAAGTATGGTGCGCCGTCTAACTACCTTGCACACGAATTCCATTAGAAGTGTACGGAGTAGACGAAGCGGATTGCTCTTAGTGTTCAAGAAATTGCAAAAGGTTGTTGAAAGCTGGACCTAAGCAGAGATGTCAACTTCGGGTCCTTGGCACAGAAGGTAAGATATGTGGGACTAACTCGATTAGCTCTGTCTTGCCCCTGAATCAGTCCTCAGATGGTTAGTGCCCTGATGTGTTTGCTTTGTCCTAAGCTAGCTGGTTGGAGAACGAAGAGATTTACAGTCCTGTGCACCCCTGAGCTAAGGAAAAATAGCATGTCAAGGCTCCACTCGTCGCTTGCCCCTTGGAAGCGGGTTGAATAACCAAGTCAACTTCGAAGCTTTGCAGAAAAGGACTTGGAGAGACATCACCAAATGCTGCAACGATGAAAGCCCTTTTGTCTCGGCGCACACTCTATGCGGTTGTATCGCTGGCGCTGACGTGGATTCTCGCCTTGACTTATCGAGAGTCATTGTTCAATGGAATGAAGTCACACCTGAGATTTTCTAAGCCTTCTGGAGTCCTCATCAAAAACAAAGTCGCCACCATTACCGATACTCTTTTCACCCCTCGCTTGATTCCCCTCATTCTTCATTATCGCGCCGTTCTTGGCCCTTCATGGCCAATTGTTTTCTTTACCTCCCAAGCTACATTTGACAAACATTTCTCACCAAATGCATCCTCCACTTCTGCAGCATGGCGTCGAGCAGTAGCAGATGGGTCCATTGAGACACGAATTATATCATCTCAATTCAACCTCACTTCGCGAAAAGGTGTTAATTCTTATCTCTCAAACCCTTGGCTGTGGGAACAGCTTGCACCAGCCAAACACGTTCTTGTCTTTCAAGCCGATGCAATTCTTTGCGCAAATGCACAAAAAGCAGTTGATGACTACCTGGAATGGGATTTCATCGGCGCTCCTCTCAACGACACACGGCAAGTCTTCAACGGCGGCTTGTCCCTTCGTAACAGACAGATGACGCTCGATATCGTCAAGAACAGAGACTGGTGGACAGATTGGAATACAAAAGGCGCAGAGTATGAAGGCCATGGCGAGGATTACTGGATGAGTGTGTTGATGCGCGAGAGAGGAGCTCATCTCCCGTCTGTGCAAGAGGCGTTAACCTTCTCTAAGCAGTTGCCCTGGCACTTCAAGCTGCCAGGGGACCCGATCGGGTATCACAGGGTGCATAGACAGCTGAGAAGGGACAAGAAGGCTATTCCCAAAATACGGGAGTGGTGTCCTGAGATTGATTTGGCAGGGACTGGCAAGCTACGATGAGATGAATTGATATAGAATGCAGATAAAACAAAAGAGATCAATTACTGGGAACTCAATTGAGAGGCAACCCCTATCGACACCGCCTAAAATATCCAGTAAAGATTGAGACAGCGGACCACTTAGGGGCCTCTCTTATCTAGCGCACATCTAATGGCGCGGCTTGCACACAGCCGAGCGCTAAATCTCGCCAAACCCAAATGCGGGCATCTTTCCAGTGGAAACCAACCACTGTTTATGAGCAACTTAATCTCATCCCATCTTCCTCAAGCAATCACCCGCCCACACGACACGCAACCATGCCGAACCGCTTTCTTATCTGGGGCGAAACAGGCTGGGTAGCCGGCCACCTGAAAGCCCTTCTCGAGAACCAAGGCAAAGATGTACACACAACGGGCGTTCGTATGGAAAACGTGTCGCAAGTGGCAGAAGAACTCAGAAGAATTCAACCAACACACGTCCTGAACGCTGCTGGCTGCACAGGTCGACCCAATGTCGACTGGTGCGAAGACAACAAGGCACAGACGGTCCGGTCTAACGTTATCGGCACACTGACTCTAGCCGACCAGTGCTACCAACTTGGCATCCATTGTACTGTCTTTGCAACAGGCTGTATTTATCAGTACGATGAGCAGCATCCCATTGGCGGTGCTGGGTTTACAGAGGAAGATGCGCCAAATTTCACTGGGAGCTTTTATTCCATGACAAAAGGCCATGTTGAGCCAGTAAGTCAAGCACTCAATGCCCCGAATACGACTTGGATCTGACATTCTTCAGATCTTATCAAGCTACGATAACGTGCTCATTCTCCGCCTGCGCATGCCTGTCAGTGACGATTTACATCCAAGAAACTTTGTCACCAAGATTTTAAACTACGACCACGTTGTCAACGTGCCAAACAGCAACACCATTCTTCACGACCTGCTCCCTATTTCCATCTCACTGGCAGAACATCGAGACACTGGAGTATTCAATTTCACCAACCCAGGAGCTATCTCTCACAACCAAGTATTAACGCTTTTTCGAGACATTATTCGGCCGAGTTTGACATGGCGCAACTTCTCACTTGAGGAGCAGTCGCATGTTATAAAAGCTGGAAGAAGTAACTGCATGCTTGACACGAGTAAGCTTGAGGCTCAAGCTCAAGAGTATGGGTTTATTATACCAGACGTGCATAAAGCGTATAGGTTGTGTTTTGAGCGCATGAAGGCTGCGGGAGTTAAATGATAGTGGTGAATAAGAACATACTTTGGGGTTTGTACAGCGAGTTCCAAAATAGTAACAATCAACGTTATGTGATGACCTGAACACTACAGAGTACGTACCGCGCGATAACCCGCCCATTGAGATCGATGGTGGTGGGGCACGCTCCTCGAATTAGCGACTAACCCCCTGAACCTGCAGTGGCGTCGGGGGAAACTAGCCTGTAGTGTGTCTTTCTGGATCGCGGACTTAAGATCTTTGGCTTCTTCTTCTTCCACTCTTTCCACTCCAACTAAAGCAATCCTAACACAGACAAGCGCAACTCTTACCAGGAGAAAAAATGTTATTCAGTGCCCCCTCAGAAGACAATTCCACACCGCCTGCCAACTTCCAGCTTCAAGACTCAAGTCATAATCATCGGAGCGTACCCTATAGCGATGAAGAGAGTGATTCGTTCTTGCACCAAGATAAAGATGCTGGGGACCAGGCGGTTGAGTCAACCCAAAACCTAAAGAAGGCTTCTTTTTGGATAGCCATTAATATCATCGCAACTGTTCTCATTGTAAGCTGACTTCCCTGTTTGAAACCGTTTGGGATCGACGGTCGTTAACCATTTACCAGGTATTTACTAACAAAGCCATTTTTGATGATGACAACCTCAAATTCGTCCAGCTGAGCTTTGCAGCATTCCACTTCACAGTTACTTGGCTTGCTCTATGGGTCGTCTCTAGAGAATACTTTGCGTTCTTCACGCCTAAGCATGTACCTGTCACACAAATGCTTCCCCTCAGCGTTGCCATGACACTCAACATCGTCTTCCCCAATCTTTCCCTTGCATACTCAACCATCACATTTTATCAGATCGCCCGTGTCTTGGTAACTCCCTGTGTGGCGATTATCGACTATGCGTTTTACAGAGTTTCCATGTCTGGCTTCGCAGCTTTGACACTCGTTGTTGCATGTTTGGGTGTTACCATGGTATCTTATTATGATTCAAGACCATCTAATGATGCCAACGTCAAAACTACTTCGCAAATCGGAATTGTCTTTGCCTTGTTGGGTGTAGTGTTTTCATCGCTTTACACAGTCTGGATTGCGTCTTTCCGGAAGAAGCTTAACATCTCAAGCATGCAGCTACTGCTCAACCAGGCTCCTTTGTCTGCTTTTCTTCTACTTTACTTCATTCCTTGGGTTGATAACTTCCCAGTCGTCAATGACATTAGCATCAGCCACTGGATACTCATTCCCTTTGTAAGTCAAGTACCCCCACCCCAGTATCTGCAGAAACTGATAACTTTAGTCTGGCATCTTGGCAATGTTGATTAATATTTCCCAATTCTTTATCATCGCGGAAACTGGCCCTGTTGCTAGCACTGTCGTGGGCCACAGCAAAACATGCACAATCGTGGTTCTTAGCTGGGCAGTTTCGGGTCGAGCTGCAACCGATATGTCTGTTGTTGGTCTGCTAATAGCATTGTCGGGGATTTTCAGGTGAGAATAACGCCACAGTCTTGGAAGCCCGAAAGCTAACCCAATAATCTCCGATCTAGCTATTCATTTGTTGTGATGCGGCAGAAATAGAATCAGGCCAGAGGAATAAGAGATTTCATTAGCTGCGGTGCCTTTTGCCTCTGTTACATTATTAATGCAGAGAAGATGTATTGTCATACAATCAGTGCTATACTTGGTGTTTTTACTTCTTGTCAAAAAACAAAGTTAATAATTATTATCGAGTACTCCGTGATATACGGATATATGATCGTAAAATTTCATCTGTTAGCACCTCAAACTATTTGTTTCAGTCCTGGCAATCGCCAGCCGGAAAGCCGAGTAATTTCAAAAAGGAGCGCTAGTATAGGGGCCAACCCGCTGAGCCACTGAAAAAAAAGCAACTAAGCCGCTAGGCCAGGTCTAAAATCGATAGTGTCATTCTAGCTCTTGAGCTGAATGCACAAGCAGACAAGCCTGACATGATAATTTTAACGTGCATGCTAAGCGTTTATTGTTACTATCATTGGGTCCTGGGAATTTTGAGCCCGTATTTGAGAGGTGAGGCTATGGAGTACCTGGCTAGTACCTAATCACTAACCTGTAAAAGCGGAATTGTAATTACGTGACGTGTGGACAGAAGAGAGAATGCCTACCATATAAGTTCTCCCCACCGTGCCCATGTGAGTGTTCCTGCCTGTTGCCCTTCAGATCATATTTTCAACCAGTCATTCATTTTTTAATCAAGATATCTTCGATATCACCACGCTCTTTACCATGATCTTCACCAACTTCTTCGCCGGCGTTATCGCCCTCTCCATCGGTGTCAACGCTGGTCCTTGCCGTCCCATCACGCAGTCATCTGCTGCCACTGGATCTGTCACCACCACTGCTGAGGCCTCGCTCGCCACCTCTACCGTTCTCACCACCAGTGCCATCGATTTCACTACCGATCTTACCACCTTCCTTACCCTGACTGCCGAGACTACCTCTGCCGCTGAGGATACCACTACTGTCGAGGTCACCACATCTGCCGAGGCTACTCCTACTGTCGAGGCCACTACCACTGCCGAAGCTGTTACCACTCAGGCCACCAGCGCCGCACCAGAAGCGACCTCTGCCGCCCTGACTTCCGTTCAGTGCCGAAGCAACGAGGAGTGTGATGCTCTTCTTGATGTTAGCGGACTGAGCTGTGCGGACAACAACTGCGAGTGCCAGGACAACGTCTGCCATGCTGTTGCATACTAGAAGGACAGGAGGAATAAATCCTTATGTTGTGCTATATTAGTCTCGATGGATATCGGTGGTTATAAAGTCGGATGAAATACAAATTTAAACTCATGTAATAAATAATGCCATCCTTGTGGCTTTTAATACTTACGCTTTCATACTTGTATGTCTATGCCAGGAATTTTACGTACTTCCCTCATATAATTATAAGTTAAAGAAGGTCTTCTTGAACTGTGCAACCCAATACTGGGCCTTCTGCACGACACAGCCTGGATATTCATTTAACATCTGAGCTACTTCGCCATTTTGAGGATCTTACCGGTTGGTTTGCTCGAGCAGTATAATCATCGGGTCTACGGATAATGCCGGATAAATAGTATGGCCGAGTCCTACTGAGCGGAAGTATCAGATCCGATCACACCCAATATCATTATTTATATTACCCTGAAAGCATACGTATTAGTATAGACCACTTGGAATAGAACTACAGTATCTCATTATAACTATTTAGACATTATTATATTACTCTCTTGCTCTGAACGATTATGGTTTTAAATATACATAGAAAAAGGCAGTGGTATCTTAGAAAGTTAAAAACTAAATAAGCAGATAGCATTAATTCATATCAACAATTCCTCATTATAGATGTTTATCTGTTGTGCGAGCGTACCAGATATTTCATACGGCTACCAGATCAAGTAGAGTAAATTGTTGGTTACACTGTAGATGATCCGGACAGAAGTCACGCAACCCCACTAACCTAATGTACTCGACTCGCCAGGTCAACCAAAGCGGGGTAACTAATATTCCCTCACACATTGTCCTTTAGCATCATTTAAGTTTGTCAAATTTCACGCAGCAGTACCGCAAAACTACAGCCCTCATGGAAGAAAAACTGCAGCCCCCCACAGGAGACGAGCAAGATTCTGTGAATCGTCCAACTCACCATTTGAAAACAATTCATGTCGGAGATAACGGCGTACAGCTTCTGGTGTCGACAAAAGATCACCTCTATAACGCCGAGGACGTCGACGCTGGAGCCAACTCTTATCAGGTCATTGGTGCCTGGGAAGACAGCTCAGTCCAGGAGCTGGCTAAGATCCTCAATCAACGTCAAGTTACTGCGAACCGACAGTTGCCCGGATCAACTGAAGCATCCCGATTTGAGACGACGCATGGAACAGGCAAATCACTAGCCGGGCCTAGTAGCAACAGAACTAGAGTGATGAACAGACAACAGACGGAATAAATCTATATCCTTGATTGTGAACCCCCTCCACTGAGACAAATCTCCTCTATCGTGCTCTCATTGTGCACAATTTGTTGCTGGCTTTGAGATTTGAGCAGGTCGCTAAGGCTTCTCTCGGACACAGACCCAAAGAATTGAATCGATCCATGGCCCGCCCTAGCACTTTTGATATTGAACAGATCTCCCAACGTGGAAACGCATATTTGCTTGCCGTTATTCCCTACACTAATGTCTTCCACAACGTGTACCTTCCCTGATGAGGCCCATTCCGACGCCCGGTCACAGACACCTAAACATTGTTTTGTGCTTTCCAATTCATCTTGAAGCGCCTGGCGACTTGCGCTAGGGTCATTTTCCTGATTGAGACCTTGCCTCAAAGAACTTGACTGGAGGTTCTCTTCTGAAGTGATACGATGAGATTCGAGTCGAGTGATCGTGTCTGAGAGGCTGTAGCTGCATGCCTTTAAAGTGGAAAGGGTGAGAGAATCAGCAAGTGTCAGACTCTCAGGTGAGATAGACATTGCAGTCGTACTCGACGTTTTAGTGTCGAGAATGGGTTGAAAGTGCATGTTATTAATTTGTTCAAGGAGGTGCTTGCAATAGTCAAGGCAACGTTCAGTGCTTTCTTTTTCGATTTCAATTTTCTGGAGGTTAGTTTGGGCCTTGCTGGCTCCGGTCGTGGAGTCTTGAGAGACTAAATCTTGTAACTTAGAGTCGATCGACTTGAGATGATTCTCCAAATCAAGCTTTGTGTCACTGATCAAGTTCTTGTAGTCATTTAAAACTTCAAGAGTAACCTTGGAGGACCGCCTGTAAGTAAGTTAGAGGGACGTCTTCTGTTGGGGCAAGCAACGAACAGGTTGGCGTCAGCCAAGGCTATGGTTATAGTTGATTTATATCCAGCCAACAACTCTCTAAAAGAGGCAATGTCACCATTCATGTACATCAACTTGGCCCAATCTCTGAAGCTTGTTCTTGACTCGCCTCGAGAGCGCATGCTGCTCTTCTCGACCAGACGTTTGAAATCCACGCATGCCTGTTGGCACCGGATGAGGGGATATTTGAGCGGCAAGAAAGCCGTTTCATTGGTGCGTACATGATCCTGGAGTGGTCCAAGAACTAACTGAAGATCTTTCAGTTCGCGAAGAAGATCTGAAACAGCAGTGCGATGATTCCGGAAGCTCTGAATAGTCTCATAAAGTATTTTGCTGGATTGCAAGGTAGCAGTGACAACGGCGATGAGTCCTGACGCTATGCTCAGCGGATCGCCCATAACAGTACGCCGCCCTGAATAAGAGCTCTAGTTCTCGATAATGTCGAACCGTGTACCACAGAAGACAAGGCGATAAGATCAGGTGCGTGTGATATATTTCATATCTGCAGTGACGGGTATGGTGACTTGGGTTGAGATGTAAACTGCTGTCAGCCCGTGCGGGGTAGATAAAACACCGAATTCTAACGAGTGGACCCTTGAAACGTACGTCCCTATTCCCTGCAAGTGTGTGCAGTCTGTGTTTAAATGAGGAAATGACATCTTGAGATAACTGATAAAATACAAGCTCACATACGCGTGTGCTTATCTGCTGCCACTGTAAACTCCCAGAATCCGAGTATTTGTCTGAGATATGCTCCTCTCCCCTGAACGCTGAGGCTAATCATTGTTTTCTTCCCATCTAGTGTATCAAGAGAGACGACCGAAAGCTCCACACTGTCATTCAAGCCAAGGTTAAGATGATGGTAACCCTGTAGAAAATCGGTGGAGTTGTGCTGGACCTGACATGCATCGGGTATCTTTTGATTTTGACCTGGTCGGTTGCGCGCGATCAGCTGCTTTGGTTCATGCTGGGACTGTGCCCTAGCGAAGCGTTCTTCATTAGTGGTATCAATGCAGGAATGAAGTGCACGACAACGAAGACCAAACATTTCATCCTCAATCTGTCGAACGCGTTGTACGGCTTCCTGGTACGTGGCAGAAAGATCCTCCCATCTTTCCATGGCCGAGAAGTGAGTATCACTCAACGGAGTTGCTGGCCGACTTTGCAAAGGAGACGATGTAGTCGATGATTGGGTGCTAATCTCCCCCAGAGATACTGACTCGTTCATACTCCAGTCTACGGTTACCAAGTGTTAGAGTTATTGGCATAACTGAGTATAGAAATTTACCTTCAAAGTCTAGAGTGGGTAGGAACAATTCCATTCTTTCAGTAGAGATGCTCGAAACATCGCTGAGATCTGAACTGTTTATCACGATCATAGTGTATGTTGACGTAGAGTAAAATAGTATGAAACTTCCTGATCAGACAGCTTCACGGCTATGAAGGAGGTAAGATTACAACAGCCAGCAAAAGGAGCAAATTCATACTCCATGACAGGGTCAATAATACTTACTATTATCCAAACCTGAACTCTTTAGAGGAAGAGTGCAATATAGTCGTTAAAAACTGCTTTGGCGTTCGCTATGATTAATATTTCTTATCCAGAGGAATCAGCGACATGGATTAAGAAGAACTCTTACTTCGGGATACAACCACATTATTATACTATTTCATTATGTGGCTCAAGTGGGGTTATCTGAGACTTCCAATCCTGAAATTCATTATTACCAGCCGTTAAAGTTCATGTGATAACGGGTGAGAAAATGAAGGTTACCGCCACTGAAACATCTTTCAGGGTTCTAGCCACGATGGGATATGACAGGTAATCAGTAACGTATGAATTCGTTGATCTTGTCATTAGCTTCAAACTTAAACAGCCACACTCACAAAGTTTCAACAGGACGTCAAAGCGGTGAGTTAATAGAAGATGCTCCTCGTGTCGACCTACTTACTCCTGCCCTGCTAGTCCTTTGGACAATCTCTGTTTCAAACCAAGCCGCCCTTCATAGCATATTGAATCCCAATAGATGTCATATCTATCACTGTTGAACGTTAGAGCACACAAGGTTAGAAATCTCTGTTTGAATCCCACTTGAGAGACAAGTACCGGGCTCTACAGCCAGACGAGGATCTACACCGTATTTGGCTAGGCCTTGGCGTTTATTGCATTCCTCAGCTCAACCTATCAACTCATCTGACTCGAGCGGGTTCCATCCGCGTGATATTCTTCGTCCCTTCTAGCGAACCGTACGGGATCAGCGAGGCGCTGCCGTTTTCTGCCGTTGAACGGCAAGTTTGATGTATGAACTTTGGCGCCAACCAGTGACATATGGAAAAGGTAAGCGAAACGTCGCTCTTTGTGGCCATAGATGTTTGAGAAGAGCTTGCTTAAGCACCGGGAGTTATACAAGCTCTGGGAGTCAACTAGGTAGTTTTACAGCCTGATTAAACTATTTAAGGCACCCGGAATTACCAGGAACTGTCCGGACCAACTTTTTAAAATAAGGCTTAAATAAAAAAGACATGGCAAACTCAACCTACATAAAGAAATTATCAGAGCCAGTACTTACTGTACCTCTGCGGAAATCGATCGTCCTATAGACGCTATTAGTTAAGTAAAGGAGATTCCAGCCGAATATCTTACCATAAGTAGGATTCATAAAAATCATGATATGTCTGATGTTTGGTGTCTATAGGGTAACCCATACTCTCCTGTCTCCTTATATCCTTATGGCCAAAGTTTTGATTGTCCAGCCAGTTACTTCGAGTATCTTCGTTTGGCAATTTCTCTTTAGGTAAAACTACCTGGAATGCTGACCGGAAATGAAAGATGCCCTGGCATGTTCTTTTCAGTTCAGCCAAGGCATAACCACATGCATATGAAAGACGCGCGTATATGCCAACGTGTAAGTAGGCAGCACTTTTCAAGGCAGGATAACGTGGCAGTACCTAAACACCAAGTGGGATGAGTAACAAACATGCCAGGTCAATTACAAGCCAGTAGTACTACATGTCCTTTCACCATCGCAATAATTGCCATTGCATCAATCACATCAATCACCAATAACAATCTACTCACTTCGAGAGACTTGACATAATAGTGTAGAGCTTTCACTTCTAAATAAAAGTATGGTATGAATAAATTGAACTTCAGTTATATGATACGTGCCAATCCTGAATAGCGGGAGTCAAAACTATAGGTGTGGCTTGCATTAACCGTCCGAAATCCAACTCGTTTACCACCGCCGGCGCCTCCGCTATATGCCGTACTTAGGTCATCAGGCATAGACGACTCATGAAGTCACAATACAACCGGTAATCCTTAGTTTTGTAAGGCCGAGTCCATGCTTGGAGTACTCTCATGCCGAGCTAATCCGCGTGTAACCTTGCTGTAAGTTGATCATCGGGTTCTAGCAAAACATCCAATCCGCCTATGATTGCGTATGGCCAAGGCTTTTTTCCGCCGTTGTCATGATCAACATTTGTCTCAGCACCACTCCGGGGTCGTAGGGCGTAGTAGCAGGGATGATAGGAAATGTGTGTTATTACGACACGTATTTGTCAGCTTTGGAACAACAGAGGGCCGATCTCGGGGCACGTAGGGCGCACACGGCTTAGAGGCACTAACTAAAACCAGTCTGAGGCTTTTGAGAGCTCATACATCGCCGGATGTGACCTATTTGAGAATGGTCGATTCCTGGTTGTAATCAAGTCTGAAATATCAGGAGAGTCTTTGTTGGTTGAAGATGGACCTAAAGGCCTACAACAGAGTAAGTTGCTCCTCTTGGAATTGGTTTTGACCTTATTCTCGCACGGAGGAACCCTTCAAGAACAAGAAAAAGAATTAATTTACTAACATAAACGTGTGGCCCTTGCTGGCAAGACCAACGGGATGCTGTGTCCAGGTTGCGTACCGTCAATGTAACCTCTAAGGGCCCAGACTGGTCTGTTTGTGGCATTTGCCTCCGTCAGCACAACACACTGTAATTCCAGCAGCCTTCCGCCCGGGATCGACGCTCTGCCGAGATTAAACATGGCTTAAGCCCAGAAGAGCCGGGTTTACCCCGTCGTTGCCGTGATTAACATCCTCTCGAGTTGAAGCCTTATGCTCCCCGTTACTGATATAATATGCCCTACTCATATGCTTTCAATCAATCAGTTTCACCTCAGCCCCATCTCTATTACTCTGTTACAAACATATTCTAACTCTCATTTTACAACAACAAGGGGTGGCTCTTGTTGCTGAACTTGTCATGAGTACTAAATTTCCTCCAACGGTGCCAAGCAAAGGACCAAAAGAGTTTATCTGTATCATGCCCGATAAGCCTGATGCATTGGAGCTTCGAAGCAAGGTGAAGGCGTGAGCTTCAGCTTTATTACTTGGTTCTCGTCATGGAGATACATCATCTAATTCCTCCGCAGCCAACACTACGAGGGAGTCCAGCCGCTTATCGCTTCTGGCAAGCTTTTAGCAGGCGGTATGTCGAAGCATAATTATCCCAATTTCCCATGCTAGGAACCACATCCGTATTCTGTGATCTAGTGGGCTGACCTACGTGTAATGAAGGCCCCATGCTTGAGAAGCACCCAGAGGAAGGGGACCCAGCGCTCTTCAAGGGCAGTGTGGTGATATACACGGGCGAAACTGCCCAAGACGTCCGCAAGCTGATTGAGAACGATATATATGCAACCAGTGGCGTCTGGGATCTGGACCAGGTCCAAATCATTCCGGTAAGTGATTTCTGTATGCCGAGAAGTGCGAAAGCTAATTAGATTATTTAATGTAGTTTATGTCAACTGTGCGAGAACCACTACATCGTAAATAGCAATGCACATAGATACATTACAAAGCTAGTAGTACATTGAAGAATCATGTTTAAAATTGACTAAATAAAACGACGAAGGCGGTAACGTATTACTTGCACTGTATTTTACAGTCCTCATGTAATTCCCACGGTATTCGTCCTGTAATTTGTTGGGTATGAACTACCGCCCGTCCTTAATTTCCTGGACGCGCAGACTTGAAAATTCCAATTCAGAAAGGCTCAAATGCCGTTCAAGTTAAAATTGGCTACTTTGTAAGGATGAGATATATGGAATATAATGTGAAATCTAAGAAGGTATAAAATAGTATTAAGAAATCTTCAACTTGGCTTTTTGCACAAGGTACTGAAGAAGAAGAAGGAAAAGGAAGTCTCATGATTTAGGCTTTATAAGCACGTTTGTACAGTACCATGATTCAAAGCCATAGCTCCACGCCTAGTATCGGTATTAAGTCGGTACAGCAGGCTTCGGCGGCATTGCGACATTTCTTTCTGTAATGACTCACTATAAAGATAGTTGAATGAAATATTTATTCCTTCGACAGACCCCAGACAGATGAACTCCAATCTTCTACATCCAAGTCTCTTTCAACCATCACTCAAAATGACCGATCAGCTGACATTCGTTACCCTCGACGTCTTCACGACTACGCCGTTCAAGGGTAATCCCCTTGCCGTCGTTCACTTGCCTCCGGGGTTATCGATCTCTCAGACCCAAAAGCAGACTATCGCCCGGGAATTCAACCTCTCCGAAACGGTGTTTATCCACGATGTCGACAGCAACGACCAAGGCCGATCCAGCCGGCACATCGACATATTCATGACGGACAGAGAACTTCCCTTTGCAGGCCATCCCACAGTCGGCACGGCTGCCTACCTCCGGCTGCAGGGTGTCAGCGAGCTCATCACCAAGGCTGGATCTGTTCCTATCCGGTTCAACCCAGACGAAGGCCTGGTTAGTGTCTCTGTCCCCCACGACACCTACCTCAATTCAAAGTCTTTGATCAACATTGAACCGACCCTTAACACCGATCGCCTCCATCCCAACCCTGAAATCCGCTTGGCAGAACTCAAAGCACCGCTCTTCAGTATTGTCAAAGGCGTAACCTTTAGCCTTATTCGTCTGGCATCCCTAGACCATCTGTCCCAAATCTCCTCGGGCGCCTTCCCCTGCGAATCGGAAGACGTCATGGACGCAGTGCGGAGCGAAACGTATATTGGGCGGTATTATTATTCGCTCATGGAGACGAGTATCTCGAGTGGCGGTGTGAGGACGGTTGAGTTGAGGACGAGGATGGTGGAAGCCAAGATGGAGGATCCAGCTACTGGGTCAGCAGCGTCTGCGTTGACCAGTTATCTTGCGCTCAAGGAGTACAGTGAGACTGATATTCGGTTTAATATCACACAGGGCGTTGAGATGGGACGGAAGAGTGAGATTGTAGTCGAGGTCAAGGTTAATATTGGAAAGAATGGAGAGAGGAGTGTAAACGAGGTACAGCTTGGGGGCAAGGCAAAGCAGATTACGAAGGGAACTATTATCATCCCGCTTGTTTAGCTACTATAACCAAATGTTTATATGTAATAAAAGCTTTAATAGGATTCAACGTGATAGCGGCGCGAGCATAACGAGCACGACCAGTATGTCTCATCTCATCAATTGATCTATGGCAGCACGCCCAATCTACCCCTCTCCGGTACGATAACTGTAAGAAAAGGACTGTCCACTACTCCACAGATCCGGCTTGCAGAGATACAGCTGTCGACAACTTTCGGACAAAGGGTTTACTCGTGTACTTTGCCGTCTTTTTGGTGGAGTAACTCGGGGCCCTCGGTCGTAATCGGCACAAGTTCAACCTTGGCCACCCGGTACATGTATTACAAAGCCAGCCCATGAAAATCTGTGGCCACTGAGTCAAGGAGGTAAAGACTAAAGTGGCTAGAAGCGACATGACTAGTGTTTCTCTTACCCACGCGTGAATAAATGGGAAGCAGTTTGACAATTTACTCGAACTGGGAGACCTCTACCTGACAAATCACTACTTTTACGCATGTAAATACGAATAATCAGGGATTGTGGTTGGGATTAGTTCGAGATTAGTCCAATTAGCTGTTTACTACAGAGGTAGCTAAGCCTAGACCGCCGTCCACCCTTGCAAAAGTGTCGTAACACCATTTGAGAGGGGTAATGACCCTTGCAAGTTCAGGTGGATTTATTGAAGCAGAAGAACGAACCCGCGTATTCTTCAGACTTTTCACCACTAACGTTAGGTTCATTGCGCAACCTCTCTTCTCTCTTCTCTCTTCACCCTGTCCCTTCTTGCCACGTCTTGCCCTCATCCCTTACAGCGTCACTTTCGTATCATTGCAGATCCTGGCCGCAGAACTAGACACCCCCTCAACCCCATTAACTTCTCCCTACCGCTAAACTTAGACTACATCCAGTAGAGCTAAAAACTAGATGCATGCTTATCAATGGCAAGGTGGGGCGCTTGAGAGGTACTCTTGGTACTGTACCCGTAGTCTAGTTTAAGTGGCTGTCGATAACAGACAGAGTTTCAGGTGTCTCAACTCCCAACGATTTTCATTCCCCCCCGATGATCGCTGAGATCATCACTGTAATTACGCACACCGCTTCCCCCAAATCATTCAATTTTCAGCAACAGCTTGCCAGTGGTTTTTCGGCTCTCCAGGTCAACGTGCGCCGATGCGGCATCGCTCTGCTCGTACACCTTGTGGACGTCAACTTTCAGCTTTCCAGATACCAGCATTTCAAACAGCTCCCCGCTATATTCTTCCAGCTCTTCCCTGGTCGCGACGTAGTGGTCGACCACTGGCCGCACGAGCTTCACGTTCTTACTCCCAAGCCTGAGGATATCGAATGGCGGGACGGCACCGGACTGTAAAGTAGCTTTGAGTTAGAACAATATCGACTTGCTTCTCCGGAGTGACTTACTGCATTTCCCACCATTACCAGGATGCCCTTACGCGCCGCCAGTTCAATGTCCTGATCGAATGTGGCCTTGCCAATCCCATCAAAGATGACATCAATGCCATGTCCATCCGTGATCTTCATTACCTCCTCCACGATGTTTCCTGTCTTGGAGTTAATGACCCACCCCGCACCGTTTTTTTCTGCCAGCTTGCACTTCTCATCGGTACTCGCCGTGCCTATAACCTTGGCCCCAACCTCCCTGAGCATCTGCACCAACTGCGTGCCGACACCACCTGCAGCCGCGTGAACCAGCACCCACTGGCCAGCCTTCACTTGTCCCGCCTCCCGAATGAATGTCCATGCTGTGAGTCCCTGGAGCAGGCTGGCAGCAGCCTGCTGCGTGGACAAGCCTTGGGGAATACGCAGGAGCTTTGCGGCAGGTATGGCTGAGTAGGAGCCATAGGTGCCGGCGTTGGCATCCATGTAAGCCACTGAGTCGCCTTCCTGGAAGGAAGAAGCCACGCTGTCGTGAGCCTTGACGACGCGACCAGCCCCTTCACGGCCCAGGATCATGGGGAGGGGAACCTTGTAGAGACCAGTGCGGTAGTAGGTGTCGATGAAGTTGACACCAGCGTACTCGTTCTTGACTAGAATCTCGCCCTTTTTGAGCTTGGGGACAAGGAGGTCGGTTCTGTAGTCGAGAACCTCGGCGCCGCCCGTCCTGGAGAACTGGACGCCGTTCATGGTTGAGGGAATTGAGGCCATTTTGAGACTCGAGAGTGACGAATATGTATTGAGACTCCTAATAAGAGGCTTTGTGATTGTTGAGATTTGCCTAAGAGTGGCGGAGGAAGCCAATTTAAGTGCCATTGATGGTGAAGAACGAGTCGATGGTTGAGATTTCCTTCGACTTGATTATTAATATACGCTGATAATCTAGACGGCCGTCTTGAACCAGCAGTGAACAAGTCAGGATGCTCTGTTTATTGCGTTTCTAAGCATGACGATAACTCGACAGCTGGTGCTTCAAGTCCGGTCCGACCCCGGAGGTTTCAAGTTCGAGTGCCGGGCAGCTTCGGCCACTCCCGGCATGTGTCGGCGGAATGAATATTGAGCGACAGTGCATTTGTAATCCTGCTATTGATGGCGCATCATTGCAAACTCAATCCCATCTCTCTCAGCCATGTCATGCCATGCCATGCCATTCCTATTTAATAGCCCCCAACGACCGCTACGGTAGAACTTATCAATAAATTCATCAGTTTGCTATTCAACATCAACATGTCTACTTCACGTATTGCCGTCCTGGCCCAAAAGGCGCCTAAGCCTTACTCCTTTTTATCCCAAGCGATCATTTCAGGGAGCCATATTTTCTGTTCTGGTCAAATTGGCTACAAGCCAGACACGGGTATCCTTGTCGAAGGGACGATCAAGGACCGCACTGTCAGTACCAGTTCATTTGAAGGAATGCTATGAATGACCCACTCACAGAACATTACAGAAGCAAACTCTCTCCAACCTGCAAGCTGTCCTAGAGGGGGCTGGAGCCTCCCTGCAGGATGTTGTCAAGGTCAATATCTACATCACCGATATGGCAAAATTTGCAGAGATGAACGAGGTTTATGAGACGTTTTTTGTCGATCCCAAGCCTGTAAGAACCCAATGGTCTGTTTTCTGTGGTAATGCAATGCTCATATTTACTTTAGGCACGAACATGTGTTTCCGTTCAGGCTTTGCCACTGGGCACTGATGTTGAGATCGAGTGCACCGCAAACCTGCCACAGGATTCGAAGTTGTAAAGAAGTTTTACGTCCCTCGGCTGATTGTGTGTCTCATGTTTCAGTGACGGATGTGGATGTTTGATGGGTAGCTCAGCTTCACAGGGCCAAGAGGTCGCTTATCGTAAAGTCTGGTTCTGCAATTGATACTTGATGCAAATATTATTCCACATGCTTATATCATCATGATCATGAAAACAATTTATCCTACAGATCAAGGTGACTGGCCTTGGTTTTTTACACGCTTCTTTTTACCTCGCTGGAGCTCAGTCAAATGGTTTGTGGGAAGAGATTGGCAGATTCTGAAACTGCAATTAGCTTTGAGTCATAGTATTAAGTGTCTGTAGTAGTAGACGCAATTCATAAAATATTAGACTACTTACTCAAGACCCAAGGTAAACAGACCCTAGATCTTTGGGAAAGCCACATCTATAACAGGGTTTTATAAACGAAACTACTCCACCTCATCTATAAAGACCAAGCTGCCACCATTCGCACCGCGCATTAGCAGCAGGGTCTCTCTCCTGATTTATACCAGCAGAGGACATTCGTACGATATTTCCATTTTCACCATAGGGTACCAATCGCTCCAGCTCATCGATCTCACTCTTGGGCAAGCCGTGAGCGGCAAAGGTAGTCAGGTAGTCCTGTAGAGTATAGGCCAAAGTCCTGTTCACAGTATCGTTCCCATCATAGTACGCAAACGCGCCCTCTGACCCATGAAGTCCGAACCCATCTTCAAGTACGTAGCCATAGGCCGAGGAGTTCGCCCTGGCTAAGCCATGGCCAAGTGCAGGCACTGCGCAAGTGAACGCAGCTTCGGTTACCGTTAGCCCCATGCGCCTAACGTTGTCCGGATAAAGCGAAGAGTTGAAGATAGGAGGATAGAGTGTGTCAGCAATGTGATCGATGACCCGCGGAATAGCATGCGGGAACAGGTCCTGGAGCCCTTGCACGTATTCTGCGTCGGTTACAGCCGGCGGGCTAAAGCCAAGCCCTTCATTGGGGGTGTGTCCCATGAAGACCTCGACAGATTTATCAAATCGGCCAGTAGCTAGGAGAGACCTGGGATCATCGCGAACTAAGTCGCCGTCGATCGTGGGACCGAACACAAAAGTACCGTGAGCGGCGTTGAGGATTTGGACAGCGTTGGCATGGATGAGCTCTTCTGTGGACAGAGCGCGAGCCTCGTATAGACTGGCAACATTGGCGAGGTGCAGAAACTTGTGAAATGCTTCCTCCTGCTGGAAGGCCGCTGGACTCGGGAACCATGCTGAAGATAGAGGTATGGCTCTGTGGAAGAGACGTTGAGAGTGCTCGCCGCCGAAAGCTGTCACCTGATGAATGATTGAGCCTGCACCAGCCGAAGAGCCAATGACGGTAACACGGTTCTTATCTCCTCCGAATCGATGGATATGATCCTGCACCCACTGGAGAGCCTTTCTCTGGTCGAGCAGCCCTGCGTTTGGGGTACCATCCTGTTGGAACGTGGGACCCGACATGAAGCCGAAAGCGCCCAACCGATAGTTAATTCTGACGTACAAGAACTCTTCAGATGTGACGTTTTTGCCGCGACGAAGAAGGCCCCACGGATTGGACTCAGACTTGGAACCTTGGACGTAGCCTCCACCTGGCACATTTGTCAGTCGCGACGGCATACACAAGCGAGGAGAAAGGGGACGAACCATGAATCTCTACCATGACTGGAGCACCGGTACCATTCTTCACATTATCCAGCGCGGTCTTGGGGGCAAAGATGTCCAAGAACAGACAGTCTTCATTCTCACGAGGATCCCGAGCTGGCAATAGAGACATGTTGGCAGAGTTAGTGCCGTTGGGTTGGATACCTTTTGTGAGATAGGCAAAGAGCCACTGCGGAGTGGTCGCCATCCAAGCTGGCTGTGCTTGCGGGCAAATGCGAGTTTCCCGACCGTCTTGAACGATGGCCCTATTCTTGGCTGGAGGTCGGGGCGCCTGAAACCGCAGATGGCCTACTGGAGGCGCGGCATAACGGATGTTGGAGAAGTTCCAGTAACCATATCGTTCCTACAGAGATTCCACGTGGTTAATCACGATTGAGCAGGGACCAGCATTTCGTACTTACATTGAACTCGGTGGGTTGGTACAGCTCATACCCAAGGTCGATGACTGGGGTGCACTCTGTTAGCCTCAGCAACGGCACGAAAACAGCAGCCCAAGTGAAGCGCATGGTGCAATAATGATGATGTTTCTGGGGACTTGAGAACTGTAACTTCAAGACCAGACCTTGCTTTTATATTAGTCACTAGGTAGCTGGAGTGGAGGCGCAGAGCGTGGCTGCTAGACACCCGACAGATCCGTGTTTAGCGGTGTAAATTTCGTACATCGTATAACAGAGGTCATATTCGTATTGTTGGTCTCCAGGCCATTTGCACTCCTTTTATTGCCACTAACCCCACTGCTGATATAACTACCCCTTGCACGTTGCTTAAAGAGACGGCTAGTCAAGCTCAAAGTATTCTTACTCCCTGCAGTTGCCCGTGTCAACGGGAGATCGCGCGAGTCTGGAAGTTATATTATATTTAGTTCTTAGTCGGTCTTAAGCTCTAGCGTACTATCCCATACGAAAATTCTAACATCGAGCTAACTAAGAATACGTGCAATAGTATGGGTGGGTGTACAAAATTAAAAAGAGTTTATTATAATCTAATATAAAATCTAACATCAGAATGGAGGAAAGAACTTTTGCACACTGTCGCACGGGCGATGTAACCTGCCCTCCTGCCCTCCTCGACACGACAAGTATTGGTTTATTGCCGGCGTTACTTGTGACTTCTTGTCATTCTTTATCTACCATTCATTCATCCCCACTTCTGTTGACATTTCCATCGCGCACTTCGTCATTTCTATCGATACAGACGCTGAAACAATCGAGTCCATTAAACCTTCATCCAAATTTATCACTCACACCATCAAAACCATCCCGCCGGCCTTGTTTCGATGACTGCACCACGTCTCAGCCACGCGAGATCGTTCTGTGCCCCTATCTACCTACCCTTCATATAGCGAGTCCCTCTCTATTCCCAAGAAGTCGGGTACCGAAAGGACAGTCAGTCAAGCCTTAGATTGCAAATACTCAGAGCTTAACCGCGAACAACTCCTCCTTCAACGAACTCAAGCTGGCCGGGAACTCAGCAATGCGCTAAAACACCTCAAGAGACATTCTTCAATGGGTGCTGAGTACTGGCATCGATCGATACGGCGAACTTGCGAGACTCGTCCGGGAGACCTCGCAGATCGACTCACAGAAACGACTTAACGACACCCTCCAAGACAAGAAAGATGGGCATGATGTGGATAGTATAGAGGTGACTGACGAGCCCGAGATGTAAACTATTAGTGCGCTGGTAGGGGATGCTATGTTGGAACCACAAGAGCACGAGCATTAATGGGAGACTTCGGAAGAGGACAGTGTTGGTGAAGAGTAGGGGATGCAAGAGATGGGTCGTCCTTACTCTGCTTGTTTTGCGTTGTTTCTGTTATCACGATTAGACGAATAAATACCCCTGTTTTTGCTAGGAGTTACATTTCACCAGACCGACAACACCAATCCTTCTCGCTTCCGCTTTAGGTGTTGATTAAGAGAGGTTTCGATGAACCACAAATAGGGGGCGACTTACTCGCACATCCAGGCGAATGAGATGAGTGCAATATCTACTTTTGTTAGTATACACTCACTCAGTTCATCAGTGCAATTGTGTACTAACGCTCAAAGGCTATCTTCTTCTCAATGAGTAGATCATTATACCCTCCTCCAATATTGATGTACACGCCTGGGAGCCAGACCTGCAACAGCTCTGTGTTATCACGCAACCACTAATGTTGCATGTAAATAGGCAGAGCCTTTCAAGGCGGGATGGTGTGGCAGTACCTAAGCGCCAAGTGAGGTGAGTGCAGTAGGCGTGTAAAAGTTAAGTTCCAACAACTTCCCCCCTTCCAAATTTACATAAAATAATAAAAGTTACGAAAACCTATTCTATTTTATGTAGTCTTTTATAATCTTGGGATAATATTATACATATTCTTTCACCATCACATCAATCACCAACAATATCTATTGTCTACTCACTTCACTGAAAATGCCTGACAATCCACCCCGTCCACCTCCGCCAGCGCCCCCGCTACCGCCAAGCCTACACAAGAAGCAGACAAAAGAATCAGCCTTTATGCTAAAAGTAAAAAACGCGCCAGACGATTGGTTCTACCAGCCTCCCGAGCCGCCGGCCCTGGTCGACCTCTTCGAGCCACCCACAGGACCTTATTTTGTGTATGGAACTTTGATGGATCCAAAGATGCTAGCCAATGTCCTTGGGGTGGAAGAAAAGCCCGAACTTCGACCTGCAAAAGTCGTAGGCTATTCGCGTAAGCTCTGGGGACAGTACCCTGCGATGCAGGACGGACCACAAGATGCTGAAGTCGACGGTGCTGTTTATCATGTGCAGTCTGTTGCCCATGCAAAGCGATTGGGGGATTACGAGACGAATAGTTACAAGGCCAAGCCATGCCTTATCCAGTATATAGATGGAAAGGAGCCTGTCGAGGATTTCGGTTATGTGTTCATGTTCGTTGGTAATCCAAGGGATCTACAAGAGGGGGATTTTGATCTTCAAGTATGGCTAAAGCGGATGGGTCGATAGCTAGTATCATAAGTCAGCATAGTTTTATGGCTCAATGTCAACTGGACTTGAGCGTTTTGTAGGGACATGATCTCTTGGATATCTCCTGTTCCGAGAGAATACCTTCTTCCCATTTTCTTTGGTTCACCACTCGAACCTCAGAGCAGTTCAAATCCTCGTACCAGCGCACAAATAAGAAACGACATGAACATGCGCATGACAATCGCGGCAGTCTGGCCGTCGAGACAAGCCAGGGTCTTCTACTTTATGAATTGGCCCTCTCAAAGTACGAGTCTCACTCTAGCACGATGAGGAAACGTGGACAAGTTGTATTGCGCCATCTCCGAGCACTATAACAACCCAGAGCACTTTTCATATGGTCCACCATATCTTGCGCTCTCCATACTATTTCTTAGGTGTGATTGTATTGTCACCAACGGGAGTTAATTACATCCCAAACTGTTGCTAGAGCCTTACTATCTACGACTAATATTAAAATCGGATTCGTATTGTAATATTCGCCTGAATAAGGACAAGGTCGCGAGCACGTAATTGGGTATGTTGTTAGCGAAAGATTGCAACGCTAGCCAACCTAATAAAGTACCGGTGTTACGATGACGTATCCGGCTCGGCTCATTATCGCGTGTATTTAACAGCTGCTAAATTGATAAGCTTTTGCAACTGATAAACACCCCTCTCACTCTGCATCTCTCATATTATCTGCCGTCACTTCGTCAACATCACCCAAACCAGTAGAATGATGCGGCGTCGATCCCAAAGTTTGCAAAGAAAGCGAGCCTCACAGGCATGTGACTTCTGCCATTCCCGAGGGCTGAAATGCCGTTGGCCATCGAGAGTGGAGTCAGTATCGCAGGAGCAACACAATACCTGTCTTACATGTGTCGATTATGGTGCCCAGTGCACCATGGATCGGCCGGTTCGAAAACGGGGCCGGAAGTCGACGGTGTCAAGTGCAAAGAGTTGCACGAGAAGCCAAGGGGATAGTCAGGTGTCTGACTTCAAATCTCCAGAATGTTTACATCGTCTCATAGACATCTACCGCAATACCATGTACCAATGCTAGTATGACTCCCTGGTTCAAGTAACATGTGAATACACCTCTGACTGGAATAGCTTTCCGTTTCTTTCGGAGAATGATCTTGAAGTGCGATGGGCAGATAACATAAACACCGACAATGCGCCATCATACATGCTTCTAATGGCACTCTGCGCCGTCAGCGCCCAGAGTCTAACTCTCAAGGCAGTCTTCGATAGCACCCTATTGGGGGACGTCGTCCCACACAACAGCGACAGCTACTTTACCGAAGCTATCTCACGTATACCAGCACGCGTTCCTGACTCACATGACCTGGACTATCTGCGTTCATTTGGCTTGTTAGCCGTGTACTCCCTCAGGAGCGGCAACAAAGGCGAACTTCACCGATACCTCGGATTATGCCACGCGTGGATTGCTCAACATGGCTTCCATAACGAGGACCACTGGGATAGTTCCATATCGCTCCTGGAGGTAGATGATAGGCGACGTCTGTTCTGGTGTGTCTATCGTCTCGAGATTCATTCGGCTTGTGTGCTTGGGCATATAATACGCCTCCCCGAGGCCCAAGTTACAGTTCTTTACCCGCGTATCACGCCAGCAATGAAGCGGGAAACACAGGCATGGACAGCTGGTTGGGACTATATCACCGACCTCTTTCGACTGATGGAGTACGCAATTCTCAACCTTCGCCAGCAGAAGCCTCCAAAAGCAACTGCAGTGTTCTGCGAACGACCCTCTCCGACAGCATTACTCGAGAGCTTGGCCCAACTAAAAGCCAGCAAACCTTTTGTGCTTCGTGTTCTTTCGCAATCGCCCGATGAGCTGCAGAGTAACCGATGCAAATTCATGGCCGTACAAATCACCTGTACCGAGGCACTCGTCAACATCATGGGTCTGCTCCATCGACAAGCCCCAGTAAATGAGGTAATCAAGGTTGCAGAACAATTCTTGAATGAGATAACCGAAGCATCTCTTATTATGTTCAAAGTGGCGAGTAGTCAGATCATTCACCAGTTACTCGGTGTCGGTCACATGGTTTATAACGCGTTCTTGTACGACGAAAGTCAATCGCAACTTGCGGTAGGCAGATTGATTACCTACCTGGAGGATATAGTCAAAAGTTTGGAGCAAGACATTCCTACAGCTGCTGAGGCGCGAGAACAATTGCAAAAGCTTGCGCAGTGTATTATATAGCTATCTTCATAAAATAAAGAATCGATTGCTCATCTGCCACCTTGTAACAATTTTGGAGCACATACTTATGCACTTTCCAGAAGACGGCTCCTCCCGCTCGCCTCATTCATGCCCAACGCTCATGGCAGTCAGATATTTGCGATAAGTCGGGGCGGACCACCTTCTGATCTGCTTCCCATACATGATCATAATGAAGAAAGTGAATGTGCATGCGAGGGATATCATAGCTGCGGTGATAAAGCAGTTCTTCAAGCCTTGCGTCGTCCACCAAGGTGTGATGGCATAGCTGAAGCCGAACCCAATGGTGTTACGAATCAGCATGATAGATACCGTGGTTTCGCCTGCTATCTCTTTGAAACAATCGACGTTGTAGCTGACAGCAATCGCTCCACCAGCTACACATCCAACCGTGAGCATTCCGAGCCCGAATACGAGCCCTACCCAGTGGATGTGATAGTAAGCGCCGACCCCCCATACGATAAGACCGGCGGAGGAGATAATGCCAGAAACAAGTAGAACCCAAAGGCGATGTTCAGGCTCCCTGATGCCGCCATTGCGACGTGCGAGCCATAGGGCGATCCAATCTGCTGCCTTGCCTACCCAGAGACAAGCAACGGCGGCACCAATGATTGGCCCCGCGTATACGCACCCGACCAAGGCTGCAGACCAGTTGTAAGGGTTGCTTGAAAGAACGGGGCTCGCTGTTCCGTTCAAGACGTTGTACCAGGCGAGGTTGATGCCGTAGAGAAATCCAGCCCATGCAACGGTAGGAAACTGGAATATCATGAAAACAGGACGGTAGACCATGTGCAGCATCTCGACGTTGCTAGGCCGTCCTGTTAGAACTTTGAACCAGGTGTATTTTCCTCGACCAGCATTTATATCATGGTAGCTTGTTGAAGATGGGGGAGACGGTAGAGAGCTTCTTGGTGATGCGTCTCCTGCTCGAGACTCATCATCGGGCGCCCTGCCAGCCTTTTCCTTTCCAGAATCTCGGTGATTGTTTTCCTCGACAACAAGGCTTTCGATAGACGTGTCACGGAAGTACATGGTCTCCTCCATGAAGAAGAACATGATAACGAAACATACAGCGCAGATAATAACACCAAAATGCATTGTCCACCTCCATCCAAAAGCATCGTTGAACCAACCAGCCACGAGAGGGGCAAGAAAGTTGGACCCAAATAAAATGGCGACGTAAAGCCCCATGTATGTCCCGCGGTTGTGGGCGAAAAAGAGGTCGAAGACGGTGACTTCGCATAGGGACTCGATCGGGGATACGATAATACCGATCAATATCCTGTGGGCAAACCATTCCCCGGCTGAGGTAGAATAAGCAGTCCAGACCATGATCGGAACGGTAAGCAGCATGGTTGTAAGATATACGCCACGTCTTCCATAGGTGAGGGCAATTGGTTGCCAAATTAGACAAGCCCATCCAAAGAACAGGAACATAACGCCCGTTCCTTGAACAAGATTCGCAGTAGAAATACCAGTGTTCTTGGTGATGTCTGCTAGGACAGAATATTGCAGAGATGTCGCGATTCCGGTTCCGAGGACGTAGAGGTACGCCATGCTGACGGCCGTGAGCTTTCGACGGTAGGACCAATTGAGCGGGTCATTTGGGTCAGAGCTGGGGCGAGGGACCAGAACGATGTCTTTGTGTTGGGTATCGTGTGGTCCAGACGAGTTCATTCCGTTGATATCGACGAGACGGACGGTGCCGGGGACATCATCGTGGTCAATTGAAGTCCGTGCCATATTGGAAGTAGGATGATAGTAGCAGGCTAACAGTTGGCATACCAGAATGTAGTAATGTCCAAAAAACAAGTGGATATCATGGGGTTATATGCTTGAAACATTGAGGTTCATTCTAACTTGGTCTCCCATCTCGCATATGGGTGTCAAATACGCGGGGTGATAAGGATATGATATTAACAGCTGTAGATATGGTCGCGGGCGTATTCTTGCTTGACTGAGGTTAGCGTATCGACAGTCCAAGATGCGATAACCGAAGATGCAATTGTTTGGTTTGAGTTAACCAATAAGAAGGAGGTCGTGATAAAGGGTGAGATTAGTTTAATTAGTTTTGCACTTGCGATTAAGCTATCTCGTCTTGAAGATTGCTGAAACAATAATATTAATAGTTGGTGAATTATTTAACAGCTGCTGATTATTATAACAGCTGGTTATTTACTACGCCGGTAACCAATCACTGTTAATATCAACGGCAAGTATACAACCGGCACGTTCATGCTCATTGCTAAAATAGAGTGTGTTTTGTTATTTAAGCTGTCTTCTTATTTCTCAACATAGCCCATTTATCGTTCACAAAATCAATCTGAATAACATCAAGGGATATCTTGAATGTCATCCTGCTTTATCAGCCACTAGTCTCCATACCCCTTCAGTTACCTCAGCTCATCATGGCATCCAATGATGTAAACAAGGTTAGTTATGAAACGGTCCTCTAGAATACCTCCGTCTAATACTGACTCTTCAGACACTCTCCGTTATGGAGGCCCCCATCGCGGCTCTTGCATCCGCACTCTCCAAAGGCCACCTCAACAGCGTTGAGTTAACCGCAAAGTATTTATTAAGGATTGCCAAGTACGACCGCCGCACAACCCAACTCAACGCTATCCCAATTATCAACCAAGATGCATTTGATGCTGCTCAGCAATCTGACCAGCGTCGGGCATCAGGTGGCATCTTGGGTTTACTAGATGGAATCCCCTGCACCATCAAAGATTCGTACAAGATTCGGGGACTGACAGTGGCCGCTGGGTCTCCTGCATTCCAGGACCTCGTTGCGAATGACGACGCGTTTACTGTTCAGAAGCTCAGAGAGGCTGGCGCTGTCTTCTTGGGTCGAACATGCCTCCCATGGCTGCTGGGGGTATGCAGCGCGGCGTGTACGGTCGTGCTGAATCGCCCTACAACGAAGCCTATCTTACAGCAGCTTTTGCCTCTGGGTCGTCCAACGGATCTGCAACTGCAACAGCCGCTAGCTTTGGAGCTTTCGGAATGGGAGAGGAGACGATCTCGTCTGGTCGTTCGCCTGCTTCCAATAACGGTTTGGTGGCGTATACCCCGTCCAGAGGGTTGGTGTCCATCAGAGGAAACTGGCCTCTCTTTCCAACATGCGACACTGTGGTTCCCCATACTCGGACCATGGAGGATATGTTTGCGCTCTTGGATGTGATCGTCGCAAAAGATGAAAAGACATCCTGCGATTTCTGGCGCGAGCAGCCGTTTGTTAAACTTCCCGACGTTGACTCCATACGGCCAAAGACGTTCTTCGATCTCTCTGACCCCCATGCGCTCCAGGGCAAGAGAATTGGTGTACCCAAGATGTATATCGGTGGCGTTGACTCTGCCCCGGAAGCAAGAAAGGTCCATACTCGCGAGTCTGTTATTCAGCTCTGGAGGCAGGCCAGGACAGTCCTCGGGGGCCTTGGTGCCACTGTTGTAGAGACAGACTTTCCTCTTGTTACTGAGTTCGAGAAACCCGAAAGTTCTGATGTCATATCCGAGACACCCCCTCATCGTAATGAGATTGACATGTGTCAATTGATGGCTTATGCTTGGGATGACTTCCTGGCAGCAAATCAGGACAGCAAGGTGGCTACTTCACTGGGACAAATAGAGTCGTCCACCATATTCCCCCATCCTCCTGGTTGTTTACAGGACAAGTACGACTCCAACGGCCCTCTGGTACGACACACCGCTGTCGTAGCCCACATCACCGAAGGCCGTATCCCAACTTATGAGATCCCCAACCTTGGCACAGCTCTTCAAAACCTCGAAGCCAAGCGAAAGTCAGATTTCGAGGACTGGCTTGATGCCTCGGGCCTGGACATGCTTGTGTGGCCTTGCAACGCCGATGTGGGTAAGGCTGATGCGGATGTAAACAAAGAATCTGCTGATCACGCATGGCTTAATGGCGTGCTGTATTCAAACGGAAACTGCGCCATTCGTCAGTTCGGTATTCCAACTGTTAGTGTGCCGATGGGAGTCATGGCAGATACAGGAATGCCAGTGAATCTCACATTTGCATCGAAAGCTTACGATGATAACAACTTGTTTCGATATGCTTATGCTTTTGAGCAGAGCAGTCGTCTCCGAAGACCACCTCCTAGAACACCAGAACTGCCCACGGACACAGTTTCACTCAGTGAAGATGGACGGGGTATGGGATTGGCACCACCGCAGTTGCAAGTAGATGCTACGTCTTCCACTACGGATGGGGAGAAGACTGTGAGCATTTCAGGTGTTGTTGACGGGGACGAGGTTTCCGAGATACATGTTTACGTTGACGGAGACGAATTGGAAGACATTGAGATTGTTGATGGCAAGTGGGAGGCTAAGTCGAGGGTAAGGCGAGTGAGTAGAACCCACCCGAATGAGAAGAGTATCCCTGAGTTGGATGCAAGCTTTATTATTGTCTTGGTCAAGGGCAAAAATAGAAGGTCTAGCGGTAAGATGTTGTTTGTTTAGTTATGAGTTCAAGATAGGCTACAGCATTATTTTACCATGAGCAACTGGCCGGTACCTATCACTGTTCCAATCGTGGAGTGTAAGTAGCAGCCACCATGTCAGAAGCTACGCGTTATCGTATGAGGTCATTGAATTTTAATCTTCCAGCGCAGAACAGAAGCCGATGTTCACGACACATCGTCCGGGAGAACACTAGAAATGATAGGAACCTTGACCTCTGAATATGGCACCTCGTAGTGCTTCACACAATCAAACTCGTGTGTAAACAGCCAAGCAAGTTCCTCAAAATAGAATTAGCACCCATCTCCAACCTACCATCTCAAAGAACGACGAAAAAACGACTTACCTTATCCAGTTGCTTCCAAACAAATGTACTTATCCCGGCATCCGGCATGACACCGACCAAGACATCCTTCACAAAAACATCTTTCGTCTTGCCACCCTCTGGCACCTCGGACAGCACAAACGTCAACCCGAGAAGCTTGCCATCTTGTTCGACGTCATGGATTTTTCGAATACCGGCGTGGTGACAAGGATCCCATTGCCCGAGGATGTCAATTTCCTTGTTGCGTTTTGTTATCTTCAGCCCCATGCAGCGAGGACCACGGACTTGGGTTTCTATGCTCAGGACGTCTTTGAGGATGGTGCTGGTTAGGAAGAGTGCTGATGTTTCGAAGGGGAGAACCCCATGTTTGTGTTTGGGTGGAGCGTCGTGATAGGGGATGAAAAAGCCTTTTTGCTCTTCTTCGACGTAGCTATCGTCGTCGCTTTCTTGATCCTCGTCGTCGCTTTCGTGTTCGTCCTGATCATCCATTTCTTGACCGTCCTCATCCTTTTCTTCGTGTACTTGTTGTTCTTTTTCCTCCTCGACATGCTGCACGTTATTCTCGTCACTATTGGGAAGCTCCAAGAAATATGTCACGCCAAGACAATCCAGCCATATAGGGCTTGGCTGGCAAACAGCAGTGAAAAGACCTGCAAGACGATGTTCTTGGCCAAGATTGTAGTGACATCCTGCGACCGACAGACCGTCAGGGATCTGTCTAGCGCCGAAGTATAGGTTGCGACCGGTGCTAGTCACAGCCTAGATCGTGCCGTCAGCATAGCCATGAGGTTGCGACTTGCGACTTGTACTTACAATTATCCCTAATTGATGGGTCTTCCCTTTAAAGACTAACTGAAGAGATGTTAGAGCTTCGCCCTCCCGCAGGTAGTGCGTGACGACACAGCAGTCGCTCCTGATCTCTCCTAGCCTGTTCTTGTCGTCGTCGTTGGCTTGGATGCAGACCACACCCAGCTCGTGTATGAACATGGTCAAGCTACGGAGGCCCTCGAGAGGCAGGTATCTCATGGGCCGATACCCGCCGTGGGTCGTAACGAAGTCCTTACGCTTGCGGAAGTCCAACAAGCGGCTCGACAGGTGTGGTTGTCGAGGATGGTCGTTGTTCCAGAGAATCTTCACGTCAGGTGGGTTCGGCTCTTCGTTAATGATGTCGATGAATTTGGTGCCCTGTTCTTGTTGGATGTATGCTCTCATTATACTCTTGAAACTTACTTACGTCGGATGCAAGACAGAGTTGACTCTGGTAGTCAAACTCGGTATTCAAGAACCACTGTCTTTGTCCATTGGTCTTCCACCCAGATTGACTCCCATCTGAAAAGAACAGGCGCAGGTCTGACAATCCGTACGCACTGTAAGCTAACTGCGCCCCAACAGCATGAGTGGTTTCCAGCGGATTTCCAGGGAGAATTGACAGAGGATTGACGCGTACAAGGCAATCATGGCCCAGTACGTGGACAGACCTAAGCATGAAATCCGCCATCTGATTAGGGAGCTTCAATTTCGCAGGTAGCCTTGGGACCTCGGATAAAGTCTCCAGTCTCTTTGCAGAATCCAACGTGGTACAGGCATCAAGCAGAGATCGACACAGCCCGTCAACACCAGAGAGAATCATTTGCTGGATCTTGAAATGCAACTTCTTCGACATATCATGAAGCAAGAGTCCCAAGTCTGTATCAAGTGACAAACCCGGGGGCGCAGGTATACTAGGAACTGTCCCCACGCTGAAAACCTTGGGCGCAACACTGAAACTCCATGGGAGTATCGTCCTGAAGCAGCGAGCGAGATCCCGCAGATGGCGTGCTCGCAACGGACCCAGCGTGCGTCGGGCGAGCTGCAAACATGAGACGTGTGTGAAGTTCACAAAGTCTCGCACGGCGCCGTCGTGGGATGTTTTGGGTGTTGTGTAAAAGTGAATTGGATTACCAGTTCCGTCGGGATCCCACCACTCGTCGTTGCTCACGTCTGCACGGTACGCCCTGCCTGGAGCCGCGGGAGGGTCTTGGGGGCGTTTGTTTGGGTAGACTGTGGGCTTCGTGTTAGTTGATTTGGAATGGCTTTGTTTTGTTGAGGTTGGGGATCTACAGCATATGGTATCCGTTGCCCAGCTTGATGTAGTGCATGCGCCTGGGCTGGCTATGTCAAGACGGTGTCGACATAGGATGCAGTACGGTTCGGCGTGTAGTTGGTCCATTTGTGCTTGGCGCTGGCGAGTGAGACGTTGCAACTTGGATGCAGTCTTGGAGGGAAGAAATGGCTCATTGAGTTGAGTGAAAGTGCACGTTCACGGACATTGAGAGTTGTGAGGATGGAAGGCGACCAGCCTGGTGCTGGTGCTGTGGCCCGCTGCGGCTAAAAACTAGACCTAGAGCGGAGTGTTCACTTTTAAGCATAAATGGGGTTCGATAGTACTACCACCCGGGGTCGTAGCACTAACGTTAGAGCTTACTTCGGAATTTCGTAGGTAGTCGTCCTCTTCACCCTATATATCCGTCCCCTGCTTGACAAGACAGGCTGCTACTCTTGGGGCATCTCTAATTATGGACAAGTGGAGATACGTGATCTTCTTTTTCTTGAAACTAAACAAAGATACAGATCTGATAGCATTTTAGACGATACTATACTTCGGGAAGCGGGGTATTATTGGAAAGTATTAAAGTCGTGGGTGGTGAATGGGAGGTAAAGTCGAGGGTTGAGAAAATCAAAAGGTCTTACCTAAATGAGAAAAGTGTCCCTAAGTTTAATATAAGCTTTACTATTATAACGGCTAGAGGTAAAAATAGGAGGTCTAGTGGTAAGATATTATTTATTTAGTAATGTAATTCAGGATAGGCTATAATGTTATTTATTATTATAAATAACTGCCTGGTACTTATTATTGTTTTCCAGTTATGTGCTGGAAGAAGTAATCACCATATTAGAGGATATATTATGGCATGGGGTTATTATTAATTTGAATTGCAAGGGGTTTTGGATCAGACACAATTAACAATGAGCTTGAATATAGTAGTATTAATCTCTGCAAGTGCATCACTACTATCTACATACTATGTTGTCTGAAGCCCTCGGGGCACACCTAATATTTCCGACATCTATCAAAGATACCTTAGAAGTGGCGAGCATGGCGACGGGCCTTCTGGGAGCCATTCTTCTTTCGCAGCCACGCAATGAAGGTGTCAAGAGTGAAAGTCTCAGGAAGAGCATCAGAGTCCTCCTCAGCCTCACCACCAGCAGCAGGCAGAGTGGCAACGGGAGCCTCAGGAGCGGCAGTGGTAGTAACCTCGAGAGCCTGCTGGGTGGGGGTAGCGACCACCGAGGTCACAAGGCTGGTGGCGATAGGAGTAGGGGCAACGGGAGTGGGTGTCGAGATGGTGCCGTTGGAAGGGGTACCGGGAATGATGGGCTGGGAGCCAGAGCCAGAGCCGTACAGAGCAGGTCCGGGGATCTCGTACGTGGTGGAACCCTTGTAAGGGTCAAAGAGAATACCGGGCTCAGAGTCGGTGTAGAGCTCTGTGGTCAGAGTACCCTCGGGGTTGTCAGTACCAGAGCCAGTGATGTCGATGTTGAAGCACTGGGGGTAGTTCTGGGCACCATCCTTGGAGCCAGCGCCGTGAAGGGCGATGATCTCGTGACGGAAGACGTAGCTTCCAGCGGCAAGAGTCTCGGGGACAGTGCTAGTCCAGGTGTTGTTGTTCTTGATGAGATCGGCTGCAGCCCAGGTGCCGTCGAGTCCAGCAGCATCGATCTTAACCCACTTGAGGGTGGCAGGGTCAGCCTCAGTGCACTTTCCAGAGCACTTGGCGACGTAAGTCAGGACAGGTCCGATGTGAGACTCGGGCCAGTTGGACCACTGGAACTCAACGGAGCCACCAGCCTTGACGGAGACAGACCTGGTTCCGGGGGCAGCCTTCTTGTGGCAAGCAATGTCGGAAGTACCGAAGTCGCTAGGAGGGACAAAGCCATTGTCGAGGTTCTCGGCAGACCAAGCAGCAATATCAGGGATCTTGCCACCATTCTGGGCCAAGTAGTAAGAGTCGAGGCTGTAGCCGGCCTGGTAGACACCATCGACCTTGATACCAGTCACGGTACCGTGGGCGAGGGCGACGGAGGCGAAAGCGCCAGCGAGAGTAGCAGCGATTTTGAAAGACATGATGATGACTTGATGTTGTGGTTTTTAAAAAGAGGGAAATGTGATGAAGATCTTGAAGATTGAGTGAGAATTGAAAGAAAGTGTAAAAGACCAGCTTCACACAGTGAAGAAATGAATGGAATGAAAGAATGAAGAGAGAGTGAATGCACTTGAGATGAGAAACTAAGCTGAAGAGAAACAATTAGACAATGACAACTTCAGTTATATATACCTATCAAACATATTTTCAAGAGACGCACCCATCTCACTGTATGAAACAATTGATGCCATCCCGACTTCTAAAAGTGGACTCAATTGATATTTACTGGTGGATAATACATCTGTCTCAGCTTCGTGGAGTCTAGGCCTCGTGCAGCCCTAGTCACAATCAGTTCCCAAGCGCGCGGCAGCAGGGTCAAAGCTTTGTTTACAGGTTGAAAAATGGAGGTCCATGTTCCAGTTTCAGTTGGCGAGGGAAACGATCGATAGCACAGGGTGATCGATGAAATATTCGTCCTGTCTCCGACATGGTGGGTGTAACCCCCTGGGCTTGGGCGCGGGACTGCAATCTAAGAGTCCGCGTACCGCGTATTATACGCGGGTTGCGCTTATCTGAGCGAGACAGCCGGTCTTATAGCCCAAAATGTTAAGAGATAGCCGAAGGTTTGTTACCATCTTGGATTTGCGTTTGTTTATGCGAGGTACGAGGTACGGATATCCTGTCTCGTTTCAGGGTGTCGCTGCACCAAGGACTGTTGCGAAGGCCTTCCATGGTCGAATCCTCTCATCTCTTTGTTGAATTTTTAACTCGCTGTGAGGCAGTGATGCTGGCGTACTATTACTTTTCGTGCAGTGTTTCATCTGCTGCAGAATAGCAGTACATTCCTCACCAAAATTTTGAGACCATTGCGATATCAAATACTCCTCATCCAACCAAAGAAAACATCTTCAAATGAAGGGTGATTTTTCATAATGCAACCAAACACGAAAACTAAAGCATGACAGGACTTAAAATCACCACTCTGGCGTACTATCGACAAGACCGAAAAGCAATGATAGCTTAAATCTAATAAGGTTATCTAACCATATTAATTACCGTAACTCTATTTCTAAAAGGCATACAAAGCTCCTGCTAGGGTCATAAGTCCCACTCCACACTCTAATCAACGTACCCGAGCTTACGAGAAGAAAAGAAGATCTCACACAATGCTCTCCCAGATGAACGGATTTGTAGCGAGCCGCTTTCCACTATATGTTGTCCTCTCTTGGTACAAAATCTAAATTAGCACAAATTCCTCCAGGTCTTGACCGACATTATTGACATTCCCCTTCTCTTCCATCTCATTGTGGCATATGAATCCCAAGCCTTCTCTTTTATAAACACCTGCCTGGTGAGAACTTTTCGAAACAACAAGCACGCAATGTGCATAGGCGTCAGACCCTATTTCAAAATACCAGAGTGGCTGTTGTTCTGTTTCTTCTTTAGACTCAAAGTCAAGAACCACCAGCCCTATAACATCTCCTGCCATTTCCACTGGCCTGAACCAAGCCTTCATTAGCTTAGAGTATTGCGATAATATTGTTGTAATGCTCTTATTCATCTGCGTTGGATCGGATAACGCTTTAGAGCGCTTACCCAGTCGACGTAGCTTTCGTGGAAGACCCACGAAGCGTAAAGAGCAAGGCGTATCTATCCAGATAGGGGGACTATGGATCTTCTGATCCGAAACACGACAGAGTTGTCCTCTATCTGGATGTCTGATAAACAGCTTTGACGTGTCTAGAAAATCCCGCGCTGCGTTTTCAATGTATTTCTCGTCTCAGTCTTTAGACCTGTGGGAGAGATAGGTAACTGGCCCATCCAACGAAGCCCATGACCAACTGGGAGCGCGAGGCGACATAGGTCTTCTGGATCGAAAGCCGTCAGCTACCACCCAAAGCAGGTCTTCGTAGAATGTGTGACCCCATAGGCCAGCAAAATAGTCATCATGTGACTGCCGTTGTATCATTGTTGCAATGCCTGCCAGAGCAGGGAGCTTATCCTTCTCCAGGGTCAAGGAGCAGTAAGAATACCACTCAACAATTCGATGCCATTGCTGCACTTGCTTATTGAACAAACCGGACCAGGCTATGTCGCTGAGTAGATGGGGAGAAAGTATTCCTGGTGTGGTATCAAGGTAGTTGGACTTCATAGTGTCCAGTGCAATGACGTTATCGCCCTGTGACTCGAAATACATCTGCGATTTCATAAAATGGATTATTCGGGTAGACAATAAACGTTCCTGCAAAACCCAGCCGCGCCAATTGAGAACACTGTCATAAACCACTGCTCTTGAGAATTCGCTTGGCAATGACACCCCGAAAGCTGTTTCGTGTTTGCCTTGCACAATCACAGAACCTTTGTCGAAAGTACGGTCCAAGAATCCTTTATCGTTCTTCTCCGCCGCGTGGCATGCGATAGTGCATATGGATTTATGGTAGATATCGCCCATAAGCTTAGACTGACGTGCCCAATCGACCTCATCATCCTGGACAATACACAGCGAGTCGATCCACAGATATCGGACACCAATATCCCGGCAGACTATAATGGCCTCCTTGAAAGTGGGAGATAGATCCTTCCATTGGATTGCCTGTCGGTGCCTTTCAATGTTGCTCCTTGTCGTGGTTATGGGATCAACCGAACTCCACCGATGGCTCAGGGTCATATAGGCCCCACGGGACTCTTTCTTCGATTCCACGAGTCGAACTTGTTGTGAACCTCGCGATGGAGAGACGTCATATGATACCTCTTCTCCCACGTCCAATATTCGAGCCGGTAGCTTGCTTTCCATCTTGCCGCTTCGGTGCACGTCTTCCCAAAGTAAAGCCTTGGCATAGAAAAGCTCCGGACTTCCCCATCTGTACCTGAAGTTTTCGAATGTAAGTCGATGGGTCACCCCAGTGTGTGGAATCATGCACGAATCATTGGGGCGCAATGAATATACTTCTACGCTTCCTACGCTTTTGTCAGTTCTAGGTAAACGGAAGACAAGACATGGCTGTACCAAGTTCGTTTATACTAAAAGATTTAGAGACTTACCAAGTACAGTAGACAGCAACAGCACACAATGAGCCCGCGGTGAGACAAAGACATCAATAACGCTCTCAGGCTCTTCCCGGCCTCGAACAGCCACCCATCCAGGTATTGCTGGGACAAAACGATTGTTGTAAATGACGCTGTCGGAAATCTCTTTGTCAATCCAGCCCATATCGCAATTATCCAGCTGCGCTGTAGAGGTAGCCATGAATTCTCGGCGGAGCCCTTGACGCACGAGATGACACAACGCACAGTGATCTGCCCGTGATGTGAGCTTTTCATATCCGTGGATGTGTTTTTCAAAATTCGGCCCTAGAGGAAGTCGAATTCTTTGGCAGCTGTCGCACAGGGATTGCCCGAAAATGTCCACGGAGACGCTCGGCTTTCAAATGTTAAAAAATATACCCCTAACAAAACCAAATCTGACAAATACCTCGCTCATTTTTGCAATGTTACACAGTATTAGGGATAAGTCAAAGGGGAACAAACACAGCCAGCAGTGAAATGGTGTCAAATGATGGCTTGGAAAAATATAGAAAAGGGGAGACCATGAAATTATCTGCTTTCTTATAAGAATCTAGGAATTATAGGCATATTGTGCATTAGGCTTGAAATTACAATATTGCAGCAAGGCACCGACAAGGCTGCAAATCACATAACAGTATGTGCCTACTGTACTTCTACCTGCAACATCGCCTCCTGTAATTGTTGCTTCGCCCCACAAGGCTAACTTCTTCTACTGACACCGCTTTTACACTATGCTTCTTTTTCAGCCTTTGCTGCTTCTTCCAAGGCTCATTACTAAGAAAAGATTTTAAAGTGCGGTTAGAATGTAATAGACTCTAGCATTTACCAGCCGCCTAGAATATCATTCGACAAAATGTAAAGAGGGGAATGGGAGCCGTAGGATAATAAAACATTAACAATCTCGAATGTTTCTGTGGGATATACCGCTTGCCAGGCTTTGAGGTCGGAAGTTCCCTGGCTGGCCGTTTTCTACGTTATATAGATGGGCTTATTTTCAGTAGCAGTTGTACACCAGAATTGCCAATATTGGTGTATTTGGGATTGTGGATGAGCTAGTTAACATTTGAAGACCTGTCTTGCAAATCGGGATTCGAATCATACTTCATATTAGATGCAATGAGTAGCGTTAGATTGATATGGTAAAGCCCGACAATTTTCAGTGATGAATGGGTGGGCATTTGCACGTTTGTGGGTTCAGACTCAGAGTGAAGGCCAGGTCGGGGTTTAGGCTTTACTGTTATTTCGTCTTAGCCGTCAGTAGAATCATGGATGATAGAGGACAGTCGAAGTATTTCACTTGCTGCGAGCAGCAGTATATAAACAGTCGAGCCTGGTGTCTCGGCCCCTGCTCCTATTACCATTCGGAGTCCACTTCATATCCAAGCTGAGATCAGTCATCGTCTGGACGGGTTTGTTAGCTACACTAATGTGTAAAATAATATCTTGTAGAATCAAGCTTGCGTGGGTAAATCATAGAGTCACTGGAACTGGAAACTGAAGTTGTACTCGGCTTTATGCCAGTCTCAATATATTAATCTAAGGGAATTATCTATGTATAGAAGGTAAATGGATAGGTGCAGGTAATAGGTGCATGTACATATGCAGCGTATGTGTATATCTCCAAACCGTCATGTACTCGTTGCTCCTCTGAGCAGTCAAATTATTTACAGGAAGAAAGCGACAATACCAGCGGCAACGAGAGCGGCCTGGATGCTACCACCGACACGTCCGGCAGCGTTAACAACCTGGGCGGGCTCGGTAGGAGTCTCAGCAGGAGGAGCAGGGTAGGCAGGCTTGCTGGGAGCAGGGACAACAGGAGCAGTCTCTACGGGCTTGGTCTCGGTAGGAGGCTGAGCAACGGGCTTGGTCTCAGCGGGAGGAGCAGGGTAAGCAGGCTTGCTGGGAGCAGGGACAACGGGAGCAGTCTCTACGGGCTTGCTGGGAGTAGGAGGCTGAGCAACGGGCTTGGTCTCCTTAGGAGGCTGGGGCTGCTCAGGCTTCTCAGGCTGCTCGGGCTTCTCAGGCTGCTGAGGCTTCTCGGGCTGTCCGGGAACGGGGTAGGTAGGGTGAGTCTCCTTAGGGGGTTGAGCAACGGGCTTGGTCTCCTTAGGAGGCTGGGGCTGCTCGGGGTGCTCAGGCTGCTCAGGCTTGGAAGGATGTCCAGGAACGGGGACGGGGTAGGTCTCCTTAGGAGGCTGAGGCTTAGGAGGAGTCCAGGTGCCGTTGCCAGGGTTGTGAGGAGGAGGGACAACCACGGGGTGAGTCTCCTGGGGAGGAGGAGCAACAGGCTTGGTGTCCTTGGGGGGAGTAGGAACCACGTAGGTCTCGGTGACAGGGCACAGAGTGGTAGAGACAGCGATGGTCTCAGTGGTGACATGAGGCTTCTCAGGGCAGTCGGTAACCTCAGGAGGACACTTGGTGACAGTGTGAACCTTGGTGGTGTAGACAGTTGAGGTGCTCAAGTGAGTGGTGGTGTGGTGCACAGGAGGAGGGTACTCGCCGCCATGTCCGGGCTTGGTCTCGGAAGGAGGAGGGTACTCGCCGCCGTGTCCAGGCTTGGTGGGCTTGGGGGTATCGGTGTAGACGGGAATGGTCTCAAGGTCGGTGGGGTGAGTCTCAGTCACGGGGCAGACTGTGGTGGAGATAGCAATGGTCTCGGTGGTGACATGGGGCTTCTCGGGGCAGTCAGTGACCTCAGGAGGGCACTTGGTGACAGTGTGGACCTTGGTGGTGTAGATGGTTGAGGTGGTGAAGTCGGTGGTCTCAGGGTAGCCGGGCTTGGTGTACGAAGGCTTGGTGTAGATGGGCTTCGTGTAAGAGGGCTTGGTGTGAGACGAAGGAGGAGGGTAGGCACCTCCAGTAGACTTGGTGTGCTCGACAGGCTTGGTCTCGGAAGGAGGAGGGTAAGCACCTCCGGTGGACTTGGTGTGCTCGACGGGCTTGGTCTCGGAAGGAGGAGGGTAGTGAGCAGTCTTGGTGGAGATCACCTCAGTAGAGACATCCTCGGTAGGCTTGGTGTGCTCAGGAGGAGGGTACTCGCCAGTGGGCTGAGTCTCATGAGGAGGAAGCTCACCAGTAGGCTTGGTCTCCTGGGGAGGAGGAAGCTCACCAGTAGGCTTAGTGTGCTCAGGAGGAGGATACTCGCCAGTGGGCTGAGTCTCATGAGGAGGAAGCTCACCAGTAGGCTTGGTCTCCTGAGGAGGAGGAGCCTCGCCAGTGGGCTTGGTGTGCTCGGGAGGAGGGTACTCGCCGGTAGGCTGGGTCTCCTGGGGAGGAACCTCAACAGTAGGCTTGGTCTCCTGGGGAGGAACCTCAACAGTAGGCTTGGTCTCCTGAGGAGGAGCCTCGCCAGTGGGCTTGGTGTGCTCGGGAGGAGGGTACTCGCCGGTAGGCTGGGTCTCCTGGGGAGGAACCTCAACAGTAGGCTTGGTCTCCTGGGGAGGAACCTCAACAGTAGGCTTGGTCTCCTGAGGAGGAACCTCAACAGTAGGCTTGGTGTGCTCGGGAGGAGGGTACTCGCCGGTAGGCTGGGTCTCCTGGGGAGGAACCTCAACAGTAGGCTTGGTCTCCTGGGGGGGGACCTCTACAGTAGGCTTGGTGTGCTCAGGAGGAGGGTAGGCACCTCCGTTTCCGGGCTGAGTGGGCTTCTCGGATCCGGGAGGAGGGTAGGCACCGCCGTGTCCGGGCTCGGTAGGCTTGGAGGCCGAAGGAGCGGCAGGAGGAGGGTAGGCACCTCCGTTTCCGGGCTGGGTAGGTTGCTCAGGGACCGGGTAGGCGTTTCCAGGGACGGAGGGGACGGGCTCCTCTTGTCCGGGGACGGGGTAGTGCTTCTTTTCGATGGCGGCAGCATTGGCCAGGCCGACGGCCGCGCTGAGGATGACAAGACCACGCATGTTGGATATGTTTAACGAATGCTGTAAACGAGTGATGATTTGTTAAACGAAAGGTGGGTGAGGAAATCAAAAAAAGAGTCTTTCTTGGGGGAAAGGATGCAGGACTTCTTATACTCGATTGCATGTTTTTGTTTTCCCCCTTCACCCCAGATCTTCCCTGCCTTGACATGTCCTATCAGCTCGTTGTGTCGGCCTTACTCGCTCTGTTCCGAGCATGAATACGGGCGTCTCCATAGTCATCCCCTGGTAAAGGTCGATGTCATGCTGGGGACAGCTTGCAGCTGGTGGTGGATCGGCCCCTGGCCTAAAGGTTGGCAGGCCGGGCTCACCTTACGAAAGGGACAGGCAGGATCCATAAAAAGAAAAGTGGTGATCACGATGTTGCAACAGTCCCGGAAGTGACGGAATTTTGGACACCTGGTTGGTGCTATACGGCGGTGCATGGCATGGCATGGCATGGCATCCAAGCATCGTGTTCGTCTGGTGTGCTCCAGTTGATTAGATTAGCTCTAGGCTCTAGCTCAGGGCACGGTTGAACCGTTTAGCTGGTGGTTTGAGCCTCACTCCTCACTCCGATAGGCTGGCCGGGCATTCCGCCGATGTCTCTTTTTAGATAGAGTTAATTAAAACAACGCCTCCCCCGTTGTAACCTTTCAGGCACAGGCACAGGTACAGGTTGCACACAACCGTATACCCGTGATATTCCACTGCTAATGCCAACGCCCAACTACCTAAACGGTACACATCTAGACATGTACACATGTCACAGCATGCACCTGCGGGGTAAGCAACAGTTGAGCTACCCCTGCCTTAGCCCAGCGACTTATGATCTGATACGGCCTGGGTAAAGGTAAAAAGTAACAGAGGGGGGCAAGGACTTTTGGGTGATCTGCGGGCGCCTGAAGCCCCCTATTTGCTGTCATCAGTTTATCCCCATCAATTGTTAATGTTGCCCGGCCAAGTGGTCCTGCAACTGCTTTGCCTCTGTGCTGGTGATTCGTGGGGCCTTCTGTGGGCCAGGCAGGGCAGGATAATGCTAGCATTGGCATTGGGTCTTCGTATAAAATCATGGCCCGTGGTTTCTCCTTGGCGCGCTTTTTTCACCTACATACACGAGAAAAAAGTTCCCTGTTGGCTGTAAGATCGCCGCTCGCCTCTCCACTCTCCACTCCTCTTGCACCCAACTCTGAGGTTGGCCAGCAAGTTTCTTGCCTTGGTTATGCTTGGCTGCTTAGGTAGTAAGAGGATTCATCATGCACAAGTGCACTTTATTATGCATAAGCTTATGGAGGAGTAAACAACCTGAGTCAAGGCAAATGTGGCGGTCGGAAGCAAAAGAAAAAACCGTTGGTGATGGGTTTTTGCAATCCCAGCCTCGAATCAACCCACTCTTGCTGATCAAGGTCGCATTCGTAGGTGACTCCCGTAATTATCCTTGTCTGGGCACCTCAATCCCCTTGTTCGGTTGGCAAGACAAGCGATGCTGACTCAACTGCTGGAAGATTAATTACCATGTCATCCTTGGTATCCATAGATTGGAACTTTCTTTTTGTTATGATACGGCAAAAATAGCCATGTCCATGTATGAGTTTGTTCGGGCCTCGCCGTGAATTGCTGAATAATGCTGTGAGTACCGAGTAATGGTGATTGGTTCATTAATTCAAAGTTTATGATGTGTTAAACTCAGTCTCATATCATTGATAATCGTCAAGACGGGCTGTTTGAGGGAGTTAGAGCGATGATGACATGACAGTTTTACAAAGACTTAGTTGATTATTGTTGCGTAAAATCTTGATTAAAACAACCATTCAAGTGATCCAATTAACTGTAGTCAATCTATGAATCAAGCATATCATACGTATTGTAAAGTCATTATAAGCGTACCATGCAATGAACACTCTTTAATTCAAAATTCAACTCTAGGGTAAGCATGTAATCATCGTATCACGCATGACTCTGTCGTGATCCGGAGTTTGTTGCCGAAGCCCAACTGGGCATCTTGGCTCCACGCGACAAGCGGAGTCTCTCCGCCAAAGGAGGAGGGAAATCGATCGGATATGTCCTCAGTTAACCAGAACCTACCAAGGATAAAATATGGACCATTTAGCGGCTCAACGAACACGAGCAAAAGATATTCATCGCTATTAGTAAACACCAAGAGACTTGCACCTTGGTAGATCGTCATTATTGTGCCGTTCGAGCTGGAGATGAGGCTTTTTCCGCGGGTACCTAATCGTTGACGTCAATTTCGCTTGGTTCTACGCAGCCTACGGAGTACTCACCAATACGAGTCCTACATCCAAACCTAAACTACAGGCTAATGGTGTTGATCTCTTGTTGAGTTTTCCACGGCAGGGTAAGTCCCTGTGAGTTCTGAGTTTAGGTGGTCTTGCGCTGAAGATAGGGCTGTTGAGTGCTGAGCCCAAGCTTCCACGCCAGGCTCGTAAACTCCCTTTTTAGCCCCTGCTATTAATAAATACATTGACGAAATTGCATCAAAGGCATCAGAGTGATCAGATAAACGCAATTGACCAACCGCTCTTTACGGTCCGTATAACAAATTAAATTGATGGCAAGAGCATGCCCAGTCTTGAGATTAATGCGAATGTGACATTCCCAATTGAGCTGCAACCAACTCCCCACCCCTTTTTTCTTGTCAGCACCACCACCACCACCAACAAAAGTGTATCGCAGAAGTTCCTGCATTTGTGCAGCCACAGGTTTCACTAATTGCTACGGAGAAACAAAAGACGTTCGCTCATCCTCTTTCTCGCCCGCCCAGAAGCAGCGAGAAGAACTAAGATCGACAGGGGCTGGTTTCATGTGTTGCAGGCCCACGCTCTAGTCTCGGAGAATGACGAAGGTGTCCATGACCTGAACGGGTTTAGCGCTCGTATTCTTCGTCTCGACTTCAAAAGAGGCTAGTCGGAACAGCATAAGCCGAGGCTCAAATCGTTCAACTCGGCCGAGCTTTTTATTCCAGATGGATTTTGCATTGATCTTGGCATTAAACAAACTTGGTATATCTCAACTGTGATTGTCTATGACGTGACTTCCATGGGCAATGTGGGCAAAGTCCATTATTTTCTTATGGCATTTCCAGAATCTTCTTGTTTTTATGGGCCTGATATCGAGATAAGGTCTTGGGAATCTGCACATCAGTCATACTGCTGGATCCTAATCACAGAAAGAAATTATAAGCCATGGACAGCGCATTGGCAGAATAATCACTGATGTTGGCATGGCATAGGGTAGGTCAATACTAAGCTAACCGCTACGAACACTACTAGCCTCGAGACCATGACGGTCAAGCCATACAAGAAAGACTGGAGCATTTTTTTTAGAGTAGTTTCTATCAGAATGATTTTGTAAAGCTCAGGCTTGTCGTGAATATGAGCAAGTGTATTTTGTGCAGCTGCATCGGAGACAGCGGTCGATTGTGGCGGTTGCTATGGCTCTATAACCAAAAGACGTAGGAGAGTTGTCCACATGCAAATCAAGTGATAGACTGGAGGTGAATGGCTAAATTGCCGATGTGGCCCAGATAATAGGTAGTTACATCTCATGTCTATACATTCTATAGTAGTGATACAATTAAGAAGTTATTCCCCTGTTTTATATCTGAATATTTGCGTATCTAGAACTCAAACGTCGCTCATCCACTGTGAGTTTTGGTTTGGTGGCTCGCAATATTAATATCGCATACCACTCGTATGTATGTTCGTCGGTAAGAGTCTCTTTGCACCCGTACAAGGAAAATGACGCTTCATAGACCTCTTAACCCCTAACAGCCTGTTGCAATACCTCGGCGACATCGATCAAGGCTATATGTTACAAATCTTTCACAGGTTGAGGGTATCACCACTTTAGCGAGGAAAATTGAATGAAAAGGGCTTTGCCATATTCGATAGCTACCTAATTTGGGCGAAGATTCACTGAATTCTCTTTGAATAGGAAGAAAGAACATAGTTTTCTTCTATAGATCAGAGCATCACCTGGGAAAACAACTGACTAGATTTACAGTATCCGACACTAAAAAACGTCCTCGTCATTTAGAAACCGTGGTGTGACATACGGTATAGGGTCCACGTGGTGTCCCATTTGAGGTACTGAATACTAGCGGGATATGAATATCCATGCCTCTAGGGCGTTGTCTCTTCATTCCAGTGCCCAACAGTCGAAACCAAGTAGCCACAATGCTGGGGTCGCCACAGTTGGATCATCCTAGAGTAGCCCATCACAAACAGGGTCTTCGTCGTTTCTCGACCGTTGAGCTTTACACAACATCATGCTCTTTGCACGCTGACTGAGAGGTGGGGAAGGCATCGTGGTGGAGGTCCAAAGTTCAACTTGCCGCCTGATCACGAGCATGTTTGAAGATATATACGTGAGAAATGACATGTCGACGGTCTTGGATCTGGTGGCGTACAGTCTACAGTATGCAGCCTGTCACACCCGTTTCCAGGGACGAGGCCCTTTTTCCGTATGGCTTACCTGCTTGGGCCTAGATATTTTACGTTCCTGTCAAGGGAAAGTGGCGTTTTAATGGTATGGTATGAGCCCTGAATTGCGCAACGGTAACGTATCGGTAATCATGGCGTCAACGATGTACGCCAAAAGTCGAAAACACCGTCTCGGAAACCAGCTGAGACCCGCCTTGGAGTCTAGATTCTATCCAATTTGGGCCGGGGAGTCTCAATCCCGATTTCAGCCACTTATTCCCAAGTCCGTGGGTTTCTGCTCCTGGGTTAAGTACCCCGGGCTGGAAGGCCCTATTGGCCTGACGTTCAGGGTATTAACGTACCCGTTCATAAGGCTGTGGGAGCCAATCGTATCTTCACGCTGCTTCCTGGATGAGCCTGGATCTGCTTTGTCCAATTCTATGGCACTGGTTCTGTACTAGTTCTCGATAAGCCTTGTGTTTAAGCCTTTTTCTGTAGATTTGTCAATTGTGAGATCGTGTTGGCGTGCGTGGTTTGTCAACAGACGTTCCCGATAATTTCTGACATAATTTCTTGTACAGGAGCTACTTCACCCGTCGAAAGACAACGTTGCACATAGACTGAGATGTCCGTTCTGTTAGTATCACAGGAAATTTGTGACAACACCTGGCTGTGTTGAGTCCATAAGCGACTTGTGGCGTTCAGGAACTCATTGCATTCCAATCACACTCAGCTCACATCAGCTTCGAGGTGACGACTAACTTGTTTAGTATCAACAATAAACTCTAAAGGCCAACGACTGATCGTCCGCCTTGGGGATCTCGGATACAAGACCCCGGACGTCCTCTTTTTGCTTTTGAACAAATGGCCCGGGAATACGCACCCTGGTCCGTCACTTCTCATTGGGCTATCGCCGTGCCTGAAAAGATAGCTTCCAAGCCACTGCCGAGGTGGCACATTCTGTCTCACTTTTTGCTGACGATTTAATAAAAAGGACTGCACAGACCTGTTTTTCTTGATTTCGTCCTTTCGCCTCTTTTCGACGGTTGGACGTCTTTAGCAGTAATGGTGCGCGTTGGGCTTCTTTTCATACTAGCAGCGCTATGTCTGCTATACGACACAGCAGCGGCCCAGTCTCTGGGTTCAGTTTTGACGGATGCGCCCAAGTGTGCAGTAAGTAGGAGTATTTTCTTGTCAGATGGCGAAATGGCTGACGATCTCCTAGACGGACTGCTTATTCAATGTTCTTGCCAGGAAAGAGTTCGTGGGGAAGAATCAGACAGTGATTTGCACCGACAAACAGTTCGCCAACGCGATAGGCGATTGTCTAACGGCAAAGTGCACCATGAGACAGACGATGGGTGAGTAGTCGCGTCGCGTCGACTTGTGTACTGGAATGGCTGACGTGTATTGCAGATTTTATCAAAATGTCAGCTGCAGTGTGCGGAATACGCCCGACCAATGACCAAACGAAATATCGAGTAGTGACAATCATTATGGCTGCGTTGGCTATTGTGTTTTTTACTCTAAGAATAACAGCTAAAGTTGTGCTATCACTCCCATGGGGACTAGACGATACACTGACAGTTCTATCAGTCGTGGGTTTACTAACTGATTACAATTTAGTGACATATGCTGATACGAGATAGGTCTTTATGATTCCGTTCCTCGTATTATTGCAAATATGTATGTCCCTCCAATTGCTTAGATGCTTCCAGATCTTGCACTGACTTGATGTGGTGGTTAGCGATCACACTAGGCCTCGGCCTTGACATGTGGTATCTATCAGATTACCAGATCACGGCAGCTTTCCAGGCAAGCAAACACCCATATACCACAATCCTTGCAGGAACTCTCTCTGACATCTTTATAGTATTTTATTTTTGTCGAAGTCTTTTACGTCATCGGGCTAGTACTTGTCAAAGCAGCTGTGCTGTGCTTCTTTCTCCGTATATTCCCCGACAACAAGTTCAGAGTAGTCGTCAAATGCACACTTGCCTTCAACTTCTTGATGGGCATCACCTTCTTCGTTATGGTCTTCTTCCAGACACGACCTCTTTCCCTTTTCTGGGAAGGCTGGCAAAAGAAGCAAGCACACCTTGTCATGTCGGGCATCACCAAATTGACGCTGCCGCACGCGGGCTTGAGTCTCTTGGTTGATGTCTGGATGCTTATTCTGCCGCTTACGCAGCTGTGGGGGCTAGGATTGAAGCTGAAAAAGAAGCTGGGCGTTATTGCCATGTTTAGTGTTGGTATCTTGTAAGTCCTGCAAGGTGGTGTGTTTTTGGGTTATAGCTGATACTAACAATGGCCTTCCAGTCTTACGGTCGTTGCTGCGATTCGCATTAGTGAATTGGTATTGTTTGCAAGCTCAGCAGATCTGACAGGTATGGCTTATTAACTCTGGATAAACACGAATGCTTGATTTAACAATGAATAGTTCTCAACGCACAAAAAGCTATCATCTGGTCGAGCATCGAGATATGTGTGGGTATTATGGTCGCCTGCATGCCTCACATCCACCATCTCGTCCGGCACATCATGTCACGAATCAGAAAAACCAACGGAGAGATGGAAGATAGCAACCGAGGAGTGTTTGTTGATCGATCTCTTGCAAGAATTACGATGGACAATGCGACAGGTACAACGGGCCCGCAGCTGCACGATGAGGGAGGACTTCTTGAGAAGAACATCGCGGCGTCAGCTACGACAGAGAGTAGAAATACTGGGTCACTGGGTTATTCAAGTGATGCAGAAACCCAAGTATAGGATTCTAAGTATTGAATTATTTGCATATAGAACACATACAGCGTTGGTGTTTTGACATTGATTTCAGCCGTCGGGATGGGCGGATAAGATCGACCACACTAGCAGGCATCGTGAAAGTGTCAAGTGGGCTTTGCTTTATCTCGTTGAACTACCGCACTCTAGCTCCATCTGATAAGACTATGTACGGTTACGGTATTTATTTATTGACTGACTACTCCGTAGACTACTGCACGCACATGCACATCCACCAGGAACAGGTCCACAGTGGAGAAGAAACAAGAGAGAGAACGTGATGGATCATCATGTAGTTTGTCATTACTATACTATATTTATATTTATATAATTTTGTTTGGTATCATCAAGGTCATTAAAGACGAGACATTTATCGGCAGGTGTAACCGCCGTCAATGACCAAGTCGCTGCCAGTGGTGTATGTGCTGGCGTCGGAGAGGAAGTAGACGTAGGCAGCCTTGAGCTCCTTGGCGTCACCGTTGCGGCCCATGGGGATCATGCTCCTCCAGAGCTCCTGGGTCTCGGTGTCGATGAAGTCGGAGAGGCCAGTGTCGATGTAGCCGGGGGAGATGCTGTTGACACGGGCAAAGTCGCGCCACTCGTTGGCGAGGGACTTGGCCATGTGGATGCAGCCGGCCTTGGCCACGTTGTAAGAGGTCTGTTCCTGAGGGAAGTTGGCGATGTGGCCAGACATGGAGGCTGTGATGACGAAAGAGCCGTGGCCCTGCTTCTTGAAGAGAGCGCCGACGGCCTTGGCGCAGTAGGCGGTGCCGTTGAGGTCGATCTGGATAACGTGGTCCCAGTCGGCGGAGGAGCCGTCGACGACACCAGCGTTGGCGGTAGCACCAGCGCTGTGAGGGATGTTAGCAATTGAAGGTATACTCTGTGCAAAGACAGAGACAAAGGCAGTGGGGGCATCTTACTTGGCAACAAAGCCGTCAATCTTGCCAAAGTCCTTGACAACCTCACCGACGAAGCGCTCAACGTCGTTGTAGTCGGCAGCGTTCAGCTTGTAGGCCTTGGCCTTGACGCCGTACTCCTTGATGAGCTCCTCGACGTTCTTGTCGGCGCCCTCCTTGCGGGAAGCGTAGGTGATGGCGACGTCGGCGCCCATCTCGGCAGCGCCGCGGGCAGCCTCGATACCCATGCCGCGGGGTCCGGAAGCGCCGGTGACGACGACGACCTTGCCCTTGAGGCTAAGGAGGTCGAGGATGTGGTTGGCCTTGGGGATTTGCTGAACCATTGTGAAGGATTTGTGGTGGTATTTGTTATTTGGAGGGGTAGTAAGAAGTGGTTTGTGATAATGAAGGAGGGGAAGAAGGGAGGGAAAGGCTGGTGGCTAGAAGGATGGTCTAGACTATTTGTACGAATTGAGTTTCTCAGATCATGGCATGGCATGGCATGGCACGGCCGAGCATAAAGCAGCAAGCCATCAAACAGCAGAGGCTGCACAGCTGGTAAGTGGGTGGTGGGATAGATGGGTCTAGTGATGTCATGGAAGCCATGGGGCATGCAATTAGACTGCAACAAGAGACGCGAGAGACGTGCAAAAAAACGAGGGGCATCGCCGATTACAGAGGGAAAAGGGCCCACTAGTCAAGATGCAGAATGCAGAATGAGTTTTAGAATGGGTTTGATGGAGTGGTCGGCAAGGATTGGAAGCTGCAAAAACCCCTCCATAATTATCATGACAGGACAAGACGCGTTGAGGGGCAGTCCGAGCAGTCCATTGTTGGGTGAGTAGACTTGGTAGAGAGTTGCTAGCAGATTCGGTGGGACATGGTGATACAGTTGCACCACATGGGACGCATAAATCAACGCTTTTCTTGCTGCTTGTGAGCCAATTGAGCTTGGTTCCTAATAGACTTTTCGATTACAACGTGTACATACATACATACAGGCGGGGGAGACATGAACATCAAGGTCAACATGGGGGTGATGGTTCGGCCAACAGGCCATCTCTACCAATCTGCCCAGGTACTGTACTGCATTGCTACGGCAGTCACAGCTGCAGTCAATTGATACAGAGATTGTTTCCCCTGATGGGACATTTCATCATTGATCCATAAATCGCATCTGTGATCTTGATCATGCCAAATACCACCGAGAACAGAGCCCCGCGGTGGGTAACGCGAGCGTCATTCTCCCGTCCCAAGCTCTCCCTCTGAAGCCTCTTCCTTGGCTAGAGCATCGCAGAACCCCGCAGAACGGCCGGGCTTCACCGCTCCCTGTAGGGTTTAGCTCGGGTTAGAGGCAGCGGGAAAAGCACCCGGTGCGTTCCAGCTAACCCAAGACAAAGACGCGTCTACGTGTTTGTGTGTGTTTTGGTTGTTTAAAGGCGCATCAGACGATAAGTGCCGTCCTCATCCCGGCCCGACAGTTGCTACGGTGCCTGAGAGCTACCCTAGATAGGATGGGAGTGACGTGTTGGATGTTGCCAATGCTTACCGAAAGCTTTGTATTGTTTGGTAACTAGACATTAATACTGAGTAATGCTTATCGTTCAATTGTTAATCTTAAACTTATCTCTTTCTTGCAGCTACACATGTTCATGTAATGATTTATCACACGCACAAAGATGGCCCATGCATGACCAACAAGGTACAAGTTGTCTGCAAGATGAGGGGTCATCAGCCACTTTCTGGGAACATTATTCACATGTCGCATCAATTGAAGAGGCACAGCACGGTAGTTCGTAGTAAAAATGTCTCATTAGGGAGTCTTGATGCGCATAGGTACAGAGTACTACATACAGCGCAACACCTTGCATTGCGCCTGATCCGAGCAGACCGAATCACCCGCCGCTTTAAATAAGGTAGCGGAAATCCCGCTTCATCCTCAAAGCCTCGTCCGGGTTGTCCATGACCTCGGCCGCTGCAGTGTGCGCAGCCACATCCTGGCGCGTCTCCCACGCATCCGCCTCGCCCGATTCCAGCTTCTTGTTGAGGTCGATCAGCACCATGCGGAAGATATAACACCCAGCCACCGTCACGCCGAACATGGACAGCACAATTCCGTAGCTCTTGCGGTATCCGTTGTCCTTGAGGTTCCACACGTAGGAGCCTGCGACGTTGCCCAGCTGGCTGAAGGCGTTGATCATGGCGATGGCTACGGCGCGCTTGGCCGGTGGGCGAGGGAACGATGAGCTGATCCATGAGTAGAAGACGATGAAGCCCGCGTACGACGACGCTTGAAGGAAGAGCGCTAGGTATCGCGCTGCGACAGCCTCGGTGGCCATGCTGATGATGAAGCCGACTGTTCCAACGCCAATTGGTCCGACAATGTGCCAGAACTATTTATCGTTAGTTTCAATTGCGCCAGCGACGTTAATTATTGTACTGACCTTTTCTTGAGTCCTGTCCGAGTGCCAAGCGTTGATGACTGAGACGATACAAGAGAAGACCCACGGGGGAGCGCTCATGAGAAGAGTAGGCACGTAGCCGAAGCCAAGAGTCTGGGTCAAACTGGGCTGTTCAATTGTTAGTTTGATGCACTTTGCAATGGCGACTAATTGGAGACTTACGAAGAAAGCGTTGAACGAAAGGCCAACGACGTAGGCAGTAAAGGTGAGCATCATGATGTAGATCTTGACGTCCTTGACCGCGAGCTTGAGACCGTAAAAGACGCCCTCCTCTGCAGAATCCTCATCTGCCTCTCCGACATCCTCGATCATGCGCAGCTGCGCAACCTGTCGCTCCTCCTCGGTGAAGCCCCGCGAGTTGTGAGGCAGGTCGGGGAGGATGAAGGCGGCCGAGATGGCAATTCCCATGGTGATGGCGCCCTCGATCCAGAACAGCCATCGCCAGGCCGCGTGCCCGAGAACACCCTGCATGTTGGACAGCACGCCCGCGCCGACAAGCGCGGAGAAGGCGTTGGAGATGAGGTTGCCGCAGAACAGAATGGCGTTTCGCTTGGTCAACTCCCGGCGCGTGTACCACTTTGACAGAATGAGGAGCGCACCGGGCAGGAAAGCAGCCTCGATGAAGCCCAGGAAGAATCGGATGCAGACCATGCCGGCAAAGTTGTGCACGCTGCCGGACAGCGTCGAGATGAGGCCCCAGAGGAGCATGGCGGCCGAGATGTACAGCGAGGGCCGCTGGATGCGGTTGATCAACATGTTGGAGGGCACCTGCATGAGGATGTAGCCGACGTAGAGGATGCTCAGGCAGGTGGCGTACTGGTTGTAGCTGAGATTGAGGTCCTCCTGGAGGCCTTTGAGGCGGGCGGCGGCCATGTTGTTGCGGTCGAGGTAGTTCATGATGTAGATGAGCACGAAGAGGGCGCACCGCGTGTCGAGCTTGCGCTTCATGCTCTTCTCGACGGCCTGGCGGTGCTGCGAGTCCATGGCTTGGGCGGCTGCTACTCGCGACTCGGGGTGCGAGTCGACGCTCATCTTGGCCGAGGCGACATGGTCGTCTGGCTTGACGCCTTGATCAGACATGGTGTTTTGTCTGGTTCACGATGGTGGAATCCTTTCTATCGTGCTGAACAAGACAACTCCTTCAATGCGCAAGACCAGTCTTACACAATGATCATCAACTGAGGGGATAAACACTCAGATACACACACTTTTAGCCGGGCATTCTCGATCCTTTATTAATGGATTGGGATCGCCTGTTTAGCAAGAATTACCGGTTCGGCTCACTGTAGCCCTGTTACATCATCGAGCAGCCCCCTTCACCGTTGTGTGTGGGAGCGGTAACGCGGAGAAAAAAACAGAGTAACCTTAGGGAGAGAAAAAAACATGGGGAAAAAGAACGAGACTTGACCCGATTCGGTGACTATCATGGGTTTTCCCCAGAGAGCGAGAGGCTGACTGTCACCCTCGCTTGAATTAATAGAACCCGAGGAACTGCAAATTTGAAGTGTCACACTTCCGAGCGCTGGGGCCAATGGCTTTTTAGTGGTGTCTTCTGTGGAGGTGTTGGGTGGTAGATCTTGTCCATTTTGAGTGGGGGACGAGAGTGAAGAGAATTATCTTGAGACTGGGGGACGATGGAGAGAGCCTTGGAGATGCAGTAGGAGGCCGGATTGATATATACATTCACGGAGTAAATAAGTTATATGCACCTCACTGCATACTATATCTCGATACACAGCCAACGTCCACGTCCAACGCTTCATCCTTTTCCATCCTCCGCACCAATCTCCAAAGAAAAGCTGCAACGTTGGAGAGAATGCGGAGACTCCGCAAAGTGAGGGGAAACCACCGGAACCGTGCCCAGCCAACCCCGGTAATAATAATAAAAGGCCCGAATACTCTCCCTTTGCTGCACGGAGTTACTGCTCTTGGACCCAGAATCCACTGACTCGATACCAAACTCTCAGGCAGCAGAGTTTCTCCTCTGCCCGTGGGGAAAAAGAGCACGAGACGTGGGGGGGATTGGTTTTGATGGGTTGGGGAAAAGGTTGGGGTTTGGGTTTAAACATTTTCCCTGGAGATTAAAGGGGAACAGGGGGGGAGTTGAGAGTCGGGAATTGTCGGTAGGGTGACTGTGAACCCTATTACGTATAAGCATGAATCGCAATTCTAGGTTTATGGTTATACCCGGTACTGGGCTGGGATGTTGTTGCTGTGGTTAATTGGGAATGCTTGATGGTTCTAAACGGTCTGTTATGCTGTTGGACAGGCCAGTGCTGATTAATCCAACTGTAGGCGGAGGAAAGTATCGACCCTTGGCACATGGAAGTATTCTAGAAGAAATCCGCATCTAAACCCTAATCCACTCCGATCTGCATTTGGTGATGAGTTGGGTGTGGCTTATTAGCGGCCAGCAGACTCGGAGGGTGTAACAACCTTACGCTGTGATGTACGATGCTATCACCTTAAGTTTCATCAAGATGGATGACACGCAGCAAACATGAGGCAAGTATTTATAAACAAATTCATTGGACAAGGCATGATCGCACTTGTCGCGCTCTATCTAATCGCTAATTATATCTATCATCATCATTATCCAAAGCCACACCACAAATTAACTACCTCTCCAACCTCCCAGCCTCACTGGTCTCATCCCTTGATTGCTTCAAAAACGGCACAAGTGTCGTCCCTCCCGTCCCCGTCAGCTCCTCACCAGCCTTTTTCGACGACGAACTGGCTAGGTTCTGCGGCCCAGCCTTGCTCCCCGCCCGCGACGGGAGGATGATGTACCGCGTGACGATCTGGATGTGCTTGTTGCGGAACAGCGTCAGAGCTTCCGTCGCCGCTGTGAAGGCTTGTTGAAGACGCTCTTGGGATGGCGTGCTGGGTGTTTGGAGGGCGAGTTCGCGGATACTGCCCATGCGGGCTATGTGTGTGAGGAAGCGGCGGTGGGGGCCGGGCATGTAGTCTTTCACGATGTCGTGGTAGCTCTTCTCGCCTTTCACGGCGGTGTTGTTACCGCTGGTGATGTGCTCGACGCCGAGAACGACGTCGAAGAACTGCACAAGGGAGCTTTGACCGTTGCTGCCGCCGCGGAGATGGCGCCATTCTCCCTTGCCGTCACCTTCGTCGTAGAACACACCGTTTGGTAGACCCGCGGCTTCCATGTTTTTACTTCCAGCCAGGAACGGTCGGATCTTGTAGTAGAAAGTCATGGGATCGCACTTTTCATACATCCGTTCGAGCAGATCACCCACATTGTCGATGCAAGTCTTGAGCTGCTCCAGAGCTGCGATGATAACATCGTAGTCTCTTGTCTTGACGGCGTTGAGAGCCTCCATCATGCGAGGGATGATGGCTCCTGCTCTGGCTTCCATGGCTACACTGATGAGTAGAAACCATGACTCCGACTCAGTGCCGGTGAAGGTGTGTAGAGTGTCGAGTTGACTAAGGTCGGTAAAGTCATCGCCTGAACATGAGAAGTTCCATAGGTTGGCAGCGGCGTATGTGAGAACTGGGGGAAGCTCAAGGTGTTTTGAGACGGCGAGGAAGGGAACGGTGATTTGAGGGGGTAAGATCTGAAAACAGAAAGTCAGTAACTGTATTGCATCATTTATCTTAGTAACTTACTTGTGCAGGCTTCTCTCCTCCCCAGACATAAGCATGTGTCAAGAAGGCCAGAATAGTGTATGCCCTCCTCCACTCCGGCTCCGACCGAAGACGATCCGTGGACAGGACAGGGAGAGTATCAACAGCTCTTCTAATATCGAAATATTTGATCAGAGCAGGGAGATGCTGGATAACAAGCTCCCAGGGCTCGTAGTAGGAATCGGGTAATTGTCTCAGTGGGCTGTGTTCTGGGAGGAAAGCATTGCTCGTCACGGCGAACTCTTTTAGCTCGGCCGTGAGCTTAATTCGAGGCAATTGGTGTGTTACGGCGTGTGGCGACATTATGAAGTATAGTGTAGTATAAAACAATAGCGAAAAGGCACACAAAGAGTCTTAGTAGAGAGAACTTGCTTGTAGAACAATAGAAGATGTACAATTGATCAGACAAACGGCATCTAAAATACCAATTGTCAAACCCATGCGCATGACCCTGTCGCTTTCCCTCCCCTTCCCAGTTTTTGCAGCATCCGTCTTCCGTATTTCCATCCTCCGTGTTTCCTCCTCCGTGCTCCGGCCTCCGAAGCGATGATCCCGAGTAAAGCGTTGCATCCGATCCGTGGTCACGCGCCATTTTGATAAAACTCAGTCCGTAGCCAATCACCGCTCGCGGATATGTCAAATATGGATAATGACGTCCACTACGCGGCTCCCAACGGGTCTCGGCGCGCGGAACCTCGGATGTGGACGTCTTCCGCGCTTCCGCATGGTTTTGGAGGGGCGTCTACGGAACATAAAGTGATTTCGCAGTCCCCTTACTCACCACGAAATCATACGACTTCACTTCCAAAGCAGAGCATCTTGTGTCTTTTTACAGAATATTCAGCAAATTATATCCAATTGCAATGGAGCTGTCAGCGCTTGTTCAACGCCTGCGAAGCGGTGCCTCGCCCAAGTTTCCCACCGAGGCCAATTCGCTCGACTTTGCCCGCAACCTGGACTCTCAGGACGAGCTAAGCCATCTTCGGGAGGAGTTTGTTCTCCCTACCAAGAAGTCCCTCAAGAAGAAGGCCCTGGACGGATCAATTCGTGAGTAGGCCGGTTTTGAGATTTGAATTGATGCTGACTTTCAATAGCCAACGGTGTTGCGCAGAATGGCACAAATGGTCATAGCAATGGTTCAAGTGACGATGATAAGCAGTGCATCTACTTTGTCGGAAACTCTCTTGGTGCTCAACCAAAGGCCGTGAGGGAGTATCTCAACGCTCAGCTCGAGACATGGGCATCCATTGGTGTGAACGGCCACTTCAACGCAATGGAAAACTCGCCGCTCCCTTCGTGGCAAGATCTCGCCGAGGACTGCGCTATTAGATCTTCTGATATCGTCGGCGCGTCTCCTCACGAGATCGTCATTATGAACACCCTCACAGCCAACCTTCATCTCCTGATGGCTAGCTTCTACAAGCCGAATGAGAAGCGCCACAAGGTCATTCTCGAGTGGAAGCCTTTCCCTAGTGACCACTATGCAATTGAGAGCCAGGTTGTCTGGCACGGTCTGGATCCTGAGAAGAGCATGGTTAAGATCCACCCTAACGAGGACCACATCATCACAACGGATCTGATCCTCTCCACCATCGACGAGAACGCCGACGACACTGCGCTCATCCTCCTCCCTGGTATCCAGTACTACTCTGGCCAACTCTTCGACATTCCCCGCATCACAGCCTACGCGCAAGCCAAGGGCATCGTCGTAGGCTGGGATCTCGCACACGCCGCTGGCAACGTCGAGCTGAAGCTCCACGACTGGAACGTTGATTTTGCCTGCTGGTGCACGTACAAGTACATCAACGCCGGCCCTGGCTCTATCGCTGGTGCTTTCGTGCACGAGCGCCACGGCAAGGTCGAGTTCAAGGACGAGTCCGGCAAGGCGTCCTATAGACCTCGTCTGTCGGGCTGGTACGGCGGTGACAAGAGCGTGCGGTTCAACATGGACAACAACTTCATCCCCACAGCCGGTGCGGGCGGTTTCCAGGTGTCCAACCCATCCGCCATCGACCTGGCCAGTCTCTCCGGCGCGCTATCCGTCTTTAACAAAACCACCATGCACGACCTGCGCTCCAAGGCTCTCGCCCTAACAGCCTACTCGGAATACCTTCTCGACGAGATCCTCTCCGAGTCATCAGACGCCGAGCCGCTCTTCCGCATCATCACACCGCGCGATCCCCTGCAGCGAGGAACACAACTTAGTGTGCTGCTGCGGGATGGCCTGCTGGATAATGTGAGTGCTGCGCTGGAGGAGAACGCGGTGATTTGTGATAAGAGAAAGCCTGGTGTTATTCGAGTGGCGCCTGTGCCTTTGTACTCCCGATTTGAGGATGTGTGGAAGTTTATGCAGATTTTGAGAAGTGCTTTGAAGCCTTAGATTGAAAAAATGGTGGTGGGATTGTTAGATAATGAAAGCATATAATGAAAGCCTCGTTTCTTTTTGGTTAATTGTTTGATACTAGCCGTTCACGTGTGACTACCTATGTACTGCTATTGGTCGACATCTTCAGGAAGTATACCGGTTTACTTTTATATTGTGCTATGTAAGCAGATCAGCAAGCTACCACATACAGACAACCATAAGTGTGAAGGCACTGAGCCAAAATGATCTATCACTTTACTTTTCCCGCTCGTCTTACTCTTCGGCTAAAGATGGCATTTAAATCCATAGCCGAGGATCTCTGAATCCTGCATGTATGAGGCACGCAGTAAAACATGACAGCGTCGGATCTGGGTTTATGATATCCATGGACACACCCATGATCAATATGTGACATATCCGAACTTCCGTCACTCGGGCCAGATTCGACAGAGCCCGTCAATTTGTTATACACTACACCCTCAGCCGCCTTATCACCAAGCTGACGTATTTACAAATGATGCGTCAGATCAATACCACCCCCAGCATCCAGCAAGGCAAACAGGTTCAAAGCCGATCCGGAATCAGCTTCAGCGCCCAGCGGCCCGCCCCAGTAACTCGGATCCGGCGTCTGCATCATGGACTCGCTTAAGCCTAGGAAAGCCGAATCGAGATCGCCAAACAGCGGCGACCCAACATTCTGTAACCCGTTGTGCTGCAAGAATGATCTATCCAGTGACTCGCGGCCTCGGGCTGGGCTGGCCACCGAGTTGCTCGCCTCTCTGCGGAGACTCGGAGACGAGCCTACGCCCGCGTCGGAAGGGATGAGGCCGAAGAGCTGGCTTGAGTTTTCGGTGCGGCGTTGGCGTTCGGCGAGTTCTTGCTTTTCGAGATGTTCGAGAGCGGTGGTTAATAGGGATTGGGCGATGAGTGAGTATTGTCCTGCGTGGGTGTCGTGTTTGGAGCAGTGGTCTAGGGCGTGGATGGCCATGCGTGTGTATTTTTCGAGGACGCGGCCGAATCCACCGAGGAGACCTATTCCAAGCACGAGAGAGCTGGCAAATAGCCATGATCTATAGTTCGTTAGAACGGTAGACTGCAGAACATTAGATGGAGTACTTACACCAAAATAGGGACATGTCCAACAAGAATACCCCGTTGGATCAAGTCCAGTATCGGATCAACCATAAGACTGGCCGCATCAATACAAGCATCAGCCAGCTTTGATTTTCCAGACGTCAAGGCAGGCCGCCCATTCGACGCCACCGAACTATCCGACAAGCGTCGGCAGAGCTCATACATGAGAAATGGCCGAGATACCAGCATGACAGCGTAGTAATACGTGGCCAAGATCTGACAGGCACCACTTGCTTGAGCCCTGTCATGCACTTCCGGGTTTGCGACCATGTCTTTGAGCTGTTTTAACCAGCGTGAAGACCAGTCCCGTAGCTGGAGCGATATACCCTCTGTAAGCTGTAGCGAGATCTTTCGTCTTGAGTAAATCTCAGTGACGACTCCCTCAAGCACTAGAAATATCTGCACCGACGCATTGAGTAAATCTAGAGGTTCTTCGAGGTTTTCATCCGGGCTTTGATACGGAACTGTGCAGTCCACGTCGGAAGTCGCAGGTGGTCGGCCCATGGAAGTGCTCAGGAACAGATCAACCACCCGCAAGCTTTTCCACAGACGGTCTCGTTGTCTATGGATGTCAGGGCCGAAACGCGCATTAACTTCTGTTCTATGGATGCCGATGGAGTAGGCTGCTCGGACGGCTGTGCCGAAGAATAGGAAGGCCCCGTTGATCTGACAGGAGCAGAGCATGTATAGCGTGATGAGAGTAAACATCTGCACAGTTGTCACGCTGAGATTTCCAGTGAGGTTGGAGTAGGCCTTTTCTCGCGCATATTCAAAGTAGTCTTGAGCACGTTCCTCGTTGTTGATCTTTGTTCCAATGGCCAGCACGAGGAGATTGACAACAGTGGTAGCATCATCTTGCTTTTGATCCATATTCGCCCATAAGATAAGATCCTCCTGGAGTCTTCGATTGTCAAAAAGATCCACGAGGCCAGTTGCAATGGAGAGGTAGTTTGACACGGCTAGTGGAATGTCATTTGGGTGGACGCTTGGTATGCGGTTGTCACCTGGTAACCGCCGCGATTGATGCGCAGTGGCATTTTCGAGGACCGAGTAGCGACTTGACTGAGGAGCAAATGCGTTCTGGCCAACTCTGGTGGTGACAAGTTGTCGAACCGATTGGAAGAAAGAAAGCGGTGCGCAATCTCCCACAAAGATCAATTTGCCCTGGGCATCACACACCAGCCGCGCTTCTCTCGGCACTTCGGTCTCATCATCGGCATCAATTGGCTGAGTCTGCGCCGTCTCCTGCTGCGCAGTTGCATCGCCATTGACCGGTGTCGCGGGACTCGTGTGTCTGGTAGAATGAGCCCTCCCCTCGGAAGCGGCGGGCGACCTCAAAGAAGTCACGGAGCCATGGCCATTCCTCCGGCGCCGAACCTGCGGCGAGTAGTGACAATCGCCGGGCTTCTGACGACGCGCGCAGTAGCTGCAGGGCAATTTCCCGTCGCACTTGACTTTGCGAGATTTGCACCCGTCGCAGGCATTGGCGATGCGGCTGCGGATATAACGCTCTGGCTCTTGTTCTGCGGGTTGCATTAGATGGGATTGGATGGATGTGATGGGTGAGAGATTGTGCAGGCGGAAGCGGAAGCACTGTGGACGTGGACGTGGAGAGTTTCTGTCGGGCCCCGGAAAAGTGCGGATGTGCGGGATGGAATTGGATTGGAATATTGTTAGTGCACTTGCTTCGGCCCGCCTTGAACTTCCGGGGCCTGGCTGATAGAAAATGGATTGTGTTTATTATTCTGCCTTCAACATGGGAAATGTACAATAAAAAGATGAACTCAATGATTGCAGGTGGTTTTTGAAATTAGTGGTAATCTAATCGCATACGCTGTCACACAAGTGCGCATCCGCACTTCCGACGTGCATACGCTGCGGCTGTGGTCGGTGCAATTGTCATTTGCAGCGCTGGTTTCCCACCCGGGGTTGTTAAAATCATCAACGGTTTTAGACTTGCACCCCAAGGCAGAAAGGATTACAAGTACTGGCAGCACGATAACAGGCAAAACTATCATGAAATTAGCTAGTGACACACTTAAGGACAAGTCTACCAAGGCCGGCGGCAAGTCCTCATTCATCATCTTCCTTTGCACAAACATAGATCAGGCTAGCAAATAGGCTGACTTTGTGCTTTCAAGCCACATCTGCATAGCCAATTCCTGGCTGATTCTGCATATTATTTATAAAGGTCGTGAATGTTAAGAATGGATAATAGTTTACATGACTACCTAATTTAGGCAGTGAAAAGTTACTAGGATAAGATATGTTGACTAGAGAAGTAAATCTTTTTCAAGACCTTGATCTTTACTGTGTTCAACAGATGTCTACTTGAAGACCGAGACAATAATATACGTACCTTAAGCAGATAGACAAAGCCTCTGGTACGAGGTTGACAGGTGGGCTGAACAATGTGCAGCGGCGGTGTGAAGTAAGTGGCGCCTGCGAGTCTCATTCAGTTGTGGTTATCCTTGTTTTTTCTATCGCTGGGATTCTAGGACTTACACTTTATACGTCATTCGATTAATCTAGCAGCAAATGCAACACTTTAGAAAATGGTGGCCTCCCGCTTTGAAAGATGCCTTATTGCTTATTCCGCCTTATGTACTTACTATAAGAAGTGATGTATCCCCCTTCCTATAGCGGAACAGCCTGGCTATTCCTACTTATCCCTCAGGTCTTATTTGTCTTGTATTCACCTTTCAATCTTGTCTTCGAATTCATCACCACACTTCAACATTGTACTATGGATGTCAACCAAAGAAATTCTTCGCATGGCACGCCAATGACCCCTGTTGTTATGCGAGCTGCGATTAATGATGCCCTTAAAAAGTCTGTTACAGCCTTTCGGGCCGAACTCGAGTCCGAAAGTACTACGAAAGAAAATGGCTCCATTGTTATTGACAAGTCAAGATGGATTTTAGATGCCGGCGAAAGGTCTATATCAGATCTTAACTATTTTTGGCGAAATATGAGCCACTACACTATCCGGCAAGATCCGGAGTATCTCAATGTTTCTATTATCTCGCTGCAAAAATGCGCTCTAGGTATGATTAAGCAATTTTAATCTTGTTATATCAGCACCGTCTAACAATGAACTTCTCGTTCCAGACCGAGGGGGTGGTCGTGCAAGAAATCTGGAGCAACTGTGGAAGTGGTTAGAAGACTCTCGTGAAGTAAGGTCTTTATCTTATAAATTGTGTTTAGAGTTAATGTTAATTTCTCGCTTTATAGATATACTACCATGGTATCCTTATGTAAGTAATGTGCAGTTTAGAAGATATAACTGTCAGTCATACTTCTCCAAGTAATTATCTAACTCCTTGTAGCGTCTGCACAGATAGAACCAATAGGGATCAAACATCCACGGGTAGGAACCCGGCTTTCTCTTTGATAAACAGTGCCCCGAATTTCAAATCCATTTGCAAGTCTGCTCTTGTTGCCAGTCTCTTCCTGTTGAAGAATAGATTCGGGTTTGGGACGAGCGACATGCATAGTCTCACAACCGCGGCATTAGGTGGGGAAAGTACTGAAGATAGAGGCTTACTGGGCGATGTGCCACAAAGTAAAGTTCTATAAATACCCCAGTAGAAACTTTTCTAACTTAGCCATTATCAGAAGATCTATACCCAGCCGTCCTCAGAGAGGGAGAACCACCACCTCTCAGTGCTATAGCCACACGTCAGGCTGGGTGGCATTCCATCAAGTCGAATTCGATACTGCCAAACTCATTAACAAAACCAGCAACTAAAACAATAACATTCCCTGGTGTCTTTCCTCGCTTCAAAACAACCTGGCAGTATATGGATATATACCAGCCTCATGGCTTTGTTCCAAACTCTAGATCTGTCTGCGGAGTTTGGGGCAATTGGAATACCGATTATACATCTTGGACATGTGTTACCACTATACGAGAACCCGAAATGGCTGATGAATTCTGGAAGGGCTTGCTGGATGTGTTCTCAGTCGCTTCGCCGGCCATTCTCTCTGTTCTCTCGTCTCACTGGACAGAACTAACGCACTACCTATATGTCATTGGACCTAACAATGCACGGCTAGTGCTGCGAGATGCACTCAAGGCCATTCACACAATTGTAAGGGGCTTAACTCTCGAATCTTGTGCTATTCAATTACTGACTCCTTTAAGAAATACCAAAACGCCAGCAATCCAACAACTGGATCAGCACATGTATGCTTGATGTATATGAACCATCTGGAATACCACCAACGTCTGTTAGATCGCCTCGAACAAGAGTTAGAAACATTCCCTCCTGTGTGGCGAATTGTCAGCACGCCAGTTTGGCCAGATGGTCTGGTAAAGACTTGTCGCTATCTCCAAGGAGACCTCGTAAAAGCTCTTGCTGAAACAACGCAAGTCAGGAATATGGTCAGTGTAATACAGGTAATGATCTTAGCTGGCTTCTAATATGTCATTACAGATAATCCAGCAATATAGTCTTTCCCAATCTCGAAAAACTGGAGTATTAACCATACTGGCATCCATTTTCGTCCCTATGAGTTTTGTTGCTGTTAGTATCTCGAATTGCTTAACTTATATTAATTACTGACCTACCCACTAACGTTAGACATTCTTCGGTATGAACACGAAAGAGATCAACAACTCTGCCTGGCCGTTGAAGTATTACATTATAGCCGCCATTTCTTTGACCGCCGTAACTGTGTTTGTGCCTCTTCTTGGTCTTCAGCTCTTTAGCCAGACCGCAAGAGTAGTAGGGAGCAACACATCGCTACGTCGTGCTATCAAATGGGGCTGTATATTGCTGAGCTTTGTCATGAACCTGATCTTCGACATTCTTCTAACGACTTTGCCTTCGAATATGTCTATGGGCTCATTTTACTTCAGTATTTTGGTCTTTTGCACGTTGATTGGAACTACATATATAATCAGATTGTGCTGGGAAATACGTCAGCAGGAAAGTCCCAAACTTACTTACCTCTGGCGACAGAAAGAGAGAGTTTCCTTCTATTGTTTTACACTTATATGCTTTTGTATAGGCTGTTACGTTCAAATCTATATTGAGCTTATACCCTATTTTCTTTACCTCATTAAAATAGGTTATAAGCTCCCACGAAAGAATCAAGTTTAATTATAGTTTAGTATAATAAGTAGATGGAATTTAACACTCATTTATTATATATATACTTTTAGAGAGTAAATATTACTTTAAGAATACTTAGTTTATATCAATTGGTATGATAGGTTTAAAATATATCGAAATAGAATACTTTGTAAATCCCATTAAGATAAAAAACTATTTTCCAGGTAAGACCACACTCTGCAATATATAGTGTCCCACTCCTGAACCTACGAACGTAGCTAATTCCTGTGAGTATTCTTAGGATACATATCTATGCCCAGATGGAAACCAAAATAGGCTGAGTCCAGATCTATGGCATACCTGACTATGGACTGCCGGACGATCCGAAGGGGGAATGTACTAACAAACAGCTCTTGATACCTACTTGTTCGTTCTTGGTTAACCTGACAGAAAAGATTTACGCCCACAAAGCTTTTAGGCAGAAGATAATCATATCTTAAGCTATCCGCGATACTATAGAGATTTCATACCAATCGAATTTAGCGATGCTGACATCATACCTATCCGGTTAAGGTGTGCGGCGGAGTTAAGAACTACATCACCGCTCTATAGGTAGATTATAAGGATCGCGGATCCTTTAATGTAACACTCATTCAGCCAAAAATCAGCTTACATTTATCGCGCGGTTCTTAAAACTTTCAGATATCTTGTGGATCCCCTCTTTTCAACAAAACACACACATCTGTCATCGGATCATAATTCTCTCCAGCCAAATAGACCCCCGAACTTTGATTATTTTCCTAGATTATTCCCAACATGTCAGACTCGACAGAAAACCTCATCCGCCAATTCGCCGAAAGCCAGGCCAGGGCCGTCCAAGCAAGAGACCCCAAGCTTGTATCCGCCACACTTGCTGACAACTGCCGTCGTTTAATCGTACCCGCATCCTTCATGAGATCCATGGGGATACCTGTGGAAATGATCGCAGCTGGCTCCTCGAACGAGCTCTACGAGCAGAACTTTGCGATGCAGCTTCCGCTCATTGATTGGACGGCTTGCACGATCCACGACACTTCGTTTGACGCGGAGAAGAGGAAGGCGACAGTGCACCTCACGCATCGCATTCAGTTGCATGGGGTAGAGGAGGAGTTTGCCATTGAGAACCTCATTCTTCTGGACTTGGATGAGAGTGGAAGGAAGATTGAGAAGATCCTTGAGTTCACGGATGTAGCGGAGAGTAAGCGCTATATGGGGGCACTTCAAGAGCTGTTGGCGGCCAAGTCGGAGTAGACTTTGACAAGAGCTTATCATATCTTGTGTAGTACTTTCATTCTTCAAGCATCAACACACTCGAGTCTTGTTGCTTGACTATACCTTACCTCCGAAACAAATCAATCGTCAAGATAGGAACAAGTGGGTTCTGTAAGCACGTGAATTTCGTCTGTAGAAATGGATAGTCCAAGATATAGATGTTATATCAGTAACAAGTAACACGCTGCGCTTCAATAGCCGCGGTATGAGCGTGTAGGAGTTTATGTAAGAATCATGCACATAAAATTTGATGAAATATTTACTCGAGCTAACAAGCGATAGGTAGTGACTGCTCATAAGAAGAACATGTACATTGATGCCATTTTATAACATCAAATCATATGACCATCAGGTCAAAAACCACAGACGAAGATCAGCGGGACGTTACTTAGACCAATTTGTCACAAGTGCCAAGCTGCTCAACCATTTAACACAGGCCAGCCTTTGTGGGCTCGCATTCGCCGTTGGCCTTGTCGCAGCCATTGTAGCCCTGGCATTGAACCTTGGGGTAGCAGTTGTTAGAGTAGGTAGCCTGTACGATTTATTAGCCATATAATCAGTCTTCAAGAACTTATTTCATACCTTGTCACCCAGGTTGGTGTTAATGCCAATCAGCTCACCGCCATTAACAGCAGTGGTACCCTCCATGTGCACAGAGCGTTTGCAGTTGGAGTTACCCTTGCAGTTACCGCATGACCGGTAGACCTTGCCATAGTCGTTGGCGTAAAAGTTGACGATGTTGACGTGGCCACAGCCGTTGTGTTGGATGACCTTGTCAGAAGCCTTGTACGCTCCACCGCCGATGATGTTGGCTGTGCCGCTGCCCTTGATGGAGATAGCATCCTCGCAGACGTCCTCGAACCACACAAATTCGAGATTACATGCACCGAGGCAGTACACGCCCTCCTTCTGGTTGGCGCCAATGATAACGTTGCGAAGCGTTGCGCCGTCTTCGAGAACGAAGACAGTATCCGCCTCACCTATCGTATCGTCAGAGAGTGCAAACATGGAGGTCAAGTTTTATAGTTGCTTACCGCCTTCACTCTGACCGGTGCATTTAACGCCTCGATCGTACTTGACCCAGCCGGCGTCAAAGACCTCCCCTTTCTTAAGGTACCGAGGAGCACTGAGGGACTTGGTGCCTGTGTGCTTGGGCAGACCACCAGTGTAGCCCAGACAAGCTAGGGTTGAGGGAATGGTAGCGAGAAGAGCGATGGAGGTTGAGAAATGCATGATGAAGGAATTCAATATCAACAAGTTACTAATGGATGATTGTCACTTTCAGTATCAAGAGGGATCGTCGGAGGCTGTTGATGTTGAACACGAAGGACGTTTATTGTGGAATAATACGGCCTTTTATGATCACCGCAACGTCTTCTCGCATGTCGCACTGCATCCTGTCAGATACGCGGTATACCTATGACTTACCACGGAACCAAGCATCCTCACAACGTTTGATTTACATCACATTCATGATAGATGCAAGGGGGTACCACCCAGGTGGTAGCTACCAACGATCGCTAGAATTAATTCCTCCACTAAATGTCGAAATGAACGTAGTATTGGGCGATGGAGGGATCGTCCCCTAAGACGCTGATGTGTCAGTGCCGAATAGTCATTGGTGGAAATGCCTCGGTTAGGAACGCGTATATGAAGCTTGTGTTTATGCTTGTCCAGGCTCCGATGCTCCGAGAGGATGGTTTCTCAATCAGGCAGGTGGCAGCCGATCGGATATTGGTTAAAGCATAGCTGAATCTCACGGTGAAGACTGGCGATGGAGATAGGCGCGCTTGATTAGAAAGGTGTAGACCTGTGATGATAGAAATAGGACTGGTGATATAGCTTCTTTTCCGCGTATGTTTCACTTATTGATTTAGGTACCGATATCTCACTGTTGCAACACAATCCCGTCGCAGACCTATGAAGACGTTTTCCGTCCATGAACTAGCTAAATTCATGGCACTAGGGACGGAAAAGCACATATTTGAGATATTCTATACGAACCATTGAGTAAAGTTGGCATTACACCAAGTGATTGAGTAGGTGACAGGTGCCCTTCCCGAATGAAGAATTTGAACTCTCGTCTTCTTGGCAACAGACTGTGCCATGGCACTCATCATTCCCAGGTTCACACCGTCACTCTCGGTTAAGCGTATACCCTGATCAATATGAAGATAGTTATAGTTCACTGAAATATGCCTGTCCGCCTCCAAAACTGCCACATGATGTAATGGACTTATGATTTCTTACCACTGTTTGCAGAACAGAGTTAGATTTTTACTTTGCTCCTTTGAGCATCTGGATAGTGACCGTGTATTGAGACTGCAAGAGATTTGCAAAATGATCATATTACGAAGAGGTTATGATAGAAAACATGTAGCACTGTGTAACAAAAATGATACCATCTATTTATCAATATGAGTCGTGTATCTATACTTGTATGTCTGGCTTAATTACCCCAAGTCAGCTATTTGCCAGCAGCAGCCGCAGCCTCCTTATCAGTAGCCATGATCTTCTGTATAGCCGGCCGACTAATAACGCGATTCCACCAAGCACCCACAGCCTTGCGACTCGTAATGACATCTCCATAACCACAGATAAAAAGCCTCTGGACCAAGGGGATATAGTAAATATCCACCAGCGTGAACTCATTTCCAGCCATGTAGTTCTTACTTCCTAGCAGCCGCTCTGCAACATCGAAATACGCCTCAACCGATTTGAGCGCATCCGCGACAACAGCTTCGTTGGGAGGTAGACCGATGAACTTTTTGGCGAACTTCTCAAAGGCAATGCGACCGGCAGGCTCAGCGAAATACTGTATTTCTTCAGATTGTGCCTGCTCCAAGAGTGCTGAGGCTTCAACATCGGACTTTGAGGGGAGAAGAGGGAAGGAATATTTCTTTGCAAGGTATTTACAGATTGCTCGGCTCTCGTAGAGGGTGAAGCCGTCGGGGAAAGTAATTGCTGGAACTTTGCCCCATGGATGACGGGAAAGGTTCTCTTTTGACTGCAAAATTTTAGTTTGAGATTGAAGGAATGGAACTCATTGTGATGACATGATAATCCAAGTCAACTCGCGAGCCTTGGAGAGAAGTCACATACCTTTTGCTCGCCCTTGGCAAGGTTAAGAAGTACAAGTTCGTAGTCTGTAAAGCCACCTTCCGCAAGTGTCAGGCGAACGCGATCCGTGTTGGTCGAGCCACGGGCACCGTAAAGGGTAAAGGAAGGCATTTTGAAGTTTTTGATTAGTCTTGAAGTTCTAATGGAAGTCATGGAGTATAAAGCTGAATTGGAAAAGACGAGGTAGCGACTTGAGGCTATATATAAGCCGCCAAAGCTAGGTGAGAGTTGTGGTCCGAGCATAGTCCTCGGACAATCGCTCTGGAGATAATGTCCATCATGGCGGACTAGTAGTTTGATGCGCAATATACGAAATAGTTTGTAATTGAGGAATTAGATCGCCACTATGTTCAATTCAATAGCAAGTCTCATCAAGTTGATCATAGTTTGTTCAACAGCGATTGGCTGGATCGCTTTGCTCTCCCAATGAAGCTAGCGCTGACGTTCCGGGCCTGGGGCTTTGACAAGCGCTAAAACGCGAGGCGGATCCTTCGTTTGATCCTATGAATGACTCCAACTCACGTCTTTTCATTCGTCCGTTCGGCCTTTTTCCTCTTTGCAACTCACCATCCCCTTGACTACGAGATCTGCTCCCCGCTATGACCGACCGCAAACCAGTTAGCAAGGGGCGGAAGGTCAAGACGGGCTGCGCAACCTGTCGGTAAGTCTTGTCCGCGAATTCTCCGTTGTCCGGTACAGGCCATGTCCAGCTAAAACTGGATAGCATCAGGAAGATCAAATGTGATGAGACTAAACCGGCTTGTCAGAAATGCGTCACGACCGGGCGTACCTGTGATGGCTATGAGTCTCTGTTCAGACCATTTCCCAATCAGCCCACAAATGATGGCCGTGGATCTGCCGTCAAGCAAGATGCTGCAAAGTCTATGAACCAATCAATACAAGGAAAAGCTCCTCTAGATGTCAACTCCCTGAACCGCTACTTTTCCACCAAGACCCTATTCGACGTGGAGATGAGCTGCAATCAAGAAGCTCACGAGGTTCTTCAAGCGAGCTTGACTGACTCTTCCATACGACACGCTCTTTTATCTCTCAGAGCTCTTCGTGAGAATATCGAGACACATGATGACAACTCCGCAACTCCAGAGCAGCAGACATTAGGCTACAACTACGGCCTGGAACAGTACAGTAAAGCTTTAACAGGTCTGGCATCAAATCTAGCCTATCCGGATATTGATAGACTCAAATCCGCCTTGCTCTGCTGCCAAGTCTTGATCAGTGTCGAGCAAGTTCGATGCAACTTCTCTGCTATGGGTCTCCATATAATCCGAGGGCTGGATATCATGCGCGAGTATAAACCAAGGCCGTACCTAACAGCCACTAGCGGCTTATGTCCTCCTCGATATGGTGGCCTCCCGTCTTTGGACGTTTTTATTATCAAGATGTTTACCGCCCCTTGCAGGTTCTCTGAGCCTCAAGCTAAAGTCCCCGCCTACGTGCTGACACCCCCTCCTGAGACGCCATCTAGCGATCGCAAACTGGCACCAAATATGCGAACGGAACTCATAAGGATTGCTACAGCGACTATAGAGTTTCTCTCCAAGCTTTCACAAGCTAGGCCAGAGATCAACATCTCCCTACTGTTGCAAGAGAAAGAGACCTTGCTCAATTCTTTGGACGTATGGGTTGGGACTCTCGACGATCTCCGGACAGAGTCCCAGCCCCAGGAGGAGCCTATTCATGCTAACTTTCTCCGTCTCTTTCACCATGTACTCAGATTAGTTCTCTTAGGCAACCTCAACTTTCCACCAAATATTGATGCGAAGTTGAAGATGGAGAACGAGCGACTGCAGGAAATAGCCAATACTGTCAATGAACGGCTAGAGGATTATAATATGCGCCATGGGATTGCTAGTAGCTTAGAAGACCGAGCTAGAGAAAAGAAGTAGTCGGAGAATTTATTACATTCTCGCTATGACATTTATTTCCGAGTGCCGAGTAATTGATAAGCATGAGCACTAACTAGAGTCATCTGTCGTTCTTTGCATGTGCCTCACTTTGTGGCGCTACTGGTTCTAGAAAGCTGAGCGAACGAGCCAATCAGAGGCCAACCAAGTCTGTGAGCAGAATTCTGGATTATCAACGCCTTTGCATATAAAATAATTGACGACCCATTCTCTTTTACCACATCATTCTTCTTTTCATCTTGACTCTACTACTTAAACTCACTTATACCCTCAAAGCTATTTATTCATCAAAATCATGCATTTCTTCCTCCTCGGCGCAACAGGCCGCACTGGCAAACAAGTTGTCTCTGAGCTTCTCGCCCAAAACCACACAGCCATAGCCCTTGTGCGAAATTCCGCCAGCATCACCACTCAGCCTGGCCTTACGATCGTTACTGGTTCACCGCTTTCAAAAGACGATATACGCAACGCTTTGAAGGCAACGCCTGGTCACTTACCCATTGCGGCTATCATGACTCTAAACGCAGTCCGCAAGTCCGACAGCCCATTTGCAGCACCTCTTTCACCCCCTCGTTTCCTAGCAGACTCATGCGCCAACGCCTGTGAGGTTTTGGAAGAAGCAGGCATTTCTCGCTTTGTGGTCATGTCTACTGCCGGAGTGGGAGATTCATGGGTCCAACTACCCTTGCTGAGCAGAGCTTTCATGGGCTTGACTAATGTCAAGTACGCACTGAAAGATCATGGCTTGTTGGATGAGGAGATTCGGCAGACTCCTTTGGATTGGACGCTTGTTAGAGCCGTGAGACTGGAGTTTGAAAATGCGGACAAGAAGGAGATGGAGAGGCTTGGAAGCGCGGGTGTTGGGATGACCATGTCTGATCGTGCAAGTGTTGGCAGCGTGGCCAGGTTTCTGTTAAAGGTTGCGGTGGAAGGATTGTTTGTTAAGGAAGCGGTGGTTGTGAGAGATTGTTGAGGTTCTAGCTGGTACGCGAGTGGCGAAGGCGTGAATTTCAAACAATAATTAATGATGGAATAATAATACAGGAGTTGGTTTAGATAAAGATATACTTGAAGATATACTTCCAGATATACTTAAAGATATACATGACACACTTCTTTCATATGCACTACTCCGCGATAAACGGGATCAGCTGTAGACTACAGGGCTTAACTGGAGGGATATGTTGGGAGTAGCATGGATTGCGATTTACCAATAAAAAGAGCTTTAACCCCAGATCAAGCTCGAAACATATCAAGGTAATGCATTAAATAGACGTCGTTGGCCGACAAGCATTCTCATAGTATTCACATTCCAACGTCATAACTTTACACAGATCTGACATATATACAGGTAGTATCCAACTGCCAAAAACTATATCCAATGAAGAAACCTTCGATCCTCATATTTAGTATACAGTGGTGATAGGAGTCTTGATGTAAGGCTTCAAGCTCGTCTTGCCGTTCAGCTCCTGATCAATAGCCTGGACGAAAGCCTTGGCAATGAGGTCAGCAGCCTCAGGGCTGGTGTGCGTGTGGTCCTTGGGGTACAGAGAGTTGACCTTGGTGTTACCAAGCTTCTTGTACATGTTGGTCACAGCAGCGAAGTGGTCAACGTAGGTAACGCTGGAGCTCGCAATAGCCTTGGCAGCGATAGGCACGTAGCCCACGAAGCGAGGCGCACCGGGCTCGAAAGTGCCAGTCTCCCACTGGTTGTTGGGAGTCTGCGAGCTGAGGATGACGGTGGCACCCTTGGCGACGAGGGCTTTGGCGGCCTGCGAGACGTAGAAGACGAAAGTGTAGACCTTCTCGCCGGTGACGTCCGAGATGCAGACCTCTGTGCCGCTTCCGGGACAGTCGGAGCGCTTGTTGTCGTTACTGGTGGGGGAGCCGCCATCGTTGTGGCCGAACTCGATGACGACGATGTCGCCCTTCTTGACCACGTCGATGATCTCCTGGAAGCGGCCCTCGTTGGTGTAAGAGCGGGCGGAGCGACCGCCGATGGCTTTGTTGACGGCTGTGACCTTCAGGTATTTGGCAATATAGTTGCCCCAACCGTCAGTCACGCCGTCGTTGGCTCCGTTCTTGGCCATTGTTGAGTCACCTATGGTCTAGTAAGCATCTACTGCTGAATATTATCAACTGTTTACTTACCAGCAAAGTAGACTGTCTGGCCAGCCACAACCTGGAAAGCTCCAGAGGCGAGAGCCGCGAGTGAAAGAGAGAACTTCATGATGACTGGCTATGCTTAGAGGATAGACAACTAACGAGTGTCAAGCCGATGCAGACGGCGCCCAGACCTGTATATATCCATTTCCGATCTTACCGCCACAAGTCAATGGACCCTGATCACAACATTTCCAGACGATATTGTTCTACCAAACAGGAGATTAACGATCTAGACTCCGAGGCTACCTGTTTCGGTGTCTCTCCCCGCGTGTGCCAAGCCACCCAGGAACAAGGGTTAGTGCTTTTCCCACCACTCAAAAGCCCATGTCGCGGGGCTTTACCCCGGCACTTGTTGCTGGAGATTCATGCAACTTTGTTTGATGCAGGGGAACCAATTGATGGAATCCCGATATTAAAGTTCCGTGCGCGCTTTCGCATGCCGGTGGGTGCTTTTGAAACGAGGCGCTCCTATAATGGCGTTGTGCTGGGTGCATTCGGTGATCTCGGCGTAGCATTAGCGGTCTGGAATACAGGTCATGCGCATGATGAATCTCGGTGGTATATATGCCGAGCGCGGGGATGGTATATCATTTCCGATTCGAGTGTAAGTGAATGTTGGGGGCAACGGCTATCCTTGACTTATTATTTTCCTTCCCTCACTCGCTCTTGTTGGATTTAGGAAAGTCACAAGAGTAGACCAGGTCTGTGCGAGGCTAAGAGCACCAAAAAGCAGTGGACGGCGAACGTTGTTCATATGTAAGGCTCCGAAAATACTTTTTGCAATTCGTGCATAACACTCAACGACTGCGATGTCTAGCAGCAGTACAATATTAACTCTCCAGTCTTCAGTACAGGTACATTGTGTTCGGAAAACCCTTGGAATGCTGGTTTGGTCTCTGTATAAGACAAGGTAAGATTTCTATCTCGCTTCTTTATAGGCGAAGTACTCCCACGCTATTATTCATAACCGTGTGATTGGGTAAAACAAAATAAGTGAAGGTGTTAGATTGGTCCGATTTGAAGAGTGAAATCTCTGCTTAGAATTGGAATAAGATAATTTAATCTGAATATTTCTTCTTACTGTGAGCGCTGGCTATAAACGACATCGTGTGCCGGCTCATACATAACATATCCGAAGCTGAATTTGTGGCCCTAACTACAACTTTCGCATAGCTAAGTAAAAGTCAACATCATTTGATGGAAAACTTGCAAAATGCAATATCGCGATGTGCGGAGAGACGTTATTTCAACACTATTAAACTTTCTTAAAGAAAAGACTGTTGCGTTATCGGGTTAAGGACCAATCTATTTTCAGAAATGATCACAGAAAGATAGAAATTCTGAGACGTAGACCCTACATATATTTTGAGGAACTAAATTTCCTGTTACTAACTCCTTTCTGCTTAAAGAAATGTTATCATGCGACCTCGGCTAATGGCCTGATTGTTCAAATTTTTAGATCCTTAAAAGAAGAGGTAATCCAGACCCAGGCAAACGATACCAACAAGTCCAACACCGCTGGAAGAAATTGGTGGATGACAGCCGCCGAGTCTTCAACTGCCTGTAAAGCCAATATCGTCGCTCCTCCGATGGCGCACAGGGCTATCGGGAGGTATCATTCTCTCCATGGCTCCGACTGGAAGAGTATAGAAACACAACCCCAATGTATAAGTATTGCAACGCCTGTGACGAACAGTAGCGTCTCGCAAGTGACGGTCAGACATAGAAAGAATAGGCAGAAAGGTTGCAACTTGAATGGACTCGGGATTACAGGCCTATCAAGGCAAACAGGGATTAGTATACATCCCAAGTTGGTGGGGGAAATCGGATTAAAGAGGGTTAGGAAAGCCCAAGTTTACAGGAAACAACCCACAGAGCCTCAACGGCCATCCCGGCCCCCGATTGCGAACCAAGCGCAGCTGAAAAGGCGACAAACAGATTGGTTAATCTAAACCAATCAGACTTGAACACGCAGTGAAGCCCGCGAGCCACGGCGGTATGCGTAATGTGAACATCGCCATTCTCAAGGCATTCAAGTTATACAAGGCTTATTATAATAGCATAGAACGACAGATCAATTGGGTAAATAAGATCTTAAAAGATAACGTATAGGAAGAGTTTTCATACAGGTGATTAAAGGGCTACGATAGAAATGCAAAAGATCAAGAATTACTATTAACAGTAAGTTTAGTAATGCTTCAAAACAAAAGATCTAGCTATGATACCTTCTAGCTATTAGATATTCGTCCTTACTTAAAATTACATACCTATTAACTTACTTCTAATTTTAGCATTGAGATGTAATAGATACTAATAATTCTTAGTGATGTCCAATTATAATTTGATATTGGTAACACCACCGGTTTTACCTGCATTGCCGCTTCTCGAGGAAGTCAGCCACCGGAGCCTGATTCTATTTGCTTCTTTCTGTAGGCTTCTGCTTCAGGGTACTTCAAGTCCCCTCTAGCGTCTTGTCGCCAACATTCTCTCGTTTGTTTTCATTCATCATGAATATTCGTCATGCCATCTAACCATACCGCGGTTATCCAGAACTTCGGGTTCAAATGCCCGAGAGGCGGCAAATTTTACATTTGCGAAAATGCATGGTCTGAGTTTATTGGATGTTGTACTAGCGACCCGTGTGCTGACGGCAGTGGGGTTTGTCCAGCCGACGGCGCGCGACCTTTGTCTTTCAACGTCGATAGGTATCATGACTTGCCTACCCAAGATTGTCTCTCCTCTTCATCGAGCGATTGGTATGCCTGTGCGTATACTAAACCACCGTTTTATGGTTGCTGCACCATCAACCCATGCATCTCTGGTTGTCCTGACGAGAATCCTGGAATCCCGGGATTGTCCCAGAACGAAGAGAATCGGCTTGCTCTGCTATTTTTGTCTGGATCAAATTCAACAACAACAACATCATATTCAAAGACACTTGTGCATCCAACCGCGACGCTACTTCCCTCTTCCTTTTCCATCCCAGAATAACATGAAAATTCGACTCGAAATGCTGCTTTAATGAAACCAGAAGGAGTGGCAGGAGTTTGCGGCGCTATCCTCATCGCTACATTAATCTGCCTTGGCATACTTGCAAGATATTGGTGAGTTTCATTACTACCCTTCTCATATGTAAATATTAACACATTGGAAGGAAGAATGGGTCGACCAACACTAAGAAGACGCCAATCTATTCCTTGATCAAAAGTCAGGATTGTGGCGACACCAGCCGGGGCATGAGAACGATTTCCGTCAAAACTACTGATCAAGATATTGGATCCAAGCTTGCATCGGTTTGGGGTCCAAGCACGCTCGAACAAACAAAATCAACTGCTGTTATTGGATGGGCCTGGAATACCTTGTTGACGTTGATCCCGATGTGCTTCTTGGGTAAGGCCCCCTTCTTCAATGCATACCTATCTTTGAGTCCCATCCGCTAACCGACTATATAGCTCTCGCCATAGTTGCTGTAGACCTGGATGGCCAAACTAGATCGCTCTATGGTGAGCGGGTCTTAGAGCTGACCAGGTTAAGTCCTTCTTTATACCCTATTCTGTTCGCTGCTATAGCAGGTCGATTCTATAAGAACCTTGCGCGCTGGTACCTGGAACAGCCAGGTGGTGTCAGGCTTGCCGTCTTGGAACAGCTCTTTGGTAGCCAGAGCTTTGCCACAGCTTTCGAACGTGTGTTCTTGGTTCATACCCACGTGTTCCTCAGTGTTCTCATTCTCGCTACCTGGGCACTTTCACCATTGGGCGGCCAGAGCTCATCAAGAATTCTGCTATTCGGAAACGCAACAGAAGTTCCCAACGGAGCTGTTAGTTACTTGCATCCAGCATATCAAGTATCCAGCTATGTCACCCGGTCATCTTTCTTATCGAACAAAGGTAGTGTGGCAGCAATATATTCTTCAAGTCTCCTGTCATCCCTTGAGCAGAAGCGATTTCCTAGGGATATGTGGGAGTTGCCAAAGATCCCCCAGTTGAAAGAAGACAAGAAGGTGGGAGAGACATACCTCGTTGACCTTGACGCCCTCGAAAAAGGCCACGACCATTATGCATCCCTTTTGGGGATTAAGCTACATGGCCTTTATTCTTCGCAAAACAGGACTCAATACAACCTCACAGCGGAGACTTCATATATCAGACTCCAATGCTCTTTAGCCGACGATCAGTTTAATATTACACCTATTTTTGATCGTGCGGTTATCAGAACCTTGACAGAAAAAGACATTATGGGGGCAATTATTGACATTGAAAATCCACTATCACAGAAAGAGTGGAAAGGCCTTGAAAGTCCACCTCCCCTGCAACTACTTTACTTCATTAAGTGGCAACTTCAGGATGAAGACGGTTATCCCTTGAGTGCCTGGTCAGCTATCAACTGTACCATGGGAACAATTTGGCTTGCAACAGATATCCACTGTGGTCCAACCTCATCACCAACAAGTTGCTATGCTTACCAACAACGCCAGGTCAAGGGCAAAATCTCGTCCAATCATCTCCCAAGACTGATGACCAAGAATCTCGATAGATTCAGGCAAGCGGTCTCCTTTTGGCCACAGGCATCAGGGGATTTGGGGGTTGGCAAGCCATCAGCCACAGAGAATTATATCCTGGGCGAGCGTCATCCCTACGCTGGACAGGACTTCAGGAACTGGACGGCAATGGATCGTTCAATCTTCCCAGAGGAAATTTCCAGCCGACTCACGACTGCCTTCAATACCTTCTGGGACGCTACACTGAACCCCCTTGGACATACCAACGTCACTTTTAGCGCCATGGATGGCAATATCACAACATTTGAGGACGAGTTCAATCCTGAACCTTTCCTGAATTTGACCGCTGCGACTATGACTACGACCCTTGAGGTATATCGTGCCAGCCAATTTTGGGTGGCTATACTTCTTGCAACTACTCTATTTCTTCAGATCCTCGCGATTCTAGGAGTAGTGCTTGAAGCTCTCATAATAGGACCAGGCATTCTTGGATTCGCAAGCTCGTTAACATGAGATAATCCCTATGTACCTCTCCCACGAGGCGGGTCGGGGCGAGGCGGGCCTGAGAGGGCAAGAATCCTTGGTGATCCTCGGTTGCAGCTTGCAGATGTACAGCCTCGAGGGGAGACTGGGTATATTGCTGTTCAATTACCTCCACAGAAGCAACTGGGTACAGATTTAGGGGAAGGCTCAGTACTACCAGCAGCACAGGACGGGGTTGGTGAAGATGTGGTGTCGAGACCGCTTGACCGCACAAGATTATATAGATAGTTTTCGTCAAGGAGGAGAAGTATGAGTCTCTAATAGCAACTATACGTATCACTGATATGAGGATCAAGGTAAGATCACACATTCTGAAGCGATATATAGTTATCTCTAAATGTCATATTTGTTAAAGAGGTTCGAGCAAGTTATGAAACTGTTTCTTTATTATACCCATATTTAACCCTCTATATATTGTTACCGCTCTAGACCTCTATGAGAGGTAGAGGCCCTAGCTAGTGAGCAATTACATAGGTATAAGAAACTTTAAGCCCTTGAAATTAGTAAGTGCGTCTTTGTTTTTATGCACTTAACAAAGCGCCATATGCTCGCCCAAGCTGGAAGACGGCCCTGGTTGTATAGATATAGATGTGTGGCCACAGGATATAAAGCCAGCTCTTTTGAGATTTTAACAAACGCCCTTCCGAAGTGTATGGCGGCGGGCATCGTCTCTGCAAAATGAGAAGGTGAACTTTCACGCCTTGTTGTGATCATTGTTATAAACAGCTATTCGTCCCATGAGGCGATCGCTGCTTTCCACCGGGAAAAGTTTCATGCACTCGCAGGATACCTACAATTGGCTCCTACTCGGGCATCTTTATTTTGTGTAATTGTGCGTAAGGCTGATGTGGAAGTTATCGCATATGGAACTTTCTGTCCATGTCGTTCGCCTGATGTCAGCAGAGAAGCGCATGGATGAATCACTGGCGAATCAGAGACTACACCGTAGATGATCAACATCCAACCTATCGGAATTAGGATTATTCATCGCTTTCAAACAAAGAGGTCATGGTTGGACATGTGATACATAACTAAGTCCCCTACTCTCATTCTTTTTCATCCTGTGTCGTGATAAACGATGGGGCAATGATCGACAGACAGTTTCAGGTATCGCGACATGTCCACTATACCGTCGGACTGTCAGGCCCGGCTGTCCGCAAAATTGGTCTGGGCATGTTATCGTGGGGCTTCTGGGGAGATAACCTCTAGTCTAGCAAAGCTTGTTTTCTATTGGTGATGGTCCGTGGCGTCATGTCAATAGCTTTCACTTTGATAATGTTTTCATACCGCGTAGTAACATGCTTCGTTCACCCAGTATGGTTTTTAATTATCTAACTTGTATTTCAGTTACCGGCGTAATAACTTTCTTCTCCGCGTGTAGATTACAGGTAGACTTGGTCGCCGTTGACTGTCCATTGTGAAGTGGGAACCAACAAGATATCGCTTAACAATCCTTCCAAAGCTCTCCATATACATGAAACAACCTCTCATTCTGCACCAAATCACACAACAGAGATAACAGCTCATTAGCAACAATGACCAATCTCCGTCATTCGAATCATCACATGCATAAGCGCTTCCCTGAACCACAGGCCTCTCATCCCCCAACCAAGACACAACATTCCTTTTTCGGCAATCCCCCTTCAGCCCCTTTAATCAATCTCTCGGGCAAGATGAAACGAAACGAGCAAATTCTCGTTCGCTTGGCGACGTCTTTGGCATTTATTTACCCCGCCAATGGCAGCTCAGATATTTGAAACAGGCCAGCTTAAGGTGCAGGGGTAAATTGCTTATCCTGGCCCTAACTGACATCCTTGTCTGCCTTGTTGCTGTGAGCCTCCACTGAAAGGATCACGCAAATAACCTTCGCCTTCACCTGCAGGATCTGGAACGCAGGCAGTCTGAGACGCTGGAATCCTGGTAAACTTACCTTCCTTGGTTTCTCAGATAATTCTTCCGTTTTGGCTGTTTACGCGGATGTGGCTCGGTTAGCGGGACATTAAGGCCTGCATGGCCGGATCATATCCGCAGATCGACAACAGCCGGGGATGCAAGAAATATATAGCTTCTGAGCCATCGCCATGTAAAGCGCTTCTTCTCTTCCTCAAGCTACGCTTTTTGTCGCTGTTTACCTTCTTTTTTTCTCCCACCGCCAGTCCGGTGTTTTTGTTGCCTTTCTACCGCTCGCGGTAATATTCATTCTTTCACAGACCCTGGTGGTCAACACTGCATTCACTACTCCTTCACTCTCTTAGGACATCCATTCATTCCTCATTTCCCACCGAACGATATACCGACTTCAGTATACAACGATGCGTTTCTCCATCTCTAGCGCAGCCGCCCTTCTGGGTCTCGCTGGCTCAGCCGCCGCTCAGGGCCTTCGATCTTCGGCTTACACCGACCCCAAGACTGGTATTGACTTCCAGCAGTTCTACGACGATGGCTTCACCCTCGGTATTGCCGTCCCCGAGACCCTCGGCAAGGACTTGATTGCTCAGATGGTCTTCCCTCACGACGAGAAGAAGGGTTGGGGTGGTATTTCTTTCCGTGGTGGCATGGTTGGCGGTCTTCTCTTCGTCGCCTGGCCTAACGGTGATGATATCGTCACCAGCTTCCGTCTTGCAAGCTCCTACGCCAATCCTGACGTGTACACCAACAGTACCGTCAAGGCCACCCCTATCCCCAAGGGTACCTGGATCAACAGCACTCACGCCTCGTACACCTTCCTGTGCGAGGGCTGTGTGGATATAAAGGTTACCAGTCTCACTGCTGAGTCTCCCGTCGTTGGATACGCCTGGTCCTCCACCGCTGTCGATGCCCCTGCTGATCCCGAGGCTGCTCTGAACTACCACGGTGCTGGCTTCGGTCAGTTTGGCCTCAACATCAAGGAGGCTGCATCAGCCAAGTACGCCGACTGGGCTGCCATGGCCGAGGAGTCTGCTCCCGTCCCCGCTCCTGCTCCTGGTACTGGTGGTAACGGCACAGTTCCCATCCCTGGAAACTCCACCGTCACTCCTCCCACTACCTCCAACGTCACCTACGATGTCATTGTCGTCGGCGGTGGTCCCGCTGGTATCATCGCCGCTGAGCGTCTTGCCGAGACCGGCGTCAGCGTTCTTCTCATCGAGCGCGGCCCAGCCAACACCGTCGCTCTCGGAAACACTGCCCAAGGCCTCCCCTGGAACAACACCCTGACTCCCTATGATATCCCCGCCCTCGGCAGCAGCCTGGGTAGCATGGCTGCCACCAAGTTCTGCAGTGACACTGCTTCCACTGCTGGTTGTCTGCTTGGAGGATCCAGCTCCATCAACGGTCTTAACTTCATCCACCCTCCTGAGCGCGACTTCTCTCGCTGGCCTAAGGGCTGGGGCTGGGCCGATGTCTCCAAGGCTGCTGATCGTCTTTACGAGCGTAACCCCGGCACCACTCTTCCCTCTGACGACGGCAAGTACTACAATGACCGCACCTTCAAGGTCCTGTCTGGCTACCTGAGCGCCAAGGGCTGGAAGGAGGTTGACTCTATCAAGGAGCCCAACGAGAAGCACCTCGTCTACTCTCGTCCTTCTTGGTCCATCAAGAACAACATGCGTGCTGGCCCTGCTCGTACTTACATGCCCTTTGCTCAGGACCTCCCTAACTTCACCCTCAAGCTGGAGACAAAGGTTATCCAGCCCATTCGATCCGGCAGCAAGATCACCGGTGTCCTCACCCAGGCTGCCGACGGTAGCAAGCAGATCATCAAGGTCAAGGCCGGCGGCAAGGTCGTCCTCGCTGCTGGTGCCATGTCTACTCCTCGTCTTCTCTGGAACGCTGGTATCGGAAAGGCCGATGCTCTCGCAATTGTCAAGGAGGGTGCTGCCAAGACTGGTGTCACTCTTCCCCCTGCTTCTGACTTTATTGACCTCCCCGTCGGACACCACCTCCAGGACCACGCCCAGGTCATGCTCCAATTCAAGAGCAACAGCAACTTCACTGCCTACAAGTTCAACGACATTGCTACCAAGCCTGTTGAGGGTGACTTGGATCTTTACTACCAGGGCTCTGGTCCCATTACCCAGGCTGCCCAGCGAATGCACCTCTGGACCTCCGCCAAGGGCGGCGACGGTCGCGATCGCTACCTTCAGGGTACTGCCAGCGCCATGGCCGACGGCATCATCACTGTCCGCAGTTTCCTGACCCACGGTACCACAACCGTTGGTGAGCTCAGCATTGCCCCCGGTGGAAACACCATTCTCAAGACCAAGCCCTGGTTGATCGACCAGGAGGATCGCAAGGCCATGGGCGACTTCGTCCAGTACTGGCTCGATCTCGTCGGCGGAAGCAACTCTTCCCTGTCTTACATCACACCTGGTGCCACTGTCGACGATATCCTCGCCACCAAGATGATCAGCGGAGACCACTGGATGGGCAGCGCCAAGATGGGTGTTGACGATGGCCGCAAGAGCAATGGCAGCAGTGTTGTCGACCTTAACACAAAGGTCTACGGCACCGACAACCTTTTCGTCGTCGATGCCTCCATCCACCCTGATCTTCCCACTGGCAACACCCAGGCCATCATTATGGTCGCTGCCGAGCACGCCGCTGAGAAGATTGCCGCTATCAAGGTCGGCGGTAGCAATACCACCGTCCCTGAGCCTATTTCTTCTACTCCTACTCCCGTTCCTACTCCTTCCACTGGAAGTAAGTGCAAGCGAAATCTCCACCGTCGTGGTGGTCGCGTGCCCAGGGACTTCCGTCGACGATCGCTCTACTAAGCGATGTCAGCCCCGGCTCTGAGGGGCATTGGTTCAAGATACTGAGCTTTTTCAGTATATCAAATATTTCATGTGTATAGTAAAGAGATTTAGGCAGCTGTAAATAAATAGCAAGCGGTTCATACAAACAAGTTTATCGTCCAGTAGAAAAATGTGTTTTTTTAATCCCTGTAACCTTGATCTATCTCACTGAGAGGTTGGGAATAAGGTTATTCGACCACGATATGCAAGGGTGACACCCAGGGATCATATCGCTAACAATGACGACTGTGTCAGCACTTGATTGCCCCAATATTTCTTCTCATCTTAGACTATCATTGGTCAGATCTGTCTCGGCTTCGCGTTTGCACCAGTAAGAAAATTCGGGATCGGCTTTTTCAAACTCTCCGTCAGCTCACTCAAGCTCCTCAAGTTCGCTATTACACAGCCAGCACGTCCCCCAAACAATCCCTCGGAACGAGTGCGAGCTGAGAATTCCTCTTCGAGATCGACCGTTACACTTCCATTTTTCTTCCACCTGCTTCAGGCCATACATAACTACATCTTGTCTCTCCACAATGGACGTGGACGGGCACGGAGACGACCAGGCCAAGTCCACCCGCGTGGGGTACAAAAAGTCCCGAAACGGTTGCACGCGATGCAAAAAGCGGCGAGTCAAGGCGCGTCAATTGAGTTTGGGCTCATGACTAGTGGAATAGAAGTGAATCAAATCTAACCAAATAATAGTGTGACGAGGAAGTCCCTTGCTCTGCCTGCGTTAGGCACAAAGTCCGCTGTAGTCTGGAGCTCTCAGTCTCGGAATCTGGTTATCAAGATAGATATCCTCGTTCGCTTCAACCACCCACCCACAGCCTATCTGCTGGCAGTCCGTCGTCTCTGTTATCGGGCTCGTTGTTCTCGAACCCACTAGAAGAGCCTGATTGCTGGGTTTCGACAGCTGAGCTTATGCTACACTACACCACCGTCACCTACAAAACCATGGTCTTCTCGGAACGAACTGTTCCCACTTTTCAGCAGCATGTACCACAAATTGCTTTGGCGTACCCATGGTTTCTACGTCAAATATTGGCTTTCTCGGGTTATCACCTTGCGCATCTTCGGCCGGACAAGAGACAGTTCTATCTGCTCCAGGCGTCAAAACACCAGAATGCTTCCATCCGTGGAATAAGAGAAGCGCTTTCCGAGCCGGTAAACTCCAAGAACTGTCATGCTCTATACGCCAGCACCACGTTCATAGTCGTCAACAAATTCGCAGCCTTCCCCAACTGCGAAGACTTTCGCAATCATGGGTGTTCGCAACCTGTTCAAAGCTTGATGGAGATCTTCTCTCTTGTCAACGGGATGGAGGCCGTCCTTCATTCGCCAGGAGCTGCAGACCTTTTCACCGGCCCTCTTCAGGAGCTTTTTTGCGAAACGCCAGAGATGCACGTAAGCAGCTATCTCTTCCGTGGCCTCTCCGCGAGGTTACCCGAGCTAGCTCGTCGAATATCATCAGACTATATGGAAGACCAATGCAGAGCTGCTCTGACCTCGGCCGTTGAGACCATCACCACTTGTGTCAACGACTCATTGACAAGCTTGAACAAAGCATCCCCGCCAGAACTGCGAGGGTTGTTCTGGTGGCCCATGACCGTCTCACGAGATTTCTTGGATCTGGCTGTATCTGGCCATCCGCTGGCTCTTGTCATTCTCGCATATTACGATATTCTGCTGTACTGGGGAGAGTCTGAGTACTGGTTCTTTGAGAGCTGGGCGGAAACACTCATCACCGCCATTGTGGAAAAGGTCAAGGGATCGCCCTGGGAAGACCTGCTGAACTGGCCAGTTGAGGTCATCCTGCATCGTTAGTGAGCGCACGTGGGGCGAGCCTCTGTTTTATTGACCTTGTTTTGAACTAATACAAAGCTTTGGAATATGCTTTTGAAATGCTTGACTTCCTAATGGTCACCGCCATTACCAAACTGGGCCGTGCCGCCCCGTGGCGTCGCGTTGCTGCTGACGATCAGCTGAATTCTCCATCAAATTATCTTAAAGTGCCGATTATGTGCCTGCTAACCCATATTAGCTCTCTGTAGCTAGCCAGATTAAACAGGCTGACCCGGTTTCCCGTCAGATCTTGTGGGGTTAGTGTCCAATTGAATAAGCTACAAAACAAATAGCGTTGATGTTTCCAGGGATGCCTCGATTTGTGACGTGAGCGGCTGGTCGTGGGGCCGCCTTGTAGCCTCTGATACGCTTTGGGAATATGGGACACAAAGCCTAGTGTCTGTGCGTTGTCTCTTGCATGTGAAGAATCTGAGACTGGATACCATAAACTGCGAGGAAGATTGAGTTGAGACCCTTTGAGACGCCCTTGCGTCATATTGACTTGGAAACGAGTTGATCTTCAGTCTCAAAGGCAGGGCGCCACATATAATATGGTATATGACACAAGTGGTCCCTTCACCTAGTTTCCAGGCCTCATATTCAGGATAATCTTCCACCATTATGGGTGACGACGCTTCTAGCCGCAATCAAACATATGGCATCCAGGGTCTTCCCAGGCCACCGCATGCCACACGACATCCTGGACAGATACCTTGCGTTCCAGGTTTGCCAGTCCGCAAAGAGATATCATCTCTCGCCAATTCAAAAGATCCAGAAGAGATAAAACAGTGGACGCTCTTCATCCTGGCAATAGAGAGGTTCAAGCGTATGCCTGTGGACGACAAGTTATCTTACTTCCAAATCGCCGGTATTGTAAGAGCCTCGCTAGCTGTACATCAGAACATCCTACTAACTCCCAATGAAGCATGGCTACCCAGAAGTCGCCTGGGATGGAGATCCTCAACCAAGAACCGCACCTAATGCCGAGACTAAGAGACCTGGGGATCAGCCTTTTGGTGGTTACTGCAATCACAATAGTCTTACTTTTCCAACGTGGCACAGACCTTACATGCTGCTATTTGAGGTACCCGTGGCTTCCATCCTCTCTTTCACGCATGCTTACACAAATAGCAACGGGTTTGGGAAACCATGCAACTCGTTATCGACAATTGGGTGATAGAATCTGGACTTTCTGTCTCGGATGCAGAAGATTGGCATGCAGCAGCAGATACTTGGCGGATGTCGTACTGGGATTGGGCTCGGCGTCAAGATTATGGCGAAGATTTAGTCCTCCCACAAGTCCTCACCCAAGCTACGGTTCGCATATCCCCACCAGATGCTGTACAAAACCACTTTTCTGCTGATGGTCTATACCCGAATCCGTTGCTGGGCTTCGAGAACCCTGATAAAAATCAAGAAACTGGGGAACCGCTGCCTTTTGGAAATTTGCCTGGGTTCAAATCGACTTGGAACATCAAAGACAACCCTGCAGTGCATGATGAAATTCCGCTCAAGGAAGATTGTGATTGGGCACCTGTAAGTGCGTCAACACTCGTGCATAGCTCGAGTACTGACATGTGCCCAGTGGAGCAAAACATCCGGCACCAGTCGCTATGGTATCTTCAGAGCAAAAGACGTATCAGAAGCAGAAAAGGACCCCTGTCGTCACTTTACCGGACTTCACGGAGTGAGTAACTGCTCTCAAGCCAACCATAGACTTGCAACTGTCCACCAGAACGACCCAGATGGCAAGTCGCGGTGGGGAACTATAGAAAGCTACTCCAAAGGTCAGACATGGAACCCCGGAAGCCTTGCAGATGCTGTCAATCGCATGTTTTCCAGGGGTTACAATTCAACTTGGGGCCATTTCGCCTCTACAAAGTGGATCGCTGAAAGCGAAGACTGTCCTGAGACGGGATACATATCTCTGGAGTATATCCATAATAATGTGCATGTAAGTCAACTGTGGCGATTTGGTGGAATTGACTAACTTGACTTGCAAGAATTTGACTGGAGGAAGTGATTACGTCGCTGGGATGGGTCATATGAGCGATGTGCCAGTGGCAGCCTTTGATCCTATCTTCTGGCTCCATCATGTGTCAGTTCCCCTTAAAACATGCTATCTTAATCACACTGACTTTTCGTAGTCAAATAGACCGTCTACTAGCTATCTGGCAATGTCTCTACCCAAACCTGTGGTTCGATAAGGAACAATCGGAGGTATCAGACCCAGTCAACTTGAAAACGCCAAACGTCGTCGATGACAAAGAAACAGACCCTCTCGAGCCCTTCCACAGAAAAGATAACGATCCTGAGAAGGAAGTCTGGACTTCTCAAGCTTGTCGTGATTGGACAGATATGAACTACCAATACGACGATCTGGCCGAGTTGGCACAGGAGATTGTACGCAAACATGGAGAGTTTGATGAGGAAGAGTACAGGAACGAATTACACGCACATATCGACAACTTATATCCCGCGACCGGACATTTAATACAGTCTATGATGAAGCATCAGAATAGTCCTCAAGGCCTCCAAGCAAGTTATGCGGATACCGAATCATGGAACGATTATATCATCAATGTAGTGTACGACCGATACGCTATGGACGGGTTATCTTACACAATTGAGTTCTTCCTCGGTCGACCCAAGAACGAAAACAGCACCCACTTCGACAGACATAACTACATTGGCCATGTATACTCCTTTGGCGGAAGACTTAGCTCACCAGAAGGTTCCTGCAGTAATTGCAAGAGTCAAGCCGAGGAAGAAACTCTCTCTTGTGCACAGATTCCTTTGACGATACATCTACTTCAACATGTCAAGGATAACATCTTGGATCATCCAATTGCAGATTTGTGTCAAGTTGAGGACTATCTAAGACTGCATCTGCGGTGGAGAGTTGTCAAGTACGGCGGCGAGGTGATGCCTGACGATGTCTTTGAGAGTAAATTCTCCAAAACTCGGATCTCGGTCTTACGGGGTCTTGGCAGTAATGTCGATCTTGAGACTGCACCAATCTCTGACGAGACATTTGATCCCATGGACTCAAGGCCTGGTTTCTCAACGGTATACAGCAACTACACGTTTATACCGGAGGCCACCGACGGAAAGCCAGGTGGTCTACAGATGGGAGAGAAGGATCTATCTAGTCAATGGAGTGATGTAGGATCACCAGTGAGAGAACGCCTAGGAGGAAGACAAGGCATCCGTGCGCATCTCTAGATTCCGCATATCCCGTGTTACTTTTAGTCATGATGCTGAGAAGATCGGCATTTGGTCTTGAATCGAGTGATCGACAATGCATAGACGCGGGCTGTGCCGTCTGGGCTAAGTCATCTGAGCTGACTTGATCTTATCTTACCGCAATATTAGTCTCAGCCTCCACATTTGGCACTACCTCGATCTTATCTAATCGCAATATTAAGCCATGAATTGTGTCCCAAAATGTCCATTAAGAAATATCATGACGAAAGTCTTCGTCTTAAGCGTTGTATCCCCAGCCTTCACATATGCCTAAATGACGATCACAATTACCGGGACACTAGTGTGGCAGCCGCCAAGGGAGCAGAGCATTGGTGCTAGTTGGTTAACACATACTCCTTTGGCATGGTGATCGTGACTAGATGACGTCCTCATGGTTTGATCCCAACGCGTGAAACCTTGTGCAGGTACTGATGAAGCGCTTGATAGCTACATCCGTACGAGGAAGATCGCAGTTGTTTATGCTTTTCATACCTCAAATGGTTATTCTCAATAGGTAGTTAATTGCGGAGTATAGAGAGAAGGATTTCACAAATGATGCCCTGATTCTGTGAGGATTTTGAAGTGCAACTGCGAGGGTTGTAACACCTGTGCGGATGTATGTGTGGCGGGGATATAAACTTTATGAGCGATCCTTCGGCTTGCATGAGTGGATATGAATCCTACATGGGCGATCTCTCGTCTTCGGCAGGGCGGTCACGGTGGTGAATATGATGAATCGAGATTGATATACTAATAAACTAACTGTCTGCACATCTATAAAACCTGGCTTGAACCCGAAGAAAGAAACATAGAAGCAATTCACTCAACTTATTCAACGCACTCAACTCACTCTTTGGCTTCTAAGCAACCATACTATACCGACAAGATCATCTCCTTACTTGACATCATCAACAAACAACATCTTCAACCATGAGACTTTCAACCATACTAGCTCTTGCTCTTCCAACAGCCCTGGCTTGGGACCAAAAATGCGACTATCGGCCTATCAACGGCGGTAACACACCGGGAGAAAACGCAATCGGATGGACAATTACTGGAAAGGACATCGGAGATGAAGTTGCCGGGGATGCATTTTGCAACGGCATCAGGGATAATCTGAATTGTGGCACACTCAACTGGGATTGTAAAAGTGATGGTAATCGAGGCCTGAAACTGACATTTGTCACGTCGGAGTTTTGCACCGGGAACAACATTGATGATGCTTGGTGGTTTGCCACCAAGAATGGATTTGGCCCCCTTTGTTGCAAGTCGGGTCCTTGTTAAGTGGCCTCCTACTCGAAACCACTACCTGCTGCAACTCAAACACCTTCACGGAGTAGAAGATGGGAATCTCGCAATGGAACAAGTCTAGTCATATCGTGTTATTTGGTTTCGGGATCCATAGCTGTCGAGGGAATACAATCCATGTGAATAGCACGAAATGGTCATTTGCGATTTGAAGAAATACACAATCAGTGTTAACCCCGTAGTTTCAATCTTGAACTCTTGCATCCATTTTCCCCAGTCTAAACAATCCTGGAGAAGGCGAGAATTGGATCTGTCATATATGGTAGGGATAGGCTAGATCTATAAGCGTGATGGATATTTTTATGATCACAAGCCTCAAGCCATATGCGTGACTCTTGGTCACTCGAATATTCTATCATATTGACTAGATTGAGGGATACTGGCTCTCCAATCTTGAACTTTTCAATCTCCCGTCGAGCTTCTTCTTGCGCCAACCGGAAATTGTTCATTCGTCGTCTGGAATCCTGCTCTGCATCTTTTTCGACCTAAGCCTTATGCTCACGACATTTCTCAGCCTCTTCGTGCACGGCGCGCTCAATACGATATTCTCTAACTCATTTGTTCAGCTGATCGATCTATTTATTTAATTACTTGATCAACTCCTCGTGTCCGCTTAGTTTGGCTCCCATAACATCAAATTGGATATTTGGATCATTTGAAAAGACAGATATGTTTCTAGTTGTGGCATACCGAAGCGATATGAACCGCCGTAACTTATTGTTGATATCATTGAGAGATTTTGAAAGCCTGGGCTTGATAAAGTCGAAGGCTAAAGCAAAGAATGAACCGTCGTAACCATGCTGCCACTCAGTACTTCTTAGACACTTGAACCAGGTAGTAGATATGAATCAGGATGCGACTAAATGCCTGACCTACAGTGTGCTGGAGGAAGACACGAGATCCGCGCGCATCTCCAACTTCCGCACATCTCGTATTGCTTACATTTATGCGGTTAAAAGCAGCGGCACTTGCATTTGAGTTGATCGACTGCGCATAAGCACGGGCTGTGCAGTCTGGGCTGTGTAATTGGCACACCTTGTCTGGCTCTTATTGGATGGGATGAGATGAGGATCAGCTGGCCTTGGCGCTCGGGCGATCGGCCGTAAATCAACGGAATTTTCAGATGATTTCAATTCAGCTAAAGGGAGGCTATTCAGAAATGGGATCATTTGATATATAAACGGTTAAAGCGCCTAGAATGTACCTATCCATACATCGCCCAACAACCCGCTCTGGATTTTCCTTTGTTCTTGAGCGCCTTGCATATTTCCTTGCTTATGTTGTAACAATTTAGAATTCTCTGCCGCGCCCGCTGAGACAAAGCGTAATCTTACATGGCAAACTAGGGAGATGATCCTTCGGCTGGTCGGGAAAGCAATATTACCTCCGTACTGCACAACCTTAAGTACAGAACCCTCCATCATTTTCTCTCCCTTCTGTTAGTCTTTATTCGCAGTCCATTCGCAGCTCAACCCCAATTCCAATCATGGAGCCCAAAGAAAACAACAACGTCCCAGCTATGAGCGAGAAAGCCGGAACGTCGGTGACTCGGCCACCGCCACTTCTCTGCTTAGGCGCCCCCCGCACTGGAACAGCTTCACTCATGGCCGCTCTCCAAATTCTCGGATATCCAAACGTACATCATGGCTGGGACGTCTCTGAGTCTGAACATCTTCAATGGCAATGGCCTATCTTTAACAAAGCCTGCGACGCGACTTTTTCAAACATCCCAACCTACAACGGCAAATCATTTTCGCGCGCTCAGTGGGACGAGGTCTTTGGGGGCTATGATGCTGTCTCGGATGTCGCGTCGTTCTTTGCGGAATCGTTGATCCCTGCGTATCCCGACGCGAAAGTCATTCTTGTGGAACGTGATATCGAGAAGTGGCTCCCCAGCATGCGCACCGTAGTCGAAGGCTCGGGGACTGCAACAAAACGAAAGATTGGGATTAAGGTCGGGAAACTGTCCGGGTATACCAGCCCCGAGCCCTGCTACAAGATGCACCAAGGCTGGTCGGGATCTCCATCTCCGGACGACGTAGCTGAGCATCTCAAGTCAGCATATGTCCGACACAACCAGTACATCAGGGACAATGTTCCGGCCGAGAGGCTTCTGGATTACAAGCTCTCAGATGGATGGGGGCCGCTGTGTGAATTCCTGGGAAGGGAAGTTCCTGATGTTCCTTTTCCGCATCTCAACGACTCGGCGGAGTATGCGGTTAGGGGCAAGCGGCTGGGCAACAAGATGATCAAGCGTGCTCTACGAAATGTTCTATGCCCCTGCTTTCGTTGATTCCTAGGTTACGTGGTAGCTGAAATTCGGGATTGGTGGGCTTAGTGAGCATTCGGATGTGCTGACAGCCTGGGTGGTCTAGGGAGGGGTTAAAATTGCAGTGCAGACAAGTTTGGGGCTGCAAACAAGGTTGTTGGCCGTAGCCAGGCTGTGAGCACTATTAGGAGGGTTTGGTAAGTGTTAAGATGTGCAGACAGCCTGGGTGGCCTTTCGGAAGGGGCTAAAATTGCAGTGAAGCTTCTACGCCGACTGGGGGCGATGTTTGGTCGTCGCAGATATGCCTAATATGCCATACTAATCTATCCAATAATATGCTAGACATACAACCAAATATACATACGCTTCACATTTTAATAACCCAACCTCTCCCGATTATAGGTTAGCCCTCTCTGACAGACTGGACCGTACAGCCACGGCAGCTCGTGTTCCTTCTTCGATGGCACCATCAATGAAACTACGCCATCCAAGCGCCCAATCGGAACAGGCAAAGATGATGTTGCCCTGAGTTGCTCTCATATCACCAAGATGGTCTGTTAGTAAACCAGGTCGTGGGAAAAACCTTGGAATTTGTTAGCACGATAGCCACGGGGGAGTGTATTTCACTTACCATGCCCCTTTTGCGAATTCATCCTTAGACCAGTTATGGAAGACCTGAAATTGTGTTAGAATACGTGTTTGTGGGTACATCATCTTCAACTTACCAAACGCTTGACATCCATTGGGGCAAAACCTTGGAACGCAGAAATAGTCTTTTGGATATCCTCTTCTGGGTGAAAATGGTTGTGCTGGCCACCAAATGCCACAATATGAGTGTTCCCAGCCGGGGTAGTACCATCGCCAAACCCGTAAGACAGCTTGTTGTGAGGATAGCTTATACTCGTCATAGAACGAAGATCCCGATCTGAAACCTCAGCATGAACTTTGATACACTGATTGACATGACCGATATCTGCTGCTGCCTTCTTCCCTGGGATTAGAGGGGGATCAAACGTCACGTCGTTCAGGATGTTGAGTGGTATGGCACTGATCATCTTGAGCGCTCTGAACTTTTGCCCCCCGCAAGTTGTGACTTCGACACCGGTAGGTCCGCTCTTCACCGAAGCAACCGGTGTGTTGAAAGAGTATGTCAGATTGCCAGTTGCCAAAGCCTCTTTGAAGAAGCGAATAGCAAAGCTCGATTGACCTCCTCTGAACTTGTATTTGATGAGGTATTCAATACAGCCCTGGTAAGTGAATCCGCATAAGGCCCACCAGTGTAGAAATTCGTAAAAGCTTGTCGTTTCTAGCGTGCCGCCGCTGCAGAGCAGCACGAATGCCTCCAAGCAGATGCGTTCGTTATGCGTAAGGTCATTTTTAATCTCGGCGAGACGGTCTGCTATGGACATACGGTCGTATTTAGCGGCAATTGGGCCAAGGTTGGCAGTATGAGGAAACATAAACGCCTCTCGGGCCCCTTGGCCGTCGATGTTTACCAGCTTCTCAAGACCGCTCTGCATTAGTTGATCCTGGTTTATGTCAGTCTCTGGCGGTATACCAAGCCCAGAAAGTACTCACCTCTTCGTCATGAGTAAACTTCTGCGTGCCTTCAGGCGTGACAAGAAGATATTGGTTGATGCCTCTGGAGAAGTCGTAGGTGAGCTCAAGCTCATCCTGCATGCCGTATCTTGAGATCTCACGCCATACGTTGGCTTGTCCCCAGTATACCCAGGTTCCGCCCATCTCGTATGGGTAGCCCTCGATGTTGGAACTCCATGAGCGGCCACCGATGCGATCACGAGCTTCGACGAGTAATACTTTGAGACCTGAAATGGTTGTTAGTGAGCAAGTTGAAGAAGTGTGAAATGCGGTTGTTCGACACGCACCAGCAATGCTTGCGTCGCGAGCTGCAGTCAAACCACAGTATCCAGCGCCAACAACAATCACGTCAAACTTGGTGTCTTTGTTGGTCAGGTTGTTGGGAGGGCTGATGGCACCAATACATGGAACACCAGCCTTTAGACCTTGGGACTTAGTCCACGAGAATCCGTCCTTGGAGGACATGGTGTGATGGTGCTTGATGGTCGTGTTGGTGTAAGTAGGCGCCGCAGGGACGAAGAGCAGTCTGTTCCCAGTTATCGTAATGTCTAGGCTGGCGACTAATCGAGGCTATGTAGCAGCGCCACGCAACAGAACAGAACTATCAAGAGCGAGAATAAGTAGTTACTGTTCCACGAGTATCAGAGGACGGCTACTCGTTTTATCCTCGGGCCGTGTTGAGTTCATATCAGTTCATGTCGACAAGACAACCGAAATGACTACCCGAAGAGGAAGTTTCCAGAGAAGATAGTATCAATCACGCATCTTTATCAAACAGGTCCATGACACGAAAGGATTTCAACAGGGGCGATAACTGATATCTTGATCTTTCCAATATCGGTTACCCAAAGAGGCAATTTCTCGAGAAAACCGCCCATCCAGGTCTTCCCCCGCAATACGCTAGTCAGTGATGTCAAGGGAGTCCCCAGCAACCAACAAGGTTTCTGATAACCATTGTTTGTAGCTGATAATTGGATGGCGTCGAGCTAGACTCTTGGCCATGTGTCTATCCAATCATGTAAGTTACTTTTCTCGAAAGATTTCCGCATGCGGTAGTTTCAGTGGATCGTATCGACGTCCGAGAACCTGGGGTAGATCAAAGTCTAGTGCGATAGGCTATCTGAGCATTCCGGCAGTTTGGACGACCTGCGATAACATATCATCCAGAGTATCGTTGTCTTGTCTTGGTCGGCAATTGAAGACTATCACAGCGAGCACTGCACTACTGTGTGAGGTCGGATAAGCTACTACCCCTTTCCTTGCATTGGCTTATCGACGCGTGTGACGCTTGTGCTACCGTCCCAGAGCCTGATCTACCTCTGGTACCCCATTCATGTGACCTCTGGTTATCTATATGACTCCAGGTCGCTCCTCAATAACACCTTGTCTATAGTAGTGCATCTTCTATCTTGGAACAGCACAACATGACAACCTCAGAGATGATGTCGACCACGAACGAGGGCACTCTGCAACAGCGCCTCTCGACCTTGACCATGGTCGCCATGGCCTTTGCCATCCTCAAGTAAGTCGCACTCTACATGTTTGTTACGTGCTGCTTGTACTAACCCTGTATCAGCACATGGATCGCACTCGCAGGCTCCATCGCTTATATCCTACCGTCTGGCGGCTCGGTTTCCTTCATATACGGCTTCGTCTTCTGCGTTATCTGCAATCTGGCCCTTGCTGCCAGTCTTGGAGAGCTCGCCGCGATATGGCCTACAGCTGGTAAGAAGATACCGAGGGACCTTTACACATAAGACATTTTGGTTCTTAGACAGACTCTGACACCACTGCAGGAGGACAATACCACTTCATGTACGCCCTGTGCACACCACGATGGAAACGCTCCATGGTACGACTTCCTCCTTTACCAGGCAAACGATCAACTAATAGTCCCCAAGAGCTTCTTCGTAGGGTGGACAAACATTGCCGGGTGGTTGACTATTGTGACTACTCAAGCCTTCTTTGCTGGTAGGTTACAAGATAAATCTCTTATGCTCGTCCACATACTGACTTCCGTAGCCCAATTGGTCTCTGCAGCGGCAGTCGTGGCCTCGAACAACGCTTACGAGGCTACTGCGTGGAAAACATATCTATTCTTCATCGCCATCCTCTCCTTTGGAACAGCAGGGAATATCTGGGGGAACAGAATCCTAGGTCGATGGAATGACCTTGCCTGTAAGAAAGCCCTGTATCTACGAGGCGCGTCGGCTGATTGACATGATAGTGTATTGGTCCGTTCTGGCCGTCGTCATCATCAGCATCATTCTACTTTCCATGTCACCAAAGACAGATGCCCGACAGGTTTTCACAGAGTTCAGCAACGAAACCGGCTGGCCAGACGGAGTTGCCTGGATCCTCGGCCTACTCCAATCTGCTCTGTCACTTATTGGGTTCGACGTTGTTCTGCATCTTACCGAAGAGATGCCTAACCCGTCGCGAGATGCACCACGAGCCATGATGTTGGCGATTGTTATTGGTGGTGTCACGTAAGTTGCCCATGCAAGTACACTGGCTCTGCTAACATTTCTTAGTGGGCTAGTCTTCATCCTGGTGCTTCTCTTCTGTTTAACAGACCCAGCGACAATCCTAGCAACTTCCACCGGGATGCCCATCGTGGAATTATTCCTGCAGAGCACAAAGAGTCGCGCAGCTGCGACCATCTTGGCACTTATGCTCAGCATCTGCTTCATCAACGGTACCTCAGCCAGTATCACCAGCGCCAGTAGACTGCTCTACGCCATGGCCAGAGACAACGGTATCATATGCCACAGATACTTTTCTCATATTTCGCCAAAACTTAACGTCCCAGTTAGGACGATCATGCTCTGCTACGGCTTCAATATTTTGTTCGGGCTTTTATACCTGGGGCCTACTGTGGCATTTAGCGCTTACATCGCCTCGTGCACCATATTCCTAAACGTCTCATATGCTGGGCCTGTTGTTGCTCTGCTCGTGAGAGGACGAGGTATTCTCAAGGAGTATCAAACAAGAACGACACCTGCAAGGATGGGTTTGAGGACAGGTGCAGTTGCCAATGTCGTTTCGGCCGCATTCGTGGTTGTCATCACTGTTGTAAGTCAGAAGATTGAGCGTGTTTGTATCGTTCTCGACTAACTGTCTATAGTTCTTCTGCTTCCCTGCCGGCCTCCCGGTCTCTGCCAACACAATGAGTAAGTAGCCTTTGCCACCGCAGTTTATCAGACTCTAACTTGTTTAAGATTACGTCTCCGCGGTTGTTGGTGGATTCTATCTCCTTCTTGTTATATACTGGGTTGCCCTTGGCAAGAATTTCCAAGGCCCTGTAAGTTTTCGTTCCTGTGACGAAGTATTACACGTCCTAATCTGTTGTGCCAGAACTTCGAAGCGATTATTGGACAGCCTTTACAGATGAAGGTGGGAAATGATACGGATACGGTGCAGGAGAAGGTTGATTTGGCAACGAAGAGTCAGGCTTGAGTGGTGGCAAAGGAATATGGTATCTATTAGGATCGCAATTGTAGTAAAGGCCTCTTCAATGTCTGAATGTAACATATTTGATACCTGAAAGAGTTTTAAAACATGTAATCACAGGATGTCTCAAGAAGAGTCGAGGTGTAAAAGAGTAGGGAGCCTTGGCTGACCAGACTAGCTACACTTGGCGACGCAGCATGCTCATTACCTACCTTGCAACAGGACGGTGTTCAAGAACTACAAGTACTTTCAAGGTCAGGTTGCGGCGGTCTAAACTTTTCAATATCAAATTCACAATTCACAATTCACAATCACAAAGTCTGGCAAGAAGCAAAGTCTTGAAACGTAATGTTCTAGTGGGTATATTTAAATAGCGGATCTAGTCATCCAACTATCACAGAAATAAAGCAGTTCATACCATGTAAATGGTCAACATGCTATCGCTAACATCATCCTCCAGCCTTTTCAAGCACTCATAAACGCATTAACTAGCCAATTATATAGATTACCACTCAGCACCGGGGAGAGCGATCTCAGTTCCCTTGAAAGAACCGCTGACCTTTCCGAGCTCGAGAGCGGCGTTGATGACACCACCGAAACCCTCTCCAGCGATCAAACCAGCAGCGATAGCGAAAGCGTGCATCTCGTAATGGTTGTTGAAGAACTTGCGCCACCACCAGGCAGTGATGGAACCGAAGAGAATGGCGTTGGCGTAGCCGGAGTCGGGGCCGAGAACCCAGGCGACACCGACGGACATCCAGTTGGGGAGCCAGTCACGGTACTTCTCACGGGAGCCGACGAGCCAGAAGTGCTTGACGATGGCCTGGATAGCACAGAGGATACCCATGGCGATGGAGAAGTAGGCGGAGGACTTGGGAATGGGGATGCTGGGCATGGTGACAGCAGTGGCAACAGCCTGCCAAGCAGCAACGGAGGGAGCGGCGAAGGGGCAGATATCAGCGGGGTCGTCGCTGGGCTTGTAGACACAAGGGTAGGCAGACATGAAGAGGACGAAGATACCGGGAGCCAGGAAGACGGAGACGAGAGTACCCATGGCCTGGGCGTAGAACTGCAGCTTGGGAGGGGTCTTGAGGAGGAAACCAACTCGGAAGTCGCTGACAAGGGAGTTGGCGACGTCGGCAGTACCGGAGGCGATGTTACCGGCGACAAGGTTGATTCGCTGAGCGGCCTTGACGTCGAAGTGACCCTTGGTGATACCACCGTAGACGAGCTGAGAAGCCTTGGCGGAGGCAGTAAGAGGAGCACAATCGGTGACAGCGCCACCGTAGATGGACATGAAGGCGAAGATAACACCGAGGATACAGGCGAGGAAAGCAAGGCCAGCGTTCATGTGGAACTGAACCTCGGTGACAATCATGGCCAGGACGAGGGCGAAGATGGTTCCAGTGACCCAGACCCAGGTAGGGACCTGCTCGTTAGCGGAAGCAAAGTCCTCAACACCACCATCGGCATCGGCCTTGGCGGCCTGCTTGGCGAACCAGGAGTTGTGAGAACCGCGGGCGACAAGGCGGTTGTTGATGGAGCGGGCAGACTCGCGGACGGCGAACTTGACACCGTCCCAGACAACCTTTCCGTGGAGGAAGAACTCAATGAGGGAGTAGACCATGAGGACCATGACACCGGGCCAGAGCATCCAGTATCGGGGAGAGGGGACGTAGCCAGGCTTATCAACACCGGTCATAACGCTGAATCGAGTGATGCCTTCCCACTTGCCCTCACCAACCTCGATACCAATGCACTCGCCGTAGTGGACAAGGAGAGGACCGATCAAACCCCAAGCAACAACGGTACCTCCCCACCAAGAGAAGGCGGCGTTGAGACCGACGAGGATACCGGAGCCGAAGAAAGCGGGAGTCAGCTGGATGTACCAGCCCCAGTTCTCGGGCTGGAGGAGACCAGTAGCAGTGTATCCGGACCAGACGTAGAACCAGGTGAAGATGTGCCAGTTGTGGAGGATACCGTCGGCGTACTGTCCAACGCAGATGATGAGAAGGGCAACGATGAAGGCAATGCCGAGAGACTTGATCTTTCGGACGGCATCAGCAGCACCGGAACCAACAGCGTGCATGGATCGGATGGTCATGGCAGTGGCGGTGGGCGTGGGGAAGACAAGGTTCAGCTCGCGCGCAACGTTGATGATGAAGAAGCGTCGGAGGGGAACAGCAGCGAAGAGACCGAAGAAGGCGCAGACGAGGGTGATGGTGAGGATGCGGCCGAAATCCTTCTTGGGGTCGTCGGAGAGCAGGTCGAGACGGTACATGGCGGGGAGACCGGCGACGAAGACACCGGACATACCACCGGCGCCGGTGGCGGCGGCCTGGACGATGGAGTTCTCCTGGGGACCGAAGCGGCCGCCGAGGAGAGGGACGTTGGGCAGGGCCTTGGTCAACATGAGGATGAAGCCGTAACCGAAGATGGCGCCGAACATGGTGGCGGGGAAAGTGAAACCAGTCTTGAGACCTGTGCAGCTGTTAGAAGACTCATACTGAGAGTTGTTGACGAAAGGTTGAGCGTGGCATACCGAGGTAGACGTTGGAAGCGTTGACGAGAGAACCCAGCACGATACCGACAATGACGGCACGGGCAGTCAGAGGGTTGGGCTCGTGCTCGACGCCCTTGGAAGGCGGGAAGCTGGAGAAGAGATCGGTGATGCGATCATCCTCGCTGTCGGCCTCTGACTTGAGGTCGAGGTCGATATGAGGCTCCTTCTCATCGTAGCCCGGCTGGAGGGAGTCCTCGGGGACGCGGTCGGGGACGACGGTTTCGGCGACCATGATGGGCAGTTTTTTCTCTTTGGTGTTTCAAAGAAAAGAAATGCTTTGAGAGGCTGTGGTACGGACTGCTGTTCTCAAGAAGGAGAAAGCGAGAGTCGAGTGGGCATCAGAGTCTATTTATCTCTCTGTGACAGTGGCAAGCAGATGCACGCATGTAGTACAGTAGAGTACCATTGTAACAACCCCATGCCTGTCTACCTGTGTCTGTCTGTCTCTCCCCCAGACAATGGCCGAGTCACTTTGCAGATAGTGGCACTTTTGGCAACACCACCCCCGAATGCAGCAAGTCTACGGATATCAGTGTCCCCTTGTCCACATACGAACGTTGATCCCGAGCGCTGGGGCAGGGGGCGGGACTTTTTGTTCGATTGCCCCCCAAACCGAGAATAGCAAGAGAACAAACGGATCTTTTGAGTTGGGTCTTCCCAGCGGGATGGAATAGGTTCCACAGCGGAAAACGGTGTGTTGCAGCTGCTAAGTTAACTGCCTTAGTCAACAGGTAGGGGAGCTTATCGTCCCGGCGATCGGCGAATGAGGTTAGCGAAAAAAGAGCAATTGCAGTTGGGAGCTGCCAAGTTGGGAGTATTATCGGCCATTGCAACATTGAACTTTTGTGCATGAGCCAGCCCCCTAACATTCACTGTTCCAACCACTGGAGGACTGTTCGACCAGGGGCCATGGAACAAGCTCCACCCCCAGATAGTGAGCGGGTGGCACCGAGAGATACTGGACGCCACATGTTACATCTCCTTTTACATTTTACCTTTTACAGGGCCTGCGGATGCAAAGCCTAACGTTAAAAGGTTTATTGTTATGGTTATCAGTTGACAGAGAGGGTGGCTAGTGATGCATCGGCGAGCTGTGATTCGTGAGTGGTGGAATTGTAGGTGTTGATCGCAGCGCACCATTGCCCTATAACCGTCCACAGAACACTAATCTTCAGTTACAGCACCTCAACCCTTGCCCGGCCACTATCGCCGAAACATTGCAATTTACCCGAAAATCCCCATGCGCATCTCATCTCATCTAGACCTGTCTCTCTCTGTATTGCCCCAGACAAATCTCCTGACACGTTCCGATAACGCAGCTCCCATATCCATATCACTACCGCAATATCCCAGAGACAATAAGTCCTCCCTCCCAATTACCTACAGACACTTATTAACAAAACAGGCTAATCATCAAACTTATCAAAAGGGCCACCCCAAAGCGTACAGTGTCTCCGCGACAGGCCCGGTTGGGGAATATGCTCCCCCTGGTCGGGCCAATCATCTCGGGGAACCTTTGTTATGCTTGGCGCTCGCTGCTCGCTTTTGCGGAGACCTTTTGTCTAGCGGCGCTTTCCTGGTTTTGGTTTTGGAGAAGGGCCTTTTGGTGCGTCTATCACTGTAATATCTCCAACATTATCTGTCTTCGTGGGGCAAAAGGGCAAAAGATGGGGACTTTGTTTCCCGACAGCGGAACTGAGTGTGACTGTGAGTCGAGGTGAGAGTAGACCCTACCAAGTGTTGGGTTGGTCTGTCGTCTAGATAAGGCCATGGAGGATCTGATGTTATCCTAGTCATATGTAATCAGGCTATCAAAAGTGAGACTGTCAATTAGTCTACGATGTTTATCGGATCCGATCATGTCATTACAAAATCCACCAGCGTCATTCATGTCCATCACAGTTACGTTGCAGCCTCAGTGTCCGTAACAGCACATGCCTTCAATTAATTAAATTTCCCTTATTTACCTACTGCACTGCACTGGCCCATCGTGTTTCGCCTCCCCCGCATTATTCCACTAGAAGTTAAATTGACGGGACGTGATTCCGCGCTTCAGTGCCGAGGTCAGGAACCGCAAAGGTCCAAGGTCAGGGAAGGGAACCTTGTGTCGCTTTACATCTCTTGGTCTCGGATGATCTGCCCTGCTCTATCTTGGCTGCTTGGCTCCTTGGCCTTTTTCTACACGAATCACCTGGTGCGGCCACAACGCGGACTTTTGTCAAGACTTAGATGGCAGCCGCAGCCGCTATACCCAATTCTGTTCCGCGAGGTTTGACTCCTTCAGCGCGCCCTTTGTGCGGGTTTCGTTGTGTTGGTTGCTGTGTAATCATGCCATTTGTTCAGGTGAAATGCCCCGCTGGGAACCAACAGACGATACACGCCAGCTGTCGCGATCGTGATGCTATCTCCCAGCTTCTAAATCTGTAGAGCTTATTAACCAAAATACCCGCCGATTTGAAATCCCAATCCTCTCCCACCACCTTCAACCACAAACATACTAATCCCTGATACCGTCACATGCGACACATCCCATTTAGCAAAATCGGCCTTGCCCATTGTCGATCATGTTCCCAATAGCTGTAACATGGTATGCACCGAGGTTCTGGAAGGTCGCTGATACCGACAAGATTGGTTCTGCATGTAGGGTAGATCAACAAGTTGCCACTGTAGAGTATTTCCAGGATGAGGGATTGAAGGGTCGCATCTCGGTAACGGCACGATAGCCAAGACTGAGGCGAAACGGTCAGTCGGGTATCCTAAACGGTCGCGCTGTCGTTATCAACGGTTTGCCACGCGAGAAGGGCTATTTTCGTGTCTGGGCGGATGCTGGGGTTTGGGAATCCCTGCCCGGCTTAGACGCGATGTCAGATCCCAGATCATGATTCGCCTCTGATTGATTGGTGAGGTTTTAGTAATATTTATTCGGATTACTGCTATAGGACGTGAATATTTGTCGCGTGATATCAAAGTCGCTTGAGCTTAAAATCTACCATTAATCGTGTGTTAATCCGGGGTATAATGCGTCCAAATTGATCATCATTAAATAACCTCAGTTGTGCATATCTCCGCTCGATTATTGTCATCGGGGACCAAACGTCGAAATAGACATCGAGATTGCACGATCGCTACTTTACAGCTAAATATCAGCCAACACAATAGTACCATGGCAGTAGGGTAGTCGACCGACACTCATCGTGCATCGAAACACTAACAAACCGTCAGCTTCTCGATTCCGTACAGCATTGGGTTGCTTCAAGTACGGTACTAATGCACCACTAAAGCGCAGCTATCCAACTGACCAGACACCGATAACCACATCTGCAAACTTCCCCATACTTAAAATTGGCCCCTATCATTCAGCTCCGGACCAGGGTACTATCTGCTTGCCCAATGCGTCCTGCTGCTTGGTTGCATACCACTACCCCAGCCTGTCAAAGGTTCCTGGGGCTAGGGAGCTTCCACTTCGGGACACGCCCTTTTCGCTTCTCGCCTGGCCACCTCGACCCCGATAGGATAACTTGGTCCTGCTATGAGACTCTGTCGTCTTAATGATCATCACGCTGCGAGCACGATCAAGCGGTTTGTGACGGGTCTTGAAACGGCTCTGCACCTTGACAAATTGACTTTAACAACTATGCTTATTTCGGAATGAGGTCTCTTATACGATGGCACTCGTGATAGCTGGGTCGCCGCAGAAGTTCCACAGCGGTGTTGGTGCCAAGTACATATACTGGGATTGGAGTCCTTCCTGTTGGTTTGTGCGGCACAGGAGTGGCTATCAGGGTCCTTTTGACCTTACCGATCCCTTGGCCAATTAGAGTCATTCCAAATAATCGACCAAGATTCGCCTCATGATATCTCGTGAGAAGGTTCTCTCGTGAGAGGAGCCTATAGTCAGAAACCGTGACTCCGACAAGTCGACCTCTTTGAGATGTGAGTGGCGATATGTATCTATCTCGGAGAGAAGCAAAGCAGATGCCATCCATGAGATACAAGCTGGTGAGATAACTGCCCCAACCTAGTTCGATAGATACCAGAACTGATTAACTGTAGGCTGTCAGAAAGCCGTTATCAGATTGCGAGTACACTGCACTATCCCATTTGTTGAAAACGCGCAACCGTGTGGAAGGTTTCTGTTTGATAAAGACTGCAATTAGATTCCTCTTTCCCGCCGCCCTGAACCTATCTGTTCACAACAGATAAGCTAGGGACTCGAAGAACTTCATCTGGGCCCAAAGAGCGTGTGAGTTTGTTAACCTGACATAGACAAATCCCGAGAATACCCCACAGCTATTCGATCCCAAGCCCCGAAAACACCACATCCTTACAACGCTCAAGATACCCTCTAACGTCACCCTCCGTATGCCAAGCATCATTATACGCAGCACTCAAGCACAACTCGCCCTCGAACGTCCCAAGAAACCCCCCCAGCCCGTTACCAAGCTCCTCGCCGGTCACCCAAGGATCTCGAGCGCTAAAAGCTTTCGTTCGCGGAGCCACTATCGTATCTGTGCGTCCCATACTCGAGATCGATACGGACGGGTGAGCGTTGGGGGCAGGCACGGGGAGAGGACGAGGGTAGGAGGGCAGTGCTGGGGTACCTTGTGAGAACATCACCGGGGCGAGGATGTAGAATTCTTTGTCTTGCTTCACGGTGAGGTAGAAGTCTTTGATGGTTTCGAGGATGGAGAGAAACTCTTCTTTATCTGTCTGCTCGCCTTTTGGAGATAGATCCATGTCTACAACGAGACTTTGACCAGAGACAGAGTGATACACCGCAGCGGGGTGTTTAGTAGAGCTGTATGGCTCCATGCAATTTGAACGTTCGTTTCGTAAGATGTAGTTGATATAGCGAACTCTTTTGGTCTCTGATGGTCTGTCCTGGAGATCACGCATGACGATGGCAGCAGCGGCGTGGAACACATGCGTTGGTGTAGCTCCAGCTTTCTTACACGATGCCAATAATTGTAGCGTTTCCTTCTTCGGGAGAGTAAGCGCCACACGTTGATGACGGCCTGGTACCTCAGCGCCATGTCGAAAGGGTAACGCAAGAATTTCGACCTTCGGGTCAGATGTCGCAGCGGACTTTTGAGCCGCCATTTGGTCTAGTCTGTCTAGCTGAGCCTGGATTAGACTCTCAGGGATCTCAGCTGCTATCCTGTATGGAGGACTCAGATTTGCTGCCTCGCTGCCGTCGAGAACAGGGAGATCGTAGGTATCGCCTTTCTCGTAGGCCTCGGCGGCGAAAGTGATGAAGTTGTTTAGCATAATGAGTGTTCCGATTCCATCGATGATGTCGTGGGGAGAGCGGAAGACGAGATCTCGATGGACCGTATGTGAACCCTCATCTCCTTGTTTCGAAGGAAGATCCATGATGAACAATTTTGGGAATTTAGGAGCAGGAGGGTCTGAATTTGCCCACTGATTACCACTCTGGCCGTTCGAGACGTGAACAAGAGTCTTTTCAAGCCATTCGTCCTTCTCTGCTTCGCATTGGATTTCTTTGTAAGTTTTGACCCATTGGCCTGTCTCAATGTCATGAGTGACCTGAGATGCAAGTGTAGGGTGGGCATGCCTCAGAGCAAGCCAGGCTTTTCGCAATGCTTTATCGACCTCCAGCTCAGCTTTCTCCAGTGGCAGATTTCCAGTGTTTTCGATAGAGAGCGATACATGGCCGGTAATGCCAAAGAACATTCGACCACTACCTTCGTATAGAGTGACCATGGTCGAGTAGAATTGCTCAAGCTCGTCGATGTAGCGTTGCCATATCCCTGGTTTGGCTTGGCGCCAGTGGAAGTTTTTCTTGGAAGCCATAGCTGTTCAATGAGGTGATCTGGGATAGAAACAAACAGTCGATCAATATTGAGTTACAATAGAATGAAGCAGAAAGTAGGAAATTCATGGGGCTGTGATGATATATGTAGTCCTCTAGATATTGACGTAGAGCTGATACCTCTCCGCTCTCGGATTCACGGCCCGCACTCCGAGCTGTTCTACCCGACAACACCACCCATATTGGTCAGGTCAACCTTGCGCCTACGGGATGAACTTAGGTAAAACCATGGATAAACCATTTTTACTTTCGAAACAAGTAAGCTAAATTCCCGAGTATTGTTTCTCCAGCCAATGAGCTGGAAGCTATGTTGAGTGAATCGCCCTGTGGTGGATCGTACATGGTTGTCGTGACATCTGGATGGGAGGCTGAGGCGTGTATACTATCATGATAAACCCCAGGTACCCCTGTTATCCAATCCCAAGGTGGAGGCTTATAGGCTTAAGAGAACCAAGAAGAATATGAGCTGGGAGTATTTCCTAATAAGGATAAAGCCAAAAGATATTCCATCCGAACTGGGTAATACAACAAGCACGGGTTACATCAGCAGTTCATATACAAGAAGGGTTCTAGCTTTATTACAATATCAAAATTGACGATTTCTGCAAGTGGAACGCTGCCGTCAGAGATGATTGCTCTGCGCTCCAGCCAGATTACAATGTCTGCGTTGGTGGTTAGACATTAATTTCTTCACCAAAGAGGGGACATGAAGCTTAGCTTATTGAGGGACCATATACTCAGAGAGCGACAGGTGGACCAAATCAAGACGATGCTCAATGATTTGTTACGAATTCTCATGTATTTGGTTTCGTAGTATAACATAATATGACTTTTTCTATTTTGAGAGACTTGTAATCTTCTTGTTTGAGTCTACGTAAAGTTGTCCTGGTCAGAAATGTACCAAAAGCAAAAGAATACTTGTTGATTGCCTACCTCATATACCTGTTACTAAGTATATATTCTTGTTAGTATGTGGTGCTCTGAAACCAGGGTTAAATATATCCCGCCTAACGCCTCCTTCCCAAGTATATATTATGTCTTGATGTTGAGCCAACGGATTCTTTCCTTCTCCATACAAAAACGAATAGACAAGGTCGTCAATCTCGACATACCATCCGTCCCTATCTCCCTCACCAAATGCTGACCCAGAAACGATCATGTGTACCTTGGGTCTTTCTTCGACGGGCCTTGATCGCCAGTCAAGGACATCATGCATACTAAGCAGCAACTCTCTGGTTCGATGAGTCAAACTTCCCCATGCCAAGTTACTTAACTCGACGGATCGTAAAGTTCGTGGCAAAGCGGAAAGAAGCTCCATCAAATCATCGAGTTGAACGAGCATATGGGAGATCCCGAAATGACGAAGCCGTGGCCACTGATCAACAGGAAATATAGTCCGAAGCGGAAAGACATAGTTCTCGATTTTTTCCCAGTCAAGTTGTTCACTTGATCCACCGGTGATCTCCATGGTACTGCGAAAGCATATGTGCTCGAGATCTTTGGCTTGAGCCAAAGCATCGTGCAGAAGTCCGCTCTTGTATGACTCCCAGTCCTCGCGTTCCAAAAGGCCAGTAAAAAGGTCAAGATTGAGGTATCGGAAGCCAGGACGCGCCAGCATGGTTACCAGATCGTCATACTCAACGCAGCGCTGATCGAAGATCCGGCAGTTCAGCCCACTTTCAACCTCATTACCCCCGATATAAAGCTCGGTGATGTCATGATCGTCATGCTCTGCCAGGGCTCGAATCACTACCCGATAGCCACGCCATTTAGCCCTGTAAGCCTCAACAGTACAATCAGGACCGTACATCTCCTGATAAGGACTGTCATCCTCCGACACCTACGGGAGCACATCGACTGGCCCTGGCAGCTCAGTAGCATAAGAAGGCCATCCCGTAGGCACAGGGTAATCAAAACCGCGAGGAAACGCTCTGATCATAGGTGTCTTGTAGAGTGGGTTTCGTATTCTCCCATGAGCCGAGGGCGTAATAGTCACACGCTTAAGCGAAGGAAATCGCTGCAGGCCATACTTGAAAGCCTCAATGTCTGCATCAGACGCGAGAACCTGGCGCTGATCTTCAAGTAGTGGTTCGTAATAGGCCCAGGACTCTTTAATGCCCATGAGATAATCGGGGAGAATGAAAGTCCCAGGATTTCCATAATCAGAGCGACCCTTTTCGAACCAAAGGGGACACCCGTTATCGGTCACGGCATCATCTGGATCGACGCCGTCTTCTTCGTACTCCATTCGCTCTTCTTCTAGTTCTGGTCCTGTGGACAAGCGTGCGTCGTCCCACACAATCTCAGTGACTTGGTGGCGGATAGTCTCATCATCTGCAATTGCGCGAAACACTTTGAGATTGAGAGAGTTGGCTGAGATGAAAACGCGGTCAAAGCTCAGAGGGATAACCTCTGCCATTGCTGAGCATGTTGCGCGTAGGTTCTTGACGTCGTTGCTGTCTAAGAGAGCAAAGACGGCTTCGAGCAATTCATTCGGCAGTTGTGGTAAAATGAATGGCTTTGCAGAAGTCATTTTAATCACACGGATTTAATAAGATAGAGTGTACTTGAAGGTGAGGCCGGCCTGTGCAGTCACGTTTTGATCATCTTTTATCCACTACGAGGTGGATACCTAAAGGCAAGATTGTTGGCAGAGCACAGATTGGTTAGGCTTGTGGTAGTACAGTTCCCAGCAAAAGTTCAATAAGAGATATATTAGAATAAAAATTTAAATATATCATGGCTAGAAAACTGTACATATCACCCTTCACAAAGTCTAGATTGGTGAATATTGTCGGAACTTGCAATCAATTATGAATAGCGAAATTTTACAGAATGTGTTTGCAACCCGCATCACTTCCCAATATGAACAGGAGCCCATAAACTTATGTCATGAGAAGGCTTTCTAATCGACTAACGAAGCATCCAAGTTTATTAGGTGAAGTACTAGGTTCGCTGCAGTCGGGACTCTTGCACCTGGAGGTATGTTGGCGTCCATTAGCCTTATACCGCACCAAGGGGTTATACTTATACCTTGAAACAGTAGTAGTTCTATAATCTATGGAATATTGTTAGTCAGGTTGAGTCACCGATTACTGGGATAGATATAACCCTAGACGCTAAGATATACAGTGAACGTAACGCCACCTGAACTATCGAGACTCTCAGCCCGCTTACACAGCCATCAGCTCTCGTTCCTTGTAGCAGATAGCTTTATTGCCAAAATAAGTATTGGCTGTGGAGGTATTGTGAAAGAACCCTGAACTAAGTTCATCAGTCATGAGCAATTGAATGTTTCTAAAGTTAGAAAATGTCGAGGATCTTTCTTCGCTAAGATGAACTCCTTCATTTAAATCTTCCACTAGATTGAATTCCAATATTCAATTTTCAGCCTACATCAAAGAACACGTCTCGTTCAATCTCTCACTCTCCAAGTCGTTGAAATACGGTGACCCGTTATTATCTCCGTTCACAAGCCGGCGCAATATCTCAGTTAGGAAGTCATGATGCGAAGAACCTCGGCAGCGCTAAACCTTTTAGCGCATCTCCGAACTTCGAATAAGGACGCTGAATCTTAAAATCTTACTCTTCCGTATCTTCATGTGAACGAACAGCCAGCAAAGATGGCACAGTCAACTAAAACACACCAGGCTTCTAAGCCATCGACTTACCTCTTCCTCTACAACACTCTCTCAGGACTACTACGAACCGCTATCTTGGCCAGGACTATCTATCTATGGGCTAACCACGGTAATGGCGCTGTGTGGGATGAGCTTAACGTCACAGCGCGATGGACCGAGACATTGACCGTAATTGAGGTCATACATGCTGTGACAGGTCTGGTCCGAGCAGCTCCAGCTACAACTGCGTTGCAGGTAGCTGGTCGCAACACCATCATCTGGGCCATCACCAGAAACTACCCCGATGTTGCCTTCAGGGAGACTGCGTATAGTCTTATGCTCATGGCTTGGAATGCGGCTGATGCGGTGCGATGTCTCTACTTTGCGCTCCAGACAGGAACTGGATCTGTTCTATCGGCTCTGACATGGTTGAGGTAATAGAGAACAAATAAGATAAAGGAACGAAGAAAACTGACAATTTTTCAGGTACAACATGTTTTTCGTGCTCTATCCCATTGGAATTCTCTCTGAGATGCGACTCGTCTACGAGGTCATTGTGCCATCCAGGGCTCGCAACTCCATGTATCAATATCTACTCTGGTTTGGTCTGACGATTTATGTCCCAGGTGAGAACACCACAAATAGGAAACTCAATCGGGTTTTATACTAACCACATTATGTTCCAGCGTTTTACATCTTGTTTGGACATATGCTGGCTCAAAGGGCCAAACTGAACCGCCCAAATCTCAAGAAGCAGACTTGATAGGCCATCAACCATGGAGTTCTCGGCCACAAACTATGCTTTAGCGAACTATTACTGTTCAGGAAGGGGCCTTTGAACTGGTCGTGATTGAGGTGGCCTAACCTACTTAAGGACACCAACCCTTCAATTTGGTTCAAAGATTTATAAGCATAATTCAGAGGGTTGTTTCAAGGGAATCAGAAGAGTATGGCAAACATATCTGATAGTTCAATCCAGAAATACGCTTAAAATCAGGATTTGCAAGTATTCTCCGATTACTCGTATTCCGGAGATGTGAAGTAGAAAAGGTTTATTGCTGAACAGTCGGGAGATACTCCTTGAAATACTTATGCCGGCGGTGATCTAACTACCAGAACTGAGCTTCACTGTGATTAATTCTATTGCGCTTTTTATCCTGCGTTCCCTGGAAGGGTGGGGGAGATTGGATGTAAGAGGGCTTGTGACAGTCCCGGGTCTTTGGGCCCTTTTATCCGAGGGAGTCGTACCCTTCTCAGAACGTAGACGATCCAGGTTACTAAGCGTCAATCGGGCCCTTATATCTGAGGGAGTCTCCGTGCCTTGCGCTGCCCAGACATCAGGTAACTCTGCGGGCTGTCCGATCCATGACTTGATCGCTTCTGATTCGAGATGCTGGTTCACTTTCCTTGCATACGTCCCTGTTGAAGAATCATCCGACAAAGATTTTTGGTCTCCCAGGATAATCCCGCTAGGAGTCTCGAGGGGTATGTCTTGCGCTTCAAGTTTGTCTTCCCCACCAGTTTCCCATTGCATAGCCTCCGTCTGCTCATCATCCTCAACATCATCGCTACTTTCGTCATCGTTCAAGGAGTGTTGAGGTAGTGTGAACAGAGCCAAGTCTTCCTGATGGTGAGCTATATGTCTTTGGTATTGGTCGAAGCTTTCAAGTGTCTCCTTACACAAAGGGCACTCTGCACTATCTTCAGTGGGTTTTGGTTTCTCGCAAATACTAAGCAGACCCTTGAAATTAGCCGATGTCACGGCTACAGAGTGTACTTGTGTCAGATGAGCTACCATGCCTTCCAAAGAAGTGAATGAATTATCACATCCAAGGCAGCAGGCCCATGATCTCCAGTGGTGTTTCCGCATGTGGTCTATCCATTGGTGGCGATGTTGGAAATCTTGGTCCGGGGCCGGACATTCAAGTTCCACGCATATGTATGGACATAAGTCTGAGAATACATGCTTTCTGCAATAGTCTATTAGTATGATCCGTTTTATATCGGGCTGCACTCACTTCCATAGGGCCTCTGATGGCGCTGATATCATCAGGAAACAGAAAGGGCATTCGAAAGACCCATCTCGAGCCCCTGCTGGAAGGTCTGGAACCTTTTGCTGTCCTGGGATTGTATCAGACGTCGCGTACGAAGTCCTTGATATCGAAGGCTCCGTGTCAGATTCTTGGAGCTCTGAAGGAAAGAAGTCTGTCAAATTGAACCCCTGTGGTGATGATGAGGCGCCCTCTCTGCATTATGGTCATAGCTATCGTCCTGACCGCTTGCGAGCTTTTTACGACGTAACTTTCGGTAATTGAAATACTGACGCCTACGAGAGTTTGCTTTGCCGAGCCTCTCGATAATTGCGTCCGAAGCTGTGGAGAAAGTTTTACGGACATGGTCGATGTCAAAGGACTCGAAGTATGAAGTATCTGCTGACGATACATCCGTGAGACGATCATGAGGGAAAGGGTTATTTATGGACACGGAGAGTCGGAAAAGGCAGTTTATGCTCTCAGCAATACTGATTAAAATCTGTGGTAACTCTGATGCACCCGAAAGGCCTACGAGTGGAAAGCTGTCATCATCTGGGTCATCGTTCAACATGTCCAGAGACGGTTGGTGCTGGTGACTGGGAGCTGGTTTCCCCTCAAGTATCTCCTTTGCTACCTCCTATCAGTATGAGGTCACATAGGAATGATCTTGCAACTTACTGTCGCCGAGCAGTTCGATCAGATCAAGAAGGATCTGTATAATATGGTCCCGGATATTTGACGCATCTTGGAGCCGATGGTCCAAGGAATTGCAGCCGTTTCGATGTGCGCCAATGTTCCCAACCCAAACCATGAATCTGCTCTGCTCATCCTTGAGCTTCAGTAAAGACATTTGTTCTGTATCACCACGCTGAGATGCGTCCTTTTGGAGGGCATTTTCCCAAATATGGGGTGCATCATAGAGAAGTTTGAATCCATGCAGACATGCCAAAACATGATCAGCAAGAGCGGGCGATGAGCTTGTAGCCATGATTTGAAATGGCTCGGGAATAAAACATGAGCTTACTGAGGGGTTTTTAATTCAAAGTCGCCCTCCTACAGAAGTCAGGCTCTAGAAAGACACGCTCTTTCTGGACCAATCATTGTGTAAATATGCTTGATTTGTTGGCTGGCGTTACCTGCAGTTCAGCCTCAAACCCCTCATCTTACGTCTTTGGCTGGAAAACCATGGGATCTCGATAACCTTCGCTCCTTCAGTAATTCGGATATTTCGTCTTCCCAATATGTCTGGCTTCGAAATCGTCGGTGTTGTCCTCGGGAGTATCCCTATTGTCGTTTCAGCATTGGAGTACTACGTCAAAGGTCTGGGCATACTTCAGAATTTCCGCTCCTGTAAAAGAATTCTCAGGAGCCTGATACTAGCCCTCAAAACAGAGCATATCAACCTGCAGAATATCTGTGAAAAGCTCCTTGTAGGGATTGCACCACAAACATGTATCGAAATGATGATTCGGGAGCCGTTTGGCAAGCTCTGGAGCGAAGAAGGGATCAATAATAAGTTGCGCTTGAGGCTTTGGACTTCCATTTCAATATTCGACGAAAGAGTCCAGGATATGAAACTTGCTATTGAGGAGATGATGGGAAGGTTGAACATTGGTCCAGATTTCGAAGTAAGTGATACGTTATACTACCTCTTCCCTCAAACTTAATTCTGTGTGCATTTACTAACTCAAACTAGTCGAGTTGGATTGAAGGGATGACTCTCAAAAGCCAGCTCAAGCGAATTATGTTTATTATCCAAAAGTCAAACTACGACGAGGCCTTGACTAGGATTCGAGACGGCGTCTCGGCTCTCCAGACACTAGCTGCTCTCAATACAGAGCTAGAGCCAGCGAGAAAGTGCCGCTCATTAGGAAGATTGAACAAACTTGTCAGTGAGATGTTGACTGGCATCTACCAAGCACTCAGGTCCACCATGACCTGCAAGTGTACGAATCTCCATGACATTGGCTTGAAACTGAGACCTCCGGCAATAACCATTACTCCTACTGATGACGATCAGGAAATCATTAAGAAACTACAGTTCTGGCTGGCAGTTTCTTATATGAAGCTTTCAAATCGAGCGTCCATCAGGCAGTGGAACGAAATTGTTCTCAAACCCAATCAATGTATGAAAAATGTGGGAGTTGAGGTGCCTTCATTGAGTATTCAGAGAAGTAGGCAATCCACACCAACTACCACCGCTACCCAGTCAAGTGGATTAAACCTCAATTTGAGCACTGTTACAAATACCCGCAGTCTCGAGATTACACAGAGTATTGACAATCTCTGCCAAACGATGCAGTCCATAGGAAAGAAGAAGGGAGGCGAAAGGTGCGGATACATCAAAGACTTTCGGATGCAGGGGGATCTCAAGTACGACCTATATGCTCACGATTGCCTAGGGAGCAGTGATGACTGGTCTCTCGTATCGTTGAAGCAGCTCACCCAAAGCCACACCTTGCTCTACGTTGACAAATTGCGGCTTGCTTGGACAATAGCTTGCAGCGCTTTTCAAATGCAAGGTACACCTTGGATATCCAACATCCTCAGAGCCGAGGACATATTCATCGCTCAGAGAGAAGGTGTGCTTCAGTTCAATCATGTCTTCACCCTTCGGCAGCTTCCTGAGAATTCCAGATCTTCTCCACTAAAACCTTCGCCTACCAACCCATTTATGCTGTACCTTGGGATTCTTCTGATAGAGATAATCCTTGGGCATTCTATAATCAAACTCGAATCGACTTCGAAGGCAACAGTAGAGCCTACGGTTCCCCAGTATGTGCTTGACCTCGACGTTGCGAACAAATTCCTAGGTCGAGTGAGGATGGCGGGAGGCTCGGGGTATCATGATGCGGTTGAACGATGCTTGAAATCAAGCATGCACCAAACAGAATGGAATCGAGGACAGGCTTGGTTTCAAGGCGATATAGCTGCTGCCGTGGTCAATCCTCTTGAGACTGACTTGAGAATGTTGGGCTTTGATTAATTCGATATCTGTTTCTCACTGAATGTAGCGTTAATACAATCCGTCAAACGTATATGTATCCCTAGATACAGGAGACACACGATGGAATTCCTGAAGTTTGGCATCGGTTCCACAAGGGCTTGAGATGAACTGTTGACTCCTCGGAGACACTAAGAAGTCCATCTACTAATGACGTAACATGGTGATAAGGGGTTGAAAGTCTGATCAACGGACGGTGGTTTCTAGAGGCGCAGTTCAAGTCTTGCGGTCTCGTTGGTTCCAGGTAACGAAAAGGTTCTGGAGGCAGGATCATACAAGAGTTTAGCAGCCATTTTAGGACCAACTCACGACGGATCTTGGAGAACTATTGACTTTGACACTTTACACAGGCCTGAATGAAATGTTTCCTCTCACATCACCCTGATTGATCCAAGCTCCATTTCCAAATGAATTACCCGTAACGATGCGTCCATTCGATTGTCTTTGATCTGCCTGCACGTTAGCCTGAAAAAGCTTTGGAAAGGAGACCGCGCTATACCGTTTTTCGTCAGACTGCGGTCTCCATCATGGGACACATATCGTCCCAGAATGGCCTTCGTCACAGATGCTGCAGTAGCTGCAGCAAAGTCTTGCCAGGCTTCGTTCTTGTGGCTGTCGGCATAGTCACTGATGCCCTTGACAACAATGCACCGGCCTTCATCCCATGTGCCTGCGCCTTCCATCTCGAACGCGATAAGGTTGTTCGCAACAGCGATACGATCACGATCTTCTCCGCTCTTCATGATAAGGTTGCCCGACCCGATACGACCGATGAAGATCTCAGGGCTGAAAGCTTCACCACTACCCTGGACGAGGTCGGCAGAACGTTCTCTCAGAATCAGATTATTGACATCACATTTAGCCTCAGCACATGTAACTTTAGAAGATGCCTCGCAGAAGATGTCAGGGTCATCTGCACAGACACTGCACCACTCCTGATGCCTGTGAGTATATGTCGGAGAAAACAATTTATCTTCCTTTGCTCCAGGATATTGGTAATTGGCTCGACGTCGCTTTTTCTTGGCTGCTTTCTGTAAACTTTCCAAATGTTTGGAAGCTTCCGCCTGCAGGCGTTCCCTCATGAGCTCTGTCTCAAAAACTGCGAGTAGACTTCGGACGTCATTATTGGGTCTTCCAAGGCTATCTTCGACTGTGTTCTTTACAGCGAAATGACCAGGATATTGTCTGCCATAGTCGTATTGGATGATTGTCTTGCTGACTACTACATCACCAAGGAGCATATCGAAATCAGCGATACGGGGAACACCACCACAGATACCAACGAGGATGGCGAGCTTTAAACCTGTGTAGCTCCACCGCAAGCTGGTGGTCGCAATCGCTGCGTTGATGTTTCCTATATTGGGAAGTATAGCTAGAACAACGTTATGTTCTCCAATGCGGCCCGTTATGTAGGTATTCGCATCTCCATCGGCTCGGCCATAGGGATCGTGCTGCTCATCCCAGAAGTGATCAAATAGTAGGGTGATAGCGTCAGCCTCGAGGGGCAGAGCACATACTATAGCAATACGGAAGTCTTTGCGGCCGGCAGGTGGTTGTAAGATAGCCATTGTGTTTCGTGTGATTGAGCCAGGCAAGAGGGGAAGCCAGCCTAAGACGGACCAACACAATTCAGGGGTTTGTGACAACCTTGCAGCACTTGATCACGTGTGGGCCTGAAGTTGGGCCAGCATTTTCCTCTGCTGCTATCCGTGGCGCTTAGGCAATCCTCAGATAAATAAATCACCGAAGCAATGTCAGAATCGACGCAGGAATCGCGCGAGGTTAATAACTGCCAATTTGGCGACCATACCATCATCCATCAGGGAAACGTCCAAGGGAATGTATATTATGGCTCGCCGCCACACCCGCCCTACCCGCCGGCCCGTGCCGAAGTCGTCCGCGTCATCCCCTATCCCCGCAACGAGGACATAGTCCATCGACGAGATCTCATCGACAAGCTAGACGAGTTTTTGCCGCAAAGTACTTCAGGATCTTATTGTGCAGCACTCTGGGGTCTGGGAGGGTCAGGGTGTGTATCCACTTTCAGCATGTTACGCGGGAGGGCTAATAGACAAACGAACCAAGTAAAACACAGATTGCGCTAGACTACGCATACCGACGATGCGACACCGATAAAGAATGTTGTATCTTCTGGGTGCACGCCGATAGCGAAGCGACCTTTTTGGCTGATTACAAGACCATCGGCAAGAAGCTTGGGGTTGATGAGCAACTCGACGGGACGGACCTGCTAGAGGCAGTATGCGACGAGATTGAAGGACGGTCGAAATGGCTGTTAATCCTCGATAACGCGGATGATCTAAAGCTATTTAGAGTGGGAGTGACTATGACAGACGAGAGTGAGAGTCAGAACCTTTACAAATACGTGCCTTGCACGTCGCATGGAACAGTGCTATGGACAAGTCGAGATGCGCATATTGCGGGCACGCTCGTCGGAGCAAGTCGCAGTATCCAAGTACAGTCTATGGAAAAAGATGAAGCGACGACACTTCTGGCAACAACGAGGGGTGACCAGCCAGTACTAGACGAGGCGGGAATAGATGGCCTTCTGGAAGAGCTGCAATGCCTACCGCTGGCTGTCTCGCAAGCCGGTGCATACATGCGGCGCATGTCCATGACAGCTGAAGAATATCTGTCCCGACTTAAGGAAGGCAATTCTCGGTGGGAAGTGCTTAAAGTGAGCGATACGGACCGACATCGACGGCCGGAGGCATCGAATAGTGTGCTTGAGACATGGAGGATCTCAACGGAGCGAATCCGAGCAGAGAGTGAGATGTCGTATCGGATTCTACACGTAATTGCATACGTGGATAACCAGGACATACCGGATGAGCTGCTAGCGGAAGCGGCTAACGGATTCAATCATGGTCGCAAGAATGATCAAGCTGAACAGAAGTCAGACATGCAAGTCTCAGAATTCGAGGTCCTTACAGCCGTGGCACGGCTGAAGGAGTTCTCTTTTCTCAGGCTGCGTCAAACAAATGATGGGAGGCGAAACTACGAGATGCATAAGCTCGTACAAGAGGCTCTGCGGTATGGGCTGAGGATTCAAAGCCTTATAGAGACGGCCAGGGGGGGCGTCGTAGGAGAAGATGGCAGAGCAGCGCAGGCCGAAGCGTTGTACAGTGGCAGGGCACTAGAGGTGGTAGCTGGCCTGCTCCCAACTAAACCAGCCCCGTCGGAACGATATGAGCAGTATTTAACCCATGCTGTACGAGTAGGAGAGTGGGCAGAGGTGGGCAAGACAGAGATTGAGACAGCAAATATGCTTGCGAGAGTATCGCACTTTTTGTACGAGCGACAGCGATGGACAGAAAAGGAGTTAGTGGACAGTCGGTCATGGAGCCTTCGACGAAGGGCGCTTACGGAGAACCACCCGGATACACTCAGGAGTATGGCAGAATTTGGAGCGACATGCCAAGGGCTGGGTCGGGCAGCTGAAGCTCAAGATATCGCAATCAAGGTGTTAAAACTCCAGCAAGAGATACTTGGGGAGGAGCACCCTGATACGATCAGGAGCCTGACGAACCTTGGGGTAACATATCAAGACCAGGGTCGATATGACGAGGCCGAGAAGCTATATGATAAAGCACTAGAGTACCATCAAAGAGAGTTTGGGGAGAGGCATAGTGATACGATGAGGAATATGGCAGATCTTGGGTCGTTGTACCATATGCAGGGCCGATATGACGAGTCTAAAAAGATGAGCGATAGAAGCCTACAACTCCGACAAGAGATGCTTGGAGAGATGCATCCTGATACAATTAGGATCATGGCAGGAATTGGGATAGCATATTATGCGCAGGGCCGACATACTGAGGCTCACGATATCACGATAAAAGTGTTGGAACTCCGGCAAAAGGTACTTGGAGAGCGTCATCCCGATACTATCAGCAGCAAAACGGACCTCGGGGCGATATATGATGTGCAGGGCCGGTATGAGGAAGCTAGGAGAATAAATGAGGAGGCCTTACAACTTCGACGAGAGATACTTGGAGCAAAGCATCCCACTACAATCAGGAGCGTAGCAAACATCGCGATGATCTACTACAAGCAGGGCAAATATGACGAAGCCCTTCAGCTTCATCAAACTGCCTTGGACCTTCGCCGCGAAGTACTTGGAGAAACCCATCCGGATACAATACAGAGCGTGGAACAAATCGCCTACACTCGCGAGATGTTACGGCGCTTAAAGATAAGACAAAACAACAAATTAGAGCGAGAATTAAAGCTATGGGATAGATTGTTCTGGGAGATTATGGATCAAAAGGTTAGGCAGATTTGGAAACGGAGATCCCACAAAGATCAAGACATTAATTAATCTTTATTCCTCTTTTGGAGTCTATTATTCCGTGGCATATCCGCCTGTACCTCATGGAATTTTGCAGTGTGCCAAGGCCCTTCATGTAGTACTCCAAAGCTGGCATCACGATCGGTATGCCCCCGAGGACAAGACCGGCAATTTCAAAGCCTGATATGTTGAAAGCTCTTAGGGAGCGAGAAATGCAATGAATGAAAAGTTTGAACCTCAAAGCCTGGCAAATCAGAGACGAATAAGAAGAGGGGGCTATGGCTGAGCTGCAGATTTGTTACATAGCAGCAATACCAGTAAGTGCCTGGATTGATTCTGAAACGGAAGAATTGTCGTCAAACATCGCCACTGAAGCTCAAGAACGAGTTGATGAGGTTCGAAGCATGGATAGAATACATGTGCTCACCAAAAGGGAGAAGACTCACTCTAAAGGCAACTACGAGATGCTTACAACATTCGAGAACAAGTTGCACGACTCGTACTAGACCTGGAAGAGTTGCGTCAACAGAACACATCAAACAGACTTGATGATAACACGGACGACGAAGCTCGGATTTTTGAGGGTTCTGCCATACCACAACCATACAGCATGAGACGCAGATTCTCGCAAGGTCCGGAAATAAGAGGCTCCGAACAGCTGGATCTAATGCTCGAAGTATCTACTGCATATGTAGAGTAAGTGCCAATGCCAGATATTCTCAAGGAATCGATAAAAGGCCCTTTTCTTAGCGGGTACATACATCGTATGGTTAGTGGATAATACTAAAGATATTAGAGTACTGGTTTACCGCTAAAATCTAGGATACGTATCATAGACTTATTGTAAACTTATCAGATAGACTTTCTTGAGTTCTTGAAAAACATACTTGATAAATATAAGAATGTCATTTCCCGTTTATTGTTCTTACTTCTATAGAAACCCTCCTCTTACGCTTAAATATAGTTCTAATTAATGTATAGAGTATTCTTAAGGCCTTTACTAACAAACATAGCTGATAGTAGAAAACGTTGGATTTGGTAAGAGGATCTTTCTTATTACTATTCTGTTTCTACACCCTACATACAGATACTTCACGACGGAACCATGATAAGAATTCGAGATGGCGTCTAACCCCTAACAAGTTGGCAGCCTCTAACATGGAACTCGAGTGTTCAAGGAACTCTCTTTCGGATGGAAGATCGCACAAATTGGTCAAGGGAACGCTGGGCAGTATCTAACATGTCTTTCAATCAGCCTTTACGTGCAAGTGTACGAACCCACACGATATCGGCTTGAGACTGAATAGACGCAGCTGATGATTCAAGCAGTTTCCAGGGTAATGCGTCCTCTGGTATGGCCGATCCACTGGAGCAGGACTTTGTAAGCACAACAGCGGTCTTTTAAGTCGAAGAATGCTCAAAGTTCGAGAAAATTGTTCCGAAAGCTTCGGTTCTCGGAGACTGTGTAGACCTCGTAGGAATGGACATCCGGAAGATATGTGGCTGTTCGGCACTTGCTAGGCTCAGTACGTGACATTGGCGGCTATACGGATAGAGTAATTCATATTCGCTATCATGGTACTCGTTTCCGTAAATCGTGGCGGTACCTACCCGCGTAGGGAGTATTCGTGCATGGTTTGGAAATAGAGTGGCGGCAAGGAGTCTCCTGTTGACAAGGCTGAGGCAATCTGGTTGCCGGTCAGTGGTCACATTAGTCGGTGAAGAGTCATAAGGTTCATTGGCATTATGCTTGAGCTTGAGGTTAGGATCTGTGCAGAGTCAAAAGACACATGTAGGAGCCAAGAAGCAGCTTATGAGGATTCACAAGTGTTATATCCCTGTGACACCAGCCAGCACGCGTAGTAAACACATGGTAATTCTATAACAGATCCATCCTCGAATTCATCAGCAAATTGATAGTCCACCATCTTTGATATCATTCACCAACCAGACGATTTAAGAAACCGCCAAGAGAGACCCTTTATGCAGGAGTATGCGCTCAGCCATAAGGACGCGCAATTGCCAAGCCCCGGTCTCTCACCACGGACCTCACAACCCCTGCTGCGTGTCTTGTCAGTGGAGTCACCAAGACCCTTGACTGAGCGGCCGTAATTAACCAAAAGAAAAAGCCCATTGAACCTTAACAGAGTCAATGGTTATTAGCTGGCTCGTATATAACTGTTGTAAGGCGGCTGGGGCCGTAATTACCGGATATTAGTGATATTAGTCTGGACCCCGGGAGCCAGTGGCTTGGCGAATGAGAGCGAAAATCTGTCAATTCGCATTGCCGGTAACAGCTATTTGCTACTTGGGGCACTTGAACTTGGGTGCCAAGACCACGGTTAACTCGGCGTCGCTCACGGCCATATTCGTTATTACGCCAAGGTCAAAGTCAAGAGCCAAGAAGGATACAGATCATCAGAAGGCGCCTCGATTTGCTGTCAGTCTGAGCCCCCTTGCGACCTGATAATAGATATATCTAGACGGTAGGCAGCTCCTTTCTTCAGCTCTTTTCAACGTTGACACCATCATCCGATTAACTAAAGCCATACCACAATGTCTGCTCCTTACGATCCCAACCAAGGGTAAAATACTCAAAGTCTCCCAGGCTAAGTACCAAAACTGACATTAGCAGTTACGGCCCCCCTCAGGGATATGGTCCTCCTCCTCCTCAGGGTTATGGTCCTCCTCAACCCCCCTACCAACAGCCTGTAAGTTGACGCCAAAGCGAACATCACCAACTTCAAGACACACGACTTACAACCTCCCAGATGCAGTACCAGCAAGCACCACCACAACAAGAAGAGAAGAGCCACGGCTGTCTATACACATGGTAAGCACAATCACCACACTCGACATTCCATACATGACTCTAATTCTCCACAGTTTGGCCACTCTCTGCTGTTGTTGGCTCTGCGGCGAGACATGCGAATGCTGTCTTGACTGCTTCGACTGCTGCTGTTAATCGCCATGTACCTCTTCGATCCCAACAATCTTAGCGTTGCATTTACCAAAGGCTCCGGGGGAAACGCATTTTTTTTTTGTATCAGCTATAATGAGACGCTATTTGTCTTCGCTTTGGACTAGACCGCGACACGGCTTTCCTACAATACCAAACTCCATTGACACGCATTTATCTGAACTCTCCTGCTTTTTATACTACGTGCATGTCTAGATCAAATTGGTGGCACTCCAGCTCTGCAGTTCTTACAGCCAGCATTGGTCAAACATTGGAAGTACCTATACACGTAAGTCGACGTCTTGAACGGGTATGGAAGACTTACTCTTGACTCTCTTTATCTTTGATACCTCTGCAGTCGCAAGTATCGGGACATGTATCCGTAGGCTTGGGTTTCTCCGAAGAAGATGAAGTAGCTTCATGTTTTCTGCAGGGTATGCACTCTGCATTCGTGACGCATTGGAAGTATCTTAGTGTATCAGCAGGCCATTTCTGGCTCATTCAAGACAAAGCTTACTCAGGGCTCTCTTTGTCCTTGATCCGAGTACAGTCACATTCTTCTGGGCAATTTCCTTTGCTCGTTGTCGTTGGCGTGGGCTTGTTGACGACGATTATTTTGACCAGTCCAGTGGAGATGGTCTCCGTGTAAGTGCCGGGAGGCATCGTTCTGTAGTCGGTCGACGAGGTACCTGTCACTCCAACCACTTCGCTGACCATACCTCCATCTTCAAGGCCTCTTCTGTCTCGCCGTGGAATGGCTTCTGAAGCACCAATAATGAGGATGAGGACTACCAGGCTCTGCAGAGACAACATGATGTAAAAGGTTGAGGGGAAAGCGCTGAGTGTCAGGTTTTATCCTGAGATCGAACTGTTTGTCTTGTATACAACCCGCTCGAAGTCTTAGCAGTCGACCCAGCCGTCTGGCTCAATTTATGTAGTCACCCTTCCCACTCTGTCTTACACGAACCACACAAAGCAACTGCTGCCTTTGAGCGATGTTTACACACACGATCCTGCGTGACATACATTCGCTCCATAGCTGGATCTGGCAGCGTTTACTTTGTCGCTAGGCAACGTAAACGGCTGTACCCCCGTGAATGAACCCGAGCAAGAGTCTTTGACATCATGCTATTGCTTCCAGCTCAGTTCGTGTCAGCTGAACGAAGCGAATAGTTGAGCGTGCAAAGGAACAAGTTCATGCAGGAACTGTGATTGCATCCATGTGTGGCGCGAGTTTGCGATAGATACTTGTTGTAATAGCTTAGCGACACTCAGAAGTAACAGGACTAGGTTTGAACATGTGTGTCAAATGGGTTACAAACGTATAAGATCAAGTTTGGGTACGGCCCAGGCAAGTAATGGGACAAGATTGTGACACCTTTACTCGAATGGGTTGCAAGTATACAAGATCAGCTTTGGGTACGATGGGGGGGAGTATATGCCCTTCCATAACTCCCTGCCTAGACTTATCAACACCTCTCTACCAAGACCCTGTAACTAAGAGTCTATCAACACGTCTCGACCAAGAGTCTGTAACTAAAGAGTCTATAACATTCGCAACACCAAGCAATCATGTACAACCGCCACGCGTCGTTAATCTTTGTACAACACCGTTACCATCTGAACTACCAAGTTCAGCTCTAACGGCCTCTATCTGGGGTCACCTACCTCCCGAACAAGACCACCATCCTATCCTAATCCAGCATGAAAGCTCATCCTCGCTCGCAATGTCCACTTACATCCATCCCCAAATGCGATTGGCGCTGACACAAATGTCTCGGCCATATAAACATCCAATGTTCAACAACATAATTCACCGCGGGAAAGCCTAAGCGAATAACTCATGAAACCAGAACGCTTGTATTTCTATTGATCCAGGGAAAACAACACACAAAACTCTATCAATTCCTCATTTTCCCATGCAAACTACTCCTTCCGGGCAGGTTGTTTCCGACGTCTTCGTAGAACAAAGTCCTTGGTCCTTGCCACGCCGCTGTAGAACCGACTGTCGACATCGACACCGTAGGCCTCGAGCACTGAGAGCGCGGCGTACAGCTGGAGCCACACCAGGACGCAGACGTCCCAGATGTGGACAAACCACCAGAAGACCTGGTTGCCCAGTGGGCACGTGGCGTACTCATACTTCCACTCCCACGACTCCGTGTCGAACCACAGACTCAGCAGACCGGCATTTCCGCCAAAGTCGCCCATCATGCTGCGCACCGTGATCTCGCGTCGGCCGGGGATGCCCTCGCTTCCGGGGATCTTCTGGTCCTGCGCTTCTGACCAGGTGGAGACCTGCCACTGGCGCTGTGAGGGGTCTGTACCGTTCGTTTGGTTGATGTAGTGGTACGTGTCACAACCGGCGTGGTCATGACCGTTGAGCATCAGACCGGCGCGTCCGTAGCCACCACCAGGGGCGGTGCTCTTTGCGCTCATGCCCCAAATACCCTCCAGGAAACCCCGAGTGGCATCAGCGCTCAGCTGGTTCTGCTCCTTCAGACCTCCGCCGTCTGCTGTAGTGTGGAAGTCGAAAAATGGTTCATCGACACAGATACCCGCAGGCTTGTACATGGGGATATGTGTAAGAATCAGGGTAAAGTGCCCCTTGTACTGAACAGCGCCCGAAGACGAAATCACATCGTTGATGAAGCTGTAGGTGGCATCCTGAAGAGGAAGCGACTTGGCAGGTGTATCGAGGTTCATATCGTTGACAGTGACGATGCGAAGCTGAGGGATCACTCGCTCCGAATCGGGGTTGGTGTCAGAGTACAAAGTAGCTCGTGTCTCGGGATCTGTGATGGGTAGCTCGAAGCGAAGCTCGTAGTTGGCCTTTCCAAAAACTCGTTCGAAGCGCTCAAGACGTTCTTCGGTCAAATCTCCAGCATATCCAATGTCGTGGTTTCCTGCCACGTTGAGCATTCTCTTCTTCCACACCTTCTCTTCTTCGCTACCATCCAAAACACCCGATAGCTGATGATCGCTACTCGGGCTTTTCGCCAGATCGTCCGAGAGCCTCTCGGTTCCTTTGAACACGCGATTCCAGTATCGTCGACCTCGCTTGTCGAACTCCTTGTCATCAATCCACTGACTGCCGACAAGATCGCCCAGCACTGATATGTGTGTAGGGTTCGACCACCAGTTGACTTGACGGTATATATGCGCCAGGTAAAAGTCATTGCCCCACAGGTCAAATCGCTTGCGTTGCGACATGAGATAGTATGGAAGATCCTCCATGAATATGTCCACAATGTCGTGTATTATCTTTCGAACTCGTTCGCGAAAACACCAGTGACTCGTCTGAAAGGTAGCATGCTGGTAAACACTCTTGATATGGGGGAAAGTGCCCAAGTAGTTTGTAATGATCGATGTATCGCCTTCTAGCTGGGGGTCGCCGAGCGCAAGCAATCGAAAAGGCGCAAGTTTAGCATGGTCGTCTGCCGATGGCGTCGAAGGCCAGTGAAACTTCTTGGTCAAGTCATACGCCTCCTTGCTATCTCTTGACTCGACGGGGAATGCGCATCCTTGGATGACGGGGAAGAGGTAGAGGTAGATTGTGAAAGCGAACGAGAGGGGCACCAACAGGCGCAGGCCATGGCGGAGAAACACCACGACGTTCATGTAGCCGACCTCATGCGCAAGCTACCGTGGAGCTTTTTAAAAGAGTCAACGAGACGTTGTTGGGAACGGCGCAAAGCTGAAAGCGACAAAGGGGATTGATTGATGGTGTCGGTGATACCCCTGGAATGCCTGTAAAAGACACATGAAAACAAAATGGCTTAGTCATGCGACTGTAGCAGCCCCTTTTTTAGGGAGACCAATACAATACACTTGATATAGGCATTCTGTAACGAGTCATGAAGAGCTTTGATAGATACTATATTTTATTCTTCATCTTCAATTTTCATCAGATTAATAATTCGACATGGAAAGCCTGGTGTCATGTTGGATTGAGTAGCCGAGATGCAGGCTCGGGGTTTTACTACCCTACTCGATGATCTGCACACCCTTGTCTTGTACATCACGTCCAATGTTGAAATAGGTGAGAACTCTGTCTTTTTTTTTGCAGATCCGACCAAACCCCTGTAGTTGAATCCCAGATTGATGTCTGGAGACACCTCGTTTTCGTGGGTGCCCGTGGTGTAGTTCTCTCTATGACTGACCTAACCTACACCACTTTGGTGATTCCTCTCAAGTACACGCTTGATGCCAGCTATCAACATTGAGAGTTTCATGCTGTTGGAATCGCATTTAATGATCATGCGGATACTGAGCTTCAGTTGCACGTTCATTCCTGCTCGTAAAGCTCCTCATCCTCTCTTGGCCACTCCACCTCAAACTCGGGCTCATCATCCTCATCGTCCAAGATTGTAAACGCAATCAAGCTATTGTTTTTCAAGCCCAGCTTCGTCGGTGTCATCTCCTCGTTACCTGTCTTGAGTCTAACCCATCCCGCGGAGGGATCATTGGGGACCTTTAATGCGCCATACGCAAGGGTTGAGTCTGCGCTGACAGGAGTGGTCCTGAAGGGTGAGATCGCGGTGGTTAAACCTTGGGGGTATCGCTCGTTTAGGACGCTGAGAAGCTCGGCGGTGACGTTGGAGAAGGGGGCGAGGGCGTCGATGAAGAGGTAGATGGTATGGATGCCGTGCTTGAAGCGCACTGAGATGTGTGCGTCATCGACGTCAGTCTGAGGTCGTGTCAGTGTCTATCGGTGGAACAGGGAATCGGATCCATCGGTATCTTACCATTTTGTCGATCTTTGGAGGTGAAGGTTTACAGAAGACGTCAGGTGCAACAACAGCCTCTGGTTGTTCACATCATGAGGGGCACGGTGCACGGCGCATTCAACTCCGCGAAGCCGAACGCGGTGGTAAGCGGCGCGACATCACGTGAGATCGCGTAAAGTGACTGTGATTCAAGAGCAAGAGATGAACATTGCACCAATGCGGCTCAACTAGGGATATCCCAGCAATTCTCAGGTGACAGACGGAGTGCTGTGCTCTTGGGAAAAGAGCCGTGTAAATACGTCACCTTTGTCAAGGATCCATGTGTGGCAGTGACATGCAAATGCCAGGTACCGCCGTCACGGAGCGATTCTCAACAGAGAGAAGGGTTCTAGAATGAATGCTACCCTTGAAGCTAACGTAGAAGGTGGTTTGGAAACTTGAGCATACGGATGGATACACCACACAAGGAATTGATGTCCAGCTGTTGACAAGACCAAAGCCAATACATACAGACCGTGCGCAAGTACCGTACTAATGCACGAACGCACTGTCCAACATCGCATGAGCCTCCAGTTCGCAGCAATGGATCAATTTCCAATTCATATTACATTACCTACCAAGCTGTCACAATCCATCACCTCATAAATTCCATATCGGGCCTTCGAAGGAGTCACCCGACCTTTCTATTTATCACGTCCAAGCCCAGTCTCCCCTCAGCCCCTCTTGGCTTCTCATTACCGACAACAAGCGCAAGCGGCAGAAAAAAGAAAAAGAAAAAAGAGGTAACACCGCCGGGATCGAAAACTCCGGCCGGTCTCTTCGTTCTCCGCATCACCGCCGAGGAGAAAAGGGTCCCCCACATTGATAATCAGCTGCGCAGAGCCTCGCGACAATCTCGGCCTTCTGCTTGGGACTGGTGAAAAGAGAGACAGAGCTCCAGAAACATTACCCAGCCCCCGATAGCAGCATCGAACCATTATGGCCGCTACCACACCCGCTCCGAGTCCGACTTCAGCTCCGTCATCCCGGCCCGGCCTGACCACCAGCCCCGGCGCCGCAATGCCCTCTCCCTCCCCTTCTGACTTGTCCTTCCCGCAGGATGCCTTCCCACGTCTCTCAGTCGTGACGCCCACGCGCCTCATGCTGGGAACTATCTCGTCAGCGCTCGTCGGGTTCTCACTTGGGGCGACGCAGGGTGGACAGATGGCGCAGCTGCGGTTCCGGGCCGAGCATGCACACAAGATGCCTGACACGACGACAGGGTGGTACTTTTACCACAAGAGCAAGAACTACCACGCCATGCAGGGCGGGATCCGTGAGGGCTTTCGCATGGGGTTGAAGACGGGGTTCTGGAGCTTGATGGCGTTGTCACTCGAGAGCACGGTCGATCGTTATCGCGGGGCCAGCGACATGTTTTCCACCACGATAGCCACGCTTACGGTCGCTGGCGCGTTTTCCCTCTGGCGTAAGTGGTCCATTTTCCTTCTGTCTATCTTGATTTACCAAACCTCGGCTGCGCGCATTGACTAAGGGAAACGCAATTGCGTGAAACCCCATACGGGGAATTCCCACCTAAAAACATGGCACTTGTCGCTGTTGGTTGTTGGTGCGGCGGTGCGTCCCATCCTAAAGGTGTGATGGAAAGCGACGGGTAGATATTGCAAGCATGTTTATGTGGGAACCCGTTTTTAGCTAACAAGCGCCGATGTTCGGCGTGTGCATCTAGATCGCCTGTCATTGACAACGGCCGCCCGGACCGCGCGATACGGGCTCATGTTTGGTCTCGCGTATGGTGGGATTCAGGATCTCGTTGGCTTAGCCCGAGGCAGACCGATCGGGTACGTCGAGGCTCTGCGACGTCGCGGTGCAAGGACAAGGGAAGATGATTCACACAAAGCATTGTAGATATGATGTAATTGGGGAAACTCTATGTACAACACTGTAGCAATAGCAATATCAGGCTGGAATAATGGTTCACGGCCTTGATGTAAAATCGCATTGACCAGCACAGACAGGGGCAATAAAACAGAAAAGCAGACGGCGTGAGATCAATGGAGATAAAAACAAAATTAGTGCCCTTGGTTATCGGGGCAGTCCGAGTGCGGTATCTCTAGATTGACGCCTCCCGCAGAAAGCCTCAGGGCGAGCGGCTTTGGTCGGTGTTTTATGGAGACCACCATCGATAAGCAAACGCTGCCGAAGGGGCAGAAAGCTTCTAGCGAGATGGAACCTTTCTTTTTTTGCTTGCTCTGCTGACGGCTGTGTTTATGTGCCTAGATTAGGGTGGCCCAGGCCAATGCAGACTGCAGAGATGAGCAGGGCAAAGAGATAGAGATGGATCAAGCAGATTACATGAGCAGAGCCCCATTCGTCATCTCGGCACATCATATTTCGCCTTATCTACCGATCGTAACGACACATCATCCCCCCTTGCAACATCACCGTCAGTGTGAGAGATAGTGGCTTGGAATAAGAGTTGGCATGAAGATCATCGTCATCACTCGAGTCACGGGGTCAACTCAACTGTCTCAGCACCTGAAGCACGAACCTACGCCTTGTCTTGCGTGTCTTGCGTGTCCTGCCTGTCTGTCAGTCAATCTCAGTCCGTCTCAAAAGAGTTAAAAGAATGCTTGTGATGCATCTCCCAGGTTTCCCCACAATGCCCTGTGCTGCTAGCTTTGTCGCTCTTCACCAATTACATAACACGTATTTACTGGGATCGCGGCCTGTTGCGGCAATCAAAGAAAAACCAAGGGCAAAAAATACACTGGCCTTTTTTTCCCCAGCTTCTAATCTCTGCTCAAAGGCTCCAGGCCAATCGCTGCCACTATCCCCATCTTTGTACACCCCCACGCCCCTCAACGGCTACTTTCGGCCCTCTGATTTTCTGCTTGGTGATGCATGCTAGCGGTAGCGGTAGCGGTCGCGGTAGCTCGAAAAGAGAGCCACGTGACGGTCGATAAGCTCCATTCCCCTGCTACTTTTGCTGGAGCTGAGTGAGGAGACCCGGCAATCTGGGGCTTTGTATGGTTTTTCTCTTCGCCTCGCTTGGGGCCTTGCCTTGGTCTGATAAGTCCAAGCGGGTTCAGATTTAGTCACGGGGCCGGACTCGCTCGGCCTTTGCGGAGGAGACCTTGCAACACAGACCATAGACAAGGGGACCAAATAGACCATGACTAGCTCTGCTTGGATATCAATGGCAGAAATTGGCTTGGAATGGGGAACAAGGAGATGGTTAGATATGGCTCGCGATAGCGCCACCTCCCGCACACGCCCCCAAGCACCGCAGTCAACCGATAGACATACTGACACACTGACACTGCCAGTGCCAGTGCCAGTGGGTGCCAGACATAGATATAATAAGCTCTCTGCCACCCGTTCACTCTTTCCATCATCAACCAGATAGAACTAACTTATCTTGCATCACCACTCCAAAGGACCTTCGTGCCTCGTAAACAAACATCACCAATCACCACCATCATCACCACACACAACATTCTCTGGATCCCTCCATACTGATCCAGACTCTCCATCCAAACACCACCTAGGACCTTCAACCTTCACAACCACAACATCTCATATAATGAGCTCGGCCCTTCGGCGAGGGACTGCCCAGCCCCTTCGCTGGGCGACAGCATCCTCCAACGCCATCGCCATCAACACACTCCGACCATGCCTCGCTATCACAAAGACCAACATGGCCGCCCGCCGTCACATCCACTCCTCTGAGCGACGCACCAACACCATCGTCGATGAGCGTCACGTCCCCGACCCTCTTCCTCCTCTCGCTCCCAGCAAGGCGCCTCTCTCCGTCCTGCCTCTTATCATGATCCTGCGATCTCTCGCCACCATGACCGTCTCCTCCTCGCCTCTTCTCCTACCTCCATCCCTGCGAGTCATGGGCGTCTTGGCCAACACCACCAACCCTCTCCTCAACCCCGACAAGAACCCTATTCTCCGATACTTCCTCAAGAAGACCTTTTACGCTCAGTTCTGCGCTGGCGAGAAGTCACCCGAGATCAAGCAGACTATCGATGGACTCAAGAACATTGGTTTCACCGGAGTTATTCTGAACTACGCCAAAGAGGTTGTTCTCACCAAGCAGGAGGGCAAGGACCTTATGAACGCCGCCATTGAGACGGACGAGTGCATCCAGAACGAGATCCTGCCCTGGGCCCGAGGCACCCTCGAGACTGTCCGACTTGCTGAGCCAGGTGACTTTGTCGCCCTCAAGTTCACCGGTGCCGGTAGCATCGCTCTTTACCAGCTCAAGGACCGTCTTGCTCCTGGCCCTTCCATGTACAAGTCCATCGACTCCATCTGCCAGCTTGCCCACGAGCGAGGTGTTCGCCTCCTCTTCGACGCCGAGCAGGACATGCTCCAGGACGGCATTGACGACTGGACTCTGGAGTTCATGCGCAAGTACAACAAGGGACTTGGCGAGGCTGTCATCTTCGGTACCTACCAAGCTTACAAGAAGAAGTGCCCCGAGGTCCTCGCCAACCACCTCCAGCTCGCCCAGGCCGAGAACTTTGCTCTCGGAGTCAAGCTTGTCCGTGGTGCCTACCTCAACTCCGACCCCCGTGAGCTTTTCCACGACACCAAGGAGGAGACTGACGCCTGCTTCGACTCTCTTGCTGCCAGCGTCCTCACCCGCGAGTGGAACGTTGATGTCAAGGGTTCTGGCGAGTACCCCGCCACCAGCCTGGTTGTCGCTTCCCACAACGCCGAGTCCGTCCGTCGCAGCCGCGCCATCATGGAGGCCGGCCGAGCCAAGTCTGACATTGCTTTTGCCCAGCTTCAGGGCATGGCTGACGAGGTCAGCTGCGAGCTTGTCGAGGCTGGTCAGTCTGACAAGACCAAGGTCCTGCCTGCCTACAAGTACCTCGTCTGGGGAACCACTGGCGAGTGCATGAAGTACCTCCTCCGACGCGCGCACGAGAACAAGGATGCCGTGCAGCGCACCAAGGGCAGCCGAGATGCTCTCTGGCAAGAGCTTGTCCGACGATGCAAGAGCGTCGTTGGCTTGGCTTAAAAATAAAATAAAAGGAAAAAAGAAAAAGGAAAAGGGAAAGAGAAAAGAGCTTTGATATCATGTCTTTTTGTTTCTTTTGTTTTGCATCATGGGTAGCGATAAGGAGTCCGGGGCGTCTAACATCTCAAAATCCGAGATAGATCAAGCATAGATGAAGAAACGACTTACGTTTTAGTCCTTAACAAGAATGATTGATTGACTGAACATTTGACTTGTGATTGTGTTTCAAACACCTCGTAGAGCCATTGCACCAATGACTAGTGACTCCATTTCCTGCTTCTTAACCTTTTCGTCCTTGATATCATCAAGCCACTTGAGTCCATTCAACTTGTAGTACTTGCGTACCTTTGGCACGTCAGTGGTGGTAGAGATCTGGTCATCTGTGATGGACACGGCCTCTCCCTCCACGTTGGATTTGAGATGTTCCCAGATCTGATCATGGGTCAAGGGCTCAGCACCATCCTCTCCAGGAAAGGTGACCTTGACAACAATGAGGTCTTTAGTAGATGGTGAGATACCATATCGGCGGTAGGCATCAGCAATCTGAACATGACTAGTCAGTCCAATACAAAGACATGCTTAGAAACAGGGGTCACATTACGTTATTAGAGGAGCTCATAGTACAGACAATCTCGGAGTGAACGTTGGGAGTCCTGAGAGCGCCATTTACAGCCGTCAACGTAGCCTTGAAGACAGCGGATAATAACTGAAGCCGGGAAACAACCTGGTGAGACTTGGTATTAACGATTTTGCCCTAAGCCCAAGTCGGGTACTCCGACTCAGTTGCTGTGCGGAACTCACCACCGAGGCATCGATGAAGGCGTACTCGAACAGGGGGTTCCGAGCGAGCAGCTGCTGGTGCAGAAAGGCCGAGTTCTGTACGTCACGGAATAGGGCAACGTAGATCTTGTGCGATTCTGGCAAATGCTCGAGATTCACTGTTTCGAGAGACATGTTGGGCGATGGATGAGAATTGAGGATGGACTGGACAATGGGATGAGACTTGGCTTCAGAGCCGATGTAGCGGTTGTGCTTGCTTGGCAGCGTCGTCTTGGCAGGAGAAAATAGTGCAGCAAAAGTTCGTTTGGAAATCTGCTGATTTTCCCAACTTTAATTCCTTGGTATAGTGCGCAACGTTGTTGTCGTGACTTTGTGAGGTTTCGCAGATTCGATATTTGGTTTAGTGTAGTGTGGAGGGGTAAATGCGAGAGTGAGATCTAAGGACAATGATGGCAGTGCTGCGGGGCACTTTGCGCCATCACATGTCGTTTTACTGTGTTCGTACTGTATCTCGAGCAGGCTCGCTTACATCTCCTACACTACTACACTCAAATTAAGAATCGCATGTTGGAACGCGTCACGGCATGAGGAGAAGCCGGATCTCGATATGTTGGGCATCGGAGATACTTGTCAAGTTTTTGCTCTTTTCTTGGCTTGAACTTCAAGTCGCTTCATCCGTTACACAAAGGTCGCTTAACACTTCACCCAAGTCGCCCAGTAACTTAAAGCCTTCACCACAAACCGTTGACCCTTATAATACCGCCGATCATGGGCCGGCGCCATGACAAACAAGGTTGACAGATGCCGGCCGTAGCGGTAGTGGAAGAACCTGAACCTGAACCTGATCAGCAAGGCACCAGGACTGCACAGTTAGTCAAGGTACAATGGTCATGGATATTGAATTGGGGTTGGCTGATCTTGAACGCAGAAACACATTAACAAAGCTCATGCTAGGAATAGCAAGTAGGGTTACAGTTCCATCAATGGTTTCATTGAATTAGTGTTGGATGCAATCATGATACGATATACGAGGTCCTTGTCAGGCTCCGCTACCCAGCTCGTTTTCTTCATGGCCTGATGGCCTTTGTCAAAAACTGTCGTCATACCGGTCATTTTCACTGGCGGTAACACCGAGGTTGTCATCTTGCCTCGTCCAGCCACAGCATCATGGCACCTGCACAGCATCTCTCCCAAGACCTTTGGTGGCTTGCCCAGAAAAAAGACCCGGCCTAGACCTTGAGAGGGTGATCCTCTGAAAGCTGATCCCCCTTGCAGCGCCTCTCAGCTTTGCCCTGCCATCCATGTCCTGCTGGAACTCTGACACATGCGGATACTCTACGGAGAATTTCATCCACCACGCATCGTGGCTTTCTGTCGTCTACCGGTGTTCTTCTAGAAGGCGTGTCCGTTTCGCAACAGTTTATCTCGATTCCGGATGAGAAATTTCCCTTGTTCGTGAGAACTGCATCTTCAAAGCAAGATGCGGGCCTTCCGTCCAAGAGAATCTATCGGGAGAGAGACCTGTTGCACGCCAACTCCGATCATGTCTGTCGTTGGTAGGCAAGTGTATCTATTTTAACTCATGAAGCTAAGAAATGGGCTAGAGATGGATGGATGGTTACAACTTACAAGTTTGACAACAGATCCATCCGCCAAGTCTTGTTGCTTATAAGACCAGACCATTCACCAGCCTCATACTCCTGCTTCTATCATCCCATATCGTTAACATACGTACATATCACTGTGTCCATTGGTTTTCTTCATTTGAACTGCAAGACATTATAAACAGCCACATATAGAGTCTAGACCCATCCGCATTTTACTCACAAATCACAATCATCCTCGCTCCCTCCATCCTGACTCTCATCCCATCCCCTGGTCTCATTGTCTTCACTGGACTTCGTCGAGGCCTCCACTCAGCCCAGCCCAGTGGTCCAGTGCATCGACCCTAGAAGGCCGCTAATGCACAGCGCATTCCCCGCGGAGCCCATCCCCTGTGTACAGTGCCGTTACCACTGCCGACAGCACGTCCAACTGCAGCCAACCACTACGAGTACCTGAGCAGTAGTTATGAGTATGATGGAGGCCATATCCCAGCGCAACTTCAATTCTTCCATCGCCAACTTTTCCACGCCTGCGTCGTTGTCGTCGACGCCCCAGCCAGGCCCTCTCTACTGGCCCTTCGACGCACGATCCTACTCGGCCCTCGCATGGGCTCCTGATACCTTTGCCTTCAACTGCAACCCTGCTCTCGCCGCAGTAAAGACCCCTGCGACTTCTACCAGACCAACTGGGCGCCGCCCGCGCCAGCCTGCCGCGATATCTCGTTGCACGGCCAGGACGAAAGCAAAGGCCGCGTCTCCTGCAAGCGCCAGTAACAAGAGCACATCCTCTTCCGCTACCTCTTCTGCGAGATCTTCACCAGCTTCGTCGAGGAGTGCCATATCCCCGCGCCTCAAATCCAAGATGCCGGGACGACCTCCAAAGCGGGCAGCGAGCCATGGCGAAGACGATGGCCATATTCAAGCTCCTACCAAGGTCAAGCTGCCACGGCTCGAACGTGGCCCAGACGACTTCTCAAGTGTTGTCAAGAACCGATTGCAGTCCTATACACGCACAGGTCAAGCTTGCGACAGGTGCAAAGTACGTTATGAACCTTAACCATATTCTCACAAGCAAACACTAACCGCGCCAAATTTACAGGTTCGCAAGATTCGATGCGACGCCCTGCCCGAAGGCTGCTCCCACTGCACCAACCAGAACCTCGAATGCTATGTCACAGATCGCGTCACAGGGCGCACAGAACGAAGAGGATACATGCAGGAATTGGAGAGGGAAAAGAGCGACATGCTCTCCCACATTCGCGATCTCGAGAAGCTCCTAGACAACAAGGGCGTCGAGGTCAAGCCTTGGGAGTGGTCACCTTATTCGCAGTACCCTCCAGGTGCCGACTTTGACGACATGGGCAATCCCATTTCTGATCAAAACACCAGCGACAATTGGTCTCAGGTCGGCACTGCATGGTTTAAGGACTCGTCCTCCAATTCCAGCCCAGCTGCTAGCTTTCCTCGTACTCTTGAGTCCCGACCTAAGGAAGCTCATTTGGGAATTGGAGTTGACAGCGCTCCTATGAGTTCCATCGGAGGAACGCGATTGTCCATCCTGGGTATGACAGTTGACCTTTCCTCCTTCGAGGCCCCAGATATGGACGAGCCTCCAGTCAATGGGAGTACGCCAACGCCATCATACAACAAATCACCAAAGGCCCTCCTTCAATCTATCATGCGAGTTAACCCTCCAATGGAAGTTGACATGCCTTCTCGAGAAGACGCCTTCACTTACGCTGAGTGGTACTTCATGACCTTTTCCGCTTTTCTACCTCTTCTCCACAAACCTTCTTTTATGCGGCTTGTAAGTTTTCAATTCAAACTTTTCAGCATGACCACTAACAGCGTCACAGTTGACACGCATGTACGATGAACCTAAATTTGAGCCTTCGGCGGCGGAGCATGTTATGGTACACATGGTCTTCGCCATCATCTGCTTCCAATACGGTACTCGCAATTGGCAACAAGTCGAGCAACGCACTCAGATGAATGAACTGTCCAATAAGCATTACCATTTCGCTCTCAGTAAATTCTTTGAACTTTCATGCAGTCGGGATTTGTCTTCAGTCCAGGCTATGGCCCTGATCGTCAAGCATACTAGAGCTTTCCCGAAGGCTGGTTGTGTTGCAATTGTCGCCAATCTTGCACTCCAGCGTGCACTCGAATTGAATCTGCACCGAGAGTCGAGAAAGCCCGGCGAGCCCACTAATCTTCAGCATGAGCTCCGAAAGAGAGCTTTCTGGGTCATCATGACTGTCTACATTGCTGTTGTTGGACGCCGCGGACAGCCGATGCCAATTACCGTTGAGGAATTGGATGTCGGCTTCCCCGAGCCTATTGCAGATGAGCTTCTCTCGGACGAGGGCGTCGATACATCCCGCGACATTCCCTGTCCTTACTGGCCTGGCATTGTCAGCTTCAAGATCATTCCTATCTACATGGAAATGTACTCCAACATCTACAGTGTTCGCCGGGATGCCCGCAACTATGTCAGCATCGTCAATGCACTTGAGGCTCAGATCAAAAACTGGGAGGATGAGCTCCCTGGCCAGTTAAAGATTGACCATGCTGAGCAAACTGACCAGACGCGCATGGCCGCTGTCTATGCCAAGACTTGGGCTCTCGAATTCCGTCTTTGTCTGCGACATCCCTCAGTTGCCATGACAAGCGATAAGAAGCTCATGGCCGAAAACATGTCAATCTGCGAGGACGTCTCGCGCCAGATGCTGCACTGTCAGTTAGAGATCCAGAAGTGCAAATGCCTGGACACTACGTGGTATCAGACTTCAATGTACACAGCTGGCGTCTTCACCCTGCTGGCTGCCATGTGGGAGAGACGGTTCGAAACAACGCCTGAAGCCATTGCCACGTTGCGAGAGGAGATGAACGGTTGGGTCGGCATTCTTGAGGAAGTTAGCTCTCTTCTCGGTAAGTTCCAGAAACTCGTGTCTATTTCTGTCCACTCTAACAATATCCCAGGCTCAGAATCTAGCTTTGGTGCTGAAATTGGCAACATCATTGATCGCACAATTGCGTGGATCGACCATGATATGCGTAATAAGGAAACCAAGAGCGCACAGCCGTCTATCACACCAGAGATCAAACAAGAACAGCCCCCTCAAGCCTCAAATTACCAACCTTCTCAGGTGCGAGCTCCAATGGCCAATGGAGCGGTTCAAAACGAAGTCCCTGCCTCAAAAGGCTACTTCTCAGAGTCCAACATGAACGGACAGACACCTTATCCCACACTCGCCTACAACGAAAACCCACAGAACGGCATGGCCCCAGCCTATGATACCGGCGCCATGTTCTACAACACATCAGCGCAAGCAGCCGCAGTTGCAGCTACCACATCGGCACTCCCGTCGTCTGTGGCGCAGGTGAATCCAATGCTTGCTTTCTCACAACCGCCTCAACCCGATATGCTCTGGCAGGGCCGGGGTAACACGTGGCACGACTGGACTTCAGCCATTGCAGATACTCAAGATCGTTTCAGTGCATCGACTCTTCTGACGCTCGGGGGCGGTACACGAGATGTCTCCGCCGGCGCGGGCGTTCCGGGCGTCACGGCGAGTCCATCAGCGAACGACATCAACAGTTTACAGCAGGCAGGCCAGTGGCCGCTGATAATATTTGACCAGGTGGCGCCAAACGGATCTTGATTTTGATGGGAACGGGCATGGAGGCGGACAATCCGCTCGGAGCATTTACGGGGGCGTTTCTGAATAGGGGTATAAATGGGTTAAGCCGCCGTGACATTGGACTCACAAGGCACTTATCAAAATATGTAAATGACGAGATATGTAATGATGGGGTTGGTTGGGCGGTGCATAATGCATAATGGCATTGGGAGTGTGTTTGGTGAAGCTGGTTTCAGCTTTTGTATTAGTATATATGTCTTTACCATTTAGACTGTACATATTCAATGCATCAATGCATCATACACCTGAAATCTATTACAATTTTATTACCTTACAATCCATAATTACGTTCTTTACTTTGACTTTGAGATTTATGATAAAGTTTTCTTGGTGTTGATGTTCGTCTCCGTTCATGATTAACCGAACCTTTTCCGACTGAGTTACCCACTCTTTTCTTGTCGCGTTCAGTTCCAAGCTCCACGTCCCAGATATTGTTAATCGACCTTTATCAGGAACTCTCTGCGCCTTCGAATTGCATCGCGCAAGACCATTGACGAATTTGTGCATAATACCCGAGAAGACCGGCAAGATGGGCAAGAAACGGCGCGGTCACCCCGACATCGAGGATGTCCTCCATCGCCCTTGGTGTTACTATTGTATGGATCTTGCGCCTTGAACTCTAGGGACTTGATGCTAATCATTCTACCACAGGTGAACGTGATTTTGAAGATTTGAAGCTTCTCATTTCTCATCAGAAGGCCAAGCATTTCAAATGCGACCGCTGTGGTCGCCGTCTCAACACTGCAGGAGGTTTGTTCGCACCAGATTCTTTATGGAAGCCGCGCTGACAATCGTCACTACAGGTCTCTCCGTGCACATGAACCAAGTCCACAAAGAAAACCTGACACAGGTCGAGAATGCGCTCCCGAACCGACAGGGCCTCGAGGTGGAGATCTTTGGTATGGAGGGTATTCCCCAGGACATGCTCGACCAGCACCGCAACCGCATTCTTCAGAACTTCCAGCAGGCGCAGAAGGACCGACAGATCGCGACCGGAAACCCGCTGCCTGGCCAGGGACAGGTGCACAAGAAGATCAAGACTGAGTCGCCGGATGAGCTGAAGCAGAGACTTGCCGATTTCCGACAGCGCAAGAAGGAGATTGCTGCCAATGGAGGCGTGGATCCTGCTGCTGCGGCCAACACCGAGACGCAAGCTCCCTTCGTGAGTATTATCTTACTAGCGGCCGTTTGGACATATGCTAACAATTGTAGAACCCCCCTCCTTTCCAACCGCAGCAATCCTTCGAACAACAACAGGGCTATCCCGCACAAGCACCTCTCAGCACAGCACCCTACAGCTTCCCACCCAGCAATCTCCCCGCACGCCCATCATCCGGCAGCCTCCCCGCCGCCACGGGTCTTCCACAACGGCCGACACAAGGCGGTGCCTGGAACGGCGCGCAACCAGCTGCGGGCGACGACATTGACCACCTGATCCGCATGGCGGAGGCGGGCATCAAGCCGGCGACCAAGGCCGAGGGAGAAGACGTGGGCGACAAGAAGAAGAAGGAGAAGAAGGCGAGGATGTTCTACGATGACGCCGAGGTCAGCCCCGAGGAGAGGATGGCTGCGCTGCCGAGGTATGCGTTCGTCCCTGAGGTTGGGGCCTAGAAAGGGGTGTGATAATACCAATGATCTTTTTTTGATTGGGATTGAGGGATTATTGCATGGTTGGCGTTGGGCTGTAAACTAAATGGAATTCGATGGTATTTGTATTTGCGATTGCATTGTTTCCAACGTGACCTGTTTTCTACCGTGCAAGTGGCATATTGGGCTTTGTGTACATCGTTTAGTGCTGTACCTGTCTACCAGACACTGGATACACACAGAGTGAGTACTTGGTCTTTGTTTTGGCTAGTGGTCCGTCCCGCAGACCCTGTTTGTTTTTATCCATCGTGAACGGATGTTTTGATGGCTAACTGTATACTGTATGGGTCGGTCTTACAAGTGGACGGACCTGGTCAATCCATGATACTCCCTTGCATTAAATTGTTCCGACATGGGATAAACTGCCTTGATGAAAGACAGAAAGGGGAACATTATCAAGTGCCAGATCGTAACAAACATAAACTTATTTGACGTCGGACTCAGAGCCTGAGGTGAGGGCTGTATTGGCTGCATCAATGCGCCCTCGATCTCTTGGAGAACACAAGCACATTGTGAGTAGCAAAAGTTGAAAGGAGGCAGCAAATGAATGAACAACACATGGCTGAATGGCCCATATCTTGACGGCAAATCATTGCTTTAATTGATATTTACAAACATCCCAGACAAGTCTAGGGTACGTGAAGGTCCGCATCAGGCGCATTAACAAAACCATCTGGGGTCCCCTGGAAAGTGGCACTAGCGCATCTCTACAGCAACCGTCCCGAAAAAGGTCCCAGTCAGAAAACAAACCAGACGTCACCTTAAGCGTGCTCGGCAGCTCCAACTGACATTTCTACAAAACCACTTCGGCACTGACGACAATAGGTACAGTATTTGTCTTCTTTTTGTTTTTCTGTTCGGGTCAATTATCGAACAGTGCTTCTATGATCACCAGCTCGATACGGAGCGCGCCTCTCATTTATACTTTTCGGCTTTTGTTTACTTAACGGCTCCGTCAACACCAATTCTACCCCCCAAGGAATTTGAGGTGGAACATTCGAGAGCACAACAACACTTCACAACGACCTGAGGATATAATGGCTATTACGGCAGCTTCCGCTGCTTCAGGACAGAACTCCATTACTGTTGCTGGTATGACTGCTTTTGACTGAATGCTGCGCTGTTGCTGATGGATATTACAGTTCGAGTTCGACCATTCACGATCCGCGAAGCTGCTTCTTTGTATGAATAACCGCTGGAAAACATTAACCTTGTTCGCTAACGATACGGCAGGCAAAAGAACGATGATGGAACTCTCTTCCTCGGCGACGGCTCTCTTGCCGCTGCGCCCACACCAAAGCTACACCAACGTGGTATTCGAAACGTGATCAAGGTCGTCGACGACCGTTGTCTGTACGCCACCTTGTCCATCGTAATCTCTGCCACAAACGCTGACACTATACAGAGTCTTTGACCCCCCCGAGGACAACCCCGTACAAAAGTTCGGCCGTTCGGTCGTACCCTCATCGAAAAAGGTCAAGGACCAAGTCTTTGCTTTTGATCGAGTCTTCGACGATAACACAACACAATCCGAAGTCTACGAAGGCACCACCAGAACGCTCCTCGACAGCGTGCTCGATGGCTACAATGCGACTGTTTTCGCCTATGGCGCCACTGGCTGTGGAAAGACACACACCATTACCGGTACCGCCCAACATCCTGGCATCATTTTCATGACCATGCAGGAACTGTTTGAGAAGATTGATGAGCGCAGCCAAGACAAGGTCGCCGAGCTGAGTCTGAGCTATCTTGAGATTTACAACGAAACCATTCGCGACTTGTTGCTTCCAGGCGGCGGTGGTAAGGGTGGTTTGATGCTCAGAGAGGACAGCAACCAGGCTGTTAGCGTCTCTGGATTGACGAGTCACCACCCCAAGGATGTCCAGGAAGTCATGGATTTGATTGTCCGAGGAAACGAATACCGTACAGTCAATGCTACCGAGGCCAACGCCACCTCTTCTCGATCACACGCCGTTCTTCAGATCAACATTGCCCAGAAGGACAGATCCGCTGGTGCTAGCGAACCTCACACCATGGCCACCCTCAGCATCATCGATCTTGCTGGATCCGAGCGAGCGTCTGTCACCAAGAACCGTGGTGAGCGCCTTACCGAGGGTGCCAACATCAACAAATCCCTTCTCGCCCTTGGAGGCTGCATCAACGCTCTCTGCGACCGTCGCCAGAAACAACACGTTCCTTACCGAAACAGCAAGCTTACTCGACTGCTCAAGTTCTCCCTCGGTGGAAACTGCAAGACTGTTATGATTGTGTGTGTCTCACCATCGAGCGCGCATTTCGACGAAACTCAAAACACCCTTCGATACGCCAACCGGGCAAAGAACATCCAGACCAAGGTGACGCGCAACGTCTTTAACGTCAACCGCCACGTCAAGGACTTCTTGGTTAAGATCGACGAGCAGATGGCTTTGATCAACGAGCTCAAGGCCCAGCAGAAGGACGCCGAAGGCATGTTCTTTGCTAAATTCCGAAAACAGTGCGACAAGCGGGATGCCCTCACCCGAGAGGGTGTTCAGCGACTTCGAACAGCCTACGAACACTCTGCTACTGAGCGTCAAGAGCGCATCAACAACATGAAGCGACTCAAGTCTTTCGAGCGCCGAATCACTGTGCTTTCTGGATGGATTGCCGCATTTGATAACATTTGCGACCAACGAGGCGGGGACGACTCAATGCCAGAGAACCTGGTTGCGATTCGAAGAACTGCACAGGGTATTCTTGTTGAGCTGGAGAACAGCCGACACCACATTCACCAAAAGATGAACAATCCAGGCTGGGAGCGTGCTATCGACACAGCTTTGTCGCATGGCCTGCAACAACTTCAAAGTACCGATGGTGCCGACAATGGAGAAGTTGATACGTTGACCCGCGAAGCTGAGCTTCTCAAGGCCAACTTTAACCGCGAGGCTTACTCGGAGGTCTTGGACCAGGACAGGGCTGGCGATGCTGCTATGGTGCAGATGCTTCTCACTGCGCAATTCGATATTCTCGCCTCACTTTCCGATACCCTCGCCATGGACGAGGAAGAAGCTGTCGCTCACGCCAAGGAGATGATTAACCGTCTCCTCCAAACCGGCTTCGCCGCTGCTGGGCAGGTTGTCAAGCCTGATGGCTCTATGCCTGTACTGGAGGTCTTTTCACCTAGAAAACGAGGCACTCCCAAGCGAAGCAAGAAGACGATTCCGATGCATATCAAGCCTGTCCCGGCCCCTGTCTTCACCTCATCGCAAACCGAGCACGCCGCCCCCGTCAGTCCCATCAAAGGATCCCCACGACGTCGTAAGGTGATGGGAGCTTCCAAGAAGAGCATCAGCTTCACACCGATCAAAATGGTGAAGAAGAAGGGAGGAGTCCGATGGAGGGATGATGAGACAGAGGGCACATTGGCCGACTTTGAGAAGACACCCCAAAAGTTCAACTCACCCGATATTTCCTCACCTGAGAAGAGCATCATCGCGCCTGTCATGCCTTCTTACCTAGAGCCTGAGGAGCCAACAATTCAGGAGTCAAGTCCCAGCCTCGAAATTCCTGAGACGAGCATCTTGGGAGGTCCCAAGCCAAGTAGGTTCCAGGCAGGATTCCTTGCCAAGGGAGCTAGACACTCTCTTGCTTCTGAGGGATCACCCAAAGCGCCAACCATGAGCCTCAACCTAGGCTCAGTTTCTCCTGATGTTGCGCGAACACCACCCTTGCGATCACTGGATGTCACTAAGAGTGGCAACTTTTCACCATCGCCATCAGGGCTCGGTATTCCACGAGCTATTAGACGCCTACCCACGATACACGACGAGAACAACCCTCCCGGATCTGGATCTGATTCCGAGACGAGCACTATTGATGCTCGAAAGCTTCAGAACGCCCTTCGTACCGCCATGAAGGAGAAGGCCCGTAGAGCGAGCATTCTGGCCGGTACAGGTTCCTCAAGCGTCAAGCGCGTATCGTCAATGGGAGCATTGGAGCGTACTGGACCCAGACCCAGCCTTCCTGGGGCTCTTGCCAGCACCACCAACGGAATTTCTCGACTTCGCCGAAATAGCGCTGAGAGGAGGAGAAGCCCCCCGATGACGTGCTTGTCTCAAGACTTCAAGATTGATAAGGCCCTGACACAGGGTCAAGCTAGGCGCATGAACATGAGCAGCACACGGATGGAGGTCACTGGAGGAAGTCCTCAGGGCGGCGGTATGGCCGGTGGTCCTGCGCGACGGATCACCATCAGTACTGGACCTGGATCTGCACATCAGCGTCAGGACAGCAGGAATGGTACGGGTTGGCGATGAGTGTAATGTGAAGGGTTGGGCGTGTACAAATTGCAGTTGCCTTGATGGCCTTGGATGGGTGCGTGCTTGATTGTTTATGAGCCCGGAGTTACGGCTGCGGCGTTTGGGTCTTACATGATCTATGTAGATTGATATGATATTGCATTATTAGTGTAACAAGATGACTTTAGACATTTGCTGTGCGTCTTTGTGAATGCCGGTCGGATGTGGTTACGTGATACAACTATCGCCGAACAAAGCTGTGCCCCGTTTAGAGGTAGCCGTGGTGCTTTGAAGCAATTTTGGTCAGCCTCAAAGCAAGTGCATGTCGGACACAGCAGTAGTGATAGGCTCTGGACTTCTATTCCCAATTGGTAAGCCCACACGGAAACCTTACTAACTCAATGATTAAGCATAATTTCTGTCTGTCTTGTGGAAGTGGCTGAAGCTGAAAAACAAGGTGGTCAGCTTTGAGGATTGTTATCGCCGAAAGAATTTATTGGTGGCAAACGAGTGGCTGTCGGCGATAGGAGATCCACTTTTGTCGTGATGCTTCATCGGTGTTAGAGAGAGCGGTGTTGATGAGTTCTTGTCGGAGATAATTGAGAGGGGCTGGAGTATAGGTTTGATGGAAACTATATAAAGGCTTTGGGGTTTCGAGTTTATGGATTTGTTGTTCGGATCAGACACTTGCATTCACAAGATATTTACACAACATCACTTACAAACTCACCATTATACCAATCCTTAACATCAAAATGCCTTCACCTGTTTGGGTCATCACAGCAGCCTCTGGAGGCTTTGGACACGAGATGGCTCTGCTCGCTTTAAACCTTGGCCACACTGTCATCGCCACAGCACGCAGCACATCACGCATCCAAGACCTCGCCGACGCAGGCGCCCACACTCTAGCCTTTGACGTGACATCTCCCTTGTCAGACCTCGAAGCCATTGCGAAAGATGTCTATGCTAAGCACGGCCGTGTTGACTATCTGATCAACACCGCTGGGTTCATCCTTGATGGAGCGGTGGAGGAGGTGTCGCAGCAGGAGCTGTATGACAGTTTCAACACCAACGTCTTTGGTATCTTCAATACCATAAAGGCGTTTCTGCCGGGCATGAGAGAGCAGAGTATTGGGGAGAATGGAAAGCGCGGTACGGTGGTCACCTTCGGAAGTATTGGCTCTTGGCGAGGCGGCGCGACATTCTCTGTCTACGCCATGGTCAAGGCCTGCGTATCCTCCCTCGCCGAATCCCTCCGCGAGGAAGTCGAGCCATTCAACATCGTAGCCACGGTCGTAGAACCGGGCTACTTCCGCACAGGTTTCCTCAACACAGGCAGCAAAGTCGTCAGCGAGAACCGCATGGCCGTGTATGACGACGAAAGCACACCCACGGGCAAGACGCGGCGCATGCTGGATGTCACGGATAACAACCAGCCTGGCGATGTGAAGAAGGGCGCAAAGGTTATCGTGGAGATCCTCACGGGGACGGGTGTGGGGAAGGGGAGGAGTGTGCCTGTGAGGATTATGCTTGGGAGTGATGCAGATGCTTTCATTCGGAAGAAGTGTGAGGAGACGTTGGGGTTGTTGGATGAGTGGAAGGAGGCTGTTTTGAGTACGGATCTTGAGAAGTAAGGGAGGTATGTTGGCTGGCATTGATACATGTATGTTTACTTGAGTTTTATATGTAGGGTAGTGTAATTAACCTGCTTACTACTTCTCAGGGCATTCGCACTCCTCCGCAGCATGTGTATCAGTATGTGAACGGTATTGCAACGTACCTTGGTGTTTGGAAACATGGATGCAAGCCCGATAGAACCTGTGATTGATAACTCGTTCTCGCAGGTTAAGCAGTGCTCCATCTGCCTGCCCGAGATCGGACTTGTCATGATCATGGTAGCCTCGGCGGGCGAACCGGAATATAACCCGCATACCACCAACACTGTGAGCGCCTGACGAGGTGGATATCGACAGAATGTATACATCACTCACATGCCAAATGTAGACTGAGCCTTTCTGTCAGCCTTGCTTAGTGTGCGGGTTGTATTTCAACCCACCTGCTCGGGTGGGGTTAAAATTGCAGTGCAGTGGCTCGAAGGAAATGGAGGAAATGGAGGAAATAGAGGAAATAAAAGGATGGCACGGGAAGAGGTATCAAGATAGTCGCCCTGATCGACCTGATTTTGCCACTGAAAGTTTATATCGATTTGTCGAGTAAAACAATATGATTAAACAACTATTAGATTAAATAACGCTTAAGAAGCTCTTTCTGATAAACTTGATTAAGATATTCCCTATCCTTTACAATTAAAACATCGATACGAATTAGCAATATAGAACTCTAAATCTGTACTAGCGGGATACACTCCCACCATTGTAACTTGTAGATGTTGTGTCGCATCCAGCAGCAGTTACGGCAGAGTACCCTAAAAATAAAGACTCCTGTTATGGGATAAGAGACGCTTGGTTTATTGCGCGTGGCAGGCTCTATGTGTGCTATATTACGTGTATATGCAAGAAAAACCATCGTACTCTACTAATTTGCTAAGTCTCAAGGATGTGCTTCGGAGGAAAGTTGATAGACTGGATTCGGGAAATGACCACATCTCTCTCGCCTCGTGGTCAGCTTTACCTTTCAGGGACAATATGACATTTCTCGGACCCCGATGTTGCACCGGCGGAAGTTCCGGTATAGGCACAACGTTGAAAGGATGAGCAATCAGCTTATTTTATGGATCATATGGTAATTTAATAAAAGATAAAAAGAACTCCTGGAGATCGCAACATTATGTTTAGCATTTAAGTACTCATATCGCTTTCATATCACATCAATACACAGTTTGAGAGATTTATACAACAGACTGCATTACAGCATCTACATCACAAACTCAAAAGACCTTTCTCTCAACCTACACCTTGCACCACAAAATGTCCGAGCACGGCTCTTCACTTCTACCAGGTGCACTGAAGGCCTTTTCAATATTCTCCATGTTCACTGGCTCCGTCGATGTTATCGGCGGCCACAAACTGCTTATCCCAGCCTCTGAGCGCTCCCTATTACCAAAACCGACACTAGCACTATTGGACAACCAACTTAGATTCCTGGGAGCGGTATGGGCTGGATACGGCGCGATGATGTGGTGGGCTAGCAACGATCTTCAGACGAGACAAGCTCCTCTGGCGGTGCTGGGGGCGGCCATGTTTTTCGCGGGAATTGGCCGATTGACTTCGGGGTTGAGTTGTGGTTGGGCTGCGAGTTGGCTTAAGGTTGCTACTGGTGTAGAGCTGATCATTCCACCTCTGATCTATCTATTTGGGTTTTAGGGTCTGATTAGAACTGGGGATTATAGCTGTCGAGATCTGGCCGCGGTGGCAAACTCTCATCTCATCATAATAATTAGCATAGAAAATCAAATCATGGTATGAACAAGTTTTGATACAATGGAAGAGCAGATTCGACCAAGATGTCCGCTACTGGAAAATTGCCGTTACAGGTTTTATGGGGGGCTTATACGATCAAACACTGAAAGTTGTCAAAATGACGTTGTCGTGAGCTACATGCTGCCATTGGAACACCTTGAAGAATAGCCACTCGAGTTGCAAAAGACAGCATGATAACAAAGATCTTATAGAAAGCAGGAGTATATGTGCAGTATGGCCATTATAATACATGACGCTCTTGAACCACCATCAGTATGTTATCTCTGAAATGATTGAAACCACCACCGAGAGACCAAGGCTTTCTTTATTTGGTAGTTTAGTGTTCATTTTTGTTCTTTTGTATGCCCATCAATCTAGTCACCCGTTCAGTCATTAACCGCTCTGCGCCTTTTGCTAGACCGTGTGAGCACGTTCGTAACTGCTCGCTTCCCAGACTTTAAGCCAGGTCCTTCTCTCAGGCCTGGCTCTTTGAATCTTCCCTGATGGGAGTTCTTGCAACAGTTGGTAGCTTGTTCCAGCCGACCTTTGATGGTGTTCTCTATCTTCGCCCAACCCTCTTGATCTGCGGGACCTGGGTATATCGTCCATTGACGAAGTCCATCAACCTTATCCAATAACATGTGGAGAGTATCTGAATTAGTAGCTTGAGTCTCTGCGTCAGAGTCCAATAGAAGTTTCGTGGTTTCCATTGTGTGTAGTGTCATCGACCCATGTAACTTGCTCAGAATCTCTGGATCTCCTTCGATCCACTTAGTCCAGACCGTAGCTTCTTCGGAATTCGCTTGCTCGAGACCTTGCAGATGTTCATTTGGGCTTCCACCCAGCTGCAAAATATATCGAACCATGCCTAGATTTGGAGAAGTACTTTGGTAATCTGGCGGAGTTAAGCAGTTGTTGTATAGGTCTCGCAACATTGGCCTACAAACGGCATGGTAAATTAGGGGGTATCTGGTTTGCAGGGCAACTCGGCAAAGGGAGTAATACTTGAATCTAGGCAAGGGTTTGAAGGTAGGCCGAGAAATATGCTTTCCACAATCACAAAGAGGCATATTGTTGGCTGCCTGAAGTAAAGACCTGCCAATCGAGGATGCATTCTCAATAACAAACTCGACAACACCAGTAAACCCCATCTCAACGGCAAGAGCAAGTGCTATTGGCAAGTCACCCCAGCATCTTGGACACCCGGGATTGTGCAGTAAATATTGGTTTGCTGTGATCCACACAGCGTCCAATTCATCGTTTCCAAAGAGGACCTGGAACCTGGAAAGGCAGCGAAGGGTAGTTTCAGGCGATAACCCGCTATTGTAGCCATGGTATATATGACCCAGAGCGCTGTTTATAGCCGAGTGTTGAACGTATGCCATGGGGACGAGTTGACACCACATCGTTGATAAGATAGCATGACTATTCAATGTGATGTTCTGAAAAACGACGTAGTCTTCTTGCCATGCTCTAGGCTGCGTTAGAAGTTCGTAAACTGTTCGGTGCATAAAAACAACCTCAGAATCTCGAAGGCTATCATGAGGTTGGAAAACCTCGGGATTGCAAACGCAGAAGTTGAGGCTACTGAAACTTGCTTCTGCACGTTGGACTTCAAGAAGCCCACAGCATCGACTTCTCAGGAGACCTTCCATAATCTGACATCTCGCAGTTATTTGCTGACTAGGAATCTTGTCCAGTCTTTCTCTTACCGACTCTTCAGTGACTTGGAGCCCTTGCTCATAAGCAAAATGCAATCCTATGGTTGGGATAGATTCGAAATCGTTGTTGCATTTGTTTGTGTAGACAATATTCAAAAGCTTGATCGCTTCTGTCCGCCACGCTGGCCTGACCTTGTTGAGCATGTGTTGCAAGAGATCCTCGACCTCTCTGGGAAGCTCATCAATACGGGTTTGCAGGTCCGAGAAAGAACAGTAGTCGTTGCAACCTTCAACGACAGACCTGCAGGCTAACACGACCCACAGAAAGACCCCAGAAGCTTTGCTAACAAGTTCTTCAATCAGCTCTTCCACCACATTGGGTTGTATTTCTGAAAGTGTGATGAGATACGGATGGGTAGCGATGCTTTCGCTGATATATGAAGCTATGTCGCTTCTTGTCAGATCCGGCAGGTTGAGCCTTGCCGTGTGCTCGAAAGCGGCCACATATGCAGGGTGAGGTCTGCTTGAAACTAGGATCTTGACATTAGGAAATGCTCCAAGATCTGTAATGAATTTGATGGCGTCCAGATCCCCTCCTTCATACTCATCAGCTCCATCCATCATGAAGAAAAACTTCTTACTGGCATTGCATGATGCACAGTAATGAGACAGGGCAGTTGCCATTTCGGCGATGGAGGGAACCGAGAGTTTCAAAGGATCTCTATCGGTATTCGTACAAGCCTCTTGCCACATGTTGGGAAGAGTGATCTCGATGCTGTCAGGGTCCTCTTTTAAGAGCTGGTAGAGCAGGCTTCTCAAGAGTCCAGACTGCGACTTCTGTTCCGGCCTACCCAGGGCGTAGAAAAAGAAGCTGGCTAAGACAATAGAGGAGCCGCATGCCCATTTAGTGAGGAGCTCGAGCATACGGCTCTGAGATAACAGATACTTCATTAGCGTAGACTTCCCACTCCCTGCTTTACCAGATATCCAGTATATGCTACGGGCATCTTTTAGCCAATTGCCAAGATCATCCCATTCCGTGTAGCCATTGGGTGGGTCAAGTGCCCATCTCAACGTCTTATAGTGAGCTTCCTTGACGTTGAAACGCCTGTCTTCATGGTGACGGAACCACAAGCGCTGAAGTATCTGAGGATGCAGTATCACTTTCTTGACTGCAACTGCGGCGGATTTGATGGCTGGTCGTGAATCCGCGGATGCTTGGATGATGATATCCAGCTCTGCAATGCTGCGTACATGACTCAAGTCTTCTTGGATTGATGATAGAGTGGAAGGGGAGACAGTCGGGGCTAGTTCCATCAACGAACTGTTGAAATAGGAAAGATTTGCGATAAGAGCGTTGAATTTGTCTTTATGAACGATGACCCATCGGACCTTGTTTGTAGTATCGGTAATTTTAGATGAGCGTGGTGCGCCCTTTCTGTTCTGCGTGTCGATTTTGAGCCGATGGAAATCATGAAGGAACCGCTTAAGTCGAGAGGCACTTGCTCCTTGAGAGCTGTTGACAGCTGAGGTATTAGGGTCCAGGGACTCTGATACATCAAATTGCTGGAGCCCGTACGATTGTTGTAAAGCCTCGCCTTCACTGAGAAGACTCTTGATACATGTCAGAACCCGCAGAACTATCTTACGAGTTTCCGGGTCTTGCAGCGGTATGCTGGAGGGATTGAGCGACTCGTTTGAGGATTGATCACAGCTGAAGAACTGAAGTAAACCAACGCGGTCGGACCACCGAAGGAGCAGCATTCTCTCCACGTCCAGCTTGGTTTCCAAGATTGCAGCATCCTGGCCTAGACGTCGTGCGGCGGTGATCATGGAGAAGAGATCAACACAGTCCTTGAAAAGGCCAATGAGGGCCACGGCCCCAATAGCAAGACCCGCGGCTTCCATACTGGCTGACAAAGATAGGCGAGAAACAGAAAGGTATTTGCTCCTGTGGAGAGTCCACGAGTTGTTAGGTACGTTATTTTAATGGGCTGAAGGAGGCAGAAAAAGTTGGGCTGACCGCACTCAGTAAAGGAGGGCTGAGCCAGTAAGGCTGATTGGGAGATACTGTTGTTTTTCAAGCCAACACAGCGGTCACATGCTGCGTGCAACCTGATAGACCCCTGCCGCATGATATCTGCATATTTGTAAATGCAACGCCTGCACAGCCTTGTCAAGCACACCCCAGAAGTTGCAGACTGTGAAATCCCTTTTAAGCCATTGATGATAACCAGTCCCATGATAGCAGAAAGGACGTATGTGAGAGATAAATAGGTTCATAAGATTAGAAGAATAATCATTCATATTAACAGATAGCCTAGTTCAACTTCCCCTTGTAGGCTTTCGAGACCCCTTTAGTAGGTATACTGGAACCTGGGGTTATGCTCGCCAAGCTCCTCCGCCTCCTCCTCTGTCAACCCCTGAATTCTGTAATCCTCCTTGCCCTCAACCTTCCTCTTGTTCTGGCGACGGAACCAAGCCCAAAACGCCAGGTAAATAAAGGAAGACATGGCAACCAAAGCCATCGAGACAGCATGGCCTTTAACGAATCGGGGTCCTTCGTATGTTTTGTACAACTAGAACATGTTAGCTGGAGAATATCGTAGGTGGACACCGAGACTTACAAATGGAGCTGGAATTCCCGCAGAGTTGCCAATGGTGAGTTGAAGACCGGTCGCAACGGTTCGCTTTCCATATCGAGGGTTGTTACTGGGCAGCCAAGCAAGGGGTAAACCGACGATGACATATAATCCCATCGCGGCTAGGAAACAGCCGAAGTAACGTACTCCGGATGGCGCTGGACTGACGAGAAGGGCGTAGCCGACTGCACAAACAAGACCAAGTACCACGGTGAAGACAGCTCGTTTTTGAGTGCGATCTGAAAACCACGCGACTATAAGGTATGTGATCGCACCCATGGCGTAACAAGGAATAGTGAGAGCCTGGACCTGAGCGTTGTTCCAATCTCCAAGCCCACGGATGATAGTAGGGAGAAAGGTGCTGTAGCCGTAAAGGATCGTGTCTCCTCCAAACTGGCCAATGCAGAACAACCAGATCTTCCAATCCTTGAGACCAGCGTAGACATCTTCCTTGTGCATCTGGTCTGAAGACTTGGTGTGGCCGATTTGTCGTCGCATGCGCGCATCGATAAGCTCGCGTTCTGCAACGGTGAGATAGTGCGCCGAGTCAGGGTCGTCTGCGAGCCAAAACCAAACAGCAATTCCGAGGATAAATGTGGGAATACCCTCGATGATGATAATCCACCTCCAGCCGCGAAGTCCTGCAACGCCGTCCATGTGGCCAATACCGTAAGCGAGCAGACCGCCGAGAGAACCTGCGATGGCGGCACTGACGAAGAGATAGCCGATTCGGAGAGCGTACTCGCGTTTCGTATAGAACATGGTGAGGTAGATCGTGAGTCCGGGGAAGAGTCCGCCTTCGAGAGCACCGAGGATTACACGGCAGGCGATCAGGCTCTTGAAATCTTGTACAATTCCGGTCAAGGTGGCGACGATGCCCCAGGAAACAGTGATGAACGAAATCCATCGTGATGGCGTAAACTTCTTGATGACGAGGTTGGAAGGTAGCTCAGAGGCAATGTATGTGACGAAAAGTACAGAGACTGCAAGTTGATACTATTTCCATTAACAAGATACTCATGATAATCATTTTCGGCACGTACCTGATCACCAACCAAACCAAGATCCTCCTCCATACCGTAGAGTCGAGCATTTCCAATGTTCACACGATCTAGAAAACTCAAGAGGTAGAGAAGCATCACAGGCGGAACAATCCACATGTCCAGCTTGCGCAGAAGTGCCTTCTCGGCAACAGGATCGATGTAGACGTCATCTTGAGTAGCGCGCTGCTCCTCAATCTCCTTGTCGGGGAGGACAGCGGTCTTTGAAGACATGGTAGTTGGATCTGAGGATTATCTCTTTCTACTCTCCTTGAAAAGAGAATGAAAATGGTAGTCTGAGAATGAGATGCAATTGAAAGGGTTTGTGGTCCATTTTAAGAACATGCAGGTGTCTTATCTCCGCACCGCGACTTTTACCCCGGATCTGGAGAAGGATTGGATTGGGTAACAGGAACACTGGGCTATCGATGATACAACCCCAGAATCAATTGAGATGCAGGGTTTACGTAGGGATCGCTGGCTTGATTGCCTAGTAGAGGTGGGCCATATTCGGTCTGGGAGGGGTTTGCCGATGGTGCATGATTCAGTCAAGACTCGGTAAGTTGAGAATTGCCGGGGTGTCATACTGATGTCTAGAACTAGAGTCCGCTGGTGTCATTCCCGGTGTGAGTGAGATGACTCGGCTATTGGGAATTACCGAAAGGGTCGAGTGAGGCTCGAGATGATATTTACAAAACTACACTGAGTTGATCATCTTCTGCTGGCCTTATCTTGTATATCGATTCATATCTTGCTCGGCGTTATTGAAACCCACTAACTACGGGTTCATGGCATAATTCTGGTCGGCATCTTAGCCGATCTGGTCAGATAATCAAGATAAGAATCGCCTAACTTATCTTTCGTCACTTTTCTAGAACTGTTACCCTGTCACTCGGCAGATCGTCTTACACCGTTACCGGCTGCAACCCTGCCGAGAAGCATGCCTTGACTTGCCGGGCATTATCTATACTCTGCAGACTACAGTTCTATATAAAGATTCTGATAATGAGCCAACAAGAGATATATAAAATAACTTGGATGTGTAGAATTTTCTATGATTAGAGTATTATGTATATAATTTTTATCCCAAGATTGTATAGGATTATATAAAACAAAAAGGTTTACTATTTATGTAAAGTCTGGTAGCACCTTTAAAAAGAGATCCAGCTGTCCTAATAAAATCTACAGAAATATTAACAATAGAAGTCTCTACGCAGACCGAAAAGCAACAGTATTTTAATTTTAATAAGGTTACCCACCATAAAAGGTAAGTTATAATTTATATGTTTTGTGAAAGCTTAAGACTAGAGGAAGCTTTTGGAATTTTTATACACCCGCTATAGTAAGAGATCCAGCTGATGGGTCTCTAATAGAATTCTACGCCATGGTTTGAGCTCTGTTTACTATTATATTCCATGCCTGCATATGTGGTTACAGACTTTTGTGTGGGCGAATTTAGTCTTTGGCCTTGTCAAGACGTTAGCTGGACGCCGCGCTGCTCTCACCTACCACTCAAAGAAGCTATCCGTGGAGGAATCGAGCTCTCGCCAGAACAGCTTGAGATTGTCACCGCTGTCAGCAATACCCGAGCACACGAAAGAGCTACGTAACAATCTTAGCATAATTTAGATAATCAGCTAAAATTCTTTGATATCATTGAATATTATTGTTCATCCCTTCGTAGCTCGTCAGCTTATCCGAAGCCCTAGTCAATCCCATTTGGCTCTACCTGAATAAGAAAGGCTCTTCAATATCAGAAGCAAATTCCTTCAACGTCCCGTCCTCTGCAAACAAAACATCTAACCACTGCACTTGATTCCCATCTAAAAAGCTACCAATAAGTGGATTCCCAAGAACATCAACATTTTCATAGTCAATAATCCCCGAGTCGCACATCCCAGACCCGTTATCCATGCTCATAGGTGTTTGAAAAGGTTGTTCTGAAGTTGTAGAGGCTCCTAAACCCCCTTCAGCCATATCAGTAGATGCCTGTTTTCTGGCAAGAGGTCTATCGAAGCTCATGCCGTCTAAGCGACCTATTGCTCTCAAAGACGATACACGGGCTTGGATATGCGATAGCCTTTCACAAAAGTCAACGGCGGGTATGTTGCCGTCGTTTTTCAGTGATCTTAAAACACTCAGCAAAGTCTCGAGATGATCAGAGTTAACAGCTGTGGGTTTCATCACAGCAGACATGATGAGAACCATAGCCGCGGAGAAGATATGATGGGCATCCCAGTATCCGAAAGTCGCTATCGATCCATCGAGAAAGAGCCCTTCGACTATCCGACTTGACGCCTGTGCTGCATTGACACAGCTCTCTGCCAGCGCAAGCGTGATTGACGAGACGTTTTGTCGGGGCGATGCATCACCTCGAGCTCGAGTGCCGAGTTGGAACTGCGTCTTGAAGAGGTGGAGAAGAACAGGGCGGGTGGTTTGTATGATGCACTGGTTATATGCCAAATGAAGACTTGCAACTGGGCGGGGAGTGCCACGCTCTTTGACTCGCATGTCAGAGCGTAGATCGTCGTGCCATGCTCGAAGCTGCTTCAGTATGCCGTGAACTTGATGTATATAAAGACCGTTTGTAGCTTTGGGTATGCCATAGATATGCGTCACTAACAGATGAGAGTTAGACACGGAGGCTAAAACCAAGGCTAGAAGGGACTTACAGATATTGCCAATAATCCTTGCTAGTTTGATATTAATTATTAGATTCTGCGGGTCAAGGAATTCCGCCATCTCTTCCCTTGTCAAGCCTTCCATGCTTGGCATCTCAACATCGATATCTTCGTCCCGTATAGTGATGGGCTGGCCAAGCTTGGAGGCTGAGAAGCGATCAAAGAAGTATAGCACCCACCACGTTCGTCTGCGACTTTCTCGCTCGACGGGTGTAAGCGTCGTATGTCTCGATGCGGACCTATGCATTCCTAGACTTTGGGCGAGACGCATGGCGATTCCACTGTAGCAATATGCAGTTCGTATACGGCCCAAGATGTTGGATGCCCAAGCCTGTAGGATTGTTTAGTTAGTGCTTCCGAATAGACGGGTTTGATATATTACCAGGAGTGTTAGAACCTCCACTTGCATCAAGGAGGGTTCTTCGTAATAGTCTGGATTCTCCTGTAGTAAGCTCACTGCCCTGACATAGTAGTTAGTACCCGGAACTCTATTATTGTCACCAACTCCTCTCCTATGAGTATAAATCTCTCCCAAAGCCATGAGAGCATAAAACTTGCAAAGCCATAATGTCGAAGGCATAATCTCTCTTCGATAAACAGCATCAATTTCTTTCATGAATGTGACCTCGAGAAACAAAGGATGATAGTTGCCTATAAACCGTCGAGCCACGTTGAGAAGTAGCTTGACGTGCATTCGTTCGGGAAACTCTGCGCCTTTGTCTGTTGATAATCTTCCGTATGTGCTGAGGCGGTGATAATTTGAGAGACCAGCCGTTGATGGGGTATAGGTGTCGTCGAGACATGATAATAATCTGTTGCTGAATGCAGCGCATGAAGCTTCGCCGATGAAACCCGGCTCTGAGGATCGTTCTTGTATAGGCTTTTCGGGCTGCCTGTCGAAGAGTGGGTTGAACAGATTACTCTCCTCTTTTGAGAGCGATGGAGGCTCATCTTCGTCTTGGGTATTTTGGTTATGAAACGGGGTAAACGTTGGTTCGGTCTCTGGGGTTTGGTTATGCGTGCTTATTGCTTGGAGACGTCTACTATCTTCTTCAAGCTTCTTGAGATAACTGAATTGCACAAGATCATATCAGTAGAAATTCATCATAAACATAGACAAGCTTTGAGATTTGGTCAGGGTAGTTTGATCTGACAACAATATTTACCTTTCAGAAATGGGTATCTTTCGCTCCTTGTTCGCAGGAAACTCACATTCACCGTCTCTACCAGTAGTACTACAAGATTGACAAGGCTTCTCTCCCGAGCACTTGATTTTCTGTGAATGACACCTGTGACAACTGTTTCTCATAATCAGATGGAAACTCGAAGGAAAACAGCCAGAGTTTCTCTTACGCAGCCAGGAGTCGTCTCGGACGTCTTGTGCTCATTTTTACCCCGGTAAACTGTTGGGTAATTGATTGATGGCAATCCCTTGGGCAATGCGGGTCTAAATCTGGGGTAGACGGCCGGGCTTTGGACTTATTTGCCGGTCAATGAGTTGGTGATGCCGAGGACTGAAGGTGGAGATGGTCGGCAACTTGAGACTTACCGATAGGAAGAGATCGGCTTCTGAGAGGTTGCCGATGAGTAAGCACTTGTTTGACCAATGCCATTGTTTAGTGTGGGCGCTATCTTATCCACTCACTTACACACTGGAGATACCCCAGATTCATTGATATAATACAGCCTCAACTCGTCCAAGCTTAATCATGTCATCACTTCAACATTCTCCAGCTTCTATACACACTACATTTCCCTCCTGATTCTCCACTTCCTCCTTTCCTCTTCCTCATCACCAAACACTCTTCACAATGGCTTCTCAAGGCATCCGCATCGCCATCGACCGTGGCGGCACTTTCACAGACGCCTGGGCAGAAGTCCCTGGCCGCCAAGAACATATTGTATTCAAGATCCTCTCTGTATGCCCCGATGAGTACGACGATGCACCAACAGAATGCATCAGACAGATTCTAGAAACTGCCCTAGACACCACAATACCCAAGGGTTCACTACTAGATCTTGAGCCTATAGAGTCTATTCGCATGGGCACAACAGTCGCCACCAATGCCCTCCTCGAAAGAAAGGGCGACCGGGTGGCTTTCCTCGCCACCAAGGGCTTTCGGGATATTCTCCTCATTGGAAACCAGACAAGACCAGATCTCTTTGACCTCTCAGTCAGACGCTTGGAACAGCTCTACGAGACTGTCGTGGAAGTCGATGAGCGTGTAACTATCGAGGGTGCCAGCGAAGCACCATCAATTGGTCCCATTGATGTCTCTTCAGACCCTGCGCTTGTTGTTGGTCAAACAGGAGAAGTCGTCAGGATTATGAAGAAACCAGACCTCGACGCTGTGCGGGTGGACCTTGAAGCCCTCAAGGCCCAAGGCTTTGAGAACCTCGCCATCGGCTTCATGCATTCATACACATATCCCGACCATGAACTACAAGTCACAAAGCTCGCTGAGGAAATGGGCTTCAAGGTCTCTGCCTCTTCAGTTCTTCAGTCCATGGCCAAGTACGTGCCTCGAAGTCAATCAGCCGTCGCAGACGCTTATCTCACACCCATGACCTTTGCCTATCTGGACGGCTTCCGCAAGAACTTCAGGGGTCAATTGGAAGACGAGAGCGCCAACAAGCTTCTCATCTGCCAATCGGATGGTGGCCTGACAAGCTGGTCTAAGTTTACCGGCTTGAGGGGCGTTCTGAGTGGCCCTGCTGGAGGTGTCGTCGGTCTATCCAGGACCTGTTACGATGATGCCGACGGGACGCCAGTATTGGGCTTTGATATGGGCGGTACCAGTACCGATGTGGCGAGATACTCTGGAGCGCTGGAGCATATCTTTGAGAACACGCTGGCCGAGGTAACGATCCAGACCCCTCAACTCGACATCAACACTGTCGCTGCGGGCGGTGGCTCTATTCTGGCTTGGGAAAATGGTCTTCTCAGAGTCGGTCCCAGCAGTGCTGGAGCCAATCCGGGCCCCGCTTGTTACGGCCGAGGTGGTCCTCTGACTGTCACAGACGCAAACTTCCTCCTTGGCCGAATCATCCCCGACTTCTTCCCCCGTCGCTTAGACCGTGATATCGTTAGGGAGAAGTTCACTACTTTGACAGAGACGGTCAACAAGGAGAAAGATGGCGGCGAGCCTTTCACCCCAGAGACTTTGGCCCTCGGCTTTCTAGCCATTGCCAATGCGACTATGACTCGACCGATCCGAACACTGAGTGAAGGTCGTGGCTACGGTGCTTCTAGTCATAACTTGGGTTCATTTGGTGGTGCTGGTGGACAGCATGCTGTTTTCATCGCCCGTGATCTCGGTATCAAGAGAGCAATCATTCCCTGCTACTCTAGTATCCTTTCCGCTTACGGAATGGCCCTCGCAGATGTCGTGGTCGAGAACCAAGAGCCTTCCGCCATCACATTCTCTGAGCAAGTCGTCCCCGAAATCAAGTCTCGTCTTGAATCCCTTTCTTCGAAGGGAGCCCAAGGTCTTGAGGCCCAGGGCTTCGACGCCAAGTCCACTCAGCACGAGTATTTCCTGAACATGCGCTACCAAGGAAGCGATACTTCCCTCATGATTCCTGTATCAGGGAACGTTGGTGATGCAGGCGTTGCCTTTACGGCGAGACATACTCAGGAGTTTGGCTTCTCCCAATCCCGTAATATCCTCATTGACGACGTTCGTGTCCGAAGCGTGGGCAAGTCTCGTGTTCTCAACATCTCCAGCCCTTTTGAGGAGCTGAAGAAGTACCAATCTGATGGCTTGACTCCCGTCCCAACACCTATCTTCCGCAGAAAGATCTTCTTTGAGTCACACGGATGGACTGAGACCCCTGTTTATGAGCTCAAGTCAATGAGTCCTGGTGTGCACATCGCTGGTCCCGCGATGATCATCGACAAGACTCAGACCATTGTGGTAGACCACCTTAGCAAGGGTGTCATCCTTCCCGAGCATGTCATCCTCGAAGTTGACAAGGCTGAGAAGCAAAATGTCGCCACTGAGACTGTTGATCCTGTTACGCTGAGTGTTTTCGGCCATCGCTTCATGACTGTCGCAGAGCAGATGGGACATACCATGGAGAAGACGTCTATCTCTGTCAACATTAAGGAGAGATTGGACTACTCTTGTGCTGTGTTTTCTGCCGACGGTGGTCTTGTAGCCAATGCCCCCCACGTTCCCAGCCATCTTGGTTCCATGAGTACTGCCATCGCATACCAAGCCCGACGATACAAGGCTGGCGAGCTCAAGCCCGGCGACGTAATCATCAGTAACCACCCTCAAGCTGGCGGTACCCATCTTCCTGATATTACCACAATCACCCCTGTGTTTGATGACGAGGAGAATCCAAATGAGATCATCTTCTTCGTGGCCAATCGCGGTCATCACGCAGACATTGGCGGTATCGTTCCTGGATCCATGCCTCCAAACTCCACCGAGCTCTGGCAGGAAGGTGCTGCCATTGAGTCTTTCAAGATGATCAACGAGGGTGTTTTCGATGAGGCCGGTCTTATCAAGCATCTCTACGATGAACCGGCTTCTTATCCCGGGTGCAGCGGTACCCGTACCCTCACCGAGAACATCGCCGATCTCAAAGCCGCAGTGGCGTCCAACCAAAAGGGTATCGAGTTGATTCGATCTCTCATCAAGGAGTTTACCTGGCCTGTGGTTCAGCTGTATATGCATGCCATTCAGGACAACGCCGCCCAGTCTGTTCGAGATCTTCTCAAGCAGTTTGCTGCCAAGTACGAGAACGGCGTGCTTGAAGCCACCGAGTATAACGATGATGGTATCCCTTTCAAGCTCAAGGTTACTATTGATAAGGAGACTGGTGAGGCTGTGTTCGACTTTACTGGAACTGGCCCTGAGCATTCTGGTAACTTGAATGCGCCCCCGACTTGCTCGTACTCTGTTATCATGGTAAGTCCTATACATAAATAACCTCTTCATCGTAGCTAACGCTTTCTGTAGTACTGCCTCCGCTCAATGATGGCAACAGACATCCCCCTGAACCAAGGCTGCCTCAAGCCAATCAAGGTCATCTGTCCAGACAACACCATCCTCTCGCCTTCACCCACCGCAGCAACAGTCGGCTGCACAACAGAAACCTCCCAGAAAGTTGCCGATCTCGTCCTCCGCGCTTTCAACGCCGCAGCTGCTTCCCAGGGTACGATGAACAACCTCAGCTTCGGCTGCGGCGGCACAGATCCGGTCACGGGTGAAGTCACCAAGGGCTTCGGGTACTACGAGACCATTTGTGGAGGCGCTGGAGCAGGACAGGGATGGCATGGCGCGAGTGCTGTGCATACACACATGACGAATACACGAATCACAGATCCCGAGATCTTGGAGAAGCGATACCCCGTCATTCTGCACGAGTTCTCCATCCGGAAGGGAAGCGGAGGACAAGGCAAATGGCGCGGCGGTAATGGATGTATCAGGGATATGGAGTTCCGCATGCCTCTCCAGGTCTCCGTCCTCACAGACCGAAGAGTCACAGCACCCTACGGTCTCGAAGGAGGCGAAGAGGGTCAGCGAGGACAGAATATCTGGGTTCGTAAGGATCCAGTCACAGGAGCAACGAGGCAGGTCTCACTTGGACCGCGAAAGACGTCGCATTTTGCGGCGGGTGATCGTGTGATTATCCTGACGCCTGGTGGTGGAGGTTATGGATCGGTTTCGTCGACGTCGACGTCGACGGGAGAGTTGAAGGTGCCGGGGAGGGATTCGAGGGCGTTTTTGACCAATGGTAGTTTGGGAGTGAGGCATAGCATCGCCACTGGGAATTAGACTGTGGTTTTAGTTAATAGTACAGCGAAAATTGTATAAATATTCCAGTTTTATGTTGTTTTCTGAAGTTGACTTAGAGTTAGTACTGGTGTATCGTGTGAGAATTTAGCTGTGACCATCCGTTAATGAGCCAGCAGAGGTGAGAATAGCATAAGTTTATAATATCGTTAGTATACGTTACCGATCTTTGACCAACATTGAGACAAACTCATCATAAATGAATACAAGAACTAGAATGAATTTGGTATGAGTGTATAGTAATACAGGATTTCTAGTTATATGATACAAACTTCGTAACAGAAGGGCATCGTTGCTTCATGATTCCAAAGAGCTTCTACCTCAGCTTTTCCCTGTCCACATCCCCTTTTCTCCTTTTTCAGTGTTTCCCTAGAACTTGTGAATCTGGTTCTTCGTAAAGCCAAGCTGTCCCAAAACCCCCTCCCCCCGTTTCCCAACAAGCGCATCCTCCATCCCTAGAGGTCCACACACAAAGACCTTTGTATCCTGCATCCCCTTGGGCAAGACCTGCTCCAGCAACTCCCTATCGATCCTCCCCCTTCGCATCTCCGAGCCCTCTTTGGGCTTGCTCACTGTGTACTTGACCTGGAACCTGTCGGGGAACTCCCTCGCGAAGCCATCCAGCTCTTTCCGGAGGAGCACGTCGTCGTCGGTGTTTACGCCGAAGACGAGCGTCATGCGGGTTTTGTCCTCCGGGTTGCGCAGGATACCCTGTGCGAGCTGGAAGATGGGCGTTATCCCGCAGCCACCTGCGATGAGGGAGATGTGTGGGTAGCTGTTGGGTTTCCATTTATACTCCGAGAGAGTGGTGAGGATGAAGAGCTTGTCGCCTGGTTTGAGGGAGTGGAGATAGCCGCTTCCTTTGCCGTTGGGGTATTTCTTCACAAGTAGTTCCATGTATCCAGGCTCGTCTGTACCAAATTAATACGTAATTACATGCTTGTGCTTCTGTATGTGACTTACCAGCTGGAGAGATGGGGGAGTACGGTCGAGGTGCAGGTAGGAAAGATCCATTAGGGTGGGTAAAAACCAACAAAGAAGCTACAAGGAATCAGCGAATACACCTAGTAATCATTTTAAAGTCATGACTTACATGCTAAAGGAAGTCCAGTAATGGCAGTTTCTTGAGGCAGCTTAAACCTCAAACGCTTAGTATTAGGAGACTCGTCCTTCGAATTGAGCAAAGGCAGCTTCACAGCCGCAAATCCACCCTTGAAGACCTTCTGGGGGGCATTTGACTCTGCAGAAGCTGTTCCAGACATCATTCTTGAACAAACAGCCACTCCTATTGTGCCAGCTGCGAGTGTAGCGATGATAGGCACGGGTCGAGCCAGAAATAAACGAAGAGCCATGATTAATATTTAGAGTAAAAAGGTGGTTTGTGATATAATTAAAGTAAACGACTGACAATATCGGATTTATGTAAATAATATCGTATTGCTTTGGCGTTTCCTCTTTTTGTAAGTCGCAACGGTCTTCGGTCTTCAATCGGACATTTCCCAATATGCCGGTGCGCCAAAACGCCCCATGCTTACTGAACCGTCCCCGGATCCTTCCGTGTGTTTAAGGATCTGTTGGATTCACTAACGGACGTCGGAAATCTTTTGACCGACGCTTTAAATATTAATTTTGGGTATCGTGCCTTTCGCGATCCGGTCTCTTCAAGAACGGCATATCGGCGAATCCTCTGAGTCGGGCCCGTCTGACCCGTGTGAAACTATAACACAGTATCATATCCAATCATCTGTCATCCTTCATCCTTCGTAATATTACAGAAACCAACTATTCAAGTCTATGCAGATGGTATCAATCCTAATTTCGCATCCATATCCTTCGCAACCTCAATCGACTTTGCCAAAATGTCCTTCTCGGCACTCTCCAGCTCGTTCGCTTGCGTCCCGGCCATGCAACTCATGTCCTTCTTGCTTCTCCCCTTGTGCCATTTCTGGTCAATCATCCAATGTGTCGGAACCTCAAATTCTGTCTGGTTGACTGCCTTGTTCTTAAGTAAACCGCCGTTGTACCAGAGCAGTTTATCGTCTTGGTCGACATGGGCGATGACGAAGCTGCAAACGCGAACCTCTTCATTTTCTCTCTTGTCGCCACGTTTGTCCTTCTTTTCTTCTGCATCTTGCTCCTTTTTCTTCTTCTCTTCCTCTTCTTTCTTGGCTGCTTCCGTCTCTGCCTTTGTCGGACCAAGCCATCCCACAATACCACCGTAATGCGGCGAGAAGGAGTATTTAGATCCTGTAGCCTCGAACCCAATCCACCAACTTTCCTTGTCACCATATGTGAGCTTATATGTCACCTCGTTTCGCACCCTATCCGAGTTCTGCCATCCAATGTGAAGAAGTCCAAGCAGCACATCAAGTCGTGACTTGTCAACTACAACTATACCTGAGTCTCCCTCTTCTGCATATCGCTCTGTCCACACAAGCGACTTGTCCGTCTCGGGACTGGGGTGCTTGATCTGGTCATGCCACCAGTCCTGACGATCAGCGAAGGCATTCTTCCACAGAAGCCGGTCGTGAAAGAGCAACACTCCAGTTTCTTGGAAGCGTTCTTGTTGGAGCAACTTCTCCGGAGCTTGGAAAAACACAGCATCGGCATCGAGAACAATGGCCTGTTGGTAGCGACTCGCCAATGCAGCGAACGGTTTTATCGCCCAGCCGCCACTTGCAAGTTTCAATGTGCTATCATCAAAAACTGTGAGGACGTCGAGCATTTCAATCTTGACTCCGTTGGCCGCCTCTTGAATCTTTTTTTGTCCATCAGCGGAGAGATCATCGTCTCCAGCGTACACAACCTGGATTGGAAGAGTGGTTTTGTGGACGCGAGTGAGGGATGCGATGAGATGGCATGCGAACCGAAGCGTTTTGTCGCCCGTCGGGATAACAATTCCAGCTGGAGCCTTTTTGTTTTGCGAGATGCTTGTGGGTTTGTACGGAAGCCCAAGTCGTTCGTAGATGTCGGCAAGAGGTGGCGCAAGACGTCCGTCCGATTTCAAGTAAGGGTACAAGGACTCGATAGTGTTCGTAACAAGCTTTGTTGCCCTACGGCTTCCATCTGTAGGAGCCTTCGTGTATACTTCCAACTCATCAATCCACGATCGCAGCAATTGAGTCCTCTGTCCCAGCTCTCCAAATATCTCCTTTGGTTCGTCTTTCAGCGGATAATCGGCGAGATATCGTGCGCCCAGCTCTATGGATTCCAATGCCTGGTTGTTCGGGCGAGTGCTGCCGTGAGTTGTGTTTAGCGTCGGGGTTGAAAAAGAAACATCGCGATAGCAATAGAGAACGATGGCGAAGAGCCAGATGGCGGCGATGGCTCCAGTGATCTGTATTGACCTTGCGCTCAGTCGCATAGAAGGCATTCGGAACATGGCGACGTGTTTATCATTAGAAACATGACGGCAGGCAACATTGTTGAAAGTTTGGGTCTAAGGGGTGTTATGATATAGCTGCTCTCAGCTCAATCCACGTCACTATGGGGCTTTATTAGTGTGATCTTATCTTAGCGCTGATCCTTGGCAAGGGATGCTGGCTTGGTTGATCAGGCACCAGAAAACATCAGGTTTTAAGTGCTAAATAAAGCCCTTCGTAGCACTAATCCTGGCCTCTAAGGCTGATGGAATTGGATCCTACCATCAGGTACATCAGTACTGAAGTTAGAGGCGATGGACTTCAGTTTTGAAGTACCTCAGATAAATACTGTAGATATGAAGCACAAGACAGATACGAGAGGCTCTAATTCCGGCACCGATGTTATCCCACCATCCCGAGCCTACGCAAGTATTAGACGCGCGTCGTATTCCCAAGCAGCAGATGGCATAATGTGAGTAATTGTGAGCCTGGGTATTAGTGCCAAGTCTAGGCATTGCGAAAATTGATTCATTCCTGTTAGTGCAATGCTGCCGAATGTGGAACCTGTGAACGGCCTACGCCCTATGTTGACTGGTTTACAATGTTGACTACAGATATTTTCGACAGTGCCTTATCTTCAAATATGAAGCATTACCCATGCACGACTAACACCCATCAAGAAATGTAATTATTTTCCCCTGCAGTTGAGATTGGGTTGAATGCACAACCACACAGGCTTAACCATACACAACACTGTCTCCTCCTTATATCCGTTCTTTCCTGTATAGAATAGATGATTACACTCTGAGAAAATTCAATAAGACCAAGCTCTTAAGCCATACTCTACTTTCACTCATATTGTGGTTGCGATATTCTTCCATGGAGCGCCCAGCATTGGCATATTGGGATTGACTTGTACTTCAGCCAAGCGAACCCCGCCCCCGCCAAATATCACCACTAACGTCCCAAGCTCATTGAGCATCTTATCTCATCAACATCAACCCAGCAATCACTCGAAGCTAAGTCAATAAGCCAAAACAAATCAAAAGCCTCGCAGAAAGAGTATAAATGCCGAACGATCTTGACAAGTCGCTCCTCGAGCGTTTAAATGCCCTCAGAGGCAACAGCGCTGGCCCAGAGAAACCAGCTTCAACAGAGTACCTATATCATACACCTTCAGCTACTCACGTCGCTAACCACATCTTAGAATCAATATTGATCTCATTGAAAGGAGAAAGACACCTACTCGAGAGGATACACTTGCTGCCCGCCTCAAGTCTCTACGGGAGCGCGGCGATGAGCCGTCGCCACAAGCACCCAAGTCAGCTCATCAACCACAGAAGCCAAAACCTCAAGCATCAAAGACCTCAAAGGAACCTGCCAAAATAGAAGATGATGAAGACGATTCCATGTTCCAAACCGATGATCAAACTCTTGAGGAACTCCTAGGTGATGTGAGGCCAGAAGACGGCTTCCAGACAGAACCAGATGATGCACAGGTCAAAGCCCTCCTGGAAGAGCTCGCCGACTCAATACCGAAGGATGCAGATGAGACGGATAAAAAGGATCAGCACGATTCAGATGACTCAGACGGTGAAGTCATGAACAAAGACGTCGATGAGGTCATCGCCAGGTTCCGCGACGAGGCAGAAGTAGAAGCAGCTCTCGCAAAGACCAAAACCCCCGAACCGGAGTCTGAATCCGAGCCTGAACAAAGCGAACCATCCAAGACATCAGACCTCGCTCTCCCAGATGTCCCATCAGACCTCGCCGATATCCCCTCCTCAAACCGCACCGCGAGCGCAGATATAGACGACATCACCGCCCGTCTCGCTGCCCTGCGCGCCCCCTCTCCCGACGAAGATTCCCTGGCTCTTCCCTCCGTCCCAACATCCAAGCCCTCAGGCCAACCCGTCAAGCGCCTTACCACGCGGACGAACTACACCGACAACGACGTGGAGAGCTGGTGCACAGTCTGCCTTGAGGACGCAACGCTGCGATGTCCTGGATGCGACGGCGACGTCTACTGCACGAGGTGCTGGTACGAGATGCACCGTGGGCCGCAGGCTGGGTTTGACGAGATGAGCCACAAGGCTATACAGTTCACGAAGGATAAGAAGACGGAGAAGAAAGAGAAGAGGAAAGTGGCAATGGGAGCATAAACGTTCATTTTAATTTCAAGCCAATCCTATCAACTACTGTTTCCCATTTCATGTGCTTGTAAAGACAGATACCCAAACATACCAAACATCGCAAACTCCGAACCACCCATCATGTTGCTGTGCTACCAAATGAAAATACCTCCGCCACTCTGGATTACTCATACGACTTTATACGCAAAACTATCTAATCAAACAGCGGATTGTGATCCGTTGCCATGGTTTGCCGAGTCGTTTTCTGAGCTGCTGACCTTTCCTCTCACATCTTCCCATGTTGCACCGAACCGTCTACCGGTGGACGCAAGCAGAGACTCTTCCTCATCTGCCTCAGCTTCCTCGTCGATCTGGGAAAGGTTAAGCTTGGGTGTACGGAAGAGAGCTGTGACAAACACAACAAGGAAGACGGCCAGGAAAGCGAACTGGGCCCAGAAGTCGACCAGGCCGAAGAAAGGCCATGTGATGGTGATGCGGTTGAGGAACGTTGACATCACCGATGGTGTGCAAACATCCTTGGCGTGCTCGTACTTGAGCGCTTCGGAGCAGGCGTGGATCATGTCCAAGTGCTTCCTGCAGTCGGGCTGCTCTCCGGGGTGTGCGGGCTCATTAGTGCAGAAGGTCTGAGTACCATAGATGGAGTACTGAGGTGCAACCAGCATGGCAATTCCGTAGTTGGTGGCCAAAATTATCAAGCCAAGCATAACGGTGGCAATCAGAAGAGCCTGAGGTGCTGTCCTACCCTTGCGAATCTGGAAGATGCGAACCCAAAGGAACCGAATGCCCACAGTTGCGATACCCGAGATGGAGCTGCTGAAAAAGAAGAGCACCAACAACGCCATAAGAATGTAATCAACGGGAAAAGCTTTGGCGGACTTCACAAAGATCCAGTTCATGGGTTGGAAGACGTGGATCTGGCCCAGGATGTAACCGCACTTTTGCTTGCAGACTGAGTTCTTGGCTTTGTCGATGCCGGTGATGAGCACAGATACCCAGATAACGACAGACAGGAGAAGCAGGAGAATTCCACCGATGAGCTTGACAGGGCGGAAGACTGCGCACACCTTGAGCCAAGCCTGATAGATTTTGCTGCGGCCTTCACCCTGACTCTCGGACGCGAGTCTCTCACGTCGGACAAGGGTCTGTTCCTCTCTAACGAGCGCATCGAGCTCGCGCTGATCCTTTCGGGATATCTCTTCCTGTCGACCGGCGTTGCGCATCTCGATCTGTCGCTGGCGCTCGCGGTTCTGTTCCAGCTGAGTGGCAGTGTTTTGATGAAGCTGGGGTGCCGAGATTGAGGGTGCGGCCTTGATGAAAGAGATGGGAAGGAGAGCAAGACCAGCACCGGTGTAGACGACGTAGAGCATTGTACCAAGTGTAAGCAGCAGACCTAGAGCAAAGGTAAGGGCCTTTTCGCCATGGTTCTGGGCAACTAGCTTCTTGAAGTAATCAAGATCCCAATGACCCTGTGAGCTATCGCCAGCGGCGGGGACAAAGAATCCTAGCAAGAACAAAACAACGACAAATGCGACGAAGAAGAGCGTGTATTTGGCGGCAGCCACGAAGCGACTACCCAGAGTGCGGCCCTCTTCCTCTACCTCGATCTCATCGTACTCCTCATGCCAAAAGTAGGCAAAGGGAATAACGATCAAGCACAGGAGTGCATCGAAGCTGTACAAGCTGTAGTAGACAACCTTGAGAGTGTAAAGGATGCTGTCGATGCGTTCGGGGGTGGCCCAATCCTTCTTTGCGCCAAGGGTTGCAGAGCTAGTTGCGGAGACGAGTGCAATGTCGACAGGGAGTAGCAAGACCGTAGCAAGAAGGGAAGTCAAGCTGATGATAGCGACGATGCTGACGACGGCGGAACGTTCGCGGGGAGTCTGCCAGGTGAACGTTGTGATGGTGGCAGCGGCGAAGCAGAGGACGACAGCGACGGCATAGGTGACCCAGATCAGACTGGTCTGGACGAGGCCTGCGTGGGCCATGGTGAAGATGATGTTAACGTCGATATAAGCAGTTGTTGGAGATGATGATCAACGTTGGAACTGTTGAAACGAAGCCGCTAAACCAGGTCGCGACGTGGCTTGGGGTTGTATCAAACGCTGTCTATTGAGTTTGGCAGATCTCGGGGATTTAAAGGGAGATCTATCGACACCAAAGGTGACGTCGCTAATGAAAGAGGAGCAATTTGTGTAGCGATGAGATCGATCTTGATCAATCAGAGAGAGGGAAGTTCAGTGGAAAACAAGATTCCCTGGCTTGTTTTAGAAAGGGCCAAGCTCGAGCTCGAAGCTGCTGCGCATGTTTTTGTGACGCAATCGATACGCTAGAATTGCCTAGGTCTATCTTAGTGCGTACCTCTCCGTACAGTGGGTGTGCAGAAGTTCCGACAACTTCCTCTCTTCTAAAGATTATATAAGATAATTTAAATTATAATAAAGTCTTCTATTCTAAATAATATTACATAACCTTAAAGAAATATCATAGGTAATATTCTAATTATTATTATGTGTATTCCTAGTTAGCTCGTCATTGGTATCTTTGCACGGGACTGTAAGTAGATATGTCTCAGACTCACCCCCTGTTGTTACAGAGCATCCCACTAGCGACAAATCATTCCATTGGCTGTACAATCTCTCCTACAGGGGTGATTGCAGGCATGCTCCGGAGCGCGGCTCTCTGATTATCCGTCTTCGAGCTCAAGCTCTAGTTACTCTTTCGGGATAAACATTCAATACAGCACCATCGCGAACCACTTCATTAATAGCGAAAACAGCCAATTATTTCGCCGCAAAAGAATGGTCTCGCTGAAATGCAGGCATACACCGAGCTCGCGGCTCCCTCAGCCGTAACACATTCATTAACTGTCTCTCTCACTTCGGCTACAGCCAACAACATTGTTGTCGCAAAGGGCTCCCTACTCCAGATCTTTACAACAAAGACTATATCCGCCGAATTCGACCCTGAAACCCAGTCTGCCCAACCCACGAAGCCCGAACCGGAATTCGACCACCGCGCAAACGACGACGATGGACTTGAATCATCCTTCCTTGGTGGCGAGTCAATGTTTGTTCGAACCGATCGTACAAACAATACCAAGCTCGTCCTAGTCACAGAGCTTCCACTCTCTGGTGCGATTACAGGCCTGGCCAAGATCAAGACTAAGCATTCAAAATCTGGCGGTGAAGCTCTATTGATAGCGTACAAGGCTGCCAAACTGTGCATGGCTATATGGGACCCTGAGAAGAGCACCTTGGAGACTATCTCGATTCACTACTACGAGAAAGAGGAGCTGCACGGTGCGCCGTGGGAGGTTTCTTTTGACGAATATGTCAATTATCTTGAGGCTGACCCGAGCAGTCGATGCGCGGCCTTCCAATTCGGCTCACGCAATCTCGCGATCCTACCATTTCGACAATCGGAAGAAGACTTGGAGATGGATGATTGGGATGAGGATCTCGATGGGCCCCGACCTGTCAAGGAGTCTACTACAGTCGCCAATGGAAGTAGCGACACATTAGAAGCAGCATATACACCGTCTTTTGTCCTCCGTCTCCCACTCCTTGATCCCAGTCTGCTTCATCCCGTGCACTTCACCTTTCTGCATGAGTACAGAGAACCGACATTTGGTATCCTATCATCCAGCCAAGAAAGAGCACATTCCCTTGGTCAGAAAGATCATCTCACCTACAAGGTCTTTACGTTGGACCTGCAGCAGCGAGCTTCTACGACCATCCTCTCCGTTACCGACCTTCCTCGAGACCTCTTCAAGATTCTGGCCCTGCCGGCGCCAGTTGGTGGTGCGCTACTCATTGGTGAGAATGAGCTAATTCACGTTGATCAGTCGGGCAAGGCCAATGGTGTTGCTGTGAACTCAATGGCTCGACAGATCACCTCCTTCAGTTTGACGGACCAGGCGGACCTAAACCTACGACTAGAGCATTGTGTTATTGAGAAATTGTCCATCGAAAATGGTGAACTTCTGTTGGTTCTCAACGATGGTCGCCTTGGTATAGTATCGTTCCAGATTGATGGTCGAACTGTATCTGGCCTCCACGTGAGAATGGTTGCAGACGAGAATGGGGGCAGCCTAATCAAAAGCCGAGCATCAACAGCATCCAAACTCAGCAAGAACGCGTTCTTTGTGGGCAGCGACACCGGCGACTCTGTGGTGTTGGGATGGACCAGAAAGATGAACCAGGAGAAGAAGCGGAAGCCTCGCCTTATCGACGCAGACATTGCAATTGATGTGGATGACCTAGATCTGGAGGACGATGATGACGAGGATGATGATCTCTACGGCACTGAATCTGCAGCTGCAAAGCCAACTCAGGCTCTCAACGGGGGAGGCAAATCAGGCGAATTGAACTTCCGCATCCATGATACCCTACTCAGCATCGCTCCGATCAAGGACTTGACTGCCGGAAAGGCGGCCTTCCTACCCGACAGCGAGGAAGCGACTCTTTCGAAAGGAGTTGTCTCGGATCTACATCTCGCATGCATTGTTGGACGAGGAAAAGCAGGGTCGCTGGCAATACTCAACCGAAACATTCAGCCCAAGATCATTGGACGATTCGAGTTTCCAGAGGCCAGAGGTTTCTGGACCATGGCTGTCAAGAAAGCCATGCCCAAGGCTCTTGGTGGAAACGTCGGTGTCGGTAATGAATATGAGACGTTCGGTCAGCATGACAAGTATATGATTGTCGCAAAGGTGGATCTTGACGGTTACGAGACATCAGATGTGTATGCTCTCACTGGGGCAGGATTCGAGACTCTTAAGGACACAGAGTTTGATCCTGCAGCTGGCTTCACAGTGGAAGCCGGGACAATGGGCAAACAGATGAGAATCATCCAAGTTCTCAAGTCAGAGGTTCGATCCTACGATGGAGGTAAGTGTTGCGTCTGTAAATAACATCGGCATATACTGACGATTCTAGATCTCGGCCTCACTCAAATCTTGCCAATGCTTGACGAGGAAACCGGCGCAGAACCCAGAGTCACCAGCGCCAGTATTGCGGATCCTTACCTGCTACTCATCCGCGACGACAATAGCATCTTTTTAGCACAGATTGATAACAACAACGAGCTTGAAGAAGTGGAAAAGATGGATACTACTCTCCAAAACTCCAAGTGGCATGCTGGATGCTTGTACACAGATACAACGGGCGCGTTTCAGCCAAATGCCAGCGACAAGGGCACAGAGACGGAGAAGATCATGATGTTCTTACTCAGCTCAACAGGAGCACTACATGTGAGTCTCGCCTCTCATTGAAGATTGCAGCTACTGACTCAATAGGTATACGCACTTCCTGATCTCTCAAAGCCTGTCTACATCGCCGAGGGTCTCTGTTACATACCCCCTTACCTCTCGGCAGATTACACGCTACGACGAGGTCTTGCACGAGAGACCCTCCGCGAGATTCTCGTAGCTGATCTAGGCGACACCACCTCACAATCCCCATATCTCATAGTCAGTCCTTCTTCTGCCCTATTAACTTCAAGCTAACATTCACAGCTCCGAAACCAAACCGACGACCTTACCATTTACGAACCCCTACGGCATAAGAGAGAGGGAGGCGAAACAAGTCTCCATGCCACCCTTACCTTCAAAAAGACATCCAACGTAACACTAGCAGCAACACCTGTCGAGAAAGAACAAGACGATACCGTTGAGCAACCCCGTTTCATGCCTTTACGACCATGTGCAAACATCAATGGCTACAGCACTGTCTTCCTTCCTGGTTCATCACCAAGTTTCATCCTCAAATCTAGCAAGAGCGTGCCTCGTGTCATCGGTCTTCAGGGTATTGGAGTCCGCGGTATGAGCACATTCCACACCGAAGGTTGTGATCGCGGCTTCATCTACGCAGACGATGAGGGTATCGCTCGTGTCACTCAGCTCCCGCCTGACACCAACTTCACCGAACTCGGCATCTCGGTCAAGAAAGCCCCCTTGGGTGCTGATGTCCGCGGTATCGCCTACCATCAACCAACCGGCACTTACATTGCAGGCTGCATGGTAAGCGAACCGTTCGAGCTCCCCAGAGACGACGACTACCACAAAGAGTGGGCCAAGGAAACACTCGCTTTCCCTCCCACCGTGCCTCGCGGCGTCCTCAAGCTCATCAGCCCTATCAGCTGGACCGTCATCCACGAGGTGGATTTTGAATCCTGTGAATCCATCGAGTGCATGAAAACGCTGCATCTTGAAATCTCAGAAGATACCAAGGAACGTCGCTTCCTCATCGCAGTCGGTACCGCCATAGCAAAGGGAGAAGATCTCCCCATCCGCGGCCGCGTGCAAGTCTTCGACATCGTAACAGTCATCCCAGAGCCCGGCAAGCCAGAGACGAACAGACGTCTCAAGGCCATCGCCCGTGAGGACATCCCCCGCGGCGGCGTGACAGCCATATCCGAGATCGGAACTCAAGGCCTCATGCTCGTCGCCCAGGGCCAGAAGTGCATGGTGCGAGGCCTCAAAGAAGATGGCTCGCTTCTCCCCGTGGCTTTCCTCGACATGAGCTGCCACGTCTCCAGCGCACGCGAGCTTCCGCGCACGGGTCTTTGTCTCATAGCCGATGCGTTCAAGGGCGTTTGGTTCGCGGGCTACACAGAGGAGCCGTATACCTTCAAGGTCCTGGGTAAGAGCCATGGCCGACTGCCGGTGTTGGTGGCGGATTTCCTGCCTGACGGTGATGATCTTGCTATTGTTGCGGCGGATGCGGATGGTGATTTGCATATTCTCGACTTCAACCCTGAGCGTAAGTCCTTCTTCATGCTTTCTGATTAACGACACTAACAACATCGCAGATCCCAAGTCCCTTCAGGGCCATCTCCTTCTCCACCGCACATCCTTCTCCGTCTCCCCCAATCCCCCATCAACAACCCTTCTCCTTCCACGCACAACACCACCCTCCCAACCCACTCCCCAAGACCCCCCACACGTCCTCCTCCTCGCCTCCTCCACCGGCCACCTATCAACCCTCATCCCCCTCCCCGAGACGACCTACCGCCGTCTCCTATCCGTGACGAACCAGCTCCTCCCAGCGCTCACGCCCCACGGCGGTCTGAACGCCAAGGCCCACAGACTACCCGACGGCATACGCCCTGTTGGCGTCGAGGCAGCTGGAGGAAGAGCCATAGTCGACGGCGCCGTGCTGGCGAGGTGGGCTGAGCTAGGCGCTGCGAAGAGGGCTGAGATTGCAGGCAAGGGCGGTTATGATGGTGTGGCTGAGTTGAGAGAAGAGCTTGAGGGTGTATTGGGATGGAGTGGTCTGTCGTATTTCTAGGGAGTTGCTATAATTTTGGAAATGAGTTGCCAGGCAATGTTTTATCGATATGTAACTCGGGCGTGCATAAATACATCAAATCGTCTCTTCACCCCATTAAGTCTGAAGACATCAAATATTATTACGGTTATAATCTACTTGTCACCGTTACAAATATAAGCAATTACACTACAGATATGCGAGTTACGTCAATTGAGCAACATGATGGTTTAATTCAACTACGCATTGACTTCATTGTCAGGGCAAATCGAGTAATAGGAGAAAACTTTTTATTTCCCGGGCTTGTTCGTCGCTGCTAAAATTCTGAACAAGCCTCATCCAAATATATAACCTGTAGCGCCCATGTCATCGCGAATCTTGAAATTTGTACACCTTATAGCCCAACAGTAAGAGTAAGAAACCTTCTCTCGTATACACATATCCGGGAAATACCCATAGCGCCTACACCGATCCTGCTACTAATAAAACAAAAGAATTGCCACGTTGCTCTGAGTACTTTATTGGACTTCACCCCTCTTGCGTCGCATGCTGCCGAAACGTCGTCGGATGCCATCGCTCAGGCGATGACGACCTGTTGAGTTGTTGCGACGGAGATCAGTGCCATTTGAGTACTCAGGGGTTGTTCGTGGATCCTCGCTGAAGCTGCGGTTATGGCCGACAGGTGGGCGTTGGCTACTTCTCATGTTCGATGAGAGTTCGTACTCGGCAGGCTCACCGCGGCGGTTGCGCTTGTGCTCCTTGAGGTCCTTCTCGTAGGTGTAAGAGGGCTCTCCCTTGCCCTTGAGATCATCGGGGTGGTATTTCTGTTGAGGTCAGCAAATATCCGGTGGTCAGGTTATAGACAGGTCACTTACGATTCCATCCCAGCGCTTGTATGCTCCGCCAGCAGCGTCGGATTCTCTCATGAGATCGGCACCCTCCTCATAGTTGATGGTGTTACCACTGAAGTCCCGGTCGCCGCTTGGAATATCGGCAGTACCTGAAAGCGGCATCTTTCTTTGGAGAGAGTCCTGGATGTTCTCTCGTGGTGTCGCGCGGAGAGCCTCTCGGGTGGAGTCCTCAACGGCGGCAACGGGCGAGTACTTCTTGTTGCGGTTGCGGCTTGCAAGAGTGGCATCATAGGGACCACCATGATGGTATGTACCGCCAATGGTATCCAGAGCATCAATGGTGTCAGTCATGGGCAGTTGCTTGCGTCGCAGATGAGGCGCGCGATCAGCTGCGCGAGCCTCCTTTCTAAGGATATCAAGAGGACGGTGAGACATGTCGCCTGGGTATCGCTGAATCAAAGAACGTTGGCGTGAGACTCCGCAATTGCTGGCACTAAAGCTGCGGTTGTGCGAAGGTTGAGGTCGGTTGCGTGGTGGAGGAGCCCGAGCGCTAGCTGAACGGTTGATGGTGCTGCTAGATGGGTCACGGCGAGTCTCGTACGAATTGGGAGGAGAGCTCGGAGGAGACACAGACACTGACGGGACTGACGATTGACGGCGCGAATCTGCCGCGTCTGAGAAGGGGTTCGAGGGGTGGAAACTGTCGCGGGTAGGGCTGGCAGATGTTGGCGGAGTGGGATAACTGCCGTGACGATGTCTTTGGCTTGATCTGTGCTTGCGATCGCTGTCTGAAGAACGGTCTTTGCTTGTTTTTGAGCTTGAGCTTTCAAGAGATAGATTGCGAAGTTGAGCGGAAAGGTTGTGAGATGCGCCGATTCCGGTGTCTTGATTGGGTTCAGGATCGTTTAATGGATCAAGAATGTAAGCCTTGGCCTGAAAGAATTGATGTTAGAATGGTTTGAGAAAATAAGATCAAATGCAAATTGAAGTGAATGCGCGATGGTCTTGTAAGTGGTCTGTCTTTTCCAACGTCATCGGGCTTGCGTGGACAGCGGGCTGTGGTACTACGTAGTGCAGGTGGCTGGACATGGTTGGCTGCTTGGCTGCTTGGCTAACAGCTCAATCATAGTAGGATCCCAGAGAAGGATCGGCACTGACGCAATGAAGACCACGCGAATTGATAAAGGGTCCCTGGCGTTTTTCCATCTTGGGCAGCCTTGGGGATGACGTTGGCGTCGGCAGGGTCGGGCAGGGCAGACTTAGAGAAGCGCACAGAACAGAATGACTGTCCCTTAGGCCCTTGGCCAAGGAACGGAAGCCCGAGGAAAAGACTGGGCCATGATGCGCATTGACAAGCCAAGCTAGCCAAGCAGCCCAAGGCCCCAAACTATCTTAGCTCAGGTAAGGGTCCAAAAACTTACCCATTGCTTGTCACCTGATTCCTTCATGGTGTGAAAGGGTCCTGGAGGGAAGCGGATTAATCGCACGCGAGGTTGTTGTCGCAGAGTCGAGTCGCTGAAGATAATGGCAATCGAGTTGATGGGTGAAGTGTTTGTGTGCAGGCCGCAAGTTACGGGTGAGCGATGCGATGAGTGTTTGTTGAGGACGATGATGAGTTGACTCTCTGTCGCGCAGCTGTTTGGTCGGCGTGTTGATCGGTTTCGTTTGTTAATTGGACGAGGGGAAAAGTGAAGCTTTTGCTTTTGTGTAAGAGAGGGGAGAAGAAGAAGGGGACAGACAAAGGTGGGAGGAGGTGCAGCTCATTTATCAACAAAAGGCACAGTACACACCCACAGCCTAAAGGTGAAAGGAGTTCCAGTTCGCTCTTCTTTTCGAATTAGTTACTAGGTACGTAAGGCGCAGGTACGGATCCAGCTGCGGGCATGTGGTCTCTGCAACTGCAACAGCAACTGCAGTTTCTAGGTAGGGGCTGTAGATCTTGGAGCGGTCTCGTCCCCTCTTCCCCATCATGCGCCCATTCACACTCTCATAGCGGGGGGAACTGGGGGACTTCCCGTGTCCTCCTGATCATGATTCTAATTCAAGCTCAGCTAAACACGCATTTGTCCACGCCGTTTAAACTTCAGCCGCTCCATCCGTCTCTGGCTCGACGCTATTTAACGCCTCGTCAACAAAAAGGGGACTTTCCCGGCCTCTGGTTCACCTCTGGTTCATGTCATTTTCCTAGCTTTGGAGGGGGAACATGGAGGAGGGGCCCAGGGTACTGAGGCTAAGGTGCCGATAGTCGTCACACTCAAGCTTTTTTTTTTCAGGTCAGGTCCCGCATTGCATGTCAATCAATGGATGTCAATCCGTCATGTACGTAGTAATTATGTCTTGGTATCTGGGTCGATCGGCTTGTCTCTACATGGTCCTCTCAATCGCGGCTCACTCGGAAGCAAAAAGTGCAAGACGACGTCAGCTACACGAGTTTACAAAGCCTCAACGCGCGTCCGTTGGAGGCAGAGTCATAAGTCGAAAGTCAATAAAGCTTGGACAATAAAGTGAGCGGTCTAAGGTATAGATAGATAGACAATAGCATGAACAGCTCTGGAATGAGTCGAGAACTCCAGACATGGGAAACCTCGCCATTTCATCCTGTCACCTGATGCAGCAGAACCCTTCTGTCCATTTGCACTGCATGCGAACCCACAATGTAAGGGTCTCGCCTAACCTCGCTACTGCTTGTAGGGACCATTTAGTCCAACCGGTCGTTAATGCTCGCTCTCCAATCGAGTGGCTTCCCGTCCGTTTCAAAGGCTAAAATAATGCTCCCCGGAGCATGACACCTGGCGGAACCAACGCCCAGGCCACTCCACAATTAAAGTCTAGACAGAGACATCACAGACCGCTATGTCCATACTACAAGCACCTGCATTAATATAGGTGGATGTCTTGAAATATTATCACCGAGATCTATTATTAAGTTGCAATTCCACAATATCTTTTTTCTACACCAAACTGCTCAATGTCTATCACACCCAAACAAAGACTCCTGTGCCTTGGCCGTGCAATTGCCGCATCGAATCCGCCATGACGTGCCATTGCTACCCTACGCGAATGGATGATCGGCAGCGACGTAGAGATATCCAGATATCTAGACCTCGGATCTTACCATTGCGCACAAAATAATTCGGGGACGGGTTTAATGGAAATTCTTGGTCATTGCAGCAACGTTGCAAGCATGTGCTTGGAGCTAAAACGGGAAATGGTGTCAACTCAATTGTTCGACACTCGGTCTCAGCCGTTGCACTCAAAAGAGGGTGGGTACGCGTATTGAAAACGTTAGACATTTAATAATAATCATGACTAGAATTTGCTGTAATTTACACATAACTTAGAGATTATAATACCGGATATGTCTACGATTATATTCGTTCTCCCATTAACTCATCATGATGATATATCAAATAATACATAAGATTCCTCGGATTGGAATTCACACGGACACCGTTTACACCGCCCCCACTATCGGGAGTAATTACTGTGTAGCGTGTACGATAACATATCTTCTCTAAACACCAAAGTCAAAGGCCGTCCATCCGCTCTGATCCGTTGAGAGCTCTTTTATCAGAAAAAGCACCAACGAGATTACGTTTGTATGACGTATAACTCCGGTTTCGCGGATAACAGCCTGTATCAATGGCTCTCGTCGACTACTCATCCTCAGACTCCGAGTCTGACGACAAATCCGGCTCCGACTCCCACCGTGTCAAACGCCGCAAGGGGTCTGACGGCATCACGGCCCACTCTAGGACACCGGATGGAGATGCAGGTTCCGTGACCAAAGACCATGCTGGCTCTATGCCACCGTTGCCCGATACCTTTCATGATCTGTATGCTTCTACTGTTCGCCAGAGTGTAGTCGATGACCCAAGTTTGCATCATGGGCGGAAACGTCAAGTTCCTCATGTAGTTGGCAACTGGCCAAGTCATATCTATACAGAATGTGAGTTTTGAGACATCAATCGCACACCGCGCAGTTCATAGCTAATTTATTCCAGGGCATCCCTCTACTGTACAGCATGGCATGTTGACTAGTCTAATCGCAGACATTGAGAAGGAAGTGTCAAGCGAGATCAAGCTTCATAATTTCTTAACCAGCGATTTGGGGTCGCCTCTCCCACTGCACATCAGTCTGTCGCGGCCGTTATCTCTCACCACGGGGATCAAAGATGAGTTCTTTGATAAGATAACAGAATCCCTCAACAGTAGTGGGATCCCTCCTTTTGTTGTCAGGCCGCAGTCACTCGCATGGTTTAAGTCACCCGATTCTGATCGCACATTTCTTATCCTCCGTGTAACCAGTGGCTTAAGTCCTGCAACCGACAGTAAAGACGCAACAAGACCGCTGAACCCAGAGCTCATGAGCTTGTTGACGCGGAGTAACGCAGTTGCAACTCAGTTTAGCCAGCCAGCCTTGTATCAACGCGATGCAAAAGAGCCAGTTGGGGAAGCATTTCATGTATCTATCGGCTGGACATTTAATCTACCAGCTGATGAAATGACTCTCAAAACACTACGATTGTTCAAGCAACCCAAGTTTGACGACATACGGAAATGGGAGATTAGCATCCCAGGCGTCAAGGTCAAGATTGGAAACGTTGTGAATCACATCGCGCTGAAAGAGATCGGCCGAAGCGGCGCGCCAACAAAATCCCCATTGTTCCTAAAGACATGACAGTAGCGGGTCATGATTCACGCCATTGATAATAGCGCAACCATCATACGTTTGCTATTCTAGAACGGCAAAGCCAACGTCGATATTAAAAATAGAGTTATACGAAGTCTGCCGGGCTGTTGCCGGACTGCCGGACTGCCCGAATGAGACGGGTGGATGTCTCGGGGTGGCTGAGATTCGGCTATCGTTCTAGAAACTTTCGGCTAGGTTACCAAGCACCAGTTCCATGTCGTTCGTTAGCTTCACGCCGTTCACGGGTTTAATAGGCGATAAGGAGGAAAGATGCAGTGGTAAACACATGGAATGCTTCTACTGGATAAAGAGATGCACTTCAATTCCTTAGTTCGAAGGGCAAGTCTAAAATTAACACAAGTTATACGCTAAGAATCACCACAGAAATTAGTGAAGTTTAGCAGGTCGGGATTGTGTGGGCGAAATGGACTACCAAGACTACGTAGGGGCAGTCCAGAAGCAGTGTCACTTGAAGCAACGGATGCCCGGATATCAAAAGAAAGCGATGTGACATCATTCATGGACCATGACGTTAGTCCTTAGGAGAGAGGTAGGATCACAAGCTGAGAAGAGGATACACCGGCTGTGTTGTGAAATGGGAGATCAGACCAATTATCGCAGTAAACTGAGGGCTTTGACACTTGGTAGAAAGGGAGCTGCGAAGACGTCGACCTAGACATGGGACGATTATTGTAAGACACGGTTCACGGTTGAATTACACGTGCTCAATTGGGTTTCAACGGCATCAGCTCAGTTGCGAAATGGCGTGAGAAAGGACGAGCCAGTATATTCATAGAAGATTGTTGCTTTTTGTCCCGGGTCTATTATATTAGCGTGTTGCAGCTATTGTGTTGTCATGGAAAGCTTTACTGAACCGAGATGTGAGGTATTGAAGCTTCGCAGAGCTAATAAAGCACGGGCCCCCAAGAGTAAGGGTCTGGTTGAGCTTGATGGATGGAAAAGAATCCGTAGCTGGTTCCATTATGAAGGCCCAACAGTCATAGGTCCCTGAATAAACAACCCTGTCACCGGGATGGAGGGAAAACACTGTCGATCATGTCGCAATGGAGGGGCACGAAGGCTGATGATTGAAGACATCAGCATGAAAAGGTTTCAAGTAAACAACAAACTATGGTTTTCTGACTCAAATGGGAGGATATGATAGGTCCTGTATTTTGTTTATGAGATGAGAGACATGACTAACGTTAGGTGGAGGCTGTGTTTGAGAGACAAGATGATTGATTAGGTGGTCTGGATGTCACAGATTACCCCAACAGGCGTGAATCATGCTTGAAGGTAAGCCAAGAGAAATGGATATTGCCAATTTGATAGCTTCTTATTTGTGAATCCCCCCACAAGAGGGGGGATGTTTTGCAGTGTTGATGCTGCTGTTGCTAAGGAGTTGAAATTCTTTGTTTACTTTCTCAAGCCACTGCCCACCAAATCCCACCAAATCCACCCCGCTCTCCAGGCTCTCGCCCACTGACCACCCAAGCTCCTTCCCGGCTCTGCATCGAGCGCCGTTGGTGCCATCCCATCCAATCCATCCTGTCCATTGCCTGCCATTTCAGGTCGCTCACTCGTCACTTGTCACCACCCTCAACACCATCACCAAAATCTTTATTTTCTCCCCTCATCGCACTTTTCCTCTTCTCTCCTCTACACTCCACCTCATCTTCCCTCTTCACTTCTTTGCGCAAGGATTTGTTGGTTCGTTCCGTCTCGGTAGTCTCTTCTCCCACGAGACCATCTTGATTTTCTTAACGCCTCTTTAACTTTTATCAGCCTTGTCGTGCCTCCAAATCGCGACATTGTTGAAGTTTGGCTACTCAACGCCAGCTCTTTTCAAACGCCCGATTTCCCAGCTACCGAGGCCAACCCGGTTCCAGACGACCCCTCGTCTCCGTCCAAGTTCTACCCCGGGAAATCTTTGACCGCCTCCGAAACCCAACCTCGCGCTGCAAGATTTCCTCCACCGATCGCGCGTGATATTTGAATCATTCTCAGATTCAGATTGTGTCTCTCCCACATCTCACCGAGCTCGACAAACAACAAGCAACAAACCGCAGAAACACGCCCAATACAGCTCCACCATCCATCCTGCTACGCATTAGGGAATAGCTGTACCGACGGGCTCTATTTTGACCCGCACTCACCAATCGATCGGCCGAGCTCTTGTGCCCCTCCCCGCACCTCTCGACATTTCGAGCTCTCCCCTCATCAACACCTCAATAATCACCAAAACGTCCATCACACGCCAAAATGCCTTTCGACATCGATTCCACGCGCCGGAATAAGGCGCCCCGACCTCTCTCAGACTCGGAGCGCGCCCGCGTAGAAGAGTTTATCGACTCCATCCACTACTCTGCCCGGTACTCCGACAGTGAATATGAATACCGTCATGTTCAGCTCCCCAAAGCCATGCTCAAGGCTATTCCCAAAGAGTACCACGACTCCGCCAAGGGAACCCTCAAGTTGTTGTGGGAGGAGGAATGGCGAGCTCTTGGCATAACCCAGGTACGACATTGCGCCCTTGCCAAACCGTGCTTCCATCGTTAGCGGATGGGAAACGGCGTCCGACGCGATCAGGACTGACAAACATGCAGAGTCTAGGATGGGAACACTACGAAGTCCACGAGCCAGAACCGCACATTCTCCTGTTCAAGTACGTTGCCACAGTCATCCCATTAGGGGTTCGATCTTCCGAAGCCTCTGTGATAGCTGACATGAATTTTAGGCGACCACTCAACTTCCAACCACCTCAGTAATCGACTAGACTCCACACGACTCAGATTTCCCCCCAATGTATCATACGCATTTATTGCACAGCGCCCCTTTGTCGGTACTATACTCAAAGCTCAGACAGAGGCTCCATGCCGCCTCACGATTTCACGGTTTGCACGTTAAGATATAAAGAGAGAACAAAAAGAGACTTTATTGGTTCAACACGATCGCAATGTCCCATTTAGTGCTCAACAGCATCCCTCGGTCTCGGTGTGCTGTTGTCATAAAGCGTCATTCCCTGCCGAGAAGTGAAGGGAGGCTCATTTACCAATCTCCTGGTCTGATGTCTAGTATGACGCATAGACTGCGGGTTGGTTGTCCGGACGGCAGCGCGAGTGGAGGGGATAATGCAAGGCGGAATGAATGGACGATGGAGTCGCGAGTTGGATCCGGCCAGTCCCAACAACTCAGACATGGGGACAGTACGTTATAATACGTTGTTGGTTCTGGAACGATCCAGAAACGCGTCGCGTCGGTGTTTGGTTTGCTTGGGCATCTCAACAAGTGCTTGCTGGTTTTTCTAACGTGTTTATTTAAATTTCTCTGATTCGGGGATACTTTGGAGGGGACGAGATGTGGCTTTGCTCAATGATACCCTTCTATAAGCATGATGGGAAATGGGCTTGGTGAAGGGGAATGGTATCAAGTTACCTATAGATACAGGATTGCATGTGGGAGAAGATGGCGTACAGCATCGCATACTAATAGGCAAACAACCTTGATTGATTTAAGTACCGATAGTTCACTACATGTTGTGAATATGGCCTCATTTTGTAGTAGGTGGGAAGATCAGGGTGAATGTCATACGACGATGGTGGTTGGATGGATTGCTGAGGAATGTCCTAGGTCTCGTAATAGATGTCCGGGAAGATGCTGTAGAAACAGAAACCACTCTAGTCTACCCAATCATTCTCAGACTAATGGTTTTCTGAGTTTCTCACAATGTATGTGTTTCATTTTACACGGTTCACTTTGGCTTACACCAACCCTTGTGCGCGGATCCTCGGATGATCAGGGACCACGCATAAAGTCATTGCATTCACGAAACTCGGCCGATCGTCTGATGTTGGTCCGAAAGTGTCCCAAATCCGTTAGTGTTGGCTTGAACGTGCTTGGAAATCAGCCCAGATGATTTGCTTGGTAATTGGCTGTTTTGGACACCTTTCACTTACACGGGATAATTGTAGGGAATGAATTGGTAAATTGTATTACAGCTGGATGTATTGTATATTGGAGAAAACGCTATTAGTTGCACTGGAAATTATTGACAGTTCCTCTCCACATACTAGGAATAACTGGCGACTGGTAATTGTTCTGTAGTAGTGGTTCGATAGACTTCTAGATCAATTCTATAACGACTTCGCCTCAAATTCGTCAGGCACGGAACGGAAGTCGGGGGATTCGCGAGTACCACATATCAATAGCCAGCGTGGCATCTTCTTGTATCCCGTACGTGGCTTAGGATCTCACGCGAGCGCTTTATTAATAACTCATCTGACCCTCAGCTCTTTCTTGGTTATTGAGGTTTATCTGCTCATGACCTTATTCACGCCCTCGTATTCTTTTGTTTAAAGTTGGTCCCTGCAACGTTTGTTCGTTGGATGTCTTTGACAAAAATAAAATAAAGGTACAAGTCTACCGTTTGACTCAATCGCGCTTTACCCACCTGGGCAAGGTGTCCATCGCCGCCCGCCGAAGCCGTCAACCCACTTTATCTGGGCCTACTTTCATACGTCGCTTCTTCGAACTTTAGTCTTCTTAACTACAACGGCAATTCTCGAGACAGGGCATCTTTCTTTGTTTCTTTTTTACTTATTTCTTTTTCTCACTGTTACCTTCACTCGCTGGTCACTGGGAAACTACTTCTTTCAGATCAACACGGCATTCGCTACATACGTTACACTACAATCTGAATACCCCGTCATCAACACACCGGCCCGTCGCTATTCTGCTTAGAGCTTTGAGCTCGTTGGACGCTTTGCAACCATGAAGTCTGCAAGCAGGCTATTCTATCTTTCTGTGTTCGCCCTCTGGGCTGCACCAGGATCTTGCGAGAGTCCTGAAGAATGTCCTGTATGTTGATTGCCACCCGATCTTGCCAACTGTACACCACGCCACCGCGCAAATCGCAAGCTTGTGTACCACCTTTCTAACATGGCTCCTCTATAGATCTCACCCAAGTCCATCGTTGGCGATGCCTGCGCATCGTATGCGACTCTCGACAGACTCAACTCCCTGACCAAACCCGCCGTCGACGACCTCACCCACAACACCGACTTTTTCTCACACTACCGAGTAAACCTCTTCCACAAGAAGTGTCCTTTCTGGAATGACGAAAATGGCATGTGTGGAAACATTGGGTGTGCAGTTGAAACGCTGGACAACGAGGAAGACATCCCCGAGATCTGGCGCGCACACCAGCTTGGTAAGCTCGAGGGCCCTCGTGCTAAGCATCCCGGCAAGAAAGCCCAGCGCCAGCACCCCCAGCGACCTCTCGGTGGTCTCCTTGGCGAGAACGTGGGTGAGAGCTGTGTGTTTGAGTACGACGACGAATGCGACGAGCGAGACTACTGTGTTCCCGAGGATGAGAGCGCCAGCTCGAAGGGCGATTATGTGAGCTTGGTCAGAAATCCCGAACGATTCACAGGATACGCAGGTGATGGAGCGAAGCAGGTCTGGGACGCCGTCTACCGTGAAAATTGTTTCCAGAAGAGTTCATTCCCTAAGTCTGCCGATCTCGGCCTCTCTGGCTGGCAACACGGTCCTGCCGCTCAAGACTTTAAACAGATTCTTGACGCAGCTGGTCGCCAGGCTCAACTGGAGGAGCGTCGCCAGGAGAACCCCAACACTCCTTTTGTCGCCAATACCGGTTTCGAAGTCGATGATCAGTGCCTTGAGAAGCGTGTGTTCTACCGTGTCATGTCGGGAATGCACGCCAGTATCAGCACTCACTTGTGCTGGGACTTCCTCAACCAGACTACTGGCGAGTGGCACCCGAATCTGTCGTGCTACGAACATCGTCTGCACAAATTCCCCGATCGCATTGGAAACGTCTACTTCAACTACGCCCTCATGACCCGTGCCATTGCCAAACTCGGTCCTTATCTGCAAAAGCAAGAGTACAAGTTCTGCATGGGCGATACTTCTGAGGATGAAGCTACCCGCGCCAAGGTTCTCGAGGTTACCGAGAAAGCTGCCAGTGTTCCTCAAATCTTCGATGAGAGCCTCATGTTCGCTAACGGCGAGGGCCCATCCTTGAAGGAGGACTTCCGTAACCGCTTCCGGAACGTCAGCCGCCTCATGGATTGTGTCGGCTGCGACAAGTGCCGTCTATGGGGCAAGCTTCAAACCGTTGGCTACGGAACCGCCCTCAAGGTTCTTTTCGAGCTCGATAACAACAATGAGGATGTTCCTCATCTCCAGCGCACCGAACTGGTCGCTCTCTTCAACACCTATGCTCGCATCAGCAGCTCTCTCCACAACATTGGCACCTTCCGTCAGATGATGGAGGAGAAGCTTGCGGGTGAGGAGCTTGGGGAGGTCCACGAGAAGGATGAGCTCAATTCCCAGTTTGAGGCTGAGGCCGCCAAGAATGACCAGATGGACGACGCCGTAAGGGATTTCATCGCGCTGCGACAGAGAGGTCCCAAAGGAGATGGTATAATCGCTCGTTTTGGGTTCGAAATTGCCCAATTCAATGGTGCAATGCGCATTATTCTTGGAGGCTGGCTCCGCACCCCGAAGGCACTGTAAGTTTACATCTCCACATGACACCCAAGATAACGACTAACATATCACCAGTTGGAGCATCTTTTCATACGAAGTCCATCGTCTATACCGAGTCTGGGTCGGTCTCCCCGTTAACAAGCGCTGGTGGAAGCTCCAGCTCCCCAATCTCAACGTAGAGTTGAACCGAGACGAGCTATAAACAGCGTTGACCATTTTTTAAATACACAAGCGGATGTTCTTTTCTTTCCTGTATGCATATATGACGAGAAAAGAAACCTCAGATTGGAGATGTTGACATCATTCCGGCGTTTGCTTTTCGGTATCCCGTTTTTTTCACGGGGAAACTTGCTACGCAGTATACTAGGCATTTCGATAGGCGTTTTTGAGGTTTGGTACGAGATGAATTAAGATTGGCCTTTCCCATGGGCTAAGTATATAGCGAAAAGACTGCTTATTGATATGTATATGAGTAAAATAGTGTATCGACGTGATTTTGTTTCCAAGATTCGTACAATGCAGACCTTGAGGCCATGTTCGGCCGGGTAGGCGTGTTTGGGTGCTTTTTTGACATTTTTGCTCTCTCATAAACGTGCCAGGTTTTCATGTGGCTTTGGATCGTCGCTAGCATTCCTTTACGCATCTTCTCGTGGCCCTCAAAGGGATCATTGTTGGGAGGATAGCTTAAGATGCGCGGACCGATGTGGTTGGTGGCTGGAAGACCAAAAACACCATGCATCGTGCCAAGCACAGGATGAATGCGGGCGCGGAAGTTGCGCAAGACTACCTACGGAATACAGGTACAGCAGGCGTGCAAAAGTTTCGACAACATCCTGTTCTATATAATTTATCTGAACTTGCTTAATTATAATAAACTAGACTAAGTTATACTCAATTTATATAACTTTATGAAGTTCTTATTCTGAAGACTGTAAAGGTTTTCTATGCTTGATAATTACCCTATACCAGGCGTCCACTTTATTGTGCTTCACGCTGGCTTATTGTTGGAACTTCTGCAAAGAACTGTAGGCCCCAACACATTGTGAAATTAAAGAACCGTGGAACAATGACACATAATTACCACCTCGATTATCCGAAAACAAGAACTGAGGGTAATGATCGACTGTCACATGCCATGAGAAGCTGATAGCCAAGTGTTTTGCTTGTAAGTAGCACGGGCTAGCTGGGGGCCAAAAACTAGGGGAAGTTTGGCTTGAAGCCCCCAATTGAGGGAGCAGGGGGTGATAAAAGCCGGGGTACAAGATGCGGGAAGGGAACGAACCGATATGCAAGGTAAAGGAGGTTCCAGAGGCATGGGAAATGGATTTGGGGGTCAATAAAAAACGATTATGTACGCTGTTGAACAGACAATGGGATAGATAAAACAATTGTAAAATAATTGTGCAGAGTCCTTCACTGTGTCACTTATCCTAAATGCGAAGATGTGAAGAGCGAAGTGGTGTAAGCTAGTTACAGTCCTACGACAAGAACAACTCGAGTCGAGTCAAACGTCCATGGATCAGGCAAAATACCTGACTACACCATGAACCATTGTAACAGCGCAAAAAGCAAAAAAATGTCATTTCAAGGTCCTTTTGCACGGCCACCCAGGTAGCATAGCAATCCCCTCTGCATCTGCACGAGCGTTGCTGAAACAAGCGGTGTTGGTTGTTGGTTCAAAGACAGTTCTCTCTCACCACCCAGTCAACGAATGCAACCAATAGAGTCAACCAGAGTCTCACCTTCAACCAATAACGTCGTCTTCACCCTCTACTGGTGTGGTTGCCGCCCTACCAGACTGGCGGATACCATGACGACGACCCCTTTTACCGACAGGTTGGTTCTGGGGGGGACCTTTTTAGTTTCCCGTTCCGCTGGCTTGGGTCTTCCCGCCTTTTTGCGTGTGTGTGATCACCCTTGTGCGGGGCTGGAGGAGGAAGGTGTTTGCAGCATAGGAAATGACATTGTTACATGGCAGTTCAGCTGTGGTCAAATGCTCCGTCTGACTGCTTCCAGCTGCTAAAATCCCGCGGACACAGATGCCAAAACGTCCCAGATAGGGTGTTCTTCCCTTGCTTCGAAGCAGTTCTGTCCAGGATTTGGGTTTCAAAGCCCTTCCAGGCGAACGGTTCGCAAGAGTGGGAGGCCCGAACTTTGCCTTATCCTGCGGTGCGGCTGCGGTGTCTCCCCGGCCGCGGATGTGATTCCGGTGCAGATTGGCCCATACTGTTGGGACCAAGTGCGTATGCATGGCATGCGAGGCGGTTTGGGATGTGATGTGATGGCCGTTATCCGTTGCCTTAAGGACCCAGATGCTCGGGTCTGGTTCCTTTGCGTCGGTAACGGGAAGAGCCTTGTCTTGGCTGTTATTGGAAGCCCTATAACTAGTCAGCTCGTTCCCCATTGCTGTGTGAGTGTGTTTTGTGCCAAGTCAGTTTTCTCCTCACCTACTGAAGTCGTAGTCATGGACCCGTTATACGGCGTTGGTGGCTCTTGTGCGTCAATTGAACAAGTCCGGAATGTCCCCAGACGGGATAGCAGTATCAGTCTTGACGATGTTGCTTACAAGCGGTTTGTCTAGCATGCTTTGCTTTGTTGGGAAGATACTAACATGGTGCTGTCAGGTGTGTCTCTGAACCTACCAAGTCTCCCCCCGCTCCTCTTAAACCTCAATACCTTGAAGAACCACGAGAGACTACTATTGGACATGAGTGTTCCCTGCCTGCACCCAGTACTAGGTCTTCGTCTTCGGTCATTGCACCCATGGAAGTCTATCTTCAGTGTGATGAGAGCCATGAGTCCCGGATGATGAGACTGGGTGGTACCATATTGGATCAAGGCAAGCAGACCTTGGAGCCAAGGGAGATGTCACCTTCGCCAGAGACTTGCAGCTGGGAGATTGTCAATTATCCAATCCCACCTGGTCAACAAGTGCCCAGCGGTCCGATGTTGCAGCCTGCGCTGAACTCCAAGGCGACTGACGTTCGGCTGACAAAGACAACGGACTCCAAAGTCGAGCCAGAAGATCTTCTTTCTGTATGCTCGGACTCTGAGATGTCCGAACTATCGCTACCTGTCGCTCTGCGTGCTGGAAGTGACAGCACAAGTGTCTACAAGAATGCAGTCGCTGAGTATAAAGCTGCTAAACGATCCAAGTATGCATTGCCTGCTCCTGAATCAGTGTACGAACTAACAATATATAGGAGCGCTACTGGGAAAACTCCTGATATGAAGGCTCGCATTTATAAGGGGAAAAGGACGAGGAAGTTTGGAAAAGGAAAGGAGACTGGGGAGGTGGAAAAGGGTTGATAGGGGAGGTAGTTACCGTGAGACAGCTTTTTCCTTTGTAAATCGTCCTCCACGAGGTTTTCTCAATGTCTGATTTGTTGCTTCTTTTTCCCCGTCAAATGTCATCGGCGTAATCTCTGCAGTCCCGTGCAAAAGTCCCAATAACTTCCTTTCTTCTAACCTATGTGAAAGATTACATAAAATAGAAGAGTTTATGCTAATTTATATTATCTTACATAAAACTTAGAAGAGAGGAAGTTATCAGAACCTTTGCACACTCACTGTATGATATCTCAAGAAGATGTGGTGGGTTCAGGTTGACTCTCCTTGCTCACATCAATACCGAGCAGAAGAGAGAAGAACACCAAGATGAGCTATAGACGTCAGTCACATGGCACATAATCTCCCACAAGTAACATACCAGCATGCTGAATATTCCCAAAAGGTGAATCTCAAAGCCTCCGACCAATGCCTTCCCCCTCATCATGATCTGCTGATGTCTCCAGGTGCGGACAGCTCCGAGGAGGATCGTGCCGATGGAGAAGGCATAGCAGGTCAATGCTAGGGGCTTGCCGGTGACGAAATATCCAAAGCCGTGGACGTGATACCCCTCGTGGTGCAGGGTGAAGAGCTGGGCTACCATGGTGCCAACCATGGACATCATGACGGATGTGCGGAGATAGCCAAGAAAGGTCCGCTCGTTCGCTGGGAGGTGATATGTCAGTAACTCTTTCTCATGGGAGATGTCATCGCGATCATTAGTTGGTATATAGTATGGGACACATGCCACACCCTCAGCCAAACAACACAGATCAACTATGTCCCACGTCTTGCAAAAGAACATCACAAGACACACGTCCCCAGCATTCCAACCCCCGAGCGACACAGAATTCTTCCTCCAATCTCACCCGCGCTGACCCTTCCCCATGCGCCTCGGTGCACATACCTAGATGATCCCTCGACGCCGACAGGTCGACCTCACAGCTAACATAGTCCTGCCAGAACCTCCCCAGTCGCGTCTTCCTCTTTCTCTTGCTCTCGCCGCTGGTGCTGGTGCTATCATTCCCGGTTTGCGGCACGGCGGATCCTTCTCCGTTGCTGTTTCGGTCAGTGTCGCTGTGCTCCCGCGTCTGAGAAGGGCGGAGACGAGGGCCTGCTCGGTTGGACAGGGACAGGTCCTGGAGGGAGTATTCTGAGTTTGAGCGAAGCATCGTGCGATGGATGGTTCTCAAGTATATATATATACGTTTAAATATATACACTCATCAAAAAGATGGACACCTGAACATATCTCACGATGAGTCGTCGTTGAAGGAAGATGCTGTGAAAGGGAGTTACGAGTGCCAATCGTCGGCCACCACGTGCGGATGTCGGCGCGCACAAGCGGAGGTTTCCCGACAGCCACGAGCTTACAAGGGCCCCGAGCCGGCCCCTCTCAGCCGGAGACGACGGAGGGTGGGATCCATTTAATCAGCTCGAGATCTAAGATATTATAGCATCTATCTTATGATAAAGAGTAACATTTAAAGTCTTGAGCAAATATCAATTGTCTTCTTTTGATTTTAATTGTAGTCATCACATGTGTAATAAGCTGTAAACACCTTACAATTTGATTAACAACTCCTCTGATCACTATCAACAACCCAGTTATACCATCCCACAGCTGAACAAAACTGTCTCAAAACGATCTGCTCGTGCATGCAATGCAGATCGGTACTTTTTCGGCTCTTATTAATCGAAACACCCCTTTTAGCATCCGGACATTTGGACCTTTGTTCAGCCCATCCCATTTCCCTCTTTTAAGCCTCTTGGCCCTCGTCTAAATGCCGAGCTTCCTCATCCGGCAACTGCAACGAAAACGTCCATCGGCAGCTTCTTTTTCGTTTATTTTCTTTTTCTCTCATTGCATACATTGTTCCATTCTTTATCTCGGCTCTCAACTCCGGCGGTACGTCCCGGCCGGTACGACCAGGAACAGGCGGGCCGAGACACCGGAGGACAAAACACAGGAATTGTATTACCCGATTCGCTCATGACGTGCTGCAGTCATCCATTGGAAAACTGTAAGAGATGCCTTCCCAGGCTGTCGGGATTTTTCTCCTTTGGGGGGATGGATCATCCTGCGGGAGTTGTCGTGAGAGCTCAGCTGAGAGAGTATAGATAACAAGGCCCCAAGAATGATTTTCTCTCACAACTTTGCTTATGCAGAGAACATGTGAAGACTTCACGTCTAGCTATCGAGATGGCTCCACGTGTGTCTTATCTCTCTCATCTCCAACCTTAACATGTTTAAACTCTCCGGAAGCCCCGGTATCATTTCGCCGCTCTCACGGTCCGTGCCAACCGGCAAAGGCCAACATGTTTCCCCGTCCCCCATCTGCATCTTCTGTCTCTGAAACAGTCCTCAAAATATCCACTCCCCTGTTGGGATTGGCCGGCTTGTTCAGCCGGTCCGTCTAAACAGAACACACAGCAAACCTCGCTCTCATAGGCTGCTGCTCGCGTTGTCTTTACTGCTTATTAGTAAATAGGGAAAACGTCCTATCTCTGATCTGTGAATCCTTGTTCCCTGCGATCTCGAGTGCTGTGCGTTTGCTTATCCCGTTGCCTTATGCTGCGCAGCAGCAGATGACCCTATGTGCCGCGCTCGTACGTGATTGCAGACGGTATAAGGGAGCCTAGCTATCACTTTGGGTTTCGTTGATACACACTCTTCTTTATTTGGTGCATCGTACCTCGGCTCAACTTGCTCCTTTGTTCATGTGTAGTTTGTCATTCACTTGATATATCAGCCCTAGTTCAGCCTCCAAGACCGGCGTACCATTCGTGATAGCTCTGCCAATAACATCACAATGGACGACTCAAACACTCCCTCGACGCCAGACACAGAGTTGTCTCCGCCATGTAGTCCTCAGCAAAAGATTCAGCATCTACGAGATACCCGTTCTGCAGCAAAAGAGAAGCTGACGCAATTAACATTAGAAGAAAAGGCATGGAGTTTCATCTTCCTCAGTAGACATACACTAACCTTTCTAGGTCTCACTTCTCACGGCCGCAGACTTCTGGAGGACGAAAGCTATTCCTGAGAAGGGCATCCCTTCAATCAAGACAACGGACGGTCCCAATGGCGCACGCGGTGGTATTTTTGTCGGTGGCACAAAGGTCAGTAGCAGAGTTCCTCACAACATCACAGCCGTAACTTAACATACAGGCCGCGTTGTTTCCCTGCGGTATCTCCCTCGCGGCAACATGGAACAAGGATCTCCTATACCAAGTTGGACAGCACTTAGCACTCGAGGTTCGAGCTCGATCAGCGGAGATGCTTCTAGCTCCAACTGTCTGCATGCATCGTCATCCCCTCGGTGGTCGTAACTTTGAGTCCTTCTCCGAAGATCCTCTACTCACTGGAAAGCTCGCTGCGCAGTATATCAAGGGTCTTCAGGACCAAGGCGTTGCGGCTACTATAAAGCGTAAGTACCGTCTGTGTAAAGCTACCTAGGTTGAAGATGTGCTAACAGATGGATAGATTTCGTCGGAAACGAGCAAGAAACGAATAGATTAACGATAGACTCGCTCATCACGGAACGACCTCTACGGGAGATATATCTAAAACCGTTCGAGATTGCAGTTCGAGAGGCCAACCCATGGGCTGTCATGTCTTCGTACAATCTCATCAACGGTGTGCACGCTGACATGAACCGACACACACTCAAGGACATTCTTCGTGGAGAATGGGGATACGAGGGGTAAGCCGGTCAACACAACAAACATGAACATAATCTAATTTCTTGTAGAGCCGTGGTGTCAGACTGGGGCGGCATCAACTCATCAGTGGAAGCTGTGGAAGCAGGCTGCGATATCGAGTTTCCCTACTCATCCAAATGGCGTCTCGAAAAGCTCGTCACTGCCGTCAAAGAGGGCCGCATGTCGATAGAGCATATCGACCGAGCAGCAGAGAATGTACTCACACTGGTGGAACGACTCAAAGGAGGCGACATGTCACCAGAGCGACCAGAGCGCGAAGACGACCGCGAGGAAACGAGACAGCTGATCCGAGCTGCCGGCCACGAAGGTCTCACGCTTCTCAAGAACGACGGCGGCATCCTCCCTATCTGTCCCAAATCTACCAAAGTCGCCGTCATCGGGCCAAACGCCAATCGACACATTGCAGGCGGTGGTGGAAGTGCGAGCTTGAACCCGTACTACAACACCATTCCGCTTGACAGCATCCGCAAGATGTCTCAGCAGAAAGTGGCTTTCGCCCAAGGCTGCCATATCCACAAGTGGCTCCCGGTCGCATCAGAGTACTGCACTGAAAAGTCGGGCAAGCCCGGCGTTAACATCGACTGGTTTGCGGGAGATAAGTTTGAGGGCAGTCCACTGGTCAAGCAGCGCAGGACCAACACAGATCTCTTCCTCTGGGATTCAGCGCCTCTGAACGAAGTCGGTCCTGAATGGTCTGCCGTGGCTACTACATACCTCGTTTCCAAGACAACAGGCAGACACACCATCAGCTTCATGAGTGTAGGACCCGGGAAGCTTTACGTCGATGGAAAGTTGGTCCTCGATCTATGGGACTGGACGGAGGAAGGCGAGGCGATGTTCGATGGCTCGATTGATTACCTCGTTGATGTGGACATGGAAGCTGACAAGGCCGTCGAACTTCGCGTGGAGATGACCAACGAACTCCGCCCCATCTCTAAGCAGAAGCAATTCGGCATGACGCACAAGTACGGCGGTTGCCGAATTGGGTTCAAGGAGCAAGACAAGGTGGACTACATCCAGCAGGCCGTTGAGACGGCTCGTGAGGCTGATGTGGCCGTTGTGATAGTCGGAGTAGATGCTGAGTGGGAGTCTGAGGGGTACGATCGTCAGACGATGGATCTTCCTGCTGATGGAAACCAGGACAGACTCATTGAGGCTGTGGTCAAGGCCAACCCGCGGACAATTGTCGTTAACCAATCTGGCAGTCCCGTGCATATGCCATGGGTCGATCGGGTGCCGGTCATTCTCCAGGGCTGGTATCAGGGACAAGAAGCAGGCAATGCGTTAGCCGATGTCCTCTTCGGTATTCAGAACCCGAGCGGCAAGCTCCCGGTAAGTGACTGTGTTTTGAAGAAGTCCTCGCTAATTGTATAACAGAGTACATTCCCCAAACGCATCGAGCATACTCCAGCGTGGCATACCTGGCCCGGCGAGAACCACAAAGTCCTGTATGGCGAAGGCCTCTACATGGGATACAGGCACTACGACCACGCCAAGATCGAGCCTCTGTTTCCCTTCGGCCACGGTCTTTCATACACAACGTTCGAGTACGGCCGCCCCGAAATCTCAACCAGGACACTCACGCCCGACGGCGAAATCAACATCACCCTGGCCATTTCCAACATCGGGTCCTGCGCCGGCTCAGAGATCGTCCAGCTCTACGTCCACGATGAGAAGAGTCGGTTGCCAAGGCCGGAAAAGGAGCTTGTATCGTTTGAGAAGGTGTTCCTTGAAGCTGACGAGACAAGACACATCACTATCAAGCTTGACAAGTACGCAGTTGGGTACTATGACGAGACAGTCCCAGGATGGATTGCTGAGGAGGGCGCTTTCAAGCTGCTGATTGGCGCGTCGAGTACGGATATCAGGTAAGTTGCTGTGACATGAGCGGAGAATATGTACTAATTGCAGTAGGCAATCGACGAGGTTCCATGTGAAGAAGTCGTTTACTTGGGTATTCTGAGGAAGCAAGAGAAGCTGTTAGCAAGAGATCCGACTTCGTTAAATATTCGAACGCATCAGTCATTGTCCCAATTAGGCGCATTGAGATGCCGTATTTTATTGACAAGGCATCGTTGGCGCAAAGCTGTGAACCTGCTATTTGTGCGAGTATGAACTATCACTCTAGCCCACGTCAGAACAAGTGTCCAATTACCCTACCAGTCACAAGTATTATATGCAAACACATATCACGTCTGTTGTCGGTTCGTAACATCGTGATCTCTGCTTTAAGACGCCTTCCAATATCCTGGAAATGGTCCAAGACCAAGCGTCGTACTTCATTTCAGTCTGATCTTATATACATGTTAGGCCAAAACTTGATGTTCAGAAATGGGTAGCCGGACATACCTGATGTGTAAAACTTATGCTGCCAACGTGCTTTCAACCCTCATGGCAATGCACGTCGGCTATTCTTTGCAACGGGTCCATTCGTCTTCTCATCTACTGTTGGTCTCGCTCATCGCGCGGCGTATTCTCGATTCGTCCATTGTTCTCTTCAATCGCGCTCCTCACGTTCCTCACGTTCCTCGCGATCCTTGCCCTCGGGGCTGCGACTCCTGCTTCGGCCGCTGCGGTTTCGTCCACCAGCGCCTCGTCCGCGACCAGGCTTGCCAGGTGGGGGTCGTACGAAAGCAAAGTCCACCGAGATGGATTGCTCGAGAAGTTTTTGGTTGTGAGCGCCGTCGATGGCAGCGCGAGCTTCCTCCAATGTCGTGTATTCGATGAGGGCGTATCCCTAAGTCCGTCTGCATGAGCAATCGTTCTATCCTGCTTCCCAAGCGCAGCTTACCTTGACGTAACCGCTCCTTCGGTCGAGGTTCAGGTGCATGTTCTTGATCTCGCCATATTCTCCAAACAGATCCTGTAGAGCCTCCTCGTCGGCTTCTTCGTGTACGTTCGTAACGACAATGATCCAACCCTCAATAGAGCGGACAGCGGTGGCCTTTGAATGTGTTTGCATGTCGGATTCGTTGCGCACGGGGGGAGGAGAGCCCGCCTCGACGTCGACGTCGACATCCATTTCCACGTCGGCCATTTTGACAGAGTTGTAGTTTAACGCGAGAGTATTTCGGGACAATTGAAGGTGAGGATGGTGCTGGTTGTTTGAGACGAAAGCTTCCTGGGCATAGTTCAAAGAAGGTGGAAATTGATATCACGTGATGCATGCAAGGCGACCGGAATCAACAGTTCTAGGATCGTCAAATATCTATTAATGATACCATGCTTGGATTATCTACGGGTTGGGTTCTGGATAGTTCTAGGCTCTGGCTCCGGACTGAGCCTTTACGCATGTTTATATGGCTTGATTTTTAGGGAGGCTTTGACTCGTGCTAGCAACCTAAGGCACACACAAAGTCGTAGATGTCATCCATCAGCGTGAGTCACTCGCCGAAGGTCCCGGAAGGTTTGCAGTGTCTACGGAACGCAGAGCGAAATTTGGATTCGATCGACCATGATCACCAGTGGAAACGCCAGCATTCACAGTTGCAACAGATGTTTGGTCGCGAACAAATGTTTGTTGTATTTGTGACAACTGACACCGGACGCCGAGTAGAGTCGTAGCGCTTCTTCGCCATTTCCTTTTTATTTTCGTAAGGGGCTCAGCCTCTCAAGCGACCCAACCCAATCCATCATCCCATTACTGAGTGAAGCGACCATTGTTGTGGTGAACCGTGTCCGCAAGCCAACTTCCCGATACCGCAAATCGTGTTATTTAACAAGTCGTTTACGAGCCGGGGTTGGGGTTCATCTGTGTCCGAGTTGTCAGTTCCCATAGTCCTCTGCTCTGTGGCATCGAGTCTGCTCACCTTTCTCTTGCCACCAGTGAGGGTGACGTTGACGAATCGACGGGTGTACTTGAGACGCTTAAGAGCACGGCCCTTAGGGACCTTGGTCTTCTCTTGCTTCTCAACCTGTTGTTCCGGATAGTTAGTGATCGTGTTCGTCGGTATTCGATGGATTCTAATCGGAGTGTCGTCGTACCTTAGGAGTCTGAGACTTGACCTTGCCTGCGAGAATGTTAGCGACAACGGAATCAGGGAATATGGTGAGGGCGAGCGCAACGTACCGGCACGGGCAAGAGATCCGTGAACTTTACCCATGATGAATGATTTGCTTGGTGGTGATGTGGATGGTGAGTCGCTAGCTGAAGGCGCGGCGAGATTTTTGGGAAATGGCAAATGTGTGGGCGGAAGGCGCGAACGGCACTCACGTGAGCGGGGATAAGATGCCCTCTCGGAAGAACTGGGTCCGAGTGGCGGAAGAACATGCTTACATAATGCGGTTGGGCGATATCCAATTAGGCTCACAGTCTGACACTGATACGGTCTGCCAACAGGTGAAAAAGTATGGATTTCATAAGAGTATTGGACCGCTCATTAGTTTCACTTCGTTCCGAAACTCATTTCGCGTCTCTTGAGTGAGTTGGTGTTCTTGTGAGCTTAGGAGTGATTATATGTGACGTCATTGGCGCTCTCGAAATCGTAGATCTCACTCGTCTTTGTACCATGTGAAGAATCGCAGTCTCTATACGAGTTCTCGTCAGCTATCTGCTCAGTATTCTTTGCCATTGACTCGTACTGCAGTTCTCAATTACCGAGGGCCGTTACATCGTTCTGCTTGCGCACGCAGGTACAAAACGTCGCGTGGCTGACATCGTGTAAGTGGCTGCGTTCCTGATTACCGACAGTTACACCTGGGCCGAAGGCTTGAGTCCAGAATACGATATTAAGCACTCAACACTATTCAATCAAGAGATTTAAGAGCAATTGTGCTTTTCTGATTTTCAACCCGATTCAATAATTGCGAGACAACATAGAGGTTAGGTATCTTTACTTTTCTTGGTCTTCATCGTGGTTGACATAGGGTAGGATGGGAAAGTTCATCTACCAGTTTGCCTCAACAATAATATATATTCTCTTCGGTGCAAACTCAGGTCCGTATGTACTCAAAAGACCAATCCAGAACATAAACTTACATGGGTTATAAATTTCAGTAGTTATTTCGATCACAGCTTGGACATGATGTCTCGCATCGCCATGGTTGAGACGAAAAGCACAAGAGTGGATGTTTTGCTATATTTACACGAGCCCCAGATTCCGACAGGGTCTAGCCTAGCCGCCGGACTTAACTCATGCGAAGATACGAGCTTGATGAGACCATGATCCCTCACTCAAAACTGACGGCACAGATTTGCAGAAAAGAACCCCATTGTAGCAATTGTCTTGGAGTGTCCTATTATTATCCTAGGGCTAACCGAATGGTGGAATAATTGAAGTGGATGAACACAATTAGCATTTGACTCACTACATGAGAAAGATCTATTATGTTGGAGATAATAGGCCCAAGACTGCCTTGGCACAAATTCTGTAGCCACTCTAGCCAAGCTGTGTTTTTGCGTGAAATGTGACTTTCTGCGGCTGTTATTCAACTTTGCCTCAATCGTCCCAGGTGAAGTTCTCTTGGTAGCTGGTAGCTTCATACGTAGTATTTCCGGCCCTCCGCCCAACAAGCCCAATATGCACGGACCCTATGTCCCAGATTGATGATGATCGCACGTACTCTCAGCGTATGGAAGCCCATTATCTCCCTTACAGATAGATCACATCACCGCGCATTGGGAAACCGCAGCTAGAAGTCTGTTGGTTAGCCTGGACGATACTTCGACTATCTCTGTTGGCGGGGTGGTTGGATCATGTTGTGAGGCCCTGATTGCTTCCCGCTACCTGGTGATCGGCAGAAAGGCTGGGCTGGGATGGGTTGCACCAGGGGAATAAGTTAGCTGCAGAAAAAACAAGCCTCCCACGTTGTACAACACGGCGCTGCACTTTAATATCAATTGAAACTGCCATTCAACCTCCTCACAATCATCCAGCCTTCATCGCACATAAGATTAGGGTTCATAGTGCGTTTAGCCCATCGGCCAGCCACTGCGATATTCCTTTGTGTTAAGCTTACAACCGCATGTTTTCCTAACCGTCCAACCGCGAAGAAGACGGGGAGAGCCTAAACGAGCTTCCATGCAGACCGCTGCTATGAGGCTAAACTCCAGAGTGTCGATCCGGAACTGTAGAGTCTAGAGTCTGCTCATGAGTTCGTATCCTTCCAGACTGAGACATGCACGCCTCTATCAATGGACCTTTTAGGCAAGCGGCCGTGTTTCTATTCGCGTATTATTGCTTCTAGCAAAAAAGAAAGAGACGTCAGGTCACATGGATTGGTCTCCATTGAATTGGATGTTTGCTATTTTTGGCCCGTCACTCTAAAAAAGGACAGCCCACCCACTGAAGAAAGGTCTGGGCAAATGGAAAGCCCCTGTGGATCGTTCCCGCAGATGCCGAGCCAATGGCCCCGCGGTATACGGGATGGCACCCCACCTTGTCAGTTCGTATTCTGGATTGACCAAACCCACAATGGATAGACGACAGCTTGATTGTTACGAGCATCTTGCAGCTGAGTTTGGGTCTAGCAGAGGTGACAGAAGCGTCTTGGGGGCATGAAGGGGGGGAGAGCGGCGAGAGATCAGTGGTTGAATGGTGCTACAGAGGGGGAGCTTGTGTGATATCAGGCGAACCATGTTTAAACAGCCTGTCTTAGCTTTTCAGTTGATCCTGCTTCTGAATACCCAGTAATCGTTGAGAAGCTGAAATGCGTCAGGGGACGGTAAATAATCGTTGGGTTGTCTTGCAGTAGCCTTACCCCAATCGGGCTTTTAATGGCCAGCTCCAGAAAGCCGATGCCGCCATCCCGCAATCACGCACAACGACAACGGGTATGATCCATTTTATCATGATCCATGGCCCATGCCATGCTAGGGAACCGGACCAGACCAAACTAAACCATGTCATGCCATGTTGATACCAGCCATGACCATGGATGTGAATGCGAAATTCGTCCCGCTGCTCAGCTGAATTCGGGCTGGCCTACTGCAACTAGTCAAGCTACTGTAAGCCTAGAAAAAGAACTTGCAGCTGGCAATGGCCATCTTGCTTGCCTGCTTGATTCTAAGCTTGATTGCCTGACACTGCTTGGCCGGAGACAAAGACAAAGCCAATGCCAAATCTTGCACAGCAGGGAAATTGTCTGGAATTTTCTATTCTCTATTCTATTTCCACAGACTCTTCTTCTTACAATTAGATTACCTTTCGCCCCGTCCTCAATCTCTGCCCCTGTTCCTCCCTTCTTCTAATCTATCTCTTACATATCCATGTAAATAGATGGATGGATGCTACTTGAGCCCAACGTTGCGTTGAGTCAGGATCCCACATACTACTATACAACTCACCGATTACGCCCTCCGTTTCTCTGACTCTTGTGTCACCATATTATCTCTTCTTGCCCATCCTCTTAGTTTCCGCTCGTGCAACATTGGAAATATCAAGATTTCTGGTTCGCCCGTCCCCGTCGTCTCATCCCAACACTCCGCATCACGAGATACCCGCATCTTGCCCACCGCCTTTGCAACATCTCACTACCACAAACCGCATCCGTCACTTTTCTCACCAACAATTTCTCCCGTTTTCGTTGTTCTTTTCATTCGAAAATATCGAGAAAGGGAAAAGAAGGGAAGAATTGGAATGAGTAAATTCCAATCGCATCAGCAATAAAACACCACCCGAGACATCATCGCCCGCTTTTGACATTAGCTCCCGATAGCTTCTTGTACCGAACACGGATATTCCACAGCGATAGGGCAGAGCAGAGCATCTCATTTGGAGCGCATTCGGCCAAACTTCTGCAAACGCAAACGCCCGCGACAGTGATTGAGAAACTGTTTCTAAGATTTATTATTGCGCTTGCCCACAGCAAACCATCACCCCCACCTTGTCTTGTCCAACCCGACTTATTCACTCTCACACCAACACGCTTTTCACCCAATATTTGTCTTACAGACCTCGCATGTTCCGAGGCGCTTCCGCTAGGTCGCCAATTTTAGGTCGACGGTTCGCTTGAACGTGTAAAAAGCATAGCGCTTCATCATGCTACAGACTGCTCAGGCACCGGCCCAGCCTCAAGGGCGCACTCGTTCAAATAGCTTGCAACGAATGCTTGATTTGGAGAAGAAGCTCAATGTAAGCACCCAAACTGCTGACAACTGCAAGGGAACTCAGCTGACTTATTTCTGTAGTTCCTCCGAACACATCAAGGCTCTGTGCCCCCATCTCCAGCATGCACTGATAGCAGCTCTGTTCCCCCGAGTCCGGGACGTCCTCCTCGTCGTTTTGAATTGGTGCCAAAGGACAAAAAGGCCCCCCCGCCAGTTCGAAACTATTCTGCTGTGCCTCCTCCGCTCTTCTCAGCCCATTCAGCCCCTGCGCGATCAGAATCACCAAAAGTGATCGCCCGCAAGCCGGTGGGACAAGACCTTTCTCGACCAAACTCAACAGAACCAAAGGGAATATCATCCGATAAACCAGCCCACAAGACCGTGGCCTTCATGTTTCCCCCAGAAGTGGAGGAGCAACGGTCAGTATGTCAATCGCCCACATGGGAGGCATATGATCGTCGGAAGAAGGAGAAGAAAGAAGAGAAGCGAAAAGAGCTCGAAAAGAAGGAGGAGGAGAAGCGAAGAGAAAAGGAGAAGGAGAAAGAGCGTGAGCAGATCATGAACCAAGCTCTTGAGGAAGCTTGGAAGAACGCTCCCAAGCCTCGCGGTAGGAAGCTGAGCAAGCCTCCTCCACTCTCACCAGCGGTGCTTGCTACCCAAGGGCGCAGCGCCACTGAACCAGTCCAGCCCACACAAAAACGACGATCTCGTTCATCAAGTCTGTTGGGTTTCTCCGTCGGGAGAAATAACGATGACCCCGAGGAACCAAGGCGTAGCCGCTCCAGTTCACTCTCTTCCATCTTCCGCAAGTCCTTTGAAATCAAGCGTGCGTCATTTGACGAGACCAGCCCCACGGGTTTCTTGGGCGGAGCCAAACTTGAGAAGAAGAAGGAGGACTTCCATCAGAAGGTACTAGAGGATCAAGCTAAGGGGAATAGCAAGGTTCATCCAGCTATGCGAAAGACGTTCCTCGGCCATGGCTCTTTTACTCCTCTCAAAGTTAGTGCTGCTCAGCAAGCTCATAACAAGGAGGTAGACGCCCAACGCAGGGCGTACCCGCCTATTTCCATCAACACATCCGGTGCGAGAAGCCAGTCGGCCAAGCCGTCTAAGTCACCACAGAGAAGAGGCTCTGTCAATATATACCTGTGGAGTGCTCGTGCTAGAAGAGGCTCAGTCAGTGATGATTGTGCAGTGGCTGACGACACGGAAGACGAAGGTGACCAGAATACCGTGCATACACCAGACAGCGAGGTTCTGTATAATAAGGCTCAAGGTCTTAACAGAAGGGGCGGTCTTTACGTTAAGAAGGACCAAAATGCAGAGACGGACAAATCTGAGGAGAAGACTGTGCCGAAAGATGGCGATCAGCAAGCAGGGCCTACACCTCGTGCTTCAAACCAGAGCATGAAGCAAGTCCCCCCGTTGAACATCAAGCCCAAAGACCCCGTTCCTCAACAAGACACTATCACAGTCTCGAAGCCGCCAACAGTATCCTCAACGCAGCCTCAAGCCAGACGATCATCGACGGCCTCTGGGCTATCTATCCCCCCTACACCCCCACGAAGAAGCTCGAAGAGGAGAGGTTCACTTACCTTGTTGACACGGCTCAGCCACTCCCAGCCACCTTCGGACGAGCCATCGACAGCCAAGAGCGCCCCTGTTGGGCCAAACTCAATAAAGCCCTTGGAGTCAACAAAGGCCTCCAAGGAGAAGCTATTCAGGCAGAACCCCCCGAGTATCCGTTATGAACAGACTTCGCCTGGTGTGCGCCCGAAACCAATCACTGCAGAACCCGAGCCCGCCGTGGCCACGAAATGGAACCTTAGAGAGGCTGCCAAGAGTGCGTTCGGCCGGGGACATTCTCCCCAGGCATCGGTTTCGTCGACAGCGAGCAAAGATAGCTCATCCAAGGCTAGCACAAGAGCGTCTTCTGTTGGACCTCCTGTGCCACCAAAGACGGATATGCACACATTGAAGGGCTTAAATGTTAGCAGCAATGCGCCCATCCGTACCCAGCACGTCCATGTTCCATCGAAACATCTCTCTCCAGGAGCCACATATTCACCAACCGGTGGTCGCCCTTTGACGAGTTCTTCCGATTCCTCATATTCGGATGCGATCCAGTCCATATCACCTCTCAGCACCCCACATACCACCCCGCCTCAGTCGGAGATGGGTCATTCTCCTAACATCGCATCCTTCAAGCCATCAATGATGGCACACCATGGAACAACTAGCCCATACTGGTCGCATACAAACTCTCCTCGAATGGCTCCCAGCGACCGTTTCGAGCCCTCTGGCCCAGACGCTGAGATGGACCCTATCCAGGAAGCAGCAAACAGAGTGATGGAAGCGTTCTCAAACGCAAACCTCCGAAACGCGGCCTCCCGCAACCGAACACCTCTTGACTCCTCCGCGGAAGCAAGTTTCGCATCAACACCTATCCATACCTACCCAACACTAAAACACAAGGAGAGGAGCAAGGGACGCCTCCGATCTCCTGCAACCGTTCAGAGCCCGACGCTGGGTCATAGATCGACCCTGTCGGATCCTGAAGCAACCATCAAGACGCTCCGCCGTCAGTCCACCCTGGAGCATCACCAGCACCACGGCGAGCCCACCGGCAAGATGTTCGTCGAGTGCTGCGCTTGCAGCCGCTACCACGACTTGCCCAGCAGACTCTACGAGGCCATGTCCAACCCCGATGGCGTACTGAGCTCCGGCGCGACAGACTTTGCGGGCAGCGTGACCATGACAGTCAAGTGCCCATGGTGCAGGCATGAGATGAGCACGAAATGCTGCGCGGGATTCGCAGCTATGGTGTATGTCAAGGAGAGATTCCACTAAGTTCTGTTCTCGACGAACATCTTTTTTTGTTTCCCTTGTGTCTTTGTCGTGATAGACAAGCATGCACAACGCAAACGATTTCTTTGTTACAATACTGGCGCAGGAGGGTAAAAAGACAAGGGCTAGGTAGTCTGATTTGTTAGTGTACTGGGTCATCTGGCTATCGCCCATTGAACTACCCTTCTATACCAATGGGGAATTTGTGTATTTAGTTTTCATGAAGGATATAACGAGCTCACGATATTATGAATCAGAGAAACCATTACATTAATTGCTGTTCTTCCTGCCAACTTCCACCACTTCGCAAGGGTCTGTCACTTGGACCCTGGTTTGACGTCACATCCACTTTTTGCTCCCTCTCCACCATGCGCGGACTAGACTCTCAATAGCAGACTTGGCATACATTCTATCGTCAACTAAATTAAGTTAAACCGAACACCTTCCCGTCCCAGAATAGACCGAGTCTCACGATAGCGAATGGTAGAGAAACGTGGTGGCGTGCAATGTCGGCCTATTTCTCAACGCCAAGTCTGCGCTACAAACTGTAGCGTAGCGCAGACTACAAATGATGGGCATGAACAAAAAGACATAGCTTTCTAGAAGAACATAATAAAAAACAAGTCTGGAGTATCATGTATCATGTTTGTATGAGGATGGAATAGCAGAACCTGTTGTCGAATTGCAGCTTCTGCTGCAATTGGTTCTGCCTTGCGGGTTGCGCAGCGCTGACGTCAGGCCAAGCAGGGATTCGACGATGCCAGGTTTTGGAAGATGTAAATGCAAGAAATCCAATGTCTACGTCAGGTTTTGGAAAGGGTATTGCTTTCAATGTCTTTCCAACAGTGAATGTGAATCTCTACCTCATTCAATCTTCAAACAAAGCCTCAATATATCAAAGCACAACTTCAAAAACACAAACCCACTACAACCATCACCATGGGCGAAATCAAGAAGGGAACTATCAAGTACCGCAACAAGGAGGGCACCCTCGATGCCTCAGCCCTGCTCTGGCGTGCCCTCACGTCCGAGAAGGCAGAGATCATGCGCAAGTACATCACCAAGGACGCCGTCCTCTGCGAGCCCAACCAGAAGATCTACTCGCCGCGCAGCGAGCCCTCGCTCGACGAGTATATGGAGGACTACTACGAGCCCTGGACCGCGTACAAGATTCACGGCGATCCTGAATTCGTCGAGATCGACCTCATGGCCTCGGCGCTCAACTACCGCGTCACCGCGTGGAAGCTGACCAACGGCGAGATGGTCGCGACCGAGGCCTGGTGCCACAGCGTCTTCAGACAGGGCCCTGGAGGAGACTGGATGTGCTGTCTTCACCACATGGCTAAGATCTAAGCAAGAATGAACGAGGGCCAGATGGAGTGAAATTTGGAAGAAGAGGTGCTTTGGGTGTTTGGGGGAAACATTGGCGAATATTGGTACTCTTTTTTTGTTGCTTTGGGCGGATGAAATGTTATGCTGTTCGAAACCACCATGTTAATTAAACGACGTTAACGTATCATAACCTACATACATATTCCTTTCTCATCCATGCCTTGCTGATATTTCGATTGTCAACGGAACATGTTTAAGCGAGCATGTCCTGAGAATAATGCCAAGATACTCAAGTTCAGCTCTCCAGGAGCATAGGTAATAGCCCGAGTTTCTAATTGTCAACATTAGCTCACTCTCTCTGGAAAACAATACCCCTTGTCCAATAAGTAATAGTAATGTCCGGAGCGCCTCCCGGGTGCATAAGGTTGGACTGTCGTTGCTCGGTTGGGGAGACAAAGTTTTGGAAAGCGCCAAGCTCTTTGGTGAGCGGTTCCCACAGGCTCTAAAATGAGGGGAGGGGAGAAGGGGGCCTCTTATTCTGTGCATCGTCGAGCAGAAGACTTTTTTTTCTGAATGTGGTCGCGTGCGTTATTCCCCCACGCAGGACTGTTGGTGAGCTGTGATATGGCAGCCGATCAGAGGAAACGGCTGAAGAATTAACCATTCAGAAAGAGTCTCTGCACGCTGAACCTCTGCAAGCAAGGATTGGGTACGAAAAGGTTGAGGCGTCGGTATCTTGTTTGGGAACGTTTCTGTTAGGTCGTCCTGGATTCTCTTGGCGGGCTGGGCATTTTTGCCTCCTCGTTCCCATCGACTCAAGCCATCGAGAACGAAGTCCCTGGGTGTGTCTCGAAAAGCCTTAACCGTTCCTTGGCTCTTTTCTTCTTGTCATAGTGAGGGTTTTGTTTGCTGTGTATGTCGTGCTCTGGTGGCCACGTCCAAACTTGCCTTATCCCCGGCCAATGATTCTGGGGCCCGAAGTCATCTTGGATTGCTTAAACTGCCTTGCAGGATTATGTACGGTGTCCAGCTGTCTTCTTGCTTCCCGCGGGCATATTGCGACAGATAGTCTGGCATGGTGACGTCGTTTGATGTGGTCTGGAATTGTGTTGCCAAGCAGATTGGCCGTTGATTGATGATGCCTCTGAGCAAGAATCTCCATAAACAACTTCGCCTCTTGATAACGAATGCGCCTCAGCAATTGTGATATCCATTGAATATCTCATCAGTTCGTTGTCTGACGCGCACCGGCCACCTGGCTCTGTTTTAACCGACCGTGTGGTCCATCGATGGCAGCCATTTTCTGTCCTGTCTCAAGCCAAGGTCTTGTCAAATGCTTCTTCGACTCAAGCAGAACTTGGCGATAACTACAGTATTGGCATTCGGGTAAAGCACTGCAATTCCAAACGCAGGAGTGACATGACCGGCAGAACTACGAATGTCTCGGGTGAACAACTGTTCCCGATGTCTCCTCTTGACTCTTCTTTTTCCCCCGGACCCCTCAACAGAGCAAACTTCCATCTCTGATGTAACGCCTCCGCTCCGGGGTCGGGGGCACGGACACAAGCTCGGGGTCGTCAGCGGAGGGCACGTGTCCTCCTCTCTCTCTCTCTTTCTTTTCTTCTCTGCTCTCTGCTACTCCGTACATAATAGTTAGAGAGTACGAGTGGCTCCGCCGCGTCCACTCCGCCCACTGGGGTCTCTGTGGCTAACCCCTACACCACCCTCGTCGCCGCTGGTCTTGGCAATGGGACGCTTGTGGGGCCGCCGACCGTTCCGCCCCAAAACGACGGGGGTGGACGTTTCCCGACTCCGTTTCCGCTGCCGTTTGGCTTATTTTCTGTGTTTTTCTCTGCGCCTGCAGATGCAAATGCAGTCCTTGCAGCAAATATTGTCACAGAAGAATCGTGGATGGTTGTTGCGAGACGTGTACTGAGAAGCTTTTTTCACATCAACTTGGCGCCTTGTTTGAACTTGGCTTTTGGATATCCATCTCCATGGAGAAAAAGGTGGGCAAAACCATTGCTAGACTACGCACCCTATACCCAGCTCTTCCGTTCCTCACTTTGGTCAACTCCACGTACTGAAAAGATACGCGTAAGGAACAAATATGGATCTACCTATGGTATAGCAGATAGATCTAGGGATTTCTTCTGCAGCACTTATTAGATAACAACCGAAAAGGCCCGAACACTATCTCAGTTGGTATCCGCTGAGTTTTCGTGCTACATATCTAAGACAACTAACAAACACTGCGACCCCAACCCCACAGGGATCGTCCATGACAGAACAGGAGAAGGACAAAAAAAAGAGGCTCGAGAGCGTTGCAATGCTTGAGGCCTTCTTCAAGATCTAGACCACACCGCAATGGTCTGACGGCTTGGCTGCATCAACATCGCTGAAGCTGCGATGGCTCACCCCAGAGTTCTGTTAAATGCAGCCCGGAGAGAAAGCCTGGGGAAATCTGACGCTTATGCCAGGGCTCTGGGAAGCCAAGACACTGCCCTCCAGATTATGGTACGATTGATTGCAGTTACCAACCTCGGATTTGCGAGCGTTTCGGCCAAGTTCCATATCGCCAAGTTCTTGGTAGGAGCAGGCAGCGAAAGATCCGGCAGATTTGATGTCCACTACAGTTGAGAAGAGCCAATGCTGGTATCAATAGGTTTCAACAAATGTAGACACAGGCTCTGAATGGCCCGCATGCATCAAGTTGGCTTGCTTTTTCTGAGGATGGGATATGCTGAGCCGCAACTGTTAGGGTGGTTCGACAACGTAACTGCAAGAGACAACACAGAAAGATCTCCGAAGGCCGAGCGTACATAGGACTATCTGCCGAGTGTGGTTGGGTTTCCAGATGCTGTGCAAAATCCCCGGCCGGCTTCAAGGCGATGCTCAATCCTGCTCAAAGACCGTCAGATACCCGCCCCGGCCCCGGCTCTCCAGATTTAAACACTGGCCGCCGTTCCCGCAATAAAGAGACCGATCTTCACGATATACATGCCGAAGTCCCATCCATAGCTGCCCAAGAAGTTTCCACCAACATTCTCCTACACAGTAATTGCAGTGCGATCCATTGCACGGCAATAACGGCAAGTATCTGTACGAGCCGCATGACTCAATGGCATTAGGCCGGGTATCGTGAGCAAGTTAGAAAGCGGCACGGCGTTTCGGGACCTGCATGGCAGAATTTCTTTTTTCCTCCCCGAACGGAGATGGGCAGGTCCGACACCATGTTCCCATAATACAAGTCGGTGGTGGTGCGTTATTCTTCACAAAAGCAAAGCCCCCACGCGATGTCTCATGTCTGCAGTCAAAGGCTGTGATTACTGTACAGTACGACCGTGGCACCGACACATCCGGATTGTCCCCTTCAGGAGAGACGACAACTCCGCCTCGGAGAAGCCTCTGTGTCTTGGGGATTCTGGAGACCGGGGCACCTCCGTGGGGAGTATAGTCCCCGCTGTGTCCGCCCCGAGACAGCATCCGGAGGTCGGATCCAATCGCAGGAGATGAGTGACCCGTTATTTTCCCCGTGTAAGCCTTGCGTGCTGTGGAAGAAGACCAGCCAGTAACCTGTAAGAGAAGAGTATCAGTCGTGCTAGGCATAAGCGCCCCGTTCCTGGGAGGACAAAGTGCCGTTTGGGGTGGACCGAGCGAATCCTAATCTTTCGTCTTGCTGCGGCATACGGCGCTTCTCTCGTTTCCCGCCTTGGAAGTTGTCGTTCATAGTAGCTGGGCGTCAACGCGTCCGCGTCCGGCGTCTCTCGACCTGCGAAAGGCAAGGATCATCGCCCGTCTCCAGTGTGTAGCCTTTACCGTATACTTTACGGCCTCCCACAAACAGAAGGCATTGCCAAACAAACGGAGACAATAAAGGTTAGCGCAATGTATGCGCGTGAGTCGTAAAACATTGGCATCTGTTGAGGATAGAGAAATTGTATGTAATTGCTACGCAACGCGCTGCTTCAACGAGGTGTGATTCGCCGGTCAACGTGTTGTTGGAATGAGGCTAAAGGGCATAGCGCAGAGATTTCTGAAGAGCATCGCGTACCAGATTAGTGGGCCGTTGTGAATAAAATGCCGATGATTTAAGCTTATTGTCACGTTCAAGGAGATCCTGGATGATCTGGTGGAGGACTGATTACGTACCATGTACCTCGCATGGCGGGATGGCTTCTAGAAGCAGTGGAAGCTCATCACGTGGTGAATAGCGTCTTGACAGACAAGAGATAAGCTCAGTGGAATTTGCCACCAAGATAATGTTGCAGCCGTTAGTGCATTATCATCTCACAGTCGTCGGCGAATATGACAACCCTGCCCATCTCAAGGCGCTAACGTCGAGGTACTTGTGCTAGCTAAGACGTTCTCCAAACTCTGGGCGAAGATAAGAGTCCGTGACTAACAATATCAAGTCTTGCCAAGGGTGGCAGTGCCTGCACCTCATCCTTGGCAAAGATGTGCAATGCATTTGCTGAGATAGGAAAGCTGGGCTGCGTAACCGTGTGAAGAGCAGAGGAAACCCAACCCATCTCTCAGCCAAACATATCTCGAGATCTGATCGTGACCCCAAGATCTCCCCGGTCCATGGAGGAGCAAAGTCACGAGACTGGCCAGTTACAACCAACAGCAGGATGAAGCAGGTGGGTTTGGACTCCATGCCGTGATGGAACCGCAGTGTCTCTCGGTCTCGGACCTCTGTGGTGTTGCGATAATATTCATGTATGTATATCCGGCCCGTAGTTATGCGAGCTGAAGAATGATAGCAAGCGGCTCTTATCCGGCCCCGTCTTTTTTCTTTTGTTGCAGGTGAGATTCACATAGGAATAGTTTGCCTCTGGAATCGTTTCATTAATGCTTCTACACTACGACATCGTAGTAACCCAACGTGCAGAAAGCGAGAGAGAAAAAAACAAGCCTAGAGGCATGGAAAGCATGGTTGGAGCTAACGAGACGTTTGATGACGGACCACGGCCAATGACGTGATGACTTGGTTAGCAGAAATTATGTATGCCCAGAAATGCCAATACTGATCCTTCCATCTTGAGTAGAAAATACCACCGAAAGAGTCGCAAAGAATGGTGTGTGTGATGGAAAAGAGGGAGGGGGGAGGGTGTGTGTCTCTGTAGGTGCTGCTTGCGCTGCTCTACAGCGACCACCTCGTCTAACGTCGGTTCATCCATGGGGGCCAATGCGCTGAAAGTGAACTCGCCCGGCCCACCGTTCGGCGATGGCAGTGGTAAGTCCCCTGGAGCCTGGGGGAGCTTTAAGCCTCATGAGAGCCTCATCAGGTGACGCTGAAGCAAGGCTTTTCGACCCCAGAGCCACCAGCCCCATCCCCCAACTCCAAGTCTCCAACCTTAACCCCAGCCCCAGATGGAAACTGACGATGGTCCTCTCATGACCGCTATTCTGTCTTCCAAGGCAAGGCAAGGCTCGAGTTCGGGTTCAGTGAAAGCAATGACTCTGGCGATGGTCTTTATCCCGGTCTCCCAAGAATACCAAGCCTTGGCCAAGCATCGCGCCGCCCACTCAGGAAGGCCAATTGCTGCCGAGCCCGCCACGCCGCGTCACAGGTGCTGCCGAGTCTTCAAATGACGTGCGGACGGGCCAAGACAGCCCAAGACACCAAGACATCAACACTTGAACACACCAGCCAAGACAAGCGACGGACGCCTAAGGACGCCTAGGGACGCCTAAGAACGCCCCCCCTCGACCGTCGAGGACCGTTCAGCAACCCCCAGAACGGTACCGTACAGAACGGCGCCACAATCAACCAATCAGCGTCAGCCTCGCCCCAAATGAGGGAATACTGGGTCCTGGGGCCCTGGGGGTTCCCTCCACCGGCATCCCCTTGTTGTTAGTGTTTAGCAGCAAGCAACCAGCATCCAGCAACCAGCACCGGGGGGCGTTTTCTCAACAACAACAAGTAACAACCAAGGTTTGGTCATATCGCCAAGACTCGCGCTCCCAATCCAAACCCCGCCTTTGGAAGAGAAACACCAGCAGAGAAGGAAAAATTGGGAACTCTCTTGGCATTGTGGAGTCCCCTGGACAAGATACTGGAAGAATGATGGATAGTGACTTGAGCCAAGAGACTGTAAGAGGGTCTGGCGAGATAAGCATTGCTCAACTCTCGAGATGGACGTCTATAAGACTTCTCCATCTCCCCGCACGATATTCTTATTTTCTCTGGAATTCTCTCTCTCCAAGGATCTCGTCTCCCAACTTGCTCTCCAATTCTCCGACGCCAGACGAAAGGCTTCCTGCAACAAAGACCCAGACAATTGGATCTTCACAGGAACCCCCAGACACAGGCTTAAGGGTCTAATGATCTAAACGAACACATATCGAGTTCGAGAATCCCCCCATCACCCAACACCACGACACAAACACACCTTCGAGCTGGCGCCCGCTAGCTTCGACTTCCACCATGGGTAATACCAAACAGCAGGACGAGGCCATTGCAAACCATGTCTCTGGCCAGAGCAATGAGCCCATGAGCCGTCCCGCTCACGCCTTGAGCTTCGAGGCTGTTGTCGAGGAGCTCAAGACTGATACCATGCACGGTCTCAGCACGGCCGATGCCAAAGAGCGACACGAGAAGTTTGGCAACAACGATCTCGGCGAAGCTGATGGCGTTCAACCTCTCAAAATCGTTATCGCCCAGGTTGCTAACGCAATGACACTGGTGAGTTCAAACTAGCAGCGTTTTCCCCTACTACATCAAAAGCCACTTTGGCTAGCTCCCCCACACACTCTTCAGAGTTATGGTTAAGCATATCTCGATGGCTGGACTTGTTTTGCGCCCCTAGGATCTCGGCATGCATATTTCCTAATTAGGCACTCCGTCGTTCCCATGATCACCCTAACCACAACCCCTGCACTATCTCGAGATGGGGTCACTTACTGACGTCTGCCAAGGTGCTTATTCTTGCTATGGCTGTTTCTTTCGGTATCAAGTCATGGATTGAAGGTGGTGTCGTCGCCTTCATTATTGGTCTCAACGTCACCGTCGGTTTCTTCCAGGAATACTCTGCCGAGAAGACTATGGACTCGCTCCGATCCATGTCTTCTCCTACTGCTAGTGTTGTCCGAGATGGAGACTCCAAGGTTATTCCTTCAGTTGAGGTCGTTCCCGGTGATCTTGTGGAAATCAAGACCGGAGACACGATCCCTGCCGATATTCGGTAAGTTCAAAATCATGCTTCTATATAACTGGGTCTCAATTTTACTAACATTTGACTAGACTGATTGAGGCTGTTAACTTCGAGACTGATGAGGCTATGTTGACTGGTGAGTCTCTCCCCGTTCGAAAGAACGAGGATGAGGTTTTCGAGGACAGCACCGGACCCGGTGACCGTATCAACGTCGCCTACAGCTCCTCTACTGTTACCAAGGGACGTGCTAAGGGTATTGTCTTTGCTACTGGTATCAGCACCGAGATTGGTGCTATCGCTGCTGCCCTCCGAAAGAAGGACAGCAAGGTCCGTCCCGTGAAGCGTAAGCCTGATGGTTCTGCCAAGCCTCACCGATACCTCGAAGCCTATACTCTTACTACTACCGATGCTGTTGGTCGTTTCCTCGGTGTTAATGTCGGCACTCCTCTCCAGAAGAAGCTGTCCCGACTGGCAATCTACCTCTTCGGTACTGCTGTCATCTGTGCTATCATCGTCCTTGCTGCCAATGACTTCAATGCCTCCCAGCAAGTTATTATCTACGCTGTCGCTACCGGTCTCTCTATGATTCCTGCTAGTCTGGTTGTCGTCTTGACTATCACCATGGCTGCTGGTACAAAGCGCATGGTTGAGCGAAACGTTATTGTCCGAAACCTCAAGGCTCTTGAGGCTCTTGGTGCCGTTACCGATATTTGCTCTGACAAGACTGGTACTCTCACTCAAGGTAAGATGGTTGCCCGTGGAGCCTGGACTCCTGGAAAGGGAACATATCTTATCGAGAACACCACCGAGCCTGTCAACCCTACCCTGGGCGACATTCGCTGGTCTCGCAGCCAGCCCCACGAGCTTCCCCTCAAGGATGGTGGTGATAACTGCGGTGCCCTCTCTTCCGTCAGTGAGCTCCTCACCCAGAGCAAGTCTGCTCTCGTCAAGTTCCTCGAAGTCGCTTCCCTTGCCAACCTTGCCACCGTCAACGAGAAGAACGGCGAGTGGCACGCCCGTGGTGACCCTACCGAAATTGCCATCCAGGTCCTTGCCTCCCGCTTTGACTGGAACCGTCTCCGTCTTACTAGCCACGATGCCGCCAACCAGTACAGTGAGATCGCTGAACTTCCTTTCGACTCTGACGTAAAGCGAATGTCCGTCATCATGAAGGACAACCGAACCAACCAGCTCTTTGCCTATACAAAGGGTGCTGTCGAGCGTGTCATTGGTGCTTGTACCACTTACTGCCCTGAGGATGATGATGAGCAAGTTCCCATCACCGAGGAGTTCCGCGAGCAGATCCTCCGCAACATGGAGTCTTTCGCTGGCATGGGTCTCCGTGTCCTTGCTCTTGCTTCCAAGCCCTACAATGTCGACATGAAGAAGGGTGATGAGGTTGACCGTACCACTGTTGAGTGTGATCTTGTTTTCCGCGGTCTTGTTGGTCTTTACGATCCTCCCCGTCCTGAGTCTGCTCCTGCTGTCCGAGAGTGCCATCAGGCTGGTATCTCCGTCCACATGCTTACTGGTGACCACCCCGAGACCGCTAAGGCTATTGCCATCGAAGTTGGTATCCTACCTACCCGCATGGATATGGTTGCCGAAGATTCTGCTGCCATTATGGTTATGACTGCTACCCAGTTCGATGGTCTTACCGATGATGAGGTCGACCAGCTTCCTTTCCTCCCTCTGGTTATTGCTCGATGTGCTCCTCAGACTAAGGTCCGCATGATCGAAGCTCTCCACCGAAGAGACAAGTTCTGCGCTATGGTATGTTCTAATATCCTTAGTCCTCAACACAATGCATTGTACTAACTTGAACAGACTGGTGATGGTGTTAACGATTCCCCCTCTCTCCGCCGTGCCGATGTTGGTATTGCCATGGGTCAAGCCGGTTCCGATGTCGCCAAGGATGCTTCCGATATTGTTCTCAGTGACGATAACTTCGCTTCTATTGTTGCCGCTATCGAGGAGGGTCGCCGTATCTTTGACAACATCCAGAAGTTCATTCTCCACGTGCTCGCCACCAACGTCGCTCAAGCCCTCGTCCTTCTCGTCGGTCTCGTCTTCAAGGACCGTACCGGTCTCTCTGTCTTCCCCATCGCCCCTGTCCAGATCATGTGGATCATCATGGCTACCTCTGGTCTTCCTGACATGGGTCTCGGTTTCGAGCGTGCCGTCGCTGGTATCCTCCACCGACCCCCTATCTCGCTCAAGACTGGTGTTTTCTCTTTCGAGTTCATCATCGACATGGTTTTCTACGGTCTCTGGATTGCTCTTCTGTGCCTCAGCTCTTTCGTCCTCCGTCTCTACGCCTTTGGCGACGGTGAGCTCGGTGAGGACTGTAACGACACCTACAGCGAGAGCTGTGAGACTGTCTTCAAGGCCCGTGCTACCACCTTTGCTTGCCTTACCTGGTTCTCTCTCTTCCTCGCTTGGGAGATGATTGACAAGCGACGATCTTTCTTCCGCATGCAGCCTGGCTCCAAGCTCTACCTCACCCAGTGGATGCACGACATCTGGCGCAACCAGTTCCTCTTCTGGGCCATCATGCTCGGTATCATCACCCTCTTCCCCATCCAGTACATCCCCGTTATCAGCGACACCGTCTTCAAGCACAAGGGCATCACCTGGGAGTGGGCCATTGTCTTTATCGCTGCTTTCCTCTTCTTCGCCGGTGTTGAGGCCTGGAAGTTCGGCAAGCGTGTTTACTTCCGCCGTCAAGCTGCCAAGTCGAATGGCACTGACTGGAAGGATATGGACCTCGAGCAGCGCACCTTTGGCGAGTATCTCACTCCCGACTCTAGCGAGGCTAGCGTCCGCCACGACTCCGAGAAGGTTGACGCTCAGGCTGCCGCTCGCAACAACAATATGACCGAGAAGAAGGCTTAAAGGAATTGCAACGATTATGATGCATATTTGCTATAACATTACCATAAGTGGTAGATGTGAGGAGATGAACAAAAGCTCAAACGACCCGCGATGATGCCACTTCGCTGAAACGCGAGGTGCCAACGACAAAAGTGGAAAGGGTTCAATAACCACAAGGTGCACACGAGGAGGGGAGAAATAACTTGACTTGGATTGAGCCGCTGAGATTGCGAGCTCTTCACCGGAGGGACCCTAAAAACAAATGCCCACAGAGGACGCCGTTGGTCGTAATGAGAGGAGGGATTTAGAGAAGCATGGATGGATATACCATCCCCTTGAGATTTATATGCATAAGCGATAATGATTCCTTGAATGAAGTCAAATATTAAACATATCTGAAGCCTTTTCTCGATGTGATATGTGGTGATTGTCAATTGTGTTTAGTGCTGACATTTTGTGGTGTAGTCAGCACTATATTGCCGAGACTGATAGCCATGACGGTCGTATTCGCATGGGCTTGTGGATTGTGTACCTTGCAGATCATCTTCTGCTTATCATGTAATTGGTGCCGTTTTATCACATTGAATCCTTCAGCCAGTGAGCCAATTGCATCTGACATCGCTTAGAATTGGGAGAATCTGCGGAGTTGACATCGCTTCGAAACGTGAGAGTCTGCGGAGCTAAGGATGAGGCGGTATAGTTTAGTCTGAGACCACAAGGCCGCAGAAGATCATTCCTAAAATAAATCCTTTCTGCTACAGTCAACATCAATCTCGTTCTTCTTCAACAAACTACCAAAATGTCAAAGACGGAGAGTTCAAAACCTAAGAGGGAGATGCAGGTCCTCTCTCTGGGCTTGCCTCGCACTGGCACCGCCTCAATGGCCGAGGCCCTCACTGTCTTGGGCTACAAAGACGTCTACCACGGCATCAAAAGCATCGACAACAAAGAAGATTGGGCAATACTAGAGAAAGCAGCAGATGCCTCGTTTCCGAATTTACCGTCCTACACTGGTAGGCCTTTTACTCGCGAGCAGTGGGATGAGCTTTGGGGCCACTGCGAAGCTGTTACTGATGTGGCATCCGTGTTTGCGCCACAGCTCATCGGATCATACCCAGACGCCAAAGTAATTCTTGTCATTCGCGAATATGATGCTTGGTTCAAGAGCATGGATGAGGGTGTTCTCAAAGCGCTGTGGAGTCCAATTGGTCAGTTCAGCATCAACTACATCGAGCCCGTCATCGGCTCTGTTGCTGGCCGCGCTGCCACAAAGCAGATGCAGGGTCTTTTCCAAGCGAAAGACGCCCAAGAGGCTAGACAGAAGGGAAGAGAGGCCTATGACCGTCACCACCGAGTCATCAAAGAGATGACTCCCAGGGAACGGCTCCTGGTGTACCGACTGGGTGATGGATGGGGACCTATTTGCGAGTTCCTGGGGAAGCCGGTGCCGGAGCAGGAGTTCCCTTGGGTCAACGAGGCGGCGGAGTTGCGGAGGGTTATATCGGTTAAGATCAAGAGGAACATACAAGAGGCTGTCGTGGTTGCTTTGCCCTGGGTTGGGGCTGCTGCCGCTGTGGGAGTTGGGTTTTGGATGGTTTACAAGAGGTGATTGTCTTGACTTATTGAGATGGGAGGAGGGAATGCCATGTCGTTGGATTTTCTTACTGATCCATTGTGTTGGAGGGTGTCTCACTGCATTCGAGATGGCGCTTTGTGTGACACCCTACTTCTGCATAGCTGCTTATGTGGTGCACCTTGACTACAAATAGACGAACTGACGAGTGTTGTAATATGGTAAGAGGCATACGCAATAGAAAACCTCAATTCTTCGCCGGATCCAGTGTAATAGAGACTCGTCTTTACGGGATCCAAGAAGGGCTTATGAATTCGAAGACCCACGCATGATGTATTCAACCGCGGCCCTCTGAACCAAGTCCCCGATACTAAAAACTCTTGGCCCATGTCAGAAGAAGCTCCCCGAACAGCATCGGGGCAATTATATCACTCGTCCTACTTACGTAGCTGCAGAAAAAAAACAAGCTACACTACCCCTCCGTCGATTCATCGTCTAACTAGGAAAATACTGGAACCTTGTTTATCTCTGCGGCCCCCCCTGCCAGGAACAGTGCTTCGCCGTAAAGCCAAGACACCTAAACCCAAGGAGAAAAAAAAGACACTAAGTTTAGGCTTAAAATATGCTTATCGCAAGCGTTATGGAGCCTCCGCCGATCGGACAACGTCATGGTATGTTTTTCATGACGCATTCGTGAGATAGTAGCCGAGAGAACGAATGAGAAGCTGCTTGTGACAAGGTTTCGAGATGGGGTATGTTGGAATTAGAGAAGAATGATGAAAGTGGACGTTCCGTGGAAGCGAGAGGTTATATAAAAAGAGGTCCCAGTGAGCTGCTAGAGAGATTATTCAACATAGATACATTCAACCTTCACTACACACATAACTGCCACTTTGTACTCTTTCAGAATACTTAAATCAGTCAAGATGGCCTCTGATCTTATGGGAAAACTCAAGGAGACTCTGGCTCCTGCCAACACGGAGTCTCGCAACACCGACTCTTACAACGAGTCTCGCAACACCAACTCCTACAGCACCGAGCCTCATAACACCAGCTCTTATAACACCGAGTCCTACACCCCCAACCAACAAAACGAGCAGCGAGACTTTGGCTCAAACGCTCGCACTGCGCCCCTCGAGTCAACCAGCAACCAGCACCGACAGACCGAGGGTGTTCGCACTGGAGACAGAATCGACTCACTGGTAGAGAACGTCCCCGGCGTGCCCTCCACCCAGACCAAGCCCTCGTAAGTCACTGTGCACTAAACATACAATAACACAACAGCTAACGATGTATATCAACAGAAACCCCCCTTCTTACCAAAGCACCATGCACCAATCCCATAACACACCCATCGACGCAGCTTATGCTCCTCCCTCTGCTCTCAGGGCGCACCTTGGCGAGCCGGTTATCGAGCATGATTATCCCGAGGACAGCACGACGAAGCGTCATTCTGTTAGCCACCAGGAGGAGCACTTCAACCTTAACTAATTGGTGTTTACTTGACGATGAGATGGTCAGGAGTTAACGACAAGAACTGCAAGATGTTGGGTTGAGATAACTTTGTATGATAATGAGCAGATTCTCAAAAATAACAATTAATTATATTTTTATTTAAGAATGTAAATGCTGTGACTGGAGTGCGGAAACGTGTGAACGGTGGAGAGCATTAGTTCTTTAGTGAAGACCGAGACGAAAAGTACCTTCATAATAGAGGATAAGTTAAGATCTTATTCTCCAAATACGCGGCCTTCATAATATAAAATGAGAATCATTAATACGTACGGTCCCAGTTGTAGGAGAGTCGCCTCATTACTATCCACCTCCAAGATGCTTCTCAATTTCCTGCATGAACCAAATCCAAAGCTATGAATATAGTGTATGCGATGTTCTTACATAAATACTAACATCCAACTGGTACATGAAGAAAAGATAGTAACTGTAAATAATTAGATGCCAGACGATGAGGAGTAGCACCTCATCACCAACGCGGACCGGCTGATCTTCCTCGAAGCCCATTGCCGAACATCTCCGCTCCGGCGCCAGATCCACAGCCCGGGCGCTATTCCCGATGCTGCAGTTCCGCACCGGCTCCGCCCCGCCCCGTTGATTCTCAGATGATGGCTGATGCAGAAACACCAAGCGGAGTTTATCAACGGGCGCATGTCAGATAATCTAGCCGCTGTGCGCTTTCTGTAGATGCAGGTGGAAGTGAGTTAGCCAAGGTGAAGAGCTTGACCCCGGGTAGCAAACCGGATACCGCTGGGCAATGCGTAGAATGTCCCGGGCGGACATGGCCGGATGGACAGGTCAGACTATATATGCCATATTATGATCTGAGAATCCGCTGTAAATGATATGAGAGGATGGTCACTCTATTACACCGTATTGTTGGTCGCAAAATCTTCTGGAAGAATAAACATCGGCCCCGATCTTATTTGCTATTACCCGGCTCCTCACAACAGATATTCGTATCATGATCAAACAGAAATATTCCACTGCTAGCTAGCTATCTCTCTCTGCCAGCTCCGCTTGGAGCTTCTTCCGCCGGTCCAATTCTTGCCGACGGATCCCAATTCTCAGCCGCCGGATCCCTCTCCCTCTCCACTAAAACCCGCCAGGGCAACCGGCTTCATTGGAGCGGGTAAATGCAGTCTGGCTAAAGTCCCAACCCAGACGAAGCGCTCCCGTCATGACACTCCGCAGTTGCGGTCTTGTGAGCTTCTGTCGCAAATATTGCTGTCTTTTGATTGGTGAGGGTAAAAAAAAAGAGGTCGAAGCTCTTCGTCGCGTCTACGTGGGGGTGTAGCATCATGGCCGCGGCGTGTCTGCTTGACGGACAGGTATTTACCAGAGTGTAGGTACCGGCAGCCATTGGATATGCTTGATCAATTGAGGAGAAAGTAAGAGGGACAGAGAAGAAAATATCGACGGGCCATGTGATGGGTTGTCAGTTCATCCGTGGGAAGGATGCTACTGGGACGGGGATGGGGGTATATGAGACGCACATGTCGCTCCCATCAGCAGATTTTGTTCCAATCTCAACCTGTGATTTGAAAATCGATCTTCAGCTTCAGCCTATTCTTCTTTTTTGACGTGTTTGCGGCGACAATTGACTGCCAAACTCCACATTTGCGACCCTTGGTTGATCCATATAAGACGGAGGGACATCCCACATTGTACCACCAGCGACAGTGACGACTCTACTCCAACATCCTACGAACCTACGACTCTTCCTCTCCTCCTCTGAATATACCACTACTTTTCAGTCTTCTTACAATTATCACAGCTAAATAATAGCAATAATGGCCAGCGTATGTCAAATACCACAAGCTCATGGCAGCACATCTCACCTCACCTCTCATCATACCCCGCCATCATGGCCCCTCATGACGTCGAACCACCGCAAGAGAATTGGCTGACACCCTCCCTCACACAGAACCTGTCCTTCGTGCTCAACAAGCCCGGCGATGTCTCCTTCGAGGAGCGCCCCAAGCCCACCCTCGAGAGCCCCCACGATGTCCTCGTCGCCGTCAACTACACCGGCATCTGCGGTTCCGACGTGCACTACTGGGTCCACGGCTCCATTGGCAAGTTCGTCGTCGAGGACCCCATGGTTCTGGGCCACGAGTCGGCCGGTACCATCGTAGAGGTTGGTTCCAAGGTCAAGACCCTCAAGGTCGGCGATCGCGTCGCCCTCGAGCCCGGCTACCCTTGCCGTCGATGCCAGAACTGCCTCGCTGGAAAGTACAACCTCTGCCCGGACATGGTCTTCGCCGCTACACCTCCCTACCACGGCACCCTGACCGGCTACTGGTCCGCCCCGGCCGACTTCTGCTTCAAGCTCCCCGACAACGTCTCCCAGCAGGAGGGTGCTCTGATTGAGCCTCTCGCCGTCGCCGTGCACATCGTCAAGCAGGCCCGCGTCAAGCCCAGCGACTCGGTCGTTGTCATGGGCGCCGGCCCTGTCGGTCTCCTCTGCGCCGCCGTCGCAAAGGCCTACGGAGCTTCAAAGATCGTCAGCGTCGACATTGTCCAGAGCAAGCTCGACTTTGCCAAGGACTTTGCCTCCACACACACCTACGCTTCTCAGCGCATTGCGCCCGAGGAGAACGCCAAGAACATCCTCGAGCTCGCTGGTCTCCCCGACGGCGCCGACGTTGTCATCGACGCCAGCGGTGCTGAGCCCTCCATCCAGGCCTCCATCCACGTCCTCAAGAACGGCGGTAGCTACGTGCAGGGCGGCATGGGCAAGTCCGACATTACCTTCCCCATCATGGCTTTCTGCATCAAGGAGGCCACAGCCAGCGGTTCATTCCGATACGGCGCAGGCGACTACCCTCTCGCCGTTGAGCTTGTTGCCAGCGGCAAGGTCGACGTCAAGAAGCTCATCACCGGAGTTGTTGACTTCAAGCAAGCTGAGGAGGCTTTCCAGAAGGTCAAGGAGGGAACAGCGATCAAGGTGCTTATCAAGGGCCCAAACGAGCAGTAAATGGCTGTCAAGTTGGATGATGAGCGATAAATGAATGCACGAACATAAAAATAAGAACTAAAAGCTATAGTATATTCAAGGAGATGGGTTTGGATTAGACATGAGGGGATGAGACTGGGGTGGTTGGCTGAGGCGTTTGAACTGTTATGAGTGGACTCTAGGTAAACGAGTCTTTAGTCCGAATTACTGTGCTTAATAGGCACTTAATGAACATGTTACACCTATTCTATTTGCTTGTTGATTACTGCTTGTGTCACCAACTGAGATGAGGGATGTTAAGCTAGAGTGAACCTTGTTCCCACGGGCATACAACAAAGAAATGACAGGGCTTCTTATCATGACAGTCAAGTCATTTAATAAGTCTTGGCGGATAAGGCTGTCCAAACAAGTTACATCAAGAGGCAGTAAAGTTCAGACTTGTATTACAAAAACTGACCATAAACACGCCCTGAGAGAGGGCCACAATCCCTTCAATCTCCCCAAATCAAGCTTCAAGATCAATTCCGCACTCTACCCCTGTCCATTCCGCCCAGTCACACTTTAGCACACTTTAGCTCAACGGCTGAAAAGCATAGCCCAACCATATCCACCTCCGCTTCAGCTTGTTTGCCGACACTTCCCCAAGCTCGCTCCAATGACACAATGGTTTACCCGTCTTATATTCCCAAAAGAGGAGCTCAAATAACCAGTCTAGGAAAATACGTATTATTAATAGCCTTGGCGCAAAAGCCGCATCAAAAACGCTCCGGTGAAGACTAAAGAGGGAGTAAAACCTCCCTGGCATGTTTCTATCCATGGGATCGACACCCGGCATGGGGATGTCAAATGAATCCTTCACGCATGCATATGCACGCACCTCAGAGCTTTCATTTCAACCAATCACCATAAAGCATCTCGCGAAGCTTGCTCTCCTGGGACAAACCCCTCTCCGTCACTCCCCTCTGAGACCTCTTACACATGAAATGAAACGCAAAACACAGGTTTGGCTATCCCTTGGTGAGTCTAGTTTTCGGATATGTGATGAAACGGACTAGAATACACCGCTGAAAACGCCTCGTCAAGTGTGCAGTAAATGACGGACGGGCTTGAGGTGGCTTGCCGCACAGCCGAAAACATTCAGTAATTAATTATCGATGCTAGACGCCACTCAGCCTGCAACGGCATGTGTCTCTCATCTTGAGAGCCTTGTGCAGGGGGTTAAGCAGGGCTGGGATACCCTGCGCTGCACTTGTTTGCTGTCGATGGAACACCATGATTGCCGATGCTGTATCCGTATGTCACAACCCACAGAAGAAGCTCCTTTTCTTGCAAGGAAAGCAATGAGAGTAGTGAAAATAAAAACCAGTCGTTTTAGAGGATACATATCACCTTGAAGTTAAATGGCTTCCTCCAGGAACAAGGCAATCTCCCTTGAGCGCCTCGTTGATCTAGATCCCGCTCCACCCACGCAGAGCGCCCAACAACGCCCATCTTTGACATGATGCATCCCCAATGGCCAGCTGAGTGCGGCTGAAGGACGCTAACGCAGCCAACCGTCCAGGGTCCCTTCCTGAATCTGCCTTGGGCTTCTCGTCTAAGTCAAGTTAAGTAGGGGTTTGGTTGTGAGCCGCCCGTCTATAAGGCTTCACACGCGCCGCCGTTGGACCTAATCACTTCGTCCTGCTTCCAAGACTCATTTCTTGGCTTTTCAACTATCACTTACACTCAGCTTACATACGCTGCCAAGACTGTGCATACTATAAAATGGAACAGACTCATGAGAAGCCTGCTGCGGACCATGTTCTCCAGACTCCCCTCTGGGTCATGATAATCCGCGGATTGCAGTTTCTATTCTCTCTTATCGTCCTCGGTCTCTGTGCTAGGCTTGTACACGATGCTAGCTTACCCGAGGAACTGTTCTGTATCGCTGTTGTAAGTATACCATCATCTATACTGCCTCTCGCGGATCTACTGACACGCTCTCCAGGCAGTCATAACATGGGTTGTCATAGCCTACGCAGTCCTCACCGAAAAGATCTCCAGCTTCCGAACCGCATACCACATCATCGCTGTTATCTGTCTCGACGGCCTTATGGTTATCCTCTGGCTCGCAGCTTGGGCGGCCACCGCTGCTCGACGTGCCAAATATGTCGTCCCTGTCAACACTTACGGGTGTTACGATGACGGAAGCCTCTCAGATAGCAAGACCTGTAACATCTTTAAGCGTGACGGCGAGGATGTCATTCTTTTCAAGTCTGGTCTTGCTATGCTTGCCGCCGCTGCAGGCGTTGGTGCCCTGGTCTGGTAAGTCACTGTCATCCCAAAGTGATAAGTTGTATTAACTAACACCACAATAGGCTCCTCTTCATTGCGACTTTCGTCTGGACCTTGGTCATGTTCCTCCGTGGACGCAAGGAAGGTCGCTTCCCCGTTGATACTTCAGCCTTGACAACCCCCAGCAACAACTATCAAATGGAGAACAAGGTCTCAGAAGCTCAGCCCATGACTCAACCCCAGCCTCAACAGGGCCAAGCTGTTCCTCAGTACCAGCAACAGCCTGCTCCCGGCCAGTTTGATCCTCAGCAACAGCAGCAATATCCTCCTCAGAGTGCTCCTAGTCCTTATCAACCGGCCCAAAGCCCATACCAACAACAGGGCGCTTATCCCCCTCCCCAAGCAGCTCCTTACTCCCCTCAAGATCAGCAGTTCCAAGGACAGCAGAACTATGGGCAATACCCTCCTCAGCAGCAGTACCAACAGCCTCCTCAAACTTACGGAAGTGAGCTCTCTGGCTCTACACCTCCTCCTCCTGCCACTTCGCCGCCTCCTCACCAGCCTTACCCTCCCCAGGCGTATCCTCAACAGTAGATAAAGCAAAGAAAGAGGGGATCTGGTGACAGACCAGCTCTTGTAGCTTGAGGAGTAATGTTTGTGTTTTACTTGTTTCTGATACCAACGAAAGCGGTCCTTGTAGGGGAGGATTTAATTGACTTTATGATCTACTACTTTGCAATTAAACAGACGGGTCATTGTGAATGTTTGTGAATGACCACAATCAATAATGTGCCTATTGAGTCCCAGTGAAATACTCAATACTACAATTTGTAACTCTAACTTGTGTGATGTAGTTGAATGTACCCAGCTACAGTTCCGTGTAACAGTTCCGGCAACAAGCTGACTAGGCGGAATATGTAACAACATAGATTTATAATATGTGTTATGATTAGAATATAGTATATAGAGTTCTTACCTAAGACTAAATAAGATTATATAAAACAAAAGAGTTCATTACAATTTATACCATTTTATGTAAAATTTAGAATAGAGGAAGTTGTCGGGACCTTTGCACAACTGCTGTAGCATAGCTTGCCCTTGCGACATGCAGAGACTCATGCTCGCTGTCAAAGAGAGAGGCATCGCATTGAACGATATCGGTATTTCGAGGTGCCCAGTCAAACACGATACCATGACCGCCGTGTCCAATTGCAAGTTGGTTGTACTTATATGCGAATCTTACTGATACACTGGACTGGGAGACATATGACGAGTGAGCCCATGTGGAGATTAGGAGTGCCAAAGTGAGGTTTAAAGCTGCAAGAGGGAGTAGAGTGCATGTGGACATTCTTCGAAGCACAACCTGGATCGATTGACCGGACTCATCTTGAACTTATACAGCTCGGCCTCCTTTTCAGGTCCACGTGTATTTGCAGTTCAAGACAATACTACAACCCTTTCTCAGGCGACGGTCATTCAATGATGGCCAATTGAGGTCACACTACCCAAGACATTGCCAAGAAGTGAGGGTTTTACCTGCATAACTTTAAAGAAGGATAGGATAGTCTCGTTGAGTTCTTAATTACATGACCACGTCCTTAAGTCTTCAATCTTCCTGTCGCTCTGCAATGAAGGGCTCATGGTAGTGCATTTGTGCTTGTACATAGGGCACTGATGTAAGTGATAGTGATACTCTATCATTGGCAGACCCACGATACAATGCTGGTGACCAAGCATTGCGATAAATAACATTGAAAACATATAATAATACCAATTATACAAAACCATGAATGAGAAAATGTTAACTAACATTCCCATTAGATGGTGCAATTCATCTTCCGATACCCCAAAACAGAAGGCGGTCAACCAATTCTGCCACTCAATCATGGGCTCACCTCTCGGCATCCCGCAAGCTCCTCGTCCGATAGCTTCAGTCCGACCTCAACGATCCGCCACGAACATCCCGACGACCCCAGACTCACATTCCTGCACTGCTCCGAGCCTCACCTCTCCGATCCTTACGACTCCGAGCCCCCTGTGCTCGTCCCATGGCCGCAATGGCTGCCAAGAACCCCCAGGTGCCAGCGGAGAAGCTTGGAGTCCCGTCGAGAAACCCTCTACCTTTGTCTGCGTCGCAAGAGGCACAAGTCCGAGATATCTTTTACCAAAAAGTCCGAAAAGAATGCGCCGATGAGATCAAAGGTGTGTTTCTATACAACAACTTCATGATATTGCCTCTACTCTATGGAACCTAGACTATGAGAGATCGACTCTACGGAACACCCATCACTAACATCTTCAGCCTTCGCCGCATGCGCCCTCAACCGCACATTCACCGTCTCCTTCGCCTGCCGCGCCGAACACCGCGTCATGAACAGCTGCATGAAACTGCACGCCACACAATCCGCCCACGACGAAGCCCGCGAGGAGTGGTTCGCCCTAAGGATAGAGCGACAGCGGGAGCGCGAGGCCAAGGCCAGAGTTGCGCATGCACAGGAGGACTTTATGCGTGAGTGGTGGGGTCTGCCCGAGCACGTGCGGCTGTCGAGGCAGAAGGAGATGGAGCAGCGCGGGGAGAGGATACACGGACTCACGGCCAAGGATCGGCCGAGAGACAAGGGACAATGAGAGAGAGGAAGAGAGAAATGAAAATGTGTGTTGCATATGTGGCGTTTGGGAGGGGATTGAAAATCATCTACGCTGCTCTGTACAGTATAAGGCCGATGGGTTTATGGTGGGTTTTTGTAAGAATACAAAAGACAGGATGTGAATATGAGAACTTGTATCAATTATGCAAATTGATTTATGAGCCTTTCACAAAGACAAATAAGATCAGGTCAGACCGTAGATTCAGTGGTGAGATTCTTCAAGGCGGACGGACTAAAGGCATGCGACCAGTGTTTTAATAACATGCAGCCAACGATCTTATCACCAAATACCGAAACAAACTATGCCTCATGCTCCAAGATCGCCGCAGAGATTGCTCAACCGGTCGACGAATTGTGATAAGTTACCGCCAGTCTCTGCTTATCTCGCCTCCACAAATAATCAGTACCCAGCCATGTCGGTTTCTAACCTAACCCAATCCACACGGAGAACTCTTCAGTGGGCTCATGTACGGCAGTTCATGTATGTATGTAACAAGAGGGTTACGTGCATCAAGCGGTGAACCGTTGAAGTTTCAAGGTCGCTGTTGCGGTCGAGCGGGAATAAAGAGATAGTTTCTCTGAGGCCTTCAACAAGGGTCTGTATGACAAACCATGGTCCATTTTCGCGGCAGATGCGAACAAAGAGCACACATCTTCCTTAATCGTATTTCAATTCAATAGTTCGTAGTCCACTCTGCATTGAATCCTCCACCCGCAATAGGCCCCTTCAGGCTTCAGCTCATAGCGACTTACACAACTCCCCGCACAATCACATCAATCACCCGCCATGTCTATTTCCCAAGACCAGTAAAAACCCTCCTCGACCAACCCAAATCTTTCCCTTCCGGCCAATGACACTGCGCTGCCCCCTCACTCCAGCGCGTCTCCGGGGCGCTTAGGTCGCTGCTGCAGTGTGATGCCCCCGCTTATTGGTCCGTCCAAAATGATGCTATTTTTGGCCGTGTTAGTCGGAATGGGAGAGCGCTTAAAAACTACACTGAATGGGATGGGATGGGATAGAGGACCAGATATAATATCAATGGGGCATAGGCATTTGTTTCTTTCCTCTGTTGGTTGTGCTCGCTACCGTCTCCATTCTGTTTACTCTGTTTTGTTTTGTATCTAGAATACGGAATTGATTCGACAATTGTTGGACCATGAAGCGGTAGCAGCTACAATTGACTCTCATCGTTTTTGCTTGATACCCTCGCCAGTCGACTCATATTATACACTCTTCTTCTGGGAAGAAGCTGTTTGATACAGAGAAATGTCGACTCCAACCCCAGGAGGGTTCTCGCTATTCCCGAACCCAAACTCATCCAAGCCGCCACCTGTTTCACGCAACCAAACCCCTCGACCTCGTCGCTCAGAGTCCCATGAGCGCAGAGCTCCTACGCCCAGCGATCGACGCGCTGCTACACCACAGCAGCGAGCCATGACTCCCGAGCCATCTCAGTCGCCTGAGCCTACGCCTGCGCCTGCATCGCCGCCGAGGAATGGACGACAGACACCGCAGAATAGATCGCACACACCTATCGAGTTTGAGCCTGTCCGACAGCAGCAGCCTGAGCCCAAGCCTGTTAAAGTTCAACGGCCAAGACCGACAGTCCAGATTCCAGGACGCTCCAATACCGACTTCTCACATCCGCCACCACAGCTTATTCGCACCAGCAATGATCTGCCTCGGAATTCGATAGCCAAGCCGCCTCTGGGTGGCGAGACCACCGCACAGCCATTGCGCTCTATCTTTCCAGCGTACAACCCCGAGGTACCACTGGGCCAGCAGAACTATGTTCCCACAGAGATCCAACCCGCTCAGGTCCCACGAGCTGTAATCAGTCGCCAAACATACCATGAGACACCAGCTGGGTCGACTTCGAGAAACCCGCTCATTCGAAGCCCAGTTATCAGCCCCATGAGCATCCAGTCAACGCAGACTTCTTCATGGCCTCATAGAGTCGTGCAGCAACAGGAACCTCCGCTCATACCAACAGTCAGTTCAAATGACCAGATCAAGAACTACTGGAAAGTTGCCAATGGATGGCAAGCATCGGCATCCGAAGGCAGAGTCTACTGCATGAAGTTGGCGCAAGAGAAAGACGCCCCTGTCTACAGTCTCTCATCTGCATCACAACCCTTCTATAACCTCCGCTTAGACCCCACATCAGCTTCAGCATATGTCACTCTCACAAGACATGACCCCAACAAGCCTTATAAAGCCCCCAAGCCTGAAGCCAGCTCTTCTGCAAGCAGCATGATCAGCGGCGTTGTCGGCCACAATAGCAATGGCTCGGGCAGTAAAATCACCGACACAAAGCATTGGCAGGAAGCCCTCACTACAACTCTGGAAGAAGAGTCTCGGAGGCATCCTCCCAATGATGGCCTCGTGGCACTTCTCATGCCGACGCCTGCGACCAAGATGGCCATTGAGCGATCACAAGATCCCTCGTCGGTCATGTTGGCGGAGAGAGAATGCGCACGCCTCGTCTGGGACGAGGATAGCTCACATCACTTCCTCGTTCACCCTGCTCTCGCGACGCCTTTCTGCGTGACCATCGAGCGTTCTCCCTCGTGGTCTCGTGTTGAGTATACTCTCGAGCACAACGAGTCGCCTCAACACCTTGCCAAGCTCACCCGCGACGGCACCGGTGGTGGCTGGCTGGAGATTGACACTGGCATCGCCTCCAAGATTGAGTCATACTTCATCGTCGACGTGGCTGTGACAGCGCTTCTCCTCGTTGCCTCAGCCGACGAGAAGAACACGCCAGCTGCCGAAGTCTTCGAGCCTCCACCACCGTTGATCCTCACAGCCAAGCAAGAGAAGCGTCTTAGCAAGATTGGCAAGCGCGAAGAAAAGAAAGAGAAGAAGAAGCGCACCATGGAATCTTTCGAGATTGACGTTGAAAGTCAGGATGAGAGCTTAGGCAAGACCAAGACAAAAGAGCCAGCGGACAAACTCCCCTTCTTGATCCGCGTAATTGTCAAGATCATAAAGGGCCTGTTCGCGTGCTTCATCTGGATATTGACCATAAGCTTCAAGTGCGTCGGCGTCGCATTCAAGGGGTGCTACAAATGCATTGGATCAAAGTATTAATGAACAAAGGCGATAATTTGACACGACGGAGTTTTTAATCGAGCGCGCAAGGGAAATTTCAGGGCCAACTTCTTTTTTTCCGTATTTTTTGTATCATTGTAGAATCATACACCCATGGCGTTAAAGGCGGGTATCTATTAGCTTTGCTCTTGATGAGCCTATGCACTGCAAAGCGAGCCGTAACGAATAAACACGAGGATATGACGATGGGAAGCCAAAAAGAGAACAAGTAATTTTTTCCGTTGAAATGATGCGTGTGGTGTTTTCTCCCTTATCTCTTCCGCGTCCGTACCATAATCTTCTTTCCTCCTTTGCGTGTGGTTCCTCCCGACGTCGCTGTCTTGGCCATCTTTGCCCGCTGGATCTCGAGTTCACCCTCGGCGTCTGTGAGGGCCTTGAGCTTCTTGCGCGCATTCTCGAGTTGACGTCGAAGACGTCGGAGGGCCTTGGCGCGCTCAAAAGCTGGATCGCCTTCCTTCTTTTCGCCGCCACCTTCAGAGGCCTTGTCCGCGTCGTCTTCGTCCTCCAGGTCTAGTTGGTCGCCTATTGTTTCCTCGCGCTCCTCTTCGTTTTCCATAAATACAATCTTTCGGGGTGCCTTGGGTTTTGAAGGGGCTGTGGCAAAATCAAATTCGGAGTCGCTGTCCTCGTTCTCCTCGTTTTCGTTTTCGTTTTCGTTTTCGTCGAGTTTGTCGAATCCTCGTGTGAGGACTACCTGCTCTTCCAACCTGGCAACCTCCTTCGCAACAACCTGTCGCATCGTTCGAATGTAGCCGATATCTTGAGTCTTGAGAAGCCGCACGGTATCAACGTCCATGACCTTGTTTCCTCGATCTCCGTGAACTGTTCCGGACCATCGCTTGCCATCCTGGACTCTTGATCCGGGCCCATTGCGGGACATCATACCGAAGTAGAACTCATCCTCGTTTCGCTCGGACGCCTTGTCGCGGAGGTTCTTGAGCTGCTTCTTCTTCTTATTGAAGTCCTTGGCTCGGAGGGAGTAATCCTGCGATCGTCAGAAGCTGGTGGTTAATGGTGGGGGCTCGGAGTGAACGAACCTTGTGCTTCTCGAGAAGACCGAGACGGCGACGCTCTAATGGCTGAGCGCGCTCACGGTGAGGTCGCCGCGCGACGGCATTTCGCATAGACGACATTTTGCGGCTGTGATTTGTGGTTGGTCTACAGCGAGGTGTGAAACTGGATGAAGAATAAAATCGCTGGCGCTTGCTGCAGCTAGAAAGAAGCGGCAGAATTTTTGAGATTTCTGGCGGTGAGACAAAAGTCACAGACCAATGTGGCTGGTGAGAAAATTACGCCACACCTGATGTTGAGTTAAACATGGTCATCGCCGGAAGCTAGATTCCAGTTCCGCCAAGATGACCCCGACTAAAAGGTTTGAGTAATCTTGGCATCTATTCGCTTGCGTATTCCAGCCAAGATCATACCAAGCTTTTCATCAATTGTCTGTAGGATCATTTGCTGATTCTTGACCTAGTGGCTTATCCAGGGGGTTTCAGCTTTGGCACAGTAGCCTTGAATTCTCAACTTGCTTCCAGGGCACACGACCGCTAATGCACCCCTGAAAATCCATTGAACGCCCATTTTTGCTTTGTGTTTTCCAGTATGGAGCACTTCATACGAGACCGTGCTTATCCCTTCCTCCACACATGTCATAGTGGACTGCACATCTCGCGTCTGTAGTTTATTCTTAGAACTATATTGCGCGTCGGAGGATCATTGTGGAGAGCTGACGGTCAAAGAGTTTGACTCCTTGTCTTATCATCCTTGTTGTTGTTCCCTTTAAAGTTACATATAAGATGTTAGTCGGCCCCGATCCCCTTTAACTTTGCCTGCCGTTTCCCTTGGCTTTGGATCTTCTCGACGCTCTTTTGCATTATCTTAATGGTGACCTGAATTGAAGTAGTATTTCATTCCTTATTTCCTTTTCTTATTTATGTATTCATAAAAAATCCAATTCTTCTTCACCATGGGCGTAGGTTTACCTTGCTCGCCATCGAGGGCGATATTCTCCCTCGTCATCGCATTATTAGTGTTTTACGGTCTTTTCCACCAAATACCGACCCCATACGGTCGCAGAAACATTCAATTCATTCCCAGCAGCTATGACTGGAGCAGACATCCTCTACAGAATCCAGTGGCCGTAAGTACCATGACGAAACCACCTCGTGGATCACCCGACAATCTGCCTCGGATTCAACACGACTTCTCAAACCCCGAATTAAGAAAACGAGAGCTTGCAACAGCGGAACAAAGACGGAAGGACGTCAAACAGGCTTTCCAGAAAACATGGGCGGCATATGAGAAGTATGCCTGGGGGCATGATGAATTGAAGCCATTGAGCCTGGAAGGTCACGATCCATTTAGTGGGTGGGCCGCTACGATCTTCGATAATCTCGACACGTTGTGGATCATGGGCATGAAGCGAGAGTTTTACAAGGCCGTTGACTATGTCTCTCGAATGGACTGGGATCTTCCATCAAGCGACGGATTCAACATCTTCGAGACCACGATTCGACATCTCGGGGGTTTACTCTCAGCGTATGAACTCAGTGGAGAGAGCGCCTTGCTGGCCAAGGCGATTGAGCTGGGAGACCTTTTATACGGCACATTCGATAATGTCGAACGCATGCCACCGCATACCATCAGATTCCAAAGTTTGAAGCGAGGTACAGGCCATCCAGAGCCGCGACAAAGTACCGCCAGTCTAGGAAGCATGAGCATGGAATTTACTCGCCTTTCACAGCAAACCGGCAACCCCAAGTACTACGATGCTATTAACTTCATCACCGAGGCTTTTGAGCGAACACAAAACGAGACTGCCATTCCCGGGCTATGGCCTCTCCAGATCAATGCCAAGGACGGATTCAGTGTTACAGACGATACTTTCGGGTTGGGTGCTAACGGCGACTCATTGTATGAGTATCTGATCAAGGAGTACGTCCTTTTACAAGGACTGGAACCTAAATACGAGAAGATGTATGTCAAGGCGGCTGACGCTGCCATTGAGCACTTGATGTTCCGGCCGATGCTCCCCGACCAAGACGACGTGCTCATGCTGGGAGAAGCATCATTTGCACCCCGTAGCACAGAGTCACAACTGAAGACCGATGTTGAGCACCTCACTTGTTTTGCAGGAGGCATGTATGCTCTTGGAGGTAGAGCACTCGGACGAGATGACCATGTAATTATCGGCGAGAAGCTAGCACGCGGATGTGCAAAGGCATACGCCGCCTACCCAACCGGACTCATGCCCGAGATCGTCCGCGTCGAGCGCTGCCCAACACTCGAGCCCTGCGAATTCGACCCGAAGTCTACGAGACAACCCCTCGGTTTTCGCGCCAAGGACACATCATATCTACTTCGACCAGAGACCATTGAGAGTATCTTCTATCTCTACCGCATCACCGGCAAGGAGGAGTTCAGAGATATTGCGTGGAACATGTGGACTTCGATCCGGGCTGCTGCTGAGACGGAGACTGCGTTCGCGGCGGTCGAGGATGTTGGCGCCGAGGAGCCCAGACATAAAGACTATATGGAGAGCTTTTGGATGGCGGAGACGTTGAAGTACTTTTATCTCATCTTCTCGGATGAAGAGGTGATTAGTTTGGATGAGTGGGTGTTTAACACTGAGGCTCATCCTCTTAGACGAATGGCGAGTTAATTGGGAGAGTAGTATACAGGCATCCAATTATTCTCAAATAGCAATAGAAGCTTCAATTTATTCCAAACTTATATCAATCATGTTTGCCGTGCGACGTAGCCAGTGCTAAGTCTTGCGCATTTTGTCAATTGCCGTAAGTTTCTTCGAAGTCTCTTAATGAGCTTGACTATTAAACTTTTGCATAGAAAGACCAAGCTTATATGAAAGTTTTAAAGATCAATTCCGGATCCTCAGTATTTAAAGGATAAGCTGCCAACCTTTTAAGTAGGCGATTAATAAGCCAAGTCAGCTTTAAACCCCGCTAGTACCACTGTATCGATGTCTTATTCTTTTGTGTCTCTCATTCACATGTCCACCGTGTTGCCTCACCCGACATATAAAATACAGCTTTCAGATGCCGGCACTCAACTATATGACTTACCATATTCGTGTTCACGATCATGTCTCATCATGGCCAGATTCAAGACCCTGACAATCGTGGAGGAATTAGACAACGCACCATTCGCCGCAGCATCCAAAAGCAAAGAGAGAGGCAGATGAGCGACTCTGCCACGGACGCTGACGTTGACGACTCGGCTGATGCGAGATTGGCCGATAGCATTGTTCTTAGGACTAGCACCATTGCTGCAGCTAATCCCACATGGCTCAACAAATGGACTAGCAATCCTCTTCTTGCGATTTCATGCAATCTTCTGGATCCGTTCGATACCCTTTGTGAAAGTCCTATAAGACTGCAGCAGCTACTAAGACATCGTGAGGCCCCGCCTCCTGGGTTGCCCTCTACTTTGCGCAATCGCTAACTCAGCACAGCATCAGCCAAGTCTGTTGGGGAACCGCTGTTCCGGATTGATGAACATACCAATTATGTTCTATTTCAGAGCCTTCATAGTGAAGCTAGTTCCATGCCGTTGTTGGCTGACAAGGCATCATTCCATGCTCTATCGCTTCTGTTAGCCTTAGCAGCAAACAGCCACAAGCCAAATTATGAGACGATGTATCACCGCGGCCAGGTGCTTGAGCCTCTTAACTTGGACCTATCCCTTTCTGATGCCGGCGTACCGTCACTACAAACCATCACCGCTATCCTTATGTTGATCAGTTACGAATACCGGGTCCAAGACACCATGCCTGTTCCCACCAATGCTGCTACTCATATCCGTGGCCTTCAAAGTATAATCAATCAACGTAGTATTTCCACCAGCGGACATAACCACGCGCGCATCAAACAGATTCAGCGTGCCTTGTTCTGGCAGGACATAATCTGCTCCCTAGCAACTGGTACTCCTCGACTCTTGCAGCTAGACAACCATGATTTCTTTACTCGCCTGCGGGAGGACCAGACGTATCGTAGCTACTTCGCTTTGCCGCAAGGCTTCAAGATACATGCTGATGGGTGGCCTGCAACATCCTCTACCGTCTTCGAAGATCTCAATGCGATGTGTCGCCTTGTGGATAGAATACACGGGCAAGAAATAACTACACTCCACCCAGACCACGATGTGGTTTCAATACCGCTGATGGAGGACCTAGATGACGAGGGATACCCAGTATACAACAGCCAAGCCGACCTGGAGATTCGACTCGTGGACCTTCTCAGCAAAACAGCAAGAGGTGGTACTCAGAAACAAGAAGACCTTATCTACAGGGCGTGTCTTTTTGCAGCATATCTCTGTACATACAGGCTTTCCTCAGGAGTTTGGGCAGGTCACTTTGCGCCGGAGATATGCGTCACCGAGATACTCAATTGCATGACAGCCTTCACAAGACACATGTCGCCATGGAATTTTGCGCCAATCATCTCATTATGGTTGCTACATGTGGCTGGTGGTCTGACAAAGAGCCAGCTTCATAGGGACAAAGCAGCAGTGTTGGTGAAGCGGTATCGAAGCTTCTACTCATCTGGCTATAGTTTGGACTGGGAAGTAGTCAAGTTGAAGCTGAAGGAGTTTATATGGTGTGAACGTGCAATGGCGAAACCTCTTAACAATTTCTGGCAACAATGCTAAAATACTTGGTAACAGGGTTGTTTTAAGCTTATAAACTTATAAATACCACCAGTTAGGTATTCATTGAGACGGATGCAAGGAACCAGGCCTTGGCTAACTGAATGAGGCTGGAAATTCCGATGATTGGCCCACTAAGAAGCAATTGACCATGAGCTACAACATCTCAAATTCCTCGCGGCAAACATGTGTCGATTAATATACAGCAAGTATCATTTGTTCTCAATTATAAGTTGTTCCCTCTCATTACTAAGCCCTTGGATTCACCTTAAGCTGCTCTAGCTGCCCCTCCACTTCTGTGTTTGGTCAGGCGGGATGTGGCTTCGACCGTATTATGTCTCGGCTGGGTAATCGCCCGTTCAGAAGACCAGACGTCCGTAGCGGATATAATTTCTTTGGGTTCGTTCAACCAGATTTCGAGCATCACGGACTCTATCAGGTGTTAGGGTTTGGCAGGTGAAGCCTCCAGCGACTTACACACCTTGTTTGTCTTCTGCTCCACCTAATCTCTTCTTCTTGTCTTGCTGAAGGGCCATTTCAAAAGTCCTTGTTATAAATTCTCGGTGTAAGGATGAGGCAAAAAGGGAGTAAACGCAATAATGAGGATATTCTTGTTGTCTTCTATGATATGGCAGGATGTCATTTATAGGGAAACCGGAGCGCTGCTCATAATGTTGCTCCGCGGTTTCTATGTCCGGAGCATTGTAATTCTTCGGCTCCGGCATATGTGCTCATTTTCTCCTGCTCCAAGGAGTCACATTAGTCCCATGGCTGTCAGTGACAGCCAACCCATAGCCAGACTCAGAGGACTTTGCTCATCTACAACAAGAATTCCTATGTGTGCACTAACACTCTTTCGGCAGAAGCCTTCACTGGTCAAGGCATCTCAAACTTTTAGGCAATGCGCTTTGCGACGTGTGGATTCTCCTCCACGCAGGCGGCTGTAGGGGAGGAGCAAAACTCGACCAATCGCTCCGGCAGATCTAGCGTGGATAGGCGCTATTAGGCTTAGAATCGAGGCTTAGACAATGACAACACGGGGCATTCTGTAGGGACCGATCCTTCTCCTGGGAAAACGACGTGGCTCATGACTCCGGCCTCCAGTAGGACAATATGGGATATCAGCGCGTAGACAATTAATTGCATTAACGCTTCTCGGGCGAAATCACTCTGTTTAGAAACTAGCGGAACAACAGCAACTCCGCGTATACATAAATGCGACTCACTGAGTATTATGCCGCTGGTACTGTACATAAGCCCTTGTGCTGGAGTTGCGTTACAACTCCATCCATGAGATGACGGTTAAACACAGATAAAGCAGTACCGGATACCGGATACGCCGATCTCAAGTGGATGTGAGTGATTGCGAATTTTGATATTTCACATCGACCACGATGCAGTGTGAGAAAACTTGGCTTCCTGTCTCATCTTTGGTGTGCCGGGTATTTGGAGACCCACCTCCAGCAATACGGTTATACTACAATCAACCCCCTGAATAAATGTAGCTGAGTGACTTCCCCACAGAGACGTATCTCACTAACAATCTATGCTTATTGAGGTCATAACCGGCTGTTACGAGAGACAAAGAAAAGCAATTATATACAAGCGCCACTTAAATATACCTCTTTCTAGCTATAGGTTATAGTAGAGAGTAAGTATCTTAAGTATTAATCGTCTTGATACTCTACTCTTATTTGTTATTGAGGTCTCCGCAAGTCCGCAGGTTACAAACTTTCAGGGACTGAATTGTACGTACAGTTCGACTCCAAGTGAAGATTCCGGACTTAGGCTAAGCCAATCAATTTATATCGTAGACGAGCTTGATATTTTAAACAATAGGGCAGTGTGTGTGTACTTATGATACTGTGGCCGACATATTTATGCAGGTGCCTTGAAGCAATGCAAAACTGGACAGTGAAAAGCCACAGCCGTAGGGAGGGAACACCACCTATAAGATAACTGGCCAGTAGGATCCAAGACGACACACACTCTGTTACTACAGCTCCATGCGGCATGACATGGCTCCGCGAATGGCGTTCATGTCTCCTGGGGCCAAGTGGTTCGCTCAACATCCATTACTGCAGCAAGCTTACCAAAAAAATTAGAAATTCCACCATAAATCCACTGACAAAATTATCTGGTGGATGATCTGCCAGAATATGACCTGCTTATTTCTGCTACTTTACTGCTTATCGCGGACCGGTTGGCGAACCACTGCCATTTCCACCTTTTAATCAAATCCCGCCCTGCCGCCTGGGTAGGTAGTTAACCTCAAACCTATATATTTGATGGGGCCCGAAGTACGGAGTAGCAAGTTTAGTAAAAGCATGACCCCAGCAGTATTCCGACTATTCCGACTATTCCATCTTTTATTCACATTCTCATTTCCATGCGGATATCAAGTCCACATACAGAGGCAATGCTGCCAATTGATGGCTTGCTTGCAATTTTAATCTATCTCGACAAAACAAAGCTCTTTGCCGACCCCCAGATTATACAGAGCCATAAGCACTGGGGGTTTGTCCAACACATCCGGTTCGCCCTGGACTGGTACCGGGAGCGCCTTATTAGTGTCACACTTACACAAGAATTGCCGGGTCTTGAGGCTCTACTCAGATCCTTCCCTACCCCTATGAGCTTTTATGAAGCAGCCATCTTCACTTTTCGCAATACCTTGACTGGCCCAAAGCCAGAATCTTTGGACGCCGTTATTGCGCTATGTATCTTTTCGCATGTTACTTTAAGCTATTTGCGCCAATTGCATGGATCAGTTGACTGTGATCTATCTTTTGACAGCAACGTTTGGCGCGACACAATTCAAGACCTTGAACATCGCCAAACTTTCAGCCGTCTAATTGAGATTCTTTTCCCGGAGACACTACCGCTGGTATCATGTCACGCCTCACAGCTGCTTCCCCCAGCAGGGGTCTTAGATCTTCCCAGCAGCACCCCACATCAAAACGAGGCAGCTGAAGCATTACCCCCTACCATCTTTACCATAGAGGATGATTTAGCCATCTACGACATGCTTGACAGTTTCTTGGGTTGTTCCGATGCGGTAGATGCATATCCTGCAACGCCTAGTTCCCATGCGATGGTTGGTGTTGGAACCGCACATCATACTTCAAGTCTTGCAGACTTACAAGGGTCAGCAATTATGCTTAACATAACCCGCTTTCTAGAAGAATGCGGGGAGTCAATGCTCATCTTCTCTGGTCGCGGACTGACAGCAAAGGACTTGCGCTCCTGTGTTGCCTTCAATCAGCAGGGGTTCGCGACAAAAAACCTCATCACAACCTCTTTTATACAACCTCTCCGAAAGTATGACATTTGCAAGGAGCCATCTATTTCGGGAATTCTTTCCATTGTGGATAGATTCGTCGACCTGGGCTACTTGCAGACCATTGGCGAAGTTCGAGATTACATGCTATTTGTCGGAAGGGTAGATCAACCAGTGGATTCAGTTTTACAATTTGGCTGACATTTGAATATCCAGGAGGTTTTAGCAAGTGACCAGACATTTCCCGAGTTTTGCCAAACAGTGTGTGCCATTATCCGTACGGACACGGACACTGGTGGCATGCCCGTTCCCCCACTACGGCCGGGTAGGAGAGGCGGCTTGCGGAAGCCAGCACGAAAGAAGTAAGTTCTGTTTTCTTCTACCTTTGCGTTATTCCCATCGACAGTATCGTTGATTATTGCCGGCTTAGAAGGATCCCTTGTAACGTATGTGGTGAAATCTTCGACAGGATGTTCAATATGAAACGACACGCCAAGAGGAAACATTAATGTCTTGCATTTGACCCGCCGGCTTTGCGGGGCGGCACAGGGTGACTAACATGACGGAGCAAAACGCGGGCGTAAAGTGAGAAAGGATATACGGATACAAGTTTATGTGATTCACGACTTGGATTATGAGGATATGGAAAAGGGAGTATTTATATTTAGATTAGCTTCAATGAATTATGTTCTTCTGACCTTCTCAAAGGCAGTGGCCATGTCCCATAAGTCCTTTACAAAGCACAGGCGGAGTCATATAAGCACACGGCGCGCGCTGTGAACCCTCCAGCATCACATTATTACCTTGAAGATTCGGGAGTGAGATACAGTGATTTAAGATTTGAGATCCGAGCAAAGCACAGTGGCACAAGAACAAGCGGGTAGAAAGTGTTAAATATGGAGCTGAGCGGAAGTGTTTGTACTGCCTCGACTGATGCCATCTGCAAGTTGTGTCCGCGGACAGAGCCAAGTGACACCGGTATAGGGACTACGAGCAATATAAGATCAATAAAGTAAAGTCTTCAGCTCACATTTGGGCCTATATATTGTATGCATTTGCTGCTAGAATGGTATATTCCGCCCCCCAGGTCGGCTACATGGAAGTAGGTAGCCCATGCAAGTCTCCTCTAAGATAGAGTGAAGCCTGCTCGTTATCCATCCCACGTCAAAACTTTGAAGTCCTCTTCCCGTTATCCCCGTTATCATCTCCAAACCTCGAAAGCTGTGTGGTTACGTGCACAGGTGACCAGGCCTCAACACGTCTTGGCTCCCTCACCCATCTCTGGAGCATAACCGATGACACTTCTTTATATCGAGTCAGTAGCTAAGCCTAAGAACTTTTGACCTGTGTTGCGTACCTTTGTACTGAATTTTGCATGTCTTTTGGTCGGCAGTCTCTGCTTGAGCTGTTTCTTGGGGCATTCTTGTGGTGTTATTGACGGAGATGTCGTTTGTTGTTACCAAGGTATGGCTGGGAATATCTTGTCCACGACTTACTTTTTGCGACACAATCAGACTACTTATATAACTTCGGAGCTATGTTTTAAAGGCCTCTGCCATTTCTCACGTCTCGGTTACGGGCTTGAACTTTGTTTATCTTCCTCATCAGCATAGAAGTATTGGCTGCAGTTCGTCTTGATGATGATCAAATCCGGAGTAACCAGGCATGCTTCCACTTACTCTCAATGGCTGTGGCTGTGGCGAACAAGGATATTCCCTGACAATTGAGCCTCCGTTTAGCACTTTGTGCTGTGCTCCCCCATTCGGATCTGACAGCCTTGATGAACCTATGCACTTATCGACACGCCATCGCCTACACCTTCAACCTCAGAATACTCAGAATTGACACTTGCTGCCGGACCTCGACCACCATTAGCTGTTTGAATGATAGTTTAGTACCCGCCTTTACACATATCTGGATCTATCAGCTGTTTATAAGACATGGCTTACGAAACCCAATGGGCGGCCTTGCAGTACAGAGAATGACTCTTATGCTATTGGCGCCAGGCCATATCCGGCAGAGAGAAGAATGATAGAACTCTTACCATAGCGATAGTTTTGTGATATAACAGACAGATATTTGAAGCTCTTACTGCTTCTTGGCTCACCGCTCAATATACAGGTATTCATTCTGCATGACTAGGTAAAGTTTAATCGTTCCTGTGGCGTCTTCGTTTCAGATTTGTTCCAACAGCCAAGACCTAGTCAGCTCGATAGTGAACCCGTCCCGCAATCGAAGGGATGTGGAACAAGGTACAAGCTTGTTTCTTTCAGTCAATGACAGCTATCAACTTAGGAAAGAGGCCTGGTCATGTTCGTCACATTGACCTTGTTAGTGTGCTTCTATTATTCGCGAGTCTCCAAAGCTTATATCCTGCAAGCCGACATTGGTTCGAAAGGATGTATAGTTGCAATATCGTCTCATATTCTTCCTTCCTTCTAGTCAAACTCTAGCATAACGTATAACCGAACCCCTGTAACATTATCGAGAGTATACGCTGATTATACTTATCTCCAATGAGGAGTGCCATTTCAAGCCATTGCATGCCAGTTAGTACTGAGGTCAGTAGAGAGTATTGCAGCTAAAATCTATATAGTATGTGTATACCGTCTATTTGTTTGTTTAGCATATTGATTTGCTTGTATGTACGATGTATCGCGCTTACAAGATCACAAGATTGTATTGCACTGAAAGTTTGAGCCTTAACCGCGCTCATGTCCGTAGATTAGATCATGGCTTCATAGCTTTGCATCTTTTACCCAAAGAGGGCTAAGATCATCACTACGAGGCCGTTATCATTCTGTAATTCGCCTAGAGCCGAACTCTATCACTCACCCTTCCTAGGGCAATATGACATGTCAAGCTGGCAAGCTGTATCAGCTGGTACTTGAGCCTCAGCCAGCGCCATCTTTTATCCCTCTTACGCCCGAGGCTGGCGGATGCCTTTAGTCTGTTCCCTGGCTAGCATAAAGCGCCTCTAAATAAACAAATCACTCTGTTGCGTAGTAAAGAGAACAAGCAAATGGCCCTTCCCTATGAGTGACTCGCTGACATGAAGATCATAGTACTAATTGGACTTACGCTCAACTTTGCAACACTCTCCAAGTTTCTGATGGACTCGGAGATGTATGACAAGGTTCTTGCAGCAGTCGACAGACTTCTTTCTGGCCTACTCTACCTTCGCGAAACATCACCAATCCTTCCCATCTCATGGAACCTACACGCGTGGACACGTCTAAACGACATCCGCGCCAACTGAGCACTACCGACATCCCTTGATCAGATCTATCGGTGTCCTTGGCCTGACAGGCTGCGACCCTGTTCTTGATTCCTTGTTCAGCCCTACAAGCTTCTGCGAGGCCGCCATCTTCTCGTTCCGTTACACGCTCACTGGTCCAGCACCCGATTCTTTGGGAAACATCCTTGCCCTGTATACCCTGTCTCGCATTGTCTCGTGTCATTTATGCAGGGAGGGCTTTCCAGTTATGCCTCTCGAAGATGGCATTTGGAAGAACGCGATTCGCAACCAAGAACATCGACAAGCATCTCAACGTAGTCTGGTCCAGACACTCTGGCCAGACAGAATCCTCCATATCCCTCATTATATCTCTATCCATTCCAGACAGCACTGCCAAGGATCTTCAGCACTCATCGTGGAGTTTACTAGGACATGCTCGGAGTGCCAACCACGGTCACTCATAACGAGCATGTTTGTGCCCTCTTGAAATATTATTGCCTGGCTCTTCTTCTGATGGGCATCTAAACCTGAACACTTACCAGCTCAAGACAAATTGTGCAGGGTGGCTACTCTAATATTATCCCTCATGCAAGTACGCCCTTGATTGGACCTCATACTTCGCACCTGTTGGAGTTGCAACAATCAGCAGTTATCACCAACTTGCTTCACTTCCTTGAAAGCTGTGGAGAGAGTTTGCAAATCCTTCCAGGGCGCAACATGACAACGAAGGGCCTCAAATTAGGCAGCACTCTTAATCGAGACGTTAAATAACTCATTAGGACATTGTACACACAGCCTCTTCGTGGTGACGAAGCTTTCCGTGGGGCTCCAGCGCTGGCAACTCTCTCCGTTGTGGAGCGATTTATCGATCTTGAGTACTTACATAGCATCGGCGAGGTTCGAGAATACATGTTACTTGTTGGAATCGTAGTTCGAGTACGGAGTAAGCTATTATATTATCGGGATGGTTTGACTGACTTCCGACATTGGAAATGTTGCCTCATGACAAGACTATTGTCCAATTTCTACAGCTAGCACATGCTTTTGCAGACATGGCAGAGGATGGGTCCAGGAAGTTCAAACGTGCTAGAAAACTTTCTCCACGACCTCCAATTTGAAGCGGCATAAATGCTGTGATGTGGTCCAGCCTAATCTAGAACCTGTGTGAGGGTTACAAAGGAGAAACGTGTATATCCAGATATGGAGCTAGCCCGAGATGTCTCGGGGAATAAGGAAGACTTCGTAAAGGGATTCCTCATACTTAGTGGCTTGGGATGATCAACATGGTTGTACTTGCGTAATACGCGGAATCTGTTGTAAACTGCCAGGCTGCCTAGCACGCAATCTGAGAACAATAACGGTGCAACGCGAACCGTTGTGAAATATACGCCAAGAACAGTTGATAGCGTGACATTTGCCTCTTTCTGTTCCCTACGGCAGCGCAACCTCGTTTGAGGTATAGTACTCAGTGATGTGAACGAGATTGGGCGGCCTCTCATTACAACGGATAATCTATGTGCAGCGACCATTCTGGGGTAAAGTGCTGAACCCTGCGCACGGTGCTTCAGTTTAAGGATTAAGGTCTGAATAAGCATAGCGGCACCAAAACAAGCGGGTATCCCAGCAATTACCGACATGCGGCATCATTTCACGGAACAACGGCAGAGAGAAAGGTGAGAAACCTGCCTCAAAAGGCTTGGCCGCCACACAACTGACGACGTTTGCGCCGCGTTTCGATGTGGCTGACGGCATGTTTCTCGAAATAGAAGCGCATTCTACATCCCGAAACCAGTTTAGACAGATGAACTAATCTCAGGCACAACGCCTGCCTAACCGGAAGAGTCGCCTCTAGCTGGAATGACATTGCCACACTTGGGGCTATTTTCACTGAAACTGAAGTAGTGGAGCCTGGGGTCGAAGCTGACAGGCTGGAGTGGGTAGATCGCGGCTGGTAATGACATCGACAGCATGGCGCAGACCTTGGAAGTGCTGCAACAGCTGTGATCTGCGCAGGGGGCACTGTAAAATACTTGATTGTGGTTGGCTGGAATGGCCATGAATCAGGGGGAGACATGACGCAGTGCGCTATGGGCAACTTATGCAGAGCCAAAAATGTCAATAGAATGACAACACATTGAGCACAGAGGCTGAAAGCAAACAGTCCGGGTGTACAAGGGGAAAGAGCACAAGCTATATCAGGGAGAGGAGCTGCCCTTTCATTTTCTATCTTCTCCATCATTCAACAACAAACATTCACACAAATACCTACTTCTCATCCATCCTCAACTCAATCTACCTACACTAAACTTACCACAACAACAACAAACAACCTTCATCATGCTCTTCACCAAGGTCGCCATCCTCGCTTCCGCCGGCCTCGTCGCCGCTGAGGCCGCCGCTGCCCCTGAGATCACCGCCCCCGCCGTCCTCCGCCGCGACCTCCCCGACGACATCAAGTCCTGGGTCGAGAGCAAGGCCAGCGGTGCCAACCCCGAGAACTGGATCAAGAGCCACGCCTCCGAAGCCTACGAGTGGGCCTCCAGCAAGGGCGGCGATGCCAAGACCTGGGCCGAACAGGCCACCGAAATCAAGGAGAAGTACAGCACCGCTGTCAACGCCGCTGAGTCCAAGGTCGACGCTGCCAAGTCCAAGGCCAGTGACGCTCTCGACGATGCCAAGGCCAGCGCTTCTGCTGCCGCGGACGGCGACAACGCTGCTGTCACCCTCGGTAGCCAGGCCGGTGTTGTCGCCATGATGGCTGCCCTCGGCGCCACTGCCTTCGGCTTCCTTCTTATCTAAAGCGACTCTTTTTTTTTCTGCTTTTCGATCGTCAACCTCGAGATACCTTACGCAGCATGTAACTTTGCTTTCAAATCGCATTGGAGTTTTTGGGACCCTAGGGCATAGAGCACGGCATCACTTAGAATGTGTGGTCGGGAATGGCTCGGCTGGGGAATGAGATAATGAAGCTCAATCATGAGAGCGACAGAAACAATACAAACTCACGAATTTACCCAATGATTGTTTCGCATATGATAACGTGATGTCTGACTCTGACGTGAAAACATGACGTGACAACTGTCGTTGGACTCCACAAACGTACTGAGATATTTTACTATTGTACATTCTCTTCTACACTAATAATACAGTTCTCTTTTCTCTCAAATCATAGTATCTAACCTGATGGCTCAGTGAGTCGCGATTTCATCAGTCATGATCTATACCCAAACATGCCAATGAACTCTGTCACTCATCATTGACTCTCCCGTGTCTGTAGCTGCAACCCATAAGGCTCAAGTTGTTCATTCGTCAACTTGCTCGGTGATTTAACGAACGGGTCCTCGCCTTTCATCGTCTTCGGAAATGCCATCACATCACGCACCGTCGACGTATCAGTCAACAGCGCAACTAGCCGATCGAAACCCAACGCAAACCCAGCATGCGGCGGACATCCTGACCGTAGCGCCTCGAACAAGTGTGCGAAATCCCCAATGCGCTTGTCCGTCATCTTCAGGATGTCGCGCATGATGAACTCTTGCACTGCGGCAATGTGGATACGCTCGCTGCCGCCGCCGACTTCAACGCCGTTGAGGACGAGGTCGTATGCTGCGCTCTTGGCTTCAAGAGGGTCCGTGAAGAGCAGCTCGAGATCGGCTTTGGATAGGGGTGCCGTGAAGGGGTGGTGTGATGCTGCGATGCCTGCTGCGCCTTCTTGACCTGGTTCACCTTCTTCTGTGGGCTTGAACATGGGGAAATCTGTTACCCAGACAAACTGCAGTGACTCTGGATCGCCGAGGCGCGGTTTGGTCATGTATTCTGCTTCAACGAGGGCTTTCCATAGCGCAATGCGAAGATCGCCAATCTTTGTGGAGCCAGAGCAGTATTGGCCTTTGGGCTTCTCCCGGGCCTGGAAAACAACAAGGTCTCCGTCGTCAATTTCCTTTCCCTCTGAGACAAGATCGAGAACATTCTGGAACTCAAAGCCCAAAGAGGAGAATCCGCTGAGGGGTTTGCTTGTGTCACATACGAGCACCTGGGGCTTTCCGTCAGGGTTTTCAGCTAGGGAAGCTGGCAGCTCATCCATAAATTTCATGACGAACTCTCGTGCTTCTTGTGGTGAACATCCATCGAGGGGGAAAGTAAAAGCCTCGATCAAGGGATCCTCCATATGAGTGATCATGCTGACAAACTGTCTGTAAGGTTCAAGATCTGGTAGCGCGTGGATCTTGGCATTGTTAGCTATGATACTGCAACAAAGGCGACGAGCGTACCTTATTGGGAATGCGAAGATCTGGCTTGTCGCTTCCATACGAGGAGATACAGTCCTGGAACTTGAGTGTCGTAAAACTGTGCGCTACAGGCTCATCCGCTGGACGATCTCCATCCGGGATCTCAGACAGAACGGGAACACGCTCTCCACGGATGTCCTGGTAACTATGCGCTGGCCTCAAAGACTCGAGGGCAGCTAGAACAACATCGTTCACATCTTGCCTCACCCGTGACGCATCAGCGAATGACCACTCCATATCTAGCTGCGTAAACTCAGGTTGGCGATCCGCGCGAGAGTCCTCATCACGGAAGCATCGTGCCCACTGCATGTACCGCGAGACACCACCCGCCATGAGGATCTGCTTGTACTGCTGAGGGCTCTGATTGAGTGCATATGCCATACCCCGCTGACGAGTGGGAACCAGGAATTCTCTGGCACCTTCCGGAGTCGACTTAAACAGTGTTGGCGTCTCAATATCTGTAAATCCCTTCTTCTGCAATTCCCGAGTCAGCTCGCTTTTGAGCCATGATCGAAACTTGAGCCGGGCCTGAAGCTCTGGGTGGAAGCGGATCTGGAAGTGTCGCTTCGTTTGGGGAAATTGGACTTCGGATGTCACTATGAGGTTCTGCGGTACGCTATTCAAGGCTCGGATGTCTTTAAGGTAAACGGTCGTTTTGGCGGACGTCTCGTTGAGGGCCTCGCGGCTAGGGTCGGCGGCTTCGTTTTGGACACTGACGAGGACGGGGCTGTTGGCAGGAATCTGGCGGAAAAGGGAATGTGTATCGGGGTCGTTTGCCGCATCCGAGCAAATCTGGATGATCTCGCCTGAAGGAGTCGTAAGATCTGCGAACGAGAGGTTCTTGGATATGTTTCTCCTCTTTCCTATAAACCCAACCCTTTGGCCCTTGTCGCCCAAGTCAAAGGGAATATCCGCGTTGCTGTCTGACGCATGTCAGTACCCCACTAGTCAATTGCGCGGCGCGAAGACATACACTTATCCCAGGCGTTAAGGATATCGTCCCGCCCCGGACGAGCTGCGATTTTGGAAGCGCATATAGAGCTTTGGGTGAAGCTTCGGGGGATGCATTGGCGCGCGCGCAGCAGGGTCAGAGACTTTGTGCAAGTCCCAGGACGTAAAGAAGCGCGACAGCGAGCGAGGGGGAGCACCATGGCCGGAAAAGAAGAGCTATGGCTGGGTCAATTGAGTCATTGTGGGAAAGATATGGCGGTTAGTGGGCCGATGCCGTCGTCAATTTCACGGTGAGCTTCGGTGAGGGGCTTATCGATAAGGAGTTCAGCTGCTCACCGTGCGCTGGGAAAGCTGAACTCCTACCTCTGCCCGAAGAAGAATTTCAGAAAGGTTCGGTTGGTTAGGTACCTTGCAGCTATGCCAAGTTCCGTATTCGCATTCTCCCTGAGCTTGGTACAATACCTGCCATCTTCGATCTTACGGTCGCCAACCACGACATTCTAAGCATTACGGGCTATCCTCTGGACTACGTTCCCGCCAAAGGTCGCGAAAAGATGTACTCCGTACATATAGTACCGAAAAATAACCTTATGCCATGGGATGAAGGTGGGCTTGATTTTCCGTCTGCTGTTTAACTCCTTTTCGGGGGATTTGCGCGCCCGGAAAGCTGCAGTACCTTAATCCTCAAAACTGATGGCTGCCAGTAAAAGATGCTGTCTAAACTGCAGTGTACAACAATGAATCGCCGAGTCCCAAATAATGAACATTACTAATTATATAAATTGCGACCCCTATATGATATGTATCGTTTGCGACCGATCCATTATAGGCCAGGTCATCCTATCCAATGCTCATCGTCCCTCTCCTTCCGTAATGCTGACCCATCTGCCGATCTCCCGTCACTACTATTATCATGATGCGGGATATCTTTATTTGCTGGGTTCAGTTCCTGTTGACTCGCGTTCGAATCTTTCTTGCTGAGTATCCGGTGCATCTGCCCAGTCTTCGTTCTACCGGTTCCTCCAATCGTGATAAGTTCCGTGGGTAAGTTAGAGTGGTGACCGAAACCTGCCGTTGAAGTGCCGGGCATACTGTCGAACTTTGACGAGACCATGAGCATGAGAGGTCTCAGTGTGGGTAGACAAAGGGCTATGGTTCCACAGGCCGCTTCCACGACACACCATGTACAAGCCGTGGCAAGTGTCCCTACTCATGTTAGTAAATCTTGTCGTTGTGCCGCGATGATAGGGTTTCGTACATGTAGTATCGGTGGGATCGAATTGCATAATAGTCGTGAACCGGTAAATGCTGGCAAACAAGACACTGCAAAATTGAAGGTTAGCTGCTTTCGAGATCAGAGGATGCAGGAAACTTACAAGCTGCCTAGCAGAAATATCACCAGCAATGATAGTTTCTGCGCCAGGCTGACCTGCAGCTTTAGGATCTGCTTCACGGGCATACACAAGATAGCAACATCTGTCGCGATATTAGGAATCGCATTGCCGATAAAGGAAGCTTTCAGGTTGATGCATGTGCCGTCAATCCACGGTAGCCACGCCCGTTTGATGGGATCGCACTGGAAGATGCTGACTGCACAAATCGATATCCACCAGCCGATAACCACCGCTGCGATGATGGCTGAGATCTGTCGGAAGCGACGAGAGGGGAAGATGCGTAGATACATCTGCAGAAGCGCAAGCTTGACAAGCATTACCGCAGTGACGTAGATGCACTCGAAGGCCAGGAGGAGCTTGAAGAAGACGATTTGGTCTTCGGTCGACACGAACTTGGCATGTCTCCCAAGTCCATGATGGATCACTTTTGTCGACAGTCAGTTATAGCATACAAAAAGGAGATACACAGGCTCAACTTGCTGGCATAATTAAGCCCTCCAGTGATGAAGACAAAGATCTAATCAATTGTTAGGTTGTACAAGTCTTGGTCAAGTGTGGGGCGAAGCTTACCAGTGCCACTACTGTCAACCAGTCATCTAATCCGAATCCAATTCGGATATGACGCGCCCATAAGCGTAGGGCAACGAAGATGGCAGATAATACCAGAACCACCGTCGTCGTTGTAGCGAGCTCCCTGCTTCTGTCGGCCAGTAAATTGATGCGAGCGTGTAGCTCCATCACCGCCAAAATATGGTCCCTGGTAACTGAGCCAGGAGTGTAGAACGAACATTGAAGGAAAGAGGGAGGGTTTTTGCTAGTGGGATTAACGAAATATGAAATAGAGAAGCACTGGCTACCCTGGTTCTTTCGTCTACGGCAATAGGGGGGCTGAAAAGCGGCTACTATCTGTTCTAGCGTGCCGCCATTGTTTGAGAGAATGGAGCCCTACTACCCTACTGGGCTTGACTCGGACTCGACAAGGTTCAGTGGGCCGCGACACCCGAAAAGCAAATCTCAGTCCAGTCCATCTCAGTTGACTCGATTTAGGCATGGCACAGGCTTTCGGGAAGTGGCTTCAGGGACGAGCGTAGAGGGCTAGGGTAACCGGATAGGCCACTAAGCAAGGAATAGTTCAGCGAGCAAGGCTTCCCGCATCACTAGACAACCGACAGATCAAAAAAAGGCGAACGTTAAACTGCGGGAATCAGAAATATTAAGGCAAGTCTGGGGAAGACGAAAGAAAAGCTTCTGACGCGGGAGTCTTGTTTTTGGTGTAGAGTCCACTTAAGAAGTTTTTACTTTTTTTTATTCCCCCCATACCCCACGTAGAATACCACTGTATTGTTTGAACATACTCCGTAGTGAAGACATAGACAAAGGAGTCGGGGGAAAAAGCAAAAGCGAACTATTGTCGAATGCGGAAATAGCGTGGCAAATCAATCTTCAGTCTGTGCCGTGTTAGCCCGTGTTAGCAGATCCTACTTTAAGTTCAAAGCCGCATTCTAATGGAGATAAACTAGTATTGATAAGGAATGCAATACGTAGTACCCAAAAGGTCTAGAAGGTCAACTACTTAGTAGTTAGACCCAATACTCGCTAATCTCCACCGCGGGACGTTGAGCGGCTTTGCTTAGCATATCTCTAGCGATAAAGCGATACGAAAACAGCATTGACTTCTTAATTCAGACAGGAAATTCTGGAGAATTTATTCTTCTCGTTGGACTAGTATCAGAATATATATTCTCGAAATCGAGGAAGTGGTCATAGTAAATCCCCGTCACTTGATCTGCTCTATCAAGGAATCGAAATCCATCAGATCCCAGACCTCGGCGAACATTCCATCAACTACATGGTACAGGGTAAACTCGGTGATCTCAATTTTACGCCCGGTGGGCTCGTATCCTCGAAAGCCACCCTTGTGCGTGCCGGTAATTTTGAAGTGAAGGGAAAGGTAGTCACCCTGGATGACGAAGTGTTTTAAGTGCCACTGCCAATCGGGAAATGCTGCTATCAGAGGCTCGAATTGGGCTGTCACTGTATCAGGAGCCAGTGGTTTGCCGTCAACGTTGAGAGGGTTCTTGTAGAATGATCTCATGCCTTCGAAGTTGTGCGCGTTGCAGTGTTCAAGATATTTTCCGTATAAAGCTCGGTACTCCTCATTTCGGTTGGGTTGGCTAGGTAGTTCGGTCGCCATTATCTGTAGGGGTATAAGGACGATGATGGACTTCTGAATTCTGCACAGCAGCAATATATGGTATAGGGAAGCAATTGAAAAGAATTTTCGGAAGCAGTAACACATAGCCATGCTTAACCATACGCAGTTCTGCCAATGCCATATATACTTACATATATCATAGGGTTGGTGCATTTGAAACGATTATGTAAGGCTTACCTAGTTGCTTGGTGAGATTTGTCAGGAGTTGAGTTTTGTATTGATAGGCCCAGAATGATCGTAAGCGCAGCGTATTACTGGAACCAGACGTATTATATGCATGCCAAGCATTTCTCAAATATTGCATTACTTCCATGAGTGGAACACATGCTATTGGTTCAGTTTATCTTATACACAGGAAGTGCTGAGTTTTGTTTAAATATCTAGGACGACATTGCCTTTCTGGCTGTGATAATCCAACACATTAAATTACCTACTTCATAGAAGTTTTCTTGACGATGAGACTATAGATGACGATCTGAAGATACACTGAACAACATGAAGTGTGAAATCAAACCTTGCTGCTCGCACCAATAACCGCTATGAACATATGTATCGCAACAACTTGATCGTTCTCGATCTGATTCGTGTAGAAATTACTTGGACAAAGTATCTAGCTAACTAGGACATGGATAGGTATATTTGATATTCGTGATTTATTAATTTGGGGGCTTATGTCTTAAAGGATTTATTAATTTAAGTTTCCCCAGGCTTGAGTAGGTCTTGAGATGTCGGCCAGTATTGAGTTTTGTGGCTTTAGGCAGAAACCCAGGCAGCAATACTTGAAAGTTTACTATCATATGAACAAGCCAGTCGCAGGTCAGAATCTCAACCCTAATTCTCCTTCTCGGTTCTTCTCATACCCAACCTTGAAGACCTGACAGCATTATAAAGTCCCCGCATTCCTCATCATGCTCCCTACCAAGACCACACACCTCTTTGGGCCATTCTAATTCATACTCTAGCCCACATGTCAGAGTGTGTGCATCATGTCCGAAAGAGCCAACAAACGACGCTGCTCTCCCTCTTATACCACGGTCTTTGAAAATGGTGCAAGCTCAGACATCTTCGACAAACTTCCAGCTGAGTTGAATGTCACTATCTTCGGACACTGTGAGTCACTCAAAGACATTCTTTCTCTTGTTTCAGCATCCCCAGCTGCGCACTTTTGCTTTATAGGGAACACACGCGCCTGCTTGAAGCAGTCTATTTCCGAAATCAAGTCTGATCTTATTAGCGATGACTTAGTCGCCCTGGCTCTTCTTCTCCTCCGCCTCAGAAAGCTACGCCAGGAAGCACACGGTCGTACCTCATTGCAGATTCAACAGTTGATCAAGCTTACCGTTGATGCAGTACTGCATCTGGATCCTTCCAATCCCACACAAGAATGGAAAGGGAGCTTGGCTCAAATCATTGTGCTCAGAAGGTTTTTACCGGGGATTCGGGATTTTATTGTGAGCCAGCAAGAGCGTAAGATCCCGGGTGGGATTGCAGCAACAGAAGAAGAACCTGCCAAGCTTACGACTGTGCAGAAACACAGTCTCATCGACACGCTCTTGCGCTACGATATCTACTGTCATTCGTTTTATTATGGCCATGAACTCCTATTCCACGGAAAAGAATTCAAGGATAAATTCAGCCCTTGCTTAGATCGGGGACTGTTTTCCTATTTCGACGCGGCTTCCCGCCCCATACGCCGCGGCATCACCATTCTCGACCTCATTAAGGCCAGACACAAAAAGCTCCTAGATTTGGTTGATGAGGATAACTGGGTTCGAACTCCGAACAGCGAGCAGATCCGAGTACGAGAAATTGTAAACCGAGGAGGACCAATTGACATAGTGTGGCGTCGATTACGAATCTGCCGATACCAGCACAGAAATGAGAGCCAGGAAAGGGGATATCTCCAACATATGTCACAGCAAGGGTATCCACTGCTGTGCTATATGGAGTCGCTTGATCTTCCTTCTCTCGAGAATTACGTATACGCCACGTTCTTCGAAGTCAGCGAAACACAAAGGCAGCACCAGCAAGAGACTTCCAGATTGGGAAGAACATTCATGCACTACAGCGGTGGAAGATTCAGCTGAAGGTGGCAGAGCGTTTTGACTCTTTGGTGGAACAATATCACAATTGAAGGCAACGTAGAAGTATCAGGGCCAAGTGAGTACAGAACGTAGGGAGGACACTGTTACGTGGACGATCTTGGCACTATCAAAGTTCAGCCGGTGGAGTTGACTCTTTTCCATACTTTAAGTTTAGAAATAAGGTGAGACAGGTGAGTCCTATAATCCATGCCCCTTCCGAGAAGTACCAGTGAAGTAAAGAGACAGACTTGACCATCAGGAAGGCCTTCTACAACATAATCTTATTCATACTTAGATACTAAGAGCATAATAAAAGAGGCAGGTGCTTCTTTTGATTCAATCTGTGAATCTTAACCTATCCCCCCAAGATATAAAATAAGGTTATTCAATAATCGAATCACATGTAGATACACAGACAGGTATAGAAAGACCGTGTAAGACATGTTGCCCAGTTTGCAGGTGTTTTAATGCAATACGACTATCCAAAATACACAAAGCAATGTCATTTATTTTTCAAAAAGTTAAAATAAATTCCCAAGACGCGTAAGGAAGGATTTTCAATGAATCCAGCGTAACGAATAGTGACAGATCAATATCGTCCGTAGAACGACCCATATCGACCACCACCACCATACAGGCCGAAATCTTGAGACATGAATCTGTCGCCCCTTGGCTTCGCAGACGATTTGCGTCCATTCTTAAAATGCTTCGAACTTACTTCCAAGTCCCAATCACCATAGTTCTTCTCCTCGGATCTAGAGACCAAGGATATTGCCAGCGCTGGCCTCGCCCTGCTCATCTCCTTCATGGCCGTCATGAAAACCTTGTTCGACTCGTTATCCACGAGTTTCAGGGACTTTAGACCGGGAACCCACTCTGGATGTGCACGCAGTTCGTCAAGAGCATTCCCTTCAATAGGGCCACCGCCATAGCTACTGCCGCTTACTTCAAGGTTCTTCATCTGAGAACAGTTCTGGAACAAACCGATGAGGCCGTCATCGGTGATGAGCTTCGTGCCTGGCAGTTCAAGGACCTTCAAGTTGGGAAGACTTTTAGATAGGAGGATGATGCCGTGGTTGGTGACCTGTTTCGCGTCGTTCTTTGCATCGTAGCTGACGTCCGTGTATTTGAAAGAGAAATGTGTGATCTTTTCACGGACTCGACGCGTGAGCAACGCAATCTCTTCGATATGCTCACTTGGAAAGAGGGTTAGTGTTGATTCATATATGCGTGACAGTAGATTGGCTTACTCAGTCAAGACAAATTGAGAGCCAAAAGATACAGTCTTAGTGGTAGTTCCAATGAGGCGATGATAGTTATTATCCCAATCATACTCGCTGCTGCGGAACTCAGCATCTTTGATACCTCTTGTGACGGGCTTCAAGAGTCTCCTCATGGGCGTCTCAGCAACAGGAGCAGGAGCATCTGCATGCGAGGTTGTCTTTTCGGTTCTGACTGGAGGCATGTTGTGCAATGCGAAATTGATAAGTTAATTTTGATTTATGATTTATTTGGGGAAAACGGTTGAAGATACTGGGATGAGATGTCGAGGGTTTCGCTCTATTAAATAGGCTCTTTACACGATTATTACACGACGCGTCGAATGTTAGCTGAAACCTATCCTTGAACCCAACCTTGAACACAATTGGTCCGTCATATAGAAAAAGAAAAGAAAAAAGGAATTATAAAATCCTGCCTCGTATTTGTTCGATGCCTAACCGCGGTAAATATTAGATATGCTCAAGTTGAAGAAGGGGGATATGCGCCCCCTCTGGATATGTGCCCCCCAGTGATTCTCAATAAACGATCTGCTCACATCTTATCACCAAAAATCATCATTGGGGGCGCATATCCAGGGGGGCGCATACCCCCCTTCTTTATTCTTTGAACACCTCTAGCCTTCAGAGCCCTAATAGAGAAGAGGGGTATAAGACTTTTGAGTCGATAGTTCCCAGCCGCAGGATGGTGTTTCATCGAGCTCGATTTCCAGCTGGTATGCTTAAAAGTGGCAGGCTAGCAGTAGTCTCACTGTTCGAACCCTCATACCAACGTTTAGCTGGGAGTTGTCAGACGAGTACTTCTGAACCATTGGACGACCAACCTCTCTCGTTACGCCCTCAGATGTAAGCGCTATCAACTATAGCGGCGAACACGACTCATCACTTGATCACTCAATACAACAATTCAAAATGAGAAATTCTATCTTTCTTATTAAGCCTATTTCTCATTCGTTAACTAATTATGCAACATTATATAAAATTATTTTGAAGTTATTTGAGGGCTGCCTATTGCTATATTATGAGGGGAAGCTTATGATAAACAATCGCATCTAGCTCTTTTTACTAAAGCCAAGCGCTGAACTACGCTTGAAATTGACCTGATCACATCGCTTGAAACTTCTTGCAATCATCATTCTTCCCTAGAAACAATCCCGATAGGCTCTAGTACGCCGAGATTACTACAATGCAAGCAAATATGTCCCAATTCAATGTCTCAGTATACCTCTTTTGCTTTAGGTTGTGGTACCACCGCTTCACATTGCCTATCATGGCCATATGATGCAAGGATCGCCTGATCCCTCGACATTGCTCGAATTGGAAGTTACAAGCACCTTCTAGTCATCCAAACAAGTTCTCAGGACATAGCTCTTCTCCACAAAACAATGACGCCGTTCCATGTTGGTGATGTCGATCTCTGGGGTTACCCCAAAGTCCGGGGTGTTATCCGGGAATGATCAACAGGGCCGGTTAAGAAGAGGAGGTTTCTTGGAATCGCTTACGACTACCGGTATATAAAGACGCAATATCCGCTCGCATCGGAATGGAAATACCAGTCTTGTTACAGTTCGTCAAATTTCTGTTACACGAGACAAAGCTTCAAAATGCGAACTTGGTTCGGCCGTGGCAAGAAGCTGCAATCCGCAGTCACATCATGCTGTCTCTGCGCTTTCGTTCTCTACGGCTACGACCAAGGTGTCTTTGGCGGTATTCTTGAGAATGAAGATTGGCTGCGACAGTTCAATAGCCCAGGTGATACCCTGACTGGGTTCATCACATCGAGCTACAACTTGGGTTGTCTTCTTGGCTGCTTCATAAACTTCTTTGTCGGAGAGAAACTCGGTCGAAGATGGACCATTTGGGTCGCTATGGGTTGGATTCTTGTCGGAGCTGCGCTGCAAGCAACTGCATTTACGCGCGGGCATCTCATCGTTGGTCGGGTTGTCACTGGTGTTGGTACTGGTCTCAAGACGTCAACGGTCCCAATGTGAGTAAAAGCATTTTGGCATGGCTTCACTACTCAATTTACTGACAATTCGCTTCAGGTATCAATCGGAGCTTTGCGAAGGTACTAAGCGAGGTCGTCTCGTTTCCGCAGAAGTCATGTTTGTCGGCATTGGCATCGCCTTCGCGTATTGGTGGGACTTTGCCTTTAGCTTTGTCGGAGGCCCGTTCGCATGGCGTTGGCCTCTCGCTTTCCAAGCTGTCTTTGCTTTCTGGGTCATCTTTGTGGTATTTGGTGTACCCGAGTCGCCACGTTGGCTTCTCAACCATGGAAAACGCCAGGAAGCTATCGAAGTGTTGTCCGCGGTCTACGACAAACCGGTTGACCACCCCGATATCGTACGGGAAGTCAACTCTATCGAGGCTGCTTTGTCAATGGAGGCCGAAGCAGAAGGTAGTACATCTTGGGCCTCGACTTTCAGGAAAGACAAGGTCAGCACGAGATATCGAGTCTTTTTGGCCTGGTTTGTCCAGTTTATGAATCAAGCTGGCGGTATCAACCTGGTTGTCTACTACATCCTGAGTAAGTTCCAAGTCCTGCCTTGGTAATAACTCACTGACATCTCCCAGCTGTTCTAACCGTTAACGTCGGACTTGAGCATAGACTTGCTCAGATCATCGCAGGTTGCATTCAGCTCATGTTCCCCATTGGATCTCTTCTTCCCACTCTAGCACTAGACAAGATGGGACGGCGATCTACCATGATGTGGGGATCAGCTGGGTTATCATTCTCAATGATGATGGTAGCTGCGCTTCTGTCACAAGCTGATGACACCCCGAGAGGGCAATCCTTCGCTGCTGGATCAGTCGCCTTCTTCTTCACTTATATGCTTGTTTTTGGAGCGAGTATGAACTGTGTTCCGTGGGTTTATGTACCTGAGATTCTTCCACTGCATGCCCGAACTAAGGGAACTGCTATTGGAGTAAGCTCCAACTGGCTTTGGAACTTCACAGTGGTATGCATTCGACTCCCAATCCTTACTTTTATACGGTATCGCTGACAGTTTAAAGGTCATGATCACACCCATTCTCATCAACCGCCTCCAATGGAAGGCATATCTCATATTCATGGCTACAAACCTTGTTTTTGTCCCCATTATCTTTTTCTTGTACCCTGAGACATCAAACCTAGCCCTTGAAGAAGTTGATTACATCTTTGCTCGAGGCGAGAACACTGTCCAAGTGGCCCGAGAGATGCAGAAAGAACTTGCCCTTCATGGACATTTGTCAGAAGATAGGCACGCCGGGAGGTCGATCAAGAGAGATAGGAAATCACAGGAGAAAGGTGATGAGTTCGTGGAGCATGCAAATGCTTAGTTTAGTTATTGAATTACATGCATCCTCCCTTTGGGTCAAATACTTGAGGAAAAATAATTTGGGCTCGTCTGATCTCACAATCGTTTTCTCATATATCATCATCAATTAAAATGTCGGTCCAGGCTTCTCCGAAGTCGGGCGTTGATATCCCGGCATTCGCTCCGAGGCGCAAAGTGATCTGCTCCCCTTTGAGTTCCCCGCAACCCCTCCTCGGATAAGGACATCATCGGAAAATAGCATATCACCAACTCATCTACTCTTCATATCCGCTAACAGCACTCTTTTCTAACAAAAGACAATCCATCAAATACATTCAATTTCCTTGAAAATGACGACTTACCAGATCCGTGACGTTGACAATCAAGTGCAAGGCCGTCTTGCCCTGGTCACTGGAGCCAGCGGTGGAATCGGCTCAGCTATCGCAAAGGCTCTGGCAGCCGAAGGCTGTGATGTTGCACTGCACTGTAATTCAAGTTTGGTAAGTACCCCAGGGTCAACAGGATCCTTTCACTGACAATAAGCTTAGCACAAGGTCGAAGCACTATCAAAAGAACTGGCATCTGCCCACCCTGACCAAGTCTTCCCTTGCATCTCCGCCGACTTAACCTCACGGGACGAAACCCGCGGTCTGGTCGAAAAGGTCTTGCAGGACTCAGATATTTCAGCTAAACATAAAGCCGTCTCAATCCTTGTTGCCAATGCCGGTCTCGGCAGGCGAGTTCGCGATATTAAGGACATCGGAGAGGATGACTGGGATAGTGTTATGGAGGTCAACTCCCGCAGCCAGTTTGTTGTTGCGAAGGCTTGCATTTCTGGTATGCGAGCGCAAAGTTGGGGTCGTGTGATTTTGGTTGGAAGTATCGCGAGTACGGGTGGTGGTATTAATGGCTGTCACTACGCAGCCACTAAGGGTGCACTTAGGTAAGAGGATGATTTTGAATTGGTAGGCATACACTAACTTCTTCGAGTTCGATGGGCAAGAACTTGTCCACTGTTCTGGCTGGCGAAGGTGTAACTGTCAACACTGTGAGTCATCAGATTGAGATAGGTTTATACGGGCTCTGACATTCACCTAGATCCTTCCTGCAATGATTGGCTTTACAGATATGATTCCTACACCAAAGTCAAGGTGAGTACCCAAAAAGCTTGGCCTTCTTCTTATACTGACTATATTCCCTTTAGATCCTGGACAAACAAGACTGACTTGGAGGAACTTAAATCTACTGACCCTGGCCTTGCAATCGCCGCCAGTGTCCCCGTCCAACGCTTGGGTCATCCTTCCGAGGTTGCCAACGTAGCAGTAATGTAAGTGACACCCAATCCTTATCACGGATCCAAAGCTAACATATTCCAGGATGGCCAAGACTGGATATCTTACAGGTCAAGACATCATCCTTTCGGGCGGTCTCAAGTAGAGGTCAGCCCTGCGAGACTGAGATATCATGTTGTCAGGGGGTCTTTGTCCGGGACAACCAGCAAAAAAGACAAAAGAAAACATACAACACCGGGGATTCGCTGGTCGTCACCGACCCAACTACTAATCTGGCGCTTCGCAGCTTGACTAAGGGAGAGCAGACGGGATCCCGTATTCTCTACGAGCTTTGGTCGTATATGGGAGTTGGACTGGGTAGCTGAGATTATGAAGATGCAGCATGCGTTGGTAACGATGCATTGGGAAGCATCCTAGCATTTTTCTGGATTAATAGACTTCGACATATGAAAGAGGGACTCCAGAAACTACTGATGACAACGAGGTAAAATTTGGACTCGATAGTTACTGATTCAAAACACCTGCTTTGCTTGCGTATTTACCTGTTATATCCCCAAACGCAATTGCTTACCGAATCGCCCACGTAGTTACAACAAACGAATGAGACAGAGATCAGGAACGAACAAAAATTAAAATGCCAGATGTCTAGCTGGCAAAAGATTAATATGTGAAGCGACGCAGGCCTGATTCGAACAGACGCCTCCGAGGAGAATAGATTTCTAGTCTATCGCATTAGACCACTCTGCCACTGCGCCTTAACGCTTCCTGATTGGATAGAGATTTTCTTGACAACCCAGCATTATACAGCAAATCACTCTTTCTCTCGATTCCTTGGGAGGCAACCAGATATTGAATCTTCCGCTAGTTGACCTGATTCTTCTTTTGATTATGGCAGTTACACTCACACTCACTCGATCATTCAGTAAACCCAGCGTTGCTTTGGACGTCCAACTAATACCTAGTTTTGAGAATTGTAAATCCTCCTCTGATTGTCCGAATCCATTTTTCCTCTTCAAAGCCAATTCAATCTTGGACTATTACATAACTGTCTCGGCTTATGCTGTCCTGGTCGGGTATTTCAAAGTTCCGAGCTAATATGGTGTAAAAGTGTTCGGGTGTTTCTATCTCCCGAACTATAGCCAATCACGTTCCTAGTCAATGCCATATTAGGTGAATCGGCCCCGACATGAAAACCGAGAGAAGCCTTAAAAGACCTGCCAATGTTATTCTAAAGTATAAATACTTTGATAGTGGTCCCTCAGTTCGGCATCACAAATTCTCACACTATTTCATCACATTGATACTTTAGAAGCAGAGCTACGTCACCAAGAGATATCCAGCCACCTCTGTCTTCCATTCTTATCCAGTAATTTACCAGAACTCAGATATGGCTTCGTCAACTGTTCCACCGATTGCAATTATCGGCGGAGGCCCATGCGGCTTGACACTCGCTCGTTTGCTCGAAACCGCCGGTATCAACTATGTTGTCTTCGAGCGTGATGCCTCCCCAACATCAACACTCAGAAGCCAAGGCGGCACACTTGATATCCACAACAAAACAGGTCAGGAGGCTTTGCGTCGCGCAGGGCTTCACGGCCAGTTCAAATCTCTTGCCCGATGCGATGCAACAACGATGACTCTTATGGATTCTCAAGGCGGGTCTCGGGCTTCGTTCGGTGATGACAATGGCGAAGAGAGACCAGAGATCGACCGCCAACAGCTGCGACAAATACTGCTAGACTCCATACCTGCTGAACGAATTCGGTGGGGCAAGACAATTAACTCTGTTGATCGAAAGGAGGATGAGCATCGAGGAGGCGCTTATGCCTGGACACTCAACTTCCGTGATGGCTCAACTGAAAGTGGCTTTCGACTCATCGTTGGGGCAGACGGTGCATGGAGCAAAATTCGTCCGCTGGTAAGTGACAAGAGTATTTTGATTATCCACGTAACTCATCAACTAAAATCTTTTCAGATCACTGACGCAAAGCCCGTCTATTCTGGCAAAGCTTTCCTAGAAGGCCGTATATCGCCTAGCAATCCGCAATATCAATCGGCACAACAGATGGCAGGTAAAGGAACAGCCATGATCATGAGTGCCAAGTCCACACTGGCAGTACAACAGATGTCTGATGCATCATACCGAGTGTACATGGGTGTATTGGCACCAGAGGGTTTAACGCAACCCGGCGGCGACGCTGATCCAAAGGATATGGACAAAGCCCGAAAGACCATGCTTGGCCCTGGTGGATTCTATGCAGACTGGGCAAATGACTTTAGAGACTTGATCGAAGCCTCAGAAGAACCATGGCGCCCTTGGCCGCTGTATCGTCTCGACAATGACGTATTCTCTCCAGAAACAAGATTCAATGGTGGCAAGGAAGAGCAGTCAGTTCACTGTGGCTGGAAGCGTACCCCTGGGATTGTTCTACTTGGTGATGCAGCGCATCTCGCGACTCCAAACGGCGAAGGTGTGAACCAGGCCATGTATGACTCGCTGGTACTGTTCGATCAGATCATATCTGAAGCTGGTGCGCCACAAGGAGGGTCATATGACTGGGAAGCTGATGCGGCAGCTTTGGAGCGGGCGATTGTCGCATATGAAACAGAGATGCGACCTCGGGCGTATGAGCATATCCAGAGCAGTATCGACATGGAGACCATAATGTATGCTGATGATGGGGCCCAGAAAATGATAGAGGCTTTTCAGGGGTTTCACAATCTAGAGTAGGATCTTTTTAGAAGTTAAGACTATTACCTGAGTTACCATAGATAGATTTAAAGGACACAAAGGGCAAATAGAAAGAAGGACATAATAATTAATAGAATTAATCAAAGTTTTTTCATGTTCATCATAAACTAGTGAAATTGGGTTTCTGTACCTAGAACTCAAGTAAAGGATTTCAACAGGTGCCATCTCAAGTTCAAGTGTATATGCAATTGATGGGTAGTCTTAAAACCGTACTGCAGTAGTCGCAGTTGACCACACAACAGATATACCAGCCTGGGAAAGACCAGTCAAGCTCAGAGTGAGTAAAGTGCTGAGAATGAACAAGATGCTCAAAGTGGTGGCCAATGTAGTTCTGGCGAGCTATCTTAGCATATTTTAGCCCTCTACTATCCTCGATAGCTTGGGGTTCCTTCCCCAAGAGTGTGTGAACTAGATAGTTGAACATTAGACCGCAAGGCAAATGCCAATATCGTCGCAGTTCAGTGGGAATAGCAACAGCCCAGGGTTCAAATACAGGAACAACAGGAAAAGGGGCTTCGATGTCTTCAGGCCACTCTCTGTCTGCATCTTTGCCGTAGGTCTGAAAGTCAAACAGCTCTTGGTTCATGAATATCTTTGTGTTGTATGGTATAGAGCAACAGAAGCTGATCATCTCTTTTCATATACCCTTCACAAGCTTATCTAATATCATGATCTAGATTCGTCTTATACGCGTATCCCTCGTGATGCCTCGCCTCATGCAGTTACCGACACTCCTGAACCAGTGGAGATTGCAACTACCGATTTAGATGCCGTCCAAGAGAGCTCTAGTGACTTCAACTGAATTTGTCAACACCCCGCCCCCCAAGCCAAGTCTCCAACTCTCGAGCCTCAAGGCTATGGCACGATTCCCTTTCGCCATACACCACCACCGGTGTTTGCATAGGATGCAGTCATCGCTGACTCTGACGATGGAAGAAAGCAAGTGAAAAAGTGAAAAAGAGATGCCGAAATTGTCGAAAAGGAAAGACACGAGCCCATCGCCAAGAGGACAAGGCGAAGTAAGCGCCTTGAGAACATGCACGGAGCCAACATACTGGGATTTTGGCAATTTAATTAGGACTTTCTGCTGGGGGCGCAAATGCTATATTAATGGCTGTTATGAAAAAGGCATGGAAAATGCCGAACGTTGATGATTACTAGTGATGACGATCTCATTGTATCGCGATGCGCTTGACATTGAATTTTGAAAGACCTTGAAATACAAGCTAGCTTGCTCAAGTTGAGATAGTCGTTGATGTTGATGTAGACAACATAAATCATGTCTATGTGAAGTTCCCTTCCTTCTTCCACATCAGATTTCTCCTCTCTCCTGGACTTCATCTAAGTTTATTTTGATCTTGTGGATTAGGAAGAAACACATCGTTAATTTATTGAGTTATAGTAAATATTTAATAAAATTTATATTTCTTTATTACCATTGCTAACCATGAATGAACTTTCTTTCAGTAGAGCTAACTTACTTGTAGACCATTCAGACGGAATTAACATTCTTAACAGACCATTCGTTCTACAAGTCATAGAAAAATACCCTGATCATGCCCGATTTCAGTTGTGATATTAGTGGCTCTGAGGTGAGTGTAGGGTGAGTGCAGGTCAGAGTGGAGGTTCGTTGGAATCAGCCGAGGATCAGCCACGGCGAACAACCCCACAATTACCGCCAACCGCAAAGTCTTTAAATTCTGCGCGGGTCGCGTTCCTTCTCTTTTTCTTTTCTCTTCTCCTTATGAACCCTTCCATTCAAATAAACGTAAGTCACTACCACCGCCGACAGCACATTACAAAGACGCCCTTGCTAACATTTACCTCGCAGATGATGAGAACCGCGTGCTTAATATGATGCAGTGCCTCCTCTCCGGACCTCGAAACCCTCTGCCTCTCGGGGTAGCTTAAGTGGTTTCGAGGCGAGGTGAGGTTGGTACCATGAAATGGGCGTTCGACACACCGACCTTGTTATAGCATCGGACGCGATGGAAAAAAGCTCTGACTTATTACGAATGGAAAGGTATTCTTGGTTCGCGCGGCTGGGGTCACCTAGCAGCAGAAATTGAACTTTTTTGCAAGGTAAGTTTGGGATCGCACTGGGGGAGCTAAGTTTCAAGTGAAGCTTGGCGTATTTAGCCAAATTGAATTGTGTTTATTACAACAAGAACATTCCCCTTGTCTATCAAAGAGTTACGTGTGTACGTATGTTTGAAGTTTGTCCGGAAATGAAAGGACTGTTCGTGATACCCGAAGAAGCGAAGAGTAATTACACGAACATCCCAATGTGGTTGAAAACACCATGCAAACCCATCTCGTGCTTCCGCAAGCACCACTGAAAAATACCCTCACAAGTATCCGTACTCCGTAAACAACAAAATTCATCTCGTGTCCCCGGATTTTTTGGTCCTGATAGCATATCACCATCTCCCTTGGTGGAGCTATTTGGGCGCATCGAGCCCCGTTGAAATGAACAAACCCATGGTGACGACATCCGTAGCGTCCCCTGGAATTACAGTGATAGCGCCCGCCAACATCGGAGTCAACCACGTTTCCGGAGGACAAGAGTTTGGGGGATACATCGTGAGACCCCATATAAGCGCTGAACCGCCCAAGTACCTCGCTATCAACCCGCTGCGCTGAATCTCCACCTTGTCTGGCGGCTACAACCACCACAGCCCAACCTCCAAGTCCCCCAAGTCCAACCTGACCAACACCCCCCCCCTTGTCCTGCCACGCCCCAGAATCGTCCACGTCCCCCGGCGCGGATGCGGACACAGACACAGACACAGACACACTCGTCTCTCGCGGTCAATCTCTCTTTCTCTTCAAGTCCCTCTCTTTGCGCTGGTGACTTGGAAGCCACAACGACACATCCCGACACGCACGACACGACTCGATACGGCGACGTCTTCTTCTGCTTCTCCTGCCGTCATCACCATCGCCGTCTCGAATTGTCCGGACTCCCGGTTTCGCTCCGTAGTATCCTTATCCGTCCCCCGTCACTCGCTGCAACGTCCGTCGTCCGAACTCTATCCCCTCGTCACCAACAGCTAGAGGCTCGATAAAGCTGGACTGAGTGTCTGTAGCTGCCAGCATGTCAAGCTCCTTCGAAAAGTCCGTCAAGGGCGCAACAAAAGTGAAGGTACGTGTGTATTACTAGCAGCGCGCTCATTACATGGGTCCAATATTAGTAGCTAGAATGGAGCTCAACAACATGCTTGATGAATGCCTCACCCTGATCAGTAGCATTGTGCTGACATCCCGTCGTTCAGAATGCTCCACCAAAGACGAAATATATCGAGCACATCCTCGTCGCTACCCATTCCGGCGAAGCTGGCGTCGGCGAGGTCTTTCGCGCTCTTACATACCGCCTGCGCGATTCAACATGGACTGTAGTCTTCAAAAGTTTAATTACTGTTCATCTCATGATCAGAGAGGGATCTCCTGATGTTACGCTCGGTTTTCTTTCGACACACCGCAATGTGCTGGCAATAAGCAGTTTTACAGACGGTACGTCCTATCGAGACCCGAACAGAAACGTCCGGAAACAGCGATTGACAAATTGGCAGCTCAAATTCAAGGACGCAATATTCGACACTATGCTCACTACCTAGCTGAGCGAGCCCGCGCATACGAAAAGACGAAGACCGATTGGGTGCGCGCTTCCGAGTCAAGGCTTGAGAAGCTCTCTGTTGAGAAAGGCTTGTTGCGAGAGACGGAGGTTGTACAGGCACAGCTCGAGGCGTTGTTGAAATGCGACGTAAGTCAATCATTGGCCACACCAGTCCGATGGGTATATGAACCTCGAGCACTAACAACCCCCAGGTAATGGAGAACGAGCCAGAGAATGAAATTACTATAACTGTTTTCCGACTGCTTGTCTTGGATCTGTTGGCGCTATTCCAGGTTCTCAACCAAGGCCTGATTAGCATTCTTGGTTGGTTCCCTTGCCCCTCCCCCTCTTGTCTCAGCCCGACGCTTGGACTAACGCTTGAATCTTGATAGGCAACTTCTTTGAGATGTCCAAGGTGGATGCCGAACGTGCTATGGCCATTTATCGGAAATTCACGAAGCAAACCGATTACGTCGTCCAATACCTCAGCGTAGCTCGACAGCACGAACACCACACTAGAGTCGAAGTGCCTAAACTCAAGCATGCCCCTGTTAACCTTGGACGCCAGCTTGAGGAATATCTTCATGATCCCGATTTCGAGGTGCACCGACGACAATATCTGGCCGAGCAGGACGTAAAGAAGGTCGGAGGTGGTTCAAGCTCGAAGCAAGGAGGTCTCAGCAAGAAGAAGAGTGTCGACTTTCCCGAACCAGCCTCCAACAACCCCTTTCCCAAGATCACCTCCTCTACCACTGGCAACAAGGCACCCGAATCGAAACCTCAAGCCAACAAGGGTCCCGATCCAGATCTGATCGACTTTTTCGATTCAATCGAGCAGAACCAGACACCGATGAGCGTAAACCCTCAGCCTCAAGCGTTCCAGCAGCAGCCGACTGGCATGCCGTTCCAACAGAACGGCTTCGCCCCCCAGCCTACGGGGTTCGCATCCAACAGCCCGTTTCAACAACAGCCGCAGCAAACAGGAGGATTTATGCAACCGCAGCAACCGCCCCAGATCCAGCTGCAGCCAGACTTCACAGGCGCTGGTTTCGGAGGATTTACGCCTCAACCGCAAGCCTATCAGCAAAGCTCACTTGCGCCAATTCCTCAAGACTCGATGGCCAACTTCTCCAACGCGGTTCCTCAGGGAGTCCAACAGCCTGTTCAAAATGGACAGCCTCAGGGGCTTCAACCGATGCAGACAGGGAGCACCAACCCTTTCCGCCAGTCTATGCTCATGGCCCAGCAAACAGGCCTGCCATCATCTGCTACAACACCAGCTCTCAACCGCCAATCCACAAACCCCTTTGCTCGATCATCACCTCAGCAAAACTCCTCGCCTTTCGCGCAAGCTTCAAACTCACCATTCCAAGCACCATCTCCTCAACAGCAAGCAGCTCCTATACAGCCCACACCAACCGGCACAAACCCCTTTGCTCGCAACTCTATGATGCCTGCGCCAACCCAAGAGCAACGACCGCAGACGGCCGGTGCTGCTCTCGCTCCCCAACCCACCGGCACAACCAACCCCTTCCGAAACGGCGCCTTTGTCAACCACAACACTGGCATGGGCTGGCAAAGCAACCAGCAGCCCATCGGAGGTGGCCTCGACCAGATTCCAACAGTACCTGTATTCCCGCGTCCGGCTCAGCAGACACCTTGGCAGCAGCAATAAGAGACAGCTTTCAACATGCTTCACAGCATTCATTACATATTACAAACTTGCATCCAAATATCCGCATCGCGCTTCTCGGCGCCCCTTTTGTTTCCATTTCTTGGCTGTACATCCTCCCTTTCCACATAGTAAGCGAGGCGTTTTCGGGGGATGAGATCGAAAAGAGTATTGCAGGGGGAAAGTATGATTTGACCATGAGCATTCAAGAGGGACTTAGCGTCCCTCCTAGAATTGCCAATCGATCCTCTCCTTGTGATTTTTCCTTTTGGACTAGTATAGTAGCAGTCATACAAGAATATCATTTCCATCATAATAATCTTTCATTTCTGACGTGGGCATGTATGTTCTCTGTAGACCTGTATTCATGGTATCGTCATTTTGACCCTAACGCAACTCCGTTTATCGAGTCTCGCGAGATTTCAGATATGTTCCAAACTCCTCATAACGCCATAGCTATGCCCAAGTAACCAAACAACAATCAAAACATCATCTAAAATAGCTCATCAACATCCATTCTACCCCCCGTATCCCCCGTCACAGCAGCCTCTCTAGCTCCCGCTGTTGAAACGCTCTTCTCAACCTTCTCCTCATCCACAAACACTCCCAATCCGGAAAACGCTTCGAATAGAGCTCGCGTGAGGAATTCATCGGGATTATATCCACCGGCCTTGAACTCAGTCTTTGTCCGTGTGATCTCGACCCACTCGTTAGAGTACAGAGCAAGCTTCTCGGGCGCAAGGTCCACACGCTCGGGCATGACGCGCACGCCGCCGTAGGGATCGTAGGGGGCGTTATCCACCACAGGACCCTTCTTCTCGCGCAGTCCACGGATCGAAAGACCGCCCCCTACACCTGCGGCACCCAGTGCTGCGTCGCGCTTGTTCTGGCCTCGCTTCTTGAGCATGATCTTGTCCATTGCCTCTGTCGCACGGCCCACCTCGGCGCTCTGTAGAGAATCGAGCATTTCCTCACGGAAACGTTTTGCATTGGCCTTTTCTTCTATTTCCTCTTGTCGTTCCACAAGACGTCGCTGTCGTGCTTCATCTTCTTCTGCGGCTATACGGCGTTGGCGAGCGTCGTCTGATTCACGGGCTAGACGTCTGTTGCGCTCGATGTCGGCCTTGTGCTTAGCCTCCCACTCTGAGAGTTGCGCCTCTGCTTTTCGTCGTTGCTTGTCGGTGCCATAGACGAGATCGCTAGTAAGACACTCCACCATTTCGAGGTATTCGTTATAATCATCGAGAGTCTCGAATTCCTCCTCGGTTTTATTAAAAACAGCCGCAACTCTTCGTCGGATGTCGACCTCCCGCTCCACGGTCAAGTCTGCAAAAAAGGCCGTCTTGAAACCACGAAGACGGAGCGTCTTGTGGCAGCCGGCGTAGGGACATTGGTTGGGTCCATCTTTAAAAATGCGCTCGACGCAGGTTTTGCACATGCGGTGATAACACTCTGGGTTAATGCGAAACTCCATATCGCGGTTGAAGTAGCGCGTTGTCTTGCACACGGGACATGTCTCGTCTTGGTCGGGCGGTGCAGGCGCGTTGAGATCGGTGGCGTGGCGTATTGAGACGCCTGCGCGAGACATTTTGAGTATCTCAGATTGTGAGTGTCTTGGGTTTGTGAGTTGGGTCGTGAGGAGGGAAAAGAGGGAGGAGGAAACAAAGTTCTTTGTCGGTGGTTGGAAGGTGAACGTTATTAATCAGGTACCTAGTATTATGTCAAATGTTGCTTCTGCGCGGCTGAGGCTCCAGGGATGAGAGGCTTGACGGGAAGTTTCCTATTGGCCTGAGCTCAGAGAAGATCGCCCCGCTGGAGCGCTCTGCCCCTCCAAGATTGTCAGCCTTCTCTCATACCCAACAGCTTCCATCAACTTCTGTCAGAACATCTCTCAATCACCACACGTAAATCATCACAATGACTGACAAGGGCAAGTATAGAACTTCTGGGTAGACTGCGTTCATTCGAACAAAGCTTGCTATGACTCTCTTGTAGCCCTGCACTCTCTAACTCATGACAGAGCCTACAGCCGCTGAGACCGCCGCCGCAACGGCCAAGGAAGCCAAGGAGCAAGCCGCTCTCCCTTACAAGTGGACTCAGACCATCTCTGAGCTCGATGCTACCTTTGACGTACCCGGAAACCTCAAGTCGAGGGATCTTGTCATTACTATCAAGAAGCAGAGCCTACAGGCGGGTATCAAGGGTCAGGATCCAATTATCCAGGTACATATACAACTCAGCCATTACTCAGCACACCCTCCGTCTAACCATCATAGGGCGACCTTCCCCATGCGATCCACGTCGACGACTCGACCTGGACACTCAGCACCAACTCAGACGGCACCAAGACTGTCGAGATCCACCTCGACAAGGTGAACAAAATGGAGTGGTGGGCTCACGTCGTCACCTCTGCGCCCAAGATCGACGTTTCCAAGATCCAGCCTGACAACTCCAAGCTGTCTGATCTCGACGGCGAGACCCGCGGCATGGTCGAGAAGATGATGTTCGACCAGCAGCAGAAGGAGAAGGGCCTGCCCAGCTCGGATGAGCAGAACAAGGCAGACATTCTCAAGAAGTTCCAGGCCCAGCATCCCGAGATGGATTTCAGCAAGGCCAAAATCAACTAAGCAAGAAAAAGTACCTAGTGGTTGGTCCCGGTTGGGAAAATTAAAAGACATTCATTTCGTTGATCTCGTGTTGCTTTCATCTTGTTTCCAGAGCAATTGCTGCGCGTTCGAGAAAAGCGTTGAAGTTCTTGACTTGTTGGAGCATTCCGCCTGCGGAGCTCGCTGAGCTGGCTTCATCTGCGATACGTGCCACCAGAAGTTCAAGATTGGCCAGGTCGGCCTTCTTCTCTTGGGCGCGCGATAGTTCGGGGGCGTCTCGTCCTCGTTCAACAGCCATGTCTATGTCATGCATTATAGCTGAGGTGTCGAGGCGATACTAAGATGGTTAGCCATGTAACTATAGGAACCAACGAATGGCTTACTCTTGACTCTTTGGTATCCTCCTCGTGCTTGATTCGCACCGCATCCATCCTCAGAGCAACTTGTTCCCTCTCTGCTTTGAGGCGCAATATTTCTTCTCGTAGTGGCAGCTTCTCTCGCTGTATCACACGAACCCGTTTGCGTAGCGTTTGCCAATCGCTGAGGTGAATTGCCTAAAGTTGTTAGCTTTGATGTTTCGAAGCGAAGTATAGAACTTACCAGCTGAAGTAGACGGGAATTTAACTCTTCCTTATACGCCTCGAGTGCCCGTATTTTGATTCGGCATTCTTTCTTCTTCTCTTTATCCTCGGTGGTTCCCAACGTCTCGAGGAGCTTGGCGACCGTACCCTCGATAACCTCTAAGCATACCTGCGAAAAGACATCCACCACTGTTTCGCTACTTGGTATGAACGGTACATCTGCTGCCAGTTGATCTGGATTGCCGTCGTCTTTGATAAATTTCTTGACATTGACAAAGCGATGCACCGTAAGTTCAATAGCTGTTCCATCACTGATTCGTCGCTCTTTGGCAGCTTGCTTCGTCCGGCGAACCTGTTTTGGTAGTGGTTTTGGACCTGCTGTTCGTGGCTTTGCTGTTGTGTTGGCTTTTGGCTTTGTTGCGGGTTGTTTTTGTGTCGCAGGGCTTCTTGAGGGTCGTCCACGACGTCGTTTTGGCGAGGGTTCCTGGTCATCTGCTTGTTCCTCGGGCTCGGCCGCGGGCGACTGAGAGGGAAGACTTCTTCGGGGACGTTTTCTACCGATGGCTTTGGCTGCTTCTACTGCACCGATAGCCTCTGCTGCGGCTTCTTCCTCCTCCTGCGCATCTTCGACGTCCGCTATCGGTTCTTCGTCAATTGGTTCCGCCTCAGGGTCTGCCTCTTCCACGTTATCTGGTTCTGATAATTCGTCGTCTGCAGGCGCGTGATCTGGTCGATCTGGCGAAAGCTCATCCACATCCTCTGCCGGCTCCGGAGTCCCTGGGGTTCGCATATAAGACATTCTCGATCGAATTGTCGTAGGACCCTCACTTCGCCGTACCTTCCGCACCAGAGGCGATGAGGACGCCGGCATATCATCGTCTTGTTGCAATGTAGTATGTAGCCGAGTAGTGGACGATACAGCTTCACTCATGCCAACGCTCTGTCCTCCGTCGGGAAGCCCCTCAGTATTTTGTTGCGCCGTACGACTTGGCGGTCGCACATCCGGTGATTTGGACGCATTTGTGTTCGGTAACACTGGCAATTCGATCTCGGCCTCGTTATCCTCTGACGCTTCAATGGATTGCCCTGGACTGAGTAATTCGGGTTCAGGTTCAGGCTCGGGCTGCGGTTCGATATCTGATCCTTGGTCGGATTCGTTTTCCTCTAAATCACCGAGAATCGGCTCTTCCACTTCCGTCGGTTCAGCTGTAGCATCCTGCGCGCCAGATTCCTTAGATGAGTCGGGCAGGTCGTAGGGGTCTTCGGGTCTTGATCTCGGTGATCGTCTTCGCACACTTTCCGGCGCTTGTACAGAAGCCGGCGGCTCGTTATCCAATCTTCTCCTCTTAGCAGAAGTATTCGCTGACGATACGGGAGGCGCAGGTGTAGGTGCGGCGGGAGTCGAGCTGGCTATGTTAAGGCCAGCGATGTCGATGTTGAAGGAGTCGTCCTGGATGTTTGTGCGTCTAGGGTCGCATTAGTAGAGATCGCATGAGCTTTGGGAGGATATTATGTACTGAGCACCACGTAGACGTTCTTCCAGCCGCCCGCCGCGGCGCTGTTGGCCTGTTTTGAGTATTAGCGACTTGATCGATAGCTTGTAATTCAAGATTGGTTCGAACATGCCTGTGGCCATTGCAGGGGAAAACGAGGTTCTAGATTATTTGCGCATCAATATGATGTGATTTTGAGTATGTGGTGAGGATGCGCAGTTGTGTTGTTGCGATTAGACGTCTTTGTTTGATGTGATGTTGATAGTGTAATGTTTGAGATGCTAGTGACGCGTGGGGGTGGACGCGTTCTGGAGTCGCGGGGCATCCAATCCATTAACTGGCAGATAAAACAATGACCAGCATGACGAAAAGGGTTTAATTAACACTTGAACAGTTGAATTATTTGAATCTACTATTCAATTGAAGCATGCACGCTCTAGTCTTATTATCCATTCCAAACAAGGATGGTTCAAAGAAAGAAGCCCTGCAATCCCCAGTCAAGTAAACAAATACCAAATCATCTTAATAAGACAACGGCCCGCCGTCACTTAACTGGGTATCATTTATTCTATATACCTAATTTCCCCGTTTCTCCTCGTCGCACCATTTTCCTATTCCATCTGACGCCATTGATCATAAAATAGCTGTGGGATGTAAAAGTCTTTAGTTAATGGGAACCCATTGCATAAGTTTAGTATTGAATCGATGTCTGGTTCATTGTCAGCTATCATGAAAACACACATCAGTCAATTGCAAAGTTCATACCCATGGAAGTCAGTCCTTGATATGGATCCCCGGCCATATTCCGAGGTAAGGATCTCTTTGTACCTATAGGGCACCTTGGCGGAAACACCCTCGAAGGTGGTGTCAAGGAGAGGAAAGATGTACTTGTCCTATTGCTCATATAATCAGTACTGGTAGCTCAATTACGATGGCACATACGAACCTTGAACTCATGATCGTGCTTGTCGTACATGACACCATCGCCCATCTCATGCCCAGGGTCATATCTCGCCGCTGTGATGTCGATGAACAGTCCGGTCTGCATGTCAACCCAGCGAGCATCAATGAAATTGTTTCCATCGTCCCTGCCGCGGTACTTGAACGCCGGGTTTATGTCAAGCTGGAAGAAACTGCCATTCGGGCAACCCTCATACTGGAAGTAGTAGATGGTCATGTTGTAGTAGGCAGCCAGGTAGTACATGTCCGCCTCAGTCACCGAGACATCAGCGTCCAAGTCCCATGGCATGACCTGGTGTGCTTTATTAGAGGGCTTTGGTGACAGGACATACGGATGCTCTCACCTTCTTTCCCCACCACCAACCAAGTAGGGAACCATGCATGAGCCATGTCTGAATGCCTAGATCACGGAATGTAGCTAGATATGTTTGCATGAGAACTCTGATGCCTGCGTACTGATCTTCAGGCTCCAGAACTTCATGAAAGTATTTGTCGTCGTAATGAGCGGATGCCCTTGGCATCCTCGTTAGTATAAAAGTGACAACATTGCTGAATGCCAATACTCACTCTGATTCCACTAAGAACTGTTAGTCCATCATGTCTGATTAAATAGCACATTCCCATTTCGAATCAAACGGTTAATGTATATGGCGCTGGCTTACGGAAGTATTTTGGTGGAGGAGCTTCCCTAGTGGGCAGTTTTTGCTCGATCTTTTCAAAGACTTCAGGGACTGTCAAAGCCCTGGCGCAGGTCAACCCGAGGGCTGCAGCGCAAAAGGTGAGCAACCTCATTGCAAAACTGGATTGATTGATGCCTGGAATAGCTTTGTCGTCAAGATCGTGAGGTGACGCGGACAGGCTGTTGCTGAATCTGCAGGGGGAGGGTGAGGGTGCCAAGGGGCTTGGGAGTGTAAAAGTCAAGTCAGAGCGTGAGTGACATCTAACTATCGCGAGACTGATAGGGAGATGTAGATCCTATAGCCTTGGACTTGGCAATGTAGCCTAGGAGAAAAATATTATAAGAAAGGATTATGCCGTTGTTGTGCAGAACAAAGTGATAAGATACCAGTCAGTGATCGAGTCAGTGAACCATACAAACATTTAGTGGCCCATGTTACAGTATCGCGACCCCTGATTCCACCACATCCCGTTTTAGGTCCGCATCACCAAGGGTTCGGACGTTATACCGGCTATAACTAACGTTGGCCCGCGTGCCCAACAATTCTTGTACAGAACAGTTGGCATCTGGTTTAATAATCTCTAAATACCTAGGCACCTAAATCTCTTGATATGCAGGTGACCGGAAACGGATACAGATGTGGCTGGTGAAGTCATTACATGCCACTCTGTGACTTTCAGGTACTTCAGGAACTTCAGGAACTTCAGGTGCTGACTGACACTGACGCAAGCTCCAGGTCCCCCCCGACATTATGGAGACTAAGTTTCCCCAGTCCCAGGCCCAGGCTTCGTCACTCCACCCTCCCTCCTCGTCGCATCGCCAAGCTAGAGCTGAGCTGCCTAAGCCAAAGCTCTCTACAGCCGACTACTTGTCATCTTCAACTCACTCTCCTACCATCCCATCAATTCTTGTGCCTTGAACTCTCCTCTTCTGGAGTCGCATCAACTCTCTTCACACTTGCCGCGGGCAGGTCAACGACCGACATATTCTTTTCCTCCCTTGCTGTAGCTCAAGCTTGAGCAACCCGCCCTTGACAATGGGCGCGTTCAATGTACGATGCAACGATTCTAGGCAATACTCCTCGACTTCGAAACTGACCATGATGCTATAGTTCTTCCGAGTTCTGGGTGACTTGTCCCACGCCCTCTCCAAATGCATCCTCATCTTCGCCATCCATCGCAACCGAAGCGCTGAGGGCGTCTCCCTCATCACGCAGATCCTCTACGCCCTCGTCTTCTGCACCCGATACCTCGACCTTTTTATCGAGACTTTGCCATGGAACATCGTATTCAAGATCTTCTATATTATATCGTCTATTTATATCCTTGCTATCATGCAATGGATCTACCCTCGATCCCGCGAGCGTGAGATGGCCTGGAAGATTGGTGCCGTCATCCTCGGCGGCTCCTTCATCTTGTCCCCCTTCATCATGCTCATTTTTGAGAGCCATAAGGGTTTCCGACCTGTACGTGAACCCCTCTCCATAATCTTGACATCACTAACATCTCCCAGTGGATGTGGGTATTCTCCCAGATCCTCGAGTCCGTTTGCGTTCTTCCCCAGCTTCTCCTCCTGAGACAGACGACCGTTCCCACCGTTATCGACTCCTTCTACCTCGTTGCTCTCGGTTCTTACCGCGCTCTCTACTGTATCAACTGGTTCATCCGCGAGTTCGAAATGCACGGCAAGAAGCCCAACACCGTTTCTGTCATCTTTGGCCTGATCCAGACTGCTTTGTACATCGACTTTGCTTGGGTTTACTACACCCGCCAGCGCGTCAAGCTCCGCGGCGGCGGTATTGTTGACGCCGACGATATGAGCCGCGGATGGCTCCTTCGTCGCATCTTCGGCAAGCGCTTTGCGAACAACGAGGAAGAGGATGAGGAGAACAGTCCTGGTGGCTTTGACGATGACCAGGGTGGCAACCGACGCGGGGCTCGTCCCAAGTGGGGAGCTCGTGGTATTTCAGTCAGCGCCGATGATGGTGTTCTTGAGCAGGACCGACATAACCGCGACCAGGACGAGTTTGGCGGTCCGGTCGACCCAGATGCTAAGATGCAGGACCCCGATGAGCTTGCGCGGGCTCTCGACGACGATGACGATGAGAACACACCTCTACGACCTGGTCAAACAGAAGGCCAACCCAGCGGTCTTCAGGGCGGCGAGGGCTGGCGCGACTAAGACACTTAGCTTGTCCAATATTACACCCATGTCGTTTCCCGCGAGTTTTACAGGATGAAGTCGGACGGAGTATGACGGATTGTTTATTTGAAATGTCTTGGAAGGTACCAATGGCTATACCATTTAGTGGAATGCTTGATACGATGCATGCATGGAACTACGTTAGAAGAGAGGGGAGATCTGGCCATATTTCACCAGCAGAGTTTTAGGGGCATTCACGGGCAATTATGTACACATAGCGGAATTCTTTTTCAAGGTATTCTCGATATGAGATGAAATGGAATTCATTCAATTATCATGCTGCTTGACAATCACGTTCGCATTATAGATCAAAGAAGGGGGGATGTGTGGATATCATTCAGGCAAGTTGCCCATGAGCTCATTCCTTGAGCTCAAACCAGTAGTCCAGTGGTCTTGGACTCTCCTATACACCATCGCCACCATGTCCCTAATGGACTGACAACTCCTCCCATCATTGGCGCCATCTGATAAGGACATTCATGCTGGTCCTGTCTTTTCGCAATTCCATCAGCAGCATCCCACGCCGCGATAAACTCCTATAGTAGCCAAACAAAACTAAGTAAAAAAACGAATGGCATCAAAAATCATATACTAGAATAACGTCTTTGAAACCGTAGGGTATTTTTGTTCTTCAATGAACGAAGCGCTTCTCAAACTCGGCATACAGCTTTGGGCTGATTTCATCACTGCTCATGCCTTCAATCTCAACAAGCACGCCTTTCTTGGCATAATGGTTTAGAACTGGCTCGCTGGTCTCCTGGAACTTCTTGTATCGGGCGCGGTAGACGTCCTCGGAATCATCGGGACGCTGGATTAAAGGCTCGCCGGTGATATCGTCGATTCCGTGAACCTTGGGCGCATTGAAGCTCGTGTTGTAGACTCGACCGGAAGGTTCATGAACCCAGCGTCCAAGGATTCGCTCCAAAATCACGGACACGGGGGTCTTGAGGGAGACGACTAGGTTGATGGGAATAAGCTTGTCGAGAGGGCCGACCTGAGAGGCTGTTCGAGGGAAGCCATCGAGGATGAAAGAAGCAGAGGGGTCGTTGGAGGCTTCGGAAGGTCTGTGTCCGTCCATGAAAGGAGCCGCATTGATGAAAGGGTCGTTAGCGGCGCTGTTGAATGATGATGGCTCGAGCGCGGTCGCTTCGGAGGAGAGGGTCATGACGTGGGGAGAGCCATTCCTAGCAAGCCACCCGCGAGTGAAGAATTCGTTGGAGATAAGTCGCAGGATGAGATCGTCGGCCACAAGACCACCAGACTTCATGGTGTTCTCGACTTTGATGCCTATTTAAATATTAGCCCTGCCATTGAATTTCAGCAAACTTTGGGGAAAGACTAACCGAGGGGTGTTCTGTTCTTGACATTTCGTCGGAGAAGGTCACCGGTACTGATCTGATTGAGTTGCGGGAAGCGAGAGAGTAAACGCTCGCTCTGGGTTCCTTTACCGACGCCAGGCGCACCAAAGAGGATGACTCGAGCGGCCTTGTTCAGGTTCATCCTAGGCGACCTGGAACGATGAGGCCGTCGCGGGTGGAAGCAAACTGGGCGGTGGAATTGCGATTAGGCGCAACCGACAACGCAGGTGACCTGGCGTTGTGCTGATGTGTGTATCCAAAAAATGCCGTTCGAGGTTTATTTTTCTTGTTGAGGTCAATGGGTCGATAGTTCGGAGATGGCGCGGGGAGTTGTTGAGGCGGGGAAAGCGTATTATGAACGTCACAGGTTTCTTTTTCGAGGACGAGAAGGGAGGAAATATATAATGAAGGATGGAAATGCCGCCGGTGAGATTCGTACAAATTATAAAACAACAGCGAAGGGATGAGACAAGACGAGGGAAGAGGAGAGTCGAGTCGAGGTGGATGGACGCAAAGGTTGGAAGTGGGGGGGCTTTATGTATAGGGCGAGATGGTGTTGGTGTTGAGCGTTCGAGGCACAAGGGTGGTACCTCCGATTTCGCATGTGAATCGCCTGTCGTGGATGTACCGCTCGACGATGGATGGCGTTGAGATCCAGTGGGTGTGGGCCCGTGCGAGCAGGAACGGTCAAGTGTGGGCACGGTAGTGCTCTCCGCGGATTGCCGCTTGGACTTGGCTTTTGGTTTCAAAGCAATCTAGTCTACGGTATTACTGTACTGCCTAGACGTTGCATTTTCACGCTTCCGGTGTTTATTTATTGATATCATTACACAGCATGTAGAGCCTCCGTCTGCTTATTCTTACTTCTCGAATATCTCATCAACAGACACCACGGGATATCTCGGAACCCGAGAGATGTGGCATGACATGAATGGCAAGACTCCAATCGGCATATTTCTCCTTATGTCCGGGATATCACATCAAGGGACCGGAAGAAATGGATGAACCCATATTCCGTCTCGTTTCAGGGTGTCATGCTGTCGATCTGGGGAAACAGTGTGCAGATTCATCTTGGCGCAGCACATATTGCAACACTGTATCTTGCAGTCCGATCTGCTGACCTCGGTATCTCTCGCAATGATTGTTCTACCATGAATAGAAATGAATTATATTCTTCAAAGACTAAAATAAAAGACAGTATGCTCATGCTCAGGAAGGTGAAATGGCGTCATCTGCAACAGATTGCTACTTGACTTCATCTAACAGCATTCCGAATACCGTCCAGCACGTGTAATCCTCAACAGCCAATCAAGCCCCCCAAATTGTGTTTCTAGGCACCCCGGATTTTCCAGCCCAGCACCTCGGTAAGAGCCAAGGTGCATACCCGTGCGAGCCAGCGTTGCCGTCATCGCACTGGCCCTAGGGTATCATACTGTGGGATTTGTAGAAATGCGACCTAATCTTCGAAATGTTCATGGTGGGCACGGTTATGGCGATTCCGTGCCTGGAATTATGGATCTCATATTCTTCTATCCCAGGTAAAAGTGTCATGATCGGTTTGCGCTGTTCTCGCTGTCTTTGGTCCTGGGGCGTTTGGCAGGAGGCAAAGGGAGGTCAGGCTTGGCCTCGCGAATGACCTTTGTGTTGTAAATAAATGACGCCAATTCTCCTTTTTTCTGGAGTTCCTTTATGTTGTCCTCCATCGAATCCCAATATGGACGTAGCGTCACGCGGCATGTTCTGATCTCAGATCGTGGAATGTCAAAACAAGCGGCGATGCGATAAAGTGCATCGATCTTCTGGGCAACCTCTATGCGCACTTGAGTCGACAGGACAATGTCGAGGTCAACTCCGCCTGATTTTTGAAACCAGTCAATGCTCGTTCCGGCTGTTAACTTTGTGTCGTGGCCAGGAGTGATGGCCTGAAAAATTGGCCCGACACTCCTTGCACGACCTGTCAATGCCACCAAGCAACGAGAAGGGCTGGGTACCCAGTACCCCGACTTAGGAACACCTTCCAAGACCCGATGTGGAGGCTCAGGCTTCTCTTTGAACAAGCATCGCGGCCCACACAAGAAGATGTACTTGTTGGCCCTCCAGTTGTAACTGGGAAGTCCGAATGTGCGTATGTCGTCCAGCAAGCACAAAGCAAACAGCTTTTTCGAAGGTCGTTCGACTTCCCATGGGGTATAGCTACTGGGGAAAACCATCGCAGAGCCAGGCATCGACGAAGGAATAAGAGTGTATCTCTTTTCGACAGAGACATCGTGACGCCGAGATTGGATCTCAGTATACCACTGACGCATGGTGCGTTCGTCAAGAACATCTTTCTCAATGTTAAAGCTTCCGTGGAATTTATTCTTGTCCTCTTCGTAGTTGGTTTCAGCAAACCGTGCCGGGTGTATGAAGGCAGTCAAATGGTTGTTCTCAACAAATCGCAGCATGTGGTGAAAGTACAGAACAAAGACTGACAGGCTGACTCGGGGGACCTGAAGTGTACCTGAAAGGCTGGTGACAAAGCATTCGTTTTCCCAGCCCCCTTTTTCTTCATCAAAGAATATGACAATGGCTGCGAGAGCAATGTTTAATGGAACTATGTCAGAGATGTATTTGTCAAGAAAATTGGTGACCTCGACAACCATGTCAGGTGGGAACATCAGTACGGCCATTGGAGGCCACCTCAGCATGTAGTGAAGATGCTGATAATCCTCGGAAATGCTGCCATCGCGAGATACATGTATCGGCCTGCGTAAATTAGGCCTGTGCTCATCGTCCTCTGCTGACGGGAGTATTCTGGCCACTGAAGAGGTGCTGAGTCGCTCGAAGAGTTTGAGATGTTCGCGCTTCATGATCTGAAGGAACCTTTGCTTCTCACTCGTTTCCAGGTGATTCCACAGTCCCTTTTTGATGTGCTTGAGGTTGCCTGGTATGAGTACATTTTGAAACCAAATAATACTTGTTCCACAACAGCGGCCTGAAGGGTAAGACGTTAGGGTGACGTGGGAATTGTCATCCTTGATCTGATCTGCGCGTGGTGTACTTTTCTCGACTACTTGATCCGTTGAATCAGCGGTGTCTTGTTGACCCCCTCGGTCCGGTTCGTGTCTCTGCATGATCACAGGGGAGCAGTCGAGTGCAGAAATTCCGACTACCATTGCATTGATATCGTGGCCCAGGGTGAGCGGATCATTCTCCGATATACCCAAGGCCTCCTAGGAGAACTGAGTGTTCGCTTGCATGTCCTGTTTAGAGTTTGCCACTCTGCATGCTCGAGTAAGAACTTTGTAGTCGACGACCGCTTCTGTAGGAACTCGAAATCCTGTTTCAAGTGCTGGATCATTAGGAGGATCTTGTGACCCGTCTGTCAGCACTGCTCCCTCGCGGGGCAGCCATAACATTCGATCGCAACAACCCAAGGTGAAGACCTTGATGGGCTCTTGTGGTTGCTCGTCATCTGCGAATTGTTCTGAGAGTGATATCTCACCACGCTCATCGCTGCTTGTCACCTCCGGTTCTTCGGAAGGCTTGACCCATTTCCCTGGACCACCTGGAGGGTCTTGTAACCAACGCTCTTCATCCATCAAGTCATTCAGATGTTTTTGTGGCAGATAGACGTCAAACGCGAGAGATTTGAAGTAAGTGTCGTCATTTCCTTTCAGTCTTACGTCGTCTTTGGCTTCCACAATCAGGTTACGATCATGAGAGACGGCGGCCATGGTGTCGGCTATACTGCCAGACGCGAACTGAGAGTGTTTGGTAAAAAACGATGTAGATGTGTTGTGATGGCCGGATTTTGTGTAGTATGGTCACTGGATGGCGAGAGGTCTCCCGCTTGTTCAGTGTTGTGACGATCAACGTTGCTTGGTAGATTGTTCCTTTTGGGGTACTGATTGGGAAAACAGAAAACTATTGGTAGGTGAATGAGATTCTAGACTAGGTAGGTTAGCATAAACCGCGTTCCGATATGCCTATTGTAAATGTTTACCCTTGTTGTCAAAGTCGGGCGTGGCCGCGTGGGAATCCGTGTATCGCTTCGAAGTAGGTAGGTAGGAGGAACAGGCGTAGAGCCCGGAGCCTTGCGAGGGTCCGTTCGTTTCTGCTCTACCTCTTATCATGCAGAGTAAAGGTGCACCTACTACTCTTGGAAGTGGTAGAAGAAATACCTGATATATTGTGAGCATGCTGTTATTTAGGTAGGTGGTTAATGTCGTGATCGGCTCATACCTTCAAATGTGTTTGACGTGTGATGCTGAAGTCAGAATGGAGGAGTGAAAACAAAACATCTTTTCTAAAGATCTACTCTATTAGATATTGGAACTTTTTCACGGCACTGTACTCACCAGGTTATCCGCCAGTGACTGACACTGCTTCGCACTTGCGACAGCTCCACCAGACAACAAACGCAAATGTACCTGCCCAGGTTTCCTCAACTGGATATTGTTGCCTAAAACGAAATTCTAGATTGTATTTGGTTGTTTGTTTGTTCGTTTGTTTACACACTCATGAGTCACAATCAACACACACGTCAAAACCGACAAACTCTTATGATTTGAACTCTTATATAAGGGACCGCAGCAGAAACCAACGGGATAACAAAATGTCTACGACAGTCAAAGAATCTGCCTCCAACGTACCTTTCACGCTACTGGATTGGATAGCTGGATACCGCTCAAGGGTTGTTCCAGCCAAGAGAAGCTCACAGTTCTCCTCGTCTGCGTCTTTCCTCTTCTACTCAACTGAGCTCACCGACGCGGCAGCTGGTGACGATGAGGGAGAGTTACCCAAATCCTCGATGAGGTCTAGGACGATATCGTGAGTCTTCCTGCAGATAATGTCCAAGTGCCCCTTGCTGACGATGGTTTCCCATAAAGTAGAAAACATACCGAACCAAACCCTAGCCCCATTTCTGGATCAAAGAGCACTGTTAGGCTCTTACCATATCGTTGTGCTGTAGTAGCCATGATATGTGCGAACTACGAAGTCTTGACAAGATGCTGTCAGGATATTTTGACTGCCAAAACCGATGCCCAGAAAGCCTCCCGGAGAGATTAAGGGTCAAACATGAGCACCACGCCGACGACCTGGAGATTGGGCAAGTCTACGTGGGCTACTCTGCTTTATTGCTTGAGGATGCCTACCTAAAGATCGACAAGAATACTGCAAACCCCAGTATCGATTTGATGGTATTCATCGGTACTCGTACAGAACCATCAGGCCAGTCATGTCACAAGAACATCATCTACCACGAGAATGCTCTTGTTCCAGGCAATATCCGACACATGAAAGCTGCAATGCATGGTTCTCTAAGCAAGGAGGAGGGTTGTGTATTCATTGAACGCTGGATGCGAGAACGACGAAACATTCTAGCTGGAGGATGTCCCTCACGTCGCAAAGGTTTCAGTTTCGGATCGAGACAACAGAAGACCGTATGCCGCCTCGCTATACCAGATTGAGAGTGTCGATGTGCATTACAAACTAATGTACAGTGGGCGTGCAAAAGTTCCGACAATTTTCTCCCTTTCATATTTTATATAATCTTATATGATCTTATCCTAACACTTTACATCAAGTCTCCTAAAAAGATTATATAAGATTATATAAAATATGAAAGCGAGAAAATTGTCGGAACTTTTGCACGGAACTGTGTACGATGAGAACACCGGCCCTTCTTCCCGACGGCACATTTACCTACCCGTCAAGGTTTCAGGGCTGAGTTGTTCTCGCAGAACAAGAACATAAAGAAGTCAAGGGCTCAAGTCGCAGAGGTTCCAATGGCCGTGTTTATCATACATTTCAGCCACTTCCTACGTTTCACCGAAAGCCGTTGCTTAACAAGATACCCTCATCCACTGCGTTGGGCTTTTGTAAAGTATGCTAAAGACGTCAAGAGATCACAGGAGTTTTCCATCAAGGAAGAGTCCCTAGATCAAAAAAGGCTCCTGCAGCTCGCAGGGCAAGTGAAAGGACTCAATGAGGTTGACCCCCAGCAACGAATGCAGCTACTTCCGCAATCTATGCCAGGGACTCGGATGACATAGCCGGCCGACCCGTGTGTAGGGGCCTGCTCACCGTCCTTTGCAGTTTTTAACAACTGTCTCTTGAACGACGAAAGGACAATTGGTTTGAACAGTTACCAACCCCGTGTCCCGAATGCTCCCCTGAGGAGGCTCGGAGCGCCCTTGAGGCTGGCCATGCATTGGCACAGAGGCCTGGAGGATATCGATCAATGCTTGGATGACTTCCCACCCCTCAGGTACTGGATGCCTCAGTACCAGTCTCCTATTCCATCCCTGACAGGATTCGCTCAAAAGATTGGGCCAATACTTAGTGCCTCGACTCATCTTGTCCCCCCAAATGACTTCTCGTATGGTACTAAGCCACGTCAAGACGCACAGCTACGTCAAGACGAAGAGCCAGACCAGGACCAAGAGCCAGACCAGGATTTTAACGTACTGATGCATCCTCCAAACTTGGTGAAGATTGTATCAGAAGAGATACGGCAGGATGCTGAGGCGTGGAACACGGCGATTGAGAAACTCGCGACCGCTAAAGGCAAGAGTTTACGGTACGATCCTGCTAAAATGATCACAACCTACGATGTTTTCGAAAGTGATCTCGCAAAAGCAACATATGATGGCACTCTCAGTACCATTTTAATGCATGGTCGTCTACCGGATCTCCCGACCCTCCCAACAGCAAAGCAACGGAAGCTCAGCCATTCAGCTCAGGATCTTCAAAGAAACACAGCCCCTAAAGATGAACAGCTTTTAATTCCTGAAGAAGAGAAATTGGTACGCATCAACGACATCTTGGGTCTACCATTCCGGGCCAATGGTTGGTACAACATACCAGGTATTCTGGAAGCAGATTATGCGACAACGAGCAATGTAGCCGTGTGCATCGATATAGATCAAATGAGTAGTCGCACTAGATATATTGACAACTCCCGTTTCCGAGGAATGATCCACGCAGACACACCAGGCTTCGGGAAAACTCTGTTTGCTCTTGCAGCAATTGTTGTATCAGCCGGGTTAACTGGTAGCATCAATGGTCTATATATTCATCGCCCCTCTTTCGTGCTGCCGTGAGTGGATGGCAGAGATCGAAAATTCCTTTGGACAGGTATGTGCCAATAGACAAGTTGCTGGAAGTAATGCTGTCGATATATACTGATAAAGATACATAGTGAAATGCCGACGCTCTGCCTTCTTGGGGAGTCTGTATCCCCAACTGACTTATGGAAATACAGGGTTGTGATCACCTCATACATGTCATTAATATATTACGACTGGGTTATATCCTAGACGACGAGCAGGTCCCCTATAGCGGACACACCCCCATCTCTATACAATGCTCATCTCCATCGACAGTGGCTCAACCGACTAGAGCACGGCAATCCAGGTTGCCTTACAATGCCGGGAAATTTCGTGACGCCATGGGGTTGGAGACATCAAAATCGAGATTAAAGAATCTCGTATTGTCCCCGCCGTCGGACATGATCGACTTACCTCAAGTCCTCTTCCAAAGAGACCAATGTTTGTCCTGCTTTCCGGTCCTGTTGGAGAACGGCTAGTTCTTGACGAGGCACATGCCATCAAGAACCGAGAAAGCCGTCATTCCATCTCGACACTGAGATGTCACTTTAACATCTGTCTCATGATGACAGGCACGCCACTAGATAACAAGAGGGATGACGGATATATATATGCTTCTCTGACGACGCCGACGATGGCGCAAATCTGTCCGAGTGGCGAAGGAGCGAAAGGCCGAGAAGGAAATGGCTGACATGAAAGATGAGTACACCAAGCTCAATGAGCATGAAGCTGAAGAATCCAACCGGGGCAATTGCAGAGACAATTTCAAGAAGAAGGGATGAGTATGCTCGGCGGCAATCCTCCGACGAGCTCCCTGCTGTTCAAAGCAGCATTCCTGAGAAGCTTGTCGTCAGGCCCTAGACACCCCGAAGATCATCACAAGGCTCGGTTCATTCAGGTGTTAGACGCAGTCAGTCTTAGAAGGCCTATGTCAACCATCACGGCCGCGCAGCCCCGAACGAGCTATACACCGTCGACGCAATCACGAATCACTCGATCGACACCGACGACTATACGGTCGAATTTGAAGTACGTTGGGAAGGCGGGGAGGTGACTTACGAAGACGAGTCCGATATGCAGCAAGACGTTCCCGAAATGGTCTACGCCTATTGGGAATGCCTTCTCCAGCCTCAACCAGACTGTGATTGTCAGGTTTCCTCTGGACCTGGAGGACCTGAAAAGGTCCAACCACGCCTTCAAAAGGTACAAGAGGGCCATGCGCCCAATCAACGGCGTGCGCAGGAAAGGTGCTGGGTGGGAGCATCTTGTGACAGCTCACCAGTATGCGTACCATCGCATGCTGGTTGAACTCCGTTTCGAAAGACATGCCTTCGAAAGAGCCATGCGGCGCAACGAAGCGGTGGACACCTTCGAGGAGGGTGACCAGGTTACGACTTAACAACTCATCAAATGGAGGGAGAGACTAGAGGACAACGAGAATTGGCTTTCTCGACGCATAACAGTGGTGCTGGACGTTGTCGACCAACACAAAGATCGACATGATTGAGAGGATACAAATAAAGAATCGACTGGGGAGTTTCTACTAGTGACTGGACAAAAGGTCTAATAATCCCCTCTAAAGGTTTATGTAAAGTCTCATAAACTACATTAAAGAGAAATAATATTTATAATATTTAAAGAAGTTTTAGTAAGGTTATAAGAATTATATAAAATTATATAATTTATAAGAAAGATATAAAAAGAATTTTAATAAAGTCATATAAATTATATAAAGTTAGAAGAGTTTATTAAACCTCTATTAAGTTTAGAAAGTATGAATATTAGTCAGTCACTTTTGCACAGAACTATCACGAAGTCCCTCAGAGTGCTCATGATCAAGTCCGATTCCACTGTTTTGCATGGCAGGAGTTCTATATCATAGGTCATATCCTTGGCCTTGTCGCTTAGGATAATCTCTATTGCCTTATAGTTTTGTTCAAACTCGTGAGACCAACTTGTGAACTGGAAGGAACGACATCCCGGTTTCCTGTCAAGCCAGCAGTAATCATGACTCCAAGTCGCCCAGACGTGTTGAAAACGCAAGATCCTGAATCCCTCACTTTTGAGAAAGGCGAGTCATCCTCCGCATCTATGCAACACTCTCGAGACACGAAATGAGAGCCACTCGACGGCGGTTGGCGAGTGATGGATTCGATACCGGTGCTGACTTCCTCGATGAAGCCGGTTTTGGCGCCATGCTTCACGAGAGTGATACGAGACTCATTTAACTCGGCTTCGGGAATCAAGTCTGTAATAAGAGTGATCTTGGGGCTAATAGTTGGTAGCCGGAGAGCTGGACCATACTGATTAGTCGTCCAAGGTTTGAGGTTATGGGCAGTTTGTTCTTCAGCGAAGATATGGGGGAAGGATGTTTATCCTGGTGCAACTCAATAAGGGCCCAGTCTCTGAGTCGCTCTCCTAATGCCGATTCGACAAGTCTTGACGAATGTGGAAGGTCGATATGGCCAATGATGTAATCTTTCCGGCCGCATTGCTAACTGAAGGTAGACTTGAGAGGCGATATCTTGGCTCGTTCTTCCTCGTGCGATTGAAGATAGAGTGTGTTGTTCTCTTGTGCTTTATAGACCGGAAGTTCGAAGACGGGCTGCCTCTGTATAGGCAGCGTACTTTTCCTCAAACTCTTCTGCAAGTTCATTAAATGTAACTTGCCCTGGCTGGATGACAGTGCGAGCATGGGTGTCGTCGTGTTGATGCTGGATATTGACATCGCTGTTTCCGGATATGACATGACGGCAGGTGAGGGCATATGTCTTGTTCATGTCTTTGTCTCGGAGAAAGAGACTCTTGGTGCCCGCCTTGAAATGGTGCTTGAATGAAGCTAGCCCTGTCCCGGTGTACTCGGTGAAGTGATGGCTGGATTTGTATATAGTATCCTCGTAGGTCTGATGGCCGCGCTGGTGTAGAATCATTTCGTTAAGGAGCCCAGAGAGGATTTTATTGGATGTTGTTGCTTCTCCCTCGAGTTACAGGTGAGTTGCTCACAGTTTTGTTTATCTTGAAAGGAGCCGGCGGTTAGTTGCTCTCCTTCCTTCTTGATTTCAGTTGAGCCAGGGTTTTGCGCGAAACCGATGAGCTCTCCTTCCTTTATTTCCACACCCAAACTATTGTGGTCCAAGTAGGGGAGAATACCTTTGCATTTGAGAACCGCTGTATATCCTTGCGTCAAAAGCGTAGAGTCTTTGGTGACGGAAATGAGCATCGTGGCTGGACTCAAGGACGGTAGGGATGTTCCCGTCCTCTGAGACGCCGACACGAAGGATATCGATGAGTTTCCGGTCTAAGAAGAATTCAAGTAAAATAATAAAGATTACATTAAGTTAGTAGATTCTTACTAATTTTTTACGTATTATTAGGATTTCTTGGATTTTATTACAATATATTAAACCTCAAACAAATTTAGAAGAGAGGAAATTATCAGTCACTCTTGTACAGACCCGCACACCAGCCTACCAGATTTAGCGTTTGGGCAACACTCAATTTGAGTTAAGCTTAAATTCAGGCTTTTCAAGTTATTAGATCAACAGTCACTTCGCTCAGCAGGGCTCTCTACTACGTAGCTATACTGTATTCCTTACACTATCCGATGCAGACGTCGTTAAACACTGGAAGATGGCATGAATGCAACAAGCAGAACTACATCAAACACGAGACAATACAATGAAGCATCGATGCACATGAGAGTTCGCCATTCAGCTCCGGGCATGTCATGTTCTTCTTTCGGAAGATCACCGCCTCTTCTCAATTGCCGTCTCTCCCTACCGACAGTTCGATCGTGGGGTGTTGCATCCCTACGATCAGCGGCATAATGTCCGCTTTGAAGAGAAATCCATCCCCAGCTTCGGGATGTGGACGGCTACACCAACCCCAATTCCACCTCCATCACCAACTTTGCGGCGTCTGCGGCCTGCAATTACAAATTAGAGGCAAATCTTCGGCAAGAGAGTTCTTGTGACGGATGAAATCTCCAGATCTTATTAGCCCATCAGGCTTGGCTGGCAGTTGCATCCACTACCGGTGATACCTGTTGGATCATGCAAACCCATGGGACTCATCGTATAAGTGCCCAGACTAACCAGAGAGGCGGGATCTCCCCATAAACGTCCTTCCGAACCCCAGGCATTTTGTTCTTGGTGTCATGGGATTTGCAAAAGGGCCGAAAACTTATATGGGCTCCCCGCATGTTTAAACGGTTTAGAGCCATCTTTGTCCCCAGATTATCCCCGCGCTGTGGCACCAGAGTCATGAGCGACACGGCTTTTGACTAAGAACCACCAGGTTTTCTTCGGACTATATTCTTGGCATTGTGGGAACTACTTTTGACTTCCGGTCGTGACTGGCTCTTCATCATCGGCGAACTGGTTCGGTGCCGTTTACGATTGGGTCGGAGTCCGGACAAGATACTCAACTGCTCCTGATCTTTGCTATGCCAAGAGAATGGTCGTGAGAGCACACCTCATGTTCAGAATTTGAACTTGATCTACAAGGATCGAAGAGGTCGGTCCGAATCAAGGTCGCTGATGATGGCCTTTGCTTTCCGTTCTTGACTAACACGACGATGTGAAAGCATGTTAGTGGGATTGGAGAGCCAAGAACTTTGGAAGACAGAAAGAGGTTGGTACGGGACTTGAGTATATAAGACGGAAGGAGCAACCAGCCTCTTGTAGGAAACCAGTTGCTCCAAGGACTCGGGCTTTCACGACAACTCTACTTCATACCATATCCTCAATCATCCACCATGTGGTCCAGTCTACTCCTTCTGGGAGGCGTCTCTATGAGCATTGCCAATCCAATTGCTCGACAAGATGCCAATCCCCCATACAGAAACAAGACTCTGTGTCTCGACAAGCGTGTCGATGACCTCATGTCGCGCATGTCCCTCGAAGACAAGGCCGGACAGATGTTCCACGGCCGCACTGTCGTTGTCAATAATACTTTTGACGAGACTATTGAAGAATTTGTTACCGGAAAGCGCATTACTCACTACGTTCTGAGTGGGGGCGTGAACGATGTTCGGGGCGTGGCCGCATGGCACAACAAGCTTCAAAGACTGGCATTGAGTACGCCTCTGGGTATTCCCATCACCATTTCTTCAGATCCTCAACATGGCTGGGTTAACGACGAGGCCGTGAGCGTTGTAGCGAAGGGTTTCTCTAGGTGGACTGAGCCTCTTGGCCTCGCCGCTATCCAGTCACCCGAGCTTATCCGTACGTTTGCTGAGATTGCTCGTGAGGAGTATACCGCTGTTGGAATTCGACAGGCTCTGCATCCTCAGGTTGATCTTGCTACTGAGCCTCGTTGGGGTCGTATTACTGGTACAATGGGAGAGGATGCCAACTTGACAAGTGCGCTGCTGGTCGAGTATATCAAAGGATTCCAGGGGGACAAGATCGGTCCCAACTCAGTAATAGCGACTACCAAGCACTTTCCCGGGGGTGGAAGTATGGAGAACGGCGAGGATTCGCACTTCCCTTGGGTAAACAAACCTCTTATTACTATATGAACACTCTCTAACAATGTGGCTTAGGGGAAGAACCAGACTTACCCAGGTAACAACCAAGACTACCATTTAATCCCTTTTAGAGCAGCTATCGCTGCTGGCACAAGGCAGATGATGCCCTACTACTCTCGTCCTATCAATACGTCGTGGGAAGAAGTAGCCTTTGGCTTCAACAAGGGCGTTGTCACTGATCTGCTCAAGAATGAGCTCGGCTTCAAGGGTATCGTTGTCACAGACTGGGGCATCGTTACTACCCGTTTCTGGGGCCTGGAGGACAAGACTGAGCTTGAGCGTGCTCGTCGTGTGCTTGAAGCTGGATGTGATATCTTCGGCGGCGAGACAAAGCCCGAGCTTATCATCGAACTTGTCAACAAGGGCCTTGTATCTGAAGCTCGAATCGATGAGTCTGTTCGTAAACTGATGAGGGAGAAGTTCGAGCTAGGTCTCTTTGACAACCCTTTCGTCGATGTTGAGAGAGCTGTCCGCATTGCTGGAAATGACTATTTCAGCCGCCTTGGAAACGAGACACAACGTCGTGCTTTTACTCTTCTTACCAACAAGGACGACATCCTACCTCTTCCTCTCGCCGCTCTCGACGCCAAATTTTACATTGAGGGCATTGAACCCGAGGCTCTGAAGGCCCGCAATCTCACAGTCGTCGACGAGCCTGAGGACGCTGACTACGCATTCCTCCGCATCGCATCACCCTTCAAGCCTACTACAGCACCCGGACTTCCCCAGACCATCAACAATGGCAGCATCGAGTTTAACACGACTGAGAAGGCTCGCCAGGCCAAGATCTACGCGACGCTCCCTACCGTGGTGGACATCAGACTCAACCGAGCCGCTGCAGTGCCCGAAGTTGCTGAGCAGGCGGCTGCCTTGTTTGGCAGCTACGGCAGCAGCCCCGATGCGTTCCTGGATGTTGTTTTCGGCACAGATGGTTGGGGTCCTGAGGGACATTTGCCATTCGACCTGCCTTTGTCTCAGGCGGCGGCGGATGCGGCGATGGAGGACGTTCAGTATGATACTGAGGCTCTGTTCAGGTTTGGACATGGATTGAGATATAAGGATACATGCGCGAGTACATAGGTTTGGGATGAGGATATGAGATGATGTGAGACGATAATGACATAGCTTGGCATGATGATGGCTACTTCATAATAAAGCTGTTTTGTGGATCAGCAGATGAGAATAGAACACATGTTTGTTAATGTCTATGTTGCAATAGCTGTGGTGACAGAAGCGTGTATAAGGGTCGATGGAGACATGACCGAGTTTGTGTTGTTCACTAACGCTGCACGTCGTCGAATGCATTCTCTGATCCATCAACTAATACATTCCAGTACAAGAATTCTATAAACCTTAGAAGAGAGGAAGTTATCTGAACTTTTGCACACCTACTGTACCTACCCCATAACATGCTGCATTACATATGGGGCGTATATATGCAAACATACGTGTGAGACCAAGTGTCTCAATTGTCTTGGGTGGATGGCAGCGGGTTAAGGGCCTACAGTGGTGAAAACCAATCAAACAAGACAGAAACAGTTCAAAGCTTCTGAAGCTATGTTTCGCAATCTCCGGTGACTGGTCAATGCTGCTTTGCCAACTCAGATTACGGAGCATAGGACAGCCAGCCTATGAGGCCATGACAAGCCGCAAGTAGAGTGAGGCCAGAAGGATCTCTGGACTGTCCAAATATTCGGCAGAAAATGCCGGTAAAATTCAGTTCTCTTGAGGGATGCCCTTAGCGGAGATAACAGCGGGCTTTACCCATTGTTGAGATTTCATGGCCGAAGCCACAGTCACATGCAGGGGACGACTCTGAGTGAAGGCTTTCTCTCTCAACAAAAGGATACACTCGGCACTACCGGCGAGTCACGTGAGAACTGCTTCTTCTAGATTCTGTTGACGCAAGCCCCTGTTGGAACGCCAGAAGACGCAAGGATTGGATGCATCCAGTGTAAGCCCTGCCGGAGCAGCTGTTATTCCGCTCCGAATGCGGCGAACCCCGGTCAGCCGGAGATGGAGCTAAGCCCGCTCTTCCGCCTGCGTAGATGTACTTGACATTCATCCAATCCCATCACAACTGTACTGTACTGTACTCCGTAGTCTGTACGGATAGGATACACTACCCTTAAACACGACCACACCCTTTCGCCATTAGCGGGCAGCGCCTCTTCTCTTGGAGAATCTCGACTTTACATCCACTCTGTCTTTTTCTTCATCAACAACATACGCATTGCTTGCTGTACCGCCTTTTACCCCCTCGATATCGATACCTTGCGCCGATTAAGAAATTATAACTTGCACCCTATCCGCCACATCTGATTAATCCATCCACTCTCGACTCCAGCTCGCTATGAGCGCTTCCTCCAACGTCGCTCGCAGGGCGGTTGCCCGGAACCCCTTGATGGGAAATGGTGAGCACCGCCGTTTTGTTCCATACTGTTTTCTCCGTACTAATTCTTGTCCAAAGCCCGGGCTCTCTCGCGAGGTGTTACTCCGGCCATTCTTGGTCGCCACGTCAGTCGACATGCCAAAATCCCCGCCATTGCTCTATTGATTCCGCGGTCAATGAGTACCGATCATCACCGACCCGATGCCTCTTCTTCTGGCCCGCCCCCGGGATTCAATGCCGAGCAGGCTAAGAAGCCGCTTCCCAAGGATGCCAGCGGTTCCCTGGTCGCCAAGAAGGAGGATAAGAAGCTTGAAGCAAACCCCACGGGATCCGCAGTACTGAAGCCAGCCGATGCCGCAGCCACACCCAAGTCCGATTCAGCAGAAATTGTTGCCACCAAAGAAGGTGTGATGGAAAAGGGCGATGCCGCTCAAAAGGCAAAGGAGGAGAAGAAACTCACTATCTGGGAGAAGGTCAAGAAGGAGGCTCACCACTACTGGGATGGATCTAAACTGATGGCCGCCGAGGTCAAGATCAGTTGGCGGTTGGCTCTCAAGATGGCGGCCGGATACGAGCTTACCCGTCGTGAGAACAAGCAGCTTCAGCGAACAGTCCAGGATCTCGGCCGGTTAGTGCCTTTCTCAGTCTTCATTATCGTGCCTTTGGGTGAGGCTCTTCTGCCCCTTGCCCTCAAGCTCTTCCCCAACATGCTTCCCAGCACGTTTGAGGGTCAAAAGTCAAAGGAGGCCAAGGCCACTCTTTTGCGATCAACACGTAAGGAAGTCAGTCAGTTCCTAAGACAAACACTGGGCGAGTCTGGCCTACCATTGAGCCAAGCAACAACGCAAAAAGAGGAGTTCTCCAACTTCTTCCGCAAGGTGCGTGCCACCGGCGAGGCCCCCACAGCCCAGGACGTTATCAAGGTCTGCAAGGTCTTCCGCGATGATTTGACCCTGGACAACTTGTCACGACCCCAGCTCGTCTCCATGTGCCGCTACATGAACCTCAACACATTCGGAACCGACATGATGCTCCGATACCAAATTCGCCATCGTATGCGCCAGATCAAGCGTGACGACAAGGCCATCAGTTACGAGGGTGTTGACAGCCTGACTGTTGCTGAGCTCCAAGCAGCCTGTGCTGCCCGCGGCATCCGAACACACAGCGTCTCTCCCGCACGCATGCGAGCTGATCTTCAGACTTGGCTCGACCTCCGACTTAAGGAGGGTGTCCCCTCAACACTCCTTGTTCTGAGCAACGCCTATATGTACGGTCAAGGCTCGGGCGAGGGTTACAACCAGGTTGACGCACTGATTGGTGTCATGTCTGCCATTCCCGAGGAGCTTTACCACGAGATTGAGCTCGAGGTTCACAGCGCCGAGGGTGCTGCCACCAACAAGCAGCGACTTGAGGTTATCAGGGAGCAGCAGGAGCTCATTGAGGATGAGGCGGAGCAAGATCAGGCTAGTCAAAGCTCTGGTTTCGCCACTCCTCGAGACACAGATGATATCGACGAGAAGGAAGAGAGAATTGCACAGGCCCAGGCTGAGGGTCTTGGCAAGAAGCAGGTCACTGAGATGGTTGAGGCCGAGATGGAGCTGGCCAAGGCCGCCGAGTCTGCCGCTTCACTAGAGAAGGAGATCCATGCGAGCTCTGGGCCTTCAAAGGAGCAGAAGTAGGTGATGATAGAGGAAGAGTGAGCTTATAGCTCCATGTACCATGACTTGGAGGTGTTGTGTTTCATATGTATGACTGTATGGTATGATATGGCATCAGGGCGGGATGGGATAGGCGCTGTATAAAACTGGCCCGGCATTGAGAGAACCGGAGATTAACTACTACTTTTTTTGGGATAGACCACTCTCGACGCTAGGAAGCAATAGATTCCACTGAATGATTTATTTGTATATACTTGTTTCTGTTAATTGAGAGCGAAGAATGTGCTCATCGATCCAATATGTGAAGTGGCTTTGAATAGAGTGCTAATTAACTGGTGCCTGTAGACCCTGAAGTGAGCTGCGTCATCGTCTTTGGTGATGTAGATCCTGGTAGAGGGGTACTTCTGTGGCGATACGGTGATGCAGCAACAGCTATCAAAGATGAGCTACAATAGTCGCAAGATGATTGAAATGTTAGGAGGTCTGAATATGATATCGAGTAAATTCGTATTGGTTTCACAATAGAAAGAACGAGATACAGCAGCTGAACATATTTGAGCCTACAAGCTCATCTCTATCTTATAGTGGTCCCTGCGCCACACCCCAGCTCCCCACGTCTTAGCACCCGCCGAGCTTCGACTCCCGCCAACTCCGCCCACTTCCTCTCACTCTCACATTAACATCACACCTCTTTTCTCTCGAGTCTCTCGACTATATCTGCAGTTCTATTCACAACCGGGACTTCTACGCACGAACCATACAGCCATACTGCGAATCTTTACACATTGGCCTCGCGCTGCCCCGCAATGACGGTCATGGAACAAGAACAGCAACAACAGTCGGATGACTTCTCAAACGTCACTTGGAGCGAACATGTCCACGAGCAGACTTCTCGCTCTGTTCCCGAGGCGGAGGAGCCCGGTCATGATCTGAATGCGCCTGGTACGGGCTTGGAAAGAGATGCTCCGTCCTTGGGAAACGAGAGGTTGGACTGTACTGTCGATACGCCCATCAAGGAAAATGATGGCACCAAGGATGCGTTTGTCTCATATCTCATCACTACACACGTATGTAACCAATCTTCTCTTGATCTGTTTCTATACTGACCAGTCCAGTCTACATTCTCTTCTTTCGCGCGCTCAACTACCACCGTCCGCCGTCGCTTTACAGACTTCGTTTTCCTCTACAAACAGCTCACCCGCGAGTATCCCGCCGCCGCCGTCCCTCCTCTGCCCGACAAGCAGCGCATGGAGTATGTCCGCGGCGACCGCTTCGGCTCTGACTTTACCGTCCGCCGCGCGCACTCTCTGCACCGCTTCCTGATCCGTCTATCACTCCACCCCACGCTGCGCCGCGCTCCGATCCTGCACACCTTCCTCGAGAGCCCCGACTGGAACGCCACTATGCGCAGCCGGGGTGCGCGCGGAAGCTCCGCCAGCGACCCCGGATCTGCGGGGGTATTTGACAACTTTGCGGATACGTTTATCAATGCTTTTACGAAGCTGCATCGTCCGGATCGTCGCTTTCTTGAGGTCAAGGAAAAGAGCGATAAGCTTGATGATGATCTTGGTCACATTGAGAAGGTTATTGCTCGTGTTGCTCGACGTGAAACGGATCTGGAAGTGGACCTGCACGATCTTGCAGAGCAGTTCCAAAAACTCATTCCTCTTGAGCCCCATGTCGAGTCCGCTGTTCATGGGTTCTCTGCGTCTATCGAGGACTCGGCGACTCACCTGCGAAAGCTAAAGGATGTCACCGACCAAGATTACCTCGGCTCGCTACGAGACATGCAAGCATATTCTATCGCTCTCAAGAACCTCCTCAAGGCCCGTGAGCAGAAGCAGCTCGACTACGAACAACTCATCGAATATCTCAACAAGTCCACAACAGAGCGCGACACGTTACAGTCGGGCCACGGCGGCGGCTCCGGCGCAGGAAGCTTCCTCCGCTCCAAGATCGAAGACGTCCGTGGCGTAGACCACGAGCAAGCCCGTCGCGAGCGCACCCGCAAGCTAGAACTCCGCGTCGAAGAGCTCACACACGAAGTCGAGAGCGCGCGCAAGACGAGCGACATGTTCGACGACGAGGTGGTCAAAGAAGTGGCTGACTTTGAACGCATCAAGCGGATCGAGATGAAGTCACAGCTGGGCGGCCTCGCGGATGCGCACATTGAGTTTTACGGAGAGGTGGCGAGTATTTGGGAAAAGTACGTGCAGGAGATGGAGAAGGAGGGCATTGTGAGCGCTTAAAGCAGGGGACTACTGCTACCTGTGGGACTGGCGTTTATTGGGATATGGCGTTTGGGCTGGTAGACGATGGATGAAAGATGAGGGACCGACTAAGTAGTCTAACTGGACTGGAATAAAGATATCATTTATAGCTTCTGAATAGTGATACAAGTGAAAACCGATGCTAGCGGGCTAACTACAATCCTCGTAAAGGTAGTCGAGGCATTATCGCACACCTTGGCAAGACTTGAATCACCAAACTTGGTCGGTTTACAACAGCCAGTGTACCAATGTGTCATTCTTATAAAGTTGAACCGAACGCCATCCAACATCTATTGACCAGAACAGTATACCAACAGAGATGAATCGATTTTAACTCCGCTTACCCATGCAAAAAGCGCCGAGAGTTGTAGTGGTGCCTGAGCCGTGTTCTAAGAATTGCCTAAGCTCTGCCTCCACGACCACCACCCAATGGTCTTGTCTCGCCCCTCGCATCACTGCTTTCGTCGCTTTCATCGCTATCATCACTATCATCGCTGTCGTCTCCTACAGCATAATGTTGCGTATCATCGCCTGCCAACCGTTCGCTTGAACGCTCGCGGTTGTCTCTGTAACCCTCGAACTGCTGCTCGTCATCGCTACCCTCAGCAAAAGCATCGTAAAGCTCTCCACCACGAGTCCTGCGAGGCTTGTTGCCGGCTACCTTTTCGCCTGCCCTGAGACCCTCAGCCTCCTCCTCGTCGATGAGCTCGAATTCGTAGTTGTTGTGGGAGGTGTTGCGGAGACGACGGCGACGGGCGATCCAGAAGTAGATACCCAGGCCGATGCAGAAGGCTCCGATGAGACCGACTGCGCCGTAGATCCAGACTTGAGCCTTCTTGGAAGCGCCGAAGGTTGGGAGCCATGACACCCACGATGAAGCTTGGGTCGTTTCCTGGACAGTTTCTTGCGTGCTCGAAGGCTTCTCCTCCTCAGTATTGCTAGGTCGAGCGGGCTTGGTTGGTCGCGCAGGGTGATCGGAAGGATGGTCAATCAGAGTAGGCTTGGTTGCAGGAGGAACTGTGGTTGTGGAAGCGGGAAGTGTTGTAGTTGAAACGATCTTATCGTGGTCTTCATCATCGTTGGCGTTAGGCATAGGCAAGAGTGTTGCCTTGTCCGCATCGATAGCTTCGCCCCAAAGCTTCAGACGCCAATCGGTGAACTTGCCCTTGTATGAGTTCTTCTCAGTGTCTCGGACAATGATTGTCCACTTTCCAACACCAGTTTCTCCCCTATGAATTGTCAGAATATTCAGGCTAGTGAAACACCAGATACTTACCAGTGTGCAACACTCATAAAGGTCCAGTCAACATATCCTTCCTCCTTGGCATCGCTCCTTCGTGCAACTGCAAGATGGCTTACGACGTTGTCAGGGCTGATAAGATCAACGCTGATATCTCCACGTCGTGTGTGCTCAACGTTCATAGTGACAGTGACGTGCTCCACGCGAGCCAGATTAGAGTCTTTGAGTTGATCCTTGGACACATCAAAAGCCACACTCAAACCATCTCGACCCTCAGGAATCGACTTCTTGACGTGAATCCAGGGAGAAAAGAACCACGACTGGGGCTTGACCAGCTCCCAATCCTTGGCCTTCTCGACCAAAGCCCAAGAATCAATCTTGCCATACCCAAAGGTGTGACTGAACTTTTTGCCGATCGTTGTGTTCTGTTGATTGTCCTCGTCGCCCTCGATGGGAAGTGCGGTATCCATAGCGAGGTACTGGAGATCTCTCCAAGTAAGATCAGGACGAACCTGAAGAACGAGGGCAAAGATACCAGCTGCAAGGGGCGCAGCAGCAGATGTGCCACCATGGGCCTTGTAACAGCTGTTCTTTCCAACATCGGTGGTGTGCTGAGGCGGTTAGTCAAGGAATTCATGTTCAGAAAAGAAGACTTACAATAGCATCACCACTTCCACTACTATAAGTAACTACCAGTTGAGCGGAGCACTCTTCCGAGTAGTAAGGATGGAGTCCAGTCCTATCGACAGCTCCAACTGTGATACTGTAAATGGAGTTGGTGTATCCATCAAAGTTACAGTTATCGCCCGCACCAGCACCGTTGCCGCTGGCAAAGACATAGATGGAGCCAAGACCGCTTCGTCCCTTTTGAATCGCTTTGAGCATAGCTCGTCGAATAACCACATCAGGTGCCTCCATGGTCTGGCCATCATCGGAAGGACCCCATGAGCATGAGTAAATATGGTTGTCGTCGTACTTGTACATCAGAGCCTCCGCCTCATCAGCATCACTGATTAGCTTACTAAGAATTCGGAGTCCTGCGACCTTGGAATCATAAGCAACGCCGACACCGCACACATCGTTGCGGGCAGCTGCTACTTCACCAGCGCAGCGAGTACCGTGTCGATCGTCGTCCAGTACGGGGGCAGGCACGGGATCGTTGTCATTAAAATCCCATGAGCCTTCAGCGAAGTAGTTGGGCTTAAGATCATCGCTGTTCATATCCAAACCATCATCTACCACGGCCACAGTGACGTTCTTTCCTGTGATGCCGTCCAGCCAAAGGCCTGTCACATTGACATCGTGGCCAATTTGGGTGGGGTTCAAGAGATGCCACTGCTCCTTGAAAATGGGATCCTGAATATCGAGCTCCTTCATGATTGTCGCTTGGTATTGGCTCATCAGGTCCCGAGCTGCAACATCTTTTGTTGATCGGAGGGCGGCTAGGTGTGAAAGCGAGTCTCGCGGGGGTGGAGGAATCTCTCGTTTGAACAGATGCTGCCGTGCTTGTTGCTTCTTGGACAAAAGGATGCCGTCGACCGGATCAGAGCCACCAAGATCACGTTTCCTTCTCTTGCGCTCTGTTATTTGTCTTTTAACAATATCGTGGTCGACCTTGGGGGCGCGGAAAACATGATGGTCGTCGAGCGCACCGAGCTGACCCTCGTGAGCAAATCCGAGTCTGCTGGCGACTTGGTCGGGGGTCGTTGATCTATCTAGATGCAAAACGTAGTAATCGTTTGCTGCGTAGTCTCGTGTCGGTCTGGCGCCATGAGCCAGCGCCGTAAAGCCGGCGAGGCTCAACAATGAAGCGATCTTCATGATGCGAAAGAAAAGGAGCCCTTGCGGCGCAAAGGGAGGTGCGTATAGTCGAGGTACTGGCTCAACACATCCAGATGAATTGCAACGGTCGTGTGAGAGGGAATAAAGACTGAAGCGAAGGACGAGGTTAGTTCCTGGAGAAATAGCGTTGATTGGAACGAAAGCTAAAGGCAAAGGTATTGCCACGCGCAGAAGGAATTCGAGGTGGCTTAAGGGGACCAAGAATGCTACTGCTTTAGGTACGACCAAAAGAATTGTCGGCGCAGGTCACACAGCTTATGCGAAGCGAGAATTGAGTGTTATCGTACCTAGACCCAGTAAGGAGGAGAGAATCCTTAGAGGAGCGCGAAAGCAAACTTTTGAGTAGAAGTGCAAATGTGAAGAACAAAGAGTTGTTTCGGGACTATGGTGATGGCGATGGTGATGTCGTGGCCTTGAGGCTACGAGGCATGTGCCCCAAAGTTCCTGACCAAAATAGGGGACCTGTGCTGGAGTTGCTGGGATGCGCAGCTTACCTAGAACGGGAGGTGCCATTGGTCGCGGCCCCGGGCTGCGCCACAGATGGGGCGGTAGTGGCTAAAGTGTTACAGAAAACTTTACTCTGATTTGAGGATGTAAAAAAAGATCAAACAGATCAACGAGTTATCAGGCACTAAAGTTGTAGAGTATTTCTTTTCTCCATTCCAAAAACAGACGGTGGTTGGTGCTGCGTATCGCGTGCGTACCTTAACTTGGTGATAAAGCGATCGATTGACAGCTAGGTAAATGCTAAAGATCATAGAACTTGATGAAATATCTTTAATAAATGAGTGGAATCTCTTCCACTCTAGCACCCTTAATATTCACTATTCTCAGAGCGAGCAAAACATAGGCAAAGTGAGCATTAGCTGTCGTGCATCGCCAACGCCACAGCTCCGCCATTCAAGACAGATCTCAAACACCAAAATAAGAATAGACCAGATCTAGACCCGTGCGCAGCCCACACCAGAGCAGAAGATCAATAGGCGGCTCAATAGCGCACAGTCATAAAACAGTAGGAAGAATTCGTCTCACAAATGTGGTTGTCAAGACAAATCTGTTGGTGAATTAGACGTTTTAATTAATTCTAATATGATCACTCGCTCTACAATTCTCATTCCATACAACATATCGCCCCAACGCCGATCTAAACCCTCTTGACCTTTTAAATCATTATGCGTAGCACTTATAGAGATGCCTCTTTGTGAATCTCAATACCTGGTGGTGCTCCTGTGAAGGCCTTGCACTGCGCATATACAACAAACTGGGCACCAACCAGACCACATGTCATTACCAGACGAGGTCCCAGTCCAGTGAGCAGCAATCGCTTGGGTCCGAACTCGCGCGCAAGCTGGAACATACGGCTGGTTGCGCCTTGGCTCTTATCGCCGGCACCCTTGTTAATGGCCGACAAGAGGGTATCAGCAGGGTGAGAAAGAACGGCGGCGGCAGCACCAGCAATGACACCAGATGTAAGCTCGACTCCTGTCGACTCAAGCTGTGTGAGCTTCTCCTTACGCTCGGGGCCCATGGAGCGGAAGATGACTTCGTTAACGGCTTCGTGAACGGAGAACTGGCCGACGGCGAAGGGAATTTGCTTGAACAAGAGAGGTACAAAACCAGAGTAAAATCCTCTGATGCCCTCCTCGCGTGCCATCCTTCCAAAGCCTGAGAACAAGCCGGTGGCGTATCCTTTTTGCGAAACGAGTCGAATTCGCGTAGCCTCGAGCGGGCAGAGAAGAATATCAGCGAAGAACTCGGCCGATGCACTGGCTGTCAAGTAAACGCCCGTTCGGTGGTTGACAGCCTTGTCGGGGCCTCCAAGCATGGTGATGTACTTCTTCTTGAAGTACTCGTAGCCGGCGAACTTGGCACCACCCTGTACGAGATAGCCGACCGCAGTTGGGCCAAAGCCAGTGAGGAGCGCGGATGCGCCCTCCTTGGCGACGATGCTGCGACCAGCTGAGAGCATGTTGTATCCCTTCAAGGCATCGTCGACTTGGATTCGGGTCTTGACGACATCAATTGGCGTCACAGCCTGGAAAAATGTCAGTATGGGATTGAGGCATGTGAAGCACGCGACCTACACCATGAGTAGACGTCGCCGCGAGGGCGCCAGCGCCAAAGAACTTGACATAATCGCTGATTGTGAAATTGGGCACTTCTGACGGTTTTGATGCCATCTTGAAATTCTTCGCGCGGTTACTGTGACCTGCCTGACCTGACCTGATCTGCAATTCAAAGCTGTAGTTCAAGCTTGCGCGTTTGCGTATTTTATGTGCTTCTTTAGTTGATGACGTCGTTCCTCTGCTTCCGTACCTACCGAGGGGAGCCAACCTTGTTCTGCAGCCGGTTTGCCGTCATCGGTCCGCTTTGATGTTTTGGCGCTTTCTAGCTTGCGTTATTTGCTACGGATTCTGCATAGATAACAGGGGCAACTGGCTATCTTTCTTGTCTATACTTTATTCATCGCTTTGCAGTCGGATATGCCGGGCTTTTAGGCCAGTCTGATCCCGATACTCGATTTGCTTGGCTCCCGCGAGACCCTCCATCGGCGGCCCGGCATGAGGTGGGTCTGCGATTCGGCACCGAAATAGCATCGGCTTCTTCGAACGGGACGGCGAATGACATCACAACAGTTTATTGTTTATCGTGCTCTTTTCTACTTGAGTGATTGACTAGACGTCACGTATATTAAGTTGTGACACTCCGGGTTTTCGCCGAGCCAAGCGAAGGCACAATTTGATCGCTTCGAATGAGAACGACATCTGCACGCTGCAGGGTAGCCGAATGCCAACTGGTCTACTTCAGCCAGTCGATTCTACAAGGATAATCGGGTATTTCAAGAGATGAGAAACAAAAAGCTTATGTTACGGAATCTGCAAATAGAACTATGAAGATGGATTTCTTTGTAATTTCTTCATAATTTCGTGATTATGCTGTTTGTCTGAACAGGGCGTAGATTGTGACATCGCAGGCAAGGAAGGCCTGGACGGCGCACACCAGAGCTGCAAAGTGAGGACAACCACAGAATCCTATATTGACGACCCATTGAAAGCCATGTCAGCATGACTCTACCACCAATCGACATGGAGTGAGACCATGAGAATTTAACTTGAGACCTGCCCAGGAATTTTGGAGTGAATCTCTCATGCTGCATGTGTCAATGCGCCAGACCTTCTTATACATCTTTTTGAGGAATCGAGTCAAGGCAAGATGGCCGAGCGGTCTAAGGCGCTGTGTTCAGGTTCGATTCGAACTAGTGACGATTCGCAGTCTCGAAAGGGGCCTGGGTTCGAATCCCAGTCTTGTCATTTTTGTGATGCCAGGGATAGGAAGTACATCTCTCTTTTCCAGCCTGTAGGATCAGCTGCTAGCGGCCGACGTCTAGGAGAAGGGGTCATCCTTATTATACCTATGCTTTTGCTCCGTTGAGTCAATCATATCTCCTACGAGACGTAAATAGCTTCCGCTTTGTGATTATAGTAGAATCTTTATCTAGAAGCAAAGTCACCTAAAGACCATCGATACAATCCAACGAATATCCATGACAACGCTCATAGCTGACACTTCTTATAGATGACCTTTCTACTTCTTATACCCTTACACGTATATGAAGCTCAACAATTCGGACTTTCTACGTTACTGCCGTAGGAAGGGGGGTGACTGTGCAAAATCACTATGAGCTCAAGCGACTTTGTCTGAATTATTCCCCGTTGATGAGACGAAACTCACTACTGGCTTACACAGACCCTTCACAGTTATGTTGCCGCCGGCCTCTATCGGTTCCCTACATCGAAGGGAGTCGGACACCATAGTACGGGAAACTATTTCCATAACTCGCCCTCTGCATATTGCGTTAAGTCGTATTGCATCTCATCGTATGTTAATTTCGTTAAAATGTATCAAATGCCGGTTGTACGAGGGACTGACGAGGGTTTAAGCGGCAGTTTGATGTAGTGTTTGATATCAAGCGAATCATACGATTGATTAAGCCAGGAAGAACATTTCCAGACATCTCGGCTCATAAGCACTCAGAGAAGCAAGATACTTGTTTCGTCACAGACATGTGAAGCAAACAAACGAGGCCTGAAACGGCATTCATAACTTATAAGAAACGGGAACTTTGCTCTGGCCAGAAATAGCAGGTCGGAAACCCCAACAGCGAAGGGATCAGCCAATAGAAGAACACTTGCTCCGGCAACAACTGAAAAAGTCAGGCGATAATAGATGCCGAGCGCGGGGAAATTGTAAGATGCAGTGTTGTATTTCAGGTGGCCTCGTAAGTTGCTTCTGGAAATGAACCACCGAGGAGTGAATCTGGGGAAGGGCGAGGCGAGAATATCCCGGGCTCCGGAGATGCAAGCCATTCCATCAGCTGGTTCTAGAGTTTCGAAGTTCCGGAATTGAGTGACCGTGAGTTGTCTGACGTAGGTGTTGTTGTCACAAGACAAAGAGCGTCGGTGGATGCCGTGGTTGATATCACACGGTTTTGGGTACCTTAGAGTTTGACTTGCAAGCCGAAATTCTTGACATTTTTGAAGAAGAAAGAAACAGTCAAGACAATATCTCCATCTTATTATTAGAATACTGAAATTAGCAAATGCCCTTCGTTAATGTCATTGCAATTGCACCGACGCTAATTCTCCAGATTCTTTAACCCTGGTTCTCCATGTGGTGAATAACATGCCCCCGAAAATGCCCGACATGGGTGTCCCCCAGGAATGGCATTATCACAGCACACCCAACGGTGATCATCGAACCACCGGCAGTCATAACGTGTGATGGCAACAAGCCAAGGCCCAAATTAAGACAACAAGCGTTTCGATGGCAATTATATAAGATTCATTCATTTCCAGTATTTTGCACCTCATCATCACAATTCGCATCGCAATCTAAAACACGAACAAGACAGACATTTCATTCAATCCAAAGCTATTTTAATAGTCAGATTCCGCCAACCAGCACATATCATTCACAATGCTTCCCGCTGCCACTTACACGCACGTTGCCCCCAAGTAAGGATCTTCCCACTTTACCTAGTATATGCTAACCTTACCCAGGGTCATTCCTGTCATCCTGACCGTTGGAGGCGCTACAGTTGCTAGCCGCTCTTTGAGCCACTACAACAGACAGCCAGTACGAGCGAAGCCATACCAACAAAGCACCCCTGCTCAACCTCGATCGAAGTACTTTGAGCTGGTTCTCGAGTCGGTCTTCGCATAAATGTTTCTTGAAGAACAAAAGGAAGGATAACGATTCATGATGGGTGGCGTTTACATAATTTGAGGCGTTAAATATGATAATGGAGAGCAATTGTTCTCCCAAATAAACTACTATCTTCAACTTCCAACTTCTAAGCCATGTGCTGTAATCTATTGAGTCCACTGAATCTTCCTATTGATCCATTCTATGGTTCGCCGAAGGCTAAGACGAGATAAATAAAATGGTAACAATCGGCGAAGATAAATCACGCAGGGTAGGTTTGCCGAACCTCTGATAAGCATAATACCTGGTACCTTTCACACTAACCCAACCTCTCCAATTCTGCATCCTAGCTTGATCCCACAGTTGCCAATTCCAAGCATTAACCTTTGAGACTTTGTCATGCTAATCTCCTCAATGAGAGTTTCTATCCACGCTAACTTCGGCTTCATGTTACCTCACTAAGTAATTGAGCGACGGTCACGTGCTGCTACTGAGGCTATATACACTTGTGAACCACCATGTTACACCCGCATCCTGTCCTGGGCTGAAGTTTCTTTTATAATTGCGCCTCTTATCGCAGTTTCCAGGCAAAGAGTCATGTTAAACTACGCTACGCTTGCAGCTACTCTTTGGCTGGCCTGTCCAGCGACGGCCAGCTATGCCTTCTACGTCGGCAAGAACCTCACTCAAGATGGAAGTGTTATCGTCGGAGGCACCGGTGAAGAAGTCTCTAGCCATTGGCTCCAGCTCTTCCCAGCTCGCGACCATCCTCCAAACTCAACCATCACTGTTGGTGTCACGAAAGATGCCACCTTCCCGGGAGAGCTTATGGAGATCCCACAAGTGAACCACACATACCGGTACATGAGCATGGAATACTCCGACTTCGAAGGATTTCCGGCGCCCTTGACTAATGGTGGTCTGAACGAGAAGGGCGTAACGGTTCGTGATGTCTGGGCTGATAACCGTGATGAGCTTCTTGAGATGACGCCCAACCCTCAACATGGTGTGCAGTACAGTGACTTTGCCCGCATTGTGATGGAAAGAGCTAGCACTGCTCGGGAGGGCGTTGATATTATTGGGGATCTTATGGCCAAGTACGGTGAAGCAACATATGGCGGAAACTCTCACCTCATTGCGGATAAGGATGAGGGATGGGTAGTTTGGGAGATGGCAGGTGGCAAGAAACTTTGGGCTGCTCAACGCCTTGGTCCCAACGACGTCAAGGTCCTCTACCCGGGGTATATCGAGGATTTTCCAACCGATTTCAAGAATGATCCCGACTACGCTGGCTCCGACAACATTGTTTCCTTTGCCGTTGAACAGGGTTGGTGGAACAAGACTTCGGGCAAGCCCTTCAACATCTTTGAGATTTACGGCCCCCAAGATCCTCGTTACAAGGCCCGTGATGGAGGCTACAAGTTCATGTCACAGGCAGCTTTGGAGAACGCCACCATTGAGATGGTTCCAGTTACCGAGGCCAAGATGATGGAGAGAGTGCGCGATCCTCGCATTGCCGACGATGAGGCTGGGTACGGACAGGTTGTCAGCCTCCATGATGGTATTGACCGGGACATGCTGCGAATCTGGAATGCCCCGGCCACATCCATCGCAGCACCTTTCGTCCCGTGGTGGCTCGGCGTGCAGTCCATCCCTCTCGAGTTTGGCGAGCACCGATACTTAACAACCGGTGCATCAAGCAGTTTCCTCAACCCTGATTATCAACTCCAGGAAGCTTCTGAATTCGCTGGACGCATATTCAAGCGCGTGCTGTACTACATGTGCTCAGAGCCCAACAAGTACCACCTCATCGTGACAGAGATGTTCGAGAGGTTTGAAAGAGCATCCCGCGCTCAGGTCGAGGGCTGGGTTGAGAAGACAGCTCTGACGATGATCAAGCAAGGGGAGCGCAAGGCGGCACAGAGTTTGTTGACGTACTATTCTCATACGCGTGCAGCTGAGGCGTTGGAGATTGGGCAGACGTTGAATAATGCTATGGATGGATATATCAAGTTGACTGGGAAATGGCGTGCTCCTGAGGGTGATCAGATCAATGATAGTGGTGAGGGTAACGAAACGGTTAACTGCCTGGTTGGATATGATCCCGATAAGCCAAGGTATCTACAAAACAACTGATTAGACAGTAATAGTCACACAGACAGATCTGCAAGATATGCCACTATGTGACAAACGTCTAGATTGAAAAGCAATACTCCGTAAAGAAAGCATGAAAGAACTCCAAACGAAATAAGAATTAGGGTTGGTTATTTACAATGTAAATGGCATCTGCGAAGCTGAGCCTAATTACCCTACCCCTCCTGCAGGGGAATGATTATTTAGATGAAGTGAGCAGTGGCAGGTTGACCACCGGCGTTCTCTCTACCACCCTCACTGTCAACGGCGCGAGAACTATCGGATCCTTGGCAATTGTCGATTAATACTGGCAGAGTCTTCTTAGGACCCTTCGACCCAAGGGTCTTTCTAGGACGCTTTCCGCCATTCTTAGGTCTTGCTGATGGGGGGTGAGGGGGGGGGGGTCTTTTGCGCTGATACGAGAGGATTCGAGCCACGAGATGCTGTAGCCCCCATAAACGGGGCCGTGTCATAACCAGGGGCAAGGAATGATCGGAGAATGTCACCAAGTATATGAAGATCTCTCGCTTGAAGGGTAACAAGTTCGGCGTTTGGATGAGCTATTTGATGAATGAGGGATTTGGAAGGGGGATTGGAGATCAATAAAGCAATCCAAAGAAGATTATATTAGACATGGGAAAGCGTATGCGGTCCCCCATGCGCAGTGATTCACTGTATACACAGTTCTAGGCAACAATCCCTTGAAGTTATGTTCACACACCGGATAATCCCAATTCTTTCATCCTGCCACCAAACGTCCTACCTGTTACATCATCCCTAAACTGTTTCGAAATAAGGGATGATAAGATGGCTACGTCGGGGCCAGGTATATTTAACAAGACGAGAAAAGTCGAGGCGGGAGACGCATTTCAACAGGCCGACGAAGCTGAGCAGAAGAAGCTTACTGGAACTACTCTGGCTAGACAAGAAATAGTAAGTCGATTTTAACCTCGACAACGGTTATACTGAAAACAACTCGCTTCTCAAAAATAGGTACCCTAGCCAATAGGGCGTGCGGGATAAACATCTTACGGACCCCTTGAAATTCGACAAGGAATATGGTATGGGCGTTGTATCAGAGGATGAAGACATCGATTGCGAACGGTGTGACTGTGGGTTTGACGACATCGACGAGAAAAGCTGATGAGTTTCAACAAGAATCACGACTTCGATTTGGAATAGCGTTAAGTGATTGCTGAGAAAGTCACTACCCATAGTGCTCAGCAGGGAGTCCATCGAAGAGAGAACATTCGGCACATTAGTATGTCTCTCCGAGCTCATCTTGAAGACATGTATTTCAAATGCCTTGTGCTTAGACAAGCCCTGGATAGTTGCCAGTGGAATGCGCATTGTGCAGACAAGATGAAGTGACTAGCCTAATACTGGGAAATAAGTAGGTGTATTAGGGGTTTTGCTCTGATATTTTGTACTAACTTGTGAACTTTGGAGCGGACAGTAACTGTTAGTGGTGACAGGGCAATAGATGCACCAAGAATACGGTGGAATAGAAGACAGGCGAAGGTGAAACTCACTACTTACAGCCATCTCTTCGATGTTGTTTCTAGATATCACAATGTACTGGTAATTTAGGAAACCTGCAAAGTAAGACCTGTGCTATCGAAATATTTGACGTCTTGCGATGGGAAAATGCTTATGGACTTTTCAAGTGATTCATTTGGTAACTTGTATGGAAATCGAGGTGCCCCATGATCCGCATTTGCATGAAAGGATGGAGAGGATAAGGTCGTCCACCTCCATACTCTGTTAGGGGGTTATGTTGAGGAGGATGCCCAACAGACATAACAGCTTGAATTTTTGAACAACCAGTTGTGGAAGACTGAGTTGTAAACTACTACTCACAATGACTGGGTATAATTAGTCAAACGAGCAACATATCATTGAGCTGCACAAACATAATGATGAAGAAACTGCCCGTAGAGAACAATACTGTAAAATGCTAGTGAACAATACTAATTCCTAAGTTGTAACGAGAGTGTTTTTAACCAAGCTTCTCCTGTTTTTTAACTAAGGATAAAGTGTTGTCCATAGTGACATAAAAGCTGCGGTAAAGGAAAAGAAGCACCATTCCTTACAACAAGCCGATGGTCTAGGTAGTTATGCGTGTTGGTGTAGGAAGAAGTCGTGAGCACCCGTCATAAGCAAGTCGGCTATTTGCGATTCAGGTTCTGGGCAGCAGAGGAATCAAGTGAAAATTGAGCATATGCATCAATATCGATTTTCCCTCAGTGACATAAGTATGCCCATTTGGAGGAGAGGATCAGGCCATCGTTCATCCCACACGCTCATAGGATTGCCAGTCGTTGTAGTAGTACTTTGTGCAGGAGTGCGTTGTGCAGGAGCGCGTTGTGCAGTACTGCGTTGTGTAGGAGTGCGTGGTTGTGGGCGAAGTTTGGGACTGGGAGGTTTGTAGCTGTTTCGGGTTGATGATGTCGTTCGATATGCTTGAGGGAGTTAGTAGGGCATCAATGCAGATGTGACTGTGAGTTCGACCTACCGGGAGATACTCTAGATGTGACACTCGGAGAGGATCTGTACGCCGAGGAACTCGTTGGCTGGGTGCTAAGCTCCCATGGCCGTAATGTTGTCCTACCGAGGGAGTCATATACTGGTTCCAAAGGCTTCCAGGCTGGTGTTTTCTTTCTCATGAGCACCAGCCTTTTCAACGCTGACAACGTCTTGACCAGGGTTGAACACCTAGCCTCCCACCGAGCCCTCCTCTTTGCTTTTTGCATTTTTCTGACCTCCTTCTCCAACTTTTCATCTGCTTCCTCCCGGTCTGCAAGCAATTCTCGTGCTTTAAATTCCGCCCAGTATTCCTTCTCTATTTTGTCTTCGTACGGTGTCGGTTTCGCTCCGGTTAATCGCCTCTTTTTCATACTCTCCATGAATTCCTTGGTTCTCATATCCCATATAGCTTCTGAAATCGTTTTGGGTGGTCTTGCCAATACTACGGTGGTCTTGTGCGGGGCCATTGTACTTGCTCACGCGGCTCAGCTGGAGTGGTAGTACTGCGGAGATGAGGATTGTGATTTCAGTCGATAGTGTTGACTTTACCGATGGCGCAGGAGTCTCGACTTGATGCGATACTTGAGGAAAGCGACGACGTACAGGACCGATACTAGACAGGATCGGTTTGTGAACGGCAAACGGTGAGCAAACATGGAGAAAGCGAGATAACAGGGGGGTGAAAGTGGCGGGAGATATGTAGTGTTCCGTAAAGATGTTATTGACGTTGTTGAAGGAACAAACGTGACACTCAAGAGGTCAGTGTAAAGATAACGGGATAGTAGGCGAGGCTGCTCCTACCTTGGCAGCACCCAACAACGAGGGTTTTGCTGCGGCAAGAACAAACGATTTTATAATACGCCACCATCATGATTCACCGCCGTGACTTACCATTAGGAACAATATTCTAGTATCAAGGAAATAAGACGAAACGAGCCTCACCACCAGCTTGTGTTTTAAAATTCAAAAGCTTAGCATGAGCCTTGGTTTATTACTTTTGAAACTAGGGAAGGGTAGTATTTTGAGCTACTCCATTCAGAAGAGTTCACAGAAATAGAAAATTACTACTGCATTCTTATCTGTCCCTGTGAGGATTGGTCCTCCAACCGCTTGTGGCCGAGGTGTAGACGCTATACTTGTTCTGTAGCCTTCTTTAATTTAATATTTCTAGTATTTGTTATAATTATTTCCATTTCTGTGCCGACCAATTAAAATAAAGTCGTGCTTGCATGCCTCCTCCTTACAAAGGCTCTAACAACAACTGCGGCTCTACCCACACCCTCAACCAAGGCTCCTCTCCCGGTCTCGAAACACGAAGGTGAAGAAAAGCATCCTTCTCAAGTCTCCACGACAAATCTCCCGGAGAGCCCTCTCTGACGATTACCTCGTCGGGGTCGTCACCCCTTTCCACCACATGCTTCGTGTTGCGTGCACACACCTCTCGGAAGGTCTTCATAGAAAGCTCATTAGCCAAGCGAACCCCCTGAGCGGCTGCGGCGATGCTGAAGCTCGAATTAGCCTGTGGGTCTTTCTGGCTGACAACAATAATGTATATGTTCCCAGCGTCGGCTTCAGTGACGGCGTTGTTGGCTTTTGCAACGGCTTCTAGCATGTCTTGAGGGAATGTGACGCTGGAGTGATATTCAGAGTCACGGTTCATGCTTTTCAGCTTGGACAGATCGACATAGCTTGCCTCGTCACCGTGTTGCGCTACCACATCGTCAGATAGCCCAGGAGTCCGGTGGCCACAAAGCAGGCTAACATGTGGCCGTTGTTGAGCTTACCATCTATTTGAGTTGATTCCTTTGTATCAGGATCGTTGGTGCTGGCGTCTTTACTTTCGGCGCCGTTTTCGTGTGTTGTGTTTGTGTCCGGGGGCTGTGGTTGTGGTGTAGCCCCAGTAGCGTGCCGTTGTGCTTCAGGTTGCCCTTTTGATAGATGTCTGATTTGCCTGGGATCGAGGAATGGCACCATGTACTTATCGACAAATGATCTTGAAACACCCATAGCCACAGCATCGTTGGCGGCGTTCTGCATTCTGGCGATGTATTCTTCCCTGATTTTGCCGTCGGTAGTGTAATCATCACTCACGTAGACCAGAGCTCTGACTTCTTGACAACCCGCTGGTTCACTACCAGTATACGAATCGCTTGGGGTCGTCTTCTCCGCAAAGATATCAGATGACTGTACTTCATCATCCAGTATCGTTGTCCGGTTCTCGGCAAGCAGGTGTGCTAGCCGAGCAGTCTTGAGGTTTGTGTATTGCTGGTGAGGCTCAAGTGTGACGGTAAGGAGATATTTCTGGTAGAAACCCTTAGAAACACCTTCATTACGGTCGAGTGTCCTTTGGTCCTTTGGGCTGATGGAATAGAGAAGACCCTCCACTGTGTGATCACTCCCGGCCTGGATGACATTGGCCACACCTCGCTCATTGATCTGCCAACGGTACGAATCAAGTGTCGCCTTTCCCTTGAAAATACTGTTTGGACATCTCTTGGCCATCTGGGCTAGGCAGAGGTTGCTGCCGTAGGCAAAGTATAGTGTCCTCGGAGCTCTAAGCGCCCTAGGCGGTGGGGCGACAGCCATGTTGTCGGAATCGGTTGCTGATGCGTTTAAGGAATGCATTTTGTATTATTTGTTTATCCAAAGATGGAAAGTAAATGACAAGAAAGTAAAAAGGGTTAAAAGGAGCGAAAAGGTGTCGAGACATAAGGAGAAAAAGTGAAGGGTAAGAGTTTGGAAGGCAAAGCAATGTGGCGGTGGAGACCTTGACCTTGACCTGCAGCCTGATGTGGGACAGAGCCTCAATCAGGCTGCGTGACTGCGTGAGACAGAGACCCATGCGCTGTATTTTGACGCTGTAGACGCTGTAACACGCCAAAATATATGGAAGCGAAAATAGCCTGGTTCGCTTGGTCAATGCGTGCTTATACATACCTTGTTGTAAGAGTCCCGACTGCATTGAAGCCCAACCCAAGATGGATGAAAAAATTGGCATTGTGTTAGTGTGCCTTGGGCTGTCACCGAAACCCGTATGATCTGTCTAGATTTGTACCTTAGAAACCGTCTTTCTCCAATCACTGTTAGAGTTTTCAAACCCCTGAGGCGCTTGCAACCAGTTGACCGCTTGCACTCCCGGTCACATGATTTCTGCTCGAGGCCCAAATGAAAAACTATTGCATCACAGCAAATCAGGCTTTTGGCTTATAGTTGACGATAGTAACTTCAGGCTTGATCGTACAAGAGTTCTATATCGAGTATCCATCCTACTCCCGACTTGCATGCTTTAAGACAGATATACCACTCATGACTGCCACAACAGTCCAGTGATATCCCATATAAGTCGTCATCGACCTCCCAAGAAACTGAAACCCCCCAACTATCTGCATAGACGATGACATTCCGGGCATACTCTCCTCATGGACCATTGCGACAACATCACTGCTTCTTGGTCGATGGGAGCTAGATTTGTTCGTGCGTCCTAACGAAACAAGTTCCCATACCATGCTATAAGCACTATTTTGTGCTCCTCCTGAGACACGCCATTCAAAAGCCTCGGTCTTTCGACCTTCCTCACTTTCCACTTTCATAGAGAAAGAAAAACGGGGGTTTGATCGTGAGCGGTGATAACTCATAGTTATCTCATCAGATGGAATTTGATAGCTAGGAACACCGGGAAGCTGAAACACAAAATCATTTCCGGATCCGTTCGAAGAGCATATTGCATCTCCGATGAAAGTAGAGCCAGGGAAAAGATATGTCGGCCCCTGCCACCCACGAGGCATAAGAGCTGCGTAGAGAGTCTGCGAGCTCTCATCGGATAAGAATAAGGCCATTGTGGAGGTGGATTGTGTCCATGTGAGATGCATAGTCTGTGGGAATCCTGCGGCCATGACTTGCTCTGATATTCCAGGAGCATCACTAGAACTTGGATTTCCGCTTGCCGTATCGACACTGTAGACATCTTCAAGGCTCGAAACAAAGGGTGGGAAAATCATGATGGGTATTGATGAGATTGCGTTTCAGTCCATCTAGAAAAGCGAAGTAATTCTAGCTGAGAATTCTGGAGTGATATTGGACTTATTGAGATGAGTTGGATATACACAATCATGAAATCACTGAGCTTTATACAACAACACGAAGCTACTATTGACGATAAAGAAACATACAGCGCTCATTCTTTCCCTTTCGAGTTGGTCTGGTAATAAGTATGGACACTACCAAGCTGAGCAGTCTCAACCTCATTGTCGGCTCACATGCAAGGACCTAGTCTTCGAAGTCTTGGGACTTTACTTATTCTAGAACGCATCTTTGCCATGATTGGCTTATGCAAGATGGACGAATTCGCGTTCATAAGAAAGATCTCCAATTGCATTTCCTAGATGAGGATACTGATGCGGTACCCTTGCTTGAATCTCATTACTGTCTTATCTTGTTTAGCCATATGAATTACAGCCGAGTCTGGTATTGTTAGCCAGCCAGTGGTTACTCTACCATCTAACATGCAGGAATAGTTTCATCTTGCAATCCCTGTCCGCAGAAGCTGACAGCCAGGAGTGTCTCACCCGTGTGGCAACCAATGGGATGTAGTATTGTACTGGGCTGATTCAGCATGCATATCGTGGCTGTGTAGACAGCGGCGCAAACAGCATGAAATAGTCTTAAGGATTATGTTTATCGTGGAACTATGTCTGGGTGCCTGGGGCTGTGGCGTTTATGCGGCCACCAGATTTAATTCTTCTTGCCAATCAGCAGTTTCAAACGAGCGATTTTGATTCAATTGGATTGTAGTTAGACAGGGATTTCGCTCAATTTACCAAGAGAAGATGATTCACTTACGACTGTCTTACAAGGAAGGCTTTGCAGACATGTGAATAAAGCAGCGGTTTTGAGAGGGGGTTGAATCAGAACAGAGCCGAATCCGAAGCTCTAGCTTTGTTACTTCTTCCTACTCTGAACTCAAGATATCTCGAATGTTTCAGTCTCTAGATATAGAATAGCTCATTCTCACCGTGTTGTTTCTCAGACTGTCCCCTATCATACAGACTTGACTCGACTCACACTTGCGAGATATAAGAACCACAAAAGCACTATCAGGTGCATACCTTCACGAGCAACCTCGTCAACAATCAGCCAACTGCCTGTTCTCGCGTACTCAGGGCCGGATACTACCTCTAGATTTCACACAAAGCGTAAATGGTTTAGTGGTAAAATTCTCCGTTGCCATTCGAGCAGCGTCGGGGAGCCCAGAGTTCGATTCTCTGTTTACGCATACATTCTACACCCAGAAATCATCTTTTTGATGTTATCCGTAGGCCTTGGCTGTATAAGTAACTGTACAGCTCGTCCTGTCTGTACTTCGTACTATTTGGCGTATGTTGTTTGTCTTTTTGTTTCAAGGTGGGGGCATCGTCAAGAGGAATTCTCATATCTGGAGTCTGGACTTGAGCAAGTTGAACAATCATGATCGCCAGTATCAACAGCTATAAATATCACATATATATGTATGGCATTCATCTATCTCGCCTGGATATAACAAAACAAAGTAACCAAACGCCTTGCTAAAATCATCCAACCATAACAAACCAACCCCTCATCACAATTTCTACTGATCTGTTCTTGCAAACTTGACACTCTTCCTCCTCTCCCTCTCCCCCGTGACAACAGTCCTCCCCGGGCTTGAACTCAAGATCCCCCCACTTCCCTTGTTCAATGCATCCCTCGCCATGCCTACGGCTCTGCTCTGCGGGATATCATTTCCGTCGCTCTTCACAGAACGATCCGTTCCTGCGCGCGGACTGGAACGTCGACTGCTGCTTGCTCCTCTTTCATCGCGAGCGCGAGTCTTTTCAACGGTCGCGCGGCCAATCTCGTCGGCTCGTGCCGTAGTGGTTTCGCCACGGTAGCGACCGGGAAGACAGGCGTGACCGCACCCGTCGAGGGGACAGCAGCCGTCGCTGAATGAAGCTGTGCTGCCGGATTCTGGCGCGTCGAGGGGGGCGTGCCATGCTTGGAGGCAGGAGGCGTGACCGCCGTGGGCACAGCCGGGGCAGTACCACCACTCGATGAGGTGGGAATCTGAAGCCATAGCAGATGCTACCTCAATTGGAGTGAACTCTGCCTGTGTAGGCTCTCGATGTCCACAGACAGCACAGGGTGCCATGGCTGTACGGCACCGCTCGCAAGTCCAGATGCCTTCTGGGCCGTTCTTGGGGTCAAGTTCTCGTGGCTTCTTACAGGAAGAGCAGAAGAAGCTGACCTTGCCATTCTGTTGAGCAGGCGTAAATATCGCTGTATAGTTTTCACCCCATTGTGGCAAACCTTCCGGCCACCCCTGAACACACAGATTTCGCAGAAGGGACGCCTCGATAAAGAGACCCATCTGCATCAGACGAGAGTGATGCTGTCGCAACACTGCGCTTGCTTGGTGGTAGTCAATCACAAACTCGGGTACTAAAGGCTTGAGTAAAAGGATGATGGCGGAGGCATTAAGAGCAGACGATCGTGACTCGTAGTGCAAGGCCTCCGTGATGGAAGTATAAGGATCAAGTGGTGAAACTATAGATGGGTCGCCTGTGGTGACCACAGGATACGGGTATAGAGGATCATCTTCCCATGGGAGGAAATCCGTCTCCAAGATATAGGGTCGAAGATCTTTTTGGGCGGGAAACAGATCTTTAAATGGACTGATAGTTCGGCTGGGATGGCTTGCAGGGGCGAGTATTTGTGGCAGGGGCGATTCTTCTTTCGAGGGAGCTGGTTGCGTAGTGGGCTTAGGGGGTGATGGCTCGGGCTGCAATGGCTCTGATGTTTGGGATGGGAAGGAGTCATCAGTTCCTATTGTTGTCTGAGATATCATGAAAACCTCATCTGGGGAGTCGGTCGCAGGTTTCTTGGGACGTGACAGGGGCGACTCTGTCGGCGTGTCTGCTGTGGTATGGACCTCTTCACCACGTATGTGGCTCGGATATTCTTGATTGTCTTTATCCATGTCCGAGGCGTGCCTTGCAAGACTCGATCGCCATTGGCCGTTCCCTCTTGGGGTCAACGCTGATGGCTTCTTGGCGGCATCAGAAGTCGAAAACATCTGAGCAAAGCTCTCGTCCGAATCATGGCGGGTGACTTTCGGAATCTCGGGACTCGTTGATCCCAAAGACAGGGGCTCTTTCTTCTTGGGCGGAACGTCGACGACCTTGAGCAGAACATCGGCGTCGTAAAAGTCATATCCTTCAGTGCTAGAAATTTGTGAGCTTTCGCTTTCAAGGCTGACGTCAGAGACGGGAATCGAGTCGAGGCGCCGTCGGGGGGTGTCTTCGAACCTGTCATTTATGCCAGGACCAAGACTAAGTTCATCAGGCTCCGTGATGGCTGCAAGTCTCTTGCCGACCTGTTGAGCATGCTCTTTGGTATTCATACCGGCATCAGCCGGTCGCGCGAGTGGGGTCGGGACGTTGGAGGTGCTCTCAAAGCCCAATGCAAGGAGCGATCGAGTGCTGAGAGAGCGGCCGCCGATGCCTGGTTTCACCGAGCCACGTCTGGGCGTCTCATCGCCGGGGGTGCGACTAGCATTATAAAAGTCAACGGGCTTCAGTATTCCACTTCCCTTTCTCTCTTCTATCTTCATCTTGTGAAAGCGTCCAAGACGCAAATCAAGATGGTACTGGGCGCGACGGTCCAGGAGCAGACCGACCGTATATGACAGAATGCGCCAAGTCTGGGCTAACCGGAAGTACGAAACACTCTCGGCTGCACGTGCATAGTGCTCCAGAATAATGCCGACTCGTTTGTTAAGTGATTTGCCCTCTTGAACGTATGGAAGCTCCTGATGGAGTGTCTCGAGGTATAATCTCGAGAGATATTGGTAGACCTGTGTTGTTTTCGCAGCAGGTAGACGACCAAATGCCATTGTTTGCTGCGTCTTGAAGATACCTGTAACATTGATGGCTTGGTCGAGCGCGAGGAATTGCTTATTCTCATCAGCGATGCCAGAGCCAGATGGTGGCGTTGTGCTCAATTGTCCAGATCTCCCACCTGCCTTCCTGCGAATTGACCTGCGTCTGGGACCTAGAAAGCTGCCGACTACGTCTTCCTCTGAGTCGCTGCGGCTAATACTCAGCATGGGAGCATTGGGACTTGAGCCATAAGGACCACGCGGCACAATCTCTGCGTGGTGTGTGACAGGGGGTCGGGGTCGGTTGTGTGGATGAGATCGTTCATCAAGAAACATCATAACATCACCTTTCGGCGAAAATGCTACCGAGGAAGTAGATTGCCGATCGATAACTTTAGGTGCATAAGCAACATCACTTTGCGTGAACAAACCATCTTGCCCAACTGTCCAGAGCATGTCCTGATCTTGCCACAACAGGGTTGCTGGTGAAGAGTCGAATCTCTCGATTTCCTTATAGGGCAACGTCGGTCGAGCCAAGTCCCAAATGTGTACTGCTGAAGTTCCGTATCGACGAGAGCTGCTATCGTCATACGAGACTGCTATTTGCGCAACACGCTTGTTCTGTGCTGTAGCAGACCATAGGCCAGGTCGCCATGCAATGGTCCAGATTGGCGCAGGTGTTGTGACTGACCATTTCGGCTTTTGTCGCTTATCGGCTGTACTTCCAACATCCCAGACATGAAGCTTTGTATCCCTGCCGGCGCTGATAAGGTGGTTGCCATCGGGATGCCACGCGATAGATGCGCATGCCTTTTCGTGTGCATTGATCCTTAGTAAGGGTCTGGCAGGTTGGCGGACATCCCACTTGAGCACTACTCCACCCTCGGTACAGCAGGCCATTTCATGACCAACCTTTGGAGACCACTTGACTTGGCGAACCGAGTCAATGCATTTGAGTGGTGCGAAACGTTGACGGAAGGTGATGCCGCCGCGACCTTGTATGGGCGCTGCCGTGTCAAACACGCGCGTCATTCCATCTTGGCTACCTGACAGGAGCCAACTCTTGAGATGAGGGTTCACATCCAGTGTGTTAACTTGTCGCGAGTCCTCCTGCGTCTGCATGTATTCCAATGGGTCGGCCGCACCGGACCCAACCCGAGCAACATCGTATGCGAAGATCTTGCCATTGGCGCAAGCCGTAAAGATTGTCGAACCGCCATGCCATTTGACATCCCGAATGCTGAGTTGATCGGCCGCCTGATTTCCTTTTAAACCTGACGGTTGAGCGGTAATGACAGCCCTCAGGTCTACACCCTCGCGAAAGTTGAAGTTGAAGTTCGAAGGGTCGTCAAGTACAACAGTCTTGAGAATATGCCCTCCAGCGAGAATGGCCGTTCGTCGATCGGGGGATACATCGAGCGCGAGGATCGGGGCTCCTGCTTTATATACAGCATCTTGAGACTTCGATGGTCGAAACGAGGCCGATATGGTAGATGCGGGAGCGCTTGTAATGGAGAGATTGGCTGAATCGCCTGCAGGGGTCTCGGTCGAAGCCTTGCCGAGGAGCTTGCGCATTATCCTAGAGTCGCGGTTATACATTGTTGCGGGTATCTATAGCCGCTTGAGACGCCATTGAGATTGGCTCAATGGGCCATCAATGGCATATTCAGTGAGTCGGGTATGGGATGCGATATCGGTGGCCAGACGGGTGTGTCTTGGTGGTGTTTGGCTGGGCTCAAATTGCCAGCATGAGCTCATGTGGAGCCGAGGGCCGGGATGATCACGTGGTCCCCTCGTAGGCAACTCGGCTATACCCGCCCCTCGGCCAGCTGCGTCTAAGATATAGCTCGATTAACACACTAATAAGTGTTTTTTATTGACTAATGTTTTTAAAGAAATACCTACCCGTGCCTATTGCAAGTCCATATGTCACATGTTGATGTCATGAGGTACAGAATATGGGAGATCCTTCGACATGAAAGATGTCTATCCCATTCCAACTTGCATCATTGCATATTGCTGCTGAGTTTGGTGTAGTATATCTTGCTTGGGGATCTCTCCAACTTAAAATTGATCATTCAGGCCGTAAACAAACCTTCTAGGGCTGTGCAGTGGACGAAGCTAGGGAATACCTATCAGAGTCTGAAATTTAGGATGAGATAATAACACTGCAGTAAAACTGTGCAACTCCAACTGAGTACTACTGTTTCAATGTTGAGATGTAATTTATCTTGGACTCATAGAATTGGCCTGTTGCAGGTTCCTGTACCCTACTGCTTTCTGATTTCTCTCGGGCGTTTATTTTATCACGCATTATGTAGTGCCACCCCACTACTCCGTGTACGTCTGAGAATAGAACAATACGATTTGAATCTTAACTTGTACCACATATGACCCGTGTATGAGCATGATGTTTTTGTTCCGGATTTTTCAGGTGTTCCCAGTTGTGTCTGAAGGGATTTAACAAAAGACGGGCCTTGGCAGTATTTTGAGCGACCTTCATTTCAGGGGCTTCCTAAGAAGAAAGATACATAACATTCTCAACCAAGTCATATGGAAAGCAAGTCAAGTTGAAATTGTATGAATACACTAGTCATGTCATTTCTCAGTCACGGTCTTGGTACAACTTCTTGCAAAGGTTATGATGATAAGGTATTTCGTACAGAGATGCAAAGCTTAGAATAAGTAGAAGACTTACACTAAGACAAGATGAGTTTAGTAGAACTTATTCAACTGAGATGAATATTGCAGAACTTTTACGCCTCCGTTGCAGATAGTTATAAATACAGACATGCAACACCACTCACTCATCTTCGGATATAGATCTGGTATATGGTTGGCTTGCTTGGCTATGACTGGTGTGGATCCGTAAGGAAAATCAACATAAAGCCCTCATGGATTCCCTTCCTCCTCCCGAAGTCGTACCACCTCTGCTAACCTTGGTATGGGTCAATTCCGGGTATCATCCCTGTGTCAAGGCTCCATGCGGTATTCACCCTTGTCGGAAGACCATTGCGCCCGTTTTCTCCCTTCGTTGTCCCATGGCCCCCAAATCGCAAAATAGGTTCACATCAGCTATATGACATCACGTTTTTCGCAAATTTAGGGTATTTTCCAGCTAGCTGCAGAACCGCTGCCAATGTGGTCATCGATTAAGTGCGCAGCAAGATGAGCCTTACTAGACGGCATATTGGTATTCGTGGGTGACGATGAACCCTGACACTCAGGCAGCCAGCCGTCCCACATCCCGAATCCAGGCAATGTCGTATTGATGTAACGTCAGGAAGCTTGCTTGAGCCACCAAGTGTCATTTAACTAGCGGTCCCTTAGCAGGGCCAACGTAAGGCTGAATAACTGCCAACATCATTGATCACATCGGCAACGGGAATGATCCCGAGCAAAACATACGGAGACTGTCCGTTCACTAGATGCTGCCGGTTCCTCATTCATGGATAATTGTCTGTGCCCCCTGTTGGCAGGCTAAGCTTTGCTCGAGCGTGTGCTAATGAGCGCACCTCAATCCGAAGCGCGATTAGCCGCACCTAATTTGGCAGGGATTAACTGGGCATGTCACCTCAATATGGGGGCCGAATTGGGTATTGGGTGCGGTAAGCTTACAGATCACAGCCTGCAATACGTTATGAAACCAGGCCGGCACAGGCGTTGCAAGCCTAATTGTGTTAAGATCGTCGTTATAAAGGATTCAAGCTGCGCCCCAGGTTCCTCCCTGCTGATGTTCTTGGTTCGCCTTCTTCCTTCATTTTTCTACTCTTTCTTAATATCGCGGTTGTTGTTGTGACGATCTCCGCTGTTCCAGTGCTATTGGTGTTGTAAAAAGTCACAATGAGTCAACATCAACATTCACCACTTCCGGAAAGCGAAGGTCTTCAAGTCGACACACATGCAGAGCGAGCGGCCAAAGCTCCCGAGGTGGCCGGATATGATCAAAACGGCCATTATTATGCCCCTCCAATATATAATCAGCAGCAACCGAATGGCGTGAGGCTTCCATTTGGTCTTGGTGTTTTGGCATTCACCGCGCTTGTCGTCCTATGTACAGCTATCGTTGTTGGTGCGGGTGTGGGTGGAGGATTGGGCGCTGCGATGGCAAATAAGTCGTAAGTCTATAAGAACAAGTGTAATAGTGAGAATACTGATGGGGATTGTCCAAATAGAAGTGACTGCTCCACGGAGTCTGTGCCAGCTCCCTCCGCGACCGCCGAGGCCACATCGTGCCCAACACCGGACAATACCACATCTTCCGATAACGATACCGCTCCTTACGTCCCTAGATCACCCTCCTCGGTCCAGGAGCTAGAACTCAAGTGCCCGAGCAAGAAGAACGACGAGACAAGGTACAAGTCAAGTAAGGGCTACGAGTTCCAGTGGTGGTGTGGCGTCAACGCAGCGCAAGGTTCCCCAGCAGAAGGAGGAGGTATCGTGGCCGACCTGGCACCCATCATTGCATACACAATCGAAGATTGCATGGAGGCATGTAGTGCCATGATTCAGAAAGACGAAGACGTTGGCACTGGAGTCAGATGCTCTAGCATCGTTTTCTCGAAAAAGATGTCGGTCGAGTTGGAGAATCAAGGTGCAAACTGCTGGCTAAAGAATGCTTCAAAGGCATCGTAAGAACCTCCCTCTTTCCTGATCATTTTGACATATTTTGACACTAACTTGACGATAGGGGCGGCAATTGGGGCTTCAAGGATGATTTTTACGCGTATGCCGAATTAGACGACTAGACATGACACCGGGGGATTCTTCTTCATTTTAGGGTAGTTTACTATAATTGATACCACTTTTGCTTGTTGAGGATGAAGCTATTCCCAACTACAAGCCATCTTGACAACTCAACCACACAACCACACAATCGCGCAACCACGAGATTAAATAAAATTGCGAACGGGGGCGGGAGCTCTGCTGTTGCACGTAACACCCAAAGAAGCAAGGCCTGGGTCCTTTTGCGCTGATCTTCAAACCTGTGCCAAGTTTCTGACAGGTTGGCAACAGGGGAGTCAGCACAGCCGTTCCGCGCAAACACGCGGTTGGTTGGCTGCCTTAATCGTCAACAGCAATGAACCTCTGGATAATGAGATATTTTGTGACTAGATTGAACATTGGCAATCTCCCCATCTCTATCATCGCAATGTTCATGATGGTGTTGTCGTGGATTGACTCGCTGAATTAAGGTTGTTGAAGAGACCTACACCTGATTGGCTCGGGTGTGTCCGCGTATCCAACGGTCACAAGCGCAACGTGGTACTGGACTAATGGTGTCAGAGGATTCAATGCCCCTTTGAGAAAAAGGCAAATGCAGCTGAACTTTGGTGAGAAGGCTCACTTCCGTCATGGGTGTGATATTGTGTAGCTGTGGTATTCTCTACTAAGCTCCCAGGATTTACAGACAGTCAGTGGATAGAAGTGTAATTTGTGAGTGACTGAAGAAGGCACACAGGCTGAAACAGATTTGAAAGGAGGGCGCTTTGTTTATTCAAGAACTTGTCATCAAACGAATTCTATAGATTCAAACGAATTCTATAGATTCAAACGAATTCTATAGATTCAAACGAATTCTATAGATTATATGTTCGATTATGCTGCAGCGAATGAGCTACATCCGACGATAAAAGAGCGCTGTCTCATGCAACGGGGCGACTTAGGAACGCCGAATAAACTTTAAATACTTTGTACTCGAACAAACTCAAATAATGGAAAGGAATTGTTCTACTATTCCCACTCTGGAATCGGCACAGCCTTTCCGCGACCCAAAGAAATGCCGTCAATCCAGAAATTGTAATAAATTCCCCCACCAATGTTGATCTCGACGCAGAGATCAGTGGAATCAATGCTCGGATCAACATACTGAAAAGTCCCTGTCACCTCTTGAAAAGGGGCGTTGTTGGGAATTGCTGTCTGTTCAGAGCTGTACACTTGATCGATAGAGAGTTTGGCCTTGTTTACATCGTCATAACACCAACGGGGTGAGCTATGGTCAGCCAGGCAGTATTGCGCAACATATGCCGTAAAGGTATATTCATATCCTTGTTGAACCTTGACCCGCTGGCACACCCTCAGTGTGCTTGAAGAAGGAGGACCTTCTAGTTGCCTGTACAAGAAGTTAGCTTATGGATGAAGGTAGGATAAAGGCTGGCTTGGATTGTACTTACAGACTCTGCGAGCCATCATAATAGAAGTCCTTCTGAAAAGATACGGTTGCTCCTCCACTGACTTCCCAGGGGCCAAGATCTCTATCTTCAAAACCGCCAACCTGCACCATCTCGACAGTGTGGACGGGAGGGTCGGCAGAGGTTGCAGAGGTGATTGTGCCCGAAGTGGCACTTGTTGTGATTTCTGTAGCAGAGCTCGTTGCTAATGTGGTTGACTCATCGGCATTACTACTGGCTGAAGATCTGATGACCGAGACCAACGTTGTTTCAGAAGATACAATAGTGGGGATAGAATTATATGTGGTTGTGCCAGGAGACTCAGTGGTTGTTGCAGAAGATTCAATGGACGTAATAGGAGACTGGCTAGTTGCGATGGAAGAGTCTGTGCTAATGCCAGAAGATTCAGTGGCTGTGGTAGAACCAGTAGTAGCAAGAGCTTCCTCGGTAGTAGAGGCCAGAGTAGTAATCGCTTCTGAGCTTCCAATAGTCGTGGCAGAAGACTCGGTGGTAGGAGAATCGACGGTTATGTCCGATACTGTGACAGGTAGACTATCCTGCGTAGTGGAGACTAAAGCAGTAGTTGTTCCTGAGGACTCAGTGACTGTCATAGAAGGTTGTATGACTGTGGCAGATGAATCTATTGTGACATGAGAGGATTCAAGCGTTGTGGCAGAACCGGCGTTTGTTGAGGCTTCCTCGGCAGTAGTGATTGATGTAGTTGTGACTCCAGACGATTCAATGGTTATGGTAGATGCATCAATGTTTGAAGTATCGACCGTTGAGGAAGCAATGACTGTGTGAGAAACAGTGCCAGATGCAATATCTGTAGTTACAGGAACGGAAACACTCGCTGTCTCAGGGGATCCGATACTTATGTCAGAAGAAGTTCTGGAAGTTCCAGTAGTTATTGTGGTTGGTTCAAGGGTCGAGGACTCAATAATGGTCCGTGTCGACTCGATAGCCGTACCAAATGAGCTAATAGTAGAAGAATCGACGTTTGTAGCAGAGGTTTCAGAAGATGAACCAGTAGCTGATGAACTAATGATTGCGATTGAAGAGCCACTCGGTGTACCAGAATCGGCAGTAGTCAGAGTCTCCTCGGCAGTGGAGGTGAGAGTAGTGGGTGTGTTAGAACCACCAACATTCAGGCTCTTGTTGTTAGTGGAAGCGGAAGCGGAAGCAGTGGTTGATGCAGAGGATTCTATATTAAAACCAGATGCAATGGTAGTTATAGTCTCATCAGTGGAGGCCAATTTCGTAGATACGCCTTCAGTAGCAACAGAACTTTCAGTAGTCGTGAGTCTGCCAGTCGAGACTGGTAATGTAGAGCGTTCAATGGATGTGCCAGAGCTGGTAACAGCTAACGTCTCTCCAGAAGAAGAGGCGAAAGTGGTGGCTGTGCCCTCGGCAGTGGCGTAGTTTTGGGTGGTTGATGTTTCACCAGTTGACACTAGAAGTACAGAAGTTTCGATATTCGTTCCAGATGATTCAACGAATGTGCTCAAGCTTGTAGCACTCGAGGGATTCTCAGCAGAAGAGGGGAAAGTAGGAATTGTATCCTCAGTAGTGACGGAGCTTTGGCCAGTCACAGCTGCGCTTGTCAAGGCTGATAGCGAAGATGGTCGAGGATGAGGAGCACATGCCTAGAACAGCATAAGTTTGGAAAACAATTGAATTTGCTGTCTTGAGGGACACTTACACGAGCAGCACAAAGACCGGCGCCTAGAACCAAGCGACCTAGCGTTGTTGGGACGTGCATTGTGAGGCTGATTGTCTATACGAATGTAGTTTGAAAGAAACTGCTCCGATGCAAGGAAAGGCAAAGAAGAGGAATAATAAAAGAAAATAGGAATATCACGTTTTCGAAGTTCACCATGATACCCATGCAACTAAGCTGAAGGAGACGCTTTAAACTATTGAGCGGTTCCTTGCTAATTGCACAGGAATGGCTAGTGAATCGATAGTCTGGTCGACAGACCCGTCTGTCATTTCCGCTCTGACAGGCGCCACAGGGACCGAATATACCGCTTAGCAATATAGCGAGGGATAGGCCAATCAAGTTGGAAGCTCGGACAAAGTCTATGTATAGAATGATCTTTCGCAAGTTAGTATGATCCATTCTCAAATACACCGCTATGAAGCTGAGCGTTTCAAACATCTGGTTTATACCCATTTTGACGACATCATAATGTCGGACTGGGTATCGACTATATTTCATTTGCAACAGAACAGCCACTAAGACGCTCTACAGTCGTTCATGATGACAGATTCCACAACTTACTCGAGGCAGAAATACGTGTCCAGGGCGTTTGTTAAGCTGTTTGGGCGTATTCTTCATGATCTTTCGCGGAATGTGGTTCCAGGATGTCCTCTGTAAGGACCACTTGAGAGGGTGGGGGTCCCTGTAGAGGACACCGATTTCAAAGAAGAGTTTCTAGTCCATGGAAAATTGGCATTTTTGGGTTTTCGATATGTATATTTTCAAACTATCAAACTGAGTAAGACTCTACAAATGCTGCCTCAATAGATTATTCCGTGTTGTGCCACCAATGAAAAAAGTACATCTGTTTACGAATCCTTTTTACTAGAAGGATTACTTCTACACTATATTACACGGCAGAAATTTCAACATCAGAGTCTACCATTAGTTGAATATTCCCTCTTCATAAGAGAAGTCGTGGGTAAGGGCAGGTATCTAGAGAGCTTAAATTATACAAACAAACCACGTTTCTTATTCTTTGTGAGTTTAATCTATCTTACCGAGATATTAAATAAAGTTCTCAATCACTAGCACATATAAGGCCGATGCCTCTCCTCAAACCGGAGTCTTTTTCCTGCATCGTTCACAACACTTTTCACCACTTTCCACAATACTTTTCCCGAAGCCTTTCTCAACACCTTTCTCACCCACTAGTTCATCATGAAGATTCACACTATTCTTCTGAGCCATTTGCTCCTACCCGCAACCGAGGCGTCGAGTTTACCCAAACTAGTCCGCGCCGAACTAACCCGCAGAACAAACCACAAGGGCTCAAGCACTCCCAAGGAATCAACTCTCGTTTGGTCCAAATGTGACTTGGATTTCGGCAACGAATATTTGAATGAGAAGCAAAAGGATCATGAGTGTGCTAGACTAAAAGTCCCACTTGACTACACTAACGAAAGTAATGGCGAAACTATCGAGCTGGATCTGATCAAGGTCAAGGCTACTGCAAAGCCCTTCAAGGGTAGTGTTTTGTATAATCCCGGTGGGCCAGGAGCTTCTGGTGTTGAGACTACAGTTGATGTAGGATCCCTCCTCAGCGAGTAAGTCTTTGACCCCAAATAACTATGTTGCCCACGTACTAATACTGTTGTAGAATTCTCGGTGGACAATTCGACATCATCTCATTCGACCCAAGGTAAGTCACCCCGATCTGTCAGCTTTATTGTGATACTAACCAAGAACAGAGGCACTGGCCGCACTATCCCGTTTATATGTGAAGAAACGAATGTCCCAGAATCAGGAACACTTCAGCAACGCGATTTCAACACCCTTCCTCAAACCGACATGTGGGAATTTCTCCAAACCACCAGTTGGAGAGCGGGCAGTATCCTTGCCGAAAAATGCTTCCAAACCCGAAAAGACATCGGTCGTTTCGTCAACACGCCTTTTGTTGCGAGGGACATGTTCAAGATCGTCGATGCCTTGGACCAGGGTCCCTTGTTGAACTTTTGGGGAATGTCTTACGGCACTGTCCTAGGCCAAGTCGCTGTTTCGCTGTTCCCTGACCGTGTTGGGCGTGTATTTTTCGATGGCAACAAGAAAGCCGACGACTATGCTGCCGATATTGGGTTAGCTGGCTTGGAAGACGCTGAAAGAGCGGTGGCTCATATTCTGGATGAGTGTGTCAAAGGCGGAAAGAAGCTTTGCTCCCTCGCTGACTTCCACGGGGAGAACACTACCGGAAAAAGCCTGTTTGATGCTTTTTCTCAAGTGATTGAAAAAGGCTTGACCGGATCAAAGGATCCCAATCTTTCAGCACTCGGTATCAAAGGCCAGATCATTGTAGATCTCAAAGACCCGGCCAATTATCAAAGAATCGTCAAAAGAATCGAAGGACTTCTCAGCAACAACGCAGCCGCTTTGAAGGCTCTGGCCACACGAGGCGCCCCCAGCGGTAAAATGCCATGTTGGAACCGTGGAGGTGCAGCCATAAGACCAGGAATCTCATGTGGTGACTCTTCGTTCCGCGTCGATACTCCCGAAGACTTGTACTCCATGTACCAAGCTCATCGGGCGGCAGCCTCATTCTCCGAATCTACGCTATCTCACCGATTTGCCTGCGCGAACTGGAAATTCACTGCAGCGGAGCAAATCGACCTGAACAAGCTTCGCAATGTCAAGACCAACTTCCCTATTCTTCTGGCCAACGGCAGATACGACCCTGTTACGTCGCTGAGATCAGCCTGGGAGATCTCTGCACGCTTCCCAGGGAGCCGAGTTATTGTGCATGAGGGTGCTGGGGTAAGTCTTTCTCGTCTCTGAAGTTTTTAATTATGGTTTATTGACTAAATGTTGAATAGCATTGCGTTCTCAACCACCGATCGAATTGCACCGAAAGTGCTATCAAAGGATACTTTGTAGACGGACAGATGCCATCGGTCAACACTGTTTGCAAGCCTAATCTGCCTCTGTTTGAGTATATAAAAGACGAGACTGAAAAGGCGAGAAAAGCAAAGGAACAGAATTGAGACTTCAAATAAGTAAGAGATTCTCATTAGAATTGGAGGTCTTTTTTAAGGGTTCGCTATCTCAATTGGAGAGATTTTGGTTTGTTCATTTTGTGTCGACTATGGAGTACGGTTTGTATTTTCTGTCTTGCTCACTTCAAAATTCAATTTGTTATTATTCAAGAGCTGCTAAATAAAAGTTGTTATTCAGAAGTTGTCTACTTCACTAGCGTCTCACATGAACTATCCTTTATCTCTTGAGAGCTCGTACGCTATTTGGGCTCTGTGACATGTGCTTCAGGCTGTCGTGGCCATTCGGTCAGCAAAATACATCCTCCGGTTAGTTTATGAAGGAAAGTTTGAACTATTGGCTCTACGCTTACCATTTACGTACCCACAAAGGACTTTGGTGGAAGTGGCCGGCTGAAGAAGTGTAAACGCGTCTAAAACATGCATGCATTAGTTGTATATGGAGTGTGGGAATGGTCAGTTATATACATAGTACGTTATCGAAGCTGAGACCTGCATGGCGGGCCGTCCCAATAGCTAAAGCTGCGCTTGTGGTATCCTAGATGATCGTTGTGCATAAAGCTATCGCCTTGTGTTGGCTTACTATTGGGTCCCTCCGTGCAGGTGCCACATGCATTGCATTCATCGACGCAATAGGCTCCAGGATAGGCAACTCTCTGCACGATGCTGAGCTGAATATCGACCTTCACCAAGGTACCCTTGGGCATGTGCTTTGATTTCGCTCACGTCATTGGTAACTATTCACACAGAGAGAACGGAAAACATCTCAGCATTGGTAAAGGAAGACTATCAAACCTATGTAGCTTATAAGGAATGTCACACATCTGTATTCATCCCAGTGTACAGTTAATCAATGCACTGCAGCCTATTCAGCTGGTGAAGAACTTTCTGGTTGGTACATCTTTTTTAGAAAAGAGCAGTTCGAAACAACGGCAATTGAAATCGGTTATCGACCGTAGTTTGAGCCAGACCCAATCTCTACACAGATGCAGATGGGCGTACGCTGACCGTTGACACGACCAAGTACAGTGCCCCTCCTATGCAGTGCGGCTGAGACACTTGCATCTGCCACACTTTTAGCTGCGTATCATCGCCAGAACCCCTTGTTGATTAGCTTCACCGAAAGAAAATCGAGCAGATAGAAGAGGGGTTCCGAGACACAGGCGCGGGGTTGTAAGACACCAACAGATCTACCGAACTCAAAATGGAAATAGTTCGACGGCATGCGACATTGTGGCACTGAGTGGGTTGCCTCAAGGATACGTCAGATGCGGAGGGTGTAGGACTGTGAGAGAACAACATGCATCTGAGTAGGAGGACAGTAATTGATTGGTACGTAGCCAATGAAGCTCATGAGAGCGATTGACATCTTGATTTCTATAAAGCATCCAGAACACCCCATCCAAACAACCCGAAAGTGCCTCAACACAACCACCCTCTACTTCTCATTCCAACCTATACCGCTCAGACATCATCCAAAATGCCTTCCGGTCTCCCCACTGCCCCCGACACTGAGATTGGCTTCCAGCCTCCTCCCCGTTCCGCCTACCGTGGCGATCCCTCCAAGAGTTTCAAGGGCATCAGCCCATTCCCCATCTCAGGCCCCGGTATTACACCACCAGTTATTTACAACCCCGTCATCAATGTTCTTAGAGGCTACTTGGAGCTTGCCAAGCCTGGAGCACTCAAGGAAGCTGTAGACTCCGCGTACAAGAAGATCCCCCAGTTCATGGACAAGCTCCACATCCACGATGATACATCTTTCCTAGACTTTGCCAATGATCTGCTCAAGTGGATTCCTGAAGAGAACTACGAGGGCAAGGATATCTACGATATTCTGTGCATGTTCTACTTCATCATCGACCAGCCCCCTCTGGCCAGCTTGCAGACTCCCATTGATCCTCAGCAAGCTGGTCTGCCTCTCACTTGGCTTTCGTCGTGGATCGTGGTTTACGCGCAACTCATCGGCTTGTTCATGGACTCACAGTCTTCCATGACCGCGAAGTCCCTCGAGACCTTCAGCCAGAAGAACTCGCCCAAGTACAACTTTGACGAAGCCCTCGTCCCAGAGGGTGGTTTCCGCACTTTCAACCAGTTCTTCGCACGAAAGCTGAAGCCTGGCATGCGACCTATTGCAGACCCGAACAACGACCGAGTTATCGTGTATCCGGCCGACAGCACATACGATAACTCGGTTGAGAACCAGAACATTGTCAACATTGAGTCTGACGGCGTTGTTCGAATCAAGGGTCTGCCATGGACTATTTCATCGCTTCTCCAAGGCAGCGAGTACGCGGATGACTTCCATGGTGGCGTTTGGATGCACGCTTTCCTCAACACATTCAACTACCACCGTCAACACGCCCCGGTAGCCGGTGAAGTACTTGAGGCCAAGAACATCCAAGGAGCTGCATATCTCGAGGTCAACGAGAAGTGTGAACCTGTCCGAACCATGTGCGGCCCCGACGCACCTGACACTCCAGGCTACCAATTCTTGCAAACACGTGGTCTCGTTGTCATCGACAATCCTGTGCTAGGTCTTGTGGCAGTTCTGCCTATCGGCATGGCACAAGTTTCCTCCGTGAAGCTGACGGTCCGAAAGGGTGATAAGTTGGAGAAGGGAGACGAGATTTCGTACTTTGAGTTCGGAGGGTCCGACATCATTTGTGTCTTCCAGCCCAAGGCGGGATTGAAGGTAGAGGACTTTGTGGCTTCAACTGATAACACGTATTCTAAGTACGGAACTATCTTGGCGAGAGCTCCTGAGAAATAGATGAAACGATGCCAGCGCTTTTTATCTTATACAATGAATAAAATTATGGTCTAAGATGATCGCGTTAGTAAATGCAAGTGTCTGTGATTCACATACATAGTATACTCTTTATAGGGATTCCTTTCTTCTTCTTCTTATTCAGGAAGAACTCAGTATATCCTGATCATTGAAACCCTTACATTATATCCATACTGAGAGCCTGGGAGGTTCTCGGTTGCCAGCTCCGAAGACATTCGGAAGGCTACCGAGCCTTTGAATTACTGTAAGATGAAGTCATTTCAGATATCACAAAGCTATTATACAATTTTCACTGGAAGTCCCTTTTAATCATCCTTTGCAATAATTCTTTTTTGCAGATATTCAAATCAACATTGTATCAATATGAGCGTTAAGAGTTGTTCCATAAATCCGGCCTGAGGCAGACTTACGAAGGATGCCGAAGATGGTGTAAGCAGTAGCTTGCTCCACGCAAAGTCGGTATAAATATGCCGAAACCCAAACAACCACGTTTGCTTATTTCCTGTATACTGAAGTCTCGTTGTACTAATAAAAAGGTCCAGGAAAACAGATAATTACAAACAAAATGTCAATATCAACCCTATCCCAGCTTGTGGACCAGCATCGCCCAAACCTCCAGCCTTTGGAGGAACTCTACAAGCACCTACACCGGAACCCCGAACTTTCCAACCAGGAGGTTGAGACAGCAGCCACAATCGCCAAAAGACTCAAGGATATTGGACCTGATGATCTGGTCATCAAACAGCACATTGGTGGCCACGGCCTCGCAGCTGTTCTCCGCAATGGCGAAGGTCCAACTGTGCTTCTTCGCGCAGATATCGACGCTTTACCAGTGGAAGAGACCACCGGTCTCGAATATGCTAGCACCAAGCGCATGGTCCACGCTGAAAGTGGCGTGGAGAAGCCAGTCATGCACGCCTGTGGTCATGATATGCACATCGTCACTTTGCTAGGCGCAGCGGCTACACTCTTCTCATCCCGGGACGCTTGGTCTGGGACTTTAGTGCTTGCTTTCCAACCTGCGGAAGAGCGAGGTACTGGCGCGCAAGCCATGGTAGACGATGGCCTGTATACCAAGCATGGAGTCCCTGTCCCCGATTTTGTTCTAGGAGCTCATGTTAGACCATTGCGTACCGGCACGATTGGTACACGTAGGGGACTTGTTGCTACCAGTGCGGACAACTTCAAAGTCACCATTCACGGCAAAGGCTCCCACGCGAGTATGCCGCATACCGCGATAGATCCGATTGCGATTTCCGCCAATGCCATTCTCAAACTACAGACACTTGTTAGTCGAGAGGTCGATCCAGCAGAGTCCAGTGTTGTCACCGTCACGAGTGTGCATGCAGGCGATGCGGAGAATGTCATCGCTGACTCGGCCGTTCTCGGAGTGGACACCCGATCTACAACCATCGCAACGCGCGAACGACTGCTGAAGCGTATCAAAACCGTTATTGAGGCAGAGTGCTCTTGCGCCAATGTGATCAAAAGTCCAGAGTTTGTTCAAACGAGAGCTTTTCCTCTGACCATCAACGACGAAGCTGTAACCCAGAGAGTGGAGGACTCATTTGCAGCACATTTTGGCGAAGGGCCTGAGAAATACGACAGGAACATGCCAAGACTTGGATTCAGCGAGGACTTTTCCATTTTGGCAACGGCTGTGGATAAACCATATTGTTTCTTTACTTACGGCTGTGTTGGTGAAGAGGCGTGGGATAAGGCTGAGAAGGAGGGAACTATTGCACAAACAATTGCTGCGAATCACTCGTCTAGGTTTGCACCAGTCATCCAGCCGACACTTAGAACTGGACTAGATGGGTATGCGCTTGGGGCTTTGACATTTCTGGCTAAGGGACAATAAGCGAGAAGCAGACATTGAGAAGATATGAATGAATTACATTTGATGGATTGACCAAGTTGTTGCGGTCCAATGTTTCACTACTATGGCTTATAACAAAAAGTTTTCATGTGCAGATGAATTGTCAGAGGTGATTATTGGGTGGGGTATGAAAAAGCAGATTTGAATAAGAGAAAATCTAGGATATTGTCCGGAGCCACAAGAGTATCACCAGAGTGGTCAAAGTCGAAGAGAGATGATGGAAGGGCCAAGGTGGTGTGTTAATTGACAATTAATTAGTCTATAGTATCAAATGTGACAATACTCTGGTATCCAATTACATCGGTGAGATGGCCGAGTTGGTTATGGCGCCAGGTTAAGGTTAACCTTAACACCAATTCCTGGTGGAGCAATCCTCCTGGGTTCAAGTCCCAGTCTCATCAGATCTTTACTTTTGCAATTCTGATTTTTTATCTTTTTATCCTGCAGTCTAGAATTAATCCCTCTAGGAATTGTCTTGATTTCTCTGAATCTTTGTTCCCAGGCCACTATTGGTGGTTTTGTTCAACCCCAGTTCTTATCTATAGAAACCGAACCATTCAGCTACTCGCTTCGATAACTGTATTGTATCCAAGAGTTGTTAATAGCGCGTCGAATAATTTGTTGGAATTCCATAACCGCCAAAGCTTACGATGAACCAACAGTTGGGAAGCATCCTCCCGTATCTAACATTCGCATTGCCTTCAACTTGTTTGGAAGCTCAGCACCATCATGAAGAATCATACGATTTTATCCGAGAAAGTTCAGCCATCTATTCCCATAATGGCTGTCATGCCCATTGGAAGTCTTACACTCCGCCCTGAAAGGCTGGATACTACTTGTCGAAGGTATGAAATATCGTTATGCGTATAACTATCTATTCCAACAATCTGAAGGTACCGTTGTTCAAACGAACCTGTCGCAGTTGTACGATGCACCAAATACAATACGTTGACGCATTTTGGGTCTACAGTCATTTGGGTGCAGGCGGTGGAAGATGAGGGTGAAAAATGCCTCCAATAAGAGGTACCGAGGACGGAGACGAGCAGAGAGGCCATCTGGAGGGAATGGTGTGCATTAGATGAGGCTAGAATTGGATAGGGTCCAATTGTTTTTAAAGGTCTTTCTGACAAACCTCGGAAGACTGTGGGCATCAGGCGTAAGATTGGACCCTATTCTGGACCCCTTGGACAGCAGCAGTGCCCGATCCACAGTACAGCTTGACAACTTCGCCAGGCTTAACAAACCAGAGTTTATATACACCCCAAGACTTCTCGGCAGGTGCATCTGATATGGATGGGGACAAAGACCCTCGGTTTCGTCAGGTTTGATTCTCTTTTACTTCTTCTTTTGGATAATACAGGAACAGCCCTCTAGGCTTGAATTAAGACGTCAATGCTGTAAAGCATTCGGACAGAGTATGTCCAGAGAACATCTAAAATTCATCTTGAATATGTCTGGAAAGTGTCGAGGAAGCGTCCATGAAGTATCACCGCATCTAGCTCCAGGGAGGTCAATGAGAAACAGATTGTCCACATGGTTACTCCCTCAACAAAATACCATGTCATACGTGCTATTCTTACTGGGTTCAGTACGGGGCCATTCAAGGACAAAACGATTGCACTCCCACCACCAGACCGTTTCGATCTCCAGAGACCGGATGAAACTGGATTAGCACCTGGTCTACCATTTCGAGTTTCCTGTCTTCTTTGTGGGGTTATGGTCAACAGATATGCTTTTCCACAGCGATTGTGGAAGGTCAAGACGAGATAGATGGCTCTGTTTAGACCCTCCGAAGAGAATCCATCGCCAACTCTGTCTGGCCCACTTCCTCCGAATGAAGTGGGATACCAGTGAGGGAAGGCTTCCGGATCTCGTGAATACTTGAGGTTGCTATCCCGCTCGTTGGGTGCGAAGATGAGAATCTAGGCGGCGTGGACAAGAACTTCGAAACTCAACAAAGGATGCCGCAGCGTTTGGCAAATAACTTAGCACTTTGTGGTAACGATGGTTTTCGGGCTTGAACAACTGCGACAGATGCCGACACTATGGGGATGCGAATCGTATCATGGGAAAGGCTGGGGGCGTGGAAAGGCCGAAAAGGAAACAGGGAATGGCATTGTCGGATGATATTGTACAGCTGATACCTACCTTGAGAAGGATGGCCAAAAGATGGAATGTGCAAGTGAGTGGTTTTTGAACAAGGTTCGCATTCGGAAGTGTGCTAATCTGAGAATTATATGTTGATCCAATCGCCCCCAGTTTTCGGTGCCAGGGTCTCGCTAGGGCTGAATATTAGGCCGGCTCGGATTCGCATATCGTAAAACAACCTGTATGGTCAGATTATTAATTGCGTCCGCATTGCCTGATATTTTTCCATTGTGTGCGGCTTTTGAGTAACTAATCGTGTCAAACACATGCTGCCGTCTCTCAATTCAGCTTTAGTTGAATGAACTCACTCACATGATGCACGGTACTCCGTACTCATTCTGAAAGATCAACCATGTCGTCAACGTCAAAGCGCGGTCGTCAAAGCGTAATTGTCCACGTATGTGGCGTGCAGATTGGAGAGTGGAGTGAGTTTACTTTCTACTTGCCGAGGTCTTGTTGATTGAATTAATTGAATGTTACGCGCTAGTAGCAATTCGGTACTTATAACGACCCCGTCCCCCTTTTAGTATAAAATGAACCAGAACGACAGCATTAATTTTCTCCATATTCAAACAAATCTTTTACATACGTATCCACATCGACCTCACTTACAAGTTACATCATGGGTTCCGCTAAATTCTCACCGGATACTGATATCCCCAGCCTCGAGGGCAAAGTGATCCTCGTCACAGGAGGAAACTCAGGACTGGGTTTCGAGACAATCAAGCAACTTTCGAAACATCAACCGGCTCGCATGTTCCTCACTTGTCGCTCCAAGGCCAAATTCGACCAAGCCATCACCGAGCTTCAGAATGCAGGATGCACTACCGACTCGATATCTTTCATTGAACTGGACCTCACTTCTCTGGCAAGCATCAAATCCGCTGCCAAGGCCTTCCAGGAGTCATCTGCTAGACTCGACATTCTCGTCAACAATGCCGGAATCATGATGACGGCTGAAGGTTTGACTCAGGAGGGATATGAGATTCAAATCGGAACAAACCATATGGGTCATGCATTCCTTACTCATCTTCTCCTCCCAACTCTGGAAGAGACCACCAAAATCAACTCTGACGTGCGAATCATATTCGTCGCATCAGTCGCAGAGTCCATGGCACCGCCACATCCCTACCAGTTCGAACAGTTCAAGACCAAGATGTCCAAGACGGCAACCAACAAACGCTACGCTATATCAAAGCTTGCCAACGTCCACTACGCTGCAGCCATGGCAGAACGATATCCCAGCATGAAAGTCATCAGTGTTCATCCCGGAATCGTAAACACCAACCTCACTACATCGGTCATCAGCGGGAGCCTCATCTTCGGATCGATGATTCGCTTGTTTTACGGCTTCGCTGGCATTGATGTTGCCAAGGGCACTTTGAATCAGTTATGGGCGATTTCTGATCCCAAGGCTGAAAGTGGTGTTTTCTACCATCCTGTTGGGGTGACAGGCAAAGGAAGCAAGTTGAGCCATGATAAGGAGGCCCGAGAGAAGCTTTGGGAGTGGACGCAGCAGGAGATTAAGCAGCATCTTTCTTGATTTTTTCTTTTTTCTTTTTCCTTTTGCTCTAACTTTCAACTTTTTCAAGCCCAGTCTTTCCAAATCTCTCAATGATAGCAACAACATCTTTCTTAATTATAGCCTTTCTGGAACCCCATTTCATATCGACCGTCATTTTTACTAGCCATTCTTTTCAGCACAACGATGGCTTTTTATTGCGATAATTCTCTTAAGCCTAGAGGCCCGATAATAAAGATATAGATTCGATTTTATGTCGTCCGCGTCTAAGAATACTGCAGTCTCTGATCCTTTAAAGGGCTGAACACAATCAAAAAGGGTCTATTTCCACCCAATAGTCTCAAAATTTGTTTCCTTTGAACCCGTAGTCGAATTCACGATTTCTGTTTCCCCAAAAAAAGTCAGGAGGAAGGACCAAACCGAATTGCGATTGACTACCCTGTAGATAAGGACCAGCCGACGTCTGGTGTCCCGGCAACCAAAAAAAAGTCATTCATTTAAACCATCCCTTTCATCCAACTCAATTCTCATGTTCCTCAAAAGTGGCACTACGAGTTAATTCACACAGTAGAAAGAAATCAAAATCTCCTAGTCTCCATGGCCGCAAATCTTCGGGGTCCTATCAAAGCCTGTCATAATTGCACACGCTGTGCCAATCGAAAACAGACCTGCGATCGGGTTCTCCCCCAGTGCACGCGTTGTTCGGTGTGAGTTTCGAAGTCAACGAATTTTTTATCTCATCCGTTAATCATTGTACAGAGTTTCAGGCACCTCATGTAGCTACATACGAGCTGCGAGCGCCGTGTCCGTTCAGGTCCCTCAGCCTCTCTTCAAATATGATGCTAACATCTGGGATTCCGGTTCCACATGTTGGAAACTGACAGATAAGGGCCAAGAACGTCTCATGGACGCGGCTTTTAGACATCAATGGTCATCGGCTGCGGAAACGGTACAAATCATTCTTGCTGAGCGTGGCCGCAGTGTCGAGCAACTTCTTGAAGATGACATCTTCAAATGGTTTCCTATCGCGGAGAGTGGTCGCCTGGAGAGCTATGATCTGGTCTTCAGCTCCGATAAGCTAGACGTGGGTATGCCATTGTTACATTTGGCTATCTTGCTCATCACCACCCCGCCTCCCATGGACGCCAAAGGAAGGCTTCCATTCCTCCCCGGAATAACCTCGAAGCTGTACCGTACTCTGAAGGCCATGCATGCGATAATGTCCTCTGGTATTGCCCCTAGTGCCTGTATGGCCCAGACACTAGGAATTATCGCTCTGTATGAGTTTGGCCAGGGGATGTTCGAGCAGGCGCACCTGACAGTTACCTCAGCCTTCGCTGTGATAAGCATGTTGCCATTCCACTCCGATCCAGAGTTGACACTTTCTTGGCAATTATGTCTGGCGACCCTCGATAGGTGAGGCAGACTTGCCCCTGATTCACGGCTACTTGTTAATATATATCAGGATGATCTCGCTATCTACCCATAGCAGAGCACATAGCCAACGTAAGCGTCGAGATGGTGTCACAAAGTTGCGCCTCGCCTGTCCCCCAGGCCACAACGTAAGCAATGATATAGAGTCAAGGGTTGAAGCTCTTGCGGATCCTCGATGTCATGAAGCTTGTCAGGAGCCGGGCGCTCAAAAGATCATAGCTGTTGGCGCAGATATAGAACAAGCGGGTCGCGTTCTACAGTGGGTGAAAGAATTAAGTGAAGTCAATCGGAACATAGATTTCACATGTGAAGATTATGGTGATTCAGAGGAGCATGACGCTATCGATGAGGAATTCACGGCCATGAAGGCCCAGAGCGGTGCCGTGCAAAACCCCGAATCTTGGTTGAACCATGATCCACAAGCCTTATTGTCTCTTAGGTACGTCCGAAAAAAGAGCATTGATGTAACACTATTAACTCATTTACAGTGCCCTACTCACCTACGACTACGACCCAACTCACAGTTGCGGACTTAAAAAGCCAGAAGCCGCCGCCAGACAAAAGGAATGTCAAGCGATGGCTGTCAAGTTGGGTAAGCAAGTAGTCGCTCTTCACAAGAACAAAGAACTCGATCTACATCAACTTTCTATGGTCGGTATGTTTTGCGTTATGCACAACATGGCCATCATGTTGAAAGACCCTTCGTACGACTACGCTCACAAAGCCGCCATTGCTGTGAGACCAGCCATTAAGAGATACGCGCTTAGGTGGCCGTTTGCAGGTAAGTACCTATGAACATTTATCGATCGGAACTATTCTAATGAATATTCAGTTGACTACGTTGAACACATCACCGGTTACATAGAGCACGAAAAGAATGTAATGGCTCGTCATAGGGATCCGAATTACTATTACTGAGGGCCATGTGACTCATCATATAAGCTAGCTAAATCGAGCCGGTTGGTCAACTATCTAACAAATAAACTGGGAAGTCCTGGAAGTGCAACGTATCTATCATGCAAGGTGTTTCAGCAAAGGTTTCGCTTGGTCAGGAATTATACATACCGTTATAGGTCGCTTAGATAACCACTGAAGTCTCAATTCCAATTCGTCCCTGCGTATGCAGATCACGCGTCGAATACGTAGCCCATTACTAAAAAATGGGCGTTCCGGCCTCCGCGGTAGCCGTAGTCACCGAGAGTTTAAATTCTCCGAAGTATCCAATCGATCCTCTCTTTATAAACCCAGTTTCTTGATATCACCGTCACCAGTCCAGCAAAAACGCCAAGATGAATGAAAGCACCAACGAGAGGAGGTTTTTTAACTATCCTAAGCCTCACCAGGGGTAATATCTCACTTGTTAATTATGATGGATGAAATGCTGACGTGCTGCTTACTGCTAGGCCTCGTGTTCCATATGCCATTGAGAGGAACCCGAATCCTGTCATCAGAGGACGTCTCCTCGTCGTGGCAGCATTCATGTGAGTATTCTACACACACCGTTGATGCTTTTGTAGCTAATATTGTAGAATGGAATGGGTTCGATTTATTCGTGAAATCGCGTGGTCAAACGCCGGTTTCGCTTCGCTCCGGAAGATCCGGACTTATCTCGAGCATTACGAACCACGCTATGATCCGACCGTCGTCCCACTCGCCCTATCAGAAGCCGAAGCAAAAGAACGCGGTGAAAGAGTCCAAATTTCCAACCTGCAACAAGAAAACACTACGCAAAGACCCAGCACGTCTAAATTCTACTCAGCGGCTGATTATAGGGACTTATATCTATCCGGGGAATTGACGCCAGTTGACGTGGTCAGGGCGATCCTGCCTCTTGTCCAGCTTGATGGCCAGCGAGGAAAACATGCGAATGCTTGGAGGGAACTCAACATTGATCAGATCATGAGAGCTGCTGAGGCTTCGACCGAGAGGTACAAGAATAAGCAGCCTCTTGGTCCGCTTGACGGAGTACCCTCTGCTATCAAAGATGACTACGACTTAGACGGATACTCCACAACTCTTGGCTCTTGTAGAGAATACGCCAAAGAACCTGCCAAAGGAGAATCAAACACAAGCTGGATCGTGCGAAAGCTCGAAGAAGCCGGAGTCGTTATCATCGGAAAACTCGCCATGCATGAGTATGGTCTGGGTACGTTGCCCGTATTCTTATTCTTATTCTTGATGCTGACTTGCCTTATCAGATACGACCGGAAATAACCCCAATCAGGGCACTCCACACAACCCATTCAATTCAGGCTATTATACCGGCGGCAGTTCCTCTGGTCCTGCATATGCCGTTAGTTCCGGGCTAATTCCCCTCGCGTTGGGCAGTGATGGCGGTGGAAGCATTCGCATCCCTGGATCTTTCTGCTCGGTGTTTGGTCTCAAGCCTACGCATGAGCGACTTACCTCTTGGCCTGGTGCCAACCATTCGCCTACGTGTGCAGTGCAGGGCCCTCTCGCTGTTGATATGCGATCCTTGGCCGCTGCGTATGAAGCCATCGCCGAGCCGCATCCTTCAACCCAGTTCCCGCCTTTAGCTCTTCAACCATCACCCCCAGTGACGAAAGTCCTAGGAATTTTTGATGCATGGATTTCACGCGCGGAGCCTGGTGTTCAGTCGTTAGTTCGCGGCATGGTTGAGTCTTTGGCTGCCAAGCACGGGTATACTCTCGTCCCGATTGAAATTCCCTTTCCCGCTGAAGGTCAGATGGCGCATGCACTTACTGTTCTGACCGATGCATCGACTTTACTCTTTGATACTTCAGGACTTACGCCGGCAAACAAGATTCTCCTGGCTCTTGGTCGAACTACTCCTGCTACTGATTACTTGCTGGCCCAGAAGTTCCGAGGAATGATGATGGAGCACCTGGCATATCTGTGGAAGACATACCCAGGTATGCTGATCATCACACCCACTACAGCCTGTGCAGGTGCAGTTATCCGGGGTGGAAAGTCTGAGTTGTCTTTTGGCGTTAACGACGGAAACTACACACTTCAAAGTATGGAATATGTGTGGCTGGCCAACTTCTGCGGCCTCCCTGCCATCACCGTTCCCGCTGGATATGTTGTGCCCGAAGGCAGCAAGGGCGCTGGAGAAGTTGCCGACGGTGACGCTGAGGGTAAGATTCCAGTTGGACTCATGGCAACGGGCGAGTGGTGTAGTGAAGATGCGCTGCTGCAGTTTGGTTTTGATGCCGAGGCCGCGGGTCAAGAATTGCGATGCAAGCCGCCTGTTTGGGAGGATGTCATTTCTCAGGCTAAAGCTGTTTCTAGAGATGCGTTGAGCGGAGTTGTTACTGAGTAGAGGGGAAAGCAGATTTGGTAGACGATCGTGACATTGTACAAGCTCTGAGTGAAAGTTGGAGCCTTGGAGGATATATCCTAGAGCACATAGATGCAAACTTTTGTCAAGTTTAGCGGAGCAAACAAGGGAATCTTAGATTGAATATATAACACATCCTGGGAACAGATCATAGTAGTGAATCCTTCGAGGCGAGGTGCATATGGTAGCCTTGGCACAGATCCTCGTATTCCCTGCTTGACTCCGCAGCGTCAGCTCACGTGTCATCCCGTTTATCCTCACCCAGTACTCCAACTTCTTACAACATCCAGTCTGCATCTCTATTGACGCTAACTTTTCTCACACTTTCCAACGATCAATCCATCACTGTCAGTAAATTACAATGACTGATCAGGTCAGCAACGGTGTCGGCGTACCACCGGTCCAGTACGACATCCGAGAACTCTCCAACTCGGAAGAAGACACCCAGCGAGTTTGGCAAATGTGGCAGACAGTCTTCTCAAACTGGCCAATTGAGAAAGCGAGATTTGGCAACCTTCTCTTCAGTCTCCCAGGCCATCACCATTGGATTCACGAGCACGGCTTTTGTTTATCCTTCTACTCCAAAAATGAGCCATTAGGTCGAATTGCCGCACTTGCAGTTCTGCCTGAACATCGTCGCAAGGGTCTTGGCACTGCTCTGCTAGATAAGGCCAAGACTGGTCTGAGAAAGGCTGCTCGTGACGATGGAGGTAAAGAATTGGCTTCTTTGGAAATGGGTTCTGTCTTCCCTCGGTTTTGGTGGCAGGTGCCCAACAACTTTCCGTCGGAAGTGAAGGATTTCTTATCTCACAGAAGTAAGTGCCATACTGAATGCCGAAAAGATATAGTTTCTCATTGAAAAGGTATTCATAACACTTCCCAACCGGTCCGGGACCTCTACAAAGACATCCGAGAGACAATTGTACCGCCTGAGATAATGGAGCGCGTCTCAAAGACAAAGGCCACGTTCTCTCCGTGGTCAGCAGAGTTGTACGAAGAATGCATGACTAAACAAGAAGCACAATTCGTCAGTTCCCTTTCTCATTCTCACTACTAAACATCTAACACATCTAGGGCTGGTCCGGCATCTACAAAGCTCTCGCAGCGCGAGACCTGCACAGTGAAGTGATGGTAGCGTTCGACCCCGATACCAACGAGCAGATTGGTTGGACGTTGATGTGCTCATACTCGGCCATTTCCCACGTCTTTGCCTTTCTCCATCTTCCCCTGTCCGGGGAAAAGACAGGTCTTATCGCTGCTGTTGGCGTGGATGAGAAGGCGAGAGGTAAAGGTATTGGTTTAGCTCTTGTTGTGAAAGCAATGGAGAACCTACGTGAGAGAGGAATGGATGGTATTCTCATCGATGCGGTGGCAATCCAGGGTTTTTACGAACGTTTGGGTTTCGAGACGCAGTGGGAGTATGAAGGCTATGGTTGGTAAACAAACTTGGCTAATAACATTATCTCGAACCGTATTTATGAGCTTCTCCCCATCATACTTGCCGCAATTTCTAAAGAAAGAGGGAAAAGGTTGGAAGAAAAAAGGGGAGTAAAAAAGAAGTCACACTCTCTCAACTCGACGTTTATTTCTATTTGCCACAATCCCTGTCGGTCTTGAAAATATCATCAAACAGGCTATAATGATTGACCAATGTAAGGTAATCAGAGTTTTAATAAATCGACCCAATCTACATTACCGATAGTGGCACGCCACAAACTAGAAAGAACAGAAAGACACTGCCAAGCAGCTAATAACACCACTCAGTCATACAAACAGGATAAAGGCTATTATCTATTATCATTCTATTAACCAATGCCAAGAACTAGCAAGTAACAATACCTGGCTATCTTACTACGCCGACCAAGGTGACGATGTTAAAGCTCGCTCCCTTAACCGCTAGAGGCGGAATGGTGGTGTGATTGTTACAACGACTGCCTTGGGCCTAGTGAGAGGAGACCGAGGACTGAAAGAAAATATTGCCGCGCCTGAATCAGATGACCGGTTGCTGTCAGCGTCAGGGTCTTGTTACTCATTATCCCGTCCGTTTGTACTCGCCCCTCAGCTCAGTGTATCCCTCTGTAGCCTTCGCTGAGCATCCCTTAACACCCTCTTGATGTCCTCGAGGCCATACCTTATTGCCAGATCCAAAGGTTTCCAGCCCGTCCTATTCTTCACGTTTAAATCAGCATTCCATTCAAGAAGATATTCTACGCTTCTTCGGCTTGCTGTTCTGACGGCATAGTGAAGGGCCGTCCCACTTCCTGGCCATTGATTTGGATTCTCTTTATATCCGTACTCGAGCTGGTTAATATCGACTAGCTCATTCGTCAAAAGGAAGTCCATGATGGCAAAGCGGTCGTTGTCGTGTTGGGCCGCCACAATTGCTCGGTGCAAGGCATTGCTCCTGTAGAATTTTGCCCCAGCGTGGTATAGGATATCAACCACTTCCACGGAGGCACGTTCCCCAGCCAGTGTGGGAATATTAACACTCCCGCATGGGGTTGTCATGTTCGGGCAGGCGCCAATGCTTAGGAGGCGACGCATCATATCTGGACTTTGGAGGTAATCTCTGGGTATTGTTAGCACGGAACATCACAAGCGAGGGAATGTGTACTTACCCAAGGACAGAGTAAGGATAATCAAGATAAGGCTGGTTGATATCAAAGCCATTGGTAACAAAGGCCAAAGCAACATCCATGGGCCCTCTCAATATATAGGACCATACGTCAAACCCCTCTGGCTTGACCTTCCTAAAATTGAGAAGATATCTCACCATGTCGAGGTTCCATTGCTGACAGGCCAGTTGAAGAAGACGTCTCTCCTCTTGAGTCATGAGCCCGAATTCGAAACCTTGACTCCCGACCTGTTGATCCCAGAGGAAGAAAAGGGAAGCAACCGTTGTTCTATCAAAATTCCTCATAGCATCTACCAGTCGATTGAAGATCCAGAGAACTCTTCCTCTGAAGGTGGCGAGACTACCCGCGGTGCTCTGGTTGATTTGATTCATTGTGACGGTTTGGGATGAGAGTTAGAAGACAAGAGAGGATTGGGTGGTTAGAGAGTAAGATGTCGAGAAGATTGAGAGTGGGAAGAGGAAAGGGTTGAGTAGACAGAGAAGAAGGGAGGGATCGAGGGATCTTTATATGGCACATTGAGGGGATTGTAGGTTACGATAAAGTTTATTCTCTTCAAGAGGAGGATGTGATCAATGGTAGTAAGAGTTTATTTTCCTAAATGCTGCCTTTGCTGCTGTTACTGCTAGATTTGGTAGGATGAGGCTAGAGATTTGGTTGAACTCTTGGGTGTTTCGTGAGATACGGCAGCTTTACTTTCTACCAGTATAGAAATAGTGTTTTGGTTTGATAGATAAGCATTTTAAAACAGTATGAAGAGGGAAATACCGAATTCAAAAATGAGGACATTTCGGCTGTGATATTGGACTTGTCATGCCTGGTCAAGGTCGTCTCACTCGATGCTTGAAGCATTGATGCAGATTATATGAATATAGTTTTACTTATCAAACGAGTGAAAGTTTAACGAAATAATATGCCCTCCTCGACTTTGCATTCCGAGAAATGACTTTAAACTGTCTCCAGACATTCTACGCTGCCTATTTCTTACTCAGTACGAGTATATCCAACATGCTCAAGGGTTTGCGGTGCTTGTTTACGTTCAAACAAGAGATCAATTAACATTTAACGTCACAAAGCTACCGCGGGCCTAAATTCAAAGTCGTTATCATCGGCTTCATACTTTGAGTGCTTATTGAACCAAGTCAGAGCAGCAGAATGCCGGGAACTTTCCCTCATCATAAGAATTTCATTCCAAAACACATCACCAAGAAAGGCAATACGTTCGATCGTGGCATTATCTTGAAATAGCCAAGACACTTTGACTGTAGAAGCATTTATTGATCAGGTATTCAAAATATGGTCAGGCTACCACCAAGTATCCAGTCTCAATGAGCGTCTTTACCAGCCATTGCTACTCGCGGCATTACTCAAGGGTTGTGGTAGATTTTCATTCCTCATTAATCCACAGGTGGAACTCGAATGTGACATCCGGTCATCCATGCTATCAAACTCAATATCGATGCAAACCCCAAAAGATCACCGTTCCACATATTGCATATCACGAATCTTGACCGCAAAAGTGGCTTACAACTTGTTTCTCACCCAAATTCTCAATCGGGAAGCTGGTTAAGAACCAAGGCCTCAACTAACTTTAGGTATCTATCTAATTATGCTGATCCCTTCTTCAATCGCTTAGCTCTTGTAACCATCGCCAGGTTGTGATACCCCGCCTTCGTCATGCATGCGACGTACCTCTTATCGCAAACTCAGAATGTTGACGACCTCGGTCGATTAAAATTACTACCTCCTCGCGCAGTAAAGTTTCGCACAAACGTGTCTTTTTGGAGGGAGGCCACATCATAAAATCACGTTCAAATAAATCCTCTCTCGACAATCTAACCTTCCATCAACACCAAGGTCCTTATCCGAGAGTGAATTGAACCAGATGGGTAACTATAAGGCTTTGGCAGCTCTATTGAGCTTCCTACCACATGTTGCTCAATCGCATCCTTGCGACACTCCTTATCCTCCGGCTACATCGCCACTGCAGACCAGACAATTCTCCAACAGCCTTGGCGCCGTTGCCAGCGAGAGTTCGATATGCAGCACCATTGGTGTCAACATCCTGCGCCAGGGCGGTAACGCTGCTGATGCGATGGTTGCGACTGTCCTGTGCGTTGGTACAATTGGTAAGGCAATCTCTCCATCGTGACTTGAGTTCTGGCTAATTGATGAAAGGCATGTATCATTCTGGTATCGGTGGAGGCGGTTTTATGCTCATCCACAAGGGCGATGGTAAGAATCAGACCGCGCCATATGAGTTCGTCGATTTTCGTGAGACCGCCCCTGCAGCTGCTACGCAGGATATGTTCAAGAACAATGTCAACGAGAGCATATCTGGAGGCAAAGCAAGGTAAGGCATTCCTTGTATGCCGTCCGACAATCACTGACAAGTTCTACAGTGGCGTACCGGGCGAGTTACGTGGTCTCGAACACCTACACAAGACCTACGGGCATTTACCTTGGTCGCAGCTCGTGCAGCCTGCTATCAAAGTCGCACGCTATGGATTCCCCGTCAACAACGATACTCTGAAGTTCATGAAGATGACGTACAAAAAGTCCGAGAATGAAAGCTTCCTTCTCAATGACCCGTCGTGGGCCATTGATTTCGCTCCTTCTGGGAGATTGGTCAAGTTTGGCGAGAAGCTCACTCGCAAGCGATATGCGGACACTTTGGAGGCTATCGCTTCTGAAGGCCCTAGCGCTTTCTACGAGGGCCCTATTGCCGATGCGACTATCAGGACTTTGAAACAGGAACGAGGTATCATGACGAGTGAAGATCTAAAGAACTACACTGTCGCCATCCGTGAGCCTGTGCAGATCAACTACAGAGGTGGAAAGATCACGAGTGGTTCCGCCCCTTCGAGTGGCGCGGTAGCTCTAGCTGCGCTGAATATCCTGGATGGCTATGATTTCTTGGGCGATCCGAGCCGAGTCAACGACACCACTTATCTTACCGATGAGGCTTTCAAGTTCGGCTATGGAATGCGTAGCAATCTAGGCGATCCGAGCTATGTCAAGAACCTAGACGAGTACCAGGTTCAGATGTGCTCCAATAAGACGGCGCAGGAAGTTCGCGCCAAACTCGATGGTCGAGCTCTAGACCTCAGCGAGTACGATCCTAAGGGCCTTGAAAGCTTGGATACCCCTGGAACGTCGCATATCGTCACCATGGACCAGTCTGGTCTCGCCATAACGCTCACAACCACAATCAACCTCAACTTTGGCTCACAGGTCATCGTCCCCGAAACCGGAATCATTATGAACAACGAGATGAACGACTTCAGCATCCCCGGCGAATCGAACCAATTTGGCTTCATTCCCAGCGAAGCTAACTTCATCCGTCCCGGAAAACGACCTCTTTCTAGTATATCCACCACTATTGTCGAAGGACCCGATGGGAAGGTCTCGTTGGTCACGGGTGCTGCCGGTGGAAGTCGTATCATCACTGCCACAGCTCAGGTTATACTGAATGCACTGGATAAGAACATGACTGTGAAGGAAGCACTTGCTGCTCCTCGACTGCACGATCAACTCGTCCCGCGACAGGTTACGTTCGAATACAAGTTCGACAACTCGACGGTTGCTTATCTGAAGGAGATTGGGAATAACGTCACTTGGGTGGCACCGGGACAGAGCACTGCTCATGCTTTGAGGAGGTTGACGGATGGAAGATTCGAGGCAGGAGGTGAACCTCGCCAGGCTAACTCTGGAGGTTTCTCGACTTGATTCGTCATTTTTATCTTTCCTCTCGTGCTTAATCACGTTGTTAGATCTAAGCCATTTCGGAAAGCATACGTGGATTGAAGGAATTGTAGACTTGAGGTATTGTGAATAGTGGCTCAAACAGGTGACCCATTGCTGTATCCGTCTAGAACTCTAATTAGAACAATCAGAATGATTGCAGGCGACTTGTTACTCTCTTCCCAGCCCCTATAGTTTCCAAACCTCCAAATTACGGTATCGCGCAACGAGAGGGTTCATCTGCCTAAAGCCAATCCTTCCCCCACGCACAACCGGCCCTGTCGAGCGATCCACGTCCTCCCAAGAAAAGATCTCCAGTCCATTGATCAAGAAGGTGATATCTCGCTTATCGTGAATGACTTCGACTTTGTAATAAGCACCCTGTGTGTCCTCCACATCCGGGAGCGGGTCAGCACCCTGAGAAACGAGGTGAAAACCCGGCGATTTTCGCAAGTTCGCTAGATGGAATGCCCTCTCCTCAGGCCATCGACGTCGAAAGTATGAAGCGTGCAGAGTACGGATATCGCTGGAGTGGTATTGCGGATAAGAGCCGTTGCGGGGCTTGAGACCCTTGTCGAAAATGCTGCCACCCTCGGCAGAAGCTGCGCCGAAGAAGATGATGGCCAGACCGGGTTCTTCAATGGGCGAGAATTCCCAGCTGATCCGGATGCGCTCGGGAAATACCTCTGGGACCCAGTAGACAAAGTCGGAAGACGCGGTTAGTTCGAGGGTGTTGTTTGAGATGGATGCTTTGACTGGGCCTTCAGCAACCCAGTCTGCGATGGCATCGCTGCTGTTGAAGGTGTTTCTGTAGAGGAGCTTCTCTGCAGTGGCTGAGACAGCCATAAGGGAGTATATCAAGAAATTTCGCATTGTGACTGTGTTAAGCATGCCCAAAGTCAGAAAATCAATGGAGACTTTCGTCTTGGTTATATATGCTCCAGTACTCTGTCGTCTCCAAAAGAGCACCGGGCATTCACTGCTATATCAGGCTTGGTCCGAAGCAAACCCTGTTATGTTGTCATTCCCGCGCCGAAGATGTGCTTCGGTGTTGAGTGAAGATCTTCACTTTTAAAAGCGCTGGACTGGGTTTGGAGGAAATCAGCCAGTAAAGTTCCACCAATTGCGGGTTGAACCAGGGGTTCTCAACCATTTACCAGATATCTTGTAATTTCAATGAAATCTCACTCATATGTCGACGACATCGCGACTAATGACGAAAAAGCGAAAAAGCAGATAAAACATTTCTCGCTTGTGTGTATTTGCTTTGAGCTCCCTTGAGGGTTTCAGTTATCAGAAATAGTTATCATGATCCATGGCCAACCGCCTCTGGTGAGAAAGCGCTTCCCTTCTTGTAAGAATAGTCAAAATAGGTTGGAAAGGCCGGGGCTAGGTTTCTTACGCCTTTCCCTTTTTTTGCCGACGTCGTGGTAGAGTTTGACATACATGGCATCCAATATACTTGTTCCTGCGTGTGTGTGCTATGGTCTTATTCTTAGGATCGTAACGACCTGCTTAGACCACTTCCATTAACTCGCGGTTGTGGCTAGAAGACAGTCATAACAAGGAGATGAAGGTGAGGAAAGCACGACGAGTTGGCATTGCGAGACTGTAAAATGAAGTAATACATCGCTATTCGCCCTGTCAACGTCACTCTAAAGCAGAAATATTTTTGTTTTCGCTTTTCTTATCTCAAGAACCCTTTTTCTAGCATTAGTTTGCTGTTGAACCATTTTGGTACACCTGAAGCTTCCTTACCTTTGACTACGTTGTTTTTACTATAATCAAAGTACTAAAGTTAACGAGGATTCACTTATCACGTTCCAGCGCAACAATAGTTATGTTTGTAACTGTGACGGCTGTTTCGACGTCTCTGCTCCCAGCTCAATATAATTTATACAAGTTATCTAAATATTTTTAATCCATTGTGTAAGATGCACACTTCTGAAACGACTCTGTGCAAATAACATATAAGCTTAATTCATAAATCGCTTGCTCTAAACGAAACATATCTGGAACAGCGTTTCATCTGTTGTCATGTTTCAGGTACAGGGTGACAAACCGTTACATCTTCCAAGCGATTACTTTGGCGGAGCACTCCACCAAGCTCAAAAGCTTCACTATGCTGTAGACAAATTGGAGCATCAATCAGTATCCAATCATAAGGCAAGATGGCCGAGCGGTCTAAGGCGCTGTGTTCAGGTTCAATTCGAACTAGTAACGATTCGCAGTCTCGAAAGGGGCCTGGGTTCGAATCCCAGTCTTGTCAGCATTCTTTTTGCATGTTGTGGTGATGTTTTGAGGCCACAGTCGATTGCTAGAGCATTGGAACGATTGCTTCGGTCTTGGTGGTGGAGGCCGTGAGGGGACTACCGTCGAGATCACGGCCGAACACTTGCACTCGGAGGTGAGTATGCCGTTGATAGATATCAGGGCCGACACCGTGTCCGAAGACATTCCCGGTGCATAAACTGATTCTATGCCAAGAGGCCATTTTATTGTTCCCCATTTTGAGTGTAGGTTGCTGAAATAGAGTAGGTAGATCGCTGCATGGTAAGCACTACTCGGCAGTGCAGCGATGAGCCTCACCGAAGAAGCCGACAATATCGCAGTTGTGGATATGGATGAATAATTCGAGTTGTGCTCCGTAATTGAGATCTTTTTGAACAGCAATTTGACGAACAAACGGCGTAGACATCATTGAATTGACTTAAGATTACCTCCCTTCATCGTCGAATAACTAACACCACGTGCAACAACTAACAAAGAGCCACCATCTTGACAATTCCGAGCTTAAATACGACACGTGGGGTAAATACCTTAACTGCTTGGCGTGACGACAGGCGATTTAATTTCATTCCACAAGTGACAAAGGACAAAGCCCACTCACCCCCTTGCGACACGCACACCCGGCGCTGTCGGATATAGCTTATGCTGCACTAGGTTATCACATTCACATCGTACAGGGGCCCACAAACCTTGTTTTCCTTGTCCCCCCCTGTAAGTCACTGATTGTTGCGGCACTTGCTGCTTCATGTTTGTGTGAGAGATGCTGATGCCAAGAGAATACCCAAGCTCGTCCAGCCACAATTCCATGACGACGGAGCTTGCGACATTGCCAAGCTCTGGGGAGTTACTTAAGGTCTTGGGGTCACCACATCTTGGTTCCCATCAAACAACTCATAACCACTGCAGACACTGTAGACACTTCTGTTCACTACGGCTGCAAACAGATTCACTGCCACAACAAGCAACACACCATTTAGCATCTCCAATTCAACCTTATCTCGCCATCATGCTTCTCCCCTCCAGTATCACCCTCTTGTCACTATTCACAACCACACTGGCCAGTGCCTTACCGCAAGGCGCAAACACATGGAAAACACTGCAATCCATCCCCATCGCGCCGCGACAAGAGCACAGCGTTGTTTCCATTTCAGAAAAGATATTAGCAATCCTCGGCGGAATTGTCCCCAATAAAGACGCAAATGGCGTCGAGACTACAGGAATCGTGCAGTTCTTCAACACGCGCACAAATCAATGGCGGCGATTCGCAACAGAGGCACCTGTGAAGACTAACCACCCCAACGTCGCTGCTGTCAATGGCAAGATGTACCTGCTAGGCGGTCTTTCGGATGATGATAACGGCGCCTGGAGAGCTTTCCCCAATTCTTGGGTTTACAATCTTGACCTTGACGAGTGGACAGAGCTTGAGCCACTTCCCGAGAGCGAGGCGAGGGGCAGTGCTGCTGTGGGCGTTCACGGCAACGTTATCTACATGGCTGGTGGTATGAGCATCCTCGAGCCCAGACCAAACGGAACCCAAGGCACCGTCGATGTTGTATCCGCCTTTGACACCAAAACTTCCAAATGGCTTGATCTTCCTGAAGCCGCAAAAACACTCCCCGAAGCACGCGACCACGCAGGTGTTTCCATCGTCAAGAACAAGCTCTACGTCCTCGGCGGCCGCACCCAAGGCCAGCACAACGTCAAAGACACCGTCTTCATCCTCGATCTCGACAACCTGGAAGCCGGCTGGACAACAAGCGAAGCAAAGATGCCCACTCCCCGCGGCGGTGTTCTCTCAGCAACTGTTGGCAGCAAGGTCTACATCATGGGCGGAGAGGGCAACCCGGTGGACGGCAGTAAGGGCATTTACGATCAGGTTGAGGTTTTCGATACCGAGACTGAGACGTGGGAGGAGCTTGGGACTATGAAGGTTCCTCGACATGGAGGTGCGGCTGTTCCTGTCAAGCGCGGCATTTACATCCCTGGTGGAGGTGTTGCTGTGGGCGGCGCTCCTGTTGATACCGTCGACGTTTATTGGCCTTGATTTGATATTCATTGATTGTTTTTATGTTGGGACGGAGTATATGGGACGGACTTTGCATTGGAGGCGTTATTTCGGCCTGAGACTGGCTTTACCCGTCTTTCTTTCTAGATGGTTGATTTTTGTGTATACCTTAGCGTGTTACGAACTTTATGACAATCCTTTTTTTCTTTATGATATTTCTTGTAAACCAATGACAAGGCCCGGAGTTCTGACCCTCGTGTATCGAGCAGTTCCAACATCCACGCAACTCGAACTCTGACACCAACAAAACCTAACTTAAAACGACCACAGATATCCTCATCTAAAACGCAAGTAAGCCGTTCCTTTCTGATGTGTTTTACTTGAACAATGCTGAATCTTTTTTGTATTGGTTGCGATTTGACCAACTTGGATAGCTGAACGATTGGCTTCCCATGTATGCACTTTGAAAGTCTTCCAGTGGTTTAGTAAATACCTTATGTCGTTCTCAGGAAGCGGATTAAGGGTCGATTCTTTTGTCTCTTGGCAAGGGTATTAAGACCTATTCAGACCTTGGAACTCGTGACGGAACAAGACTGCCAGTATATAGCGGGAGTTGTGACTAAGCCACTATAGATATATGAGCAGTTCTATGGTTCTTGAGATTCGTCACTCACTATTCCGGGTCTGGACACACCGATACTTCAGGTAGCTATGGAGTGTTTTGGGGTTCTTGCGTATTCACACTCTTTACTTGAACAGTTTAGTATCGCCGTAGCTACCAAAATAAACTAGCCACAGGCGCCGATGTTATGGTTGACCATCTTCGGCGTCCCTACGGAAAGTCACCAGTTCCCAAACCCTTCGATCTGGTGTTGACACATGCATATAGGGAAACCACAGAATAAACTCAAAGGGATGATAGTCGTGTAGACCAAGACTGACTCTGCCATGAGGCATTTTGGAAGTACTCGAGCGTAGCTCTGCTCTATAACACTTGATTGAACTCGTCTGAGGTGGTGTGTTCCAGCATTCTTCCTAGTTCCAACACATCAACAAGACCGAAGACGTGTTTGAGAGTACATGCTTGGATCATGGTTCAAACCGAAGGGTGCATCCATAGCCACAACTGATCTGCCAGCTATTCAATCGAGAGCGTCAGTCTCACTTCTGTGTCACAAAGAACTAATTGTTCAGAATCAGGGTCGTAGGGATCGCGATGAATAAGTGTACTCGTAGTCTATATATCGACCGAGCCCATCTGTGAACTCCGAAGCATATCCTGCAAAGCACCACGCTCAACCAAACGAAGAAAGAGTTAAACCAAACTATGCGAGAATCATGCTGTCCACCTATCTTACACATCCTATCATCTGGATACGTTCTCTCTTAAGCCCTTTGTCCTTAATGTGAATTTCGTATCGCCGTCCCCGAAAGGCAGTGCGACAACATCCTCAAGACTCTCGATATGTGCATCATCCTTGTTGTGTCCATTGCTCTTGAGGAGGGCAGCTCTCAACGCGTCGCTCTGTTGATTGACCTCGCTGTCCGTGCTCCCTCTGCGACTCTCGGTGAGACTACCAGAATCGCCATCCAACTGAGCTGACATGGTCGACATTCTACCCTTAATCCTGCCAGCCCACAAGCCGCGGACGCCGCCCTTTTTGCGCTCGGGGACCTGGTCGCTCCCGGCGCTGCAGACATATAACAGATATTTGATGTTGGGAAGAGTATGGCGGATATCGACAACACGAAGGCCTTGCGACGAGCAAAGCGCCTCAATGTTCTTGTTGAGTAGGAACCATGCATACTCGAAACGCCACTGTCCAGCTGTTGAACCACCGCGGGGAAGATATAATGGGAACTCTCTACGCGAGGCGGTCTTTTCCGAGAGCAAGGAGATGCCGTCGCGCGCGTATGATCGAGAGCCGAACCAATCGAGTGGATAAGGTAGTGGATATGATAAGTAAAACTGTAGGTGCTTTGCAAGCAATGCAACGAAGCCGAGTCCAGCTGATAAGACATCCTCAGAGATATGTTTCGCAATAGAGGCATCGTATGTCGAGTTGGGAAGTGGTATATTGCATATCTGGAACGAAAGTGGTGGCGCATTAGGGATTGGCGTAATAGGAAATATGTCTGTGAGGTCGGAGCAAATCCGCCTTCGCTGGCCTCGGATCTGTTGCTGGGTTTGTTCTAGAAGCTCCTCAGAAGCTGCCAACTTCTCTCTATTGTTGGCCATGTCTGTCTCAGCTTGAGTCTGAAGTTCCCTCCCTTTGACAATAGCTTCGCGACGGGCTTTGATCGATTCTCGAAGGTCGTCTCGTTTCTTTTGCGTGCTGTTGTTTGAACGTCGTTGCGCCGCCACAAACTTGTCTGCCATCGCAACGGCTTCCCGCGCCGTTCCTGATCTGTCCACAGGACTATCGTCTAACATGTGGTTTATTTCTTCCATCAATCGCTGCTGCGTCTCTATGGCGTCTTCTATCGAGCTTTCAAGGTTGGCCAGCTTCATGAGCGCATTGTACGACGAGGTAGCTGTAGGAGGTGCTTGCTTCGGTTCGGATATCTTATTCGGGAAATCGAAGGAGTAAACGCCGTCCTCGAGATGGAATATCAACGCGTTCGGTGGGAAGTTTCGGTCCATAAGCGTGCCTATAAAGTTGAGTCTGCGGAGGTCGATCGTTTCGTCGAGAAGAAAGGTCCACGTTTCAGCTTTCGGTCGCCTTGCCCAAATTCGTATCACAAGGGAATAACATCTTGAGATTGCGGATGCACAGTTTTCGAGGCTGAAGAACTTGAAGTTAAAACTCTACACATGGTCAGACTTTGCTGGCGATTTCCAATGAACAGTCCTCTTACCGTCGCACGCTCGCGCACTTCGCTGACGTAGACAGGATCATCATTCCCATCCACATGTAGCGAATAGAATACATCGCCAGCAGACTCCTCAAGCAATGTCTCCAGCTTCTTCTGCCTCGCGAGGGGATTAATATGCGCCAAGCTCAGACTCGTCCTGCGCTTCTGCTGGGGTCGCAGATCGGGTCGCTTGCTATCCTTCCTCAAGCTCTCCGACGATTTTGACGGATGCAATTGGTTTGACTCCCTCAACACGGGCAATTTGCTCCAACTGGTAGCAAGATCCGCATCGTCGGCTGTCCTAAGACTCGTCGGCGCGAAGGACAAGTTGCGCAGCCATATTCCGTGGAGGTGACGAAGCTTGCGATTTTGGGCGAGAAGACGAGGGCGGCGAGGTTCAGCGAGGGAAGACATCGTGGCGGCAGTGGCATGCTGCGATTGCGCAGCTTATTATGTTGGCGGTTATGGCATTGAAAGAGAATTGGTGAAGCTTTAGGTGTGGAGATGTGGGATTCGATACACAGGAAGAGGGGAGTCGTCATCGTGGGTAAGATACCTACGAGAGCTTGGAGCTTATCTGGTTGCGGGCCGCGATAATTGCATATAGGCTTTAATGGCATGCACACGGCATGTCACCTACCCTATAACAGACACTAGCGCTCCATTTCAGATGATTGTCACAAACTCAATTGACGAAAAACAGTCTTTAATTCGTTGTGAGTGATTGGCACTTATTTGGATCCGCTTGATCATGGTTGGCGAAGTTTCCCAATCTAAAGTACCCCGTATCTGAGAAAAAAGTCAAACATTGTCGACCTTGCATGCTGGAGGCCGGGGTGGTTCCCAACTTCAGGATCTCAATTCATCCAGGTTAGCTGTTTGCGCAAGCAAGTTGATCATTGGCAAGAACAGCTTCTCCCCGCTCTCTGACGCCCCCGGAAGAAGCTTCTTCAGATCATCCCAATTCTTCCAAAACCAGCCCTCGCACTTCTGGGGTTCAAGGATCTGCGCCATGTGAGCTTAATACCCCCACGCTGGATGCTGTGGACCTACCTGAGGTTCAGCATTCTCGTCTACCATCTCACAGCGGACGAAAATGGTAATATAGTGCTTCTTCTCCTGCTCAAATACATCGTTCGTTACAGCCACGACCTTGATGGCGCGGATTTGAAGGCCTGTTTCTTCGAGAGTCTCTCGCTCGGCGCAGGCGAGGAAGCTCTCGCCGTAATCGAGATGACCGCCTGGAAGTTGGATAGTGCCTGTTTCATTAGCCCAAGTTCGGCGCTCTTACTCGCAGGCATTACTTACCTGCTCCGTGGCTACCTGTCCGCTTGCCAGTGAGGAATTTGCCATCGCGGGAGTAGATAAGCGCGGCGACACCAACGCGAGGATTGGGAGCTTCTGTCGACATTGTGGTAGTAGATCTTGGGTATAAAATGCAAGTATAATTGAACCTAACGAGGTATTTGTTCAATAAGTAAAAAAATCCTGTACGAGATACGTTTCAGTTTTGTGTCAATTAGCAGAACGCCCAGCTGGGCGCAGCTTTGTTGTAACTTGTTGGCGGACGATGAGTCATCCTGGGCATTATTGCAGCTATGTGTAACAAATGACATTTAGTGAGTAACACCAAAGTGGAAAAGGCAGTGATTGTAAGAATTGCCGTCAGCAATGGAGCCGCCAAACTCGGAGGCAAAAGTCAAGCACACCAAAATACGTTTCTGTTTCTTACCTAGATCCTGCTGCTCTAAGCTAAGTTATTTAGTACTGAGGCTGCGCAGAGGGATTTGGAGTTTAGGCATATTTTCAGGATGTCATATCCCAGATCTGGGACTTACTTATCAAAATCTAAGATCTTCACAGAACCGAATCCAAACGATTACATAAAGAAATACGCCGAGCAAACGGCAGTCAAACTCACTAAGCATTGTATGATGTAACCCTCGTCACCCAGGGCTTTGAGAGCCTTCTATCTTACGGCGGTAATACAGAGCCGCATTATAGCAACAAAACGAGGCAAGTACAGAAGCTGACAAAAAGGTAGACATTCAAGTCACGGGTATACTAAATAACAGGGCTATGTAGATGTCCCAGGAAGATACACTCGACACCATAAGCTACGATACGGCCAACATTACTTCCACTTTACGCTACAAGGAAATATCCAGAGGTAAACTATTTCTAGATCCTAAGCACTCTGAAAATCGCCCATATTTATCCGAAAAGCCAGCTACCGCCAACATATTTGGACAGGTGCGAGTCAACCTAGATCAGCGAAGGAAAGACAGTATATCAGCATCTCGGCCACACAGTTTCAAGAGACGGGAGACGGTTCAAACTTATCCCAACAGAAAAAAACACAAGACGAAGAGAATGACAGCGTTAAAGAAATGTAAGAATAATATTTTGGCGGTCAAGAATAATCTTGTTAGGAAAGTCCAGCAGATGAGGCTTGAGGCTTGAGTTCAAATAAGCGTATCGGACACACCAAAACACCTATGACAGTCAATACAACATGCTAATGAACTCTCTAGACGAGCAGCTACTGTGTGCATGATTCGAAATACTATCGCAAATTCTCTTCGTATGCTATCCTCGAAGTTGACCCACGATACAATGAGCTACCGCGAGTCACAGGCAACTACACTCTTAAGCCTCAACGACGAGCTCCGAGCCTTTAATGCATTCTTGCATTGCGTCTCTTCCTCTTTAAAAGCTCACGAGACATTAATTCGAGGCTCTCGGCTATTCTAGATCACAGAATGATCAGCCTTGAATCCCTCATATAAGTCTCTCTCATGTTCACCAGTAAACTCTCCAGAGTGATGGGGCGAGTCTAGCTTTATTCTATTTAACTTATTTGTACGATATGCTGCCCGATTTGCGTATGATATCTCATTTGGAAAGGGTAGAATGATGCTATTACAAGCCTTGCAATGCCGTTTATCCTGTTCATGTCTACTCTTATCAGTTGGAGGCTTTTTGGGGACGATAGTTTTTCACAGGTTTTTATATGAAAATTGAAATGATCTGAAAACCTTTCTCACCTTCACCCTCGAGTTTATCAATACTCACAGGTTCTATTGCCGGGTAATTGTCTGGGCTGATTCTGTAACCGGTAGGCGACCCTTGAGCGTGGCGGTTAAACACTGATGGAGTTTCATCTTGCACATGCACGCCTGTAATTAGTGCATGACTGATTTGGTGGTAAGAACCTTAGAGCCAACAACCACTAAGCTAGCAGGGGGTTGAATGGTACTCTGGGCCTCATTGGATCAAGGATGAGATGACCTGGATGAGGCGCAGGCGCAGATTTGACAACAGGCCTAATGCCCTGCCATTTAAACGGCTAGAATAGGTAGGTGTGTTGGTTGTCGCAGGACTGATAAATGGCCACTTACCCAGAAACAAAAAGGAGCCACTCTCGCAGTATCTTTCAGCAGACTTTCATATTATTCTTGTTACAGCACACGAACAAATCATCAACTGCCAAAACAAATTCAACACAATGAGAATAGCCGGGCCTAGTAGCTCTACTGCTATCATCAGATCATGCAACCCTTCCGTCTCTGATAGTGAGAATTGCCTTAGCTTCAGCCCAGCTGTTTGTCCATCAGGATGGAACTACAATGCCATAGCCCGAGTCACTCACTCCTCAACAGTGGCCACAACTGCATTTTGTTGCCCAAGGTTTGTAAACCCATTGAAATATTGGATGTAAAATGGACTAACAGACTGACTTTTAGTGGCTATCAATTGAGATCTGGTTACCAAGATCCCCAGCTCGCCAGTTCGGTAATCTCAAATCAGTGTGAACGATGGGTGAAAAGCGCAGAAGATGATGGGATTGCAACAGCCACAGCTTCACATAGCGATGGTACCCTCATGGTTCATCAAGCATGGGCTATCACATGGGATGCTTCTGGCAGGGCCACGCTTTCTCCAAAGCCCCCTAACTTGAGCAGCAGACAGACAATTCCAACGTGGGAGGCTTCTCAGGCTGTGACCAGCCAAGCACTATTTGCAAGAGAAAACGAAAACACAGTACATCATAGCCCTTTACAAGATCCTTGGTATTGTTTCCTAATGGTTGGCTTGCCTATTATTTTGGTGTGTTTGTTCACCTGTCTCTATTGTATGTGTTTTTGGAACCGGAGGAAGATGAGGAAGAGAGGACAAGAGATACAACTGGACTCCCTGCCGGCCCGGGCTGCTCCTGGGAATCCTTCTGCGAACTTCAAGTAGTTGCGGAATCTACCTACTGTTCGGAATAGTCAAGACGGCTTGCGATGACTCTGTTCAATGTACTACTGAAATTATATATCGGTATGAGGTGGAGATAAAACAGAACAAAGAACCTCGGTTGTTCTATGTAATACATTGATTTCTACGTAAGTATCTTTCAGTTAAACTGACAGTTACGATAACTGCCTGTTCGGCTGATTAATATGACTCTTGTTAAAGATTCTAGCGGACTGCATCACTTGAGTTTTGTCTCATAGTATCCAATCATTATATTGCCAAAGGGCGCAATTTGGAGTGAAACTACAACGGTGACCAACTTGGAATGACCAAGGCAGACAAAGACGAGGCAGAATGAAGCGTAAGATTCGAAGGTTGTTTGTGAAGTGTATTTAGATAAATTCCAGAACCCGTTTTAAGCGCCCGTACAAACTCATACGCTAATAATGCTGATCAACCTCAGCAAACTATAACTTGGTCAAGTCATACCCGTGTCCGAAATACAGGGCGTAAACAAACAAATGGAGAAATGTCATATCTAGATAAACCGGATGAAATCATGCTCAGGAAAGTGTATCAAAGTCATGCAGCCATGAGTGAAGTAATCAGAAGATGATGTTGGAACACCAAGTTCCGTATGAGTGAGTTGATTGACATCCACGTGTCTACCAGGTCGCAGTCGGGAGCCATGGCCTTGGCACAAACACATGGCTCTGCCCGTTCAGAGCTTTGGAAGCATTTGTCACTATGCGCTGGTCCAACGAACTAAGGCATCGAAAATGCACGCCAAATTGAAGGACATCATCTATGCCGCTGAAGCAGGCCCTGCGAAAAAGGTCTCACCCAGCTCTCCCGTCAGTCACGGGAAGGGCTGTGACGGTGCAAACAGTCCATACAGCGCATCCTGCGAGATATCTTTCTCCTGATCATTCAAAAAATCGAGAAGGCCCGGTGAGTGACCGAACGTTGGATCGAAGTGGTCCATGTTGGGTATGTAGTCAGATGCAGATGCAGACACGTATGCGCCTGTTGGCGTGGATGTGTTGCGTGAAATAGAGGACGTCGTGGGTGCCATGGCAAGGGGGAAGAAGAAACTCTCGTCAAGACCAGCTGGCTGGGGCTGTTCTGTCCCCGTAGAGCCGCTCTCTTTGATGCTGGTCTGGAACTCACGGACCATGTCTTGCAGAACGCTGAGGGGCTTCTTGAGACCGAAGTTGCATCCTACTTGAAGCTCGCTGAGACATGTCCAGAAGAAGGAGATGGGCTCTGTGAACTGGCCGCGCTCGTGGCGCTCTTGGCGAAGGATCACGATGACGGCGGAGTAGACGGCATATGAGAGTAGGAAGGGCGCTCGGCGGAGGGTAAAAGACTCGCGGTATCGACGGACAAGCTTCTGGATCATCAGTGCGCTTTGGATACAGGCCTCTTCACCTCGTCGCTTGGCGGTCTCATCGGTGTGGCGTCGAAGATGACCTTCTTCGAGGAACGCCCGGTGTAGTAGAATGGTCAGAGCATGGAATGTTGTGCTAGGTGCGGTCAGTATTCTGGTCTGTGGCATAATCAGACAGGGGAAACTCACTGTGGGGTGATTTGATGTGGAGGAGGTGTGATAATGGTATTATCGTCAGGGTCGAAGCGTAGATGACTAGGAAGACTGCTCTGCCACTTCTCAAACTCCCTCTCGATGGATTCCTTCTTGTTGAGGAGATACTCAGTTGTGTATTTAACACACTGGATGCCGTAAAGATCATTGATTCTAGTGGATATTTGCAATAACCGAACGAGGCTGCTGAACGTCGAGACAGCATGCGCAGGTTGACGTCCATACGGGGGCGGTGCTGAACCTGGAGATTTGGGATCGATGTAAGGTTCCCATTCCTCAAGTTCCTCAAATGTATCGAGCAGCTGCAGAGGTACTCTAGCCTGAGCCGAAGCGAACATACAGGGACGACCCAGATACAAGGCCTGGGTAGCATCGGTTGTGAAAGCCGCCCAGTATAAACGCTTGCGCATCTCCTGCTCCAAGTCCGTCCGCAACACACGCGACTCATTGACACCGCCTGTGCTTTCATAGTCAGGCCCCAGCATCAGATGACACCCTAGGTCAATGATCATACGATGTGCCGTTCCGGACAAACTCCAACCTGCGCTTGGTCTTCCCTGTGATACCAGTGAAACACTTGTAAGCAGCAGAGCGAGGGCGGAAGGAATGCTGGGCTTGTCGAGTTCGTCAATCAGCAGTTCACGGAATCGATCGTAGAAGCGTCTGCCAACACTTTGTGGGTCTTCGGGGTCGGCACGGAGACATGGACGGTCGCTGTACAGAGATGTTGAGTAGAATATGGCGTTGAGAAGGAGTTTGTTGGCAAAAGGACCACCGCCGCTGGCAAGACTATCCATAATAGCTGGTCGGTATGAGATGAGATAGGCATAATGCTGGCGGTTAAAGTGCAAGTCGAGGAGATGCTTAGCAAGCTCGGGATCTACTCCGTCCAGATCCATCAAGTCTCTTGGATTGCGAAACATGCGCGCCTCTCGCTGCCGTTGGAGCGCAGCATTGCTTATAAGTCGGGCTTTGGAAGCCGATATAGCATCGTCGCCTTTTCGGGTCATCTTGTTGATGTTCTCCCGGTGCTGCGCGCGAGATGTGGGATTCATGATACTGGCTAGACCGTGGACTGCAGAGACATAGCCGTTCTCGTGGAATACTCCAGCTACGCGGGCTTCACTTGGCGATAGACCTGTGCCGTCTCCGTTGCCGTCGTTACTTATAGGGCGAGGGACCAACTTTACTGGTGCCAGTTCCGTGGAGTCGATATGTGTTTGGCTCGCTCGTGAGAGGATCGTATTGAAGCTATCGAGTCGTGGTTTCGTCTCGCTATCTGTCGGGCCAACGCTACTTCGAGGCGGGGAGGATAGAAAGCTGGCGCCCATTTCCTGCGCAACTGTAGACGCTGTTGGAGTCGGAAGCGGGCTTGCAATGGCAGCTGTGGAAGCCAGGCGACTCAGTCCATGTGAGGTATAATCTTGCGAAGAGCGCGGCGAGTGGTCGGCATCCATAAGCTCAGCCGTCCAAGCGGACTGCATCTCGGCCGTAAGGATGCCTGCGGTCTTCATGTGATCTAGCATGGCGGAAACAGTAGCCTCGAGGCTCTGCACGCGGGCGCGGGACGGTCTCGGTTCTCGTCGGGCATCGTGAGGGTATACGCAGGGTAGACTATTCGTGCTGCACTCGACGCACTGCGGGCGCGTGCCGTCGCAACGGACTTTCTTCTGGCGACACGGCGTGCAAGTCTTGCAGAGAGCGCCGCCGGACGCAGGGCGCGACGCCCCTCTTGAGTCCCGCCCCGTTTGGCGTTTGACGACTTTGTTCGCGCCTGTCATTGTGTGATCGCAGTATTTCAGTGTAATGAGGGGAAGTGGGAAGCTGTCTTCGCAAAAGGAAATACTAAAAAGATGCTGAGAGCAAAACGTTCCCGTTCCCGCGGCTCAGGTGAGCGGGATCGGGCCCCCGGCTGTGTGAGACACCGCGGAGAGCATCGGGCGATATTTCGAGGTGAACGGCCCACTGGAAGCTAGCGCCCGACCACTAGAAGATGGCGCTAGGAGCAGTCTTCCCCGGTCAGATCGGGGTCCAGCCCGGATCCACCCGATACTGCTTGGGTGTGGACAATATCGTGATGCTGAGTGGTTACTCAGTGCTAGGGTATAATTGAGGAGGCCTGCTCGGAGATGCATGCTTTGAACGGAATTATTGGATTTGTTACAGAGAAGCCAATATATCGGTGTAAGAATTGAGAAGAGGGATATTTTACAACAGGTGTCAGAGCTCAAGATTGATTCCAACGGGCATATTTCGGAGCTCGGTGTCAATACCAGGTCTAAACAATCAACATTAATAAAGCACCATCCTGCATGCATAGCTCCCCGGATTTTTATCAGTGGTTTTATTAACCCCGCGTTTTTAAACTCCGTAAATAGCTGATGCACACATCTCGCGCATGCCTGATCTTTCTTTGCAGGCACCTCGGGAACGTGGAATGTCAACGGGCAGACAAATGTTTCACGTGTTACCGTGAAAACCAATGAACTATGAAATACATTCTGTTACATGTGAACCAGTTATGTACTTTTATACACGGTGCAGAGTTGTGCTGTAGCTCTATTGAATTGCATTGCTGCTTTGAATGCTACTACGGGATTGTGGCGGCCACCTCCAACTAACCCCGGGGTACATTTCGCTAGTCACAAATAGAAAAACATCACTTCAATATGTCCTACCAATGTATCATTTGAGATTATTGGCCGAGGTATTAGTACTAAGCGTCGGGCCTCAAGTTGAGGAGCTGCGCAGATCCATTGAGACATCTGCCAAATCCCGAAGCTCCGCGACTGGAACGACCTTACTCGTAAGTCGCAACCATTATTCGACTGAGATCTGGAAACACTGCCGAACAGAATCCTTTGTCATCGATAGGATCTCAAATAACGTACATTTAAAAGCGTGTCGATAGAATCGGTGGATCGTCCAAAGTTTCATCCTGAAAAACATTTCCATGCATCAACCAGAGGGCCACCAAGGTCATGATTATGAAAAAATGCCTGTTACCTCTGACTTAGTATTAAGTATATAGTACCTACAATATAACACATGCGCTAGGTGCGTCATATTGTTCGTCACCCGTCGAAAGGTCTTGAATAACCAATTCCCCCTTTGAATCTAGCCCCAAATCCACCTCGTCCCGTGTCTCTTTCATCTCCATAGCAAAAAGTCTTTTTCTGATGGTCAGAGCATGACCCAGATAGTCGGCCCCTACAGAGTCATTCTCGTAATCTAACAATATTTCCGTTAACTCATCGTTTCGATACCCATCTGTTGCCGCTGCCCAGACCATGGTGAGAAAGTCCGGAACAAACATAGCTCCATATGGTCGAGCACTTGCACACTGATGCACAAGAGTGATTGCTTGATCAATCAAGTCCTGTATCTCTTTGACAAGAACTATGTCTTTGTCCCAGATCTGAAGAGTGTGGTTTACCACTGTTGCCAGCGCGAGAAGAATCCCATATGCAACTCGGTAGGAACCGCAGACTCTTATTGACATCGCCGGAGCATGAGGAGCCGCTGCTGTTAAAGTTGATCGGGAAACAAGTCGCCGAATCTTGGGCAATTCAAATTGCATAACGCTATAGATGCATCGTAGTTGTTGGAGATTCTTCCTGGGTGAGCGCATGAAAATGGATATCTCTGCCATGGTTCCTGACTCTAGGCTGATGAAGCTTCCTTGATGATACTTGACTGGTCGTGGAGTGCCTATTGCTTCGCATGCTTCCCAGAACCAGGGCCCTAGCTCGAATTGGGGGTTTAGAAAGCTCGCAAGAACCTGAAGTTCATGTTAGTTGCGGATCATGGGCGCTGGATGTGAAGAGTGTACTGATAGTTGTGTAAGTCCCACCATGTATGGATCCAGGTCCTCAAGCTGTTTTCTCAAGACTGCTTCACGAAATAGTACTGGAATCATTCCACGATGTTGTTCAACAGATTTACGATCAACCCAGTACTAATGAACGCTGTTAGGATTGATGACACTGAGAATAAAGAGTAAGACTCACATGGCAGGTGTACATTACTGACACCACCTGCATCTTCATCTTGATCGACTCCTTCGGATCAAAGATAGCTTTGCGGGTAGCGGTCAATGCCTCTCCATAGTGAGTCAAAGCATCAACCTTTGACTTTCGAGATTGATGCGATCTATACAGAGTCACCATTGCGGCAATGCAGGAGTCAAGCGCTGGACTGCAACCGATCTGCGCTACAAGTTCTGGAATGAGTATACCGCCGAATGCTCTGATGTCGAATCTGCAGTCTTCAGTTCGGAGAATGTGAACCAACGAAGACGACATTCGGGAAAGGTCGTTGCTGGGATATCGCCTAGTGACTTGCGTGAGGCTGCCATCTTGCTCCTCGCTCTGGACTGAATGGAATTTCCATCGTTTGACGCCATTTCCGATACATGGTATTCCGACGCGCTTACATCTTCCGCAAGCTGGTTTGGCTTGATCGCACTTTTTGCCAGGTCAGCCAATGTCAAAAAGGGAGTTCGGTCTTATCCGCCGTATCCGGGACAGCTTACCTTCTTTTTCTGCCTCCTGCAGCCCTCGCAACCGAGACTAGATGGCGTCCCAGGCATATTTCCCGAGGTGATCAGGTTAGTGTTGAAGCTAATGTTATGGATAAAATGAGGCGCTCGGCAGTTTATGGTTTGCAGGGTCCACGTTGTCGAAATAAGGATGGTCTCCACCATTATCGGTTGTGCCTCAGTCATACCGCTTGACGTCGGATTTGGCCATGCCTTGGATTGGGGAAGGCGATGCATCTTTCCATAACAAGCGTCGTCAGCCCAGATTGACTTGTTTGCTCGTTTAGATCCGCTTTATGTTTCGTTTCAAAGCCAATGCAGCTCAGCCCTACGGCTGAGCTATTGCCGACACCCTGCAGACACCGTTAGCGTCTCGCCTCACTGTGATCTTAGTTGGCGATCAGACATTGGAAGGGGGGTTGTAGGCTCTTTTTGGCGGCGAATATCACATTTGATTGGTTCAAGTACCAAGCTTGAACCAACGTCAAATGCTGTCTACCCCAACCAATACTCCCTTCGTGAGACCTGGAAGAGATCAATATTTCCACATGGTATATTTCTCAAGCCAGCCTGGGTACTGCGACCACAACATCTAGTCTATTCATAGACTTTTGTGAATAGAAGTAGTGTCTAGAACTTGGTCGTGAAGAAACACAGTTGCAAACTCACTGGTTTAGGTTTAGGTCGTTATTTTTCAAAAGCCTTTAGGTCAAGGTGACTGGAGGCCTTCCTTTTTGTTGTTCGATGCATGGTGAATTCGTTCGATATCGCATGGGGCCCAGGCTTGGATCACCAGGCCGTCACCCTCGAGATGCTTTGTATTTAATCGTAGTACAAGCCGGTTTTCGATGTGCTCCAGCAACGGTCTATAGGGCGGACGGGATGAAGGCCGGCTGTTGATAGTGGCCAACGCTACAAACCCAGATACTAGATAATGTCAGTTTTTCATCATGACAAAGGGCCAGGCACCGAACATACAAACAGAATATCGAGATAAATAGTTCCCAAGGAGCATAAGAGGCTCCAGATTGAGAAGATGTCGGAAGGCTGTACTGCTTGCACTTGATTCTTGAACTGAGGAGTTGTCTCGTTTGAATCTGAATATCTTGGTAGTGGCCGTAGGCGCTTGGGATCTTCTTCTCATGTTCTGCCGTTTCCGTTGCAATCGTGCAAGCCATTCGTTGCTCACTCAAATCATCATGGATCCAGTGACAAACTTATCTGTCCCCGTGCTGGTCCAGGAAAGAGTTCGTATAAGTAGCGCTAATGTTTGTTCCCAACCTCTTTGTCGGAATTTTCGAATGTGCGGTATTCCGCCTGGATTGTCGAGCAGGCACAGCACGCCACGGCTTCTTGCAGCCGAAATAGTACCGAATCTGTACTGATAAGCAACTTTTGTCTCCAGTGAATATCGCGGTAGCCTGATCCGTCTCCCAAAATCATGGTTGGTGAGTGTTTGGGAAAGAAGTGTGCAGGCAGGTCGGATGGTAGAACCACGGGGTATGCACAGTTCCGTGCAAAACCTCGGACAACGAGCTAATAAGAGAAAGAATCAGAGTAGATTATATGAAGTATATCATAGTTAAGAGACTTTTGTACGATACTAGAATAAGATGATGTAAATTTTTGTATTGAAAGAAAACTTTGTAATAATTTTCAAAATCTAACATAAAATTAAGAGTAGAGGAAATTGTCGGAACCTTTGCATCTCTACTGTATGTCTTGCTTTGAGGTTCGAGTATAGCCCCACCATTCATCAGACACCATAGAGGCCCTGGAAGTTCATCAATGGCTGGACCCTATCTGGTGGTGAAAAGAAACCGCTCCGAGGCAAAGTTCATGATCAGTGGGACCCGTCTTTGTCTAGCAAGGAACCACTTGTCAACTCTGTTGAGTTATTGAGTGTTTCTTTCATCAACTTTACTAATGTAAGTCTGTGAGTATTGAAATACTCTCAGGGCAACTTCAAACACTAAAGCCTTCACGGTGCATTCGTACGCAGTATCAGGATGGCACAAACCTAGTTTTTAACTAGCAACATTTCCCTTTGAATTTAAATGACCAACGCAACCCTGAAGCCATGCAACACTTCTCAAGCCATCTCCAGCCGCCTCAACTCTCCATAACCTGGAAACATTCATAGAAATTCTGCCTTCCACTCAGCAGGTCCAGAATCCCAGTGGCGTGTATATACTGAGAAGGAAAACAGTAAAGAACAAACTCCGAGGCGCGTTTGTCTCCTAGGACAGTTGAAAGGCCCCAAATGAATTGTGTGTAGAAGCGAAGAATCCATTCGCACCAAGCACGATGCTCAGGCAGTAAGCCCATAGCATGAGTACATTGAATCGATTCGGATGACAAATTAGATACCAACGGGCCAACGGCGTTGACAAGCGGCACACAAGGTCGTTCCGCAATGCTGGCAGATTTGTACTGAAGTAGGGGGTACATCGCATTTTTCACATTCTTCTTCCGCAGAAAAGTCCTCAGGATACCAGCGGTGACGGCATTGCGCCTATTTTGGTTGGGAAGTTAGTTCTTAAACTGCTGGGGAAAAAGGATCGATGCTTATGGTCAAACTCACAGCTTCCATCCCATATGCGATACAATTGCATCCCACGCTTGCCGAGAGACCGCAGATGTAGCAGAACTCAAATCCGCAAATACACTCTGTGAAGGGCAGTACTTGTCAGTGATTTGCTAATGAAAGAAGCTAGAATATGCTCATGGTGGTTCGACCAAGCATCAACTTACGCATGCTGTTGCAACCCAGAGATAGCTCAATCATACGGCCACACTTGGTGCATCGTTTCCATCCCTCACGCTCAGCCAGGGCAAGTAGACCCAGGGTCTCTGGGTCACTAACACAAGGGCCAGCGTGGGCTGCGGCCCTGCAAGTGGCACAAGTGACATTTCCGCAGTCATTGCAGATCGCGTCATCATCGTCGATGCAGAATGGGGGGATGAACTTCAGGCAACGCTGGTTGCTGCAGTAGGTACGGTTGACTGTCTCGTACTCGAGCCTCTTCTGCTCAAAGCGATCCACCAAGTCATGGGAAAGGAAAGAGTTGACTTCGATGGGGATTTCGTGCTGACAACACTTTGGTGGAAAGAGGGTTTCTTGTGCAATAGCCCGTTCAACACACCAGATGATGCAGGGTTTGCAAAGGTCATGTCCGCAGGGAACTTCGACGATTTCAGTCTCAGGAAACTCTTCCAGACAAATTGTGCAATGCAGTATGTCGACTTCATCTGCAACGGTGTTGGGAACCTCATCACTATCGTCAGATTCGTCAGATTCGTCAGACTCGTCAGACTCGTCATCAGTAGACACTTGATCCTGCATCTCGTGGTTGGCATCAGACGTCTAATCAGAATATCCATGACCCTCGTTGGACTTGTCATTGTCATCGTCGTTGTCAGCGTTTTCATCAGCAAATACTTCTCCCTGTTTGTTGTTTGTCGACTCGTTCTTGGCGGCTCTCTTCTCCTGTCGGGCAACTCTCTGCGCGTAGCGGGTGCTTCTGGCTGATTGTTCACCCTGAGACATGTTTGCTGAAAGGCGAGGAGAAGTTCTAGGAGCAGCACGAAGAGCTTTCTTAGCTAGAGCGCTGATGCTCTCGTCGTCCGTCTTGCGTTGCATGTTTGGACTGTGCTTGGAGAAGATGTTGTTGGGAGAAGAGTGGAGTGGGGAAGCGTGGAAATGGCTAGAAGGTCGAGTGCCTGCTACTGTACATTACCACAGCCCGTCCAAAGTGGATCTGCCGACTGATTATGCAGGTAGCTCGTTTGTTTTAGACGGTCTATAGCAATAATCCCTCTAATATCCAGTTCTTTAGTGATCATTCAGTGTCACAAATGCATATCCCAGCCCTGTAGGTATGAAACATAAGCACTGTCGTTTGTATTTTCCTTGATTGACCCTCCCCTACCGTCACTCCTTATCAACTCCAACACCAGAGATAAAGACCCTTTGTATGTTCCAAATATGCACAAGTCTATCACTAACCTGAGATGGGATTCTAGTTTCAAACTCCTTACAACACACCCTGCCTCCCTGATTGATGTTTCCCCAAGCCTTCCAACAAATCGTCCAAGACCACTACCACTCCCGAGCTGCTTCAAACAAGCATAAGCTGCTTCGATATCGACACGTCTTAGCCTCAAGAGACCCTCAGACGATACTAGTTGCTACTCCATCCATATCCCCTGCCAACAGCAAGCTACTGTGAGCAGTTGCACTCGATCACCTCTAGCCACTCGTTGGCTTGCTTCCCCTGGTTTGAACCACAAAGTATCTCCATTTCATGTCTCCCCGACATGAACGCATCGAAGCAGCTCTTGAGCCCTTTGTTTTGGAGTCATCAGACGGTCATTCTTACCCTCCCAGGCTAACAGCGTCTTGATGCCTTGCTGTTAACCAACGGGGCATCACTGGCCTGAAGGTTTATCGCTTACTTGTGACAGAGTCCTCCCATCACTCTCTGGGAAATCAGTATCGCGAAGTTGCCAGAGTACTGAGATCCAGGCTACAAGATCGGCAGTAAGCATCTCAGGGGCATCAGGGGCTATGAAAGATGCCTCACAATCAGATCTGTTTGCCTGGGCTTTGCTATCGTTGGAGCCGGAAGAAGCATACAAAATGAACAGACTTGTCTTTAAGTTTCACCATTGCAGCTTACATTCTTATATCGCAGCTGGGGTCCTTTACATCGTCTTACTCAATGTCTCACGATCAAAGTTTATCTTACGATTTGGTAACGTTCTTCTAATCAGTCTCAAGCCATTTGCTAACTAGTTTGGATCACCACACTTGCTGCCTAGAAGCTAACTAACAATTGGTGCCGTCAAGATCACTAGACAAAGTCACCGCACAAGAGCGACTTGAGAAAGCAGTGAGAAGGAGGCCTAACCGACCGCTACAGGCCCCCGAGAGTGGGTGTCCAAGAAGTTCCCTCCCCGAAGACCGAATACAGCCCAAGAAGAGACCTACCAAGAGAAAGACCCAGAGGAAGAGGAGGGGAGGGAAGAAAATAAGGATCAAGCGCATTGTGAAGAGATTTGTTTGAGTTGCTTGAGATGACGGGTTGCTGTTAGTACCAGGGTCTTACAGTTGACATGGGTTGTGAAAGGGGGGCATACAGTCTCTGGTAAGTCAAATTCTCTCACTTCCTAACACCGGGTTCCTTCATCTTTTTCCATACAACACAATGCGTGGACCACTTGGACATACGATTCTACAGTTTCTCAATTGTGAGACTCTCAAAACTCACTTACACCACACGACCCACGTTTCATTCCCATTCAACCCCGATTTCTCATTACTCCTCGCCGTAATATATCCTTCGGTCCGCCTTTCTCCTATACAATCCTCCCAAGTACTTTCGAAGTACAGAGGCTAACTTCGTTCCTTCGTTTTTGCCGTACAAGGTGCTTTTGCTACCGGGTCGAGTTACATGATCTATGAACTAGTATAGTTCCTGAAGAGCAAACTTTAGCATTGGGCTCTTCTCTGTTGCATGAGTTGTAAGGAATTAAGTTTCGTTTGATAGGTGGAAGAATGGTTATGGCATTATCTAGTAGTGTACTTGGGCGGCCAATTCGTCCAAGTCACTTGAAATAGGTCGTTGTTTACTGTGGCTCGGTCAGTACATAGCGGCTAACCTTGCCAAGTTTGATATTTCAAATTCTGCTTAACAAGACACTTACGCTCTGCGACAAGTACCTTCTTGGGATTCCCTTTGGTATCTCCTTCGTGCCTTGTAACTCCCCAAGGCTCTTGCTGCTTCACAGCCAATATGTCAATCTTGCCACTTGTTCTTCAACGGAGGGACTTGATCCTATTGCTCGGTGTTGCAATGAGTCTGACTTAGAAAGCCGTTTGTCAAGGTCATCCAGGGGCGGCCCGTTCCAGTGGTTGAAGTACCTCTTGTTCATGTGACGATGGAAGCGAAGACGGTGGAGAAATCTCGTTTGGGTCCTCGACGGATGATCACTCGCCATGTACTTCGGCTGGCGTCGTTAAGAAGCTTTAGGAGGCTTCCAGGCCTTTGACTCAGGGGTTTTGAGCTCATGCTGGAATTCTCTGCTCTACTTCGAACCTGCTTGCCATCGGCGTCATTCTGCTCTGGATATAATTGATGACAGAGTCAGTTAGAATATGAGGAAGTGGTTTCGGGAGTTTGTTTACTGCAATTGTACGAGGATGACCCGTGACATTGTTGAGGACGAACGTCATTCGATAAGAAGGAGGCATTTTAGGTTGGGTTCTGGCCGGAGGAAGTGGTCTGCTCGCATTCTAGGCTGGTGGTGCGATGTGGTGGTAGGGGTGGTTTGCTGCTGCTGCCTGACATTCGCAAGCAACATCAGCACCTTCGTTTCAAAATTAAGCTACCCTACGGGTTTTGATTGCTTATACACATCGATTGATGACACAAGTAGAAAGCTTGTTTGATTTACCACAAGTTTGATTCTGATCAACAAGGAAGATAACGAAAAAGTTAATGGTCAGTCTTTGTACTTAACAAGTCTGCAGTAAGCCCGTAGAGGTCAAATTTGGAAAAATCAAGCGGGTTGAGTGTGTGCACCAGAAACGCTTCATAGAGTCCGATCTAACGCGGGAGATATCTAACAGGTATCTCATTAATTCCGTCAGGCACTTAACTTCAGGAATACATACTGAGTTCTGATTAAGAGACCGAATGGCGTAACTGACATTGACCACATCGCATGTTTGTTCTTTCCCCAAAATAAACGCTTATGATTACACCATCAATGTTTTTTTTTTCTTCGCAAAAAACAACCGGCATGTTTCCGGATATCGGATGAATCTAGGACATCTGTCTTCGCCTTACTATTTGTGTGCAACATGTTTGTACATGCAGACTGCTCATGAGCATAGTAGGAGACAGGCCGCTGATGACGTGGATGAAGGGAATCCATGGCAGTGACTATCTCTGAGAACTAATTACTTCAGAGATTCACTATTTGTCTGCCCGAAACTTTTGCTGGAAAGTTGGTGTACTGTTCAGTTTTGTCTTTCGCGGCGATATGGATCAAAGTTCTAAAGTTTCTTTGATTTTCTACATTATTATCAAGGGCTAAGGTGCGCGTAACTCAGATTCCTTCCAACCTTTTGTTGCCTATGCGACAACAGAAAGATAAAATGGCACTTCCATCTTATCTTAAGAAACTAAGACTCTACATCAAAGGTTTACCTTTTCCTTAGCTACCTTGTCGTAGCATATTTGAGTGCCAAGGTTATCAACGGTGTCATGAAGACTCGACCAAGCTCAGCTGTGGCTTGATAGATCCATGACGTGATTCAACCCCCACCATATATACCTTGTCCTGGACTTCTCTTCACCATCTTACAACTACTCCACCCCATCAGTCCTACATCACTCAACCACGGCGAAGTATTTTGCACTTCTCACAAAGAAGATAGTGACACTTCAAACAGTACCAACCTCCCGCAGGGAGGTTGACCTTGCAATCGAAGCAAGGGCCAGGTTTCTGTAGTTTCCTGACCTGCAAGTGCTGGCAGTTTAGTCCGCGGTTCTGCAGGTTGGCAATAGAAGTGCGGTTTTGACTAGGGAACATTCCTCCAAAAGGTTGAGCTCGGCGAGTATGCGTTTGAACGTTCTGTTCCCGACTGGGTTGGAAAGACGTAGCCTTCGGGTTGAAGGCTTGATAAGAAGCAGCCTGTTTATTGTTCTTTAACTGCCGCTCTCCCCACCAAGGACACTTACAGGCTTGACGACTCTTATTGCAACGGTAGCAACAGTCAGGGCACACTGTAGAAAGTTTAGCTTCTAATTAACAAGGGATTATGGAACAAGCCATGACTTACTAGCACCCTTCGCCACAACTCTTTCACAAAGATGGCAGCGCTTTTCCTCTTCATGGTGAGGTGAGGATCCGAAAACCTCGTGCTCCTGATCGTTGAACGACTTGTCCGTCGGCGGGGTAATGACGGAGCAGAACTTGCGATCGTTCTTGGTAGGGGTCTTGCAGTCGACCTCGAATTTCTTTGTGAAAAACTCTTGCAAAATCATGGGATCGAGGTTCGGATTGTTCACATCTACCGGCAAGGGCAGATCGCAGCAAGCGGGGGGGAACGGAGCTCGACCACGAATGGAATCCTCAATCAAACGGCTGAGGCACTGCGAACAGTACTCATGTCCGCAAGGACACTTGATGAGACCGTTGCCACAGCCTTTTCCACACTTGGCGCACTTGGCAGTGTCCTCGATGCCAGTGTCTGAAGCGGAAACGATGGCGGAAACAAGTACCAAAGCAGCAACAACAGTTGCAGCAACAGCGGCAACATGAGCAATGTCAACTTCTGTGTTATTGGCAATATCAACCACAGTGATTTCAGAGCCGGGGACAGTGTCAAGCAAAGAGGGAGGTTGAATAGCGTCAATGGGGATAGAGGCATTGATAGGGGCTTGTGGGTCAGACTGGTCAATATTTTGAGATGGAGCAGAGTCAAAGAAGATCAAGTCTTCCTCTTCATCATTATGGGTAATGGCCATTGACTTTTCAAAATTCAAGCCATCAGGGTCGTTCGCTTCGGGTGCTGAGCTTCTGGTCTCATTGGACGAAGTCGAAGGACCGACATCATGTTCCTGATTCCGCAGGATATGTCCAACGTTTGTCTGCGGCAGAAAGGATAGGACTGAGCTGGCAAACCCGGAGAGTTTGGTCTTGGAGACTTTTTCAAGTCGCGCCTGGAAGTCCGATTTCCGAGTTGCACCAACGTTGTGGTCTGTATAGATATCAGACGCGGCTTCGCCTTCGGATCCGTCGTTAGTAAAGATTTTGAATAGCAGAAGAAATACCTTACTCTCAGCATGAGAACCATGTGGAGCACCATCAGCTTCAGATGGAGCAACATCGCCAGAAGCAGTTGCAAAAATAGCGGACACAACCGAATTGACTGTGGAAACAGGCGAAGCAATAGTAGCACCGGTAGATGAAGACTGTTCCTAATCAGTCTCTGCAGCATCTACAAGTTCCTCTGCTGGGTCTGGTGCGTTATCGTTGTCTAGAGGACGTTAGTTGGAAATCATGCTAAAGTATTGGGTTCTCGTGCCTGAAGTACGAATGGGAGCATCATCGAAGGTCTCATCCTCAAAGGAGATGAGGTCTGTTGACGTAGACGCGACGGCGGCTTGCTGAAACAGCCGATGGGTGGACTCGGTAGCTACAATGTCGGTCTCGGCCGAAGTCTCGACTGCAACATCGTTTCCGTCAACAGGCATCATGTACACAGCTTCGAGGAGGATTCGAGCGGCACGGAAATCTAATATCAGCCGCGGGGCGTCGCCTTCGGTGCTCAAATCATGATGAGCCGTGGAAGGGTTGCCGTTTTGGAAACGGGCGTGACGCGACGTGTTTGATTCCTCAGCAGAAGCCATCGTGGCGAGAGGTGTCTTGAGAGGGGAAAAGAATGAATGAACGAAAGGAACAAAGAAAGGAAACGATGTGGTTGAAGGGGATGTTTGTGTGGAGGTAGAGAAAGGATGGGAAGCGGATGAAGAAGGAGGGGATGATACTGGGGGGATGTGATGAGGGGGATGCAGTTGCCTAGACCGTTACCGGAGGGATATTATAAAGAGAGAAGGTGTGGGCAGTGCCAGCCGATGAGTTCGAGTATAGCAGCCTGAGGTTTGAGGATAAGGTATCGTGCTGCGCCTCAGGTAGAGCTCGATAGGAGAACTGGCACTGGTGGAGGCCCAGCTCAAGAGGCACTCGGTTCGAAACCACTTCAAAGCAGAGGGAAACTGGATCCTTTTCATGTAAGAGGTCTTAATCCGGGGTTGTTTACTGAGGTACAGCTGTATATATATTCATAGAACATTTCATTCTTTGATACTATTTCAATGGGCTTTTGCAATGGGGGTTGATGCCGGAGTATCTTATCAACATTACGAGAGACGGATCACTGGTTCTTATTGGGACGAAATAATACAGGTTTCTTGCCTTATACTGGCCAATTTGATAAATACAGATGCCAATCCTTTCCTTTGATATTGCCTGACTATTGTTACAACCCACGAGTTACAAAGACCAACGACAAAGCCTCTTAGTGCAAACATCCTTTTCCTTTCCACCGAAATATTGACGGCCTAGAAGACATCATTCTTCCATAAAAGATTCTTCATGCAATACTAGTATACATGAGATCATGCCCAGTATGTCCCAAACCACCATGTCCTGCTTTTACTTTTCCATTTTGCGCCTTTTCTTACCGGTTGCAGATCCTCCATCAAGTCATCATTGTTTTCAACGCCATGCCCAATGTCAACACTTCATGGTCCTCTCCCTGTACCGCTGGAGGTTTCTTATCGACGTTCATAAGCCCGTACACAGCCAGTTGCGCCGACCGTACCGAATACTCCATTGTGAACGTCACTTCTCGCTCGATCTCGACGAACTGCCCCATCAGACCCAGGTTCTTGCTTCCGTCAGGGATCACTTTTGGCCGATCACCCTTCTTTCGTGTGAGGAATGGACTACCGATCAAGGGCATCAGGCAAGGGATCGTGATGGAACGCTCGAGTGTTGGTTGGAGGGGGAAGGCCATCAAATGTAGCAATTCGGTGAGGATTTCGGCGCCAGTGCATTCGAGCATGGGCTTCCTGACGTATCGACCTTGCTGATCAGGGAAGAGACCGTAGCCCCAGAAGACAAAAACATCCTCGGGTTGGTCCCTCACATAAGGTTGTTTGGGGACCGTGAGGGAGAGCATCCAGGGACAGTCGCGGAAGGTCAAAAGAGGCACAGATCCAGTCAGCGTGCCCGTCCAGGTACACAAATGTTCGAAAAATGCCGGATCGCGAAGCGTCACTGTGAACGAGAGCCAGGTTGACTTTGAAGGGCGGTCGAAGAAGGCCTCTGGGTTGCCAAATGTCTGTGGGTGGTCAAGAGCAAGTCTATCCCAGAAAGACCATGAAGCATCAAGCTCGTGCGGCGCTGAATCACGGAGCTCCAGAGTCGGCGGAGGTTTGCTATTCGTGCCGTAGCCCATTCCCGAGGTGAGAGAGCCCAGCGTCAGGAAGACGAGATCGTCAGGTCCCAGTTCCAACTGAACATGTTTGCTGTCTTGATATGTCTTCAAGGCAGTAACTCGAAAGTCAGGCCCTTCATCTTCGATCTCCAAACCGCTAACTTGTATGCCTAGATATCTTAGGTCAGCCCAATTCCTCTTCAAACGATCGCCGAACCTACCATGCCGGAACTCAACTTCCATGGCCTTGAGATATTGAGTCAATGGCTTGATAATAGCCTCGAAGTCCTCCTCTGGTGCTTGCTCCACTCCAGATAGCGTCCCCATGTTGGGGAACTCATGCAACATACGGTGCAGACATCGTCGGAATTCGACAGCACTACACCAAGGGTGAAAGCGGTTGAGTGACGCCCAAAGGTCCCAAAAGTTCGTCTCAAAGAAATCGGGTTCGAACAGAGCCTGGATCTCAAGCCCTTCGAGTTCCTCCTCTGTTTCAAGTACAACTCTCATCAAGTCACACTGGTTCTTGACACTCAAACCCATGGTGCTCACATCAACAGCTTCGGGCTTTTCGCCACCATACTTGTCGAAGATCTGTCTGACCAATCTTGTTCCAGACGCACCCAGCTTTCTCCTCGCCTGATTGAATCGATGCATTTTGTCGGCTAATGTCTCGCCTTCGATGTCAGATGGCACCTTTTCAAGCATCCCGTATAAGCAGCGATATGTGAGGCTCATCTTCCGAATAGCTGATACTCGATATCCTGTCTCCCATGATGGCTTCGAAAATGTTGCCATTGATCCACCGGCCTTGGAGGACGCCTCGAGGATATGGATGTGGTCGCCTGGTACATGGGCATCTTCCATTAAAAACACGGCGGCAGCCAGCGATGCGATACCGCCACCCACGAGCCAGACATGAGGGCTATTCGGATCGGCACCATTGCTGCTCGGGCTGTTACTGAAGCTAATCACACCGTTGTTGCTTCCATCTGGCGTCGTCTTGTCGTCATTATGTTTGTCATCCATTCCCAAGCCTGCACGACGAGCTTTCGTCCAATCTGGTTACCTTCAGACCAGGGAGTGTTGGGTGAATTGCAAGCGAGAATAGACGAAGGATCAACCCTTGTTTGCTAGTGAGATGTCTTCCTTAGCGATGCAGGCCGGGACACGTGTAGTCGATGGAGGTTTTTCTTTTCTTTTTAACGTTCGACAATGCTGATAACAGTTTAGCTTTAAAGGAATTGTCGACTGAGTTTCCGGGGAAAGAAGATCATGAGAGAATGGCGATTTTTAATGACCGGCCTACCCTGTCTCAGCACGAACCCATCGACGGCCCGGTCCATTACAGCACACATATAGGGCATGAACGCATCACTTCTCACACACATTACCCCGTCTCCCAACCTTTTATTTTCTGTTAACTTTATTTTACGTTTTCTCAGCGGCAAAAACCAGATGAAAATGTGCTGGCATCTCAATGGAGGACCATCGTACGATGTTTGGTTGGCGTGATACCGGGTGGACCGGGCATCCATCGGAAGCGGGCCGTTGCTTCTTACGGAGGACGACCTGTAAAGCTCCGGAAGATATCAGTGCCCTGCATTCACAGTTTCTAGGATCTTGTATATGCAGTGAGTGTGCTTGTAAGATCTCTCGATTCCTCGTCTGTCAATTGACTTCCTTTGGCAGAGTTGGACAAAGTTTCAAGGTTCCGTTGACATGTTTTACAGGTACCTAGACAAAGATCATGTCATGGAAAGTCAATGGCCAATGCGCGCATCGGTCTCGGCCACCGTGGCGCCATGAGTCTAGATTCAGATTTCTGCTTGTCGTCCCCGAACCTGCGGCGAATTTGTATGCATGCCGAACAGCTTTGCTGCAATCAACGGACAACGGTTTATTCAACGCACTTCAATGATATGATGCTCCATGTTCCGATACTAAGGGTCTACGGCCCCGCAGCCTCCCAGGGAGGGTGGACCTCCAGCGGTCGGGTAAGGGTTAAACCACAACAAGGGTTTTCACTGCGAGACGTTTCTTGCATCATAAAGATTTATCGGGAAATATGTGGTTTGCTTTCTCCAGCCTACGCCAGTCAAGATGCTGAGACTTGTGCATCATTGTGTCGTGGTTTGCGCCGATCCGGGTAGCAGCCGATGCACTGAGCCGTGAGTTACCGGTGCAGTTGTGTGTGTGCCTGGCATGACTATGACTTTTGAATGGGGAGTTGTGATGTCTGTATTTGGCTTGTTCCGTGCTCAGATTGAGGCTAGACCAATGTCTGTGATGATTTGATCATGGACATGTCTTAATACTTATGTGATCAATAGGCAACTCACTTCTCATGACTGGACTGTTTCGGTCAGATCCTGGCAGCAAGTTTCGCCCAAGCAATGGATCTTAGTTGACCTTCGTGTCCGGAATGTGATCCAGACGCTTTTAGGTCGCAGAAAATGCTTTACTTCACGGGCATGGGCTTATTGAGCTTTTATGATCAAGCATGAGCATGAGTCTGCCGTGAACATCGAGAGCTCGCAAGGTCGAGAAAATGTAGAGATCGATAGAACGGGACGGGCTCAGTACAAGTCAGCTGCGGGCCAATTTGTCCCGGCATTTCCTAAGACCAGATGTAACGGTGCAACGGCAACTGAATGCGGCTCAACGTTGAAGCTAAGTATCAGCTGTCTCTAAAGACCTCACCTCCAAGCGGCTTCATCCGCACATTCGTCCAAAAGCTGCTTGTGCCTCGGCCCAAGACACAAGATCTTATCAATCTGTCCTCCATCACATAATGGAAATGACTAGACGCCGAAATCGCAGTCTTTACCAAGTTTTGACCCCACCAAAGTCTAGCTAGCGCGGAGAATTCTGCTCATGAAGCCTCAATGGTGATGGTGGCAGACTGGGACTGATTGATAAGGAGTGGGTCGGAACACCAAGACAAACTCTTCATGTGAGACGATTTGTGCGCATCGATTGGAGTGTGTAAAACTGTTGATACGGCCAAAAGAGCTATTTCTGAGGGATTTGGTGGTACATGTAAATCTGTACGGATATACTGTAAATAAAATAATAATAAAAACATTATTTCGTACCTCAATTGCTTTGCAGATAGAGATCGACAGCAAAGAGCTCAGACTTTTTTCGGTTGGCCTCGAAAGTGGATGATCAGGGGTATCCCAGTCCTTCCATCCGTCCCGCCGCGACGCGTTTACAGTACAAACACTTGCTCCAATAGCTGCATCACGCGATAACAATTGAGGGTTCAATTCTCTAGCAAAAAGAGTGCTGCGCCTTTATTACGAAGAACCATGGTGAGCTGAAGATGCTACGCGTAATGCCAGATCGATACCCAATTTGGTGTTGTAAATGTAATCATCGATTACTGTTACACCTTGTGTTGGTCTTGGAAGCTTAGTGGTATTTGCGTATTCGGCTTTTACGATTACGAAGGTGATTGAGATTAGCTAGATTAATGAAAGTGCCTGTCAGTGTTGCGGACCAGCATGGCGGGACAGCAAGACATGCGTTAACATGTCTCATTGATGGAAAGTAAGCAAAGGTTACATTTGCATTTGATGGCATAATCAGTAATGACAAAGAGAAGTCATCAATGGAGTTAATCAACGTCAGCCCGTGCTGGAGAACAATATCTCGAGGTGCTGTATTCTTCTTCGTCACTTGACGTTGGTTACACTCACCAACATTTGCTTTATGATCGACCCCCAAAGAGTCAAGGTCTTCCTTGTCACCACGCGGACAGTAAGCCACAACAGTGGACAAGCCACTTAAAGCTTTGGTACGATGGAGCGCTGTGTCTTACCTAGAGTGCATCTCATCCCCGACTCTTTACTTGTCCAGCAGGCATCAATCCTGCTGCAGCTTGATATAATGAGACAGGGTGCTGGATTGGCCGGTGCATCGGGGGTTCAATTGGCCAGTCAGAGGAACACTTCTGTGCATGATGACTTTTTTTTCTTGGAATATTTTGCTTGTCAGTGAAATTACTGGATATGAAGATGTAATTTCAGCAGCGAAGCCGCCTATTTGAACTAGAAGCCAAGTAGAAATAAAGGAGAAAAAGAGATCTCTCCACGCTAAGAAGTTGTAAAATGGGCAGCGACCCCAAAAACCAACTAACTGTATGGTCCAACGGCCAGCGCCAACGACCTTCTGACCCTCCGACCGACACTTTGAATAATTATCCCTCCACTTTCTTCCGGTCTCCATCATTTCCCGCTTCTTGACAGTCCCAGTCCCTAACTATCCTATCCCTCCACACCCTCTCTTGGCCCCCTTTTACTTCTTTTTTCCCCTTCTCTTTTTTCTCTTTCTCCTCTCGTCGTACTCGCTTCTTCTCACTTCAGAGATCCCTTTTCTCTGTTGCCTTGTCGAGTTGGTGGTCTTCGCATTCTGTGCGTTCCCTGATTCGTCCCTTTTTTTTCTGTGGCTGTACTTTAGGTCAGCTCACCACCCAAGGCCTCAACGCCTTGCCCCTCCACCTCCCACCGCGTTTTGGACCCTCCGCCTCAACATTGCGAAGTAAAGGGATTATCACCTCGAAGAACGTAAGTACCGCATTGCGTCTATCTAAGCCTCACCTCTACTTGTCATCTGCCTTGTTGCTTCCTTCATTCCTTTGTTGTGCTGTCTTCAATGGCTCCTTCAAATACCCCTTCTTCCTCCTGCAGATCTTAAATTTTTCCCCGGACTTACATCTGCGCTTAGGCCAGTCTACTCGAGATCGAAATCAATGTGGTAAACGACATCACCCAATAACCCCCGACCCTCGAACCGAATCCGATAATATGGCTTCGATTCTTCTGCCGAGCCGCTTCCGCGGTGAAGCTCCCGTCACCGAGAAAACCACCCCATCTTGGGTTTCCAAGCGACTCACACCCATCGCCCAGTTCATCTCTCGCATTGCTTGCTCCCACCCCATCCACACCGTCGTCCTCGTCGCCGTCCTTGCGAGCACTTCATACGTCGGTCTCCTCCAGGAGAGCTTCTTCAACACTGGCGATGCTGCGTCAGTTGGCAAGGCCGATTGGTCTTCCCTCGTCGAAGGCAGCCGAGTCCTACGCGCAGGTCCTGAGACTTCTTGGAACTGGAAGGTCATCGAGCAGGACTCTGTCGCTGAAGCAGGTACCGCTGCCGACCACCTTGCTCTCTTGACTCTTGTCTTCCCTGATACTCTCTCGGCTGAGTCATCCAGCACTGCACCTCGTTCTCAGCATGTGCCTATTCCCAAGAACTTGTCCATTACACCTCTTCCTTCAACCGACAACCCTTTCACCGCCTACTCTCAGGACTCCATCCTCGCCTACTCTCTTCCCTACGCTGAGGGTCCCGAATTTCTCGCTGCTACCCAGGAGATCCCTAACGAGGATGCCGTCGAGACTGAGACCGAGCACGGTCGCGAGAAGAAGACATGGATTATGAAGGCTGCCAAGGTCAACACCCAGAACAGTGTGGTCCAGTGGTTCAACAACGCCTGGACTGAGTTCGTTGACCTCCTCAAGAACGCCGAGACCCTCGACATTATTATCATGCTCTTGGGCTACATTGCCATGCACCTGACCTTCGTGTCCCTCTTCCTCTCCATGCGAAAGATGGGTTCCAAGTTCTGGCTCGGCATTTGCACTCTATTCTCCTCTGTGTTCGCCTTCCTCTTTGGCCTTGTGGTCACTACCAAGCTCGGTGTCCCCATCAGTGTTGTCCTTCTCTCCGAGGGTCTTCCTTTCCTTGTTGTCACCATCGGCTTCGAGAAGAACATTGTCTTGACCCGCGCTGTCATGTCCCACGCTATCGAGCACCGACGATCTCAGCTCCAGAACTCCAAGTCTGGCAAGCAATCCGACCGCTCTACACAGAACGTGATCCAGTATGCCGTTCAGGCCGCCATTAAGGAGAAGGGTTTCGAGATCATGCGCGACTATGCCATTGAGATTGTCATCCTCGTTATTGGTGCTGCTTCTGGTGTTCAGGGTGGTCTTCAGCAGTTTTGCTTCCTCGCTGCCTGGACTCTTCTGTTCGACTTCATTCTCCTTTTCACCTTCTACACTGCCATCCTCAGCATCAAGCTTGAGATCAACCGTATCAAGCGTCACATCGATATGCGAATGGCTCTCGAGGATGATGGTGTCAGCCGCCGGGTTGCCGAGAACGTTGCCAAGGGTGAAGATGATTTAACGCGTGCCAAGGGAGACTCTTCCCTATTCAGTCGCAAGAGCAGCAGCATCCCCACTTTCAAGGTTCTGATGATCCTCGGTTTCATCTTCGTCAACATTGTCAACATCTGCTCGATTCCGTTCCGCAACCCCACCTCTCTGTCCACTATCCGCACCTGGGCCAGCAGCCTGGGTGGCGTCGTTGCTCCTCTGTCTGTTGACCCCTTCAAGGTTGCTTCCAACGGTCTGGATGCCATCCTGGCCACCGCCAGAGCCAACAACCGACCTACTCTGGTTACCGTGCTTACTCCCATCAAGTATGAGCTTGAGTATCCCTCTGTTCACTACGCCCTGGGTTCTGCCCTTAACGCAAACAACCCTGCTTACGTCGATGCTTTCCACCACCACTTCCAGGGTTACGGCGTCGGAGGTCGCATGGTTGGCGGTATCCTCAAGTCTCTTGAAGATCCTGTCCTCTCTAAGTGGATTGTCATCGCCCTTGCTCTGAGCGTTGCCCTCAACGGTTATCTTTTCAACGTCGCCCGCTGGGGTATCAAGGACCCTAACGTTCCCGAGCACAACATCGACCGAAACGAGCTTGCCCGTGCGCAGCAGTTCAACGACACCGGCTCCGCTACCCTTCCTCTCGGCGAATACGTTCCTCCTACTCCTCAGCGAACTGAGCCTAGCACCCCTGCTATTACCGACGATGAGGCCGATGGTCTTCACATGACCAAGGCTCGCCCTGCTAACCTACCGAAGCGAAGCAACGAGGAACTTGAGAAGCTTTTGGCCGAGAAGCGCGTCCGTGAGATGAGCGACGAGGAGGTTGTCTCTTTGTCTATGCGCGGCAAGATTCCCGGTTATGCTCTTGAAAAGACTCTTGGTGACTTCACTCGTGCCGTCAAGATTCGACGTACCATCATCGCCCGCAACAAAGCCACCACCGACCTGACACACTCGCTCGACCGATCCAAGCTACCTTTCGAGAACTATAACTGGGAGCGTGTCTTTGGCGCGTGCTGTGAGAACGTTATTGGATACATGCCCCTCCCTGTTGGTGTTGCTGGACCTCTTGTCATTGATGGACAGAGCTACTTCATCCCCATGGCTACTACTGAAGGTGTTCTGGTCGCCAGTGCCAGCCGAGGTTGCAAGGCTATCAACTCGGGCGGCGGTGCCATCACTGTCCTGACTGCTGATGGTATGACTCGTGGTCCTTGTGTTTCTTTTGAGACTCTTGAGCGTGCTGGTGCTGCCAAGATCTGGCTTGACTCTGAGGCTGGTCAGGATGTGATGAAGAAGGCTTTCAACTCCACCAGTCGCTTTGCCCGACTCCAGTCTATGAAGACTGCTCTCGCCGGTACCAACCTGTACATTCGATTCAAGACTACCACTGGTGATGCTATGGGTATGAACATGATTTCCAAGGGTGTTGAACACGCTCTCAGCGTCATGTCCAATGAGGCAGGCTTTGACGACATGCAAATTGTCTCTGTCTCCGGTAACTACTGCACAGACAAGAAGGCCGCTGCTCTGAACTGGATCGACGGACGTGGTAAGGGTGTTGTCGCTGAGGCTATCATCCCTGGCGATGTTGTCCGCAGTGTTCTCAAGAGCGACGTCGACTCTCTGGTGGAGCTCAACATTTCCAAGAACTTGATCGGTTCCGCTATGGCTGGTTCAGTCGGTGGATTCAACGCTCACGCTGCCAACATGGTTGCTGCCATCTTCTTGGCCACTGGTCAGGACCCTGCTCAGGTCGTTGAGAGCGCCAACTGTATCACCATTATGAAGAAGTAAGTTTGTTCCTGCAATTAACTTGAATCATTGCTAACGCTCTACAGCCTCCGAGGATCTCTCCAGATTTCCGTTTCTATGCCCTCGCTTGAGGTCGGAACTCTTGGTGGTGGTACTATCCTCGAGCCCCAGAGCGCCATGCTTGACCTTCTTGGCGTCCGGGGATCTCACCCTACCAACCCCGGAGACAACTCCCGCCGCCTGGCCCGTATTATTGGTGCCGCCGTCCTGGCTGGTGAGCTTTCTCTGTGCAGTGCTTTGGCTGCTGGTCACCTTGTCCGGGCTCACATGCAGCACAACCGAAGTGCCGCTCCCTCTCGAACCACCACTCCCGCTCCTCCCATGACGCCTGTCTCCCTGGCCATGACTAGTGCCCAGGAGCGCTCAGCGTCAACAACATCGATGAGCGCTGCTGCCCTTCAGAGGTCTAAGCGATAAATGACAAGCGTTTTGCATTTGAAGGAGTAGAAGTGCGTGATGGTTTTCGCAAAAGTTTCCAATAGAGACGACCATGTATGACACATGGTCTGGGGTTGGTGAATGGTCACACAGCATGGAGTTTTCGCATTTGGGGGACATCCTGGAAAGGTCGCGTAAAGCGTACATACATATACAGTCGTCGAAAGATGCAAATATGGAGTGGTAGTATGGTTTAAGTACCGCTTCAGAAATCAATTTTAATCCTTTTTTGTTAATCATGCATATGTCTTTACCTTGGCTACAGCATTTCCGGTGATGGACGTGAACTTGATACCTTTCTCCTCCATACCCTTCTTGCATTCTTCCCACTTATCCAGTATGACAGGCTTCGTGCCTTCATCGACTATCCACGTCGTGTAGCCCTCTTGCACCGCATCTTCAGCCGTCGCTTTAACGCAGAAATCACCAGCTAGCCCAACGACAAACACATCCGTAATCTCTTGCTCCACCAGCATGACCGAAAGACCACTATCACTCACCCTAAAAGGGTCATAAAAGGCACTGTACATTTCCACGCCCTCATCCTGCCCCTTCTCAATCACAGCGTGCACGCGCGAGACGTCAAGCTCAGGAACCAGATCGGCGCCAGTCGTGCCCTGGACGCAGTGTGTTGGCCACAGGGTAGTGGTGTAGCAGCGATCGTGATCGTGAGGATGGTGAATTGTTGTCGTGGACGTATACGGCGTGGCGGACTGGTGGTTTGCGGCGAAGGAGACGTGTGATGCTGGGTGGAAGTCCTTCGTGGCGAGGATTAGGGGGAAGGGGAGGGATGTTAGGGTGTTGATTGCTGGGGCGATGGAGCGGCCTTCTGGGACGGCGAGGGAGCCGGACTGGAGGTGTTAGTTGGTCAAGATGCTCAGTAAGGTATATGTGGGAGTATGAGCAAAGATTGTTGAAATATTGCGTGTAAGTAGAGGGGTGTGGACCTTATTACCCAGTAATGTGAGCAGTGGTCTTTATAGATGTCGCTCACGATGGGTGAAGCTATGAGAGGTATCGTTCGGGTCATCTCTCATGGTCAAACACTCCACTACGTGCATTTCACCCTCATGTTGAGCCTCAACCACCACCCTGACCTCACGCAAATCGACATACAAACAATGCCTCATTTCGATCCATCTCACGGCAATGGGTATCCATGTCAAAGGAAAGAGGTCAACTCACAGGTGGACAGAAATCTTCTTGAAAGTCAACAATAATGAGCGCTGGTTTGAACGGTTTGTCGGTCGCCATGATTACGAATATTTTGTCTGTACTGTGTCTATTCCACAGTTTGCGAGGAGCGTCTTGTTCAGCAATGAGCACGCGCTGACAATGATGATGTGTACGGAAGTGGGAGCAGATAAGAAGCGCCGCATTTTTCGGCCCCGCTCTCCCGACGGAGGGGTATCACGGTTATCAGCAGAACAAAGAAAAAGAAAGGATATGCAGGAGCGATTAATATGTCATGTTACTAGAACTATTCATCTCTTTTTGTCAGTCTTCAGCAACAAAATCAATAATCTTGTTTTCAGAAGCACAAATAGCAAAAAAGAATGTTTTTATAGGAATAGCCCGATGCGGGGGTCGAACCCGCAACCTTGAGATCGCGTACTCGTAAGAGTCTCACGCTCTACCGATTGAGCTAACCGGGCTCAATCTGTTGTTGTTGAAGAACCGTCCGGTATTACGCATCATACCCGTGGATGGTGTTCAGTGGGCTCTGAGAGGATAAAATTTTCTGTTTTGGTCGGAAGGGTTGTGGATGGGGACAAGCGGAGGTTTAAATTGTGTGGATTCTCAGGGACACCCTGGCCTTTACGGAGGTGGAGATGTTGGTTACCCTGCAGGAGTGAATTGATTGACATTTCGGGGCAAAGAAGTTCATCATGGGAATTTCTTTATTATCTTGTTTGATGTGTGATTGTGGTCTGGCATGGTTTCGCAAGATAATCTTTATGCTGTGTAACCTGGTGCCTGACTACCACGCTATCATGCAACAGAAGTCAGCATTTACAATTTCGAAGGATCGTATCAATAAAGCAGTATGGTCCACACCCATCACACAATCACACCAATGTCAATTACCCTGAGAATCACTCGTACTCGTTTACGCATCCACCTGTCAACCCTCACAAATATGATGCTTTTCCTCTTTGATCGGTTTTATCGACACAGGTCAGTTTTATCTTAGTGCTGAGTGCCGTTCAGGAACAGGTGAAATCAGGTCGATGTTATAGGGCCAACAGCAGTCTCCTGTCAGCATGAAGGATTCTCGGAATCAGCACTAAGAGCCGCTACGAGGCAAAGCGGCAAGGATCCGTTACAACCTGAGGGACGGAACTCCGTTTCAACGTCCAAGTAACAGTTAACATGTTCATCAAATAAGGCTCGCCCCTCGTTGATCCAATGTGAGCTAGAATAGTCAGTTCTACAACAATTTCAAAATGACATCCTTGGGTGAAGATTTGGGGCCTTTGTTGCTCGCTCGACTGCCCACTGTGACAAGCCCTCTAGGAATAGTCTCCGTCCTTGTCATTCTGTCTATCGCTCTCTTTATCACCGAGAAGCTCATCAGCGTGCCTTATCCCACGGATATCCCACTCATCAGAGAACCCAAGGGCGCCCGACGCTTCAGTCTTCGTACACGATGGGCTTATCTCACCGATTGCAAAGCGCTCTTCCACGACGCCTACCATGACGTACGCAAACAATCCCCATCCTCCGATTGACACCGCTGACATCACTGTAGTACCTCAAGAAGGGCAAACCAGTCGTCATTCCTGGCTTCGGGTCCAGGATCGAGGTCATGCTGCCCCAGAGCCAGATGAAATGGGTCCTCAACCAGCCCGACGACGTACTCGACATGCCAGAAGCCCTGGCGGAAGTTGATCAGGTCAAATGGGCGCTTGGCCACGATAAGTACGTCGTTGATGCCTGGCAGGGCCTCATTGTCAAGTATGACATGAACCGCGCCATTGAGATCATCGCGAACAATATGAAGGATGAGCTCCATGAGGTCTTTGATGAGCAGTTCGGTACCGACACCGAGAATTGGACGAGGGTTGATCTTACCCAGACGGTCAAGATGATCGTTGCGCAGGCTGCAAGCCGCTTTACAGTTAGCCTACCGCTTTGTAAGTCTCCGTTACCAATTGCCTAGATACTTCGCTGACAACACAGGCCGGAACAAAGAGTATCTTCAAAACGCCCTGGATACTAACGAACTCTTCATCATGAACGCCGGTCTTACTGGTGGCATGCCACGCATTCTGCAACCCATCACTGGCACCATCTTCGGATTTTTAGTCGGCTCCAAAGTCTCAAAGATCAACAAGTGGATCATTCCTCTCTTGAAGCAGCGTTTGGACACACTGAAGAACCACCCCGAGGAGCCCGAGCCGCAAGATCAAGTGCAGATGATGCTCCGTTATGCTCTTAGCAAGCGCCAGGATGAAGTTGGCGACTACGAAACCCTCGCCCGTCGCGTTGTCGCCCAGAACTTTGGCTCTATCCACAACACCTATCTCCAGGTCATCAACCTACTTCTCAATGTCCTAGGCTCTGACGCAGAGTTCAACACCATTGCTGTCCTGCGCGACGAGATGGATCGCGTTCTCGGCACTGACGATTCTGCCAATTGGACAAAGAGTGCTGTCCAAGCGATGAGCCGTGCTGATAGTGTCGCGCGAGAGTCTCTCCGTCTGGGCTCTTTTGGAGGCCGTGCCATCTTCCGCAAAGTCATGACCGATGACTTCAAGACCGAAGACGGCCACCGCGTCCCCAAGGGTACGGTCATGTCTTTCATCGGCCAACCCGCATCTACCGACAGCGCGACATACGAGGACGCCAACAAGTTCGATCCGTTCCGCTTTTCTCGCGCCCGCGAATTGGCAGCAAGTCGCGATGAGAAGACGCCTCTTGTTACATTTGTCACAACCTCGCCTGAGTTTCTACCGTTCGGCCATGGAAAACATGCGTGTCCTGGAAGGTTCCTTGTTGACTTTGAGATGAAGATGATTCTGGCTTATGCTTTGAGGAATTACGATATCAAGCTTGCTGATGAGTATGGAGGCAAGAGGCCGCCGAACACGTGGCTGGCTGAGGCTAATAACCCGCCGAGTGGTGTTCAGATTATGGTTAAGAGGAGGGAGAGGAAGTAGGCACTGGAATAGATATGTTGATGAATGAAAATACTTCCAGCTGATAAGTCTACGATCTAATAATTGAGGGTATCAATGTTGTTCCATTCTGCATATAATCTCCATCTAGGTGGTCGTCAATCATCATCCAATCCCAAACTCCAAATACAAATTCCCAAACACAAACAAATCACAAATCCACTCTAGCCATAAATACACCCGATTCTACTCCGTAGCTTCATATTTATATCCCCACCCCGCCCCCCACGACATGCTGGTTTCCTTGTCGCGGTATAGGTCCTCTGGTACCTCATGCAACGAGTATCGGCATTCCGTAAACTCCCTCTCTTTACCGACATAGCTTCCGATGCTTCGAGGCCCTAGGCGTTCCAGGATGATGGGGACTCGATTAGGCTTGTAACTGAATCCATTGCAAATCACCATGAGGAAATCCAGCGAGCCACGGATGAGGGAAGCTCGCTCGTTCGCTTCGCAGATGTCTGTGGCTCTGTTGAGTCGACGTTCTATTTCTTCATCTTGGGCCATAAATTCTGGTGAACTGTCGTCGCTTTCTGTTTCTATGTTGTCGAGTTCTTTGGCTTGGTAGTCGGGGATAAATACGTCGACTCCGTCGATATCGATGATTTCTGCCAAGACGATAAACCTCACCCATTTGAATTCTTTGGGGCGCGTCTCGGTGCCCACGTCGTCGTCCGAATCAGTGGGCGTACTAGTTGTGGATGTTGATGGCTTAAGGCAGGACTTCTTTGGTGACAACGTTGCGTGGTTTGGCACGTGCTTTTGTAACCGGATCTCCATATTGCAGTCGTGATTATGGTAATATTTGTAAAGGTTGGTATCTTGTAGATGTTCGAGTTATTGCTTTATAAGTTGTTGCTGCGCTTTATGTGAATAGAGTATAAGACGGAAGGAGGACAGATTGGGATGGATTGTATGAGTAGAAGGGAAGATTTACAAGAATTGGACCAGAGCCGAAAGATTTGCTATGGCCGAAGAACGTTTGAAATGATCATTGAGTATTCAATGAGAGGAAGAAAAGGAAAGTTAAATCGAAGCCATTTTACAAGGTGTCCTTGCATAATAGAAGCATAGTGGACGTGTGTCCGTTTCCAAACTATATGATAGTCCACTGAAGTTATACATATTCATTAAGGTTTGTTTAAACTTCTCATGGAACCTTCCTAGCCTTGATTTATTTTATGTACTGGCTATACTGAAGTTAAAAAAGCAACATTACCATCACGCCATTACTGTAAAGGAGTAGAAATAGACAAAAGGTCAAAAAGATACGCTTGATGAGACTGGGACTCGAACCCAGGAGGATTGCTCCACCAGGAAATTGGTGTTAAGGTTAACCTTAACCTGGCGCCATAACCAACTCGGCCATCTCACCGGCTATTGGTTGAGAGAATTGCATCAACTGAGATACTATCAATGCAACGCTGCAGCAGAGTGTGCGATGAGATAAACTCATGGCTCGGTCAACCTTATATGTACGTGGTTTGTTACTCAATAGATGATTCTTTCTCCACACGTAAAGCCTAAAGTCACTTCAAACCCTTTTCTGAATTGGAGCCGACAATACTGCCGTGTCACAAACGTACAATCTGACCCAGAATTAACTGCCTTCGCTGACGATTTGGTGATATACTAATCATGGCTGAAACCTTGCATAGCAACAGAAAACCTAGTCCCAGACTGTCAAATCTTCTTTCCAATAATACCTCATATGCCCACTCGATCTCCTTTACATTGGGTTGGCATGACTTCCATGTAGGCAGGCATAGTGCCTGTACCCTCACGCTTTTTCTGATCAATGGATTGCTGTGGTCTCGTAAAATGTACAAATTTGCATAAATGAGCCACTGGATCCTCCTTTACATGCTTATGATAGTAATATACAGTTGTCTCACTTGTGTGTATTGTATTTTCTACAAGAACTCTGTTTGACAACTACATTTCTCCATTGCCACTTTTACTTTCCCCTGAAAAGTCTCGAATCGATTATTCATCCATGAAAAACTTTAGTGAATGAAAGTTAAATCGTTAATGTCTTTATAAAGATGACCATCATGCCTATCTCCCAGATTTCTTTCTGTTTCTTTCCCGATCACATCCAACAATCACGCAGACAAGACACCGGTTGACTCACGTTTCTCACGGACTTGAGTCTTTGTTATTCTCTTCTATTACCAAGCTACACTCCACTCCACTCTATAACATCCTCTCTTGATTATTACTTACTTGATTTCCCCCTTACGCCCTCCAGACACTCTATCACAATGTCTCGCTCAGACGGCTCCACCTCTGACCATTTTTATGTACCTCGGTGGTATCTCGCATACCCCCCACGCTCATACGACGAACACAATAGCCCACCTGACGGTGCTGAACCCCCATCGGGAAATTACGTCCGTTATGCATCAATACCTTATTTTGATCTTGCGGAAGACGCTTTTCAGTACTTGCCTCGGTATTCAAATGTGGCTTCAAACTATTACATGATGGAGTCTTCCTACGCTACCGGCGAACCTGTCCGGACGGAAAACCGTCCCTTTTTAGACCTTGTCCCGCCTCCCAACACTCCGGTTAGGTCTTCCTTCGATGATGAGGATTACTCTCCTGCACCATGTAATTTTGATTTTGGAGGCACCGAGAATAGCCATCTTTTCGACTACACTGAGGATGAGTACATGGAGGACATGGAGGACATGGAGGACATGCAGGACATGGAGGATGAGGACGACGAGGACATGGAGGATGAGGACGATGAGGATGAGGATGAGAGGGATATGCCTGATCCATTTCGTCCTCTTTTCGAGACCGCCGAGATCGCCACCCTTTTTGACGAGACTGATATCGATGACGAGGAAGAGCTGGAGTGGGAGATCTTTGACCCCCAAACTTCCATTGGCGATTTACCGTCTGAGTATGACGAACCGCATCCGGAATCTTATTGAATAACTATGAAAGGGCAGGAGGAATGCTTTGAAGTAGTGGGCTTGGAAGTTACGAAGAATGTTGAATTGTATGACGACCGCCCTTTTGAGTGGCCTCTATGGCTTTCGACATCTCTTGCACTTTTGTGCAAGATAGTTTTACTGGTAATTAACACAGAATCTATATGGTTTTAAAGTAGCTTTATCCAAGCTTCACTTTGTCTTCCCACTCCTCATCAATTGTGATCTGCTGCCGTCGTGACATGCCCTCTCGATGCTTCTTGATAGCGTCTTGCTCAGCTCGCCATCGGTCCATGTCCTTATCAAGGAACGAAGTTATTGTATCTGCACACTCTGAGACCTTTTCCATCGGGACTAAGTGGCCGCAATCGAGGACTGCTTCTTGCACCCTTCCAGAAGCAGAACCGCCATTGCCTCCAACTCCTGTACCAGTGATTTGCATCTTCTCCTGCCGTTGAGGTGGGGTTGAGAAGTCTGATTGCTTTCCAAAGATATAAAGTAGACTTGGCTGGAGCTCAGGAAGCTGGCGGAATATCCTTGGTGGTTCCGGACGGTGGAAAGGGTAGTTTGGACAATCTAGATTCTGTTCGAGATCTTGATCGTTTGAAGGTTCCCATTCCCTTGATAAATATATTGGTCTGACAAAGCTGAACAGCTCTTGGTGCTTTGATGTTGTCAGTGTGACCCTGCCATCAGACACTGGGTCCTTCTCTGCTGGGTAGAGCTCTGTGGGAACTTCGCGCAGACCATGTTCGATCCAAAGATCAAGCACACGAGGATCCCATGCCTGGAAGAATTTGCTCTGCTTGAACTTGGCAGCGGCACCATCTCTTGATGGCCAGATATCCCGCCTTTTAGTGGAAAGACCAGCGAGAGATATACTAGGATTTGGGATCTGTAGGATCGGGTCGATGAGAACAAGTGAGCTTAGGAGTCGAGGATGCCAAAGCGCCAGCTGTGCCCTAATTCTTGTTAGGAAGTTGTGCATGTACTGGATAGTTACTTACAGTTGAGTTCCGCCCATACTGTGACCAATCCCAACGATAGGATGAGGCATATCTCGTTGATTTTGGTTGATGAGATACATCAGATCTCTCGCATGGTCATACCAACTTGCTATAGTGGTGCAAGGTTAGAATGGCTACTATAGTATGGAGTGCTACTCACAATCGTTGCCAAGAAGAACCTCGTTAGTGACACCTGATTGGCCTTGATTCCACACATCCGCAATCCATATCGATCTTACTCGAATATTCTTCTTCTTTGCACTTTCGAACAGTTCATCCCACAGTGGTTCATACAGTTCCTAGCTAAGGTCAGAATTATGGATTTTCTCTTTCTCTTTTGTAATTGAGGCACTCATGTACCTTTGGAAACCCATTGGCGTGAGCGCCAACAATGGTGACATCGCCAGGCTGAGGGTTTGGATTATCGTGAGGAATGTATTGGTTTACAGCGAGCTTTGGTATATCGTGGTCGCCATTTGCAGTTGATGCGAGATATTGCCGTGTGTGACTGCAATCAACTGTATGCTCCACTACTCGATATCTTGCTGGTGTTGTTAAGAATCTGGCTTGGTTAACCTTCGAGATATGCTGTATAAAATGCACATTTCTCGTTTGAGAATGACGTAAGAGACTGGTCCACATCGAATATGCATAAATATCGAAAGAATGAGAAGGAGTGGATGTCTTTGACGAAATAATCACAAACGTCAAGTTATGAAGGCCCTTGTTATGCTCAAGTTTGATTGTAGGAGAGTCCAGTCGTTTACATAGGTGACTGGCACGGTATACTATGCCCGATCGGGCAAGTATTTACCGTGACCTCGGTTAGAATCTGCGCCCTTCGTTGTCAACAACAAACCAATGTCATCAACGTTTCACTATTGATCTCACTTCTGTTTGCACCATACCCTAATTTACATAAATCGACTATAAAACTGGCCATGAAAGGATTCAAAACCCGAACCACCAACCTTTACACAAATACCACAACCGCCGTAGCAATCGCCCAAATAGCCTGCAGAAAATCTCCTTGACAGTCCAAACCAGCCATATATCGTTGAACAGCTACACTTCCGATGGCAGAAGCGACAAAACAGGTCGCGAGCTTGCTTGGTAAGCCCCGTCGTAGGATAGCGGACCCAATAAGAAGATCGAAAACAGGAATCATTTGGGATAGAGTTGATCCATCATCGGGGCTTCGATCGTTTTGATACAGGTAAAACGATGCAGTTGATGTTGCGCCGTGCGTGAATCGTGAAGCGCTTCCGTAGAATAATAGCAAGGCCAGAGAGATTGGCAGGTATTTTTTGAGAAGAGTGACGGACATTTTGTGCCAGATTGCGAGTGGTGTGAAATTGGGTGGTCTTGGCTGGTGATCCCGGGTCACGAAGAAGGATAAAATTCAATGAAAAGGAAAAACAAGACCAGGTACAATATCAGGCTGCGACAAAGGGTGGTGTGCCTGCTTTTATGTTACCGACCATGTGGTAGTGCTGAGTAAGATTGAATCGCACAAGAATGCTAGGATGTACGGATAATCGACCCGAGATGTGATATGCTACAAGGATAAATTCACTGTAAGACATCATGATCAGATTGCGAATTCATTCATAGAATTCTCACCCCGAAATTCACATCGAAGGCATGTAAAGAAATGCAATATGTATATTAGTGCCAAGACCAAGAACAAATCAAGGCGTCCAATAAAACAACACGCATTTGCCATCGACCGGAAATAACACCAAGCTCGTCGGCAAGGGACCGCATTTCTGCCATGGCATTTTGAGACAATTGACTTTTGCATAGACGTCATTACAAAAGCCCATCCGCTACTCCCGAGGCATCTGCGTATTCTGCACTACTTCACCGCCCGGTTTTATGTCGCAAAAGAGCTGTGGGAAATCTTCTGCTGCAAGAAAACTTCTGTATCGACAAGACAGCGAACGACCATGGCAGAACCATTCTGGGGTCCTCAGACCTCGTATTTAAAGTAGGCGTCACTCAAAGATTGCAATTGGGAGTTTTGCTAACACTCAATCAGTTTTTGTGAAGAGGTAAATGCGCCAGAGATGCCTCCCTTGGCTACAGCAGTTGACGTGGTATCTTGAAATTAGGACTATGTTGTGACGAGATACGTTGCCGAGTTTATCAACACTTTTAGTAGTCTTACTTATGGTTAGTATCAGCCTGGTTAATTCGAGCTATGATTGACACTGTTTTAGTGGCATTTGGACTCTATGGCTTGTTGACATCGCCCAAATTCCCGACGGGGCCCCGCTTAGCTTCATACTGTGGACTCATGGGCGTTGGCTTCTGTTCTGCTGGATATCATATGACGCTCAAATACCACACGCAGATGTGTATGTAAAGGCCAATTTGTTTGATGTTGTGGAGCTAATAGTTGCTAGCTGATGAGCTGTCGATGCATCTACTCACAACACCCCTTATTTACCGTCTACTCACCTTCAACGCAAGTCCCCAAAAGACCAGGATTGTGGGAACTGTTCTCACAATCCTCTTCACTGTCGTTATGGTCACTCATATGGTCATGGACGAGTTCATCTTACATGCCACCACCTTTGGCTTGGGTGTTTACATCATTGCTACTCGTGTGCTTAGAATCATCCCGGAGCAAGTCAAAGACCCCGTGATCAGAAAGAATCTCCAGAATGTCGCTGTCCTCGGACTTTGTAAGTCTATCTCGATCAGATATTTCCAGCGAAAACTGACTGACTATTCTAGACTCTTTTGGCTTCGGGTATATGGTCTGGCTGATCGACGAATTCGCTTGTCGCTACTTGACTAGTGCCAGACACACAGTTGGTCTGCCCCTGGCATTCTTGCTAGAACTTCACGGATGGTACGTCCCTTCACTCAGCCTTTTTCAAGAACACTTACTCATATACATCAGGTGGCATGTTTTTACCGCAATCGGAGGTTATACCGCCGTTGCAGTCATTGACTTGGTGACCTCGGGTGAAGTGACTGAAGACCCTGTGCCCGGCTTCGCTTGGCCAGTTCCTCTCGCAGCAAGACTCATGTCTAAACGGGCCAGCTCAATGAAGCAAAGTTGAGCTCGGCAGAGAGGATCAGAAGGCTGGGAGACCTGTAGTCTGCAGGTGACAGAATTGATCATGCTCTGTTGTGGAATCTCCTGCTAGAACGATAGACGCCAATAGATAAGAAACTGTCCTTATATGTGCCTCATACGCCGAGCCATCTCCGGCTGGTGAACCTGCCTACCGCATTATAAGGGCAAGCTTGAAGAACCGTGGTATTCCGGGGGAAAGGACATGGAAGAAGGTCCAAGAGCATTCAAGAGTATCGAGATCCGCAAGTGATCACATCTGACCCGTTAAGAGTTCGATCTGGTGATGGATTTATCCTCTGAATTCCTTACCATATTACACGAGGGACAAATCAATAATGGGAAATATGGACGGCGGTTGAGGTATGAGTCTTTCACATGAAAAATCTAGAATGAGAATTCTCTGTTAGCCTATGTCATTATCCACACATAATAACTCGCAAAATCCAGAAATCACGATGCCGATTCTGCCCGAGTATCAAATATCGTGCCGGCGTCCATCTCCTAGTGCCGAGCGATAGCTGCCCAACCGAATTTTCCATCGTGACTATTTTCGTATCAGTGTCCCGTGTCTCCGAAAGCGGCTCCGCAAAGGCATCAAACGACCAAATAACGTGCTTCAATAAACCTAGTACAACGCTTAAGGTTACCATTAGGCTCAGGGATACCATCCACTTCACCGGGCCAAGATCAACAAAAACAAGGTATTTTCCTTCTCCACGGAGTCTTTCCCGGGGTTCTTATCTATGAGCTATTAAGCATAAATTGCGAGACACCGATCGTCGGTGGAGTTTTACGGGGGGAATTGCCCTAATGGGTACCGTGGGGAAACAAGCTTAATGTTCCATCTGTTTCGTTTGGAATCACCTCTTCATCAATAGCATCTCAAATCTATCCTGTTGTCCTATAACACTGAAAAATCACTGTTGCATTCACTAAACAAGATGCCGCTGAGCCTCATCTGCATGTGCATCTGCCCGGCCCAATGGGTTAACTTTCCATGTCACATCCCGACTTTGCACCGCTTGTGATTCACCAGACCTCAGCGCCACGAAGCTAAACTACCACACACCAAGGTTGCAACGCAAAGATAAGGATCGTCCAGAATCGGTCTAGAGCTATAAAGTTAAGTTAGTTCGGTGGATCTTGTAGCGGACTTTTCTCGACATTGCTCGGCATGGTGGGAACGACCTGGCGCTTCTGGAAATCTGGACGCCGAAAGCCAAGAAATGTCAAATTTTCATGGTGAGCAAATAAATATGGAGGAGAGCCCGGTATATTGAGTGGAGTGTTTCTGAGTATATCGTTGTGTTTTATTTACTTATTCAAGATGGTCAAGCCGATAATAGACCTTGCTAGCCCTTTGGCTTACACGCCGGCTGAGACAGCGGAGCTCATCTGCCGGGCTGGAGTAAAGAAGGGAAGATCAAGGCCAGATAAAGTGTTTCTGTCTGGTATTTCCGGTGGCTGTATTCTTGCCTTTGGATGTGCTGTGTCATTGACGGCGATAACGGCACCGTGGTATCAAGAAAATGCACCTGGTCTTGTTAAGCTCATTGGAGCACTTGTGTTTCCATTGGGGTTGGTCACTGTAATATTGACTGGTGCTGACCTGTTTACTTCAACAAACTTGGTGCGTTTTATCCTAAGCAAAACTGATTTAATATGTAACTAATATGGTCTTAGTTCACCTTTGTTGCCGTTCTCAACGGAAGACTATCAATATGGCGGATGCTGCTTCACTGGTTCCTTTGTTTCTTTGGAAATCTTGGAGGCTGCCTCTTTATTATGGCAATTATCGTTGGATGTATGTCGCAAACGAAATTACACCATTGATATTTGCTAACAAACACTTTACAGACGGTGGCATTTTCGACTCTGACCCCTACCGGGAAGAAATCATCGCTTTTACAACAAAGAAGCAACTCGTCCCCGAAGCCCACCAAATATTCCTTCGTGCTATCGGATGCAACTGGCTCGTCTGCCTTTCATGTTTCCTCGGCGTGCAAGCAAAAGACTTGACTTCGAAAGTGGTTGGCATGTGGATTCCTATCTTTGCCTTTGTTGCTCTAGGCTTCGACCACGTTGTTGCAAACATGTTTTTCATGCCTTTGGGAATCTGGATGGGAACACCAGGGTTGACTACTGGACTGTACATATGGAAGGGTAAGTCACCTGCTTGCATCTCGTGAGAATGACGACTGACAATTAGTAGGCATGATTCCTGCTCTTTTTGGCAATATCATTGGCGGTAGCTTATGCTGCGGTGTGTATTTCTGGTGGATGTATCTCGCAGATGTAGATGATAATGAGGAAGCTGACGAGAAAGCTATTCTGCATGGAAGCGGACATGAAAGTCCTGCAGATGAGGAGAGTCAGATGGAAACTCGATAGACAATACCCCGTCAGCAGGACTGACAAATACATATAGAGTGAATAGATGGGACAAATGAAAAGCTAGATCAGGAAAGAAAAGGATGGAAGAGAATAATGTAATAAGTCTTAACACATAGTCAGAGACCGTTCACAATTTCATATTGTAAATAAAAGCTATGATCAGATTACCTGACTTGAGATTGAAGATGATTAACACCAATCAACGTAGAAAAGCGACGGCTGCAAAGGATTGCAACAATTAATCCTCTCACCTGGTGGTTACTTACTGGATATAGTTCTTCACAATACATTCTTTAGGGCGATCTTAAAATCGCCGATTGCAGATAAGTCGTCTATCTAGAGCATTCCGGATCAAAAGGCCATGGTACATTTTGCCACAATTTAGTCTCAGTACAGAGATGTATTTTAGCTGAGTCAAGAAAGGGATGTCAATTACCAGTCTATTTGCCAACTTTCCCCCTAACAGAATTCCTACTTTCAAATGTACGTACATCGCATTCGCCGCAAATATCAGTGTGAGTTGCCAACCGTTGGCTCAAAATTGAAATAGGTTTAGATCTAGTCCGCAGAAAAACCCATGTTAAGGCCCTCAGATGTCCCCCTCCCCTAGCCCTTGTCTTTAGCCCTGTCAAGATGGTATTCTGAGCCTGATCAATCAGCCTCGGCCGCCTGTTCTTCCAGCCAATCCTCAATCGTAGTGAATGCGTCCAATTGTGCACTGATCAGGGGAGACTCCCCCAAAACCTTGATGTGAGGGCAAGCAAGCACGAAGCCACCAGGGCCTCGAAGTCTGTAGATAGCTTCGATTGCATTGCCGATAGCCGGGCCGAATTTGGAGAAAGCTTTGCGATGCTCCCCCCAATTTTCCTCATAATTCAGCAACGCTACTTGTTGCTTATCAAAAAGACCGGCAGCCCTGAAAGACATCCGAATGAAGATGTCAAGGTTATCAACGAGCTCATTTGAATTCTCAGTTGAGAATACATCCATGTCAGATATGAAACCACGGACAGAACTGAGCATATACTGAGCACCTTGCACTTTCGGTGCTAGGCCTGGTTTAAGGTATGTCTCTAGAGCATACCAGTCCCTACACCGGGCTGGAAGTCTATTAATCAGATTGTTGATCTGTAGCACAATAGCAGGGTCTATCTCATGCTCCTCTATCTTGGTGCGTTTGGCATGAGATGTAGGGGCTTCTGGTGAGGCAGCCCGTTTCAGTTCCCCTCCTGCAACCTTTTCCAGATCGCCCTTTTCTATCAGGACTTGGAGATGGGTATCAATTCCGCGCCAATCGGATAAGAGGGTCTCGGGGTTGACTTGACGCTCAGGGGGCGGAACACGAAAGTAGTCAGCTATTCGGTTGAGCTCGTTGTTCATGGAACTAGTCTGGTGCCGGATTGACGTAGTGAGAGCCTCACGAAGTGGGAAGTTCTGTCTATAATAAGTACCAGCACCAAATTGCAAATTGACAAATGGTGTCATGGCCTCCATGGTGTAGTAGCCAGAGTCGTAGTCGGGGAACATGGGGCCAACCTTCTTTGCTCGGCCAGTCAGAGCCATGGCGTTCGTGTCTATCTCCGGACTCCAGTAGTCGACAGAAGGGGTGCCACTGAGTTTAAGCTTTGGGGAGGAGATGCTTTTGCTGAAAAGAATCCTTGGTCCTCCGATATTTTGATAGAACCCTTCTCGTCTGCCCTTGATGTTAGAATATCTCGGTAACCCCAATGTGCGTACGTCGTTCAAACAGCAGAGGGAAAAAAGATGAAGCGTTGGCTTTTCGGCGTCAGATCCAAGAGGAAATACCATACTGGTGCCCGGCATCGATGCTGGGATCAGATTCGCTCGATAGTCAGAGGATACCTGTGGGTATCTGGACCGTATCTGTGCATACTAGGCACTCATTTTGTCCGTGTCGAGAGAATTTGATCGAATCATGAAAGCCCTACTGTATTCCTTGTCCCTGCTGAAATTCACGGTAGCAAACCTCATTGGATGAATGAACGAGGCCAAATGTTTTAGCTCCACAAACCTCAGCATATGAGGGAAGTAAAGAATGAATTGCTCAAGCGTAGTGTTTGCTGATGGGTCACTTCTGGTATTGTGGGTTAAGAAAGCCTCTTCTGTGATACCATCCTTTTTCAGATCATAGAAGATGATCACAGCTGCAATTGCAATGTTCAGCGGAACGTTGTCAAAGGGGAATTCGGATAAAAATTCTCTCAGGGCTTCAACCATGGCAGAGGGGATCTCCAGCAAACCGATAGGAGGCCAGCGTAATCTGTAATGATAGTTGTAACATTCGCTATTGTGGATGGAACGATCAAACCTCGGCATTCTGTGCTGCTCCTCATTTGATGGAAGCAGAGTTGCAACACCAGAAGGATTCAAACCGTCGGCTAGAAGAGTGTACTCCCGTTTCAGAACCTCAAGGAACCTCTTCTTCTCAACCCCTGCAAGACGGCCCCAGAGTCCTTTCTTCACATATGAGATGTTGCCAGGAATCATCATGTTTTCTAGCCAGATGATTCCTTTCCCGCAAGGTAACAGTTCTGGTAGGGTTTTCAAAGCAACAGATTCCATGTTGTCGGATCCCAATTTGGCTTCAGTCCCTTCCCAAGGTTCATCTCTCACCATAACGACGGGCTGACAATTGAGCGCAGATACACCAACGAACACGAAATGGATCGTACTGTTCATACGAAGCTCTGGAATTAATGTATCACCCAGCTGTACCTTCAAGTTGTACCACAATAGAACGCCATATTCTTTCTGTGCCCTGCAAGCTCTAGACAGCAGGTCATGAACCCAGTGTTGTTCCCGCGCTGTTCGATAGAATTCGTTGGTACGTTTCATGTTCGTACGAGCGAACCAGATCCATGAGTACTCTGGATTTTGTATTTCCTGTACAGCTACTACCGCTGTTCTGTCCTTGCCGTTCGTTGGGATCAGATTCTTGGGGTGGTAAATTTTGGGATGCTCAAGCCATCGATCATCATCCATGACATCGTTTTCTGGTCTGCCTGATCTAGTGAAGACATCAAAGTCTTGGGTCTCTCCATAGCTGTCTTGCTTCCCCTTCAGTCTGACGGTGGGTTTCGCCGCCCGGATAATCACAGAGATTCTTGCGTTTCCAGACATATTTTGGATGCGGATCGGAATCGGGATTTTGTGTTGCGATGAAAGACGGGATATCTGAAGCCTATCTGGGTTTGCGCTGTTCAGTTTCAGTAAGCCTGTAGTGGTATATGCAGACGAGACAGTTCAGAAATGGCGATGAGTGGTAGTGGCGATCTGGCAAGGTAGGGTTTTGGTAGAGGTCGGTGATCAAAGTTAGGAGAAATGATTGTATTGTCGGCGCTGAACTAAAGAAGGGGGCCTTCCAAAGCGATGGAGATAGTTCGTTCAAGTCTGAATCTTGCTTGTTGATCGGGGATTCAGAAGTTCAAAGATGGATGAGAGACTGAGAGTCTGGTTCGTGTAGCTGGAAGAGAAGTTAGCGATCATGTGCGTGGGATCTCTTGGTGATCTCCTACCTAGCGATGGGAACGGGGATATTCAGAGCCGCATCGGCTTCAAATAAGCGGAAAAGAAGATAGAAGCAGAAGTGGGATAGTATTGTAATGACCGGAGATAGCTTCAAAAATCAAACGGATGTTGTTGCGGTGGTGAAGCGCTATCTCCTCCCAGTTGAGGAGAGAAGATGAGGAGGTGGAGAAGGTGCAGAAGGTGAAGCAAGAAAGAAACATCGCCAAAAGCTAGGCTCCAGGCATCCACATCTGATATCGGTACACATGATCTACGGCTGCCTGAATCACAGTCGCTCTGCTGGATATTCTTTAAATGAACGGTTTAAATTCATCGCCTAAACCTAGTCTCTAAACCCATGGTTCCCAACTCAACCCTCAGTCTTACCAGAATCAGACTGGTAGTCTGATGTGGCCGGTGCATCCTCGCCCTGAACCGTCCATCTGATTGAAGTCGTAAAAGAATCCTCGTCATCAGCATCACTCCCAGACGAAGAAGACTCCACAAGCTCTTCCTTGTCCTCATCCGGCATCTTGTAGGACTTGACCTTTTTCACCGACGTCTTGTACTCCTCCAACAACTTATCGAGAGAACCACCTCGTGCGCAAACTTCGTCCACGGTCTTTTCGCAACCACGAATGTCTAGCTCGGAGCGGGCCATCTCGTCGATTCTCCACCAGACAGGCCTGAAATACTCTGTTCTCCTGATCATGTCGAAGAAGGCATCGGGGGAGGCGATGTTGTCGTGCTCAAGCAGTGTCTGGCAGGCAAATTTGCTCAGGTACCAAATGACCCTGTAGCGATTAGCGATCTGTCTCTTATAACATTATGTCTTGTTAGATCATGTCACTTACAAATCCCTAGGACGTCCTGCTTGTACCATCCGCTGTGTGATCTTCCGTGTGACGATGGCAGGCAGTACTTCGTCAACCAGGGGCTTGATCGAAGAGGTGTCGATCTCAACAATCAGAGATTCAAACCTCCTGATAATAATATCAACATCGGTAAACATCTTCTGCAGAACAGCAGGCCCCTTTACACAAGTTAGCTATGAGCGAAAGCCAGAACAAGGTCACTTACAATTGCAAATCCAGAGCTTAAGCGACGCGTCCAGTCGGCGGCGATGCGCAAAGCATGATGGTTAGTTCTGCAGATCAGATCGGTAATCTTTTGGGACATTGTTAGTATCTTCTCAATATCGATCTCCAAAGGGACAAATTGAACTGACCGTGGATGTTGACCCTAAATACTTTTGCTCTGTTTTAAAAAACGCCATTTCGGTCAGCGTTCTGGAAATACCGAGGGCCAGATTAGCTAGCGCGCCACCTATTGCCAAAGTGAGATCTCTTTCGCTATTATCTGTTAGCACTTTTCGTTACTAAGGATTAAAACCGTTGGAAACTTACTATATTTCGGTAGGGATCTTCTCAGCCTACGACTGTTAGTTCATCTGTCAAATAAGAGGTGTACCAATCACTTACATCGTAACACCCCTTAAAACCAGCATATTGACATAACATAATGTCAAGCTGTTCGCACGATCGAACGTCACCGCCGAGTCTACGCAAGTTAGAAAGTCAAAGTTCAGATGGGAAAATGTATAGACTCACACTCGAATGAGATGGGTCATCTCAGCCTTGGTACCTTGAGTACCGCACAGCAAAATGTCATCTCGTATCTTCTCCAACACCATCAAATCCCGTCCAAGATCAAGGACCCAGTCCGCAGCTTTGGGAGTAGTTAGTATAATACGCCACTTGTACAGAAACCGAATGCTAACCTCTGCTGCCAATAGTGCTGATTTGCGTGTATTGACGGCAAGGATGGAATACACCCCGTCGGGACTTGTTTGAGACAGCAAACTTTCTAAGCTTATTCATTACCTCTGGAAGCCTGGGGATAAAGATGTCGAGAGCTTCGCGGACGAGCATGGCGTGGCAGTTTCGCGAGACGAATTCGGCTGGCACGGCGTAGTTGATCCGTCCTGCGGTAGATCGACCTGCTGCCCTGCCGAAACAGAACGTTTGCTATATCAGCGGTCAGTTACTAGTGGTAGGTACTACAATAGAAATTGAGTCTTACATGCATGATCATCTAGTACATGTTAGCCAAAGACCTTGGGTCTAATCAAGCCACACTTACCTCCAGGGGTTTGGCGCTTCGTCTTCTCAGAGCCCATTCAAGATCAACATCGGTGATGTCGAGATTGTTCTTCATCTGCTCAATGGTATTGTCGGTGATGAGAGTCACGCACATCTGCTGCTGACTCTGCGCCAGGTAGAGCCATAACTTTCGCCAAGCCGTAAAACAAGCTCGCCAGTCGAAGGCATGGGCGATCTTGGAAGAACGACGGTCGCTGTCCGTGTGCGACATACCTGCATTTGCTCGGAGCGTTGTCGAGTTTACTGGGATCTGTGGTCGAATCAACTGATGCATTTGATTTTCGATAAAACGACTCATTTTCGGTCTGCTTGGCCAAGTTGGTGTATACTGATGATTGCTTTGAAAAGGAAAGAACTTCACTAGTCTAAGACCGGGAGAAACAAGACATAACCAGTTTGAGTTTGGTATGAATTTATCAATGTGGGCAAGAGGGCAGCAGAATGAAAACCCCCCGAACCTTTTGCCATTTTGCCTCTTCGACACATGGCTTCACTTTGACTTTCCGCCCTTTAAGCCATTAAATATATCACCCAGCTACCTCTGCCGGATCCACTGCTCAACAACGGCGTGGATCTCGTCACTGTTCTTCTCCATGAACATCATATGCCCATTCCCATGAATTCCAATGGTGCCAAGCTCTATAAGATCCGTCTTCGAACAGCCAGCCTGACGATAATACGCAGCTGTGCAGTGCTCGTACGGCATATGATAGGATGCTTCCCCGGTGACGATAAGAATAGGGATATCCTGAAGGTTCGCCAGGCGACGCGGTGTGGGCTCCTCAGCTTGGAGGATGCACTCGGTAGAAAGGTTATCCCTAGGGGGATGAGTCTTCTGAATAAGCTCTGACTTTGGGTCAGTCACAGGTGGGTCGTATGTGATAGGCACATCCCATAGCCCCCATGGCCGAGGATGCTCTCCACCAAAGTTAAAAATCTCATCTTTGAAAGGTGGCCCTGCTGCCTCGATGAGGACAATAGCCTTTGTCAGGTTTGGCCTTATGTCAGCTATCAGTGTGGGCATGAAGCTTCCTTGGCTGTGACCGAGGATAACAGCTGGCTTTCCGATTTTATCCAGTAATGCTGCTCCCGCTGCTTGCACAGCTGTCTCTTGATATGTGGAGTTGTCGACGAACTGCACATTGGAGCTGTAGAAAGCGTCAAAGATTGGATCCCCCCTGATGCCCGCGCCAGGCCATTGAGTATGGTTGATAGCCTGCGGCCAAAGCATATGTGTCTTTGAGGCCGTGAAGGCTATCTCAATTGCCTCAGCTGAAAGTATGATTGGCTTCTCGTCCTTATTCGACGGCAGCCAAGCAGAGCGCCCGCGGGCTGTCTGGTCAACGATGTAGACTTCGTAGCCTTGGCTGATGAATAGCGACGCCCACCCACGACCTCCATCTGGCTTGTTCAGAAAATTCTAGAATCTTCTGTCAGCATGAAGGTTCCTTGTGGAACGGCTTCCGAATCTTATGTAACTCACTGTGCCTGTCTGAGCCACACCATGGATCATAACGATAGGCGTGTCTTTCCAAGCGCCTGAGGCGGGAACAAGTCTCTCGACATACATCTGGTCCCGAAAGACATGGCCCCCGTCTCCATCGTCGACGTACCGCCCGCCGGAATAGAAGAAGGACCGTACAGCCGGGATCTCAGCGTGGCGTCGCACCCCCACAGCGTCGGACAATTTCCCGACCGTCGCCGCAAACAAGGCACCAAGAATAGAGAGATACATAATCGGAAGATTTAGATACTGCGCGGCTGTGCCGGGGTCGGAGTCGCAGCAATATTTGCTGAGATGACGGAGAGAGGAAGTGGAAGGATGTCATTGCTGACCGCTGGGGTGTCTTCAAGGGATCGACAGTGGTTGTCTCACTTGGGGTTTTCTTGATAAGATAGACGCGGCTGGTGAGCCACGGCGGGAACGACATCTCAACGACAGCACTTTCAAAGATTACAGATACTCACGTTGGACGACATCCGACGTTTGACAAATCAGGCGAAGGAGTGCCTCTGATGTCAGCGAGCATTGGCGTTATTACTGATATTCCACCGTTCGCGGAGGTTTCTTAACCTATGAATTGTGCTTTGAAGCCTCCAAGATTGAAATGTCACTTAAACATTAATTCCATGCATATTGAGACTTCTCTCATCCTCCATACTTTATACTCTAATTTGCAGTTCGGTCTCTTTTGCTCAGTAGTATTTTAAGAACTGTGACGAGATTCCATCCGTGTCTAAGTCTCCTTCCTGCTGTGTCCCACATTGTGCAACTGTCAAGCAAGTTTGAAGATAGATGTCTCTCGCTTTTATCAAAGAGGCTTCCTCTTGCAGAATTCATGACATCACTTAGAAAGACTAATAGCGCAAGACCGCTTGTGTTTCCTCCGTGCCTTGTCGGTCTCCTCGTATTCATCGACGCGCCCTTGCAGATCACCAAACAGATGCTCATCAACGAGGCCGTAGAGATTCGGAGGCAAGAGTCATCTCTTTTGAAAAGAGATATATCATGTCTTATCTAGGTCATATCGTAGCGCAACAGATGACTGTACGGCACATCAACAGTCGTCGGTTCCGATTGGCTTCCAGAGATTCTTCTAAGCTGCCTCAGAATGAGATGGAGTTCCGCTCTAGTCCGCTCGGAGTCCGTTACGCTTCAGAGAGTATCTTTGGTCTGACTGGGGGTCTTTGCAAGCGCGCCCCGAACGTCCCGCGATACAGTAATAATCAGATTCCGGTTCATCATCGGTTTGAGCAGGTTAGTGCAACAGATATCGTAAGCGTTGTTATCTCGAACCGCAAGCCAAATTTGATGACAGTCCTTTCGGCCGACACATTTTGAGCTTCTAGCGTTGGCTGTTGGCGATTTGGTGACTGCAAGCCTTGTTGAAGAAAGTGTGCGGCATCCAAATCCTCTCCAAATAAATCGCAATAATACGAATGGTCAGTCTCTAGGTATCGTGGTCATGAAGGGTGTTCCGTAGGCAGAATGGTGTGAGCCAGCGGCTTACCGTCCTACCACGCCGGCAGGACGGCTTAGACTAGATGATGGATGGAGCCTGTTTGGGACCTCCCACCGAGGGCGGCTTAGAATCACCACTTACGGGTCGAGGGGCTGTGATTAATATATGTGCAAGAACTCCTGAAGACATCCCAACATTCACTCTGCCAAGAAACATCATCACAAGTAATATTTTGTCGTAATGATGTCCGATTCGTTTCGAGCCTTGGATGATATCGCCGCGCAACCTGCCACGCGGTCTGTCCGGCTGAGGCTGGCTTGCGACGCTTGTACGACTGCAAAGGTGCGATGCAGCAGGACTCACCCTTGCGAGCGCTGCGAGGATAACGGGCTGGAGAACCAGTGCTATTACAGTGCTTCACGACGACATGGGAAAAGAGCTCGACATCGCAAGACAGGGTCTGAGATACTGCGGTCAAGCAACACAGCTTCGCTCACGACGGGCGATTCTGCGAGTGCACAGTATGGGACTGACTTTGCTTGGGAGGACTACAGTCATACACCGGGATCGTCGGCTGCGAAGACAGACAGTGAATTTGATATGCTAGATGGCTGGGTGTCTCACAACATGGATGTTGCTGTTGATTTTGAGAATTTTAACAGTATATCTTGGGCCGATCCATGGAAGTCGCTTAGTCTTTGGTCTGATACCAGTCCGTCTCAGTCAAGTGGCATGGTATCACCGGATTTAAGCTTGTCTCCAGCACAAATAACGTCAATCAAACCCACAATCCACGGAGCGTCAAACATCCTGGGAAGCAATATGCAAGGTCCAAGGCAGTCTCACAATTGCGAGGCCACGGCGTTGAGACTGTTGAGATCCCTACACTGTCAACCAAACACAGATCAAAGTGCAAACATATGCAGACAACCACACAACATATATCAGGCGAAACAAGCATGTTCAACGCCGAGTATCGACACAGTTCTATCAGTCAACAAAGTCGCACTGGCCAACCTCATTCCCCTACTGAAATGCCCCTGCGGACGAAACTCGCACATTGCGATGCTCCACAGTGCAATTCTTTCAAAGGTCATCTTCTGGTACAGAGTTGCCGTGACCGCTCGCTATCACTCTGAAGGGGTTGAGCTACGACCGATGAAGATCCAGCTGGGAATGTTGGATCTAGACGATGAGGATCAAGCAATACTGCAGAGAGCTGTGCTCCTTCGCGAGTTGCGCAAGGCGGAAAAGGTCATGGAAACGTTTGATTCTTTTTCTGTACGTGAGGATGGGGTGCCCGGTTGGCATGCTTCGGCGGTGAGAAATATGAGAGAGGAGTTACAAACAATCATTCAGAAGATTAGAAAGGGACAGGGGGATCTGCCATGACTGCTGTTATCAGTCGCTTCATTTCTCTTAGACAAGAGGAGGTTCACTCATTTGAAAATTATCACTCTCTTAAGGCTTTAAGCGCCTTTACGTATATATAACACTAGACACGCAATCAAGTCAAGCCAATCGACCCTTCCATGAAATTGTGGTATACTCGCAGCATCTGTATTGCCTTTCTGATCATATTCAATATCTGTTCCTGGTCGGCGTAAACCACAAGCCTCCAAGCCTAAAGATCGTCACCACAGCAGGCACAATGCCTGATGACGCCAGTTGTACAGTACAAGACACGTTATTAGAAGAGAAGGGACCTAGGTGACGTAACAGCATAGTGTCACAATCCAAAAGCACAATCACACCAATTTGTGTGGTTTCTTGTTGATCATTTGATATTCCATGTGATTTCAAATCATGTGATACTTCATCGCTCCGTTTGTGAAAGCTAAATTGATCATCCTCTACCACTGCCGAAGCTCTTTTGCCATGGTGATTAGAGACACACTGTCAGCCAATGGGTCAATGACGCTGCTGGCGATACTCTGAGGAATTCGGAAGCCGACAGGGTATCTGGAATGATACAGGTCATGTCTTACACGGCTCAGAATACCGGTACGTGGATTTCGTGAGACTTATCAGCATATTCGATTCCAAGCAGATACCTGGGTGTAAGTTATTTTGATTCGTTCCCGAAAACCAGGCACGCAGATGTTAATATCTGGTTTTCTTTGGGTAGATTGGAAGGAGGCAAAGCTTACGTCAGGATAATCAGCTCCTGGATTTCCAAGAGAGGAAACACACCAGATTTACCGTGCGGGCTTGTGCAGTCTCGTGTGATAGGTTCCCCTTGACAGACACGTTGCGCTATTACATGTAGGGTGCAGAATAGAACGATATCGCTAAAGACTACGTCACCTGAAGATGGGACTGCATGTATTAAAACAACTGTAGGTTCATTGGCGCATAAACTGATGACATATCAGTAACTCAAGTTTTAACCCAGTAATACACGGAGTTTGGGATATTTGACGATTTTGACCCAAACTCGGCCTCGCTCTTAGGCATTGACGCGAGTTGTTGGTAGTAGTCGCGATGCATGTGGCGGGGCAGGTACGACTGCCTCAACCCGACTTTCAGTGTTACACAATCACAAACGGCATGGGTCAATCCGGACTCCGAGACAGGCCATTTCTGTGCAGTTCCGTACAGCCGCTGGAAGACCGCTGTATCGCTGTTGTGTGCCAGACGAAAGGAGAGACACAGTGAGGGGTTGGGCGAACAATAGAACTTAGTATAGCCATGTTTGCTTCAGCCATCACAACCAACCACACATAAAAAGGCCCATTGAAGGGCTCAATAACAACCATCCCTCACGCACCTGTCTCTCTCTCGCTCTACCAATAGCCACCAGTACTTCAAAACCTTCCCCTCATCAACCGCTCCCGAAAAGCTTCTTTTCATCAACAAGCACCGTCAAAATGGCAGCATCACTCGGAAAATACGTCTCCAAGCTCGCAGGCTCGCGCGTCCTCGTCATCGGCGGTTCTTCAGGAATTGGCTTTGGTGTAGCAGAAGCTGCTATCCAGAACGGCGCCGCCTCCGTCTTCATCTCCTCCTCATCGCAGTCAAAGATCTTCACCGCCATCGAGCGCCTCAAGGCAAACAACGAGTCCGCCAAGGCTCAGCTCCACGGAGTGCCCTGCAACCTTGGCTCGCCCGACACCCTCACCTCAGAGGTCAAGAACCTTTTTGCAGAGGTCGCCAAATCTGGAAAGCTTGACCACGTTGTCTTTACGGCGGGCGACAGGCTTGCTGTTGGGAAGTTGGAGGATTTCTCGCTGGATGATATCCGACAGGCTGGCACTGTGCGCTTCTTCGCACCGATTGTCGTTGCGCAGCAGCTCCGCGAGCACCTAAACCAGAGCGACGCTTCATCTTTCACCGTTGCCACAGGTGGTGCCACTGAGCATTGCAGCAAGGATTGGACGGTCATGTACTCCTACCTCTCAGGTCTACGCGGTATGATCCGGGGATTGGCAGTCGATCTAGCTCCCATCCGCGTCAACGCCGTTGCGCAGGGTCCGATTGAGACAGAGCTCTGGGATCATGTCAAACAGATCGGATACTGGGACAATGTCACTGCTCGTCTCAAGGGAAGAATGACAACTGGGGCTATTGGGCAGGTTGAGGATGTCGCGGAGGCTTATGTTTACTTGATGAAGAACAAGAACGCTTCTGGTAGCGTTGTTGAGACTACGGGTGGAACATTGCTGTCTTAGGGCTGAAGAGGCTGAAGACAGTAGATTTACGGACAGCCGGGATGTGAGATGTTACAGGGTAGCGGCGCCAAAACATTTAGAAGGCGACGGAATATGATCATGTCAATGAATAAGTACAATTCTTCAAGCCTGCGAGAGGGTTACATAATTTTTCCATCTGGTTCTTCGCTCTTGGCCGCCAGCTCGCCGTGTTTCTGTAAACTGACTGATGCTATTCTTCTCAGCTGAAAGCTGCTGTAGGTGTAGGAGCGTGCAGTTCAGTGGAGAAATCCGGACACGGGAATGCTAAGATTTAGAATAACGACGATCTTCTATTTGATCTCACCCCAAGATTATAGAAAATCACGTCGAATAGTAAAGTTAAATGGAATTTGGATTATCTGATCTAAACTGCAGAAGAGAGGAAGGTCCCTGAACTTTTACACACCCACTCACTCGAGCTTCAAATCTTCGACCTCCCCACCATTTGGATCACCCGTCAGCACTCTGACCTAAAATAAGCTCGTAAACGCTGTAAGACGTTTCACGCCAGACTTATTGGCTCTTTCATTCTCGCGCCTCGGCACTAACAAAAATTCTCAATTCCCGACTGGTTCCACAGGGCCAAATGCCTTGAAGCTACACCGTATTCGGCCTCTCGCTGTCAGTTTCGCTGTTCGGACTTAACCCGTTCAAGCTCCGCTGCGCGTGTAAGTCGAGTTGTACAGCGAAGGCAGCTTTGATGAATCACTGTGTAGCAATCTGCTCTCAGAGGATGCCTCTTGTTGTTGTGATGGTTGTTCTCTTTGTCAAGCAATTGCGCTGAGAAGTGATATGGGCAATGTTTTCACACTTTCGCAATCGTGCTTCACTTAATCGTCTTCAGGCACTCTCATCGCATGTCAGAGCCGCAAGCACTATGAAAGAAGCCATCGTGTCAAGAGGCCCCAAGGTCAAGATTATCGACAGTCCGATACCGAAAGCAGGACCGGGCCAAGTTGTGACCAAGATCGTGTTTGCGGGCAGTAACCCCAAAGATTGGTGAGCAGTCTATTGCTTCTCAGCCTCAGGCACATAAAGCTGACCACTTCCAGGAAACGACCCGAGTATTGGGGCGCAAAAGGCACCGGTAACCAAGGCGATGATCACTCGGGTGTTGTGTATGAGGTTGGCGAGGGAATCACTGAGTTTCGACCAGGTGATCGCGTCGCGGCGATGCATGAAGGGAAGCAGCCTGGGGGTAGTTATGCTGAGTATGGGGTAAGTTGGGCATACACTACTTTTCGACTCCCAGAGAATACTTCGTTTGAAGGTGAGTATTCAATGATCTTACACAATTGTACCACAGCTGATATGAATGGCCATTTTAGAGGGAGCTGCAATTCCATTCGCCGCACTTACAGCGGCCTGTGCTCTCTACGCATGTCTTCGTCTTCCAGAGCCATGGATCCCAGTCTCTGACTATCAGAGGATCCCTCTTGTCATATGGGGAGCATCTTCAGCCGTCGGCTCATATGCCGTCCAGCTCGCCCGCCGTTCAAACATCCACCCTCTCATCTGCGTCGCAGGCCGCGCGCAAGAGCACGTTGAGAAATTAATTGACAGAAGCAAAGGCGATACCGTGATAGACTACAGAAAAGGCCGCGACGCAGTCATCAAAGAGATCAGAGCATCGCTCAAGGGAGAAAAGCTGGAGTATGCCTTCGACGCAGTGTCTGAGATGGGTTCCTACCAGACTATCTGCGATGTTCTGGGTCATCAGACTGGCAAGATCACACTTATTATTCCAGCGCAAAGCTATTCGGATATTCCGGAGACGATTCAGAAATCGGTCACCACCGTGGCGAGCGTACACGAGGATCTGAAGGACTTTGGGTATGTGTTTACAAGATACTTCAGCAAGGGTCTTGAAAAAGGTTGGTTCAAGGCACAGCCACAAGAGATTGTACCAGGTGGTTTGGAAGGGGTTGAAAAGGGGTTGGTAAACTTGAAGAATGGGACGGCTAGTGCGGTCAAGTACGTGTACAGGATTGCTGATACACCAGGTGTTGAGAAATGAAGGGGTTGTTAACGACGAGAGTCACCAATGTATACCAAGACTTTGTACTATAGACATGATTGACGGCCAATTATTAAGTTTAACTTATCGTCATCTACAAGGAGCAGTTGTTGGCTATACTATCCTGTTTGAAGTGCAGAACCGTCTGCCTTCCGCCTGGTAGTGGCGCATCCTCAACAAGCGTTGTGCTAATGGGCCAAAGCTCCGGGACTCGGGAGCCGTAATAGTTTATTTAATCTTCAACGGTTGGCTTTTTGTCACCATTGTCTGCTTGGAGCGGAAGAAGCCGGGCCACATCATGGCCATACTCAGTGCCAGTGACGGAGGCTCAATGAGTACGACTCCGGGTCCCGAATTGAGGAAGTCTCTTTAGTGTCATATCCAAGACTTACAAATGTGCCACAGCCTTTTGAGCTACAGGGTTCCACATGGAATAAGCTCACATGAACAAGATGTACTGATTCGTCAGTCCCGGACTCAAAGGAGCATATCTTTCGATCCCTCTTGACTGTCGTCGGGTCATCATCGTGGGATCTTCAATTTATACTGGGCGATTCACATCACCGGGGCGATTACTTGAATCCGTATGGGAACTCCATCGGGAACGTTTCGGGGACTCATGGTTGTGCGTACGGGAGCTGAATGTTGTGGCGCTGTCGACAATAGAATGCCAAGACTCCAGGTGTACTTGGCCTTCTTGGCTTCAAGTACAAGAAATGCCAGGTTCTGTAACAAGATGAAGTTTGGCAATTGACTTGGATTCATTTCTCATACAGCATCATGCAGCCAGAAAATACGGAAACTGCACCGACAAACGGCACAGACTCTTCTCAAGTCAAGACTACCAACATGTCTATCAACGAGAAACCCAACGGCTATGCCAACGGCAACCACCAAAGCACCAAAACACCTACTACTGCCCAAGACCGTCTCAATGATTCCATCAAGCGGGGCATAGACCTCCAAGTCATGCGCTACCCCGAGACCGGTATCAGCGTCCTCATCGCCGGTGCTGGTCTAGGTGGCATTACCTGCGCTCTTGAATGCTGGCGCAAAGGACATACCGTTCGTGTCCTGGACCGTAGTGCAGGCCCCGTCTGGACAGGCGACAATGTCCAGATCCAACCCAGCGCTATCCTCCTTCTTAGGCATTGGCCTGAAATGGGCTATGAGATTGAGGAGAACCAGTATGATGTTGCCATGTCCTACTACAGGCAGACCGGCGAGCGTATCTGGGGTCCTGCACCGCCTATGTTCAATGATCCTGAGAATCTTGAAGGCAGACGTGGCTTTCCGTCTGTGAATGCCCACAGCCGTATCAAGTTGTACCGCGCATTCCTACGACAGGCGGAGCGCGTGGGTATCCAGGTTGAATGGGGATGCAAGATCGTTGAGTTCTGGGAAGACCTCGAACAGGGCATCGGTGGCCTTACTCTCGAGAATGGCGAGAAGCGCACTGCCGATATTGTCGTCGCTGCTGATGGACTGCGTACCAAATCTAACACTATCGTGCCTGGTATGCCGAAGCATCTCACCACCAGTGGGAAGGCTATCTATCGTGCAGGATATCCGGTTGAGCATGCCTTGAAGGATCCTCAAGTACGTGAGATGTGGAACTTCAAACCTGGCGACCAGCCCATCTGGCAATTCTGGCTTGGGTAAGTTGGCCTGTCTATTGTATGCGACATGAGGGACTAACATTTTGTAGCAATGGCTCTCACAGCATGGTAGCGCTGACCCACGACATCGCTTTTTGGAGCTTCATCCATTCTGTAAGTCGCCCCTGTCCTATCCCCAACTTCAACATCTGACAAAACCTACAGCACGATGAATCAGCCAGCGAATCCTGGGTTCCAGACGTCGACCCAGCCGAAGTCATCTCCGCCATGGAAAAGAACAACGCCGTCCATCCCGCAGTAGCAGCCTTCATTAAAACAGCCCCCAAAGGCTCCGTCGTGAACTGGCAGCTCAAGTTCAGAGATCCCCACGAGCAGTGGACGTCTCCCGGCGGCCGCGTCGTCCAACTCGGCGACGCCGCCCACGCCTTTCTGCCCACCTCTGGTAACGGCGCTACGCAGGCAATCGAAGACGGAGTCACTCTGGCAACCTGTCTGCAACTCGCCGGCAAAGCCCAAACTGCGAATGCTACCCGCGCGTACAACAAACTGCGCTTCCAGAGGGTGTCGTGCGGCCAGAAGATGGGGTTTGTGAACCAGCAGCTCAAGCAGAATACTGACTGGGACGCAATTGCTAAGAACCCAGCGCTTATTCGGTCTCGCTATCCCAAGTGGGTTTGGTCGCATGATCCTGAGGCTTATGCGTACGAGAAGTTCTGCGAGGCTCTTCACCATGTCACCAGTAATGGGGAGGTTCCGCTGCATAATACTAACTTTCCCAAGGGGCATAAGTATAGGCATTGGACGATGAAGGAGGTTCAAGAGCAGATCAAGGCTGGGCAGAAGCTGGAGGATCTGCAGGATGGAGATTGGGCTTGAGGTGGTTGCTGTGATGAGAGTTTGTAGACTGGCAGACGGGTATAATTGAGCTCCTTTTTGTATGTGTTTGGCTCAAGAAGTAAATGACTATCCTTGGGTCTTCAATTTCCAGCGCGTGTGAGTCTCTTCATCCAGACCTTAACCAAGGAACTTCGGTATGCACATATGTGAGACACAAGTAAGAAACCTACCACTGCATGCTCCTGGCCTTGAAAAGGTCACATTTTTGTTGACATCTGACTTGATAAGGGCTTTAAGTTACTATCTACTGACCTTGGCATAAACTTCAAAACGGTGTGCTTTCACTGTTCAGAATAATCATGAGGTCATTGGATTAAGTATGTAACAAGTGTCTTGTGACTCTGTATCTACTGATAGTCTACCAGACGAGGTCTTCTCCAAACTCATCCTCTAACACAGCTTCGATAACAGACAACTCACTTGCAGCTGGCCGTTCAATAGCCCGAATCTTCAACCGCGCATCAGCCTGGCTCAGAAGAGCGCTCCACTCCTCAACCTCCCGTTCCTTGGCATTGAATGTCTGCAACATGGTAAGATCCTTTTGCCTCAGAGTTGCTTCAAATGTCCGCGAGCCAGAACCTGGTTTGGGTAAGACCATGTCCATGATCAACAACCTGCTCGACGGACCCATTGCCTCTACCACGCCTTGCAGGATCTTGACAGCATCGGCGTTGGGCCAGTCGTGGAGGATCGTGCGCAGTAAGTACACGTCTGCGTGCTTGACTGGCTGGGGAGTGAAGAAGTCGTATTCGACTATCTCAATACGGCTTCCCACATCCTCACGCAGCTTGGAAACACGAGCTTTGGCAGTTTGGAGAGGCTCTGGGAGGTCTTCTATGACGAGATTGAGCTTATGATATGATGTCGCCAGCATAATGGCAGTAGAGCCACCACTGCCACCGATCTATGTATTGTCAGTCTGACCACCAGCTGCTCTTGAACACGAGAAACTTACATCAACGACCTTTGCTTGGCCCAGTGCCTTCCAGTCAAACGCATCGAGAAGATGTTCAACATTCGAGCCTGTATGCGACACAGCCCTGCTCTTCATGAAAGCATGAAAAGCCTGATTGAAGTCGGGTCGAGTCTTGAGGTACTCGAAAAATGGCTTGTCCGTCTTGTGGACTACATTATAAGCCGTCTGATTCGTCGCCGAGGTGTCACCCCATTTCTCAGTGGCTTCTGACAAAGCAGCCATGATTGGGACAGTCTTGTCGAACATGTACAGGAGCTGCGTTCTCATGTCGACATCTGTAACAAAGTGCATAGACAGGGCGTTATGCGAGAGCTGGCCATCGCGTGTCTCGCTAAGAAAGCCTGCAGTCATGGCCATTCGCGCAACTGACTGTAGCTGAGTCAACGGCACTTGGGCTTTGGCAGCAGCCTCGGAGTAGGCTATCGATTTTGGAGGTAACGGTATGCATGACAGTACATCGAAGTGGCAAAGCCAGCCAATACAGTGGTACTGCTGTTGCTGAACGACAAGCTCGGTGAGAAAGCTGTGAGGATCATGCACGAAGTGCTTAATCTGCGCAGCATGCTCTATGACAGCGTCTCTATGCGTCTTGTCCATCATTCCACTTTCGATGCGGTAGGGTGGTAGTTGTTCGTTTAATTTAGATGGTTGATGGAGGGAAGCCTGGCATATACATGAGGTTCAATTCAGGTTTTGTAAAGGCAATATTTCCAGCATTGACCAGTCCAAGATCAAGCTTCACGGCATCCGAACTCCTTGGGGAAATATAGCTTTTGCGATACGATATTCCCGAGCTGAAGTAGAGTTGCCGAACGAATCCCCGGGGAGATCCCGACGACTCGGGCCCCGTCTTACAGAGATTGACATCACTCATACAGCGACAGGGCTGATCCTGTGTAACATGGAGTCGAGTAGGTCTTGGTTTGGAGATCTGCGTTATCAGGAGTAAGATGAGGCTCAGTTCGGACAACAACAATGTTCAAGATTTACCGAAAGACAAGGTCGTGATGACGGCATCGAATAAACCAGATTTTACTCCTATCCGGGCTCCGAGGGGGCAGTTTGGGTATGATTGATGATATTGGCGATGACGGTGAGATTATGATTATGAAGTCAGATAGAAGGCAAGGCGATTGAGCAAAGAGATAAAAGAAAGACATTCGCTTCAAACACTTTGAGGACAGACAACTATAGACAATAAGCAATAGACTTCAACCACCCATTCCAACAAACTCAAAAGATTCAACACCTTTGTCATGGCTTCCCATCTCAAGCTCTATCTCTTCGGAGACCAAACCTTTGAGATCCAGCCTCATCTGAAGAACCTTCTCCAGAAGCGCGACAACCTCTTCCTTCAAGAATTCCTTGGCCAGGCTTACAATGCCATCCGTGCCGATCTGTTCAGACTCCCGTACAGTGTTCGCAAGGATCTTCCTCGCTTCACCTGTCAGGAGGATCTTCTCCTCTGGGATCAGAGCGGTAGGCGATGTGTTGCTTTGGACATGGCAATGACTACTTTGTATCAGCTTGGTACTTTTATCAGGTAAGTCATTGATGCATTGAGCGATGGACATGTGCTGATTTGCGGTATAGTCAAGCGGGGATTGCTTCATATGATGCCCAGAATACAAGGGTCGTCGGTCTCTGCACAGGTGCTTTTGCAGCCGCTGCCGTTAGCTGCAGTAGCTTCACGGCAGATCTGATCCCCATGGCTGTATCTTCTGTCATTACTGCTTTCAGAACTGGCTTGCTTGTCACAGATACTGCCCGGAGAGTCGACCCTTCTCAGGATCTCAGTCAGAGTTGGGCGGTCCTTGTTCCTGGACAGAAGGCTTCCGCCATGTTGAAAGAGTTCTGTGACTCTCATGTGAGTAGTTCCACCATCAGGCCTTTTTCACCTGTACTGACTGTTCCCTGTAGGACATGCCCTTGACCAGCAAGCCCTACATCAGCGCATACGCAACAAATGGCATCACCGTCAGCGGCCCACCCAAGCGCCTTGTTCAACTTACACAGTTCCTCACTACGAAGGGTGTTACCTCCAGAAGCATTCCCATTTATGGCGCATACCATGCTCCTCACCTCTACTCCAAGGAAGATGCACGACGTATTGTTGCAAGCCTGATGCTCAATAAGGCCACCGCTCTGTCTGAGCAGATTCCTCTTCTCTCAAGCACAGGATTCAAGCCCGAAGAGCGAAGTTTCGCAACGCTCCTGGAGGACGCTGTTGCTCAGGCTTTGCTTCAACCCCTTCGCTGGGGTGTCATCTTTGATGATGTCCAGACTTCTTTGGCGGATGCTTGTTCTGAGCAGTTCTCGGTTGTACCGATTGGTACGACCGCTGAGCATCTCATCTACACTGCCCTCAAGAAAACATCTCTGCGCTCTCTTGTTCCCGATACAGCAGTCTATAAGGAGCAGAGCAAGGTCAATAGCTTACCAGAGTCTGGCACCAGCAAGCCAAAGCTCGCCATTGTTGCAATGTCAGGTCGATTCCCCGGCGCCAAAGATAATGAAGCTTACTGGGATCTTCTCTACCAAGGTCTAGACGTTCACAAGCCCGTCCCGAGTCTTCGCTGGGATCAAAAGACCCATGTTGATCCAACTGGCCAGACCAAGAATACGGGTGCTACACCCTTTGGCTGCTGGCTCGACGACCCAGCTGAGTTCGATGCTCGTTTCTTCAACATCTCACCCAGAGAGGCCCCTCAGATCGATCCTGCCCAGAGACTGGCTCTCATGACAGCCTATGAAGCGATTGAGCAAGCAGGTATCGTCCCAGATGCAACCCCGTCCACTCGTCCTGATCGCGTGGGGATCTTCTACGGCGTCACCAGCAACGATTGGTTAGAGACCAACAGCGCCCAAAACATCGACACTTACTTCATCCCCGGCGGTAACAGAGCTTTTATCCCGGGCCGCATCAACTACTTCTTCAAGTTCAGCGGCCCCAGCTACGCCGTCGACACAGCGTGCTCGTCTAGTTTGGCTGGTATCCATCTCGCCTGCAACGCCCTCTGGCAAGGAGACGTTGATACTGCGATTGCTGGCGGTACCAATGTTCTTACTAACCCGGACTTCCATGCTGGTCTTGATCGCGGGCACTTCCTTTCGCGAACTGGAAACTGCAAGACTTTCGATGATGGTGCCGATGGGTACTGTCGTGGTGAGGGTGTTGCCACTATCATCATGAAGCGACTCGACGATGCCATTGCTGAAAACGATCCTATTCTGGGTGTTGTTCTTGGTGCGTACACGAATCACTCAGCCGAGTCGGAGTCGATCACTCGTCCGCATGTTGGTGCCCAGCGGGTTATCTTTAACAAGATCTTGAATGAAGCTGCTGTTGATCCTTATTCAGTCAGCTATGTCGAGATGCATGGAACGTAAGTCAGCCCCTTCTTTATCTAGCTTACTACCAGTGGTTCGTTTACTGATGCGTTTCGTAGAGGTACCCAAGCCGGCGACGCGACAGAAATGTCCAGCGTCCTCGAAACATTCGCACCGCCTATAACCGACGGCAAGGTCACTCGAACAAGTGATCAAAAGCTCTACATCGGCTCAGCCAAAGCCAACATCGGCCACGGCGAAGCTGCCTCGGGTGTCTGCAGTGTCATCAAGGTCCTACAGATGATGAAGAAGAACACCATCGTTCCGCATTGCGGCATCAAGACTAAGATCAATCATCGCTTCCCAACCGACCTTACGCAGCGCAACGTTCGTATTGCGCTTGAGCCAACTGTTTGGGAGAAAGGTAGTGCTGAGAGTCCTAGACGGGTCTTTGTCAATAACTTCAGTGCTGCGGGCGGAAACTCGGCATTGTTGATTCAGGATGCGCCGCCTAGGAAGCTTCTCCCTGCTGGGTCTGACTCAAGAGTTCAGTTTCCTATTGCTGTCACTGCCAAGAGTGGTGTTTCTCTCCAAGGCAATCTGAGATCTCTTGCCAAGTGCCTCAGAGAGAACCCCCAGGTGTCTCTACCTGAGCTCTCTTACACAAGCACAGCTCGTCGCATCCACCACCAACATCGAGTTCTCTTCACAGGCGCCACGGTCGAAGAGGTTTGCTCCAAGGTCGAAACCGCTCTTGTGAACAACACTGGCGTCAGCCGTCCCAAGAGCGCGCCCAAGGTCATATTCACCTTTACCGGTCAGGGAGCGCAATACCCTGGAATGGGAAAGCAACTCTTTGAGGAAAACGCTTTCGTACGCAATGAGCTTCTTCAACTTGACCAGATTGCCCAGAATCTCGGTTTCCCCTCTATGCTGCCCTTCATTCAATCCGAGGAACCAGATGTTAGCAAGTTTGCACCTTCACTTGTGCAACTAGCCAGCGTTTGTCTTCAGATTACACTCAGCAAACTTTGGGCTTCTTGGGGAATTGTTCCCACTGCTGTTGTGGGACACAGTCTTGGCGAATATGCTGCTCTCAACGTCGCTGGGGTTCTCTCAGATACCGACACCCTCTTCCTTGTTGGGGGTAGAGCCCAATTGCTTGAACAGAAGTGCACTCGTGGTACGCATGCAATGCTCATGGTGAAGGGGTCACAGGAGGAAATCGCTGAGGCTCTGAAGGGCCAGGAGTATGAGACTGCTTGCATCAACTCGCCTAGTGAGACTGTTCTTGCTGGACAGAACGAGCAGATCGCTAAGCTCAAGGAAGTTCTGACTGCAGCAAGCTTCAAGACCACACTCCTCAAGGTCCCTTACGCCTTCCACTCATCTCAGTTGGAGCCGATGGTGTCAGATATCGAGGCGCTTGCCAACAAAGTGACCTTCTCCGCGCCAAACATGCCGGTCCTTTGTCCTCTAGACGGCAGCGTCGTCGAAGACAGAAATGTGTTCAGTGCTTCATATTTGGCAAAGCACTCTCGCCAACCTGTCAACATGCTTTCCGCATTGACTACTGCCTATCGCGATGGACTCATCACCAATCAGTCCATGATTCTCGAAGTTGGTCCCCACCCTGCGGTTGCGGGTATGATCAAGCCTACCCTCGGTCAGCAGATAGCTTGTGTCGCTTCACTCTCCCGCGGCAGAACACCATGGGAGATGCTAGCCGGTGCACTCAAGAGTCTGTACGATGCTGGAGCAAGCATCAACTGGGCTGACTATCAGAGCAACTTCCCGAACGCTCATTCTGTCGTTCCTCTTCCCGCTTATAGCTGGGATCTCAAGGAATACTGGATGCAATACGTCAACGATTGGTCGCTGCGCAAGGGCGATCCTCCTCTGATCATCAACAATGCGCCCAAACTTGAGAGCACGACTATCCACACTGTTGTTGAGGAGAGTGGCGATTCAAAGAAGACGCACATCGTTGTCGAGGCAGACATTGCTCGCAAGGATTTGAGCCCTCTCGTTCAAGGACATGAAGTCGATGGCATCCCGCTTTGCACCCCATCTGTTTACGCAGACATGGCCTTGACTTTGGGCAAGTACCTACTTGAGCGATATCAGCCCCAGAAGAAGGACGATATGGTTGTTGTTTCGGACATGGATATCACCAAGGCTTTGATCCTGCGAGGTGATGGCTCGAAGCAGCCTGTCCAAGCTCATGCTGAGGCGGATTGGTCGTCTCAATCTGTGGCGATGAAGTTCATGTCTTTTGATGTAAGTATCCAAAACACTTCACTTCGCATTCACCACTAATTTCCTCCCAGAATAAGGGTAGCCTCCAACAACATTCCAGCTGTGTCGTCCGTTTCAAAGACCGCACCCATCAACAAGCCCTCCAGAGCCAGGCTCGCGATACCAAGCAGAAGATGCAAACCCTTCGCAACCAAATCACCACCGGTGAGAGCGCACGCTTCAATCGCCCCATGGCTTATCGCATGATTCGTCCTCTGGCTCGTTTCCACGACGACTACCGCGCCATCGACGAGGTCGTTCTCAACAGCGAGACTTTGGAGGCTTCAAGTCAGATCAGTTTCGGCACTGTTAAACGTGACGGTGACTTCCACACTCATCCTGCTGTTATCGATGCTCTCACTCAGTCATGCGGTTTTGCTATGAACTGCAATGATAAGACTGACATTGATGTGGATGTTTACATGAACCATGGCTGGGGGTCTCTTGAGCTGTTTGAGCCTTTGGACTTTGACAAGGCTTATACTACATACACTCAGATGCACGAAGGAAAGGATAAGCTTTGGTACGGTGATGTGACCATCTTCGACGGAGACAGGGTTGTTGCTTTCTTTGGTCAGATTGCGGTAAGTAATCGGACTTTCACTGAATCATTGCCACTCAATACTGACTCTTCTTAGATCCAGGGTGTTCCACGACGAGTTCTCAAGGTTATCCTCTCAATTGAGAGCGGCAAGAAGACTCAACCTCAGCGCCAGACTCAAGACCAACCCCGCAACACAACCCCTTCAGTCTCGAGGGATTCGCTTCCCAAGATGACACAGAGTAAGCCCATCGCCAAGGTTGAACCGCAGAGGTTCACAACCGCGATCCGCATCATCTCAGAAGAGAGCGGTATCGACATTGCCGACTTTACCGACAGCACTACCTTCTCAGACGTAGGCGTCGACTCCCTCCTCGGCCTCACAATCTCTGCTCGTTTCCAAGAGGAGCTCGACATAGACCTTGACTTCAACGCGCTCTTCTTCGAGCACCCAACTGTTAAAGACCTCAAGGCCTTCCTGCAAGGTTCCGAAGAAGACGTCAGCGGAAGCTCGTCCTCAGCGGCCAGCGATTCAGGTCGTGAGTCAGGAACAGGCGGAAGTGCTACACCTGAGCTACAAGAAGAGTTTGCGGATTCCATCGAGATTGAGTTTGAGCGTGCTCTTGAGATCATCTCTGAGGAGAGTGGTGTTGCGAGAGCTGATCTTGATGATGACACGAACTTTGCTGATTGTGGTGTTGACTCTCTTCTGTCGTTGGTCATTGCAAGTCGATTCCAAGATGCTTTTGGGTTGGACGTTGGCCATGAACAGGTATTCATGGATTGCCAGACTGTGGCAGATCTGAGAGCCATGTTGGCAAAGGAAATGGGGTTATCGACCAACTCCTCGACCGTTCCTGCAAACCTGCCCGCAGAAATCCCAGCACCCGTTGTGTCTGAGGCTGTTGCTGAAGAGGTCTCGATTACTCACAGCGATATATCCACTCTATCTATTCGGGAGAAAGCCATCAGCGATCTTGTCCACAAATATACCGCTGGCTTCTTAGCACCAACCTCCAACCCCTCTGGTTCGCGTCCCGGTAAGAACGAGAACGTCGTGCTCGTCACCGGAGCGTCGGGTGGTCTCGGAAGTCATCTCGTCTACGCCCTCGCACAGCTCGAAGAAGTCCGGGCCATCATCTGCGTCAACCGCGCCAACAGAGAGGATCCCTCCACCCGCCAGTACAAGGCTATGAGGGACAAGGGCATCCGCTTCCCGGAGAACCTGAAGTCGAAGCTGCGAATCTTCGCGACAGATACCTCTAAGCCCAAGCTGGGACTTTCTGACGGTGACTATGCCAGCATGACTCAATCTGTAACGCACATCATCCACAACGCCTGGCCCATGAGCGCCAAGCGTCCTCTCTCTGGCTTCGAGTCGCAGTTCCAAGTCTTCCGCAATCTTCTCGATCTCGGTCGCGAGTGCGCTTCCGGACGTCCTGAGGACTTCAAGTTCAGCTTTCAGATGGTATCTTCAATTGGAGTCGTTGGTCAGTGGGGCATCGCTGCTGGCCAAACTGGTAAGATTGTTGTGCCTGAGCAGAGAGCTACCATCGATTCGCTTCTTGGTAATGGCTATGCAGAAGCCAAATGGGGTTGCGAGAGGATGCTTGATGAGACTCTTCACAAGTACCCCAACCGATTCCGTCCCATGGTTGTTCGTCTTGGTCAGATTGCTGGGTCGAAAACTAGTGGCTACTGGAACCCCATGGAGCATTTCGGATTCCTCATAAAGTCATCTCAGACTCTAAACGCTCTGCCCGATGTTGATGGTAACCTTAACTGGACGCCTGTCAATGACATCGCTGATACTCTCACTGATCTTGTCTTGTCCGACACCACCCCGTATCCCATCTACCACATTGACAACCCAGTTGGACAGCAATGGCGCGATGTCAACAACATTCTCTCCCAAGTCCTCCGCATTCCCAACAAAGTCCCCTTCAAAGAGTGGCTCGATCTCGTGCGAAAGGCTCCTCAACAGGACAACCCTGCCTCACTCTTGGCCGATTTCTTGGAGGAGACGTATCTGCGCATGGCTTGCGGTGGACTTGTCCTCGATGTCAAGCACACACTTGAGCACTCAAAGTCTTTAGCTGCCGTCGGCCCTGTTTCAGAGAATGTAGTCCGGAAGTACATTCATATATGGAAGGAGATTGGGTTCTTGAAGACTACTACTGAGGATAGAGCTGGGTTTGAGGCTGAGAGGGCTCGACTCTGGGGGCCTAGGGTGTAAAGAATTGGCTGTGATGGCTCGCATTCAGGCAATGAATCTTAGACTTTCCTTAACTATTTCGCAAGATTGTATTATTTCTTTATATACATAGACGTCAATATATGGACTTTTACTATCTTGGAGTACTCTTCACACCTTTTTCAAGATTCTTGACTACCTAGAAGAAACATGACTATTGGTTCTATCTATCCGCCGTATCGTTCTCGAGGCCACTGCATTCATCCACTCCGTATACATGTTTCCATGTTTCCATAGTTCCGTTCCTTTCTCCATAAGGCCGTGGCCACACTTCCTGACACCAAAATACCATTCTATATCCAGATCCCTAACGCGAGTAAAAATATTTGCCTCGTACTCGGAGACCTCTTGCCCATATATCCTCCAAACAGCATCCGTTCAGTGAAATACCACTCTCTATAACAAACTAAAATCCACTCATGACTTCCAAGCACATATACCAGCATTATCAGCGAGTCTATTCTCGAGAACGACAACTTCCGCACAGGTTGAGGCCACAATCTTGGCAGTGCCGAATGAATAAAGGTGCCAGAGCAAGGTGGCACTGATCACATTGATTCCCCGCGTAGCCCAATCTCACATTTTCGTGACGGCAAGGAATTCTCCTGTCAGCCTGGCCGCCGGTCCTAACAGGTCTCTGTAGGGGAGCGAGTTGCAGCCGATCATGCTGCTCAGTGAGCCGAGCAATAGCCTCATTTAGCCGAGCGTGGACACCAGCTATTAGATCTTCATCCTCAGCTTGCCCATCCAGGAGGTTCCTGATCTGGAGATAAGGGCAGCCGCAGGTCTTCCACCGTTCGCCGCAGGCGTAGCAGAAATGGAAGCCACAACGGCAAGCTAGATGGGATCAAAGGTTAGCAAGCGGAAACAATACTATGCATTAGGGTAGGAGGAGGAGGGAAATGTGCGGTATTGAGTTCTCACAACTTACTGATGTGGTTGCAACCAAGAGAGAGCGAAACCATGTGGTGGCATCGCCCACACTGTTTCCAGCCTTTAGTGTCCGCCATAGCCAAGACATCCCTTGTCCCATCGTCCTGTGTTCCAGAGCAGAGATTTTGGTGTCTTTCAGACTTGCATTTGACGCATGTTTCCTTCCCACAGCGAATACAACTCGCGATATCGCCCTGGATCGACCGTGGGGGTATGAAAGCTGCGCATGCAGCGTCACTGCAGTAAGTACGATTGGGTGTCTCTAGCTCGACCTTCCTAGCTTCATATCCCTCGAATTGCTCTTTAGAGATGAGAGGATTGTCGGGGGCGATGGGAATGATCTGTTTGCAGCACTTCAGTGGGAAGCTGGATTCGTCTCGCATCGATGTCTGGATCCAGTTGGCTAGGCATGTTTGGCAAAACTTGTGAGAGCATGGTGTTTCGAATATCTCGGATACAGGGAGTTTGTCACTGCAGGAGGTGCACTCTCTGGTTTCGGGGGGTTGAACAGCATGAGAACTGGTTAGGGTTAGGCGGGCCAGTCTTGATCGCATATCGTCAAGGTATTTATCGAACTCGACAGGATCCTCCTCCGTCTCTGACTTTTCGGCTGGGCCATCGTCCTGGGACATGTCATGAACAATATTTAGATCCAACTTTCGGCCGAGATCTCGAGGGTACCGGTGGTCATTGATGTTGCTTTGAATCTTGTTGCCTTCAGCATCTTCGCTGGCCGTATGTTTGTTGTCGACCGCAGTTGATGCAGAGTATGCTGTTGGTAGCACGGCATCTGTCGCAGGTGGTGGGATGTTGAAAAGCCGAAGGGTATCAAAACTCTCCTTGTCCATGTATCCGGGCCGGGCACCATTTTCGTGAGCTGGAATGGCAGGTCTCAGTCCTGGATCTTGTTGGGGTCGCCGAGTCAGGTTGCGATCTCTTTCTGCTTGTTCATCCTCTCGGAGGAGTGCTGCGATCAAAGGGGCGTCGGTCTCAACAGCTCGCGCGATGCTCAAGGCGAGAGCATAATCCGCGTCTTCCATCCCGAAGTTCTTGTCGTAGTCAACAGGAGCTTGAGAAGTGATCTAGTGTATTGTTTGTGGGTATTGAGACGCCTGAGGCCTGCTTTTCTTTTGTCACTCAGCTCGAGTCCGTGGAGGACGCAAAGTCGACACCAAGAAAGAAGAAAGAAAGAAGAAGAAATGAAGCGGCCATCGAGAGGTCGGACTCCGAGCTTTAAAATAAATCACTCCCGGTACCATTGGCTCGCAGCAAGAAGGCAGATGCTCTCAATTAGAGTTATCGTTATGATGGTGTTATGCTTTTGTAGGTGGCATTGCTTTATGAGAACTGCTGTTTTCTATACTTTCCTGTAAAGGTTATTTTGATTTATTCGAAGGTATGAGTTTTGATTGATATGAAATAATTAGAAGAACAAACCTTGGTTAATATCTCGGCGAGATTGACCAAAGTTACAAAGATCAAAAGAACACAGTTTCCTTCCACGCGATAGCTTCTGTCGCTCTTTGGAGTAGAAAGTTTAGAACAGATATTTGCGAGGGTATTGGAATACAATGTCAAGAGCTTCGGAAAATAGCTGTTTTTAAATGTTGGTCTTGACCTTGTTGAAGAAGAAGAGATCATCATGTTGGCTCACAGTGCTTTCTCCCAGCCACTAAGACCACACCTGCGAACAACAGGCCTAGGCATAACAATGGAGAGTTAATCTCTCAGAAGACAGTAATAGGCTTTGTTTATGCTACCTTAAAGAATGCCTCGAAAGTCGAGTGAGATGATGTAAGTTAGAGAGATACAACCCAACTTTGGCATTTCCTATCACCGAGTTGTTTATTACTGCGATGGATCTAGAAGAGAGGAAAGCGCCACTATTCTCAATGCCAGCCACCTATCTGATTTTGATAACAGTGACGTTAGACTAAGAGATTTTTGGAGGTACAATCGTCTGGTGTGTTTGATTTGTCTTGAGACTGATAAAGCTCGTGGTTTTTTTGGAGTTTCTCACCAGGTGCTTTCTGCTAGACAGTTCATCGTTCACCTGAGATTTATGAAATCATTTTGTAATATCATATAAATGCACACCATCTTTGGGTCTGTAACACACAGGCGTCTATGCCCAAATTAGAAAAGTCTCTTCTGTGTATATGAGAACCACAAAGTGTTGTTACCGCTGGCTTCATATACCACGTCTCTCTTGCTCTAGGTTATCTCAGAACAGGAACAAACTGGCCAATACTTGCTCCCTACGTCGTGTCGGAACCGGTCAAACAACCCGACAAAAAGGTTAAGGTTGTTACGCCCAGACCATGTCTCAGTCGCAAGGATGACACTGAAGCTAGCAGAAGATGACCGCATATACCGGACCTGAAATGGCAATTCCGAATGCCCATCATTCAGCCTTTAGCCGATCACATCTTGCTTCCCAAACTTGGTCTCTGACCTTGAACAAACGTCACAATGACTCTGCTTTTAACAAGCGATATTGTCTTTTTCTTGACTCGTAACTCATGACAAGACAAAACACGAGAGAGCTGAAAACCAGGGTCTCATTGATTTGGATCTGCGACGTGGGGATTTCAAGTGGCGCGGGTCTAGACTCTCGGTTGGCGTTCGCCGTTGACCCCTTGTCCTAGTTTTGATAGCGATAAAGCAATGATTGGCTGTCATTCACTGTGGAAAGAATGCAATAAGACCCTTAGAGCTCTTTAATTTTCCCCTTCTCCTCCATCGAATTCTTCCTTTTCACAGCCGCGGCCACATTTCCCTCCCCATTCCGCCAAGACTCGGGACTTGGATTGAGTAGCTGACGTGGAAAGCCTAAAATGGCAATGTAAAAGAGGACCGCATTATTTCCCATCAATTGGACGCGCAGCGGTCGCCAAAGGGGGTTTGTGGGCTTGTCAATCGCCAACAGGGACTTGACTGTGCCGCAAGTGATCGCTACAGGAGGCCCTGTCATCGGGCTCCAGAGGCTCCAGTGCCGCCTCCACTACCACCCAAGACCTAGGTAAAGACGGGAGGGCGCCCACTTTTGCACCGCCGCAAAGGAAACATCCCACTTCCAACGTCACCTTGATCACGACTTCGTCTCGTCCATCTCCGCCTCATCTGTTTCCCGGTCGAGATCTGGCTTTCTTCTCTGCCGAGACATTGTCGCAACAACCGCAGCAATCGATATATCAGCAAGAGTCCTCGATGTCTACCTACTCGACACTCTCCAGCCTCGCCAGGTAACAATGCGGCGGCGCAGTCATCGTCACTTGTCGCCCCAAGCTAGCATCCTTATCTAAGCTCGCTATATCGCACACATCATCAAATTTTCGCATCCGACGTCGCCATGGCCTCTAACTGGCACAGTCTCATCGCCAGGGGAGGGTTTGAGCTACCTGTGGTATGGCCATCTAACTCTAGCTTTAACTCACCTCGTGGCGTCCATACTGACGACTGCTTGTAGGAAGGCGACGACTCTCGAGTCGGTTCTGCAACAGATGGTTCCAGTGGTGGTACCATCAGCACCAACAACGCTTCCAAGTCGTCTTCAATTCAGTCCCTTGTTGGAACATTTGTACCCGTGATTATTTATTGTGTTGTCTGCATCATCTTCTTCTCCATCTTCCGAGTCAAATGCAGTCGAGTCTATGCGCCTCGTGCTATACCGAGCCTGCGCTCACCTCAGTAAGCACAGAAGCTCAACTCCTCTTGATCAATCCTCACAGCCTCATAGTACACCCATACCACCACTTCCCACCGGCTGGTTTAATTGGATAAAACCCTTCTTCAATACTCCAGACACGTTCGTGCTCAACCATGGCTCTCTTGACGGCTTCTTCTTTCTGCGTTACCTCAAGGTCTTGCGGAACACCTTTCTCGTAGGCATTCTGATCGCATGGCCAATCCTCCTCCCAATTCACATTACCGGTGGCAACGAATCAACCCAACTGGATATTCTCACGATTGGTAAGGTCAGTGATAAAAAGCGCATGTTCGCCCACGTTGCTGTCGCCTATACGTTCTTTGGTGAGTAACTAAATCATGGCTGACCTTTAATTGTACAATGCCTAACCTGTCAGGCTTCATTCTCTTCACTATTACTCGAGAGTGTTTTTATTACATCGGCATCCGCCAAGCCTATCTTTCCTCTCCTCATTATGCGAAGCGACTATCGTCTAGGACTGTCCTGATCACTTCGATCCCCGAGCGCTATCTCGACGAACGCCGACTGCGAAAACTTTATGGCGACTCTGTGAAGCGTGTTTGGATTCCCAGAACCGCCAAAGCTCTCATCAAACTCGTGGAGGAAAGGGAATCAACGGCGATGCGACTGGAGAAAGCCGAAATTTTACTCATCAAAAAGGCACATCTTGCGCGCAAGAAGAATCTCGACCATAACCCACCACCAACTTCATCCTCCGCCGAACCGTGTGCTGCAGATTCAGGCTCCTCCTACAGAACGGATCCTAGTAGCGAAGAACATCGACCAGGCTCCCCGCGGCGTGTCGAGATTGCGCCAAACCACGAACACGAGCATAGCGAAACCCAGGAGCATACTGTCAAGTCGGATTATTCACAAGTGACTCAAACAGCTAGTCACAACACTCACGATCTGCTCGAAAAGTCCGCCGAAGATCCCGAATATGTCCATCCCTACGGGCTCGATCCAAACCTTCCTGACGTACGAGGTTCTGTTGCTGCTCAATGGATTCCTGTTACAGCACGCCCGCATCATCGACCACTCCAGAACTTCTTCCGACGAGTCGACACTATTCGCTGGTGCCGCTTGAGACTCAAAGACTTGAACCATGAGATTTACAAGCTTCGTCGCCAAGTTCGTCGCGGTGATGGGCAGACGTTGCCTGCTGCATTCATCGAGTTCGATACCCAAGAAGCTGCTCAAGCTGCACACCAAATTGTCGCTCATCATCGACCTCTCCAGCTTGCTCCTCGTCTCCTGGGCGTCCGGCCGAACGAAGTGGTCTGGAGTGCCCTCCGAATACGTTGGTGGGAACGCATCGTTCGCCGTCTACTCATTATGGGCCTGGTTTCAGTCGCCATCATCTTTTGGTCCGTCCCATCTGCCATGATCGGTATTATATCCAATATCGACTTCTTGAGTGGCATCGTCTTTCTGAGCTGGATCAAGCTGCTCCCCAAGGCTATTCTTGGCTTTCTCCAGGGATTTATTCCGGCCATCGCCTTGTCATTCTGGATGTCGCTCGTTCCTGCGATGTTGAGGTGTATGTTTCGTCTCCCTTTCTCCTTCGCTCTTTGCTAACTATCTTAGTCTGTGGTGTACAAGCTGGAATCCCCTCTCTTGTGCTCGTCGAGCTGTTCGTCCAAAAGATCTACTTTGCGTTCCAGGTAGTGCAGGTGTTCTTAATCACCACATTAACATCGGCTGCTTCCGCTGCAGTTCTAGACATTATCCAGCATCCTATGTCTGCGCCCGATCTCCTTGCTCAGAACCTACCCAAGGCATCCAACTTCTATCTGTCGTATATCCTTGTCCAGTGTATGGCCATTGGTGCCACTGGCCTGCTGCATATTTTTGAGTTAATACGGCACTATGTGTTTGGTAGAGTTATCCAAAACCCCAGGACTCGCTTTGGTATTTGGTACAATCTTCGCCCTCCGCGTTGGGGTGGTGTCTTTCCAATTTATACGAATATGGCATGCATTGGTGAGTCGGTGTCAATTCCCGTGTTCCTTCTCCTTGCTAATCGTCCCAGCTTTCTGCTATACATGCATCGCTCCTCTGATCCTGCTCTTTGCATGCGGCGGCATGGCCTTCACAAGGCTCATCTACCGATACAACATCCTTTACGTGTTCGACTCTGAGATGGATAGCATGGGCATGTTCTATCCGAACGCCCTCCTTCAACTCATTATCGGGCTTTACCTGGCCGAGATCTGCATGATTGGCCTGTTTGCACTCAAGCTCGCATTCCCGCCAATGGTACTAATGCTCATACTCCTCATTTTTACGGTCATCGTTCACTTCTCCCTCAGAGACTCCATATTTCCTCTACTTCAGAACCTCCCTCAAACGTTGACATTGGAAGAAGAAATACAGGAGGAAGAGAAGGCGGAAGCAGAAGCAAAACTACAGTCGGCTGCAGAGTCTGGAGAGGCCAACGGTGGTTCTGCTGCCAATTATTTCGACACAGATCAGAACTTTGGTGAAGACGAGATTGAGGAACCACCGAGTGATGATGAGGATGGACATCCACACGATGGACCCCAAAGTTCGAGGGGGGTTGAAGGTGCAGGCGGTCTTAAGCTAATGGTAACTGAGTGGATCAAGTCAAGCTCAAAGGCCCAACTCAAGAAGGAAGTGCAGCAATCTGGACTGAAGCAGTTCTTGGATAGATGGATTCTGGCTGGCAGCCACACAAGTGGGAATAAGCCAACCTTCTTGCAGCGATTCCTTCACCCCGAGGTCTACGAGGACTTTATCGCCCTAAGAAAGCTCATTCCCTTTGAGGAGCTTGCCGACGCCGATTATGCTGGAGACGAAAAGCTATCTAACTACTGGCCTCCAGAATTGTGGATGCCCAAACCTGTCTTGTGGATCCCCCGAGATGAAGCGCGCGTCAGTCGGCAGGAGGTTGCGCACACGAGAAAGATCACGCCGATCACAGATGTGGGAGTGAGCTTGAATGTCAAGGGATTACTTATTGTTGATGTTGAGGACGCGCCGTTTCCAAGGATGAGATTGGTGCACTGAGCGAGTATGATGTAATGATAGATCTGGCCATGATACCCTCTTTTGCATCAAGCGTTGTATAATATTGCAATAAAGTCATTTTACAAGACTAACGCCTTTGATGTTGTTTCGGAACCTGGCGTGCTCGTGACCTCTGAGTAGTATGCTTTGTCGCTGGGTTCACGGCCCAAGAAGTCACTGAGGCTGTTCAGTTCGGGCTGACTCCCGCCTGGCTGTAGGACAGAGTGGCGATATCGCATACCCACTGCCTTGTCCATGGGGTCTGGTTTGAAGTGGTTAACCCACAAGTCAGTTGCATATACCTTGGATCTACCAATTATTAGTAAACGAGACATTGGGTATGGGGCAAACCTACAGAGCGTATGTGAAATATGCAGTATCATACCCCCGGAATGGGTGCGCAAAAGAAGCCTGACCGATTGAATCCGCACGTCCGAGGCCCATGATCTCCGTTTTGCTCTCGTTCCAAAGCTTCGTTGTATCTACAGGATGACCCTCTGGGGCATTATGAATCGTGAGATCAAATAGCGCTAGGAACACCTGATGAAGCATCGCATGCGCACCATTGACGTGCTTTGTCTTTGCAAGATCAAGCGTCAACCGCTCTGGCAATGACTCCTCTGGCCTTTGCGCTGCATCTTCCTTCTGTGTCTTCCAAAAGTCGAGATACTCGTCGCTTAGATAGCTGTAGTGCTTGCCGAGTCGGCGGAGCACGGAGGGGACCCATATCCAGTTCTCGAGGAGGATGCTGGGGATCTCAACGAAGTCTCGCGAGCAGCCGTGTTGGTTCTGGGTGCGGGTCACGAGTTTGTGGATGGCGTGGCCGAGCTCGTGGAACATGGTTTTGAGCTCGGAATGTAAGAGGAGGGTTGGGCGCTGGGGAGTGTGAAGAAGAGATGTTATGAGGGATGATGAAGGGTGGTGACGTTTGTTATCTGATGTTAAGAAACCCTGTATGTTGTTAGCACGCGGTTGCTTTAGGGTGAAGGTGACTTACGGGTTGGATGAGAGAGCTATGTGCGCCGGCGTATTTACCCTCTCGTGCGTAGAGATCAAGGTAGAGATATCCAAGGAACTCACCACCTTGGTCCCCGGAGTTCCACGCTTCGTAGACATTAACATCCTTCTGCCACACTGGTGCGTCAGTCGGAATGAAGACCATGCCGAATATCTCTTCGAAGATTTGAAGCATGCCCTTAAGACTATAGTTAACTTCAAAGTACTCCGATATGAGAAGCGAATCCACAGAGTATCTCTCCTTCTCGAGGATCCGCGAATAAAACGCCCAGTCCCATGCATTGAGCCTCTTCGTGTCATCCTCATCTTCATCAGTGCCGTGCTCTTGTATGTAAGCCTTCTTGATCTCGAACAGAGTCTTCATCTCTTCATCTGCAAGAGGCTTCAACTCCGTCCTCAGCTTATTTAACATCGAGATCACACTTTCCACGCTCTTAGCCATCTTATCCTCCATTTTAAGCTCAGCATGGGTCTTGAACCCAAGCATTCGCGCTGTACTATTGCGCAGCTCGACGGCGCGCTCAAGCCGGGTGACGTTCTCGGGGAAGCGGCTCTCCTTTGCGATGTGATATGTCTTGCGTGTTTGAGGACTGGTCGCGTGTTTCATTATGGAGATTAGGTGGCCCTTCTTGAAGGTTGCTCTGAGCTGGGTGCCGTCCTCGCTAGGCTTCATGGCGTCGAGGATGGAGGACGGCACACCATGAAGTTGGGAGCGCGTGAAGAAGATGCCCTCGTCTGATTCGCTGATGAGTTTGCGGGCTGCGACGAGGACTTCATTTCGCTCTTGCACGGCGGCCATGTACTGCTCTCTCAACGCCTCATCTTCAATCCCAGCGCCCGTATTCTGATAAGCTCTGTGTGTTTTGAAGAGCGTATACGCATTCTCATCATGCAGCACCTCTTCGCCACGTTGATCCTTCTCATACACAGCTTTCACAAGAGCTGCGATATCTTTGCGCATAAGACCTGTCGCATTTGCCTTGAGGAGCATCTCTTCTGCCGTACGGGAAGCATCACGTAGCTCTTTGTCTTCAGAGTTAGAGCTAAAGAGGCGAATGATGAGCGTTTCCTTAGACACAGCGTGGTCATCTTTAAGCATAGGCTTAATGAGTGTTGAGAAATTCGCCGTTGAAGGTGTGAGTGAAGAGACGAGGGAGTCTTCGAGAGCGGTGGTGGAGGCGATGAGGGAACTTGTTTGGGCGAGAATTGCGGAGGGTGTGGTTGAGAATGAGGGGGGAGGTTGGGGAGGGGTTTTCGGAGGAGGCATGATGTGTATTTTTCGAATTGGTGAGAATAAAGAAAAGACTCGTTGATGCTTGTAAATGAGCGTGCGCGTTGTGAATCTCATCAGGATGTGAGGTTGGAGATGTTGAGGTGGAGGAGCGAAGCTGTGGGGCTTATGTTTTGGTGAAGGTCTCCGTACCTTAGGTAGGCAAAGAAAGAAATCTGGCGATAGTTGATCACGCTATGCAGATGATGAAGAGTTATCAGGCCTATAGCAATTAAGTTATTCTTACTGGATCTATTGAAGAGTATTGCAATGACACAATTTGACCAGATTTCATCAAAGCTCATGATCTAATTGTTATTCACCCAGTTGTATCTCTACCCTGTACCAATATTGAGATCTCATGTCAACATCAGTAAAACATAAATGCGTTGATATGTGCCCGGCAACAGTTAATAGTTATTTTCCTTATAAGTGTGTTATTGATATCTTATATTATTTATATCGTGGATCATGGTAACTGGCGACTTTTCTCAACCACAACGCCTCCTCTGCTTATAGACTAACGTTTAGTGCTATGTGCATCTTTCCTCAAAAACACTCAGATCCTCACTACATGACCAACACATTTCGGAATCGAGGCTTGCCCGCAACAAGGCTGTCAACCGCCTCTTGCACCTTAGCAAAAGGATACTTCTCAACCATGCATTTAACATCATGAGTCATGGAGAATCGGAGAGCCTCCTCGGCATCAAGGGCGTGGCCACTGGGCCAGCCAACGACGCTAGCGCCCTTCATAACCAAAGGCACGATATCGATCTCTGTAGGGCCTGTAGGGGCAAGGCTGAGTAATTTGCCCTCGGGAGCGAGACCATTGACGAGTGGTGAAACAGCCTTGGGGTTGGGTGCGGTCTGGACAATAATGGCGGCACCACCGAGCTTGTTGAGCTCTTCAGCTGGGTCGCTCTTCTTGGTGTTGATGTAGTGGTGAGCGCCGAGCTTCTTGGCAAAGTCGGCCTTGTCGTCGCCTGATGAGAGGACGGCGACTTCGTAGCCCATCTTGAAGGCATATTGAACAGCGAGATGGCCTAGACCGCCCAGACCTTGAACTGCGACGAGGTTGCCCTGCTCAACATGCATCTTGCGAATGCCATTAAAAACAGTGACACCAGCGCAGAGAAGAGGAGCAGCCTCGGCAGGATCGAGCTCTTTGGGGACACGGACAGCAGCTTCTGAGCGAAGAAGAACATACTCAGCAAATCCACCATCTTGGCTAACACCGTTGATGGCCTTGTTATCGCACATTTGGAACTGAGCCCTCTGGCACTGTCGACAAGTTCGGTCATGACCACCGTGCCAGGGTCCACCAACGCGGTCGCCGTTCTGGAAGCGGGATACACCCTCACCAATCTCAACTACCTCGCCGATGATTTCATGGCCAGGAACTCGAGGGAAAACGTCGCCCATGTGGCCGCCTCCAGTGGCTACGTCAGAGAAGCAGACACCGCAGGCGAGGACTTTGACGAGAATTTGACCATTGGAGGGGTGCTTGAGGGGCACGTCGCGGAGCTCCCAGGGAGCATTGGCCTTGTCGAGGACGCAGGCCTTGTAAGTTTGGGGAAGAGAAGACATTGTGTTTGATGGATTGAGTCAATTGGATGTATTAGATGGAGTATAATGCAGTGTGATGAGTCTATTCAGAATCTCTCAACGAGGGGATCAACTCAACTTATATAACTGGACTTGGAATTGAGACATGCTGGATTGTGGACTTCTTGCAAGCGGCAGTTAACTCAATTCATTTTTTAAGTCCGAAACTATCTCGATGATTGCAGCCATTGATACGGAATAAGCTTCAATCTGGCCAAGGTCCGACTGCTATTGGACATATGATGCGTTCATGGCGTCTGTGATTACATCACTATCTCCGGCGCACAGGAGAACTGCCGGTGCAGTGGTGTTTACTAATTATTATCTCGGAAATGTGACAAAGCCGTAACAAAGAGGTCGGACTTGTATTGAGGAGATGTTCCAAAACCGATGGTAGCTGATTGGACAAGAAGTTAATCCGTTTGAGTGTTGATCCGTTCCCGTCGTGCTATCGATAGTGAAAGCCACACGCACCGCCACATCTAGAAAATTTCCCCCACCATCAATCAGTGTAGCTTTTTGGTGATGCGCTACCATGCTCTGAATTGAAGCTCATCCATCCCATCCCATCCCTAGCAAACCATGCCTCTCGACACCTCAACATACTCATTAGCGCTCCTGCGCGTCGACGGTCGAAGATGGAACGAACTCCGTCGTCTTCACGCCCAGATCAGAACTCAGGATGCTGCCGACGGCTCATCATATCTTGAAATGGGCCACACCAAAGTCATGTGTATCGTGACTGGTCCTTCGGAACAGCAGCAGCAAAGACGTGGTGGACAGCAAGCTCCTCGCGACACGGCCGCGATCAATGTCAATGTTGTGGTGGCGGGCTTCTCAAGCGTGGATCGCAAGAAGAGAGGGCGCAATGACAAGTGAGCTTTTCGCCATGACGATTGTGTTTGGTGGTGCTAATTAGTTGCAGGCGCATACAGGAGATTGAAGTTACAATCGCCAATGCTTTGTCGTCGAACCTACACACACACCTATTCCCTCATTCTTCGATCACGATCTCTCTCCACGTTCTCTCCCAAGACGGCTCTCTCCTCGCCGCTCTCCTCAACGCTACGACCCTCGCTCTCATCGATGCCGGTATTCCCATGACAGACTACATCGCCGCTTGCACAGCTGGCTCGACGTCTACATACGCCGCTGGAGACGACACCGCCGACCCCCTACTCGACTTGAACAACCAAGAGGAGCAGGAGCTTCCGTTCCTGACCGTTGCGACGCTCGGCGACACTGATCGTGTGGCTGTACTTAACTGCGAGAGTCGTGTGCAGGTTAGCAGATTGGAGGGTATGTTGGTGGTGGGCGTGGATGGATGTAAGCAGGTGAAGCAGTTCTTGGACCAGGTTGTAAAGGATAAGGGTGCAGAGATGGTCAAGGAGGGTGCTGTTCAGAGAAGTGATGCGATGGGCATGGATGTGGACGAGTAGATATTGATACCAGGATTTGCATTGGGTCAGAATACACATTTGGAGTTCTTTGTTTGATCTGCTAGTTATACTACAGGTATGTCTCCACCGCTATCATAAGATTCATAGTGTCAGACTAATTGTAAGATTTGAAGACAAGATGTCTTTACAGCTCCTCGTGCTTGATCTCCTCCTTGGTCTTGGGCTCAGCCTCTGACTCGGCTACAGGCTGAGCTTCAGGCTGAGCAGTCTCGTGGGTCTCGACCTCGGTTTCAGTCTGAGTCTCGTACTCAATCTCAGTCTCAATGATGGTCTTGGTCTCCTCAGAGCCGTCGGGGTCGGTGCGGGTCTCGTACTCGATCTCAGTTTCGGTCTCGATGATAGTCTTAACCACCTCAGGGCCATCAGTCTCAACCTCAGGCTCGGGGTCGGTAGCCTGAGTGGGCTCTTCCTTGGTAGACTCGGTCTTATCGACGACTACACCCTCAGGGATCTTCTGCTTGGCACCCTCGCCCATACGGATAGCGTCAATCCAGCTCTCAACGCTGGAAAGGCTGAAGTCACCTTCGTACTGGCGCCACCAGTTTCGGCGGGTGTTGATGGCGATTAGGTTGACCTCGTTCTTAAGTCCAAGCGCCTTAGGCAGGGTAGCAGCGGCGTCGCTATCGCTGGGGATAGCGATGAAGGGGAAAGTGTTTCGACCACCGTGGACGTACTTGGTGTTGAGATGAGAGAGCGACTCAACAGCCTTCTCACCAGCCTCACCCGGAGTGAAGACAATGACACAGGTGTGAGACTTGGGGGCAAGGCACTGCTCAGTGAGCTGCTCCGTGCTAGTGACAATAGTGACGGGGATGATAGAGGGGGTCGCAGACTCGGCAGTTGAAGCCTTTGACTCAGCGGTAGACTCCTCCTTGGGAGCTTCAGTAGACTTGTTCTTCTTGGCGCTCTTGGTGTTGTCCTTCTTAGCCTTGGTGCTCTTAGTGCTGCCAGAAGCGTGAACAGGGTTGGGCTGTCCGGCCTGAGTGAGGAACTTGATCATATCCTTCTTGACCAGCTCGCCATCGTAGACAATGGGATCATTGCCTTCGCCGGGGATGAGGACAAGAGCGGGAAACTTCTCAACAGCAAACTTCTTAACAGCAGCCGTATCCTTATCACGAATCTGAGCAATAGAGATGACATCAAGGAAGTCAATGGCGATGCTTCGTAGCAGGGCACTGGTGGTACCCTTCTGAGTGAAGAGAATAGCCTTGGGCTTATCACCCTTGAGGAAGGAGTCCAGGTCCTTGTCGCTCACCCTTTTGACGTGGTTGTTGATCTTGCTCATGACAGCCTCCTGGATAGCACCGGCATTTCGCTGGCCCTGGTAGTCCTCAACAACGGGCTTGCCGGACTTCTTACCAGGACGGACGATCTTGAGTGTAGGGAAGCCCTGAACACCCATGGAGCCACAAAACTGCTTGTTGACCTCTTCATCACAGTCAATGGCAGCAACCTGGGCAAGACCATCCAGGTTCTTGGCAGCCTTTTCGTAGGCGGGCTTGAGGTTCTGGCAGTGGCCACACCAAGGAGCGTAGAACTCGACGATCTAATGGGTGTAAGTGGCGAGCGCTGGACAGGAATGAAGGATGACTTACCGAGGTGTAGTTTGACTTTGCAATGAGCTTGTCGTAGTTGCGGGCGTTCACCTGCAGAACGGGAGAGTTCTTGGTATAGATGGCAGCTTGAGCCTCGGGCAGAGCCGCAAGGGCTGCTGTCAGCGTCACCAAGAGAGAGGTGGGGTTATGCATTTCTGTAGACTTTAATGGCAAGACAGAAAATGAAAAGATAATATGTATTCGAGTTGGTGAGAAAAAAGAGTGAGTCTCTTTTCTACCTGGCTCAATGACAAATACTCCGTATTACTCGTGCGTCAAGAACAAAGTGGCATCTTCGAAAAAGGAAAAAAGCCACGGTGACAGAGCTTGAAAGTGAAGCCAGGGTCTCTGATTCGACGGTGAGCTCGAGCCATTTGTGGCGTGAGCTGGCCGAATCCGGGGTAACCATGTGGCTGGAGATAACCGCTAAGCTGTTACGTCAATCCCTAGGCAGACAGAAGAGGAGGAGGTGGTGGGGTTGGCTATCTCCAAGACATCTTGGAATTGGTCTCACTTGCGCCATCTCAACTCATTCACCATTCTGCAGCGATTAAGACTCGTGTCCAGTCTGGAACTACTTGCGCGCTTTCAGACATTACAACAAAATGGCCGAGCCCCTTCCAGCAGCGCTCAAGATCCCTGAAGTGAGCCGCTTCATCAATCGCGCAAATCAGCTGAGGAGCATCAAGCCCGCCATCGCATACTGGTGTAGGCAACCGCCACGAGCCCTTTCAACAAGGACAATTACTGATCCTATTTTATTTTAGGTGAATATCATGCGGTCAATCAGATCGTAGGCAAAAGTCTACACACCACAGACGACGATACCTTTGAGTTCACAAAGACGTTGATCGAGCGCCTCGAAGCGACAAAGACCGAACGTGCTGATGACGATGCGATTATCGATAATGCTGCCGGCCAGGCCTACGTTGAGCAGTTTGCCCAGCAAACCTTTGACCGTGCCGAGCGCGCTCTGCGCGCCGATAAGGTAACAAGGTGCGTCGTTTCCTAATTGAGGCTTCTGTGTATGCGGTCCTAACTGGCTCTAGACAAACCGCCGATACATTCGACGCTGCTGCTACTTTCTTCGATCTTACTCGCGAATGGGGTGAGCCTGAGCCAGAAGTCGTCAAGAAGATCAAGTTCGCCAAATGGAATGCGGCGCGAATCCTCAAGGCTATCCGCGAGGGAAGAGATCCCAACGAGTCGAACCCAAAGGCTCCCGAGCCTGAACCAGAGGTTGCTCTGGATCCATCCGATCCTGAGGTCCAGATGTTCTCAGGGCCTCCCCGCGCTTCGGTGGAGGATGCATCGGACACTGGGGACCTTCCAAGTGTGCCTACCTTTACAGATGCGCCGCCAAAGATTCCAGATGATCCAGGGTATTTCCCTCCTCAGCATGGAGATCAGGGGCAGGCGTCAGAGCCATTCGTCCCATCGCCTATGAGCCAGAGTCCTACGCCAGGACTGTCTGGCGGTCCCCCTCCTCCACCGCCAGTTGGTATGCCGCCTGTTGTGTCTCCCGCGACACAGATTCCACCCCAGCCGTCACCTCAGATCCCTACAAAGCTTCCCTCGCAATACGCTCCTCCAACTCCGCAGCCATTCTCCGACCCCTCGGCACCTCCATCCTGGACAACAACGCCAAGCGCGTCTCATCCGGCTGCTTCAAACCCTCAACCCGCTGTTCCCCAGGCTCCAGCACCTCAGCCTCCAGCACCTGCTCCGGTGCAAAGCGCAGGTCTTGCGACAGACCATCGGGATATCAACCAGGCGCAGAAGCACGCCAAGTGGGCGATATCGGCACTGAACTTTGAGGATGTGCCCACAGCAGTCCAGGAGCTGCGAAATGCGCTTGCAATGCTTGGAGCTAGCTGATAGTTGGAATGTTAGTGTTTTGGTTCTGCGATAGATAAGATGGACGATACCACGAGTTGAAGTAGCATTGTGAAGATTTCATAGTGATTCATTCTATGAATATGGCTAAGAGGATAAGTGCTATCTGTTGTATAACCAGTATAAAAACCGTGCTTGTCGTAAACTCATCTAATAAGAAATTACTCGTCTGTATCGTGCAGGATTAGGCCCATGGTGGCGAATCCTCTTCATATCCGGGATAAGGGAGCCCCTCGGGGTAAGGCTTCTCCCCCTGGGCTTGGTCTTCTTCGCCGTCTGATGCATCTGTCCATCCTCTTTTAGGACCCCATTCGATGCTAAGACCAGCCTCTTCCACGATCTTCATAAGTCCTTGCATCATATCCCCGGACTTCTTCACGCTGGTCCAGCCGTCGAACTGAATGGTGTGGACAGAAGGTAGTGCTTCCAACACATCGTTAAGCAGGTTCCGGCTGAACCCCTCGTAAAACCCATCTGAGCGGCGCCAACCTTGAAAGATATTATCACTGGGGTCGCATTCGACAAAGACGTTCAAGCGCTCGACCTCAACACAGTCAGCAAGTCCAAGCGCCGGATTCACAACCCATCCTCGAGGCGGCGCATTCCATCCTGGTCCAAGGCGCAATTCTAGAGACGTAACGTATCGACGTTGTTGCTGCTTCAATCGCGCCAACAAGGGCTTCTTGGTTTTGAAGTACTTGCCAGGGTACGTGGGAAATAACCGAAATGTTCGTGTGCTGTAGAAAGCGAAGGTCGCCTCATCATGAACTTGTCTGCACACTCGCATGAGGCCTAGCTTCTTGTGTATGAGTTTGTAATTGTTAGGGTTGAGATCCAGAAGAGTTGGAATGTCGTCGAAGAAATATGTGTAGATCTGTATGCGCACTTCGGCGGGAAGAGAGAGAAAGTGGAATGGTGATGCAGGCACCCGGCGCTTCGGCTTATTGAAAGGTATGAGAGGGACGTCGATGGTAAGGTCGGCGAGGCTGAGTTTGTTCACATCCTCTTCGGTAACGGCATCAGAAGGCGGGGGATTCGCAGGTGCTTGGCTCGGGGTAGGCATCACGATGCGTATTGAGCTCGCTGTTCGAGTCGCTGGCCGAGCGGCCGAGCTTTTGCTCGATCGTCTTGCCATGGTGTATGCGTTGTGAACGTGATTAGGTTCGAAGTGGCGAAGAGAATGATTTCTGTCGATAATAGCTGAAATGAATGAGAGTTTGAATCACAGCGCGGTGATAAAGAGGGGTGATTGCGAGTTAATTGATCGTCACGATGTCGTATCTATATTCAAGGCATGAGAGTTATCATGAGGGTGGGTGTCATGGCGGTAATAATCGACGAAACCCTCAAACGGCGCAAGCGGCATCCATTGTAGTCTCGGGTAGCTAATTGGACTAAATAGGCGACACTCGGAGAATTGAGTTAGGATTGTGGCGAATTGTATAGCAAATTTTATCTATGCTTGGAAATTGTTCGAAGGAAGCTGAAAAGATAAATATCGGAATGAATAAGATATCAGCTGAATTGATTGTGCTGTCACGGTTTAATGGAATGTCTTGAATGCTCACAGAAACTCAACGGTCTTGACTGGATGACGAACATGATAGAGGGGTCGTCGTAGAAGGGCCTCATGATCGGAGCGTGACCGGAAGATCGTCACGTGAAGACGCTCAGTCGGGACGAAGTTAATGACGCCATCGGTTTATCTAAAGTCCGCCCCTCCATACAGCGGCTAATCCACGCTTGGACTCAATGAAGCTCCACCCCAGCAGAACCGTGCGATTTTTTTTCCATGGCCGACGGCGCGATACTATGGCGGAGCATCAGACCAACTTCGTCAAGCTTCACGTCAGTACCCTAGGCCATTGAAGCTCGACTCTTCACCACCGACAACCACCAAGAATTGCTCCAATCCTAGCGGTATCACCTCTCCACTTTCGCTATGCTGTCTAGAGTAGCCCAGGCTTCGCGCTTGGGCTTGATGACAGCTCGTCTGTCACGGCCCGTCGCATCTCCAACCTTCCGAGCCATTCCTGCTACTGCTCCGCAATTTGCCTCACCATGGCTCCGATCTTACTCCAAGCGCTCGTCCGGTCAACCGCCAAAAGATTCGAAGAAGAAGCCAGCAGCAGCACAAAATGATGCCGAATCTGCAAAGACTCCAGAGCAGCCCGCCGCGAATGACGTTAACAAGGCTGACGAGCAGTCTCCCGAGGCTCCCAAGGAAGGGGAGCAAATACCTTTCCACAAGCTCCCTGATCTGACCCAGGGTATTCCTTCGACGCTTTTTGAAGAGATGGGAGGTGACAAGAAGAAGGAGCAGCAGGCGCTACAGGAGATGGAGGAGGCTGAGTCGACTGGTGGACGGGACCGATCGGAATATGTTTCGACAACTGAGCGTAACCGCAAGTGGTGGACAAGATTCGCACTTGTTACGGCAGCTGCCGGTGGTACTCTGAGCATCTTATACATGGGCCGCAACTGGGAGGATACCATTGAGGCCGAGCGTCATTCTGATATTCCTAATGGTCCTTCTCCTAGCTTGTGGTGGAAGCGTGCCAAGGCCCGTATGACCGAGTCTGTCACTTACTACAAGGAGCCTGCGTTCGAGAAGCTACTGCCCGACCCCGACCCTACTTTCGAGCGCCCTTATACTCTCTGTCTCAGCTTGGATGACCTGCTCATTCACAGCGAGTGGAGCCGTGAGCACGGCTGGAGAATCGCCAAGCGACCTGGTGTGGACTACTTTATCCGATATCTGAGCCAGTACTACGAGCTGGTGCTCTTTACTTCTGTCCCTTACGCTACCGGTGAACCTATTATGAGGAAATTGGACCCCTTCCGTTTGATCTTGTGGCCTCTTTACCGAGAGGCTACCAAGTTCGAGGACGGAGAGATTGTCAAGGTAAGACTGTTTCGCCACGACTTTATAACATGTGCTGACTGTTCAGGACCTCTCCTACCTCAACCGTGACCTGTCCAAGGTGATCATTATCGACAGCAACGCCAAGCACGTCCGCAACCAGCCCGAGAACGCCATCGTCCTTGATCCTTGGAAGGGTGACCGAAACGACAAGGAGCTTGTCAACCTCATTCCCTTCCTCGAGTACATCCACACTATGCAGTACGACGACGTCAGAAAGGTCATCAAGTCCTTCGATGGCAAGCACATCCCCACCGAGTTCGCCCGCCGTGAAGCTATCGCCCGTAAGGAGTTCCAAGCCAAGCAACTCGCCCACAAGCACAAGCACGGCTCTGGTGTCGGAGCCCTGGGTAACCTTCTCGGTCTCAACCCTAGCAACATGAGCATGATGGTGTCCCCCGATGGCGAGCAGAACCCCGCCGAGGCCTTCGCGCAGGGTAAGATGTTGCAGGATGTCGCTCGTGAGCGCGGTCAGAGGAACTACATGGAGCTCGAGAAGCAGATCCGCGAGAACGGAGAGAAGTGGCTGAAGGAGGAGGCTGCCATGATGGAGGCGGCCCAGAAGGAGGCTATGCACAGCATGATGGGTTCTTTCTCCGGCATGTTCGGTGGCGGTGACCCTCCTGAGAAGAAGGCTTAAGCGGGGTGATCAGCGAGGTGCAAGCACATCTCCACTAATTAATGTCTTTGTAATTTTTTACGACGGGTTGGAAAGGCCTGTTACCATATCATCTTCAGATTGGGAGAGGGTCTATAGAAAAGCATAACGCATGAGGTGGTCCTTTACGATTTGGGCATGGGTTGGATGTAGGGTTTGAACTGTAAGAGACGAGGGAAGGGACTTTGTATATTAGGTGTTTGACGGGGATGGTTATGTAACAACATGATGTGAAAAGTAAAAGTTACGAGTTTATCTGATTTGGAGCTAATACGTGTTCAATTTTGATACTTATGTACCGAACTAGGTATGCATGATTACTCGGAGCAACCCCTATGTTGGCCTCGGGAGAAATAAAACACCAGACGTGAAAATTGCTACGTACTAGACTATTTAGCTAGAGTTTTAACTATAATTTCAAAGTGATAATGTAAAAATGTTAAGACTTTAGAAGAATTTCATTCATAATTATGGTGTAATATAATAGAAAATAATAATTTTACCTCAAACTATTATACTCAATTAAAGTTGTCTTCAGGCCAGTTTCCTGAACACTAATGGGCCAGACAGACGCCGAAGCCATGAGGGTTTCCCACAAGTTCGTTAACAAAGTTTAACACATAACTATTTCTGTCCACAAACAACCGTTCATGTAACTAAAAGTGCTCTTCCTTCCGAAACGCACTTCACAAATCCCAACTTGGTCATACCTTTCTGCTTTCCAACATGTGTTTCCAGTGGCTATTCTACATCGCCAAGAAGGCTCATCTGACGGCACGCATTTTCACTGATGAGATTTGAAATCTGCTGAGTCAGGTCCGTCCGCAGCCTTGGAAGCCGAAGCCTGGACAGCTTCCCCCTATGGCCGTAGGGAAAACAACAACGTCTTTTTATAGGTAGTGAGTGGTAAGGACTGTAACTGTGTCTTGAAGTTGGCGTCTGTGCTGGCACTGATATATGAGTAGCACTGATGGAAAGAGGATACTTACTAAACGCGATCTGGTTCTTGAACGACAGTCATCTCGGGCATGGGGCGGTGATAGTTTGGGTAATGAGTCCATTACAGTCACTGACATTTGGGAAAGCTTCCACTTCCAGGGCACTGTACCCATGGCGCTTCGAAGTACTCTTTTGGTTCTGTCACATGCAAACACGGAGTTGGCGAAATTCATAATTACCCTATTCCAAAGAGTCACTCTATGTAACAAAATCAACGAACAATAGAGTCTATTCTTGAAACAGTGTCCCCCAGCAACAAGCCTTTAAGCCAAATCGTGAATCGCTCTCTCAAACAGACCTGCGATGAGCGCGTGAACCTCCTTTACAGGATGATATGAGTCAAAGAATATGTGTTTCTCAGGGTCACTGCACAAGTGCCTTGGGACACCCTCGCTCGTGTAGACACCTGTGAGACAAGCTGTAGGCGGGTTCACATATTGCTTCTTGATACCATAGGCTTGCGGGTTGGAGGTGATGGCCTGGAATAAACCTCCTACGTCTACCACGGCAGTCTTCGCATATGCTGAATATGCAGCAGCGATGTTCTTCAATCCCTGGGTCAGATCGGTGTTGTAGACTTCTACACTAGGGATGTTGTAATCAGAAGAGTTGTATGTTGCCGGGAAGGATGTGATCTTGAGGTAGTTTGCCAGAATGATATTCTTTGCGCCTGAGAGCAAGTAAGCGAGCTGATAAGGATCTAAATTGTTAGGCCAAGGGAAGCTTACCGGCTTGATATAACCGATTGACGTTCTCATTGACCAAGCTAGTGACCTGTCCGCCTGTAATGCTGGTATTGAAGAGGATATCATTGGCGCCGATCCAGTGGACGAAGATGTCTCCAAGCTGAGGCTTATCCCGGGTCAAGAATGAAGAGACCTGGTCTGCAGCCGATGGAACAGCGATAGTCGAGTCAGCGCCTGTGCCTCCAGCGACGAAATCGTTGTTGGCCGTCGCTCCACCAGCTGCAAGATTGATAAGCTTGAGGTCAAGATCCTTCGCCACTACATCATTCCATTTAGGTCCATTCCTGGGATCAAATCAGTACACGATGGTCTCTTAGGAACACACAGAACATACGAGAATGAATGGCCGTAATAGGCCGGGTCTGCCGGCCAGGATCCCTTGCTGGCTACCCACGAACCATTTCCATTGTCGCTGAAACTATCGCCAAAAACAATCAGGCGCGAGAATTTGACATCAGAGCGATCGGCGACGGGAAGTGCGTATGCCAAAGAACTGACACATAGCCAGTTCACCCAAGTGCTCAACATTTTGAGGATTAACGTCAAGTGTTGTGAAGGGGTAAGATTGTGAAGCGAAACTTAACCTCGGCAAAAATCCACTGTGGATGGATATGTCTTATAGTCATATAGTACACGATGAAATGCCACAGCGTCATTCCGCCAATATTTTTTTCATTTGATAGGCTCAATGAAAGGATGAGTGTTACTTACTCCGCAATCCTTCAACTTTGTATTATCGTGCATTTATAAGCACTATTCTTTGCTTGTGTAACCGGGATGCTCGGTACATGAGATTACCTCAGACACTACTAACTAGTCAAATCATGATAATAAGCACTATGTTCGAGTTAGTTGAGACAATCGTCGGGGTCCAAAAGCTTGCTTATTGAGTGACATCCGAAGTCCGCTGAATACGTGGTATTAAAATCTCTAACGCCAGGACTGAAGAACAAGACGTCATATTTAATTCTCACATCAGACTCCCACCTCTAATGAAGTTAACAAGTAGTGACTGAGTCTCCTTATCCATCACCATAATCTCCATATGAGTAGCATGCTGTGAATTTGTTGTTGTTAGACTAGAGCTTCCAGACATGGTCTTTGAACTCTTCCCAACCAAGGCACAAATATCAATGAGCTTCTCACGCATCGTATTGATTGTCGCGGGTAAATGCCGTGGAGGATCCATACTTGCTCCTTCACCCATAGCCCCTCCAATCTTGATAAAGATACGCTCTAACGTTAGAGTGAAATCGCGAACACCCACGAAGAGGTTGGGGTCCCACAAAGTAGGGTGTGTAACCAGCAATCGCGCGAACATCTCAACGCAGTGGACGATTTGGATCCAGTAAGTATAGGGCATTGATAAGATAGTTGAAGCTGAGAGGAGTAGAAATTTCTCGATAACAGCCTTAACGGCGCTGAGGCCTGACACGACAAGATATGAATATCGTAATGTGGGAGAAGAGGGATCGGATGCTTCAGATATTAGGCGGAGTTGTTTGTCTACGCCGAATTTGTACACAAACGCTTGTAGCATGTGAAAAGACATCGCTAGGGGCGCTATTGCTAGTTAGGTTTCTAGTCAGAATAAGAGTGTGTCTGGTAGTCATACCTTGTAGAGAAGATTCCTGACGTAGAGTGGTCCCTAGTTCCTGAACTTGTCGTTCCACTTGTGAGGTCTCCATGAAAAATCGCTGCGAGGTTTGGCACTTATTATTTGAACTTCCATCTAATATTGAGTTGCTCGAATTGTAAATTTCTTGAATTCTCACCAACTGAACAAGGTAGGTATCCCAAGGAGATTCCATTGCTGCTTGGAGATAAGAGCAGCTGTCGTTGATGTATGGCTTTGTCGGCATGGGAACTGTGTACTTGGCGCAAGAATTCAATCTGAAATCCAGGTTAACGCTTAGGAAAGTGGTGTAAGATCCACTGATGCTCACGTTGAGTTCAACCAGAATACTCCCAAGTAACACCTTCGCCCATCATTAGTTCTGAGAGGCTGGTGTTCACGATTCTTTGAAGCTTCGCCCGGAACTCCATGTGACAGTTTAGCTTCTGAAGAATGTTCTTTGTTGAGGCCGAGTTCGGTAACCAGGGACATGGCCATGTGCATGAGGCTACCAAGTTGGTCCCCAAGCACTGAGTGAGTTTGATTCCTACTAGCACTGTTAGCGTTGAATAAAGAAGGTGGTTAGCAGAACGTTTACCAGACGACGTAAACCATGATTCCTTGTAGAAGCTGTATGCTTTTCTCTGTATGTGTCCATATCTTTCGACCTAATTCCTCACGGTATTGTTGAGATAGCCTCTGTTGCACTTCAATATTATCTTGGCATGTGACAATCATCATAGCCATATAAAGCATAGGGCGTTCCCGGGAAAGCCTTTCGGGGCTTTCATCTTGACTAATCCATACGAATGGAAACAGTGGCATCATTTCTTGACGATATGTCTCGAGCCTTTGTTCGGCTAGAGGATGAGGTTCAGGTGAGAGTGGAAATGTAAACAGTGAGTTTAAGGAAGATGGAGATGCTGATACGGGGCAGGAACTAGATCTTGTATATGAGGAAGCCTTTCTTAGGTGTGATGATTTTGAGACAGGTGGTTCTCTTGACGATAAGAGTGTACTGGAGATTGGATTGCACCTAGAACCTAGTTTTGAAAGTTCGCTGGTAGGGTCAGTCGGGCACGACTTGGTAGCTGGAGTGAGATGTTCAGACCCTCGTTTGTATCGCCCTTTTGAATTACTCGACCGACTATGGCTTCCTCTAGGTTGTGCATGACAATTCTTATGCAGCCGCTCACATCTAATACCAGTTATTAGCAAAACTATATGATGGGTTTGGCTACAACAAACCTTGTACATTGCTTCTGACCCAGTACCATGTCACAACGGACTTTCGCTCTGGCACATACCGTGCATGCTTTTAATCCTCTGATATCCATATCGCTGCTCTTCATACTGTGATGGCCCGTCTTTGTGATTAAACAATTCACCGAGGAAGAGAAGTAGAGGACATCGCGCGTATTGTATGTTTGAATGAATCCTGGTGCGACTCTGAAACGTCATTAAAAGGTTTAGCTTGTGGCGATGCTGCGCCTTGGCGCGAAGGATCAGACTTGCTATATTCAGCCTGTCACCACAGGCTAATCAACTTGTGCTAACTAACGTTAGTACAGTAAAGTATAATAAGATTCGCATTCGGATTCTCTAGCTGAGGATGCGTATGAGAAGAAATTTGGAGATCATGCCGGGGATGACTAGCTGAACTTAGTGAATTATGTTGTGACTATCGGTTTACGAGTTTATCACATGATACATATAAATCGGTATGAGATGTTAATTAGACCTTTGTTCTAGCCTCTCATACTTGATATGATAAAGGACAGGATCCCATACAACTAACACAGCTCTCATGGTTGAGACTGCCTAAGAGGGCTGACAGCGGACAAATATGGCACCGATTGGTTAACTGATGTCTATTGAAGACGCTCGCAACTTCCAGGTTGGGTTTCACAAAAGCACTGCCTCCCCGCCCGAAGGCTTAGGCTACAACTTTCGCACGAAGACATTCGGCCTCGAAAGTAATTTGAAAACAGATCAACTATCGCAAGATGACCGATAAAACGCCTTATAAATATCAGCCACTGGAGACCCCGCTTCACATAAGGCTGATGCATTTACTTCCTGGGAAGCAAGGCGAGAATATCCGTATGCAGATATCACACGTTCTTCTGGAGAAGCCAGCGAACACAGCCCCGAAACGTCTTACCCTGAGACAGCTGAGAAAGACCCTACCTCTCAACTGGGAGGTTGTAGAGACATGGGAAGGACGGTTTATATTCATACATCGGGTTAATGAAGCCGCCGCCACGACGTCAATGTTGACAGATGAAGGAAGCGCGGACAGGATCCGTGGAATGAATCCAGACATAGGCTATTATACCCTTTCTACGTGGATACATCCAAATGCGAGCATGGACCCTGCGACATATGAACTGCCATCTCTACAAGACCAAGCCAACTCAAAGATTGTATTTGAAGCTCTTTCATATGCTTGGGGTGATCAGCACTTCCCTGCGACAGCAACGGTCGAGGATACGGCAGGGAAGCCGATAGGCAGTATCAAACTCGGGGGAAACCTAGCTACAGCCCTAGAGTATCTGCGATACGAACAAGAAACACGCACTCTATGGGTAGACGCTATTTGCATCAACCAAAACGACGAATACGAGAAGTCTGCTCAGGTCCTGCGCATGTCAAGCATATACAGAGACTGTAGCCGTGTCGTGATATGGCTGGGGCCCAAGGAGAAGGACACGGAAGAGCTATTTTCGTCACTAGCACGCGTTGGCAGAAAGGTGGAATGGACTACCAGTGGATTCATAATGGCATCCCCAGACTCGAAAGGTGATGAAGAAACATGGTATCATTATAAGGCCCCAGTTCCATTTTCCGATGATGTTTGGCTAGCCATTGCAACCCTGAGCGAGAGACCTTGGTTCCATCGCGTTTGGACCGTGCAAGAGGCTGTGGTCGCGAATCGGTTCTCCATCGTGCAGAGCAGTGACCTTACAATTTCGTGGCCTCTCTTCCGCCGCGGAACTCTAGGCATGATGGACAAGGAGAATATGCCAAGTTTGCGGATACGATCGCTCATGAAGCATTTCAGAAGCATTACTACCAATCCCTTTGGAGCAACGCTGGCTGATATTTTCAAAGGATATCAGTTTAGACGTTGCTTAGATCCTCATGATAAAGTGTATGGGGTTCTTGCTGTCCTTCCGCCCAGCTTCGTGGCAGCTATGAAGCCCGATTACAAAGAGCCTGTTGAGGATTTGTACAAATTCACTTTCCTAAATAACATTCGAAAGATCCGCCGGTGGGAGATTCGAGGCTGCCCGCGGGACCCTGAGGCTGAAGGATGTCCTTCCTGGGTTCCCGATTTATCTCGTCCTGATCCCGTTAGCAGAAATGCAATGGATAATCTGGCGTCTGGATGTTCCTCTTTGCATTTTGAGTACGAAGCTCCTAGCCTATTAAAGGTAGTAGGTATCCGCTTTGATACAATCAAAACTGTTTCAAAGGAAACTTGCAAGTCTGGGGACGATGGCAAAACTGTTTTGCGGATTATCCGATCTTGGGAGCCCCAGGGTGATCTCAACAAGCCCTATCCTGGTGGGGAGACCTTTCTGGATGCATTTGCAGCCACTATGATCCAAGATTCTCGAAAAGATCGCCGGCCTGCTACACTGTACACGTTTGAAACTATAAAATCAAGGTTCAAGACTGAGCTACTATCAACAGCATCAGATCCAATATCGGAGCTAGATAGCAGAGAGCTAATGCATATTATGATTTGGAATCATTGCCAAGCTAGAACCATGATGGAAACAGAGCGAGGGAGTATTGGCTTGGGCTGCGCCTTTGCAAGACCTGGTAAGTACGATGTTCGAGAAGACTTTACTTCTATACGTGCTGATTCTACTAGGCGATATAATCTGTGTCTTGCTTGGCTGTGACTTTCCAGTCTTACTTCGTCCTTTGGAAAACGACACTTGGAAATACATCAGTGAATGCTATGTATGGGACCTGGAATCCTCGAAAGGTCTTCTAGGTCCACTCCCATCACCTTGGGAAATTCGAATCTTCCACGATCCCACGGACGGAGCACGTTCATACATTCGGTATCTCAACACTATTACATCGGAGATGACTGAAGAAGATCCAAGATTGGGTCCTCTCGAAGGATGGCAGCGTATATCGCGATGGGACCTAGGGCGAGACTTGAATGGTGATGATCCGTTCGTGTGTGATTTCTTCAAAAATGTTGAAGATGGTAGGATAGTTGATTCTGATCCGAGACTTGAACCGGAGGCTCTGAGGGAACGAGGCGTACCGTTGGAGACATTTGTATTAAGTTAGAATCCATATACGTCGGATTGCGTCTGAGTGAGGATAGATGCTTATTGAAATATCAAGATTATATAAAAGCTTAGACTGACTTCGTTGAAGCGCTAACAATGCAAGCTGCTGTTCTCGGAGGAATAGCGCATGTTCGCCTGGACCAACTAGTTAGAATATTGGGAAGGATGAGTACAGAGTTTAGAAAATCGGGATGGCGTTCCGACGACACATCGCACCAAAGCTATGTGTGACAACACAGACACCACCACCTCATATGCAGCCGAGAGTAGCCTTGAGCGTCCCCCACTTGGGATATATCCTCGAACTATTGGGCTGGTACTTATCAACAAGATCAACGTCAATGCAGCAACCGCAGACAATCAGGTAATAATTCTGTGGGGTGGATCACGCGGTACTGGTTGTAAGCACTCTGTCTTTGATTAGGAACGTCGGTGTCGTCTTCCGGCCTCATGCATCTTCGGAAGGTCACACGAGGCTGTAAGAGACTTGGGCCGAGTGACAGTGCTGTCCTGTCTCACGGTGATATATGAGGGATACGTCGTCCTTTAATTCTAGGCTAAGGATATGCCAATTGGACCACCTCATCAAGTAGAACATGCTATCGAGAACCGCCATTCGCCATCATAGGCAGATATTGCCCTTGTCTACCCGCCTTTGTCTTACCTCACCAACAAGAAATGTCACCCATGCGGCCTTCAGACCGCTGAGGCCTGCACAGGCAACTGCGACAGAGGATCCTTCGCCACTCTCGAAAATACCATTGGGTGTACTTGTTCGCTCAGTAGCTCTGACAACAGTGATGGCGAACCGATGGCTATTACGACCTTCGCTAGCATTCATCGCAATGGTCACACAGTCTAACTCTGCGCTATTGAACCCTGACAAGAACCCTGTTCTCAACCGGATTTTACAGTGGACTATCTACAACCATTTCTGTGCCGGTAACAGTATTCCTGAAGTTAGCAACACTGTTCAGTATATCAAGAACCTAGGGTTTCATGGCATCATCCTCGGCTACTCCAAAGATGTCGTCTTGGACCCCAACGTGGAACTTTCACAGACGGGCATAGAGGATTATCCTATTGAGTGTTACAGAATGATCGATGAGTGGAAGAAAGGCAATATTGAGACGCTGAATATGATTGAGGCGGGAGATCTACTAGCAGTCAAGTAAGGAACCCACACTATTCTTGAGTTTGATTCTTAACTGACTCCCCCCAGAGTGACTGGAGCAGGCCCAATCGCCGTAGACGCATTACAAGCTGGCCGCCCTATGAATGAATATCTGCACGCAGCTTTGAACGATATTTGCAACGAGACGCAAAAGAGAGGGTGTCAACTTTGGATTGATGCAGAGCAGCAAGCCATGCAGCCAACACTCGACGACTGGACTATTGTACTCATGCGAGAGCATAACCATGACGGAAACGCTTTGGTTTACAACACTATCCAGGCGTACCTCAAAGGCGCAAGGCAAAACGCGCAACGGCATATTCAATTAGCCGCACAGGAGGGCTGGACCGTCGGCATTAAACTTGTACGCGGTGCTTACATCGAGAATGAGATCAGATCTTTGATCCACGATACGAAAGAGGATACAGATGCTTCATATAACGACATTGCCGACATGTTGATTTCTCAACGCATACCGAACGAAGCTGCGAATCTCAAGTTCCCGGACGCCGCGTTAGTATTGGCTACCCATAACGCGGAGAGTGCACAGAAGGCTCTTAATACTCATCGACGCCGCATAGAGTCTGGCCTTCCTACGGTGCCGATGAAGTGTGCTCAAATTATGGGAATGGCCGATGAGTTGAGTTGCAAGCTGCTGCAGGATTATGAACAGGCTGTTAAGGATGATAGAGTTACTGCTGAGACGCCCAGGATTTACAAGTGTTTGCCTTGGGGTTCTGTGCAAGAGTGTATCAATTATCTCTACAGACGAGCTGTGGAGAATCGTGGTGCTGTTGAAAGGACGCAGCATATGGCTTTGGCCATGAGGCAGGAACTTCGTCGTAGGATACTTGGCTAGATATCTGATAATGGAGATTAATGCTCCGCATATGAATAATTTGGATTTCTACACATGATCTATACAGCATTCCCTTTTTCCACGTAGTGTAATTCATTTGCTTGATCTCTCATGATCCAACTTCGTCAGCAATTCACTTTTGGGCTTCTCATCCGCCCATCGCGTCCGAGGAAGCTCAAACGTGGATGTTATCCGCCCATACGACATACCACCCAGCTGAGCAATAGGCCGTAACTTATCAAGCTCAATATGGCTAAAGTCCTCATTCGCTGCGTCCTCCTGCACCCAAAAACGAGTTGCCTTTATCAAGCAAATTGCCGCACTGCTCATACCCGGCTTGTGGCCTTCAAATTCTTTGATATCGACAACTTTACCCTCTATAGAGAACACGGACTCTTTGACGCGCGATGGCTTTACTGTTGTTGTCGGCGCTTCGGTTAGACCAGTGATATCCCATTCTGATATTCCGAAAGGGGCGTCAATTGAGGAAGCGCTGACTGCCTCGATCATGTTCTCGGATACGGTATTGATTACGCATTCGCCTGTATCTTTTAGATTCTGGTATGTATCTTTTACCGGCCCGTGTCGTGAGGAGAAGCTGACGATGAACATGGGCGGGTCATGGTCGACGACTTGGAAATAACTGAATGGCGAAAGATTCTTTGTTTTTCCGTCGGCAGAAATAGTGCTGATGAATCCAATGGGACGAGGTGCAATTCCAGATATTAAGAGGCGGTAGTTTTGGCTGATAGATCTATCTGATGAATAAGGGTCGATCTCGTGGTGGCTAGCAACGGGAGAACTAGCGTGGACACCATCTCCATAGGACCACGAAGGGTTAGGCGATTTCGTTATCTCAATGGGTTTACCAGAGTGATCAAAATCAGGCCTATTGGCTATGGTCTCTTCGAAGCCGTCGACTGGCTGCACCGCTGAAAACGCAGGCTTAGCTGCAGCTGCAGCAGATGTCGAGTTCATCCTCATTCCGGAAAGTGATATGTTTGCTATCAGGCATTTGCGTGCATGCAGTAGCTTTGATAGCCTGTGAAACATCAGCATCAGATTGGCTGTCGTAAGTGACGATCACTTGTACCGAGATAGGCTCAACTTACGCTTGTGCGGGGCCCCTGTTCAACATTGTTCGGTGGTTGTCGACCTCGTGAGTCTTTCTCAGTGGAAATGCCCGGGCTGTTATACCGACTCTACCTACTAAAATATGCAGCTATGGCGTTGCAAGGGCGCGTGATAAGGTTTGGTAGTCGGAATGGTGTTCCGGTCTAGCGACTGCGTCCGATAGCGCACGCCAAAGCCGCTGATAAGCTTTAGTACGAGTCAGGCCCGGGATGATATTCCAGCTAAACACTTAAGTCGGAACAGCACCCCGACCTCTTCATTGTTCATCCGCTGTATGTATCACGCTGAGAATTGAGTGTCCTTTCTGTAACTATGACGACCACCCAATACCGAGTTACCAAGAAATGTAACAAAGCGTAGGTCAGCCTTATCCCGTGCCAAGCCGATCATCGGACTTCAACTAATCGTCGTCATCAAGTTGTAAACGATGCCGGTCTATGAAAGTCAAGTGCTCCGGGGCACAGCCTTGTGCGAGATGTGGTCGGAAGAATGAGAGATGCATATACGATGCTGATGAGAAAAAAGTCTCTGTTCCTGAGAGGTGGGTTTTGTCTGTCATGTTCAACTGCATCCTGGCTCACGGCATATATCAGCTATCTCCGGGCTTTAGAACGGCGGCAAGATGGACTTCCGTCTCCTGGATCACTTCGGGATGGTATCAGAGCTCGTCCTAGACACTCTTCTGTATCTGACTTCAGTATCTCGGCGGGTATTCATCATGATACATCAGTGGTGGAGGCTGATGGAGGTGAGTACACATAGGTCCAACTTGCAACACCCACTAATGCAAAGACATCCCAGATCTCATTCTCGGAACACCTGAGGAGCAGGACGAGGGCGAGGAAAGAATTGAATCAAGGCCCTTGTCGAACGATGTGCTTGAACCGGCCTTTCGACAGAACCCTCTCGTTGACAATGACTTTGTCTTTGGACAAGCCTTAGGACGATATTGTAACTCCATCAGGCCTTTCTGTATCTGATATTTACTGACCACCCATGATAGGGTACATGGGCCCCGCATCATCATGGGCATTCTGTAGAAGAGTCCTAGCCCTTGTAGGCAAACACCTCCCGGAAGCAAACAACGAGCCTCCACCATGGCACCTCGACGGAGTCGCGTTCCGACTACAGTGGAGACCCCTTATGCCTGATGAACAACCAGATGTCTCGAATTTGCCCCCATCAGACTATGCATTCTTTCTCGTCCAGACTGCAAGATTCTATCTAGGCCCATTGGCTAATCTTATTGATGAGGCTGAGTTTCTCCAACACTTCAAGGAGCTATATCAAGATGCTCCAGCTAAAGCAGCGTCGTGTAAACTCTGGTACGCACAGTATCTGCTCATGATAGCTTTTGGAAAAGCATTCCTAGGTGGGAAAAGTGTTGATGGGAGGCCCCCTGGGTATCAGTATGCTGCAAGGGCTATGCCTTTGATGCCAGAGCTGGCGGGTATCGCTCTGGATCCAGTTCTGTCTGCTCAGGCGCTTACACTTGCGGCTTTGTATTTTCAGTCAATTGACATGAGAGTAGCGGCCTATCAGCATGTAAGTACTGCCCTGATCCTACATAACTCCCTGCTAACTGGTCGGTTTAGATCGGACAAGCACTCCGCATCTGCGTACTCTCCGGCTTCCACAGACACATGCCCGAGGAGGCCGTGGGAGCGCAACACTCCAAGAGGTGTCATGTAATATTCTGGGTTGTTTACATGCTAGATCAGGAATTTGCAGCTCTCATCGGCGCAACGAGTTCCATACGTGATGAAGATATCACGAACAAACTGCCTTCGCAGGCAGATGAATCTTTGAGCTCACTTAGTTTGACCCTTCATGTTCAGCTTGCTCGACTCATAGCACGACTTCTTGGGAGTGAGTATAACCTCCTCACGTGCTTTGCCTATCACTGACAATACGATAGCGGTCTACGGGGTTGGAAAAGACTATGACGGGACTCTCTTCAGCAATACTCAGTCTATCCTGAGGAACCTGGCCGAGTTAAGTCGCGACCTCAACAACATCATCAACAACCATTTTCGCGATTCAATCAGCAAAGCATCTCGGATTGCTACCAGGCTACTTCTGCAATACCACCATGTATGTTGACGTTTCTGGGAGATTGAACATCAGCTTACTCTGTGATAGTGCGTTGTTCTCACAACGAGACCGCAAATCATGTGTGCTCTACATATGCATATCGAACAGTCAAAAACACAGATGACACATGGCCTATCACTTTCACCTCCTGTCGCATCACTCATACAGTCGTGTGTCAGCTCGGCGCAAGCTATCTTGAAAACCCTTCGTGCTTTGGCTGACGAGGACCTCATCGGTAAGCCCAATGTTTCCAATTTCATGTTCCTGACTAACACTAGCATCAGAGGCATTTTTACCCTTCCAAATCGAATACGCCTCATCATCTGCCTTCCTCCTCCATCTGATCCCCATTATTTGTCCATCTCTGCTCTCAGACGACTCATGGCGAGATGATGCTCGCTACGTCTTCGACACGCTTATAGCAAAGGGTAGTCTCATCGCCCCTCTCCGAAAGGTTGAGCTTGAGCAACTGGAACAAAAGTTGTCTGCTTTGACGCCGACAAGCAATGTTGCTACGCCGCAGCTTCCCACCGAAACAAATGAGGAGATAGACGAGCATGAAGAAACTCAAGAACATGAAGCCGAAGAGGAGGATATCCAGACACATCTGCAAGATGAAACTGGTTGGGATCTCTTTGCGGCCAACGCCATGGCTGGTTTAACCCCGGGTGAGCTATTAGATTTGGCAGAGCAGCTGGATGTGGACAGCTTCTTGTGCCATCCTGAAATGTAGGGCACTGGAATTATCTGTAGCAGCAAATAAAAAGTGAAACATTCCCAAGTGATACTGCGATGGCTGATAACGGTAACGGATGTTATTCTGTTACTGAAACGTACCACGTCGGCCCGGTTGATCGTCCTCGCTTACTGACAGGATTCTCAAAGGGACCTGCATATTCTGGCACTCATGAAAAAGAATATGCTATTCCTACTCTTTACTGTATCCAGGTCCGCCGTCCACAACCATTCAAATACCAGCTCTCCCAGCAACTGGGTCACCCTATTGGGGACTCACTCTAGATACTACTTTTGTCGTGAAGGAGGCAGCCTCCCCCCATGGTTACACAAGACAATGACTGATAGAGATGTCTCTATTCTACATGAAATCGAAGATCAACACGGCAGATCTATCAAGAGCACATATATACGAAGAATAGTTGACAATCGATACCGCCGAGGATGAAAACTCAATAGAGCCGATGAGAATTATCGAATAGCAGATATCATTAGTTCCAAATTGCTCATACAGATGACAGGATGAAAGACGTTGCTTAGTATCTCAATGCACTGGTTAGTCGACAATGCCATCCAGTTCTACAGGCTGGTTGATGAAGTTCACCATGTGTTCATGCCATTTAAAGCCAATTTCTGACGAATTCTCAATAGTTATAATATCATCCAGATGATTACCAATTAGCAACTCCCATGTCCATAAGCCCTTAATCACACAGCCATCTAATGAGATTCATGAATTCCGGCCAGCTACACATCTGCAAGACCGAAAATGGAAACTATTACTCGATTAACTGTTCTAAAGCTAATAACTCTTTGATGTACTCAAAATTATTTTTATGGCTCAATTAAATGTCAGAAATAGCAAATACAGTTTAGCCAAGCTTGCTCAACACATTCTCTATATTCCATTCCTCTGGATTAATAAGTTCGCTTGACATCATCGACATGAAATCTCCTTGACTCCCAAGCAGAGTGTCATTTGCAGTCAAATCATGACTGTGCATTAAGGCTTCAGCCGACGGGATGACGTTGTTGGGCGTGCTTGAGATTTGATTCATCGTCATGGCTGTACCTATTGGTGAAGGCTGAAAGGGGACTTGTCGCATGCTTGCCACGTAGAAGGGTGATGAAACTTCGAGATATACCCTTTGAGTATTGCTCTGAATCTGGGATCCGTTGCCGAGCACCAACTCTACTTGGGTTCCATTAGGAAACAACGTTACAGGCAGAGTATATGTAGGATCCGGACCAGCAGGAGCGATATGAGGCGTCTGAGGCACTGTCGGTATCTCCGGTGATGCAAAAGTCTCAGCATTCTTGGGCTCAGCCTGTTCATCGCACTGTAAGGTCGTTGGTCGGAATACATGGTTGTCTCTGTGTTGCCTTCCGGCAGCTTCTACTGCGTCGGTCGAAGCACGAGCGAGCCACTGGGTAGCTCCGGTAGCAGCTGGCGAGTTGAGTAATATGACAGCGATAGCTTTAGAGATTATCTCTTTCATATTGTCTGATTGGCAGTCGCTCTGAGGCACTGTCGCTTCGGCTTTGGCACCATACATAACCTCTACGAGAGTCTCAACCCGGTTTGCCAAATGCTGACCCAGGTCGGCACACTCGGCTTCGTTGAAATGAACTATGAGAGAGTTAGTTAAGAGATATTTTGTGGGCTTGTGCACATACATTGAGAAAGAGGCCTTTTCATATCTGGAAACTCATTTGGGGGGAAAATCGTATCCCAAACTCCGATAAAAAGAGCCATCAAACTTTTCTTCCGCTTTTCCTTGTCTCGAGGTCGTTCATTATGTGCATCAATCTTCTCAATAACAGTATCCAGCTTTTCGGACGTCATAAAAAACTTTGCATATTTCTCTGCCTTGAGGTCGACGCCCCTTTCTCCTTGGGAATGGTGTGTAAGCAAGTGTGATCTGTTCAAAGTCAGTGTCATTCATACAGGACTGGAAAAACGCCAGATGACGCTTATCGACCCTGGAAGGGAAAGAAGTGAGAGAAAGAGAGGTCTTACTTCCACATATATCTTTCTGTCATGTTAGCTGATAAACAGTTACTGAAGCGGCCGATCTTAACTATTCCAGGGTATGCAAGGAAGAATGGGCAGATCCAACCACACTTCTCGTCCTGGTTTGGTATCGTATCGGAGGATGAGGTTCCATCGCCGTCGCCGTCGCCGTCGCCGTCCCCTTCCCCCTCGCCCTCGTTGTCGTTAGCTTTGTCGTTGTCAGCACCTCCAGTGCCTCCATTTCCATTTGCACGGCTGCTGCTGCCGTTTTGTTTCGATTTATCACCAGTTCGGCGTCTCTTCGACGGTCTGTCGCCCGACTTTGAAGGACCCGACGATGATCCATCAACGCACTCGGCATCGTATCCGACAAGGCATTGGCGTTTATCAATCGGCAATTGCTTTATCGCAGCGATGATACGTTCTGCAAACGACGAATCGGAGATGAGAACCCGGCGGATGCTGGCATATAAAGGTGGGTTGTCGCGTTGTGCTGGCGAACGACCAGAGGCTGTGGGGATTATGGAGACGGCTTCGGGCGCAGTTGGGACATCTCCATCCTCTGTCCCATCACTGCTACCACCATGATCGCTGTCGAGTGACGGGCAGGCGTCTGCCAGGGCATTCAAAAGGGGCTCGGACACGGGATCGTGGATCGTCGTCGTTGAAGGTGAGTCGTAGTTCTGGATCTCATAACGCTTACTGATTTCGGTCTTGTCTTCGAGTCCCGCAAAGCGTTTCTCCTGCGATAAAACGGGTGAGGATTGTCATCAGCGATTGAGGGGGTGCTCATGCTTACGTAGAAAGGCTCTATGGAGCCTGCGCTTCGCAACAGGAGTTCAAGATCACGGATAAGGTCATCGTGGGACCGTTTCTGTGGCTCGTAGCATAGAGTGATTGTTGGATCGTCGCCCAAGGCGACAAAACGATCGCCCGGCGGTATGTCTCCCCAGGTGCCCGAAGTGAAGTGCGGGAACTAAGAAGGGAGGATCAGCGGGGAACTTCTCCGGACTCCATTGCAACCCCGCCTGTCAAGGAGCCCAGGGATTATCTTACCTGCTGATGTTCATTGCGGATTGCCAGGTTCGTCATCTTTGGCCCTGTAGTGTCGCTGGAATTACAACCATGAATATAAATTTGTACACAAGGATGTGTTATATATTGGAGAGAAGGAAGCAAGATGAAAGGTCAACGGTAAATATCTGGGTCGTGATTTAGTTGGCTTCAATCTTAGTAGGCACTATCGACATTTGTCTGCAGCTGCAGACAAATTATTAGTATAGAAGGTAGGCTAACTGGGAGGCTAAGCGCAAGGAGTCTTCGTCACTAAAGCCATTTCAGTCCTAGTCCAATACACGCTACGCATCATATTTCTCGCAAGCACCCGTTTAAACCTACTTTTGTCTTTGGCAGCTCACAAATGACGTCGCGCCTATATTTATATCTGGAACTACCATTTTATAGAATGGCCAATTGAGAAATTGTCTTTCTCCGACAACGAAATTTTATATCTCTGTAGCTAACAGTTTAATGAATTTCTGTGTGATAGCTGCTAAATTGACCATTTCTCCGTAGCCACTGACTTTCACTGCACTTTTATATCTTCGCTGCGGTCGCCTTGCACAATGCGAACTAAATCTTGCAATTATTATTTGCCTGACTCCAGGTACTCATTTCTATCCCCTACTCATTTGAATACGCATTGAGAAACATGGATGGCCAGACCGTTCATCCCACTAGCAGATTTGACTGCGTTGCACTTTTCGAGTCTCCTTCGGGAAACTTATTCACCTCCCACCAGCCCTTTTCTTCCAATGATAGCCCAGAGAAATTAGTCATTGACATTTTGAAGACTCATAAAGAGCACGTCGGTCGATGGAAACGAGTCTTTTACCGTGGCATTCTTCTGAAGAAGCCCGTTGTGTCGATTGCCAAGATATCTAGGGTAAGTGTTCCGTGTCTCTTCCTCAAGCTTATTGGCCACTAACCGCTTGTCGCAGGCTACCTTGCAAACCAGCTCCAGAGGACAAGAACAATTCTGGATTCAGAGCAAAGTCTATGATGCAACCCTTACATCGGCCATACGGAATCCTGCTGTCTTGCGCAATGTTGACCTCGCTACTTTCTGTCACGAATACAAGGATGTGGTAGTCGACGCTGGTGGATCAACTCCCCAGGCTGCCATTCTTATTCATTTGGTGAATGACCCGACTGCTTCCAAGGTAGTTGGTGCTATGGGTTCAGTAATCTCTATTACCTTGGGGTTGGTTGGCGCTTTTGTCCTTTAGTTTCTGTAATGTTATACATGAGTTAGTTGAGAAGGAACGTTGATTTTGACCAGTCATAGAGGTCAGAATGATAGGGTTAGTTTTGAAGATCGTTAGCTATATATCTGTATTAATTTTATATTAGTAGAACTTATCTTGAGCTTTATTTAGAGCTCCTACGTAGTATGGGGCAGTGATGGTATCGTCTTGAAACCCGACACGAGAGGACAGCTTCTGCAACATAGTTTCGGGGATCATATTCAGGGGCGATGTATCTGCCGCACACGACAGCATTAGGTGTCAATGGTCCCTGGGTTTATGCTGGCTGGAGACCTTACTGTTATACTACCAGGCCATTCAACATCTCTTTTGTCATGAGTAGAGGGACTACAGGGATAGTATGGATATGTGCGTGATGTATGTCGCCGAGTATTTGGATGGCACGGCTATTAGCGAATGGAAAGACAACAGGAGAAAATCAGAGGCCTATGTACTCTATTGAACTATTGTATGCTTATATTATCCAGGTTTATCGCGTCCATCAACCCAGTATTGATTAGTTAGCAACAAAACTATAAATTCGTCGACCGATCATCACGCCAGTGAGTGAGCTATGTGTCTGTGCTTGCCTGAACACATGATATATGATACCCGAACAAGACTTGTAGAGGCAGAGCATCCAACACAGTCAATAATCAAAAGGCCCTCATTAAATACCTCGGTCTCTGGGGTGATTAGTTGATGTTGGTCATGCTCAATCTCGATGTCCAGTGGGGATTGGGTGTGTACCCAGTTAAATGGATATCATCGCTTATGGTGAGTGACTCTTTGCCGAACCTTTAACTCTATTCAATTGGTTAACTCATGAAATCTTTCGTGTGGTGCCACTTCTGCAACGCAACGTGAACTACGTTTTGTCTATAAAAGCAATACATTCAAATGTTAAACCATAAACTTCTTCTATTGAATAATCCGTTTAGGTCAACAAAATCACGTCCCAATTTTCCTATTCATCAGCAGACGTTTCCAATGAGTCGTCTTCTGAATATTTCCTCTGTGGCAAGAATACCTATTTTATCGCGGACTTTCACATTTTGGAGCCCTCGTAGCCTGTACCAAGCACAAGCACAGCCACGACCACGAGCCTCTCTGTCTCCCTATTCTTCGTCAAGTCATCCGCCAACAACCATGGATTCGCTTACCATCCATAAAACAGAGACACACTATTATCAATTCACTGAGGGCCCAGCTAGAAAAAGTGGCGTATTTAATCGCCGTGTGCAGCCTTACGTAACGATAACTGATGAAGATGGTTCCATCGCATATGAAGAATTAGGTTTAGGTCTTATGGCGGCCATTGTTCGTCAAGACGATACGAGAGCGCTTAAAGAATATCTCACCAACGCCTCATGGCTCATTCCAAGAGCGCCTGCTATCCCACCTGGCCTTGAGGAATATAGCACAGATATAGATTACTTCCACTACGCAGTCCACGGAGGAAGGCTTGGCGTGTTAAAAATGCTTCTTGCTCATGGCACCGGAAGCGAAGATCCCAACCCACCTACAAAAATCCGATTCAAAGAACGCGAATATGAGTTGCTGCATATCGCTGCGAGATGTGGGCATCTCGACATGGTTAAATTCTTGCTCGAAAATCAGCCGTTATACGCCGACATCCACGAACAAGATTTCGAAGGCTTCTCTCCAATAATATCAGCTGCGGACTGCTACCCTACCGATTATCTTACCCCTGGCATCCCGGGAAAAGCCAGCGCAGCCAGAAATGAGGCGGTGATAAACTTGCTGCTCGATCGTGGTGCCTCTGCTTCTGATGTCGTCCCCCCAATGGCAGAAGCAGATAAGACATCCGACACAGTTCTCACTTTGGCTGCAAAGTGGGCAGGTTCAGCATTACTCGAGAGACTCATCGAGAGAGGTGCCGATGTCCATGCGAAGGTGACAAAACTAGACTGGCAGTTAACGCTTTGGAATTCGCCTGGTAAAACTTTCGAAGTTGATGCACTATTTATTGCATGCAGCGTGGCAAACTTCGACGCTGTCAAAACCCTGATTGACTATAGTGGAGTCCATACGGATGCTATACACTCTCGAGATAGTCGTGGAAGCCTTCCAATCCACTGGGCTACTCAAAACGCCGTAGCAGACGGGATGAGTGCGTTCTCGGCAGCGATACAGCAAGAAAAGGTGCAGAATATCACCAGCATTATTGGACATCTCTTGGACTTGGATCCCACAACAGTCAACGCCCAGGACAACATAGGAAATACACCTCTGCAGTATGCTACACGAGCATTTGGTCGCCATGATGAGCTATACTCTCCTGTTTTCAAACTCATATGCGATAGGGGCGGGGATTCTAGTATACGCAACGACAAAGGCCAAACACCTCTGCATACCTTATTCGAGTGCGATGGTGTTGAATCCGATCGTGTTAATTCGTGGTGCGGGACGATTGCCAAGGACGAGCCGGTGATAGAAACATCTTCAATAATCACATTGCTTGCCCATGGCGCAAAAGCTACAGATGTTGATGACGACGGAAACACGCCATTGCATTATGTAGCCGAGATTCTAGATTACGTCAACGCTGTATCAGTTTTACTTGATCACGGTGCTGACCCTACTCGACGAAACTCGAAGCAAGAAACGGCCCTGCATAGAGCTGCCCGTGGTCATTATCGGCCGATGGACAGGTGGTTCAATGCTGAGGACAGAATTGAGGCACAAGAAGATGTGATGGCAAGGCTGATCAAGGTTGGGGGTGAGGGTTTGATGGACCAGATAGATGCAAAGGGGAACTGCCCACGGCAGTTGTCTGAAGAACAGCGGAATGCGTGGCGAAAGGATGATGGTCCAGCATGGAAAAGACCACCGATTCATCGACCGGCGGCTGAGATTGTCGAGGCGGTCGAGAAGGAGTAAGTTGAAGGTCAGTTGGAGATAGATGGCTGGTAAGCTAATAAGAATTTTTACATACTTGAATAATATTTGCGAGGATCGAGGGTACTGTGGAACAATCAGTCTAACATTTGATCGGTTCTAATATGGCAATTGGTTGTTTATGGGATGTCTGTGAATTTTGCATAAAACGATGGGAAATATGCAATGTAAGTGATCCCCGTCATGGTTGTTATGACACAGTAACTTTCCTGCATAGATCATACTTCCGATGGCTGACATACCTTCATTTATGCGTCAGATGATGTTAAACGAATTTGAAATAGCTTTATTATGTGTCAAATTCAATAACAAGACATACACTTTACTCACTCCGAAACACATCAAAATTACGAATCAAATTGGAAACATTATGTAGACAAAGGCCTGTGGTTCCGCACTAATCTACACAAAGACCAGAGAGCACAAATCTTACGCCTTTTGCCGGCGAGCAATTGTGCAAGGAATATCGCTATGATACATAAACCAGGAATTATCATACTTCCACTTATGATTTGGGTCAGTAATCCGAACCTATACATCATTTGTCAGTCCCAGATTCTAAGGGTAGAGGTACAACCGAGTTGACTTACATCAAAGTTTGCGTAAAGCGTAGCAAACATCTTGTACATCTCCAACTTAGCCATGTGCTTACCCATACACACACGCGAACCATGGCCAAACATCATCTCAGTACACTCGTGCATACGTCGCACACGATGAGCATGTCCTTGTTCCGTCTCGCCCTTGCTGCGAAGCCATCTCTCAGGTCGGAAGGTATCAGCGTCTTCACCAAATACACCAACGTCCCGTGTGATCACACAGGGGTTAATGCCGACCTTTGTACCAGCGGGGATGAAGCGGCCGTCTGAAAGCTCGAGTCCTTCCTTGGGCACTTCACGCTCGAGGATGAGACCAACAGCGGGTGAGATGCGTACGGCCTCGCGCATGACTGCGTCGAAGTAGGGGAGTTGGCTAATTTCCTTCCACTGAGGAACAGGAAGGGTGAGGTCGGCGGAACGAAGCTCGGCGACCATCTTCTCGCAAACAGCGGGGTTCTTGAGGAGATGGTAAGCAGGAGCGCGCATAGCACCAGCTGTTGAATCGCCGCCGGCCAAAACGTTCAACATCAGCCAGTTGATGACCTGATGATCATCGACAAAGTCAACTGTTTCCTTCAGGCTGTTATACTTGTCGATAAACAAATCCACAGGCTTTCTCTTGGCGGCACCCGAAGCAACCTGTTGTTGGTACTCCGTGAGAATCTTGATGGTGTACATGACACCGTTCACCAGAGGGCGAGGACCAATGCGCTTAATGGGATTCTTGTCGAGCCACTCGTCAATCCACGGGATCTGGCTCACGGGGGCGAAGTACTTGAGTCCCGCTGTACTCTCAGCAATGATGTTCTCGACATCCCCGCCCTTCTCCATAAAGCCGTAATCGCGCCCAAAGCTGATGTTAGCCGCTGCATCCCAGGCGTAGTAAGAGACCCATTCGTCCATCTTGCAGACGTAGCCAGTGCTGGCAAAACGATTGTCGAGATGTCTGACAAGATCACATAGCGTCTCGTCCATGAGGGGTTCGGCTTCTAGCATCTTGGGAAGGGTCCAGAAGCCCCTGATGGGCTTGGTGAACTTGGTGTGGAAGTCTTCATCTTGGGTGTTGAAGATGTTTGGAATGCGCTGCCCGTTGACGACAACATCATTCGGGCGGTACATGTTAGTCTACAACAGTCAGCATTCAGCATCTTTCACCAGGGTGCCTCCAACAATCTACATGAAGCACCGTCCACCACCGGCTAGGATTGTCATATTGCGGGGTGCTTACTTTGCGCCAAGGGTTTCTGGTCGTGTAGATAACCCGAATCAAGTCCGGGTCACTGATGCTGACAGTATTCGGCCCAACACGCACAGCGGAACCCCATTTCCGATGCCATGCGCGCATATGGCCGTCAACATGGCCCTTCGTGGCAAGATACGCGCGAAAGAAGTCTGTAAATTTGGCGCTGAGAGGGCCAGGAATGCGTCTTAGAGGTGAGAATAAGAGCTCGTAACATATGCGGGCGAGAACAAAAGCAACGCCGACGTACAGAGCGTAGCTCAGCAGGGCAGTGGAAAAAGCCATGATCGACAGGGAGAAAACGTTTTTATGGAGGCTGCGAGTGTGACTGCATGGAGAGAACAAAAAAGAAGGCAAGATAGGGATATATCATAAATTCAATTTAGAGAAGAGCAGGGACAGTATGCAGACGTGGGAGGGGGCGGATACTATATTGCTTTTTATAAGTACAGCATAACCTCTAGACCGGAACACTCACACCACATTCTTCGTCTCATCTGCAGAGTGAGGAAAGTGATGGGTCAAGGGCCTTGAAGTGAGCCGCTTGGGAATCATGCCGTTGAAGAGAAGCCGTCGTAGTAGCCCGCCATGTGACAGTACTAAACCAGATGCAACACAAAGACACAGGGTATATATACTAGTGATTATGATAACTCTCAAGCGAGACGAAAATAACCACTGAGGAAGAAGGACTGTGAGCAAATACTGCAAGGTCCCCCACACAATGATGCACATATTGTTCAAGCATGCGGCTCCATGAGACTAAACCTGCAGTAGTTCAGTAAAGGAATCCACATGGCCATCCCGATTCATAAAGTGGCCGATGCTGGTTCATCAGAGGCAAAAAAGAGAAAAGAGACAAGATCTCACCGGGGAGACGGGATGGGCCTGTATGGTCAGGGGTATCCTGGTCTGGAGCTGAATGGAACAAAGAGTGTGCAAGACTTGATATTTGTCGAGGAACGAGCTGAATAAAAGAGATTGTGAGAAGTGATTGTTACTTGTTGTCTCCATTGTTTGTCGTGTCTGCCCGGGTATTGGCATTTTAACCTTGATATTTGGTTTATTGACGTTCACCGGAGGAGTAAGCAGCCAACTGAGACATTGGCACGCGATTGGTGGGGAACTTTAATTTCCACCGCAGATGGACTAGAGACCGTTGGTCGCGCGATGGCTGAACGGCTTTCTTCAACACTAACCTCACGATAAACACTAGACTCCAGACACTACCAAATACCACTACGTAAACAAATATCTCGAGAATCCATCTTGTCACACATTTCCTTTGATCAAACTCGCGGCTGGCAAACCCACTCCCAAGGTGGCGAGACCATGCAGGAGTATGGCACGGAACCACCATTATGCAAACTTAATCTGATATATCAGATTCGCGAACCAACAGCCAATCAAACCCGTGACAAAGAGATAAAACCGTGTGAGAAAGTAGCGCATTTTGAATTTGCTTGCCATTTCGCTTGCAAGTTTGCTCACAGTGCCCTGCTGTAATATTTGATATTTGATATGTAGTTGGTTATGCAGCATGTGAGAGGCAACTCTTTTGGATGAACACCGTGATTGGACCTGCAGGTTCATGCGAACCGAGACTCGGGGGCTCTATTGTTTCCAATAATTGTTTGTTCCAAGATTTGCCATGTCCATCCGTAGGCTAGCGTGTGATGGTGATGAAATTGATTGTCACCACAATGCCTCCTCTTATATTCGGGATATTTTTATGCACCCAACAACAGGGCCTAATTGCTGCATTGTCTTTTGTTTGCTTTTGCCGGGTCGTTTCGCCTTGTCCTCACCCGTCGGCCACGCGGCAGTGCAGTACGGGCTCTCCCGTGCCCAATGCTCGTTTCCCCATCCCCACGAAGCTTGAATATTTCTTTTTCCCTACAAGAGAACAATCTCTCAATTTACTCGCTTTAAGATGTGACATGTACTGTGGAAACAAGGCTATGTTACGAAACGTTCCATGCAAATTTGCTTGCGTGTCTTTCAGCTTCCTCGCTCCTGTGTCTTCTCCATACTGCAGTGAAAGAGAATGCTTGACCTTGTACATATAAGGCATGACAAGACCCGTCAATGCAGAATCAAGCAATGAGATAATCAACTGTTGGTTCTTCTATCACCGTGTAAACAATGGCATCGACAGCTTCTGAGCCGCCGCCCACTGCGGAGTTTCTCGCTGAGTCGAGAGGACCTGTCATCCGGACTGTCACCTGGCTTGGTGTTATTATCCCTTTCATTTTCGTGGTCCTCAGAATCTACACGCGGGTGTTTGTTCGCAAGGTCTTTGGTATGGATGACTGGGTCATCGTGTTTGCCATGGTAAGAGACCCGCATTGACAACTCGCACAAACACTGACCCATCTACAGATCCTCCTCCTCGCCTACGGTGCCATCATCGAAGCGGCCGTACAGAAAGGTCTTGGTCGACATCTAGTCTGGATTATCACCACCCATCCTGAAGATGCTGTCCCCCTCGCGCTTCTGGGCCAAGTATCGCAGCCTTTCGTCATCATGTCGTGTGCCCTTGGCAAGACGTCTTTCTCCATCAGTCTGATGCGTCTAGCTGCACAGCGGTTTATCCACCGATTCCTCTGGTTCATCGTCGTCACTATGCTTACGCTACATGTTCTCATCTCAATCATTATCTTTGTGCGTTGCAAGGACCCGAGAACGACGTGGAACCCGGCCATTGTTAGCCAATGTTGGCATCCCGAGACGTACCTGGGAGTTATGTACTTCATCGGATGTAAGTCGGCACCACATATGGAAGGGATAATCTGTCACTAACGTTCCAAAGCGTACTCTGCTGCCACTGACTTCATTCTTGCCCTCCTGCCTTGGGCTATGCTGTGGAATCTTAACATGAAGAAAAAGGAAAAGTTCGGTGTAGCCGTCGCCATGAGCCTCGGTGTCTTGTACGTCTAACCCCTATCCATTCCTAATACAAATGTCCTTACATGATCATACAGCGCCGGAGCCATCGCCATTATCAAATGCACCAAACTCAAAGCCAACGCCACAAGTACCGACCCGACCTTCGACGTCGGCGAGCTCCTCTTGACAGCCGGTGCCGAAAACGCCCTCATCATCATGGCTGCGTGCATCCCTACCCTCCGACCTATCCTCCGCAAGGTGTTCCCCACATCAGTCAAGTCGAGCGAGAACTCACACCGTCTCAACAACATGAACAACATCATGTTTGTTCCCAAGCACAAGGCTGGTCAATGGAGTGCTCTTGTCGAGACGGAGGCTCACCCGGACCAGCATTCGGATAATCAGAGTGACAAGAGTATTCTCAAGGAACATCGTGGAGAAATGGAGGGCCATGGCAATGTTAGGTCGTCTGGTGGTCCTTCTGGTCCCCAGCTACCGCCTCACATCAGAAAGACAATGTCAGTGAACGTGTCTTATGATAGGTCTTAGAGTACATCGACGATATCAAGCAGTGTTGCATTCAACTAGTCTCTCACAGAAGGGGTCTAGATATAAACCATCAGTTCATTCTCATATCTTAAGACCAACGCATTGTGATCACTGCACCAAATAGGAGCATCATGTTTTCAACCAGGATACCAGCCACCCAAAGCTATGATAAGCACATCGTTGTTGAACATCATCTTTATTGTCTATCTTTGTTCCTATTCCCAAGATCGTGCCACTATTATCATGGCATATTGTACCATCCTTCTAAAATGTTTCCCTGTATTTTCCCGACTGAATGTATTACCACACTCAGACACTTCGCTTGGCCCATCGGAGGTTGAGACCTCGCTTGGCCTGTCCAGGGTTACCTCCACCGAAGCCGCCGAAACCACCACGACCGAATGGGTTACCGTTTCCTCCGTTACCACCCTGGCCGTTGTTTCCACCGTTTCCTTGACCGTTGCCACCCTGGCCCTGGCCCTGATCTTGGCCTTGGCCGCCATTGCCGCCGTTACCACCACCGTTACCGCCGTTGTTGCCGCCGTTGTTGCCACCGTTGTTTCCTCCATTGCCGCCGTTGTTTCCACCATTGTTGTTGTTGTTGTTGTTGTTGTTGTTGTTGCCGTTATTGTTGCCACCGTTATTAGCGTCGTCAGTAGGGGTAGCGGCAGGGGGACGTCCAAGAGCAACAGTAGGAGTCTCGATAGCAAAGGCCGAGGTGACGACGGTGTTGCCGAGCAGGGCATCAACAGCAGCCTTGTTCTGAGCAGCCTCGTCAGAGGTGGCGTTCTCGTTTGCCTCCACAGAGTCGGGGAAGTCCTTGATGTTCTGCTGAACCTGAGCGTTGATGGCCTTGAGCTGCTGGGTAGTCTTGATGTTCTGGGGAGTGTTGGTCTTCTCCTGGGTGTCGGATTGTTGGACGGCGAAGCAGCCGCCGAAGGGACCGGCGAGAGCGTTGTTGCGGCATCGGACAGTGCAGATGTTTCCGGTTGATGCTGAGGGTTGTTAATAACTGATGATTCAAGATTGGATTGAGTATTGCTTACCTCCAAAGCAGTTGAGGTCATCAGGCATCTTGACGGTGATGTTGAAAGCCTGCTCCTTGATCTGGGAGAGACCGTTTGAGCCAGGAACGTTGTTGGTCACAGTGAGGTTCTATCTTGAGTCAGTCTTCTGTCGTAAAATGTTCGAATGCTGGTACATACCTGGATATTAGTATTAGTGTTGCTGCTCTCGTCAAGATCGCACACGTAAGGACCAGCTCCATCGGCGTTGACCTGGTGGATAGTCACAGTGATCTCGCCACCGGCCTCGACTTGAGTCACCTTGCCAGCAGAGAGGGCATTCTCGGTGTTCTCGCCAACGTCGATGTTGCCAGACAACTCAGTGCGACCACACTGGTTGACGATGTTGGCAGTGATCTCTGCATCACGAATGATGGTGGCATCCTGCTGGCAAGGGTTGATGGTCACACAGTTGCGAGCAATCTCGGGATCAACTGCAGATCTTGTTAGTACTAAGCCCTACAAGTCAAGTTGTTATGTGATGCTTACCTTGGAATCCAACACTGGCAGGAGAAGTATCGAGACCCTGGGCATTCAGAATGACCGAGTGACCCTGAGCAAGAGCAAAAAGAGAAGGAAAGAGGATGCTTTGAAAGGAATGCATTTTGAATGAAGTAATAAGGGATGAAATGTGCCGGCACAGTAAGAAAGAATAGGAAGCAAAGAAAGATAAAACGATCACCAGGATCTTGGGGGAAAGGAAGAAAAGAAGACTTGTTGTTGGAAAGACTGAAGTGATGATGAGGAGGAGGAAAACACCAACAATTGGACCATCGTGAGGAGATATATATGCATTTCTTGATTCATTCTTCATTAAAACTTTTGGCGAATATCCTCCCAGGGCCTCGCTGGCGAGTATATGCTACGGTCCCTGTGTCATAGTTGGGCGGGGCCTGTGTGAAGGGGAAGCTTAGACGCCTGAAGGACAGGGCACAGGGGGTTTGTTGATAGGCTGGCCCAGCTGTAGACCCCCAAAGTGGATTAATCCGCTTCACAAAAAAAGAGTCGACACAAGTTTCACGACACCTTAAGAGGCGGGCGATATTGATATAGGTCTTGGCAAGCAATGACATGCCGTAGCATTAAGGATCAACTGCCAGGAACAGGCTCGGGTATAATCATGCCCTGTCAAACGCTTCTATATCCGAACAAAATCGAATGTTCTGTTCGCCCCCTCCCGATCGTGTCACGCCAAGCTACCTACCTATACTGTTTCTTAATACGAAAAGAGGCCGAAGGTAACATCGCATCCCTCCCACCCGTTTCGCAGCGGAAACAGACTCCTTGCTTTAAAACGCTCTTGATAAGGACATTGGTCAGGGTTGGGTTTGAACGAGAGTAGTTGTGGGATGCCCGATTGATAGCGGAGCCGCTGACGATGGAGCGTATTTTTGGTTTTGAGGAAGACTGTGTGCTGAAAGGGGGAGATTGTTGGCAACGCAGAGTTGGGTATGAATGTGGTGTATTTTCATGGGATACGCTGCAGAGAAAGAGCGATTGTGTTCGTCATTGAAATGAGGAAATTTGATAATTGATTATGAAGCAACCGAGATGCAGTTAGCTAATTTCCTTGTTACGATGTCAACACAGTTTGTGAACTGAATGATGATTAATAAATTGAGTTTTGCCATTCATGCAATCATTTGGTTCTGGAGCGGATCCGCAAAAGACAGCTGAAGTAGGTAGGTGGAGATTGTCGAGATTGATGTAAGCCTACCCTAAAGGATTTCGGGGGCCATATCACAGCATCGTAGTATGATGATATGTATTTGTACAGAGATAGAGATATATGGTTAAGCTTAAAAATAACTTAGTTTCTCTTTTTGTTCTTTCTATATTTTACTGTGATCCTATTTGGTCGTTTGGATTGTTCACGGATGCACAGTGCTTAGTTAGGCCACGATTGATGCAAGACCGTCAGGAATACTGCGTCGCCTGACGTTCATTGACGGATCAACCTGACAATACAAACCCACGAATAGTTGGCCACCTGACTCAAACTCGAATCTTTGTTAGAGATTGTCCAATACGTCATGCCCTTGGTTTGGAAGGAGTCTATTTAGAATCAATCGAGGCCTTACTTAAATTAGATTTCACTGTTCCTCACTTCTGTACTATTATCTCCTAGAGTATGTAAAACTCCCGATAACTTTATCTAGTCTAAACTTTCCATGAGATATATATTTATACTATTTTATATATTCATAGCTGGCTCATCGCAGAATATTTGCATGGTACTGTAGCCCTAGCTGAAGGCTAGTGTAGTAGGGTTGACAATTTCTAGTTTTGTGCTAGTAAGACTGACGATTCTGCTTGGTAGCAATCACATTAATCCGTCGGACAAGCCACTCTTCCTACGGAAGACACCAATATGCTTTTAAGATCTTGCCGCCTCTCCGACAATACAAGCTTATCGGTATAGGCCGCGCAACATGGGCAGATGGGTAGTAAAGATGTCTATCAAAATCATCGCCGCTGGTGTTGATGCTTCAGTTCTTGCAAGAGCTAAGCTATCTCTAACGGGATATGTTTTGTTTTGAAAATTGGAGGATGGCCACGAAAATAAATAGGAATTCGATTATCCTGCTCAACCTTATTCATGATGAGCAGACCCAATACCGACCGTCCATCGCGACAAGCATTTCTTGTGTAAGGCTAAAACTGAAGGTGTCACAAAGAATATACAGTTTTTCGGTATGAGGCCACTTAGTGGGCTGTTGTACAGGCTGACTCGAACAAAGTTTCCTCCGTTTCTGTCAACGTTTTAAGATTTACTGAAACTGACTCGACTCATTCAAGATTATGTTATCGTCAACGCTGACTCATGTGGTTACAAGGCTGCCACATGCCACTGTTCCTACATCTTCTTCCCATACCTTAAACCAGTGTGACCTCATTGCCTAAGTGCATCTAAAGAAATGTTCCAGGGTGTCGGTAAACATCTTGAATCACGACGGCGAAGCGAAGTAAGCGCACCTATGACTGCTCGCAGCTAAACAGGGCAACGTTGAGATGAATCATCAACAACATCAATGCGGACGAAAGGAACGGTTTTGTCAGTTTCACAGGTTTCACTTCCAACACGCGAACATGTCATCTGTCAAGCTTGCTCGATAGAGTTATTCGCACCAGTCGCCCATCAGATCAACCATTTCTCTAACTCGAACCATCACACCGAAAAAAGCCACCAATCACATCCCCAGCAGTCGATCAGAAACCATTAAACGCCCCGATTCTAGAAACGCTTCTCTGACAAAGATGTACCCGACCTTGCCGCCTTGGCCGTTTGGATTCTTTAGCAGGGGTGGGCAAGATTTCCCATTTTGTTGAAGTTTTCCGAGGTCGAGGTTTCGGCCGAATGGAGATTTTGGTTATCTGCAGCCTGTCAGCGCGTTTTTTGACGTTTCAGTCGCCTGCCAAAAGTCCCCGATGTCAGCGCCGAGCATGGGTGCTCCCAGCTGTTTCAAGGGGTATAACACTTGCCGCTGTCGTATAGTTCGCCGTAGTAGCATTTTAAGCGGGAATAATTCGCTGAATTGAGCCTCGGCAAGGCGCCCGAAGCGTAAACCCACTGGTGATACACCGTAATAACTTAATTATTAGAGTTACCCTGTTATATGAGCTTAATTAATGCTTTAATAATAAACACCGAGCTATATGAGCTTAATCGATGCTATATTAATAAACACCGAGCTCTTGTATCTTTCCATCTTTCACGAATGGGCTTTATGGGAGATTAGAGTTACTTCAATGGTACCCTGGGCCACTGCCCACTGTTCAGGATTATGTCGCCACAAAAGCTCTCCTTTGCCCAAGAGCCTGACTTGGCTCTCTCACAGTAGGTGGGTGTCATTTCTGTAGCGCCCGACGGCTTGGAATTGCAAGCTCTGGCTCAGCTAGCTGAGTCTGCACAGTTGCACTGACTATGCAACCAGCTTCCACTCCACAGGGTGGGTAGTATTGATTTCGTGGAGAAACCTGGTAGGGCCGTTGAACTAGATGACGGCTGCTGAAAGTGCCAGAGGCTCTTGCGGCTGAAAAGTACTCAGCTGCAGAGTCACCAATACAGCCGGATTCGTGCGTGGGTGGCGAATATTTCTCTCATGTCCGTGAGGTGCGTGAGAGATGAACAGCGAGAAGCTTGCATTTCCCCATCGGTTCTTGCGAGTGTCGCTCCACGCTTCCATTCTCCCTTTCTGCTGAACTTGAGGAAGACTGTTGAAGATATTCTTAATTTTGGATTTCGGTAAAGATCTGATCTGATAGGTTTATTTCACGCCTCTGCTTGTATTACTATTGCTTAAGAACAATCTTATCCTTTGCGCTACCTCCTAATAATCCCCATAGCTCTCATGGCTGTCTTCCATACTGTCCCGGTAACTCATATACAACTGAACTATGGTGGTCCAACTCAGCAGGTGGACCTGGACTGTCCATTTCCGAGGGATCAAATCCCTTCGGAGTCTCCTTCATTGCTTCGGTGCCATCAAAGGATTCTCTGTTATCAGCAGTGCGGCTGTTGCGTCGCCTTCTCCAAAGCCAAGCCATCACAACAAGAAGAAGAGCACCGATACCGACTCCAACGCCAATTCCAGCTTTAGCACCAGAGCTCAAGCCCGAGGAATGAGAAGGTTCTTCCTGCAGCGGTGTCTTGTCCTTGTGGGGCTTGGTACGAGTCTCATTTGATGCAACCTTTTGAGGCAAGGCTTGGGCATCTTCCCAGTCACCGTCATAGTTCTTGTAAGCTTGCACGATAGTCTTGTTGGACCAGTAGTACACCCAAGCTTCGCCTTCACTCTGCTGGTAGGCTACAGCTAGTCCAGAGCTCGGCTTGTCGGCGACAGGCCATGCCTTTTTTGTTTGGTTGGATGCCAGCTGCCAACTGCTCTTCGATGCAGCAGCTTCGTAGAGCTTCTTGTCGTCACCGATGTAGAAGATGCTTCGGGTTCGTGATCTGTCCACTGCTGAACCTATGGCCTCTACCGACGAATTCCAAGCTGGGAGAGAGAAGTTTGCGTCCCGATCCAGACTTGACGTGAACTCGCTCGGGAGTGTATCATTTGTGTATGTGTTGGTCAAGTCTTGTGGAAAGGCAGCTATGATATGTCAGTGACTCTGCAAAACCCTAGACCATAGGTGTGAAAGTGTTAAGTCACGTACCCAGCTTCCATGTTCCCGACTTCTCTAGTCGAGAGGTCTCTATATCATCCGAACCTTTGGGAAAGGCTACGGTAATGTTCTCCTTATCGTAATGGGTAGACCCCAACGCCATGCCTGCCGCGGTATCTTGAGACACAGCGCCTCCGTCAATCCAGTTTGTCACTGTTGTATAGGACATCATCATAACCTGTCTGTTCTCGTTGTGGTAGAAGACGCGATAGCCGTCGTTAGCTCCGAGCAGTTCCACCGAAAGGCCGCTTTCGCTGTGGATGGAGTCGACCTCGGCTGTTTCTGAGATTTGATACTCATCCTTGCGTACGAGCTTGCCTGTGGTCATGTTGCAGGTATAGTATCCATTGACAATGATGCCGTCTTTTGTTTGCCAGAAGATGGAAGCCTGGACTATGTTAGCCATCACCCAAAGCATGCACAAGATATGACCTACTGTGATAGTCTGGGTGTCCCACCAACCTGCTGCCGCAAGGGCAGTGCCATTGCGTGGTGTCTGCTTCGCATCGAGGATATTCGGCTTTTCGAGGGGGAAGATTGGTGTATCTTCACTATTGCAGCTACTATAGTAGATCTTTCCCGTGGCTGGGTCTTGGGCTCCGACTTGGACGGTTCGTTCGGTGGCGTAAGCGTATAGAGCGGAACTGTAGCTGGGTTGAACCCAAGCTACTAGCAATAGCCATAGCATGGCCAAACTTGTTCGTCGGGGAAACATGTTCACAGGATTAAATCCCCAAATAAAATGTGGGATTTCAAGAAGAACACAACAGGCACTGGAAGTATGGGGCAGGGAGGGATTTATCACGGGGAACCCAGCTGCAGGCACTGCGTCTGCAACTTCGCAAGTTGCTTTTTCTCCAGGATGGTGCTAATTATTAGACTAGAGACTTACGGATGGACATCGTAGTCCAGGTCTGAATGCTTCTGTGCATGGATAGTCATTTTGAGAGACCAGACGAGGCACATGCAGCTCTCCATGCATCAAGTCTTTGCGGCTGAAGCACGCTTGCAGTCTTGAGATGATGCTGGGTATTGGTTGATTACTCAAATCCCTCAATGGGCACGAGAGTCGGAGCTATTACAACAAAGAACTGCCAATGAAGGGCCTCCCTTTCAAACAGAAGTGGCCAGGTCCCAGTATCTTGGTGGCATCTTACCGAGCCTCAAGAGCCTACTCACTCTATTGGTGTGCCATAGCTTCCTCGGTGTGATTAAAGGGTGGGATGTGCGACGCCATCTCACAATGGCCTAAGAGCGCCACTTTATTAGTGGTATGGTGAGAGTGATCCAACCTCAAATTACAGCCACAACTTCTTCTATCTGTATCTCCTTTTAGAGTACTGGGCTCCTGAACCCGAAGACATTTTAATTGACACGAACTTGGGAGGGGAACAAGACGAACCTAAACGGAGTACTTTGAGGCAGATGGTGATGAATGCAACAAAAAGATTTATTACCCCGTAGCCTGAAAATAGGGAGACTATCCGTAGACATGCAGGTATTTTGAGGCTAACTCATGCTGTCAGCTAAGGGATCGGCATTGGCCCCCAATAACATTTACGGCTTCCGACCTCTCTGCTACGTATTCCTACCGAGTATCTACCTACGCTTTAGAAAGTAAGATACATTAACACTTTCGATAATTCTTGCTTTCTATTTTTCTGCGTCTGTCAGCTCTCGAATAATTAAATGCATATGAGTCTAGAGCCAGATGCCTCTCGTTCTCAAGAAATATTTTCCTCAGCCTGAATGCCAAGCCGGGCCTCAACGGTTATTGAGAATCATCTGCAGGGATAGTATGTAAGGAAAACCAATAGCTCATTAAACGTATGCACGCCACAATGTTACAGTACCAATTATACCCTGCTGTCTCACAAGGATACAGTCTTGAAAGCCCAGTCGCTGAGCATTTGAGCCTCAAGTTACAGTCTCGTTCTTGCTCTTGTTTCTTTTTGGCCCCCAGCTGAGTCTCTTTTCGTAAAGCCTATACTTACTATTACCATATGGCGCTGTTCGAGTCCTGATTCTTGTGTTTCACCATGAAGCAGGCTGTTTAGTTGGGAGCGGTGCTCACATCGGCTAAGACTTAGCCAGTGGACACAGGTTTTGATGTCATTTCGATTACTAGCCCATGTGATTGACCTTGAAATTCCTCAGCTGAGTGTTGAAAAGGGCTTGCCAGGTGCGTCCAGTGGTGAGGCTTTTCAACTTAGGTATTTTAAAGCGATGATACATCTTGTATATCTGAGCTTAGTTTAAACACCTTAGAACACAACTTTAAATAACTACTAGAGAATAAGGGCCCGGGAACTCTGTTAACCATACTTCTATCAGGATTTTAGCAGTAATGATAACACGAATTACCCTGAAATTAACATGACGTACTTGGCTGAATCTTGTGCTCGTGTCTATTTCGATGAAGCCCCATCATGTTATAACTAACTACCTAGAGAAGTGAATGTGATGAGATCGCTCATACACCGCATGAAAATAAAGGAGAATCGTTCCGGTATTAGTATACATAACACAGCAGATGCGTCTGAAGAAGTACATTAGATGCAGAGGCAAAGGAAGTAGTGTATAGATTTTATGAGTACTGTAAGTGTAGTGGTATCTAGTGGGCACGCCTGGTAAGATTACCATCGTTTCTACCCATCAAATAAGAATACGTCGATCTGAGCCTATTAAGGAAGAATATTCGTTCTAAAGACAATATGTAAATTAATTTTCTCATGCTAATGGCCCGTATTTAGTTAGGCCCCTTTGATTGATAGGGTCTAATAGGGCGGTAAAACGCTTGAAACTGTCGTAGCCATCACGGCGGTCTTGGAGGTCAAAGTCCTCAGGAAAGCGAAGGCGCTCGAGGCCGTCAAAGCGGTCAAATATAGGAAACTCCATCAATCTGTACTTCTCCTGTACACCTTGCTGTTTGAATATCAATGTGAGAATGCTTTCTGGTTTTTCTTTCGTCCTGGCTTGTGACCCGCTACACTGTGCTCGGACTTTGGCTGTCAACAGCTTTGGTGCCCTGATTCTAAACCAGGCCTTCAAGGATCTAGGTGATGTGAGTGCTATGCTGAGGAACGTAGAAAGGCAATGCAGTATTTGAACCGGATCGAGGTCTATGCATTGAAGTCGTTTAGTAAACGCAGAAAGCGATTCATCTATCTCGCTCAGCAGCGATTTGCGATATTGGTGAAGGGCTGCTTCCAATTGTTGATATTTTGAATAGGCTCTTTCCAATGTGCGATCTATCGTGTTGTCTTTGCGAAAGACCTTTTTCAGCATGCGACCTCTGAGAAAGGTTGTTTTCAACGTGTCATATTGGCTCAAGACTTTTTTTAATGTGCGATATTCGTGAGACGTTTTTTCCAATGTGCAATATACGGAAAAGGCGACTTCCAATGTCCGATATTTGTGAAATATTCCTTTCAATGTGCGGTATTCGCGAGACGTTTCTTCCAATGAGCGATCTATCATGTTGTCTTTACGAAAGAATTCTTTCAGCGTGCGACCTCTGTGAGAGGTTCTTTCCAACATGTCATGGTGGCTCAAGATGATTTCCAATGTGTGATATTCGCGAAAGGTATTTTCCAGTGAACGATCATCGCGTAAGGTTGGTTTCAAAAGCAATTCAACAAGCTCTGCCAAAGGTAGGGCCAGACGTCCAATCGCAACGTCAGGAAAGTTGGATCTCAGAGCATGCATTTGGCCGAATATCAAGAATGACGCCGCGTTTCTAGGGACTTGATCTGCTTCAATCTCGTACGATGGGTAGAATCGTGTCGAGTCACATGCATCCTGAGACATGCTCAGCAAAGCATAAATCATGTCCCTAGAATGTGTTGCTTGGCTTCGTTGAAATTTGACGAGCAGGTTGTGTAGTGTGCGATCTCTGGCCCACCAGGTATGGCTGCGTATTCGTGGCATTAGGTCAAGCACGGCTTGTGAATGCTCTGTTGTCGGAATTTTGAAGAACGACGGCATCAAAGAAAAGGTTCGTGCTGGACAAGAAGACGAGCCGCAGAGAATCCGGGCTGATCTTGCCATAGCAACCTCCTGGAGAACCCATATTCTTTTGAACCATCGTCTGCCCATTAGCTGCTTCAAAGCACTGATGTTCTGAGGGGTCTTGGCATCCTTGTACTGATTATCCATGAGGTTAAGACAATGGCTAGCCCATTTTCCACTTCTTCTAGGAGTAAGTATGCCAATGGCCTGCTGATCAACGGAAGTTGCGAACTCCAATAGATCTCTAATTTCCTCATTGTATGGGCCTAGCCATATGAGCACTTCTTCAGCATTCTTGTAGATGTGTGCCATCTGCTTGACTTGGTGGCCCTTCTCGCGGTTATCTTGCTGATTGATGCAAATAGCATCGGCCCAGAGCATTATATCATAGTTCGGATCTTGTATATGGGACAACGCCATTCTCAGGTTATCTGTCGCGGGGAATAGTTGATTATTCACGAAGATGCGAGGTAGTTGCAGTTGCTGGGCTTTTTCGCCCTCCACGTCACCCCAAGTGTATGACAAAGCCTTGTATGGCACCGCTTCGTCCGGATTAGTAGTCGCCTCGACCAGTGAACAGTAAACATCCTTGGGCCAGACGCCCTTGTTTACGTGTAGGAGACGAATTGAGTTCTGGTCGAGATCCAAAGGGGGGTACGGGAACGTTGACATGGTGGTTCTTGTTCTCGACGCAGCTAGTAAATAGAGAAGAGGTGCTCAAGATGAGGGGAGGCAGTGAGACTTCGATTGATGGTATCCAAGTTTCAATATCAGGTGTATAAATGTTTTACATTGGTAAAATCTGCCTCACGAGTTGTGGCGTTTGTTATTTGGTGTGTTGTACCAATGATATCAGATTTGGCAGTGGCTATGTTATGTCGCCAACAAATCAGATCAATGTACCAGGGCCCCAATCGAGTCACATCACCGAACGTTTTTGGAAGAACGAGACAATTCGTGAATAGGCAAATCGCACGGTTGAAACACCGCCACCCCAATAGAAGGAGGGCTGTGTCATGCATCATGCAAGAAGAAACGGGAATCAAATGAAACGCACGATTTAGTACATTGCAAACAACTTCCATATTAATTAACTTTAACGAAACTATTTCAACCTGCCGAATCATCCGCTACCTCATGATACCGCACACTCAAGCCTCACACGAAAAGGGTGTCCGGAAAGCCCCGATTTCATAATGATGTTGCTAAATAATTTATTAGTTGGGTCAATTTCACGAGTGATACTAACTGAAAGACTTACAATATCCATAGCAGTGGCATACGTGCCTCCGACAAGAACCAAAAGACCAAAGAAGAACGTAAAGATACAAGCAATAGCGTGCAGGATGTTCTCTCTGGCATACCACTTGCCTCTGCAGATGAGTTTGTACCACATAACTGCCGGGAAATACAGAATAAATCCAGAAACAAAAAGGGCTGAGCTGAGCGAAAGCAGGTCATTGAAGAATGGAATAGCCTCGCCGAGCACCCAGGAGATGATAGTGATGCCAGCAAGTGTGAGCAGCCAAGTGACCCAGCCCTTGGGTGTATTGACAAAGCGCACAATCGAATTCTTGTAGAATCTCAGATGAACATATTTGGCTGTTACTGTGTTGCCAATAGCACCTGAGATGAAGATCATGGGAAGTGCCACGCCAAAGGCCACCTTTGGGAGAATACCCGGTAGCGACTCAAGTGCTGGGCTGGCTACGTCCTTGCCGACAAAGACGTAGATGAGGGAACCAGTCAGGGTGTAAATGAAAATCTCGACACTTCCCAGTGTCCAAACAGACTTCATGAAGTCCTCGGGTGTATGCATTTCGGACATGAAGGGCGTCATGTACATGGCGAAGCAGTACGCAAAGATGATGTTGCAAATGGCCACCATACCATCTTTGAAAGTTGCATCAGGGTTTGGCCAAGCTGACCAGTCTGAGGCACCGATACCGCCTGGCTGGCCAGCAGCGTCCACTCCGGAGGCAATGACAGCGATGCCAATGGCGGTCATAACGCACACCAGGTCGATGTATCCCAGGATGGCAGCCTCTGCAAACGACGGCATGACGGCGAGAATGAAGAGCATGAAGCCTGAGATTGCACTGAACGCAAGACCGCAGACCTTTCCATCGGCCAAGATATTCATGGCAATGCTACCGGTAAGGACGAAAGAGGACGTGATGAGAATCAGCTGAAGCACATACATAGCTCCAAAAAGCTCCTCTCCAAAGCGACCCATGAGTAGACCTCCGATATCTCCATAGTGCTGAATAGATGGATATAGAATCTTGATTTTTCCGATGATCCATGCTGTGTAGATAGCCATAAAGCCAAGAGCTATACAGCAAAAGACACCCGCGACAATGCCGAGTGTCGCGAAGGCACCTGGAAGACTGAATGTTCCAAGGCCAATGGCCTCAACAATGAGAATGACAGCAAGACGCTTCCATCCTAATCGATGGAAGCGAGCTTCACCCTCTGCGGTCTTTTGTTTTTCAAATTCAGTGACGGTGCCGACCGCTTGATCGTAGGAGTGGTCGATGCGCGCGATCTGATCGGGGTCTAACCCAGCGTCTTTTGACGCGTGAGTAGCATTCTGTGGCGTGACGCTGTCCATGCTGAAGACCGTGCTCTGGGAAAGTACAGCAAAAAGGTTAAGGGAGAAATATTTCAGAGAAACAAACTCTGCTCTACAAAATCTGCAACAGACAGCGCAAGTCTTGATTATAAACTAAACAGCGTTTAAATCGCCAAGGTCTGGGGAACTCTCCCCTTCTCCACGCTGGAGCGATCCATTCGTCTCCATAGAGATAGTCGAGACATCCGCCCCCGTGAAGTTGTACGTAAAAATTGCAGATAGCGAGCAATCCATTATGAAATATTTTGAAGCGGTTGTGGAGTTGTGAGTAAAAGTTACGTGATGGGCGACGGGGCCCGCCGGCCGAGGTTCGCTTTACGTTTGCTAGATGCGGCTCTTGTCGGGCTAGAGAATTTTCTATTGGCTAATCGTGACTTTGACTTTCCCATAATTGTTTGGTAATTCGACTTAGAAGATCATGAGACGGGTTTGCTGAGATAGGCAGGTAGTTATTAATATGAGCATGTCAACAAGCGAGATATGTCTGTGGTATTGTGTATGACGTCTCGTTATTTCGATGGAGAATTGGAGGCCGTTTCCTCGTGAACTACAGTAGAAGCAAACCTAACACCAGCCATTAGCGTTAGTCTTTTCGCAGCCCATCCTTATACGCCCTATTGGCATTGTAAGATAAGACTTCTTTATGCGTACTTTTAAGGTCATTCCAACTCTTGTAATCAAGCTGCTTTGCTAGGGCGCCACGCTCGAAATACTTACTCGGTACTGCACTGACCTTTTCTGCAACGATATCAAATTACCTCGGTTCTCACTGTATCCTTGACGATCGCATGTTCATCAGGGACGTGCTGAATCTGAGGCTTGGGGGTCGTTATGCACTCAGCCACCTCATTCGCAAAGACCTTCAGGAGAGCGATTCCTGGAAGCTCTCCCCACGTTTCTCTTCATGCAGGTTGCTTCCTAAGCCTACAGGTCTACTATAAGCTTTAGTGCTTGAAACATATATCCATTCGGTTGCCTGTCATACGACTAACGAGGTCGGCAATTCCTTCCAAGTGAGGCAAGATCGGCAAAGGCTTAGCATCGGCTGAATGGCAATCAGTATCTTAACTGTTAATACTCTGCTACTACTAACACTTTGACCGCGACTCCTTACTTCATTTGAATTGCCCAATAGTGCCTCTTTGTTGCTCTCACTGCGTTTATAACACCATGTCGTCCTCCCAGTCATGCAAGCTAGTCTCGAAGAAGGAAACCCCATCAGCGACACACCAGACCTGTGACTTTGAATCTGACTGACTTAGAAGCTCCCCAAAGATATCACAAAAGTCTCGAATATCAAGCTTAACCTCTTCCACAAGTTGCATAACCTCACCCTATAGGAAGTTGAAATCTGAAAGACGTGGCCGACCCCAATGGAAGAGTAGTTGGTCGATGGACCGAGCCAAAAGGACCACAAAGACAAGAAGAGTCCGTTACATGCTCCCCAGTAAAGCATGAAACGTATTGCCCGTGGGTGCTGCACTAGGGCATGTGAGTTCGAGGTTTGCCCTTGGACGGAATGTGCGCAAAGTACGCTGGTTGGAGCCACCTTGCCCACAGTCTCACTTTAATGAATGTCGACGTGTACTTCGTCGGAAAATGGTCCGTGATCCAACATTAAAATCTTGCTGGCGTAAGAAGATAATTCACCCACGCAAATACCTTCATGTGAAAGGTGTGGTGAGTTCGCAATGCAAGATCGCAGGTTGGTGGTAAACGTTCCTCCTCGGCGCAAATGTAGAGTACTTCCGACAGGCCACAGTCACTGGTCTTTCCCCAGGAAACCAAGTGGGCTAAAAGTGTTCCGCGTATTTTATGTCTCATCTGTGACTTTGTAGTTGAAGTTGACCCATTTGGCCGAGTGAGACTAGAGAGATCCACCGCTACAAGAGATCTGATTTAGCTCTCATAAACATCCAAGTTTGCTTTACTGACTTTTCTGGCACGTCATGGCCAGGAGTGGGCTGAGGGGAGAATGAAGTTGTAAAAGTGAAAGTGTATCTAGCGAGATTTGACAAAGACAGCGATGAGCTTCTCAAAGATTTTCAGCAGAGAGGGCAGCGCTTCACAGAGCTTTAAAACCAAAGCATCTATGCGATGAGCATAATGGCTGGACGCTGAGTCATAACCCAGCGAGTGAACATATTACGGGCGTCAATGGCAACAAAGAGTCTATCAAGTATATCAATAGCGATGTCTTCATTGGTCTTCAGAAGGCATATCAAACACAACTTTCGTGTGAGCCCGGATTTTACTCGTCCATCAAAATCACAGGTGAGCCCTGTACTAAGTATAGCAAGTTTGTAGTTGTATGACACGGAGCTAGACGATCCACCCGGATAACATATCGCCGCTTTTACTTATGTCAACTCAGGACAGGCTTGGGACTAAGTCAGGCAGGCTTACCTTTTACTCTACTAAGTATATGTAGCTTTACATTTCATAAGTATGTTGACAAATAATGGCCTGCTTCCTTATGACCAGGGGTCTAGAACCAATAACCTGTTATATGATATCGATTAGAAGAACAAGTAAAAACAAAACCAGACAGCTTAATTCACAGACATAAGTATGAAAGACGAAATATATGTATGCAGTTATATTAACAAATGACTTCTTAGTATCCGGAGCCCACCAAGTCAGTAATCCCACTACATACATCTGTGATACCACTAGCGAGATGTAATTCATCTTAGCCCTGTGCCTGAATAACGAGTTGACCGCGGTCGTTATGAACAACGGTCACCTGGCCAGAGGAGTATGCGGTGAAGTCGATGGTAAGAACAGTGCCTCCAATTTTGGTCACGTCAATGAGCGACCCCTTAGTATAGTCGCCAACAGTCAGGTAGTAGGTGTTGACGGGTTGGATCTGGTATTTTACGTTGGGCTCGGGGATGAAAGTAGCAGCGGGTCCGTCAATGCTGTTGCCATTCTTGGTACCTCCAAGACCGATGAGGTAGTTTCCTGTTGTTATTGTCAATGATGATGAAGTTGTATCGAGATTTCAGGGAAACTCACCGTTCTTGGCCTCAGCGACGGTAAAGTCGCTGCCCGTCTGGATCTCAAAGGCATTGGGGTAGGATCCGTCAGGTAGACTGTTATCACTGAACTGCGGTGCCTCATCCTGGACAAGAAGCTGCAGTGTGGTACCTGGGACGGCTGTTCCGTCAGGCTTGGTTGAGCCGAGCGTGACATCTTTACTGCCGTTCACGTCGACCTCGACACCCTGTTGAGGGCTGCCCTGGGAAGTTCCAACAACGGCATAGTACTGCTTGTAGACCGAAAAGTTTGCCTGTTGGCCTTTGGGAGTGTTTCCCGTTGCAAAGACGTTGGACCAAATCTGGCCCGAGACTTTGCCAGTGACGACGGGAGGTTTGTTGAAGATTGCGTAGTGCTGCTGGGCACCAGATTGGTTCTTAACTGTGATGGAGTTCTTGTTGACCATTTTGAATATCAAAAGGGGGTGGAAGATATGAGTCTTTTTGGGTTGGGTGGAAAGCTTGATGGTTGTGAGGGCTGTTGTGCTTTGTGTTTGTTTCTGAGTATAGAAGTGACCGGACCTTCGCTGCGTCTTTATACTTTATACTCTTATCACCCATCCTCTTGCACGCCGGGGCATTTGTCAACAATTCATCTGCGCTCAAGCCGGTCTCGCAGGGCAATCATCTCTTGCCCCTCTAATTGAGTCGACCCATGAACAATACTCTTCGGTGATGCCATGTTAAAGATTCATGATGAGGTTAGCTTTGTTTCAGCACCCCCTCAGCTGCCAACCCTATCATCTTGCTCGGTACCCGTGGTGGCTGATCCAGGCCATTCCATTCGTATGTATCTCGTCTTGCCATGTTGACCGAACAGAACATCAGCTAGCCACCGCTGTCGATCGAACCTCTGGTTGTCCGTGTAGAGCGATATTCGTCCATGAGAAAACCGCCGTGATGGCGACATATCCACGAATATTTGCTGATCACACTTTGCGCGGCCCTACTCTAAAACATGCATGCATGTATTGGAAGTCAGCCAGCCACGGAGAGGATTGAGGACTACTATATATGCGTGAGCTAAAACCAAAGCAGAATATCAATTACTTGGCATAGGGACAGGTCGTGGTTTCTGAGACCAAGAAAGACTTATCAATCACATCATTTCCCCTGGCGATTATGATATGCAGGTCTGGTAAATGGGCCTGCGGATATATCCCTGCAAGCGGCTATGCAACCTACCTGGTTCGGCCGGACCACGATGCTTATGGGGTTTGAATGTTCGTCAGACTATAGTATATACATGCAGCTCTAAGTGAGGCAGTTTGGCCATGGTTTTCCTATTATTCGACTAGCAAGTTTCAAGCATGAGCAAACAAACCTTGCGTCACTTCAGTCAATTCTTCAGGCCCCCGCAACGTGCAGCAGCAGCCATGACACCATACACGATCTCGATTCGTAACCAGTCAGGAGCTCAGAGCTCGTACGCTGTCTTCTCCGAGATTCCACACATCAAATCTGGCATCGCAGACGTCAAGGTCACGACACGCATCATGCTGAGCGTCCGCGGCGTTGCCTCAGGATCAGGACAAGCATCTTTCGTTCTGTCCAAGCAGTTGTACGCCACCTGTGGTACTTATGATGTGGACTGGGATTCGACCAACGCGGACAACAACGTTGGCACCGTTGGTACAGGCACCGAGGTCGTCGATATACGACCCGTCGTACTGGGACGCATCGACACGGCCTCGGGAGGCAAACTAGTGCCCGGCACCAGCCTCGAAATCGACGGCAGCGGCGGTTCACCGTCTTTTACCCCAATGCTGCCAGATGTACAGGATGGTGAGGTTGGTAGTTTTGCCATTCGGACCAAGAGCCATTTCACATTCCAACAGGCCAAGCTCAGTACGTTGATTGGACTATGACCACATGCAGTTTGCACATCCGTATCACTTCTCCTCATCTCACCCCATCTCACCTCATCTCTCCCTCCTCGGCCTCGCTTCAGCCCTTACTCGCAATATTGGACTGAGTCCATCATGTCGTGTCGTTTCATTTTACTGACGCCATTTCGGTCAACAGACAAATACGTCGTAGGGTTCAGTTCTTCCGCCCGCCAGACAGTTGGGCCGTATGCGACCTTCGTGCCAGCACCCAACTCATCCTATCAGATCAAGCCAAGCACAGTCTTCTACGTTACCATTGGGGAGCACAACGTAAGAGATCTTGTCCTGGATGATCTAAGAAGTGCCCCAAGCACCTGTCGCATCGATTTTAGTAATCCCGAGACTGATGATATCCAGCTGGTGCATAGCGAGTTTGGGGTGCTTAACAAAATTACTGCGGCTGTCGATTAGAAAGTTGGTGGTGTTGATCTATCGGACGAGATTACTTCTCAAAGGGGTTCCTCAGGCTCTGGAGAACTGGCGCTCATAAGTCCAGTTACTGCTTTTTAAAGAACAATACATCATACTGCGGTATTACCCGTGCTTAGTTTCTTTTTGGGGGGCACCGCTGGATATCTCTTCTTATCACCCGATCTACCCTTGCCTTACCTGTGGCTGACACTGTATCCTCTAGAATGACTTGCTAGTTGGGATCGACAGAAGGGCGGACTGTGATTTGATCACTTTGTCCAACAGTTCTGCTTTCGCATACGCATCTCTCCAAAGCCTGCATCGCCGGAGTGGTCTGGATAAATCTTGAACGAGTATATGCTTTCCACTTGGAGCGGGTTCTCTGACCAGGACCTTGTCTCTCTGTACGCCTCTATACGCCCCAGCTTCATAGAGAGCTGCGTGTCTATAGTGGCCAAAGCTTGTGCTAATATCATGTATACCTTTACAATATAAACTCCTTAATCCCGGCTTAGGGCAAGCTTAGGTGTGTTTAGGCTAAAGCGGTATTGACTTGAGGGTAGGAAAAGAATTGGGAAACGTCTAGGCTCATGTTTTAATTTGTCTATTATTGAATGGTCTAGCCCTGATTGGGCCACTGCTAGAAACAAGTTCAAAGAGCTTGTGCTCGAAACTGATTGCGTCGCGACAATGGAGTGGAATACAACGTTTGACACGGACAACCATGACAGTGACTCGGTAGAGATCTCAACAGAGGCAGAGAGTACAAAACAGAACTTGACAGATAAGGACCTCTGTCTCCTCCCCTCGAGGCTATTGGTTTACTCACTGAGGCATCGCAAGTTCATACATGCCCACGTTGAGAGCCTGAAGTAGCTACCAATCATGTCGAACCCGCTTTTTATGAGCTCAAGATTTCCCATGCCCGCAAGCACCTAATCAAACCTATTATTCAAGGTCATCTCGACAAGAAATGCGTTCTGAGAGAACTAGAACTATAAACAGGAGGGTTGGAGCCCATGGAGTAGGACGTCATCAGAGGGAAAGAAAGGGACTCCTTCTTCTTCTTCATGGAGCCCCATGCGTGAGCAAGACAGCAACAGCTGAAGTAGTCGCGTATACTCAACGAAAGCCTCTATTCTCTATTACGTGGTGACCTCGGTGGCGATCCTACTTTGATGGAGTTCAGCTTATCTATGGTCTTTCGGTTGGGTACGTGTGGCATTGTGTTCTGTTGCTCGATGAAGCTACGATCTTTCTATCACGCAGACAGAAGAAGGATGAGGATCTCCAACGAGATGCTTTGGTGTCGAGTAAGCATCCCAGTCGGAAAACAGGATGCCTTGTCGCTAATAGAAACACATATATTCTTCCTACGAACTCTTGGGTATTACCCAGCTATCCTGTTTCTCATAATCAACAGGGTCGGCACTCTCGTCGAGACTTTGATATCTCGTCTTCACATCACTGAGGTTATTGCTGACCAACTACCATCAGATCTAAAGCACCAAAGTTGATTACAAAACACGACGAGATAAAGCAATTCGCTGAAGACCGATTCCTAGACTGTCCTAGCCAGTCAAGTCCATGGTGTAATGGACGCCAGGCCCGGAACGGCTTCCAGATTGCTACGTCACTGGCGTACGCCGACAGCCCGGATGATGTCGAAACTCCTCAAATATTCCTGCGCGATCATCACTTTGAGCAAGTCCTCGGGTTTATCAGAAATCACGAGCAGTATCAGCCCAATTTGTTGAATTAGACAGAAAACGAACTAGCAATCGAACGTGAGAAGCGCACTCAAATTCCCAGTCACATCCATAGTAGGCAAGACCCTTGTGGGAGTAATCTCTCGCTGGACCCGTGCAGGCCAAGTGGCTGTCCTCAGTCTGTGCCGCCATATACGCCGGCTATGAATCTCAAAACTGTCCCTCGCTTTGTAGGTCGCGATACTCAGGGGTACGGATCTCCTACCCGAAGGAGAGAGGAGTCCTATATACTGGGGACTATCTAGTAGAGGAGCTAAACCAAGACAGCCACGGGGGATGGAGCGGCATTATGGTGGCATGTCGCAGGAAAGTCAGTGATATCCAGTTTTGACGAGTAACTAGGATGCAATATGATAAGGCTCTGGATATCAAAGAATTAAAGGTAGTATATATCGGACCAGTCATAAACAACTACAATCTTCAACAAATGTCAAACCCACATATCTACATTGTGTGGGGTGCAGAATTACGCTAAGCCTGATATCCCACAATGGATCACTAGAGCTCCACAAGCTCGCTGGCACTAAACCCACCGGAGATGACGATGCGCGCAACGGCAAAATTACTCCGGCGGTTGAGGGAGATAACAGAGATTTCAATGGCAAAACGAAAGAGTTCAGGAGGCAGTTGATCGAGCAATGGGTATAGTAGATAGACAAGCATAACTTAGTAGGTAGTTGCAATGAATTCGTGAAATCCATCTACAGTGAGGATATATAATAGTGGATCTTTCCCTTCAGTGACAGACAGTCTAGTACCTGACTAGCAGAGCAGCAGTAAATAAACGCCCTCCAATGATTGTGCAGAACAGAAAAACGCCGAGCAAAGACTAATGAAATAGTGCAGTGTGGTGGTTACAGTACCACCTGCTGTGGGGGACCATAAGGTCCATAATGCCGTTGTGGCAGGTGTTGTAGTGTGTGTTTGTTATGCCATGCCATATTGCTGTTTAGAATGACAGGACCTCCATGATATCTCCCATGGGACTTGCTTCCCTCTGAGGTCGGCCAAAGACCAAAGGTGCCAGTAAATCTACGCCCGAATCTTCCGTCTCGAGGCTCAGGGTAGAGCTGCTGGATATCGATCTTGATGGGGAGATGGTCTTGGGAGAGGACAAAGACGGCGGAGCAGGCGAGAGGTATGCCGAAAGCAGAGCATCCAAGTCTGGTCCATTCGACAACGTCGGCAGCACAGGTCGACTGATTCGTCTGTAGTGTTTCGCAGTCGGTGGCAATCCGGTCTTTGGGCGTGCTATCGGTGCCGAAACGGTTCTCTTGCTCGGCGTACGCGTAAACAACCGCGGGAGCTTGTTGAACGACTTTCGAATCGAGTTGGATCGCGCAGGTGTCGTCTTCGACTTGGTGATGGGCGCCGGATGCTCAAACAGGTCGATGCCGTGCGAGACGGGGACGTTACTGGTGACGGTGTTGTTGAATTCTTCGAGAAGGGAGTGAATCTGCGTGTCGTCGAGGCCCTCTACCAGCTCAAACAGCTGGTCTACCGACCCGCGGCGGTGGAGGCTTAGACGAGGCGAATGGGCGTTGGCTGCCATCCTTTCGAAGCCTCTCTCATCGAGTAGTTCAAGGCGTAGGAAGGGGAAAAGAAAACAAAGAGAGTGTGGTGAGTGGTGAGTGGTGGGTGTGGGGAGAGATGAATGAACGATTGGTCAAAGCCACACAGAATTAAGTTAGGGAAACTGGCGAAAGTGGGAGAGGAGACATAAGGAGAATGGGATGGGATGGTTTGAAGGTGGCGAGCGGGTCTCCCTCGAGTCGGGTACCTGACATGGATGTTTCGGATTGAAATTAATCGACATTATCTTTCCCTGCATGAGGCTAGTGCGCATATCTTGGCACATTTGCCGATGCGACCTCATCAAAGAGTGACAATTACCTGTACGATGATAACATAAATTGTTGTTTGCGTAAAATACAGCTACAGGGCTTCGATTTTATCAAAACAAGCGCCTTTCGCGGCAGTAATATTCCAGCTGGATGCGCACTGATCTGGTCGGAGACACGCATCCAGAAGACAGCCTATTTTTAGCTGCTGACACGCACATGCTCATGCCACAATCCGCCCCATCGTGCACTATGCCACCGTATCGGGGCATAAATCCAAATCTGTGTGACCAACAATGATACCATCGCCTTTATGCGTGGTGTTGTTCACGTGGCCTTGTTCTGTTTTCAATGCGCCTAAGAAACCGTATCTCCTAATCAACCATCGTTGCGTTCCGTCTCAGAGGCTGCGGCAAATCGCGTAACTCTTTGAGCCTATCATACTGATAGTTGCTGGAACATGCACCGTCAGATGATTCAAGAATTGCCTGACTCATAGCCTTTGATGTCATATTGAGAAACATACTGAGGTCATTGTATACTATTTTGCTTCGCATTACAAGCAGATCTCTTAGCTCTTACCATGACATCTGATGGGATAGGTACGCTGACAGTTGGTATTTTTTGAATGGGTATCTAGGCTTCTTGAGCATCAGATTCCATCGACAATACCTGTTGATTTAATAGTACGGCTATCATTTCCTCGCTCACATTTATTTACGAGTGAATACATGATCAACATCTTGTGACTGGAGATAGGTCGGAAATTTTCATTAACACACCACGTATAGCTAAAGGCACAGCAACTTCAATAACTTCAAAATAAATAAGTTCTACAGGATACGTGGAATACCAGAAGTATGTGACCTCAAACCTGTAAATTCTCCGCATGATGATGGCCGTAACATATTAAGATGTCACTTTTGTCTCTTCTTAGCATATCAACACAAGAGTTTGCTATGCCTCTATACAGGTTTCCATAACATTAGTTGATCTACCTCAAAATCTATGACTTTGCTAGCCATTATGACAGGCCTTCTAGTCCTGAGGAAACTTGGCTCCGCCCTGTCTCCTCACTTCATCCATAATCTCAAGCACCCGAACAGTCTCAGCCCAAGGCATGACATCACTCTCTACCTTGCCAGCCGCAATGTCAAGTGCCACAGCATCAGCCTCCCAGTAGAATCCTCTCCCCGGCCTCTCAAATTCAAACTTCTTGCCTTCTGTGTCCTCGCCCTTGTACACCGTGAAACTCGCAGGTGCCGCCGCAACACCCTCCACCACAATATGTCCCTTGGTCCCTTCAATGCGACAAAAAGCTTCAGGGGTCTTGACCTTTGAGTTGGATGTTATAAGACCCTGCTTCCCATCTGGGTATAGTAGAATGATCGAGCTCGTTATATCAAAACCATGGACAAGGCTTTGGGCGGCGGCGATCTTTGGTGTTGTGGCTTTTTCGACTACGCCGGCATCAAGAGTAATTAGTCCCCACGTCAAGCTGTAGATACTAATATCCAATAAGCTTCCCGCACCGAGAGAAAGATCCCTCAGTCTCGACTCAGGGCCCAGAGATTCGATGTGCTGATCCATTGAGAAATCTGCAAACACCCGCACAACATCTCCAATGGCCTTATCTTGATGAACCATCTTCGGCAGCGTCTTTACCAGCGGGGAAAAACGCGTCCACATAGCCTCCATGATAAACACGCCCTTCTTCTTGGCGGCATCAAAGACCTCCCTCGCTTCCTTGGCATTAAGGGTGAAAGCCTTTTCGCACAAGACATGCTATTCATGTGCGATTGCATCGAGACAGTTTTTCTTGTGGAAGCCGTGCGGAGTTCCGATGTAGATAATATCGACGTTTGGGTCTTGGTAGGTCTGTTCGTAGCTACCATAGACGGTTGGAGTTTTGCCGGATAGGTGCGTCTCGACAAATTTCGTGCCCTTTTCGACTGAGGATGAGCCGATTGCTTGGATATGGTGGTTTGCCTGGGCGTCATCTCGCTCGATGGATAGATCGTGGAGGAACCAGGACGAGATAAGACCTGTGCCGATGATGCCCCATCGCAGAGTTGGCTTTGACTCGGACATGGTGTTGGGATTTGAGTTTTAGAAGATTTAATTTATAAGGTGAGTTAATGTGGAATCTTATGAACATGAACAGCGAGTAAAGGACAGTTAAATAGTATATAAAGACGAATGAACTGACGTCGTTTTTGTATTCCGGCTAAATACACTTAATGATGGAGTCTTTCTGGAGACAAACCCCGCGCATCTAACTGCAGAGATACGTCAACAAAACGTCTTGAGTAGAGATAAATATCGTCTTAGTTATTATATCTACCTCCTGAGACTAATTTATGATGCCTTATGTGTATAGCCTCTACAATCCATGAGATAACATTTCGGAAAGCATATCAAGATGGGTCCCGCGATAGAGATTGAAAGTTTTTAAAGGAGTGTATTAGTTAGATTTTTATCGTGTCCGACAAAATCAACGCTCTAAATAAATAATACCAAGAATGATACATCAGTCAAATGCCAAATCGCTTCGTCAAAGAAAGTTCCAAACAGAAACAAAACCCCATATACATCCAAAATCTCTAGCCATATTCTATGCCTCTAATGCAATGCCACGCTATGCTATCAATTAAATGATTCCGTCACTGGAGGAGCACCATGTGCTTGAAGAAAAGTGCCGTCATGATCCACCTCTTACTTGGGGCAGACAGGTCGCTTGCCAGCGCAGGCGTCCTTCTTGCAGCATCCCTTGAAGCCGTTGCTGCAGACCTGGAAGAATCCGGTGCCGGGACGGCATGTGCCATCGGTGGAAGCGGCAGTGGCAGATCGGACCTTAACCTTGAGGGTCTGGGCATCGGGGCACCAGGAGCCGGCGCAGGCGTCGCCCTTGCAGCAGCCGCGGAAGCCGTTGGAGCAGCTCTGGAAGAATCCGCTTCCTTGAGGGCAGACGGTAGGGTCGGTCTGGCGCTTAGCAACGGTGGGAGGGCAGATGGGAGCCTTGCCAGAGCAAGCGTCGGACTTGCAGCAACCTCGGAAGCCGTTGGAGCAGCTTTGGAAGAAACCGGTGCCAGGAGCACAAACAGTAGGGTCAGCCTGGCGCTTGGAGACAGTAGGAGGGCAGATGGGCTGGGCCTGGCTGCAGGCATCGGCCTTGCAGCATCCGCGGAAACCATTAGAACAGCTCTGGAAGAAGCCAGTGTTGGGAGGGCAGACAGTGGGATCGGCATCACGCTTGGCGTTCTTGGTAGGGCAGACGGGAGCCTTGCCAGAGCAGGCGTCAAACTTGCAGCAGCCACGGAAGCCGTTGGAACAGCTCTGGAAGAAACCGGTACCAGGGGCACAGACGGTGGGATCAGCAACGACAGCGGCGTTGGTCACCTCAGTCTCAACGGGCTCGTGCTCCCAAGTCTCGGGCTCGGCGTGCTTGTCATCGGTCTTGGTCTCGGCATCGGGGCAGACACCAGCGGTACCAGTGCAAGCATCAGTCTTGCAGCAGCCACGGAAACCATTGGAGCAGCTCTGGAAGAAGCCAGTGCCGGGAGCACAGACAGTGTCGTCAGTGCGCTTGGAGTTCTTGGTAGGGCAGATGGGCTTCTTGGAGCTGCAGGCATCAAACTTGCAGCAGCCCTTGAAGCCGTTGGAGCAGACCTGGAAGAAGCCTGTGTTGGGAGCACACTGTCCCTCGGGGAGGACAGCTGGGTTTGCAGTTCCCTCCCAGTGGCCCTCATCCTCGGGCTCGGGCACCTTGCCTTTGGGGGGCTCAGTGATGAAAACAGGGTCGCAGGTCTTCTCCACGAAGTCGGAACACCACTTCTTGTCGCAAGGGTCGTTGGAGCACCATCCACGGAAACCGTTGTTCGCGCAGACGAAGAATTGGCCTACACCCTGGCACTCAGTCTGCTGGGCAGTAGGGCCTGCAGAAGCGAGGCCGGTGATAGCAACGAGAGCAAAGATAGCGGAATGCATTTTGGATGTTTATTGATATGGGGAATAAGTTCAAAAGTTGACAGTGTTGTTTGAAAAACCAAAAACGACAGAACTGGCAGACGACCGAGAAGAAGTGAAGGTTTGTAAGGAAATATAAACCGACAAAGGAAAATAAGGAAATAGGAAAGAGAAAAAAGAAAATAGGAAATGTTGATTTGGTGTTTTGGGTTGTGATGATGAGAAGGGAAAACTGACAAGAGGTCGTGGCATCAGAGCCATCTTATACAAAATCATCGTCTCAAGCATCATAGCTTGAAGCTCTCCCAAAACAGTAAGTCAGTAGCTAAATTAGCTGACCACGCCGCAGTAGCTCTCCCCGCCATGTCCGACTTCCAGCGGAGGAGGCTATGCCGCTCTGGCATCTCACAGCCCTCTCCCAAGTGTGCTTACACCTTTTGGCAGTAGTGAGACTCAGCCCCCCGCTGCAGCTGATAATTAGCCCTACGCATTTTTATTTTAACCTTAAGCCTTAAGGACTCGGCGTCAGATTAGGTAAAGTCAGCGTTGGAACGGACTTTGCCGCAGCACAACGGCATCTGCGCCGTGCGGCTTATGATCTCGATTTGTAGCTTCTCAGCCCTGTTTTTTTGTTGTGGCTTTAGACTTTCTCAGAGAGCTGGGCTTTACATCTGGAGAATTGGTTCGTGGATGGTCAAGATTTGGATTCATTGGAGAGACTATTCGTACTCTAATGCTACTCGCTTTCACGATGAAAGATCCCCGGGGCCTCGGCGAAGACAAAGTGCAAAGTAAGCAGCCCCCAATACACTAATTCAATACAGATTCCTTCGCCAAAATTGTTGTCATCGGGTCGTCGCTGGTATGGAAGAGGCATGATCCTTGTTTAGCGTGGCTGTCAAAATCTAATTGTATCTCGGGGGCCGTAACAAAATGGGCGGAGCAGCTCTATTTCCCCATCCTGCTAATGCCCAGGCTCCCCGCTTACCTTGGCTCGTCAATCTGCCACGATGTTTTCGATTCGTGCGACCATGAAGAATATGCGGTCTGTATTTTAGTAGCTTACGGCGGAAGGTTTGTGTTACATTCTAAGCTGGGGAACGGCCTGTCTGTCATCACCACGCGTACAAGGCCGCTGAGGGGAAAGCACCATTGGATCTCGGTCTAGTGAGGGCATCAGCTGAACGGAGGATTCTTTACAGCTCATCGTTGCAGACAGCATGTCTCTATAGTGTAAGCACTGTGCCTCTCTTGGCTCTGTGTAATGCACTGGGCTAGCAAATGCTGTAGTTTGGTACCACACTGCAGAGGTGAAGTGCCTCGATTCTGGACAATAAGCGGCTTCTTTCTGGAGACTCTGTGCCTACTATTGGTTTACCAAGTCTCAGCTGCGGCCTCCGTCCCTTGGGTGTCAAACCCAGGACACTGTGCTGGTAATTCCTTCACAGAGTACCACATTGTAGAGCTATCTATTCTACCTGCTAATATTGACATGAGGTTAACTTATAGCGCAAGCCATCACTAATGCACGTTATGAAGTCACGGTGACTGTTTAGCTGCTCAACGGAGAGCTCGAAAGTTACTGGCTCCACGACTTCACTTGCGTTACCCTAAACCTTCCATCTTTACTCGTGCTAGTCCTGGCTTTCTTAGTGTCAAGGTCCAGACCTAGACAGTGCGGTTGAACATCCAATCGGTATATTCCAGAGGATGAGGTGCTATCGATGAAGTACACGGTATTAGCTATGCAGCATTCTTGTAAGGTTCTTAGACTACAAATGGACAGCAACTCAACTCTGTGCTACCCTCTTCAATGCGAGCATGTATCTCAAATGAAGGAGCTGAAACTAAATCAATTTCAATGAATCACCAGGAGTAGAGTGGCCCGGAGCAAGTATACCCGTGAAAGTTATGGCCCTGGATCTGACGTGATCATCACATTAGAGGCTTAGATGTAAGCAAGCATCCTACGAGTTATGTAATATTTTATAATTTGCCAATCTTAGGTGAAATCAAGATTCGTATAGCCAAGTATGAGAATATCGCTGGAAGAGTTTTCATCGGGGCCGCATGCTTCACTCGTCTGGCTTGCCCAAACAGCAATTTCCAGGGTTATCAATCCTATTGCATCTGCATCGCAAGCACTTTAGAAGGTCCTTAGGTTCTTTCAGGAATTATGTGATTACTTGAGTAACTTCCGGATCAGAGTATAGCCTTAAACCCCTTGAATGATAACATGAACTTCCTCTAAAAATACATGTTCGGATGTCTTTGTTCCATCTCCTTGGCCTTACTTCCAGACTGCGTAGGGGTCTGAATTTCACTCCTTGACACATCGTCAACCGGATCTGATAACAAGACTCCATCCTCTAAATTGCTCTGGGCTTCATCGGAAAACTCCGTGTTGGTCAAATCAGATGGAGTTTCTAGAGTAGGTGTTCCAGTTTGGTCCAGGTCCATTGAACCACCTTGCAGAGCTGGCGTGACGGGTTGATCTGTTCTACTCTGGAACCATGTACGTATATCATCCATATCTCTTAACGGCAGGCTGTCCCATTCTTGTATCCGGTCATCCTTGCGTTGAGATGAAGGCTTAAGTGAGACATGGTTGTTGGTAGGTCCATCGATAGACTGAACGAGGCGGAAAAGAGCCTCCTCGGTCTCTGCAAGACGTGCTTCTAGTCTGTTTATGAAGCCAATAGGAAGACCCCTTAAATACTGTGAGTTTGGTAAACACCTAGCAAGAATGATGGAAGTACCTTTTGTTCTGTTCCGGGTAGTGGCAGTTGGTAGGATCATGGTTACACTGTAAGCAATGGGGCCTGGAAAGAATATTAGTCACCCTATAGATAATGTTAAGTCCTTGTGGAAAACTAACAGCTGCCTATCACACTAAACAAACATAACATTGTTAGTCAAAAGTCATGCTGGATGGTAACCGGTGTAGTGTCTCACCTTTCGTTTGCGCTGACGACAGTGACTACAGGCAATAGGATTCAACTGCCTCTCTGCCTCTTGATCGGTTGGAGCTCCATCATTCGCCATATGCAATAATACAAGGACTAATCCTTGTGCAAGTGTTGCAAATCGTATCCGTATGGTTACTCAGAAGCAAGCGTCGCTCCACATGGAGATGTTTCTAACCCCGCCTCGGCCTTTTCTTTGTCCGGCGCGGCACTAACACTTTTACGCTGCAATTCACGGCTTGGCATTTCTCATAGTCGAACTTCATCTACCAGAAAATAGACATGGAATCGGAGTTTGTCTTCGAACGTCATGTCTTCTCATCACTCACCGTACGAAACGCTGGAGACTGCCTCTCACTCAACTCTGGGCCCGACTGAACCTCAGGGTCAGAAACGAAAACACTCAACGTCGGGACCACAACCTGCACGCGAATATGGCTTGATGCGCGACACAGGCGAACACGATGCCGCCCGGTTTGTTGGTAGTGGGAGCGGTATTCACTACATCCGTGCTGTTCACCTGAGACTTGCCAAGAGATCTGCGTCAAGAACAGGTTCGGCGATCAACACTCTTATTCCCGGTGAGGACGACCAGCTTCGCCAGGATGCTTCGACGAAAAGAAATCGCGAGCAATTCTTGTGGAAAGATGATGAGGTGTCAAGTGAATCGGAAACTCTGCCGGCTTTTGAAGACTTGGTAAACTGGTCGAAAAGCTATTTCGAAGCTTGGCATCCTGTTCTTCCTTTCCTTCATGGCCCTGAAGTTCTAGGCTTGTTCGAAGAGGTTTCGAAAAGTGGCATTTCATCCCTCAGTTCTATTGATAGAGTTATTGTTAAATCGGTACTCTCTATTTCCTTAGCGGACAGTCGTCAGGCCATCGCTTTCCAAAAGCCAGTCCCGAAAGACCTCGTCTTCAACAACGTGGATGATGCACTAGCAAGTTCTCAATTCGCCCTGACTCAACCTGCCTCGGTCCGATCAACGCAGGCTGCTCTTGCTATTCAGTTATTTCTCACTTCCATGCTCTGTTTGAACGCCGCATCTAGATTAGGTGGTCTTATCGTTCGTACAGCGTTTCACATGGGTCTTCATCGCTGTCCGACGCGATATCCCTTCTTCACTGCCCAGGAAGCTTCCGTTAGACGGCGAGTCTTCTGGTGTATCTATATCCTGGAGAGGCTCCTTTGTCAATCTCTCGGTCTACCTCTTGATATACGCGACGATGATTTGGACGTATGTTATCCCGGTGAAGAGCGCCATGCAGCCACCAATAAAGAAGAAAACACCGAAAGGTTACAGCTTCTCGTATTCGTAACGAAACATGCTCGAATCAGGGGTCTTATTCTAGAGCTTAGGAACAAGTCCATGCTACAACGGCAGGACACCGCAGATCGAACAGCCTTTGTCCAGGCTGAATTGGCAAAGTGGTTTAACGAGATCCAAGACGCTGTGGAAGAGGATGATCTTGCCGACTGGGACGCAAACGCTCCCACAATCTCTGAGCATCACAAACTTATGCTCTTAGTTCTGAAGCATGAATCGGCGATATGTCTGAATAGACCTGGCCTCGCCTCCGAATATCCATCCTCATCTTACTCATCTGCCTTCCAGGCCTGCATATCCGCTGCAAAATCAATATTAATAATCCTCAAGAAACACCGAAATCGCCATCAGTTACAGGAGAATTCAATCGGTGTTAGATCACAAACGCCCCTGCTCTGGCCTTCCTTCACATGGTCTATATGGATCAGCGCATTCGTTCTCATCCATGCCGCTTTTGAGAAACAAATCCCTCTTGGCAGCGCCTTAAGGTAAGAAAATATTTATTACTGTTGAATTCCTGATTTCTGACATATTGCCAGGCATGTTGCAGCAGCGAAAGACATACTCGGTCACCTCGCTGCACGAGATACATCTTGGCCCGAATACTGTCTTGGAGCCATCGATGAACTTACGTCGGCGGTTCAAGAGCTCTCTCAAGAACGTATTCCGCTCATTGAATCGCCCGTAGACGCTTCTATCACTACGCGAACTTTCTCACCTGGCCCTTCGTATCAAAGGCAGGCAGGCGATAACGTCACACCCAGTAGACCTCCAAGAGTGCAGCCTGGGCAGACACAAGGGCACTTTAATAACTCAAATACTGGTACTGGAACTAGCGATACAATCGCTGTTGCGCAGAACACTTCATCTGCGGATATACCCTTACCCACGGGCCTTTCTACGGCTTCCAGGTCACATCATAAACGACCTCGAACACACAACCCTGCAGGGGCAATAACTCAAGATACACTACATTCCCAGCCGGATGCCTCTTATGGTACATATTCTAACGACTTGCTATCTACACCAAACACTTCACTAGCAGAGACTCAGCCATGCCCCGACTTGAATACAATACCACTCGAAGGCCACGAGTCGATGATGTGGTACGATCAACTATTCGCAAGTTCATTCAGTGCTATCGACAACCCCTTTCTTGTAAACGCAGAATTTGACGCCTCTGTTGATCCAAATTGGAATTATTTACGGTAGCCAGCTCTTTTGCTACACCTCCTTCACTTCTATCACCTCGCGAGACTTATTCAATACCACTTGCACATGCTTCTTTTCGCCCGACCCATCTCTCGTCCCATGAAAGAAGTTCTGATTTTGGAGACGTTCAAGGAATAGCTCGTAAGCTGGCATATATCCCTTCACGAATTTGATCACCTGCTCGTCTGTCATGCCGGGCTTGTGCTTTCGCAGTGCCCTCTCTTGATCTAACCGCCAATCGTAAACCTGAACCAATCTATCTGTGCTCAGATGCAGAAATCCATCAAAGTGCTGCGGGCCAGCAAATGTCTCACAGTATCTCTTGAGGTTTGCGTTGATGAGTAGAAGATGACTTAGGTCATGAGTTGCCAAGGTATTCGTAAGCGCCCAGTCCTCAGACTGCTGTGCCTGAGTGGCTTTGGCCTGCTCCCATTTCTTTGTAACCTCCTCTTCGGTCAAAGGTTGAAAGCCGAGTGCCCAGCCCTCGAAGATAAGAACGTCGAGATCTTGGCCGAGAGCCACCTCTTCCCACTGCTCGACAGGGACCCTACCACCTTGGCCACTATGGAGACTCTTGTCGTAAGCCGGCCACTTGACAGCCTTCTTTTCATCGTCTGATCGGCCAAGGACCTGATCGAAGAATTCTTTGGCCAGAACCTCATCGTGAGTTCCAGGCTGACCACGGCTCTGAAGAAGCCCGTTATCGGGATTCGCCTCTTTGATGTCGACGAGCTGTGGATGGTCATGATAAAGGTCGTCCAGAGATAAGGTGCGATTCTTCAGGTTATGCTGGGCGGTTAAAGCCTGAGAAAGTGCTGCAGCCCATGTTGACTTTCCACTGCCTTGAAGACCAGAAAGACCCAGGACGAATGGTTTTGAAGTCTTCTTTCGATGAGCTTGGATTGAAGGGACAAAGATAGCCAATACGGCGTTGATTGCGGTTGAATCAATCATGGTAGTGGTATTGTAAAACGCTGGAATATTCTTAGCATATATTTTGAGGCAATTCAAGAATACATGTAAAGCTGGAAATGAAAAGGATTAGACAGACTTTGCCCGCAACTCTCAATATTATGAACAAGCCGAGATAGAGAGAAACCCCCTTGACGTTTTGCGAATATGGATGCGGATAACTCTTCCCCGCATGCTGTAAGCCAAGATGCACGGATAACCGTAGTCCGTAGATCATGACGGACTTGCAACAGCGAGATTATTCTGTTAGCCGAATTGAGGACAAAGGACGCAGCGGACAAAGAAATGTCCGCCTGAACAACTCCACACCAAGTGACAAGCATAACACAAGTATACGACTGAGGGACTTCCTATACATAAATACTATAATTCATCTTGTCATAATTCTTTGCAAACTTGACTTTCATCTCACTCAATTCAGATATTCATAACCTCATCATGTCTCCTTCCGCAAACATCGTCAAGAAGTCCTACAGCATCGCCTCAATCCCTGCTGATGGCATCGGTCCTGAGGTCATTTCAGCTGGTGTTGAGGTTCTGGATGCTCTAGCCGAGACACTTCAAACCTTTGATCTTGACTTCACTCACTATGACTGGAGTTCAGATACCTACAAGAAGACGGGAAAGTATATTCCTGACGGCGGTCTTGAGCAGCTCAAGAAGCACGATGCCATTCTCTTCGGCGCAGTAGGCGCTCCTGGTAGGAAACTCCCTCTCTGTACTCCAAGCTCACCACTTACAATCATCTTCAGATGTCCCTGATCACATCTCCCTCTGGGGTCTTCGTCTGGCAATATGCCAGCCTTTCCAGCAGTACGCCAACGTGCGACCAACACGCATAATGCGCGGAACCCAGTCACCCCTACGAAACTGCAAAACCGGTGATCTCGACTGGGTCATCATCCGTGAAAACAGCGAGGGCGAATACGCCGGCCAGGGAGGTCGCTCTCACCGCGGTCATGCTTGGGAGGTAGCCACTGAAGTTGCCATCTTTACCCGCCACGCTGTTAGCAGACTTATGCGTTTTGCCTTTGAGATTGCGCAGAAGCGACCAAGAAAGCATCTCACTGTTGTTACAAAGAGCAATGCTCAGCGAAATGGTATGGTCCTCTGGGATGAGGTTGCTGCGGATGTTGCGAAGGAGTTTCCTGATGTGACGGTGGAGAAAATGTTGGTGGATGCTATGACTACCAAGATGGTTCTCAAGCCTGAGAGTATTGATACTATTGTTGCGAGTAACTTGGTAAGTCGAAGATTGACCTATATAGGAAGAGTATCACTAACAGATTCCTCAGCATGCGGACATTCTCTCCGATTTGGCCGCCGCTCTCGCCGGCTCTATTGGTATCGCACCCACCAGCAATCTCGATCCCAGCCGCGAGAACCCCTCCATGTTCGAGCCCATCCACGGCTCTGCCTTTGACATCACCGGCAAGGGCGTCGCCAATCCCGTGGCGACCTTCTGGACAGCAGCTGAGATGCTTGCCTGGCTTGGTGAAGAAGAGGCATCTACCAAGTTAATGGAGTGTGTGGAAAACGTGACGGCCTCGGGAGTTCTTACGCAGGATCTTGGTGGTAAGGCGACGACTAAGGAGGTCACTGCCGCGGTGGTGGAGGAGATCAAGAGTTTGAATAAGGCCTCCAAGTAGTTTATTTACCCTGTGAAAATGTAAAGATGAATGTATTCTTTGTAACTCTGGTCAAAGAGATCTTGAATAACATCGTTTGTTTGTCTGGGTTCATTGTTTATGTGTTACAATTCCATGTGTTATTGTTCTTCACCACGCCTTTGTTCTTGTCCAGCAGCCAGCAACATCTCTTGGGATTATCTACCTGTCCCCGAGCAAAACTAGCGAAATACAGTGTCATAACTTTACAAGTAATAACATATTGGGTAGGTAGAAATATCAATAATTTCATAGCTGCTTACTTTCTTGGATCCAGGACTAGAGAGCCTTTCAATCTTTCATATAGCCCTACTGCGGAGGAGAACGCGATTCTGGTAACTTGCGGACTGAGGCCAGCCGCTCATCTTCAATAAACTCTTTTTTGTATTACTTGGATCTATCTCGCCGAAATCGTTGAACAGGGTTATCGAATCATCCACAAGGTTCGTTGAGGTAGGCGGCTACTATTGTTCATCGGGCAATAAGCCACTCATGCGATGTTATTGTGAACTTTAATGGATTGGGTATTGTGTTATTTGTTATTGTACTTGTTTCAGTCAGGTTTTGAAAATAATTTGTGTCGAGCCCTGGGATAAGATTTGAAGCTTCACCAAGATTGTCACTACAAAATGCCGAATGATCACGTACGTCACTGTGCAGAGGATGCAAGACGCGGACAGAAGTTCTCAAAAATATACATGTATCTAAATCAACGGAAGGCTATAAAATAAACCATTTCCACATGTAATACAAAACCATCCAAATCCAATGTGCAAAGGAACAACGTCTACTTCACTGTCTCCAAAACACCAGACACCTTAGCAATCTTGATCCTGGCCTTAACGCCCTGGATTGTCGTCCCGGCGTCTCCACCCTCAATCGCGACGGAAGAAATAACGATTGTAAATTGACATTACAACATGCTCTTGAAGCTCATCTGAGTCTTCTGTGTCAGATTCCTCCCCACTCTGCTGATTCTGTTCATCTCGCAGATTTTCAAGTCGCTGCTGTGTCGCCCTGTTCACTTGACGCATTCGCTCTGTCGCCAAGGCCAATTGGCGGCGTTCTTGCTCTCTCGCCGCCGCAGGGTCAAGGTTTCGTTCTCCTGCAGCCCGGCCTTGGGGTTGGGCGGGGGGTTGTCCTTGCGGTGCTTGCTCTACTTGTATACCTCGTTCTAGTTCACGTGCGACCCGTGAATCGTCGTGTTGATGGCGAGGGTTGTTTTGATGCCGGTCTATCAGGCGTCTTGGCACCATGAGTCCGGGGGCTCCATCGTTGGCCGGCATTCGCCCATGGATTCCGGGGCCTAACAGCATGCCAGCAAGGGGTGCCGGAAGGCCCACTGGTATAAGCTGCGTCTCTCGTTGTCGGCGATGGTGATGGTGGTGGTGATGGTGGTGGTGGTGGCGATGCGCATCATCCGGTCGGTTAGCCTCTCGAGGCTCCTGTTGGGCCACGAAACGATCATCTTGTAATAACTCCACAGCGTTTCCACGCCCGTGAATCCCCCTCTGCCCTCTAACTCGAAGTGGATGTTGAACAAGTTCAGGGGCTTGCTCTCTTTGCCGCTGCCGCTGTTGTCGTTCACGCTCGTGCTGTCTGTCAATCTGCTGCGGTAGCACCAATGGCCTGATCACTCTCTTTCTCGTCGCTGAGGCGGCCGGGACACGGTTCTCTTCTCCGGCCCGAGGTCGCAGCTGCGGGATCCTCACAGGGGCGTTCTCCGATGCCGATTCCTCCGTGCGATGCTGACGGCGACGACGGAACTGCGGTGGCTTGACGCCAGGGCGATGTTTCATGGGCACCATTCTATGGAAATGGCCATAGGGTGGACAATTGCAAGACAACCAGGTATTGCCGCAGAGATAGCAGAATTGTTTGCCGCAGACACATGTCATATGGTTGCACGCCTCCAACAGCTCGACCATCCTACCACATCCTGGGCAGTTGACCGTCTTGTTCTTATCCATCATAGCCCATACATCTTCTTCTGCGTCCCCTTGTTCGCAGGGACGATCTGGGTGGGCCTTTTCGAAACATTCGACACATGTTTTGCGGTGGCAGATAAGACATGATCCTTTACAATCCGGTGGGATAAAAGCGGCGCAGTGTCCGTTGTAGCAGTAGAGGCGATCGTGGATCGGAGTGTCGGCTTCTTCCTTCATCTGGCGGAATAGATGGACAAGAGCAGGCGACCCCGCAAACGCAACGACCGCGTCGTTAAAAGGCTTGCAGCACCGGGGAGGGAATTCTTCTTGGGAGCGAAGACCACGGCAGATAGCCATGCGGAAGCAAGACATGCAATAGTAGCAACCACAAGGGATCCTGAGATGGGCGGTCTCAGTACAGATGAGGCACTCTTGGGGTAATCCTGATGTGGGTACATATTCGTGCTCTTCAAGAGCAGCTTTCCTCTCGGCGCGATCCAACACAACTCGATGAGTGAGGTCCTTTACCTCAGGGCTGCGTAGTCGTTCGAGTGCAAGCTCCTCCTCTGGTATGATCCTCGAGACTAGAAGAGCCTGCTCGTATGGGTCCGCAAGTTCAATGGCAAGATTACAGATCCTTGCCAGGTTGGCCTCTGCGTAGCCAGACTCTCTGGGAGGAAGGAGCTGGAGACGAATGATTAGGTCCACCAGGTCCGGGTGGATGCGGTCCAAGGCGTCACTGGGCATCGTGTGAGTAGAAGTTCGGGAGGGTTAAAGAAGGCGTGTTAAACTCGTGTCCAAACGAGCCAGCGGGTGTAGTATAGAGGGTTCTGATCGGAGAGTAAGTTCGTGGGTTGAGTAAACCGAAATGTATAGTTTGGTATGAATGAGAAGGGTCAGTTTAGGCGAGAAAGTGTACGGGTGTTTAGCAGAATAAGTCTGTGGTCGATTGGCAAGAAGGTTGGCAAGGCATGATAAGCTTTTTATCTTCCACGATCTGTCCAGAGAAAGGATAAAGTTCAAAGCACTTTGACTGTTCAGGGACAAGAGAACCGTACAGTGACCATGGTCGTTAGTTCCAGCATGTTTCAGATCTTGGTGTAGAACAATAGGATCTCAAGCTCGTGGTGACTTACTGTTCAGTAGCTCATCTTCGCAAGTGACCACTCCGTCATGGAATGCGAATAGACTGACCTTCATCCTACACACAGACGTGAGCGATAAAGTTTCGTTACCTCACAAGGTTCGCACACATCACATGGACACCAAAAAGAATGCTGGAATGCTGAAATGCTGAAATGCTGAAAAATGCTGGTATTGAATCCGACAGGTAATCAAATCGATAATGCGCTGTCCTTTCTTTCTGTAACCTAAGAGATCCGTGATCATGCGCCATCACCTCGCTTCTCTCGACAATTAGCCGCTGCCCACAGGGTATCCGGGCATCCATTCATCGACGACATAAAACACTTGACTCCCTGAAAGATGGTAAATGATCAAAAATATCCAAGAGCCAAGTTTGGTTCCCAACCCAAGTCCCCGGTACCGACAGTCCGTAACCCCAAACTGTGGGGGTGAAGTGATTCAATCCACGTGGGTAGTAACAAAGTCAAACAAAGAAACCTGATAAAAAAGATGATAACGCATAAACCCACAAACTCCACCTCGTCGTGAACTCCATCGCTGATTCCCTATGTGACGTTGAGGGTAAATGACACGCAATATAGACAAACAATTCGGCGACTCGAAGCCTAATAGCTGAAGTCGACATTGGCCATGGCCATGGCCGGTGGACCCTTGTTCTGGTCATTGTTGTTACAAGGTGATGAACCGTTATTGTTGTTGTTGTTGTTGTTGTTTTGGTTCACGGTGATAGAGGACCCATCACCGTCACCCAAGGTTGTGTCTGCGCTTGATGCGGTTGTTGTCGCTTGAAGTTCGTGGCCAGCGGGAGGTTGAGCGCTTGGTGACCAACCATCGTTGAGCATCTGCTGGAAACTCCAGCTCGGTTCGAAGGATTTGCTGTTCCATGCATGGTTCACCCGTTCGTACATCTCGTCGATCTGCTCCAGGCTGATTTTGCTTGTCTCATACACGTTACACCACACAAAGAAAACAGCCAAAATACAAAAGGCGCCCCAGATAAAGAAAATTTTGGGACCAAAGGCGGCATTGCCTGGTCCTGAACCAACCAAGAAAGGTGCACTGTAAGCAATACCAAAATTGAGGAGCCAGTTCGACGCTGTTGAAACGGACATGGCCTTTGCTCGAACTTTCAGAGGGTAAATCTCTGAAGTCACAACCCACACCACAGGACCCCAGGATGCTGCAAAGAAAAAGATGTTGATGGCACAGAAGGTGATGAGGATAGTCTGAGATGCCTTTTCGAAGCTTTGTCCTGTCGCAGTGTCGAATGACGCCATGAGAAGTTGGCAGCCAGCCATGCCAAGGGCTCCGATCATCAAAAGTTTTCGTCGGCCCCAACGCTCGATAACTAGTAAGCCTGGTATTGTCGACACAACATTGATAATATTGATGATAAGCGACTTAGTGTATGGGCTCTCCACGCCGGCACCGTCAAAGAAGCTTGTACTGTAATACATTATGAAGTTGATGCCGGTAAGCTGTTGAAGCATTTGTAGTCCGCAGCCGGTAAAGGTTCGTCGACCAAGGTGTGGTGAGCCGATGAAGATGTCTTTGTAGCTATCGGGACCTAATGTTAATTCGTATTGGTGATTGGCGATCATTTCTTGCAATTCATCGACCAGTGCAGGATGAGTAATATCGAGGCGCCGAAGTCGACTGAGTGAGAGGCCGGCAGCTTCATGAAGGCCCTTTTTAACAAGAAATCGGGGTGTCTCCGGTAGTAATAAAAGGCCGCCAGTGAGAATAACCGCAGGTACTAATTGAAGGCCAAGAGGTATGCGGTATGCTGATGAGTTGTTAAGTTTAGAGGCGAGGATGTTGACTATAGAAGCGGAGAGGAGACCAAAAGTAATTGATAGTTGATATGCACAGACGAGAGTACCTCGTATCCATTTGGGTGCCATTTCAGACTGATATAATGGAACGAGAACGGATATAAGGCCGACACCAACGCCAGCAACGAATCTAAAGATGAGTCAATAATGGAACTCGCAAGTTCGATGGATTGAGCACATACCTCCCAACCAGCAGTAAGTCGATATTTGAAGCGCAAACTTGGAAGATGGCGCCGATGCAAAATATGCCAACAGCCAAAAGAAGTGTCTTGCGACGGCCGAGTGAATCGCCAGTAGGTGCAGCAAGCAGGGCACCAAGGGCTGTGCCAGCGCTAAGAATGGCAACTATGATAGATGAGTCTTTTGTGCAAATGTCTAGGGCACCGTTTTCGTCGAAGCAATTTGTATGTTTTCCGAACTGCTCCTTGAACTCTGTCATGGCAAGGATGCCGTTGATGGCTCTGTAAAGATATGTGGTTAGTTTTCTGTAAAGAAAAATGATGTGACGCGATGAAATGGGCTGGTTTTGGACAAGTCGGAGGCGTTTGGAGATAGAGTCGGTCGGTTCATCGCGGCAGGTTCGGAATGGCGAGTAGTTCCCGGATTGTAAAGCGTTCCGTATGCAATCCCTTCTTCTATTTCCACCCGATATTCCGATTTTGCGTTGTTTTGAGTCCGAAATGTGGTGATGGAGGAGTCGTCACCCTTGTCACACGAGTCCGCCGCAGTCGTCGCATCGTGAAAAGTCAATCGTAAATGTTGTATATGGCGTCCGAAAGCATTTGTCTGTTTAAATCTTGTCGCTGGTGCAATAGAGTCGATATCGCCGTATCATGCCGCGCCGTGATGCGTCCATTCCCATGTCCCAAGCCCATCAAAGTCAAAGGAAAATGGTGGTGTGTCTTACCCAGTATCGTAGCCGAACAGCAACCCGCCAGAGGCAACGAAGAGACCGACCATGATGGCCGGGGCCGACGAGCCCGCGACATTGTCGGGTTTCTGCCAGCCCATGGCAATGGCCATGGTGTCGGTGTTGAAGTCGTCAATCCAGGGTTCAGAGACGTCGAGAGCGAAAGGCTCCGGGTCGGCGAGATTTTGGTGGAGGTTGAAGGGGTTGAGATCAACGGGGGGACGCTGGGCGATTCCGTGTGGGTAATAATGGACGGGCAGGCGATGACCACTGGTTTCTGCTTTCTGATCCAGACGTTGGAATACTCGCACTGGGTACTATGTACTTGAGCTGGTCAAAATCGATGCTTCGTCAGGTGGTGTTTGTTCGGAAGAGAGGTGGTACAAGAAATGCTAAGGGTGATGGAGAATTAAAAGTTATAGAGATAAAGAAGAGTTCGATAATAATAATGTATAATGCTGTAGAAGGATATCCATACGCTCAGTCCATAATCAGACCTGAGAAAAGTCTCAAGAAAAGATAGAGAGGGGCAGACCTGAATGATGAGAGCGTTCCGTCTCCAGACAGGAGGCGAAAAAGGTAGGGATCGTCACAACGGGGGGGGCATCTAGCCCTCTTCTGGTTAAGCTTCTTCATTGGCTCCCTGCCCTGCAGCCACTGGAACCTCGTCAAGCCATACAAGAGTGGGCACTTTATGTTGGAAAGAGCGTGGACTGGCTGAGCTAAGCGAGTTACAGTGCGGTTTGCCAAGCGGTCGACGATACAACACTCCCATCCTGCAGAATGCATCATGATAGGTACTTTCCACTTGCCCTTTGTTGTATCATTACACAACATCAAATCTGCCAACGGCTCTGGATATTAGATATTCACCTGGCACTGCATCAAGCACGCGTCTTCTTACAGAAATGCCATGGGGACCTCGAGCGTCTGAGCGCCCCAAATCTGAAACTGAGTTACGTTGACACCGTCCCAGCCTGGACAGACCAGGCCGCCAGGGCTGCCAGGGGATAGCTTTGCTTTACTTTTCAGCTCCAAAGCGGCCAAGTAATAGTTTCATCTCGAGCGGCTTCTTTCTTGTTGTTAACAATGGTATTCCGGTGAAGAACCTCGGTGGTAGGCCGCTATTTGAACAAGGGATAGAGGCTGCATGCCGGCTACTCGGTATCAGGAACAGGAGAGTCCGACCCTTGCCCATTCATGCAGTCCAAATTTAGAGAAGCCAGTACCTAACAGAGCGTTGGAGTTTGGAGACGTCAATACCATATGCTGGTATATCGTCACAAAGAGTCGCACCTCACAATACTCCCTGCCTCGACTGAGTTGTTCAAATTGGGAATTCTGGATGAACAGGCAGTTGGGAGGATCACGCCAAGAGCACCAAGAGCACAGTCAAAACACTGTATTCCGCACGTAGCCACTCAAGACGCTGTTGCGCCGCCGCCATGCAGCGCTTACCCCGGCTTAACACCCTGTTACCGTTGGTGCATCCAAACTGTAGACCTAAGTTCATCAGCAGTTCCGCAACCGGCACAGATACTTTCAAGCTACGTGCGGCTGCTGTTGCCTTGCACAGTTTGCACAGTCTCTAGTTTCCCCCGGACAATCAAATCACCCCGGGATTTGTGTCTCGGTACCGGTACTTGACAAGATGGTTGCTTGCTTGAGGTGAGCGACGTCTCCCATGACCCTTGGTACGGAAGCTGTAATCATCCGTAACTTGGAAGGAGAAGTGGCCGACGGGAAATGCCTTTAGCAGAAGTTCATGATCCAGCATCAGGAAGAAGATCATTCAGATATCTCGCTTCACAAGCCGTGTCAGAGGGGATAGGGCGCGAGATGTTAAGGCTCCTCCAATGTAAGCTTAAACCATGGCTTTAAGCTTCAAAATGTGGTCTGATCAAGACTATTTTGTCTTGTTTGAAGCTGGTTCAGCCGTTGCTACCGGTAAGAATTTCTCTTTGACTTGCTGACTTTGACAGTACGCTGCGCGTCTCTCAACATGACAATCACATCACTAAACTGCGAATTCTCTCAAGTCATGCGACGCCCCTTGCTTGGCATCATTCAGAGCGTATCCTGTGGCTGGGTCGCTCTACATGGCGCATTAGCAGGATGTCTCCCAATTGAGAAGGCCTGTAGTCTCTCTCACCTCCAATCCCACAGAGGTACACAACGAAATAATGGCCGACAGAGCAGTTGGGCCTATTACTTCGAGCATCGCATATTAATACACATTTCTGCAACATATCTAACAATCTAATTATATGAAGAGGCTCCGCTGTCGATATATAGATCGACAATCCTCCGTTCCACCTAGATTGCGTACGGGTATTTGTCACAGACCTGCCAGGTACAGTATTCTTTCAACCATTAACACTTGCTCGGTTTTTCTTTTTGCGGGGTGCAGCCAAAATACGGGGGTTCAGACATGGGTGCGAAAGTCAGAGCGTGTCTTAGCGGAGAACAGTGTTTAAGAACTGCGCTGTCATTTTCACGTGGCTCGAATTTTGTGACTATTGGATTGTCAGATCATCGTAAAGTTGCCGGACAAGCGGATGTTTGATGTCAACACCAAAATTCACTGGCCTACCCTAGACTATTGCACAACTATCGGAAATCACTTGAACTTTTACATGGCTATTGTGCGTTTCCTATTAAGCTATTCAACATGTGCGAAACGTTCTGCGCCGGATTAGCTATAAGTATGACGACCTTTTGGTCATGGACGTTGTGCGAAACGAAACCGCGGATTCGTGTCGTTCTCTTGCGAAATTGGAAACAACTTCTCCCAGAACTTCTACCGCCGTACCGTCGATTGATCAATGCAACGTATTCTTTAGGCCGCGTGGTAGTGTAACTCATTGAAACAATCCCAAATAAACGTTCCTTGCCCTGATCGTCAGGTACAGGCACCAAACGCGTCCCTACCTCACAAGAACGAATGCGGTGGTACATGTGTTATGGACGCGATGGTGCAGAGACGACGACCCTAATAAAGCCACCAGCCGTTGATCAACGTCCAGCCTCAAACTATATCGACATTTGCACAGTAAGAGAGATTCACTGCAGGTCCAAGGAGAAACGTTAAAGTATATACCCAAAAAGGTAGTAGTAGTTATCTTCATAAATTGTATGAACTAGATTGCAACAAGCTGCATGCATCCCGCCTATCAATACAAAAAATCCTTGACGCCTTAATGCCAAAGCCTTTTTTCGGCATGAGGTACAAAATCTCGCACAAAAACACAAGTCATCGCGGCTCATTTTCTTTGCCGCGTCACCATCGTTACATAGGTTCACCATGGCTATTGCTCTATGGCTCCAGAGTAACCTCCTGGCCCTTGACGCGGCCAATGACCTGCTGAGGCGCATACTTGGGAATGACCTCATCGTCGTGCAGCATCTCGAACTCCTCAGTCGCGTCGCGGCCCATGAAGTTCAAGATGGCCTGTACACCACCAGGGTGCTCATCCAGCCAGTTGCTGAGGTCCATGACGACACCCTTGACAACAACCCAGACATCGCCCTTGGTGTTGTGCTTGGCAACCTCCTCCATTGTGAACTCCTTCTCGGGAACCTTGAAGGACTTGGGGTCGTTGGGCTTAGCAGCCTTCTCACCGTCCTCCTTTGTGGGGTTGGGACCGGCAGCAACGCTGGCATGCTCATCGACCTTTGAAGGGGCACCGGAAGAAGAACCGGCACCAGGAGCACCCCAAGAGACGGTCACCTGGTTGGGCACAGAGGGGTCAAGGTGCAGAGAGATCTGACCAACACGCTCGGCTGCGCTGCCGACACCACCCTTGAGGGCGTTCTGGAAGAGGTAGTTGCTGGCAGTATCACCAGCAACACGGCCGTAGACAACACAGCCGAGAAGAGAAGAACCACCCAGACGGTTGGCACCGTGGACACCACCGGCCAACTCACCACAGGCGTAGAGACCCTCGAAAGGCTGCTTCTCCTGGTTGAGAACCTGAGCCTTGTCGTTGATCTCAATACCACCCATGGTGAAGTGGAGAACGGGCTCCATGACAGCGACGTGGAAGTCGTCGTCGACATCAAGGGGCAGGTTATGGAAGAACTTCTTGCCCCAAGGGTCCTTCTGCTTGCCATCGGCAATAGAATTGTAGGTAGTGAAAGTCTTCTGGAGGTGCTCGGGGGAGCATCCAATCTCCTTGGCAAGCTCCTTACCGGTCATCTTCTTCATGAGACCACGACCAGAGTAGTGACGGGTGTGGAAGTCAAGGACCTTGGAGGCCTTTGAGTTGAGAATGAGTCGGATGGGGAACTTGTCCTTCTTCTTCTCATCCCACATCATGCCGGAGACGTAATCACGGTGACCAAGCTCATCACAGAATCGGTCACCATCGGCATTAAGGAGAAGACCACCCTCACCACGGAGAGCCTCAGCAGCTAGGAACTTCCACTTGGAGCCAGGGTCCTTGGGATCGACGAGGCCTGTAGGGTGAACCTGGACCTTGTCCATGTCAATACCGTTACCACCAATGGCCATGACCATCTTCTGGCCATCACCAGTAGCGTGTGTACCGTTTGTGGTGGCGAGGCCGTAGGTATCGGGACGGTGCTTCTTGAGGAGGGAGGAGTCGGAGAAATCAGCGGCGTAGCCACCGGTAGCAAGGATGACGGGACCGCTGAGGTCAACGATCTCGCCGTTGTGCTCGTACTTGACACCAGTGACCTTGTTACCCTCCTTGTTAAGCTCGGTGACGCGGGCCTTCTTGACAATCTCGACGCGGCCGGGTTCGCTTTCGGCAAGCTCCTCGAGGCGCTGCATCAAGGCGTAGGTGATGGCCATACCAGGGAACTTGGCATCGTGTCCTCGGTGGGTTCGGGGTTGGGAGTGGCCACTGTGATTATTGTTAGCTGGCTGTCTATGATGCGACGAAGGTGGCAAATTGAACATACCCGAGACGAGAGACGAGGGTGAGGTCGAGGTTGAACTCATCCTGGAGCCACTCAACGGCGGCGGCGGACTTGTAGGTCAGGACCTTGATGAGGTCAGGACGGGCCTTGTCACGGGCCGACTTGAGGGTATCATCGTAAAACTGTTTGACGCTGTCGGGGATGCCAGTGTCAACCTGCGTCCTTGTGAGAGCACCGTTGATACCAGAGGTAGCCTTGGTAGAGTTTCCACCGAAAAAGCCTGCAAGGAGAGCACATGTCAGCAAATGTCATACGACGGTTGACCGAATCCACGCGGCGCAATGCGATGGATCCGTGTGAAAGCGACTTACCCTGCTTATCGAGGACAATGACGTTGCCACCAGCCAGGTAGATGGTATGCGCAGCAGATAGACCAGAGACTTGAGATAGAAGTTAGCACCAGATCGATGAGGTTGGGCATGGCGCTTCAGAGGCGAATCAGTGTCTACTTACGGCCACCGCCCACGACAATCACTCTAGGAGCCATTGTTGCGTATGTGTATACTGTATGTGAAGAGGGTATAGAGGAATAAGCTGGTCAAGATACAGCAAAGCAGACTCCCAAGCTAATGGAGAAATATAGATAGGACAAAAAGAGGGGAGGTAGAGGTTCTTGGGGGGGAATAAGAAAATAAGTCGAAGAAGTTCGGAGGAGGAAGAGGATTGAGGTCAAGTCTTATTTAGCCCAGACGATGCGACGCCAACAAGGCCGAGGGCGAGAGACAAGGCAAAGCAAAGCAAGGCGTGGGACTTCGGGGACCTTGGAGCCGAGGTCGAACCCGAACCATGATGCGCGCGTGCAATTCTGAACTGAACCGACCGGGGAAAGAGCGGCTGGGGCTTGGACCACATTGAGTCTGATGTGAGTTTAACAGGCATGGGCCGTTTAAAAGGTTCAGGTACTCGAATCCAGATCACAGTATAGTAATTATGGCTTCTGATTCTTTTGTCAATATGTATATCTACTTTTACTTGTTTGAAAACTGTTAGACGTCTCTTCTCATGCCTCAATCTTCACTGTCGCGATCAAAGAGCCTTGCCAGGAGTCCAGTAACAGGCACAAATCAGAGGCTGGCATTTTCTCAGCACCGCAGCCCAGGATTGCTCCCCGGAAGCGGATGCAATGCCCACTGAGACTTAGCGTCACTGGCCTGTATCCACCCCCGCCACGGGCGTAGAATTTGGGGAATGGGGGAAAGGCACGGATACATTTCCAGAGTTTGCGATGCTGCGTCAAACGGTCGGTGATTTGTATAATCAGGCACATGAATCAACCATTTGGCAATTCTTCGCCAGGTCAGAGAGATCAAGTCGCCAGCCATTCGTATACCCATTACTCTATGTATCTAGGCTACAAACAGAATAGATACCCGCGCCTCCCTCGCCATAAGCTACGCCGAAACACCGCACCGCAACTTGTTCTACAGTCTCGCCTCGGGGTCCAGGCGGCCGGGCAACCCACCGACAGTGGTCTTCTCTCGCGTCTGATGTGCCGAGGTCTCCGCTTCTGAAGGAGAAGAGGTTCGTGTGGGGGAAGCTAGGACATCCCTAACTTGGCGCATGTTGCTGGACTTGATCCCAGGTTTCAGAGCTTCAGAGAGTCTCATCAAGATGGCACGTGGGTGTTATATATCTTGCAGTTATAATGCAATCCACTCAAGCATGTGAGAGACCTTCTCCTCAGTGAATCTCCTCACTCTTTGTCTTTCTCCTCGTTCAGTTCCTGTCACGACTCAACCAATTATGCTGGCCTTCTCCAAACCCCACACAACCGGTCTTGTCGCCGATCGCCTCGGCCAGGTAACCGGACCACTGCGGTTATGCTCTGCAGCTATGCACGTGATGTAAACGGACAAATCCTTGGAGATATTAAAAAGACGAGACAAGACCAATCTTGCTTGGCTTTCACATGCCTTCTCTGCCTCTCTTCTCCAAGGAGCACATGAGTCGCCTGCATATTGATCAACGCCGGTCCATGACGCTCATGATCCTCATCCTCTGAGCATGTCGCCTTTTTCTTCACGTCCATGACTAAGGTGCAGCAACACACATTCTTTCGACAAGCTTGTGACAGTCTGGCCTGGTCAGCTGGTTCTTTTCCCAGGCTTTCCATTCGCTTTCCCTTTTCACTCCGATCCCCAAAAGCATGTGAAAGTACAATCTCCGGGGTCATCTTTGCCGCTTATCCTCAAACGAGACATCTCCTTTGAATTTTCCCCGGATTCTCCATCTGTATCAAAATTGTCTGAGCCTTCGCCACTCGATCCATTCGTCCAGAACCTAAGAACCTCTTGGCCGTCCTGCAAAATCTGGGGTTCGGGGCTGACTCAGCCGGGGTTTCACATGCGAATGCCAACGCTGCAAATTGTCGAATGGAATTCTATGGCCTGATTATGATGAAGTTTACGGACATGATGCAGCTAAGTAAGTTACGCATGATCATTTCTGCAGGGTAGGTTGCGCGCCAGAAGACATGCTTGGGAAGTTAAGTAATTGGAGACATGGAACGGACTCACTCGCAGGTCGTAGATATGCGGAGACTACTCACATTGAAGCAAAACATACAAACAAAGCATTCAGCCCTGCTCGAAAGCCCATGGCTACGAGCATGTCTTTTAGTTTCTTTTCTTAGAGACTAATAAGTACTATGAGGATATCATGCTGCGTACATTTTTGGATCAAATAACGTAGAATGGATTAGGGGTTATTATTCGGAGTACGATACGCTTGAACACCACTCATGTTCGCCAACTCTTATTCACAAGACCTGGCAATTCGATTGAGCAAACCTAAAGATGATGACTTATTGTCATTGAATTAATTATAAGACATGAGAGCCACATCATATTTCAACATCACAAGTCGTTAATAACAAAATCTTGGAAGCAGTCCCGTGACCAATCACGTTACCTTCAACATCCCGAATCCCCTCATGACGTACCTTTCTTCCACCATGGTACAACTCCACCATTCCTACATCGCCATCAAATCACCACCATGAAACCTCTCATCGCCCTAACGACACTATTCAGCCTCACATCCACCTCCCAAGTGCCACTGCGTGAGAACCACCAAGCCCCCATCGCCAAACCCGCGCTCCCACCGCTTCACGGCCACCTCCCGATAATGTCCTCCGACCGCCCCTCCGTGCAACCCTCCGTCGCTCTCGGCGACATCCTAGGTTCTAACCGCGGCCTCACGTCCTTCTCCTCCTTCGCGCGCATGCAACCATCCACCGACGAACGTCTCTCCGACCTGTCCACTAACACCACCGTGCTCGCGCCGCTAAACTCGGCTGTCGATGCGCTCCCGCGCAAACCCTGGGAGCAGCCTGCTGATTACAATGAGTTTGGCGCGGATGCGTATGATGGTGATGGCGGGCAGGATCGCGCAAAGGAGAATATGAGGAGGTTTGTGGTGGCGCATCTTGTGCCGCAGAGTCCGTGGGGGAAGGACGAGAAGATTAAGACGCTGGGCGGTAAGGAGATTTGGTGGGTTGAGAAGGAGGGCAAGAGGGTTGTGATGCCGGATGAGGTCGAAGTTGAGCGTGTGGCTAGTCAGGTTGGTAATGGAGAACTGGTAAGTTGATCAATATCCATGATAGAGAAAGTGCTAACTTGGGATGCAGTGGGTTCTCAAGGGAGTTCTGAATTATGCTTAGATCCTAATATTGCTTGGTGCTTATAACGTAGACGAATAATGATAGAGTAATGATTGATTATACATGTCGTCAAGTAATGGCCAAATATCTAGCAACAGCCTTCAGAGACGCACATCACTGCATACAGGTGCTTAGGACAGACAATACACCCAATTTACATAGCATGCTCCAGTCTCATGTTCACTCAGTATATTGATTAGACCAACATATATACACGTTGCCGGTATCATCTATCCAAACGCCCGACAAAACTCGCCGTAACAAAAACAAAATTAACAATAATTGCAGAATAGTACCTCAACAAAAGCCTCCCAGTCTTTACATCATGACAGTATGCCTCGGACCAATCGCCTCAGACATACTGCTAGTTTAAACTCCCATATACAAAAAGAGTTACAAGCCCTGGTATAAGAATTGAAGACAAGAGAACAAAAGCAAGGATTGCTTTAAACAAGAGACCGTGGTTCGACACTGGTCAGTACATGATGACGTTTCATAACTGACATGCAGAGGCCAGCCTATGATGCCCTGTCAAACGAAGCGTATAGCAGGAAAACACTTTTGCATGAACAAGCCAAGGGGTGGAGAATTATCATTCAACCTTGACCCTCTTTGCTTCTGACTCTTCTGCGGCCTCACTCTGAGATGTGGCTCCTACTTCAGGAGTCTTTCGTTTTGTCGCAGTAGAATTGCCTATGCCGACACTCAAGTTCTGACCCAAGCTCCCATTGGCATTTGATGTTGTGTCCTTCACATCCTTCAAGGCAATGAGAGTCGCATTAGGCGTTGTGTTTAGGTTTTCATCTCTGAGAAAGCTAGGCCCTGATCCGACAACCGGAGTAGCAAAGTTGAGCGGGCTAGGTAGTGTATTACTGTCACCTCCCCTGAAATTCCAATCAGGGTAGAAGCTACTTGGGCTTGGCAGGAGTTCATTTGTCAAGAAACGTGATGGCAGGGCAGAGACAGGAGTTTCACCATTCACATGCTGCTGAGGAGGTGGCCGAGCAAAGGGATTTGGTGGGCCAGTAGCACCCGCAGACAATATTGCAGATGCAGAAGGAGACGGAGGAGGAAGCACGAGCGACGACTGGGAGTTGTGACGTTGAGGAGGCTGTGTAGTGGTTTCGGCAGCATTACGAGGAGAGTTTGACTCTGCCGTTCGTGCACTGCCGCCGCCTTCAGATCCGCCATCTGGAATCTGCACCGTTAAACGAGGGCCACGAGGTCGAGCACCACCAGGACCACCAGCCGCCTTGGTACTATTTGACCGCGATGGCGGCGTCAAAGTGGTTTCTGGAATTGACGACAAAGATACAGTTCGGGACTTTTCATCGGTTTGGGTACTGGCCCGCTGTGGCAGATGAGGTGATGATCTAGCCGCGTCAGCGGCCCGATTCAGTGCAGCCACATCCACTGACTGAGAACGGTTGGCGGCGTTGGCGGCATTAGCAGCGGCGGCAGCTGCAGCAGACTCAGATTTAACGGATTCGGAAGTAAAAGATGCAAGGTGCTGGGACAAGATCGACCGGTTCTCTTCAATAGGAGTGAAGATACTATGCGACTTCCTTTGAGGTAGCTTCTTGATGGCGCTGTCCGTATTCAGTAGAGGCGGTTGAGGGCGTTCTTGTGGTTCAGTCTTGGGTTCAATAGGAGGCGGCGGTGGAGGATCTTGCAGGCGACGTTCAGGTTGGGGTGGCGGCGGAGACATTTGCGACAAGCCTTGGGGAAGATGTTGTTGCACTGGCTGGGGCGATGGGGTGGGTCGTGCTGGAGCTTGTATTCCTTGTGACGGCGGTTGCGAAGTGTAAGCGGGAGGCATCGGGGACGGCATCGGGGACCTGCGGTCATCCATATACGGCGCTTGTTGCTGCATTGGACCGGGTTGCTGGTGGTATGCATACTGAGGCTGAGGGTGCGATGGAGGATGAGGACCGTGTTGATGCATTAGACCGGGAGGATGAGGCGAGTTGTAGATAGGCGGATTAGGCATGTAGTTCATTCCAGGATGCGGAGGACCGTTGGGAGGTGGAGGCTGAATCATGCTGGGACCCATTCGGCGCATATCAGTTCGAGATGCCGGCCGTGAACCGATTGACGGCTGCGGGGTATGTTGTCGCTGAATAGGATGTCCGGGATGCGCTTGGAAGGGACCGCTGCCATTACCGATAGGTGGTGATGCCGAAGGTGTGTGATGTCGAATCTGAGGGAAAGAAGGCTGATGCTGTGCGTAGGGATGCGGTGGCATCATCTGGTTCTCAACAACTTCAGATCCATGGGGAGGGGTACCATCGCCTTCCTCGTCCTCGTCGTCATCGTTACCGCCGTTGAAGTCGGATGGGCCTTTGTGTTCACTCGGACCGCCATGCTAGAGCTTGTTAGCATACTGGACTGAAACGCGTCGAGCTTGCAATTATCGTCTGGATACCAGAACGATGCGACAGAGCTCTGAGTCAGATGGGACTCACATATTGATATCTGTGGATGAGCTCTCGCATATCTGCGGACGAGTATTCGTAAAGCTTCTTGTTATTACCAAAGATAAAGACGGCAACATCAACGGAACAAAGCACGGAAAGCTCATGAGCCTTCTTGAAGAGGCCGCCTTTTCGCTTCAAGAATGTGCTGTATGCGCCAGTTAGTCGCGATTCCCAGACACCGGTTTGGTGCTTTGTGGGGGTTCCAGGTGTTACTTACACAGAGCGATTCCTGTCATCTTTGATCGCCTTGATCTCAATCTTTCTTCGTCCCATGTTGAACGGTCGTGCGTCTCAAGCTGGAGAAATGTGTCGCGTCTCCACGCGGGGCAGTTGAACGGTCGCGGCCAAAGAGATGATGACAGTCGTTGGAGACACCAGTAGTGGAGTAAAACGGAATTGGAACGGGTCGCGCAAATAGTCGCAACAAGAAGGGCTCGACAACTTAAAGCACAACAAGTTGAGCAGTGAGAATAAAGCAAATAGGTCGAAGCGCGGTGGTTGTCGAGGTCGTAAGCGAGGACAAAGAATAGTTAAACGGCGTGGGTAAAGTGGATGCCACCGAAGGACGCTTGGAAATGATGGAGAAATAAACCAAAAAGAGCTCTGTGGATAAAGCCGAGAGAAGAGGAGCAGGACAGGTGAGATGACGGAGGCGGCTGTCGCGGTGGCCGTGGAAGGCAGTTAAAAGTAAAAAAGAGTGGGAGCGGGAGAGGATTTGACGAGGGAAGCGAAGATGGTTGTGGTTCAGTCTGCTCTGCTTTGAGCTGGGACAAGCCGCAGTAACCTTGTTCACTTGCACTTCAAGGACCCCGAGGTCGTTGGCGACCTTTGTAGCTTAGCGGCCGGCAACTGGTGGAGGGGTACTTGTCGCAGTAGCGCGTCGACGGTAGCTCTTTAAACTTGGCTTTTGGTGGTACCCTTTTAGCCCTGAGGGGAGCGGGACGGAAGAGGGTGAGGGTGATGGGTGATGGGGAGGAGGAGTAACGCAGGCATGCGAATCGCGTATATCACAAGATTCTCTTGCGCAAAGGGAATCTGATTCACGAGAGCCGTTGCGATAGGAGATACTAGGTTCAGAGGTCAGATCCGAGAACCGTTGCGCGCGACGCGACGCGATGCGATCAAGTTAGAAAAGTCGAGTGAACGGTTTCCTGGCGGTTGCGCTTGCGCTTGAGAAGGGAGGTCGCGGACGAATAAAGAGAGAAGTTGGAGTGATATGATACGATCACCGTTGACCCCCAAAGACCAGAGTGAGTCCAAGGCCGATCGATAGACGTCGATGGGGCTGAATCTGGCGTCTGTGGTTGGGATGGCTTCTAATAATAGACGGATCGTGTTCACTCGTGCGTTCGGTGCGGGTGCGGGATGGAGAAAGGACGGGAGTGAAAAAAGAAGGCAGCATGGAACCCGCAGAAAAAAACTCCTTGCTTAGCTAAGGCTCCTGTGAGTGGCCAGCCTCGACGGGGCTCACCGAGGTGGTGGAATTAGTGGACAGTCCCCTAAAAAAGAGGCGCCAGCATTCAGAGACAGGAGACGTGACAGCGGGCCTGTCCAACCACCGACTTTTAGTTTTTTAGGAATAACATCATCAACTTGGCTTTGGCCTGCCGTACCACGTTGCTTTGCAGTGTTGGTAGCTGGGTAACCAAGCATTACATCAGCTACTGATATAGTTAAAGGAAGAGTTATACATGGCTAATACAGGCTTTACCTTCAATTCCTCCACGATGAAGTCAGCGTCTTCGAGGCCTCTTCCTCCAGAACCATAAACTCCAAAGCCCTGGCCATATCCCGGCTCGAGTCAACGGAAACAACACATGAACTAGAGCCGAACCAGGCTAAAGCGCTCATCCGGATCTCGCTTCCCAACTCCCTGACATGTTTCATGCAGAACTTCTTAGACGACAAGAGGGCTGAGCCTCCTTTACTCCCCTCCTTTCCGCTGCAACGGCTTTCGTATCCGACGTGCTTGCTGCTGCATCTATTCAATGACGGAAGAATGGGTACATTATGCCCCTGCCTGAATATCTATGGTTGAACATCTATGATTGTTCCTGGATGATAAACTCCATATTGCTACTCGAGAGTCACGTTTTCTTATCATTGAGATCACCTTATGGGTATTTCAAAGTGACTCAAGATAAGGGCAATGTTATTCACAGTCACAGATTCTCCTCCTAAACAGTCATCTTATCATCTACGACTAATCCCTCCGGCAGGTCATGACATATCCCGGCCCTAGTTCAAGCCGTCACTCTTCCGGCTTCTAAAAATACAATTATGCATAGCAGCCCCGGTGGGTCGCAATAAAACCCGCACACCAGGCCAAGTTGACAGAAAGGTTTAGTAGATCTTCTCCATAAATCCGACGAGTTTATTTTGTCTTTGTCCCTAAATTTATGGTAAAAGAGCTTCAGTGTGCCGGTTATTTTGCTACCCACCTGCAGCCTCACACACCTGGATCCTGCATGAAGCTCCCCTCCACCAGCCAATTAACCCCAGTTTCTGGCCTGGTTAGTGGACCACCTGGAAATGGGGGTTAATCTGCATTTCCAAATTTGCCCACTTCTGAGACGTGAGAGGTCAACCGGCCTGTTCGACTTGCACCACCACAACTCATTAGCTACGTATTTGATATCCTCACCGCAAGTGAATTTGCGTGTGTGTCTGGGATTGGATCACGTCACGTTGATACCAATTTAGCTTCAGCTGCCGTCTGCCCTAATCACTTTCGCGCAGACTTCTAGACCACCTACTGCCGACCCTGTCCGCTATCATGAAGTTTAGCAGCACGAATTACAATAACCGAGGTGTTATAAAAAATGTTATTAATAATGTGAAAGCGAAATAACTGGCGTCGCAGTCTCGGTTAATGCAGTGCCTTTGCCTTTGCCATGCTGGCCCTTTTCCCTTGAAGCAGAAATCCACCAACTCCGTTCCAATGCCATTTGATCTCTGTTTCCGCAACAGTATACCATACTGAAGCTTCAGTAGTGTACATGTCGTAGCCTGCCTCAAGTCTGTTCGAAGTAACACAAAAATAATAATGAATCTTCATCTCGCTTTTCCCCCTCAACTTTGACCTTCCAACTTTAAACCATACCTAACTGATCGACGTCTTCGGTTTCGTTCGTTCGGGATCATGTTCGCATATAAAAACTAGAATCGCCGTCTCAAATTGGCGATCCAGCCGCGCCGCCGGGAGCATTGTAGTTACCAAAGCCTCCATGCTCAGCAGCGCCGTTGTCCGCTTTCATCGTACCGTTGAGCAGAGGACATAACCTTGAGCAACATGTTAGTAAATTGTTTTATGAAGACGTCTCAAGCTTAAAGAAAACGAGGCATATGCTGTCAGCTCCAGTAACCTCCATGGCGCCATTTCGGCATCATTCGTGCACGCTGGATGCGTATGAGTTCTTGTCGGTCACGCGCAATTTGCTGCTCGCGTGCCTTTTGTTCTCGGCCTCGCCGCTGAAGTTCCTCTTTGATCCTTTTCTGGGAGGCTCTTTCGTCCTCTCGTCGCTTGACCTCAGCGGCTCGTTCTTCCTGTAGCCGCTTGGCTTTGGCTGCTCGTTCTTCTTGAAGCCGCTTGGTTTCTGAAGCACGCCGATCCCGCTCCGCTTGCCTTGCTGCTGCTCGTTGTTCTTGATCTCGTTGTCGAGCAGCAGCTTTGACTACACGGGCCTTGACATCTGCACGCTTACGCGCCTCTTTGTCGCATTTTTCCATAAGAATCTGCAAATCATTCTTTCGAGCACCTCGCTTTGTCTTGACAACTTCTGTGTAGCCAAACCAATCAAAAGGCACCAATGGAGGGGGCGAAACAAAGGGAATGGTATCTGAAGGGGGAGTCATACTTCTTGTTGGTCTTGATATGACCGACTTGGCCACAATTGGCACACTTGCGGGTTGTTCCAGTGGGGACCTTATCGCCGTTGACACTGGGAGACCCGGCGTCTCCTGTGCTTGCTTTCTGATGCAGCTCCTTCTGCTGTTCTCGAGCCTGTCGTCGGGCCTTGTTTTTCTCGAGTCGTTCAAGCTCCTTCTTAATTCTATATTACTGTTAGCGTCGGTCATTAAATGACTTGAGTACAACATACCTAATGCCTGCAAGACGGTCATGGTCGGCATTACCCGTAGGGCGCGAGCTATAGATGCTGTTGAAAGATACACGTAAGCCGGTGCTCTAAACTCCAATCCCACAATATCCTTCCTTGAACCAGGGGTGCCGACTCCGTATGTTCGTCGAGTCTTTCTTGACGCGGCTCCCCTGCTTCGTGGTTGCTGGACTGCCTGGCTTGAGTTGGGTGGGTGCACATACTCTCTCATTTCAAGGTCCGCCTCCGTTCGCCGCTTCATATACTGCGAAATCACAACCGGATCGTGTACGATTTCGATTCGGCTTTGTATGCTGCCGTCGGGCATCTGAACGTCTCGGGTGATGCGGATGGCGCGTTTTTGTTGTCGACTTGCGGAAGTCAAACCACTAATTTGGCTGGTACCGTCGTCAAACTGGGCGAACTGGGCCGGAGTCATGGCTGACTGGACGTTGAATCGGTCGTCTTCGTCTTCCGTTACCGCGACATCCTTATCTTCGTGTTCCTGGCCATCTGAGAGGGTAGTCTTTTGCTTATCCCAAATTTCTTTTATACCTTCCTCATACATTGCTTGCTGTTTTTTGACATTATAAGCGTGGCCGCCATTAGCTCGCTTCTCACGCTCCATAGCATCTGCAGACGTAGCAAGTGGTCCCTGAACTGCCTCGATATATCCACCCTTCATGGAGGTTCGTATAAAGGAGAAACCTAGACCGTGACCTGTCGGATCTCCTTCACCGTGAAGTTGGAGCATGGCTTTCTGAGCGCAGGCATCAATAAAAGCCTTTGTCGTTTTCCATGGCGCCATCTTGTCCGCAAGAGTTTCTTCCTGCTTTTCTTGTTGCTTTTTGGCAGCTCCCTTGACTACCTTGCTGCCGTCGTCATCTACGTCTTCTTCTTCCCCTTCTGCGTCGTTGTTCTGAACCTCCTCATCCAGAGAAGCATTTCGGGGGTCGTATCCAGCGTCTTCCAGTTCCTTGATACCAAGCTGCATAGCATCAAGGAGGCAAACCTCCTCAGGTTTGATCATGGACCGAATTGCGCTTTCGTCGGGTAGTATTTCTCCAGGCTTCAGTCGCCACATTCCCTTCTCGCCGCTTTCCCTGTCGTACTGGAGGAATTCCTTTAGTTTTTGACGGTTCTGGGTATCAGTAGATTCCGCAATGTGCTTTGTAATGTCGGACAGTTGACAGTTATCGGTATCGCTATGTCTTATCATGCGAAATGCGAGCATCTTCATCCTGTTCTTCGAGGCATTCGTGACTTTACGACTGTGTGGCCCAGGTACCTCGACTGAAGGGAACTGCTGTCCAACAACATAAAGATGGTCAATCTTGTGCATGAACCACCTTGAGCCTTGTTCTCCGGTGGTGCTGCGCACGACTAGGAAGTCGCTGCCTCTTGGGTTATGCTTGAAGACAGGAGCGCGGTACATCTCGTTGTGTAGTGTTGGTACAGTTTCTCCAGGGTCAACAGTACCGAAAAGGGAGAAAGGAGATCGGTCCTCGGGAAGAAGCATTCGATATTCTCCTAGGTCTTGTTTGGGTAGTTGCTCGTCCTCGTTGGTGTCCTTTCGGCGGTAGTAGTTGATCAAACGGTTGCCCATACCAAAGCTGCTGAGCACTCGTGGGCGCTGCTCACAATACTCGTAAAGAACAGCGGTGGAGTTGTCGTTAATGCTTAGGTCCTTCGATTTCAGGAAAACTTCGTGAGCTTTGCCCTTCATCATTTTGCGCTTCTGGTGGGCAGGCTTGTCAAACTTGATGAGATGACCAGCAAACTTCTTGTACCTAAAGCGAGGACGGTGATACTCATCAGTTGTACCGCCAAGCTTAACCTTGTAGTAAGGCCAGGAGAGCTTGATGGCAGGCATACTGTGCTCAACAGAAATGTTACCAAGAGTGGCGCGCACTTTGCTTTGGTGATTTTCCTTAAGCGCCTCGTATGCCTCATCGTTGGAGATGTTGAAGCGACTGGAGACATTTCGGCCGAGGTTGCCATTAGCCATGCGCTTCAACTTGTTGTCTGTACGAGGTCGCTTCGTGTTCCGTTGAGTTTCTTGGGTCTCGAGGAGAAGGTAAGGGTCGCTCATATCCAGTTGAACGCGCTTCGCACCCCTGCGAGTTGCATCCTCGAAGTTGTCGAACGAAGGAGCTGTGTAGCGGGGGATCTCTGGCAGGCCTAGGCTGACCATCTTGCGTTTCTTTGGTCGTACTGGGGCATCATCGCCAAGGTCCATCAAAAACTCAGCATCCCATTCGTCGTCCTGCTCCTCGAACACTCGCTTTCGTGCCTGTTGTTGCTCCTGCTCCGCAGACTGTCGAGCCTTAAATTCAGCCTCTACCGTGGCAATGTGGGCACCCCAGTCTTCGCAAGCAAGTTCGATATCGCGTAGACTAAAGCCAGCTACCGTTTCGGAGTCGGAGTCGAGATCGAGATCGAATTGGATGTTATCTTCGGCTTGATTCTCTTGATCCAAGCCGCAGTACACTAGACCCCTCTCCTCTCCCTGTCTAGCTTTACGGGAGATTGTTGCAGTGCCCGGGATGCGAAAGAGTTTCTCCTGGTCGGGCGCGAGCTCGAGTGTGAGCTTGCTGGTGACAAGCTGTTTCGGTTTTCTGGCTGGCCTCTTCTCCTTCCAGGTGGCTCTCTTTGCAGGCAGAAGTTCGCTCCACGTCAGGACGTGTCCCTTCTTGAACGCAGGCCATGTAGCTTTCAGGAGGTCTTCGACGGTCTCGGCGGGCGCGGGGATGTCGTGATCTTGGTTATCGAGATGGGGTTCGGGGTCGAAATTGATACCAGGAAAGCTGAGGCTCGAGTCGGCGGGTTGAGTGTCATCACCATTATCGGCATCGCGAACGTGAGGAGCTGGTGAAGAGGGTCCAAGAATCGGATCGGGTGAGGATGGTCCTTCTCCAAATAGGTCATCTGCATCGTTGCTAGTTCCTCCGTCATCTGTCAGGCCGGGCATCTCCATAGAGACACCAGCACTGGGCTCCTCCTCATCCGGTAGATCGTCATCGCTGATGTCCTCGAAGTCTTCGGCGTCGTCAGCCTTGCCCGTCTGGTCGAACTCGATACTGTCAAGATTAATGCCTCCGCCAGTGTCTTGTGAATCTCCGAGAAGTTTCGCAATTTCGCGGTCGTCAGCCGCGTTCTGCGCCTTCCAACCAGTCTCGTCAAGTGCCGTGAAGTCGTTTTCGTCGGCCATGATCGCGGTGTCGCAGTGTCGCAGTTGTCGTTCTTATTTCCAGCCGCGATGGTTTCGTTGTTCTTATATCATTATTTTGACGCGTTACTCGGGACCGCGCGAATTTCGGCGGCTCGTGAGCGGCGTATTAGAGACTGTCGTGAGCAAAGTCGAACAGCGCTTGTCGTGATGAATTCACGGTTATGTTCTTGCCCTCGCTGGAGAGATGCCCGGCAGCCTAAGAAACAGCGTGGAGTCAGCCAATTAAAGTCAGGGACAGGATGGAAGAAAGCAGAAGGGCCCGTGCGGGTAATTCAATGTGGGGCTGCGCTTGAGTGTGCATTCTCCACTTCAAAACCGTTGTAGCAACAAGGGGTCATCATCGTGTAAATAACTGACCTTGGTGTTTATTGTTGACTCAAGAGTTATAGGAGATTGCGTTAGATACGCTTCGCTCACAGTGCCGAAATCTACTTGTTTGCGTACCCAAATTAAGCTCAATAGGTGTTGTCAAGATGTGTGCCATGTCATTTGTAAAGCACTTGGAAGCAAGAACACTTGAAGAAAGGAGGGATGTGATAAGTTCAGATGATAATTAGATTTGCCGAAAGTAGAAGATTGCCGATGTATTTGACAGATCAGTCTATCTCCGTTGCATGGGCATGTTGCTGAGTGGAAGTTGAGCGTGAAGCCAGTGTTGGGATTTATAGATGTTGCACAAGACCGTGATTCACAATCTCGATGACTCAATTACAGAGGCAGAAATGCTTTTTTACTCAGTTTCTACGCTCCATCTTCTCATACTTTCAACACGATGATATACCAGAACATTCTCGACCTCTACCTATTACTGACGTCCACTACCGAGAGGGTTGTTATTTCTGCTGCCACTCCATCTTCCAGCAGATGCAGAGGTCTTTTATATTTTAGAGGCCACACTTTAAGGGCATCCTAAAGATACTTCTCAATTATTATAGGAGCTTGAAACGATTTTAACCAGCCACAATGAAGTCGCTCCATCAGACCACAACTTTATTTACACATAGTCCAGGGTAGCTACCATACGAAGCTTCCGTGATACAATATGTCTCCAGAAACATTTCTCTCCCAGTTCTAGTACAGTAGAAGTAGATATCGAAGATATTCAACGTATCGGTAGTTCAGTTTATATGGCGGTTTGAGACGCGCACAGCCTCTATGTCATCGAAACAGCTACTGTTTGATCACATTCGGAATGCGCATCTCATGTAAAGGTGGATTGGAAGCCTTTCACTCACCCCTAAGTCCATTACAAGCCGAAACTTTCTTTTCTCACATCAATCACTGGTTCTACTATGCCATCCATGAATGCATATGTTCAAATACGGGAAATTTGTCACAAAGTTATTGACATCCCTGGGTGACCGGAAGTTAACTTCACCACACCTAAACCTTGGATGAACATACATAAAGTTATATTACTCGAGTGACAATGACATATGAGGCGTGTGATTATAGTTTTAGATATGCTTCAGGATAGTGTTTCTACAATATCTGTCTGCCCTATCTGCCTTGCATTAACCACTCTTGTCTCAAAAGGGCAAGATAAAACGACCCTAAATAAAAACGTGTCAGCACTGCGAAGTCCTACCGACGACATTACACTCCAGCATCTCATGGACTTGTGACATGACAAGAACAAGAATAAGATGTGAAATGACGCAGTATTTTGCGTATTCCTGGTTGGGAAGCTGGGAAGATCAACGCAGGATCGCATTGCATTGATCAACGCAGCTTAACGTCAACTTCCTTTTTGGCCCCCAATGCATCCCAGCACTAGCGACGGTCTGCCTCACCTAGCTCATATAGACAAACACTTCACTTCAATGGTACTTATTAGATATCGTGGCACCACAAACGCTCATTGGAGCCGATGCATTGGCTTGGGCCGCAACTTTGCATTGGCGTTATATCATGAACAGGAAACTATTGGTGTACATCCTTACACCACGTCAGAGCATTCACGGAGGCATTTAATTACAATCACAAAAGTTTGTTGATGGTTGCAGAATACTGGTTTATTTCCAAGCAACAGTCTCGAATAAGATGCGCGCAGTAACATATGGTAGGCATTCCAATACCCCAAAACATGATGCGCAGCAGGAATCTCGTAGGGAGTAAGCTGCCAACTTTTGAAACAGGAAAGAAAATACAAAAGTCCACCCAATAGAAGGGGTATCAACGCCGCCATTTAGAACACCGTAGAACCCGTAACTCATTAGTCTCAGCTAGCACTAGGCCAGCAAGATCAACCCCAGAAAGTCGTAAAAAGGTCGTAAGCATACAAGAAGGTTATACAATCAAGGTACAGAAAGTCAGATCTTATGCGATGAAGACAGTCGCCATGACTACGGCCACTGCGGGCCAGAAGCCGAGGGCCTCGATGAGGGTTCGGGCAGCGGCGCTGTCTGAAGAGTCATCGCTGCTAGAATCATCTGAGGGAAGAGCGGTGTCGTTGGGTAGAGTTCCGTTAATGAGAATGGTCATGGTACCGTTAACCTTAGCGACATCGACGACTGACTTGTTGAGCGCCTGGTAGCTTCCGTTGCCAATGAGCTCGTCGTAGTAGGCAGTGTTGTTGTTGTCGTCGCAAGCACACTGCGCGTATCGCGCGCATGCACAAATAACATCGCGTTCCTCGTCTTCATCGCTTGTTTCGTTGTGGAAGCGGTACGGGTGCGAGTACGGGTACATATAGGCGCCGTAGAGCCAGACGCCGGGCCAGAAGGCGAGGCCAGCTCCGAGGAGCACGAAGGGCGCGACTCTGCCGACGGGGCTTCGGCCGCCGGCCCTGTAGGGTGTTGCTGAACCTCCGGCGTAGTATCGACCGCCGCCGTAGCTGGGCTGGGGGCCAACGCCGCGAGAGCCTGAGCTGCTGCCGGAGCTGCCGCCGCGGCTACCGGAACTGCCTGATGAACCTGGACGAGATGATGAGCCACTTGAACCACTGCCTGAGCGGCCGCTTCCACTGCTGCCGCTCCCGCCACGGGAACTCCCACCTCCAGAAGATTTTCCACCACCTCCGCTGCTACCTCCGCGTCCTCCACCGCCGCCGCCGCCACGACGCTTGTACAGCTCGGACTCGTCGGTGCTGGGCTCAGCTTCGATGCGCTTGACGTGAAGGGGACCATCAATGGCCGAGGCGACCGTTGAGGTGATGAGCGTAAATAATACGACTGCGAAATCGGGTCTCATTTTGGGCTAGGGGTCTGTCTTGGTATGACGAAACTAGTTGTGTAAAGTTGTCACTACCTTTTAAACAAAAGATGTTGAGCGCAAGTTGAAAGCAAGAGCCAAACAATTGACAAAAGATTTCAGTTCAATTACCAAACAGTCTAGAAACAGAGAAAAAGTTTAGAGAGTTTGGGGATAATTAGACGGATCGCTCCAAGTGGGCAGTTCCAAGGTTTAATACCCGAATCGAGGATGGGTAATCCGTACGAGATTGATGACGACCGGGGTGGGTGTGGTCAATGAGCAGGGATCCACAAGGCGTGTGCAGCGAGAAATGCGCGAGTTGTGACGGAGTCGCGGAGGTAACGGCGAATGGATCACGGGGTGAGAGGGATCGATGATGATCTCTTGTACAAGGGGGCGAAGAGTGATGATGTCGCTGGTTCCCTTTCTTCCCGGAAAGATTTTGGTGCGATCGACCGCTAACAACAAGGTCGAGCGATGTCTGTCTTGGCTTAGCTATAATGAGGTCACTGTGTGCACGACAGTGGCCGGTTTTGGCGACTCGTTTCTGAGAACAGAAGCAGGGTAGAAGGGTAGATTTGGAGAAGATGTGTAGTCTATGCTGACTGATGAAGGAGAGGGAGGACAAAAACCGCCAAGGCAATGCGGCAATGGTACCTTTAATACCTGCTACTTAACAGTGCTCACCGTTTCCACGGTGCTGGTTCGAGGCGTTGTTGGTGCTGACAGCTGAAAGCAAGCCAATTTCATGAAAGGGACCGAAAACAAATTAGCTCCAATCGAAAAGGTCCTTCGCTTTTACACCGCAGTTTGTTCTGGGAGCATTCAGCACTAAGCAAACAGCCCTATTGGTGTGGCTTAGACAGAATAGGTATTCTGCGTTACTATCGTGTTTGGCTCTGTTATGCAGGGCGATTGGCGTATTTTGGAGATGATCATAGGACCAAAACAGAAATCTAGCTTCAGATGTCTGGGCTAAGCCTCAGAGCTACAACATATCGCCTTTCCTCTATGTACATGTATCTATTGAGACAGGCATCCTGTGGTGGAAAAGGACAAAGAATGAAGATGATCAACGGAATTGCTCAACACCATCGGCCTACGGCTAAATAACGTGACCAATTGACCCCCGGTGCTTAGGTTGAGGACAGTGCAGTGACAATCGTGGGTCTGTGACATAAAAGACCCCTAGTTTGGCATGGGGTGCTTAAGCTTGTCGGCGTTAAGCTTGCAGCGCCGCAGCATGCGCGAACTGCGGCATCTCATTGGTGTGTGCCCCTGCGCGATGGGGACCAAGGCTGTCACTGAGGCAGACTCACTCGTGCACAAGCCACAAATGCTGACTTTGAGCGTATTTGTGCTCGTCAAAGAATGTGCTGAGTAGAACAAAACAGCTGAGTAAGAATACGCTTCCGTTCCAGATTAGGTCTTAAGTTGCTTTCATTTCTCACCAAAGACATGGCTGGGAGCTGTGACAGTGACAATAACAGAAGAGTGCATCAATCTGTGAGCCAGCTCACAATAAATGGCCGCTAAAATCCTTCAACTGCGGCTATGTCTACTGATCACCACGTGGTATTGTAATTCTGCAAGTTTGGGAAGTCTCCGATATGTGCGCCTCTCGATCCGAACAGCTTGGCATCTCCAAAACGTCCGATTGTAGACTTTTCCCCTCATTGACCGTCTAATGTATTTCTGGCATAGCCACCGCCCCCTGACGATTGTCTGTCACAAAGCTTTCTGTGAGGCTGTGCTTGCAGGCTGCAGCATTCTAGAAGCACGGGGCGAATCTTGGGTTTTTAGCCTTAAGCCAAGATCAGGCACTCGTGCTTCGCCAGGTACTTGGCACACTAAAATTCAGCCGTGGCGAGTATGACCGCGGTAACAGGGCGGGTATAGTGCTACTAACAGTTTATGGTTTTGCAATCTCGATGGTGCCAAGCGATTGATGTAGGACGAACTGCCAAGGCGAACTCGATCGATTTGATATGTCGGGTTGATGCTTCCTGGTCTTGGGTATCTCGAATTCATATGTAGTCTTTGGACTCAAGAACCTCAATCTTTAAAACACTCCAGCACTCAAGATCCTCAGGGCGGCATGCTCTTTAGACTGTCTCAAGCATCCTGTCTTGGCCATCACCCCCTTACTTTAATTATTTCCTCAAGTTGAATTTCCGTCGTGTCCATACTTCTGGATAAAATCGTGAAAAACAGCCGTGTCATAGGTAGTAACACCCTGTAGATAAGCCGAGTTCTTTGCTTCCTCGGTACTGCAGAGTTCTGTCATTTTCCTGGAGAGCGTAATCATTTCAGGAGAATGTCTAACGATACCAAGCCACCTTCGCTCCTCTACGGGAACTCGCTTGAATGCATGAGCCCACAGAGAGTCCCATCTATCAAATGCACTAAAGAGCATTGTGGGATAGTCAGGAGATACCACTGATGTGCGGTGGTGGAATACATGGCGTAGGAGACCTTGAAGTTTTGAGTATTTGCTCATCGACTGAGAACTTGATACGTACCTGTGCTGATGTAAAAGAGATCTGATGCATCCAAGCTTCTGAAGGACTCTGTCTGTGAAATGGTCCATTCTGCAGAAAGTACTCCCGACACGACTTCGCAACATCTTGATGGATAAGACCTGGCAATCCTATGCCGAGCCCGTTCCCGGAATGTGATGTCTGAATCTGCCTCCCAAAGGTCATTCGGGCAAGGCAGATGTCCCGTCATTTCCTTTACCGTCATCATGGGCGGATTGTTACAGCAAAGAACCATCAAAGAATCGTTGACAAAAGTCCACGTTGATACCCTGATACAGGTCTCCCGATAAATAAACTCTTCCCAGGTATCATACTGTGGCGGGTGTTCAAGACTCAGCATGCCAGACTTTCTCAATAATGCAACAAGTGTTGGTATCCGATTGCCTGCAAGTCTTCGGCGACCCTCGATGTGGTTGAAACTGCCTTCTAGACTGTTCATCAACACTGCTGCTTGGCATACCTCGAGCATATGACGTGATGTGACCGGGGAAATATTCTGGTTAGTCAATCTCCTGAGCTCCTTGAAGATGTACTTTTCGGAGAGCTCAAGCAACGAGGTTGTCAGGAATGGGTGAGATGATTGGTCGAGATATTGAAGGTATGCAGTTCCTGTCAACGTCACGGCGAGAAGTAAGTGAAGTGATACTTTGTCCGGATCAAAAGTCGGCCAGTGTATAGGTGACTTGTGGTAATATCGCCAGCGGAAAGCGAACGTTAGGGCGTTTTGAAAGTGGACAGTTGTAAAGAAACCCCGTTGGCAGCTTTGGTCCAGCCCTTCTTTTAGGTGAGGTTTCCTGATAGCCAAGTCTTGGAGAATGTTCGATAGACTTGTTACTCGTGCGGTGAGAGTGTCGGCCGACGTAAGAGGGGTATTGAAGAATTTAGAAAACTGCAAAAACTCCTGATCCATCTCTTGATAGTCCTGAGGTTCGTCAAGCAGCATGTCTGAAAGATTCAAAAGAAGGAATTTCGGGTCAACAGTGCCTGTGACACAACCCGTCGTCTCAGGCTCACGATGATTCCAAGCCGGTATCTCGGAGGTCTTTTCAGGTTCACCAGCCACTGCAACATCCATAGAAGTATGGATGGGATCGGTGGCTTGTAGCAGAAAAGATAGGTTGAGACGGCCGTCCTTTGGCGGCTCATTGACAGTCGTGGGAGATTGATGTGAAGCGTCGTGACATAATGCGCTGTAGGTACAACTGATGCGGCGGGAGGAACATCTCGTACACGGAATCCCTGAATTGCATGAGAGCTTGGATCTGGAGCAGTTATCGCATGCTCGAAGCTTTCTACCCCGTTTGGCCTGTGGTGGTAGAGGGCGACCTCCCCGAGCTTGACAAGACCGGGCGTGTCGACGAGTGACATCTGCCCTGACGAAGGATTTATGACAAAAAGAGCATTTGTTTGGAATATTAGCAATAGGTTTACTGCAGACAGGGCATACGGAAGATTGGTATGGGGTTGTCATTTTCATTCACGAGAGTAAAGAGGTTGAAGTTGGATCATGTGGGAATTTTCCGAAAGGACATGGGATAAGTGGGTCTAGTGTGGTTATTTCCCGATGGGTTCCTACACCTAGTACACCCCGAGACGTAAGGGTATATAAGCAACTGCCACTTCTTTTCACTCTCTTAATCGTCTTGACACATGCCCTATCCTTGCATCTGATAGTTCGACAAAGGAAGATGACTAGAATTCAATTAGCTAAGGGTTAGTAGTAATCACAAGATGAACTCCATACACATGCTGACTTATAGGGTCCAACAGCTATAACTCGGCCGCTGGCCACCACCTCTTACTCCATCATCCCTCAACGATCACTCCAACTCCAACAGTTCAAGGATAAACATGCCGAGCATCAGAAAAGAAACAACTCCTCAAAAGCCACTCTTACTCCCCACCCTTATCCAGCCACTTTGGCCGATACCAAGCCAAACAACATGATCGACTATGCCTTGTGTGTATTTCAATGTACCCTTTCTACCTCTAACTCTCAGTAAACTAACGAATACCGTGCCGCAGAACGTCTGTCGATAAGTTGGTCAACTGGGCTAGAAATGGCTCAATGTGGCCCGTGACCTTTGCACTCGCCTGCTGCGGTATCGAAATGATGCACGTCTCGATGCCACGATACGACCAAGACCGGCTAGGCATTATCTTCCGTGCCTCTCCCCGACAATCGGACGTTATGATCGTTGCCGGAACCCTCACAAATAAAATGGCCCCTGCCCTCCGACAGATATACGACCAGATGCCCGAGCCTCGCTGGGTTATCAGCATGGGGTCTTGCGCCAACGGTGGCGGATACTACTACTACAGCTACAGCGTTGTAAGAGGTAAGTCTATATAGCTTCTCGAAAATAGGCAGGTCTACTAACACAATAAACAGGTGTTGACAGGGTAGCACCGGTCGATATTTACGTTCCAGGGTGTCCTCCAACTGCCGAGGCTCTGATGTATGGTATCTTTCAGTTGCAGAGAAAGATTCGCAATAGTAGAAAATCGAGGATGTGGTATCGAAAGAAGTAGAATGCACCTGCTAGTGCGCGGTCACAAAATGTGTAGGATTTGTGTCCCTATATGATATCAAGAGTCAAAGGGTATTGCTCTTGAAACTTTCGATTAGAGCAAGTTTGGGAAAAGAAATCGGTCCAGATCAGAGTAGTCGAAACTTGATAGATCCCCAGCTAGGTTATTCAACCACCTCATATCATCCATCTCTTGCAAAGGAGTCTCATCTTGAACTTCTGAAGGAGGCAGTATGGGGTATTTCTTGAGAACATCATTCAAATTCGATGCACACTTTTGCTTTCGTCGTTGCTTCATTAAAATGAGCAAAGAAGCTGTGTTAAGCGCCTCTTTGGTTGCGTTGGTGTTATATACGGTCGCAACATTGCTGAGACACCGCATTGCATCTTCGAGCTGAGCTATTGATTCAGTTGTGTCGATGGCTAGCAGAACGCAGATTATCTGGAATGGAACGTTGGCCATGTGGTGCCACGGGGATCGAGCGTCAAGGATAGCTTGGGCGGCTTCGATGCCTTTTAGAGTGATGGATAAGATTTGATCGAGGATCTTGCCTGAGAAGGAGGTGTTGAGGGACTGTAGTCGGCGGCAAAGACATAAAGCTAGGTTGCATTGTGCGAGAGTCGAGGGTGGAACGGAATGGACCCGGTTCAACACCGCCGACAGCGAGGCCTCAAGCTCGGCGACGTTTTGTGTTTTGTTTGGGTCAAGGTCGGTCGAGTAGGGGAGCAGTTCCATGAGCTCAGCAGTATGGTCTCCTTCTCTTGCAGCCGGGATCTTCAAAGTCGAATTCCATAGAATGGTTCTCGATCGGCCCATATCAAATGAAATCCAAATGTTCAGATGTTCCGAAACAGCAAAGAGTCTCCTCCGAAGCTCTGAATCGACCTTTTCCTCCGTCATAGGAAGCACGGTTTCATCTGAAGGCTCACAATGCAAACCAGCTGCTTCCAGCATGTGCATGAGGATCGAACTAGCCATCCACGCGGCGTGAGATGTCCCGACAGTTCGTAGGTATACTACTCGAAGAAGCCATCCTGTGATAGTGGTGGATGTTGGGTTGTCGGACATTTTCTGCTCGAGTATGACTTTGGCTGATTCTACCAGGTCTAGTTCCACTGGGAGAGGCTCGACTTGTGAGAACAAGCATGCGAGAGCCGCTATGCCGCAGAGAACGGCTTCCTGAGACTGATCGTATGCGAGACCAGTCCACCTTTCTTGTATGATGCACGAGATGTCATCACGATCAATAAAGCCATAGATCTGGCCCACCTTTTCGAGGTAGATAGCATTTAAACCCTCCATCTCCTGCTGGGATAGCAAGTCTGTGATTGGTCTTGCAACAGGAACCTGCGCTGTTCTTCGTGCGCCGAGGAAGGCATTCCATGAGAATGTGTGCATCCGTGGTGCATTCTTGGGATCCAGCCTCAACGCCAACCTCCTCAGAAACGCTGCCCCAGAGTTGGCTTCTAGTGACTGAAGGTGGCGAGGCGACGTAACATGATCGCTCCGCGAGGGCCTGGAATCCTTATCCGTATGAACTGGAGGTGACGGAAGAACCGTTGCCTGCTCATTTTCAAGATTCTTCCGCCTTTTGTTTGCAGTGGTCGTTTTATAGCTGCAGTCATACTCGAAGCGGACGCAGGCTCCACATGGAGAGTTGCCGTCGCATTTCCGCTTCAGCTCCCGGCAAGTCTCACAAGCCAATCTTGAGCGCTTGCGGCCTTGGATAGACGACATGTATTCACTGTTGGTGTCCGGGGTGGATAGAGAGGTAGGGGTTTGTAAGTTGAGGTATAGTGAGTGCCAGTGAAGTGTAAGCGCAAAGGTCGGCTGCTACGGGCCGAGCGGGAGTATCGGCTATCTCGGGTATAGCGGTCCCGGCAGTATTGATGGTTATGTTTGTATTGACGTAGTTGAAAGGACTAGAACATTTTATAAATCAAAAGTGATTAAATCTCCATTTCAATTCAATTATTGGTCTATTTTGTACTATATCATTCCGGAACATCTTTAACTCACATCATAATCTATGTCGCTCAATCAGAATACAGCTTCTGGCTCTGATGCCAACACGCTGGCTGATATTGAGCACCAGAATCCAGAAAATCTCCCAGAAAAAGCACAAACGCAAGATGAACCACCAGACGGAGGAAAGATTGCATGGTTACAAGTGTTATTAACTCAAATCGTCTTCTTCAACACTTGGGGCGTTGCCAACGGCTTTGGGATATTTCAACAGTACTACACTCAGACTCTAGACGAGACCGAATCTACGATATCATGGATAGGAAGCGTCCAGGTCTTCTTTCTATTCTCAGTCGGAGTCATCGCAGGCCGACTGACAGATGCTGGGTATTTTCGAATCGTCTTCTATCTCGGCGTCTTTCTTCAAGTGTTCGGTCTCTTCATGACCTCGCTTTCCACAACTTTCTGGCAGATATTCCTCTCGCAGGCTGTTTGTGTGGGAATAGGAAATGGCTTTACTTTCTGCCCGGCTCTGGCTGTGTTGTCTCAATACTTCAAGAAGTACAGAGCTTTCGCTGTTGGATTGGCAGCCGCTGGTGCAGCCATTGGAGGCCTTGTCTACCCAGTGATGATCAACTGGCTTATCTTCTACGATAACGTTGGATTTCCCTGGACGTTACGAACCATGGGGTTTATAATGCTTGCCACATATGTTCCCTGTCTCATCTGGCTCAAGCCTCGAGTAGCACCCCACCCAAGTGGTCCATGGATAGACACTTCGGCTTTCAAAGAGTTGCCCTTCATGTTCTTCACTATGAGCATGTTTCTTAACTTCTGGGGTCTTTACTTTGCTTTCTTTTACCTGGGAACGTTTGCTCGCGACCAAGCTGGTATTTCCGAGCCTATCTACCTGCTGATGATCCTCAATGGTGTGGGAATCTTCGGACGTATCATGCCAAATATCATCGCTGATAAATGGACTGGCCCCTTGAATATTCTGATTCCCCTCAGTGTCTTGGCTAGTGTATTGGTATACTGCTGGATGGCTATAGAGAACGCTGCAGGACTCTACGTCTTTGCTGTGATATACGGGTTCGTCGCTGCAGCGTTACAGGCTCTCTTCCCAGCAGTCGCTACGCAAATGACGCCTCACCCAAGCAAGACGGGGACAAGAGTAGGCATGATTCTTGGTATGGTCAGCATTGCGAATCTTACTGGTCCGTTTATCTGCGGCGAGCTCATCAAGTCGGACGATGGTAGTTATCGAGGGGCTCAAATATTTGCCGGTTCTTCCATTCTGCTGGGAGCTATAATGGCGTTGGCTTCGAGGATTGCTAAGACAGGTTTTGTACTCAAGGCTAAAGCATAGATAGAGAGGCCTTTGGGATACAGCTAAACAAAGGCATTTTCTTAGAACAGTTAACTTGAAAGATGTTATGCTTCAGATTGCTTTTCTTCTTAAGAGATATTATTCACGATTAGCCGCCAGATAGCTCTTGGAAATCGATCGGTTTTTAGTGATACCAACGTAGTGTTCTATCAACGAGATGTGTTGTGCTAAAAAGCCACTGAAATCACTTGCTACGTAGAAGATCATCTACCACTTTTCCAATAGCCAGCACCTTCTCCTCCTCTAAGTTACGCCCAACAATCTGAATATCCACAGGAAGTCGATTCTCGACCATATCATGCTTGTTCTCTTCCCAGAGGCGACTATTCCCCTCATCCATCTCATTCCTTGGTTCATGATCCCATTTTGCTTCAAGGTCCTGAGGCTCAACAAATCCACCAGGGATCACAAGTGCTGTGTAATCGAGCAGATTCCAGACTTTCGTGTATCCTACCCATCGGATGGATCTATGAGGAACAGCTGAGTGTGGAAGGGCAGGCATTATGATAGCATCTACAGTCTTGCCTTTGGCTGAGAGAGTGTTGTTCCACTTTTCGAGATATGCTTGTTGTAGCTCTCGTTTGCGTTTGTTCAGTTGCCAGTAGTCAAACACAGAGATGGGCTTTCCGCGATTCAGGAGCCTTTCCACAGCAGGGATGAAGGGTTCGCCTCCAGCCTCTACTTCACGACGGATGTCTTCTCCGCCGTCGACAGTGAAGTATGCGTCCATGAGCTCAATACAGTCCGTATGTAAATCGGGTTTCCACTCGACCAGCTCATGGCCATCAGCGACCAGCGCGGCCACAGCGTCTTCTATTACTCTTGAGATACTCGGATGAGGTTTCACAACTCCATCATCGCGTAAAACACCAATCGTCAGCTTTCGCTTCAGGATATTGTCGTAGGTATTCTGGCGCCAAGGGATTGGAATGCAGCGGCAATCTTTCGTCCAAGGCTCTTGTAGTGTGATCTCCCTCGTCAGTTCATAGATAGACGAGAGCGAGCGAGCAAGAGGGCCAATAGATGAAGGAACGTGCTCTTGGCCGTCAGTTGAAACTGGTACACCGGCATATGGCAGCCGAGAGCTCTATATCTGTGTCAGTGAAGCTCAAAGAGGATAGTGAAACGTACACTTGGTTTGAAACCATATAGTCCCATGAGATGAGCAGGCATACGAATACTGCCACCCAAGTCTGACCCAAACCCTACCAAGCTTCCATGGGAGTATATCAATGCGGACTCGCCACCTGACGAGCCTCCTGGTGTATAACCAGATATCACTGGGTTTTCAGTTAATCCCCAAAGAGGATTATCAGTCTCAGCCCACTTATTCAGATCAGTTACTATCGATGTACTAGATCTGGTGAACCCACCATGATACTTTGTGGAAGATTGGTTTTGCAAATCATAATGGCACCCAATTTCTTCAGTATGTTTACGAGAACTGCGTCTTCGGAGGCTGGTTTGAACGCTCTGCTGGTATAACCAAGGGTAGTGTCGTAACCTTTGACGTTGAACTGATCTTTCAAGCTAATGGGGATACCGTGGAAAGGCCCTTTAGGCTTTCCTTCCTTAGCATAATAGCGATCGAGCTCCCGAGCTTGAGCTTGAGCATCTTTGAACAATATTTCAGTAAGGCTATAGTTGAACCCAGATTAGCGTAACTACTATGATAGGTATAGTAAGAAGTACCAGTTTGTCTATACAGTGTTAGTACTACTCCCAACTTAACATGCATCCTAGAGTCTTACTTTCTTTTGTGCCTCAATCGCCCTATAAATATAATCAAGTTAGCCATTTGCACTCAAACCTGAGCACTCAACTTTCCTTGAAATAAAAGCCTTAGCCACATCCTCACTTGAGAATTGGCCGCTGGCAATCTTTTGCGCTAGGAGAGCTACATCGTCAATATCGGTAATGGTGCTATAGAAATTATGTCGTTCTTTGATATCCGACAACTCTGTTGAAACGAAAGTCGAGATGGCATCGGCCTGTTGTTGCCTCTTCTTAGCAACAACCTCTTCCCAGTTGTTATCCCGCATATTGATAGAGTGGTGTCTTGGAACAAATGAGAAGACGCATGCAATGTTAGGATAAAATGAGGTTTCTAGGTCGAGGGGTTCTTGTGTGACCCCGCATGCGCCTTTGCTTATGCTGTACCCCGTAGATCTCGGCTACGGCATCCGGGATGAATCACCATGGATATTTAATAAGAATCATTTCTTCATGAATTTAACTTACGATAAGAATAATCGAGGAAAGGCCAAAGTAAGTGGAGAGAGAAATGCTTATGGTGAGACATTTCGTGGCATACAAGTATACATTTCCAAGCACACTACGTGTAAAGATAATCTCCTTGTGAAGGTTTCCAAGCTGAGTTTCACGGTGTAATCATTCGTTGCAACAAAGCAACGGTGGGGGGGATATAACTTGATAATTACTGGTTTCTAGAGCCCGTATAATTCGCTGAGGTTGTCGAATACCTTGTCCTCAGCCGCAAAAGCGGGCAGCTCTGGCAAATCCGTATCAGGCAGATGTCACAAGATGGCAGTGGTTTGTGGTGTTTTGCGGCATGGCAATCTTCAGCACAAGAATTGGAAATAGGATACAAGTTTAGACAACGTGATCTCACCAGCTGAGTCGGCTGCCTACTTGATGGAGGGCAGCCTTCACCAGTATGATATCATCAGATCATATTTGCCAGAGTATCGATCCCAAACTTGTCTCGCCGTTAGTTTATACATACTGGCTCTGGGCTGATTCAACTCGGTCCTGTTGATCGTGACAGCTTTACTTGGTATTACATAACTGCCTTTAGTATACGACGATTTTGACTAGGTACCTAGGGTGGTTGAAAGTAAGGCCCAGGTTGGCCAGTGACTTGCACCCGTCTTGCACCCGCCTCACGCCGACCACAATTAATTCCGTCGAATCATGTGTTCTTCAACGTCAGCACTTAACACTTATCTTTCTTTACCTATGAAAGCGGCCCGTTAAGTCTGACCGAAGCTCTAGTCGGATCTAACCGACCAACAACGTAAGAGGCGGACTCGGAAGACTAGCTACGCTACTTGAACTCGTTTTAGAATTCTCTACTATCAGATCTTTTGTAGCCGCAGTTGACTAGATACATACTGGTTAAAAAGCTATCCCCCGTAAGCCGGGGAGATATTTACGCCAGAGGATTGGTGTCTATGATGTCATTGGCTGCCTTGAAGATGCCGCAATATCCGCATATTTGAAGGCTGAATTGTTTGTCTGAACTCATAGGGGTCTATATAACATTGATGCTCCCTAGTTGTTCTGTTGACTACATCATCTGAACTTTAGAGTTGCATATAACCAGTCTGGTCGTCCTGTGTATCACTTTGACAAACTGTTATACACACATATAAGGCTTCACAACTCTCGTACTCATTCTTCATATCATGCCATCTCTCAAAGTATTGATATGCGGAGGCGGATGCGCCGGACCAGCACTCGCCCACTGGCTTGCTCGACTCGGCCATCGCGTAACCATAGTCGAGAGATTCCCAGCCCTGCGCGCAACAGGGGCACAAATCGACTTTCGTGAACAAGGCATTGAAACTCTCAAGCGCATGGGTCTTATCGACGAAGTTCGCGCAAAGTTGGTCGATGAAGCAGGCGTGGCTATTATCGACTCAAATGGCAAGGTCGTTGCGACCATCCTTGCCAATACATCAGGCAAAGGCGCGCAGAGTGTGACGTCGGAGTATGAGATTATGAGAGGAGACCTTGTGCGGATTCTTTACGACGCAACCAAAGAGGATGTTACGTATATTTTCGACAAGACTGTTGAGAGCTTTGAGCAGGATGAGAAGCATGTGCTTGCTCACTTCTCTGATGGCTCGTCGGATACATTCGATCTCCTAGTCGGGGCCGATGGTCAGGGATCTAGAATCAGAAGAGCAATTGGACCACCAGATGCCCCAGATCCCTATCGGAAACTAGGTCTTCACATGGCGTATTATTTCATTCCGCGCATGGAAGGGGATAGCAACATCCGCAGGACATATTCAGGCGCCGAAGGACGCATGATCTTTCGTCGGACTCACAATTCAACCGAGACCCAAGTTTATCTCATCCTGAAAGACGATTCTCCTGAGATATCTAGCATACACAGGGGCTCGGTGGAGCAGCAAAAGGAGTTCTGGACACGACGCTTTCGCACCGCGGGGTGGCAGACAGATCGATTCTTGGAAGGAATGAAGACAGCTGAAAACTTCTACTCTCAAGAGGTTGTACAAGTCCAGACAGATACATGGCACAAGGGCCGTGTAGTCGTCCTGGGCGACGCAGCCTACTGCCCATCTCCGTTTAGTGGGATGGGGACTACGGCTAGTTTTGTCGGTGCATATGTACTGGCTGGTGAAATAAGCCGAAATCCGGATGATCTGCAGTTGGCGTTTGAAAACTACGATAAGACACTACGGCCATTCATCGATGAAGTCCAGAATATCAAGGTCTCTTTGATCAAGTTGGCTATACCAAACAGTCATTGGGGTGTTGCTGTCCTTCAGTGGATTGCTTGGCTTATGTGTCTCCTCCGGATCCCCTATCTTGTTTCTAGATTCTCAAGTGAGGAGAAGGGAGGATGGTCGTTACCGGACTATCCTGAGCTGAAGTTGACTGAATGAGGCTCTCTTGCTTTTTCGTTAGTTCTGTTTTTTATTATTATATCAACTCCACTTAGTCAAAAGCCCAGAGCTGGTTAGGCTCCAAGGGTTGAGAACTGATATTTGGATCACGGAACTGGGAAGTGGTGTCAGATAACTTAATTTGTAGTTAATTCAAATTAATGATAGATCTATTGAGGGACCTCAACATCCTTGCTGGTGTCAAGCTCCTCAAATCTTCTCAAGTCCATAGGCTTCTCTAGCAGGGGAATGACGTAGGGGTCAAAAGTCTTCCAGTAAGGGTTATTCAAGTGATACTCCTGGCTCTGCAACACAAAAGAAATTAGCAAACACTCCAACAACATTCCAGGACTCAATACGTACGCTCTCCTGCTCGTAGCGCTCGACAATGGTAAAGGCGCGCTTGTCAGAGGTGGACTGCATAACGTGCCACGAGAGGGTCTCCTTGTCCTGGGAGTAGACGCGGCTAGCCTCAATCAGCTTGGCGGTGAGCTTCTTGAGGGACTCCTCATCATCCTTGGCGTAGAGGTGAACAACGATTGTATAGACCATCTTGGGCGGTTTTCCTGATATGAGGGGTTTGAAGATGGATATGGGGTGGGTATGGGCTGGAGAGTGTTGGAGAGGGGGCGCTGAATGTCAGTATTGGTTTTATGGTTTGTGCTAGAAGTGGGGATCATGTGATCTCTCCACCCATCGACTCATGACAACGAAATGCGCGTTTGCCGATGTACAATGATAGTGAGTGTATATTTCGTTCCTTAATATGGGATTGGTAGCCAAAAGATAATATAGATCTTCCCAATATTCCACCCTAAATGATCTTATACGACTCTGCGTTTACAGTTTAGGGTAAGTAATTCTGTTTCAGTAAAGACATTTCCAAAATGCACTTGATACAGATATGTGATTGGCGGTGATTCTTACTCTTACTCCAGTAAATAGAGAAAAAAGAAAAGACATATCGATGGGGATAAGCTACTGGGGGAAGCTTACTGAGAAGGCTCCAGACTCTTGGGTCGTCACACCCAGTGTGTCAGTTGCAATACTTATGGAGTGTTATTTCTCCTTTTCACGCGACTCCAAGTTTTCACTGTGGGATCTATGATGACTTGGATGGTACGCTGATACCATTCCGTACATATGGGGTCTTGCTGCAAGGTATAAAGACAACCAGTCAGATTGATCGACTATCAAGCTCCTGCTTCTCCAGCGTTGCAGAAATCTTGTGGCTCTTGCAGCGCTGTCAGTGTTTTGAAAAATTAGCAATATCCTTAGCGCAGCTTGTCATATAGAAATGTCGTCATCAAACATCACTCGGTCAAGACAAACACTGGGTTGATTCAATACCACGGAACTCGTATGGAAGATTTCTAGTTTCTAGTTTCTCACCTAAGTTAGTGCATAACACGCATCCTTGCTCCGATGGTAGGACCTCGCCAAGGAAGATCTTTTATCGCAAGGATCCACTGCGAGCGCCTCACCGTGCAGGGGAGGGACCCGCTGGGAGCCTCACGGCAGTTTATCTGTGGGTCAAGGGATCTATATTCCGCGCTGATTCGGATATCAGATATCGTCGATGGCTGATAAGGTGGTCCCCCTGTTGCTAGTTGAGATTCCGTTCCAGGCTACTGGGCTTTTTTCTTGCATTCTAACATTCCGCGTTCTCGGGTTAACAGGGAGATTGTTTGTTTTCTTGTTGGTATGTTCCAGCCTTGGATCGGTGACGTGTGACGGTGTAGTAGCCTCAATAGGATCACTCGCAATTATTGAAGGATGAAGAACATCCTGGATTGTCCCTCAATATAATATCACCGAGCTTAATGCGCAGCTGACCTTGGCTCGAATGACAGAAGCCTGAAATCGCCTCACTAACACAAAGGGTCGGAAGCCAGACACGCGATCCCAGGGCACAATTGGGTGAAATCATAGGATGCAGCTCATCTATACCTAAGGAAGCAAGCCTCATGACATATGGAGCCAACGTTATAGTAGCATTTCAAATCAAAACACGAGTCAGTTTAAACTCGGAGTCTTGATACCTACCGAGAGCAAAACCTTCTTCGGTATCTGTGACGCAAGGGATCCTTTATACACACGAGAATTACTCTGTACAAGAGGCCCACAGTGGTTTTATCGCGGGAATTATCAATTTTACAGGCGATCAACAAGGGATAAAAAATTTAATCTCTGCACTGGCACCAAGTAAAAGATCTGTTTTAACGCCAAGCTATCTCGACCGTCGACGTCATATCCTCTCGGCCCGAGACCCACTTTCGGCAGGCCGGCGCTCCCGGTCACTCCGCCGTCTAATTCGCATCTCACCTTAGCCCCGAAATGGCACCGGCACATGGAGAATCTCTCCAAATCGCATGGCCACCGAGCATCAACTTGCACGAGAGGCAATGGCTTGAGAATCTACGCTTCTAGAAGAGAGGCAAATATTCTAGCTTCACTTGTCGCTGGAACTAACTAACAAAAATATGGAGTGCGATACAGTCTGAGACGCGAGTCGTGAGCAGGCAAACGTCAAAGCCCACAGAAGTCCTCGGCGGCTTCATGGTGCTATAGTGGACCGGCAGCATCAACAACTCCACCGCGAAAACGGCCAAACATGGACCAAGATGAACAACGTGCGATGATAAGACAAGTGGGAAGGGGGAAAGAAAAAAAAGAAGGCAAACGATGTCATCATACTGGGCCAGCGAAATGAAGCACACCGGCCGTGTCCTTGTAACCCCAAAGTCCTTCTTATATCTCTTATCTCCCTTTCTGAGTCAATCTTCTGCTCTGACAGCACGCTCCCTCTCTCCTTATCACGACTCCCCTTCCCCAGAGACAACGAGATAGAGTTCCGTCCATCATGTCTAATTATATCCCCTCATTCTCTGCCCCCAACTCCAGGCCGGGCTCGCCCATGCCCCTGGGCTCGCCCTCAGCCTCCAGACCAACCAGCTTCTACGCCAACTCCAGAGCAAACTCCTTCATCGGGACCACCAGAAGAGGCTCTACAGTTCCTCAGTCGAGGAAGAACTCGGTCGCTGCGCCCTCGCGCAAGAACTCTGTCGCGCCCCAGTCGCGCCCCAACAGCGAGGATGGCAAGGGCTCCTCCGATCCCGAATCTACGGATGTGGAGGTCTTGAAGAACGAAAAGGGCGAGCCGCTGGCCGGTCGCATCGTCGGTGGTAAATATGTCGACCCTGCCAACGAGGCCATCGACGCGGAGTTTGGCGCCATCAAGACCGTTGACATCGACATGCCCCTTACTCTGACCGAGTTGGTCAACGATAAGGGCAAAGACTACATCGTGCTTGGATTCGCTTCAGGGGATAAGGAGAACCCCTTCAACTGGAACCCGTGGTACAAGCGATCGATCTCAACCATCCTCAACCTCATGACCCTCTTCATCGGTCTTGCAACAACAGCATACAGTTCCGGTATCACGAGCATGTGTGAGGAGTTCGGTGTTCCTAACATCAAGGGCCAACTGGGCCTCTTCACCTTCAATATCAGCTGTGCCATCGCGCCCATGATTCTCGCCCCCTTCTGTGAGTTGGTCGGCCGTAAAGTAGTATATGCCAGTTCATTCCTGTGCTTTTCGCTGCTCTTTATCGGCCTCGCCCTGGCCCAGGACATCAACACCATCATTGGCCTGCGACTCCTCCTTGGTCTCTTCGGTTGCGTCGGTACTATTCTTGTCGGCGGTACCTTTGATGACATGTACGAGCCTCACCAACGAAGTCGCCCAATGGCCATGTTCAGTTGGGTCGCTATCTTCGGAACTGTCGCTGCCCCTATCTACGCCGGTTTCATTAACCAGTCTCTCGGATGGCGATGGATCGAGGGTATCCAGGGCATTGCCAACGTCCCCCTACTCCTCGTAATCTTCTTTTACTTCCCCGAGACCCGTGGTGGTGTCGCTCTTCACAAGCGAGCCAAGGCTCTTCGACAGGCTACCGGCGATGATCGCTATGTCTCAGCCGGTGACATCTTGACTCCCAGTCTGCAGTCTATGCTGAAGGCCAGTTCCGTCAAGGCTATCCATATGCTGGCTACCGAGCCCGTCGTCTTGGCCTTTGGTCTCTGGATTGCTTTCTGCTGGGCTGTTGTTTTCCTCTTCCTCTCGGTTATCCCTATTACCTTCCAGGAGAACCACGGATGGGGCGAGGGTGTCAGCGGTCTTCCCTACATCTCGCTTGCCATTGGTACCACCCTTGGCTGGTTGGCTCATCACCTTCAAATGCGCAAGTTCGATCGTCTTGTGGCCGACCCCAACATCAAAGTCACTCCCGAGGCCCGTCTCTACGGTGCCATGTACGGAGCTATGTTCCTGCCCATCGGCCTCTTCATCTACAGCTTCACCCAGTATGCCCACGTCTCCTGGGTTGGACCCGCCGTCGGCCTTGCCCCTATCGCTTTCGGTATCTACTTCGTCTTCGAGGCTACCTACAGTTATACTGCCGATTGTTACGGCGAGAGCTCCTCCTCTGCCATTGCTGGACAGGGTCTTATGCGAAACACTCTTGGTGCTGTTACACCTCTTTTCGCCAATGCCTTCTTCCACAACGTTGGTAGCCAGTACGCTGGTCTTATCCTTGCTCTGTTTGGTACTCTTCTGAGCTTGATTCCTTTCGTCATGTTCAAGTATGGATACAAGCTGAGAGCTCGCAGCAAGTTGGCTATTGAGATGTAAGAGCATATTCATGAGAAAGCATATAGAATTGAATACACGAAGAATACATGAGATATATATAGATGCCTCTTAATAATGAGATGAGGAATAAATAAACTTTCTATACATAATTCTATTCATAAACTCAAATCCAAACTACAATTTTGACATATAGATCCCCAGTAAGGACACGGAACGGCTTGGATAGCTACCCCGTAGCCAGGCGGTAAGCCAACCGAATGAGTTGTTGAGATCGTTAGTAAAATGAGAAGAGCCTATGCCAAATCTATCTATATATACTATTTTGTGAAGATGCCTTCCATCAAAATCACGAGGCATCGCCTCAAAACACCAGCGACCGTGGTGTAGTGGTTAGCATTAACGCCTTCCAAGCGTTAGAGAGGGGTTCGATTCCCCTCGGTCGCAATTTTTGTCGCTTGCATGTCTCAACCCCTGCAGATATCCACGCTCATGTAGATTCCTGCTCGAGAAGGGTCGTCAAGTGCTATTGTGCTCTAATTGAAAAACACCAGATCGCAATGAGCCCCAAGCACTTTTGAGCCCTTCAGCTTTCCTACCAGACTGAGACTGAAGCATTATCAGAGCCGGATCTTGTCACAACCGGGAGCCTCGAATTGGTATTTTAGTGCATGATGAAGGTATCAATGGCTATAGGATTTTGATCTGATGCACTGTCAAGTTTATCGATAAGAAGGTACTAAAGCTCGTAATGTTATTAAGCTTTGACTTCACACGAGGGGCTTGCTTCCATATGGTCATAGTGATTGTAAAGACGCTGTAGACCCGTCAGGTATCGTGTGCTTCCCTATATTCTTATCCGGCTCGCCGTTTCATTTCGTCGGTTCAGACCCCCAATTACTGTTGCGATCAGGGGGTTTGCCTGGCGAGGCCTCTATTAACGGGGCCTCCACGCTTCTAGAACTTCATCATCCATGCTAACCTTGAAGATCCCAAACCCCTCCCACGCTACGTGCAATTTGTACCTCCAGTATGAAAGTCCACTACCATCAAGAAACCAGCCCAAAGAACTCAGTTCCATAGTAGAAACATCTCTGACAATCACAGGGTTAGTCTTTTTGAGGAGAAGCAAAGACACAACTCCAGGCCTGAGAGGGTTCATGATAAATTTCTGACGTGTATCTTCCATATATTTGTAAGGTTCCACTTTGTGTAGCTTGGGCTTCGATTGTTTTTTGATACACTGTTTCTGAGCATCGTCATCATCATGACCTTCAGTGACCCATTCGATGTATTCCTTTGTAAGACGACCGTTTTTACGCGAGCGGATTATGAGCTGGAATGGTTCGTAAATCGCCAGATTGTATTCGTTCGGCGGGTTGTCAGATATCCCAAGCTGTAGACTTGTAATAAGGAAGTCTGCGAACCCTTCTATGATCTTGGACATATATGCACCCGCCAAAGTCTCTATAGGACTCTTTGCCGTTGAGTCTGCAGACATGCCTTGCATAAGCTGAGCAGCTGAATTGATAACGGACTCTTTGCTGCAATGGGTCCTAGGCGTGCAGTACCACAGGAAGAGACATAGAGTTTTCATAGTACGGGTGAGGTAGGATATTGCGTCTGAATCTTGCTGTACGTAGTCCATGGCTGGGCTAAAGATGTTGAGGCGCCACATAACCTCTGCCTCAACATCCTTTGCAATGGATTCAAGAGGGATGCTGGAGGGACTTTCAGCTAGAATACTACCCATGAATGATTCTCTCTGAATGAAGCGATTGCCCATGGCGGCCTCTATGGCGTCTCCATGTAGTGTCACGTTGTGGAGCGTTCTGGCTCTGTCGTCGTATATTTTGATTTCACGAAACTTTTCCCCATATTGAAACCGCTGGTCGTCCTTCAAAGGTTCCAACGCAAGACTGTGCCTGAAAAGATCTGTCTTTCTGGCATTGCCTCGACCTGGATTTAAGCGTCTGGCCTGCAGAGGCGTTTGTGCCTGACGGAAGAGGCGCGGTGGGGGAGCTACCGGTGCCGTGTTATCTATCTTTCGACTGACATGCGCTGCACAACGGGTAACTTGGAGGTCGAGGCGAATGATGCGTTCTGGTGCTCTAGCTGCAATGGCTTCAGATGACGTCTCGTGAAGCTTCGCAGTATTCTCGAGGCTAGGTTTGGGACTCTGCTCAGCATCAGAGGGAGTTAGGGAATAGCTGTCAGGCTGCATAATGTAATCGTTGGGCGTTGAGGCAACGATTTGGAGCTAGTATCCAGTGCTGGTAACTCATGTATGAATAGAAGATAAGTGTTAACGTTAAAGTCAACTGTGTTCAAAATACAATCAATCTATGTTCTGAATTGGGAAGAAAACAGTTTTGTGGTTAGGTGGATGGTGTTACATTTATTGCTTAATCTCTTTCTGATATGTCACAGCGTGTCAATGCCGAACAGAATGCCCTTCGAGGCGGAGTGCAGCCTGATGAATCTCTGAGCCAACGAGGACTCAACTCACAACACCATCAAGTCTTCAAATGGCTTACTGCGTCAAAAAGTGACTCAGCTCGCGTGAAAATGATTTCTTATTTGTCGCCTAGTTATGGTAAAAATCGGATGATATCCTGTTGCATAAAGCTTCGCCTCCTAGACAAGTAGCAAGGCTTGGCACATAACTTGCCTTGAAGGTACACAATTGAAATTTCCAAGGAGCGATAATCACTATCTGAACAAACATCACCTGCGTCCATAAAAGCTAATCCTTAAACAACACAGAGGAACAATGGCCGCTACGTCTCCAAACACGGATGCACCATCAGTAGCAGCCTCTAGTTCACATATAGTATACACCAGAGGCTCCTCCGGGGAGCCATCTGCTGAAGATCTTCAACGAAAACCATGGAAATTCATTGGCTATAGAGGTTATACCAGCTTCATCGCCTCGGACCACGATTTTCATATTTTCCGGCGATTCAAAGAGTTGAATGTCCGTACTGCTCTTCTACTGCAGGATGGGATCTCTTGTCTCGAGGAGCAACTCGCCCAAATGGACGATACACACAGCAAAAAAACGGCCCAAGATGTTCACAACGGCTCTTTCAGAAAAGATGCGGTTGAGGATCGGATGTTGGCTTTAGAGTTAATTTCCGAGAAACTCTATCGATACAGTAAGAAGATCTGTCTCGTTTGAATCGCGTGGTCGATATCATGGGCTAATGTGTTTAGATAAATTCATGCTTCAACAATCAGCGTTGAATCAGTTCTCTGACGCCCCTCGACGTGATGTTAGGAGCATCCGCAACTGGCACTACAATCATGGCTCTGCGGCGATATTAAATGAGGAGCAGAAATATCTTGATCAGGACGATCTCTTCTGTGTCCTGCAAAAGGATAAGACACCGCTTCGTCGCATGATTGACAAATCATATAGATTAAGGACCATGGACTTATGGAGACGCCCTGATACCGTGCCAGACTATGACGCATCTCACGTTTCTTACTACTCCGATAAGCGGATCGATCATTTTGCTTCAGGCGTCATTATTGCCATTGGAACGTGTCTATTGATAATACCTTTATGGATATTGCAGGCGTTGAATACTTTGAAGATAAAGCTTGCAGTTATCACGGTGTTTATCTTCGTGTTTCTGCTCATCCTATCGATTTCTATGGCATCGAAACCGTTTGAAGCATTGGCTGCCACTGCTGCGTATGTTCTTCCTTCTACTCTCTGGCTATCTCAATTTGTCACTAACCCACTTCAAATCTCACAGTTATGCCGCTATTCTCATGGTTTTCATACAGTTGGGCTCCGATTGATGGGTTGGTACCATCATCGCTTTGGTTCAACCAGGGATCCAGGTGGCCAAACCGCGGCAGTTTTTCTGGTGTTGCAACTCACAATCGCAACTGATGTTTCGTCATTGGAGGGTCCCTAACCATGGACGATTTACATACACATAAACGCAGACCGAGGGTCAAGTGTCAAGTAGGCCAGTGCCGAGACCAATAGGAAGCTTCGGTGAAGAGCGAAACATAGGCTGGAGCTTTCGTGGATCTATGTGTAAGATGTTGGTGCTTTTGAGTAGTTGAATTGGATAGGTAATCTGAAAGACGGAAAAAAGCATCGTGCAAAGCTTTGACTAGGTATAACGGATGAATAAGTCGCGATGAATGGTAGGATTTTTACGATGTCTATTTCTGTTCTTTATTGTATCTACGCAAGCAAGTTCATTTTGTCAACAGCATTTTCAGTGACGCATGTCATTTGGACCATCATAACAAATTATCAGGATTAATGTCAGGGTGTTGTTGGCTTAGTAGGTACAGGGAACTCAGAGGTTTGATTCAAGTTCCTACAATATTGTAGTAGAAAAGTTGAGCGTGGTAAATATTGGATTGCTGAGAAAGAGGAGGTAGTTGAGATGTAAATAGAGTTGTGTGGCAAGAGTCACAAATACACATAAAATTTACATCGATCACGTTGGGAGAAGGAGCAAAAAATGGTGTTAACAATGTTAATTAGACTATTCGCAAAATATCATCTACTCATGTACTAGCTTACGCATATACATCCGATAGATTCAAGACCTAAACTTCCGAAGACCTCTTAGTCTTGCGGAAGAAGCAAGGCATCGTCAGCTGGCCCATCTCGGTCCAGAAACCAACAGGGGGGTCAGTGAAGGTGGCCTCGTAAGCCTCAATCTGGGGTCGCTCCCAGACAAGATCGACCTCGTGGGGACGGATATACTTTGTCTTCTTGCAGATCTTCCAGCCACCGAAGAGGAGAACAGCGAGGATCTGCATGGAGTAGTTCTGGAAGAAAACCTCGACGTCGAACTTGGGGCGGAAAGCGTAGTATCCGTAAACGAGGACGATGACGGACTGGAAGGCCAGGGCAATGTAGGCACCGTAGGGCTGGAAGTATCCGTAGTAGGGGCGCTCGGTCTTGCGGTTGACGCCTTGGGCGACACAAGCTTTGTGGTAGTTAATGTATGTGATGGACATGATCATGAAGGTGATAAGACCACCGCCGGTGACGATGCTGACCAGCCAGCCGAGAACCTTGGCGGAGCCGTTGGCGACCTGGAGGAGGGACAGGAATGGGAACAACATGGTGATACAGAAGCAGTAGATGGGGATACCGGACTTGTTGCAGTAGCGCAGGAATCGAGGGGCGCGGCCTTCGAGGGCCAGGGAGTAAAGAGCGCGGGTGGCGCAGTAGGTGTATGTGTTACCGGCAGAGAAGATGGATGTGAGAATGAGGAAGTTGACAACGTGGGGAAGACCCTTGATGCCAAGGTTGGACATGGCAATGACATATGGGGAAGAAGCAGCGTTGCCAGTACCGCCAGCGCCGAAGTAGATGTCGTACAGAGCAGGGTCATTGTAGGCGCAGACGATTGAAACGGCCAAGGCACCGACGATGAAGAAGACGCAGAATCGGTAGTAGACTGTCTTGAAGGCGCTCTTGATGGTGAATGTTGGGCGCTGAGCCTCAGCCGCGACCATGGAGATGTACTCAGGGCCGACGACAGTGAAGGACGCAGTGAAGAGAGCGGCCAGGAAACCCTCGAATCGACCCTTGTCACCTTGGCTGAGGTAAGTAGCGAAGGAGCCGGGGTTCGAGAAGTGTCTGAAGCCGTAGGCGTCGTGCTGAGGGTTTCCGCCAACCATGGTGACAAAGGTAAAGGCGAAGAGGAGGAAGATAAGGATGAGCTTTCCGCCTGAGAGCCAGAACTCAGATTCACCATAGAAGCGCACGGCGAGGACGTTAAGAAGACTGTGGGAAGTGGTTAGTACAAGTTTGGATGCCTTGCAGAGCATGTTGACTTACCCGTAGCATACGATCACTGCAATGCAGATACCAGCGGTTGGGCCAGGGTTCAGCGCATCGGCGTTCCAGAAGGAGATGACGGAGGTCAGGGCGGTGATCTCAAAGGGGATGATGAGGGCCTCGTAGATGAAGAAGTTCCAGCCAGCTACGAAGCCTAGTGCGTCGTCGACCCAGTGTCCAGCAAGAGTGACGAAGCCGCCTGCCACGGGCATGTATGTGTTCATCTCGGCGATGGAGTTGTTGACGAGGGCGAGGATTAGGGAGTAGAGGGTGAAAGCGATGACGAGACTGCCGGGGCCGCCCCTGGCAAGACCACCTCCGATGGAGATGAAGAGGGCCGTTCCGATGGAGCCACCGGCGGCGATGAGCTGGATCTGACGGTTGTTGAGGCGTCGGTGGAGGTGACCCATGCCACTGTCGTCGACATATCGGAGGCTGGAGGTATCGCCTGCGACGGCGCTGGCCTTGCCAGTCGACGTGCGGTTCTTTTCGTCGTCTGAGATCATTGTGAGGGTGGGGGTTGGGTTGTGAGCCCTTTCTGTGATGTATGAGGGAAGACGAGTGTTGAAAGGGTATATGGTGTGTGTGAAGGAAGGGTGGAGGTGTTCAGAGACGAGGGTCTGAAGAGAAGGTGAAACCGCAAGAGGAGAGGAGACAAGCCCACTTATATAGTCTCATCAGCAGGAGAGAATGGAAGAGGCAGAGATAGCAATCCCATGTCTTGCTGGGGTGGTGCGTCCATGGTGTCGTTGCCCTTTGGCCTTTTCGCTAAACCGTGAAGCTTATCTCGAATGGCGCATCCGTATTGGACGGTTCTGCAAGACGCCCGACTGGACTGAACGGTCCAGGCCCTTGCAGTCTCGACTAGACTCAACATGGCAAAGGCCTATCTCGAGCTGATGTGAGAGAGAGTGTGTGAGAGGAGGAAGAGACACGAGAGAGTCCCTCTTCCCCACGGGGAAAGCTCGTGCGTAGCTCGGTGGAGCCGAAGGAAGACTAGGCCGCATCTGCTAGAATAGTCTGGGGAAAGCCTGTCTAGATCAGTTCTTTTGTTTGTTTTTGCTTTATCGGCACTCTAAAAGCAAGGAATGTGGTGTATCTCGCAGCGCTGTGACTGGCTGCACAGGTAGCTAGATCTAAATCACGCACCTGGTTTACCTTAGCACTGCATTGTAGAGTACGTACTGTCTCCGCCATTCAAGTCCTGTTGTCATCCTGCAGAAAGTCGCTTTCTTTTTTGGAGCTATGATAACGGCAAATCTGCCCATGAGTCGATTAGCCAGTCTAGACCGTGTTGGAAGTTGGGGTTTGTTTGGCAGTTGGTTACGGTTGTAGTCAACTGTAACTGTTACTGTTTGTTACTGTAGGGGTTGCGAGGCTTGGGGCGTTGCGCATGTGACAGCTGAGGAGGGGGGAACTCTACATACGCCGCAAGGACGAATTGGGTAATTATTTGCAACGTACAGAGGATTTGGAGATGAGAATGTTCTGGATGATCTACGATTGCAGAGATAACACCTCTACGGATATCTAAGATTTCAATAACCTTTATTTAAATTGGATCATTATAGATAAGATATCTCTTCTCTTGTAAGATACCCAAGCCTTAACGTTAAATCACTCAACCTACCATGTCTCTCTTATCTCTCTCACAGTCTCTCTCTCTCTCTCCCTTGCTCAAGTTCGCCGACCCGTATTCTCGGTACGTATCTAGCTCCGCACCATCCATCATCTTGCGTCTCAGCTCCTCACGGCATCTCCACCTCCTGCAACCATCTCGATTGTGGCCCCCCTTTTTCTCCAAAGCAACTCCAATTGAACAGAACCCTCCAAGTTTTAGCTCATCTCATCTGTGGTAGACGTCCCGACTCCGGTTAGTTGCACAGTTGCCGTACAGTCTTGTCTTTGAATCCGTGATTGTTCGGATTCCCATCCACGCGAACTTGCATTTATCGATCGTGGCTAAACTCCCAAGTCTAGAGCCATTCTATCCGACCTTACGGCCATTCATTTTACCTCTGTAGCTTACCGTCGCCCGTTCAAAGGATTAATTGACTTTGTGTAGATTACGGCGAATTATTATCGCGCAACAATGACCAGAGCGCTCTATCCGCTACAGCCTTAAATAGTATGGCTGAGGGGGCCTAGCCACCCCCGTCGGTCTAAAAAGCTATCATTGACGCCGTGACGGGAGTGTGTCGAAATGATCGGCAACTATAGACGAGACACGCCCTAGCTTTCGATGCTATGCAAAGCATTGACCACGATATTTGGACTTCCAATATCGACTGTCACTTGCCTATGGCCAGGGCCAGTATCATGGGATTGTTAAGTGAGCTCTAAGATGAATATCCAGAATGCCTTCTTTAGCTGAAGTCAGATCCCAAGGTCAGTCAGTTAATTCCAATTAACTGGTACCAGAACTCATCCCCAGTGATACGTTGGGAGAAATGAGAATCGTTAACCGATTGCTGTAATGGGGTCTCTCCAATTCTTTCAAGTAACATATCTGTAACACAGTTAGTTCTTAGGTACATGATATGAAACATATACATCCTTATCTCAGTTGTGGTGCAGTATAGTTCCATCTATGAATGGTTCGTCGAACTGTACGTTTCAATCCTCCATTCGGTCCGTGGCAGATAACAAATCTATAAACAGCATATCAAACTGTATGCTTGTCTATATTGTACACAGGCTTCACTGAAAGCCAATAGACAACAGTTCTACCTGATCATCCTATGCAGCCACCTCAGGTCCTCGTGTTAGCTTAAATTCAATCACTGGTTTTGGTTATACTTACAAATAAAATAAAAGCTGTCCGAGCAAGCCACTTGAAGTATTCAACAGATATAACTGAACAAACACGATAAGGAAAGCTGCTGTTCATCTAAATGCAGTACAAGAAGCATATCAAACAACATCGTATCGATCCCGTGTCACATGATCGGAATAGCATCCGATCCCGGGCTGTGCCGCTACCACATGCCACCATTCATCCATGTACGTAGTAGGTACCTGAACCTCCACGCGGAATGTGCTTTATCTTGTCGCTGGCCATCTCCCAGCCAGCTTATGCGGGCGGCTTGCAGACGTTGGCCAAAGGCGTCTGGGAGCCAATGAGGTGTTATACACATGGCGCACATCACAACACACAAGATTCAGCCTCTTTTGGCTTTCAACGGTACCTACCTTATGGCGTTTCTCTGCAGATTAAACGGGGAGATACTTTGCTCGGGAACGTTTCCCAGCCAGGTCGGCTTCGATCCGTGAATGGGACCACTCATTTCCGTGCAAGACTCCGCACCCTTCATTAAGATTCTGGGTCTTTGGCAGCACCATTCACGAATGTTGCGCGTTGCTTTACAAATGCTTGTTAATATGTGCTGCAACCACTTCGTCTGTCCGAGCTTCCTCAGCTGTTCAAACGAAATACAGATTGGAATATAGCAGGCTTAGTACCTCAATTAAGGGCAAGAAATAGCGAGGTTGTGTCATCATCTCGGCGGGCTAACGGCAAAGACTCCGTGTCGACCCACGAGCGTCTCCCGTTCCTGGTTATCGCGCTGCTATACCCTTTCCTAAATATCGCTCCAAGTTAGCATAAGCGCACATGGGCTTATCTCCAATCAAGATATTGTGTATCTCTTCCATCGCGGGCGCTGTCAACGGGAGGCGTAAAGTAAAGCTTTAGTGAACGCTATGCCATGTTCTAATCCCGAGAAACCTCCATTGCTCGGAATCCCAACACTTCACCTATCTGCCTGTAAAGAGCAACGTGGCCGTGTCTGCGCTAAAGTACCAGGATCCTAGTTATTATCATTGTCAACTTGATGCCTGGAGCGCTTACGCTAGCCTTACATAGTACGATGGTCGCTCCGCCTAATGAGCCTAACTGCTTCCCCGGACGTGGGTGAGCCGCACCACGAGGGTTCCATGCCCAAGGACCAGGGTCACTCTCTACGGAATGAATTTTGGCTACTTTTCTCATTTGGATTGTACAGGAACAAAGACGAGTGACGTCTTTGTCAAAGGCGAAGCAGCTGTCGCACATCCGGACAGCTGCAGCTAGTCGTTCTGGACTCGAGATGGGATCATGTGGAGGCATAACAATAGCCAGTGACTGTAGCTTCATTGTTATTACTCGGAACAGGCGGGAGAGATACCAATTGTGATACTACTCATGGGGTCAAGGGCCATGCCTCTAGGTCAATGTCACAAAGCAATGGCTACGGCGGCATATGCTTCCACCTTGATTGCAGCAGAGCCGCAAATGCCGATAAATTAGTCTTTGATAAGATATTCCCAGAAAGGGGGATCAGTGGACAATCCTGGAAATGGGGAGTCCGCCAACGTGGTCGAGAAGAACCGTAGCGTTGGGTCTAGCGACAAGACTCCAATCATAACCACCAGCGACACGGCTCTCTTGGACCCTTCTGGTTGCACTGAGACAAAAACAATACGTACTTTACTACATAGAGGGTGTGTTACAGTACGTTCTGCTGCCGCGGCGGCCGTGTTCTGGACGAGTCTTTGATCAGCGATAAGTGACACATGTTTGGGCTCGGTGTCTTTTTTGAACATTTATTTGCTTTTGTTCTATGAGGATCTGGGCTGATCGAAAGATAGGGCATCATTTTGCCTGCGGCGATCTGATCGATAGTCCTTTGTTGCTTGAGTATTGTCGGAACGTGGCGAAAAGACAACGCTTTGTCGTGGGCAGGAATGACAGTATGCTCCAAGTTATTGACCATAGCATTTGATCACGGTTTACAGTTGGCAGAATACTCTTAGATGTGGTGCACAATATTAATTGTTGTGACTGACAGTGTTTAGTATTATAATCATGATAACGGTATTACAGTATAGCTCATTTGAGCGAGTCTCAACTCTGGAATGTCTACGGATATGTCTAGCAAATATCTCACAGCCTCTCATCACCGATTTTGGTACAATACAAACCCTCCTCCTCATCTATTCCTTTTTCGCCTTCTTATTCTTCGGCACACGAACCAAATAATAGATCCCAAACGCCGCCGCAATGTTAAATACGCAATAAACCCACAACAGCCCGAAATCCCTCCAGCGATTCTCGAAGCTCATGCTCTTGCTCGCCAGAAACGTATTTGTGTCAGAGAGCGTGCAGTACTGACACTCCGTCGCAGCGGAATCGATGATATACCCGCCCACGTCGGATAAGTACGACTTCATGTACTCGCCGCAGGTCGTCCCGTTGGGCGCGTTAAAGCTGATCATCTCGTTTGCCTCGCAGCCTGCTGCTGCGTTGGCCATGGATGTGCCCATTAGGCCTTCGACGACGTAGGTGAAGGGTGAGGCGCGGTACATGAAGATCCAGAAGCCGGGGAGCTCTTCTGGTGATGCAAGGATACTGACGTGCAGGGTTAGTTATGATCGTTTGACAGAGGTGAGGTATTGTCTTACCCGCAGAAGGAGAACATCATGATCATGATCAGAGTAACAAGACCACCCGCTACTTCTGCCGTATCGAAACCAGCGATGATCATGTGCGCAAATGTGCTTGTGAACATGAAGAACATCCATACGAAGAGAAATACAGTCGCATTTCGAGAGTCCGTCGCGTCAGTCTGGTAGCCATTGCGGTATAGTCCAGTTGGGAAATACCAGCAAACAAACGATAGCACAGCCATGAGCTACGCCTTGTCAGAAACCTGTCTTTGATGCAGAACACAACCAGGGACTGCAACTTACCGAGTTCCACGCCGCTTCCACCAGAATTGTCGAAACCATAAACGCCTTCCAAGAGTATGTTTTTGACGGCCTCTCGCGTGCCTCGTACATTGTGCGCTGGGCCACATAATCGGGCAGCATCTGCTGGACAACCTGGGTGAAGATGGTGAGGAAGATGAGAACGCCGAAGATCTGATTCTGGAGACCTCGTTCGGTGTTTTCTCCATTGAAGAATGATAGGCCGATGAAGAGCGACTACCAGATTTAGCATGCGCATTTGATGATATGCGGAAGGGAGAACTTACTGCACCTGCGGAAAGGATGACTTTGGAGTAGATATATCCAGGACTTCGCCAGTACTGCTGGAATAATCGCTTGGTGACCTGCGTATACTGCATATACGGGGTAGCAGCAAACTCGTTGTACTCTGTTCCGTCACGGCTATCGGTTTGCTCAGCGTAAGAGTTCTCGTCTACTGCCAATTGCTCAAGCTCTTGTTGGACAAGCCCATGCTCAGGAGAGTTCCTCCAGACCTCGGGCCAGTCAACATCCGTGTGAGCACCAGGAGCAGCTCCAATAACCTCGAGCATGTACTCAGCAGGATTGACACCTGGCGGACACTTCGGTCCTCCGTTACGAACAAAATAGTCGACCAGAACATTCGAGTTTTTGCCTATGTCGCCAAAGTAGATGGTCTTGCCACGAGACAACAAAAGCAGTCGATCGAAGCGCTGAAAGAGCATGGCAGAGGGCTGGTGGATGGTGCAGAGGATAGCCTGCCCGTTGTCGGTAAGCTTCTGCATCAGGTTGCAGATCGACCAAGAGGTCTGGCTATCAAGTCCAGACGTCGGTTCGTCGAGGAACAATAACAATTGCGGTCGCGCAGCCAGTTCAACGCCGATGGTGAGTCTCTTCCTCTGCTCCACGTTAAGACCCTCGCCAGGCACGCCGATAATAGCATCAGAATACTCCTGCATGTCAAGAAGAGCAATCACTGTGTCCACGTAGTCGAGCTTCTCCTGGCGGCTATATCTGGCTGGCTGTCGAAGCAGAGCGCTGAAGTTGAGGGCTTCGCGGACTGTTTGGGTGTGGACATGAATATCCTGTTGCTGGACGTATCCTGTTTTTCGTTGAAACGATTCGTCGCGTAACTTTCCGTCCACGAGCATTTGTCCTGTTACGACGCCCATTGTGACTCGACTGGCTAGTACATCCAGCAGTGTAGTCTTGCCAGCGCCCGATGCTCCCTGATGCACAATGTTAGTACTTATTCGACCTCTCTATGTCTTGGTGCTTACCATCAGCGCTGTCAGGGTCCCGGGCTTGACCCAGCCATCGACGTGATCCAGAATTCGTCGAGTGTCTCCCTTGATTTTGACGTCGTAGCAGACATTTCTCCAGTGGAATACCGAGGTCTGCTCTTCCACATCCGTAACCTCGTTGTTCTCATTGCCACCAGCGAGCTGTGTACCGCCGACATTACCTGACTCTTCGTCACTCGCAACCTTTCCAGCGTGCTTCTTCATCTCTTTACGAGTAAACACCAGAACCTCGCCCTTGGAGCGCTCAGACGCGATGATCTCAGTGGCCAACAGGTGTAAACCCATGAACAGAACCGTAAAGGCGATAACTACAGCGAAATCGCGCCACTTGTGCGAATCGGCGTATCCGTATGCTGAAGAAAGATATGCGGATCCTCGAACAAAGCTCTCTCCTGGTACCGACCCTTGGATGGCACAAGCCTGCGAGAACGGCGCGATATCTGTATAGTCGGGTCCGCTTGGTACAAAGTCTGAACAAGGATACTTCTGTCCGCCGAATTCGTTGATGAAAAGACTCTCGAGACCATAGTAAGTCGGGTTAATCCAGCGGATCCATCCCAGCCACACTGGCATGTACTGCGGTGGGATCGCATACCCCGTATAGAGCGCAATGACAAGCAGCATGATAGACGCACGAGCCAGTGCGGCAGCGATTGTTTTGGTAAGAGAAGCAATAAGACGGAACATCATGGAGAAGCTCAAGGTCGTCGCAAAGGAGACCAAGAGAAAGAAGAAGAAACTGCCGGCGTCCTGTCGCAGGTTACCCATGAAGTACATGGTCGTATTCATCATGATAGTGTTGAAGATTTTATAAGGCAGATCCACCACCATAGACGAAAGAGCCTCGGCGCTTGGGTGATATAGGGCGTAGCGTGCGTGTTTTTCGACAATATTCCTCTTGGCGTAGAGGGTCATGATCTCCAAGATGTTGTTGTAGGCATTCATAAGAAGGATGAAGAAGATGAGCAGTCCGCGCTTGAGAAATGCACCCGTGTCTTCTGGTAGTTGGTAGAAGATACTCCCGATAACAAGAGATTCGACAAGGTTGCACAGCAGGAGGGTGACGGTTACGCTGGGATCGGCCTTGAGCATCACCCAGCTTCTACCCAGGGTGAGTCGCATCTGCTCCATGTATGACAGAGTAAAGGGGGACTTGATGCGCTGCGACTTGGACTGGTCTCTCTTCCTAGAGTCGACAAACTTTTCGTAGTGTTCGCCGCCAAAGGGATGTCGCTCGAGGTAGTTGTCCATCTCGAGAAGTAGCTGCTGTCGGTTCGAGCTGGCCTTCCATGCTTGGGCGAACTCGTCGGGCGATCGGGGAGCTTTTCCTTCGTATCCCTGGCGAATGATTCGTTCTTGGTGGCTTGTCATCGAGGTCAAGAAATCGGCTGTGGTTTGCTGCTCGGGGCAGACAAAGCCCAGCCTTTCAAAATAGGCCTTTGCCTCGGATGTTTTACCGAAGAATATTTGCCTTCCCTGGTATAACACGAGGACTTTGTCGAATACCTAAAACATAATTAGTCAAACTCCATCACAGTGGTCTCAGAGACTCACGTCGTAAGCATCTTGAGATGCCTGATAGATAGCAACAGCAGAGGTACAGCCCATGACATCAGCCTGCGTCCTCAATGTCCGACAAAACTCGAGTGCATTGGCACTATCAAGACCTCTTGTGCTATTGTCCCAACATTGGAGCGGCGAATAGCTCAGAGCTGCTTCTGCGATCGTCACGCGTTTCCTCTCGCCTCCGCTGACGCCGCGCACAAAGTCATCTCCAACGCGGGTATTCTTGGTGTGAGAGATACCGAACATGGCCATAGTAACATCCCTCAAGTGCTCGGCGTACTCGTGCCGACTGATGCCCTCGGGGATGTTCTTCGGACAGCGGGCGCGTGCAGCGAAGTAAAGAGTATCACCCACGGTGAGATGCGCAAAGTGATGGTCAACTTCAGCCGTGTAGATCGCCTCGCCGCGGAACGCAGTTCTCATCTCTTCAGGGCGGATACCAGAATAATTGATCTCGGAGGTGCTGTCAATGTGGAATCCATGTGTGTCTCCGGCAATTGTCTTGAGAAAGGTCGAACAGCCTGAACCAGGGGGACCAAGCACAGCCAGCATCTCTCCGCTGTGAACAACGCCCTCCAAGTCCTGCAGGATATCAACACGTCTCTGCTTGTCGTGCAGAAGTTTCTTGATCATAGTTCCAGCTTCCAGGAAGATGTTCCCGACACTCTTCTGGAAATCAGTATCGGAACCGAAGCCAAAGATATTCAGGTTTCCAAACGCAACACCAGTTGTCCTTGGTGGATTTCCCTCAGAGGTGTCTGTCCGTAATTCGTAGAACGCCTTTGCCCATTTTTTGGCGTTGAAGCTTGAGCTACTGGGGTTCAATGGTCCGCTTGCCTGTGGGAAGAGGGATCCTGGGGCTGCGCTTGATCGCCGAGTGAGTTCGCGAGCAAGCTGCACTACTTCTTCGTTCTGAAGGTTCTCTTCATCTTCGCTTATGGGAACCTCAGTGTTCTTCTCAGTGTAGACGTGGGTAGAACATGTTGAGCCTGTGTCGTTGTTGTAGAATGGCTTGGGTGCACCAGCCCCAGAGGAGATCTGAGAGCTGGATGCCATTGCAGATTGTCTTTTCTAGCTTCCAAAATGTTCAATATTGAATCGTAATACTGTGAGTATTTAACAGAATGAGGTCAAAATTGCAGTGGATTGGGATAGATAGAAACTCCGAGGAGGATTAAGGTATGTCGACTTCAAGAGTACAAAGAATGACAGTGCGAAAGGCTTCAAGGTAATGATTGAAGTGATCATAGTGAATCGAGATGAAAAGACAAAGAAAATTAACATATATATCTAGCCCAGACCCATGTTCTCTGGGCATTCCCACACTGACTCTACAACAATATGAAGTGGATCAGTGAGGGTATTCGGACTGCCAGACCCCGAATGTCCAGGCGTTTAAGCTCGTGTACTCTTTAATTCTCACAGTCTCTCACTCGGACTTTCGGACTTTTTGGCTTCTTAGCTGCTAAGATACTCGTAAAATTACCAAAAGCGGCAATCCCAAAAGTGGCGGCGTCTCCTGGTTCCTGGATTGTTTGTCTCTCCGTCGAGTCATAATCCGAATCCTGGAATCCTGACAAACCAACTCCATCACAGTCCCCATTCTTTCATCTTTTGGCTTGACATGGGCTTTGGGGCGTCGTGTTGTTCTCCTCGAACCTTAATTTTACGTACCGACTGCGGGGGTAGATAAGACCGAATCTCCGCTCTCCATCTATTGTCACATTGCTGTTGATTGTAGATATCCCATGCGCAGACACGTCTCGGACTATTCTTTTATGATAATCAGCGGGACTTTTCAGTGAGATGTCCATGTCTAGCTCTAGCGTAACGGGTTCAGATCAAGTTAATCGTCTCTCCGTAAGCTTCCTTATCCTCGCTTACCCAGACTCACCCTTCTAATGCCCACTCTTAGTGTACAAGATGCAAAGAACGTAAAGTCCGATGCAATCGCGTTATGCCGCAATGTGGTCGGTGCAAGACTCAGAATATTGCATGTTTGTACCCAATTCGGGCCAAGAGGAGGTCTGCGCGACCATTGATCGACCCAGCCCTGTAAGTAGCCCTTGTATAGGCGGCTTTGAGGATCGGTAATTGACTATTGCACCTTTCAGCTCGGCAGATGGCTCCAATGCTGCTCTGTCTACTATCCTTGATCGCCTTCAGCGTCTTGAGGCACGAGGAATAGCTGGATCATCATCAATCAACGGCCAGTCCATGCCAACTCCCGGCGGCGATGGCTCTGAGATCTCGTCATCGCCAGTCACTTCCAACACCACCAACGGCCATGAGTCCAGTGCATTGACGCCTCACAATCATGTTCGTGAGATGGACGCTATGACTGTTCTGAAGGATGCAGTTGATCATGTCCAGGAACTGAGGAGAAGGACGTTTGGCACCGCCGTTATTACCAGCTCATTGGATATTCCCACAGATATAGCCAAGGCTTGGGCTACGAGTGTGTGGCCCGTCTCCCTATTGTTCTCCATTATCTAACCCTTTCTAGACTTCTTTAAGCATATGCCTGTGTGCATGTTCATCAGCTTGGTGGATAGGCGCATCATCGACATACTTCCCGATATCATCAATCTGCCACACATCCACATCGACCCAGTCATTCTCGTCATATACTACAGCGTCCTTTACCACGGAAGCTGTTTGAAGGCCAGTAATCTCACTTCAACTGATGCTCTTGGCTACATGAATGCGAGTTTTCTCGGATGTCTCCGCGCGCTACCAAGTTGGGAGCGAGAAGCATCAGGGACTATGACGGATCTGATCGCTGCGCTCTTCACCGTAGGTATCCATTCAGAAACCAAGCATTTACATAAGCTAATCACCTGATATAGAGCCGTATGGCCGCTGAATTCTTCGATTACGATCTTGCTTGGAGGACATTCAAACTCGCATGCCAGTACTGTCAGGACCTTAATATCCACAAACTCGACTCAGACGAGAGCGACATCTTTTTCAGCGAAGCCAAGTGTGATGAAGAAAGAAGGGGTTTTTGGGAAGTCATCCAGATTGATCTCTTCTACCGCCTTATCCTCAATACGCCTCTCGTCATCACCAACAACATATGGAAAGTCAACCTACCGTGGCTGGATCCTAATTCGGAATCCCTCCCACAGGGCATGCAGACAGTTGCGTTCTTGGCTAGTTCTCGAGTGAGTCTTGTGATTGCTCGGTTTTTTGCTATGCTAGATGACCCGAATAATACCACTAGATCTGAGATCGTGGCCAAGACGGAGGACCTTTGCCGCGAGATGCAACAGATTTTTACTGAATGGCAGCTGGTAAGTTATGCGAGATACAAGTGAACTTCAAGCTAACTCGGCAACAGATCGAATGGATGGATGCCGCTCAAGACAATGATCAGGATATATGGGTAGTTGCCGATGTCATATTAACCGGCTACACCTCAATCATCTACATGTTCCGCAAGATGGCATTGCTCGACTCAAACTCCCCTAGGCCACCTACAACCGACCTAGACATCCCAGACTCACCCATCGTCGAAGATGCAGCCCGGCGTCTCATCGCGGCTCTCAATCGATTATTGGTGATATACCCTTACGGAGCAACAATGACAGGATTGTTCGGCGCATACAGATGTTTCGTCGCGTTTGCTTATTTGGCCAACACTATATTGCGCGCCGAAGACCCGCGTCGCTATATGGCAGATATTGAAGCACTTGAAAGGCTAAGTAATCAATCGACTTTGCTGTGTCGAGGCAATAGGGATGTTATGCCTTTGGTGAAAGCAATGCAGAGTATTACCGAGGAAATACGCAAGAAACTAGACAAACATTCCTAGAATGAAGAACAAGACTTTCAAGAGATATGCTAATATAACTATTAAATATTTCTAGAATGGCTAGACAGTCTTTGGAGGAGCGATTAGGACAAAGATACCAAGATAAAAAGCCATATCAACATGGCGACACCATGGCCCAAGATTTCCAATCCAAAATCTAATAAAGACTAGAAAATGCTGGACACAAGATCCCTGAGCAGACATTGTCCACTCCGTCACAGCTCTTGAGGAAACCGGCCCATATTAGCCAGGGACTTTGCCTCATCATAAATCCTCTTGTGAATATCCGGCCACTTGAGGAATGGCCCATTGGCACACTGCACTTCTCTCCCCACGCAGTCCTTGCATACTCCATCCTGGGGATATACCCATTCTTCTCGGAGCTGCTGGATCGCGTTGCAGTCGGCGGTCTGCTTGAGACGGTGTTGATGGCAGTGTTCTTTGAGCAGCACTGTTACGCAGTCGCACTTGAACTGGAAAACGTCCCATTTGCACATTATCAAGGCTGGATTTGGGATTATGGGCGTTTCGGTGGTTTGGTGGTTTGTAGATATTGGACGTTTGAAGTTGAGGTGGATTTGGTATGGCGGAAATTTGAATTTGCTATTCGAGGATGATGTCCATCTTCTGCTTGGTTCTTATACCTGAGACTTGCTCGGACTGTCCTACTTACTCGTACTTTTCTATTCATGACGAGTATTACAAGATATTGCAGTTTGCCAGTCGGCGAGTGAGCGAGGTGGAAGTTTGCCAATGCTTGATTTTATGGAACAAACTTTGACCTCTTGAGATGATCTTCTGATATCAGCGTATTCTATGTAACGTTTCTGCTGTTCTGTGCAATTCCTGTAATCCAGGCGGCCTACTATGTCTGAATAGCAGAATGCGTGGCCAACGTGGAAGATGATGATTATAATTTAGATTGATGTTGGCCATATCAGATGGACACGACAGCATTGAACTACCATCTACTCCACTCTCAAGTATGTTTTCCTACACTTGCAAGAATCATCGTGACACGACATGAAATAGTTTGCCTCGCCTGATTCAAGTCATGAATATGTAGTTCAAGTCGGTGGCGAGCCGCAAATACACATAACATGAACTCTGCCTTGATTGCAAAAAGACAAGACAAGAGTTGATATCACAGCAAAGGTATACTAAAACTATACAGAAGCTTTACCACGCAATCTTGTATTCTTCACCGATCGCTCAAGCAAGGTACGAGCGGTTGTTTGTTAGGTAGGTAGTTATAGAACGCAGGGCAAAATCCATCATAAATTAATCCCAACTTGCCTACCCTAAGCTTCTTTTCTGCGGCCACAATCCCGCGATTGAATCTGGTAGAGAAAGTCTGATACCAAGCAAGATGGTTGAGGAAACTAAGTAGTTAATTAAAACAGGCACGATTATTTATATAGATCTATTTGATGTTCAACTCTGGTCAATTGTAGTCTCCGCTCGAGCCAGCGAGTCAAAGTCTCCCTATTTCAACTTTTCAGGGGCTTCCCCTTGAGATCAACCCCCTGCAGCTAGGCCAGCCCACCTTTAGCCCGTGCCTCGGGTCCCTTTTTCGCAACACCACCTAAGCTCCATCTCACCCACCTCACGAAGGCCACGACATCCCCAATTCCTTTGCATACGCAATCTCTGCACGTCTCTTCTTACGCTCACTTTATCAATCCTGTTTTCTTGATACAACTACCATTCTTTAATCTCCCGCCATGATCTGAGTAGTCCGTCGCATTGACCTCAGAACCGCCGCCATCATGGGCCCTTTAGCTTTCTTGAACCAGCTGTACGACCATGATACCCTCGACACCCGCTTCACCACGCCCGCTGCTACTCCCTACCAGACCGTCATCGAATCGCGATTAGACCCCAGTATAAAGAAAGAATCTCTCGCCAAAGAGCGAAGCAAAGCACAACCGTCGAAATGGAATACTCCAGAGTTCTACTTGTACTATGCAGTCATTGGCATGGCAATTCCAGCTATGTTCTGGATCACATACGATGTCTCGCGAGGTATATAGCTCATGATAGCTTCTAACACTGCCCAGAAACTGACAGAATACAGAAACTGATCCTCGATACCCCAAATTCAAGAGATGGCTGTCCCCTGGCTGGATTCCCGGGCGCCAAATCGATGTCTCCGATGCGCAATACGGTGTCTTCCGCGAAAACATGCCTTATATGGGTTCTCTTTTACTTTTCCACCCCCTGCTGAGGAAACTCTGGAACAAGTACAAGCCATTGCCTGAGAGAAGCCAGGGAGGACGTAACCGACTAGATCAGCGAGCATCCTTCGATTTCCTCTTTGCATTCATATTCTTGTTCGCCCTCCACGGCTTTTCGGCGTTCAAGATCTTTTTTATTCTTTGGACGAATTACCAGCTGGCGACCAAGCTCCCACGACGATACGTTCCGGCCGCTACTTGGATCTTCAACATCTCAATTCTGTTTGCCAACGAATTAACAGAGGGATGGCGGTTCCGAGTTCTGTTCAGCTACATTTCGCCCCCCGTCATGGGCTTGTATAAGAACAAAATGAGACTGCTCAACTCGGATCTGATGAATCTCGGAGCGAGAATAGACGGCACGTTCGAAGGAATCTTGGCCCGGTGGGAGGTACTCTTCAATATTACCATTCTTCGTCTTGTCAGCTTTAACTTGGACTATTACTGGAGTGTTGATCGCGGCAACTCTAATGCGCTCGAGGTAAGTGACTATAATATTTCTGGAGTTGGGAATTATTTCTGATCGCGCTCTGATGCTTGAAGAAGAAGCAACTGGATCCAGCAAACCTCTCAGAAAGAGATCGTGTAAGCATCTCAGCAGAACCTCGAGACTTTAGTTTCCGCAACTACGTCGCATACGCTATCTATGCGCCTCTTTACTTGACGGGACCTATCATCACCTTCAACGATTACATTTCACAGTCCAAGTATCGATCTTCCAGCATCGAGACGAACCGCACTATTCGATATGGTATCCGCTTCCTCCTGGTGCTGTTGTCTATGGAGATAGTCCTTCACTTCGACTGGGTTGGTGCGATCAGCAAGGGAAAACCTGATTGGGGCTCTTACACAGCAGCACAGCTGTCCGTGCTGTCATTTATGAACCTCCATATCATCTGGCTCAAGCTCCTGATCCCCTGGCGAATGTTCCGACTTTGGTCTCTTGTTGACGGAATGGACCCGCCGGAGAACATGGTTCGTTGTGTCAGCAACAACTACAGCACACAGCTCTTCTGGCGAGGATGGCATCGCTCGTATAATCGCTGGCTGATTAGATACATTTACATTCCCCTGGGCGGCTCATCGTTCCGCAACTGGCGCACAACAGCGCGGTCCATCATGACGTTCCTGATGGTCTTCACCTTTGTGGCACTGTGGCACGACATCCAGCTCCGTCTGCTGATCTGGGGCTGGTTGATTGTGTTGTTCATGGTGCCAGAATGGATGGCTGCCGCCCTATTCCCCAAGAGCAAATGGGAGAACCAACCAACGGCGTATCGTATGCTCTGCTGCCTGGGAAGCGTGGGCAACGTCCTCATGATGATTTCTGCCAACCTGGTCGGTTTTGCTGTCGGTTTGGACGGACTGCAGACCATTATCCAGAGCATATTGCATGATTGGTCAGGTATGTGTTCAACCATCAGACTTCCTGTGACAGAATATCACTAACATGAACAGGCTTTATTTTCATGGTCACAGCCTGCTCTTGTCTGTTTGTAGGCATTCAGGTCATGTTCGAGATTCGTGAATCAGAGAAACGACGTGGGATTTTGGTCAAATGTTAGACAGACTTTAGAATGGTCGCTTGGGAATTGCATGTTACGAGGAGGTACTGTACATTTACCGCGATACTATTATGAGCACACGAGGGATGCCTATTCGGGCGTCATTTCAACCCTCAATCCCCAAACTTGGTTGGTGTTGAAAATTGCGAAGCCTTGCGACCAGGCGACCTTGAACCTTAGTGGCGGTGTCACTGCAGCCTCCTTTACGTAGTAGCTAACATGTCACAACTGGGATACGGCATGGACGAGGCGGCGTTTAGATGGGAGCGGCTTGGATGACAATGAACAGCAAACCAACCTGGCTTAACACCCGTGGCAATCAGTTTGCTCACATGTGACGCGATATGTTGGGCACCTCGTGAGGAGTCTCTGAATAACCATTAGTAATTAATTGATTAAGCTATTATGTGTTTAATATCATAACACGGGGTATCCTCATAGACCGCTCCTGTAAGCCAGAAATGCCCGTCAACAACGCCCCCCTCCCATCACACCTTAACACTTCCTCATCTCCCTCAAAAAGCCCTAATACACCCTCTCCGGGGCCTCAGGGTGGTTTCCGATAGCATATTTGTTACCGGAGTTCAGTTCGACATCATTGGTGTCTGCAGGCTGCCTGGCAAACTTGCCGTCCATACCAAGCTTTGTCTCCGTCAACCAGCGACGAACCCAGATGATGCCCCAAACAAGACAGAAGATAATAATGATTCCGACAAGGATGCCGAAAATGTATCCTGCGACAATACCCCGTCCGCCAACATCTTGATAGTCAAGGAAGTTGTACACGTAGAACCCCTGCGTCGCGTGGGTAAGATAGGCGAGGGCGAGATACATCGCAAGGATGAAGATCAACCACACGATATGCACCCATTGGGGAGGGTTCGTCCGGGGAATGATGATTTCGAAAAGCGCAAAGAGGCTGTTCAAGCCATGCTGACTGATGTTGCTCCAGGCGTTGAATTGGATAGGGAACCAAGGTCCCTTGAAGAGAACTACCCAGTATACAATCGTGACGAGGAAGGGATACGTGACAATGGTCGAGTAGAAAAGCGCATGGAGCGCCTGCAGCGGTCGTGGAAGAGTATCGAGTAACGATCGGCCTCGGATGGCATAGGTGATAGTGTGCAGCGCCGCGACACCAAAGTAGAACGCGATACCCCAGTAGGTCAGGATGGTGAAATAGCTGAATGACCTGCCCACCTCCCTACAGCCACCGAGATTGTCATGCGTGCATGTCCAGCCGATGACGAAGAATCGCGTGACGAATGCGTAGATGCTGATGAGAGCGCGGGCGGCGAAGAGAAGCCAGGGGTTCAACAGCCAGGACGTCTCGAAGCGGTTGGACGGATCCCAGAGGTCGTGGCCGAACCTGAAGGGGTTCTTGGGAGCCATGGTTTGTGGATTTTTCTGTATTAAGTATTAGTATTAGTGTTCGATGCTAGAGTAACGAAGGTGGTTGATTAGCGATTGTATGTTGAAAAAATGGACAGGCCAGGGCCCTACGGTCAGACCCTGATAATTATTTTTTTGCTCTGTTTGAGGCTGATGATGGGAGAGTTTGAAGGACGTGGCTCATGCTGGACGTTTTGCCTGATTGGGCAGTATCGCCATTAAAAGCTTCACGGGCATATGATTGTTGAGATGTCACTAATTTTAAAATCTGTATTCGAAGCCAGCGACTGTGAAAAGTTTTCTATATTATGAATAAGGGAAAAGACCTGTGCAGCTTAGGTATATCATGTTTGTCTTTGATGATGCACCATTGAGTCTGTGACCTCATGGCTTTGCACACTAGAAAGTCAGATACGGTACAGTAAGCGGGATTGGTAAATGATGAAGAGATGAGAAAGCGGCACATAAGTCTCCCATGTTACATTTCTTTCGCTGCTGTCCAAGATTGGATTTACTGTGGCGTTAAAATCTCACAATGCAGCGCTGGAAGACATGAGCTTTCTATCCGTAAATCACGGACATTATTATCCAGATGCAAGATTGACAATCTTCCATGGATGTCGATAATTCGTGGACGGAAGCTCCCGCACGATCAAGATGTATGACAGCGAACCGTATTTTAGCGCTTGCTATTGAACTCTATTGACACTGCCGGCGATAGACAGGAATTGATAGTGGATTAAAGATAATTTACGGGAAAACTTAAGCGTCTAATCTGTTAAGGGGTTCAAAAAGAATGAAGCAAAGAGCTAGAGCAACTAGTACTAAACTGTGCAAATATTTCTGTCCCCTCGTCTAAAGCAGCCAAGTCTGCTGATATTACACGGATAACTACCTTGAGGGCAACGTAGTAGCCTAGGTGATCAATGACTCCTGTATATCTCATACAGAGCCCTCGAGGGTCAATCCTTGAACAGTGACTTGTAAAGACATCAGCCCTGGGGATATCGCTGCGCGAGACGCTCCAGTGGAATGTCGGTCAATGATTGAGTTTTAAGCGCAGATTTGATACAAGGTGGAGAGACACCTTGACCTGCCCTTGACCTGTCCTCGACCTTGAAGCAATTCCCGGACGTAGGGTCCTTCCCGGCTGACCGTGCATTCAACAACGAACCCTGTTTTGATCTGGTGTCTTTGCCTGAGACCCATGGTCCTTCATCATTCCTCACTCTGCAGTGTCGGTTTTAGCCACTTCTCAGCGATGAGACAATTACGACGGCGATAACGATAGGATTGCTCGACCCCTTTGAGTGTTGATGACTCGCCACGTTGTTGTGGCATTACAGTGCGGTCCAAGGCCAAGGTAGTGGCTCTAGGGCCGCCCAGCGTATGATGGAACATGGAGCCTCTGATTTGAAGTCCACCACCACCAGATGAGTGCCCCTGAGCTAGAATCGGGCAGCAAGCAAATCGAAATCGCGTATCCTTAGCAATGTCAAATGCCATGAGTATCTTAAAGAGCAATTTCGCTGGGCGCTTGTCATCGATAGACAGGAAGCTAGCTCTGATGGGCTTGGCGGGATGGCGACATTGTCGATAGGGCGAAGCGCGGGAAGCTACGAATATCGAGAATTGTCTTGATGTCTTACGTTGCAGTCTTGACATGATTGGTCTATCTGTCATCGTTCTTTTATTAGTGACTCTGGAAAAAGAAAATGCCGCCGTTGAAGCCCACACCAACAGACCAAAACCGGAGTCCTGGTAAGGGAAGGTGGAAATTTAGGTCTAGAACTATGGATCGACGTTGGTCAAGGCCCCCTTGGGCGATGCCGAGTCGATATGTATGTTGATCAAGGTTGCCCAATGCATGGCTTGTCTGAGGTTGTCTTGGTAGAATAGTGCACGTACAGAGGACAGCCATGTACACTGAGCTGCACGGCATTACCTGCATATTCCTCCAAGTCCTTACAGCGTAAGAATCGCGGTGTGCTTTTCTCCTTTCTCGACCCAAATCTCTTGTTCATCATGTGGCAACAAACATTAACCACTATCGGCGTTAGCCAGGTACAATTTGAGCTTGTCCCGGGTTCCCTGAAGTTAGTTATTCAGCCGCCCACTTGGGTGTGAACTAACGACAATAGTTAACGGATTGATCCTGTTTAACGTGAGACTGTTAATGATTGGACAATGGCCAGATGTTTATATACGGAGATAATCAAAATTCCATGCCGGCAAATCATTCAAGAGCAAACTCTCTGTTCAAAAATATCCAGTCAAGCCACCTAGAAGCCCAACGCTCAGCGGGTCAGGTTCAGGGGCGTCAGGGGCCTATTGTAGGGGCGTCAGTTGAATGAGCAGGGGGCGGCGCGATGGTACCTAGACTTAGCGGCTATTAGTGGTCGTGCTTTTCGCCAAGAAGCACCGGCCCCGTTGTTGATGGGCTGCCGCTTGCTTGCTGGCGTGCCTGGCGTGGTTGAGAAAGAGATGGAGAGGATAACCTGGGTTGATTACATTACTGCTACTACTACTGTTACTGCTACAGTTTTGGATTGGATGGAGGAAGGAGGCGAAGCCCCTGGAGAAATGAAATGGCAGGTTACTTGCCAACATGGTGAATCAGCGAATAGAAGAGGCGATTACGATATCTTGTTCGCCTAAATTCTTCTCTCTCTCTCTCTCTTTCATCTTGACTTGACCCGACACGCACGATTCAATTCTTTAATTACCAACAACAACAGCGTCTATCCTCGCTTGCGGCGGATCCTTAATTACCTCTTTTGTGGACTCCTACTGTACGCCTACCCCGGATTGTCAACCCGAACCCCTCGACAGCCAACAGCAACAATTACGCTTGGCTTTTGGGTGGCCTATTTGTGGCCTCTTGTAGTTTGGGTCCAGTCCCTGATCTGATCAGCTGATGATCCTCCCCTTTGCAGACCAAAGCTGCGACCTCTTCACAAGCTCCCACTCTCCCGCAGATCTCTACTAAGCTTCAACGACCAACCTTAACCACCTCGACTAATTACCGCGACATCGCCATTCTTCGATTTTCGATCCATTTTTTACTATTGTGAATTGTTTTTTTTGGTGTCATGGCTCTCTCTGTCGCTTGAATCCTGGCTCTTGGTAGCGCTTCCACGATGCGATAGATTCAGCCCCCTCCTTTGTCTCCAACTACCACTCGTTCGCTCGATACCTTGCGCTGTGCCACGCCATCTTACGCGCATATTCGCCGAAATATCGAAACGAATTGTACCGAAATATCCAACAACTTTCCTCCCCATATTTACATACCGTTGTGCTTCCCAAAATCCCGTTTAGGAGGCTTACCGTTTCTCAATCGTAACCACTCACGTCCGCCGCCTCCATGATGACCTCGGCCATTAGGCCTCAGTCACAATTGTCTATTTCGGGCAGTGGCACCGCCACCATGGCCACCAGCAAGCTCCAGCCGCTGACATATGACGCGGGCGAGCTACGCATCGTTCTCGTGCCAACTTCAGACGATGGCAACGATGCTTCAGAAAATGACAATTTAGAATTCGAAAACGACCGCCGATTTTCGTCCGATAGCTATAGATCTTACAGGGAACCGAACCAGTCCATTCCAACACATCCTATTCCATCTTTACAGGATGCCTTCGCCGAATCTTTGGACGAGGTCACGCGTGAGTCAGATGGACCCGGAAAGCCCAAATTGAGAGAGCAAGATCCAAAAGGTCGCCGAGAAAGGCTACTGGAGCAAAATGCAGAGGACGAACCATTCGACACATTATGGCGTTATCGGCCTGGTCAGCAGCAGCATGAGATGTACAAACTCATCTCGCAAATTACCTTTGGTGTATATCTGTTGCTCAACAGTTTGGCGGCCGATAATGCCCAAGTCGTCACCATTCTCCAGGGACATATTGATGAGGTAGATGAGTTTCTAGAGGTGATGCTAGAGGACTTTTCTCAAGCCCATAAGGATCTCACTGAGCGCATTGCTCTTCTTCAACTTCCCATGGCCAACAGAAAAGCTTTCGAAAACATGCTTGAGGATCGAACCTTTCGCGCCAAAATTCTTGCTGGAAATGAGAGGATTGATCACATTCTCGCCAGAACAAACGCCGTTATGAAGCAGTGGGACGACGACATCGATGCTGGACTTCGTTCTAGCGAGGCATTCATGGAATGGCTCAACGAACATAAGAACTTGGAATGGCCCGAGGCCGATCCTGATTTAGAGAGCATTTACAGAGCTATGAAAGGCAACGCCGATGGCTGGCTCAATACTTTTGACGACTTGAACAACCAGGCACAGGATTTGAACGGATTAATTATCAAGCTTATGACTATCGTGGCTGAGATGGAAAAGACGGCTGGCGAGGTCAGCCGTAGAACCTGGGTAAGTCAACTTTCTTTACGTTAATTACTGATGGCTGAGCTAACATGCCAAAAGGCAACAATCCCTCCCTTCACTATCCTGTCGAACAGTCCAAAGACAGAAGACTCAACACATTCTTCCTCTCCTTCAACAAAGTCGAATGCGAAGTCATCCACACCCGTGGCCAGTATCCGCAGCATGGACACATATTCTATCGCCTTCTCCTCGAAAGATAACGATCCCGAAATCAACACCCTAAGCGATTTCCCTTTACCAGGAGCCGCCCCACTGCTACCACCTACGACATTCCAACGGGCCAGTTTCCGACCCTCCCCAAATCTGAGCGCATCGTCTTCTTCTCCTAGACCTAATATCAGTTCGAGTGCATCGCCATCGTCCTCTGGACATAACCTCAGCGCTTCAACCCCTTCGTCGGGTGCGACTACCCCAAGGGCATCTATCGCAAGCGATGCAAACCAAGCAGATAAGGAGGAGTCCGATAGCAGTGATGCGCACAGCGCATTTGACGATGGGGCACTATATATCCTTCAACCAAAGGTTTATACACCGAAAAGTGCCACCTCTCCTGCAATGATGAGCCCCGACGTGTCTCAGTTTGAGGAACAACCGCATAGGCGAACGATAACACATTCGACCTACATCTCTTCGGTCCCAGCTGAGGAACAGACCAATCGACGAACGGCCATACCTTCTACTTATATATCTCCTCCCCAACCTGAAGAGCAGACACAGAGACGAACACTCACACAGTCTGTTCAAGATGCGATGGGATTACAGAAAAGAACTTCACTACGACAACGTGTCTCCCTTAAGAAGACACCTCCTGAATCTATCCAAATTCCTCCACGAAATTTCATAGAGGCAAAATCGAACCGACCGTCACCTGCCAGTACAGCGCCTCGCACTGCAAGATCTCAAGCGCCTGACTACACTCATGCCTCTGGCCTCGAAGTCCATCAGCCTCATCGATTGCCCCGTGCCAGCTCTCATGCAGACTTCTCATCGACATCAACATCAACGTCAAACTATCCTCATGTTCTGGCCTCACCTCACTCCGAATATCAGCAAATCTATCACCCTGTCCGTGCATCGCCTCACTCTCCTCTGCAGCAGCGGCCTCATACTGCTGGTCCAGGAGACGTACCATATCGCCCATCGGAATATTTCTCCGGTCATCAACGCAATCAGCCCTCCCGAATGGGCGGTATGAGTACTCTCAGCAACGTCACAACAGCAACATATGATGATGCTGCCACTGTGACTTCTCGGGCCACTACCCAAGCCGGGGGCAAGCGAGTGAAGAAGAAGAAGAGCGCATTCGGGTGGCTCAAGAAGGCTTTCAGCATGGACGAGGAAGAAAAGGCAGAATACGAAGCTCGGAAGGCTATGCAGTACCGGAGCCAATACCAGGATCAGTATTATGAAGGCCATAGCCCCAAATTCTTGGACGGAAAGAGAATTCGATAAACGGGCAGAAAAGTGATCTTGGATATTTGGGCTTTCGACGGGATCTACACTTTATCCCATATGTCTCCTATTTCACGCAAATTTATACTTGCGAATTGATACCCGGCGACAACGCTCGCTTGATTTTGCGACACACGTCTACCTTACATTCCTTTTGTTACTTCGACGCTTAGCGTCATCACATCTACTATGTATATATCATTGATGGCGGCACATCTCAATGGACTTTATTTATTTGGCATGCTAGATTCCTGGCCAGCGATGAGGGCGTTTTCGGTTTGGGTCATTGCATCATGTTGGTGGGGTGGTTTTGATAGGAGAGGCTTGACGGAAGGAATGAAAACGGGACAAGTTGTTGCAAATATCTGAAAACAATTTAAAGACTAAGATGTCATGATCATAGCATCCAGTATATTCACACATTTACGTATCAACGACGTGGAATAACAATGTCAAATGCGACTGCTGAGAGTACATATAGTATGATATACACAATTCCTTAAACTGTCGATTCGCTATGTCCGAAACACTGCTTGGGATATATCTGGTATGATCTAGTGCAGCTTGCAGACTGTCGTCACAATCTTGTATTCGGCGTCTAGTTCCGTCTCGGCCTATGTCTTATTACCTCATAGCAGTCTATTTGAACATCTCCACTTGCCTAACATCACTCCCCAAATCCATAGCTCTTAACACGGCTAAAGAAGAAAGGTTTATCATTCTTCAAGCCAAACTCACCCCAGTCGTCCGTCAACTTATTATAACTGTAAAAGCCGCGCCAAATGAGCTTGTTATTGCGAGAGGCTTTGCCGGCGCTTCGCAACGAGAGATCCATACGGTACATGTACTTCGATCCTACGCCCTCAGTCTCGACGAACACGTCGCCCTCCGGATCACGATCTCGGTCGTGCGGGCCTGGAGCAGCTGAGGTAGGGCGGTCTGGGTCCAAAGGCTCGTCGAGGTCAGCAGCCGATGAAAGACGCCACCGGCCGCGAAGGGCGAGTGCCATAACGGCAGAGGGGAGATGGGGTTGTGCGACCCCGCGATGGGTATTGAGTTCCTCGCGTGTAAGGTGGTGAACAACCTCCGCAGGCTCGGCGGTGCTGAGAAGGCTGATAAGGGTACCATCTCGGAAGAAACGTAGGTAACGGTAGTAAGTAACGATGTGGATGGGACTTCCCCATGTAGGCTGGTTGGACGAAGCCTGTCCGGTGCGAACATAGTTGACTGTGGAGATATAGCATCCATTGAAGCGAATACGTGGTCGTGAGCGGAAATGATCCTTCCAAGTTGGGTATACAGAAGGTGTCAGGGACTCCGTGAATGCTAGATTGGCGTCATATTTGCGCTGTGCAAGCTCAGAAGGGCTGACGACGAAGCCGTCTTGAATCTCTGGACCTTCTTGCTCTTCTTCGGGCAAGCCATCCCACTCAACACCCTTTTCAAACCGGTACAGCTGGGTACTGAAACCAACTTCTGAACCAAGCGCTACACGACGCCAGATACGTTGCTCGGAGGCAACAAGATACGCGAGGCGCTTGCACACGCGAGATAGTCGGCCGAAGTCGCCAACATCTGTCATGGCGATCTCGCGGAGAATGTGGATGAGGATCTCGTCAGGGAGATCGGCAAGAGGACAGGTCGGCTGAGGCATGCCCTCGATAACAGGCGGAGCGGCTTCAATCTGCAGGCTGGCGAAGCTGGCGATAAGTTCGCCTATAGGTAGGGGCTTTGCTACTACAACTTCTTCTGTCTTTGGAGGCTGAGATGTCTCTGGAGGATCAGCTGGGGCGGATGCTCTGGTGGCCGTCGGGGAAACTGGTCGCGGGGCTGACTTCTGAGGGAAGTGCTTCTCACGATATCTCCGATCAACACCATTATCAAGCTATGTCATCCATCAGTACATGTATTGATCTGGGGTTCGAGAAATACTTACTCTATAAGCCTTACGGTACAGCTTTAGACTATCGCCCATATTACCCTGATCCTCTTTATTCATCGCCTCTTCAAAATGATCAAGAGCAGAAACAAGTTTCTTTCCTTTAGTATCATGATGGCTTTCCTGAAGAGGTTGTGTCAACTCCGGCTCATCCTGATCGAAAGGCCGGCCTTGCACGTATTCATCCTCAGCGTCATCAGCTGGCGCTGGCGCAGGTGCATGCTTGTGTGGCAACGACGAGATAGGCAAGCCATGATGAGGCCGTCTGGAGGGACCTGCTTCTTGTGCATCGGAAGAATCGTGGTGTTCATTCCGCGTTTTCAAATCCGACATCCATTTCTGCCGGAAAGACTCGAGTTCTGAGTCCAACTCGTTTGTGTTTGAGGTCATGATGGGGTTGCTTAGTCCGTTATGTCCGAAAGAGTCCGGTTATACTGAGGTAGCGTTGGTTGTTACAAGGGATTCATTATTATATATGAAATTATAAGAAAGGGCATTCACCGATTGACTCAAAATGGGAAAATTGGAGAATTACGGTGTAGGGATTGGATGGAAAGTGGTTGAGTCGAGGATTCGTGATAAGTCGTTATGGATGATGCAAGGAGGACGAATAGAAAGCAAGCTGTGGTTCGCCGGCAGAGTCATAGAGTTGGTTCATTACGGTGGATGGATACGGTTAGTGCGCTGTAGCTATGGCGGCAATGCTAGATCTAAACGGTGGGCCTTCAACAACCCAACGGTATCTTAAGGTTTTCTCAATTTGAAGATCTTGGTAGAGATGGAAATTTTTCTTCTAATACAATTCATGTCAAGCTTGTTGTATAGTTGCATGTTGAGTTAATTGCGTCTTGGTAATGCTTCCTATTACATCATTGGACGTATGACAACCCGTCGCGAGAGTTGCTAGTAACAAAAACCAAACAACACGTCTTTCACCTTCATCACTGCTGAAAGGCCAGTCGCGAACAAGTCAAATATGAGTAGATCACATTGTAACCTTTTATTTTGCTCAGTATTATTCCTCTGTCTCATAAGGAATATTTCTAGCATAAATGATATGCAGCCCTTCCAAACTACCCTGTAGTGTCAATATCACGCAGGTTAACTTATAGAGTGTCCCTTACCCAGATCCAAGATCCACGATGGTCTAATCAAAGAACAGGGTGTTATTCACTTCCATTTCTGGTTCCAACAGGTCCTCAATCTACCTGAAGCTCTCGTAGCAGGCAGGGGGGAGATCTACCTCGGCCACTTCTACGACAAACTGACGTATAACTCATCAGCTATTAACTAAGAGGACTCGGACTACTATGTCAAGATGCTCCGTCGTCCAGGAGCTCTCCGGTGTGACCTCAATGTTTATAGAGAGTTCGGCAAAGATCCAGAAGAGAATCGTGAGTGGGTTGCAGAGCATGGGAAATGCAGTGTGAGGGCGCTGGGGCTCAATGGAGGAGAGTGTCATTTTAGTCAAGTAGCAGAGAAAATGATGGGGGAAGTGCATGAGAAAGGAACGCTTAGTGTTGCATCTGTTCCTTAGAGCGGACATTATATTGCAGAGGAGAACCCTAAGGAGTTTGTTCGGTTTTTGTTGGAAAGGAGTGAATGATAGCACTGAAAACGGACACAACAAATATGCACTAAATTTTTGTTGATATAAACCTGTTCCTGACAAATAAAGGCGGGTGTGTTACACATGTTTCTTCTTTAAGAATTAATCCTAAACTTGTCCTTGGTTTGAACTTGTCAACCTGAATATGTACAGTAAATATTACTGATTATCTTATCAAAACCATCTCACCCACTTAAAAAGCTTCAACAACCCTTTTGACCAGGAGGCTTGACATCGAACCAATCAAGATGCACCATGATATCATGGCACGGAAATCTGCGGCTCTCATTGAGCAGGTGACAGCTAAAATGACCGCATACCCTCGGTACGTACCTCAGCCTCTGTTGAGGGACGTTTCTTAAGGTACTGCCACCCGAGGCTCCGACCCCGGGCGGGAAATACACCGGGGGGCGATATCGCCATTTTTTGTTTTATTTGTTTGCTTGGTAAGAATGAATTGCGACAGGCAGTAAACAGAACAAATTATTTAGAAAACCCGAGAAACAAAAGGAATAGATACTAATTCTCGACCTTTGAATTCTTCCCTTGCACTATTGAAGCGCAATTTGAGAGGTCCCAACAAGAAAAGGACAAGACGATACTAGCCGACAGACCGATCTTGTCTCCTCCGGCCGGCCTCGGGGTTTAACATCCGGAGAAGAGTGTCTTTTTTTCGCTTTTATTCCGCGGCTGCAGCACTGTAACCATATCAATCTACAAGCCAGCACTTCTCTTTCAGGACCAACTCCAAAAAACGTGACGCTGCAGAGCGACTACATTGCTCTATTGTTCAGAGCGACTCAGAGTTCTTTTCTCTCTCCCCTTGTTAGATCGCCACTACTGCGACATATCCACCAAAAACTACCACCGTCGAGTCATCGTCATCGACACCTCAGCTGCCTTATCTCAATTACCTAGCTATTGAATACCTACGTCTCTCTCCTACACATCATCCTCTCACCCTTGGTATTCGACCAATCGATATATAATTCCTGCGTCAATTGCCCGACTATGAACTGAAGAGAATACGCATTTTCACGCAAACCCAAAAATGGCCACTGTCGGCACAAATCGCCCCGGTGGCTACGACCACAACCACAACCACCACCACCATCACCACGAAAATCCCCTCCAAGCAGACGACGAGTTTTCTCTAAGACACATGATGGACACCGAACCCAACAACAGCCCTAGCAGTGGGAGGAGGGATATTCTCAGTGGTAGCAGCGCAATACCTTCATCAGGTGCTGGTAGCAACAACAACGGCCTAGTCGATATCACAGCGACGCAAAAGATGGTGTCGGCCATGTCGGGCAGTTTGTTGACTTCATTACTTGGTACGGTCACGGTTACCACACTGACCTTTGTAAATACCCCCAAGCTAACCACTATCTTGTTTAGTCACGCCCCTCGATGTCGTCCGTGTGCGCCTCCAGTCGCAAAAAGCTCCCCGATCGACCGTCGACTTCTCCAAACTCGCAATCACCACCTCCTCCCTCTCCCCCGCCCAAACCGCCGAACTTGGTATCACATCCTGCTGTCGTGAAGTCTTCTTTTCAGGCGGCAATGCCGAAATCTGTCTCGCCGCGCCTAGAATAGATGGCATCACTGCACCTCCCGCCCCCGCCGAATGCGCCGTCGAAGAGGTCCAACGCCGCACCTTTAGCTCTACCTTTGACGGTCTGCGGAAGATTGCCCGCAATGAGGGCGTAGCAACGTTGTGGCGCGGCTTATCGCCTACCCTCGTGATGGCGGTTCCTTCCAACATTATCTACTTCACTGGTTACGATTATTTGCGATTCAATTCGAACAGTCCTTTTTCACGATTTTCTGATACATCGGCACCCTTGACAGCTGGATCTGCTGCCCGTATTCTGGCTGCCACAGCCGTGAGCCCGATCGAGCTCGTCAAAACAAGAATGCAGGCCGCTCACGGAGCTTCGACGACAAACCATCTCATGGAGGCTTTCGAAAGTGTGAAGGACATGGTGGGGTCAAACGGCTATACTGCACTGTGGCGAGGACTGACATTGACCCTCTGGCGTGATGTTCCTTTCTCGGGTCTATACTGGTGGGGATACGAGTCGATAAGATCAAGATTGACCGAGTACCGAGAGCAGCGTCAAGGCAGCTCTCTATCGCTTGAAGAGGATTTCGCAGAAGTAAGAAGAAAGTCACAGGCCCAGGAAAACCACACCGAAACATTTGTGGACGCTTTTACAGCTGGTGCTCTGTCTGGAGCCTTCGCTTCCTTTGTCACGACGCCTTTCGACGTGGGCAAGACACGCACACAGATCTACCAGGCTGGCAGTGCCAGCGCAGCCGCCAAGGCCCCCGAACAGCGCAGTATGGTGCGTCTCCTGTGGCACATCTTCAACACCGAGGGCGCTGCAGGTCTATGGAAAGGATGGATCCCACGAACCCTCAAGGTTGCTCCGGCATGTGCCATCATGATCAGCAGCTATGAGGTTGGCAAGCGAACATTCCGCGGCGTCAACGAGCGACGTCTCAACAGCACGAACGATCGCTTGTGACGACTTCAAAACGACGAATGAGAGAGAGAGAAAAGGAAATACCCCGAAACAAACGATGGAGGAAAGAAAAGGAAACAGAGCCACAGATGATTTGGCGTTATAAGGGGAGGATGACTGGCGAAGAGGTATACAAAAACTCTTCTCTGGAATAGCAGATGGACATTTTTGCTTTTACTGGCGATAAGGTTAGATGGAGTCTTACTGTACCAATACGTCAAAAGATAGATAATAATTGTAAGAATACTGTATGTAAGAACAAAGATTATGCGTAATGGTTCCCTGTTTCACGTCAACAAGTATGCGCTTCCATTATTGAGAGGTAGAAATCCTGACGATGATGATTAGTTACAAAAGTACCATTGTTCAAATGCACTTCACCAAGCATATTGTTCGTTTTTAAGTACTGTCTTGCTAGAATGGCGTTTCGAACATTAGGATATCAAACCTGTGTGATATTCAGTTATCGAGGCCGCCATTCACAGCGAAAAGTGGGACTTGAAGACTTCGATCTTGGACATTTGTTTTCGAAAGCAATTGGACTTATAGATCTACCCAGACAATATCTATCGATTCAAAGACTGAAGGTACCTAAACAACCTCTCTCAATTCCCTGGACTCCTGGAAGATCACCTCGGGCGGGCAGGAACGTCGCAATTTTGTTAAACAAACTCACACACAATTTCATCTTCAAACTCACTAACACTCGTCGCAGCCATCATGTACTCACTCACCTGCGCCGACGGCCTGTCACTCGGCAGAGACGTATATGTCCTAGACATCCACAGAACCTCTGTTGGTCTAGCGTCCATCTCCTCAGACCAGTTCCTCTCTGTACTAGACCCAGCGCGCCTCTCGGCTGGTCCTGTGCGTCGTCTCCAAACTGATCACGGCAACTTGACGACGCTGCGTGTGTTTGATAGCAACGCTGCTCTTGTGTGCACGGCTGGTGAGAATGGAACCGTTGGGGTATGGGATTTGAGACAGGGTGCGAACGTTGTGCAGTTTCAAGGTAAGTCTGGCGAGAATATGTGAATTGAGATGGCTATTGACTGTCTTGTTGTAGCAAGCGAGGCTCCTATCCTGTCTATGGCTTGTAATCTTGACACAAAGACAATTGCCGTGGGAACAGAACTGCAGAACCACACAGCATCGATCCATCTTTGGTGAATCCTCCTATCTCACAAGAAGAAATCGCGACTAACAGTTCTAGGGACGTCCGTTCTACCCCATCCTCCAAAGCACACTACCAAGAAGTCCACAGTGACGACGTGACAGACCTATCTTTTAACCCTTCCAACCCAGCTCTTCTCATGTCAGGCTCAACCGACGGTCTAGTCAATGTGTACGACACTCGCGTTGCTGACGAAGACGACCTGATCGTGCAGACATGCAACGCCGATGCATCTGTCCACCGAGCCGCGTGGCTCTCTGCAACAGAAGTAGCCACTCTGTCTCACGATGAACGCTGCGCTCTTTACGACGTCAGCGAGGAGCACGCCAACGGCGACGCTGTGCAGGACTTTGGGGACATGAGGGCCGTTCTGGGATGTCAGTACGTCGCGGACATTACGCCCAAGATGGACGGCACCGGAGCTGTTCTCGGCGCCGGAGCTCAAGAGTAAGTTGAGCCCTAAGCATTCTCATCAACGGTGCTAACATGGCTTTAGCAAGCAAGCATTTGAGCTAGTCTTCCTGGCAAAGAACCCCAGTGGTGAGGGATGGGCGCTGGATCGGGAAAACAGTGTTAGTTTGCCTGGCGCTCATGGAGAGGAGATTGTGCGGTCGTTTTGCTTCTTTGATGAAGAACATGTTGTTTACACAGCTGGAGAGGATGGAAATGTCAAGGCTTGGAGGCCCAATTGATTGAGCGGTTGGATATAGATAAAAGGATAAAAGTTATGATGATATGTGCAGATATCAGATGTTCCTATTACTAACCCCATTGCCATAGCTTGGAAGATGAGCATATAGGAGGTATAATTGAACAAAATGCTGTCAGGGACACCTGGCGGTATAGTAGTAAATAAGAACTGGCTTGAGTCTTGGTCTCTTGCTAAAGATGGATGGAATTACGTAGGAGGCTTCTATCAGAAGCAGCTCATATTGGGTACAGTATCTCCATTGTTGAGATTCTGAAGATACAACGACTCTTGATTACAAGAATACTGTGGGCTCGAATCAATACGTTCCCAATATTACAGTTGTTTTCAACTTTTGATCTCCTTCTGATGCTCTCCGTTTACAAAGACAACCACCACGTAGAGGACGGCGAATTGGTAATATCCACAACGGTGGAATCATCAGCTAATATTAAAGATTAAAAACTGGAATTCTAGGGAGTAGAAATAAAATATCTTATTTTATGTATTCCCCTGTCATTATTGAATTCTATGTTTCTTTGTAACAACCTATTAGAAGTCTACGCCTATTGCAACCTAGACTGCCTAGACTATGAAACTCCATGCCTGGCCAATCACTATAGTTCATGATAGGCAGAAGCAGTCATATCTCTACACTCTCATAACAGTGGCCATTAATATCAGAGTTTAACAATCGACCGAATTCCTTGCCTGATGCCTGTCTAATGATCCAATCATATCACTCGGCGAGTGACGCAACCTCACATTGGCAGATCAACCTTGCAGATAACCCTTGCAGACCTTCTCCAACCTTGAAGCTTATATCTCATACAAATAGGTTCTAATATCATGACAATTCTCAAAACACTACCTCGCCGCATATTTCGTTCATCTTCAATATCAAACTCCCGCTTCTTCACAGCTATGGCTCCTCATAACGATGTAGACGCCTTTCACGACGTCCTGCGCTCAAGCAAGCGTATCCTCGCCCTCTGTGGAGCTGGTCTGTCGGCTTCCTCTGGTCTTCCTACGTTTCGTGGCGCCGGTGGTCTCTGGCGTAACCACGATGCTACGTCTCTCGCTACTTTGAATGCTTTTGAAAAGGATCCGGGTCTTGTTTGGCTGTTCTACGCCTACAGACGCCACATGTGCTTGCGCGCTGAGCCGAATCCTGCACATCACGCTCTGGCAGCTTTGGCGAATAAGAACAAGGACTTTTTGTGTCTGACGCAGAATGTCGATAGTATGTAACATCTTTTTGCACTTCTTCCCCAATTACTGACATGGTAAGATCTCTCCCAACAAGCAGGTCATCCTCAGGATCAACTGCGTGCTCTACATGGCTCGCTCTTCGATATCAAATGCACCAACTGCAGCTGGATCGGACGCGGCAACTATGACGATCCTTTCTGCCCTGCTCTTGCGCCAGCTTCGGTAGACGTTGAACCCGGCAAGCCATTTCCTCTACTTGATGCCTCACAGCCTCTGGACCCGATCTCACCAGATGAGATCCCAAAGTGTCCCGAGTGTAAGACAGGTCTGCAAAGACCCGGCGTCGTATGGTTCGGCGAGAACCTGGACGAAATTATGCTGATGGGCATCACGAACTGGCTACTCAAGGACAAAGTGGTAAGCCAGAATAATACTTCACAATCCTTCGTTTGCTAATTTTACATGCTGCAGGACTTGATGCTTGTCATAGGCACATCGGCACAGGTCTACCCAGCTGCCGGCTATATCGATAAAGCCAAACGCAAGGGTGCACGTATTGCAGTCATCAACCCCGAAGCTGAGAATGAAGAGGAGATGTACAAGGTCAAGCCTGGTGACTTCGCCTTTGGCCAGGATGCTGCAGAGTATCTCCCCTTGCTCTTGGAGCCCGTTATTGGGAAGCTCGAGACGGAAAAGAAGTAGATACCAGTTTAATAACAAGCTGTTCCTGGTATATGAAGAGTGCAGAGTATATACGAGTGAGCAGAAATGTCGTGTTCGGTTCAATCGACCATAATAGACATATCAGGCAAGGCGGTCGTACTCGTATATGTCTACGAGAGCAATTATCTTCTATCCGCCGCTCAACCATTGAAAGTTTGAAACTATAAATAAAACAATAATTGTTTCCTCCGTTGAAATTCTACAATGAAATATCATCTTGTGCTGCTCATAACTCAATCCTAAAGAATTCATAAAAGACATCAGATTGACTTACACCAAAAGTCCAAACCCCACCGAGAGTGACGTACCTACCAGAAATCCCACCCCTCCAGTTCCCTTCAACACCAACCATAACTTTCTTTCTTGCAGCCTCTACACTTAACAAAACACAGGCCAATAGCCGCAACCGCAACGCAGCCATGCAGGGCTTCAATATGGGCCGCTATGTGCCCCCGGACGTCGAGGGCACCACCTCGGGCAACCGTCTGCACAACAAACACCCTCTCGGCGCACGCGCCTCGAAACCAGGCGCCCTCACCGTGCGCTTCGAGCTCCCTTTCGCCGTGTGGTGCGGCACCTGTCCGAAGCCCACCATCATAGGCCAGGGCGTGCGCTTCAATGCCGCGAAGCGCCGCGTCGGCAGCTACTTCTCCACGCCGATATGGAGCTTCCGCTTCCGCCACGTCGAGTGCGGCGGCGACATCGAGATGCGCACCGATCCGCAGAATACGGCATATGTGGTTGTCGAGGGCGGCGCGAAGAGGGATACCGGCGAGGATGTGCCGCGCGAGGGAGATACGGTCATCATGACGGACCAGGAGAGGGAGGCGCTCAGGAAGAACGCCTTTGCGAGCTTGGAAAAGACTATCGAGGATAGGGAGCAGCTGAAGCGGTCGACGCTGCGGATAGACGATCTGGTCGAGGCTTCGGCGAAGCACTGGGACGATCCGTATGCGCAGAACCAGAAACTTCGCAAAGCTTTTCGAGCGGGTCGCAAGGAGCGAGAGCGCGCTGCTGCAGCTACAGGAAATCTTCAAGACCGCATGAGTCTCGGCATGGATATTCTTCCAGGCACAGAGGAAGATTCTCGCCGCGCAGCTCTTGTTGACTTTGGATCCGTGGAGGACGATGGCCGAGACCGAGCATTATTGAAACCCCTATTCCACACTAATGAAGGCAAAAAGAAGTCAGGGGATACAGCGAGTGGAGGCAAACTCAAAGTCGATAAGGAAACCTCGAAGCGCAAAGAAACGTTTGTAGCGGAACTTATGGGCAATACCCGTGCTGCCAAGGACCCTTTCCTGAATGATACGAAGAATGAAACCAAAGGACCGGCCAGGCTGCTGGGTGTGAAGCGGAAACGACCAACACAAGAACCAGAGTCACAGAGAATACAACCACCTTCCAAGACACAAGCGCAGGTGACGGTCCAAGCAGGCTTGGTTGATTATGATTCGGATTAAACATTTGATAGAGGCGTTATTCTTCACGGACAAATTACTAGACATGATACCCGGGCTCAGCCCAAAAGTTAAAGTTAATATTCAAATATTTTGCGATTCCGCCCTGATGTCTGTGGGTAGAGTTCTCTGGCCAAGGGCCTTGTCCAAATAGCTCTCCCACTTACGAATGCCAAGTTTCTCTTCATCAACTTGTGGCATTCATTCTGGTTCCGTCCAGCTGCTTCCCGGAGGACATAAGCTAAGTGCAATGAGCATACCCACCTAATAACAAGAAACAAAACATGTCCGATTGCAAGCCTACGCGAGGTTGCTGCAACTCCGTACCTTGATCCCATGACGCCATATGTGAACCGAAACGCAAGTTGGCGTCCGAAGAGACCCTTTATACATCGTCCATCTGGCCCGCGGGTTCATCATCGTCGTCGTCGAAACTGGCAACTGAAGACAGCTCCTCGTCGTCCTCGCTTTCGGCTCCGGCTTCGTCTGCTGCTTCCTTGGAGGCGTACTTCTGTACGTATTCTAGAACTATAAGTATTGTCCGCACTCAGCCAAAGTCAACTTAACACACCTTTGACCTTAACGTCGTAACTTTTTGGTTCTCTGATCAATAGGGCAGCTGCCTCGCCGTTGAGAGGGTCGGTCGGGTTAGGATATCGTAGAAGTTGAGGGAGGAACACCTCGAAGATGTTGATCATGTCAAACATAGGCGACCAAGTCTGATTAATAACATCTAGACAGACCGAGCCGGACCTGACCTGTTAGTCATGCCTGCAACTGTCGATCACAGTATTTGGATTACGTACAGCTCGTCAATGTTAGGGTGGAAGATACGGTTAACAAAGCCAATGCTGGGTGACTTGTATGGGTATGTATCAGGAAGCTCGACATGAACCTTCCATGTTCCACCTTCAAAAGGAGCTTCGCAGTGTCAGCGGTCGTGATCGGCTTGGGCTTGTCCGGTAAACGTACTCTCGGCGGGTCCCTTGAACCTGACAAAGAATTCTTGCCTGAGAGTATGGTCAGGAAGCTTCTAGGAAGTTGGTAGGGATAGAGACATACACTACTTGGTGTTAGCAAAGTTGACGTTGGGGCTTGGGTCGTGTATTACTGTTGTCGTTAACAAGAGTGACTTCGTAGTCGCTCATGAGCCTATTCATGTCAGTATATTGCCGGAGGGTTGATTTGAGTTCCGTACATCCTGCAAGCATGTTAGTACTCCAAACGGGTGAGAAAGGAACAATATTGAGCGCACTTCATAACCTGTCCATGAATTATGTTAGATATCATCGTTTTACAACCTCAGGATCCAGTGGAAGACTCACATCAGTCTCGATTCTGCGGCGTGGGCTACTCATGATGGCGGTTTGACGTTGTTCCCGAATGTGGGGTTATGGGAGTATCCAAAGAGCTCCGGGTCGGCGTGATAGACGATACTCTGAGAGTAAGTCGCTAAGAGGGGGCAGAAAGTCTGCAACGTGGGAGTTTGAAATGTTGTCTGAGTTTCAAAATACAAGTATGTTGCCTGAATGAACTCAAGTGTTGGAGACGAAAGGAAGGTCAAGTTGCGTCAGGCGCGCCAAAGTCACGAGGATATGATGTGGACGACCGTGATAAGCCGCCGGCGCAGACGGCAGGTGCCAACCACTAACAAGGGCGCTTCAGTGTTATCGATAAGTCATAGTGATCCGCAATGGGGAGATCGACATTCGTTAGCACGTCAGGGAGCAGCACTACCATTTCCATTCCCAGGTACATTGAGGGGTTGGGATCAATTGGACCAGAGCATGAAACAATGTTCAAGACTGAAACCAATTTGATTGATTTGCATAGAGTCATGTTTTGGAGAATCAACCTCCAATAAGGTGTCACTTCGTCAACTTACACTTGGTTAAGCTTTCGTCGACGCAACCGGCCGCTAATCAAAGGATATGATTCGAATTCTCGCACTACTCGGCTGATGATGAATTCCATTTGTTATTACAAAAACAATAGAATTTCATGCGGATGTTGACGGTTTGTACGTATCATGATGCTTAACTTGATAGGTTGAGCTACACCAATAATGTCGGTCCTGGAGTACCCGCCATTTATTGCCGATGCATCCCCAATGAATAGCCTTATTCTATGTCTATTACCATGAGACATTAAGTGGCTTATAAGATGGTTGATATATCATTTACGCCCACGATACGTAGAGGCGACACACAATCTGCATGTCCTCGGCTCTCGCATGCGTATTCGGGATCCATCCCTCCATTTCCAACTCCTCGGTACGCGGTACAAGCATGTAAAAGAGTTGACTCAACCACAGCCGTTACACATCCCCCACCACACCTTTATCTCGGCATACCTCACCCAAACAACCTCGGCAGGTAATGTTCCTACCAACGGTTTTCTGTATGGAATACTTGGTAGTAGTTGATAGAATATATGTCCTTTTGTTATGGGAAATTCCTTTCACTCTCTAGTAATTAATTAACCATTCCTCTACTAACCCTGAGCAGGGGTACGGATGGTCCCCAATCTTGTAAAGAACTGGCGGCTCAACGTTAACGGACCCTTGGGTCTTTCGGCCACTGGTGTGCCCTGCAGGGACTAGTCTAAATTAAAATCGGCTTCAATTTGTCAAGTTGAACCCCAAAAAACATGCGTGGGGCGCAGTCCAGGGGTGCTGAGAAAAAACACCAAGATACTCAAATATACAACGTAGGGTTCATCATGGTCCAAACATCAATAAAATCTTTGCGCTCCCCGACTTTTTAGTTCATTCTCGACTCTCACTATCATAATCGAGACAGCCTTGAAAGAAATACTTTTTTCATAATTTTTCCCCTTTCCAAAAGGATCACTATAGAATTCTAGAGCTATAGTATCTGTCGGTCTGAGAACTACCTGCAGGTACCTCAAGTTCAGTCACTCCCAATTTGTCAAAGTCCCACGCGACATCTTGTCTACACCTCCAGCACATACCCACCCTATTAGCACTCTCTTTTTTTTTAACTACTCCCCTCTCTTCCTCATGTCGTCTCTTATCAATCCCACAATGAGGTCGTGCGCCTCTCTCCTATCTCGGGTGTCCGTATCTTCCCCCCGGCCGTTCACCCGGACTGTCGGTCGAGTTGTTCGGCCCCTCATTATCGGAGGTGCGGCGCAAACCCGGTACAGCTCACATTCTCCCATGGGCTCGCCTCCGGCTGTCCATCGCAAGAAGGTCACTGTCGGAACCCTTCGCTCTATGCACCGCAAAGGTGATCCCATTACTGTCATGACAGCTCATGACTTCCCCAGTGGCCATGTTGCTGATCACGCCGGCATGGATATCATTCTCGTTGGTGATAGTCTCGCTATGGTTGCGCTTGGTATGGAAGATACTAGTGAAATCATCTTGGAAGAGATGCTTCTGCACTGTCGATCAGTTGCGAGGGCGACCAAGTCGGCTTTTACTGTAAGAACCCTGTCTTCCAACATGTAAGTGATAGACTAACCCCAACAGGTTGGAGATCTACCCATGGGCACTTATGAGATTGGTCCCGATCAAGCTCTTGCTACAGCCATCCGCTTCGTCAAAGAAGGTCGTGTCCAAGGTGTCAAGCTTGAAGGTGGTAAGGAGATGGCCCCTACCATCAAGAAGATTACCACTGCTGGTATCCCCGTTCTTGGTCACATTGGCTTGACCCCTCAGCGACAAAATGCCCTTGGTGGCTTCCGTGTCCAGGGGAAGACAAGTAGTGGTGCTATGAGTATCCTCGAAGATGCCTTGGCACTTCAGGAAGCTGGCTGTTTCGCCATGGTTGTCGAAGCTGTTCCTGCCGAGGTGGCCGCACTCATCACTGAGAAGCTGACCGTTCCCACGATTGGTATTGGCGCTGGTAACGGAACCTCCGGCCAAGTCCTGGTTCAAGTTGACATGACTGGAAACTTCCCTCCTGGCAGGTTCTTGCCCAAATTTGTGAAGAAGTATGGCGATGTATGGGGCGAGAGCTTGAGAGCCATCGAGGCGTATCGGGTCGATGTCAAGTCCCGTCAATATCCAGGCCCTGAGCACACGTACCCAATTTCGACAGAGGAGCTTGAGAGCTTTACCAATGCAGTGAAGGATTCGTAAAGGCGAAATTTGATACCCAGAGTTGTTTGATGGAGATTTTGGAGAGATATGGTTGTCTTATTGGCGGGCTGCAGAGCAGGCATAGAGGTCGCATAGCTCGGAGTTTGGGTTACGAAATAGTGCAGTTCCCGGTTTAGTAGTCGATATCATATAGAGGATAATTTCAGTCTTCTGAGCATCATCCAAAAGCGGGAGTTAAAGAGTAGGTAACAACTAGTTGACCGTGGGAGTTTTTGAAGCACTAAGAATGTCAGTACTATGTCTGTGTCACCTGATGGTCCAGCACCAGGTAGGCCATGCAATAGGCGCAATATTTACCTGCTGCAGGTTGCCGACGATTTCATCTAGAGAAGGCGCAAATGCACTATTTATGTACAAGAAGACACTATCTGTCTCTTTACACCTTAACTTCTTCCTCAGATATATCACAACCGCTTCAAACCGTTTTGTCGAGCTGATCTTGCATACATCTTGCGCCAACGATGGAGCTGACCCAACGGGCTTGAACCGCACGACGATCTTGTCCGTCTGGAAACTCCCTGCAGTCGCAAGTGCAGCACTCGCATCTCGGGGAATATCAGCCAGTACAACGGACGCGGACATGGTGAGTGGAAGACTGGGAGAAGCAGCGCCGCTGCCAGCGCCATCGTTCTCGTTATCAGCGAGAGGCATGGGTGAAGCGGTGGACGGTGAGGGAGAAGGTGATGGTGAGGGCACCGAATCTTGCGGTGGATAATATGACATGGTGGTTATAGTTTTAAGTGAGTGAATGGGGTCGGGTTTTGTGTGAATGTTCGAGTTTGTTGTCGGCGAAAGTTGCGAAGCTGCCTTGAAGGTAACTTCAGGCTGTGAAACTGTCGCCTGGACGAGGTTGCTTATGACAGAACAGTGCGAGTTGCACCACACTGTGTATAACCAGCACATCAAGTTTCCATCATGACTTCTCCAAGTGAGCAATGATTATTTTTCCGAATCGATAACTCTTATACTCATTGGCTAGCACTAGAACCTTGAATCATCTGGTTCTGATAGTTAAACTGAACTGTGGACTAAGCGTAAGGAAAAGTCTATCATGAGGGCAGTGTAATCGCCTGTAAGCCATATATCCTTCACCCGTCTGTTCTAACCAATCTCTCCTGCTCTAACTTTTCTTCTATAGCTTCGAGCGCAAAGTCTCATACTTCTCCTTTGTTCGTGGCCCCGAACGATCAGTCCCAATGCCCTCCATGACAACATCCATCATATCGCCCCTCAGGCTCTCGTATACCATGGTCACCCAGCTGCCAATAGTCTTCTTATTCTCGGTTGGAAGACCCTTTTGCGCATTATATAGCGGGTCGTCATCAATGCCACACTGCGTTGGGACTCCCAGTCTTGATCGAACCCACGTATACAGCGGAACGGTGCCATCGCCCAACTTAGTAGCTACATCCATAGGACGTATCGCCATATTGGGATAGAAAATGGACGAGGCAGTTTCTGCAATGACTTTATGAAGCTCGCCACGGAACTCAGCAAGACTGGATATCTGACAGTTACTTTCCTCGGCTGTCAGAAATTGTGTGACGGGCGCCATTGCAGCATCGACGGCGGGCACAATGCGATCCTTCCAGCAGCCAGCATTGTGTTTATACCATGCTGACTCGATGACTGGGAAGACATTCTCGCCAAGTCTTTGGATAGCATTCTCTTCCAATTCAAACGCACAGAAAGGCCTGTTCTCCGTTTTGTCTGCCAGCACTTTGTCACGAAGTGTGTCCAAGAATAGTCGATGGCTTGCCCGAAGTTCAACTGCTTGGCACGAGACGTAGATGTGGCAAGCGCACATATGTGCAACAAGATCAGCAGCCTCCAAGGTGCGTCGAGCGGAAAGCAATGCAAGAGAATTGATGCCCTGGTTGTGCATTTCAGCCGACATGACGTGCGAAGATACGGGATGGGCGAGGGCAGCCAATTCGGACATGTACGCAGACATGTTTACGTCAATGCCTTTCATGGTGAAGTTCTCCTTGTCGCTGACATTGAGATTGGCCTCGAGGCCATTATTGGTCGCGGGGTTGATCATCTCGCTGACTTGAGAAAAAAGCATACGGCCTATCATCTGGAGAGCAAGTCGTGTCTTGTCCATAGCAGAGGTTACAACAACAGCCTGGAAATTGCCTCCCGAGTAAACCTCCCCTACAGCTCGGCCCTCTTTTTCTGATGCATCAACCAGAGGGTTGTCTGAAGTAGAGTTTAGTTCCACGGAGAGCTGTCTTTGGGCCAGAAGAAGGTCCTCCAGATAAGGTCCAATCCATTGGGGGCTTGTACGGGTTGAGTATCTATCTTGCCAGAGACCGTCCCCTGTTCTTTTACGACTCTGCAAACCAACGACAAATTCAGAACCACGCAGGAAACTTCTGATGTTGGCTGCGGCCTCGACCTGCCCGGGATGTGGCCGCACAGCATGAATGAAGGGGGTCGTCCACTCAACATTGCCGCCCATGGCTTCCGATGCGAAAGCTGTCAGTACTTGAGAAAGCACAGCCAGTTGCTGCGCGTCGTGAAGAACAAGACTTGCAAGTGATACTGAAGGAGCGGTTCCGTTGATGAGCCCGAGAGCCTCTTTTGGACCAAGACCACTTGGGTCGAGACCACTGTTCCGAAGTGCTTCGTGCGAAGGTATCACCTTTGCCGACTTACCCTTACCAACTTGTACAAAGACATCTGGATTACCTGTAACCGCTCCTGCAATGTAAGACATGGGCATAAGATCTCCTGATGCCGAGATCGTGCCTCTAATAGGAACCATGGGAGTAATATCATGATGAAGAAGCTTCACTAGTCTCTCCAAAACTTGCAATCGAACAGAGCTTTGTCCTCGCATGTTCTGGTTCGCCCGAGCAAGTATTGCTCCGCGAACCCACTCAGGGGGCATGACATGAGATGGCTCCCGCTCCGAGTTGCTACCAGGGTCTTTGTCAAAAGAGGTGATGATGGCGCTCTGCGTATGCTGAAGAACACCGATCTGATTCTCGAGCCAGTCGTCCGTGCGAACATCTGCACTGCCCCCGAACCCAGTGTTAACGCCATACACCACGTATTTGTGCGAAAGGTACTCTGCGAGTGCGTCAACGCTAAGAGCAATGCGCCGAGCGAGCTCCTCGTCTTTGCTTATTTCAGGCTTGACGCCATAGCGGGCAACTGCGACAAGAGAGGCGATGTCGAGACTGTTGCCATCGATTATGATCTTGTCGTCTCCTTTCTTGAGACTTTGAAGTCGCTTCCATGTATTTCGTGTGGATTCAGCATGTGCCGAGGTCTTGAGGTGCATTGTGAAGCAATCTTTCAGCCGATATCAAGCTTGAGTGCTTGATAGGGGCGAAAGAGAATGAAGGTATAAGCACTGAGTTGGTCTTTAACTATCAGCAAAGATTCATACCCATGGCAGTGGGGGTGTAAGTGATTCACTTAAGTCAAGGTGCGGCAATAAGTATTCAAGTCAGGGGCAGCGGATAATCCAAGCCACTTTAGCTCTAAATGTACTCACTTCACTTCTTTTCTCGAATTCCTTCCAGTTCGAGGCTTTAATTTGCGTGGTCGGTTCTTGAAGAAACTTCAGTCGGCACAATATGATCTTATAAACAATCGGGTCTGTCCGAACTAGTAAGCACTCGTCCAAGCATGTGATATCGGTGACAAACTCGCATGCTTCGGCAGGAGGAATAGTGTGTGTTTGTGGCAGAGAGAACTTGGGAGAAAGTGAAGTAGAGAAAAGTCGTTGAATTTCTGCCGAAAACCGGTGAGACATCATGCAAGACATGAGACAGTAGGTCTGCTTCCAATCAATTCCAGCAGCTAGAAAACGCCACCCAATGATAGAAATGAGAAGAAGTTTGCCCAGGTCAGTTGTCTAAGAGTAATATAATCAGGGCTGGGTGGCTGTTTCATGTCCATGTGTGAGTATCGAATTTATCCTCACTGTGAGCCATAGATTGAGACCATATTTTGTTTAAGTATTCATGTTACATAACATGTCGGTACATATACATGCCCTAAGCCCATATCTACATCAGACCTATCTGGTCATCATCGTATAATTTAGCAGTCGCTGTTGCTTTCGCACTAAAGTTCCTCCGCTCGCTTGCCAATCAACCTTTGCACAATCCTCATCAAAACCATATCAGCCATTACCTTGGCCATGCCTCTCGAAATAGACCACGAAGAACGCCCCAGGAGTGTATCACATATGCAGTCCAATCAGAGACAAAGGAAAAGGTCTGTGAGACCATGGAATAGTGTGCCCAATACCATGCCGCTCTGCGCCGTTGCATGCGATTCATGCTTGTAATGTAAAAGTAGAAAACGATAGTAGAGAAAATGGTGACATCTCAAACCGACTGAGCGCTGAAAATGCCATCTGAGAGCGTAAAGCTAACCAAATTCAAGGGGTATGTTTTCTGTTGTTTGTATACTGTGTGTGGGTTGGAGTTTGAAGCAAGATGCGCAAAATGGACTTCAAAGACAATCGGTTGTGTGGGAGAGAACTATCAGGGGACATGACATAGAATTTTATGGCATGGCCTGAGATGCTGGCGGAATGGTGGTGAAAAGGTTGTATGTAGTATTATAATACAAATGGCGGTTACCAGCCGTCTTCCTCTTCGTCGGACCCTGGCACATACTTGGGCATTCGCTTGATCTGTGACAGAAGAGAATCAAGCTCAATCCAGTTATCGTCGTTCTCAGCAAACTTGCGGTGCTTGCGGGAAAGAATGTGCTTGTACAAGTCAGTTCGAATTCTTGCATGAATATAAGCTGGACAACATACCTCATCAAAGTCGCGGAACTTGTCCTGGCAGTTCTCGCAATAACCAGGCTTGAGGTCCCGCTTGCTCTTAAGAGGCTGGGATTGTGTCCTCCGCTCAGTCTTTTGAGCTTCCTCCTCTTGTACCTCAGCGGGTCGTGAAGTGTGTCGACCCATTGTTGTTGATCTGCTAGAGGCAGCATCCATTGATACCTCAGCAAGCCGACGCGAGCTCACGTCGAACGAGGCAGGCGCAGCCTTTTGCAAAACCTTCCGCTGAAGACCATGGACCTCTTTACTTGTTCCCGCCTTAGCTCCGTTGACGCCAGATGTTGACGAGACCATCTGGGAACGAATAGCTGAGGTAATGTTGGATGGCTGCACGCCAGAAGCCACGGGCTCGCCAGCAAACAGTCGACCAGTGGCGGCACGGCTTGTAAAAGCGTTCTGTTGTCGGATATCCCCTTGTTTTGACAGGACTGCCCTTGCTGGGTTGAAGATTTCAGTCGGTGTTGCGGCACGCGCTCTGTTCTGGCCATCCTCCATCTCGGTGATGGTCCGCTTTCCTGTTACCGGTTTGGGCATGGGGGCCTGAGGCGGTTTGAGAACATGGACTGGATCCTCTCGCTTGGCCAGACGCGCCTTTTCTTGTTCTCGTTGGCGTCGATGTTCCTTATCAGGAACATCTTGGTCTTCAACAAAAGGACATCTGCCGTTTCCAACACTTCGAAACTGAGGCCATTCTCCCTCTGCCTTGTTGGCGACCTTGGGGTACTCGCGAACCATGATAGGCTTGTTCTTCTCATCCATGTCCCACACATAGATATGAGGTCCTTTGAAATAACACAACTCACGGTGAACGGCAGTAGGATCACGATCCGAAGGTCCGTTGAGACGCTCATTGTGCAACAGCTGAAGAAGATTAGGTTCTCTAGAAGTACCATAATGACTTCGAGTGGCAGTAGATCGTGTGTTGTGTGTGCTCTGGCTCGTCTCAACCTCAAGCAAAACTGACAGCATATTTTGAAACTTTTCCAATGACCAGATCTTCTTGCCCATCTCTCGAGCCTTATGCAGCACATCGTTGTTCTTGGATCCTCTGGTTCGCTTCGTAGGGTCATCAAGCTGCTGCGTCCTTGATGGCGCGTTCCGGAACTCGGACAGTAGCTTTCTTCGGGCTTCGGTATTGCGGTTCAATAGCGAGGGGTTGATGGTCTGTGGTTGCTCTTCGGACTCGTGGTGCTCATCGTGATGTTGTTGATCATGTTCCTGCTGTGCATCTCTTTCGGGTGGGATTGTCCGCGTAGTCACGACATGGGTAACAGCAATGGAGAAAAAAGGCTCTTGTCTCTGAAGATATGTCAGTACGATATCAGCGGAAAGTTGGAGGAATGACATACAGCACCAAGATAGTTCACCCTCTTTGTTAGTCGAGCACGAACATCATCAGGTATACTTTCAAAGTAGAAGACCATCTTAGGGAACTTGGCACGGTGGTGTCTCTTCCATGCTTCCTTCTCAGTGTCGAGGTCACGGGTTGTAGCCGTCGAAGCAGACCTCGAGATTCTTTCCTTGGTAGCAGGACGCGTGACACCGCGTTGGACAAGAACCTGACTCCGAGTTGACCGGGTTGGTGATCGAACTGCACGCTGCACGCCATTATCAAGGACCTGCTTCTTTAGAGGTGGCGGCTGGCCGTAGGTTTCTTCACGCTGGACGGTAGCATAAGAGCGCTTTTGCTTGGCATAGCCAGCCAAAGCGGAAGCACCACGCAGAGGGGAATTGGCGACATTGGGGTTGTTCGTTAATGGACCCCGTCTTGAAGACATGGCCGATATATGACCAGGCGTTGGTGACAGAGATATCGTTGCCATATAAAGCCCGTGAACTGCTCTGGAGAGAAGAAGCCAGAGCAGAGGGCGTTTGAACTGGACAGCAAAGGTCGAGAATGAACGTCACAGATGACGTGACGGAATAAGGCCTGTTATTGGTGGTTGTAGGTCGCGGTCGTGGTAGTGGTGGTGGTGGTGGTGGAGGGGCTGGTAGGATGAGACTTTGCCAGCACGCGACGCGGAGCCCAACACGACCAGAGACAAAGACAATGGGAGGCAAGAAAGAGGATAATAATGTTGTCAGCGCATCAGAGCAGGCGAAATGCAGAGATGAAAAAGGAAGAAAGACCAGCGATAAGCAGAACCAAATGATGAGCAACAACAAGTCGGCCGTTATGTTGTTTTGATAGGGACCTTTTCTGCACTGCAGTTGCTTTGAATGGAGGGAAACGAGCCCGAGTGAGGAATGGGTCCGAATGACTTTGATGACTGAGCAGCCCCAAAGCAAAACCGAAAGCAAAGCAAAAAGCAGCGTGTTGTTGCAGTCGCGCTTGGCACAACAGCACTAGGCCTCTCTCGGGCTGTCCAGCGACTAGCAGGGCCCTGAGGGAGGGGCTGCTGGGGGCCCTGTACCTTCAGTGAAGGCCTTCTGTGGTTTGCTCGTCATCCACTGTCAAAAATCACCTCCACGCACGGGCCTGTCGCCAACGGCCACCCAGCAACCAGAGGCCGCTACAGCCAGAAACGGGAAATTGGGAGAGACGAGACCAGACAACAAATTTCAGCCTCGAACGGAGACGGGGATTTCTCGCGAGACATGAAAGGATGAACAATAAACAAAGAGCCAAGACATGAATCAATGGTAGTTTTGTTATTGTCTAAAACTTTAATGCTTTGTGAAGGTGGAATTGGCTTGCATATCTGTAGACTCTAAACTTATGCAAGTGAAAGTGCTTCTCCCGCATTAAACGTCCACCTATCTAATCTCGTTCCCATTGAGTCTCGCGCTTCCCGCTGTCTTTCGTCTACTAGCCTCGACCATCCCGGTCATAATTTGGTCTGGCGTCATCACCGAGGTTGTAGAAGGCTTCTGACGCACATCTGCTACGCAGTATCCGTAGAGGTTCGATGTAAGAGGCTCCGTTTCACCTAACAAATTCGACTGCTGAAACTCAATTGCTCAGACCATCTATAATCATCCCATGATGAAGCTACCTCGAGCTCCATTTCGGAGCCTCGAGCCTCGACTACCCCTCCGAGCTACCTTCTCGAGAAGGATATCTACGATAGCTCCTACAACAAGAACGACAACTCGATATGTCTTGCCCTCAAGTACATTTAACAACCACCGAACCTATGCCTCCGTCTCTGCCGCTGAACTTCGCTTCGGGCAGCCCGTCCACGAAACCCATCCTCACATCCTAAAAGCAGGTGAGATCACGCCGGGCATCACAGCGCAAGAGTATGCCGACCGCCGGGCCGCTCTGGCGCACTCCATGACGGAGGGCAGTATTGCTGTCCTCCATGCTGCCTCTCTCCAATACAAGTCCGGTGCTGTCTTTCATGCCTACAGGCAAGAGTCAAACTTTCTATATCTTACAGGATGGATGGAAGGAGATGCCATTGCGGTGATCGAAAAAACAGGCCCGGAATATGGCGACTATGTATTCCATATGTTCGTTAAGCCCAAAAACCCCCGTGAGGAACAATGGAATGGTTATCGCAATGGTGTTGAGGCTGCAAGGGATATCTTCAACGCCGACAAGGCTCATACCATCACTGAAGCAGAGCATCTGCTTCCCAAAATTCTCGAGTCCGCCAAACTTATCTACGCAGACTCACCACCATCGAAAGGCGGCATTGCTGCCACAGCAACTTGGCTCTGGCGGATCATCTCTGGGAGGGAAACTCGGCCGACTCGAACGCCGCTCTATTCTGTCATGAATAAGCTTCGGGTGGTCAAGAGTGAAGCAGAAGTTGCGAATATGCGAATTGCAGGTCAAATATCCGGACGGGTCATCACAGACGCTATGCGCCAGCCATGGAAACGTGAAAAGGACTTGCATTGGTTTCTTGACTATCAATTTGCGGCCAATGGCTGTGAAGGCCCGGCTTATATCCCCGTGGTAGCTGGTGGTGAGCGGGCAAACTGTATTCATTATACGGTGAACAACAGCACATTCAAAGAGGACGAGTTCATTCTCATCGACGCCGGCGGCGAGTATGGAACATACATTACTGACATCTCCCGCACCTGGCCAGCCTCTGGCCGCTTCACTCCTGCACAGCGTGACCTATATCAGGCCGTTCTCAATGTGCAACGATCCAGTGTCTCGCTCTGCAGGGAAAGTTCTCGACTCTCACTCGAGGACATCCACAATGTTACTGCGCGGGGACTTGTTGATCAGCTGCGCGCCATTGGTTTCGATGTCAACATGGCCAACATCGACCAGCTGTTTCCCCACCATGTCGGCCACTATATCGGCCTTGACGTGCATGATTGTCCTGGTTACAGCCGTCGCGAGACCCTTCGTCGAGGCCACTGCATCACCATTGAGCCGGGTGTTTACGTTCCCCACGACGATCGATGGCCGGCCGCCTTTAGAGGCATGGGTGTCCGAATCGAGGACAGTGTATGCGTAGACGACGACTCACCCTACATCCTGTCCACCGAGGCAGTGAAAGAGGTTGATGACATCGAAGCGCTACGATCATGACATGTACTACATCAACTGTAAATATGTTCATATACCCCGGACCTGGATAACCAAATGTAAAATATCTAGTACTGTAGGATAAATACGACTGTGACGGTTGTGTCGCGCTTCATGACCCACTCGAATTTTGTTGCTATGCCTACATTTATTTGTATTGTTCTCCTTTGGTGTTGAAAACAAAGAAAATCACGCGTAGTTCACGACTAGGGTAGTGAGTCAAGCCACAACCGATGCAGGTAAAATGAGCCGCATGTAAGGTTAACATGATTACGCATACATATAGGTAGCTACTTACCTAGGATATTTGTTAAGATCAAATTTCTGGTTCGTGATAATCAGTGTTTAGGGTAACAAGTCTCATAAAAACGACCAAAGCAGCGCCCCCAGCTACCGTGACGCCCCAACCTCGCATCTCACCAAGCCATATCCGGAGTAACATGACTGAAGGCATGCTGTCACGCGTTTCCAATCATTCATGGCAGATAAAGCACGACGAACAATAAATACAAGGACATCTAAGCGGAAAGTGTATAACAGCACGATTCATCGTTGGGGTATTTTTATACACGATCCCAAGCATGCTTGGGACAAAATCATGTCTATTCTAGCAGAAACCTCTTGGATCAAAGAGTGTCCGACTGTGGTTGGGCATCAGGAATGGCTGTCGAGCCGACGCACTGAGGAGCTGCTCAAATGCCTGCAGGCGCCTGGCCAGCTCCTGGTGCTCTTTCATAATTGTCCTGTTGCGCCTTTCTAGATACTGAATATACTCTGTTGCCTTTGTTAAAACAGTGCCCTACAATAGTGTTGTTAGTCATTGTGTTACTTGGTCAAGTTTATAGGAACTGCTACTAACCTTGCTCACTTTAGGCCCTCTTTGCGAGTTTTCATCGGCATCATCCATTCCATCTTCTGGTATTGAATGAAGGGCAGGTACAGCATCGCGCAGTTCGGCGATCTTGTCCTTCAGATTCGTACGATATTTTCGCTCGATATCGTTATGGGCTGTCCGATCTCCTTGTTTGAACTTGTCCTTGCCCTTGATATCTGATGTCGCAGTATTGGTACGCGAGAGACCTGGCCTGGCAGAACTGAATCCAGTTTCGCTCGAGGCCTCCGTCTTAACGTCCTGATTCCGAGATGGGGCTTTGGAGCTATTGGCTGGCGTAGGTGTCTGCCTTTGGCTGTGCTCTCCAGTCGGTGTTCCTAGGAGGGAGTCGATGCTGCTGTTGAACTCTGGTGGAAGTCCTGTACCAAGGCCAGCTCCAAATCCTAAGCCAAACCCACTCGGGGGCATAAAGCTGGCTGGCGTCCGACCAGTATTCATTGCAATAGCAAGTAGTCTTCTTTGCTCATCGTTACTCAGAAGTTGATTATTCCCCATTCCAGACATTGTCTGTCCAAATCCCGAGCTCATGCCCGCTGTAGGATCCCCCAAGCCAAAACTCGGCTCCATGCGTAGACCGGGCTCTGGCTTTTCCCAGCTGAGTGGCGTTGAGTATAGACCCTCTCGTGGAGGTACTTCTGGCGGTGGCATAGTCTCTATCTTTGATAAATGCTCCTCGAGGCTCATCGAGTCAATTCCTTCTTCGTCATCAGACAGGGCATTGTCTAAAGCATTGTCATCAAAGTATTCGGCACCCTGGAAAGGAGGAGCTGTCACATATATGCCCGTTCCAAGGCCTGGGGTCGTCGAGCTTGATCCATAGCCCGGTCTTCGTCGCTGATCAGTCTTCTGATTCATCAATACATAGCGGAAACATACCGGTGATGAGTGTTGGTGTTGGCGTTCATAGGGTCATAACGCTTCGAAAAGTCAATTTCATAACTCCCTGTCCTCTCTCCTTCATCATCGTCAAATCTGATCCAATAGTCCAAAGATTCAAGTGCCGAATCTGTGTCAACTTTTGTACGCTTCCTCTCATGTGCATCTCGCTTCCGTTGTTGGTGGCCTCGCGGATGTCCCCTATTTGGAAGAATAGTTTTGCTTGAGCTGGTATAAGGTGATGGCATGGGGGCCTGAGTGAAGGACATCTCAGATGGTGCGTTTGACTGGTAATCATAGGATGGCCCTCCTTGATTGCTAGATGAACCTATGTCGCCCTCGAAGCCAGTTGGTCTCCATGGTGAGGGATCATGTTGCTGCTGAGACGGTTCATTCTGATTGAGGGTCTGGTTGTTCGGCACCGCGAAAAAGTTAAGAAGATTAGGATCCATTGCTAACACGGCATCCCGGCCTGCGAGGCCGTGTTCGTCGTTGCGGACGGGTGGTCTAGTGTTAGTAACCCGTGCAGGGCTTGAGCCAGGTCAATGAGCGATGATATCGCCAGCAAAAGACAGTGATGGTTGAATCTTTACTGTTCAAGAACAGTTGGGTCACTCGAGAAATGATAATCGCTAAGATGTCTCGTAAAGGCGTTGAGGGGTGCTGAAGGGGCTGGTTCGTCGAGGTATATGACAGTGGGGCCAGCGGTGGAGGGTAAGAAATGTAAGAATGAGGAGATGGCAACAAATGAGTTGAGAATGTATTAATTGAGTCCGAGCAAGGCGAGCATGGCATTAACTCATTGAAGATGTTGAATCGGAATATCGTTGAGATTGAGGTCAGATTCAAAGACGTCGAAGGAACAGGAGATGGTGAGTGAGCTGGAAGAGTGCGCACGGCCAAATGGGTCGATAGCGAGAGGAATAGCGACAATGAAAAACCAGAGCGAACGGGCCAGGGAGGATTTGCTGTATAATTTGACGAGCGAGCTTTGACTCGTACTCGAGCGTGAGTGTGGCGGAAGCTTGGGTTTGGCTTGGTTTGACGTAGGTGGTAGCTATAGCTATATGGTATGGCTTCTAGCCACAGTGTATCGGTAATATAACGTAAATACGTTTACCGCTCAGTTGTCGCAAAGTAAGATCGGGGCGCAACAAGCAGCAGTATGCGATCGGTTGTGAAATGTTGGATGAGGGAGTAAAGGGTTTTACGGAGAAGAGAGTATCAGTCGATGGGATGAGCGGACAGATGCGGCTCCCAATTCGTTGGTTAGACGGGAAAGCCCAGGCCCAGACGGGGTACTTTTACTGGGAGGGAATCAATCCTGAGACCTGCTTCGGGGGATGCATGTATGATTATGGGTAATGGATAACGGATAATGGTGGACAGCAGAATAAGTCAGGATAGGATGGATAATTGGGAAGAGAAAGCCCGGGTTTGCCGTCTTGTCACTTGTCGTATTCGCCGCAGTCAGAAGCGTTAGTTCTTGCTCATAGGGGTCCGATTGATCGATTTACTTTATGATCACCCTTCTGTTTTTGGACGTTGGGGGATGGGTCTTCCTCACAAAAACCACATTATGATATGACTGCTGATATGTACCAACCATCGCTCCTCAACTCTTTTTCTCCCTCCCTTCTCCCTGACGTCTTTCTTTCTGCAAATCAGCGGGACGGGGGTACGCAGGAACAATAGCAGATTTCTCTCCTACTGCCGGGTCGACGTCTTGATGTTTATTGACCGCAATGGCGTGACTTTTGCTTCGAAAAGGCCAGTCTTGTGCGGTTCCAGCTCCAGGGGCCCTTGAAGACCCCGGGAGTCCTGGGCCGCTGGCGTAGCAAAAATTGGTCGACATCGTATGATGGGCAAGGCTGAGGAGGGGAATTGTACGATGGGCCAAGCCCCCTCGTCCATTGGCTGACTCGCGTGGGCTGTCATTGGCTGCGGGACGTTGGAGATGGCTGTCAAAGTGTTGGAGAATGCAAAGACGTTCGAGGTTTGTTTCTATTCGTCAGTGGAATGTTTTAGGTCCCGTTGGGCACATCTTATCCTTGCCTGTTCAACCGGAGACTTTGTTAATCATGTATCACGTGCCGTGTGATACTCTGTCGCATTCATATAATTAACCTCTATTCGACTTTAGCTGTCGTACTCTTCCTCTTAGCTGCAGCCCATGACCCATCAAATAGCGGCTAAACTGCCAGCTGGAAAGTCTTGGCAACGGTCTAATTCCCATGCGTCCTTCAGCCTCGTGCTAGTGACTAGCGATAGTTTCTAGGCTCAGCTGGCAGGCTCCGGACCCCATCGAGACCAGTCAAGAAGCTCAAGAGGCTCACTGGTAGGTGGGCGTGGTGGGGTGCTCTCATGATCCTTGTATGAATGTCTCACCCATGGAACCCTTTCTCATACCCATTTTTGCTTATCCTCGCAGGTCTACTCCGTACTTTTGTGTAATATACGGAGGCATGTTGAGCGACGCATACAATACTTTTATGAGTTACCCCATTATTTTACCGCGAGTATAGTTGGGAACCAGTCAACGAACCTCATCGTACCACTGTAGTCGAATTAACGCTCCTGTGCTCATCCGTTTCGAGTCACAGCATTGACATCCGTACCTGGTCGGGTTTTAGGTTTAGGGTATTCAGTGGTCAATTGCCAGTGCTCTTAGCTCAACTGTTAGTGCTACCCTGAATAAATGGGGGTTGTCCCGAATGGAAATAAAACACTAGATGTGAGATTTCCTACATATTGGACTTTCTGGCTGGAATATTTATAATACTTTGATACTAAGAATACAAAAATAATAGACTTTTAGAAGAAGTTTTTATAAAAATTATAATATATTATACTAAAATAAGACAGTTTTACTTAATATTATTATACTTAGTTCAAGATATCTTGTGGTAGAATTGCTGCCAGTGTTTTATTTCCTCCCGAGGTTGTTCACTTTTGACGGAGATATGCCATGGGCGGTAAGGCTAATCGACACTAGATTGCTTTCATACGTTCTTCCCATTTTTGAAGTTTGGGAAATAGTTCTTCAGGATCAAGACGGTAGTCTTCGCAGCCATCAAGGTGTTTGATACGAATACTTCAGAATAGGGACGATGAACTCTTGGCCTTTGTCAACATTGCGCACATATTCGAATATTGTAGGAGCATAGCGAAACATATACATCAAACGATTCAACATTCTCAGCATATAAACATCGTTCCAGTACTGGCATTGGCTTAGCACAATGTCGTCTCAAACCTCCTATCATATGTGATTCTGCCTCTCTAAGTCACCTTGTCGCCGATGCTATCCGGCCTGATGAGCAATACTGAAAACCTTCTCGCCCAACTCTCATCTATGCAATTCATTATCATACCTCGCTGGGAATGTTTCGTGTGCCACCCTGCTGTTCATTCCCCCATCGATGTCTTCTTCGTTATTTGGGGATCCAAGGCCGAGGAAGGCTCTCCTTGCGTATACAGTCTGGGCACGTTCCCTCGACGTGTACGGTGTCGTGTTTGTGCGAAGGACCTTTACACCCATTGAAAAGTTTCTGGCACCAACGAATATGGAGGAAACTGATATGCCCGCAAGCAAATTCCCGATCCACTTGGATACACATGTTGGATGGTCTAGGCCCACCACGTTGGGACAATGGACTGTAATGCCGATGACCAGGGTGTATATTCGGTCAAGGTATTTGCATATGATCTGCGCCTTGGTGAGCTCTGATATACCATATTGAGAAGTTTCCGAGGCTCTCTCTGCGACTGACTGATACTTGGCTGTATCGATGGAATCTTGCTGACCAGAATCCATACGTCCAACAGCCTGCAACGCCTCGGTCGCAAAAGTCTTGGGCACGGCACTCGGGGGCTGTCTAATAACAGCACACACACGCGGCCGGCTAGGAGAAACGAGTGGGCGAGATTGATTCGACGTCGAAAGTGAAGCCTTTTTTTGTTTGCTTTGTTTGTGCAGGATAGAAGCCGGGGACGTTGAAAACAACTGCCAACGGCGGCCGAGTCCGGGGCCCGTAACAAAGAGTGGGCAAATCGGCGATCGTCAAATAAGAGCACCAATGAAAGAACAATGGAATAACTGCAGCGCCCTGCCCGTAGGCGCATGCAACCCGAGTAGAGTATCCAGATCTGTTGCAGCTTTAAGAATACGCGTAAGGTTTCGCCAGTTTACCTGGAGGGAAAAGGGCTTGATGAATTTGGATCGAAACATTTCACGGGATCGATCGTGATGAGCATGTGCCTTGGTTGGCACGCAGCATGACGTTGAATCTAATTTCCAAGCCCACGGTTAGGTTAATAACTCAGATGCCTCTCTTTCATTGACTGGGCTAAAAGAAATTAGCGTCTGTTGAATTCATTCGGTTTCAATGAGGCCCCATTGTTTGTATGAACCCTCGCATTGTGACTTATTAGCGAATAGCAGTATTCTTTCATACTCTATGAAATTGTATGTAATCATACATAAATTAATAACCGAAGCATAATAAGTTTGGTCGTATTTCATGTAGGACTATGCATATAATTTACAAATACATACTGTGAGAAGAAATTCTGTACCTGCGACCAGTAACTCAACAAACGAAACCCTTTACCAAATGTGGTTGTGAATGTCGTCACAAATGTGCTTTTTTAGGCGGTGGGGGCCGCCGTCAGCCAAAAACCATACGATCGACCTTGTCCTTACCAATGGATTGATTAATTTAGGAGATTCACGTTCGGGTCTCTGTGGACATGGCCGACCAATCGGACAATAGGTAGCTCTTTCTAAAACTCCTACCACTTATATGTATTGTTCGAGACATCATGGGATGAATATAGACCAAAGCATCTTCATTCCTCCGAAACTAGTGTAATACAAGGTTATTCTTATGACGAGACGTACGTCTATGCTCTTGTGGCGTGTAATGTCACGGTCCGGCCCGTCGCACTTTGGAAACCGAGATACTGTTCTGTAGTCTTGGTGTTGGTCAGTTATTGGTGGCCACGTGCGTGAATCATTCACACAGTAATTATCAAGGCGGGTGTTTCCCTCACGAAATAGTAGGTGGTGTTAGCGAGCGGCAAGATGTGTTGGTGTTTGTTTCTGATGCGAGTGTTGCCGATTGCGCTATCTTGAGTAAGAGAACACAAACGGCAACAAGATATCACTAAGTGGAATGGCTTAGGATAAAGTCGGATTTGCGAGTCATTTGATAAGAAGTGGAATACAAGCGAACTGCCATGTTTGCATGATGGTGTATTGTTGCAAATTGTACTTCTCGAGAATTGTAACTTCATAATAAGGCTGCAAACACCATTCCATTCACATTTGAGAACCAAAACGAACCACTCTGTCAACATGACGCTATCAACCAAGTTCACACAATCTATAGGAAGGTGTTCATACAAAAGAAGTGTGAGATAGAATAAAGAGCATGGTGATCCTCATATACGGTTCACAATGGATGTGTTCATCAAACTATTTCCTGATAGAAGGAGTATACTACCACGCTATCGGATCTACCAACATGGTTCAAACGGCAATTCTGAATACCGACTGGAATAACATTTACCGCTTATCTTGAATTGTGGGCCTTGAACTAAGAGTCGAGGTAGAAAAGTGCACATGCTGCGCTTGAGAGGTCCAGTGAAGTTCTTTTGAAGAAGGAGCGAATCTTTTGCTAGCCTTCCTTCCAAATTCATCGCACCTCCTCTTTCGCGAGCTCTCCCTCTTCCCACTTCCTCCACTTCTTCTCTTGAGATTCTCCAAAACTTACTCCTCTTCGGTTCGCAACAATCTAAACCCTCTACCAGTTCGGTTAACCTCACAACCTAACACTTCCATGTCGCTTATGCTTGCGACTGTCTATCGACATGCCATCTAAGGTGGTAACTTCCCTATTTTTGGGATTCGTCTTTCTTGTGTTCTTTACAAAGGAGGTGCACTGTTTCTCTTGGAGACCGCAACGACTCTCTGACGGTATGATCGAGTGATCTTGAGTGCGCTTGCAAGCTAACGTTATCACAATAGGGAACCAAGTCGCATTCCAGCACCCGCAACGCAGTGCTGATAGCAGTCGGCTTTTCGGACAGCAAGCAGAGCAGAGACTTTCCAACGCTTACACTACTGCCATTCAAGAGCTCCAGGAGCTAGAATCGGAGCCCCTTTGCCATCGCAACGCTGCACGCCTGCTAGTCAACAACTGCCATCTCTTGGACGGGCAGGATGGTGCTAAAATTCACACCGACAGTGGAAGAGCAGCTAGAGATTTTGTTGACTCTTATGCTGCAAGCCTTGCCATTTGTGATTTGGAGCGTGGGAGTTTCAGGATTCCTGGCGCTTGTTCAAAGTTTCGAGAATCATCTTTGGCAGCGATCCCTGTCACAACCGTCCCGCAGCTTCATGTCTCAACTATTGAGATTGATGAGTGCCTTGAAGGTCTTGCCCAGTCTGACTCTGCTTGGAACACTTGGGTAAGCTATCGACACAAAGCACTCAGGTTCTGTGATGCCGCAAGGGCCGATCACAAGAAAGGTAAGGAATACTCGAGACTTGCCAAAACATACTGACTGTTCACTCCAGATGAGAACGTGCTCCTTTACCAAAAGATTACCAGAATCCTTGCGAGACTCACCCATGACATCGAGGCAGATATGGAAGCGCGATTTCAATCACTCAATCGAGCCTTTGATGCCGCAAGTCGGTCCGTCGATAACATGGGTCCTCAAGTGCAACATATACAAACGGAGATGGAGAAGGCTAGCAAGACCCTGCGACATGAGTTGAGTCACGCTGTTCAGGTATGTGAACACCTGGACCGCCGGACCAAATACTAATGAGCATAGGACTCACGAAACATCGTGCAAACTAGTCTGAAAGACACCCAAGCTCTGCATGATCTTTTAGAGCTGCTCATTCTTTCAGTTCAAGAAAAGACTGCTGATATGGCTTCGTCATACGAGGTGGCACTCCAGACCAGCACCGAGAAGTTGAATAACGAGGTTGAGGTTCTGATGACGGCACTGGGCGTAGCGGTCGGATCTTCTGTTACTCTCCGTAACCAGATGGTAAGTTGAATGGCGGTTAGAGAGCCAACACTGACTTTTCAAAGGAGATAACTGAGTCCCGAAACCAAGACATTATGAACAAGCAGGAAAAGATCGAAGCTGCAAGTTTTCGTCTCACTATATGAAAATATTTCGCTAACCACTTAAAGGGCATGGGGAGACTTGAGGAACTTGCAGATGACTTGCTCGTCAAGTACGACAACCACGAGTCGCGACTTGATCAAGCTTTGCGAAAGTCCAACCAGGTTCTTGATATCCTTGACGCAACTGCCGCATCTGCTACTGGATTGCAAGGATATGTGTTTGGTGGATTTGGAATTTCTCGTCTTTGGCCCTATATCTTTTGCCCGATATTGTCACTTGCTATGGGATCGTATGGTCTTCCCCCTTCCCTTGGGCGAAACCTATGGCTCATTGGTCTTGGTAAGTTCGAGCGATGCTAAATTGGCCATTACTAACTATTCTAGGCGAACTCATGGGAGTGATTGTGTCGACAACGGGGAACTATATAAATCGCTTTTCCGGCTTTACGCCAATTCTCGAAAGTTTCGATGGTAATGCTTCAACCCTCAATCAGACGCTTACCACCTACCACTTTGGAGACGCTATCGTCAAACACATTTGAAGATACGTCTTCGGCAGTTCACGCAATATCCAATCGGACTGCGAATTCAGACTGTTTTGGTTTTATGGCATGACGAATGGTAACATGGGTTTTGTGAACGGGTGGGACAATGGCTTTACGAGTTATGATGATGACCTCGCTCGTATATATCATCTATTTCTTGCTTCTGGGATTTGGGACTTGGGTTACGGGCTAGATCCGGTATGGGAACACACTGAGGCGTATCAAGCATGGATGCTAAGGCTATCTGGGTTGCATCGGGAACATTTTACATTAGCTGGTTCAACTTAACCTGGGAGTTTCTTCTCGCATCGATTTCATACATCAACTCCGTTCTCTTTCCACAACCTGTATTGAGAATGTTCCACTTTGAAAGAGGCTTATTACAGCTGATAGAATTCCTGGTCGATAACTTTAGAAGCAGAAAGATGTCGAAGTTTGAGTTGATATGTATGCCTGTAAGTTCCAGAATAAAAGAATGGGCGACGCAGGACATACGTATTAGCGAGCAAGGAGTAGCGCTTAACTACACGTAGTAGGGCGCCGCGGTCATGCGACATCCGAATTTCATCATCGAACAACAAGGCTGAGCCTTCCCAGATAAGATAAGGAAGTCCGCGAATTACCAGAAGTTAAAAACTCCACTTTGCTATCGCCACGTGATCCGCCAATAGACAATCGGCGTCACCCTAGCCGGAGGAAGCTCGCAACTTTGTAAAGCTGGGTTTTGCATCTACGACGAACCGCCCCTCGCCAACGCCTATTATAGCCTTTGCGTCTTTATCATTTCGATTATAGGTCTTGCGCGAACTCGGCTCCATGTAGATTTCTACTGGCGCCGGCCTTATTTCACCTGGTGTAAGTCTTTTTGTCTATGATGTCGCGAATTGGCGTTGCTGCTCTCCTGATCTCCGGGCGTCGCCTGTTGCCCCCACGCGCGACAGCCCTGAAATGCCTGGCTCATGGTGATCTTTGATTCTAGAGCTTCAAGAATTATGATCTTGAAGTAGCCCGTCGCACACTTGAAGTAGAACATCCTGCTAATTCTTCACTCGATTAGAACAGTATGAACAGCCAGAATCTTGGCCCTGCAGTATACGATCGAGACCGCGAGATGGACGATCGACACCGAGCCTTACAACAACGCGAGGAGATGGCCCGTCGGGACCAGGAACGAGAACGAGAGCGCGATCGGGATCGCGACCGGGAGTCTAACGAACGATACCAGTCAACACCTCACCACAGCAGCGCTGGCTCCATCCCTATTCACCAGCCGGTCGCGTCGCGGATCTCTGGTGCAATTCACAGTCCCGGTGGACTTCTTGCGAATCATAACGGAAATCCCCAGATTCCTCTGGGTACCCCATCATCAGGTGGTCCCCTGGCCGCCTTCGGAGGGCCGCTTCAGAACGAGCATAACAGACCGGTTCAGCACGGTGGACCTAATAATAACAACACTCAACCGCAAATGTTTGCGCCGATGCCGCACGCCGCTGGACCCCCAACATCTGCACAATCCGCTGCGAGCAGCGTTGCAGCAGTTTTTGGTGGTCCTTTACAGCAGCAGCCTCAGGAGGGCCAGCGCGGGGCCCAACAGGGCGCGCCATTCAACCCAGGCGCTGCGTCGGCAACTCATCAGCTTCCTGGTGGGATCACCCAAGGACAGCAGCCTATTCTTAACGTGAGTACAATTTGATTAGCAATCGTTTGCCGAGTGAAGTTTTGATGGCGAGGAGGGGAACCGGTAGCTGTTTGCGCACCTGGCAGCCACCCGCAAGTTTGCGTTTGCAAGCCGGTGATGCGACAGCGCAGCCACCCACATCTTTTGCTTTTCTATAACCTTTTTACCAAATCTCAACTTTCCTCCCCCCCTTCATCGCTGAATTCCCAAGTCTGCCTTGATGGGCTGTTCTTGATACGTTCACGAAATTTTACATTCCTGCCGCACTCCTTTGTCCATGATACAGCAGCTCTGGTCAAACATGGAGCTTAATGACCTTCTCACGAATCTTCCGGCAAAGCCAGGTGATCTCGTTGGCATCTTCAACCACGAGGGAGAGGGCATGATGCTCTATTGTGGCCAAGAAGTCGGCATATCGGCCTCCTACAAGTTTTTCAATGTAGCTCATGCTTATACATACTACCACTCTTGCTGCATGACCATTCGCTAACCGCTTCTCCTTCTAGGATGCTCTGACGTATCTCGATCAAGTTAAAGTCCAGTTTCATGATCAGCCAGACGTCTACAATCGCTTCTTGGATATAATGAAGGACTTCAAGAGTCAGGCGTACGTCTAAAACCGATATGTAATCATGTTATGATAACTGACCTAAATGTAGAATCGATACCCCTGGGGTTATCAACCGTGTATCGGAGCTCTTCGCTGGACATCCCAATCTTATCCAAGGGTTTAACACTTTCCTGCCTCCCGGCTATCGTATCGAGTGCGGAGCAGGCAATGACCCAAATACAATCCGAGTCACTACACCTATGGGCACCACGGTCCAATCCATCACCGGACGTGGAAACCAGGGCGATGGCCATGGGCCCGTCACAAACCAGCCTCTGTTCCCTGAGAGAGGCGGGCAGTGGCAGCAACAAAGGCCTCAGCACAGCATTGAAAGCCCCGAGGCCCAGTTCAGCACGCCTGTCCAGAACGGTGCGAGCCTCTTTGTTCAAGCTGCAGCCCACAATGCTGCCTTCAATGAGAGCAACAACTCCGCCCAGCGACGTGCCCTGCCGCAAGGCAGCGTGGGTCCTGGTGAGGGGCCAAACGCCCGTCTTGCATTGACACCCACCCCTTCAGGACAAGCTGCAGTGAACGGCAATGCAGCAAACCAGGCAAACATGGAACGACGGGGACCAGTTGAGTTCAACCATGCTATCAGCTACGTTAATAAGATAAAGGTAAAACCCACCGCTGCCGTCATCGCCTGTTTAAGCGTCGGATGTACTAATCATGGCAAAGAACCGCTTCCAGGACAAACCTGAGATTTACAAACAATTCCTTGAAATCCTACAAACGTATCAGCGGGAACAAAAGCCAATTCAGGACGTATACGCGCAGGTTACTACTCTGTTCAACTCTGCTCCTGACCTGCTGGAAGACTTTAAGCAGTTTCTGCCAGAATCTGCTGGCCAGGCAAAGCAGACTCCTAACCGAATGGATGATGGTCCTCCATCCGGCCCTAACCAGACACCACAGCCTGCTATGAGGGATGGACAGAAGATGCCACCTCTCGGTAGTTTTGCACCGCCTGCTAGTGCGACCAAGGACAATAAGAAGCGACCGCGAGCCGACAAACAGACTGTCCAGCCAGCAACTGTCCTAGCAGAGGCGACTGCAGCTGCACGGCTCGCTCCTCCTGCTGTTAACGGTAATAAGAGACCCAAACTCAATCATGCCAGACCAGGAGGTGACAACTCAGCAGTCGAGCCGACTTTAACGCCTGTCATGCCGGAACCGTACCCTGCTAGATCTTCTTCAACTTCGAACCAGGACGAGATTGCTTTCTTCGAGCGCGTCAAGAAGTTCCTCAGCAACAGATCTTCGATGAACGAGTTCTTGAAACTCTGCAACCTCTTCAGCCAAAATATTATCGACCGAAACACGTTATTTCACAAGGGTGCACTGTTTATTGGTGCAAACCCTGATTTGATGAACTTTTGGAAGAGCTTTGTAGGTGTTGATACACAAGATGTCATCATTGACAACCGTCCTGCTCCCCCGACAGAAAAGGTATCTCTTAGCAACTGTCGAGGCTATGGCCCTAGTTACCGATTACTTCCCAAGCGAGAGCGCCTCAAGCCCTGCAGTGGCCGAGACGAACTATGCAACTCTGTTCTCAACGATGAGTGGGCTTCACATCCTACTTGGGCGTCAGAAGATAGTGGATTTGTTGCTCACAGGAAGAACCAGTTCGAGGAAGGCCTGCACCGTATTGAAGAAGAGCGTCACGATTATGATTTCAACATCGAAGCTAACCTTAAGTGCATCCAACTCCTGGAGCCTATTGCTCAGCAGATGCTTGCCATGTCTCCCCCCGAAAGAGAGGGATTTCAGTTGCCTGTTGCACTTGCCGGCCAAAGCACATCTATTTTCAAACGGATTTGCAAGAAGATTTATGGCGACCGCGGTATTGATGTTGTCAATGACATGTTCACCCATCCTTTTGATGTCGTGCCTGTCCTGCTGGCTCGTATGAAACAGAAGGATGAGGAGTGGCGATTCTCCCAGCGAGAGTGGGAGAAGGTTTGGCATGCTCAGACAGAAAACATGCATCTCAAGAGTTTGGACCATATGGGCATACTTGTGAAGCAGAACGACAAGCGACATCTGACTGCTAAACATCTTGTTGATGTCATCAAAACCAAGCACGAGGAACAGCGCCGCGAGCGATCGTTAAAGGGTAGAACCCCTCGACATCAGTTCAGCTGGGACTTTGCCGACAAGAATACCATCATTGATTTGTTACGCCTAATGATGCTGTATAGTTTACACAACGGTCAGCACAGTACCCAGGAGAAGGAACGCATTCTCGAGTTTTTTGAGTCTTTCATCCCTACCTTCTTTGACATTTCAGAGGAGAGCATCCAGGACAAGCTTCCAAAGATGCAGCCGGACTCTGGTGAAGACGAGTTGGAGGATCACACACCTGCAGAGCTTACGAACGGCCGCAGCCGGCGTAACGGTCGGAAGGGAGATCTCCTTAGAGGGGTTCTCGATCCTGGCCGAAATGGTAGCAAACCCCGTGGGCAAAAGGAGGATAGTACCCCTGGGAGCAAGGAGACGACCCCTGATGTTACCTCAGCCAACGAAGAGGAAATGCCCGATGCTTCTGAGGAGGTTGCCACTACGGACGTTTCCAACGAGCGCTGGATGCCCAGCATCCCTAAGCCGGTTGTTGTTGGCCAGAGCGACGTTGTGCTAAGTACAGATGACGAGCTGAAGGCAGACGGATTCTTCACTCGGCCATGGTACAACTTCTTCTGCAACCAGACTCTGTTCGTTTTCTTCAGCATCTTCCAAACCCTCTACCAGCGCCTTCAAGATCTCAAGGAGGCGAAGGAAATTGTGGCCAAGGAGGTGGACCGCCTCAATAAGCAAAAGCCTGCTCGAGATATTGGCTTCACGGAGAACCACATGAAGTTTTTCGATGCCAACGATGATCCCGACAGCTACTGGCCGAAAACCCTTGAACTCATCGAGGAGTACATCGCCGGCGAAGTGGATGAGAGTCGGTACCAGGATGTGATGCGACATTATTACCTCAAGACTGGATGGAAGGTGTACACCATCCAAGATCTTCTCAAGACTCTTTGCCGTCTGGCCCTTACCTGCAGCAGCACAGACGCAAAGGAGAAGACCCCCGACTTGATTGCACAATTTCAGGCCAGCCGCGAGCGAGAGGAGACAAGCTATCAGACTGAGATTAGCGCTCGTAAGTTCGCCGAGAAGTGTGTTAAGGACGGAGACGTATTCGTGATATGCTGGGTAAGTTTGGAATCCTGAATCTATAAGCCACCAAACCACTAACATACTTTTAGTTCCCTGCTAAGAATGAGGCAACCGTGCGATGGCTCCAACGGGAAGAGACCACATTCTACATGGATGAAATGCAGCTGCGCGAGCGTTGGCAGTATTATATCTCATCTTTCATTCGCGTTGAGCCCACTGAGGGGGTCCCGAGATCGAAACTCCAAAAAGTTGTGCTTTCTCGAAACCTTCCTTCATCAGATGCCGATGCCGATGAGGATTCTATTCCCAAACCCATTTCCTACAAGGAAGACCTTACGATTAGCATTTGCCTTAAGAGTTCAAAGATGCTATGGGCTCCTGGGACTTCGGAATATGTCGTTTATGATCAATCCCCCAAGTCGGCAGAACAGCGAGAGCGCCGTGAGAAGGTACTTCGTGCATTGAGCGTGCACCGAGAGAATAAGCTCCTCGAGAAGTGGGTGCACAACCCAGCTTGGACTAAGGACCTCAGCCCAGAGGAGGTTCAGGAGCAGAATAAGAACTTCCGTACATGGATGGACGATGGTGTCGTTCCTCCCAGTTCTGCTGAAGACGTGGAGATGGAGTAGCCCCCCGTCTCACCTCAGCAGCAGGAATCGGAACGAAGGCCCAGTCCAGATCCTGTGATCGCGAAGCAAGTAGCGGTCGCTCCGAAAGCGAAGGGTAAGGCATCGCGAAAGAGGTCTGCAGAAGCTCCAGCTTCTGCTCCTCCGGAGAAGAGGACAAGATCAAGTCCCCGTTTTGTCAGGGCACAGTCCGGAAGTGACGAGACGTGATATACTCGAAGGGAATAAAGGGGGAGGGCGTGCTTGCAACTCATCAGCGTCTTTTTGCTGCTTCGCTTTGTCCTTTGTCGATTTGTTTTTTAGTCTTTGGAATTTTTAAAAGGCGATAGGGAATTCGTACTTGGAAGACATGCCCGTACATGAGTGCCTGCCTCTCTTGTTGCGAACGGTTGATATCATGTTTGCGGGGGGTTACTATTCATTCGGCCTGTACTTTAGAAACTACCTATATAACCGCAGCACGCCGTGATGGTATCAATATTAAGTTGATGCAACATAATTTCATTGTATTAAACACTATGCATGAAACCGAGTTGTTGTTTGTTCTTGATTAAAGGTATTTATATATCTAATTTACTGCCTTCGCAGGTGGGTATACCATGAAGCAGCAGGGAGCCATAGCCATGGAAGCCACATCAAAATATGTTAAATATGGCAACAGACCAAACTTTTGCATTCCATTGCATCGCATGCCCATTCATTTGTGTCATCCAAATCGTCAATTATCCTACTATCACCCCTTTTATTGCAGGTTCTCGATAACCATGGCAGAAGCGCCACCGCCACCGTTGCAGATACCAACAGCACCAATCTTGGCCTTCCTCTCCTTCAGCACGGAGGTGAGGGTGGTGACAATACGAGCACCAGAGCAGCCAAGAGGGTGACCAATAGCAACAGAGCCACCGTAAACGTTAACGGTGTCGGGGTTGAGACCAAGGATCTTGACATTAGCGAGGGCAACAGCAGAGAAGGCCTCGTTGATCTCGTAGTACTCAACCTGATCAGCGGTCAAACCGGCATGCTTGATGGCCTTGGGAATGGCTAGAGCAGGAGCGACGGTGAATCGCTCGGGCTCACGCTCAGCATCACCCCAACCAAGAATCTTGGCGACAGGCTTGAGGTTAAGCTCCTTGAGCTTGGCCTCGGAGACAAGAACAACAGCGGCAGCACCGTCGTTGATGGGGGCAGCGTTGGGAGCAGTGACACTGCCGTCAGGCTTGAAAGCAGGACGCATGGCCTTGAGCTTCTCAACGTTCAGGTTTTTGACCTCGTCGTCGCGGTCGACCTTGGTGGAAGGCTTGCCACGAGCGCCAGGGATCTCAACGGGGACGATCTCGGTGAAAAGACCGGCCTCGGTGGCAGCCTGGGCCTTCTTGTAGGAGTTGATGGCGTACTCGTCCTGTTCCTCACGGGTGAGCTCGTAGTCTTGGACACAGAGCTCAGCAGCGATACCCATGTGGTCCTTCTTGAAAGAGTCGGTCAGACCATCCTTGAGAACGCCGTCGACGAGTGTTTGGTCGCCGTACTTGGCACCGTTTCGGAGGTTGGGGAGGTAGTGAGGAGTGTTGGACATGGACTCGGTTCCGCCAGCAACAACGATATCAGAGGTGCCGAGCATAATGTTCTGAGCACCGAGGATAATGGCCTTGAGAGATGAAGCGCAGACCTTGTTCACGGTGGTAGCGATAACGGTCTGGGGAAGGCCAGCACCAAGGGCACACTGACGGGCAGGGCCCTGACCGACACTAGGGAACAAGTCAAGTCAGTACAAATCTACCATTGTCTCGAGGTTTGAACATCATGATGGCGGGGTCAAAGGGGGAACGCCTACCCAGCAGAGAGGACATTGCCAAAGAATACCTCGTCGACATCCTCAGGCTTAATACCAGCACGCTCAACAGCACCTGTGAATAAGTTTTAGCAAATTGAATGGTCTCTAGAGTCGGTGGTGGTGTAATTTGCCCATACCCTTGATAGCAACAGAGCCCAATTGAACAGCGGTCTGGCTTGACAGAGAGCTATATTCATGTTAGCCAACACAACTGCAATACGCTTACTTCTCAGACTGGTACTCACCCAAGGAAAGAACCGATAGGCGTGCGAGCCGTAGAGACGATATAGACAGGGGGGAGGTTGGCCATTTTGACGGTTGATGTGATGAATGAATGGAGTTTACAAAATTAAGAGAGATCGTCGGGGAGAGAGCTTAGTTTATAGCTTAGAGGAGTGGGTGGAGCGGAAACTGGCTGCAAATTTGTTGAGAGAAGAGAAGGAGCAGTAGTTAAGCTGTAAGCTGCAAGCGAAACTGGACTTCCTTCCAATTATCAGACTTAGCCCAAAGCTAACAGCTACCTAACAACCAATATTATGCCCCTCTTATCCGCGTGGTTGCCATTTGCGCTCGAATTCGGATACTGCGCACCAGGAAATGGAGGGCTATGGAGGGGCATGGCTCTTGCGAATACGCCGTTGTCGGTCGGCAGCGTAGCGTAGGCAGGTGCCCCCTGCTAAATGCTAACCCTCCGGCCCCACCTGTACCTGCCTCCGACCTCCGACCGCCGACCTTTAGGTTAGGTTCATGCTGATTAGATTGAGCCCACGTGACATCGAAAAAGTTGGCGACAGATGAGAGCTTGCGCAACGCCAGGCCAGGTACGGGGCTTTAGGTGACAAGATTGACGATTAGAGAAACTACATTCTCGCATCGCCAATTGTTTGCGCATAAGGAACTACACACTTGCGCACCTAATCAATACGCAGTAAAGATGGATGACCTTTACGACGAGTACGTACCTCATCCCTTCGTCGCGTTTCGAGCTTTGAAATATCGACGGCGCGCTAACATATCGCGACAGGTTCGGTAACTTCATTGGCGAGGAGGCCGGATCAGACGAGGCTTCTGAGGCGGGCGTTGAGGCGGGCGACTACATCTACGACGATGAGCCAGAAGAGGCCCCTGGTGTGACGGGTCAGGAGCTCATGGAGCTTGATGGTATGAACCTGGAATAGCTTCACTCATGAGTCTGTCCTAACCCTTACGACTTGCAGATGGACCATCCAACTCGATCGTTCTTCACGAAGACAAACAGTACTATCCGACCGCCGAGCAGGTATACGGAGCCGATGTCGAAACACGAGTCGAAGAAGAGGATGCCCAGCCTCTAACCCAACCCATCATCGCGCCGATTGAGCAAAAGAAGTTCAACATCGAGGAAGCCGATCTTCCACCCGTCTTCTTCGATCGCGAGTTCATGGCGGATTTGATGAACTTCCCCGAACAGACGCGAAACGTAGCATTGGCAGGACATTTGCACCATGGAAAGACAGCGTTTATGGATATGCTGGTTCTCGAGACACACGATATCACAGATCGATTGGAGCGGAGGGTAGGCAAGAACCGCGACGAGCAGTTGAGATATACAGACATACACATCTTAGAGAGGGAAAGAGGATTGTCTATCAAGGCTGCGCCAATGAGTCTGGTGCTACCCAGCACCAAGGGCAAATCGCACCTCGTCAACCTGATCGATACTCCTGGCCATGTCAACTTTGTCGATGAGGTTGCTGCCTCATTCCGACTGGTCGACGGTGTTTGCCTGGTTGTGGATGTTGTCGAGGGTGTCCAGATCAACACGGAGCAGATCATCAAGCATGCTGTGCTAGAGGACATTCCTTTAACGCTGATTATCAATAAGATGGACCGCCTCATCCTCGAGCTCAAGCTACCGCCCAAGGACGCATACTTCAAGCTCAAGCACGTTGTCGAAGAGGTCAACACCATCATCACAAACACAGCTCCTACCAAGGCTGCCTCGAAGCGGATAAGTCCCGAGAAGGGCAACGTCCTCTTCGCATGCACAGATATGGGATGGTGTTTTACACTACCGAGCTTCGCCAAAATGTACACTGATACCTTTGGTGACATCAATGCGGACGAATTTGCGAAGCGATTATGGGGTGACATTTATTATAACCCCAAAAAGCGAAACTTTTCACGAAAGCCTCTGGACGAGCGTTCAGCTCGCTCGTTTGTTCACTTCGTTCTTGAACCTATCTACAAGATCTTCACGCACTCTATCAGCGATAGCCCTGAGCAACTGCGGCCAGTCCTGGCCTCATTGGGTATCGAGCTCAAGCCTTCTCAATACAAGGCTGATGCCAAGGTGCTGCTGAAGCTAGTCTGTGAACAGTTCTTTGGTCCTTCAACTGGTTTTGTGGATATGATTGTTACACACATCCCCTCACCCATTGAGACCGCTGAACGATTACTGGAGAGATATTACACTGGACCCCTGGACACAAAGGTTGCCGCCTCCATGCAAGCTTGTGACCAGAACGGTCCTTTGGTGGTTCATATCACCAAGCTTTTTAACACAGCAGACGCAAAGAGCTTTCACTCTTTTGGTCGAGTGCTGAGTGGCACAGTCCGACCAGGTATGCAAGTCCGCGTCCTCGGTGAAGGCTACTCCTTGGATGACGAAGAGGACATGGCTATGGCAAATATCTCTGAAGTCTTTATTGGTGAGACAAGATACAACATTCCTACGGACGGTGTGCCAGCCGGAAACCTCGTATTGTTGAGTGGTGTCGACAACTCTATTGTCAAGTCAGCTACTATTCTCCCTCCCAAACTCGAAGATGATGAGGACGCCTATATCTTCAAGCCCATCACACATTTCACAGAGTCCGTTCTTAAGGTCGCTGCTGAGCCCATCAACCCCTCAGAACTCCCCAAGATGCTTGACGGACTAAGAAGGGTTCAAAAGTCGTACCCGCTGATCAAGACCAAGGTCGAAGAGTCAGGCGAACACGTCGTGCTCGGAACTGGAGAGCTATACATGGACTGTGTGATGCACGACCTCCGTCGTTTGTATGCAGATATGGACATCAAGGTCTCCGATCCTGTCACGCGGTTTTGCGAGACTGTCGTGGAGACGTCAGCAACCAAGTGCTACGCTATCACCCCCAACAAGAAGAACAAGATCACAATGGTCGCTGAGCAGTTAGAAAAGGGCATTTCGAATGATATTGAGAGTGGTGCCGTGCGCATCCGCGATCCTATTCGCAAGACTGCCAAATTCTTTGAGGAAAAGCACGGCTGGGACAAGTTGGCTGCCCGCAGTATCTGGGCGTTTGGTCCCGAAGAGACAGGTCCCAACATCCTCCAAGATGATACTCTTCCCACAGAAGTAAGTTGTAACTCTGCCACAGCGCTAGGTTGCCACAGCGATGCCCTTGCTCGTGAACTCGACTAACATAAAGTTCAGGTGGACAAGAAAACGCTCAACGCAGTGAAGGAGTCGATCCGACAAGGATTCAGCTGGGCAACCCGTGAGGGACCCTTGTGTGAAGAACGTAAGTTTTCTTTTTTCTCTACTCTTTTTATTCTCTTTCTCGTCCATGCCGTGTTTGAACGGAATGCTGTATCGACAGCATGTAGCACTCCTTCGAGCGACGAGTGGACATGATATCTGTTTCACTGTCAGCTAGTTAGCCATGGAACTTGGCATCTCCAGAACTGGGTAGTTCCCTGCGGAGCAGCCATGAACTCTCCACTTCTGACTTCCGCTATCTCCTGTTGGCTATTTATTACGTGGCTGGCAAACGACTTGGCGTCTCCAGGCGTGGGTGTTCGCAGGGTTTCAATGGTGCCACTGGCCCGCTGAGCTGGGGTTGGATCTGGACGGTACCGCAGATAGAGCCGCTTGACCGCTTTGTCAGGCACTCAACAGAAAACGGTAGCCGACGATCCCTCCCCCTGGCGGCAAATAGACCATACTCTGGTCCCTGTAAGAGGCGATACGGATACATAGATCAGGGCCAATGTTTATCGGTTCAGACCAGAGACTGACATGCGACTTTAGCGATACGAAACACAAAGTTCAAGGTTACAGATGTTCTTCTGGCCAACGAAGCCATCTTCCGTGGAGGCGGCCAGATTATCCCCACTTCTCGACGAGCGTGTTATTCGTCTTTCCTCATGGCTTCACCCCGCCTCATGGAGCCTGTTTATTCGGTTTCTGTAACAGGTCCCGAGGACTCGTATATGGAAGTTTACAATGTGCTATCACGACGTCGCGGACATGTTTTGTCTGACGGTCCCGTGGCAGGCACACCGCTGTATCGCGTCAACGGCTTGCTGCCTGTCATTGACAGTTTTGGGTTCGAGACTGACTTGCGAATTAAGACTCAGGGCAGCTCTATGGTGAGTCTTGTCTTTGACAGTTGGAGCATTGTACCCGGTGATCCTCTCGATCGCGAGCAAATCATCCGTCCACTTCAACCTGCCTCTGCGCAAGCTACAGCCCGCGATTTCGTTCTCAAGACACGAAAGCGCAAGGGTCTAAGCGAAGACGTCAGCGTCAAAACCTTCCTCGAGCCCGAGTTCTACCAAAACCTGATGGAGAGCGGAATGCTGGGGGAGATGTGAGCACACATTAGTATTCGTGTGAATGAGCATCGGAAAGGTTATTCCAGGAGGCAAGCCTGGCAGGGGGTTCACATGGGAGACAGGGGGCCACGAACGACTACGGCAGGGGTCTTGGAGTAGAGTAGGTAAATCCCCAGTGGACAAACCCTTTGCTCAATGAGATAACCACTTGTAATTTGATCAAACGAAATATTGCGGCAAGGATGAGTTGAAAGTTCAGTGGCGCGCAGTGCAAAAGTGTTAGAAGCTATAAAGCAGGAAGAACGGAAGGGTTTCAGATAGAGCGATGAGTAGACAGGGCGTGGCAATCCAAAATCAAGGCCAGCTGTTGACGTTCAACTTTTGCCTGCTCGCCATTCTGTCATAGTGAATATAGACTGGCACTTCATGTTTGTTGATCCTTCCAATGCCGTTAAGGTTAGTGCCAGATCCCTTGTCGAACACGATTAGTGCCCTGTTCGATTCCAGGAACTTTTTGAGTGTGTCGATGAAGCTAGGAGGGGTATCTCAAATCTTGAGGTGCATATTGTAGCGTAGCTGGTATGTACATGACAGCTCAGGCAATAGGTGCTCGAGGCCAAGTACCACAGTGCACAGTATTTGGCTTAGTGTTGCAACAGAAACATTCGATATTGTGCTGCACAATGCTTCAAAAGAATGCTCAAGCACAACACATAGGATAATATCCGGAGTTCAGACGAACAAACAACGTCGATCCAGCGCCTCATGGAAGATTCTACGGGACAATTACCCGGTGATTGTGGCGGGTCTTGTCTAAAATCCCTACCATTTCAGGGACCACGGTATCGACCTCGTGGCATGGGAGTGAATGACGAAGAAGTTGATAAGCATTTGAGCAGGGGAGTTGACATGGGTCGTTGACAAGCCGCAAGGATTGCTAAGGTCCCGGGAACGATGGCTATAAGCCCATCTGCCAGGCACGTCTCAGTAGAGGTCAAGGCCACGACCTGAAGGTGTAACATTAGTCTGTATGCTGACGAGAGCCGGCGAAGGATTCGATCGTCGTTGATAAACCTGCCGTCGGCTGCGGAGAGTTCTTCCAAGACACCCCTAGTCCATGAGCAGGAAATGCAGGATGCAGCAGAGAGTGTCTTGAAATATGCATGGCAAGGTGGTGCAGAAATCGTTTGATCATGTTTACTTGTGCTGATCGACACTCAAGAGATGCATGTATCTAGAATATTTTGCAACCTCAAGAGCGGACCAATCCCAAATCACGTCCTGGCCGGGGGGATCGCGTCGCGGGAGTTGCAAGATCGGGGGATCGTCACGCAGACGCAAGGCAAGGTTGCGCCCTCTAAAATATGTATCATTTGAGACCGTTGAAGCAACATGCAACTTTGATCCCTGGCGTTTAGAGCAAGCACACTGGGGGAGCGGGGTTGACCCCTGAAAGATGTGAATGATATGTCGTCTCGAGGATAATGAACTCCTGGAGCTAGGGGCGTGGCGTGTGAACCCGCTGCTACGGAATAGTTTTACCAACGAAGATGTAATCGGTAGCAAGTACCATTGCACAACCATCGGAGCTTGACCGAATTGGTGACATGATATTGTGTGTGTCGGCAAGTTTAATTCCCCAGCTCTTTCGACCTGCCAAACGGGAGCTACTTGTCTTGGCGGGACATGTCACGGTAGTCGATCTAAGAAAGGATGGGTGGGAAGCACACAAAGAGACGGCTCTTCATAGTGCGCCATCGAATAACCCCTGTCTCTTGGCCTCAAAAAAGGGCCGACAAGTCAAGCATGACGTCTCGTGGCTCGTGTCGGCAAATTCCGCACCTGTCAAGGAAGATGGGACCAAGACCAGACAAGTCCAGACTCAGTTCAGTACGGGACGTTTGAATTGTTTGGATTCGCAGCAACCCCAAGTGGGGGACGTTAGCAAGCGTGATAGTGCGTGACCTGGTATGATACGACGAGGTGTTCCCAAAACGGAAACCTAATCGTGGAGCCTGGTCGACGTCGGTTTTATGCATAGTCAATTGAATAAAACAGAGAATTCAAGGCAGCGCTAAAGAAGCGTTTGAGTATATGCAATTGTGTGTATTCTTGCAGAAACTTGATACACATTTGTCGCAGCGCTAATTGGTGTGAGACTAAACAGTAGCTTGACGTGATGATGACATTCGCGTGGCTCTTCGAAATACCAAGCATCAATAGCCTGATGATGGAATGCCAAGTGGCCCAAGTCAACGTTAGTCGTTGCGCACTTGTTCTGAAGAAGGTTTGTCTTAGGTAGCAGTGCGACTTTGTTCGTGGTAGCTGAACCTTATTTAGATGAATCCTTGGGGAAACCCCTTGCTGGTTTCTCTGTGTTCGCCGTCCAATCATGGCTCATGATTTTCCCCAGCGCCTGTATCACCAGTTCAACGGTTCAGTCTATTCAGTCTGGCCCTTGCTGAGTGCCGAGATTCAAGACATAGTAAGGTGGTATTCTCGCTCCTGTAAGCCGGTCTCGGTACGAGAATGGTTTCCCAAAGCCTCGCTTTGACCACTTACAAGGTATCACCAACCGATGATGTATAACGGAAGATCTGGAGTTGTATCCCAGTGGCTTCGAAGACTGAAAATAGCAACAGATAATAATGAAACGACAGCACATGACCTAAGCGCACGTTTCCAGCATCTTGTCCAGAACCCCCTTCAGAGTGTCATTCTCCAGGGCTGCGGCAACTCGTTCCTTGTCGCCTAATTGCTTGTTCACTTGGTCGTCTTGGTTGTGGCTGTTCTCTTTGCAGGTCACGTCCACCCGGTAGTTGGGCGGCAGTGATTGCTCAAGTCTTACCCTGACCCCAAGTCCAATAACGGTAGCTAGCGAGCAATGTGTAATGGTAGGCGTGATCTCCACAACCACCTGGACAATGGTATTTGGGTCAGGAATGCCCAAAGCCGGAGAAGGAGTAATGTGGATATCAGAGAGGTTGATCACCGACAATTGACCAAGTGATACCGGGTGCTCTGGATCCGAGATTGTTGAGATCAAGTCTATCCAGTATTAGTGTCTAATGTCTTCTCAAGCGTGAATAAGTGTCAAGTCACTAAGATAGCGTGGAACACTGCAGAACCCCAGCCCCAAGTGACCACACACCTGGATATTGATGTGGCGAAATGGGCGGATAAATGGGTCAAATGGAATTAGAAAGAGCACATACCATAAATTTCTTGCTCGTCGATGGCTTCGGAAGAGAATTCGTCCTGCCAGTCATTGATTCGAGGCCATGCTGCCGAACCCTGGCTGACAAAAGGTCCCGATAGATAGGATGGCTTCGCGAAGATGATATCGTCATATTTCGACTCAGGACCCCGCCGCGGCTCAGCCTTCTTCTGCCGAGTAGGGAGCTGTGATGCGCTCAAGATAGTCGGATTTGCGTTGTCCAAAGTCGCCATTACGATGGTTAGGTAAGGAGTGAAGGCGAGGTGTACAGGGATCTCAGATGGCCAAGGCTTTGAAGCTATTGAAATAGGATGACGCGGCAGGGAAGAGTAATGGGGCGTCAGTAGATGCCACAGGATATGGATATGCAGGAGATGAAATGGTGGAGATGAAAATAGCCGCAGATGCTGCTCTGTTAATTTAGAGGCCTGATGTTTTGGTCGTTAATGAGCCAGGTTGTTGTATGGGGAAGGGTATTGGTGAGTTGAAGTTGAAGAGGGAGGGGTAATTAATTGGCAGCTGAGGAAGGAGTACGGGTAACGCCACATCTGATAAGCCTCCTCTATAGAGGCGCAGCACGGCCCATCTCTAACTTCAACAACCAATTGTTACAACGCCACTCGATTCTTGGGCTGTAATGATCAGCATCTCGGTAGATGGTCACGGTAAAAAATGGTTCTTCCATATATCTACCGTTGTTGATTTCTATGTACTCAGCCTTTCTGCACTATACACTGTGTACATGCTTAGTCCACGAGATGTTGGGCCAAGTCAGTAAGCAGGTAAGTCAATATATGCAGGGGTTAAAGAGATGTATTGAATGCAAAATCTGCAACGAATAGCTTCTTGCAAAGACAGGTAGCAATGACACAGGGTAAGTATTCTCCCTGCTTGCGGCGCATATGTACGAGTCAAACACTTGCAGCAGGCTGGTAGTGTGAGGCGTATAACAGGAAATTCCATCCCAACTAACAATATGAAACCTCCACTATTTTAAAGAAGAAGAAAATCATCCCTTCTAACGCTTTTGACAGACTTGACAGGTCCATAAGTGATAGATGGGGCTGAGGCGGCGGGGCTGCTGAAGCAATTTCATTTACGGCCCCTAATCTCTAAGCCAACGTTAGGTCGAGGGGAGTGCCGGCCGAGTGTTTCTGGAAACCCCGTGGAAGCCATCCGCGGACCTATTATCCTTGTCAGGAACGCGCTTGGAAGCCGCTCAGAAGCGCTGCTTCTGCTTCGATTGGGCGACAGATCATCGCGTGGCAATGATCGCAGTGGCGCACGAGCTCTATTCAAATATCGGAGGTGATTTCTACAATAGGGTAGCCTCGTCGCCTGTTGGGACGAGATTGAACTAAAGCACGCCTGATACTGTGGTCTGTCACTGCTACTGCTGCTGTGTCAGCCCAGGGCGGCAGGCCGGGAGTTTCTATGCAGGTTCCATTCCGTTCCCACGTTTCCAACTACCGACCGCGCGACTTGTACTAGGACGCTGATCATGAGGCATGATTCATGTCCTCTGCTAAATGCTTCGCGGGCCGATTCGAGTGGACATCAAGGCCCAGGAGAAAAGCGTTCAAATCAGCATTGAACAATCAACGCCCGTTCACATAGCCAAGATATTTTTACCCAAAAATTAGTCAGAAGATGATAATTTAATGATTGTTGCCCACCCACCACACTATATTTGGCTCAGCTACAATGTAACGATGATGGGGCAAGATTTACCCTGGGGTTAGCATTGAGAATTAGGCTTAAGACTCAAGGCTGATATCTGAGCCCTCTGTCGAGAAGCTGTGGCATATATCGTCCGCCAATTAGAAGCTGGAGCAGCTATGGGTGCTTTAATTGTCCACGTCGGAACTCCCCGACAGAATATCGGTATTCGAAGCTTGCTATCTTGGAGTTGTCGCACCGAGGACTGTCGCCTCAGACCTCGTTTCGCTTCATAAGCACTGAAACCACTGTAGTATGAAGATATTTTGTCGTTTTCCGGTCGGTTAACAATTATCGGGCCGGATGTGACATCTCTCGGATTCTCTTCCCACTGCAAAAGCTGCCAGACTGTCAGACTGCATCTCAAGTCAGAAACAGTGGAAAGATGGAGTCCACTCACAAACACACAGACACAGACACGGGGACCCCCGTTCGGGGAACTTGAGCCTCGGCACAAACTCAACCCCCACATCCCCTGGTGGCTGTCAACGTCCGCTTCGAAACGCCGCAGCATGTGATATCAAACAACTTCTGCTTGTTACTTGCACATTTGATGCAAGCGAAGACGAATCAATCTCATGGGTCTCCTGCAAGAGCAACCAAAAGCGAAATGGGACAAGGAGTGAATAACATGGACGAATACGCCTCCGTCATTGAGTGTTTGATACCTTGCCCCTAGGCATGTATAGTGAAGTAATTAGCCTTGTTCCTCTTGCCTAAGCGACTTGACGGTGATGACGCTAGGAAGCACAGTCCAGTCCAGTCTTCCATCGGAATGGATCATCGTTCTGGGTTCGGGTTTGAATGTCAGGGTCTACGCACAAGCAGGACGTCCAGATGTACCTATTCCTGCTAAAGACGGCTAAAATATATGTGCTGTGGATTAATATGTATCGCCGCATGCTCCACTGTCTGTGAGAAAGATCAAGGAGGTCTCCGCGGTCGAATATGATATGTCATGCTGGGATCGATAGCTGGCTCCATGTCGTTCATTTCCCAGACACCGTTGAACCTTCATGCAAGTCCGGTATAATTCGGCGTGTACATAATCGCTACATGTCAAGGAACCACTTCATTTTGGCCCCCGAATTTAACGGCATGACAGGCGCGTGGCAGATTAGATGCAGCGGACACCATCTGCACGGGCGATCTTCATGCGACCACTTGAAAAAAGAAGCGGCGGGCAGTTCAAGCAGGTGGTCTAGGTATTAAGAATTTCCCAATTTCCGTTGTAACTATCGCGTCGTCGTAACGGTGGCAAGACAAATTTGATACGAGGCGCTCGATCATGATAGATGTTAACGAGACTGGACAGGGTTGGGCAATGTACGCGACGAACCTACTCCTAGAATAGTCTAGCACAAGAGCCATGCACATTCAACACTGTACATATGTACACACACCAAAGAAATCAGAAATCAAGGATAGAGCAACACGTTGCGTTTGGCAGCTTCCCAAACTGCACTATCACAATATTAGTCTGCATGAGAATTGGTTCTAAAGCGTTTACTCCGTATATCCGTATAACAAAGTGAATTGTTGTGGGCTGCAGGATATTATATCTGGTTGCAAAGAGCACTGGCTGGCCATGGCGTTGATATATGGGTCAGTGCTCTGTCAACTTAAATCTAATGGCGGGATACATCAAGAATCTGCAGAAATGACCAATATGGAAGGCAGATATGGTGTACGTGCTATAGATTGACCAGGGGGTCTTTAAGAACCTCTGAGTGATATGTCGGCATGAGGGCTTGGGGGAGGTCCATTCACGCCCAAGTTAATGGCATTTAGGTGCTGGTACTCAGAGAAGTATATACATTTTCAATTAGTATTATTATAGTCGTCGGTAGTTGGAATGCTGTATTTAGAATGCTGTATTTACTCGAAATAACAAGACGGAAATATTAGCCGTGGATCGACATATTCTCTTTACATGAATAGACGGGAATTTTATGTAATTCGAAACTTTCACGGAGGAACAAACAGCCCTTTCGAAACCCTGATTTGGATCAGAGCCAAAAAGAGCCGAGGCATTGTTAATGCTTACTTGGCTATTCATTGGCTGGGATATAGCTTCGACAGCCACAGTAGAGCGTATAATAGGCCAATCCTGGAATCACTATAATTTGGGATTAATTGCTGTTTCATTATGACGATCGTGCTTGTGCACGTTTATAGTCTTTGCTGTCAGTGGGGCGCTTTATACTTAGATTGACTGATGATGGACAGATTTGCAGTCAAAGACATGGAATATCTGTGGTGCATGTCCAAAAATAAACTAGAGTTCGATAATCTTACGCGTTTAGGGCATGATGTGTCTTTTCAATTAGCCGTTGGGCGAAGATCTTCTCCTGGCCGGCAAGATCTTTATCCAGTTGTGAGAACCATGCCACGACTGGGACACTGCACAAATGGCTGAGAATGGCAGCTTTGAGATACATGATGGGTGATACTCAATACCCGTCCACCAGAGCCGAGGGGCAATACCTGATACACTAGGCTTTTAGCCAGGGCGCAACAGAAACCCGGCGCCCGGAGCTCTTTGATAGTTCGTGGGATGGCTTGGCTCCGCATCTCGCGTCGATGTTAGTGCTCTGCTCTAGCAGTCTAGGCGCTGTAGCGCTGTATCGTACATGTAGGAGAGCTCCAAGGCCCCTCCCCTCCCCCCCCCCCCCGGGCCGCCCGCAACTCTCAGTTTGCGTAAGGCTGCGGAACAGCCAGGAGAGTTCCCGTAGAATCCTATTCTTTAGTCTTAGTGGCATCGATCCATCATCCACGAGATGGACAGTGTCGATTTCAAAGCATTGGGTCAAAATATTATGGTCCCATGCTACGGAATCTCAAAGTCTATTCAGCCCTAAGTGTCAAGTTGCTTCTCTGATGGGTGAGGTGCATGCTGCGACCAGCCCTGCGGCATAGCATGCGTGACGGAACCCGCGTATCGCGAACGGTAACTGGAAAGAACGGAAGGAAAGAAGCGAGTGAGCTGTTCAGCCAAGCAGAGGGCTACCTAGAAGAGGAAGGAATCTAAGGGTAGGTACCTATGGTACTTACCTACCGGAGGTGAAGTCTCACTGTCTCACAAGAGCCGGTCACCACCTTCATCACCATTACTTCACCACCACCACCAGTATCTTTCATGATACCGCTGTGTCTACTGCTTCGTTCATCATCGACAGGGTTTACCAAGCTCATCGACAGCCCAGTGCGACAGATCTCTATGCACCGTCATGTATCCAATCCAATCTAATCCAACGACCTGATCCTCTTGGCTTGAAGACCTGACTTTTTGGTACAAGCTCCCATGAGATGCCTGTCACACATCCACATCCACACCCTTGAGACGGGATGACCCCCCCTACCCCTCCTGCAACCTCCCAAACGTTCAAGTCCAACTCTCTGATGGGCCCTTGGCCGAGTACGATGCGTCTGTGGCAAGCAGATGCAGACCTGGCAGGCTGGAAACGAACAGCTGTACCTATGACAGCACGGGATTTGATCATGTACGTTGTTGTGTTGGACATCGACAATTACCCCTTGTTGGGTCAAGTCTCGGCATACGTTTCATCTGGAGAGGTCCTCAAAATCTTTTATCGATTGGGCACACGCGCTATTTCGTCGGGAAATAGTATTTGGGTTTTGCCTTGTGCGCTGATCGTACTGTACTGTACAGCACTGTACAAGCTACGGGAAGCCCGTCAACTGCGCTGCTACGGTATGTACAATCGCAAACCATATGAATTGTCATCATGTCTGGAATTGTGTTTACCAATTCTCGCTGTTGCCGCGTACGTCCGTTATTTCCTTTTATGTTACTTGAGTGTCATCGATTTCTCTGCTTACACGCGATTGCATTGATGTCATTAAAGTCCGCTAATGCCGGAAGAAATCCACGGCTGTTGTTCGTGCGTTAACAATTGATAAAGCACCAGCCCAGTCTTTCAATACTGTCCGTTCGAGCACTATCCATACAGACGAGGTACGTACAATGCAGCTACTGACCACAGGCATCTGGCATGAACTCAATTTGATAGCAAAAAGAACCTTCAGATTCGAAGTGCAGTGCAAGGCAATCCACCATCATCACCCACATTTCACGTCGTGGTAATTACATCTTCTCGGGCTTCTGTAACACGCCGTTCGCTCGGCTCAGGTAGTCCTGGGAGGTTTTGGCTTTTGGCTTTAGCTCTAGGCTTTTGACTTGTGGTTGAAGCTCGACTTCTAAGATCTGTCCAAAGACAGTCAACATTCGCCCCAGTCCTGTCCCGTCCAGTCTAGTCTCGTAACTTACTGGCTACGGGTTCTGGGCCTTTCATCCCACACCCACACTCAGGCGCCGCTTTCCGTTACCTGCATCTGCGTCCCCTGTCCCGCCCCTGTTAGTTGAGCCCTGGGGCCCTGTTGTGATCCAAATAACGCCAGCCCGAAACTCTCCACCATCTGCTCGTCACGAGTGAGGAGAGACGAGAGTGACGGTCAGTCAATCAGGATCAGGGCACTCCAGTTTCTAGTCTCCAGTCTCCAGTCTCCAATCTAAAAGGCCAAGTCCAAGCGTCAGGGTCACGTCCCTAGCATCTCCCAGCGACAATCGACATCTATAATATCACACCCATGCCATGCGCTTCCTGCCGCCCTGCCCTGCCTTGCCTTGCCTGCCTTGTTGACCTGCCTGTCCTTGCCTTAAGACAAAGTCAAAACTCAAAGCCACACGTAGTGGCCCCAAACTCCCGACCCTGCGGTTCACATTAAACTCCTCTAACTTCCATACTGTGACTTATAGTACCCCGACACCCCCAGCCAGCCCGATAATACGTCTTTTAGCTGGTCTAGCTTTCGTACATATCTCTGTCGCTGCGGTTTTCGTCTCCTGCTATTTCTACTTATCTATCTTGCTCGACATATTTCTCTACCCACTTCTCGTCAGCATTGTCGTTCGACCGACCTTGGCCTGGGCCCTTTCTCTTACCGCCTACCTAGCCCGCCTGTCGTTGCTTTTGTCGCCCACTGGCACGATTTGTCCCCACGAACCTCCCTCCACCCCGCGATTCTCCTCCCATTGCGCGCGAACCTCAACTTTAGCTACCTACACACCACCTGTTCAACTTTGGCCGACGACAACTGATTCTCGCTCCTCCACCCGTGTTTTGCGCAACGATTTCATGTTGACCGATATACTGGTCACTGCTTGTCGTTCTTAGGAGGTACAGACCTCAGAGCCGGACCGCTCTATCATGTCCAACGACGACCCCTCTGTTCGCCGTATTCTACCCCAACAGTCCCAGATGAATTCCTTTTCGTTCGCACCGCAGCCATATACGCAGCGCGAAACCCAAAAGAGTGCGTAGCCGACTTGCGCGATTCAACACGTTGTATGTCAGGGGATGACTGACAGATTCGCTAGACTATGTGTTCGTTGACGAACACAACCGCCATAAGCGGCTGAAAGGTACATTTTACCCCATGTGGCAAGCACTGCTTTGGCATTTGAATAATACTAACACCCAAACAGTTATGAGAGCTTGCGAGGGTTGCCGAAGACGGAAAATTAAATGTGACGCCGCGACAACAAACACCTGGCCATGCTCGGCCTGCATAAGACTTAAGCTTCACTGCGTACGACCAAATGGCTTCGATGGAGCCAACGACTCGACGACTTATGACACTTCGCCAATGAACCCCTCGGAGCAATATCAGCAAATGCCTATGCAGCACCAAATCATGAACCAAGCCAACAAGCTTTCACCAGCTAACATGTATGGCACTCAACAAGGCTACCCTGATGCACACGCCTCATATCAGCATGTCCAGTATGACACCTCTCAGCAGCCCGGAGGCATGCCTTATGGGGCTGTCCCACCCGGTTCGATGATGGAACAGCAGTATGCAGGACAGAATGTGTTTCCTACACCTCCCATGCAGCAACCGCCCCCAACAGTACAACAGCAACCCTCCCCAGAAGCTTACTCTCCCGGAGAGTACCAACATCATGACCTCGCAGATCTTTTGGGAACGCTCAAGGTCAATGAGACGGGTACAGGTTAGTTTAACAATCTTACGATTTATAAACGTTTTACTAACAGCACACACAGCACCGTATCTTCGAAACAAGGCATCGTTTAGGCGTGAGGAGGAGCCCGCCATTGAAACTGCCGACGACTTCCCTGGCGCTCTCCCTCCGATGATGCCCGCGCCTGGCCATAAAATTCGCATACCACCTGAGTTGATGCCGGATGACGAGACCGCATTGAACTACTTCGATCTCTATTTCACCCATGTCCACCCTTATGTGCCCGTATTATGCAAAACAGTATTCTACCAACAATGGAATACAGATCGAGAAGCTATTTCGCCATTGATCTTGGAAGCGATTTTTGCAATGGGTGAACGACTGGCAGAAGAGCCCAGTGAGGGCCAACAATGGCTTGCCCTTGCCTCCAGTAAGCACTTCATTATCCATGTCTTGCAAAGTACAAAGCCAGGAAACTTACATATATAGGACATGCCGATTCTTTCATGGATATTCCTAGGCTGAGCACTCTTCAGGCTTTGCTCATGATCTTAAAGGCGCGAGAAGCTGCACCTAAGCGAGGATATTATTATCGTTCTTGGATGACTATCGTGCAGTGCGTTCAAATGGGCAAAGATTTGGGCTTGGATGAACATTACGAAGACCACCAAGCAGGCCTTTCCTGCGAGTATACTCCTGTGGAGTGCCAACTTCGAAAGCGATTGTGGCAGTTGGTCTTTGTGTGTGAGGTAATGGTTGGAGCTCCTCAAGGTGAGTAAATCGATCTGCTTTGGATTATGCCATTGGCTAACATGTTCCAGGACGACACGATCATGCTGTCAAACTCAGTTCAGTAGATTTCAGTGCTGCCAGGCCAGTCCCTGGTTGCGAAGAGTCTGAGTATCACATATCGCGCAATTTCAGCTACTTCTCTCAAGTGGTGCGGACCGTCGCTACCATGAGTAAAGTCTATTCAAGACTTCGCAGACGAAAAGACTGGGGTGTCGACCCCGAATTTCAGCAACTGGGACAAAGTTTCAACACATGGCTGGCAGAGCTCCCTCCGGATCTGTCCGTATCCTTCCCACCAGACGGATCACCTCCATGGATTCCATCGCACTTTATCGGCAACATGCACGGATACTACTATCTTGCTATGATTCTCTTCCACCGACCCATCCTGTCTTTCCTTGACCCCAACTCCCCCGATGGACAGTGGAAGCGCCATATGATGATTTGCTACAGCTCTGCCAAGGCCTTGTGTCGTTTACAGGAAGCCACTCTCAACACCTTTGGACTCATAGGACTCCAGTGCATGCAGAGAGGCTTCAGCTTCTCTCTCTACGCTGGCCTCTCATGCATCGTCATCCACCTGGTAAGTCCTACAAGATCGATGGCAGGGACATTCACTAACCACCTCATTCCAGGTTGCAATTGTTTCACCAGATCCCGAGTTTAACACTGACGCTCGTGAATACTTTACAAGACACATGAGGGTTTTGGAGAAGGTGATGGACGCCTGGTCTATGCCCGAGCTGGATAAGCAGATCAATGCCCTGCGAGATGCTTTCTCGGCAGATACACGAAAACCATTCGTCTTGAAGCCCAGCTTTCCTTATGGCAGCCCTCACCCCTCCACTCACTCCAGCCCACCTCGAGGTTCTGAGCCCTTCCGGCCTAATATCCACCGGACAGGGTCCATAGACCAGCACTTGGATACCCATGGTGCCCAACAAGTCAGTTATGCCAGCCACCCCATTACACCTCCCATTTCTGCCGGCCCTATGGACAGCAAAAGTGACTCCCCAGCTGTACAGTCGCTCGTCATGATGTCGCAAGGATCACAAGCTCCTGGCATGCCCCAGAGCATATCCATGACGGACCAACCGGGATGGAATCCCTCACGACTATTTGAGTAAGTTATCGAGGCACCCGCCTTTTTGAGCTCTTACCGTGCAGTATGCTAACCTGAGAACAGACAATGGAACACCACATTTGGTACGCCCGCCTCTCACACACAGCCCAGCTCCACCCCACCTCACACGAGCCCTCTTAACGCGTCGTCCTCAGGTGCTACGGAAGTCCCCACTATCCAAGATATCCAGGCTGTTCAGGCTTCAATGCCCGCTGGATCGCATCAGATTTCCCCATCCCAGTACTCAGCTGCTCCGGTCCCCAACTTTGTCACTCCAGCTATGTGGCAAGAGTCGGTTGCTAGCGTTTACGAAGGCGGGTTGAAACGAGGCTGGGACTACGATGGTGTTCCAGTGATGAAGAGACACTGATGAAAAGATGCTGTTGCTGAAAGAGCTATCACCTGTTGAGGCTGAATACTCTGGAGGCTGGATCTTACTAGGCGAATTACGATCCAGCAACAAGCTTTACGCTAAGCTGGATTACGAGTATCGAGTTTCTGGCATTGTCGTCTTGCCAAAGGCGTAACACCCACAAGTCACATAGCGCTTGTCGACAAGACGGTCCTTGAACAAGTCTTGTCGACCAAGACAAAATTTGGATGGAGCCAACAAAGGGAATGGGCTTGCATCTTTGTATAGAACCCGGTTGCTTTTCAATGGTTCAATGTATTTGATAGGAGCATATAATGAGCTACGACGGAGGCATCGAATTCCCAGGTCCGGGGCAATAAGCGAACACGACGAGTTGTACGAGGTGCGTTTTGGATAAACAGGCAGGACCCATGTATCAATATTTGCCTACATGATTGACGACCTGGATGCTTGCTTAGGCTGGAGCATTAGGAACACAGGAAAATGGAAAGGAGTAATGGCCTTTGGATTTATCAACTGCAACATAGGAATACCATGGCCGCGTGTGTTTGGCGATCTTATTAAAACTTGCTTGCTTCCCTTGTTACTTGTGTGATATGTTTTGTCGCTTTCCATTCTGTAATCGCAAACGAATAAGCTTTGGTCGCCTACTTCAATGAGAAGCCGACACCCAAGGCGACATATGAGTACATACAACTATACAATACGAAGCTAACCTGTCAGGTGGATCAAAATGAGGCATCGTTCTTGTAAGCAGACGCAGATTTCAGGGCCCTCTTGTCAACGCGCTCCTTGATAGCATCCCATATCCAGCCATCGACCTTGTCTGTCTTCTTTTGATACCGAACCCTGGTTACCGGCTTTTTGTCCTGGATATAGAACTTGCCGACGGCACGGAACATGTACCAACTACGCTTGGCGTTCTCCTCCTTTGTGTTACGGACATAGTTGATGAGCCCGAAGCGGCGTCGCACAGGGCTCAGATCGCCGGCCTGAATGCTGCTGTAGCGAGGCTTGGAGATGGCGCTCATGGTGGTGAGCGTGAGAGGAGTGGAAGGCGGCAGGGTCTTGACGAAGCGCTCCAAGATGGGGCGCGAGGTACGGGCGTAAGAGGGCAGATGGACGTGGATGTGGGTGACGAAGGGGGAGGTGATATAAGCGACGAAGATGATGGGGACGATGCCACAAAGCACGACTGATATTGTTAGTTGTGGTGTCTTTTTGCTATGAGAGGCCGAGTGAAATGTGAGAACTCACCACTTGCGGTCACCCACTCAGGCTTGTCAGCCTTAATGTAACTCGGCGTGACAATGAAGCAGAAGAATGCGCCCAGAAAGAGAGTGGTTATTTTGAGCATAGCCATGAAGGTGATGCGGCCTGTACCGCCATGATATATTATGAGCTTTTCAGGGAGCTCTAAAGCAGCGTTGCGTTAGTCAGTGAAATCCTCTCCTCAGTTATTTCACGAGCAGACCTACCAAACTCTTTGCTCTCTTTGGAAGCGGCTCTGGCTTGTCGCTTCAGCTCATCTTCTATCTTGACGGGCTTTTTGGGAGGCGACGCAGGTTTGGCGTAGCATCGTAGTTGAGCTTGCTGTAGAGATTTCTGGATTGATCGGTGGATATTTCGAGGGAGGACGGGGGATTGGAAAGGTGTTGCTTGACGTGAGAGGAAAATCAGTTGAGATTGATTTGGCCGTAGCCTGGGTATTATCATTCTTAATTGAAGCATGGTGAATGTCTTGTGAGTAGTATTCTCATGACCATGTCGTTAAAATTCTAGTGGGGGAGTTCGCAGACGCGCTGGAGAAGGTGCACGATTTACACAGGGTCGCTTGTGGTATTGTCACCAGAAAATCAACCAATGCGGATGAACTGGTGAGAGCTTCAATTGCATACATACATACGGAGTACATCAACTCATTATCATTACAGCTTATGACTCGTACGTCTACTTTTCTCCGACGGCAGTCAAGCAACATTCTTCTGCAACCACTCAACCCACTGGTCCTTTGTCCATCCGGAGCTAACATCCTGCACAACGCCGTCAAACACAGCAGTGGGTGTAACATGAACACCAATTAAACGGTTCATCTTGGTGACAACCTTGAGGTCGTTCGTGACCTGGTTCCCCGCATTCAGCGCGCCGTCCTCACCAGCCTTGTCGGGAATCACAAGCAGCTCGTAAACCTTGTCCTCGTCCACGCCGGCCTTGGCAGCGACCTTTGCGAGACGGCGGTAAGTATTATTGCGCGTCTCATTGACCACAGAGACGTCGAAGAAGTCCTTCTGCTCGTCGAACAGCACACCGCTAAACTGCCAGAAACGCTCCGGGGCGAGGCGCAGGACAGCCAGGCCTGCCTCGTGCATGAGCGTGGACGAAGGGTGCCATGGCTGGACCTGCTGGCGGAAGATGAAGGTAAGGCTCGAGGCCCAGGCCGGGTTGGCCTTGATAGCGGGGATGACCTCGGAGTTGAGGGTGCGGAAGATCTTGGCGGAGAAGGGGCAGCAGTAGTCGAGGTAGAACTCGAGGGTGTGAGTTGTGTGGGCGACGCCTGAGTCGGAGGCGGAGGGTTGAGCGAATTGGAGCTTTTGCCCGGCGAATTTGGGAGGGAGAGCCATGTTTCTTTTTGGAGTTTGGGACTATTCAATTGAGCTTAATTGAATTGAATTGGATTTGTTTTGAAAGCTGCAGCGATGCTGTATAGGAAGGTAGGTAGGTACTAGATGGTAGAACTGATAAGGCTATATTCATGTAAGGTAGATGATGTCAGCTCTAATCTGTTGATGCAATCATGGTGCATCATGACGCCTTAGTAAGCTCATATCTGAATTGTATAAGAATAGAATCATACGCACACTATGGAACTAATTGCTCACTCTATCTATATTGTTTATGATTTTGCAATACAGCCCGCTTACTATTAGTTTAGTTCTCATTCTACAGTGTCAGATGTCAAATGTCATTCTGCAGCCTAAGGCCACAAGCTTAATAGCCAGCCCCTGCCGATTATACTACAGCAATCGGGGACTTGGACAAAAGGAAGAATGAGAGGACGCATCATTATAACTATTGGATGTTATCATCACCTAGACCTGATTTGATCCCGATGTTTACCGTACATGTGGATGTATGCCATTCGTCTCGATCTCTCGGGCCTCACCTCGATTCACCGCATTGACGTGTGAAACGAGTTCACGTTAGTACGACACAAGGACGCCAAGACGTGAAAGCTAAAATCTGTGCCGGACGAAATAGAATCACGAACTAAGGAATGTAAGGATATAATCTGCAATTCTACGCTTGGCTTTTATCACAACAACGTGACCTATCCAAGAGGAGCGTATTTAGAGCGTATCCCTTTGCGGGGTAAGAAAATGTAGATTTCTTTTTGTTGCGGTTTCGCTTGGGAGAATCCTTGTTGTCTCAGGTGTAAGACTTGGCCTGAAAACTGGCCTTTTCATCGAGTGATCATGATATTCAGATACTGGGGGTGGTTGCGGAGGTCTCCCGAGCTTGGAGCCGCCTGCTCGTGTCTACCGGCCGATGCCCGGGACCTGACGGAGGAAAGATTGCGGGGAGCAAGGCAGGTACGGTTCTTCCGTATAGATCCGTATATTTCAAGTCACGAGCCAACCAAGAATCAATATCTGTAGTCAATAGCTTTGGTAGGGTCTTGGTCACGCGGGCGAAACCGGGGATATCTACTTCCCTCTGCACTAGAAACCTTTTTTTTGATCTGGTGGAGCCTTCCCCCAGTTTCCAGGGAAGGTGGGTGTGGATCACCCCTGCTCCTTAGATCTATCCAGGTGCATTTAACCCTTTTGTCTGCCTTTTTCAAGATTAGTCTATTCTCCGATACGATAACCGTTCAATACTTTATTTACTTTATTTCTTATATCGCTTTCGCTTCGCGTCAACTTTCTCCAACATTCAAAGACCTCTAGTGTTAGGATTTCCTTTCTCTCACTATCGTATCATAAACTTTCACTACTCGGTCCGACTCTGACTGTGCTCGTTGCGTGGCCTCTTTCCTTGTGAAGACAAAAACAAACATTTTAAGACTTATTTTGCCGACGTCGGCTGCCAGTCAATTCACCATGATTTGCCTTTCCAAAGCAGACGAGTCATTCTACCAGCGTTTGACCTGGAACCAGACTCCTTCGCCCTTGGCTTCCACTCACACCACGCGACAGGATATGAATGGCATCTCCAACCTCCGCGAGCATGTTGAAGCAGGACAGGAGGATGGAAGCGGAGGTACGAATGGGGGTCTCTTAAATGGGCACGATGATAGTAATCAAGCAGGGAGTCATCCTTCTGAGCCATTCATGCGCTCTCTTAAGGATGCGGGACGACTGTCCCGTATCTCGGGTATGTCAAAATCTCATGATCCCCCCTTGTCAAATCCACATATGAATATTAAGTACTGACTAACATGCTCAGGACTGTCCTCGTGTCTTAAGACGGTTGATGGTGGTGATGGCCATATCCGTCTTCCTCGAGGCACCCTCTCGTCATGTGCCTCGCACATCTGGAGTTGGACCGTCTGGGTCCTCTCTGTTCTTGTCGTCTCGACGCTCATCTCATACTGGAAATCTCCCGCGCCCGTCGCTATGGCTTCACCTCCCAAGGCCCACGAGTCGATTCCTGCCCAGGTTTCGCCTCTGCGCAAACGAGACACTTGCGAGTCTGGAGGTGTCAGCAAGGATGAATACAATACCCCTCTGCACGTTGGAGCTCTATTTATCATCCTGTGTATGTCGACACTCGCTTGTGCATTCCCCATTCTGGCTACCAAGTTCCCAGGCCTGAGGATTCCAGCTCGCTTCTTCTTTGCTGTGCGACATTTCGGTACCGGTGTGCTGATCGCTACGGCCTTCGTTCATCTTCTCCCCACTGCCTTCATTTCTCTTGGAAATCCTTGCCTGGACAGTTTCTGGAGCAAGGACTACCCTGCTATTCCTGGTGCCATTTCTCTCGCTGCTGTCTTCTTTGTGACTATGATTGAGATGGTTTTCCATCCTTCTCGACATACTTCACCTGCTGAGATTACATCCACCAAAAGCGACAGTGAAGATAGTTCCTCCAACAGTGGTGGTTGTATGGGTGGTACTGGGATGCTCCCTCTTCGTGACATGGGCCCTATCCGTGGACGATCCTCCAGTATTGGACAGGGCCTTTCCGTTCTCAACAGCAGGGATCAACGCATGGAGAATCTGGAAGAAGAAGCTTGCGAAGATGACGACAACACCCAATCCGGAAGAAAGAACCTCGAGGAGACGAGCCTCGAGGCTGCACAGATGCCTGCCTTAACCCCAGAGCAGCAGCAACGCAAGGAGCTTCTCCAGTGTGTTCTGCTCGAGGTTGGTATTCTCTTCCACAGCATATTTATTGGTATGGCGCTCAGCGTTTCTATTGGCAATGAGTTTATTATCCTTCTCATTGCCATCGTTTTTCACCGTAAGTCCTTACATGCCGTATTAACGTTGGGTTCAGTTGGCTAACAGTCCCGTAGAAACCTTTGAAGGACTGGCTCTGGGATCTCGAATTGCTTCTATCAAGTGGCCAAAGGGTGAGATGCAGCCGTGGTTCATGGCTCTTGCATATGGGTGCACGTAAGTTTCAACATTCAACGCAATGATGAATCGTCGACTAATATCAAAATCAGTACTCCTATCGGACAAGCTATCGGTCTTGGTACCCACACCCTTTACAACCCCAACTCTGAAACCGGCCTTATTGTTGTTGGTGTCATGAACGCCATTTCGGCTGGGCTACTCATTTTTGCGTCCTTGGTTGAGCTTCTCTCGCAGGACTTTCTCAGCGACGAGAGCTGGCGATTTCTCCGTGGTCGCAAGCGTGTCTATGCCTGCATTCTTGTGTTCTTCGGGGCTTTTTTCATGAGCCTTGTGGGTGCTTGGGCTTGATTGGCATATCACCTAGTCTTGACTTGGGTATTTGATACTCTTGAAAATGGTATGCCAGGTATGAAGTGTTGTGATCCGGTCCTTTCGTGGATCCATTGCAAACCTCTTGATACCAAGCAAGCAGGAAGCATTGCCAAGACTGTCTTTCTCTTCTTCCGCCCCCATAATTGACAAAGTAACTGGTGTCAATCATGTGAAGGTTTTCGTTTTCGTTGCAGTGATTATGCTGTTTTCTTTCCTTAGTTGGTCGATGATGGTCAAATCTATCTTTGACGAGATGCTCGACATCTCCCTCGCACGTCTGCTCCTCATATTTACATTCTTTACATTGACTTCTATAAGCGATTGGATGCACAATTGACACATCAATTGATAGTCCATGTTGCGCTCAAAAGCCCCTTATAGCTATGTCATATTAGTTTACCCAAATTTTATACCGAAAATACTGAAGTTTGCACACTTCACGAAATGTTGTGTGATATGAAACTACCTGAGCTACAATTCCAGAATTTCGTCGTGATCGAATCGACACTACGCTCATCAATGTCATACTTGTGTGAAGATATTGAATGTCATGTATTTCTCTCATTATTGATCTACGATGATACCGTGTTCTTATCAACAATGCCGCGGGCGAATTCTCCAAATGTGAGATGTTGCTCAATATCAACCTCCTCGCCTAAGTTGGGCTGAGTGAACACAGCCAAGGTGTTACGTGCAACCTTTCCATCACTAACATCAGGTCTCACGCCTCTGACAAAGTGTGGCACCGCCTTGAAACGACCAGCTGTAATACGTTCAAGAGCCTCGCCGGTCTGAAAGGCGATGCAGTCACGAGGGATCTTGACCTGAACAGTCTCGCCCGTGCGGGACTTGATGTACAAGCCAGCTGAAGGGTCAGGGGACGAGGGTAGCTCTTCGAGAGGCGGTAGAGACGCTCCGTTCAGGTTTGTAACGTCTGGTACGGCAGGGCTGGTCTTGTGCTCGTCGATGAACATGGCAGATGTGAGACCAGTTAGACATCCGTGGTCCAGATGCGTGGCACACCAATCATCCTCGTCGCCGCCGTTCGCAGCAGGGTCGGATTCTTGTGGGTAGTAGTGTAGCAGACGTGCCTTGGTGGTGTTAGACGTGCTCACGACGTGCTCTAGATATCCAGCTGGGTAACCGGGGATGTCCTCCTGCGCAAAGCGATCGCACGCGCGGGCGACCAAGACAGCCACGTCGATGATGAGACGACACAGGGAGGTGACGGAGGGCTTGAAACCTGGGAGGATATTCTCTGCAGGCCAGACGTTCGGGGACAGGTACTCTGGGAACGTGTCGATGGAGAAGTCCTCTGTGGGTTTGGCGCATTCAAGAGATGGATCGATGTAGAATGCGCAATTGGCGTAGTAGGAACCCTTGAAAGTGTCGACCTGGCCATTCTTCAGGGTTTCTTTACCGAGAGACCAGCCAGTTAGGTATTTTGCTCGAGCATTTTCCAGCTTTTCTTCGTTAAGTTAGCAAGGAGTTGTATCTTGGGGGATCATGATAGCATACCGAGTTCCTCTTTGGGCAGGTTGCCGAGATATGAGGCATAGGAAAGAGCTTGATGTCTAAGTTCAGAGAATTCTTCTGGAACGTCTTTTACAACGAGAATTCCCAAAGAGTCTGGACCAAAAGCTTTCTTGAGTGTATCAAAAGAGATGTTGCCTTTGAAATGTTAGACCATTGATGTTTTACATAAAGCTATGGGGAATGCTCATCATGAGACTGGTGCTATCATGAGTATAAGCGATACGTACCATCTTTAAGGTCATGGAGGGACACGGAAATAGCTTGGGCTTGGGCAACCATCTTGACTTATAAAATCCCCGATTCTCCTAGACTGAATATCAAATATATTTTATAAAACACAGTTAAAAAACCATTCTTCATGATTTATCTTGTTTTTCCCTTACAGAGGTCACCATGAGTTGCGGGGGAGCTTGGCTTACATAACCAATCACCTTCCTTAACCGACCCTGCCAGCAGTGGAGCTCGCCGTTTCCCGGCGTTGACCGTCGGCCATTGCAGAGAGCCTCACAGCTACAATACCTATACCTAGGTACCTATCTAATCAACAGCTCAAAAAGGAATCCCGACCTCGGACCATCATGGTTAAGCCATTGTCCTTCAAAGGCGACAAGAAAGTCAAGAAGCGCAAGCGAACAGACGCCGAGAAATCAACACGCGACGCTGGAGACGAAGAGACGGGCCAGCTGCAGAAGACGGGCGAAGAGGCTGAAGATGACGACTCTTGGGTTTCTGCTGAGGCGGCGACTGACGTTGTTGGGCCTATCATGATTGTTCTACCGACGGATACGCCATCGGCTCTGGCTTGCGATACTACAGGGAAGGTGTTTGTGATACCGATTGAGAACATCGTCGATGGGAATCCAGCTACGGCAGAACCGCATGATGTGCGCCAGGTCTGGATCGCGAATCGCGTTTCTGGAACTGAGAGCTTTCGCTTCAAGGGACATCACGGAAGGTAAGCTTAATATCACACATTACAGCTGATAGTATGACCTAGTGACTAACCTGCAACCTACAGATATCTCTCTTGCGACAAGATCGGAATGCTTTCAGCGACCTCAGAAGCCGTATCGCCTCTCGAATCCTTCAACGTCATCCCCACATCCGACACACCAGGAACATTCCAACTGCAGACCCTACGCGACACGTTCCTCACGATAAAAGCGCCCGGAAAGTCTACCTCCAAAACCTCCGACGTCCGAGGCGACGCCGACACCATCTCCTTCGACACGACGTTCCGCATCAGGATGCAGGCGCGTTACAAGCCCAAGCTGCGCGCGTCCAAGGAGGAGAGAGCTTTGGCGAAGATCAGCCGACGCGAGCTGGAGGAGGCAGCTGGGAGGAGGTTGGACGAGGATGAGGTGAGGAAGCTGAAGAGGGCGCGGAGAGAGGGAGATTACCATGAGCGGTTGTTGGAGCTTAAGGTGAAGAGTAAGCATGATAAGTTTGGTTGAGGTTCAAGATCCGCGAACTTGGGAAAGAGAGGAGATACGGGAATTAAGAGTATAGGCAGTGGTGAGTATTGTCTTTCTATGTATCCTAGCACTGGCTGCTAACACTGTTTTTCAGCCAACGATACTATGATGGCCGATTCCACACTCGTAAACTATCACGATGGGCGCTGCTATCTCAGAAGGCTAAGTAAAAGCAATCAAATTGTCGCCTAACGACTGCATATGGTTTGCAAGACGAGGATCAAGTATGTAAAAGGAACCATGGAAATACATCTATGGCGTCGTTGGTAGAGCCCAAGTCCTTGCTAAGCAACACCAACCAATATATTCGGAATCTGTTCTGCCGCTGTGTCAATGGTTTCAGTTTCAGTCGGTGCCTCCTTGACTAAAACCTGTTGGTTGTATCTCAACGGGAAGTGAAGAACTAAGGTCACCGAACTGCTAAGCACGAACCACTTTCTACACATTCACAACCCGCAATTCGTTTCATTTATAATTAACATGGTCTGCCAACAGCAGGAACAAAGAGTCCCAAGCCTAAAGAAGAAACACCCGAGCAGGGGCACTCTCGAACGACTCCAATTATTTCTGGCTCCTTAGCGCAGGTTCAGTGAGATTAGGCCTATAACTCGCTGTATATCTCCGGCAATTCAGGGCCGAGTCGGCCGCTGGCTCGCTTGGCGGATGGGCCGTACTGCTGATTTACGCCGGGAATAGGCCCACAGGCTACCAGAACCCACCTGAAGGGGAAGATGTCTAGCCTTGTAAGGCCCGGTATGAGATGGTCTTTAAAAGGGTTGCTCACCCCTTTAACTTAGACCAAGAGCAATAGAAGAAGCAGAGCAGTCATTCTTTTTTAGAAAATAATTACAGTCACTCGTTAAGACTTTATAAAATACTTTAATTTTTCTACAACACTCGTTAATATGGTCTCCAAGTTCTTCACCGTGGCCCTCCTCGCCGCCACTCCTATCCTGGCCAGGACGGATCTCGAGGGCTGCACCACCTACGACACGGTCATCAGCGACGCCAATGGCATGTACGCGTCTCGCATCTGGTACGTCCCCGACACGGGCGAGCTGTGCGACTTCCTCGACTGCGGCGGCGGCCGAGCTCCCCCCAAGACGACCGTCCCAGGATGTCCCTCCTACGAGGGCACCGAGACTTACTCTCCTCTCTTCATCAACCCCAAGACTCTTGGTGGAGCTGCCGCAGAGGAGACTGGTAGCAGTGCCAGTGCTACGAGCAGCGACGAGGACGATGAGACCAGGTCTGCTACCATTACTCAGGCTCCTACTACGGAGACCAAGGCAAGCGTTGCTTCTACCGCTGTCGAGACTGAGACCGAGACTGAGTCTGAGTCTGAGGATGTGAGCGAGTCCAAGACCCAGAGCAAGGACACAAAGACCATCACCACCCTCACCACCCACGCAACTGCAACTGCAGCTGCTTCCTCCGGAGCCGAGTCCGGTTCCGATTTCCCCTCCGGAGCCGGCTCCAACTCCTCCGCCTCCACCTCCGCCTCCAACGCCGCTGCTACCCCGGCCTCGACCGCCGTTTCCACCGCTGGCGCCGCCATGCCCACTGCCGGTGCTTTCCTCGCTCTGGCTGGTGCTGCCATGTACGCCGGAATGCTGTAAATCACACAGACACGAATGCATGTACCATATTCAATCTAGATAAATATTATAGAGATATCAGATTCGTTAAATTGTGACAAAAAACCTTCTGGCACTCTATTTATATCCCCTCCCGCTTGACCCGTAAGCAAACGCCTTTACCCACGAGTAACCATTCCGCCCGTTATCAGTTCCGCCCGTTTTGTCTTTCAAGAAAGGCGACCTCCCGTGACGGGCGTAGTTCCCCCGCCCCGCCTCCGCCGTAGATCCCGGGTTCCACCACGACGAGCAATAGGGCGTTGAACCTGATAGGCTCGTCAACAACTCGTGGTAGAGAAATGACAAGATCTAGGTCGAGAGGGCGTCTTAGCCTTGGGGTCTGGGGTCTAATTGTCTTGTGGACATGGTGTTGAAGATTGTGTCTTTTGTCTGTGCCTTGCTTGACAAGATGCATATAAGATGACATCAAAACAAGGCCAGAACCATGATTTTGTTGAGTTAACCACTTGAGAGTCGTCCAGGTTTATTCTCACTTCTAGAATCCTCTTCAGGTCTACGTCCTTGTGTCTCAATTGACATCTTCCACTTCGAAACCTTGACTAGCAACTCTTTGTCTTAACTAGAGCCCTTTGTCTCTGTTCCCCGCAAACTTTGAATCTTGGTTCCCGTTCGCACATGACCTCTTCGTGAACCAACCGTTGCTTCTACGAGTCAAACATCCTTGACTAAAACTCTCGATCACACGCCCAAGATCCCCCCGCCAGACGAAGCCCGCCGCTAGCCGTACACCCTCCGCGCTGACGACTACATCATTGTCACGATCCTTGCTCCTTGGGTAACAGGAACTCTTCCAGGCTTTCATCCAAGCAGCGTAGCCATCTACTATTGTCCACAGACTCAATTCAAGTTTCAACAAGCACCACGCAACTCAACTCAGAGACAGCATCGTCAGTTCGTATATTCATCACTATGGGCTCCCACGACTCTTTGAATCAAGCTGAGGGTGCGCCCCGGTTCTGGTACCGCGATAACTTCTTCCTCACAAACGACAAGACCTATCTGTGCCCCAAAACCTTCAATAAGTCCCTTGACGACAACTGGTGGAGCAGCCCCTTGCCGAATGGACAACTCCAAAGGGTGTTGGACAACTGCTTGACTCTGGCGGTGTACTACACTCCCCAGACTGCTGAAGAGATGAAGAGTAAGTTGATCGAATGAATCGAATCCTTGTTGTCCCCTGTGCTGACGATGACCCAGAGAACGGTATCTCTCAACCAAAAGATGGCTCCCCGCACAAGATGGTCGGCTTCGCTCGCGTGGTAACCGACTATGTAACCCTGGCCTATCTTACAGACGTTTTCGTCGTCGACGAGTTTCAGCGGCGTGGATTGGCGTCATGGCTGATGCAGGCCCTCAAGGAGATAGTCAACGAATGGAAGCATATGCGTGGACTCCTCCTTATGACCCATGATCAATCCGCAGCGAGGCTGTATCAAAGAGAGTTGGGTGCTCAAGAGTTCGAAAAGGGACCATCAGCCGGCCTAGTAATGCTGGAAATGGCTGGTCCAGCCGAGAAGCCCATGCCTAAGCATTGATGCACTTCCTGGCTACCTTTTTTGCTTTGTGTTTTTGTTATCTAGCGATGCATTTACTCAGAACTCTTCTTGCTGGGTTACTTTTTCTTTTGTGTGATTTTGGATCGGCTTAGCGCTGTGATCCGGACATGGCGGCTCGCATCTCAATGGCGCGTTTATAAGGGGGGGCAATGGGCGGCTGGACAGGATCTAGAGAGACGTAGTCCTCAGGGAGCTGATACGAGGCATCGGAGTCAAAGGCGGATAGATCTCCACAGGCAATGAACGGTGCGACCCATCGACTGTTTCTCTCCGTGTCCTCAGGTGTTTCATCGTAAACCTCCATCTCAACGACACCCTCATCCTTCGTCGTGGAATCCTGCATGGTGATATCACCCTTCTCCTTGAGCATCTCCTCTAGTCGACCACCAACACCGAGGGGTTCTTCAAGACTGGCGCGGAATCCCGCAGGTGGCTGGAAATTGATGCATACGATGAAAGCTTCCACACTGCTTGCGCGACTACTGCGAGGCTTGGCGACGATGACCTTTTCGAAAAAGATCTTGAGCTGGGCGTAGAGAACATCGACGTTTCTTCCACGGAAGATCTTGGCGACGAACTTGCCTCCCGGTTTCAGGACGCAGAGGGCCAAGTTGAGGGCGGCAAAGAGCAACTGAGATTGAACGTAGATGTCGAGATCGTGGAGACCTGTCACGTCGGGGGCGCCATCGCTCAGAACGAGATCTACTGGGTGTGATGCCTGTGTTCCGGCTGCTTTAGGATCGTAGGAAGAGTCAAGAGCCGAGAGTAGTAGTGGCACCGTCGCAGGGTGGGTGATATCGGCTCGAAGCGTCGTTATACCTGCAAGAGGCGAGATAGGCTGTAGGTCGATCGACACAATCTTAACATCCTCCCGTGGTTTCGCGGCGTCCTTCTGTTCCTCCTCCGGCTGTTGAGCATCCACCATCTGTTCGCCATCACCCTCCTTAGGCAGAATCCCCAGCATCTGCTGTCGAAACTTGGCTTCCTTATCCTGCCAAGCAGCTCTGCCAAACTTCTCGCCCTTGATCAGAACACGGGACAGTACTTGCGACCAACTTCCTGGCGCAGCGCAAAGGTCGACGACTCGAGTGACATCGGCAAAGAGATCGAATTCTGCAAAATGATAGGATTAGCTACATTCCCTCGATTTGATTTGGTTTGGCTCAGTTTCTTGCCCTCGTCTAGTTGCAACAGCTTAAAGGCACTTCTTGCGCGCCATCCTTGCTCCTTTGCGAGCCGGTAGTAGGCGTCGCGCTTATCTTTTGAGGACTTTCCCATGGTGTTTGACTTGCTTTTAATCGGGTGTTGAATTTTTCGAGTCTGAATTTCGGTGCCCCGCGTTGGAGATGGTGGGTTGGTGGGGGTGCCCTCTACGTTAGAAATACCCCTCCATTCCTAGGTCAAGACGGGATTGGCTTGGAAACTCTCAGTCAAGTGAAGTTACTATTATGTATTGCAGACTCGTCGTAGTTATAAATCCATCTTTTGATACGAATCTAAATCATCCGTTTAATAGTCTATCGCTTAAAACCCCAGTTCATCACCAACAACTTCCAAAGCCCCTCTAAGCAGGCTACCAACTTTCTCATCCCCGGCTACACCAGACGCTCGTACAATAAGAGGATACAGTCTCAGTAGATGCTTCCTCCCGTCGCTTTCAATGTTACTTAATTCAGGAATCGCGCTCTTATCGCTCCTTAAGTCAACTAGCTTCCGCAGAATCCACAATAACTCCTTTCGCTGACTCAAAGGCTGCGGCATCTTGCCTCGAAGGGGCTGATCAGCGATATATGCTCTCAATGTCAATGCACATCGGAGTATGAGGAACGGTGCCGCAGTGCTGGCAATCCGAGCGTGTAGAACAACTGGCGACTCGGCGAGACGGCTTTGTTTCGGATCTGGAAACTTTGGCGTCGGAGGTTGAATGACAATTGTTGGCTCATCCTTAGCAGCAACCAAGGCAAACAGAACTTCGCAAACGACATAAGCTGTATGCACGCGCCTCGTTGGCGTCACTGATACTGTTCGACCTGCTCGTGGAGCATAAAGTGCTGATAAGCCTTTCTCGTGAGTGCCGTTGATAATCGATTCCTCGTCAGGCGAGGGAGCATGGATTATCGATGTCCTGAAGAGACTTTCTGCGTACGCCTTACGAACCTTCTCAGAAATAGCGGAGGCACCGATGGAGGGTATGATAAGTTCCCGCAGCTTGTGGAACGATTCAATATCAAAACTCTCGTCGTCTGCAAAGTCTGTGCTGGGAGGAGCAATTCCACAGTCTGCACTCACAATCCCATCAGCAATAGCCACTATTGTAGTCCAGATGTTCTGTGTAACTCCAGCTGGGAGCTCAAGTGTAGTGACCTGCGATAGAGTCGCCTCAAGAATACTCAGCGCTGTAGAAGTAGCCAGCCTCCATGGCTGTGTAGATTTAGTAACTGTAGAAAACCCATATTTCAAAGCAATGGGCTTGCACAATGCCTTTAGTGCCTCGTAGAAGGAGTTGCTACGATATATATCGAAGTCCGATGAGTGCTCGAGAATGAGTTTCTCTAGCGTCTTCATACTCGCCTTGGAAAGCGCAATGTAGGTGCGTTTAGGTCCGGGCTTCGATGAATCAGCCTGTACAAAAGGCAAAATCACGAAGTCCGCGACTTGGGCGATCATGGCTGATGGTACGCCTTCGATGTCTGTTCGGATCATTTGAACAGCCTCAAGAATATGCGCCTGCAAAGGAGTCATATACTCTATGTCTTGAACATAACTGCCAACAGAGGCTTCGTCCAAGGTTTTCCGGAGCAAGTTCAGGATTCTGCTGGCTCTCTTTACCCCAAGAACTTCCTGGACAAGTCTATAAATCTCTGTCAAGGCAGATACGTACGCAATGAGGCAACTTTGGTTATCCTCAGCCTTATCGTTGATAGGGTTGGAAGTTGGAACTCCTCTCGCCCACAAGTCCCATGCAACATCGATCGCGGTCTCACTGAAAATAGACTTGCCGTCGTCGTTGGTTCCAGATAGAATGTGTGCAAGAGCCTTGAAGATTGCAGTATTAATATCCAACACTTCAAAGTCTAGTAGTGTTGTAAAATGAGTAAGCAATTCTTGCCACAGGTGGTTGAATGAAGGATGAACCGTAAGGATATCAAGGTAGTTGGCGAGAAGGCTGGAGATGCCGTTGAGAACCACAACAGCTGTCTCAGTCCACTCAACTCTCTCGCTGTCATCCGCTTCCTCTTCTTCACCTGACTGTAAGACTTTGATTTCTTGCTCGATCGATGACAAGAGCTTGAAAACGACTGATTTGACACATATTGACCAGGATTCTGGGCTAAGTCGGTCACCGTATGCATCAAATATTCTAAGCAAAGTCTGAATTGCACTATTGCGAAGCTCAAGTCTGTCGTCTGTAGTGACGTTTGTCAGTCGGAGCAGAAGCAACATCCACAATGCTGCGTCAGAGCTCTTGTGGCTGTGGTCGGCCGCCATGCTCTCCAAATCAGAAAGCTCAGTGCCCTGTATCATGTCTGCGGTGATGTCAAGAGACTCATTCTTCGTAGAGAGGAAATCGGACAGCACCCAGAAGAACGTCACTGTCTATAAAGAGTTAGTGTTGCTCGAGCAAAACAGCAGATAACTTACAGTCAATGCAATGTTAAGATCGTCATCTTGTGAGCAGAACTTGTAAAGGTTGTCGACCAGGATTAAGAAGCATGAGTTTGGTAACGAGGCCAAGAAATCCGAGCATATAAGCTGGAGGGAGTTGAAAGAAGACCTAATAAGTCTCGCGGATCGGGTATCAAGCAAGATAGGGTTGGCTACCGAGCCACGACGATAAGATGCGTCAGATTCCCTCGTGATAAAAATAGTGCCGATGATTTCAAAAGCAATGTCCCATCCTTTGACTAAAGTTTCTCCGTTGCCCTCGATGATACTCTGAAGACCGTCAAGGATGATTTTGTGAATGTCGATGTCTGTTGAGTGACTAGCCAGAGAAACCTCCCGATTGCCCTCGAGAAGAGGTGCCAGTGACCTATGAAGGGCTTCGAAGAACCGCAGTTGAATCTCGCCGCGGGCATCTTCTGGGAGTGAAGATGTAACATTAGCAGCCTCCAAAACCAGTTTCACGAGTATGTCTGCTGCCCTGGTCCTGACAGATGAGTTCGTGATGGAGGAAGTCAAGGTATCGATAAGCTCGTTGGTTAGTACATTCCAGCCAGACTCTTCCGGACTGTACTCTAATAGTCGTTCAATGTTGATAGTAGCGAGCTCGCCAAGTTTAGCGAGTGCAAATTGGTCTTCTTGAGTAGATCCAGAACTCATCTGCCCAGACACTCGACGGCCTTGTACTACAGGAGCCTTGAGCTGTTGCCCGTCAGTTGGTGCCTGGGGTCGAGCAGTAGTTTCAGGCTGGCCAATAGGCTTCTGCATCAATAAACCACAGATAGCGGCCACGACTTCCAGAAACGATTCGTTAGGGAAGTCAGCTGTACTCTCGATAAGTCTCGATGCCGCAGTTTCAACCGCTCGAACCTCGGAGCCAAAGTTGGCCATTAACGCTGCGGCTTCACTGTCACCCCCTGAATCGGGTCCCCGGTTCATTGATGGTGTTCTACCGGGAGACTTTCCACTTACGAACAGCACAAAGTCAGCCTGTTGCAGCGTCTCCAGAATGATGCTCCATGCTCCTTCCAGAGTCGGACCTAGTGCTATGCCCAGGTTCAATAGAGCCCGGAGACAGAGTAAATTTCGAGTATTTAAGGAAGCACCAGAACCATCGAACGATGCCTGTCGTCCTTTTTCAGCGGTGGGTGTGGTTGGTGTTAAGCTATCAACACTTAGTAGTCCTCTAGCGTTGCTAAAAAGACTGCCATCCGTTGGTGTGCTTGGTGTCTGAGGTCGAGGTTGGCCAGCATTGACACACGCTGTCAGCACATTGGGCGGGACAGCTGCTTTGCCCAATGTTGTGATGAAAGCATCTCGGGGTGTTGATAACCGCAGCAAGCCAGCAACGTGAGCGAATCTTTGAAAGGCGCGCACCAATCCGTGGTAGTATTCCGAGTCCAGCGCAGCATATAAGAATGTAGAGCATGTTGCTAGAATCGCAGGCCAGCACTCCTCAACAATTGCGGCACAGATCTTGACGTCTGAATGAAGTGGATGGTCTTCCAGGGATAGCGGGTTCATGGGGACAGGATTCTTCTTAAAAGATGTTGACCTTTCCATTCTCCCTCTTGGCGGCGTACTGTCTGGCTCTGTCTGTGGTGCAGGGGAGTCGCGGCCAAACTCTTGCCTGGAAGTCCGCTTTCGATTTCTTGTCTCACTTGGAACCGTAAGAGGGAGAATGAACTTTGCAAGGCCATCAGACACAGACGATATGCAGGCCAGAACCAGGCTGTACAGGTACGACTCTGGGATGTTCGGTGCTTCCGTCTTGTCGAGCTGGTCGATACAAGGAACGCGGACCGAGCTCCATTGGGTGCTGATGCCCGTGGTCGTGGTCTCTGGCCCAACGGGTCCTGTCATCAGCCCTGTCATGCCACTTGCTTCCGCAATAGCCTGCTCAGAAGAGCCACTTGTGCTTGAGCTGGTTGTGGGCAAAGATGACTGGTGTCCGAGTCCTATCACATTAGGCTTTTCGGTACTCAAACGTACAAAGGTCGCTATCAGGGGCTTGAGAACATCTTTCTTTCCCTCTCCAACGTCAAACATTGCGTAAATTCGCCTGAGAAGAGCATGATCCGCGAATATACCACGGAAAACCTCCATACACAATGCTCTCTTCCAGACGGTTTCATCTTGGTCAAGAATATTTGTCAGGACAGCCAGCGCCTCCCCACATTCTGACGGTAAGATGTTGATATGCCCACGCAGTATTGTGTATAAAATCCGCACCAGGCGCACAGTAGTAGCGAAATTCGGCTTTCCCCTTAGAGCCCCTATGATAAGCGGCATAACTCTGCTGCGTAGAATCTGAGCTTGCTCAGGATGGTTACTAAAGACAGTAGCATGGTTTGTAATAACAGACTCAATAAGCTCTAATCCAAACGTCTGCTGAAGCCCTGAAACCCGGAGGAACTCTGGTCGTTGGTTCTCTGTCATAAGACACAGGTCATTGAAGATCTAAAGGGGAGGTTAGAGATCGCCTGTAAGAAACAAAAAGGCACATACTCGGTAGGCATCGGTAGCTGCAGGGTGGTTTTCTGAATACTCTGCATCGCTGGCCGCAGGTGCGTCGCCCGCTTTCTCTTACTTTGGTCAGACATTGGTTAATGAGGGTATGCAACAAGACTTACTATCTTCGGAAACAACTTTGTCAAACACCGACACTACGAGTTGCTGGAGCGTCGCTGCTGATGTATGGTTCACAATTGCATTTTTGCTACTCTGAAGAGTGAAACAAATGTTCAGCGTCGTCACTAACAGATTCCCTTTAAGATCTGATGCATAGTTCTGGACGAGTGAGGGTAGAGCTTGCAAGATCTTTAGTTGCACATCGAGGCCGGCTGATGTAGCTTGCATCAACGCCTCCAGCACTTGATTTAGCCTGGACCGTGGGAGAGCCTGAGCAACAATAAGACGCTGGAGACAGGCGATAGCGATAGCAGTAAATTTGGCATTTTTTGTACCACATGCAATAATGAAGGGATTAACAAAGTTGGGCTTTTGAGAGAGCTCTATCAATGGATTAGACATAACTTCCACTAACAGGGGAGCTTTCAAACCTTCAGGCGCAGTCTGTTCAGACGGATTTCTCAAGCTTTTTAGCTCTTCTAAAGATTTCTCCGCAGCCTATCCAATTATAAGACGAATGTTTCAACATGTTGATGGTAAAGGTGGCTCACTTGTCGTAGGTCATTGTGCTTCCTCTTGCTCTCCTGGATCAGATTGGCCAACTCCGTGGCGAGAAGTTGCGTCGTCATCTTGCGCGAACCACGTCAGTTTTCAGCTCAGAACAGAGCATATGAATTCTCCGCAAGTCCATGTAGCTGTAGAACCCAATTTATTTCGTTGTTTGATGATGTATCTCTGTTTACAATACGTTGATGCTTGTAGGCAGTGATGTGTCCCTTGTAGATGATGCGGCAGAATTACTCACCGCCTGCTATTCACGTGGGGCGTTTAAGAGGAACAATCCTGGTTGTAGCAGTATCATGACTACTTATCTACTTTAGAACTTTTTGCAATTGATCAAGTTTTTGTTTATTTAATTCATAGCTCATTCTCGTTCATTGCATATTTGGTGCCTCAGAAGTTAAATATGCTGGGTACCTTGGTTTAAACATCCTGACTTCCATCATAAGGTTCAACATCCTCACCTCGCAATGACTGGGTGCCCATGAGCACAGGACAAGTTCATGATTACTGACTTACAGGAATCAGATAGCGTGTTGTCGGACACTTGAAACGATCTCCACGCACCTGATTACCACTTAGACGATTACCTCGCACAGTAATCCAGACAGGCACCGTTTGGTTAGCATCTTGTATTGTCAAAGGTTGTTTAATCAGTAAAATGATTCAAGCCAGTCAATCAATTGAATCCTAAAACCCAATTCAGTCGTCTTGCAGCATATGACCGAGCAAAACAAGCCCTGTAAACAACCCAAGCTAGAAAACAGCATACTGCATGTATGCGCCAAGCCAACCTCGAGTTGCACATGCAGTGTCTGGGCATTATCCAGTATCAAGCAATCATCCACACAACTTATGATCTAAGTCTCTTTTTATGGGGTTGGAGGTTTTACACAAACGACTGATCTTGGCTCAGACCTTGCTTCTAAAAGAGAAAAGAACGCCGCTTGAGGCTATTAGTTCGCGACTGTGAATTTTTCGACGGCCAAACCTACCAACTCCATAACCTTGTTTGCATTTGCTTTCTAACATTTATGAACCTTAAACTGGGACGTTGTTGAAAAGGTAGGAAACGGACTCTCCGTTATGAGTACGTCGGATAGCCTAAGCGGTTAGTGAGTAACAAGGTGTTTAAGGGACATAGAAATCCATACCTCAGCGAGAGTTCCAGACACATCGATGACCTTGAGCTTAGGGCAACGCTCAATCTTATCACCCACTATTAAAAGTCAGCATACTGCAGGCTGTAAAACAAAACATCGAGCCGGGTTTGCTTAGGCCAGAATCCTGATAACTTACGAGGAACAGCTGGGAGGAAAGTTAGCACATTTTCTTGAATAATTTAGTTCTTCGGGTTACTTACTGTTGGTAACAACAAGGCCAGATAGACAAGAGTTGTTGATTGTGTCAATGGCCTTGCCACTTAGAATGCCATGGGTAACAATGGCATACACTTCGCTGGCACCGTGCTGGTTGACGGTTTCGGCGGCCTTGGCAAGCTGCATTGGATTAGCTATGTCACCACAATAACGTTACTCATAACTTACAGTGCCACATGTGTCTGCCATGTCGTCAACAAGAATGGCGACCTTGTCCTGAACATCACCAACAAGCACCATGCGGCCGACGACGTTAGGGCGGGGACGCTCCTTGTGGATAAGAGCGAAACCGGTGTTCAGGCGGTCAGCAAGAGAGGTTGCACGCTTGGCTCCTCCGGCATCGGGTGAAACGATGACACAGTTCTCAACGTTGAGGTTCTCCTGGATCCAACGAAGGACTGAGGGCTCTGCGTACAGATTGTCCACGGGAACATTGAAGAAACCCTGAATCTGAGACGCATGGAGGTCCATGGTGATAACATGGTTCTGTGACTCGGTCAGAAGGCGGTTGTGGGTGGGTTTAGTGAAAACCTACACATCCAGAGACTTGAAGCATGTTTGCAATCAACTTGGCGCTGATAGGAGCTCGTGACTTGTCCTTCTTGTCCTGACGCGCATAGGGAAAGCTAGGAATCACAGCAGTGATCCGTCTGGCAGAGGCGGTTCGACAAGCGTGAATCATGATGAGGAGCTCCATCAAGCCGTCGTTGACATCTCCAGGAGCAGTAGACTGAAGGATAAAAACATCCTCATCACGAACAGACTCTCCAATAGAAACACTGGTCTCTCGGTTGGAGTAGTTCAGTGACATTGTGTTTGCGATCTCAATACCAAGTCTGAGATATATCAGCAATTTGAACACAACCTCTCAGGCGCAACGTCACGCTCCCGGGCAGAACGAGAGACGCAAATTCAAGGCAACATACCGACTAGCGACCCTGTTACTGAGCTCCACGTGGGAGCTCCCTGAGATGAGCTTGATTTCGTTCGCCATTTGGTCCAACATTGTCAAAGAGAGGAAGAGAAAAGAGCGGGGCGAAGAATTTTTGGCGACGAGCAATAAATAACCGTGAGCAGCTCGGGTTAGAATCGGGAACTGCAGGTATGTGACTCAGTTTGGTGGTCAACGCCAAAGCTAAGGAGAACCGAGCGCAGGCGAAAGTTTAGAGGTTTGAATTGATCGAGGAAGGAGATCAAAGGACATTGACTAAGACCCAGAGTCAATAATGAGGTTCAAAGTTTTCTATCACGGGGTTTTGGGTTGTGGAGCAGTCGGAGCTAAAGTTACTGCACTGTACAGCACTCAAGTACTGAGTATAGGTGCCCCGTACTGGCTACACCCGCCCCAGCTGGAGTACCTACTGGCATTCTACGGTTGCGAGGCTAGGTCATGTGATTCAATTGTTATCTCCAAATCTTTTGGTTCTGGTTCTGGTTGAGCTGAATTGGATACCTATGGATTTGCGGGGCTCAACCTTAATTTGCGTACAGGAACGAGGTGTAGAGGTCATGATGAACGCACCGAGACATGATCTCTAACTATTAAAGTACAAGGTGCGTCTCACTTCAACCACATACGTCGAATTATTCGTCCCAATCAACGCGACGTCATTTCGGCTCTTGTCACCCTTTGTCTATAAAAGACGAAAATCTGCCCCTCTATTGCCGGCTGGCACCGGAACCTTGCCAGGATAAAAAATGGAGCGGGCTTGATAGTCTTTCTTTGCCTTCCTAGTCCAGCCAGACCCTTCCCGTGAGCATCATTTGTCAATAGCAGCGACTTATCTAAGCATCTTCAACTCAACAACCAATTCTCGATCTACGAATTCAACACTCGTCGACCGTTCAAGACTTGCCCCAATCGGACAGGTTCCTGCTCTCTGTTCTACTTATCGCATCCAATACATCAAGTACCAGCCGCCACGTGATCCCGCATCCTCGTCGAACCAGTGATTTGATGCCCCGTCACAACCTTTCGTCTTCAACTTTCACCGCTTGCCCACCTTACCTCTCTCATGCAAAACATGTTGAATCCGGGTCGTCTTCCAGCATGGCACACCATCATTCCTTTTCGCCGCGGCTGAGCCCTGCTCTTGCTTCGACCTCATCCCTCCACGACATGGGGCGCAACCGAAAACTCCGTCTACTTGTCGCCGCCACCGGTCCCCGCGATACCTCCTGGGCTCAAGCACTCGTTGTGCGCCTCTCAAAGAACCCACAGATCGAAGCGCGAGCAATTGTCGACGATGTAGTCCCGCGCTTAACACAAACCATCATTGTGATGCAGAACCGAGGCTTGGCACTGGGAGCGGGCGACCGAGCCGACGACATCGAGTTTTATCGACAACAAGCATTTGAACTTGTAGAGTGGGCAGATCTCCTGGTCTGCGTGCCACTCGATGCGGACAGCATCGCTAAGATGATGGCAGGCGTAACAGACACGTTTCTTGGTGAAGTGCTCAGAGGATGGGACACACAAAAGAGCATTGTCCTGGTTCCTGGCATGAGCACGCACATGTGGTCAAACCCAATGACTAAGAAGCATATGAGCAAATTGTACCGCAAATGGAACTGGATACGTGTGGTAACGCCAATATTGTGGCATTACGAAGGATCGCCGAACCCGAAACGAGTGCCTAACTGGAATGGCTTTAACGAGGTATTGGGCATTATTAAGAACCAAGCCGATCTACTAGGACTTGGGCGAGATGTTGAAGTTGCAACTGGAATGGCATTAACAGGTGATGCGGACGTACGGGTCCAATGCAAGTTACCACCAGAAATCTGGACTATTATTCTGGACTATGCAGGAGACTGGGAACTTGCAAAAGCTCTGGGGATGTACACCAACCTACCAATGCCCTCGACATGGACAAGTCAGCCTAGGGATCCCGACGACCCGCTGAAAGTTTACGAGCATGAGCTGGAATGGACAGTATTGACATGCAACTCGGCGGCGATATGTAAGAAGATATCGCAGTCCCCGCCAGAATTTCACGATATCTCTGCTCTGGTCATCAAACTGGTGATCAAATTTGGTCTTATTGATGTATTGGCGTACATGGAAGCCAATCGACCCGATCTTTTCAAAGCATTCGACGGAACAACCTTGCCTACCAAAGCATCCGCCTATTATCCACGCACCGACGTATTGGACTATTGGAAACAGAGCGCATGGTTTAGAGACCGTCATGTATACGACGCAGAAGCAGTCGATGGCGCCTCCAAGTTTGGTCATGTTCGAGTCCTCGACTGGTGGTGGCGTCGGTCTGGTTTAATGATGCGTTATACTGAGTCTGCTCTGGAGCAAGCCAGTGGAAATGGTCATCTCCTAGTTCTAGAGTGGTGGCGCGACGCTGCAGCACAGGACGACAAGGTCGTGTTACGGCCGGGCCGGTCACTCCTATGGGCAACGCAGCATGGACAAGCTGATGTCTTGCGGTGGTGGGACGCTTCAGGCATCCCTGCTGCACATGGCGATAGCGTCGCCAAGATGGCGAGCCGCTGGGGTCAGGTCGAAGTCTTGGAGACTTGGAGACGATTGAAAGGAGACGACAAGCTTGTGTTTGACGCCGAAGTTCTTGTCTCGCCAACCATTTTCAAGCACTTATCAGTGCTCGAGTGGTGGCGTAACTTTGCTCATGGGGAGCTTGAAGGAATGGAGGGTCGAAAGCAGATGGTAGAATTCCGGACCTGCAACATCGAAGAGGCGCTCGAAGACAGCATAGGAGACCAGAGCGCGGTTCGGCGATGGTGGACACAGAATGGACTGAACCTGGGACTGCGAGACGAGGAGTGGCTCAAAACGCGCTACCTCTAGAGCGTGGCCTAGATTATTGAACTTACATATCAGCCACGGTTACGCCGCAACTTGAGCATAGGCTGCCCGCCCTGATTCCGGGGCTTCGGGTCTGTAAGTGGCGGGATAGATCCTTGCATAGCATCAATGGGTATTCTATGCATGTGCCGCATGGTAGAGTAGGATGAAGGGAGTTGCCGGCTTGTGCTAGCATCGGGTAATGGAGATCAACGGTTGATGTTCCTGGCATTGGTACATATCCTGGGGCGCAGGCGTCATTTGACATTGGTTAGGCGTGTTATGTTGTGTCTTCAGACTGGTCTACGTTATGGGTAATGAGGCATTTGGAGCGTTCTTTTGATAAGGAAAAGGTCGGGCATGGGCTACGGTATTCTAAAATACGAACTGGACTAGAAAATAAACAGAAGCGTCCTGTTGCTTTATGCCATTTGATCTGATTTCTGAGAGCTTGACGCGATTGATCATGGGGAGTGACAAACAAATGGCTACTTCTCATAAGGTTACACTACAGATATAATCTAATCCTTTTAGCACACCTCACTCCCATTGAGTAAATTACCACCTACAGCGGTTTGTCTTCGGTCTGTTTTGATGATTGGCTACAGACATATTCATCATGATTCAATGCTGAGTGTAACATCAAACCTATCAAAGTGCTATCATCTTGGCACGAACCGCCAAGCAGGAAACGAGATCCGGGGGTGGATCCTACAACGGACGTCTGATACCAGAGACATTACCATCGACCGGCCCGGTTCAGTTGGAGAAATAGGGAAGAGAGCGCGGTGAGTTATTTAAACGGTCTAATGCAGGACTACCGACGGCTGCAATGCTAATTTTTGAGCTTATTTTCAGCTTTTGCTAAGGAAAAGTTGTTATCGTGACAACTGACAAGCATGGATTACTTTCTCCACACACACATATATCCTGATCCTGGCTTGAGTAGATCGAAATGCTTCAGATGCCGGTTCCTGTCTGTCCGATTCATATTCTAGAAGAATTGTGTGTCCAGTCATAGAGAGGCATTGCAGTTCGTACGGTATAATTTGTGGTGCTGGGCTTACAGTAGTTCGTCATAAACATACACACCGGATGCATCACCACTGGTACCGACCGGCCGGTCTACATATGCTTTTCAGCCTCCTCTGAGTGAAAAGGATCTGTACGTATAGACAAAAGCGGAACAAGACACCAAAAGACGGCTCCTTACCCGGGTGGTCCCATAACGATTGTCGTCCGATGGCCCATCGTAATGTAGCACGTCTGTGATGCCCAAGTTTCCATTACGTTTTTGCTGACTCGACATTCGTGGGGCCCCGCGAGCCCAGACATGAATCTCCAGATAAACTGGAGAGATTCTACCTTGTTTTCTGGAGCTTGCGGGGAAGGAGATCTTGTCAGAAGAGACGTGCATAGATCTGGGGAAGTGCCTATTGACTTCCAACTTGGCGAGGACGGGATGAAGGTATTCGCAGATTGAAATTTTAAGGTCTGATGAATTTGGAGAAATGCTCCGGGTGAATTTGGGGTACGGTGCCTGAACTGCATTCCACAGCCTCTTATCTCTGCATAAGGGCAATTTTTCTCCAACCAAATAAGCGCAGTCAGGGGTCAACTGATAAGAGAACTGTGTCCCATCTTTTTACGGAGTACAGGGCTGGTACTAGAATTGACGACCTGTTATAGGCCAGCCTGACTGTCTAGACTACAACTGACATGCTTTTCCTTCTCCTAAGTCGGTGTTTTTTTATTGTCTCATTGGCCGCAGTAGGACGTGAATCTTTCAAGCCAGCATAACTTTAGACCATCATGATCAATATTAAACCAATATCTCGATCGCTATCTTGAAATATGATGGATTTCGCCTCATCATGCTCGATGGTGAACAGTATCCCAATCAAGTGAGGTTGCTGTACTCCGTATCTTGACTGCATCCTCTTCACACTTTCTTGACTCGCAATGTAATCGGCCATAGTCCGACCAAACCAGTCCCGAGTAGCCCCATCCTTCAAGGATCATCACGCTTAAACCCAAGCATAAAATTAGAGAACTGCATCGTCCCCCGCACTTCTCCTCTCGACCGACCTCGTGACTAGGCAAGGTAGGTATGAAAAATCGACTTGCTCTAGCGGCAGTTTTACTTGGGTATCAAGTGCCAAAGCACGCATTGCTATTCCTTTTTCACGCCGATTCTCCACACGATTCCAATCAATGCGGTACAAGGCCCCGACCTTGAGTTGTATCCCATTACGTACCAAATCATACTGGGCTGGGCCATCTGGGGTAAGAACCTTGCATCGGAGCCGCGATATTGGGGATTGCTGTTTGGGAGCGCGCTGAAGCTTTTAGGGCCCAGCCAGAGTGATGGCCAAGCCGGTTGAGAATGGGAGCACTAAGTGCCTGAGATGCTAACACACGGGTAGCCCGACAGTGGTTGCAATGGTCATGTCTTATCAGAGAGGATTACGTAGTAGGACTTGCTTCAAGTTTGAATGAAAAACAAGTGCAAAACATCCAATTCTTCCTATGTCATGCTTAATCAGATCAATATGTCAGGTTTGAGTTTTAACCGCGGTCAATCACCTCTCGCTTACCCCGTCCTGGCCCACGCCGTAAAACTGCCTATCTCACAAGCATAGATAAACGTTGCCCGCAAGAATGGACCCGACTCCAAGGGTTACTGTCCCCATTTCTCGTTAGTTTTGAAGAGTTGTATGCCCTGGTCTCTTGGCATCTTTAGCGCTTCCCCCCCAAAAGTCTACAGTCCAGTTTCAGGCCCGCCTCTATCTCCTCCCCTCAAGGCTCAAGCCACCACACGTTGGCAGAGAATACTACACTACACAATCGCTTTCTCATTCCCTGAACAAGGCCGAGTCATGCATCCTCTCTGTCGCCCGTACTTGCCAATTTGAGAAGAATGCACCGGCCCGGTCTCCTCACATCTGGCCTCCGGTCATAGAGGAACAGCAGTGGCATACATGGTAGACTATACAGCCTATCGTCCCTGTATTTTGCCTAGCTCTAGCAACCGTTACCACTCATCTATTGCATGTCCACATCGGGGAACTTGGGTATAGAGAATAGTTCGAGTTCCTTGTCACGTTAATCGGCATGATCAACTCCTCTTCGAGAAAACCGGGCCTATCTGGCCATGATCCATGGCTTTGGTCGTGGTTACAGTAGTGAAGCTGATTCATAAAAGCTGATCATCCCCCCCGTTCTCTAAAGGTTTCGTATACCCAGGCTCTCTGTGTCTATAAGACATTACTCTCATAACCTCATCTCCAATTCACTACGAGTCTTGCTCGCGGAAGAGATTGAGTAGTATAATCTGATTTGCTTGCTTGGCAATTGCCCACCTTCATCATGGGTTATCACGAAGACCCCGAGTCAAAGGCCGCTGAGGCTCCCAACGTCTCTGATACATCACCCGGCGTCCTAATCGATCACAACTCCGTCGACAGAGAATATGGACGAACCGTCCGAGGTCTCTCCCCTCGCCATGTTCAGCTCATGGCCATCGGTGGCTCCATCGGTACCGGTCTCTTCGTCGGTATCGGCAATGTTCTCTCTGCCGCTGGTCCTCTCTCCGTCGTCCTTGGATACCTGATCTGGGGTGTCTTCTTCGTCTGGCCCTGCAACCTTGTCGTTGCAGAGATGTGTGCTTATCTTCCTATCCGTGGTTCTATCTTTGAGCTTGCTGCCCGTTTCGTCGATCCCGCCCTCGGTTCGTCCCGCCTACCACCAAAAACTTATGTTTAACTCTAGCTAACCAATGGATCAGGATTTGCCATGGGATGGACATATTTCTACGCTGGTCTTATGCTTGTTTGTGTTGAATATAGTGCTGTTGCGACTCTCATGCAATATTGGGTTCCTGATATCAACCCTGCAGCTTGGGTTGCGATGGCAATGGTCATCTGTGTTATGCTCAATGTTGTTGCTGTCAAGTACGTACAAATCGCTCTTAACTACAATAGGACCCTTCTAACAGAAACACAGGTACTATGGTGAGGCTGAGTTCATCATGGCTTCGCTCAAGGTCATCCTCCTTTTCGGTCTCCTCTTTATTACACTCGTCACTATGTGTGGTGGAAACCCCAAGGGCGACGCCTACGGATTCCGTTACTGGAAGGGCGGCAAGGCTATGCGACCTTACCACGCAGAGGGAGACCTTGGTCGCTTCTGCGGTTGGTGGAAAGTCGTCTTATACGCTGGTTTCACCATTGCAGGTCCTGATATGATCTCCCTCTCCTCTGGTGAGATCGCGAACCCTCGACGAACCATTCCCCGAGTCGCCAAGCTCATCTTCTACCGCCTTGTCGGTTTCTATGTTCTTGGTGTCTTGGCTGTTGGTATCATCTGCAGCTCCGACGACAAGCGTCTGCTTGGTGCTATTGAGAACAGCGCTGCTGGTGCTGCTGCTTCTCCCTGGGTTATTGGCAGTAAGTTGCAATTCCACCGTCGCGAGTGACCAACTGCTGACTCTGTTATAGTTGAGAACCTAGGTATCCACGGTCTTCCTAGCTTGATCAATTTCCTCATCCTTACATCCGGTCTATCATGTGGAAACGCCTACCTGTATTCTTCGTCTCGAACCCTCTACGGTCTTGCTCGCGATGGACAGGCTCCTGCATTCCTCATGAAGTGCAACAAGGCCGGTGTCCCCATGTACTGTGTCCTCACTGTCAGCTTCATCAGCTGCATCACCTTCCTCGTCGCTGGCGAGTCCTCCGTCACCGTCTTCTTCTGGTTCGTCGACCTCACCACCACCGGTCTCATCGCCACCTACACCATGATGATTGTCGTCTTCATCGGCTGGTACCGCGCCCGCAAGGCACAAGGCCTCGACAACTCCGCACTGCACTACGTGGCCCCCTTCAATCCCTGGTCTGCCTACCTCGGTCTGTTCCTGGGCACCATTGCGCTCGTCTTCATCGGTTTCGACAAGTTCCAGCCCTGGAGCACTCAAGGATTCATCACCGGCTATTTCTGCCACGCCTATGCTATTATCCTGTTTGTTGTCTGGAAGGTCTTGAAGAAGACAAAGTTTGTCAACCCAGCGACTGCGGATCTCGTTAGTGGCAAGAAGGAGGTTGATGAGGAGTGTAAGCACTGGGAAGAGGGTGGCATCGAGGAGAACTATAGCCGGGAATTGGCTGCCATGCCTTTCTGGAAGAGGTGCTGGGAACGTCTTTGGTAATTGGAAGCAATATCTCATACGACTGCGCAGCTTCCCAATATTATAGGGTAAAGCTAGCAGCAATACTATTACAATTTTATTCAAACATAGCCGCGATCCTACTGTGATACAACGTTCCCGTTGGCTTCGAAAGGTTGGATTTGTTCCTTACGTAAGATTTGCGAAGATTGATAGTATTTATCTCCGTCGTGTGGTTTTCTGCTCAATTACGTGTAAACCAAAGGCTGCTCTGGGATCGATATTAACAATAACAAAATATGACGCGGCTTATTATCGGTATGGGTAGAACTGGTATCTCATTAGATTAAATGTCAGCTGAGCAGCTCGAACCTAACAATTTTATCGGGATTATTTTGATTGCTTGTGAAAGTAGACGGGTGAGTTCTTAGGACTCCTTGTTTTCGTCTATCGACGGTGCAGGGTAAGCTTCTATCGGCCAATTTTTACTATTCAAGTTTGCACTATTCTGATCAGCCATTGGTTGTGTACAGCAAGTTATCATAGCAATTCAAAAGACACTACTTGATTATATCCATGTAGTGGGATTAGCCTTAAGACAGTTGTAGTGAACTATGTACAAACGTACTAGGAATAAATTCATTGGGAAGGCACTTCAATAGCAGTGTGTAAACGGCCTGTCTCGAACATACCCTATACCGTGTGAATGATACTGACTGTCTGAACAATGAGTTTCACCCACTCTTCCAACCTTAGTTCGGCGGCTGGCCCCGACTGATTGACATGAATGACGGTTGGGAAGAGGAGAAATTGTAACAAGTCAATGTGCCCCTACTGGAGTTGCAACCAAGGATTTCGTTGTCACACCGAGAAAAGCAATGTTGAAACGACAATCATTACAGAGGTGAACCGGCCCAAGCGAAATTTCCCAATGTAATGTAATACTTGCAGTGATAGAAAAAGTAAAGTGAATATACGCAAGTGTCCAATTGGCTACAAAACGGGCTGCAGACCAGATTATGGAGTTGTTCGTGGGTGTACCAGAGCAGATAGTTGACTTGTCAAGTAATATCGAGCCATCAGCTGGATATGAACGAGCATACGATATCGTTACCCAATTCGAACAGAGACGTTACATCGAACGCAGCTTTAAAAAGGAAGGAAAGAAAGAAGGTTCAAATGTTAAAAGAAAAGAAGAAACGGGAGCGGCTACTATTATTCATGTAGGAGCTTCATCTAACCAGGGTCACTCTTATCAGGCCCGGGCCCTTTAACCTGTCGTCTGAACGCCAGGACCGTTGTCCAGCAATAACCATAAAATGAGGGATCAAAAGCTGCTAGTAAAGTACACAGCCGAAAAGCAAAAATAGGTAACGCTCAGAGCTATCAAACGATAAATAAGGATGGGATGTTTCATGTGATATATCGATTTCCTTACCCGCAAGGACAAGGCTGTCCTGGCTGTATACCTGAAACCACCAGAACAGAAAAAGCAACAAGACGATCTTCTTATGGAGTGCATTCGGGCGGACCGTTTACTTTACGGTCATGGATAGATAGCATGGCCAAGAAATCAAGGTCCTTGTCCAATCCTACGTTTCAGGGGCCAGGAGTCTCCGGTAAGCTTGGGCCTGGAGGGGGAAACCGCTTGATATTTTATTGTATCGGGAATAAGAACGAATAATGGTTTCAGTTCTTATTCAAGTTTGCGAAAAGAGAGGGAAAGCTGAATAACTGTGAATTATGATCTTAATTGCTAATTTCATTATATATTGGCAATATATGAATATTGCATGAGGAGGGGACATATAGCACGATCTACCCCCAGGCTTTTTATTGCTAAGTCAATAGTTTAGGCTTGCATGAGTCGTTAGTTGCGGGTTACGGGTTGCAGCATGGGGTGGCTGAAGGGTGGCACTGTGGTGGACGAACAGTTGTCTGGTGCTCACCGTATCAGGCCTAGCCAACATGATAGAACAAACGAGAACACACCTCTGCTGTGAGCCATTAGGCGAGCTGGTGAGGTACGAGGAGCTTGGGCTACTGGGATACTGAAGCCCCCCGGTCTGCCCAACCCAGGGTCTAGCAAGCATCATGACAGGCGAGTTGATCGACAAGTCCAACAATTGATGCCGTGATCAGCAACAAACGACCAGGTCCAGAGGCTGTTGATTACGTTTGAGGTCAAACGAGGCTCATGGCCATAAATCACGATGCACAGGACTGCATCCACTGAGACAATCTCGGGTAGCACGCTGCAAAGTTCCTCGATGGAGGCAACATGCAAACGAGTCATGAATCGACAGAGGAAAGCTCAGGGGGGCGAAGCTCAGCATAACGCAATACTGATGGGAATTCCACGGTTATGTTCATAGAACGGAGAACGGGCGAGGAAGTTAGAACGAGGCTCTTGTACTTGAGCTATCCTGCTCTGAGGAGAAAACTCCGTTGTTAGCGCTGGTGTTGGTGCTGACGACTTATCCATACGGACGGACGATACTTTGTAGACTGGCCAAAATTCCAGTCTTGTATTCGTAGTACGCATGCGTAGTTCGACTGGAGATTTGTCGTTACATCGGAGAACTGACGAGCTTCGGCAGATTGACACCAAGGATCCAGAAAATCATCTTAGCTCACTGATTAACATGTCTACGGTTTATCCGTATGATGCTCAAGTTTGAGTTGAGAAAGACGAGGATTTTCATTATCAATTACCTGTTTTTTAATTCATAGCCACCATCGTCCAACTCCGCTGGTGCGGAACCGAGGAGCATGGGCCGACACGAGGTAGTATCGCTTGAGGATCTACAAGATGGTATATTGCACTATGGATCTTTGAGCAGGATATATATTATATATCATAAATAATGACGACCTTAACTAACACCTTCGTTGCAACCATTGAAGAAGAAAAAGGGATGAGTGCTGTTGTGTGAGGCCGCGGAAGACGTCCCGCCGCGCTATGCAAAGCACGGCCTCGGGAGTCAGAACTTGATAAGTGATTGATAGGTGAAAACGGCGACTGTTGTAAGTTGTTCACTCTGCGTAGAACAAGCTTGGAACATGCGTGAAACGAAACCGTCGATAGATTGTGCACGTGGACGTCCTGTCTCTGTGTTGGCTAAAACGTCAAACGGCGGCTGTAGTACCATCATCTGATAATCAGACAAACCTTCAACATCACAAGCATTATCCTTCCTTATCCCGAGGGTACAGGCTCAGAATGTCATCCTTACAGCCGAGTTGAGATTGATAGCTAGCTGGCTAGGTCGTCAATCGCACAAGAGGAGAGAAGATCTGGGGACCTACGGATATGGATACTGTGTTGATGCCAATTACACCGAGGCATGGTTGAGCACGCGGCGTGTCAAGCATCAACGACGAGCAAGGCTTCCCTGCCCTGATAAGCATCCACTGAGTTCCACAAGCTAGAACTGAAGAGGACCAGCTGACCCCATCATATGCATGCCATTCATTCATCATCCATCGTAATTAATCTGCTCGCTTGCGCTTCAGGTCAAGCACAGAAAGCTCTCTCACCGCGATGCTCCATAGCTCAAGCTTGCAAAGTCCGATTGAAGCTGACACGACGGCGTGCACTCTTTCCACTGGGTCGGAAACAAGATGCCAATGGGAGAATCTCCATTGAATTTAGCTACTGCATCTGTACGGAGTATCGAATATCCGCAGCAGCTTAAGCTACCGTAGTTCGCTTCTTCTAGGCTTCCTAGGCTTCCTTTTCCGTAATGGAAGTTAAAACCAGGGTCTAACGTCGGACAAGGGGTGACAGTGGTAGAGTGGATGTCGATGAGGAAGGAGATCGTCACTGGATCTAAGCAGAAGCAAAGTTGTATTGTTAGTTTGTTACGATTGGCCGGATCCCCTGAAAGGTTCTGGATAGATTCCATTCCGGTTCCTGGATCGTTTGGGTTCGTTGTGATGCATTGTAAAGCTGCTGAAAAGCTGAGGTTCGCAAAGCAACAAGATAAACGTCATGTCCCTTGGCTGTCGACATAACCCGCTCTCAGACGATGCCTGCAGCTAGGAACAAACTGTTGGATATCCCTTGCTCCCGCCGTTTGTAAGACATCTTCAGCGGCCTCACATCACCAGTCTTCAGCGTGCGCCCTGGTTGTCCAGCGCCCAGCCAGCAGCCAGTGGAGGCCAGCATAGGGGCAGCGGGGAGCGGGGAGCAGATCCTCTACTGCAGTCCGCAGTTTGCAGGGGTCTATCCATTGCTTTTGTGTGCTGCCCCCGATGGACCCGACCCGCGCTGAACTCACCCCCCGCCGTCTTGCGTAGGTCGGCTCGGGGGGCCCCTGGACAAGGACATGGGGCTTTGACGCAAGAGTTTGGCTTACCACTGTCACCAGCTTTCGGCACAACCTAAGATAAATCCCCTTGTCTTTCTTTGCCTCAGCCTCTAGGGGTCTGGTCTGAATGAGCAAGTGGAAGAGAGAAAATGGGATGGGATGGGATGGGATGGGATGGGATGGGATGGGATAGGATGGGATGGGATAGGATGGGATGGGATAGGATGGGATGGGATAGGATGGGATGAAAGAGGGACTACAATGAATGGTCTGGACATGCTGGGCTGAATTGAGCTTGAGCTTGATTGAAAACAGCGCTGTAAAATTTAAACTGCCGGCAGTGATGCACGCCGAGGCTGGTCGCTGCAGAGGGAAAATGCCCATTTCAGGCCTGAACCGGGAAACTTCCAATGATTGGACGGCTAAGTTCAATCGGAGAGATCGAACAACAATGGAAGGCTTCTCTGCAAGGGGACAGACGATGAGAATATGTACATACGAGGACCCTGCGGCATAAGACAAGCCGCTATAGACTGACTGTGAGGCCAGAGGCAAATTGCAAATTGCCATTCTTACGTTGAACCTCTAAAAGCAAGGCTTTCAGCTCTGATCAGCTTCATGGAAGTTTATCTACCAGTGATTCTTGAGGAAATCCCTGCTAAGCCCATGGAAAAGCAAAGCCATGACTCTCTTTAGACTTTACTTTGGGGAACCTCTGATCAAACTCAGCAAATGATGGCGGGCGCTCCTTAGCCGGGTTGGTTCTAGCTGGCCACTATGGTAGGTGGTGTTAATGCTTTAGCCTTGAGACTGCACCAAAGAACTATTCGTCGGACGACGAATGGAAGAATATTGATGTAGAGGTTAGTTAGAGGTAGAGGTAGTCTAGGTCACTCTGTTTATTCGTTTGTACCGAACAGTCCAATACTTGCGTGTTTGCCGCCACCTACAGCCTGGTTCTCTCTCTCGTTCTGATTCAAGTCATGGGTATCCGTATTCCAATTTGAACAAGACAAGCCTTTTCTCTTCTTTTGTACCCTCTTGTAAGACTCTTATTTCGCGATTCCATCTTCTGCCAAGCTTGTTCTCTCTCCCCTGTCGACGCACTCCTCAGTCGATGCTCTTGGGCCTTCCGCCTGACAGTGGAGGCTGAATTCGCCAACTAACACAGATCTCATTTGCCCTCTTGCATGCAAGTGGAGAGCTTTCCCAGGTTGTCGCTTTAACCTGATCGCTCGCTTTTGGCGGGATTAGCAGATTGCGACGGGGGGTTTGCGACTTTTGGGAATTCCATTTTTGCAGAGTCAAAGGCTTCTCAGTCATTACACACCCACTAACTCTTTAGCGCACACACACCCCTAACACCCTTGTCAAGCCCGATCCCAGGTTTGAAGTCCCACCTGCGCATTCTGGTTCACCGTCCCTATTCATCTCAACGTCGTCTTCTTATTCCTCTACTCCCCCTCCAACCCTTTCACACTCTTATGCTGCAGTACGTGGTCGTCAAAGGTCGCTTTATTCAGTGGTAATATCGTGAGGGGAGAGTAAAGCGACACATACTTTTGAGACTATTGCACGACAGATCGAACCGAAACAACCACTCACTGACTACATCGACATGGTACTGCAATGAGACCAGAAGAAAGACGAAAAGACGAAGCGACCTCTTAATAGCAGCAAACATTTCACCGACGAATCCGCTGTGATCGACATATTAATAATCCAAAAGTCATTCACTGCGACGTTGTGAAGCATTCGTTTGCTTCCTTAGCGACAAACTATAGTATTGAATCCTCAGCTTGAAATCTCAGCAACACCACATTACCGCACATGTTAGCTCAAGGACAATCTACCTTGTGTTGACGAGAAAATCTCCAAGGGCCCAAGGGGGATACGATTCAACCAGGCGACGAAAGAGACGAATAATTGAGACGTCGCTGAAATCATGGGTAAATTTTCATTCCCAAGCCGCAAGAAGCAGGCCCCAAAAGTTACTGTCACCGCTCCACCTATGAGCAAGGCCCAAAAGATACTCGGTGCATCAGCTCTCAATATCGACGCTCCTCAGGCATGGGATAACTTCTCCAGCTCAAAGGTCAATCTTGCCGCGCCATCCGCTACTGAGAAAGCTCAGGCACCGACCCAAGCCCATGGCTCGCCTGTGAGACACGAGCGTGGAATGCGGGAGTGGGGGGATGAGTCGGAGATCGTGCCGCGGCAATTCAGAGTCAATGGAGCGCCTACCGACGAATACGATGAGGACGTGTCAGACATGACGAGCATCCTCCGGAAGCGACAATCCACATCGACCCTCCATTCATGGTATGACAAGACTAAGCAGCCTCTTTCTGTATCTCAGCAGACGTCAAATTCGGCTATGGCCAAAGGCATGCCTTCAAAAGCGGAGAGGATGCTGGATATGGAGAATTCCATCGCAGAAGCGAAATTAAGGAAGAAGAAGCCTGCAAAGCTTGACCTGTCTCATCTCATGGGACGATCTCGAAACAAGAAGAGTCCACCGCAATGGGATGGTCCCATGCTGGATCAAATTGTGAGATCACCCTCTATTCTATCACCCACCAGCACACCCTCATTGCGAGGGAAGTTATCAAGACAACCTACCAAGGAGAGCTTAAGATCAATGAACTCGGAACCAACCCGACCAAAAACTGGCGAGAGTAATCGGCGACAACAAAGCCCTCTGAACGGCCTACCTAATCTCTACGAACACTACGAGCAAATGTCATTCCGCTCCATCATTGACGACGAGTTGGGTGAGCTCGATGAACAGGAGAAGCCGCTGGACAAGCCCAAGTCTAAGAACTCACCTCCGTCTAAAACTATAGCTCCCCGCCGCAGCAAGCATGAACTGCGGCCTATACCACCAGGCCATCATGACGAGCAAATCATCTCACAATATGCGAAACGCAATCTACCCCAGACACCGCAATCCATTACGGCCAGCAAACCTGGACAGTCTTCACCTACAGACTGCGCCGCCAGTGTTTCCAGTAGACATACGCGAACGTCCAAGGCTTCAAGACGCACGAGCAGGAGTTTTCAAGATTCGGACCTTCAGGAGAAGAGTGTGCTTTCGCTCTCATCAGACTCCGAGGAGGAATACGTCGAGACTTCTTCCAAGGGTCCTGCCTCTATACCTGAGTATGCAACATCGGATACTGGGTCTTCTATTGACTTCCGTCCAAGCACAGCTCGAACCTACGAGAGCGCCGATAATAGCTCGAGGCGACTAAGCAGATCGAGCAAGCAAACGAATGGTTCCAATAATTATTTGACAATCCCCAATGGACACCACCGCAACCCTGTTGTGGCTCCTAGGTCAAGCTCCCTATCTGGAAGCTCTACAAATACGATTCAGGAGGGCACCGCTGGGCCATCACCTTCGCGTACGTCGAGCGTCTCCGACTCAACAGCAAACACAACCAACACATGGGAGAGCAATTCAAGCTTTAAGTTACCGCAAACCAAGTTCGTTGCTGTGCATCCAGACCCAGTATCGTCAGGTTCTACTGATTCCGATCGAGACACGGGGGCGGACTCTGAGAATGAGCCTGAGCCCGAGCTTGACTTCCTTCCTGCGATGAGATATGTTCCTCATGAGTCTATCTCAACTAATGCCGACGCGCCAACACCTCCTTTGAGCCCAAGCTCTGTCGATTTCTGCATCCGCTCTGCACATTCATCCATTGATGGCAAGGGAAGCCACAACCGATTCATGGCCGTTACTCGCCAAGAGGAAATGCTTCTGGCTGCCCTCCGTCACAAGCGACAGACCATGCGCGGCTCTATTCAGGCCGAGTTGGAGAAAGCCCCTCAAAAGGGTCATCAATCCAAACCCTCTGAGGCAACCATTACCGAGGAGACATTCGACTTCGACTTCCCAGCACCTCCTACATTCAAGGACAAGACAACCGTCACCGCCAATGGCACCACGGTTATTGACTTAAGCCACGAAGAATACACCACACCCTCGCCTAAAGCTTCTACCTCATCGAAACGTTCGAAGAAGAAGGGCCACCACGAGCCCAAGCCCCATAATTACGACCACCACCAAGGCGAGCGCATTCTTCTCTACATCGACAAGGGTCTTGCCGCAGAGCACTCCATTGAAGATGCCGAGCCGAGCCCTGACCTGAGCGACTTCTACGATTACGGCTTCGAGGACGACTCCGACGAATCTGATATTGACTCTAAGGTCATCACGTACGCCCAGCAGCGCCGCTACAGCGAACGAAAGGATCGTCAGTCGGTAGCTAAGCGACAAGCGAGCCGAACACGTCACCACAGCCCCCAGCCTCAGGGTGAGACTCTTGAGGTTGGCGTACCTCGACCTGATAGCCCTATTTCCCCTGATGCTATGTCAACTGTCGCTCCTAGAGTCAACAAGAAAATGGCCCGCCTCAGTGCTGTTGGCCCAGCGAAATGGGGAATGGAGGACTAAATAATTCATGATCCTACATCACAACTTTTGGGGATTTACAGTACATTCTACCAATGTTCTCTTTTCATTTTCACATATTTTAAAACGGCATTATGGGCATTGGAGTATTTCTTTCTTGGATACCTAGATCACATTGATGATCACACGCACATGCAACATTTTCTTTTGTCAGCGATGATTCTCTACAATCTACACGTTTTTCTATCCTGGTTGTATCAACTCGAATTGTTGGAGGAGAAAGAGGCGTATGGGGGATATTTATGGCCCTCTTGTCATGAGTGGAATGGAGAAATTTCCCTGGACGACCAAGCCCGATCATTTGAGATACCTTAACTGTCTATTCTCACGCCGTCTTTACAAAGTTTGACTGCTTCGAGTCATCATGTTTAGGATTGGGTTTGAGGATAGGCGTACGGAGCGGCTAGCGAATTTGTTCTCTTTTTGACGAACGTGACGAAAAGCAAATAGGAATGTGAGGGTACGGGACTAATGTGATTGAAGACGAGAGGGAAGGGCGGAGGCATTCTGTAGCTTTGTGTATCATATTGTAGTTCGCGGTATTCGCATAATATCCCCGAACACTAATGGAGTTGAGCCAGTTGGCTTGTTTTTTTCACTCCATCTGAAAAGACTTGTTTGATCTTCAAGTTCGGTTCACAGAGTTGTTATTTGTTTTACTTTGACATAAGGATGTGATAGTGTGGTTCGTGATTTAGAAGTAGGTAGAGCCCTCAGCGGGCTGAGGGATCTTCTTGTTCTGGGATGAGGCCATGTATCTAGGTGAAGTCAATATGGTGTGCTCCTCCTATTGTCTGATACGACGATAGACGTACCTTCGCAGTTCGATGAGGACAGTCTCCATGGTGTTCTCTCTCTTCCACTGGGCGAGGCAGGGCAGTTGGCTAGGGTCGACGATACCGTTGTTGGGGTTGACACAAGGAAGGTTGACTTGGCTGATGAACTGGATCGCAGGAGGCTTGTCGGGGTATTCAGGACCGCAGTGCATCTTGACACTGTAGATTCGGTTCTCGTGGGCGGACTGAGGGGAACAGTTAGATGTGGCTCGAAGCGAGTCTGGGACACCCTGATATGCCTCCGTTTTGCCAGGAGGGGCACGTGTATGCGATAATCGACTGCAGATTCGCAAGACTTACATGAGGGGGACCAAGGATTGTGCCGTTCCATTTGCTCATGAGAAGATCCTCGGGATCCTCAAGACCGTAACTGCATGCCTCAGCGCCGAGACCCTTCTCTCCCTTCTCGAGCTCCTCTAGTAGGCGAAAGTTGCGAGGAACCTTGGCCATCTTGTAAGTCTGGGGGTGGTTGTTTTCTCAAAGAAAATCTGTTGCAAAAACCCTTTTCGGAAAGTCGCTTATTTGGGATGTTCTTGTTATTCTAGACAGAAAGTCGGGGTGAGTAAGATACGTCGTTCGCGATAGATGACGTTGGTGTAGTGGCGGTTGGTATTGGGTGACTTTGGATCCTCACAGCCAACCGCGGGGCATTCAAACAGAACGGAAGGCGGTGAATTGCCTCCTACAGTAAAGCAGAGTTCCCCGCCAATATTCACTGGCATTCGCTGCGGCACAGCCACAAGCAAACCGAGGTAGCTTCCCACTAGCCACCCGCGTCACATCAAGCTTGCCTTGCCTGTTCTAGTTCTGCCGGGCAAACATCGGATTACCCGGGAGCTCTGAGCTCGTCCGATGATAGCGGTCTTTTTCCCACTGGCCTGGCTGGAGCTTAGGACTTTGAGACGTAGGACGTCATTCTGTAAATCGTAATCGAAACTCTGATTTGATTCCATCCGACTCGCAATTATGGCCATGTCCTTGACGCGAGCAGCCCTCAGGGCACCGCAGTCGCGCCTTGTTACTGCTGCCGCCGCCATCACAGCTCGATCTCTTGCCGCGCACCGGCCCTTCACCACCACCAGCCGCCATCTTCTCCCCTCCGCCTTCGGATCTCCCGTCCTGCCCTCTTACTTCTCCAAGCCCCGGCTGCCGGCCAACACGGTTGTCCGGTTCGTCCCTCAGCAGACGGCCTGGATTGTTGAGCGCATGGGAAAGTTCAATCGCATCCTCGAGCCCGGTCTTGCTATCCTCGTGCCCTTCATCGACCGAATCGCATACGTAAAGAGCCTCAAGGAAGTCGCCATTGAAATTCCTAGCCAGAGTGCCATTACCGCCGATAACGTTACTTTGGAGCTTGATGGTGTTTTGTTTACACGTGTCTTCGATGCGTATAAGGCAAGGTGAGTTGCTGAGAGATAGCTCAAAGCTTAATCGATAAGCAATGGAAGGCCATTGGTCTATAAGGGACATGAAACTGATATAAGATGTGCAATTCTATAGCTATGGAGTTGAGGATGCCGAATATGCGATTTCCCAGCTTGCTCAGACGACCATGCGATCCGAGATCGGTCAATTGTCCCTTGACCACGTCCTCAAGGAGCGTGCCGCCCTCAACACCAACATAACCGCTGCCATCAACGATGCCGCCGAAGCCTGGGGCGTTACCTGCCTGCGTTACGAGATTCGAGATATCCACGCCCCCGGTGCCGTTGTCGAGGCCATGCACCGACAAGTAACTGCTGAACGTTCCAAGCGTGCTGAAATTCTCGAGTCCGAAGGTCAGCGACAAAGTGCCATCAACATCGCCGAGGGTAAGAAGCAGAGTGTCATTCTGGCTTCCGAGGCTATGCGAGCTGAGCGAATCAACGAGGCCGATGGTGAGGCCCAGGCCATCCGCCTCAAGGCGACTGCTACTGCCGAGGGTATCGATTCTGTCTCCGAGAGTATACTCAAGGGCGACACTGGCGCCCAGGCTGCTGTCAGCTTAAGAATCGCCGAGAAGTACGTTGACGCCTTTGGCAAACTTGCTCGCGAGAGTACTGCTGTTGTCGTCCCCGGAAATGTTGGAGATATCAGTGGTATGATTGCTACCGGATTGAGTGTGTTTGGCAAGGTTGGCCAGGCCCAAGCACGAACAATGGCTACATCTATTGTTGAACCCAAGAACGGAAGTTCACAGACCGGTAACGCAGCAGAGCTCGAGGGAAACTCGAAGCCCGATGTCAAGGAGACAGTTCTTGACAGCTTCAACCAAGCAACTGCCAAGAGATAAGGAGCAAACGAATTTAACCTATCAAACCACTATGGCATATCACGGAGGGGCCAGGATGAATGCATCCATATAACATCTCATCACTCAACCACCCAAACATGAACATTCCACTACCAATGAATATCGGCGTTTAGCGGATGTATTATAGGGATCTTTAGGGATCCAGAACGGCCTCCTTCTTGGAGCTAGGAACAACGTCAGAGAAACGGCATTATGTAACATCAGGTTTTCTTAATCCAGTCCAAGCGCATGGGAAAAGGAGGGGAAATCACGGCTCACGAGTTCACCTAGTTTCCTCAGCACACAGTCTGTTGTGGAAGTAGGAAAACATACAAAAATTAAATTAGTTTGGCGCTACCACTCATTTCCAGCGAATTGGGACAGCCGATTGAACAGTATTCGTGAGAGTTCGAGTTACAGCTATCATTGAGTTTCACAGTATAAGACGAGTTGCACATGGTAAGGATGTTCAGTTTGTGATTCAGGGGTATATCAATTCGACACTAAGGGTATGTTCCTCGAGAGAACTCTCCAAGCTTATGATAGGATATTAATTACCTCCACCTCTTGCACAGTCACCATGGTTGAGCACCACTGCCGACCGTAGGAATCCCCGCTGTCGTTGCGCAATTAATCCCACGATCATCCAGCTCAACTATACCTGCTTTGCAGCTTAGAGAAGAAGTGGAAATATGGCGAACAGGCCCATGAAGAAGCTAGGTAGAAGGATAGAGCCACTGTTGCTTCCACCACCGCTATTGCTATTGCTGCTGCTGTCTCCATCATCGTCACCGCCGGCTCTAAGACCAGTAGCTTCAGGGCCGGAGGTATATGTAGGAAACTTGCCGTCGTCGTCAAGGGTGGGAATGGGCGCGATCGAAGGGGCAGTGAATGAGGGCGAGTCAAGAGTAAATGTTGCGGACTCTCGAGTGTATGTGAATGTCGAGTCATCGTCGTCGTCTGAGCCACCGCTGCTTCCACCACCACCGCTGCTTGATCCATAGCTGCAAGTGCCATCTGAAGCACACACCTGTCCTGAGAGACAGTATCCTGTATCACAGCAGACCATCCCTTTGGGCATACAGCCGTCTCCGCAGGTCTCCTGGAAGCTCAGGCAGCTACCAGAACCTCCCGATGAACCTCCTGAGGAACCTCCACTACCTCCAGAGCCCGATGAGCTTCCGTCAGTACACTGGCCATCAGTTGTGCACTTCTGACCAGCGTCACAGTAACCTGACAGGCAGCAGACCTTGCCTTCAGGAATACAGTACTGGCCGCAGGGCACTTTACCCTTTGTGCAGCCAGTTGGAGGACCAGTACATATTTTTCCGTTCTCACAACAGCCGGTAGACTGGCAACGGTAGCCGTCGTCACAGTAGGCCCCAGTTCCCTTGTTGCAGCACGTTCCGCTCGATTCGATACAGGTATTGTCACATTCTTTTCTGCCAGCATCGCACGACGCGGCTAGGCTGAGGACTTGAGGACGGTGACTGAAGCCAGAAAGCAGTGGGAGGCCTTTCTCCTGAGCTTTGTGGGTGCTGAAGTAGACGCTGTCTGTCGCGAAAGTCAGGCCTGCAAGGGCGAGGAGAAGAGTTGATCGCAGCATTTTGGATATATAGACTAGGACAGTGTGCGTCTAGGCCAAGAACGAGTGGGTTGAGAGAACTCTGACAAACGGAGCAAGCAGTCATTCCCTTGACCAGGAACTGTTCTCGTCTTATAAGACCTCAGGATAACAGTAGGCTGCTACATGCTTGCATTGTGGGAACAGGGCTGAAAGCCTTGCGTCGAATAAGAGATCGATCTGCTGAACTAGCTGGGTATAAAGCATGCTAATGCATCAAACCAACGCCACCAAATATCTCCAGGATCAAAGGTGGAAGCTCGAAGTTTGGTGATGGCTTCGTGCAGGCACTATATCCATGCTAGCAGAGCACGATTATCCACCAATACAAACAGTATCTCGTCGCCACAATATCGTGTACATTTATAGACACTGTATTGCCTAAGACATGTTCAACAGCAAACCTCTACATATTGTATTTAGTAGTCACTTGTTGAGATGGCGAATCTCGTGAACATCTACTGTAATTCATCCCAAAATAGGATATGAGTGCGAGTGTCAGACCGGCGCAACCACGATCCGAGTAATAGCAGAAGCTGCTAAACCATCCAGGACCCTCCAGGACCATTCAAAAACCGAACAACTAGCAGTAGTCGGTGTTGTTCTGCTCAAGTTGGTGGGGGACTACTAACTAGAGGGTTCAGCTGTAATAAAGATCCCTGCAACGATCCCAGATAGCCTGGCCTAATTAATGGATCAGGATGATCGTTCAGTGAAGATCAGTCACAAGGTCACAGAGAACCAGGTCTAGTCTGGTGGTGTTGTCTATCTAAAGGCCTGTACTGTAATACCTCGTACCTCGCATTCAGCCACAGCGAAGCTTAACATGCAGTGTAACCAAATTGCTGCCGTTGAGTCGACCCAACACTCGAGAAAGGCTGATGGTGAAACAAACGTTAAGACTAGGCTTATTTTTCGTTGCAAGGTCTAGGTTTCTAAATTTATCACCCAACGGCATTAAGCCATTTACTCCGTACAGAGTGCACACTCACGTTAACAACTGCCCTATGACAGTCATTTCTTGTCGGCCGCTGGGCACTAAAATACATTAATTTATATCTCGGTGTGGTATGAGTGACATTCAGTCGTGCTGCTATTTGATCAGTGCTAGGCAACAAAGGGAAGGAATCTTTGCCATGTAAGTAAGTGTAAGGCTGATCCAAACCCTTGACCCTGGGTAACTAACGCTTAGTGTCACTCTCTATTTGTACAACGAATGTTATGCGAAAATTACCGCATATTTTAGGCGTTGTCTAGGTCCAGGGGTGCTACTGGTAAAATGGTCGGCAGTCCAGTCTGTGTGGCGCTTTGTTAATAGCTTGAGTGTATCTGTAGCGACTTTCTGGTTCAAGGAACGTCCAAGTTGGAAGACATGTTTGAGTTATTCATTGCCTCTTTTTGTATGTAGAGATGCAGAAATACCATTTCACTTCCAGTGACATGCCTCTCACCTTCATTGCGTGGAATTTACATAATTAAGAGATGACTGCTGGTGAGTGTATCAAGACATGCACCCATGAGCACAGGAGGCAATTAACTCACTTACAATTCAACCACTACTGTTATAAAAAGGCCAGATCTTAAGGAATTGATATGTGTATTGAATGTTTTGGTATACAGGAAGTGTTATATATGGCCTAAGATCTTATCATGCCTTCTTGTTTCTCTACCAAGACTTACTAAACCGATTTAACTATTGGTTGATGGAAAGTAAGGAAAAGGCACTCTCTGAGTCAACTACTCAGCGAGTACGAGTGGTAACTACAACATATACATTAAAGACTAAGCTCTCGCCGTACATTATCCATTCTCCTCCATGACAAACTCATGACGCTTCTTTCACTTAATCGTACCCCTGAGGGGAGAAGCGAAAATATATCGGTAAATTGATTGCATTGCGGGGTAGTCAGCGGCAGTAGGTGTGTTGAAAGAGTCTATTTCTCGAGGGATTCGAGATCTTGTAAGGAATAGTCAATGATCAGTTAATTCATTTTCAACAAGTATTTTGTAAATGTTTATCACTCGTTCTCCGTTATGCTAGACAGTAAGTAGAACCAACTATCAGCCAAACCACCTCATCATGAGTACGGAACATGGCATCCAAACATGGATGACCCGCGCCAGGTGCCATGATGGAAAACCATGATGGACTTTTTAGACATAAATTGGGCAGTAAATATTCCTTGATAAATGCTTCATCCAAGGGCCATCATACCCATTCCCTATAAATACTTCACCAACTCAATGCCGATCTCATGTCCGAAGTTCGGGGGCATCTGCCGCCGTCCACTACCGAAACCGTCCCCGGACCGGGGACCCACGATCATAGCTCGATTCCGCGGGGTCCTCCACTGGGATAAATGTTTACGCCTTCCACCGTCATACCTTTAACCATTACCCCAGGATAATTCTCAGCTTCTAATAAACCACGATTGTATTTTTGGCCATTGTAGCTTCGGCTTCTATGCGACCTACACTCATCTCAAAACTCAGAGCAACAACAGTAGCCAGAATGCCTGTTCATCATCTCATGGTTGGCACCTGGACTCCTCCGGGTGCCATCTTCACTTTTGCCTTTGACGACGAAGCTCTCACGCTCGAACTTGTCAAGAAGACTGACATCCCCAAGGATGAGCCTATCTCTTGGATGACATTCAGTGTAAGTCGATGTAGTTACTCAATTGCTCTGCAAGGCATCGACTAACACCAATGCACAGCATGATCGCAAAGCCATATACGGCGCTGCCATGAAGAAGTGGTCGAGCTTTGCTGTCGAATCACCAACTTCCATAACGCACCAAGTGTCTCACCCAATGGATCACGATCGTAAGTAATCCTTCGTCGCCAACATAGCCGCTTCTAAACCTCTCAGCCAACGCTTCCCTCGCCACGACAAATACCCGCGCCATCTTCCTCCTCGCCGCAACCAAACCCCCATACGCCGTCTACTGCAACCCCTTCTACGACCACGCTGGCCACGGCGCTGTCTTTACCACCGACTCGTCCACAAAAGCTCTCAAGGATAATGTCCAGAACTACGAGTACCAGCCCAACACGGGAATCCACGGAATGGTCTTTGACCCCGAGGAGGAGTATCTTTACTCCGCCGACCTGCGCGCCAATAAGCTCTGGGTCCATCGCCGTCATGGTAAAGATGACCCGTCGCTTGAGCTTGTTGGTTCCGTGGACTGCCCTGACGCCCGAGATCACCCTCGCTGGGTAGCCATGCATCCTACGGGTAATTACCTCTACGCGCTCATGGAGAAGGGCAACCGTATCTGCGAATATCTCATCGACCCAGCCACTCGTCTCCCTGTCTACACCCACAAAAGCTACCCCCTTATTCCTCCTGGCATCCCCGACCGATGGACACAGTACCGCGCCGATGTGTGCGTCCTGTCGTCGTCGGGCAAGTACCTCTTCGCCTCATCCCGCGCCAACTCATTTGATCTGACGGGCTACGTCGCCGCCTTCAAACTGTCAGACGCAGGACACATTGAGCGACAGATCTGCCTGAACCCGACACCTACGAGCGGAGGACACAGCAACGCAGTTGCGCCTTGCCCATGGAATGACGAGTGGGTGGCTATCACGGACGATCAGGAAGGTTGGCTGGAGATTTACCGCTGGCAGGGTGAGTTCCTTGCGCGTGTTGCGAGAGTGAGGACACCAGAGCCAGGATTTGGAATGAATGCCATCTGGTATGATTAATAAGAGCACGAATATAGTCAAGAATAGATATCATAAATGCAAATTGATTCAGATTAAGACATAATGGTTACGGCATAAGACCGCATCCTATTATCGTATATTGCCGTCGCGGAACGCCTGTTGCCAGCGCCACCCATAGTGTCATAACCCCTTTCCTGGTTTGACCCAAGGGCCAAGGTGCGCTTGCATACATACATGCAGTAGCTTCTCAGACAACTGCCATTTACCATTACCCATACCGCTGAACATCCTCCTTAACTCGTGCCATTGGTCTTGTGGTTGTGACCATCATGCTCATCGTCCTCAACAGCTTCCTCGTGGTCCTCACCCAGGCCCAACAACGGCGTTCGCTCGTGGCCGGCATTCCGCGCCGGCGAATGTCCGTGTGTATTTGTGAAACCCATGTGAGATACTGCTCGGGGCGGTAGGGGTCTTGATCCATCGTTGGGGGGTGTGCTGTTTGCAGCTAGACCTTGCTTGATCTTGAAAAGACTGCGGGTATTGCTGCGAGGGTTCGCAGCGCGGTTGGCAGGTCCGAGACGGAGTTGGGACCTCATTTCATCGAGACTGGCTTTCACTACAACTGGGGTGCCTTCAATGCCGCCATCAGATGTTCGTCGCTTCATGTGAATGGCAGTCCTCGCAGAATTGTGGAACCCACCTTCATAGTTGCTATGAAAGGAGGCAGTTTCGACGTTGGGGTGCAGGCCGTCGGCATGGTCCTCCACATCGACAAGAATGGAGTCACCGGGAGCCTTCTTGGTGGCCATAGCAGCAGCGGCGGCGGCAGTAGCATGAATTCGGCGAGCTCGGGGTGCGGGATTGAGACGTCGGATGGCCTTGTGAACATCGACATAGACATCAGATTCGTCAACGATTTCCCTGTTTGGTCAGCAATGATCACAATCTACTAGGAATTCAACTCACTCTCCAATCAACTCCTCAATCACATCTTCAAGAGTAACAACGCCCATGGCGCCATGGTCTGAACCGGGGAATTCTGATACGAGGACCATATGCGACTTGCCCTCCTGGAAAAAGTTGATGATGTCCAAACAGCTTGTCTCGGGGCGGGTTTCGACAATGGCACCCAGAGGGACTTCGCGAACAGGAATTCTGTCCTCGGGGTCGTAGGTGATAAGTGTCTTGACCAGAAGCATGCCAACAAAATCCAGCTCGTTTCCGGCGCGGTAGATTGGAATTCGCGAGTATCCCGAAGACAGGATATCATCCATTGTCTTCTCATCAAGGATATGGTCTTCAGCAAGCGTGTAAACGTCAGAGATGGGTGTCATAACTTCAGCGACGGGCTTGTCCTTCAAGTCTAGAACGGCTGTAATAATGGTGACCTCATCCTGGTTCAGTCGCTCAGAGATCTCGCCTAGGGACTTGTGGAGAGTGACAAGAGTCTTGAGTCCACTCTTCTTGTACAAGGTGCCATGATCCTCACCCAAAATCCAATCGAGAAGCTTCGCAATGGGCCAAGAGACGGGAGCGGTGAGGTACATGAGCAGGAGAACCGGTGTCGACATGTATCCGCCGATGGGAAGACCGAATCGAACGCAAATAGACTGAGGAACAATTTCGCCAAAGATAACTACCACAATTAGCTTTGTTCACCTTAAAATACTATTATAGACGTACCGATAAGGACGGTACTACCAACGACAGCAGCAACACCTCCGCCAAGAGTTCGGTCCAGCACAACAGGAAGCGATTCGTTGACAATGACGTTTGACAGCAACAGCGTAACTAGAACCCAATGCTTTCCTCGTTTTAATAGCTTCAACACACGTGTTGCATTCTTAGACTGCGCTTCCGCGGGATCGCCTGATAAAACCTGGAGGTAAATGCTGTCTTGTCCCATCAGACTGTAGAGGTCAGCAAATGTCGTGCGTCGCCAAGAGGGAGGAGAACTTGCGCAATTGTCAATCCTGCAAAAGCACCGCCGAGAAGGACCAGAACCATCGAGGCAACAGCAAGGACCCAAAGACTGCTGCCGCCCTCTTCGCCGGCATCATGATGGCCCTTGGAGTCGACTGGAAATGCGGAAACAGCTGTTAAGCTGGCGCCGAAAACTCGGCCCATGCCAATAACAGCCGGCCGTATCGAGCCCATGTATCGTGGAGAATTGGCCATTGCGACGGGATGAAGAAGTCGTAGATCGCGTGGGTGGGTGGGTTATGTATCTCGTAGCCAGGAGGGCTGAGCGGGCAGACTGCGAGAGTCAGTTGTCGAGGGAAGGATAAAGTTGAGATGCAGGACGCGTTCGAAGCAGGTAATCAATGTCCGACAGGTACGGAGTCGGCACAAGCAACCTTGGCGAAGTTTGCACGATAACAGCCGGAATGTGGCTGAGACAGGGGTGTTGAAGGTGATGAAGTCAATCTACAAAACAAGAGGAAGATTGTCGCCAATGACAAGAGAACACACGGTCAATTGGAAAGTCTTTTCCTGGCGGCGTCTCGACAAAAAATCAACCTTTCGCACCAGAGGGCGAGGTTTGTAAGTTATGTCAAGAGTGAGAAGCAACGAGGCGAGAGAAGTGGGACGAACGGGTTCGAATTGACTGCCTTATCCTTGGTTCCTAATAACACGCGAACATGATGACGCAGGGAGCGGCCAGGGAGCGCAGGGGATAATTCTATTGGTGGAGGGGACCGCTAGACCAGGTCCAAGTCCCCGAATGCAGCAGCACAGGCCACTAAATCTTGACGTTGGAGAAGCTAAAAATGATCGCTACAATGCCCTTACAGGTGGGTAGCAAAATAACCGGCACACTGAAGCTCTTTTGCCATATAAAGTTAGTATAGAGACAAAATAAACTCGTCATATTTCTATGGATTTTCGATTAAGTTTTCTGTCAACTAGGCCTGGTGTGCGGGTTTTATTGAGACCTACCTGCCTTAGTCGTCCAGCTAAGGCCGGATGAAGTCATTCACGAGAAAATCGCGAGATAATCGTCACACAATATGAAGGTTTATTTGAAGAGTGTTTTGTTTTGTTTGTTTTGACGAAGCCAGCCCAATAGATAAGATACCTCTAAAAATCAATTGACTTGTTTTTAGGCTGTCTGGCCGGGCAATCACAGCTTGACCAAACTTACATCCAAGACTCCGTCGGATGATTCCAGTCCCTCCAACACTTCACCACCCACAGGCCCAAGAACACCAAGAATCATCAATGCCTCGTTTCCTTTTGGATCAGGAGGAGTGCCAGCTCCCTTTGTAGCTTCAGGATCCAGACTAGCGACTTGCATAAACTGAATATTAATTCCACGGGCACCGAGCACCATTCCAACGCCTCCAATCTTGCCCGGCTCATCGTAGTTGTGCAGGATGATGAGCGTGCCCTCTGGGGTGAACACCCCGTTAAACCTGTCCAGTTTGGAGATGAAGATGCGCTCATCAACTGCGTAGCCTTCGATCACTTGCTCGCTATTGCTACCACTTGTTTGGTAAGATCGCAGTGTCACAAGGTTGGCGTACGCTGAAGGGGAGTCTCCTGAGCGAGTTTCGCTGATGACTATGCTCTTCTCCTTAGCTATGAGAGCAGCGTTGACCATGTTGATGTGTGAATCGCTAAACGTAGAGACCAAACCCTTCACAAGAGCAGCAAACAATGGCTTGGTGTTGGGCATATTGGCCAGGTCGCCGTGGTAGATGAGCTCGAATCGACGACCTCCTATTTTGCCTCCTCGGTTGCGCACAAAGTGTTGTGTGTACAGTTGTCCCATCTTCTCAACAAGATTGACTGACGGTTGCAGCTTGCGGTATTCTTCTGGCATGATGATAGGGGCATTGACGGCGCTGGTGGGAAGGCCACCCTGGAGAATCTCTAGAACCTGTTTGCAGACATCCATAGAGACATTCTCCTGAGCTTCAACAGTTGAGGCACCTAGGTGAGGTGTTGCTACGACCTTGGGGTGTTTGCTGAGCCGTGCTGCTGCTGAGTCTTCAACCAGTGGTTCTGAGGACCAAACATCGATGCCAGCTCCTGCAATCCATCCCTCGTCCAGCGCCTTGATCAGAGCCTCCTCATTGTATACGCCTCCGCGAGCAACGTTGAGCACGCGAGCCGTCTTCTTCATCTTCTGAAACTCTGCTTCGCCAACTAAATCAAGCGTGGTAGCCAAAAGGGGTGTGTGAATTGTCAAGAAGTCCACGATTGGGAGCAAGTCTTCCAGTGCAGGAACTAGCTCCACGCCCGCTTGACGAGCCATGTCGACACTCGCATAGGGGTCAACGGCTTTGACTGTCATCCCGAGACCCTTGGCCATGCGGGCAACGTTCATGCCGACCTTGCCCAGGCCGATAATACCGAGTGCCTTTCGACCAACTTCAACACCCACTAACTTGCTTCGTTCCCAGCGGCCAGCCTTCACACTGATATCTGCCTGGCCTACATTGCGAGCTGTTGAGAGGAGGAGTGCAATTGTGTGTTCTGCAGCAGCAAGGATGTTGCCTGAGGGAGAGTTCACAACAATGACACCTTGGGTGCTTGCAGCAGGGACATCGATGTTGTCTACTCCAACGCCTGCTCGAGCAACAACCCTGAGCTTCCTTCCAGCTTGTACAACCTCGGAGGTGACTTGCGTCTCGGAACGTACAATCAAGCCATGGTAATTGGGAATCAAACTGATAAGCTCTGCAGGCGACAAGCCTTTGCGGTTGTCCACGTCAAAGTGAGGGGTGAGCAAAGCCAATCCATCCGGAGATACTTTTTCGGGGACAAGAATCTTAAGACGATTTGGGTTTCCACCAGACTGGGTATCAAAAGTAGCTGAGGGGGACATGATGAGCTGAGTTGTATCTTAGAGTACTTGCAGAGACAGTATGAATCTTAAGAACTCATCAGAGAGGGCACCCGACTTATTAGTATAAGTAAGAGTCGAGATGACGTCCCCCCTCTCGTCTTTGTCCTCCCACGAGACAAGATAACCGCCACACGCTCATGGCTATCCAATCCAAAGAGCCTAACTCAGCCTTGATCATCGTTTCTCAAAGTAAAAGTCCTTAATAAGAACGGGCGAGATTGAGAGGCAGAAGCCGGCCTCTCATGCACATGCAGGCACCCCACGGATATGTAGTGATCTCTGACGCGGGGGTTAAGTTTCCTCTGTGCGCGCGCAAAGATCACGAGAGATTGCTGTGCAATGGAATCAGCGTCAAGTCAAGATGTACGGCACTGTGTACTGTGTAAAAGAAAATATGGCGGGGCAATAGAAAGTAACCATCAATGTTCACAAAGCTTGAGCTTGGACTGTGGTACTGTACCCAATGGGCCGTGGTCCAGAGGCCTCTGGCCTAATAAAGCTGCAACCCCTCACTTTCTCCATGTTTGACTACTGCAAGCCACGGCCCGTCGTGGGGTAAACAGCAGACGCATGCCAATTCCACAGCAGGAATCTACTCCCGTATGTGCCGGGCAATGAGGTACAGTGGCTTGAGCAAAAGGCGGTAGCAGGTAGGTAGCACGATTCAAAGGTGGACAATTCGGTCTCTCTGGTTTTGTCTACAAATACTTCAGTAGCTATCTCACTGTGTGCATTCACTAACATGGTTGTCTACTCACAAGAACCTAGAGGGCTATCAAGGTTCCGGATTAACAATCCATTTTATAATGGAGCCGGAGCAGCTGGGGATATGATCCTACACGGAAGCACATTCTCACTCGCACCGGTGAAACTATGCAAGAGTGACGGAGTGGTCTCGAACTCTCATACGAATACGATACGATTGACGATGAAGTAGCGCAATAATTGCAACAACCATGCTTTTCTTTTGTACTCGCTTTGTCAATTGATTAATCGGTTGGAGTATTAGCTGCGAAATCTATGTATCTAGAAGTTCTCCTGGCCAGAAAACTTCTCGTTCTGGACAATCTCAACCCAGTAACCATCGGGGTCCAACAAAAAGGCAACGTTCTTCATGCGTCCGTCTGTGAGTCTCTTCTTCCAGCTGACATTCTTATCCTCAAATCGCTTGCAAGCAGCTTCGAGATTGTCGACCGAAACACCTAATTTGTCAGCTTTTGAAATATTCAATTACACGCGAATAGACTTACAGATATGTCCAAAGCCCTGGGGCTCGCTGTTGCCATCGTGGTAGTGAAAGCTCTCGTCCTTCTCGGTACCATAGTTCCATGTCAACTCAAGAAGACCCTCCCGGTGGCTAGTATTCTTATCCTGACCCTCGGGGAAAGGCTGATCGCCGGGATAGCCAAGGAAGTAAAGGTTGAAGCCAGCTTCGCCATTCTCAACGGTGCGTAGTAGAGTCATGCCGAGCACATCCTCATAGTACTTTAGAGACTTCTCAGCATCCTTGACTCGAAGCATAGTGTGGTTCTGGCTTATTAGCTGCATATTCCATAAAGTCCGGCACAGAAGGGTGAATTACCATGGTATAGGTTGAAACATCAGTCTCCTTCACATCTTCGGTCTCCTTGTAGTCATTTCGGGCAACAACCTCAACCCAGTAACCATCAGGGTCAAGCACAAAGGCAATGTTTCGCATGCGGCCGTCACTGAGCTTCTTTTGGAACTTGTAACCAGCATCCTCAATTCGCTGGCAGGCAGCCTGGATATTGTCCACCGCAATACAGGTGTGGCCAAAGCCGCGATTGGGCTCCTGGTTCCCGTTGTTGATCTTGTACTCAGGGTCATCCTCGGTACCATAGTTGTGGGTCAACTCGATAAGTCCTTGTCTGTCAAAGGCACTCTTGTTGTGTGAGAGGGCATTGGGAGAGTCATAGCCAAAGAAATAAAGGTCGAATTTGTTGTCAGGGAATTCAAGCTTCTTCACAAGGCTCATTCCGAGGAACTCGTAGAATTTAGCTATCGTGTGTCAGCATATGCCAGGATGATGTAGTTTGGGAGAGTTGAGCAAATAGAGTGAGACGCCATGCTTGTTGGCGCGGACATCAAGGTGTTTGACATACATGAAGCCTTGGGATCCTTGACTCGAATCCTTTTCTAGTTAGTTTGTGCATCCTAGTTGGAGTTGTATAATGATCTACACTTACATCGAGTGGTTGAACTTGTAGTTCTGGGTGTCCGTGGTAGAAGCCATAGTGACTGATCTAGTTTGTCCAGTGGTAGCAAGGATACGAGGAACAGTTGGTCGGGTGAGGAAGTTTTGAATTAATCTAATGCGTTGTGTTGCTCTTGCAAAGCTCATTGAAGTTTTTGAGGCAGGAAGAGTCAGATGCGAGTTATCGTGTTTATGTCGATGATGCAGAATCTGGTGTTGAAAGGCCCCTCCACATGTAACCAACCCCACTTTCTGGCTCTGACGTCAAAGTATCCATCACATTGTTGTAAGAAATACCATCATCCACGTCACACAATTGTCTTTGAATATAAGTGATCAGCTTGATATTTTATGAGAGTAGTGCATCATTCACAACATCCTAGAAATATTTCATATGCTTTCCACTTAGTTCTATTTCATCGCGATATAGTGCAGGGTAGGTGAACGCCATAGGCTTCAAGTGAATAACTGACTATCTACGGATACAGAAGCTCTAAAGACCCATGCCTAAATTCATGATACAACACAGAGTAGTCGATAGCATTGAATATTATGAGTGGTGTGTTGCTATTTGTATTGTCTTTTATGATCATTGTACTATATTCTCTCGTCTTATTAAACATCCATTGAGTTGGAAATTGGCAACCATTTTCTACTGCCTACCCTATTCTTTGACAGAAAGGTAAGGACAAAGGCTAATTGCTTACACTAAAGTCAAAATAGGCCAACTGCCGTCCTTCGTCATCCACGTGGGAGAACTACTCTTTTGCTTTGGGAACGATGCTCTAGAGCTGTTTACCTACCATAGAGGCCATCTTGCATGTGCCCGTTTTCATGCTAGAGTATTTAAGAAAGCGAGAATAATTGCGACAAGACTGCACATAGCAAATAGCCCAAACAATTACCGCATCATGCCCATCATCCATGTGCCTGTAGATGAGCGATTCGCGATTCAATGTTTCATTGTTTATAGCGGAGCCATGCAATGCGGGGCCGTCCTCAGCCGCCGACAGCCTGTGGGACTAGGTAACTTAGCGGCCAAACTCAAATGAGATCGGTTTCTATTTACTCCCATCCCAGGTACCCTAACCGCCCACTCGTCGCAATCTAGACTCGCGTTCTTCCACTTTACACTTGTTTTGTTACTTCAAGGTTCTTACAGCAACATATTCTTTCCAATTCTAATACCAGATCATGATGCCATGATATTTATACCCGCTGCTTTACACATTGCGCCTTGATCAACGTCGCGATCAGGGCCAGCTACATTAACCACCCACTTCAAATCACAACCGCATTTACTCGCCCATCATGGATCGCTTTCGAAATATCACCGGTGAATATGATGACTCGGCCATCATGGAGACTCCTGAAGATCAGGCATCTGCCGGTTTACCAGGCAGCCAGGGCCGGTCGCCCTTGACAAAAACACGGTCTATGTCGGACGGAGGAGGAACGCCCTCTCGACTATCTCCCTCACCACGCATCGTTGAAGCGTCTCGCCGAACATCGAAAGACGACACCAGTATACCGACTCCTCAGCCAGTGACGCCCCGACGTCCCAATATCTCAAGTCGCGGGTTTCCTATGCAAATGCCTCCCCGAGAATTTACACCCCCGGCCGCGAACTCCTACGTCCAGCCCGCACCTTTATCACCTAAACTCGACCACTCGCAGATATACGCATCTCCTACGAATATACTCCCTCGCCGCTCTCGCGGACTCGACTTCTCCCGCGCCGCTACCAGCCTACATCACTCGACACTCGCCGAACAGTCGTCCCCCGATTCATCACCCACCGCTGGTGGACGGGCGATGAATATACCGAGCCGAAGAAGTCATTATGCAGGGCCGGAACAAACTTCGACGTCTTTGTGGTCCGTCATGGGCAACCAGGAGAAGACGCACATCAGCAGCTCGCTTGGTAGCCAAGCGATTGGCTCTGATTCGTCCAGCAGCTCCGATGACGATGAGCTGATGGACGAGGATATGGACGAGTCCTACGTAACGACTCCGCAGGTGAATAAGATTGGTCCAGTTCTTGGACCTCAAGGGTCTGGTGGGACTTTTGGATCCCCTGCAATGAGCAGCCTCATGAGCTTCCAGCAACGGCAGAGACCCCGCAGGCAAGCCAAGAAGAAGGCCCGTGGGCCTTTGGGACTGGGATTTAGCGGTGCATCTCTATCCAAGTCACCACCAACTAATAATTCACGAGCCCGTCGCGAAAGCATCAGCTGGCAGGCGAACCAATTGCACATCTCTGGTGCAGATTCCGATGAGGCACGAGCAATGGCTGATGTTGATGGGACCGGAGAAGGTCAGCACAATGTCATTCGGCGGGTCGTTACACGGCGGGGAAATCTTTTGGTAAGTCACTTATATCAGCACACATCATGAGCACGCGACTAATATTATACAGCCCAAGACAAAGACGTTCGCGCGTATTCGTGCTGCGCTCATGGAAGAAAGCACCCCAGCCGAATCCGAATTCCGACGAGAGTCCGAAGTTGTCAAGCAAGTCCGCGATTGCGATATGGAGCTTGAGCCCAGAATACCGCAGCCAAGTATAGAATCAACACAAACGACAACCGCACCTCCATCGCCTAGTCTTGTACAGCAAGAAGGTCCAAGCGATGTTCCCGAAGATGACATTATGGGCGATGTAGCCATGGGCCTTTCTAGCAGTTTTAAGCAGCACGCTACCAAGAACTCAAAGGGCAAGACATTTTGGGAGAAGTTCCCCGAGTCAAGCAGCACTGGCGGTGCCAGAACCACACCGCCTCCTGTTCCCTTTCTTCCAAGAGGATCATCCTCAGGTATCAGCGAGGACGCGGCGATGGACTCACCGTCAGTTGGTGGAGCTACTGTAAGTGCACCCTTGTCCACTCAGGATAACAACAATCTAACATCTCAGGCCCCGCAGAATGGCGGTAGTCAACCACCGACTGCTGCAGAAATTACTCGAAGAATTAACACCAAACGTCGCCGCGACGATGATTTTGACCCAGTCAGCTTCAAACGCCGAGCTGTCAGTCCTGGTATGAGCGTGCATAACTCACCGGTCACACAGAGCCCACTCCAACGCGATAGTATGTCATGGGGTTCTCGCCCCGGCAGTAACGGCGGCGATAAGGCGGGTAGCAGTGCTCCAAGTGAAGCTGGTAGCACGCCCGGAAATCCGTCCGGTAGCAGTTCTTCAGCTGGGCGTCTTAACAGCAAAGGCCGAGTTGGTTTCCAGGGAATGATTGATACCCAAGATTCGATAATGAGAATGTCTATAGAATAGCTTGCTGGAGTCCTTGCACAAGAATCTTGCTTTGGCATGAAACGAAACTAAAAAGCATATCGAGGCGTTATGAGCTACGGCGTTATTTGCGGAACGGAATGGTATGGGAACATAAATATCCAGCCTTTAAAGCGGCTTTTCTTATTAGTATTCTTATCTTCACTGAGATCACTACACATCATCAATGCCTCCTCTCGTTATATAAATGTTGTCTCTGGTAAACAATCCCCAACGCCCAGAAAAGAGCCTTGCTCTTGTTTCTCCTTATTATCCCTCATAAAAACAAGTTCCAACGCCGTCTATGCCAATCGCTTGTACCAAATGCGCTATATCACTCCACACCCACACCCTCCTCGGGAACGGTGAGAGTGCCTAGCTTGTCATCAAGCCAACGGGCCAGCTCAGCAGCATGGCGTCGAAGAGCAGCTACCGCAGCGGCCGAGCCTGTGGTGCTCTCAAAACTAGCTGTTGTCTGTGCACCGGTGCTCAAGATACTGTCTGCTCCATCTGGGCTGCCAATATGTGAAGACTCGCCGACAGGAACTTGGAGATCATGCACATTGGGCGCGCCGTGGTCTATAGCATCTGGATTGCCGGGCCCGACACAAACGAAGAGAAGGCCACACTTCAGTCTACGAATGACGACAGTACCACTCGTGAGCTGAACGGTGACCGTTGCAGGCTTGATGCCCCTTCCCTTGCCAGACTTATGCGAATCGAGCTGTTGGCTTTGCGATAAGCGATCTGTGTCGTCGTCTAAATCATCCTCCTCCGGCGGAGAGCTGCCAATAGGGTCGGGCGTGCGCGAGCCCGGTAGGGAAGCGGCGAGGGCGGGTGCAGACGTGGAGTGTATCGCGAGGAGAGAGGCGGCGACGGTGGCATGTGTTCGGAGGGCGGCGACGGGATGCGGACTTGCGTGGGCGAGGAGCTTGCCATGGGGGCTTGTGAGGAGCAGCGTGGGAAGCTGTGGTGTTCGGTTCGCGTTGAGAAAGGCCGTGAGGCGCTTCGTGAGGAGGAGAGGAGGTGTTGGGTGCGAGATGGACATGACGATTTAAGGGTTGTTGATGGCTGATAAGGTGTGTTGATGAGCAGATTTCGGATTCTGCGAGTGACGGGACGACTATTTCGGTACGTCGGAGGGTTTCGTTGCAAGTTCGCTCGGGAATGCGCAGCTGCTCTGCTCGTTGGGTGCAGAGTAAGAGTTAAAGTGAAGCTTTGATGGCAGTTGAGCTGAGGTGGGAATGGGGAAACGGCTCAGGTCGGTCCAGGTCCAGGCCAGGTTCATTTGATTCAAGCCTTGTCGATGGCGGGGGCCCGAAGTGGGGAGCTTGTGACTGATTTCATTTTATTGGCCCTGCTAAATGACAGGCGGTCGTGTAAGATCATTGGCTGTTTGAGGTGTTCTGAAGCTTCCATGTCAATGGTGAGATAACAATTGATACGAGGTGAAAGGAATGTATTTGTTGGAAACATGAATGGTACAAGGTACATGAGACATGAGTATAGTGCTATATGATATTCTGGTAGATTCTCTAGGATATCACTCATCCTCCTTGATACTGTGCTGCCACCGCTTATCCATATCATCCTCAATATCGACATAATCTCGCCCTTCCTCTGTCCCAATCTTCCAAATCCGATACTCCCGTTCCACAATCTCAGCAAAACTCTGAGCTTCAACCCATTGGACTGAGCTTTCTTGAGGATCATATTGGACAAGATCCTTAATGATACTACGCAGCGTCTTGGTGTAACGCGCTCGGGCGAGGTACGAATGAACGTTGATGACAGACTCTGAGCAGTGATGATTAGCAGGACATGCCGGCCATCGTGTGATCGGTTCGCTACACTCTTCGTCGGGCAAATGTTCACAGCCACCAAGAACACAATCGCATCCTTTGGCAGCGGCCTTTTTCTCGAGACACCAGTCCTCAGAGCAGTGGCTAACATGCGAGCAACCGCATTCATCACAAGCATATGTGGGAGCCTTTCCAGTCATCATGGTGAAAACAGTTGTGCCGATGGACCACATCTCATCCCTTAGGGTGTAAGCGCGATCAGACTACTATATGTGAGCTGGGTACGTGTCTCAAAACTAGGGGTTCTTACTTCTGGGAGTTCTGCAGGGTTCTTTTCTAAAGCCAGTCGAGCCTTGTCCAGTTCGATAACTCCAGTTCGTACAGCTAATGCTATGCCATGTGACCCGGAAGGTGGTTTGGAGAACTTAGACCGAGTATCGATAGCATGGCATGTCACTGCTGCACTGCTGAAATTGCCTAGTTTACACAGACCGTACGTCTCTGTGCCGCGAGGATGCTGAAGCCAGATGTTCCTGGGCTCAATACGCCGATGAAGAATTGGGAACCAGTCTGTATCAGCAGATACCCACTCTCCAAACATGCCTGGAAGCTGAATTGGGTAGCAGAACCGCTTCCCATCATGTAGGTAAGTCACCGCGCGAGTCAGAGAGCGGAGTACGTGCCAGCAAAGAGATTCCGGAAGATAGAAAGCCGAAGTGTCGCAAGTGTAATGGCGGAAAAGGGCGCTGAGATTACCGGCATCGGCAAAGTCGGTTACAAGCAGCTGCACCTTATCCTTCTGAGTCGTGTCTGGTGTTTGCGATTTGTTAAAGAGTTGGTGCTCCATAATACCAGCGACAGACATGAGGTTTTCGTGATTCAGAATCTGGCGGATGGTATAGGCCTGGTTTTGCTTCGACAATAGCCTGGTCAGGGCATATGCTTCATCATCATACTCGGTATAGTCGACCGTGCCGTCAGATTGCACACCCCAAGGGCTACTGGGACTCGCCAGGTATTGCTGCTTTCGCGGATCTCCCTTTTTGGTAACGACCCAGACATTCTGTGCCAACTTGCTGGATATTTCGAACACTGGATCGTGGTCTTCGTTGGGGGGCGTGCAAAACAACCCCTTCGGAGGTTCAAGATCAGGGAAGGGTTTCGAAACCATGGCGACAGCAGATTTGATGATGGTGTCGATACGAGTGATGAGATGGACGGCTGACTTTATGGCATTCTTTTCGATGGAAGTTGACCTTTTTACACAACAGACACTCCAGTTCCTCGAGAGCAGAACAAAGGAAACATCTCCGCCACATCTTGAATAAGCGCTACAAATGCCTGGTCTTTGTCCCGGGTGAATGCGATGCTATTTACGCCATTCAAACAAAGAGCATAACCAGATAGCCGGCCATAGCTTTGCGAAAGCAGGCTGGAGGAAGCACTAAACAGCCAAGCATATATGATCGCCGCTTGGTTGACTTTGTTGGATTTGTTTCGAACAAAGAAATGGTCCATGGTGGTAAGTAAGGTGGTGAGGTGGTGTAACGTCACCGTAAACGTCCAGGCCGCAGCGACCAGCTATTTTGCCCATTGATTTGTTCATGTCATTCAAACATTGCCGACAGTCGACAATTCTCATCGCGGCAACAATGGAGAAGAATTACCGAGGCTCGTTGCAGCTACACTCATTGATCGGCATGGCGCTTCTTTGGACGGATTCATATGATGCCCATCGGGAAATGAAGATTTTCATGTGGATTTCCAGAATTTCAAGGACCCAGACCCAAGATTGCAACCGGCTTCGGCATTGTATGCGCCAAGTAATCTGTGTTTGCGGCATGGATTGACGCGGGGGGAGGCAACCCGAATATTAGTTGTTTCATGGTTCAAGTGTTAGTGGTCAAAGAGAGTTCAGGGATTCGCTGTGATGTAATAACTCTGAAACCCGAGGTCTATTCGGGGAGCACCGACCAAGTTTCATTGACAATAGGATACGATGGGTTGCGTTGTGCTGCTCTGCGCTCTGGCTGCTCGCGCTGTGTTTGTTACCTATTATCCATTTATTATTACCGCTGAGACGTTGGCGGTTAGTTCGCGCTGATTCGTCCATCTTGGTCTGGCGCTGTGGGATTGGATGAGGGCGTCTCGAATTCCGGCTGGCGGTTGGAGGATAAAGAAAGCCAGCCACTGAAACCAGCGAAATGGGAGAATGGCAGCGGCAACGCCAAGTAATCTCCGTCTCTGCTCAAAGTCGTACAGAGGCTGAGAGGCAATAGGTTCGAGGCCATCCATCTATTGCTGACTCTGGAGCCTGACGACTAGCGACTGGCTAACTGGCCCCTCTACAGCGGCGCATACACGGCATAGCCAATCATTAGCTGTTATTAACTATAATGAAACCCTGAAGATAATGCCGCTCAAACAATGCTCCCAACGTTTGGCGTTTGGTACCTGCAGGCGATGGTGCCACTCATCGCTCGAGCACAGGGTCGCACCTGCCAAAGTGATCTCCGCTCCTTCCCGTTTGAAGTCATGCTGGTTCACAATGCGATTCGACTTTGACTTTTGGTGCTGCCTTCCCTGAGGTAGGGGCCCACCCACCTTCATCTTCATTTGAAACCTCTCATTCCCATTCCCGACTCATTCGGTTCCAGACTTCTTTCTCATTCATCTTCCGGCCTTTTACTGGTATTGTTTGTACTCTAGTTGTGTTGTTACAGCCTTGACGGTTTTTTTCTTATTGTCGTTTTCGTCCGTCTTTCATTCCATTCATCACGAATCTGAAACAATATCTCGTCATTCACCCACATACAGCTGCTATCCACTTATACGCCTATTGTTCTCTATTGAGGACTAACAACCATACAATCAGCGCATCTCATACACCTTCATTGAGATAATTTGTTCGATATTTGGCTCCTTTGTGTAACTACTATACCGATATACTACCGATCTACCAAGCTATCGACCGTCTCTACGATATCACCAACGACATGTGTTCAACTCTATACTAAGAACTCACTCATTTGCGCACCGGTTGCAGCACGAAATCATAACGATCGCTTATTCCATTACATGTTACCACGTTTTTGTTAGACCTACTGTGTGTCAACCTTCGCAGGCGAAGGACCACGGTATCTCATTACTTCCGAACTTCGATATCCATCGACTCATTTCTCTTTCAAAATAGCCTGAAGAGGCCGCCATTCTTTGCATCATCATGGGTTGCTGCTGGGGTAACCGAAAGAAGCAGGTCGTGGGACTTGCTGATCAAAAATGGGAGTACATCAATCTTTGCGATTTCAAAAGCAGAGGATGTGGCACTGTCCTAGCTTATATCTATCTCTGGCTCATGCTTCTTGTTTCAGTTGCTGTCTACGTCGTCGACAGCTTCACTGCTGTCAATCTGCTTGTCTTTGATAAATGGTCTTCAAAGATTGATCCTGCCATCTCCTTCGACGTGACGAAATGGATCTTCTCTATTTGCATCATCCTCTCATTTATCAACTTAGCTTATGAGGGCATCCGTGCCTTTCGAGTTATCAGACGGGGTAATGTTGCGGAATCCTATCTTGATAGCTTGGCCGTTCGATGGGAATCAGTTCGCCTTGGTTCTCAAGGTTGGAAAAGGTTCCTCGTTTTTGCAGAGCTTACCAAAAGCAAAGAGGGCGCACAATACATTGCCCTCTTCACGTACTTTAATTTCCAAGGTAAGTCCTCATGCTACCTAATCAGTTGTCCTTTACTGACTTTCATAGCTTGGATCCGTGTAATTGTCTGCTCTGGACCCCGTCAAGTTCTCAACGCCTTTACTCTCAAGTCAGTTTATGAGGCCAAACTCACCCCTACTGCCGATAATGTTGGCGAGTCTATCGCCGGTTTCTTCGAAAACATCAAGATCCTCGCCGAGGAAGATTATCAACAAGCCCTGGTTCTTTCCGGCATGTGCTTTACTTGCGTAATTTGGATCTTCTCCGCCCTTTTCCTTCTGGCTGCTGTCCTTTTCTGGCTCCTCTTTCTTGTCCATTGGATTCCTGCTGCCGATGGTGGTCTTTCTGGATACTGCGAGCGAAAGGTCACCAAAGCCTTGATGAAGATTGTCACCAAGACAGTCAACAAAGCGTTGGCCAGAGAAGAAACCAACCGAATGAGAGCCGAAGTAAAGGCCGCCAAAAAGAATGGCGAGAAGCTTAACCCTGAACGAATGGCGACTCTACCAACCTTGCCGAATGTCGGCCTAGTTAGCAAGATGGACCAACCGCCAATGCTCAACCGCAACGACACTATGATGACACTGCCACCTTATACATCACGACCAGGAACCCCAGGCGGTATGGAAAACGGCCCACCCGCACCAGAACCGCCCGTGCCATCGAGACGAGGAACTACGGCATCCGTCGCCAGCTACGCTTCTCGGGTGACAGCTAAATCTGGAGGAGGCTATGGCCGAATTGCATCTCCAGTGCCTGAAGTACCTCCAATGAGCTACGAACAACATCTTCAGTCTCGATCTGCCACAGACCCGCACGGAAACTATGGTCACTATCCAGCAAACCAAACAATGATGAATCCAATGTCATCCCTGCCAGGACGTTACACAGAAAGCCCTGCTCCTATGTATCCCAATACTGGCTCGTTCTTTGCCCCTCCATCCCGTGCGCCCAGTACTCGTCCAATGGACACTTACTCACAAAACGTGAACACATACGCGCCGACAGAAGTATCTTATTCGGGGTCGAGAGAATACCAGGCTTTTAACCCACCTGGTCGTACGAATACAGCATCATCTGTAAACTCTTACCAAAGCAGAGCCCCAATGCAACGACCGTTCCCTATTCCGGTACGCAGTGCTACAGGTCCAATGCCTTCTCGGGAACCTCCCCCAAGGAGCCTGACCGGCTCGATACCACCGCGAGCTGCAACTGCAAGGCCAGAAAGGGCTTCTCCCTACAACTATGATGTAGAGTCGCAACAGGGGAGGAATCGTTGGTAAATAACTATATCTATTAAAATGGCTTATACTATTAATGAATCATGATTTATAATATTGGTATTTATAAGTTGACTCGCTGTGTACAATAGCATCATGAAACATACAACGATATGAATGAATTTGTTGAAGGATGTGGTGTTGCTGTGCTTACTTTAAAATGCGGATGACACCTTAATTATGCCCATGTCGTGGGCAGTCATGCAGTAGTCAACCACGCCCTTAAGAGAAAGTCACCAATGGGGATTTGTCAACGGCACCAACTCGCTTCGGGCGGATGACATAAGAAGATGACAGAGTATTGACTAAAGCGAGAACATGCTGAAAGATGATATGTTTAAGTTCTGGATCTTGACCACCGTCCTCATCAATTCTGTGCGGTGTTCACAATACGCATTCCAAAGTCATCTATTGCAGTCTTACGAATTCTTTGTCAATAGCAACATGCCCTCTGCAACGTCAGAATGGCACGAAGGCGAGCTTGCCATGCACCAGCAGCTCAAGGTCCCAAAGCGAGGAAATCCTACATTCCCAGGCCTGGCGGCACATTATGGCATGCGAGTGATGCAGTCTTCGTTGGTAGCCCTTGGAACTCTGGATAACGAGGGCCATCCGTGGACAACGGTCTGGGGCGGCGAGCGTGCGTTTGCAAGGCCCGTGGCTGAAGGCGTGCTCGCGTTCAACAGCTCGGTTGATACTCGTCATGACCCTGTCTTCAGAGCTCTCTGGGATGGCATCGACGAGGAGGGCGTCAGACAAGGCGCCATCAACAGGCCTCATGGTGGTGAGGGAAAGGGCATGGCGGGTTTGTCTATCGACTTGGAAACGAGGGACCGCGTCAAATTGGTCGGGACATTTGTTGCGGGTGCTACTGTGGATGAAGGCAAGACAGTTCAGATGGCTATGGGTGTAACTGAAAGCCTAGGGAACTGTCCGAAGTACCTCAACAAGAAGGACATTATACCCAATACCATGGCGCCGGAACTCGTCTCGGACAAACTTCCGCTGTCACAAGAAGCACTGGATTTAATTGCAGCGGCAGACATGTTCTTCTTATCGAGCACAAACGGGGTGACTATGGATACGAACCATCGTGGTGGAAGTCCTGGGTTTATGCGAGTTATCAAGAATGAAGAAGACGAACTAGAATTGATATATCCAGAGTGTAAGTTAATTATTCTTCTGCATACACATCAGCTAACACGGAAGTCATCAGTCTCGGGAAACAGACTATATCAAACACTGGGCAACTTCAAAGTCAATCCTCTGGTTGGCCTTGTTATTCCAGATTACAACACTGCAGATGTAGTTTACCTCACAGGCAGTGCTTCGGTTCTCGTTGGGGAAGAAGCTTCTACGTATCTCGCGAGGACGAAACTTGCTGTTAAAATCACAATAACCGCTGCCAAGTTCGTCAAATCTGGCCTTCCCTTCCGTGGTTCCCAAGGCGAATATTCACCTTATAATCCACCTGTTCGCCACTTGCTTTCAGAGCACGACGCACACATTGGCGTTGCTTCTTCAAAAGCGGCAACGGCAAGTCTGACCAAGCGCGAGATTCTAACGCCGTCTATCGATCGGTTCACCTTTGAACTGTCTTCGGCACAGCCCATAGCGCAATGGCGTGCCGGACAGTACATCACGTTGGATTTTGAGCCTGAGCTGTCGAATGGTTACAGTCACATGGCCGATGACGATCCTCAAAGTCTCAATGACGACTACGTGCGAACATTTACTGTGTCGAGTTCGCCAGATAACAGTAAGGAGGTCCAGATCACGGCGAGGAAACACGGCCCAGTGACGACCTATCTAAGAAACCACAAATTGCGAGTACCGCTTGAGGTAGAAGTGCTTGGTTTCGGCGGCGAAGAGGGTTTCCGCATCCCTCTAGAGCCACAAGGTCACCGATCCATCTTCATCGCCGCAGGCGTAGGTATCACACCAGTCTTAGCACAAGCACCCGCCATCCTCCAGCACAAAGCCCCATTCACGCTGCTCTGGACCCTTCGTTACGAGGACTTGCCTCTCGCGAGCGACACATTCTCCCGAAATCCAGGACTCGCGAACTTGACTACGCTCTTCGTCACAGGCCAGCCGGACAAGGGGGAGCTACTAGATGAGGCAGAGCGGGCTGGGGCACGGGTGGTGAAGCGACGAATAGGTGCCGACGACATTGAAAACTTCAAGGGCCAGAACGCCCGGTTCTTCCTGTGCACGGCGCCGGCACTATTATCTGCCTTGGAAGGGTGGTTGTATGGGGAGAAGGTCGTGTGGGAGGACTTTGGATACTGAGGAGCATAGCATAGAAATTGATGTATTCTTGCCTGGCCTACCCCGAGTGCACATGCTTCTCATCTCCCGGCCAGCCGGATGTTTAACGTTAGCTCGCGGCGGTGCAAGGGACCGTACATAGTAGAGGCTGGAGACTAAACTCCATGTTCCCTGGAGTTTGCCTCTAGATGCGGGGAGCTGTAGTACTGCCGAGTTAGTAAAGTCCGGGGTTGAGGGATTCCCCATCTGAGGTTGATCTCTATACTGGAGGGACTTCCATAGTTATTCTTGCATTGGTGAGCAGACACGTCGTGACTGAGCTGTACTGGCATGTCTTCTCAGCCCTCACTACTCAAGCCAACGGAAGTCATTAATTTAAGGCGATTGTTGAAGTCTCTTTCCCCGCAAACAATGTCCGGGAGATGAGTTACGGTTTGCTTCGAGTCCCACTCCCCCGCGCTCCAAGATGCGGATCCGCACTCTGGTTTCTTTGTCCATATCACGTAAGGCCAGCTGGAGATCACTTGAGCTAAGTTGCACAGGACTCGTTCTAGTTTGATTGGCGGTTGGAACCCAGTGGCAAGAGGCAGGAGAATAGAGATTCTCAAGAGCGGAGCGAGGAGCGTTGATAGAAGCAGCCGATTCAACGGATTGTATTCTGCGTAACGTGGCACCGAGCTATAGGGATGGAAGTTGCCGCAAAACTGATGGATTAAGAGGAAAAGGCTCCTAGCGACCTTGCAGAACTCCAATGTTGCTCCAGGTTGTTGATCTAAGCGTGTTCTCGAAGTCAGTCTTAACATATCGCGTGGTTAAGGCCTTTAGGTCATTGCCCTATGTCGCTCAATACTGCCAGGTAGCATGTCTTGCTCTGTGTACCTAAGATAGCAAAAGACCACGGAATACTATTTCCTCAGTCAACAATGATGACTCCGAGTTTCCGAGGCTCTGTAAGCTGGTCCGCTGTCGGCGACGGAAGACCCAAAGCGGAACCGGCTAAAACACATTCATTGCCTGCATCGTAACGCAATGGAGACAAAATTGTAGGAGAAACAAAAACCAGAGACGACAGGCTTGGCTAGGGGCATAGTGGGCCTTTGCGTGAGTTATCAATTGGTCTGGTAAATAGCTCAAAAGCCTCAAATGTTTTGACTGCTTTCTCGGCGTCTTACTAGCGAGTTGGCATGGGGAAGTCGAGCGGCTCGCGTATAAGCACGACGTGTTAAAACTGCACGCTTGACACAGGACAGCCAGGGTTATGTCGTGATTGAGTAGAACGGTCTAGGATTTTATAGTTATACATGATCAGGAACTTTACCTGGGCTTTGTCCTGTGTCTGCCTCTGCGATGGTTCCATGCTGTTCGATTAACATTGACCGTAAAGGGCCAATTTGCAATTGACAGTTTCTCCTACTCGTGATGGCTAAAATGCCCTGCACCATGATCTGATTCCCTATCCATTAACTAGTTAGTTGCCAATTCTATGTGCTAATTATGAGACACGGTGCCTTTTCCTATCGACAGCACGTTTCGGATAGTGGAGGGATCGTTTAAAGGTCACCAGACATCCATGGCAATACTATGTAAGCATCAAGGATAATCGTGGAGATGGTTGCTGCAAAAGATTTGATACGTCAATAATAAGTTGCTGATTTTGAGAGATTTAAAAGATTTCCTAACCGCTGTTTCTTCAGGATTCGAGGGGCAGGCAACACAATCGATCTCGATCAGTTCTTGGAGCGTGAAGCGAATTGTTTATGTAATTACTAATTCAAAAGTTTTCATAATAACGCTCCGATAGCCCAAAGATAGCTACATACTTGGGAACACCCCGCATTTGACAGGGAACTTACGAAAGGCATCGATTATCGCCGAGAAGTACTTTGATTGATTCGGAGCGCTGACAAAGCTATGGTGGTTGCAGACACGGCAGAGTAATGAGGTCAGATTGGAGGACAAATCTAATTTCGAAGAAACACAAAGATCTTTCGTGCTACCCAGGCAATGGTACATGTGCAACCTAGATCGGCAGCCAAGAAAGCTACCTGCATTTATTGTGAGAAGGCTCTAGGCGTTGAGAACTGTCAATACACCATGTGATCTATTTGCGCTACGCGGACAGACGATCGTGAGGACAGCTCTACAGAAGGAAGAGAAGGCTTGGGAAGCCAATTCGACTAGCTTCGATTGTAAGACAAATCAGAACCTGTAACTTAAGTTTACAGGGAATATTTTGGCTTTACGTAGGTGTGTTGCTGTGCTATGCCGTGCTGCTATGTCCCTGTATCACGTTCCATCAAGCCGGACTTCGGTGGAGTGGCTCAGACTCAGATCACCATCGTCATACCCCGCCACTAAAAGTTCGACTGAGTAATCAAGAGTCCCTCCCTTTGGGCGAATGACGGGAATGTGAAGATGAAGGTGATTCAAAGTTAATAATGGTTTTTATTGTTTACCAAGGTTGATATTAAGCGACTAAGAGCTCGCCGGTGTCGCAGCTCGTCGTGAATTTAGAGGAGTCGGTAGGTGAAACTAAATAGCTTTACACTTTGAGGTAGCGCCCGGTGTAGAATTGGAATCGTCACCAAACAACAGCCCCGCTAATCCTCGATGGCGTGTGTATGGTGCGTCAAAGGCCTGGACTGTCGTGTTTGTGGGTGCGGATTCCTCATGTCCATGGCAGGTTGAACCATGATGGGGACTGGGGTTTCAATGGCTTGGGGCTTGTTAGCGGGCCTGAAACTGGCCTACCATGAATCTTCAGGACGAGTCTAATACCTGCAATAGCTTATGTCGTTCCACTTTTACTTATTAAGACAAGACACAAGACAGCGGATCTCGGTGCACGCGCAGCCTAGCACTTGCCCACCATCTTCATTAGCCTGGGCTCTGCCTGCCTGCCCTGCCTGGACATTTGAATACAATTCTCCCAGAAGGTCCGGAAAGAAAACCTTCCTTCCTCTTCTTTAACTCAACTCTTCCATCTCCTCCTTTATTCCCCACGACCGCATTCACTCTTAGCACATCGACTACTATTATACCATCTCCACCACCAATAAGCGAAAACACTCAACCCTTCTCTGCGAAACCGACCCTGTATCATAGCTATACAGCACAGCACATAATACTTGCTGATTTCGGAATCCCCGCCATCGCCGCCTATCCGTTCGTCAAACACTTGCGCGGACCTCGACGAGCAAGCGAATTCTTGCCACTTCTTCTAATTTAACCATCGCCTGATCGCTTCGACGATTTCAACAAATCCAAATCCTCAGGTCCCACCTTCTTCAACAATTCGGTCGTAGTTCGGTCTCTGCACCGATACTGCCGTGCCCCTCGCTTCCGTCCGCCGCCAACTACCGGCGCCGGCCGCTGCTTGTCGCATCGCGAAACCCCTCGTTCCGCACAACCTGCCATTTTCCATCTCGCTGAGGAGTATCAGTATTAACACCCAAAACAATAATCAAAATGGCCTGCGACTACCAATACGTCAAGGAGCACACCCGGGAGGACTATGTATTTCCTTCGCACCGCTTCCAGCGGTCATGCTCTCCCGATAAAACTCCGCTATGCCTCGTGGCCTGTGGCTCCTTTAGCCCTATCACGTTTCTTCAGTAAGTTTCTTCCGCAAGAACACGGCTATTCCTGCCATGGCGTTCTTTGTGATCGGGCTGCGAAATGTCGAGTCTTCGCCGATCATGAGAATATCCAAGTCTACCAGAACAATTACTGACCAACCAACAGCCTTCGAATGTTCCCAATGGCCCGGGACCATGCTCACAACGAGAGTGGGTTAATCGCTTCTTATAGGTTCTGAGGCACAGCTAACGAGGAACTAGATTTCGAGGTTGTGGCCGGAGTTTTGAGTCCTGGTAAGTGAATTTCGGATCTCATCAAAGACCTCAACTAATTCTGAGTAGTCAGCGATGCATACAAAAAGAAGGGTCTTGCTCCTGCTCATCACCGCATTGAGATGTGCAGGCTCGCGACTGAGAACTCATCTAAGTGGCTCATGGTAGACCCGTGGGAGGCTGAAAGCCCATCATACATCCCAACGGCCAAAGTGCTCGATCACTTTGACTACGAGATCAACGAGGTTATGGGTGGTGTCGAATGTACTGACGGCACTCGAAAGCGTTGCCGCATTGTACTTCTTGCTGGGCTTGACCTGATTCAAACCATGTCTACCCCAGGTGTTTGGGACGAGCGTGATCTCGACCACATTCTCGGCAACTACGGTGTCTTCGCTTTGGAGCGCACAGGAACCGAGATTGATTCAACTCTGGCAAACCTGAAGCAATGGGAGAAGAACATTCACATTATCCGTCAGGTATGTCCCCAATCATATAAGAGTTACCACATGATATTAACGAGATAGGTCGTCACCAATGACATCAGCAGCACCAAGATCCGACTGCTCCTTAAGCGCAACATGTCAATCGATTATTTGATTCCCGATGTTGTAATTGATTACGTGTACGAAAACAATCTGTACCGCGATCTCGATATGCCTGATTCTAAGGGCAAGGGCAAAGTCATCACGAATGGCCCCGATGTCGGCACCAGCACTGGTTGAATTGCCTTGCAATTCGATCAAGTGATATAATCAGCACCCAACCCTTACGCCGGTCCCGATGCGGCTAGCGAGCCTCAAGCACAGTGGCCGAATAATTAGACCTGACGACACAATACCAGAGCCGAGGCAATAAGTCAGATCAGCTTCTGGTGGATGTATGTTTCGAGTCGCCGCGATTTCAGGGTCAAGGGATCTTTTGTTATAGAGAGCGCAGTGGACCGTTACGGATGAATCAGGTCCAGTATTAGATGCGCCGAGCGTGGGATTAGAAGGCGTGTCGATGGGGAGGTGGATTTTCACTTTCCTTTATTAAGTCGCTCTTGAAGCAAACTGCTTTGGTTTAGCGGTTGGATAGAGCGCACTCTTGAGCGGAGTTATTCCATCAATTGAGGCATACAAAGACGGGGTTTCCCGTTACTCCGGGGCTCAATCTTGCCACCGTCCCTGCCTTGCCATGTTTACAGGACCAGCTCCCTAAGTATGCTGGGGTTCTTCTGCTGTATCTTGTTGATGCGCACGTGTCTTTGTGACCTGGGGCCACATCCCAGCGATGAATTAGAGTTGCCTCGGTCCGATCCGATATCGAGTTGGATGACGCTTTTGTTGCTACATATTGTTTTGAGAACCATCTGCCTGGGCCCTATATCTTGGTGCTTTGTTACATTCTAGTAAGGCAGAGAGAGTTACGATCTGAGGTTTGGAGTTTTAGTTGTAGAGATACCCGTTCAGCCCATTGAGGCCAATTATTCAATTTATGCAGCCGTGGAGGCTTTAATCTGAAACTCTGTTTATCTTGATTGGACGAATAATAAGTCAAATGCTTAAATTCCCCGTCCTTGAACGGAAGATAGCTCCTTAAGACAACGTCGCCGAACTCCGCCTCCCTTCGGAGCAAGATTGCACGAGGACAAGGCCGGCCAATGAAGGTCTATTATCAATCAATGTCTTGTCAGGGCCAAGGGCGGAAAACAACAAGGAATAGGGAATCAGAGAAGGGTACAAAAGGGACCTGCGAAAAAGGGCAAAGCGTAGAACCCCGCAGCCAAATAACCGACGCTTACTGGCCGCCTCCTATCTGCCGCAAAGATAAACGTGCCAGATCGATAGGGCACTTGGAGGCTTGGCATGCGATACTGTACTGGAGATGGCAATTGCAGTGATAGACCTTTTGCCAAGGGGATAGTCAGAGCAGGCATCGGTGTCCGTTTGGGCTTTTTGCCCCGGGGCGAATTTTAAGTGCAGCAGAGCGTTCCCAGGATAGGGAGGTCTTGGGAGGAATACTGTAAATACAAATACCTCAGCCCGTGGCCTTGTCCTGACGATCGATTGCCAGAGTAGACAGGGCATCCAGTGAATCTCATTCAAAGTCCGCCTTCACTATGAAGCTCCAATTCCTCGTCTCCTCCCTCATCAGCCCTCTGGCTGCGGCGCTGACCATTGCTGAGATCAACGGTGATCGGTACCTCTCTTCCTACAAGGGAAAGAATGTCACCGGTGTAGAGGGTCTTGTCACTGCTGTTGGTAGCTCTGGTTTCTACCTGCGATCGACCAAGCCTGATCGTAGCGACGCGACATCTGAGGGTCTGTACGTTTTCGGCAAGACCGCTCTTAGCAGTGTCTCTGTCGGAGATGTTGTGACTCTCGATGGTCTCGTTGAGGAGTATAGGTAAGTTCTGCTACCTTCTGGACTGAGTATCGCTAACAGAGCTAGATCCAACAAGGACTATGTTTATCTCACTGAGATTACCTCCCCTCAGAACATTGTCGTCAAGTCATCTGACAACAAGTTCAAGCCAAAGGTTATTGGCAAGGACACCGGCAACCCTCCTGTAAAGCAGTTCTCCAAGCTTGACGAGGGCGACATCTTCGCTGTGCCCAACAATGGGTCCCTCATCTCAGTAGCCAACCCCAAGCTGAACCCCAAGCTGTACGGTCTTGACTTCTGGGAGAGCCTTGTTGGTGAACTTGTCACTGTCCCCAAGGCGTATGCTCTCAGCCGACCTAACAACTTTGGCGATTTCTGGGTCAGGGGTAACTGGAAGGTTTCTGGATTGAACAAGCATGGCGGTCTCACCATGGTTGGTAACGGTATGTTGACCATATGCGACAATTGGTGTCTTAGCTGACCTTTTAGATGCGAACCCTGAGGCCATCACCATCGGCTCTCCTCTCGATGGGTCTAAGAACCCCGATGACACCAAGCTCGGTGACTACGTTGGCGACATCACTGGCGTTGTCTCATACGCCTTTGGTTTCTACCGTATTCTTCCTCTGACTGCCACCAAGGTCAGCAAGGCCTCCAACGCCGAGCATCCTGCTGTTAGCTTCACCAGCAAGAAATCCTGCAAGGGCATCACAGTTGGCGACTACAACACCGAGAACCTCAACCCTGCATCAGCCCATCTGCCTCTTGTCGTCAAGCAGATCGTCGAGAAGCTGCGCACGCCTGATCTCATCTTCCTCCAGGAGGTCCAGGACAACAGCGGTGCTGCCAACGACGGTATCGTGACTGCTAACCAAACCCTCGCTGCTTTGGCCGATGGTATCGAGGAGTCTAGCGGAGTCGTGTACGACTGGGCTGAGGTCATCCCTGACAACAACGAGGACGGTGGTCAGCCTGGTGGTAACATTCGCCAGGCGTACCTCTACCGACCCGATGTCATTGAGCTTGTCAACCCTAACCAAGGCGATGCCGACGACGTCAATGCTGTTCTCGATGGTCCTTCCCTGAAGTACAACCCTGGCCGTATCGATCCCGCCAACCCTGCCTGGGATGATAGCCGTAAGCCTCTCGTAGCTGAGTGGAGGCCTGTCAAGGGCACCAAGAAGTCATTCTTCACTGTGAACGTGCACTTCGGCAGCAAGGGCGGTTCGACTTCTGTGCACGGCGATGCTCGCACCCCCGTGAATAAGGGCGTCGAGAAGCGTACCGAGCAGTCCAAGATCACTGCTGTAAGTTACTACCTCCAATCTGTAAGCGGGACTCAACTGACGATATTTAGGAATTCATTGCGCAAATCCTCAAGAAGGACCAAAAGGCCCACGTCATCGCCGCCGGTGACTTCAACGAGTTCGCCGACGTTGCGCCCATTCAGACTTTCGTCAAGACTTCTGGCCTTGTAGATGTTGACGAAGCTGCCAAGATCCCTGCGACAGAGCGATACACGTATCTGTTTGACAGCAACTGCCAGGCTCTGGACCACATGTTTATCAGCAAGGAGCTCCGCAAGGGCATCAAGTATGAGCATTTGCACATCAACACTTGGCAGAACAAGGCGGGTGAGGTCAGTGACCACGACCCCAGCGTTGCCATGTTCGATATGTGCTAGATGTAAATGTAAGAAAGAAATAAATGTTATATATAGTCAATTAGATCCGCTTGGATTATTCAAAATGAGTTCTCGGCCTGTTGTACAAAAGTTTTCGTTGCGAACTACTCGTCACTGTTGTCTTCATCATCCTCAGGCTCTTCCTCGTCGTCCTCTCCTTCTTCTTCATCTTCGCCATCTTCATCGCTATCGCTATCGTCATCTTGGCCAGGATCTGGCATGACGATACTGTTCAAAAACGAAACCTTACTATGTCAGCTCGCCCGTGAGTGAAGAGTACAGATGACTTACATATCCCACCATCGGACGTATGATCTCGCTAATTTTCTCCTGCGCATCATCCTCGTAAAAGAGACTATCGTCAATCTGAGTCCCGACAGTGAAATTCCTTAGCTTCAGCAACGCAATGTTGCGGTGTTCAGCAGTGAAGCCTTTGGGCTTGGTCTTGAGCGCGTTCTGGCTGTTCTTTTCCGCAAATGCCAGCAGCGCCACCTCGGGATCCGATTTGTTGGCGACCTTTGGCAAGAATATGCGCTTGAAGGCTTCGTCGTTAAGCGCACGTTTCCACCTATTTGGCCGCTCGTCAATGCTGGCGCGAAGTCTTTGCATCTGCTCGCCGCTGGGACACCATAGACCACCGCCGATGAATGACTTTTTAGGTTCACAGTGGATGTAGTAGCAGGCATATGGGCCTTTGCGACCAGTTCGAGACCATGCGGCAGAGAAATGAGGCTGTCTTTGTGAGCATATACATTTATAGAAAAGTTCAGAGTTCGTACCTTGTATGGTGTGGGATCTTTGCTGAAGCGAATGTCTCTGTGGATGCGAAAGCTTAGATCCTTGATTGGAAGTTCAGGAATCGTCTCGTCAGCTTCAATGATAGACTCTGATGTGCATTCGACGAATGCGTTCCAGTCTTTCAAAGCACGTCGATACTCCTCGTCATGTGCTGTAGGGGTCAGTCTGGCGCCGATGGTGAGAACAATATGGTGGACTTACACTTTAGCCAAGGGCGCTGATTGTTGGCTTTGAGATCTCGCAAGAACAACATCGTGTTCTTATGTAGTTTGAAATCCTCATATTCGATACCTTCTGTATCCCTCAACTTTACCAACGGAATGATAGTGACCTTGGGAGGCGCATCCGAGTCGTCTGAATCACCATCGTCTTCCTCCTCCTGTGGTTCCTGAGCTAGCTCATCCTCATAAGGCTCTTCAGATTCCTCCTTTTTCGCTTGTTTCTTTGGTGGTCTTCCACGTTTCTCTGGCGGTGGCGCATCACTCTCCTCTGTGTTGTCGCTACCTTCGAAGTATTGGCTTTTGGTGGAGGCTCGCCGGGAAGTGCGGCGAGTGGTAGTGACTTCTTCTACAGGTCGCTTCCGAGGAGGCATTTTGAGAAAAGAACGAGGTTGGTCGGTGTATATCTGTACCAAGAAATGCAAAACTGCCACCAAGATTATCAATAAATGGCCTGGAACAAAATAATGTCCATGTCGTCATTGTTCGGCTTTGCGCGACTACGCGTTTCAGGGGACACGAAGTCACGTGGTCCACACAGAACACATTAGGGGACATCATGTAAGTCAACCTTGCTTAATACACCACATTTGTGAACAAAACCGTAAAGACATTTTGATCTCTTTGTGCTACCACAATATAGCTATTTCGGCGTCCTATAACCGCTGAGATGTATGCTGCTATGCGCATAACTCTTCCGGACGACTGGCGTTCATTGCTTCTCAATAATGTACAGGTATATCTCGTCAACTCTTATACACTTCCCTCTTGCTAGTATGTATCAATATTCGTCCCTCATAGCTGATTTCCCTATGGGCATGGTTTTACCATTGTGCAATCACGCTGGCCCAGAAACTTTGATCGCCTCCATCCTCTTCTTGCACGCATACATTCGCTCCAAAAAGGTGATGTCTCCAAGCCTGCCAACCAGCCACTTGTCCGATTCGCTGGGTTTGAGTGGTTCCTGTGGTGGTGCAGTCGTATCCGCGAGCATAACCCAGATACGGGCTGCAGCGCGAAGGCGATCCCAATCACCGCCCTGGATGGCAGCTTCTTCTTCCTTCAGGTAGATGACCTTGCCGATCCTTTCATGTCGCTCTGCCCAGGCACTCTCAAGGTATCCTTTCTTGGCATAGCCGATGAGCTTTTTCTCATAACGAGCCCATGTGTCTGCAGGAATTAGGGCTCGTTCGGGTTTGGTGTGGGAAATGGCCACCTGGAGACGCTTCAAGGCCTCATTGGATTCTTCGGGTGTTGGCACTACTTGCATCCGGTCAAGCATGCTGAGCAGCTTGGGCTTGAACTCAATCCATTCAGATGGCTCAATATCGGTGACTGCAGTCACAACTTCAAGAACTCCTGGTCTGCGGTCGACAGGGTGGTTTTCGGCGTTGTCGTCGGGGATGTCTTCCATGTCTTCCATGTGGGTGTCCTCTTGTTGTTCAACCTTGGGGCAGATAGAAGTAGAGCCCTCTTCTGGTTCCACCGTGTCCTGCTGTCTCTCTCCGTTGTTGGCCTCACTTTGGGAGGGAGCCGGAAGAGTGTTAGAGTCGAGTTCCATATGGCCTGGCTCATCTGAGTTTACATCTTCAAGAGGTGTGTCATTTCCGCGGGACTCGGTCATAGTGCGACCGATATGCTTGTTTTTGTTGGAAGATGATGATTCTGCAGCTTTTTCCTTCAAGGTCTGATGCATCCATCTAAGGCGTGCTGCTTTGCCGGGGCTGTTCTCAGGTGTAGTTGTAAATTTCTCCTTCATGGGCTTGGCAGCTTCTTGACGTTTCTGGACCTTGCCCTTAGGACTCTCAGGAGGAGTATTTGTTCTCTTTCTTGCTTCGCGCTTCTCCTTAGCTGTTTGGCGGGGAGACTTTCGCTTGTTGATGATGGTTCGAAGAATATCGATAAACTCCTCAGCAGTGGCTGCGGCATGGAGCTCAGCGCGGCTCTCTTCGATGTCGAGTTTGGAAGGGGGCAGGGCCAGAATGTTTTCAGACTCAGCGCCATCAGCGAACTTGAAGGTGCAGTTTGCTCTCGCTTTGGCTGAACTCATGTGAGCGCAGCTGGCAACAAACTCGATGATGATGCCGCGCAGGTGGGTGAACTCGAGCTTTGCATCGCGGCCATTTCGTCCAGCTTCTTCAAAAAGGAGCCGCAGTGACTCGAGAAAGTCAGTGCCTGGAAGCACAACCATTGTTGATGTTGTTTTTGATTCGATCTTGTCTTTGAAGCTTCGAAAATAGGTTGTGTTTGGATGAAAGGTTGTTGTATGCAAAGGAAAGGATTGTGCTGCTCGCAAGATCTTATTTACAGGCAAGCAAGAGCTATGAAGCATAAGGCTTAGACAAACGCTTAGGTACCTAGTATGTTGTCTGCCAGCCGTCAACAGGTGTTGATACAAACGCGGTTAATACTATTATTATCTACCTAGCTGAGGTTGGCACTGCCTTCAGAATTGTGACACTGGCATTGTCAGTGTCAACAAACATCCCCTATACGTTACAGGTATGAGCAGATGCCTTTCCCATTGAAGGACGCCCAGTATTTCATACTTTGATACCTATGTACTTACAATGGAACTTCGTAAATATGGGCGTAGAGAAGGGCAGTGGTTCGTGATTGTTTCTGAATATAGTATACAAACTCTTATGTTACACTGTTCAGGATCACGGAGACATATTATCCAAATTTAGAGAGACAGAGTTCACGGAATCAATGTGCAGCCCTGCGTTAGCTTGGACATGTGCTACCCATAAGAACTAAAATACGAACAAGTATAAATTTTGATAGCTGGCACGCACCGTTGTGTCAAAGCTTGTCTCAAGCGTATTTTCCCATCAAAGGAACCAAAGGCTCTCCATATTCCATAGAATGATAGGTGATAGAGTCCTCGCAAAGAATATGAGTCAGACAGCTTGATAGAACTTCAGGCATACCTCTACCCAAAAGACACGCATAGGGGTCCAAGCGCATATACTCCAGCAACAAACATACGATGTCATCTAAACTAGGCTTACAACTACCTACCTAGTCCGACTTTCAAAAGTCTATGTCACGAGCAAGGAAAAGGAAAAGGAAGCAAGTGTGAAGAGACAGCATTATCATGCATGGATCATGAAAGGATAGATAAAACATTTACTTAGACAGCAGAGAGCTAACACCTCGCAACTGGAACGCGGCGCGGCCATGCCGTAAAACCCCAACTTCTGAATGTTGACCTTCGATCATATAATCTCCGAAAGGTGGGACAAGGACAACAGCATCAAGTCACTCAACTACTATGGCAACAAATTATGATGTTGGCTGAAATTCATGACATTGCGCTATCTACTTGCAACCTGCGCATACTAAGCTCCAACCAAACACCGAAATGACTTCATTTATCTTATTTTTCCGAAATAACGGCATGATGCATTTAAAGCTCATCGTGGATGTTGTCGTCCTGCTCGCCACCGGCGCCACCAGCACCCTGGTACATCTTGGAGGTGATGGGGTAAGCGACGTTGGACAGCTTCTCCTTCTGCTCCTCGAAGTCCTCGGCAGTGGCCTCAGCGCCATGCTCCTCGAGCCACTCGTTGGTCTCCTTGACAGCGTCGAGGATCTGGGAAAGTTAGCATGTGCGTTTGTTAAGCGGGCAGTTGTAGAACTTACAGTCTCCTTGTCCTCGTCCTCAATCTTGCCACCAAGACCCTCCTCGTCGTTGACCTGGTTCTTGAGGGAGAAAGCGTAGTTCTCAAGGCCGTTTCGGGCCTCGATGCGCTCACGGGTAGCCTTGTCCTCCTCGGCGTACTTCTCAGCCTCGGCGACCATGCGCTCGATCTCCTCAGGAGTGAGACGACCCTTATCGTTGGTGATGGTGATAGACTCCTGCTTGCCAGTGCCCTTGTCGTGGGCAGAGACCTTGAGGATACCGTTGGCGTCGAGCTCGAAAGAGACCTCGATCTGGGGAACACCACGGGGGGCAGGGGGGATACCGGTAAGCTCGAACTTGCCGAGGATGTTGTTGTCCTTGGTAAGAGATCGCTCACCCTCGAAGACCTGGATCAGGACTACGGGCTGGTTATCAGCAGCGGTGGAGAAGATCTGGCTCTTGCGGGTAGGGATAGCGGTGTTGCGGGGAATCAGCTTGGTCATGACTCCACCGGTGGTCTCGATACCGAGGGTAAGAGGGTTGACATCCATGAGGACGACGCCACCAGTACCTTCCTCACCGGAGAGGACACCAGCCTGAACAGCGGCACCGAAAGCAACAGCCTCATCAGGGTTGATACCCTTAGAAGCCTTCTTGTTGAAGAAGTCCTCAATAAGCTGCTGAACCTTGGGGATACGGGTAGAACCACCGACGAGGACGATGTCGTCAACCTCGGACTTCTTGAGCTTAGCGTCCTTGAGGACCTGCTCAACGGGCTTCATGGTCTTCTTGAAGAGATCAATGTTGAGCTCCTCGAACTTAGCCTGGGTGAGAGTCTCGGAGAAGTCCTTGCCGTTGTGGAAGGCCTCGATCTCAATACGGGTGCTCTTCTGAGAAGACAGAGTACGCTTGGCCTTCTCGGCCTCACGCTTGAGCTTACCCATGGCCTTGAGGTCCTTGGTAATGTCGACGTTGTTCTTCTGGTTGTACTGCTTGGCGAAGTAGTTGATGACTCGCTGATCGAAATCCTCACCACCGAGATGGGTGTCACCAGCGGTAGCCAGGACCTCGAAGATACCGTCATCAATGGAGAGCAGAGAGACATCGAAGGTACCACCACCGAGATCGTAGACGATGATCTGGCGCTCACCATCGGTCTTGTCAAGACCGTAGGCAATAGCGGCGGCGGTGGGCTCGTTGACGATTCGGAGGACGTTAAGACCGGCAATGACACCGGCGTCCTTGGTGGCCTGTCGCTGGTTGTCCTTTGGAGAGTTAGCTGGCTGGTCATTTCTGAGTAGAGCAAATTGAACTTACGTTGAAGTAGGCGGGGACGGTAACGACGGCGTGGGTAACCTTCTTACCGAGGTAGCTCTCAGCAACCTCCTTCATCTTGCCGAGAATCATGGCAGAAATCTCCTCAGGAGTGAACTGCTTCTTGGCACCATCGACCTGGACCTGAACAACGGGGCGGTCATCGCGGTTGACAACCTTGAAGGGGAAGTGCTTGATATCGCCCTGGAGGGTCTTCTCGGAGTACTTGCGGCCAATGAGACGCCTAGATGGTGGTTAGCAAATTGTCTTGCGAGGAAAAGAATCAGTGTGTACATACTTGATATCGTAGATGGTGTTCTCGGGGTTTGCGGCGGCCTGGTTCTTGGCGGCATCTCCAACGAGACGCTCCTCCTCGGTGAAGGCGACGTAGGAAGGAGTGATTCGGTTACCCTGATCGTTGACGAGAATCTCGACCTTGCCCTTCTGCATCACACCGACACAGCTGTATGTGGTTCCAAGATCCTGTGGCGGGTTAGCGGGGTCGTGTCATGAGGAAGCGAGTGCGAATGCTAGGAGTGGTAGAACGTACAATACCAATGACAGTGCCGTAGCTGTCGACCTCGTCGGCCTGGACAGTCTGAACAAAGGCCAGAGGAGAAAAGAGGAGGGTGATCCAGCAAAGGAGTCCCAGGCCAAGGGCCATTGAGCTCCTTGAACGAGCCATGATGAGCTCTCTGTGTAGTTGCACTGCAACAAGACTCTGAATGTGGGAAAAAAGAAAGAACAAATCAATCAATTGTAGAGCAAAGGCCTTTGAGTCTCAAGCCTTGCAAATTGGTTGGTATGAGGAAGAGAGAGGGGGTATCTTTGAATGTTGAAAGAAGAGCGGGTTTGGAGGAGGAAAGCCGACAACTTATTAAGTAAGGTGGTCACTGTCTCCAAAAAAAAGTTGAGGTGTCCAGATTGCACAAAAGGCCAGATTTCACAGAATGGCTGCCCCACGTGACAGGGGTCCAGGATTTGTATGGGGGTTCTTGCACTGTACGAAGCCGCCTTTTCAGAGTTTCTTGCCACTGATTTTATTGGAGGAAGTACTACTTCTCACAGGGCGAGGACAGTGCTTTCAAGGCAAGGCTATTGAGTGTTGATCCCCTAGCGCCTGTTTAAACCATGAGGCAAGGATTTGGTGCTGCTGTTGGCCTTTGCGGGGACCGCCACTTTCAGCACTTAGTCAAATCAATACGCAAAAAGAAGGTCTTGGAAGACAACAAAGATGACTGATTACGTTGGTTTCTACAATGTTCTACAAAGTCTGAGTCACTCCAATGTCTGCCTGGATAGTTGCAAGATGTTACAACGCTCAGTAAAACGTGGTACCTCAGGGTATCCTAGTTCTAACCACTCCAAAAACTAAAAGTACAGGAAACTTGGCCTCTTCTCAACTTCGAGAATATTCCCGCCAGAGCTCGGACTGTGGAACCCCCCGGAAGGCTAGCTACCGAAGCTGTCCTTTTGGAAGGCTGTAGTCTGTAACAGAGGATCCCCATATCCCTTAATATCGTCAAATATTGACTCAGGCACCGTCCGTCAGTCACTAGTAATGTAGTATAAGCATATAAATAATTATCCGCCGCAATGAAGAGGGCGGTACTGCACTGCCTGCCTGGTCATGCATAATAAGTTACGTTTCGTGATAGGCCACGTTGAACTTTATCCCGAAGTGAATATTTCTTGAACAGTGATTGGTCAATCCCAAATCACCCACCCTAGACCCTTATAGACACATGTCATGAGCCACCAGGTCAGCTATGAGGACGATTATCTCAATATCTAGCCACAAAATAGTTGCAGGTGAAAATGACTCTTTTGACTACTGTTCATATTGTTTATATTTTCTTTAATTAATTTCTGGCCACAAATTGGTTGCTAGTGAAAAGGTCTCCCACGATTACTCTTCATATTATACAAGTATCTTGTTTCCCAGTATCTGAATACGAATGCTTCATCCTCCTCGCTTGTGCTTCCCTTCGCAAGCAAACAAATAAACACCCTATGATAGGTACAATCTACTGCAATTTCTTGCCAAGCTCAGTTGGAATCATGTAGATCTCGCCAGTCTTATCATCTTGCAGCCAATGTTGTTCTGGAAGGATCGTGGGGTTTGGGTCTTTGATCGGTTGGATAACAGTTTTATGCGAATGATGATGGATCGACAGGGTACGTTTGGGTTCATATATCGTATGAATATGAGGTTTGATAGTTTGTTCAACGACCGCCTCTTGGTTATGGACTGTTCTGTCAAAATCAAGACTGTTCTGGAGGTGGAAATTGGCCTCTCCGTTTGTACCAGCGCGGACTTGCTCGTTGATGCGCTCAAATTCTGTGTCTCGAGGATGAATTGCCTCTAAATTGTGATTAATGCTGGCTTCTGGGTTCGCATTGGATTCCAGGTTGACGTCAGACTCTTGAGACAAGGGCTTCATGTGCGTTGTTGCATACTCCGGCCCTTCTTGAGCAATGGCCAACCGCGATAGCTTCGACTGATCAGGGCTGACTTCGTCGACAAGATCAAATGGCGTCAAAGGATCAATTTCAGTCTCGGGAAGTTCATTCCCACCCGGAGAAACCGCCAGCCGCGAAAGTCTTCTTTCAAGCTCATCCGCGTCCGCCGAGTGACTCGAGGTTTTGTGCTGCGTCGTTGTATGCTGTACGTTCTCTCGCTCTAGCGCAGGTTGCTGAGAAGTTTGATGAGATGGAGCACCGAGGCCTTCACTGATATGAGAGTTCCCTTCATCATATGAATCAACGGCATCACCCGGCAGGAAAGTTGGACGCGGCCGTTCCAACCCGGGTGTCCTAGGCGTTAACTCTGACTCCAATGGGTGAACTGCTGGATGAGCATGCAGGTTGTCTGTGTTTGGAGCTGCGAAAGCCGGCTGTTCATGTGCTTGGGGGATTTCAGAGCCATGATGTGGATCTGTCTTTGAACTTCTGCTCAATGCACTCAAAGACTTCCGATGGCGCGACTGAGAGGTCCTACCCTGAGCATTCAGACTGTTCCTGTTGTCTGAAGGGAGTGAATCGGAGCTCTCAGGAGCAGTGCTCTCTTTGTCTCTGTGCAGGATGCGTGATGCCCGCTTCTTGATGGCATTTTTGAGACGGCTCGCCATGAGGCCAACGGGTTATCGGAGGAAGCGCGTGGAGATAGCGGCAAAGACAGGGCAAGGACTAGGAACGAAGTTGGGAAGGAGTTAGTTGTGTAGGCAATGAAATGGTAATATCACGGAATAGCACACATGCTCCCTTTGATCAAACGCCACTGGTTCGGATTGGCTGTCATGTCATGTCATGCCATGCCTTTGGTCTAGACTCTAGACTCTGGACTCTGGGACTATCCACCTCAGACATAATTATGCTTTCATGTCATCATGGCAGCGTCCGTGTGCGGTAGATTACCGCATATTTCCATCACACCCATAGCTGTTGAAATGGCCGAGTAGATCGGATCGACGGCGAGGATCATGATGGAAGTTTGCGTGGCCGGAGCTCGATGACGCCCTCCATCTGAGCTACAGCACGCTAGCAGATGCTTAGCAATGTTAATCCTTAGACTAGTCTCAGTCGCTTGGCAGAAGCCGCTCATCATTTCCTGTTTGTTCATCCCTTCATTTGCCTTTTCGGAGAAATTGGGACCAGCTTGTCACCATACGCGGGTTTGTTGTGGTTGTGGTAGGAAATCCTCGCATATGAGATTTAAACCCGAGTACCTTCGATTAGCTATCACAAGATGTGAATGAGTATCACCATACAATATCTTTATTATTGCTATTACTGTTTTACTCTGACAGCTATCAACCTTTTGGTATGGACTTATATATTTCTGGAGGAAATTTAGCATAAAATCAACAATGAGTTCTGTCCTAAGCTTTATGTCATCCCGAGGCAGATCAACTGCCCTCCACGGATTGAGGCTCCAAACTCGACCCGCTAACTTGGGGCTTGAGGCTTGGTTGGGTGAGACATGCAGCTCTCATTTTCACTTCACCGGAGCAGCTATTCCTATGATTTGCTCGCCTTCATCATGACGTCGATTATTGCTTTTGTTCAGCTGCACTGGGCTCTTTGAATACTTTGTGCAGCGAAATGTCAGGTCATGTATGGACTAGTCTATCGGAGTCTAGACTGTGTTGACGTTGACGTGGACGCCTGCACTCTGCAATAGACAGCACCGGCATGCATCGGACCTAAGAAGGAAACAAGACATGTGCCAAATGAAGACGGCGGGATGACATGGTAGGCTTGAGATCAGCATCATCGTAGTTTCACTGTGGACCTACACCATCTCGATAGCTTGCAGCTCTCTTCGGAGCTCACTGTTTGGCTGAAGCATGACAGGAAGCTCGACAGGAATGACGTCCATGATATACTGCTCATGATCAGAGACGGCAACTTCGGACACGAAGGCGACGTATACTATCGTCAGGTATATAAGATTAAGCATACCTCACTCTCACTTCATTCCCTCTTCATTATCATCAACTCAGTCACAGCAACATAACCATTACCAACCGACACTCATAAACACACACTCCAAATTTGCAACCCATAACCCTAAATCAATCACAATGGAGAAAGCAAAGCAAGCCGTTTCTAGCTTCCTTTCCAACGACGGAAAGCACAAGACCACCGTTGACGAGGACGTCAGAGCGCCAGTTACCCAAGAGGTAGTGAAACCTCATCAGCACGAGAGCGTAACCACTGCTCTCGACAAGGAGGTTCATCAGGAGCATCATCATACCACAGTTCAACCAATCGCCCATCAAGAAGTACTGTAAGTGAAGCCTTAAACACTTGTGGGACTGGGTCGACTTACACCAAAATCCGCCCCACCGCACACCAATCTCCACCTCACAACTCTCATGTCCCCCAACCCCAATTCATTCAATTTAATAACAAAATAAATATAGTCCTGAGCAGCATCATCATAACATGGCGCCTGTTGAGCACAAGGAGTTTCATCATGGAAACGAGCATGACACGCGGGCCACCCTGGAGCGCGAAGCCGCCAAATTCAAGGACACAACCACAACTCACAACACCACACGATCTGCTGAGACTGCTCCTGTGATGACAGGAGAACGAATTCATCATCACGTGCATGAGCACGTACAGCCTGTTATCCAGAAGGAAACAGTTCAGCCTCATGTTGTTCATACGACAATTCCCATCCATGAGACTCACCATGCTGCCCCCGTGCACCACGGCACTTCCACCCTCCCTGTGAAGACTCTTGACGAGTTCACTTCTGAGCGTGGAGGACTTGCTGAGCGAGCTTCTCAGAAACTCACTGAGTTCGAGGGTTGCCCTAAGCCATACCGCCGAGAACTCCAGGGCGAGCAGCTCGAGGGTGATAGGAGCATGCACCTCCACGGCCACGGTGACAACTACGGCGAGAACCACTCTCACGCTGGACGTGAGGGCCACGGACTGGGCCGTAACACTGAGGGTCTTGCCGCTGGTGCTGCCGGTGCTGCCGTTGCCGGTCGTGCTGGTCGCAAGCACCGCCACCCCCTCGGCCACAAGAACCGACGTGGGTCCAACTCAAGCAGCTCTCTTAGCTCCAGCGATGAGGAGTCGCGCGGTCTAGGCAAGTCCTCCAGGTCGAACCGAGGTCTTGGTTCAGGAACTGGCACTGGTGTCGGAGCTGGTGCTGCTGCTACCGCTGCAGGTGTCGCGCATCATCAACACCAGAACCGTGAGGGTTTTCAGTCCGGTGGTCCTACTATCCCCGGCGCTGGAGGTGTTGGTTCCGGAGTCGGAACAGGCCACACTGGTTCTCTCGGCTCTGCCAACCGCGGTATTGGAAACCCCAATACTGCTGGCCTCAACAAGTCACACACCAGTGACTACGACCAGGTCAAGACTGGCGGTCTTCACAACGACCCTTTGAACAGCAACTCTGCTCACGTAAGTGTTCAATAAGAAACTCTTAAGGATCATTATTCTAACAATTCACAGAACCGTGGCGATTCTGGCGTTGATGTGCAGACAGGCAAGAAGCCTTCTCTCATTGACCGTCTCAACCCCCTCAAGGATGCTGATGGTGATGGCAAGAAGGGCCTTATGGACTAAGATGTTTTAGTTAATAATTGCGGGTAATCTCGATTAATATCTAATGTACGATTAGTTGATTCATGATGCGTTATGCATGACGCAAGTTTAGCTTAGCAGTTTTCATTTATCAAGTTTTTTAAAAGCTACATGCTGCACCATGACATATTGTGACCCAATGTGATATGTCTTATTTCTCTGCCCACCTTTCACATGTTTCATCATATCAATCATGAACAGTGATTATGGATCATTTGCCTTCAATCCTTACGAATTGTGGTAGCAAACTAGCGAATGGAGTTAATATACTGACAAGTTACCCATTGGTCTCTTAGTTACAGCAGTAAAAATAATCACGCTTTCATTATTTTTTAACGACAAAATCTGCTTAGTTTAGTATGGAATGATGTTCAACGCAGGTTGTTATGAAGTTACACATGCAGGTTATCCTTCTTCAACCTTGAACCTCATCAAGCCCAGGCTTTCCAAATCTCTCATTATCATCAGTAATGACATGACATTAACCTCTTCCAAAAGCTAAAACTTGACATGATCAGCACAATAGCAGTCGCACACGGCAACTGAAATCTAACCAAGATGAACACGCATACCGTGACTTACACTACATAGACATGTAAATTGCTTGACGTTTTATATTTGTAGGTCGGATTATGCTCAAACATGTGGCACATTGGTCTACTCTGTCACCCCTGCCAAGACCAAGAACAAGCTTTCACGATCTGATGCCTGGGTCAGGGAACAGGGATCAAGGGCAACGCATCAACTACCGGCAGGCTTTAAAATCAAGGGTACATAACAAAAGAAGAAGAAAAACAAATAAAAATAAAAATTAATCCATTTATTTAGATTGGAAAGTTGCGAAATATGTTTTGAGGCGTTTAGTTAACATATCATATTTTGAACAATCAGAGACTAACAGAAAAGTTAGGAAACTAATTTCATTTTCATAGATAGGAGTTAAAAGAATGGTTCAAGAGCATGAGTAATATGCAACCCTTCTTTTCTATCCATACAAAACGTATTGTGTATAGTTTCAGATAATGTAACGGTCCCGCCAAGACCGACATCAACTACTGCCAGGATATCAAGATGAACATGCAAAGAAGGTTCTTGAAGAACACTGGCTCAGATTGCTCAGGGTCTCCAGTCATGCTTCTCTAAGATGTCAAAACTGGCCGCTGATCTGATTGATTTCAGACATCTAATCCATTCTCAACCATAATGAGAACTCAAAACAGCTGCCCTTGGCACGCATACATGGTATAAACTCCATAAATGATAATACCAACGCATATCTAAGTGCTAGAGTTTTATGTTATGTTGCTATGGTCTAGTGCCACTTGAACCTGGAGGTGCCGACTTGGAAGGAAATGTAAACTCATAATATTATAGGACGAAAGGAGCTGTCGCCGGTTGGCACCAGCTGCCAGGCAGTTAGTTACCTGCATAATGAATGCCTGATATATCGTGATTTACAGTCAAGGCTGCTTTGAGCGGGGTATATAAAGACCTCTCGCCCTCCGATTTCGATCTTGACTCTTCTTCCTTCCTCAGCCAACCTCCCTCCGTTCAGTCTGCCCATTTGTGCAAGACGTCTCTCCACGCAGCGACGCCCTCTCCTTTGCTCAGGCTCTTTCGACATTTCGTGATAGACTGTGTCTATCCTATTTTATCTGCATTCCTTGACGAATCCAAAGACGATAGTTTGCTGGCGCTCGTTGAGCCCGGTATAATTTCTCAGCTTGCTGAATCCCTTTCGCTCCTTGACGAATCTTGGGTCAGACCTTCGTTTGCTCTCCTCACCCCTCTCTCCTCCTCACCCTTGGAACCTCCCGAGGACAACAGGTTGCTGGTGCTCATTGAGTCCAGTCGTAATCTTTTCAGCTTGCTGGAATCCTGTTCGTTCCGAAGAAAACTCCTTGTGGTGTTGTCTCCCCCCTCCACCTCCCCTCTCGTTGAGATCCCGTCATGTCTCAACCCACCTCCTCCACCAAGCCCAATGACCCGGTGACAACACTCCAGTCATGTGCTGTCAAGATCGGTGGCGACGAATTCTTTGGTGGAAAGAAGCTCGGCGTCTCAGATATCGAGACGAAGCTCATTACCCTGCGGCCTAAGACCCTAGAGCAGTATTTCGGGCTCTTCATCGACTTCCCTCTCGCCGCTTCGAATGAGGATAAAGGCTTCGGACAGTGTCATGCAAGTAAGTTCTGACAATTTCCTCTCGTCTCGTCTACACTTTATCTAAATTTGATAAACTGCACCACGATGTATCTAAATTTGATAAATTATTTCATGATTTATTTAAATTTGATAAATTGTAGTGTAGCTTACTAAAGTTTGATAAATTTCATCATGATTTATCAAACTTATATAAATTCATGAAATAATTTTATAAAGACTTATCAAAGTCTCCTAATTATGATATAGTCTTAGATATCTCTAAAACTTCTTTTGCACATAACTGTACAAAGCTAACAATTCTCTCAGTTGACTACCAATCTCGCTCGCCGGTTCCATGCGAGTCCCGAAGGCTCAAAGTCAAGTTCCCTCACGAGATCGAGGTCAATTTCCGGGCCGCAACCGAAGAAGAGGCTTCCAACCTTCCGAAAGGAAAAGCCAAGATGTCCTGGGTCGAAGTTGCTCTCAAGAAAGACGCCAAGGTCACGGTCGAAGGGTTTGGCATGCTTCGGACGATATCGTCGGCGGCAAGACGCTCCTCGATATTCTTCAACAGGAGCAGTTCACCTTCATCGTCTCCGAGCCCCACCCACTGTTGCAAAACAAGGTGGACGTGACCAGCCTACCAGCCAGCTTCGATTTCGGCTATGGTGACATCCACTCCTGGGACATGGAGAGATATATGCAGCAGCTCAGCGAGATCAAGGGCGGCCAGATCGAAGCTTCTTGGAACCACTATACAGATGACTCTTACGTGGCTTCCGTGACTCAGAGTGTTGTCCAGGACATCATGTGGCTTCACAGAAGCAAGAATATGAGGTTCTGAAAGGGATGCAACCGCCATCTACAGTCAATGCCATCCAAGGCCAAGAGGCAGATATGGTTGTTGTTATTACAGCGGCTACCCGCGGCGCTGGTGCTGGTTTCACCTCGGACGAGCGTCGACTTAATGTTATGTTAAGTCGACACAAGTGTGCTCTCGTCATCTTCAGTGACATCGCCACGGTGAACTACAAGGGCAAGGGTAAGGGAAAGAGAAAGGCAGAGAGGGTCATGTTGCCTACTGGAGAGGTGTCGTTCCAGAAGGCTCGGATGTTAAAGGATGTCCGCAAGGCGCTTGCTGAGGCAGGGCGCGTGGCTGTAGTCGAGTGTAAGCCGAATAAGGGCAAGAGAAAAGCTGAGGATGAGGCTGCTAGATAGGCACTGGGTAGAGAAATGAGACCAATATTCTTCTGAATAAAACTAAAGGCTGTGTTTCTTAAGCACGTTTCGAGAATTTACACTAAAACTACAGCGTTTGACTCGACTTGGACATGAAAGAGCGAAACAAGAAGAACTTCTTTTGGTGGGGCCGATGTGAGACGAAGTGTGATTTGAGATGAGCGAGCAAAGCAAAGTGTTATGCCAAATATGGCACGACATACTACCGTTCAAGGCGTCTTGTCGCTCTAGGGTCTCAGGAGTCCATCGAGTTTTCTCGCCGAGCTCAAGCCTGGCATTCTCTTGCAAAACTTCGTCAACTCGGATAAACGAGACACTTGCCTCGAACCACTGAGCAAGCTGGCCATCCCGCGAAGGAGCCGCCGGTCGTGTATAGTGGGTGAAGGTGAGATTTTCCTGAGACAGGAGAGGTAGTGAATATTCGAACAAGTGGTAGCGAAATAGGCGACATGAGGTCCATCTGCCAGGTGCCCTGAACCTCTTTTGGAAGACCGGAAAACACAGTAGGCTGCAGAGGCTAGGCATCAAAGGCTCATACAACCTCAGGTCTGTCGCAGAGTCAGTCGCATGATAACTGCGAGAAAGAACAGTTTGAAACCCTTTTTGTACAGGAGGTAGCTCTGGCGACCCTTCGGAGATGTTCTCGAAGAGGATTTAGGTAAGCACTGCAGTTTTAGTGTAAACTCTCTAAGTGTGCTTAAAAACACAGTCTTTGAGTTGATAACCCGCTGTCCTGCTCTCCTGCTGTCTTGCTGTCCGTATCGCTGGAGTGTGTCTCTTTGATAGAAGTCAGTCAAAGTACGGAGTAGGAATACAAGTCTTCAAGTACTTACAAGTCTCCGTACGAAGCATCTCCCGACCTCGAAGCATCTTAAGAGCCGATACAAAATATTCAAGATACATTGCTGTTACTGTCACAAGTCGAGCATGCATGGGCATGTTGCCCAACATCGCGTTTCAGTTGTTTGGTAAAAGGTCAAATGTCAACTCTGGCTAGAACTAAAGCTAGCCAGATAATACATACTCCGTACTCCGTACGCACTCTTAAAATGCGTCTATTTGAACCATACTATAAGTCGAGCCAAACGCTGTAACAGGATAGTATGTCAATCGAGTCAGGTGCACATCTTAGTCTTGTCGTAAGCTGCCTGGTAAGCAAGCTTCGGTAATCTCGAGATATATGACTTTCAACTAATTTTATCTCTTCTAACGTCCGATTTAGTGCCCATACTTGTGTCGTTCTGGGTAGAAGTCATCATATGATTAAGAGCTTCAATGTAATATATATATCTCAGTAATTCAGTGTTATTTGTTGCAGTGATTCAGTGCTATTTATTACAGTAATCCAAAACTATTTAGTATAGTAACTTAGTAGCAGTTATTATAGTAATTTAGTAATATTTATTATAGTAATTTAGCTTTATTTATTATAGTAATTGAGTAATATTTATGTTGATAAGTTAATAATTCTTATTTTAAAATTTTATAATGTTAATAATTTGATAAACTTTATTTATAAGATTTAGTAAATTTTATTTTAGTAATTTAGTAATTCTTATTTTAATAATTTAGTAATTTTTATTTCAGCAATTTAGTAATTCTCATTATTGGAATTTAGTAACTTTTATCTTAGTGATCCGGTGATCCATTCTCGAACGATTTGATTTACTATATCTGAAATAGTCTATTCTAATAGTCCAGCAGCGACAGTTTCACCCCCACTCCGTATCACAACTCTTTGTCCTGGCTCAAGAGGGACCTTAGCCGCCAGCTTGATGATAACTCGCGCGACACCACCAGGCTGCACAACTCTAGGCTTCTTCTTGATGATAGCTCCGCTGGCCTTATCTAGCGTCGCTGTGATGGACACAATCTGTCCAGCCGAGTGCAGACGTCCACGATGCAAGTCCACAGGCATGGGCATAAGATGCTCAAATGCCATGGCCTTCATGGTAAGGGTGTCACTGCAGCTGATAGGATCCGTAGTGTGGCAGAGCATGTCGCCAACTCGAATATGAATAGGGTCGATGTTAGTGAGAGCAACACTGACACTCTGTCCAGCAACGGCCCAATCTTGCATGTCTGAGTCCACCATGATCGATTTGACGAATGCTTCCTCCCCACTGGGTTGAACCAATAAAGCGTCACCAATCTGGACAGAACCAGAGTCGACTCGTCCTGCAATGGTTGTTGTGCCCAATTGCGACCTGAACACTTCAGATATGGACATTCGGAACGGCGTCTTGAGAGCTCGCGCTGTTGATGGCTCCGAGTTTTCCAGAGCCTCAATCAGAGTGGGGCCAGTGTACCAAGATGATGCTGAGTCTTCTGATCGACGGACAAGATTGTCGCCATTGAGACCAGATATGGGTATGAAGTTGACGTTCTTGGGTTGGAAGCCAAGACCAGCAAGGAAACCGTTCACCTGCTGAGCGATCTCGTCATAACGTTCTTGTGACCAACCAACCATATCCAGTTTGTTGACGGCGATAACAAGGCGCTGGACACCCAAGCTTCGCAAGAGCAATACATGCTCTCGAGTCTGCCCCTTAAGACCCTTTTCGTAGGCTCCGGTATTTGCGTCGATAACCAAGATGGCAAAGTCAGCTTGACTAGCACCTGCAATCATGTTTGGTACAAAATCTCGATGTCCAGGTGCATCAAGAATGGTGAAACTCGTCTTCTCCGTTTCAAAGTAATTTGTGGCGATGTCGATTGTCACACCTCGTTCTCTTTCTTCACTCCTTTGATCCATCACCCATGCGAGGGCAAACGATTGCTTGCCAGACTTTTCAGCCTGTTTCCGATATCGATCAATGGTATGCTTCTCAACAAACTTCAGCTCTAATAATAGCCGCCCCATAAGGGTACTCTTTCCGGCGTCGACATGTCCTAACTGATCAGCAAGTCCTGCAACGAAGGAGAGAAATAAACGTACCAACTACAACAAAGCTAATACTCCTTTTGTTGGAGCTGCTCTCATACTCCTTAAGTACATCAAGCCCCTTGCTCTTTGGCGGTGGCACGTCGGCGATTTTGAGCGCAGCAACGTCCTTTTCAGCTTCAGAGACATTCTTCTCCTTTTCTTTCTGGGGCTTTTTGGTAGGCTTTGCTACTGGCTTCTTGCCCGCTGAATGGAATTAGATTAGCCCATTACTTCGTCCTTGTAAAATTCGAACCTTTCGCCTGAGCTGCAAGCACAATATCATCTGGACTAGGCTCGGCGAAAGCATGGGCGATAAAAGATGAAGAGGATGTGTATGGCATGGCAAAAACATCGGGCCTGTGGGTTTTGACCGGAGCAGATCCAAAGAGCGTTTGAGCAAAAGCGGATGGGGTAGCTTGAGAAACAACCACTGTAAAGTCCTCATCGATAAATCCACCCTTGGACGGAGAACCAACATCTTGCTGTTTGTTATCGTCGGGAGTGACTTGGGACTCTATGTCGTTGAGTGGAGAAACGACTTGAGGCGTGGGTTGGGGCATCTGACGCTTCTGACTCAAAGTTGTGTCATTTTCTTTTTGTGAGTCGCGGACAGAAAGGGATTCAACACCTTTCTCGACCCTTTCCAGCTCCTTCCTTTCGTCGATCTTCTTCTTCCTAGCAGCTGCAAGAGCTTGAAGTTTTGACATCTTGGGAACGCCTTCGCCTCCACCAAGCAACCCTCCACGAGGACGTTCAGGCTCGACAAACTCGGCCCGACGTTCTTGTGGCACGTTCAACCACGGCATGTCATCGAAATACCACGCAGGAACTCCATCAACAGGTGGAAGATCCATGCGAGGGAGATATCCGTTTGACAGACGTCCATGGTCTGCTCCAGTCCCCGAAAGACGTTGCGAAGCAGAAAAATAACACACTGACATACCTTCTGGTGCCTTCTTTACTGGTTTAGGTGCAGGTGCGATGAATGTCTTCATCAAATATGTGACTGATTTATCGATGTCATAGTAGTAATGCCATAAGGCTTCTTCGATCTGCGATTTGGTCACTTTGTCGGCTTCGGTACCCAGAGCCCGGCGGACCTCTGCAGTGCCTTCGTCCATGGCTTGGCGGTCCTCTTGACTGAGCTCATCTTCGCCCGTCTCTTCGTAATCGATGCCGTCAAACTCGGATACGATGTCGTTCGTATCGAACGTGTGAACAATTCGGTGTCGCGACATATTGTCAGGCTGGATCGGTAAGGTGGAAACAAATTTTGGTTGTAGAATGCGGTTCGTGTGAGAGTCGGAGAATATTGAGGAGTAAGTTCGGGATGACCTTTGACAGAGGAGAAGCTCGGCTTTTATAGGTATGGAGGTCTTTTAGAATTAGAGTATTTGAAAATATGCCCTCAGTTCGAGGGTTTGAGGGAGTTTATGTTTTCCAAACTCTGCGATGACTGTTTGAAGTTAATGATGCATACATAGAATTGGCACAAGCTCCATGGTGGGGTTAGGTATGAAGTCACCTATGCTCAGGCGCTGAAGCCTGGCACAACGGCACAGACCATGTAGCGGGGTTCAATGGAGATTTCAGAGCCTGAGCCCCTGATTCGGACTATCTCGTTTCCCCGCGCCGCGAATCGGTGTGCAAGGCATCTCCCAAATCTTCAAAAAATTGAGGTGGGATAATCGATCAAGAAATCGATAGAAGCTCCCGACTGCCACCATATTTCGTGGGACTTTTCAACATCGCCGTAAACGCCCCCGAACTAGCGGATACAGCTCCCCACGGGTGGAAAATATACAGTCAAGATGGACGGAATGAGTGAGTCCCGCACACTTTGGTCAACGAGGGGCGAGGGGTAGCTAACGAGGGGACAGATTTGGACATGTCCAACGGTATTTGCGACGACTTACCATGATGATGGTTCCCTGCTAACTATAATAGCGGCTGTTATGAAGGATGAGCAAGGACGCCCCTTCATTGTCGTCAGAGAGTACGTTTACAACTATTACAGACTTCACCGTTGATTTCAAGTCACCTAACATCTTTTTTAGTCAGGGCAGGAAGAAGCGCCAGTTTGGCAACGAAGCCGTCAAATCTCACATTCTCGCCGCCCGTACCGTCGCAAATATTGTCAAGTCGTCTCTTGGCCCTCGCGGACTCGACAAGATTCTCATCTCCCCCGACGGAGACATCACCGTGACGAACGATGGCGCTACTATCCTACAGCAGATGGAGATTACCAACCACGTCGCTAAGCTACTGGTAGAGCTTTCCAAGTCACAAGATGACGAGATTGGTGATGGTACCACTGGTGTTGTTGTCCTTGCTGGTGCTCTCCTGGAGCAGGCGGCCGATCTGATCGACAAGGGCATCCACCCCATCCGAATTGCCGACGGTTACGACCAAGCCTGCGATATCGCTGTTGCTGAGCTTGACAACATCTCAGATACCATTGACTTCTCTCTCGAGGAGACATCTAACCTTGTCAAGGTGGCACGAACAAGTCTGGGCAGCAAGATTGTTTCCAAGGCTCATGACCAATTCGCCAACATCGCCGTTGACGCCGTTCTATCTGTTGCCGACCTCGAGCGAAAGGACGTCGATTTCGAGCTAATTAAGGTTGATGGAAAGGTTGGAGGTGCCCTCGAGGACACCCTCCTCGTCAAGGGAGTTATTGTCGACAAGGACTTCTCTCACCCCCAGATGCCCTCAGAAGTGCGCGATGCCAAGATTGCCATCCTGACCTGCGCATTCGAACCCCCGAAGCCCAAGACCAAGCACCACCTCGACATCACTAGCGTCGAGGAGTTCAAGAAGCTACAAAACTACGAGAAGGAGAAGTTTATTGAGATGATCCAGCAGATCAAGGATACAGGTGCCAACCTGGCCATTTGCCAGTGGGGTTTCGACGATGAGGCCAACCATCTCCTTCTCCAGAACGAGCTACCAGCCGTTCGATGGGTCGGTGGACCTGAGATTGAGCTGATTGCTATTGCTACCAACGGTCGTATTGTCCCTAGATTCGAGGACCTGACCGCAGAGAAGCTGGGAAGTGCTGGTGTTGTCCGAGAGATGACCTTCGGTACAACACGGGAGAAGATGCTTGTCATTGAGGAGTGTGCCAACACCCGCGCTGTCACAGTCTTTGTCCGAGGCAGCAACAAGATGGTAAGTCTAGTTTACTACTATGGACAAGAACGATACTAACATACTCAGATTATCGATGAGGCTAAGCGATCTCTGCACGATGCCCTCTGTGTGGTGCGAAACCTGGTCCGCGACAACCGTGTCGTTTACGGCGGTGGTGCCGCTGAGATTGCTTGCTCTATGGCTGTTGAGGATGCGGCTATGAAGACCCCTGGCCTTGAGCAGTACGCTATGCGTGCCTTCTCTGAGGCTCTCGACACCGTCCCCATGACCCTTGCTGAGAACAGTGGTCTGAACCCTATCGCTACTCTTGCCGAGATCAAGAGTCAGCAGGTCAAGGCTGGTCCTGCGGGACGAGGAAGACTTGGTGTCGATTGTATGGGACGTGGAGATAACAACATGAGGGACGCCTTTGTCATTGACCCCCTTATTGGCAAGAAGCAGCAGCTTCAGTTGGCCACACAATTATGTCGCATGGTCCTGAAGGTCAACAACGTTATTGTGTCTGGAGCTGATGACAACGACTTTTAAGTAAGATAGATGAGCAATGAATGAATACATGCTTGTCATCTTGTTACGATAGAGGGTCGGCTATGTATGTAGATGATATCCGTGGATGTATAATCAAAAGTTCCGTATATTCCTCAAGTTGATGTTACTTCAAACAAGCCGCCGTGTCTGTAGGGTTCATCTGATTGGATGACAGGGTTCCGAGGAATCCTATTTTATTTGGCTTACGTGCACGCTACTTTACAAGGTAAACACACCAGTATTGACTATAGTTCAATCGAAGAATGACTAACCGCTCAACACTTATTCTTCTGACATAAATTTCGGACCAAGATACTCTATGGCATCCTTCGAGACGTCTACATCTGCGTCACCAGGTTCCGTACCCAATACAGACATTTCAACTGTCAATACCAAAAGGCGACCTGTCCCTCGGAAAGGCCATACCAAATCTCGGGCAGGATGTTTTAGTTGCAAGCGAAGAAGAGTAAAATGTGACATGATCACTCCAGAATGCGGTGCTTGTAAACGGTTAGGCTTGGAGTGCAGATACTTGAACAGGCCAAGTGGTCAAAGTTCGGCGGCTATCTCACGGCCACTACGAAGTGATCCTGCCATGTTCGATACTGATGATCTTAACTTTTTTCGGCATTTTCTCTTTGAGGCATATCCGACTCTTCCAATCGATGGGTTCTCTGTTTGGCAACAGGCTTCGCAGCTTTCACATGAGGTGGGTGAACTGTCAAGGTTGCTGGTAATAGCAGCATGACTAACTACTTGGATAGTATGACTTCCTACTGCACTCGATGCTTGGCCTTGGGGCTTCCCATTTAAGTCTCATGGCACCTTCTGGATATGAAAGGGCCGCGTTAAAGCATCGAATCATTGCAATCAGCGCCTTGAACAAGTACCTCACAAAGCCTGACCTTACCAAGCGAGACGTGGAAGCCGCATTTGGTACTATGCTTAATCTGACTTTTCAATCTGCGCATATGAATGAGGGTCTGGTTGACTTTCTCACCACGATCCGAGGCTGTAAGTGTACTTCAAAATGAATTTACATAAACTGAACTGAACTGTCCAGGCTGGCTTGTTGGAACACAACCCCATGTCGACCTAGATCACACTATCTTCAAGACATTCGGAAGACTGAGCTATGTTGAGAGGATCAAGGCCATTGTCAATGAGAACGATGAAACGAATCGTAGTCTGGACAACTTCATCGCCGAGGGATTTTGTCAAAGTATAAAGAAACTTCGCCCTTTGTGCCACAGTGTTGCCGAGCTACAATATTTAACACATATGCAAAAGGTCGCAACTCTAGCATCTACAAATCCAGCCGAAAGTATGGCTTCCATGCAATTCAAGCCACATAGTTACTGATTGTTAGGTTACCGCGAACTTTCTTTCCTTTATGACGGACTCGGAAAACTCAGCAACGATGACTTTACATCATTTATCGACACTAAGAACCACACCTCGCAGCTGGTTATAATGCACATGCTTATCCTAGAATTCGTTATGAGCCGTAAAGCGATGGAAGAGGGTGGGAGGTCTACGCTGGGCCAGAAAGGCTACTATTGCAGGAAAGCCATGTCTAAGGTTTGGGTTCAGCAGATTCTGAGCAGACTCCCCCTTAAGTATTGCGAGTACGGCGAGTGGCCTTTGAGGTTCATCGATAGTCTCAATTACTCGTTCGATGACGAATATCAGGTTTGGAAGCCTTTCTTCCTGAGCAGTGGGAGAGCGATTTTGGTCGAGGGAAATACGTTCTCTTTGGCTGTAAGATAGATATATCACAAGTTTATACGAAGTGATTAATCAACACGCTTTGCAAACTGAGTAATAACATTCTGATGAAGCCAGCCTATATTCCACCCAAGGTTTTGCTTGCTTCTTTCTTCAGCATATCTCTCAAGCTAAGTATCCCTCAACGTTAGTGATATATGTGAGAACAATGAATATGAGGCGGTAGACAACAGTTCCGATTATGGCAGGGGCATGAATTGTGTATTTAAGTGTGCTCTTGGTCTCCCGTTTTGCTTCTACGCGGTCGTTCGAAGGTCTTAAAAAGGGGGTGGGAATATTATTAACCCGTTGAGGTGCTCTACTATGAATACTTTCACCTTCTGATCGTGCAAATAGTTTAATAATTTCTCCTCTTCTCAATTTTATATAAGTTATGTCCTCCAACTAAAAGTCATTCGAATATTATCAACTCTGTATCTCTTTATTGCTTATGTTAATAACATTGGAAGAGACGATATACTACATGAGCTATCCTACTACGGGAACTTGCACGGAACTGTGCTAAGCTAAACATTTTGGTCTTACAACATGGAAAAAGAGGAGACAACTCTGTTCCTGGTTTCCCTCAAACACTTAGACGTATCTAGTTACGTGTAAACTCGACGTCATACTCGCTGGCATTGATAGCGAATGAGACACCCCTTCTACGCGTAAGAACCAGCATCATATGGACAACCCTGAAAAAGACCCTTATTTTAGTGGCATGCGAATATGGCCATGACCTGGGCCGGGCAAAGGGGCCGGCACAAGGAAGAAACAGCGTTCAGAGCCGAGGTGGCGGTAAATCTCACGGGATGAGGGTATTCACATGGCCATGAAGCAGTCGTTCGATCCTCATACGTGTTGTTTATCCCGCAAGAAACCACATGACGTTATCTCGATATTGACAGCTGGAGACATTTCCCACGATCGCAAAGGCGTGTGAGACATGAAACACAACAAAAATGTGTACTCAGACCCTGACTTGGCAAAAGCTTGGAAGTTGTTATGTTATGTCAATGCGATTGAGGCAGATGATTGGGGTCGGTTGACGTGGGGCGCCATCATAGCATGGTGTTGCGGCAAAATACCGAGAAGCGTGACCTAGATATTGGTCACGCAAAAGAGAAATTTTACTACGTACTCTTTGGTATAAACCAGTTTTTACCGAGGGTGATTAAACTCGGGGTCTTAGTCTGGAACATGACATGGTTTTGGTCTTATTCTTTTGACGGCCAGACCGTCTGATTGTTACCCCAGAGTCCATCAGACATATCCATGTGAGATGGGGAACAGAGACAATAAACAATCAAGAGAGTATCATTAGCAACGCCTCAGCAGGCAGCCTTGCCTACTGCGGAGCGTCGTGCACGCACTGCCACCACACCAGCAGGAGTGGGTAATCAATAAGATAAGTTTTGTTTCTTTGTACCGCAGCCCATTGGATCGCATATCGAAAACTCCCGTACTTAACCGTCAACGTGAGAATTGTGTCCCCCCAAACTGCCTCACCGATGTTCTGTTTTTGAGGATGACTACTGTGAAAGATGATTTCCGCTGTAAGAAAAAGTGACCAGGACCAGCGCCATTGCCACGGAGAGGGGAGGGGGCATGTGTGTCAGTTTTGGGGCCTGGATGTTGCTGTGAGGTTTGACGCGGGCCAGATGGCGTGCATGTAATTGAGAGTGAGCGTGGGGAGTTGCAGATGGAGTATGAAATACGGTTATTTGAGGGTAATTAATAACTGTAAATAATTAACTGTGAATAACATGTATGAAAATTGCTCGCATAATCACAGAAAAATAATCATCTCTCTCTTAATAAATATTCAATGTAATAGTTACTTGTTTTGGAACTCGTAGTTTGGTCAAGATGGATATGTGTATCCGTGGTCAGTCTATGTAATGGATATACAGAGATGCAATTATAGATGAATGCCTACCGTTTCAACCGTAATGAATGCCACCAAAGAAGGAAACCAATTAATCAACAGCCAATGAATAAAATTCTTTAATTAAATATTAAAATCAGTACGGTATTCTCTGCCCTGAACATCAAACCTCAGCAATGCCCTGTACAGCGCAGCGTAGTACAGCGCATACATCACCACACAGCACCACACAGCACCGGGTTCCCGGGCCTCACCGCCCACTGTGGTCGCTGTAACAGGTCCCCTCCACGGGTCATCTGCTCTCAATTTTGCTGAGTTGTTCATCATCCCCATTCAGGCGCCCTCACTCCCACTTCCGTTTTCCACTCCCACTCCCACTCCCTTTCCCCCCATCTCGGCAATACATCTTCACCTCGACATGCACACTCCCTCCCACCATCTCTAATAATAAAGAGAGGCCTGTCACTTCAGATGCTCATGATGGATGCTTCTTGCTTCTTCCCCGGGCTTACATGAGACACCCACCCTGAACACAAACTCCGCGCGCAGCTCAACATATTCTACCTTTAAACTACAACACTAATAAAGAACTGACAGCGGTAAAACATGTCTCTCTCTACGGTCTCATACTCTTCCAAATGTTTCAACCCGCTTGTCGCACTCTCTAGGCACTTCTGCTTGGTTATCATGGGTCATCTACCAAGCCTCTATATGCGAAGAGCCGTTTTGAAGAAGAAAAAGAAATTCAAAGACATTTGTTCACTGTACATGATATGCCATGCCAGTTCATGGCTTGCTTTGTCCTCCATGCGATGCAACAATGACCAACAACAAGCAAAGACCCTACTGATGCAGGTGTATCAAATGTCAACTGTCGTTGTCAATTGATCCTCCTCTTTGGGCGATTTCCTGTTTCGTGTCCCTCACTGTCATTGCTTCTTTGTTGCGGTCAATAGCCCACGTTCCCTATCGAGTGCTCACCAGATCACAAACCAAGTTTGGGCTGATGGGCTTTCTTTTGGTGCTACGACATGACCGCCTCGTATTGTGATATATGGCCATTTTTATCACATTCAAGATAATGATGAAACCAGTTCTACGTCGTCTGATTTGTCTTCAGGCTCTCACAACTGCTCATTTCGAGATTATCGGGCAGCGTCACAACCCCCAAGCTGAATCGATTTGTCTACGGCATACACTCTATCACTAATAGACTTGTGATAGATCTCAGCCACCCCGGCCTGCAACATCACTTTAGCCTAAATCCCTGTTTTACGAATTTACTGAGAATGTATTTCCCTTGATATATCCCGTCCCTACCCTTCAGGCCTTCACCGACGTTGATCTGTCAGCCACAGCCCCGCGAGGCCAACCCCCATGACTGATCCCAAAGTGGCATGTTCTCTCATCCCTCATCTCTCAATGGCATTGCGAAACAAAGCTTGAGCTTTGGCTCCAATGATCTGGCCCCGGCTCCTCACGACCAATACATGCCCAAACGGACGTCCTTCCGGGCGGCTTCTTGCATCGAATCGAGTCGCCGCCCGTCTGCAATCACCAAAGCTAAGCAACGTCGATCGTCGATGCAGATTGATTCCGGGGAGGGCACTGCAGCCGATAGTTTGCTTGTATTCAATGTGAGACAGCAGCTGTAGTTCTTTTACTCCTCATTAATTACACTCTAGTCGAGTCCAACAAACATTGCCCCGGCTTATGCGAGGACTGTTCCGCGTGAACCGTCTTGTGCAGCCATACTTTGTTCAATAGTGATGGTAGCACGGGAGGTTGGCTTTGACAGGCAAGTTAAGGGTGGATGTAGCTAACGCCTCGCGGATTTTCCCCTGGAAGAGACACACATTGGCTTTGTTGTAGTCTTGGACGAGTTTAATATAGCTGGTGTGTGTCTGACGGACTTGCATAGGACAACCGTATTGAACTTACAAGATATGGAGATTGAACCAATGGGATGCTTAAGATACTATAACCAAACATAATTCTTTTTCTATATTTCAATTGGCAGATATTTAAACAACTTCTGATTTTGGTGTGATTAGAACTGGCCCTGCTTTTGGTATGCAGTAGGCTTATAGCAACTTGACGATACCTACTCAATCTTCATTCCCAGGCTTGACTCATCCTAAATTCCAAATTGGAATTACTGATTATGAGTCAACTAGAAAAATTGACTATATCGTCGAATAGTAAACGAGGAACCTCAGATAAATCGTCTCCAAGCGGAAGAGGCAATGACGCCCCGTGAGTCACTCTCCAATTCGAGTTAACAGCTTTTATTCTGCTCACGTAAGGAGGAACTCCAGGCAGTGGAGACGCTCGCCACTCCATCAACAACATGACAATAAAAACAACAACTTCCCGCAAATTATATCGTTCTCTCAACTTCCTATCAGGGCCCATCTTCTAAAGCTAATACCTCACCGTTGTTGCATCTCTGGCGTTTTGGGTTCGTTTTTACGTCATTCGCTGATATTTTTCACCACCAAAATTCCTCTCACAACTGGCCACCAACTGCCCACTTCTAAAAACGTCATGATCTCAACCAAGAGCGAAGAATCAGGCTCACCGCAGACCCGTAAACAGGCTGTGGCTGAAGCTTCGTCATCTCGCGTCGTCCCCAAGCCCGTGCCAGAGTCGCAGGCTCAGGATCCTAGGACATATCAGATCGAGCAGCTGCAGCGACGCTATTCGCCAAAGGAAGCCACTGCCCCCGACGGTGCAACTTCACTGCTGTTCAGGATCAAACCCTCGGATCCTGACTTTCCATTTGAGTTGGCCGCTCTCGAGTGCGATCTCCGTGTTCCGCAGGCATATCCGGATGAGAAGCCGGTGCTGCATGTAAAGAACAAGGACATCCCCAGAGGCTTCGGTATCAACATTGAGAGAGGATGGGATGGGCTCGTGGAGAAGAGACCCGACGCTACGTTGCTCGCCCACACGCGAGAGTTGGACAAGAACCTGGAAAAGTTTCTGTCTGAGCAAAAGGCCGAGACAGTCAAGCTCGTGACTTTTAGAGACACAAGGCATGTGGATGCACAAAAGGCTCAGACACAGGAGACCACGGAGCCTAAGACGGAGCAGGTCTCTGAGCCAGCTCCGCCAAAACCTACTCCGGCGCCTTATAGATACGTTCCAGAACCGTCGTACACAAGGGAGGAAATCACCGCTGCGAAGGAGCGACGTGCTCTTGAGATTCGTCAGCTTGAGGCACGTATGAAGAGGACACCCGAGTATCGTCGTTCTCCTGACGGTGTCGTGTATACGCTGCCACTACAGCCGCAGAAGCGTTCGGAGCTTCCACCAGGGCTGCAGTCTGTCATGAGTCTTCATCTCATTATCCCACTGATCTACCCCCTGCAAAATCTCCGTATTCAGCTCAATAATGTCGAGCCCGAAGATGCAGAGCCGGTGGAGGATCTATTCTGCGAAAAAGCAGCTGAGCAGCAGCATATGTCTCTCATGAGTCACCTCAATTACCTCGCACAAAACATCCACAGACTGGCCAAGCAGGCACAAGCTCAGGCACCCAAGGTCGAACCAGTCGCCCCGGTGCCCGAGGAACAGCCTCAGGATTCCAAGGAAGCCGAGCCCAAGTCTGAGAATAGTCACATCCAGGTGATCCCACGACCTCCTGAGTGGAACAACGCCGATGGAGATGAATCCGAAGAGGAGTCCAGCTCTGACGATACTGACGATGGCGGCGCTATCTTGGAGAATGAGGAAAAGGAACCCCAGGTCCCCATGCCAGGTGAAACTCCCGAGCGTGGTACCATGTTGTCGTTCCCTTTGATTGAGTTGCACGAGATTGAGATACTTCAGCTCACCATCTTGAGTCTGAGTGTCAAGTGCGAGCGATGCAGAACAGTCAACGAAGTCACGAGTCTGAAGCCTGACGTCGAAAAGACAACCAGCTGCAAGAAATGTGCTACACCATTTGCCGTCAAGTATCGAGCTACTCTAGTTCACGAGAACTCCACAAGGGCTGGATTCCTTGATCTTTCTGGATGTAAAGTGGCAGATATGCTTCCCAGCACATTTGTTCCAACCTGTGAGAGATGTTCTACCCCAGCTCCTGGACTGGTTTCAGTCCAGGGTTCATCTGTCACCAATGTTTGCCGGGACTGCCACGGCCATTTCACATTCAAGATCCCCCAAGTCAAATTCCTCTTCATCACTCCTGGTTCTCGGCCCCCACCTACCACAGGTCCACGCCGAAAGCAAGAGAAGCTGGGTCTTCACGCGGGAGAGCAACTCCCCAGCAAGGGCACATGCTCGCACTACCGAAAGTCCTACCGGTGGTTTCGCTTCTCCTGCTGCAGCCGTGTGCATCCATGTGACAAGTGCCATGACAGCCAGGAAGACCACCTCAACGAATGGGCCAACCGCATTGTCTGCGGCTGGTGTAGCCGCGAGCAGAACTACTCTTCAGCGGTTGAGGCTTGTAGATTCTGCGGTCGGTATCTAATAGGTAGAAAGGGCAGAGGGTTCTGGGAGGGCGGAAAGGGTACGAGAGATAGGAGAATGATGAGTCGGAAGGATCCGAGAAAGTACAAGAGGATTGGTGGCTCAGCGGCCAAAGAAACGACCTAGAATAGCTATTACCTTGGCGATTTATCTGTCACAGCTTAGACGCGCGCAGGCTGGATGCCAGTGTAGTTAGTAGCAGTCAGCTTGAATGTGACCCGATATCAGCTGAATCACATTTGTCTATCGCCACTGGCCTTCCAGGGCCCTTTGAGCGGTTACGAGCCGCCAGTATTCACACTGATGGCAAATACCTGCAACCACTGTGACAACAGAAAGCACCATCCACCGTTTCGCAAAAACAAGACCACCCAATCTTTGTAGGGTGAAACGTCGAGCAGTGGGGGGTTACGCAGCCTATTTTCTTTCTGTGCGTCCCGATTCTATTCCCGTCGGTATCTCGCTGTGGGCGCGTTATGATTTGAGGAACTGGTGATGGAGTGTCACACTGAGTTACAGGGCGTCTGTGTGGGAGTAGCTGGCGGTAATTGGTGGGAGGGGCTTTTATTAGTGATGTATATTTTATGTTGGGGTGAGATACATGATTGTGTAAAGAGGAACGGCCAAAGACAAAATTGATTAATAAATTGATTAAATCATTGGACGATTTTTTATTCATGGCCATGGCAGTGGTTAGAGCAAGCAGAATGATCTGCGTGATAGTAATGGTAGATAAATAGTTATCACACGAAAATGGACGTATTAGATGAGGGCATACGTGATCAACGTGATCAAATACTTACAGGTGGAATTTTGTAATGATCTACTGTGGTCGCAGAGTCTTGGGCCTAGATCTTTGTATTGTCTAATTGTATTGGAAATCTGAGTGATAAAGCTACAATCTCCTCTTTAGTTGAATATCACGCAATTCTTCATCACGAGTCAACATCGCGGGATGAGGTGGTGGTCAAGCCATCCTGCAGGGTATCTTGTAGCGATGAAGCTGCACTATTTGGCATGTGAAGCAATATGCATAATGGTAAGAGCATGGGATATTCTGCGATATCGGACAGTTTTGCACAAGTTATCCCTCTCTTAATGCTGCTGATGTCGGCGAGGTCGGATATGCTGGAAAGGTTGTCAGCTGAGGGACGTACCGCGCGGGATGGTATGGGGTCGAAAACGTGGGATGTGATGAGATGCTTGATACGGTAGATAGCAGAGACTTTCAAAGGTTGTTCTAGAAACATCATGCAAAGTCAGGTTATGTCTAAGCATATCCGCACTCCGTAATGGAGTTGACTTTTGGGGGGTAAAGCAGGATGTGTTTTGCTGATGCTCTGGGCGTAACAAACGGAGGATATGCAGGTACCGTGAGATATGTGAAGAATACAGGTGATCAAACAATAGACAACCAATGAGTGAGTCCTGATGAGGCGAGCCGTCTTGCCCTGAAGGCATCGTGAAAGCAACAATACCACGGGCGTGTTCAAATGTACCCCACAGTTCCAGTCTCTCGTTAACGTTTCATAGACCCTTGTCAAAGGCATCACAGGACGTGATATTAAGTTTTCCCCAAGCCTCAAAGCTGAGGGTATGTATGTATTTTTGGCCATGTCCCCCACTCTAGAATATGAGGAATGACACGCAGAGAACAATCACAATGCAATAATAACCTCATCCCCTGAGGGGCTGACGCCCAATTAATTAATTAATTGGCGGGACATTCTGCTAATTAAATTGCTACGTAATTGTTTGTTTGTCTCAGCTCCTTAGGCTTTGACCCTGGAAATGTAAATGGGAATGAGGCGTGACGGGGATCGACGGAACAGACGCGCCAACGCCACGGACCGTCGCTCGTCCATCACGGGACGTAATTGTGGCTTTTGGTGTATTTGGTGAAACTTGGAGAGTCAGGTTGGGGCTTTGTTTGAAAGGGGAAAGGAAGATAGATGGTAGTAGGTATTCTGACAGACGCCTCGTTGGGGTTTACAGCTGCATTCACACCCTCTACAGCATTCCTGACTTTGTATAGGAGCAGCTGTATTATCATTAATAAGATGTAGTGCTATGTATGTACATGAAACTGAGCAAAGACTAAAAACGTAGATATCATATCTCGGTCAACCTTGTTAGTTATATGATAAGTTACATTATGTATGCGGAGCAGCCGAACCCCATATTTTCATCCAGACATGGCCAACACGTGCACCCATGACATGACATGCTCTGCTCGTGCCTCTTTTCTCGTCTCGACTCCCTGTGCCACGCCCAAGCCTAGAGGTAGCAAGCCCAAAGCAAATGTTCCCGACTCAGGCCTTATCCGCGGGTCCTCTTCCGGCGCCAGGGGCTACCCCTGAAAAGGGTGTGAAGTGTCAGGGGTAGCCCTTCTAGAAGGTGAACTTGTGAAGGAAGGATGAATTGATGCCGAGCAATTAAATAGACAAATAATAAATCATTTAATCGAATTCTATTATTTTGTATCAAACGGTGGACGTCTTTGCTATCTCCCGAATAGTCACCGTTTGCTGTTGTTCTTGTCTATCTATTGTGGTCCAGTTTGTCATGGCAAGCTGAACAGCTGCTCATTGACACAACTGACTCTGATTGAGTGAGGTAAGCTGAATGCTTGATTGTCTACTCTCTCAGGTCCAACAACATGCAGCAACTCGCAGCAGCAGAGTAAAAAATGTCAGCCAATCATAAAATACCATTCCACCGTTTTAAGCAACATTAAATCAACAATTCAATCCTGTCAAGTGTCCCCAGGGGCCAGGGCCTTTCTTCAACTCTTCAGGCTAAACGCAAAACATCCCTGGCGTACGTAGATAAATGCATAGTCAGCACCCCCAAAGGCTAAAGCCCCAAATACGTGTCCGTAAACCGACTCCCTTGGCCTACGCCGAAGAGAGTTTACCGACCTGCATCCTCGGGACTCTTAACCCATGGCCCCCGCTGTCTACTTCGCCGGAGTCAAGCCCGTGAATACCGTAGGCGAGTGCCTTGAAGGCTTCACCTGATACCGAACCGTGATTGGATCTTGTCGATCGTTCATAGCACGCTCCGTCGCTCCCCTGCGCCTCGCTATCCATATCTCCGTGCCCTGCTTGTTTCTGCCGAGATAGTAAAGACTCATCTCGAACCCTTGGCTTTCGGGCTTCCGCTGTCTTGGTACACCCGTTGCGTTGGGTATCGCCAATCGCTTGGTTAATAAGGCAGGGAAGGGCAGGGCAAGGTATGCGGAGGACTCCGTAATTAACTCAACGGGGCATCAAACCCCGAACCGAGACACTATCGCGGCTTTGAGATCACAATCAAAGGTATGGAAGGATTCCGTAGGTAGGCGATATAATTCCAGACTCGGGTCACGACTGTCTGATCTCCGTGATCATAACCACTTGCCCATGCAGACTCATTATCCTTGGGGAGTCTAGGACACCTCGTAAACAGAGATAGAATCAAGGCGAGGCCGGCCAAGATGCTGCCTGTCATCCAGAGCCGTTGCAACGCCTTTGACACTGCCTCCATCAGAAGCTCTTGTCCAATGCCCCCCTGTTCGATATCTCCTTGCTCGACAGTGGCTTTGATCATCTTCATGGCGTTCTTGACCTGAGCCGTGTCGAGGCCCATGCTCTTCAGCTGCATGCGTAACTCAACTGAAAAGACCACAATACCAAGAGCGATCCCCAAGCATTGCCCCATAGTCCGCAAGACGTAGATCATGCTAACAGCGTGCCCGACGTCTTCCTTCTCGACAGTGGCTTGCACACCAATCGACATGACAGGGAAGAGCAGACCCATTGCTATGCCCACGAACATGGTAATCACCAAGATCGGCGCGGTCGGAGTGTCTTTGTCCAGGATCGTCATTACGCCAAAGATGGCAACCAAGAGAGCCCAACCACCAATCAAGAAGCCTTGATATTTGCCTGTTCTGGATGCTACCAGCCCTACCACGGCCGCCATGGGAGCAACCGTGATGGTCGCCGGGAGTGCCCATACTCCTGTCATGAGAGGAGACTGGCCTTTGACGCCGAGGAAGTAAACAGCCAGGTAGTACAGCACCATCCACATGACTACACCGTGAATCGCCGCATTGACAAACTGCAGTATCGTCGATTTCTCCTTGAACATGCTTCGGGGGAACATAGGTCTCTTTGCGCTTCTCTCGTATACTCCAAGAGCCATGAAGCCTAGTACTGAGATGCCCAAGAGAATGATGATCTGCGTTGATTCCCATGGGAAGCGGGAACCGCCCCAAGTCAAGGGAAGCACAAGGGAGATAGAGGAAATGATGTACAACAGAAGACCGATCCAGTCAAGGTTCTTGATGAGACTGCAGTTGCGCTGGTCTTGGTCGTATCCCAGAAGAAACATGGCACCAATGAGGCTGACTCCGAGGAACGGGATAGTGCACCAAAAGATCCATCTCTGTTGTTGCCAGTCAGAAAGTGCCAGTTGCAACATCGGGAGGGGAAACATACCCATAAGGAATCTTTGTTGAGGACGATAGCACCACCAACAAGGGGCCCGGCAATCGTTCCAAGAGCCCACGAAATATTCTGGATCGCCATAGTCTGAGAGCGCTTGCGGGCATGAAACATATCCGTAAGTATAAGACCTGACAGCGCCTGTGGACCACCAGATCCAACTCCCTGCACAGCTCTTCCAGCAAGAAGCATCATGCTGGATTTGGCAGCACCGCAAAGTGCCGTACCAGTGATGAAGATGACCAAGCAGGCGATGTAGGCTGGTCTTCGGCCCACGACCTGGGACAGCTCGGCGAAGATGGGTTGGGAGATAGCTGTCGCCAGCAAGAAGACGGATCCCATGGTTAAGGACTCGGAAAACGAGGCATCGAGTTCTCTAGCGAGTGCCTGAATTTGTGTTAGCGATGGCTTTTTAACACCCAGGGGGCGACTTACAGGAAGGACAACAGAGATGCAAGTTGCATCGAAGGCTTGGACAAAAGAAACCATGTTCATAACAAGAAGAATTCCCAAGTTGCGCCAACGATGGGGATTTGTGTCGGACTCCGTATGGGAGTCCGCATTAGATTCTGTCTGTCGGGGTAGGATAGGCTGTGAGCCATCCTCGAGTTCGTGGGACAATTTTCCCACCATGGTTGAAGATATGGTAGATAGAAGATGATGGGAAAAGGATGGGTCGAAGAAGAGAAGAAAAGAAGAAGAGTGGTAAATAATGCCAGGCAATGGCCATCTTCAAGGCGGAATAGACTTTTCTCCCCTGGCGACGAAGAAAACAAATCTCCCGAAGTCTGTTCAGTATTCAACATTCATTGGTGAAGCCACAGTATAAACAAGACACCTCGCCCACAAGTTTCAATCGGCGAGTAAACAACAAAGTGGAATCGCTCACGATGGACCATCTCAGCGGCCCAGTGCTTCTCTCTGGGTTTCTCATGTCCAGTATTGTCTACTGGCATGTATTCCTTGTCATCGACTTCCTCCTCCGAAGACTCGCGCCGACCATCTACGAAAGACTCAAGCTCCAAGATCAACTGCGGAAACTCAACCCCCTCATACTCACCATCGTTCGAATGTCAATCGGTCTCACAATTTCTCTGCCGTCCTGCGTACAAGCCGCGCGAACAACCCCATGGGGAGTTGATCAGCCCTTGAATACCGCCGGTCAAATATGTGTCGTATCGCAACTCGCTGTGTGGTCAAACGAACTTCCCCTGGTGCGGATGTACTCTCTGGAACTATTCATTCACCACATTCTCTGCCTCTTCGCCGCTGCCAACATCATACTCTCCCCGCCGATACATCAAATAAAGCCTCTATACATCTACTATGCGTCAATGATGGGCGACGTTGGACCAGGATCGGTAATGATCTTGCGAATGACTGGCCACAGTGTCAAGACATCTCGGTTGATGTACTGCGTTTCCCTGGGATCAACCTTGATCCTGATATTCTGTCGTATTGGAGGTGCTTTCTACACCCTCACCCACGTTCTTACGGATCCGTACAATCCCACTGATTGGGTTTGGGTCATAGGCGTCCTACTGTTCGGCTTCTACTCCCTGCACACTGCGTCGTGCCATCTAAGACGGCTCGGAATTATCAAACTTGACCCAGATCGATATAGGATAACGTGCTTCTCCTGCTCCACGATCCCTATGTCGCATTTGTTCCTTGCATTGGCATGTAGCGCTTCGTTGCTGTCGACGCTGTTCTTGTACGGACTGTATCTCGACCAACCCTTGAGCCACGCAGAAATACACTCGTTGTCACTACATAGCCTTATCGCAGTAGCTGTTGGCTTAACTGGGGCCGTTATCGCCAGGCTCGCGTACCCCTACAATGTCATCTGGTCAAACCCTTGGGGTCGCTTTTATCTTCCACTGGGGATGATCTTGACCAGTGTCTGGATCTCGGTCATGACCAATTATATCGGCGGAGTAGCTCGAGACACATGTCTGGCATCAATAGGAGTCACCGTTCCCTTGTTTTGCGCCATTGCTAGACTTGCTCAATACTACTCAGCCAAGGATGCTATCGCGGCGCACGAGAAGCCACATGCAGATGACAGCTGGGCTAAGAGACACAAAGAGATGGCCCGTGAAAATGCTGTCATATTCTTTGTTTCACTGGCACTTCTGACATTCAAGGCCTTGGACCCCCCAGAGGCGGCGCGGTTAGCAGTTGCCGCCTGTCTTGTGGTCCAGTTCCGATATCGATGGAACTTCGTTCCTCTGGCCGCCGCCAACTTGCATGGTGTAGCCCAAATCATTGTCGCGACCATGATTTCAGTGCTCGAACCCGGATTTATTATCTTTGCTGCCGCTGCTAGATACATACGGGACGAAGCCTCCTTTGCCCATGTTGTCCTGAACTATGCTCTCCTTGGCGGGACTGTTCTAGCAGCTGTTTCAATATCGGGAGGGAAGACGAAGCCGATCCCGTATGAGGCAGTATCAAAGCCTTGTGAGGCAAGAAAGTCACATCCTCTGATCATTCTCTTTCTTTTCATCTGCATGTTGCAGGCGATTATGGCCAGGAGGTACATCATGTTCGAGAAGGGCTCAACCAAAACTTGCCTCGGGTTTGAGAACTTCCGGTTTGTCTTGTCAAGTCCTTTCACCTGGGTAGGCTTGTTGCACATGGCCTCCTTGCCACTCGTTGTTTTGAGGGGAGCTGAGTAAGATATATGTACAGCTTTATTGGCGTTTTTGTTGTGGTGGGAGTATACACGTTTTTAGTAAAATACTTATTCATTTCTGCTTTCCCTAAACAATGATACCTTGAATGTGATTCAATACAGTCAGCAGCCCACCTCTTATCAATGAACTATCAACAACCGTGCATAAGGGAGTATGGCCTCTTGACTCGAGTCGGTGGCAACATACCAGCACGCATCTTCTTTCCCCTGCTCTTTTCCCTTGAACACCTTCAAAATTTCGAGCGCTATGTTCGCGCCGAACTCGCTCTGATAGAAAACTCAACATCCTGACGACTTGCTCAACTCCGCCGCTGGCTCAGGACTCGTCTCTTCGCATGATGAGCCTGCGAATCTCTCGCTCGAGGTGTTGTCCCAGAAGCCCGTAGTACATGATAGCTCTGCTAATATGTTCAGGCTCGTCACGGCGAATGCACTCCACGTAATTGTTCCAGCATTTCCGTGAACATTCCAGGGTTGCGTCATAGCTTTCAATCTGAGCTCGAAGAAGCCGTAACTCGTTGGAGTAAACGACGTGTAAGGCTTCACCGCGGCCATATCTGACAAATAGCTCCTCCTTGGTCAGCATCTGTGAGTGCACCATCTTCTCTGGATGGAAGCCTAGGAGTCAGTTCGCTAAGCTTGTGAATTTTCGTAAGGGCTATCAGACTGTTGAATGAGAAGCTGTGAGAGGCTGAGTGATAGATGGATAGTAGTGAAAAGGGCTTCGTCCAAGCAAGCAAAGAAAATGAATACTCTGGAACTCTAGAACTCTAGAACTCTGTTGGTCTGTTGGTCTGTTGTTTCTCTCAAGTTCCCAGACTCATTTAGGAATTCGTTCTCCTTCTTTTCAGGTCTTGGGGTGATTCACTGCTGCCTCACTTGTTGTTTCGTCCGCTCGCACCTGCCTCGCACTGACGGCTCAGACCTGCACTCAAAACTTGCACCTTCTCTTTCCTTTCCTCTAACGCTCTCTTTCCATCATTCTTTCTTTCGCTGAATTTCTACCAAGCTCATCACCCGGCCGCCATCGATCTCTAGCATTTCAAACACCGATCACTCCTTTGCAATGATGCTGCTCAGCAGCCAAGATCAACCCATCTCTGAGCGTGAGAGGGATCTTTCTGCCAAGTTAAAGGAAGCAGAGTCCCAGATCACCGCTAATGCCCAGCGCGAGGCCAAGCTCCTCGCCCAGCTGCTCGAAGCAAAGAACACGCTTCTCGAAGCCTCCCAGCAGCGGGAACACGACCTCGCAAAACAACTTGAAAGAACAACGGCAGACCTTCATTTGTGTCAACAGACTCAACAGGGCACATCTCAACAGCTCCAGAAATCAGTCGCTGAGCTTGAGGCACTCAAGAAGCGTGTAGATGACCCTTCTGCTGAACTGCTTGAGAAGGACAATGCTCTCAAAATATCACGAAGTCAAGAGAGGCTACTCTCAACAGAGCTCACGCTGCTGAAGGCCGACCACGATCTTTGCAATTCCGAGAAAGAGGGTCTTCGAAACAAAGTCACAATGCTATCTGATAAACTCAAAGACGCAAAGAGCAAAATTGACAATTTCGAGTCTGAAACCAAACAGCTTTTAGTAAAGCCATCACAAGCCGAATCGGATGTCAAAGAATACAAGGACGTCCAAGAAGGTCTCCAGCAGGTTTTACGTCTCGGGAAGGACCTCCAAGAATCTCTGATCAAATCGAATGATCAAATCTTCAATTCCGGTGACAACAAATCGACACCTCAGACAAAAATGCAATCAATAAAATTTGGTCAGACAAGCCAAATGCAGCCATCTCCATCTTTCTCCGGCGTCGGGCACAGTAATGGGCAGTCTCAACACAACAAACCCTCCACCTCCAGTGCACTCAAAAACGGGCAATATCCACAAACACCATCGCAATTCAGCGGTAATGGTTCTTAGAGAGAACAACCAGGGGCATTCTCAAATAGTTCCTCTCCACCTCCTTACGCTGTTCGTCATCCCACCCAGGAACCTAGAAATCAGCGAAAGAGACAAGCCCCTGAGCACGGGTTCCAGCAAAGTTCAGGCCAGCCAAAGCGAGGAAGAAGCAGACGAGGGTAGTTTTATGAAGGGTCCATTTCTTAGCGATATCAACTGGAGACAAGGTTATATCGTATCAAGTACGGGATACTTCCCTATGGTAGTATATGAGACTGCAATGCAGTATGGAATTTCTATAAGCAAAAGCTGCCAGCATCAAACAAGGCATGCGTAGCTCGCTATCTTGTCGAGCGTACCTAGGGTCGAGAGAGATATATGTTTTAGTGAGATATGAGTGGCGGCAGAGGAGATGATTGTATGAGAACTGGACTGGCTGTTGTGGTATTGATAATGGAGTGGACAAAACCATGGATTAGAACTCCGTCCATATTTGAGAAAGACTACCATAAAATTACCGAACCCTGGCTGATAAATGATACTTCTCTCCGTGCAGCGTTTTCTAAATAGAAGTCGCAGGCTACCGTTGTCATCTACAACCATGTCTGGATCGTGTTCGTTACATGTGCGCCGGTATGTCCTACCTCTCGAAGATAACGATCAGAGCATTGCTTCCTTTCAACTTGGTCATTTCTGACACGAATCATCAAGCAGTCCTCTGTTGTTTCCTCGTTCATTACGGCTTCAGAGATTCTTCACTTGTAGGCAGCTCATATCTCTGCCAGTAAGATAGCACTCTTGGGATACAACGAATGCTTGTCTGAAACTATATAAATTGTAAGCACTGTATGATCTACTTCCTTATCACGATGCATGAGGTACCTATTGATTACAACGCATTGCTCGAAGTGTTGGTCTTGAGACTGATGCAGACCCATGATGGTGAGATGGACGGGGTTGGTGTAGTATGTGTATCCAGCATACGTGATGTGGTATCAACAAGGACAGTTCGAAAGTAGGCGAGAACTTTTGCAAAGGAGTAAGATCGCTGAAGTTTCAGTATCGGAGTGTGTCAGAGTGTTCTTTTACCCAAGCGAAGTCGTAGGATCGTCCAGAAAGTGGACGATATAGTTCCTATGCATCTCTGGAGACCAGGTGCCTTGCCAATTTGGTATATGATAGCTGCGGCGTTTATGATTCTGAATATATGTTGCCGACCATTCGCTTGGAAGATGAGGTATTTCTGTTTCTCGACGTTGTGATCATCTGGTGATCAGTTCCTTGCGTGGTTCTGGCTGCAAATATCACCAACATTGTCACTGCACTCGACATCGTCAAGTTGTCGATCCTGCGAGTCAGATCCGTTACGTTGAGAATGGATTATCAGCCCAAGTTCTCGACCGGCAACAAGAGGGCTTCACTTTGGATTGACTGTTGACATCATTCTTGATGGATCCCTTTGGCGTCGATCATGCTATGATGTAATCGACGCTTTTGGCGATCCAATCCAGCACAAAGTTTAGGAACATGAAGCTTCAGCACGCCATGGGGCAACTGTTCCTGGCTAATGGTAAAATCTGATTAATTAATTGATTTAGATTAAAATGTCCACGATGTTATGTACACGCCTAAAGCTGATCCTATCCAATTACTAGTTGGTGCAGCATGAGTGAGGAGAGGTGTTGTCCAGTAGGGATAGTTGAGAATCATTCGAAGATTCCTTAGATTACTATGGTTTTCGATTAGAGTAATATCGGCTTGAAGGAAACAGCAGATGATGGTTATAAATTGTGATCCGAGTCAAGTGCAGACAAATATCTGTCCATGATCTGATACTGTAGCGACTTCAAACATGGCTATCATGTAAGTGATTCCGTCACTACAACTACTATGGTATGTTTCCACTTCATTACGGTAACGATTGTAGAAAGACAATCATTTCCATAACCGGCACCGTTATCTGATCACACCTTGACGCTCAACTATAGTCATGTGAGGTCGACAAGGCCAAGGTTGACAGTTGACACACTGCAACCGTTACACAAACAGTTTCAAGTTTAAAAGGATAGACTATCAGCTATCCATACTTGACAAGGTTATAACTGCCGTGACATCATTTCAGATCCTTCCTTGACCGAGGTCTTTGAAACGGGGGTGCTTCAGTGTCCATTTTCGGCATCACGTGGAAGGGAGTATTATCAGCAATGGACACTTCAGAGTTTCTAGGCAGCCATGTAAGTAATTTCATGTGGTTGATTAATTCCAATCTTGCCCTTTGACCGATCTTACACCTCGGGACCATCACATTGTGATAATGCCAACGCATCGCATCGACAACTCGGCCCGTCTGCCATCCATCCTCATGGCCACGGGCCGTGGATCGACACCTCATCTGAGAGAGGAATACCACCAACCCTCAGGCACAAGCACAAATGAACCGCTGTCTCTATCCGAGAGGGTTGCTTTGGGAGCTTCTCCCTTGGTAACGGCCCTCCTCCGGCCCCGGGCCCGCGGGTCAGACCCTCGATGCATCCGCATGAATGAGATGAGCAAGCTCCTAGGATTCTCCGCATCACCAGGCCCTCCCCTCCCCTTCTAGCCATCACATGTCGCCTGTCAAACCAAAAGAAGAAGCTGCGGAACTGGCAAATCTTCAACAGATATCTCCCCGTGCTGCTGCTGCGGCCCTCCGATCCGAATCAGGGTCTGTTTTGCTCTGTAGACGGCGCAGTTTCTCCGTCGGGCTGGTTCTCGTCGTTCCCCGGAAATGGGGGTGTTTGTCTATTCCAATTTCCCACCCACGTAGAACCAGTTTCCTGGGAAGTTGGGGAAACACGGACGAATTTGGGGGTTGTAAGTACGGTCCGAGAGGGGGTGGCAAGTTTACCTTCAATAGCAATAACGCAAATAACATGGCGCCTGCCGCCCGCAAAGCCCAATCGTGGAAGCTTTCCCCGTGGCATGATACCGTGTCAGCTGGGCTCAGGGCCCTGCAGGCTATTTTGCCTGGCAAAACCTGGGGTAAGATGGCTTTCATTTGATATGCACTACCTGCCCGTCTGAGCAGAGGCGCAGCCCCGAAACTGAACCGCTGATTAGCAATGAGCGATTATTAGTCAAGGACTTCGGGAAGAACTGCACTGAATTTGCGTTTCAAATCGATCGTAGTAGACGTTTTATGAACATCAGAAGACTCGCTCGCTTACACCACCATCAACAGCCCCAGCGCCTATACAGAGCAATACACAGTTGTAAGTCGATGTGTATGCGTATCTTTCGATCAACGGAACAACGTTTGGTCCACAGCTAACTATTGACCAGGGCTGTATCTGGCATGTCTCAGTACATCAAAGCTTGGCTTCCCTGACAGGTGGTCGACGGCGACTCTGACAGTTTAGACAAATAATGCCTTACCGGCTTGCACATGACAACCAAAATTAGAGTTGCCAATACTTGTGTAACATCCATCAACACAACAAGGCTAAGAATAAGAACCAAAACCAACCAACCAAGTTGAACCTCAATGGCTAGCAAGCATTTGTTCCGTCAACCCCCAACCATTGTCAAATACCGGCCGCGGCATGAAGGCATTAGACTTTCGGCAAAATATACCAAAGGGGGCACACTACCCAACAACCAATTTCGTCATAGCGTCATGAAGGGCTCCAATTGCAGAGCCTCTATTAACCAACTTTTTGCCGGACCGACACACCGTAACTGATACAGTTTCTAAAGCATCCAATAGCCAGCCAAGAGAGATGGGGCTCAAGGCAGGCAAAACGGTGAAGGCATTATTGAGGGGCCGAGGATCGCCGTAGAGTCGCCGTGAAGCAGGTTGTAAAATCTTATCAGTGGGGATTCGATTATGTTTTGGAGTCTTTTTGTTTTTGTAGAGGAGGGTCTCCCCTTCTGGAGCCCTTCTGGATCCGGTTGCATCTCACCATCTTCAAAGCCTGCCCCTGAGTCGCAATTCGTCTGGCTTAGATTGGGGCCAGCGGAGAACGATGATGCAACGGAAAGGGACTTCATGCCTAACTCGACCGTTTGCATTAGAGTTTACAAGGCTGGTCAGTTTGAGTCTTTGAGATACGACTCTCCACTATGGATCCCTAAGTGAGATTGAGTGGGTGGGTAAGGTTTTGAGCGATAAAATACTTGATTCGTTTATACTATTTTCTCTTTTTTTATGCAATTTCTCATTCGTCGAATTGCACGCCAAGATATACAATTGGTAAGAATCCCGAGTAACACTGCAAAGTGTAAGAAAAAGGTCAATCGTCATAAAAATGCAGCATTGTCGAGCGTAGCATCCCCTCGACCGGGAGCGTCAAGCATTTCCTGTTTGAGCCTCGGCCTCAAACCCGCGCGTGATGTAGAGAAATTGTTGAAATTGAAGGTGTGAGACTTTCTTCTCCGCGTGGAAGAGAAGACTTCTAGAAGGTCTCAGTTGGGCGAAGAGTGATTGGTCGGGGCACTTCGGAATCGGGAGTCCACACCACTAGCTAGAATAGGCATAAAGAAGTAGCGTGCTCTTTGCACGGACACCATCAGGGAGTTAGTTGGAGATGGATGGGAAGTAGCCTGAGCCCTGAAGCGTGGAGTGTGAAGAATCTCTTTAGATTACCGCGCTTGTGTTCCGACTACGGCCACTCGAAGACAAGCACGGTTCGGTCTATCCTCCGGCCACGGGTGGTTTGGTCGGTACGTATTTACGCAGTACCGTATTCCGCTCTGGAACAGCTGGCTCAGACATGTCTCATTTCTGGCTCAGTATTCGGTCATCGCAGTTGGAGATGACATCGTTACGTCCATCAAAACATCAGCATCAGCTTCATGACACGACCCATATCAGCATGTTCTAGCACGTTCCGGCACTGAACAACGCATCAATGCAAGATACGAAAAACTGAATTCTAATTGCACAGACTGGCAGCCGCGTGATACGGGTATGCCCTCCCAGATCTGCGAGATTTGGAGATTCTGGGGTGTCGCGAGACGAACCATTCCACCCCAGAATATGACGTAGGCCAACCCCAGATCTCGATGTTGAGGCACCTGCTTTCTGCAAGTCTAGGACGGGTTCTTGAAAGAAGCAAAGCAAACCTAAAATTGATCGATATCAACTCGACTTTTCGATGTTGGACAAGCTCTTGCAGCCCTGCATCTGCTGTGACGTTGAAGTGTTTGATCACCAGCCTTGCTTCACCAACCCGTTGCATTGAGCGCCATAGCGACATCGCAGCATGTGCCTGGTTTTCTTTTTCTTTTTTCTTTTTTCTTTTTTCTTTTTTCTTTTTTCTTTTTTCTTTTTTCTTTTTTCTTTTTTCTTTTTTCTTTTTTCTTTTTTCCCTCCTCGCACACCACATCCATCTTCTCATCGATTAGCTAGTTAGAGGTTTTCTCCATCGGTGATCTTGATCTTAGTGCGACGTCGAGGGCACCATTTTTGGAGACCCTATCTCAATGATACGTCAACGTCTCATTTCAGGTACATCAACGCGTGTAGTTTAGACAGGGACATCAATTTGCGGCTAACACGCCAGACGGTTCAGGCCTGGGCCTTGGCTTTTACGGCAGTTCTCCGGGGCAGTTATTGAATGGTAATTGTTAAGTAATAATTCCCGAGTCTTCTTCGTGGTTGTTACCTGATTTCCTGTAATTTCTCGTTTCCAGTGGATGTTGACTCCGCTAAGACCCCAGTGAGCATGAACCCTTTCTGCGTTAGTTGGCAGACCCCATCCGGGGGGATCGTGGTCCACGGTCGGAGAAGGGGACTGGGGTAAAAGAGAAAATAAACGTTCCAATCAATTATTCGCCCTCAATTAATTTATTAAACATCAGTCATTTCAATTAATTAGTTAACTCCCAGTTTCTTTCAAACGGAATGCATTCTTCTCCTGGCCTCGGGGCTTGATCAGCCTTGAGCCTAGAGACCCCACGACTCATGCAGTTGATGTCATAGGCCACGAGGAATTTGTTTCCTCTTGAGGCAAAGCGAAGGATAGGAAAAGGCTTACGCCGGCTAAAGGTTGATCAGGTCACAGGGCAACTGTAGCATTTTCCCTTGCCTACTTCTGCTTGACAGCTCAAACCCACGTGAGGCCGAATGCATTACTCACTACTCCTCTGATGTCAGCCGTGGGCCTATCTCTAGATCTGTCGGCATTCCTTTCGATTCAGGCACCTTGAACCTTAGCTGCAAGTGACCTCCCCGAGGGGTGGGGAGGCTTTACAATGGCAGTTTGGAATGATCTACAACTAGAGAAATTTCTTTTTGCATTTTTCGGAGAGGGTCTGTTGACTCCACGCTGCATTGCACCCTCTCGTGCTGCGGGTATCAGATGTTGAGGAAGCCTTCTGCCTCTGTACGTAAGTATCCGTCCAGCACGCAGAGACCTTGAGCGGTGAGAGGGGCAATAAAGACGGTCAAGCATGAGCTCAAAGTTGAGCAGAGCAAATATGCTGCATAATGCAAGGTCTTGATAGCCGCCAACGGAAAGGGAAAGGGAAAAAAGGGTCCTTGCTGCATGGCATATGATAACACATTGCACGACATGTGCTGCGTGAAAGCCCTCTTGCGCCATAAAATTCCCCAGGTTTCCGAAGGCGGAGAAGGGCCCGGATAAGGCCCCACCTGGACGGGGCAGTGGGACTTGGGAATTTAGAGCCTGAGGCAGGCAGCTGAGAGTGATGAAAATGCCAACCACTTTAGGAGTAGAATCACCCTTCTTCTACCCGCATATTTATATCACCCTGCTACGGATCATATCCGAGCCACCTAAGGTCTTATATCAAAGAATTCAAGGCCGAAATATACCGACATTCATCGCTGCCTGTGCCGAGGAGTGTAACTAACTAACATAGCCATTGCACGAGCCAGATGAGCTTCAAAGCTTGTCGGTGATGGACGGTAGAAGTTGCCGTGCTGGAATACGATACGTATGAATGGGACCGCGGCAGACAGATGAGCGGTCCAGACCTGATGGTCAATTTATAGGTTTAGCCAATCCTTCAGATACCTCAATTCACTACAATAGCAGTCAAGGTATGGCTTAAACGAATCCAAAAGTAACAGTCGCAACAACAAACGCAACGCAGCTGTCAACAACTCATGCAGGGTCCTTTCTGTCCGAGGTCCCGATCGGCAATTGAGCCAATCTAGCTGAGCTTATTCCCGTCTTCACTCCCAGCAAAATAAAGGGCTCAGATGTGATTGGTAGATACAGTTTTACCCGTCTCTCTTGGAATCTGGTCTCGATTTTACCAGTATCGGGTTTAGCCTAAACGACATTCTCTTCCGTCCGTCTGTCTCTCTGAGTCAGAAATAGACGCCCCCCAGGGACTCCGGACAAAGCAAAAAGTCATATGTATCCGCGCATAGAACCCTGAACAATGGCGAAATCCCTCTTCTCAGCCACGAGACATATCCACGCCCCTCCTTTTGGATTACCATCCTCGTTTGGCTTAGTCTCGTTCTCTCCTCTCCGTCAAGCGGGACCATTCAAAAACTCCAAGCGCACATATCGCAAAAGGTAAACCGCTATTTGGCGGGGGAGAATGCAAAATGCGTCAAGGGAGTTTTCAACCTTCCATGTGACCTCTGCATCTTTCTTTGCTGGCCCTTTCGCCCTTCAATGCTTTGCTCCGGAGGCGAACTTCTCCATTGGCGGAGAAAGGAGATAGTCGCCCTTTAGACGATGATCACACGGCACGGCCACAGAAAATACTCCAGATTCTCCGCAGTCAAGTGAACATCAAAAGTGGTTTTCTTTTTCTGGGGAATTGGACACGTCAAAGCTTCGACTACGTCTCAAGATTGACGGTATTGAGTCGATCATTGAAAATTGATTTTTCTGTGTAGACGCCATTGACGCTTGGAAAAGTAATTCCGTCTTGAATACGAGTTAGTGAGAGTCTGAGCTCAGGCTGCTTACGTGGATGGATCATGGATGCACCGCATGCAATGCACTGACTGAGCTGGGTGAACAAGAATGATTGTCTGTGGTTGCGTTGTTGACCATGATAATGAGACTGAGAGATGATGGTCTCTTCCCCGGAAAAGCCTGAACGGGAGAGGCGTCGTTGTCTCTTTCTTTTTTGCCTTCAAGTCTTTGATTCGCTTCCCCATGCGCAGGGAGAGTTAGAGTTGGTAAGTGAGCCAAATTGACTGGCTGTCGTTGCATCTCTAGGCATATAAGTTATCATAAATGACTGATGTCAAACACACACAAGTCTCCCTCACTTTTCAGCATCCAGCCTCCTACTCAATCATCTGCGCCAGTGTCTTGAAACGACATCCTCAGGATGCCATGACCCTACCGTTCTTCCTCAGTGTTCACCTTGTGGCGATTAGTTCGCTGTCTCCGTCTGCGGCTCCGCAGGATAGTGTCCTCCACAATTTGGCCGTGGACTTGTGTTGATTCAAAAAAGTCCAGGGCAGTGAGCTACGTTGCAACAGGCAAAAAGGTCGGGTCTGGACGTGTCTAGACCAGCAGGGCAGTGCTAATGTAGAAATCTGATGAATGAATGCAGGAGAAGAAGGTTTGTATACTACGAAATGCATGTTGGGTTACTTTCAATCATATGCCAAACACCTCTGTAACTTTAAAGCGATTTACAATTTACACATTTAATATCAAAGCCACTAGAGTAGGTAGAGTTTCCCGAAAATCCAAATATCACCAATGATGCTACAGCTCGTCGCATCTCACATCGTGGCTTGTCGCTGCAACCCAAGGGATGTATCATCATGGTGCACCCTGAATTTCCATCTCAATTCCGATCCCAGGAACAGCAACTCGAAGGATCTCGCGCAGGTATTTTCAAGGAACAAACCCCCCGAAACCTTGCGTTTTTGGCTAGCAGGTTAGCAGGTAGAAAAACAGCGCATGTTTTTCCTTTCCTTCTTAGCGGCATCTTTCAGCTCAGACGTAGAATATTAATCCACGAGGGAGGGTGAGGGTGCAATACCGATACCGGGAATTGTTTACCACCTTGTTTACACCCTCAATTCACATGAGATGAAAAACCCCATGTAAAAAAAATCTTAGAGGTGCGGGTGCAGCAGTAAGTTCCGACCGCTTGGCCCTTTTCCTCGCAAAGAGGGTGTTGAGCATGAGAAATGCCAAGCCCAGTCCTTTGACCCGGCAGTCTAATCTGCTTGTTTTAGGTGTAAGTAGTTCCTGAAGCGGCTCAAGACGGTTCGTTCGTTGTTGTTTACCACCTTATAACAGACTAATGACTACTAATTGATTACGGAGTATTATTATCTGTTCTGGCTGCCCCAACAAAGAACAGCACTGCCTTATGCTAGAGCACAGTAGCTGCATTGCGTGCATGCAATTTGACCTGACCGCTCGCTCACCTACGGGAGTTCTCGTAAGGTCCCCTTGTTCTTTTTGCTTTCTAGTGAGTCATGCCTGCAAGTACAAGTACCGGCAATATGGGTACATTGATAGAATTTCAGCATGTGAAGCATACATGCTACCTACTTGCTCATTCACTGAATAATGAATGAACGCTGTCTCTCGATATCTCAAACCCTTGACATGTGCTCACTTCTTGACTCTCTCTCTCCTCTCTGTCGCCCAAAAAGCCAAAAGTCAAAAGCCAAAAGCCAATTGATCAAGTCACGAGCTCTACAAGGTCTGCAGTGTCTGGCTTGGTTGGGTCTGCCAGCAGCCACACACACACAGACAGAGGCCCAAATGCTTGCGGTTTGTCGTCCCCCGGACCAATAGGAATTCTGCCTGTCAGCATCAAACGGCCGCCATCACCTTCGGTTGGTTCATGTTTGCTGCAACCTTCAGCTTTTTTTCTCCTCCTGCTGATGCTGCCTTTTTTTACTACCTACAGTAAGTACCTACACAGCAATTGATGACGTCCATCCTAGATCATGTTTCCAGCAAATCAATGCATCCCCCAATCCTTGGCTTGGCCCATCCAGGAACCTTGAGCAGCTAATGACAACTCAGAATGTGACATTTCATCACAACACCACAAACATCGCGTACTGATTGATTGATTGATTGATGCATTCATTGTGTTCAATGTGAAAGATTTTATTCATGTTTTTGCGGAAACCCTCTCTCCTAAGCAATTCGCCTTTTTTGCAAGTTTTTTTGACGAGTGACTCGTTTGTACCTTTTTCCCTCCCCTTCCCTTCCTCCCTTCCCTGCACTTGACTTTTTCGCTTATCCTCCGCTGACTTGACTTTTGTTTTCGCCTTTTGCGCTTGCTCGAGTAAAATTCCCCCAAACATAGGTGCTCTCCACCTGTAAACTCTCGTAGCGAAATCATTTCCTCAGGTTGCCCTTGAATTTCTTCCCTCGTACGAAACTACTGTACAAGTACACCTGCCCCGAGCCTGTGATAGACGAAACAAGAGCCGACTGCGGTCTTGAGAAAAGAAAACACGATTTCATGATATCATAATGTGGGAGACCGCCATGAAAGATAAAATTGATGAAAATTGACTTCAGTCCCGTTTCGCTAGATGGATGTGTAAAACAAATGCTGCAAACTGCAGCCAAAACGCTCAATGCTGATGTGATGATGCCTTTCGTGCGCCGTCCTATGCACAATCGTAGTGGGTATAGCTGTATCGTTGTGGTATGGTATAGTATGGTATGGGTATGGGTATCATTCACCACCCCTTGGAGTGGTATCCGTCGCTCGCCTCCTTTGAAAAATATTGGTTCCAGCTGCTCGCGTTTACATCCTCGCTCTGCTTCAAGCAAGGCTTCTCAGGGTACTGCTTCAGGTTGGCAACATCGTGTGATGTGTGTCGTCGCTTGAGAACGGCATTGGCTGTTGAGGACTTCTGCTGTCGCTCCCAGAGGAGATGGCGACGAAGAGACTCAGTCAACTCAGTGGCCAACATGTTACGACGGGTGGTGCGAGGTGAGAGTGCCGCCTGGGGTTGGATGTGGTTAGGACCAGTCATGATGGGCTGGGCGCTGGATCGGGGAACCTCGTGAATAGGCTTCAGGCCAGGACCGCGCATGCCCTTCATCATCAAGGGAGCCTCGTCAGAATCATTAGGTGAGACACCCAGAGATGGGCCATGAGCCACGCGAGATCGGGGAATGGCCGATGTCGACTGAGAGGCATGGTTGCCAAGGTTGCGTGCACGGTCGTTCTGAGCGAGCATAAGAGTGATAAGAGATCGTCGCGAGGTCAGGTTAGGCTTGGAGTCGACTCGTTGAAAGAACTTGTCGTCCATGCTAGATTTGCCGCTCTCTTCCATTGAGTCCTCCCAGTCGGAGGAGTCGTCATCGTCATCAATGGCGCTCTCGTCGATGTAGTCGTCGGTATCAGAGTCCACAGCAGCCTCATCATCGATGGTTCGAGTCATCACATTGTTACTGAATGAGGCCTGCTTCTTGCGAGCAGATAGAATAGAGCCAGGTCTCGAAGTAACCATAGCGCTCTTAAGGGATCCATCCTCCTCAGATGAACCGCCAATCTGGAACACGGGCTTCTTGATAATGGGGAGCATGGGCTTGCTGTTGCTTAGGCTCTGATCCTGCTCACTAGAAGAACAAGAGCCACCAAGCGCAAAGCGAGCAGGCTTCTTTGGCTGCACTACCTTGGCGGCAGGCGACGATTTGGGCTCAGGGATGGCGTCTGTTGATTGAGCAGCGGCAGAGATGGTTCGAGGGGTGGGAATTTGGGAAGGTGAGAAGCCCCGTACAACAGTGGTGTGGGAAAGGCTCTGAGGAGGCGAAGGCTGTGGTGAGCCCTCTGAAGCTGAGATGGACTTCGCGGGCGATTGAGACTCGGTAGTGGTAGAGCCGGATCGTTCGAACGCGGGAGGTACGGGCAAAACTTCCTTAGCAACAGGAGCAATATGGGGAGGGGCTGATAGAGGACCCTTGTCCTTGACGATAGAGACGATCATCTTCTCGAAGTCGTCGGAGCTGATGTGGCGTTCGCGCTTGCTTCGGGTGCTGGCGCAAGAATCTTGACGTCGTACACGAGGGCGAGCGATCTCAAGAGGTGCTGATAGGGAAGAGAAGTCGACAGCTTCCTCGTCAACAAGAGACTCAACGCTGCCGGAGAGTTGAGGGAGATCGGGTATCCTTGACTCGGAAGGAATGTTCTGGGGAAGAGTCTGAGTGGAGGGTGCTGTCTTTTCTTCGTTGTCGACAACAAAGGTTTCTCTTTGCCACAATCGCCAGCTAAGGTTCTCTAGTCTTCGACCTTGCTCGACGGAGTCTGCACACCGAGAGAAGACTGACTGGTTAGTACATGAGCAAGCGGCATATGTAAGAGGTTACTTACCAGTCCACATGCTATACAGATTAGCAGGATTGCCAGTATCGACCTTGTGGATGACGTTTGCATCCACTGTCAGAACGTGAGTATCTAAACGATAGGGCATTATGGGCGTAAAAGCTGTCGGGTATTCGACGTGGAAGCGCTGATCAGGGCTGGTGTGAATAAGTCGGATAGAAGTCTTGGTACAATCGAGAGATTTATTGTAGGTCGCCGGCACAGTCAATCAGTATTAAAGCCGACAATGCGCCAGAGCGGAATGAAGAGGTTGATTTTCGAGGTGGAGAAGACTCAGTCGTGGGCGGTGAAGTCGAGCAAGTTGAGTTAAGGTCAATGCAAGCGAGTTTGGTGTGCGAGGGCGATATCGAGATGGATACTGCCTTTCATGGGGATCCTCGAGTAGATGTATTGTATGTGTACACGTAAAGCGGTTCCTAGTGCAAGGTCGTCCTGGAGGATCCTTTGCAATGGATGCTGTTGTTGGTGTTTTTTGGTGTTGCTTGGTGTATGTGTATGTGGAGGAGGACGAACAAAGTCCGGGGGGGATCAAACGTAGATATTCTTGTTTGGGCCCGTGGGAAGCAAGTCGGATTGGGGGAACTGAATGAACTGAACCTAAGGGAGTCGCGGTGTGCGCTATGTAAATGGAGTCTAGCACAAGCACGAGCGCACGCCAGGACGAGGGGGTGTCGGACCGCGGGGGCGTGAGCTGGGGAATCAGGGCGTGTGAGCCACTGTAGCCGGGGAGGCTTTCAGATACGTACCGGTAGAAGAGATGGAGGGGGGATTGGAAATAGCGGGTACCACCCGAAAAGCAGCCCAAGTACCCTACAAGCGGAGGTACCGCGGCGCAGGAGAATTTTCTCTGGCAAAGCAATGTACCTCAGGCAGTGCACAGTCATGGGCGCTCAAGTGAGTTTTGCGTTTGCAGACTCTGGAGAAGAACAAGTCCAGCGATTCCAGTGGGGTGAGATCTATCTGTTCTGCTCTACGAATAGGTACCGATACAGGCAACAAAGCCAACCACAAAAGATGGGGGTGAAGTGGCAGCACAACAGAGTAAAGCAGAGCAAAGACACATACATTGCTCCTCCGTATCTTTGTAACTTGTTTCTCTCTCCTCGACTACAACAAAGGGATCCTCTCAGAAGAAAAGAACCTGTCAATGCAATGTCATGCCCACGCCAGGGAACAGGACAGGACGATGGAGGTGGCCCTGTTCGGCGACACAGTAGACAAGGACAGGGCTTCTTTCAGGGGGAGGAACGCGGGTGGAGGTGGCAGAGAGGGGGAGGCAAAAAAATGCCTGGTGACCAGTTCCACGGGTCTTTACCTGAAGAGGCACTTGTTATGCTCAAGCAGCGGGTCACTTTGCTACTCAACAGGGTTTAGAGCAGCTTGTGGTGGATTAGTCCTATTGGGGCTATATCTGGGCTACCCTTTTAGGTAAGTGGACGCTCAGTGACGGTTACGGAGCGAGCACAGACGAACGCGGTCTCGGGAGTGAAAACGGTCAATCTCTCGGTCAGTCGGCGTCCCCTACTTGCCAAAATGGGGCTGCGGCCTCCAGAACGGAAACCAGATATCGATGTCCGTTTGGGGCGTTCTGGAACGTTGACAGCAAGTCACGAGTCTGCCCATCTCCCTGAGCGGCTCCGTTGCGAACTGAGTCCGAATCGGGCAGCCGAGTCCAGAACTGAGGACAGCCCTGATGTTGCCAATCCTCCCCCACTCATTATCTTTCTCTTGGGACTCTTTGTGCCCGCGGATGAAAGCTCCCTGTAGCCGCCATTTCACAGGGACCGGTCTGAGGTCCCATCACAAGTCACGTTGGCGATCGCAAGGCTCCTTTGTTCTATTCTAGCCCGGATTAACCGCGGTGTTCACACGCACAAGACATTTGATGCTGAGAACAGTGAGACTCGGCAAAGGCGAACGGCTCTCTCAGAAGCTTTTAGCTTGATAGCTTCAGCGCACATGACAGACCCTGAAAAAGAATTATGCCGAGTCTGGGGTTCTTGAAGACCCTGACCAGTCATGATCGTGATGTTTGGAATTGAGCTTCAATTCCAATCCCAACTCGGCATCGTCAACAGCGTCCGTATTGAGAAGCGTCAATTGGTCCGCTTGCAACCCAAGCTTCCACTTCAACGGCGAATTGACGTGATTATCGACGATCCGGGATTGGAAATGAGAGTCCAGCTAGTGATTCTCGACCTGGAGAACCCCAAAGCAATCGTGGGGATCCATTGACTTGACCCATTCTCAGTAGCCTTACCAAACGTCTAGTGACCCCGTGATAGCCCTGAGCCACAGGTTTTGTTCCATGTCATCCGCACGCTGCACCTCGCCTCCGCAAGCGGCCACGGGCCTTCGAGTGATCTCGCTTGGAAATTCATTTGTTGACAATGACAAAGTGCTATGATACGCAGTGGAAGTACAGGCGGGTAGCGACTGATGATTGATGACCGCGTCGCTGCGCCTGACCACGGGATTCCTGCCGACGGGACGAGACCGAGTCGAGTCACTCCAGATGTTCTCGAGTCGTTACCATCAGTTGCCTGATAGTCAGTCGGGCAGACGTTGCCTCCGTTCCGCCTCGGTGAAGCGCTCGATATTGTTGGATAAACGTGATCACGGGCATATGCCGAGCAAATTCTTGTTGTCGGCTCTGATGAATGAATCTCCCGAGGCTTCAATGACGATGCCCGGGGTAGGTCACCTGGGCTGGTGCTCCTGGCTCCTCTGAACCACTCACTGCCCGTATGGTCGATAGACAACTGCAAAGCAGCATCGGGAAGGCATACTTGCATTGCATTGAGCCTTGTTGACCTGGGTAAAGAAGACGAGCTGAGGCCCTGCTGAGGCCTCTGTCGTCATGTTCAGGGGCGCTCCTTCAGGGTCCTGGCGACTCAGCGCTTGGCGCTCTAGGTCAGCAGACGCGCTCTGCCGTCGCATCAAGCCAACCATCCATCCCAAACGCTGCGATGTGACGCTTGCCAGCGCATAAAACAGCATCTGCACCCGCATGACTCTCCTGAAGGACCTCTATTTTCACATTCTGGGCTTCTCGTCTCTTTGCCTGCGCCGCCAGGCTGTAAATACAGGGCTCTGGTGGTAGATGCCTCATTGATCCTCGCGGCGATCATCGCAGGCTATTTCGATTCCAGATTCCATCAATGACTTGTCAGTCTCGGTGTGTTGACCAGCTGGTCACCCTGAAGTTTGCATCATTGCCTGCCTTCTGGGTTGCATTTGCAATGGTTTTAAAAAATATCATGAACAGATATTATACTTCCTCGTCGTATCATGAGCATTAGGCTCTACCAAGACTGGGCAGCAAAATCCATCATTAGCAATTGGACTGCTTACCTTTTGTTGTTGTAAAAACTCCAGGGTGGTTCCCTAGCTCTCCCAAGTCATCCATACTCGAAGTTTTACAAAGGTTCGACACTTAATGTTGGCTCTCATTAATCAACACAAAGTGTAGGAAAGTGCCAGGAGGATATTCCCTAGTTCATTTGATGAATTGATTATGAGGCGACTGAGGCCAGCGATGCTGAAGGTTGTGTTGCGGCATGTTGATGAAGAGAATGGCGTGTTTGGCATTTCCATGCGATGTGCCGTGACCATCCATGTCACAGCCCCTGGTAATTGGAAAATCAGGACATCTCGATCATCTTTAGTTGTTCGATCTTGCAGTTCAGCCTATCTCTTAATCACTTGGCCTGCGTTGCGAGATTTGGTTACCATTACTCTCCTTTGAGCCCCACGAACCGCTGCATGCCAGCAGCTAGAGTGGAAGATCACGGTAGACCAGGATGGTGATTGTGTCAAATCTGACGTGCCGGTAGTTGGCTATAAACTGGCGTGTCAAAGCGAGGTGGCTGCGACTTCTAAATACAAAACCCAACTCTCACAATCAGCATTCGAGACATCGTCATCCAAAAAGAACGCATTGTTAGGATTAACCAGGGCCAGTCAATGAAAAGAATGAGGGTTAAGACGTCCCATGGTAATGTCCCGTCCCACTGATGCTGTATCACCGCATCCAATGCCGCCGAAACGTGGATCAGATAGGGCAGAACGGGTATGAGGTATTATTCCAAGGGCCTCGATCGTGCATGCCATGAGAAAAAGAAGAGGGGCATAGAGGGCATAGGGGATCAGTCAATGGGCAAACCAGCATAAAACACCGAGACTAAGAGAACAAGAGGCTCCAAAAGTGAGGTGAGTGCTAATAATTTACCTTACGAATCGTAACATCATACCTCAGCTTGGTAGAAAAAAATGCCCCCCGCGGGCCGATAAGCGATAAGAGCTCTTTCTTCATACCTATCTCAACACTCACACACGTCAGTCGCTCTTGGCTTCCCTGCCCCTCGCTGCGTCACCGACTGCCAATGCCCGGACCATGAAGCTGGCGCCATAATAATTTCCCCCCCATCAGTAGAAAACCTGGTGAGACCATATTCTATCAATATCATCCGTTGAGGCCGGCGCTTCTATTTTCTTTCCCTATATTTTACTGTAAGTACCACTCTGTTTCCAATTGTTGCATGCTGTCTGTTGTCTTTTGTTTCTGATCATATCTCCCCCTCTGTTAGAGCTACCCTATCTGCCCCGCCGCTTTTTTCCTTTCTCCGAACGGCGACGCATTATACTATCCTACTAAGGCTCTGCCAAACCTTGAATCGACTGGTACGGTACACCCACAACACTTTCTCCGTCATTATCGAAAACCACACAGATGGCTCCCAAGAAGAAGATCGCCGTCATGACCTCGGGAGGCGACTCCCCGGGAATGAACGCTGCTGTTCGAGCCGTTGTGCGCATGTCCCTTCACATGGGCTGCGATGCCTTTTGCGTCTACGAGGGATATGAGGGCTTGGTACAGGGCGGCAACTTTATCCGACAGATGGAGTGGAACGACGTTCGAGGCTACCTTGGAGAAGGTGGTACACTCATTGGAACTGCTCGATGCATGGCCTTCTACGAGCGTCCTGGCCGGTTAACAGCTGCCAAGAACATGGTTCTGTCTGGCATTGATGCTCTAATTATCTGCGGTGGTGACGGCTCTCTGACTGGAGCTGACAGATTCCGAGATGAGTGGCCTTCTCTCATTGAGGAGCTTGTTTCCAAGGGTGACTTGACTCAATCCCAGGTCGCACCTTACAAGCACCTCAACATTGTTGGACTTGTCGGCTCTATTGACAATGATCTTGCCGGAACTGATGCCACCATTGGCTGTTACTCAGCCCTCGCCCGTATTTGTGAGATGGTTGATTACGTTGAGGCGACTGCCTCTTCACACTCGCGCGCTTTCGTTGTCGAGGTCATGGGCCGACATTGCGGTTGGTTAGCCCTCATGGCAGGTGTCGCGACAGGCGCAGACTTTGTCTTTATCCCTGAGAGACCTGGTGAGCACGACTGGCAAGAGGATATGAAGGTCGTTGTTAGAAGAGTGAGTTTTGTGTGTATATCTGACAAGCATGCCCTAACGACTTAAAGCACCGTGATCTCGGAAAGCGTAAGACAATCGTTATTGTCGCTGAAGGCGCGCGCGACAAGGACGGAAAGAAGATCGGCGCCGAAGAGATCAAGGACATCCTGGCCGACAAGAGTGAGGGCGGCCTTGCTCTCGATACTCGTATTACCACTCTCGGTCACGTCCAACGAGGTGGAACTGCTGTCGCCTACGACCGAATGCTGGCTACCCTGCAGGGTGTTGAAGCCGTCAAGGCTGTCCTCGAAGCTACACCAGAGACTGAGACTCCCTTCATCGCTATTAACGAGAACAAGATCGTTCGTAAGCCTCTGATGAAAGCTGTTGCCGAGACCAAAGAGCTCGCCAAGGCTGTTGATGCCAAAGATTTCGAGAAGGCAATGTCTCTTCGAGACACTGAATTCGCTGACCAATGGAACTCTTACATGCTAACCACCAACGTTATGGTGGACGATTCCAAGCTGCCTGAGAAGGAGGTACGTTTTGTAGCCATTTTATTGTCCCTTTCGTCGCTTACCCCTGATTGTAGCGTATGCGAATCGGTTTCATCAACGTCGGTGCCCCTGCTGGTGGCATGAACGCTGCTGTACGTGCGGCTGTTGCGTACTGTCTTTCAAAGGGCCACGAGCCGCTTGCTATTCACAACGGTTTCGCTGGATTTGCCCGACACCATGACGACAAGCCTCTTGGTGCTGTTCGTCCGTTCGACTGGCTCGAGGTTGACGGTTGGGCAAGCAAGGGTGGTTCCGAGATTGGCACAAACCGAGAGCTCCCAGGTGAGTCAGGTATGGAGCTAATTGCCAACCTGATTGAGGAACACAACTTCGACGCCCTGTTCCTTGTTGGTGGTTTCGAGGCCTTCCACTCTGTGTCCCAATTACGCAAGGCCAGGGCCCAGTACCCTTCACTGTGCATTCCTATGGTCATTCTCCCTGCCACCATCTCCAACAACGTTCCCGGAACAGAATACTCTCTCGGCTCTGATACCTGCTTGAACGAGCTTGTCAACTACTGTGACAAGATCAAGCAGTCCGCGTCTGCTACCCGTCGTCGTGTGTTTGTCATTGAGACCCAGGGAGGACGTTCCGGTTACATTGCTACACTAGCCGGTCTTGACGTTGGTGCCTCGGCCGTGTACATTCCTGAGGAAGGTATTTCTCTTGAGATGCTCAACTCAGATGTCAACTACCTCAAGGAGGTATTCAAGAAGGACAAGGGCCAATCACGTGCTGGTCGTCTTATCCTCGTCAACGAGAAGTCTAGCAAGGTCTACAGCGCTAAGCTGATCGCGGACATCATCCGCGAGGAAGCCCACGACCGATTTGAGAGCCGAGAGAGCATTCCCGGTCATGTCCAGCAGGGTGGTGTTCCTTCGCCCATGGATCGTTGCCGAGCCGTCCGTCTGGCCATCAAGTGTATGCAACACCTTGAAGGTTATGGACGTAATGCGCACAATCATGTTAAGAAGGACCCCAAGAGTGCATCCGTTATTGGAATTCAGGGCTCTGAAGTTGTGTTCTCTGGAATGGAAGAACTAGAACAGAATGGTACAGACTGGCCAAACCGAAGACCCAAGATTGCCCACTGGATGGGCCTGTCTGACGTCGTAGACATGCTCGCGGGCCGTCCCGACTACCCGAAGCCGGAGAAGAGCTTGACAGGGTTGATCGCAAAGGACACAAAACGTGGTCTATAAGGGAATGTCGCTCGTTGGATATGATAGGTTCCTCGGTTGACATTGCTTTCTTTTCTCACCTCTTTATTTAATGATAACTCAGTATGAGTGGAATCAGTTTAGGCGTTCAATAACGAAGTATGTTCTTTAAGTTTGTACCCTGCAATGACTACAATGTGTGGCGGCGTATGTTCTTCTATGGGACATGTCCCGATATCGATAGGGACTCTATGTGAAATGGACTATGTGTATTGATAAGCAAGCTACGAATTCATCGTCTGAAACCTTGTCTTGTTTTTCATACACCTCCAGCAATTCCGGTCCTGAATGTGCAATGAGAGACTAACCATGCTTACATGTCACATTTGAACATATTGACGAACGGTGCAGCAGACATCTTCAGCAATACAACAGGATAAGAAACACTTATTAGAAACTTTACACCTGCGATACTCTCGTATAAAGCTTCTTGGGGGTTTCCTAGCCTGTCCTCTCTCGACTGGCGTGGGACATTAACCTGACTAAAGACAACCATTCAACTTTATTTGGAGGTCTTGATGACACTTGCGAGGGGTCTGGCTCTGATGATAGTCCTGTACCGGAAATTCGAATAAACTATATCGTATCTTTTTGTTACAAAAGTCCGTGGCCAGCTCGTGCTAGCATGGCATTTTTACGATATAGACACAATTCTACGACCCTTACTACCTCCAACACAAGAGCAATATACATACTACGACCCCATTCACTGCAACCTACCCTAAGTTAGACATCGAAAAAAAGCCATCGTTCGGGTGATAGTGGTTTACGATACTTGCTATGTATAACTATGTCGATAAAACATCTACCGGCTGATTCTATGAATGTCCAAGAGTAGAGTTAAGCACACGTTTAACATAAACAGATATTCATTCCGTCTGCATTCGAATTTGAAGTCCAGAAAAGGAATGTTGAGTAAATAAGCCAAACCGGTATTGCAAGGGATTTTCGAACGCAAGCCAAATTCAATGTGCTACCGTGAATCCACTTTCATGTTACAAAGCTCGAAGTTCTGTCTACATATCACTATTCATATATCCTATTTATGGTTACATGCTTGTCGCTGATCCTTGAATCCTTGTTCGATACTGTTGACACCACGTTTCTCACTCATCTATGTCGGTTGACATTACCCTGTGAGGGCAACCAATTACCCTGTAGCAACCCAATCATTTATACGCAAAAGCTTCAATAACACAAAATTACCAGATTGTTCATAGATAAGCTTATAATTACTAGATATAAGCGTTATTAGTCACGGTGTTCTATGTTAGCTGATATGTATCGTTGAGCAAAATAAGTGTTGCTACAATACTGCGCAGCAAACAGCACCATTTCATAGCCGGCTGGGCCATAGGGTCCACGGCTATGTGACTTTTATATACATTTCTATACAAAGGAATTGTCTAGAGAATCGCAATCATTCGGACAGTACATCATCTGACCTAACGCAGTAGAAATGTCATGTACGAATTACCATGTAGAAGTCGTCCAATTCGATGACGTAATGGTTGGATACCTGGCACTAGGTACAGGCCTTAACTGCGGGAGACAAGAAAGCGGGAAGGGTGGCATGGAATAGCTTCTTCCAAAGGTATTATTATTGAGATCTTGGTAAAAAGCTTGGTATAGGTAGCATTCATGATCTTCAGAGGAATTAAAGAATGTGGATCTGTACTTAGTTATTCTGCTTGCTTGGCTGATCATCAAATTAAACACGAACCTCTCATTCCTTGCACGATCCTCTTGAGCATTTCATACTACGAACTTAAAAAGTAGCAGCAGCCATCTCTTCAGTCTTGGATATCACCCCAAGTTTCCTCTCATATCCCAAAATCATCGTCTATTTAAGATATGTGCTTAGGTATATGTGCATGTTCTATTGCAGTCTACTTATGTGCCTGGGCAGTTAAGAACCCTGTCTTGCTCTTTGTCAAGCAAGTATTGAATCTTGGTCTGTGTAGGTAGCATGTGACAAGGCAGTCAGTCAAGAACCATGGCACATCAGTGGGCTCGACTCGGAACTGATAGCTGAAGGAGATGGCGGCTTACGGGGTCGAAGCTTAGACGCCTCGTTAGGCTTTCAGTGTGGCTCTGGAAGTTTATTATTGTGATGGTAAGGGCTTCGATTCATTCTTTGTCTTTTGAGAACCTACTACGGATATCCGTACTAACTAATCCCAGTCAATCAATGATGGGCCCACTCGTTTTGAGATTCCATGCCCAACGGATCAGCAATGTTGGACTTGAACTCCAGCGCCGATCACAAGGGAAATGATTTACATACAACTGTAACTCTTATGCGACAAAGATAGACTAAATCAGTCGCAGTCGCAGTTGCAGTTATGGTCGCATTGCTCATCATGTTTAACATTTCTCAACCGCAAGGCTTCTCTTCACTCCAGCACATCAAGTCTACAAATTGATTCGCTACATGTGGGTTTCTGTGGCGCCGCAGGGGTGCAGTTTCTGAGAGCCCTGTTCTGGTTCACATCGCGCAATGGACTGGCAGGACTGGGCCAAGGACCCAAAGAGGCCGGGGTGAGGAAGTGTGAGCTGCTGCACAATTGCGTCAGTAGATATCCACACCACAGCCTGCTTGGATGTGGAAGAAACGAGCTTTTTTGCTTTCTCGTGGGGTTTCGTCAAAGAAGCGAAGGAATACGAAACGGAAGGGATCCAAATTTTGCCCAACGACAAGACATGCCCGGAATCATGAGAGGTATCGTGGATCAACTCTTTAGTAGGCTGGTAGGGCAAAACAGACTTTAAACGATGGGGCCTTGGGCAGAGACAATCTCTCAGTAGAGTTTGTCAGGCTGGCAGGTCTCATGTTCTTTCTGGCTTGCGCTTGACCCTCCATCTGAGTCCTCGCGTGGGAGGAGGGCTTATCTTATTGGGCCGCCATCAGACAAACTGACTCCCTCCGGTACTTGTTTGGATCATTGGATGCGCAGTAGACCGTAGGTAGACTGTAGACTGTAGACTGTAGACTGTAGACTGTAGACTGTAGACTGTAGCAGTTGTGGTCATTCGTTGATTTTCTACGCCAAAAGAGAGCCTCTTTGGACTTGTGGGTTATACGATTCAACGCCGATAAAAGGCTCCAACGACGTGCTTGATGCTATTCGACGAAAGTGCAATAGAAATAAAGAAAGATCATCGTTCATGTTAGTTCTCCCGTTGCGGACCGCTGCCACCACCTCCATTCATTCATCCCCATTTACATTTCCATCTCCGACTTGTACAGATGGTTACCGCCCAGAGCTTAGAGCATTATTCCCCGCTTTTGCCCACTAACACAAAGTACAAACCGGCAGCTTACAAGGTCCATTCTCTCTGTATATACATGGCCTGGGTATAGCCCAAGACCCCGAGCACAGCCAGCCCAGCCCAGCCCCTCCATTAAGAGGTCACGGCTGACACCCTAACGTCCTATTCCTGGCGGGGGGTTCCCTCTTATTGTTGCTGTCGGATGACGACGTTCTGCTTTTGCTTCCATGCTCCATGCTCCGTCCTTGGTCGTCTGGGGCCTGCCTGGGGCCTGATTCTTGCGGAGGCTTGCGGCTTGCGGCTTGCGCGCCATTAAACCCACCTGACACTCATAAACTCTCTTTCCCTTCCCTTCTGTTCCATTTCTTGGCTGTTGCTGTTTCTTCTTCTTCTTCCTTCCCCTCCCTCCTCTCTTATCCCTCCAACAACTTAACCATAGCATCGCATTCTTTTTGGGGTTGGAACTTTACAGCTTTCACAAGCCCTCACCGAGTTTGAGGCTTATCGCCAGAAACACCCCCACCTTCACCTCTGTAGTGTGACGACATAGCTACCTCAGGTTGCCTTATCCTGCCCGGGCGCTCTTTGTCGCGACCCAGCAGCCTACTTAATTGAGTTGGCACTACCAACATCACACCAGAGCCAGTACATATCAACAGAAAACAGCACTTTATTTCACCAAAAATGTCCCGTGTAAGGGCTACCGATTTCGAGGAACGGGATTACTACCCTGCTCCTCGACGTTCCGCTCCAGAGGGGCTCGATGAAGTCGATTATCGTCGCCGCACCGTCACAATCAGCCCTCCCCCGCGAGAGGAGTCTCGCACGCCCGCCTTTCTGCGGGAGGACATTCGCCGAACCGAAGCTGGTCCTATGGTCCTGCGCCAGCGTCAAGTAGAGACCATCGACCGACACCGACCCAGAAGTCCCAGCCCCGTCCGTGTCCGAGAGGAGCGCATCATTCGACGACCCCGCAGTATTTCCCCCGAGAGCAGTCATCACTCTCACGCTCACACTCACGACCATGAGCACGAGCACTCTCGTACCCGGGTATACGAGCGAGAGCGAGTCAGGGAGCCCTCTCAACCACCTGCTAGGCGAGCTCCTTCTCCCGCGCGAGTTGTGAGATATGTTGAGCGACCACAGAAGTCGCCTTCTCCTCCGCCTCCCCCGCCAGTTGAAGAGCGGGAGCGCATCCGCACTCGCATCATTGAGCGTGAGAGGGCTCCTTCGCCCCCTCCAGTTCCTAAGCCTTCTCCTCCTCCTCCACCGCCTCAGACTATTCGTGGACCGACAATTGAGCGAGAAGTTATCACGCATTACCGGGATATCGACCATGGTAAGTACACTGAAACTCAAAAGAAGGTTCAAGACGTTGACCGTTACAGGAATGATCAAAGCCAGACCCCCCACCCCTCCACCTCAGCCCAAGCCTCAGCCTCGTGCCCCCTCTCGAGTTCGAGAGCGGGAGACAGATATTGACATTTCTCTGTCCAAGAACAGGACCGAGGTGGATATCTCCCGTACAACCCGTACTCGATCTCAGAGTCAGGAAAGACGATCAGATTATCGTGATGACGAACTTGTGGTTCGACGTGAGTCCGAGACAACCTCGCGACGCAGAGCGCATTCTGCCGCTCCGCTGCCCACACCCAATGCTGTTGATGAAGAGGGTGATTATCTTACTGGCAAGATCGACTCCCGTGGCAGAATGGGCGAAGCCTGGGGCGGTGCAACCAAGGACTGGACTCTCGTCGATGTCCCCCCAGGCACCGAACGCATCCGCATGGACGGAATCGGCGGTGGCAGTACCGAGACGAGCTGGGCAAGGTACACTGGTTCCAGGAAGAGCAAGTTCATTCCCGAGAGAGATGGCGCACCCGCGCCTGCGCCTGTGCCCTCTCCCAAGCCTGCTATCAGGGAACCATCACCTCCTGCGTCTCGTGACCGTGTGAACGTGTCCATCTTCGACCGTGAGAGGGAAATTGACATTGAGAGAACTCGAGAGCGTGTTACTCGACCTGCTCCTCCTCCCCCCAAGGACATGTGGACCGAAATCACCAAGGACCTCGTCCTGCGTGAGGCCATCGAGAGCTCCGGGTACGAGTATGAGGAGACTAAGGAGTTTTACTACATCATGGACTACCTCAAATATGTAAGTTTTCCTACTAGTATCTCTGTAACCTGGTTACTAACTATCACAGGACGATGTTCTTCGCCTGGTTGATGTTTCCGACGAGATTCGAAAGTCTCGAAAGCAACGCGCTAGAGAGCTCGAGTACGAGAGAGAATACACATTTGATTATGAGCGCGACCGTTCCCGCCACGGCCACCCTCGCTGGGATGAGGTGTCAGAGCGCGAGACGTTTTACGATACCCGCCCTCCCCGAGGCTACCTACGTTAAGTCTGCTTTGTTCGCCGGCGTTCTCGTTCATGGTCACTTTCGAAAGGATAAGAAGAGTTGGATAATGGATACCTTTTTTTCTGCAGCTACAGACATGTTGGTGTCGTAAATGACAATCGGGGCTTTTCACTTCATTCATGTTGGACAACTTTGGTTGTACGAATTTACGAAATCATATACAGCGGATGAAATGGAACATGATGGAATGTATGTAGATGTTTGGTTGGTACGTACAATTACGATTTATGACAAGAAATAAATATCTACACGTTTTTAAAAGCCTCTGTATGCCATTTTGAGGTATATGCCTTGTTGTGATCTTGGAGGTAGATATCTCCTGATGAGGGGCTGACTGGTGACCTCATGGCCTTCGGAGTAGCCGTGCCTGTCTGCAGCAGATAGAGGGGCACTCAGCATCCCCGCGCCTTGGAACTCTGACAGGGACACCTACAGTCCGGTGCAAAAGTTCCGACAACAAGCCAACTTGGTAATAATACACATATTAATTATAATATTTTATATGATCTTATACTAGGATAGAGGTTATATAGAATAAGAGAGTATATCATAATTAATACCATCTTATATGGACTGTAGAATATAGGAAATTATTAGAACTTTTGCACACCCACTTGCGGTTACCACATCACAGACTTTACTCATGAAGCAGAGACTTGTAGCCTTCTAAATCACTTGTTCCAAGATGGCTACCAAGTTACCTGTCAAATCTGTCAAGTTTCATTTGTCGTCAAATCCCCGAGAGGCCTTCTCCTAGTGGTGCCAGCATCTTGTCGATGGGGCATAGGTAGTGATGCTGCGATAGATAGAAAGCTGGCCGGGTTTTAAACAAGCCAACATGACGCAGCTCTTGATATTGCATTATCTCAAGTTGGAAAAATCCATGGATCATATCTCTAGCTATACACTCTCTTTGCATCTAAGACTCTGTGTTTAAAATCTTGATATCTCTTGGAAGAATACTGGAGAGAACCGAATCTATACCCGCTGGTGAAGACCAGAAAATGGGAGCTTCTACCAGGAACAAGCGCACATGATCAGGCGAGCTATAATGTTGAATCCAGTATCGTTTCATCCAACACCAATGCGGATCTACTTCTGGTTTTCAGGAGACGCCGTTGGGGGCTAGAACGTAGATGGATGGGTCTGTGAGGGTGTGCGCCACGAAGAGAAGACCTAAACAGCACAATATTTATGAAGGGAGAGGCGATCGAGCATTAGAGAGGTTTCAAATACCTCAAATGTCAGAGATCGCGGTAAACTATCGGGTTGAATCGTGAAACGGTTTGAGGTATAGAAAGATCCAATATCATGATGTGCATTACAGATGGCCAAGAGCAGGGCTCACGAACCACGGCGCTTCCCCAGACCAGACCCCTGGAAACACATGGAATCCCAAATTTCGAGAAGAAGCGAACTCGGGCCCCTCAATCTGACAAGTCAGCTTCTGCCTTTGATAGCGGCCCAAAATGCATCCGCCGTGGGTTCTTGAACAAATGAGATACCCATCATGGCGTTGGTTGCTGTGGAAGAGTGGACCTATTTACTTTTGGGAAGAAAGTGAATCAACACAAACAATGGAAAAGAAAATATTGCACAGTAGGCAGGAGGAGAAAGGGGTTAGAACTGTTATGTGTCAATTTGGACAAAGTAATGATTCTTTAGCTCAGATTTGAAATGAAGGTCATTTAGATAGTACCAAGTCTCCATTGTCCAAAAGGCAAGACGAGTTTGTGCTAACCCAGCTAATTAATTATGCCTAACGGCTGTTAGTCAGGGCCCTGTCGTCTCGAGGTGGTGGCATTTGCTTTGCCTTGCCTTTCATGTGAACCATGCGTTACGGTACTTGTGAGGTTGGCGGGGAGGCACTGTAATTAGGTACCTGCCGAGCAGCAGCCTGCTGCGTGCTGCTACTCAACCTGACACTGTGCCGTAGCCTGTGCCAATTTTCCTCACCGCGGGGCACTGTGAATCGTACAGTGCAGATACGGGATTAAGCGAGGTTCTTCCAGCGAGGAGAGGAGCATGTTATGGATTATGCGTTCATAGTGGAGGTTCATGGTAGATTAGATGCCTGGGACTAACAGATCAAGATAAACGACAGTGGAGGCCAGGAAGTAGGTGCGGTAGCAGCAACAAAGAGATCTCAAAGACACTTTCAATCTCGTACTTGATCGTGTAGCAAACAATGGTAATTTGCTGCAGAAGTCACAAGGTTTCTAACAGAATAGTGCTGTGAAGGGGCATCAACAAGAAGGGCGGAGTAATGACATCCCCAACATGCCTCGCAACATCAGTACAGACACATGAAATCTATTGAATACAAGCAACCTGTGACATTTACAGCCTTTTCTTTAATTAAACAAAGAATTCCGTAATCTGGAAATACCCCTTGAGATTGAGTTGCATGCAAGGACATAGTGAAGACCGTAAGGCTCAGCCGTGATGCAGTCGAAGCTTGAATCGTGAATCAATGCCGAGTTCGTGCCAAGATTGTCTGCTACTGAAAGAGTTACCTTCTTGGCATAAACAAAAGCAGATCTCCCTTCAAGCTTACACACAGAAATATACTGCCTTTATCTCAAGTCAGGCACCAAACATCTCCAAGGTTCACAACCAAGGTCGATAACCGCCTACCGACACACAGTGCAGTACAGTGCACAACAAAGTGGCGGTAGCGAACTTCGCAGGTAGTTGCAGCCCTGTTGTTGAATGCCGATTTCATCATTCAAACGGGTATCTATCTTTTTCTTCATCAAAAGCCAAGAAATCAAATCATCTACTCTTGTCTAACAAGCCTAGAAAAGTTCCCCTTTCCGTCTCTCGGTATTCGATCTCTTCGCTATCAACAAATCGCCCCAAGGCATCAAATCAAACCAGGCCCCCGTCCGTCGTTTCTGGCCCGCCAAGCTCGTTCGACCCTCATACCCGTTCTTTTCCTCTCCTGGCCTGAGCCCCCGTCGTGGAAAAAACCCCCGCCTCTCCGCCTCATCCAGAACAGTTCTCTCTTCCATCTGCCAAACTTGTCGACACGTGCGCCTAACCAAAGGCTCTATTATTTCCCTTCTTCTCCTTCATTCTCACACCTTTACGCCCTTTTGCGCCTCGATCATTATTGACACCTGTCGAAACCGCATGACGAGACGTCCCTAAACAGCCAAAATGTCGAGCTCAGAGATAAACCAGGTGCTCGCAAATTCGTTGTCGCCTGGTGAGTATTCCACGCCCTTCCCCATGGATTGTTTTCTTAGATATTTCGATGTGGGCTACTCGAATAAAATGCTAACTTGTGTTAGATGCGAACCTACGAAACGCTGCCGAGCAGCAACTCACCCAAGCTGCTGAAAGCAACTTCGTAGGACGCCCCTGATTCTCCCTCCCTCCTTCGATTACCGGCTGACAATCTATTAGCCCCTATACCTCGCGACCCTCGTACAAGAGCTAGCAAACGACTCTGCCGATGGCTCCATCCGAGCCGCCGCCGGTATCGCTCTCAAGAACGCCTTCACAACCAGAGATTTTGCTCGCCACCAAGAATTGCAAGCAAAATGGCTGCAGCAAACAGACGACGAGACCAAGACCCGGGTCAAGGAGCTTACCCTCCAGACTCTGAGCTCCTCAAACACCCAGGCTGGCACTGCCGCGGCCCAGGTTATTTCTTCGATTGCTGCTATCGAGTTACCCCGTGGCCAGTGGAACGACCTGCTACCTTATCTCGTCAAGAATGTGAGCGAGGGCGCCGACCACCAGAAGCAGTCTTCTTTGACCACCATCGGCTACATCTGCGAGAGCCAAGATCCAGAGCTGCGCATGGCTTTGATAACACACTCCAATGCCATCTTGACTGCTGTTGTGCAGGGCGCTCGAAAGGAGGAAGCGAACATCGAGGTTCGCCTTGCTGCCATTACCGCCCTTGGTGACTCACTCGAATTTGTCGGCAACAACTTCAAACATGAAGGCGAGCGAAACTACATTATGCAGGTTGTGTGCGAAGCCACACAGGCCGATGACACAAGGATCCAACAGGGTGCCTTTGGCTGCCTCAACCGAATTATGGCCCTCTACTACGAGAACATGCGATTCTACATGGAGAAGGCTTTATTCGGACTCACTATCCTTGGAATGAAATCCGAGGACGAGGATGTTGCTAAGTTGGCTGTTGAATTCTGGAGCACTGTCTGCGAAGAGGAAATTTCCATCGAGGATGACAACGCTCAGGTCGAGACCTCCGATCAGATGCGTCCTTTCTACAACTTTGCCCGTGTCGCTTCCGGCGAGGTTGTGCCGGTTCTCCTGCAACTCCTCACCAAGCAAGACGAGGATGCCACCGACGACGAGTACAACCTGTCCCGCGCTGCTTACCAGTGTCTCCAGCTCTATGCCCAGGCTGTTGGCTCTGCTATCATCACCCCTGTGTTGTCGTTTGTGGAGGCTAACCTGCGCAATGAGGACTGGCATAACCGAGATGCCGCGGTGTCCGCTTTCGGTGCCATCATGGAGGGTCCCGACGAGAAGGTCTTGGATCCTATCGTCAAGCAGGCTCTTCCTGTCCTCATCACCATGATGGACGATGAGTCTCTCCATGTCAAGGACTCGACTGCCTACGCTCTGGGCAGAATCACCGAGGCTTGCTCCGAGGCCATTGACCCTCAAGCACAGCTGCCTACATTGATTGAGTCGCTGTTCAAGGGTCTTCTCACTAGCGCCAAGATGGCACCTTCATGCTGCTGGGCCTTGATGAACTTGGCTGAGCGTTTTGCTGGTGATTTCGGCGCTTCCTCCAACGCCATTACTCCCCACTTCAACAATGCCGTCACTTCTCTACTTGACGTGACCGCCCGTACAGATGCTGACACCTCGGTCCGAACCGCTGCCTATGAGGTTCTTAACGTTTTTGTGCAGAACGCTGCTTCTGACAGCCTGCAGGCTGTTGCCTCTCTCTCCGACGTCATCATTAAACGACTTGAAGAGACCGTACCTCTGCAGAACCAGGTTGTCAGTGTCGAGGACAGGATTACCCTCGAGGAGATGCAGAACAGTCTGTGCACCGTACTCCAAGCCATCATCTCTCGCCTTGACAAGGAGATCATTCCTCAGGGTGATCGCATCATGCAGATCCTGCTCCAGATCCTCAACAGCGTCGGTGGAAAGTCTAGTGTTCCTGATGCCGTCTTCGCTACCATTAGCGCCCTATCAACCGCCATGGAGGAGGACTTTGTCAAGTACATGGATGCTTTCGCCCCCTTCCTGTACAATGCCCTCGGAAACCAGGAGGAGCCTAGTCTCTGCTCCATGGCTATTGGCCTGGTAAGCGACATTACTCGATCTCTTGGCGAGCGCAGCCAACCTTACTGCGACAACTTTATGAACTACCTCCTTAACAACCTCAGGGTATGTCTTTCCCATCTGTTTGTGTTTTTTTGCTTAACTGACTAGCTACAGAGCACCGCCCTTGCCAACCAGTTCAAGCCTGCTATCCTCCAATGCTTCGGTGATATTGCCGGTGCTATCGGTGGCCATTTCGAGACTTACCTGTCTGTTGTCGCCCAGGTTCTGGAGCAGGCCACAACTGTCACTGCTTCTCCTGAGGGCCCTTACGAAATGTTCGACTATGTTGTCTCCCTGCGTGAAGGCATTATGGATGCCTGGGGTGGCATTATTGGTGCCATGAAGGTCAGCCAGAAGAGTAAGTTTTGACCACCCTCTGATCCGTCGCTATCACTAATTCGCCACAGCCCAAGCCCTCCAGCAATACGTTCAAGCCATTTTCCACGTCCTCAACCTCATTGCTGGCGATAACAACCGAAGCGAGTCGTTGATGCGTGCTTCTATGGGTGTTATTGGGTAGGTTCATCCGAAATCTCATAATGATGTGGATTATACTAATGTGAACAGCGACCTTGCTGATGCTTACCCCAACGGTGAATTGGTTGATGCTTTCCGTCAGGAGTGGCTCACAGCTATGATCAAGGAGACGAAGACCAACCGGGAGTTTCAACCTAGAACCATTGAGACTGCTCGCTGGGCCCGTGAACAGGTTAAGCGCCAGCTTGGTGGTTCTCAGGCTGTCATGGCCAACTGATCTGGCACACAAGATCAACAATTACATGGCGAGCAAATGCCGCCATTAACAAAGATATTCCCTTCCCCTCCCCCACCATAGCACGATTCCCATGACCCTTGCATGTATATAGACCCCCATACGACACTACAGTAATTCAAATACCCCCTCATGACGCTTCACATGGCATATCCATCGCTACATGATGCATTCACCCCCTTATCACGTCACTACACATCACTACACCATACACATCGCACCCCATTTTGTTTTATTAACTCAGATGCAACGAAGGAATAGAGAAGTCATGTATGCCCTGCGCGGATGAAAAGCGGCGGCGACCCAAAATTCATGTAGAGGGTAGGGGAGTCAAGGCGGCCGGTTATTACCTTTTTTTTCGTTCTGTTTTTGCAACATTGGTTGTTTCGGCCCATGGAGTCTGTCTTGGATTCCCTTTCAAGTGACAGGGAAGGCTGGAGACGGCGTACTCGGACACCCACCGTTGTGGAACTTGGTGGGATTATTGAGGAGTGGATTGAAAATCGGAGTGTGTAGGGGACTTTTAGAGTTGAGCGGAAAGAAGTGTTGAAATGAAACTTCCCAGACTAGAGTATCAAGTGAGCTCGTCTGTAGCTGTCAATATCCAAAGAATTGTTGACTCTTGCATCTTTGACTATAAAACTATCGACTGATATGGTGAAAAAGGTACTTAAATACCTTGCAGGTCAAGAAGCAATATTTGTTGTAAGCTTTTGACTGTATGTACAGCTGAAGGTTGACGCACCGACCATTTGCCGTAAGAGAATACTGTACAACTTAAAGTTCGAACTAATAATTTACTACTCAATGCCATCTGATTTTTATTTCAAGGTACAGTATATGGGTATATATGGTGGATATGATGGGTGGGAGACGCTAATTTAATGAATGCTTGGAGACATTGAGCATGGTCCTTTTCGGTGCGTGGTGATCGTTAATGAGCCACAAGCTAGCTATAGCCGTCGAATATGTTGCTTGCCGGCGTCCATTCCTGGGGCCCATAAGAGTAGAAATTCAGCTCGGTCTCGTAGCCGTCAGCAGGAGGGTCAAGTGGTACGTGTGTGACGGCTGTAGATCTTGTGCTTGTGGCTGCTAAGGGGGGTTGGGGCTGCGATGCGATGGGATAGCTGTGTATGACGTTCAGATTGAAGCCCCCAAGTGCCATATCCATATTGGTCATATCGTCAGAGGTCATGTAAAGCTGGGACTGAAGCTGAGGCGGGACGAACGTCTGGTGTTGCGGTAGCACTTGCGGTGACGGCTGTTGTTGTTGTAGTTGATGGTGATGATGTGGGACATGATGGACTTGCAGCTGATGTATTTGAGCTTGTTGTTGTATGTGAGGAGAAGGGAAATGAGAAGGAATGCCGCGAGGGCCAGACAGCGAGGCTGGGATATCGTGCGGAGACGGGGGCTGCAGAGTAGTAGAGCGAGTTTCAAGAGAATTCCCATGTTGGCCGTATATAGATGAAGCAGGCGATGTACCAGACGATGTAGGGGTAGTAATAGGAAAGTCGACTGCAGAATTGTGAACCAGGTCTTTGCAGTCTGCCATGCCACTTTCACTGGCAAATGACATGGTAGGATCCTGAGCAAATCGATTTAGGGCATCAACCCATCGGGAAGCAAGTGGCCAGACGTTTTTGCATTCCATCAAAATACTCAGAGTGCGCTGAAACATCATAGGCCCTTCGCGTGTGATATTAGGATCCGGGCAGACTAAGCAGAATTAGCATACGATGCAAGCCTGTAGAGAGTGACTCACTGTTTGGGTAGCGACACAAGTATATAGAAAAAAGAGCACAACTATAAACGCAAAAGGCAGCCATTTGAGCGCCGACATGTTCACCTGCAGAACGTGTTGTGAATTGAGCCTCGATCTGTTGATAAAGACCATGAACGTTGGAGAAGAGGTCGCACGCGATTTTGTCAAAAACTGCTGGTCTCTGCTCGTATGCGGGAGAAACACTTAAGATACTACACGAGTTAGTTGTAGCCCTATATTTGTAGGCTCAACTTACTCTATCAAGTATGGACGACGAAGAACAATGTTACAGAGGCGGGGTATCATTGTCAAACCGAGATATGCCTGGCTTGGATGTTAGCGACTCAGCTTGTCATGGCAGAGGAGAACTTACCAAGTCTTGTCCTTTAGCCTTATATTCTTTCAGTAAGAAGCGATTCCACTGGTGGTTTCGTGGTAGGTTGCTCTCCCATTGGTCTAGATCTCTTGATACGCTTGCAAGTTTGCTCTTTGGGTCCCAGGGGTATCTTCTAACGGTGAATTTAACGGCACGTCGAGTAATACTTCCCCAGAAATGGTGTGCTTGAAGAAGAGATGCAAACAGAGATCGATTTGGGTTCAGCACAAGTCCTGGATCGCTAATGGCAGGAGGGGTTCCCTCAAGAGCGGCCCGTGAAAGAGGAACTCGACCATTATCGAAGTCATCCTCATCACATGGCAGAAGCGCTGTAATGTCTGAGGCAGCTAGGGAAATAGGCGAGTGAGCACCCGAGTGCAATTGGTCCTGACTATGCAACATCCACTGGGGATAACTCAGTTAGTAAGATTATTGGCTTCTGTTTGGCACTCCATGACATACCAGAGTCCGGCGAGCAGATTCTCCACGTATAACGATATCGGGTGTGGGGTTCTCTACATCGTAGGTCTCCTCCAAATGCAACTGTAACGTGGTTGCCATCCGCAGAGCAATGCCCATGTTGATCTAGAGGTCATTAATGAAAATTCACAGTACCGGGTTTTAAACGTACATGGCTCTCGATCTTTAGCCCACTGCCTTGTTGTGCAATGCTAAGCAGATAAAAGGCTTGGCAGTTTTCCAGGTTCGATCGATAGATCTCGTCCCTCGCCATCAAGACAGCGTGTTCCATAAAGAATTGGGACGCCTCAATACCGTTACCATATCGAGTAGAAAGGGAGGGACTGAGGCGTGCCGAGATACTGAGGATGCTGACCACAAGAAATAGGCTCACTGACTGCCGGTCTTCGCGCATTTGTTGAGGAAACTGTACTTTAGGAATGAAGCCAAGCTGGAAGTAGTGTTGCGTAAACTGATTTATACCATCGATGACTTCTGTTAGTGGTGGCATCTGTTCCCATTCATCGCCGGGCCTATCAAGAGGCCTGGCAGGAGTGTCGAAATTTTCACGTCGTACTTTAGTTGAGTCTCTTCGAGCTGACCTATCAGCTCGAATGCGAGGATGTCGAAAGTCGCGATCATGGTCCGGCTGACCGCGTTCCAGAAATGTACTATCAAGTAGAGTGTCAGATCGAATTCCAGAAACCATGAACATACAGGCTCACCACTCCGCAGCCGCTTCTCCGTTTTCAAGACAAGCCTTGCACGGAGGTCGAGCCCCGTCGTGTACACATTTACTTCTCATCCGCCGGCATCTTAGAGACAATGTCAGCCAAATACATATTGTCTAGTATACATGGTACAGGGTTATATACCGACGACAAGCAACTGGGGCTCGCCGTTTGACAGCCGGGGCAGAGGGCTCCATATCCACCATGTTCCCAATGGCTAGCCGCTGTACGACGTTGATAGAAGTTGAAATATTTCCTGTAGAAATAACACCGTGTGCGTGTCAGCCGTGATTCGACGCTGGGCTTGTGTTGCTGCAAGAAAGACGACGGAAATCTAATGAATCAGGTACACGAGTACACGCTACTATGGCCCTCAAGCCAGCGACTACCTCGTACTGACTTCGTCCGAACTGCAGTGGACGGAGCCTCGGACGTGTTGTAAAGACTGAATATGACTTATTTTCGAGCTGTATCACTCTGCCATAAATTGGGAACGATTGACAGAGGTAACGGGGGCGGGAACGGGACGGGAACGGTAGCGGGAACAATAGTGGAAACGGGAGATTGACTGCCGGACGACAAGTAGTAAAGCTTAAACACCCGCGGGCCAAGATGAAGCGCCTGCGCCCAACGGACAAGCCGCCTCCTCCGGACTTGTCTGCGTCTGTGTCGCGCTTGCGCCTGGATGGGAGAGAAGAGGGAACAATGGGCTGATCACATGTACTTGGCGGAGGCTGAAGAGTGACTGAGATGAAACGATTGGTTAATAAGACGAGGGGCTCGGGCGAAGTACCGTGGTCGCGATGATCTCGCTGTCTGGATTCGGTAGTAAGCTAATTAAGCTTCCATCTGCAATATCCGCACAGAACAGAGCTACAGAAGCACCAGGTCATTAATATTCGTGTTTGTCTGTGATGACGTTCCAACTTCTCCCTAGTGAGTGCTGTGGCGCGTATGGCGCGTATGGAGTTCGATGCCAGGTTTGGCTAGAAGGCCAAGAGACATGTGCGGCAAGGGTGAATGAAGGAGGATGCGGCTTGCAAAGGCCACAACGAGTGGGTATGATAACAATGTCGATCAAGTTGAAGTTAAGTTGGAAACGTCCTTGGGAGGCATTTAAGTTATTGGCTGTGTGTGTGGCGAACCCGTTAGCACCGGGATAGCTTCAACAAACCAAACCCTGAACAGCAAGCAAAGTATGAAGGAGAGAAGAGACAGGTATGGAGGTTGATTGCAAGGTAAGATTAGTACCTACAGGAAAATTAGGTAGGTACCTGGGTGTGATTACCCACTAGGTAGGAAGGAAATAGAAATAAGGCTGATTGAGGAAGCTACTCCTCTGCTCTCGTCACATGAAAGGAGGCACTACCTTGGATAGTAACTGAGAGACAAGAAGCAAGACACACACACAGCGACACTTGCCGGCGTTTGCAAAAGAGCCAGGGCAGTTACAAGCCAAGCCTGTGGTCTGTGATTGGTCACGGAACGACAATATACTTTTTGCGGCTATAGGATGCAAGGGGCAGGGATGTTAGTAGGGGACTAGTTTTGACTAAAGATGGCAGTTAATTTCTGATGTAACATGATGATTTGTGCCTATAGCGACCTAGAACAGGTGGCATAGTTTCCAGGCTAAATACGGATAGATTGACTGGTATCAGATTCCATCTCCACTGCCTTCTCCCGGATTTAAAATGAGCTCTACCATACGTATTTATAATCATCAAAACTCATGGTTGCTAGGAGGTACCTGAGTAGGTAAGCAGTGTGTTGAGTGTTCGAGATGAGATTCCATTGATGCCCAATCCAGATTCTTAGACTATTTCTTGCTTGACTCAACCATCATACGATAAATCAATAGTTTCGCTGTAACCCCCCACGCCAGCCCGTGCGGTCTGATCTATCGTCGTGGAGTTAACCAAAGACTCTTTTGCCAAGTCCTCAGGGACTTTGCCCCTGCATTCTTCTCTCGAGTGCTTATTCCCAGTTGGCCGATGCGTACTTCGTAGTGTGTAGAGGCTAGGAATCTGCGAGTCTGCGACCACTCAGCCGCACTCCCGGCTCGGGGAGGACCGACTCAAGACATCACAATCGCAGGCTATCTATTGGGTGCTGAACTGTTGCTGTTGTTGCTTACCTGGGCGCTAAGAAGGATATCGACATCCGTGTGTAATACATGGAGATCCTTCAATCCCTAAGTCTCGCCGCCCTGCACACTCTGCGTTGCAAACTATTCTTAGCGCAGCCCCTGGCGCAGATCCTGATGGCGCAGATCTCCTCACATCTATCATTTCTCAAGCTGCACTACTCCCGCCAATCCTCGGTGTCCCTTCCGTAGCCAATGAATAGGCACATACGACCCCTAGTTGAATCACAATAGACATATGTTAGTGTGTTGCTTGCTTCAGTACTTATGTGCCAACTTTCTCATCGAAAGCCAAAATACCTGTCCGTTTGAGACCATTCCATTTCCAAAGGCGAAAAGCTTTGACACTAAAGCCCCAAGGCAGCCCGCCCATCAAGTGATGGCTTCACGGCACCAGTCTTCTGATCCTACTGCGAAACCGGGGCCGAAGCCACATCCTGTCAGAAAATACTTATGGATCAAATACCTTGGAATTATGCAGTCACAGAAAATAGCAAATGGACTTGAGCTTATGTCCTGGCCAGCCTTGCCAGGCCTGGAACCTCGTGAATGCACGTCAATGTGACCTTGGTGGCGATCCACTACGGAGGTCAACCCTTAATTAAGCTGATGTGGGGATCAGGATCTTTCTCTAATTCGATCACATACGCTTAAGCATGGAATCAATATTAAAACTGGATCATTTGGCGATGCCAATGTGACTATAGTTGCACTGCACATAGTCCTATGATCTTTTACTACCAGGATTTCAATAAGATATCCGGTGACCGATCGAAAACCAATTCACCCGGATATATGGCAGTTTTTCCGCCAGTAGATACCTGGCTATTTATGATATGTCATGGGTGGAAATAGGAGCCCGGATATAACAGTTGAATAATGTGGATCTTCCATCGCATCAAATTAAGGTAGAAGGTTAGATGCAATGATTGTCTAGTTGAAGCTTGATAGAATTTGAGGCTGAAGTTCCATGCATTAAGCAATTTGGAGAGCAAATGATACTGTATCTGTACCATGAGGAAGATTTTCTTCTGGTTGCTGTTTCACCAGCCGCTTGCTTGGGTTTCAAGGGTTGAAGGGATAACAATCCTTGGGTCAGATGTCTAGTGATAGGTAGGTAAGTAATCTAGACTCATACGATAGAATCAGTTACCTAGGCAGGTAGCAAGGTATTCTATCAACATTGTAGGTATTTCGCATGGTAAAGGTGCAGAACATGTTATGCATCCACTGGGTAAGGATGTCGCTGCTTTGTTCCGAACTTGCCGGAGAGTGGTTACACTACCATACCTTAAATAAAAGAGAAATATTGAGAAGGGGACTGATTATCCGTTGCAAGTGAAATTGAGAATTCGTTTCCGCTCTTTACTACATTCGGTTTGCAGTTCCACGGGCTCTTTGGGAACCAATTTCTTCACTAGATATAACCCCTGTTGAACACGATTAAGCCCAGCCTCAAGATATTACGGTACATTCTAAACTACTAGCTTCACAGATATAATGTGAATTTGCACTTTGAATTTATTCATAGGTCTCATTCAGTAAAATCTCTTTGTGGAGTTACATAGTAGCTTGTGGGATAATTTCGCCATTATCGCAACCCACTTGACCAGAGCTTCAATCAAACACCAGCAAATACCTCGCCCATTTCCTTTCTCTAGGTATCGCCAAGAGAATGGTAGATTATGGAAGTCGCACTTCAGTATTCTGACTCATCCAGAAGTTATTTGTAACCAATTACCTGCCTTGAGCAGCTGCAATGTAACGATGAAACAATGTCAAAGCGGCCGACCTAAGACAATAGATACAACATTTCCGTGGGCCAAGTGAACACAGTAGGGTTAGCGTTGTCTACTTTGGACATATTTTGTAGCCTCAAGAAGTCTCTTCAATGTGTTTGTTTGAATTATACTATATGATCATTCGGAATGGCAGCACTACTTCAAAATTTGAATGTGGTACTGAAAGCGCCTAGGGGGGGGGGGACTACCTTAATGTGCCTGCAAACGGTTAAAGCATGCACCTCAATCCTAGAAAGGATACAGCCATGGAAGAAAAAGCATAGAAAAATTCTTCTAAAAACGTTATTATTACAACGTATTTGGATACAGCCTATTCCTTTTATCCTAGAAGTAAACCGAGGAGAATTCATCCTTCAGTGCGCCGTTGCATAAATAGCCAAAGGACTGAGCAACGCGGGTTTTCAAGTTCAACTAAAACTTCAGATGAAATCTGAATTTAGTGAAAGTAAAGATGTGAGGAAGATATGTTTATACCAGTGTCGACATCCACGGGCTTCGCCACAGAATCGAACTAGCATGTAAATGTGCATATCGACAACAAGGGTATGTTTTTCTACTCAAAGCAGTGCTACATTTTCTTGTGGCAAGAGCAGAAGGTTCAACTTTTACTAACATGTCGTCGTACATTAAAATGCTGCCCTATCCTACTAATACTCGCGTTACCATACAAACGTGAAACCTCAGTCCTGTTCATTGCCTTTCAACTCAACAACAGCCTTTGCGTTCCAAAGAAATTCATCATCTACAAGACATAGGCACAAAATATATCAATCAACCATCTGCAAGAACCAAACGATCCGCCGATTAACCAGCGCTGGTGCTCAAGACCTCCCATTTTCACCCTGCCTTATTCTTGCAGAAGCTCATGGCACAAGTTGCCTGCAGCGGTTTGCTCTTGCCCGGCACTGACTTGATTGAAACTTTGAGTTCCAAATAATTCATTTTGCCCACCTATGTGGGTAGATCTCTATTTCTGAAGTTGAAGACCTGCTGCTCTTTATGACAGTCTATCTTTACTTTAATGTCGAGATCCTACTTCCGAACATCAGTATGGTATGTTAACTGATACAATACTCCAACCTCAACAAGATAATCTTGCGAGAAGCTACAAGCTCACGTACCACTGAGACTTTCTGGACCCATGGCCAGCATATTTATTAGAAGTGCATTAAATATGTAGGTGAGATCTGGCGTGACGTTACACAGTGGCGTTGTGGCAGTGGAGGCTGAGAGACAGTGAAATTCGTGCAAATTCGACTGTACAGCACTGTGCACGGCTCGCCCACGACGCCCCTGTAATTATGCGAGATTGGTTTATGTACCTCCCATTTGACATGGAAGAAAACACCAAAGAATGAGGATATGATTTTCGATCCCAAACATTGGTTGACTGGCCAGAATGGCGAAACCATAATGGTAATTATGACTCAGTGGAGCAATATCCAAGTCATCGGCTAAATTTTTCTCCTCCCGCTTTCGTCACCTCACCTTCATCCTCTTCTCCTCGAGTATATCATCATTCGAGATTACCCTCGACACTAGTCACGAATCGACTTTTCTTTAACAGAGTCTTCGGCTTATTAAGTCGGAATCGCAAATTCTGCCATCATGTCTGCACTGACGGAAATCTCGCTTCCAAGCTTTCAAAAGATTGCTTCGGGCAAAGTGCGCGATCTCTTCGAGCTGCCCGACAAAAACACCCTCCTTTTTGTGGCCTCTGACCGAGTGTCTGCATACGATGCTGTTCTCAAAAACCCTATTCCAGACAAGGGAAAGATTCTGACTCTTGTTTCGGCGCATTGGTTCAAGGTTTTGGTGGACCGTATTCCTGGTCTGCGCACCCATTTCATCAGCCTTGATCTTCCTAAAGGCGTTACCGCTGAGGAGGCAAAAATCATTAAGAACAGATCAATGATCGTCAAGAAGCTTTCTGTTATCAAGATCGAATCCATTGTGTATGGTCTCCCTTCCGTTCCAGAAGAGCCATGAAAAGCCATTCCTTGGACACGAATAGACTTTTACAGCTCATGCTTTACATACATATCAAAAGACTAATCAAATGATAGACGAGGCTACCTGACTGGATCCGCTTACAAGGAGTACAAGAAGAGCGGAACCGTCCATGGCATCGCCGTTGAGCCTGGCATGGAGGAAGCCCAGAAGTTCAAGCAGCCCCTCTGGACACCAAGCACCAAGGCCGATGCCGGAGAGCATGACGAAAACATCCATCCTGATGATGCTTGGAAGGAAGTTGGCGACCGTGAGACTGCAGACCGTGTCAAGGAGCTTTCTCTTCAGATCTATGAAGAGGCCGCTAAGTACGCCGAAGAACGAGGCATTCTCCTTGCTGACACCAAGTTTGAATTCGCCAAGGATGGAGAGGGAAATATCTACCTCGTTGACGAAGTCTTGACCCCTGACTCTTCTCGATTCTGGCCAGCTGCTGGCTACATGCCCGGTCGCGACCAGGACAGCTTCGACAAGCAGTTCATCCGAAACTGGCTCACCAAGGAAGGACTCAAGGGCAAGGAAGGCGTGGAGCTACCCCAGGATATCGTTCAAGCTACATCGGACCGCTACAGAGAGGCCTTCCTCATGTTGACTGGTAAGAAGTTCGAAGATAGCCAATAGGTGGCAAATACAGGAGCGCATCAAGAATAGGCTACCAAAGTATGATCATCTGAACTAGAGTTCTATTACTGCCTTGATATCAGAGCCCCAACTGCGTACATTGCTACGTGTGATGGTTGACAGCTTTCTCCCTCTATCTTTGAATTTTCGGACCTCTACTTCAATTTGCAGTCGCAAGTTTGATTTAACTACCCCGCTATCATACCACTCAAGATATGGCTCTCTTGATCCTGGAAATGTTAGCATGGTCTAGCAAACGTGGAGGAGACTTACCTTTGAAGTCCTTCTGTTACCGTTTCAGGGTCTTGCGTGTACACCACACGAAACCATCCTGGTTCGAGTGAGTGCTCTTCTCGAGGATGGAGAAAAACACCCTCCTTGTGCAGCTTCTTGGCCAAAGCAAAATCCTGGTTTAACTCGCCATCCAGCTCAGATGGAAGATATGGGGACAAGTCAATCCAAACGAAGAACCCTGCGTTGCTCCCTGGTAGGTAATTGATGCCCATTTCCTTGAGCTGCGACGTGATATGTCGATGGGCCTGGGCAATCTTTGTCCTCGTTGTGTCAACAAAAGCTCGACACCATGCCCTATCTTCAAGCATGGCACTTCCGATGGCTAGACTGGGGCCAGAAGGGTTGTGAAAACGCACAGAGGCCTCGATTGCACGAAGCACAGGTTGGCTACGAGTAATGATAGCGCCTAGACGGAGGCCGGCGGCGCCAAAGTCTTTGCTAAGACCGTAAATAACATGGAGAAGGTCTGGATCCAGAAGGTTGGTCGGGTCGATCGACAATATCGAAGTAAAGGGTACTGCAGGCTCATCTGTTTCGAAAACCGAACAAGCATATATCTCGTCGCTAAAGAGATGTAGTCTGTGTTTTTGGCAAAATTGCATTATCTTGATCAGCGTGGACCTAGGATAGCACCGCCCTGAAATAATCAGCTAACTGAATACCGGACCAAGTACGCATAGCCTACCAAGCGGATTATTGGGGTTGACGATCAGCACCATTTTGATACGCACGCCAGCCTTCTGGTACCGCAGCAATGCGTCTTCGAACTTTTCAACAATATCATCATGGAACGCCTCTTCAGTCTTGTTGTTGGAGTAGACAACGCTGACTTGAGACTTGTTGCCAAAATCAACCTCGAAACGGCCATAGATAGGTCTACTTGCTAGTACAGCATCTCCAGGATCTGCTACAGCCCACGCGAGAATATCGTGCATTGCAGTAGCGGCACCGACACATTGAACCATATCTGGAGTGATGGGGAAGTGCGGATGGAGGTATTCATTCAGATGCACTGCCAAGGCTCTCGGAAAACGAGGACCACCTGCATGGCTGCCACGATATAGAAAGTCCTCAGTTGAAATCGTAACCTGCATAACTAGGTTTAGAGGTTGTTCCTACTATTATGACCAGGGGTTGGGTTCATACGTTCTTGTCCACAAATTCCTTTATTTCCTTGGTTACCAAGGCCTAAAAAGGGTCATTATGCTGAAATTTGTTGATAGGAAGGTGTCGTACATTCTCAGCTAGACCGAACGATATCAATCCACTTGGATTATGATCTGGGTCATAAGTGGCCCTCAGTGCATACCTCCATGGCAGATCCAGCCCACTAATAGCCTCTGAGGCTCGTCGTGATAGTGAACCCGTCATTTCTTGAGAGAATTGGAGGTGGATCAACATGGTGAACGTTGCCGGAGGGTCACTTCAGGTTTTGCTGAGGGGATTGATGAGTCAGCTTTCTCAGGATCTCTGGTATTTGCTCAAATTGCCTCTTGGTGTTGCTTTTTTTAACGCAATGGGGAAATATGTGATCAAGAACGGTTTGGTACAGCGAAATGAAATGCAGGATAAGAGTTTGTCCAAGATGTAGGCGTTTTTTATCACGAGGGCTGCCTGCTCAGTCAAGAGATGTAAAGACGGTATGACGAAGCAACCTTGATGGGCAATGGAACAAAGCGAATCCAAAAGGTAGTAGATCATTGATATAATTGTCAGCTAATTGTCCAACCGTCAAGCTAGGTATGCCTCTCCTACTGTCGGCGGGACGGCCCGGAATAGGTTCTATGCTTTAATAAAATCTCAAACCCACATATAAGTACTTGCATTGCACAGCTTCTAATGGAACTTACAAAACTTGAAGTCTTTAAGAAATATTCCAATGTTCATTTTTATAGCTGAGGCATCAATGGATGAAATATGCAGAGTTGTTGGAATATTGTTGTTCGCGGTTCCTCGCATCTTCAGCTGCTTTACGCGTCGCGGATGTTGATCATCAGGACGCGCGCCACTTTTGTCTTTGCCATCATCTTTATTTCCGTCATGCTGACCACGACAATTCAGCCCGCAACATGGCGATGACACGTGCAAACGAGGTCATCGATATCAGCGATGACGATGAAAATGATGTGCTTCCAATTCAGGAACATATTTGGAAGCAGACCCTCTTCAAAGCCTTGAACGCTATCCAAGCAGAGCGTGAGCTGGTGGCGTTGAACAACTATCAAGAATTCGTCAACCCTGGCCTTAAAATTCGAGGCCGCCAACTCATCCCGCTGCCTCTCACTGACCATTATGCGGAAGTCATCAAAGGACTGTGCGGTGATGTTCAGGGCGCTCACGATGCGGCTCGAAACGCGTGGGAGCTTGACCACACGCAGTTCGAGTTGATCAATCCGGCCTGGCTATCATATCTCAACAGAATAGCGGAATTCATCACCAAAGGACTTCGCATTAAGGCGACCTTGCTGATGCTGCAGAAAATGACCCTCCAAGGACCTAACCCGAGCGCCAAGAATACCTCAGGCTCAGGTCAGTCCAACAGGACAATCGGTTACCTCACTATTTGTCTTCCATCTAAGCACGAGGGCGGCAACTTCCATTTCTCGTCCGGTAATAGAACGACGGAAGTCTCAACCGCAGCTTCATCAGCGCTGGACCTTTCTGTCTTCGGCTGGTATTCTGACACCGAATGCCAAGTCAAAGAGTTGGTGTCAGGATACCGTCTGACAATCACATATGAGCTGTACAAGAATGAGCCCGTGCAACCTTCTAATCCCTCCTCTGGAGTAGGGATCAAGCGCGTGGCAGAAATTCTTCGCATGTGGCCATGGAAATATTCTGACTCTAACAGGGTTTTATACAAGTTGGACAAAAAGCACACGACGGCCACTCTATCCCTCAAAGATACCAAAGACCGAGATCGGGCAGTCTGCCAAGTTCTATCCATTGCCTGCGATCGAGCAGGGCTTTATATGTTATTTGCCGAGATCACCTGTCAATTGGAAGATGATATGTGCAGCAAAGACGTGACTAGTTGCATTGATGAACTGTACACGCTTGACGGCCAACACTTGACATCGAACAAGGAGCTTGATGTTGAAGAGGAAGTTTTGGGATTTGATGTTGAGGAGATGTCAGAATTTGAAGCTGACAGTGACGAGGATGAGGATGCAAGTGAACAATATCTCATGGAGGAACACACAACAACACGTCGCTGGCATGATTTCGCTGTTCTTCTGATACCCAAAGTTGGACTGCTGGATCTGGTAAGACTGGGCAACTTTGAAACCCCCTGGCGACTATCTCGAATACCGCAAGATCCAGAAGTCTACTATCAAGGATTGGTCCGGGTTATAGCGATGGCCTTGCAGGACCTTACAAAAACCCCCCCTGATCCCAAAGCATCCAAGGTGGCATCGAACATCATTAGCACGCTTTGCGTATCTCTCGACGCTAGACTACGGCTAATTACTGAGCCCCTCGTGAAATGGAGTCTTCAATCCGGTGATCTGTCATTATATAAACTGGCTTTGCAGAAAGCTCCGATGTCTGCAGTAAGCGTTCTTGCAGAGTATCTTGCAAACACCCACGGCAGTTCAGCGGACACTATTGAATGGAAGAAATGGTGTGTGCTCTGCAAACGATCTTGAGCCACCAGTAGACACTTGGCTAAATACTCTACAGGCTCGACTACATTCCGGACCGACCCATTGGATATTTTTGCGGTATTTACCGTGACATCTCGCCTGTGTTTCAGGTCACTAGCAAAGCTGTGTCAGAATCCTTCGAGGCATGGGCTCGAACTCTGATGAATGAGAAGATTGACTCAGAAAGAACATGGGAGTTTGGCCATCTGAACATAATCTTAGACTGGATACGGGAACGTTCTCATGACCCGGAATGGATCACTACCAGGTTAGTTTCGCTGTGCTTTTCATCCCATTCGTTGAAGACCCCGTAACGTACTCCATTCAATAATGAATAGTGACGCTAATATTGTATAGATTACTTCCAAAAGTCGCCTCCGGTCACCATAGTCAGAGCCATGGGGCACTTCTGGTCCATCTACTGCGTGGTATCTACGAACAACGACACCAACCCCATTTCGCCTGCGCAAAGGAAATGTACCAGGCTATTATAGAGAACAGTGGCGGTGAACTTAACTTCCCATCCGATACTATTGAACCCACGGAAAAGGTTTGGTCCGTCGATACCCCCAGGCATGACCTGATCTTCGGCCCCTTTGCGCGGCTCCTGACTGAGTGTTACATCATTGGAGCTATGGAAGGGGCTTCCCAGATCATTCGCGAGACTTTCTCAAATTTACTCCTAGAAAGGTCGAAGTGGCTGCTTGTCAGGGACCCGTTTGGTGTTATCCATTGCCTGATCATCCCCATTATCCAACTCTTCGCAGCAGGACTGTCGCCAACAGTACCAGCTGTCATGGAAGTGCTTGAAATTCTTGTACGCAAGATCATCAGAATTGATCTGCCTAAGCAGACTCCCTGGGTCGGGCATTGGATTTTCAGGGAGCGCGGTTGTGGATTTTGCAGCGATTGTGCTGAGTTGAATCGTTTTTTAACCTCTCCACAACTTGCATGGACATTCACTGCGCCAACAAAACGTCTACTGCACATTGAGCATGCCATTGGCATAGATAACTCATTGCAGGTTAAAACAGCTGCCCAACCCATCCCCGGTACACTCATAGTGACCAAAACAGCACCACAGGGTCAGATTAGTCTCCAGAGCTGGAACTTCAATCACGCAGGCTTGATGGCGGTTCTGCGGCCTCTCCAAGGAGAGTTTATGATGAGGGCGCTTGGCGAGCAGCGGTACCGCGAAATCATCTTGCTAGAGGGCGTAACTCCATATGCGCAGCCACCTCCCACAACGACAGTTGGATTTAGGAGACCGGCCACTGAGGACGTGCCAGAGTCTGCCAAACGACGTCGTACATCCTCGCAATCACCAGGGGCTCAGGTCAAGCTCGAGCCCACAGTCAAACACGAGACCCTTGGCGATTAAGAGCATCAGGCATTTGATCGTTTACCTGCAGTACAACTTATCTATTGCGTTTGCGATGCCAACCCACCAGCCGCAACCACGCATAACTCCTAGCCGCTGGGGAACGAAGAGTGCTCGACGAGCACGCCTTCAGATATAACAGCCGTTGATATTTGCCACAAATCATGAGCTCACGCGTACCAAGTATCGCGCCCTCACAGCTGGTAAAGGGTCGAGAGGCCCTCGCTCGGTATGTATTGGTGAAAGAACCATGCAAGGTTATGAAAGATACGGCATCGCCCCTCGAGTGGTTTCCTAAAGAGCCCCGTCGCGAGAAACAATACACACTGCGACGCTGCAGGAGAAAAAGACTCCATTTGTGCAACTTCCAAGCACTGCCTATGCGACAAGACCAGCGTTCGAAGGGGAATAGCAGCCTGGTACAAGCCATTGTACGCCTGGTTAAAGATTTGAAGTACGGGCTAACCACATCTTCAAACAAGAATCCGTCCTTATAACTAGAGAAATAAAGTGATGTTAATTTAACGGGGCATTCTACCGCTATTTAAGCCAAGCCCTTGTGTACCTAGATACAGGTTTGTGGTAACGTGTATCTATATCTGGAGGCGTATGGAGTAACAAAATAGGTAGTTTTTGTATGATTGATCTGAGGTGATAATATACTAGTACTCAAATAGGTACATAATTCACTTTTCTTGGTGTTTGGAAGTTGCATGTGACAAGCGACAGGGCACCTGCTCTTGAAGTTTGGGAATGGATATCGTCATGGCTGAACCTTCCCCCCAAATATTGCTTTTTCCTCTGATCGGCAGGGGCCAACGACTTCAAAAAGACGCGTCCCCCAGCATCCGCATCACGACTCCACTTACTCCAACGCTCACCCAACTAATTAAGGTTCGTATTACTGTCTAACAAAATTATTCACAATGTTTGGTCCGCCTGTGGTGGAAATCAGTGACGACTCGTCTGATGATGCAGCTGAGGACAATGAAGAATTGCTACAGGTCCTTGACTCGATTCAATCGACAGGCAAAATCGCAACTTTCAGCCGATATCCCGCGTTTGTGAACCCCGGTCTCACTATCCAAGGGAATCATCTTATTCCCCTTCCGCTAAAAGAAGACGATGCGCAGGCTATCAAAAGCGTCTGTCGACAGGCGCCCTTCGGCCATGGCGACAAAACAGTCGTGGACACATCGGTGCGGAACACCTGGGAGCTCGATGCATCAAAGTTCGAGCTGGTCAACTCGCAATGGCCCAGCTTCTTTGATGTACTTCTTCGAGATACGGCAAAGGGACTTGGCTTTCAGAAAGTCGTTGCCAAGCCGCACAAGTTGCTCCTCTACGAACCTGGCTCGTTCTTCAAGTCTCATAAAGACTCGGAAAAGGAGCAGGGCATGATCGGAACACTCGTTGTGTGTCTTCCTTCTCAACATGAAGGCTCTGACGTGCACTTGTCATTCGGGTCGCAAGTAATCAACTATTCAACAGCTCCGACCTCCAAATTTGATCTGACCTCAATCTCTTGGTTCTCGGATGTAACACACAAAGTCACAACACTGACATCTGGTTATCGACTTGTCCTCACATACAAAATATTCGTCCTAGGAGAAGACCCTCTTTCAGCTTCCACTATCTTGGAACAGACCGACCATTTGAAGACCATGTTGAACAAGTGGCAAACCAAATCTGTTAGGAATGGAAAGCTTATTTATCCTCTCGACCATCTTTACACGGAGACAAGCTTGTGTTTAGAAAACTTAAAAGGACGCGACCGAGCTGTCGCTCACACTCTGAGTCAGATTTGTTCTGGCGCTGGATTCTACCTCTTGTTAGCGCACGCAACCCACGTTCAGAATGGAGAAGACGGATATGGTGCTTATTATGACGACTCTGAAGAGGACCACACAACTTTGAGCGCGATGTACGGCCCCAATGGCGGAAAGGTCGCTTCGGATGTTGATATTAATGTCGATGAAATCCTGGGTTACAGCATCAGCAAAGAGGAACCAGACAGTGAGGACGAAGGCGAATACACTAGAAACGAGAATGCACCACCTACATTCCGATACCACAAGACAGTAATTGTCCTTGTACCAAAGGCTCAGCTTCGGCATTATCTCAACAAGCATTCTTCAATCTACAATGAAAGCCCAAAGGCTGAGAATGAATGCCTGGCCGAGATGGTATGCCAAGATCTTGCCAACAATCGGAATGATCCGTCCACGAAGCAGGTTGCCACTGCCTTCATGGAGGATGTCTTGGATTCCGGAGTGAAGCCCAAAGCGGAAATCATTGGGCTCATATCGAAGTGGGCTTTGGAACTTGATAACATAGAAATGTTTAGGGCTTGCGTTAGAGCCACATACACATCAGTTGGGTCGCGACCCAATCATATTAATGCTTTCCCGTTCTATGTGTATAGAAAAGCCATTAGCAAAGAGCTAGTGGACCATCTCAGAACTCACTGGGATGGAAAGGAGCAAGGTATTGAATGGGAATATTGGTCAGTGAAATAAAAAAAAGAAATGGAGACTCAGCATACTGACTTGCCATAGGCTACAAGATCTCAAGACAGCTCGTGATATAGTTACAGAGTTCGATGCGTTCTGTGCTCTCTTCAGAACTTCGACCGAGCATCAACCTCTGCTTAAGAGCTTTAATGCATGGGCAGATCCAGTTTGTGAAGAGAAGCTGAGAACGCAATCTTTATGGGCAAAGTCGGATCGAGAGTACGTTCTCGGTACTCTCAAATCACGTAACGCAGATCGCGAATTCATACTGCAGAGGTAAGATGGCCATGATTCATGTTGATAGCTGACAAAAGAGAAACAAGCAACTGATTCTTCCAGCTTCCTTCCCGCAATTATACCACGAGCTCACCGATACTTTTTGTGGGATATCTTGCATTTGATCAGTGTCGAAAGGGAGAGCACGTTTCCAAACTCTGGAGAACTATACAAGTCCATTATCCAGCACAGCGGACAACAGTTATGCCTCTCTGAGACTGACCTCACCCCAAACGCGCAGGAAGATAAGGACGAAGGTTACGGCTACCGCACGCCATGCCAGAAGTTTGTCAGAATGCTAGATGAAGGTTACATCAACAGTGCCGGGCAAAAGAACCTGGTGTTACTGGAGCAGAGCTGCAATATTTTGATCGAGAGGAAGGATTTCTGGTCGTCAGTGAGTCCGCAACACTTGAGGAGGGACTTTCTTGAGCCTCTGATCAAAGTCTTGGAAACCCATAACGTACCCCCAATCCCAGCGGTGCAAGGGTTCTTTGAGGTTGCGCTACGAGATATCTTCCACAAGCCGATCAATACACGACCCGTCCATCTCCCAGGATGGGCACATCAGGAGCGTCACTGTTCGAGATCGTCCAATTGTGGGGAATGTCGACAAATGAACGATTTTCTTAAGAGTCCAGAACAGCAACAGTGGCATTACATGGCTGGCAAGCCCAGTCGAGAACATGTCGAAGCTCAACTTAGAGATCCAGTCTACTCGTTCGAAACCCTAAAGCATAGGTCCCCCCATACTCTAGTGGTTACAAAACGAGGAACGAATTACGACATCGCACTACGCGCCTGGAAAGAAGCCTTTCGAGCGGTCGATGACTCGGTCTACTGGATAAGAAACGACTATCTCAGAGGGTTCATGGGCGAAGAAAAGTACAAGGAGCTGTTTCTTTTGGAAAAGCCTGGACAAGAAGATCTTCGAGGTTCCGTGACACTCAGTTGGCCAGGGAGAGGTGACATGGCACCGCCAAGCGCTAAACGCACACGCCTGTGGTAAGGGATATAAGAACGAGATACAGTTCATTGATCTTTGTATATCGCAATCTACTCTATCCAAATATGGCAGAATGTTATCAACATTTATCCAACTCCAGTTATGCCCAGACCGCTATGCCCACACAAACTCCAAAAAAGAACATTGTCGGATATCATAAATCATACTTGCAGCGCTTCCAGACCAACTGTGAAATCTTCAACCTCCATTCCCCTAAAACCCTCCTCGACAACCCAAGCTCGGCCCTTCTCAGGAGTAAATAGGGTTTCGCAAGAACGACCAACTACCAGTAGACCTGGGGGCCGGCTACCCTCCGTCTCGATAGCCTCGGAAACATGCTCAAGTGTTGTTCGAATAACTCGCTGGTCAGGGCAACTGGCGCGTTCGATGACAGCGCAAGGCGTATTTCGTGGCCATAGTACCCGCTTGCTCTCGCCTGTTACAGTAGAGACTTGGGTGGGCTCTGGAGGGGGCGGCAGTTGTGCCGAAGCAACCCCTTCGTTGGCCGGAGCCAGGGGCTCAAGTTCAATGTGTGTGGTGAGTTCACGAACCAGGCCGTTGATACGATGCAGAGCCATGAGGAATACCACAGTGCGGCTGGGTACAAATTCGGGTGGTGAAGGAGCCTTGCCTTTCTTACCTGTACCGGTACAGATAAGAATTTGGTCGGCGATATCACGCTGTGTAGGGGGGATGGCGGCGAATAGCGGTGCACTCAAAGCACTGGTCACGCCGGGAAGAACAGACACCCGTTCTCCAAAGCCATGCTGACGAAAGTAGGCGACCTCCTCGCCACCACGTCCATACACATAAGGGTCTCCTTGCTTCAGGCGCAATACAGTCTTGCCCTCTTGGACTCCAGCAAGAGCCATCTCAAGAAGCTCTTCTTGAGCGCGGTCGGCGTTGCCAGGGAATTTGCGAGCAATATGAACAGGGGTACGGCGGGGAATAAGATCCAAAACACCAGAAGGCACAAGCTTGTCCGCTAGGATAAGATCGGCAGACTTTATGGCTTTGTGTGTTGCTTGAGTAAGAAGATCCGGATGCCCAGGTCCGCTGCCAGCCAAGATAATCGTACCCATGCGCTTCTCGGGAGTACCTAGATCACGCTTGATATCAGGACCGTTGCCGGGGTATGACTTGAGAACCGACTCCACATCGTTGTCTGTGATAGCGGCCAGACGCTTAAGAGGCCAATATTCACAGACCTGGCTAAGCCAGCGCACTCTCCTGTTCTTAGCATCCTCTTCTGTGATTAAGCGGTTGAAGTGTGCGTCTTGGTCGAAAGAGTCATCGGGAGAGGCTGGGTCGTCTTGGGCGACGAGAGCGTCCTCCTCATGAATGCGGCGACGAATATCTCCAAGGCGTGTACAAGCAACACCAAGGTTGACTGGTAGTGAAGCGGCAATATCACGACGAATACGCGAGGCTAGCTTACAACCGCGACCGTTCGTAGTAACGCCTATTTGGAGGGGGCCATCGGTATGCGTCGAGAGGAGGGAGAATGTGCAAAGGTGAGGAGCGTCGACGACATTTACGGGAATGCGGTTTCGTTTGCAGAGTTCGGATATGTGAATACCTGATACGTTAGTGGCTAATTGACTACCGTTGCGTATGAGGAACTCACTTTGAGGGTCTCGTGGTGCTGAAGTTACAAAGACAGCGTCCACAACGCCATCCACTTCCTCGCGACCAAGCCGCAGCAAATCGGCATCCTCGAATTGCTTCTTATGCCATTGAACACTGCCATCGTCTATTCTCTTCTGTAGAGCATAGTGAAGCTCAGCGCCTTCGGGGGCAATAAGAATTGGCTGTGCGCCAGAGCCTAGAGACTGGCCACATCGAGTTGCTGCGAGAGGGTTTGTACCAATAACGAGATGGATGTTGCCTCGACAGTTCAGTGCTGTAAGAAGCGAGGTAGGTACTGTTGTGACCATTTTGAAGACTGATTCGGCTGATACAGAATAAAAGAAATAGAGAATAAAACCTATATTCGACTCACTCAGTAAATACCACCAAACAATATATCTATATCGCGACTGCGAGAACCGGCGGGCTTATAAGAGAGCCCCCCATGTCGAGCTAGACCCTTAACCCTTGTTCCTTCCTCATGAGACGATCGAAAAAAAAGTTACCCCGTTTGCCCTTTGCCCCTCCCCCTCCATTGAACTCCAAATGGGCTTCACATGATTGGCTCAAACTCACGCCATTTCTGTAATCGGCCTGTCGGCGGGCACCAAAGCATCGTCCGATAACGCAATCACCGACTTCCGCGGGCCGCAAGCGGAAATGTCAGAATTGCGATAAAGCACGTTATTTCTCGAGCCGATACATGATGCGATAGAGGGAATTCCGTGTTTGTAGTGCTAGGGCCATGGAGGAGCGGAGATGCAATTTTCGAGAAGAGCATTCATATCCCGACACGTGATGCTCATCATCCCACCATCATGATATGGGTCTTATAAAGCAGTCCTTTCTATGTCATGATAAGGAGCTTATTAGTGCTGAACATGTTGGATGTCATCGTGAACCATAGCATGATTTGATAAATGTGGCCTTGGTCACACAAAATACCAGCTATGCCTAGGTAAGGTCAGCAAGGCCGTAGCAAAAACAAGCATCATACAACTACCGACCTTCAAGATATGATAAAGACAAAAAAGAAAGCCTCGCAAACGCTCACAATCGAATTTATATAGGAACAGCCCGATGCGGGGGTCGAACCCGCAACCTTGAGATCGCGCACTCGTAAGAGTCTCACGCTCTACCGATTGAGCTAACCGGGCGTGGCTCTTAATTGTTGAAACACGATGTCTCAGACACTCGTGAAGAGCTCCGTCGACGAAAAAGCACATGGACTCGAACATCTCTCACCACCACGTTCTAGTCAAAGCAGCTGTAGTCCATATACTCAGACACACTTCATTGCGTCAAAATTCTTTTCATTGTTTGGTGTTGAGATATATCGTCATCCTAACGCCCATATCATGCCAGTCATACCATGCCCCGTCTTTTATACAAGATCTATTTTTACATCAATCATACACTCAGACCGTGACTAGGGTCGGCCTCCTCTTCGGGCGTCATCCTCAAGCTCAGCATCTACTTCCTCATCCAATTGCTTGGCAATCATTTTCTCCTCCTCTTCCTCCGCATCCAGGATCTCCTGAATCAGGCGGCCCTTCTTATCCAACTTGTTTCTTCCACGACGCTCGCGAGGTGCGTTCTTCTCGTTGGCACTGATGCCACCAGGTCCCATCACAATCTCGACCTTTCTAGGTTTCTTGCCCTGTCCAGCTCGCTTGCCACCGTCGTCGGGTCCCTTACCAGCACGAACATTCCGTTGGACTCGCGTCTTGGCTCCGAGGGCCCAGAGGTCACCCCATCGTGACTTGCGAGCATCGTGGTATGCTAGCTTGCTGAAACTCTTGGGGACAGTCCATCGCTCGAGCTTGCCTTCTGGTGTGCAAAGATCGAGAGTAACATGGCCCTTTCGCTTCAAAGGAGGCATGATCGCTCGTGGGAGGCTCTGCATATCGGGATGTTCGTCAGAGTTTTCGTATCCTTCGAAGGCTTGTTTTGTCGCCTCCTTGTCGGTTATAGAGCGCTCCTTAGCAACACCACGTCTGATAGCCACATAACTGAACTCAACCTCGCCTTGGTTGTTCAAGCTGTTTCCGAGCATTCGGGTGTAGAACATAGGGCGAACGAACCGCTGACTGAAATGGCAATAGTCTTTGCGGCCAGTGCTCTTACCAGGCGTCTGGTACATGGGGCATAATCCTTGATTGGTACAAGGAGCAACAACATATCCGGGCTCCTTTTCCCGCTGATAAGCAGGATTAAAGTCCTCAGGGGTAAGTTCGGGCATTCCAGATTGAGGAAGAAGAAATTGTTTAAGAACTGTATCTCGAACATGAGCCACAGCTTCAAATCCTCGAGGGTGGGCCTTCTCCAGAACGATCAGCACACCACCATCTTTGTTCAATAGCGCCCAAAGGTTGTTAAGAACAGCTTGTCGGTAATGGTCCTGCTCCTCTTTGAGGAACAGATGAGAGGCGATAATAACATCATAACTCTTGCGGGCTTGCGGCTGGCTACCAGCATCGAGATGTTCACCCTTCATCTCTCCTGAGTGCTCATAATCCGGAAGCCTAGGTAGGAAAGTAGTGTTTTCGAGGAAGGTCTTCGCGCGATGTCGTAGACGGTCTGATCCAATAATAACTGTTCGCTTGCCTGGAGGATCGTCTTTCTTTACTTGACCGCTCTCCTTTAATAAATCCCATTCTGCTTGGACAATCTCGTCCCAAGCAATCAAGCCAGCACCACCAGATCCTGCGTCAAGAACGCTAATACCATTGCCATCTTTGAGTTTGGACTGGATCCACTCGCTTCCAACTCGCTTGCGAACCTCCCTTAGAGTAGCCATTACGGAAGCATAGGCTGGTGGCATGAAACCCGCCAGGAAAGCGTCTCCTTCGATCTCAGTCATGTGTCGTTGGTCAGCTGGAAGGCCGACGCCATGCATATTTCCATTCCGCTTAGCTTCAGGTGTCGCGGGAGACAGAGGAAGGCCTGCGCCACCGAATGCACTCTCGGCTGCAGTTTTAACGTGCTCGATATGAGTTCGCTGTAGCAATTCCCGAATCGGCATAACAAGCTCGTCTCTTGGCAGGGAAATCTCAACAGGACTATCGTAAAAGCGACCCTCAAGAGACAAAGGATGGAATCGGGCTGCCTCTCCAGACGTCCTTTCACTCAATTCGTCCTCCTCGGGCCAATACGGCTGTTCATCTTCCTCTAGCTGCTCCCTTGCAAGCTCCTCCTCTCTGGCGGCGGCCTCTTCGGCCTCTTGTTGCTGTTGTTGTGTGTTCTTGAAGTCCGCTGAGAGTTTTTGCAGTGCGTCGTACTCCCGCTGGCTCCTGGCGACTAAATCGACATAGTCTGGGACCTGATTCGCAATTTCTTCAACCGAGAAGTCGGCTGAATGGGGCTCTGGTGCTGTCTCGTCCAATTCCTCAATATCCGCGTTGATGGGAATCTCATAAGTGATCTCTTCGAACTCCCCGCCCTCCAGCTGTCGTAGTAGAGTACCCTCGTTATCCGGTCGTGGTGCTTGAAATCCCATATCCGCGTGTTCTGGAATACCAACATCTTCGGGTCTCGTCTCGCGCAACGGCGCTCCGTACAATCGTTCGTATACCGCATATTCTTCGTCATTCAAGTATCCTTTAGGCAAAGTGTCTCGAAACCGCTGCTTGGCATCCCGAACAATTTGTTCAATCTCTTCTGGCGAGGCCTGCCCCGCGGCTTGACCTTCTTGTCGCAAATATCTTGACGTTGAAAAGGCCTGTGTAATTGCTGCATTCCTATTGGACTGGGGGTATTGGAATGGAGAAATACGTCGTGTGCGAAGTGAAGGACTGGAAATAGAGTAAAACCGGGAAGACACTGTCAAAGAAGATGTATTGCACCTTGGGCAAACATTTCGGATTCCCCTGGCCGACAGCATTTTCCGTGCTGTACAAATTTGAAGTTTGAAGATGGAAAAATGTAGAGATTCATCAGGACTTTTTTGTCCGGACGCGTGCTCACGTGACATTAAGTGGCAATTAAACTCACTTGAACTCCCGTGAATGAGATTGAGAAGTGAAGAACATGGTAGAATTCAATCTAATGATGCTGCAGCTATGTAATAAGTCCTCCCTAAAAACATTGAATAACCATACCTAATCAAAGCCCTCTACCCTTGAACGCCATGCCATATAATATCCCTAGTCACCACCCAAATCTGCCAAAGTCTTGAAAGAAGATCTTGGAGGAGCTCTCGCACCCCCTGCTCCCTGCTGAGAGCTACCAGTGGTTCCGGGAGCTGGTCTCCTGTTGAGGTTGAACACACTCTTCTCCGCAGACTTGTAAGGATCAAACTTCAGTCCTATTAGTAAACCGATTCGTGTCGCATAATTCCCTGGCTACATACCGTGAACAAAGAAACAAAGTAGAGGCCAAAGAATGCTAATAGAGCATCAAAGATACCCTTGATGTTCCATCGCTTAGACAGGGGAGCCAATCGTGCTTCACCACCAAGTGTCCGGCCGGGGGTCTTAAATACATCGCCAGTAACGGGACCACCGAGCTTGACTGCGTTGTTGATGGCTGCCGTGAGCGCAGGGGGGTTGGCGCCCTTGATGGTCTCGATGCATGTGCCGTTGTGGAAGATCTTGAAGGTGGGCATGGCGGCAACAGCCTGGGCTCGCGCAATAGCGGACTGGTTATCGACATTAACCTTAGCAAAGGCGACCTTCTTCGGGCTTGAGTGCTGTTTGGCGAGGGCTTCAAACGTGGGCGCAATCATCTTGCAGGGACCGCACCAGTCGGCATAGACTAAGTCGTGTTAGTGATCATGTATATCCATGAGGGCGTTGTACAAACAGTCTGCGATAACCACGTTTGTGCCCGCCAGGAGAGTACTCCATTCGGCCTCGGAGGCGATGCTAATAGGTCCGCTCATGGTTGCGATATTGTTATTGCTGGATTTGTTTCCTTGAAGTGAAAGGCCACATCTGTCGCATCATGTCTTTGGTGGTGATGACCAAGCGCGGGCGAGACATCCGTGAGCTGCACTTGGCAGGCGGTGAGAAAGGCGGACAGATTCTGCCGGACAATATGTTCCATATCACAACTTTTTGTTCAGTTCAAAGCTCGCAGCTTCATCTAGGTTAACAGCAGATTATTTCATTTTTCCAACGCCAAAATGTCTTATCACGAACGTAACTCGAAGGTCGGTCAATTCAAACTCCCCAACATGAATTTATCTTATTGACCCTCAATAGAAACGGAAGACCGACCACAATCAGCAGGATACAACATCCTTCAAGCCTTCTGCGATCTTCAATCCCACTCAAGGCGGTCGACCATGGACTATCTCTGTCGCAATTCCCAGCAGTATTCTCACCAAGTATGTGATTTATCAAGAGTCGCTATTTATATGCTAATAAGTATAGCCTTGCCACTGCCGACCAGCGAATGACCCAGCCCGCGCGCATTGCCCGTGCCCTCGCCGTCTTTTCTGTCGATGAAGTTGTTGTCTTTGATGATTCGCCCGTTTCTACTCGACCTCGCAACACGGATCCAAACAGCTATACAGGCGATACCGACCCATGTCATTTCCTATCGCACATTCTCTCCTTCCTTGAGGCGCCGCCTTTCATGCGCAAGACTCTGTTCCCTCTTCATCCCAATTTGCGCCTGACTGCCATGCTGCCCAGTCTCGACATGCCGCACCACCCCAACCCCAAGGACTGGATTTCCTACCGCGAAGGAGTTACCATTGCTGGCCAAACAAGCACGGGATCTGGAACCCTCGTCGAAGTCGGCTTGGACTACCCTGTCGAGATCGAAGCGGAGATCCCTCCCAAGACGCGCATAACCCTCAAGTTCCCTGAAGATGAGAACCAATACCCGGAGCCTGTCCATCCTACTGCGCCAAGGACCGAAGGTGGTTACTACTGGGGTTACACTGTGAGAAAGGCCAGTTCCCTATCCAATGTCTTCACCGAGAGCCCCTACGAGAATGGCTATGACATTAGTATCGGTACCTCCGAGCGTGGTATCCCTGCTTCCAAGGCATTCCCACCATCCAAGAGAGTCAACTTCAACCATCTTATCATTGTTTTTGGTGGCCCGCGTGGTCTGGAGTTTGCAGCGATGAACGATGAAGAGCTCAGCAGCATGGATATTCAGGGATCCAAGACTAAAGAGTTGTTTGACCACTGGATCAATGTTTTGCCCAATCAAGGTAGCCGAACTATCAGGACTGATGAGGCCGTTTATATTGCACTGACTTCATTAAGAAATATTTGGGATTCTAGCTAGGTGCCCAGTATAGGAATTGATACCCCCTCTCGAGCTGCGACTCTTACCCCGTATTACATTAGAATTGATCTGTCAACCGCTCATAATATATATAAGGCCAGAGTGTCTGCAAATGTACTGTTGTTCTCAATCGCCGTTGTGAGGTCCACACCATCACGCTCCACCATAACTCTGGTTCCAACTGTGCTCAAACCTAGGAATCTCAAACCACTACTGGGGCCCTGGATACTCAGGATTCTCTCTTGGCAGTATTCTGGGGACTTGTTGCTAGCGCATGAATCGTTGTAGTTGTTGAAGAAGGAATATAGTCCTAGCCCGTAAGCAGCAATATTGCTCGAGTTGATTACTCGCATTCCCCAGCCCACGTTGCATCCTGCTGGGTTAGGATCACTCTGACAGTCCATCTGGAAGTTTGGATCGTTCAGAGCGAGTACAGGCGGAAATGGATATTGGGCCAATGGCATAGGCTGAAAGTAGGCTTGCTCTGTTTGCGCTTGGCCAATGTATATGTCTCTGGTGTTAGCAAGCTGATACTGGTATAAAACGTGATGTTCTGAACCAGATGCGCTGAGCCAGATGCGGCCTCTCTGAGCTTCTACTAGTACCCCCCGTCCGGCGAAGACAGAAACTCGCTGGTACTTTTGGTTCTCAAGGTCGTGATCTGCGACCCAGAACCAGCAGTTTTCCGTGAATAACCCTCCTGCATAAGCTGTTATGTGAAAACTCATGTATGCTGCCAGGCATCTAGGGTTGATGGTGTTAGTCCCTTTAATTGCAGGACATTCGGGAACTTGAAGATACGTTCCTGCAAAACCTCCGATCCGAGTATGCACATCCCACATGCCGGATGGGACTCCAGGGCTGTATAGATTGTACTGTATGAGGATGGCGCCTGCTGTTCCCCCACGCGTTGAGACGATCGTGTCGGACCATTCGATCTGACCACTTTCTCCAGGATGGCCGACTTGAACGACTGGTCGAGGTTTGTTCAGATCTCCGAAGTTAGGCCCTGTGCCCATGATTATCGACGCTAGAGCCTCGCCCACAATCTTGGCGTTTGGAGGGATATAAACAGTGTCGGAGACCATGTAGTATCCAGCATCAAGATAAGCGATGAGACCATTCGCTGCCGTGTATTGGAACAATGCGTTGAGCGCTTGAGTATCATCATGGGATGCATCTCCATAGGCCCCGTTAGCCTTTGCAGATATGAAGGAGTTACTTGAAAGTTTTTCGTAATGAGGCTTCGATCGTTCGTAATAAATATTGCGATCAAGGAGACTTTCACTCCGGGGGAAAGGAACAGGGTAGCTCGCAGTTGCAGCAAATGTGCCGTCCAAATTGGCATAATGCCCCTATTGCTGTTAGTCAATCTCTATCTCCAGCTCAATGGACTTGCCATCACAAAAACGCCACTGCCTGAAGGATCTAGATTAGATCTTGCGAGATCAACTCCCTCAGGCCCTATCAGAATGTTATTCACGTTCTGGAACTTGACATTCTCCATGGCCAGAGACGACACGCCGCTCAAGGCTTGTGAACTGTTGCGTGTTGTTGCAATAGCGATATCCATGCTCTCGAACCAGCTGTCAAGAATTGTGATAGATCCAACGCTGTTGGATGAATCATCCATCTTTATACCAACTCGGCAGTTTTTGAAGACGGCACTCTTGAAAGTCCATCCCCAGTCCCAGGTCATCCAAATGGCAACATCGGCATTGGAGAACCAGAGATTGCGTGCCGTGAACTGTTGATTACCCAAGACGGTGGCATTTCCACCACCATAGAAGTAAAGATCATTAAGGAGACCTCCTGAGCCTTCTTCAATCAATAAACCTGTATGCCGGTTACCGGGAATAGTTGACAATCTGAACACGCAATTGGTAATGGAAGTAGCTTGGGAGGACGGCCAGTGGATGCCCACGGCAGGAAAGTCAGGAGCAAGAGCAGTTGTGTCCAGAACTAAGTTACGGATTTGGCGGAAGAAAACATTCGTTGAATTCCATGCCAAGGTGCCAGTGGACAAATATGGGTTCGCATCGATAAGGCTAAAGCTCTCCTTGGAGAAAGAGCCGGAGGCTTTGATGATAGGCGGTTTAGTAGGATCTCCGATGATTTGAGTGTAGTACAAATCAATGAGTGAGCTGCTAATAAGATATGTTCTGCTTCTATCAGTATTGTGCATTAAACCATGTCGACTCCGGACACTTACCCAGAAGGAATGTAGACAGTCGCTGGGGAAATTGTGCTTCCTTTACAAACGCCAGGAATACATCGAACACCTTCGCTAATAGCAGCATTGATTGCTGCCGTATCGTCGGCAACTTCTTTCTGTTAGCTGTGAGGTTAATATTGTGAGAAGCACGAACCTCCATCCCCAACAGCACCAAAGTCCTTCACGTTGCGAAAGACCTTGTACAATTTGTCGGGGTAATAAGGAGAAGTGCCAAGATGATCGATCTCTTCCAGCCAATACTTCGCTTCGACTATGCCCGCAAGAGCAAATATGAGAAGTATGATGAACTTCATGGCGGACGTGTGGTGAGAGCTTGTAGTGGAGGTGTAGCTCACGATGAGAGTGTGTCAGTTGAGAACGAAAGAGGAGTAAATTTTTTGAAGAGATCTTATTAAAAATCGTGTGATCACATTGGTTTGAGGAGGGAAGGTAGATATTGTTGGTTCCTCCTGCTATATATGTGATGAGCTCTGGCTCACAGGTGCACTTTCCCCCAACGTGACTGCAGCATCACCAATCCAATCACCCCAGCTTTTCATCCCAACTCTTACCCATAACGTCAAGTCACATTGTGATATCGCATGAATGGTCTATTTGAGTGATACGAGTCTAAGGCAGTGATCAAGTGTTATTCAGAATTTCCCTACATGCGAACCCCCTCTCAGAGGTGTAGCCTACTAAAGCCCATAGATACACACTTATATAGAATAATAGATGAACCTTCACCATTCTGCGCCAATGGCGTTTCAGGTATTGTTTTAATTTATTGCCTATAAAAGATATATCCTCGCTTTACGAAAATGAGAACAGAACTCTGCTCTCATCTCTATCAAACACCAGGCCATAACCCCGCAATGCAGTGCTCAACTCATGATGTAGTCACTACTGCTGTGATTCAGTTACATCACTTAAAGCACCCAGGAGAATATCAGAAACAGGGAACACGTTGACTTGCATATGATTAATGTACAACCCACGAGGGGTAAGTGATTGTATTTCAGTGTGCGACAAAACTCGCGGCAGCCTTGTTGAAGGCTATGCTTTTCTAGTTGAATATCTGACCCTATCCTGAAAACGCCATCCGATACGGTCATAGCCCATGATTATTTAGTGTAGTTTTGGTTGAGGTGAATGTAGGAGTACAATGATTCTATCTTTAAATCGTCGAATGGGTCGAGTCGAGGGCAACGGTCTGGCCTAGGTTTCCACTGGCCATGCCCTTCTCGCCGGAGCGCTTTCGGAGGACGTTCTCGATGAACGCCTCACCAGCCTTGTATGAGGAGCGCACGAGAGGTCCGCTGGCGCAGTACAGGAAGCCCATATCCAGAGCTCGCTTGCGCCACATCTCAAACTCATCAGGAGTCACATACTTCTCTACCTTGAGATGGCGCTTGGTCGGGCGCATGTACTGGCCGAATGTAACAACATCCACATCAGCCTTTCGGAGTTCTGTTAAAAAGTCAGTTGATATTCGTATCAATATGAGGTTAGGATTCTTACCCTCGAGCGCAGACATGAGCTCATGCTCCTGTTCACCAAGTCCCAGCATAATACTGGTCTTGGTGATAGGACCATCCTTGCCCATAACATCCTTAACATTCTTCAATACAGCCAGACTCTGTCGGAAAGTAGCTCTGCGGTCTCGCACATAAGGAGTGAGGCCCTCAACAGTCTCAACATTATGCGCATAGACGTCAAGCCCACTCTCAGCCACGACCTTGACCATGTCCAAATCTCCACGGAAGTCACCAGTCAAGGCTTCAACAAGCAATGACGGCTTCTTTTGCTTGATTCTTCGAATGGTCTCAGCGAAGTGGTGCGCACCACCATCTGCCAGGTCGTCACGATCCACACTGGTCAACACAACGTAGCCCAGACCCCACCTAGCCAGCGCCTCTGCAGTATTCTCAGGTTCGTGAGGGTCCAATGCAGCGGGGTTGCGGTTTGTCTTGACACTGCAGAAACGGCATCCTCTGGTACATGTATCTCCCATCAGCATAATAGTAGCTGTGGCAGCATTCTTATCCGAACCACCCCAACACTCGGAAATGTTGGGACATCTTGCCTCCTCGCAGACGGTGTGCAGACCCAATCCTCGCAGGTCCTTCTTGATTGCCTTGAAGTTATCGTTTCCAGCGGGGATCGGGGTCTTGAGCCATTCGGGCAGTCGTGTGATGGTTCGCTTCTTGCCCTCAGGGCCGACCTCGGCGGTCTTGAGAGAGTATGCCTCTGCTGTTGACAGCGGCTGAGTCGGAGATGATGTACCAAGGAAGTCTGAGAATTCAGAGACAGTCGTGTCCTTGAAATAGCTCTTTCGTTGAGGTTTGTTGGGCTCGCTGCCGCTCGGAGGTACAGTGGCGAAAGTTCGTAGAGTAGATGTTGCGCGCAGCGCTTTGCGGAGAGGGGCATGCGCCCGCTTAAGAGAAAGAGCAAGAGACGCCATTGTAGTAATTCAACAGACGACGGCTTCTACTTCTCCTGGGACGAATAGGAGAGAAATAAGAAAAGCCGCTGAAGCGTTCGTGGGATACAGAGGTAGGCTCAACGTTGAGCAAAAGCTGGCTGCAGCTCCAAATAAAGTCAAAGTGCAGACTCGGGGGCAAAGACCGATGGGACCCGCACAAACCCGGTCCGCGCCCGAGGTCTTGGCCAATGAGGGGCCATCGCATTATCATTACGGAGCGCCGTTTGCTTGGAGAACGCCGGGACAGAAGAATACAGAATCCATTTTACGCCAACTTCAATATTAATGAGCTTGAAGAAGGCTAATATAATTAAATTTCATATCAGTAAAGAGGCTAAACTCATGGCTATCGGATTCTGTGTTTTTACTTCATAGCTATGCCGCACTGCAAACTCTCTAGTATAACTGCAATGCTCTTTTCCTAGATTCATTCTGTCAACTTAAACGATAATATTAAGGGTCCTCCTCTTAGTCATCGGATGTAGAGTTCCACCATCCCGTGCTCTGGAACGGCCGAGGAACGGTCTGGCAAATTCAAGGTCACCGTCGGCACTTCGTCACTCACGTACACTCGACTTCACACATCCGAAAATCCATTGAGCGTGACAAAGTCTATTGCTCTAATACTACTATCTACCAGCCATCGATCGTGGCTCATCATCGTTGGTCCATTGCTGGACACTCAAAAAATCACCAATCCTCCTTTTTCATGTAAATCGTTTCCAACCCCTTCCGAATCAAATCAAAGCCATACTCCAAAGATCAAGGCCAAAGAGGGCCAGATCTCGGATCACCTGCGCCGTCGTAAAAAAAGGGGGTATCGCCAAAAGAGAAGTGTAGTAAAACCAGCTCATCAAAAGGAGCAGTTACTGAAGTGAATATGCATTGTTTCCGCGTCGCCGACGTCGTCCCCGTCTCTTTGGTCTCGACTCTCTACGCAGCAGCAGAGTTGAGTGAAGAGATGATTGATTTAATGATTTCAATGGGTCAAATGTGTTGGGTAAAGTATGTCTCCAGCAATCAATATGCACAGCGTAGTCAATGCGCCGGCTGCATACTGGAGAATGAAGGGGACAGAAAGTGTTGAAAGCCCGCATGGCTTGACAAAGAAGCGGGTGTGATGAAGCGTAAGGGAAGCAGTCAAGCTATCCGTAGAGGCAAAGTCTCAAGACTCATCAGGGGTAAAACAGGCGACCAGTGTCGTCCTGTAGTTGGTATCGTGGCGTTCCATCATAAAGAAATAGGCCGCGTTGGCGGCCGAGGTATAAAAGGGGGAATAGGCAAGAAAAGGATGACATGTAGTTGTGTCGACGAGTCAAGTCAAGGGTAGGGAGGTTCCGTGTAGGAGTCTCTTTCCATCCGACATGGCGCTTACAGAAGAGCAGCGGCGACCATACCAGCAACACCGACGATGGCGAACTTGCCAACAGCGACGGCAGATCCGGCGTTTCCAGGAACCTCGCTGGGCTCGGACGAGCCACCAGTGGTACCAGCAGAGGTGGTAGCCTTGGGAGTGGACGCGGGAGTGGTGTTGTTGTGGGCAACAGGCCAGAAGGTAGTCTTCTCCTCGACGACAGCGGTGGAAGTGACCTTGACCGAGGTCTCAACAGCAGTGGTGCTCTCACCAGTGGCGGTGATGGTGTAGACCTGAGAGAGGTAGTAGGTCTTGGTCACAACGGCGGTAGACGTCTGAGTGGTGGTGTCTCGGTCAGCGAGAGCGAGGGCAGGCAGAGCAGCCAGGATGAACTTGGAGAAGTGCATTGTGTAAGTTGTAAGTGAGTGCTTCTTGTGCGAGCGCAAGGCGTTGGTGTAAGTAAGTGAGTGAGTGAGTTGGAAGTAAGAACATATAGATGCTATGTATCCAGACAGCGGGAAGTACAGGCGAATATGTATTCAACGGAAGAAATGTACGAGCGATAGACTCTGCCAACGAAGTCTGTGGACCGAGAAGAAGTTGTTTCGAAGCGTAGAAGGGTGGCCTGTCAAGTCGGGGGGGAGGGCCCATATGAAATACTACGAGGGGGGAAAGCAAACAACACACAGACTGACAGTGACACAGACAGGCTCACAGGCTCACAGCGTAGCAACCTCAGCTTCTTGATGCATGATAGGCTTGAACAGCCAGACGGCGTAGCCCACCACTAAGACACCCTCGTCCTTAGCCAAGGCCGTGCAGTCTCCAGCGCGACGTTTGGTGATGGGTGGGAGGGGCAAACTAGGCCCGAGCCCATGCCAAAATCCCATTAAACTGGTACAGACGACACGGGCTGGCCCCTATTCCTTGGTCGCATCCCAAGTACTTGTGACCTGAACAGGCCTGCAGCTGGCCTGTCACGCTCCTCGAGGGAAATTACAGCGCACTTGTTGACAGCTTCAGGTAGTTTTGTCCGGGCAGGGCCTGTTAATATCTGGTTACTGAAACTCGGGTCTGGCCTTACTAGACCATGTCATCATAGTCCATACATGCCCTTTAGCCTTTATCCCTGGTCTCTTTGTGCGACAGCATTTGAGACTCTGGACTTACAATGAGGGTTTCACAAGGGATCAAAGACCCTGGTCTCGGTTGGCAGCGAAAAAGAAAGAGAGAGAGAGAAAACTCTGCATTGTCCGGCTGGTGGCAATGAGATGAAAAACCATCCATCATCGTGCAGGCTGGTTCGTAGCCCACTCATTTGTGCCACTCAATGACTGGGAGGTGAGGGAATTAACAGATCAGTTAGTCAATTAATTAGTTAGTTTGTTCTCTGGAAGAAAGGGAAGAAAACGACTACTCATGAGCAATGGAAGTTCTACCGCTACTCATGCGCGTGTGGCCAGTACCAGGCAAAAAGAATTCATCTTATCCAATCTCATTGTGTGAATGACCCTCATTTTACCAGTCGTGACTCGATCAACCCCCATTTCATAAGAGCGCAAAAGTAAAATTTGCATAATTTCCCTCACCGTCTGTCCATCGTCTATTGGCCACAACCATCAACAAAAAAGGTACCAGGCACCCAGACACGCAGGCACGAGACACGCAGGCTAAGGGCAGGCACACCCGCTTTTGTCGGAAGTGGTTCCTGCGTCGCTTGTGCCTGGCGCGATACCTTAATTGGTCCCCCCCCCCCCCCAGCGCATCCCTAGCGCATCCATCAGAGTGGCAGAGACAACAGGAAGCGCCAAGGGAGACAAAAGAACATTGTGTTGCTGTGCAGCGTCGATCACGGAAAGAGCCTGATGGACACGCTACTTGCCGTAGGGAGAAGAATTTTAATGAGTTCCGTATCCGCACCTTAGTAGTAATTACCCCAACATTCAACAAGTGATCCATGCCTATCACTTAACTCTGTAACTCAATATCATAAGGTAGCACCTATAGTTTGGTATGTTTCCAAAAAACAATGTTCTCGGTTTCGTTCTGTTTTATACTATACTATACTTTGTCTGTTCTGCTATATCTCCGTCAAACTGAAACCTGTCGTCTCTTCCTTGTCAATCTCAACGGTCGTCTAAAACTCGGCTGGGGGGACATGGAACAATAAGCTCCGGCGGTACTCCATACTCCGTATTGACTGTAAAAAGGGACAAAAGGACAAAAGCCTCCACTATAGTATAATTAAGAGAATGTCAGCGCTGATCGGCTACCCGCCCCGGATTTGCTTGGGTAACCGTCAACCCGCGTTGGCGCTCGTCATTCCACTCCGTACGCACGCACTTTACTCTACCGTGCAAGCATAAATTTTTATGTTGACTTGGTAATGCCTTGATTGTCTGGTCATCATGCTTCTATTTCGGTCAACGGAATACTCACACCGCTGTGTTCTTCTTTTCATCTCTCGCCCAATCGCTCTCCATCATCACTCTCGCCGGGCACTAGACAAGCCAACGTGGCCGCGCTGTGCAACGCCAACGCAAAGGCTTTCTTCCATCCAATCCTTATTTAGCGTCAACGCGGTGTTGCTGCAAAATGCGGGTCGCGTGTCTCCCAGGAGCGACAGCTTTCCGTAAACTTCTTGTAAGCCGTCTAACACCCTGGTCCTTGTTGTGATATCATGCTCAGCCCTGCAATGCTGAACCTGGCCCTGGAATCAAGTGACAGTCATTGTTGACGTCAAGACGTCAAGCTTTCTCCGTAGCAACAGCAGTCTACTCTCACAAACTCATCGTGTTCTAGCAATCTTAAAGAGATCTGAGTGAGATAACCTCTTTGCTATCATGTTGCCATCTCATGCACGCACACCGAGATAATACCCTCCATTCAATACGAGGTTACTTTGCATGCCGTGATGATGACTTGTCGCGCTTTGGCTTGAACTCTAACAGTGGCCAAACGATTTGACTGGCGTTTTATTCTTATTCGTCCACTATAAGGTAGCAGAGCAATGTCTGCAGATCAGAGGTTCGCGAACGACAGCTTGTATTATTACCCAAGACCTACAAGTCATCGTACGAGAAGCCTAGTTGTTGTTTCCTAAGCTGGCACGCCGATCCTATCGATAGGCAAATTTATGAGAATACTCTAAGTAAATATTCATTAGTTTCTCAGTGAGTAAAGGCTTACCCAAGAGCTCAGAAGTGCATTCATGGAAACACTGTTTAACCAAAGTTATTGGCTGTTAAAGAAAATGCTAATCTGACAATAGGCCTACCCTAAAGCTGCCCATATCTAGGTACCCCAAATCGATCATGCCATAGCGAGAAGTCAATCTGTAAGTGACTTTAATCACTGCCTATGTAATTAATTTAACTTTGAGATTATCCATCTTCTTCTAACGACATAAACATTATCAAGATAGGGTAGTTATGAACAACAAACAAATCTGAGTTGCGGGTTGTTGATGCTGGAATCTCAGACCTGTAAGAGTGGAGCACTCAACACCTTCTGCCACAAGCTGGCTCGTGACGTCGCGATTAAGCTCTAGCCTCTTCAAAACAGTTTCCTCATCCATTACCAAAACCATCAATCTTCATACCTGTCATTCCTTCTTACCACCAAAAACACACGGGAATACGTCACCATTTCAGCGCATACCAAGGATTTCCCAGATCAGAGCCTTGAGACTCTTTGCGACAAAAGAATAGCTGTCGCATTATACCATTCAATAGACATGACAGACTCACCACCCACAGAGCCCCGAGCTCGCTCAAAATCACCTGCTCCTCGAGATAGAGACGACCGAAAAGGTCGCGACGACCCGCCTCGTGAGAACGCTGAGCGTCGCCAGCGCAGGGACCGCAGCTGGTCGCGTGACCGCAACAACAACCGCGACCGCAGAGATTCGCCCCCGCGCAGACCCAGAGATCGATCGAGATCACCAGCGCGAAGGCCCAGAGGATCAGGCGGTTTTAAGTGGAAGGGAGAACGCCGAGATAACGACAGAAACCGTGACTTTCGCAGACGTTCACCACAGCGACATCGGGATCGCGATGATGGCAGGGATCGCAACTACCGTCGCGACGACCGCCGCGACGACCGTGGTGGTGGCCGTGGTGGTCGGGATCGACAGAGAGATGGAGATAGAGATCAAAGAAGAGAGAAGAAGGAGAAGAACGAGGACAAGCCAAAGGCCCCTGCTCCCCAAGGAGGAGGCGAGGAGATGATCATCGTCAACGTCAACGACCGTCTGGGCACCAAAGCTGCAGTGCCTTGCTTAGAATCGGATACCGTGGGACAGTTGAAGATGATGGTTGCTGCGCGCATCGGTCGTGATCCGGGTCAGATTATTCTGAAGCGACAGAGCGAGAGACCGTTCAAGGACCATATTACACTAGGAGACTATGGTATCTCGAATGGTGTACAATTGGATCTGGAGATCGACACGCGTGATTAGACTAACACGCCAAAATCTCGGCCACGACTTTTGGAACAAACAATTTGAGCAGATTCTTTTTGAGCGGCCGTTGCTGCATAGGATGACTAGGAACACAAAATTGGAAGGAAATACAAAGTTGATCTTGGACGTCTGGCGTGAGCCATACCATATAATCATAACACCATAAACGACCCATCCCTAACCTTTTCGACATTAAAAAGAACCGCCAATAACCTGTGAAACGCCCTGATCCTGGCACAAAAACGAAATGAGCGTCCAGTGAGTGAAGGATGGTGTAGTTTGATATATTATAGTCGAAATAGGACGGCACCAGTTTTCGGAATAAGAGAGTTGAAGGAAATGTTAAAGACCTATTCATGATAGCTTAGAATCAAGAAAGACAACAACCTTTTAAACAATACGAGATTTTATCAAAGAAAAGAATCGGTGAACATTCTGTTGACAAAGGCTGCATTATCATCACCCATTGTATAATAGCCCGACTCCTTCTCGAGGGAAGCCTGCTGCATGACCGGTATATCGTCGGATTTGAGATCTTGGAGTTGATCCGTAAGCGGGCGCGGCTGAGAAGCCCCCGCTGGTTCTTGTTTCTGAAGCATAGGGTGAGTCCCAATAAAGTTCAGCCATGTCCTATCTTCAGAGTCATCGGGCGAATCTGGGGACAACCACAGAGGTTCTTCAAGATCGGGCGACTTCAAAAGATGCATGGATTCCCCCGCCGTAGATGCAACTCTCGAAGGACTAGATTGAATTTGTGACATTCCACCAGATTGGGAGACGGTCGCATCCAGGTCGCTCATAGAGATTGTTTGACGCTGAGGCTCAGGCTGGTATCGAGGATGGAGCATATTTAAATTACTGATATAGGCCTCAAGCATTCGCCTATTTGGATCGAATGGGACCGGGGTTGTGTTCACTGATGCGAGTTGGGTGAGTGACTGTTGTTGAGTATTGTTTGCAGGGGACTCGTGCATAAAGAACTGATTGGGTGGCTGTTGAAAGAACCCAGGTGGTGCTAGCCTATGCTGTAGAGCTTGAGCGAAAGGTGCATTCCCATAGCTCTGTCTTTGTTGGCGAGTTTGATCAAAGTTTTGAGAGTAAGGCAGTATTGATATTTGTGGAACGTGTGGAGGCGGTTGCTCCCAATTGTGATACTGACCAGGCGGAGACGACATACTTTGCGATAGCAAATATCCTTGCTGCTGGAAGCCGTTAACCGGTGAGTTGCCTTGATTGATCATGCTTCCAAAATGGGTTGGTCGATTAGACTGGAAACGAGGTGGAAGAGGAGCCTCCTGGTTTTCGTTCCTCTGCGCTGTTTTCACCATGTTGACAATATTCTCTGGCGAAGTGTCCGGATATATGTTCAACACTGCAATTGGATTGCGATGCGGTTGGTGAGCATCTGAGTGTTGCAATATGGGCTGGTTCCTAGCAACTGCCTGTTGGTTGTGTGGCCTATCAAGATGATGAGAGGTGGGTGCGTGTCTCCCCATGACTGGCTGATCTTGAGTTGATGAAGGTATCGAGGGTGCTTGCGGAACTTGTTTCTTTTCTTGTCCACGAGAGACATGCGAAGAAGTTGAACGGATACTTCGCGGACATGATCCTTGTTTAGGTCGCCGAGCTTGTTGGTTGTTGGCTTGCTGTCTCGAATTAGAGCCATGAGACCTGCTTGAAGCCGGTCGAGAGATCGATTTCCGCGGGGCCGGGTACTCAGGAGGTTCGCCAGGCGCCTTGGTCTCGGAACAAAACGTGGTGTATAATACACATACTTTCTTCTGCTTCAATTGCTCCGAGTTGTAGGTACACAGTGGCTCAGTCATGTGCGTTTGCATCCCTTTCTTGTCGAACTTGCACCAGCAACGCAAGCAAAGAGCAACACCATGATGTTCCGAGTCTGCAAAGTCTTTGTCTTCCCAATTGTGTAACGAGCTGCACTTTACACAATTCCCTTTCGCTTTGATGGATGGATTGTGAGTATGGCAGCTTGCTAAATATTTACGAGAAGGGTTACTTGGATCTCTTCCTCGTATAAGGCCATGATGATCGGAGACGTGTGTGACAATATGGGATACCTCTTCCTTACGGCCTTGGCAGGCTTGCCTCTCAGTGGACGTGAACTGGACTGGATCATATAGCCAGAAGGTGCAGGTCTCGCAACGATCCTCGAAATCTTCGTATGAAACCAACTTACTTGTTTGATTATGCAATGACCTGTCCCGCCGTGCGCCTGATGAGCTGGGGCCATTATATGCCGATAATACCGCATTATCTGGGATCCCTAGTTGGAATGCTGGCGTAACTGCAACTACCGGCTTTTGTGGAACGGCCAAGCCTGTATGGACTGAACTTGAAGATGTTGGCGACGTACGACGCCAGGAATGGTCGTTAATTGCAGATCTGTTTCGCTTTGAGAATGCATGTTTCCTAGATGTATCGTCGTCTATTGACCGGCTGTTCTGGCGTTTGGGCGGTTTCTTGGAGCTGGAGGATGTGTTTGTTCCTGCCACAGACCAAGCCGTCTGCTGAGATGATGGATCAACTGATTGCTTAAGAGCGCCGCGCGATTCTGGTCTGAATGGTGTCGCCGATATTATAGACCGTTCTTGAGTGATCCAATTACTAGGAGGCCTTCCTCCATCATGATTGTCATTGTCGGGGTATCCCGCCTTTCGATCGGCCGTAGTCGATGATGGCTTTGTAGACTGAACTGTTGGCCTTGGCTTTTGTGACCAACGTTCATCAATCGAAGGGATGATGTTGGACGCGGTAGGGTTTCGAGGGCGTAGAGCTGCAGGGTCGCAAGTCCTTGCTGCCTGAGCAGACGACGGCTTGCTAGTGTTTCCAAATACATTCTCGAAATGGACGAGGAGATTACTAGTTTCACGCTTGCGTTGATGTAATGATTGGGAGTTGATGAATATGCCCTGGGCTGGCTGAGAGTTTCCCTGGTTCTGGAGCCAGTGTTGGACTACCACATCGTTTCCGCGAAGTTGGTCGCGCTCGTACTCTGCTAGCTGCCAGTCACTGGGATTGAGCTCGTTCCATAGCTCGTGGGTGTTGAGTTCAATGTTATCGATACCCTCGCGAGTTTGGGTGCTATTCTCACTATTAAAGCCCTGACTCGGCGACGCGTCCATGATGATCCTGGGTCAGGCTTTTAAGCCTCCCAATGACGTTACGGCGTTATGGGAGGCGCCTGAGTATCACCCCGCAATGAGATGAACGAGGATGATGGCTGTAGTTGTAGATGGATGGGCTTGGGATCACAGATTGGTGGCGAAAGTTTGAGGTGTAAAGCAGACAAAGTATTGGGAAATGAAAGACAAGGCGTAGCGGGCCAGATAAAGAGACGAGAAAATGGGATTGCACATTGGTAGGTAACACATTGCGATGGTATTTTGTACCGAATAAGGCTGTGGAAAGACCATCATGATTGGTGATGGAGGCTTGAAAAAGGCGACCTCCCAAGCTAATCTTGGCCATTTTCAACCCCCTAGCGAATTGACGCCCGAGGTTTTGGCCTGGAGAACAACATTTAGAGCAAGCCTTGGTGAGGGCGAGCGTCTTTCGGAGTTTGAAATACAGCTGAGGTCGAATTTGAGCGCCAGAAAAGACGTTGTTGGAGGTTGAAAACGATAAAGTTCCCGGTCAAAGACGACGCCAGCATTATTGGCCGCCAGTGGTTCGCCCGCTTACCCACACTGCCATGTTAGGAAGAGGCGGGGGTTATTTAGTGGTGGAGAGAGGCAAGAGCACTTTAGTTACGCCCTGACGTAAATAACAATAGTTTAAACATTTATATAAATCGTGGTGGAGTTAGTACTTCGTATTTATACTCACATTACCCAGGTCAACTGATGTGAATTCTGTACTTTGTATCGTTATTGTATTTGTATCCTAGTGCTGGCATTAAAAGCAGGATTCCATGGTGATAGAAGTGCAATGTTCCGTATCAAGAGGATCTGATTGTTAGAAGGAGGCGAATACTGAGGATTTACAACCACCAACTAAGACCTTGAAGATATAGAAGCAACATGAATGCGAGCACAGCAGGGTCAATTGCTACTAAGTCTGTGCAATTTCTATAGTTTGACTTAACCCTCTACTTTCCCAACCTCATGTCCCATTCATCCGTACCCGTAAACATTCCCATAACCTAAACACCGAAATGCAATTTTCTTCTATAAATTTAAGCAACCCACTTGCGCGCGTTCAAGAACAGCTGGAACCAAGGACCAAATTGACCCCACTCGGCCAGTTGGCGCTCAGGCTTCCATGAGCCAACATCAGCCATAATAGTGCGCTCGGGGTGAGGCATCATAGCGACGACACGGCCGTCCTTGCTCTTTACACCGGCAATACCCTGGGGACTGCCATTGGGGTTGAAGGGGTATCTTTCAGTGACGGAACCGTAGTTGTCCACGTAGCGGAGCGGAATAAGACCGGAGTCATTGATGGCCTGTAAGTCGCTGGTAGAAGAGAACTCAGCTCGGCCCTCACCGTGAGAAACAACGATAGGGAGAGAGGATCCATTCAGGCCGTTGAAGAAGACAGAATTCTCAGACTTATCCTCAATGGTGACCATAGAGTATCGGCCTTCGAACTGTGTGCTGGCGTTCTCGACTGTAAAGTGTCAGCATTAGTCGATAAGTGGAAGAGAGACAACATACCAAATGTTGGCCAGTGCTCGGCACCAGGAATCAGTTCCTTGACTATGGTTTGTTAGTTAAAATGAACAATCAATGGATGGGAACGTGAACTTACGTCGGGTCAACATCTGACAACCGTTGCAGACACCGAAAGAGAAGGTATCAGGACGCTTGAAGAATGCTTCAAAGGTTTTGCGAGCACCGTCATGCATGAGGATGGACTGGGCCCAACCGTTACCGGCACCGAGGACATCACTACAGGAGTTAGTACCAGTGTGGTTCCAAGAGTGATCATAGGCAGATGTGTATGCTCATGTCAGTCACTGCTTTACTTACCCATACGAGAAGCCGCCACAAGCAGCAAGACCTCTGAATCCATCCAAAGAGAAGCCATCGAGGATATCAGACATATGAACATCAACAGCGTCAAAGCCAGCGGCTCGGAAAGCAAAGGCCATTTCGGCGTGACCATTGACACCTTGCTCTCGGAGAATAGCAACTGCAAATTGTTAGCACTCACTCATCTGCATTTCAAGTCGGAAAATCTTACCTCTGGGCTTGAAGACCAGGCTCTTGAGGCTGGTAAGGGCTGGGAGGCTGACATCGGCAGTATCGAACTTGAGCTTGTAGTGCAGACCGGCGTCCTTGCTGTCCCTGATGGCATCATACTCAGACTGGGCACAGTCGGGGTTGTCTCGCAGCTTTTGCATCTCGTAGGAAGTACTTGTCCACCATTGCTGGATCTTGACACGGTCTAGATCGGCGATGGTCTTTGATCGATACTTGACGAGAAGGGACTGCTTGCTAGTAGGTCGAACGTAACCGATGGTCCTTAGAAGACCATGAGGAGGACCACAGGTGGCAAAGCACCTCTTAAACTTGGTCTCATCGCCACGGCGGATCTGGAAGACAGCACCCAACTCTTCGTTGAACAAGGCGTCGATTACCTTGTCTTCAGACTCAGCAAGGTCATCGAGGGAGATGTCAGCACCGCATCGACCGGCAAACATCATCTCAGCAACAGTGGTAAGCAGACCACCATCGGATCGATCGTGGTAGGCGAGGACAATCTTCTCTTGGTGGAGTTGCCACAGAGCATCAAAGAAGTCGCGGACGATCTGGACATCGCGAACATCAGGAGCTTCGTTTCCAATCTGTCCGAGGGTCTGAGCAAGAGCAGAACCGCCCATAGCACGGGAACCCTGGGCGAGATCAACAAAGACAAGAACAGACTCGCCAACCTCTTCGACACGGCGCAGCTGAGGTGTCCATGTGCTGCGGACATCCTCAACCAAGCTAAAGGCTGAGACGACTAGCGACACAGGAGCAGTGACGGTCTGAGACTCAGAGGTCTCCTTGTCTTTCCAGGAGGCCTTCATGGACAAAGAGTCCTTGCCGACAGGGATAGAAACACCGAGCTGAGGGCAGAGCTCCATACCAATAGCCTCAACCGCATCGTAAAGCGCAGCACCCTCGCCGGGGTGACCAACAGCAGCCATCCAGTTGGCAGAAAGCTTGACGCGCTTAAGATCACCGTTAACAGGACCAGGCTTGATGTCAGCGGCACCAAGATTCATCAGACTCTCCACGACAGCCATACGAGCCGAGGCGGCAGCCGAAATAAGGGCAAGATTAGGCTTTTCACCCATTGCCATTGCCTCACCACGACGCTTCTTGTCGTCGAGACTGAAGCTAGTGAGGGTGACGGCGACATCTGCGACAGGAGTCTGCCAAGGCCCGACAAGCTGGTCTCGGACAGAAAGACCTCCTACGCTGCGGTCACCAATGGTGATAAGGAAACTCTTGGATCCAACTGAAGGGAGGTTGAATACCAATTCAGTAGCCTTGGTCACCAAATCGCCGATATCGGAGCTACCACAATGTTCAGTGAGGCTCTTGACGGCGTCAAAGGGACGAAGGGTCTTCTGAACACGTTGGACATCCTTGGAAATTCGCCGCCCAGGGGGGAAGAGAACATCCATAGGAAGGTTGATGGGATCAATGGGAGGCTGGGTCGTAGGCTCGCGATCAGTCAGAACAAGCTTAGAAACACCACTCTCATCCTTGGTAACGGCGTTTCCGACAACGGAGAAACCGCATCGTTCTCGCCGGCAAATGCTTGTGAAGCGGTTGAGTCCATCCCTATTGACAAGGAGTACGTATCGCTCCTGGGCCTCGTTGCACCAAATCTGGAGAGGAGACATGGAGTTATCAGCGCTTTCAACTTGTCGAAGCTCGAACTTGCCACCAAAACCAGCGTCCTTGACAAGCTCGGGCAAAGCATTTGAAAGACCACCAGCGCCAACATCGTGGATGAATGCGATGGGGCTTTCTGAGCCAAGAGCAACACAGGTGTTGATGACCATTTGGGCTCGTCTTTCCATCTCAGGGTTTCCTCGCTGGACACTGTCAAAGTCAAGATCTGCGGTAGCCTCACTACCAGCATTGGAGGAAGCTGCACCACCACCGAGACCGATCAGCATGGCGGGACCACCAAGAACAATGACATGGGCACCCTCTTCAACATGACTGTCCTCCTTGAGAGCGTGCTGGGGTCGAACGCTACCGATACCACCGGCGATCATGATGGGCTTGTGATAACCTCGGTACTCAGGGGCGTCAGATCCAGCCTCGTTGGTAAGAAGTGTCCTGAACGTTCCGGTCAGGGCAGGGCGACCGAACTCGTTGTTGAAGCGAGCAGATCCAATAGGAGCCTCAAGCATGATATCAAGACTGGAGGCGTAGTGAGAGGGACGTCCAATATCAAGCTCCCAAGGCCTCTTGTTACCAGGGATCAGAAGATCAGAAACCCAGAAACCGGCAAGTCCAGCTTTGGGAGAAGAACCTCGGCCAACAGCACCTTCATCACGAATTTCACCGCCGCTTCCGGTTGCAGCACCGGGGAAGGGGGAGATGGCAGTTGGGTGATTGTGAGTTTCAACCTTGATAAGAGGCTGAACGACCTCACGAGTAAGCTTCCAGCTTCCGGTAGAGTAGTCCGGAGCCCAGTAGTTACCCTCGTCGCCGGATAGACTATAAGTGATTAGCATGCAAATTGATCTTGGAGCTGTGAGTGTGATAAAGTACTTACACAGCTGCGTTATCGGAATAAGCGCTGATGACGTATTCGGGGTTCAGTTTGTGGGTGTTCTTGATCATGCCGAACAGACTGTTGTCCTGACTAACACCATCAATTGTCCATGAGGCATTGAAGACATGATGTCTGCAGTGCTCGGAGTTGACTTGAGCAAACATGAACAGCTCCACGTCGTTCTACTGAAATCAGTATTTGATTTTCGAAGTCGGACATGTGAGTCATACAGGGGATCGACCAAGCGCAGTGTACTGCTTAACCAAGTACTCCATGTTAGGCTGGTCGAGACCGAGTCCAGCCTTCTTGTTGTGGTCCTGGAGAGCGGCCAACGGGCCTCTTTCGTCTGAAAAGATATCAACCACAACCAGAGGGTTTCGGGTTCCATGGGCAAACATGGTGTCGAGAACTGGGGGCGAAAGGCTAAAGAGTTCTGTCATGCGATCATGGAGAATATCCCGGAATCCCAGATCATCCTCTCCCTTGTACGCATCGTCAAATTCGATGTGGATGACTCGACCTCGTTCGATGCGGCTAACGGTCCTGAGACCGCAGACTAGCGCGATGCTGGTGGCCTTTGAGCTCCATGGGGAGACATTTCGAGGGCTGACATAGATATCGATGGATTTGCCATTGCTGTCGGTTGAGGGGGCGTTCGTAGGTTGCTCAGTAGCCTCGAGAATCTGCTTAATGCTGCTGAGAACGGCACTATCCTCAGTCTCAAGGTCAACGTAGTATTGCCATAAACCCGTAAGCTTGACAACCTTAACGGAGCTCTGATCGTTGATGCGCTGCACGAGCTTCTGAACCTCAGAGGCCGTGTAGCACGACTCGCCGACCAGAACGTGGTGCATGATGATTGGAATTGCGAGTTCAAAGCAAGATACGCCTTGACGCTTGTACGCCAACGTCCTGTAGTGGGAAAGAAAAAAAAATTGGCGGGGTTCCGATAAAGGCGGGATGTCAAGAGCGGGGCAACGTTAATCCGCCTACGAGAGAGTTGACTACCAGTGCCGTTGTTTTCCGTGTTCGCTCTGAATCCATGTTGGAGGCGAATCAATTGGCATCTAACTCGTATGGATTAAAACACTCGATTCATTTGGTCTTTTGCTATCTTCTCATAGGCAACTGCGCAGATTCTATCGCGTTTCAACAACGCGATCAAGCTATACAAGTGCCATCATCGTGGGGGCAATGGCGGGGTCCGCGGGGTCCCTCCCAGTGTTCTGCGGATACAAAATCAATGTACAAAGCAGGAAACATGCTTTGGAAGTAAATAGTCAACGATCCCTACCATTTCGTACATTACAGTGTTTACCCACCTACCTTGTTATTCTGACTATGCAGAGTGATGTGCCTGATGGCAGAATGTCATTCTACCCTAGGTACGTGTGATTTCAAGTGTGACATTCGAAGTATGTGATATGAGAAATGCGGAAGTCGAGGAAGATAACCTCGATCACTACATGAGCAATGTATTCAAGCTAGAATCTCTCACTGTATAGGTAGCTTTGGATGTTCAGTCATTAATTCAAGTTCTGATTTTTGTTTCTGTATTGCAGGTAAAGTTGAGACAACAGGTCTAGTATCCATTCTCTTAGCTGGCTGACTTTAACATTCATGTCAAATGCCCATCAAAAACTCGACCGAGGCCTCTAAAGTTGCAAGACAAGTGAGTTTGCTAACAGCTGTTTGCATTACGATCATGTCTGTATTGAAAATGGCAGGCTATATTGGCATATCCGGTTTTCAGATTTCTCAAGTTTAGATGTAGAAAAACACATCGGACAGATGAATGCTAGATTATGCTCACCAAACCATCATTCTTTGTTTCATCAATGATGTATGTACTTCAAACTCGAGCTGAGGATAGCGGCTTCAGACCACTAAACTACAGCATTCGAATGTGTGATTAGGCAGTTTGACACCCCTGTTGTTCTCGTTTTGGTTGGTCTGTAGATTGACTGCTCAGGACGACGAAAATCAGAAGTCTGGGCCGCGGTTGTCAACTGAAATGGTGAATCATTACCAGGACGGACTGTCCGAGGAATTAACGGCAGGCTGCTGGTTAATATATATACAGAGAAAATAGAAATGTCTGATGGTTAGACTTAACTTAGTAGGTAGGTAGTCTTTCTTGACTCGTTCTTGGAAAGTGCGAGTCAAGATGATGGTCATATGTTTCGCAACTCCATTTTGTGTCTGGCCAACGCTTTTGGTTTACAAAGATCTAGATGCACTAAGAAAAATAGAAACAAAGCTATTGATTTGGTTGCTGGAGAGGGCTGTCTTGGCTAGTATTCTAGTAAGACATCGCTATTCGGTAGCGGCGGTCATCTAAGACAATTGGAAATTGCAGGCTATAAGTGGTTGCGAGAAGTAGCGTGAAATCTCACAATCAGGCACGAAGAGTAGACAGTCAATGAGACTATTCAGATACATGCGTATATGGATTGTTGTGAGGCTAGGTATTAGTCCAATTGGTTTGTAACACATGACAATTTTACATAAGCAACAAGGCGCAGTGGCAGAGTGGTCTAATGCGATAGACTAGAAATCTATTCTCCTCGGAGGCGTCTGTTCGAATCAGGCCTGCGTCGCTTAAATAAGCTTTTTGTTTAGCTGAGTATTTCTTATTATGGGTCCAGCCAACACATCTTTATTGCCATTGTGCAATTCTATAGAAATACATTTAATGCTGTAGGGTAACTACCTAAGTAATGTTAATATATTCCTTCTCACTCTACGGCAAGTTAGTAAGTAATTAAAAAGGATTAGAAGTTACAATAGTAGTGGAAGGGATATAAAATACAGAGGGCAATAAATAGAATATTCCTTTAACTACCTATACTTTAGTATTTCTGGTAAATGTACTTATTAATCATCCTTAAGTAGTTTTAAGTACCAAGATACAAACTCGTGTCATTCTAATACCGCAGCACAATAATACCTCGGTCACAAGATACATAGACGGTATTAAGAAAGAAAATACTTAATAGCATAATATCTTGTGAAGTAATATGTTTTACAAGGATGCCATTTCGTCGCGCGTCAAACACACATCACGACTGCTCAAACCATGGGCATACCCAGCTTTCCTACATAAAAGTGCGGAGGTACTGAGGGGCTACGAAGCGGATGTACCCAAGCTCCCATGGGGCGTCAAGTTTCCATCAACACATAGTCTACCCGTACCACAGCGTCATGTTGGTAATGGTCTGAGCTCTTGTACTAAGGGTATAACATATACTAACTACTAACATAACAAAGAAGAGCCCAGACCCAGAGGTAGATGTGAACTCTGATGCGCCACGGTGGCCTAAATAAGATAAAGGATTGAAAATGAATTGATGATTGGCGTGAAGAGACCTTGCATGGCGCTTTTAAAACAAAGTATGTAGCAAAGCTCTTCGATCGATTTGTAATAGGATAATCGCCACATGGGGAGAACGCGATTGTCAACGGGATGGCTTCGCCTCCCAACTCCATTAGTACAATGAACGTAAGATTCCTCACCAAGACATGGGCAAGACCGAGATAGCCATGTAGGCAATGCGCGTTGTGATAGATGAGACATTTTCGTGTATGTTTCTGAGAAGACCAGGCAAACAACAATACCAAAACGGAAATGTCTTTGAAAAATACACCGGATGTAAGTGGTTAACCTGGCGATCACGTTCCTCTGACCAACTCTCGATGTCCGCAGAAGCCCGATCGACAGCATTGGACGTCATCGAGTTTTGTCTCGAAAAGGAAGCTATCGTATAATCGGAGAGTGGTTTCATCATAAAGTTGAGCTGGGGCCAATATGCATTATGTGTGGACAAGGAATCTATTAGAAACACCCCCTATGGTAAGTTTTGCGATGTGACTTTTGGAATTGTGCCTGGCCTTTCCTGACCAGTGACCTGCCCCTCTCATATCAATAAAACCAGGACATGACGTTCTCTATAAAATAAGAGCAAGATGTTTGAAGGAGAGGAATACTAAAAAGTCCGCAATCGGTTAGACACGCAGGGCTTGGCATCCAGGCCCAAGCCAAACCTTAAATCATGGCAACTCGAGGGACGTGGATTGAGGGAAGTGCTTGCAGTTCAGGTCACGAATGAGCGCGCGCGGTGCCTGGTCCTTACTAAGTTGGGCCTTGCCTCCACAGTGATGAACAACGTGTGGCGCGTGTGGCGGCTGCGGCTTGCACGCTTTCACCCAAGACAAACACAAAAAGACCAACAACGACTAGGATCCACGATCTACGCCTAGGATCTATCCCGATCGGTGCGGCACGTTCCAGTCGATAGCCGCAAACCTTTTAGATGCTAGCTACCCAAGACATCGCCCAATCATGGCACAGCGCATGCAGGTCTATTCAGGGCGACATTCTTCGGTCCCGGTAACCCGCACGATGAAGTCGGCAACAACCTCCGCAAAGTCTCTTGGAGGACTAGTTTCCAGACCGCATTCCTGGCTGTCCAGGACGTCCTGGGGAATATCGAGAGGGAATGCGGCCAGCTGGGCGAGAACAGCGTCTCGTGGAGACAGGCACCTGTGGTCCATGACAACTCTAATGGAGACGAAAACAGACAGGCCGATGGGAGGATGAAGTCTAACGACGAAGCCAGGAAGCTTATGGGGACTATCTCTGGAGATCATATAAACGGCCATTGTACCTCGAAAATGAAGAATAACAGCCTCATACGGATTCTCTCCAACACCCAACTAATTTGCTAGCTACGTCTTTGGCGACAACTTACAACATGTGGTTGTCAAGAGGGCTAGTAGCCTCTACACTCATTCTTGCCACAAAGGCACAAGATGTTAACGATGGTATCGATGATGCGGCGTTGCGCATTGCAACAGGATTTGCCGAGACTCTCATTCAGCATGCAGTGACCACCTTGAACGGGGATGCTGGAGGTGCTGGTGGTGCGGCAGATGGCGGAAATCAAGACCAGGTTTTCGATGCGACTTTATTCGACAAGCCCCAGGGCGCCGCCGATAACGCTGCCACCGTTACTCAGATGATACAGGGACAGCTTACTGTCGAGACATATACTCGTCCAGGAGGAGTCATGTTCCCTGTTACACTCCTTCCTCACCCGAAAATCACGATTGCGCCACACAGCGGCGACCCTTACGAAAGAATTATTCAAGCTTACACTGGAGGCGCCGACGCGACTACAAACCAAGAAATCACAATCGCTGAGCCCAGCGGAACAAAACCGGGTACAGTCATTGTCGACGTGCCTGGTACGGCGTATTCATCCTTCTCATCGGGCCAACCCGGCGCGTTGACTATCCCGCCTTCAAACGACAATCCTACAGCCACGATCATTTCGGCATTGCCTAGTGGAGTTGCCATTAATGGCGATGCTACAAGAACCATTCCTGCAGCTGGAAACGCCCCTGCCACTGTCGTCATCCAGACACCCTGGGCAGATGTACCACCAAACACTGCTGCAGCTGGTGGAGATGTTGGCGGAGGTGTTGGCGGAGGTGCTGGCGGTAACGCCGCAGGTAGTACGTCCAACGTCTTGGTTATTCAGACATATACTGGAACCGAGTATATCACACAAGCGAGAGTGACCACCATTGCTGGTAATGGAGGTGATCAAGGCACAGTCCTTGTGCAAGTTCCTCAGGGTAATCAGAACCCTGGCGGAGCTGTTACAATCCCTCCCAGCGGTGACAGCCACTTCACTACGATTGTTAGACAATACACTGGACCTACTCCAATTTCCACACCCGTCACTATCCTTGTGCCCACCTCAGCAGGCCAGGATGGGACCATTATTATCGAGACACCCGGTGCTTCGAGCACCTCTGGCAGTGGTGGCGACCAGGGCGGTGATCTTCCCGAGAACCAACCGCAGGTCATCCCTCCTAGTGGTGATAGCCCTTACTCTACGATCCTGAGACCCCATGCTGGCTCTGATCAGATCACTGCGCCCGTCACCTACACTATCCAACCATCTGGCACGAGCCCCGGAACAGTTATCATCGAAACGCCAGCTGTACGAGCTGGACAGCAGGTTATTACTCTTCCGTCTGATCCTGACAGTGGTTATATCACAATTGTCAGACAACCCACGGGAGCCATCACGGCGCCTACAACCATCACAATCCCACCTAGTGGTGGCCAACCAGGAACCATTGTCATTGAAACTCCCGCCCCTCAACCAGGCGATGTTGAAATCACAATTCCTGCTGGAGCAGATGGCTCTTACGTTACTGTCATTCGTGGACCTACAGGATCAAACGCCGTTACCGCTCCGACCACAATTACTGTTACTGGAGCCCCAGGTCAGCCGGGGACTGTCATCATTAACACACCAGTGCCATCCGGTGGTGCCCAGACAACCCGAGGACCTGGTGATCCTTTCACCATCACACCTGCGCCTGGTGGTCAATATGTCACAATCTTCAGACCTCATAGTGGTGATCCCATCTCTGTACCTATTACCCTTACCCAGGGCGGACAAAACGGTCAACCCGGTACAGTTATTATTGAGACGCCTGCCCCGAACACTTCTGGCACCGGAGGAGGGTCTATCACTATTCCTGCTGGTGGCGGAAGTCCTTATGTGACCGTCTATAGGCCACATTCTGGTAGCCCCATTGACAAACCAATTACGGTCACAGTTCCACCGAACGGCAACCAGCCAGGCACTATCATCATTGAAACCCCAGTTCCTACAATTGAGACTCCAAAGGGTCAGAACGCGGTAACTTCTGCTGAGACGGGAGGCCAACAGATCACGATTCCTCCCAGTAAGAACAACCCATATGTGACTATCTACAGGCCCCATTCAGGTGATCCTATTACTGTACCCATCACTATTACACAAACTCCTTCAAACGGACAGCCTGGAACCATCATTATTGAGACTCCAGCACCTCCGGCCCAGACTGTCACAGAGGTTCAGACTCAACCAGGAGCAACTGTAACAGTGCAGCCTGACACACCAGGTGGATATACCACTATCTATCGACCACACACTGGTGATCCGATTTCCGAACCCATTACGGTCACAACTATTAGTGGCTCCAATGGTCAGCCAGGCACTGTTATTATTGAGACCCAGGGCCCCATCACCATCACTCCGACCGTTGCTGGTGGTACAGCTACAATCTACACACCAGGATCAGATGTTAGTACCACCATCACGAAGACTGTTGTTTCCACTGCTCCAGCAGGTGAACAAACCACTGTCATCATCGTTGAGACACCTCCTGTAAAAGTTCAATCCACTACGCCGCCACAGGCTACTACTGGACCCGATGGCATGGCCACGATCATTGAAGAGTACACTGGCACGAGTATCATCACAGCAATCTTTACTACCACAGTGCGTGGTTCTGGAACGAACCCAGGAACGGTTTACATCGAGACGCCACCTCCCGTCAAGTTTGTTCCTACGACAAGTGTTGCGGGAACTACTGTGTCTGGGAATGACAATTACGTGACTGTTTTCAAACCGTTCCCTGGCCCAGGTGTCATTACTGCACCCTTCACTATTACTGAAGCTACTCCTTCAGGTGGCCAGCCTGGTACTGTTGTTATCCAGACCCCAGTTGCGGAGAACCCCACCACCTCATTACCTGCCCCAAGCACAACACAAGGTCCTGACGGATATGTGACTGTGTTCCTCCCTTTCCCTGGTCCAGGCGTGATCACCCAACCTTACACCAGAACACAGGCACCATCAGGTGGAAACCCCGGAACTGTGTTCATCACAACACCGGCGCCTGTGGCTACAACAACCACCCCTCTCCCTGCGCCTAGCACTACACAAGGTTCTGATGGTTACGTGACAGTGTATCTGCCTTTCCCCGGTCCGGGTGTTATCACACAGCCGTATACTAGGACGCAAGCCCCTTCAGGCGGTAACCCTGGTACTGTGTTCATCACGACGCCAGCGCCTATGCCCGCCACCACTGCCCAGGAGAATCTGCCAAGTACTACATCAGGCACAGACGGTTATGTGACAGTTTTTATTCCCTATCCGGGACCGGGCGAGATTACTGCGCCCATCACCAGCACACAACCACCTTCCGGTGGACGACCTGGTACTGTCTTCATCACCACTCCTGGTCAGCCTGCATTTACCACTCCGAAGCAGCAGAACGGTCTTACGAGCTCTGCGTCTGGTAACGATGGATATGTCACCGTGTTCCTCCCCTACACGGGAGTGGGTGAGATCACCGCCCCTATTACTAGCACCCAGCCACCCTCAAATGGCCAGCCTGGAACTGTCTTTATCACTACACCTGGTCAGCCCGCGTTTACTACTCCTAAGCAGCAAAACGGGCTTACTAGCACCTCTTCAGGTGCTGATGGATATGTCACCGTGTTCCTCCCCTACACGGGAGTGGGTGAAATCACCGCCCCAATTACTAGCACCCAGCCACCCTCAAATGGCCAGCCTGGAACTGTCTTCATTACAACACCCGGCCAGCCCGCGTTGACTACTCCCAAGCAGCAAAACGGGTTAACCAGCACTTCCTCGGGCGTTGATGGTTACGTGACTGTGTTCCTGCCTTTCCCCGGACCAGGGGTCATTACGGAACCTATCACTAGCACTCAACCCCCATCAGGAGGCAATCCTGGAACAGTCTACATCACAACACCGGCACCCGTGTCCACTCCTCAGCAGAACGTTCCTAGTACTACAGCTGGTAACGACGATTATGTGACCGTCTTTTTCCCATTCCCAGGTCCTGGTGTCATCACTGCACCCATCACTCGTACACAAGTAGCGCCGTCGGGTGGTAACCCGGGAACTGTGTTTGTTACGACCCCAGCTTCTGGTAGCAGTACCCCGACGCAGACATCTGCTCTGACGACTGATAACTACATCACAATCTACACACCTTTCCCGGGCCCTGGTGTTATTACCGCGCCTTTTACCATCACCAAGCCGCCATCTAGTGGTCAGCCTGGAACTGTTCTCATCCAGACCCCTGCACCAGTGAGCTCAAGTGCCGACACATATGTGACAGTATATAGGCCGTACCCAGGACCTGGTACGATCACAGCGCCAATCACTCTTACACAAGCTCCTGCAAACGGTCAACCTGGCACCGTGTTTATCGAGACACAGGCAACAAACACGCCGACTTCGACCACCCGAACAAGTGACAATTCAACCCCCCCTATTACCATTCCTCCTGAGCCAACTGGATCGTATGTGACAATCTACCGACCATACCCTGGGCCTGGACAAATCACGTCCCCTGTTACTTACACCCAAGCTCCTGTTTCTGGTAAAGCTGGTACTATCATCATCGAAACACCGAACTCAGATGCAAACACCGCTACCCAGACAGGTCCGGTCACGGTCCCGACAGGTAACAACAATCCATATGTTACCGTATACAAGCCATACCCTGGGCCGGGTAACATTGATAAACCTATCACCATTACCGCTGTCACCCCATCGGGTGATCAGCCGGGAACCATCATCATTGAGACACCTACACCAGATGTCAACACAAAGTTTGTACCAACTGCGGCTACTTCACCTCCAGTCACTATCCCAGCCGACAACAATAACTATGTCACTGTTTACAGACCCCACACTGGCTCCCCGATTACCGCACCTATCACTGTCACTACCATTGCACCTACGGGAGGACAGCCCGGTACTGTAATCATTGAGACG